TCTATAATCGGGTCGAGTCCTGCTTGGAGCTCGGCAAGTGTCTCGATGTAGAGGGGCTCAGGTTCACTCCACTCGGACTCGGGCTCCGAGTTTTCAAAGTCTAGAGCCATTGAGTATAGCTCAAGCTCTGACCATTCAGCAAGCTCATACAGTGAGTCGCTGTCTTCCCAGTCGCCATCTGCAGCCTCAGAGTCAAACTCAGAGTCAGAGTTGTAGAGGACTTCGTCCATCATAAACACATCAACAGTCTCTTCAGCTGCCTCACGAAGAACTTCGGCATTTCGAAGGTCTATATCAATTCCGAACGAAGGTACGCCAGGAGGACGTCTACCATTCGATCCAGAACTAACTTTATTGCGATCTGGGCAGTTTCTGGACATATGTCCAGGCTTTCCACAGACAAAGCAGAGGTTTTCTGCTACATAGCGCTCCTTCTCCTTGTCGCTGAGACGAGGAGTGGAGGACTTAGGTCTATTCATACCCTTAGGTGCGTGTCTTTTATCCTTTCCTTTGAACTTGGGTTTAAAGTTCGATCCCGATCCGCCTCGGCGATCATGATCATTCTTCTTGTCGAATTTAGATGGTTTCTCGTCACCGTCGCGACGTTTATCATCCTTTCGATTGGATTTGTCCTTTTCCTTACGGTCTCGCGAAGGTGCGTGTATATTCATCGAAATTTCAATTATCTCTGCGGCTGATACTACATCCTCGAACGAGGAGACCTCAGGATTGAGGCGATCGCGCCACAATTGTGCTTGTATCTGTCGAGAGAGACCAGACCACAGCTTAGTCACTTTTACTCGCTCGTCTGTGTCTCCAACCATGTTCCATAGTTCGGTGAGTTCATACACAAATTCTCGGACTGATTTATCATTCTGATAGCATCTCCGAAGTCTCTCCCGCATCCGCGATCGGAAATCGACGGGGAAACAATAGTTAAACATCTCGCGGAAGAACCGAGGGAGACGCCAACCGTACGGGTCCATTGAAACACGACGCGTATAGAACTCGCGCGCCCGCCCTTCAAGGAACCGTGCGATTACGAACACCTGTTCGCCATCGGGAACTTCACCATCAGAGACGTATGCAGCCGACTCTGTTATGAAACGATGGAATTCTTGCGGCTCGCTGTCGCGTCCATGGTAAGCTACCGGTGGCACAGGCTTCAGTTTGCTGCGTTTTGACTTCTTTGACTTCTTAGATTTCTTCGATTTTCGCTTTCTACGCGAACGACGCTCTTCTTCGTCAGAACTGGACGATGACGACAAACTCGAGCTGGAAGAGCTCGACGAACTCGACGAACTCGACGAGCTCGTGTCTGTCTCGTCTCCAGAGTCACCCGGAGGGCTTCCAGCACCTCCCGATCTCTTATCTAAGGTAGGCTTCTTTTTCTTTCTAGCGTCCGCGTCGATTCGGGCTAATGCTCTGCCGACGTAACTGCTGGGCTCGATCTGCTGGATTGGCTCCATTGATCCGGGCGTGGCTATGCGCACCGCGTGCTTCGTCTTCGAGCGCGCCAGCGCATGGTCGACGAGTCTGGCGACGGGCGTCGTCGCGTCATCGCCATTCATATCAATCGACTGAAGCGGTGCGCGTTTCGTCTTCTTCTTATCTTTCTGAGATTTAGACTTATTCTTGCCTTTGTTCAAAGCGACGCCAATGCTGGCCGACGCCGGGGCAGCGACCGGTTGTATAACCTCAATTTCAATGGGTTCAGGCGCCCCGTTTGCTCGTGCAGGTGCGTTCGAATTCTCGTTTTCATTTCTATTCAAATTGACTGTACTAGGCCGACCCCGCTCTGGGTTCGGCTCCGACTGCGCCTCGCGATCGAGGTCACGCGCGAGGTTCCAGGACTCGAGGGCAGCCCTTTGCCCGCTCGGATCCACCTCCTCGTCTGGGAGGTTCAATCCGCCCCAGTTTCGGGGATCAACGCCCTTCCCTTTTGGCTGGGAAGGGCCTTCTTGGCGAGAGCCGTTCTCGCCGTCCTCGCTGGACGAGCTCTCGCGCTCGTCGCCATTAGGTGAGTTGTTTCGAGCGTTCCTCAACGCTTCGTAACGCCTGCCGAGGAGCACTCGCTCCTCGGCGGTCAGGTTCTGCTCTGCGGCCCGCACGGTACTGACGGGGCTCGCAGGCGCCCGACCTTGCTTGGTCGGGTTGCCGCTAGGGCTGCGGCGACGGCGCTTTGGGCTCACCAAGGTCCAGGGACGGCCGTCGCCGTCTTCTCCTCCGGACCCACCGAAGACGTCGTCATTGGTCGCCTTGGAAGCGCGAGGCTCCGGGCGACCTGTCTGCTCGTCGGTCTCGCGACCGACGGCGCTCTCCGACTCGCCCGCAACGGGCGCGTCGGTGTTCTCCTCCGTCGGCAAGTGGCCGGGAGGGTTCCTCGGGCTGACGACGTCACTATAAGTGCGTCCGCCCGGGGTATAGCGTCCAGCTGGGCGCGGCTCCACAGGAGCAGGCAGAATTTCACGAGTTTGAGACGGATGGGGACCGAGGGGGCGTTGGTGGGGACAGGTCTTGTAAAGCGATGCCCAGACTGCGCGTTCGAGTGTGAGATCGTATGTGAGGTCTCGGCGCGCGAGCAGCCGGACGCTCACTCATCGGTATTGACTCACGGTACCGTATGTCTCGCGGACATTATTGTTGTAGGTCACGACCCCGGGTTGGTCGCTGACTGATCTCGCTATGTCTCAGTTTATTCGGCACAGTGCTCTTGTATGTCTACGTTGGGCGGGGCCCAACCATCGTGTATTTAAGTAGCCTACGAACCTCTGTATTCGCTAGTGTTACTGGAACCTCGATATTTCGACCTGTGACCTCTCTGCCCGACTTCCCATCTAAATCGTAACCAACCGTGTGCCGCCGCGTCAAGATCATCGCACGCTCTTCGACCCGTCGCCACATATTTTTCACAGTAGCTAAGTATTCGTGTTAACTTCCGTAGTCTGATCAACTATAGGAAACCTTACCTTCATGGCCATTAAAACCCGCGCGCAACTCAAGGTCGTCCCTGCCGAGCAGGCGACCAACAGCGACTCCGGAGGAGTCCCTCGAGATGAGTCCCCTTCTCGTACTAGCGAGCTGACTCCTCTCGCAGACAACCCTCAGGCCCCAGCGGCTGAGACTATCCTCACCCGCACGTCATCCATTCATCATGCCATGTTTGCCACACACGAGCCAACCCGAAAAAGGGTGTTCGATGTCGAGAAAAACAGCGAGACTCGACTGCTCTGCGCGAGGTGGGCCCTCACTCGGTGCGCGAAGCGGGTCACTTGCATGGATCTGGATGCGTCAGACGCTGAGGAACTGCCTCAAATTGTTGTATGGGAGGCAAATGAGGCGGACGGTATGGAAGCACACGAGGTTCATTGCCTGGACGTGACGTCTTATGATGGCTGTAAACGGGCTGTTGTCGTCCTTGAGCTGCACGGGCAAGGACCTCCTGTCTATCGGATCGAAGTGTGAGCTTTTCTCTCCTTCTATCTGCTCAATAATCGAGTAACCGCTGTGAATGCTACTCCAAGCGTCGTTCTCAAGGTACAACTTGACAGTGCTTACAACAAATTAGGTCTTCACTTTGAGGAAGTATACCGACGATTGGAAACACATGGTGTTGACTACTTTCGATGCGTGGACTCACATTTAAGCCCTTCGACGCTGGTGGTTCGGATGAAAACATATCAAGGCAGCGTACACATCTGGGACGTTGACCAGTTGAGCAAGGAGCCCGTCACTATACCCAGGGAGGACATTGGAACTGTAGCACAGGGTCATCGGGCGCCATCTCCTTTTTGTAACTGATTCTTCCAGGAGGGTTGGATGAACCTTTTGACGTGTAAAACTCACCTGATCACCGTCGTTGGAGACTCCTTTACACCGCCCATCACCCGAATACGCGCCAGGCCTCTCTCCTCTGTTTTCGCGGGGGTGACGGGCGTTAGCGCAAAATCTGGCACTGTCAGCAACATCATCTTCCAGGACGTGACCATGCTTCGCGACTCGATTGTCAACCCCCAAACCGGCATGACAGAAGTCGTGCTTGTCGGAGTTGTCAGGACCGCATGGGATGAGATTTTGTTGATGATGATGCGCGCGGCTGCTCATACCGCCCCTTCAAGGCCCCTTGAGTGACGGATATATTCAAACCTCCATTGAAAGGCTTGTGGACTTTGCATTCGACCCGTGTTTAATCCTCACTCCGTCGTGGATCGGATCTACGCGAATCCTTTGGTCTATCAAAGAATCATCATACGGACAGCTCGCCGCCGTAGAAGTGGCGTACGGTATTGGAGGACCGGGTGCGAGTATAGCACGCGCTTCGAACCTAGGTGTTGCAAGTGGTGTTCAGAGGCTGTTCTGGCATCGTGATACAGTATTAATGCAGTCTTTTGAGAACGAGCCGTATTTGGGGAGGGTGTTGTATGTGTCCAATGCTCAGGATGAGGGATCTGAGCGAAGGTTTGGTGCCCCAAAGGAAGAGAGGATGAAGCTTTGTCTATGTGTTACGTTACATTTATTCACACCTAGACAATCCCTACATCGTTCTGGCTTGCGCATAATATACCCATCCCAACACGCGACTTGGACTGTCCTTGCTCTGCCGTCACACAAGTTGGAACTCTCCATTGAAAGGAGCGCTGACATCTTGGCAAAGTACACTCGCTGACTTTTGTCCAGTGTGGCCCTTAGGAATCCCTTTGGCTCACACGAGTACCCTCAAAAAGAGTTGGGGAGGATTGCATCTGTATAATCCTTGGGATGAGGAAGAAACTAGTAAGAAAAGCGTAGATGATGCCCCAGAAGAAGGGTGGACGAGGCTTTGTGTACTTGATTTTCGTAAAGAGCTTACCTAGGACTGATCAAAGCGTTGATGCTGTCGAACTTTCTCAAACTTTTAGCCCCTATGTTGGGCGTCAGATTAGTCATGGTTTTCGGCGCGTCGTGACGCTGTCTTTCTTCACCGTACGCGTTTCCCTGTACAAGTACTCCAGTAGAACCTGGGCTTCAAGCCATCGACACCCTCCCTACACTACCGCTCATTCATGCTAGGAGTCGACCCATGGTGGGACCGACTCGCCCTCCTGTACCAACACGAAGCCATCCGGCGCACACGCGCAACCCACGAGCGCGCCGACCTCACCCCTTCAGAGCGCCTACACGCCCAACACGAATTCGAGCCGGGCGAAATCGCACACGTCACGAGCGCAGGCGGCGTGCGCCTCGCGTTCTACGAGTTCCTGCTCTCGCAGGGCCTGGAGCTGCGCGGGGACGAGCCGCGGCGGCGCGCGGTCGCGCTGCAGCACGCGCAGCTCACGGGCAAGTTCGCGCTCGTGCTCGAGCGCCTCGGCGGGGGCCGGTATCTCGTGTGCTATCTCGCGAGCTATGGTGCGATTCGGCATAGCAGGAGTATGTCGCCTGTGAAGCAGTTTTTCAGTGTCGCGCTGGGGGGCGCGGGCGCGAGGAATTGGCCGCCGGATACGCCTGCGTTTCGGACGAGGCCGGAGTGGAAAATTAGGCCGGGCGCGGGGAGCGGGTATCTGTTTGTGTGTCCGGTAGTGAGGAGCGGGCTGGTGAAGACGACGGGATATCGGCGGGCCACGCTGAGGATGGGGGAGCTGGACAGGCTCAAGGCTGCGTACCGGGATAGGCTTACGGTGAGTTCTCGATTGTTCTTTGGTGAATGAGAGTGGGCTCATATATTGAAAGGTTTTTGATAAACAACATCTCAAACTCAGGGCAGCTGAAGAGGAGTGGATGAAAGTTCAAGAAAGGTACGGAATCAACTTGGACTACTCGGAGCCGGAGACGCTGGCAGCGTTGGCACGGTTGCAACCAGACCAGAACGACCAGGGTGAGCCAGCCTCTTACACCTGCCTAGTATTTTGTCTCTACTTGACCACTAATCCGCAACCTGCAGATGAGGTGCCCCCGGTAGAGTCTGCTACAGACGGTGCAAATGACCAGCTGCCACCTCTAACACCGCTGAGGCAGAGGAAGTGGATACCTCCGCCAAGGCTCGCTCATTCCAAAGGAAACTGGAACTATATTCGAGAGCCTCTCCAACACATCCGCCACGACCTTCTCAGTGCCTCACCTTACCTAGACCGCATGCTGCCCTTGCCTTCGCGGATTCCCTACCTCCCTCGGGTGCCGTTCCCATACAGAAGAAAGCCCCCAGGGCTCTCCCTTTACCGGCGCTTGGTCTACCTTTGACTGCGACACGCCGAGTCTTCTCATGACAAACGAACGGCATTTCCCTAACATAACCAATCGCCTTCAACCTTGAAACACGAAAGCGATGATATCAATGCGTTGCTATCTGTACAAGTGGTTGCAAGAAAACGGGAACATCGTCGTCTCTCCTTCAAGCCTCTGTCATCAACCTCGAGAGCCCGTTGGCCACCACGCCGAACGTGCCCAGAGAGGATGAGCCTAATCATGGTCACGGGTCAGGACACAGCAGGTGGATACGCATGGAAGCAAGGAACCTACCTTGAGAGCCCGCGCTGGTGCCGATTTGGGTAGGGGCAGTGGGCTGGAGAATCTGTGTCGCGGAGTCGAACTTCCATCCCTGCGCGTTTGCGACTAGAGTAGAGCGTAGAGCAGCAGCGGTCAACGCGTCGTACTTGATTAGTGTCGTTGAGTACGTACTAGATAGAAGTTGGTCCTGCTGCATGCCCAAGTACGCCTGGGCTTCCGATAGAGGAATTGACGTGAACGCCTTGGAAAGGAGGGTGAAAGTTCGTTGCTGGAATGACTCTGGAACATTGGCTGTCGTCAGCTACTTCTGCGTTCGTTTACTCACAAGCGAGCGTCGTGGGTAGCACGTACCGACAAAGGTCTGCGACATCGACGCGACGAGTTGAGCGAGGTTCGGATCCGCGAGGTGACCCTGCTGCGAGAGCAGGAAGATCTCCTGCGCGCGCGCGTAGATGTTCTCGTATTTTCGTTCCAGGGTGGAGGCGAGCAGTCTCATGAGCGCCTGGGTGAGGGGGTGCGAGACGAGCGCCGTCGAGGGCAGCTTGGGCAGGCGCATGAGGGCGTGGTGGGCTGGTGTTCTGCGAAGGGCATCGGACTCAGGGGTTAGAAACGACTATGAAGGATGGATGCTGGTAGAGCGTGTAGCACGCACAGGTCATCGATGATGAGGTAGGAGAGGACTAGAGGCGCGATGACGAGCAGCCGTGAGGGCGACGCGTCCCCTTCAACCTATGTAGTAGGTACATTAGGAGTACGTTGGTGATTGCGTTTCGACAAACGCACATTCAGATCGGTGACTTCAGCTACATATGCCGCCTCGCTGTACTTGCCCTGCGATACGAGAGCGGCGATCTGGGGGAACGTGCGCTGGTAGACGTCCCCCTGTGCACCAGCGGGCGCTGGGCCAGCCTGAGCCTGCGACACGGCTGGTGCGCCCTCGGTGGCTGCAGGAGGTCCAGGAGCGGCAGTGGCGGGCTGAGGGCTGGCGACGCCCGCGAGTGCAGCGTCTCTGGCTGCGTCGAGCTGCTCCGTCGCGCTCGTGGGTGGTGGTGTGGGCGGGCCTCCTTGCATCATCTCAATGGGCGGGTGTGTGTAGGGGGCAGGGGCGCGGACAAAGTATGCAGATTACAGGCGCGCTGTCATTACACTGCTAAACAAGTACTCGCTTATCCCCACACGACCTCTGCGTCACCCACACCACTACCATCTCCATCAGCATGGACGCCGGCGACGATGAAATCGAGTCGATCCTCCACATCGCCAGAGAAGTGATGGGTGAGACTGTTTCATTATAATCGCGCGCGCATAATAATATGTGCTGATGAGTATGCAGTATACAAGATCCCGCCCCTGCGCAAGAACGAGGGCCACCGCGCGAACGAGTGGGGCGACCTCACGCAGTGGCTCTGGAAAGGCCGCATGCGCATCGTCGAGAAGGGCAGCGTCGCCACGATACTGTTCGAGGACGGCACGACAGGTGGGGCACGCCATGTTTTCAAGACAGGTTGAGCTGGGCTGACGGTGTGTCCCCGGACAGGCGAACGTGAGTGACCGTCATCTGCTTGGTGCGAGTACTTCGTGATGCAGACGCGCTGTTCTGCCTCTGTGCTACGTATTGCAGTGTTCGCAAAGGCGGAATACGACACCACGAAGCCCTCCGTCGAGGCCGTCCTGGATTCGTCTCGGTACTTTGTCGTCCGCGTCGAGGAGGCGGGCAAGAAGGCCTACATCGGCATGGGCTTCGCCGAGCGCACGGATAGTTTTGACTTTAGTGAGCACACCTTCCCATCTCTCGACCTTGCAGCTTGCATATGGGTCTAACCGCCCAACGCGCAGACGTGGCTCTCCAAGATTACACCAAGTAAGCAATACACCCCTTGCATGACCATCCCTCCATCCGTGCACCATTCATCACTGAATATGATTCGCTAACCGCCCCGGCCCGCTCCTATTAGGCGCTGCAAAGCTCGGCTGAACCCTCCCAGTCCGACCGAGGAGACTCCATCCCCGCACGTCCCTACCGGTCCCAAGAAGGACTACTCCCTGAAGGAGGGCCAGACTTTCTCCATAAACATCCCTGGGAGGGAGAAGAAATCCGGCAGTGGAACCAATCTGCTGGGGTCCGACTCGACTTCCTCCGGGGGTGGAGGAGGATTTGGCGGTGGCATTCCTTTGCTCCCGCCGCCGCCGAGCTCGGGGAAGAAGAGGTAATGCAAAGCAAAGGAAGGAGGAATAAGTGTGTTCGTCTGTCAGAAGAACTTGGATTACGTGTCTTGATTGTAGGATTCCGCAATCTAACGCGCTGTTGTACGATGAGGCCTGTCATCTGACTGATTTCCTTTAAGCCATCTCTGTGTTAGTTTACCCTACCACTGGGCGCATGTCCTCAGGCGGATCATTCCTCCAGCTTGGTGGGTCCCTGGTAGAACAGGATATGACGCGTTACCGAAGACATCCCGAAATTCAACTGAAGCAGTACGTTCGCGGTACCGTCAGGTCTATTCTAATTTTATTGCCGCCAAGGTTTTGTGTTCCGCATCCCTAGGCTCCCTTCATGCTATCGTAACCTTCGCTGTATCTTTGGAGAACAGTGCGCTCGTGCTCAGTAGAGTGCATGTGCGACGCCTTCAGGGTGAGATATCTTTAGAGCATTCAATGAAAGTCACGCGGTCCCCGCAACCAGCAGGCCTCATATCCAGGTACCGTCACGGTTGAATTCATCTCGCTACAGACTGCATACACCATCTTGAGCAGGAAATGGCCTTTTCTCCTGCACTCCATCATGTTGCGATCGACCGACAATGGACTGTCCTGCCTCCACAATGCACGAAGACTCAGCAAAGTGTGCAGGATCCCTGACAATGTTCCTTTTCTTGACAGATCATATCCATACATTACGCGACTTGATATATCCGATCTTCAACCGGCCAAGAGCCTTTCATGTCTACTTCTTTCAGGGGCAAACACTCTGTTCGCTGTCAACCATCATCTTGCTGTCCCCACCGCATTCTGTGTCGCTGTCCCCATGATGCTCTTTCGTTAACCCCGCCATCCTCATTCAAGTGCTTGACTATAGGCTTTCCGATATGTTTCCGCCCTGCGTTTCCGGCCTTTTGCCGTCGTGTTGGTGGTCTCCTTGGTTCTGAATGCCTTCACGGAAAGAAGTTTCGTGAACGGAGGGAGTATAAAATCCATGGGTCTCAGTCCCATATCTCCTCGTCACTAGCAACATGTTCTCGCCTGTAGTCCTCGGCGCACTCGCAGCTCTCCTCCCTGCAGCGGTTCAGGCTATACCATCCTCCGCTCAGGCTCGGGCTGCCGACGCAATAGCCAACCCATACACCGGATACACCGTACGTCAACCCCACCTCCATCCTCAGTGCCTACTTTGACCCACGACTACGCCGCCTCTCTCAGATCTTCAAAAACCCGGAATACGTCGCCGAGGTGCAAGCCGCCGTCCAGCAGATCAGCGACTCCTCCCTCGCCTCGGCCGCCGCGGGCGTCGAGGACGTGCCCGTGTTCTTCTGGCTCGACCAGGTTGCCAAAGTCCCGAACCTCACCACGTACCTCGCCGCCGCCGACGCGGAGGCGAAGAGCTCGGGGAGCCAGCAGCTGTTCCAGATCGTCGTGTACGATCTGCCCGACCGCGACTGCGCGGCGGCCGCGTCGAACGGGGAGTTCTCGATCTCCGACAACGGCCAGACGAATTATGAGAACTACATTGATCAGATTGTGGCCAGCATTAAGCGTGCGTGCTTTGGCTGATGTCGGTGAGATGTGCAGCGGCTTATTGGTTTGGTGTGCAGAGTATCCCGATGTTCGCGTCGTGGCTGTCGTTGAGCCCGACTCTATGGCCAACCTCGTCACCAACTTGAGCGTCCAGAAGTGCGCGGATGCCGAGTCTACGTACAAGGTATGTTAAATCCTCGCTTGTAAGATGGATCTGGCTGACTGTATGTTTCATTTGGTTTAGACTTGCGTTGCATATGCCATTGAACAGCTCGCCACGGTTGGGGTTTACATGTACCTCGATGCAGGTCACGCTGGCTGGCTCGGTTGGCCCGCCAATCTCTCCCCGGCCGCCGAGCTCTTCGCCCAGATGTACAGCACCACTGGATCCAGCCCCTACTTCCGCGGTCTTGCTACCAGTAAGCCGCCTCCCAACCGTAAACCTGTAGGGATGATCTGATCACTCTGTAGACGTTGCGAACTACAACTCGCTGACCACCGACTCGCCCGATCCCATCACATCCGGCGACTCCAACTACGACGAGCTGCTCTACATCGAGGTTCGCCCCACTCACTCCTCACTATCCCGTAACAACACCCCCGCTAACTCCTCCGCACCTCGCATCATACAGGCGCTCTCCCCTCTGCTGGTAGACAACGGCTTCCCCGCCCAGTTCATCGTCGAGCAGGCCCGCTCGGGCGTGCAGAACATCCGCAGCGCGTGGGGCGACTGGTGCAACGTCAAGGGCGCGGGCTTCGGCCTCCGCCCGTCGACGGACACGCCCTCGTCGCTCATCGACTCGATCGTGTGGGTCAAGCCCGGTGGCGAGGCCGACGGGACGAGCAACTCGAGCGCGGCGCGGTATGACTACCACTGCTCGCTGGTGAGTGCACTCATAGTTGGGTCTTGCGGCGTTGGATGGGTGCTGATCATGGTGTTTTCTTATCTTCCAGAGCGATGCGCTCCAGCCTGCACCCGAGGCGGGGACGTGGTTCCAGACGTACTTCGAGGACTTGGTGTCTGGCGCGAACCCGGCTTTCTAGATTGTTCTCACTGGTGTTCTGGTTTGATTGTTTATGCTATGGGTAACTTGTGGTTTTGGGTCAATTGTCATAACGCGCTTTGGTCTATCGAAGAAGCTCGTGACAAACTTAGGTCAGGGCACAATAAAAATGAGAGTACACTTTGAAGCGCTTTCTCTTCGCTGGGCGCTGATGGCTCACACGGCATCCCGGGTAAAACTATCATGACATCCAAGCTCAGTCCATCACAATAAGCGTGCTCACTGTTCTCTCAACTCGATCACGGTGTTGTGTGCTAAAACCAAATAACTAGACGGCCCGTTTACTCTCTAGTCCTCGCCCTTTCCCATCATTCCATGGGGGTTGTGCATGCGGATGCGCACCCTTCCTCCGCGATCAGGTAAAGTTCCACATCAGACTCTGCTGAAAAACGATAGAGATCGTATGTATACGTACAAACTTTCCAACATTTCAAACTTGCCCTATATACACACGACATAATGCTCTTCATTGCATGCTACATTCTCTTGACAGGCAAGCAGTAACTGCTTAGCGCCCTTGGCCTGGTGGCGTCTCCGCCACCCCGCGAAAGGATAGCGCCGAACGATCGGGCTGTCGCGGTACAGCGCAAGCGGGAGCTTTTCAAAAACACCGTGTCGGGATATGCAGACGTGCCCTCGCCGACGTCCGAGGAAACTGAAGTACTGGACATTAATATTCGTTCCCGCCACCGCTCGTAGCACAGCACCGGTGACTCACCGAGCGCCGGGGCGCGCGGCGGCAAATAGACGCTTATAGGCAGATCCCTTTTGTTCTTCTAGCTCTCTCCCGCACTTCCGCACGTCATTGGAATCATCATATGCACTGCGCACACGCATGAACAACGCTGCTACGTCGAGTATTGCTGCGAGCGCGCGCTGGGAACGTAAACCTAAATGCTGGCTTCAAGACGCCGCCCGCCGCCTCCCGTCTGCCGTCAGAGTTCACGGTTTTGGTTATTGTCAACGTCCCGCTGTCCTCTCGATGTCTCGTATGGACAGCATCAGCGCCTCGCTCTCCACCGTGGTTGAGGGACGACGTCATACACGTCGGGGATCCTCTGGGCGATGAGAGTTCGACAGACAAACCTGTGAAAGAGCGGCCCGCTCCCGCACGCAACACTGGGCGGGATGCCGTCAGTATTCATCTTGAAGTCCATTCTGCTTCGGCAGACATTGACTTGAAAAATGCTGGCATAGCAAAGAAATGTTCTGATGAGCGACTGTCACTCTGCCAGAACCGAGGACTAAAATTCTTGTGAGCCACGACAATAACATGCATACAAAACTGACTTTTCTAGTATCAGTGACCGACAAACAGGCGGCGTTCTCCTCCATCCCCACACTCGCATTGTACAACGGAAGCGGCGTACCTTTATTTCCATTTCATACCATTGTGGCAGCTTTGTGGCCCACTACGTACATACTCAAAAGACTGTACCTTAACGGATGCATATGTTATACGCGCATTAATTATGCGCCGACAATGTGCTCCCTTAATTCGATCGCCCTTTTATATTAAATAGGAGGCCGGGGCTTGCTCTTGTCCCAGCCTCCGTGCCTCCGAGCATTTCATGCCCACGCGAGAATGCGTTCCTCGCAGACGGAGATGACGGACTTGCCTTAAATACCGTAATACGAGGAGGAAACTCCAAAGACCAGCCACAATTTCAATGAATGAAAGGCGGGTTGAAATGCTCACTGTAGGCTCGGACGACTCGGACGGCCTCGATCGGCTGACTGTAAGCTTCTCGGTGCTGACGTTTTGCCCTCAGGCCACTCCGAGTCGGACTCACAGCGGCATTGTTCCTTCGGACGTTGGTAGACGATGCGGCGACGCACGGTGAAGCCTTGGGGAGAACAAGGAGGCGTCGAACAGAACAAGACTGCTCTCGGTCCCGCAAAACAATGTTGATGATGAGATACTCGCAGCGCGCGGCTGTTCTTGCCTAACACTGAGAGTCATCGTCGCACATATGCGCGCGTGAAGTGGGTGATAAGGGACAAGTTGAGACTGCCTGTCATATCAAATGACCGTCGGCGCTGCCCAAGGTGGCCATCTCATCCGATCGTCTCGCCCATACACTGGTCATAATTATGAAAGTTCCCCAGATACGTCATACAGCTTATGCTCGCCGTCTCGGAGACGATGTTCATGCGGGTTCATTCTCGGCTTGCCCTATATGTTGCCGTCGAGAAGAAGAATTTAAATACGAGACAAGGCCGGCGGGAACAAGGTCTCCAAGAACAGAGTTTGAGCGGTGCATGGAGAGATCGCTACAGCCCGTTCTTCTGCAATGCATCATCTTGGAAGCCTTGTGCTTTCGTCTTCGTAACCGAGGGTACATCTGTTTTCTTGATTGACTGTTCATCAGGCGATGAAAACTTTGGACATCGCAAGATTGCATCAAGGGAGATCAAGGTACACGGAGCTGGACGGCGCGTCACGACGAGCCACAGTGGCTCACAGTGACCCACACAGGACAAATTAAGCTTCGCGTCGGGGACGGGGCCTGTCAGATCTCGAGCTAGAGATTGACACGAAGCCGATATCGAGGATCAGCTGAAAGATAGGAGCATAGTCTAATAATCACGTTAGTATGGCAAAGCGTATTAGCTAGACTCGGCAGCAAGAAAAGACTAGCCTTTGGGCAGTCGTGGGGTTCGAAAAACTCGGGCCCTGGACGCTTCGCGCCGCCGTGCCGACTGTCATCTGGACAGCAATCTGAGACAGGCGCTCTTGTTCTCGTCCTGACACGCGATCCTCCTGTCGTTGTCGCTGTAAAGCGTGACGTAGCGCACGCGAGATGCGGCAACGACGACATACGAAAGAGTTTTTTTTCCTTCCGTGCCGCCCTTTTGCTGCGTGGTCGTTGTGCGAGGAGGGACAAGGTCTCAGCGCTCAGCAGTAGGGATCGACGGCGAGCACTCTCGATGGAGATGGCTTGCGGCACATGGCTGTCCTAGATTGAGATTCATCGGCAGTAAATGGGCTATGAGACTGGCCGAGGACAATAGAGATCATCCGGCGGGAGGACGGAGATGGTGCGATTCGGACGGGGACGGCCGGAGGGGACGGGCACGTGCTGGTGGATCAATTGTTTAGGTCAGTTCTGGGGAGTGCGTTCCTTTCGTATTTTCCATATGCATCGGACGGGGGAGGCGCAGAGACAGGGGTGGCGAGTCGCTATGTTGGTGATGTTGATCACGGCACAGCGGGTGGCGGGGCAGTTTTTACATGTCCACAAAAGGAGATAAGAAAAGTTTATATGGCATATGATAGGATTACCGAATGCAATAAAGCGAGGCTACCGACGACCCTGCTGTCTCTGGAGTGTGCCGCACTAGCACTGGCGCCCAAGGAGACGCTGGATTTGCATTCCTTTTTCCCATTCCGCGGCTGCATCTCCATCATACGCTAAGCCTCCGATACTTCCAAATCGGCAGCGCCTTCTTCTCCTTCTCCCGCTGGACCCCTCTTGCCTTTTGCGGCGGACACCCATTCGTCGTCTTTCCATCTACCGAGCAGCGTGCAACAAGACAATAGCCCTGGGAGCTCATCCACTCTTAAAAACCCTGCCATGCTCCCTTCAACAATCCAACAAGCCCCCGGCTCCACCTCAGGGCACCACAAGCCCCCCTCATACACCCAGGCTCAGCAACAAGCCTCCGCCACGCGCACCCATACTCAACCCCACCCCCACACGAATACCCATACGCACACCCACGGCCCGAGACGCGGTCACCATCACACCCCGTCCATCGACATCTCCTTCGCCCCGGGTGCACCCCTCCCCGACGCCATGTCGCCCCTCGCACTCCAACCCCGCCCATTTCCACCGCCCACCCTCACCGACGTTCCGGTCGAGTACATATTCGATCAGCTACGGAACCTCGCTCCATATTACTGGAATAAGCCCGAGACCGCCGACTGTACCATCGGTATGTTCACCGCGTCACATACGCATTTTACACCAATCTCATCTCGCCTGTAGTAATCCCAGTCCCAAATAACCGCCCCCGCCCACTTCAGGCGCTTTCGACGCCCGAGTCGGCGGCAGAGCACGCAGCACGGCGACGGGCTATGGAGTACGCGTTTAACAGCCATCCGGCCCATCCTCCGATCGTGCTCAAGGTTTGTTACTTCTCCCGACATTAACCCCTATCTTTGTGATTAACCGCCACCTTTAATTAGTTGCATGTAGACTATCTCACCGCGCGGTCCACGTTCCTCCGCGGCCTCTTCACTGGCAAATCACCTCACGAGCTTCTCCAGGACTTCCGACGCACCTCCTCCTCCGGCACTGCACCGTCCTCACCGCCCCCTATCCCCCCATCCCGCCTCCCACGCGTCCTCCCAAATTCGCCGCCGGGCCACCCGATCGTCGTGCTGCCCGTGCCCGACCCAGCCTCGATCCACCTCGTTTTCTACTGGATGTATCACGGCAAGACGCGCTCGCTCGAGGACTGTCTCGCGCAGGGCATCGTCGAGTGGGAAGGCGTCGCGCGCAACGTCGAGTACCTCGGCCTCCCGAGCGAGATCAAGATCTTCCTCGGGCGGTGGTACGGCAACTGGCTCCTCCCCAACCCGGCGCGCGACGAGATCGTCGCGAACCCGTTCGGCGAGGACGATGACGATGATGAAAGTGATGATGATGATGACGACGACGGGTTCTCCGCGGACGAGAGCGGCAGCGAGATGAGCTGCGGGGAGGACGACGGGATGCCGCCCCGCCGGGAGATCCTCGAGCGGGGGCGGAATCGCGCCGTGCGGCCGCTTGCGCGGGGGCACCCGCCACGGCCATGACGATCATGATGCATGAACTGAACACTAGAGTACTCGTTTTTGCTACGGTCGTGCTGGTCACGCGTCATCCCCAGCGTCTGCGCGCACTCTCCGCTTTCTAATAACGCCCCCAAACGCCCCGTCGTCTACCTACGATTTCTGATGACATTCCCGACCCCATACACTACTCACGCCCGTCCACGCCTACACTTACGCTCACGTTCACGGTCCTGGTTCCTCTGCACTACTGTAAAGTACATTACATCCGCACTTTTCATTTTCATCTTTCATCTTTCATCTTTTCATCCTTCGCACTTCACACTTCGCACTTCTAAATTTCACACTTCGCACTTCTAACTTCCCTTGTTTGTTGGCACCCCGGAGTCCTTTCTGCTTTGTCCCGTTTCGTCTATCTTTATTCAGTTGCAATTTCATCTCGCTCGCACTTTTCGCATCCTCGGGGCTCGCTGCCAATCCATCTTGAGCGTCCACAATTGCGCAAATGCGCTGGCACCTGATTGATGTGTGAGGTTAGTCTCGTCTGTTGGTGAAGGATTATGAAAATCGTCGCCGACGGATCTATTGTTCCAGCTACGAGTCCGACACCATTCAAATTCGAAGGAATTCCTGATGCTGCTTTGCATCGGATTAGGCAGCTTGGGCAAGTATTTGTGGATCCATGGACAGGCAATTGTTGGACTCCTTTGTTCCTTAAGCTTGCTGCGTTTGTTGGCTTTTTTTGACCGACCTTGATGCGGCGAGTTCTGGGCGAGGAGCCCAACAAGACGCTAGTGGCTTCCCGCCACCCGGTGATCCTCATGGTCACAATTCCCAAGGAACAGCAAGGACGGAGTTCTACAGCAAAAGCACAGACAATAACTGGGACTATAGGTGACCAACGCCCCATGTACACATGTCCTCGTACATACTATCCATTATAATCACAAAGCGATCGTCGCCGAAGGCCCATTCAAACCGCTTGGAAGAAGTTGGAGTCGTGGAAGTTGCCGAAAGGCACGCACGCACACACGCGCAAGGTTCGCACTCTATAGTCTAGATCTTCGTTATCTTCGTTGACGTTTATGCCGTAACGCGTCGTGGCGGATCCGATCGAGGTGGACCCACGCAATTCTTGCGAATCTTCGCTGGCGCTTGATATTACGGCAACTCGCGTCGCGTTCAGGTTGGAGATCTATCCCTATTGAAGGAAACTTCGAGATTCGCCAGTCGTGACAATCCAGATAATCCACAGAGGTAGAAAGTTGCTCGCGATCGAACCGAAGATAACTGAGCCTGAGAATGACTTGCGCATATAGCGGTCCGGAAGTCTGCACGGTACCTGGATGGCACCGCGGCGCAGTGCGCAGTGTTGAAACGTTCACTTCCCGACTTCCCGCCCTAGTAGTAGCGCCCGCTGGTCCGGTAAGCCACATACTTGCACGCAACGCGCGCAGGGCCGGACGAAGTAATAGCCCCGCTGGTTTCTGCACTCGCGACTCGTCCTGCTGGGATAAGCGAAAACAAAAGAGAGAGAGACGAAAAGGAAAGATGCGCTAGACAATAAGCGCGGGAAGAGCCGAGGACGGTGACAGTCAGGGGAGGCGATGAATCTCGCGATGGGCGCGCGCCTCTCAGTGGCTCTATACACAAGGCAAAGTGTGGAGGGCGCGGTTTGCCGCCACGGAAGCAAATTTGGGTTAAGTTGTAGGGTTTTTCGGTTGAGACATCCTGAGACAGACAGGTGTCCCAGAAGCTTGGTTGCGCATCATAAAGCCTTGTTGGGCAGCGTAGAGTCGGACAATAGCACTTCGACAAGGCATTGTTCTCAGCTGTTCTCAGCAATGGAAAATATAAGTTATGTGAAGTCTGTATGTTCTCATGGACATCGCTACAGTAGCTCCTACGCGGAAAATTTCATAGGGCATGATTCATTGTTTATTCCTTCACTCATCGGGACAACCCCAGTCAATCGCTAGGCATTAATAAACGATCGCGATCACTTATGAATTCATACCATTCTTGCGTTAGTGGCACACGAGGAGGCACGTCATGTTCGAAGAAGCGGACCCTGATCAGAGAGAAGAAGATCAGAGACGGAAGCAAAATTTAGTACGGAGCTGATGTCGGAGGTGTTTTGCGGCCTGTCATCGCGTCACCAAGAGAGGTCTCTCCCGACAACTTGGCGCGGGTCGGAATGTTCAAGCATCAGCTGCCAGGCGGCCAACAAGGCCGGAGTTGCTTCAGGCCCACCTCCGAGCAAAGCGATCAGCCGCGAGCTCCGTATGGAAACGAGGAGGTCTAATAATGGCGCCTCATGCCAGCGCTCGTTATGTTCACATGGAGTTCAGAGCTGGTAAGTCCGTTTCAAAGGACTTCTAGACTTGGCAGGCAACAGCGAAGAACAATAATGAATTCAGCAGGCTAAAGTGAAAACGCGTACCTGTGTCTGCACAACTCGATGGTGGATGGGAAGTGGGGTGTTCACAGAATGGATTGAGCCAGAAAGTGGAAATTCTAGTATATCATTATTTCAGGAGAATACATAGCTGTAAAGATATAAGGCGACTCGTTGAGTGTTGTACAGTGATATATTGCTGAGAATGAAACTCTAGTTGTAATTTTGGGGGCCGTAAAAGATCCAATATCCCTTGAGCTCGGCGGCGTACACGTCGTCTCACAATCGCAAGGGTGGCGGGGTCCATGGAGCCTGAAACAACAAAAAATCCCGATTGCCAAGGCGGAAGCAAAATGTGGTCACCAGAGAGCCGTTGAACGAAACACAATTGGTGAAACAAGGCAAGACAGGCACGAATCGCAACAGACAAAGTTGGCAACATGTCGGAGGACAGAACAATAAGGACCATTTCTACGGGAATAGAGTACAACCACGCACCGAGTATAACCGTTTCTCCATCATGTTCCAATTGATATCTTGTAACCATGGGTGTCCCATGACATCTTCGATGCAATTCGAGCCCAATCGCTGTCGTGGGTAGTGCTTGAGCAACCCCCGGATAATGTTCTTCAGCTGAGGCTTGATGCGAAGACGCTTCCACCAACGGCATTGGCCGGACTGGATACGCTCTACTAATCTGGTTTTGGTAGGAGCGTTGAACGGCTGGCCAAGTAAAACCAGAAAGAACATGACGAGCAAAAGTCAAAGAATTCATCAATCGTCCAATTGGGTAACGCCAACCATGTCGATGAGATGGTTAGCAAGGTACCAGCGAGTATATAACGGGAGAGGAACGTACCAGCCGTTTTGTTACCATCTGAAACAGGACCACGCCTGCTGCCCACCAATCAACAGCCTGTGGGATGAATTTATCTCGCGGCTTGACGTCCAGTTCTGGAGCCATGTACGCATCGGTGCCCTCGTCTCTGAAGTCCTCAAAGTCTCCTCGGGTGTCTTTCTCCATAACTGAAAGTCCAAAGTCCGTAAGCACCAGGTATCCATCCGCGTTCACGAGCAAGTTATCAGGCTTCACATCGCGGTGCACGATGCCTTGCCTATGCAGGAAGCCTAGGCCACAGACGATGTTGGAAAAGTAGAAGCTCGCCGTGCGCGAGTCAAACGGCCCACTGTTCTGGATGAGATCCGCGAGGGTGCCTCCGTGCGCGAGCTCGAGGAGAGTATACAGGTTGATGCGGTCTGAGAAGACGTCGACGAGCCCGGCAACCCATGGTCTCGAGGGAAGAGAAGCGAGAACTGCTCGCTCTCCGTGTATGAAGTTCTATATATCTCGCAATTAGTGTCTGACGGGTAGCCAAGAAGACAAGTAGCTCACGGGGTCATTCCTGTACTTCTTCACTAATATCCTCTTGCTAACGGTCTTTATTGCAAACACCACTGGCTTGCTACATTGGCCAGATGCATCGTCAGCTACCTGGACGATGCCGACTGTGGCAGACTCGCCCTTTCCTGAGTTATTGTATCAACAACTCTTCGGAAGAAGCGAGGGGTGCCTGTCACCTACCTATTGTCCTAACATATGTGAGGTCCTTGAGACTCAGCTTCTGAGGCAAGAGATTCTGTTTAATTAGTGAGCTAACGTTCGTAAGTAGTAAATCACAGAAAGAATTTATCGTACCACCCGCGCGTTCTGTAAAGTGGACTGATCAATCGGCAGAGGTACTTTGTGGGGAGCGGAAAAGTTAACAAGAGGTACGCGTGGTCGCCGTGGGCCGACAGTCGCATGTGATCTCCTGTAGGCACGAGCATGGCTCAAAGACCATAGTATTCCGCGGCCCATAGCTTCTTTGCTAGCCAGCGTACGTCGACGTCGGTAAGCTGGGACCGATCTGCTTCTGGTTAGAGGAGAACGAGTAATCGCCATCCTGATAATGCCGCCGATTTTTCTGGTCGCTGGTTTGACAAACGGAGGCAAGGAGATGGGAGCGAGCACTACGACTGTATATGCAAAGTGAAATTTGGGAAGGAAGATGAGAGATTTCGGAGCGATGAAGTTTACTGGCGTACTTAAGTACCTTTCGACACCAGCAGGCGCTTTGATCCAGGGGCGCCGTTGAGTCAAAGCAAACTGACCTCTTGCGGACTCATCAAGTCGATGTCGCTTGGACCGTCTCTGCGTGACCGTCTTCGTGAGTCCATGTATGTGCATAGACGCATAAATCAAAGCTTGATTGGAGAAGCGGAGAGTCGTTGGAGACTAGCTCTGGAGAGGAGTGATGTGCAGTGAACATGGGAACGTGGGAATAACTTCGAAGCTCGTCGGATGACAAAGGGGCTGACAATATTTACCGATGCCATGGTACCCCCGACATGATCGACCAGTGTCCAACTAATGCCCCTTGGGTACCCTTCTTGATGCTTGACAGCGTCATTCTCCCTGTACCACAGGGCTCGAATGAGTTGCCGCAGTTTCGAACCCTTGTAAGCCTTCACCTTTTATGTTAGGTTTCTTGGTAAGCCAAATTTGTTCCGCTCTTAGGATGCCCGTAACAATTACGACAGAGTTTACGCAGCACATAGATGCATGGGCGACGATGAAACGCCAAAAATGACTTAACTGCTTTACCTTCAATTGTGCAACTAGCAGTGCACAGTGAGACTTCGATCAGATCGTCTGTGGATGACTTGGTAGATGCTTTTGCCAGCTCAACCTCAGAGAGCTCAAAGGCTATCGGAAAACCAGTCAGAGCAAATAACGCGGCGTACCTTTTAGCCTTGCAACCAACGAAGTGCATCCCCGGCGTACATTATTCGTCAGATAACTACAACGAGTGTATGTATGAGGGCATGAACCCCTAGACGTCATTTTACGATTATACAATGTTTCTATCGGAACTTCACTCCAAGCGTCATAAACACAGAGACGGAAGAAAGCAAACCCTTAATGACATACAATGTAGATGGACACCAGGACACATCAATAATTCAAAAATGTACGAACGAATACAGTCTCAAAAGCGGATCTGCACGCCAATACGGTCTCTCTCGCACACTCACCCTCGCCTAGTTATTCTCTCAGATTCCGCTCAGTTCCCAAAATGGCTCCTAATCGCGTTCTCCATATCCGCCGCCAACAACTGGTGCACCTTGGTCGTCGGGTCGAGGAACTGCATCCAATAGAACGTGTTAGCCTGGCCCTGCTGCATGCACAGGTCCCAGTTGCTGATCCCGGGCTCCGCTTCCACATTGCACCCGTCACAGAAATCTGCAAACTGCGCGGTGTGCGTGAAGTTCTGGGAGAGCGGGTTCTGCCACAGGTTCATCAAGAACCCGTAGGCGTCGTAGTAGATCGCTTTGTCGCCGAACTTCTGGAGGTTTGTCGCGAGGTTGGTGTTGACCTGCTGGATGGCCTCGCCGTAGTTGGTCACGTCCGAGGTGGAGTTGGTGAAGTAGGCGTTGACGACGGGGGCGACGTGCCGCGGGTAGACGCTGGGGACGAAGACGGTGGTGGCGCCGGCGTCGACGAGGGTTTGGACTTGGTCGGCGATTAGGGAGGCGAGGTCGCTGGCGAATTGGGTGTTGTCTCCACCGAGGTTGATGTGGATGAAGGGGAGGACATCGTTGTTACCGATCCATAGGAAATGCAACGTCTGCGCAATGGAGGCTTGAGTGTCGGCCAGGCCAAGGTAGGTGGCGATTTGGTCCTTGGCGGACGGCGCATCTGCATCGGACTGCGTGAAGTTGTTGTCGACGGTGGCGCCGAACTTGGATCCGCCCGCGGCATGGCCGAAAGCGTAGTCGGTGAAGGTGGGCTCGTAGCCGAGCTGGTTGCTGAGGTAGGAGACGGCGACTGGGCCGTTGGTCCAGGTGTTGAAGCCGTAAATGGATTCAGGGTTGCCGGCAACGTTGTGTGCACTGCTACCATTACCATTGTCGGAGAGGTTGTCTCCAAAGGCTACCATCTTTGTGAAGGGGAGCTGGCCCGAGGCGCCTGAGATTTCGTTTAGCGATCATGCACAATAGCTGAAGATAACTCAGTGCAAAGTAAGGACGTACCATCAGCCTGGGTACCGGTCTTGCGAGACGAGACGGAGCATGTCTTGTTGATGGCAGCCGCGTTAGTAGCGGCAGCAAGTGCGACGAAAGCGAAAGTCTTGGAAACAAACATAAGAGTAAAGAATGTGCCTGCTTAACCAGAAGCAGAGATGGAAATGCGGATGAGGCATGATCTCGGAAAGGCTCTTTTATACATTTGAAGGGGGATGGATCAACTCGGGATCAACATGCTTCACCGTACTATGAGCGATATGGTCGTCAGGAGTAGCATATCGTTTAGCTGGCCGTTTCTATGCTCGTTGCGGGCATAAAGACAGCTAGCAGTAGTCTAGAGTAGTCTCGAACTAGACCCTCTGTATAGATCTGCTTGACGTGGGAATAAACGGGGATGGGACTGACAAGAGATGATGGACAAGTTGACGAAAGGAGTTTGAGTTGACAGCGAGGGTTTTGTAAGCTGGCACAACATCACAGCCGTAACTAACTGCCCCTCTATGCGTCTAAGTCCCTAGTAGCACTTAGCATATGGCGACGCAGTGGCTAGATGCATGGGGAGTGCTGACATTGACGACCAGTTTCAATGCAGCATCGTAAAAGCCGTTTTTCCAGGTTGGTTTGGTGTCAGAAAGCCACAAGGCCATCCGCAATTCAAGTGCAATGACAACTTCATGCACCATGACTGGAGTCTTTCAGGTAAGCAAAGCAAGCGCCACGGAGGCACACGTCTACAAGTTGTTGAGTACATACCTACTTCCTATCCATCGGAGAACTTATGATAAGAGTGGATGCTAACCTCATTTACTGACATCAGCGTGATAAAGGAGGAGAAGAACTGAAGCAGTTGGTCGGCGCTTCTTTTGCGAGCGCTCCGAGTACCCGAGAATGGCCACGTGGTTTCGGCTAAGGAAGGCCAGTTTTGGCCATTGTCGAGTTTTCCGAGTTTACTCTTGTCGAGGAATGCGAGGATGAGCTCGCGAGGGATCAAAGCAGCCCTCCAGTACACTGGCATCCCTGCCTCCTGGCTCAACAAACGTCCAAAGCTCCCCTCACGAAACTGGCTCATCTTCCTCTCCGTCACCTCCTCCGTCACCTCATACTACATTTATGACCGCAGACAGTGCACACGCATCCGCGACGAGTTCAAGGAACGCGTTCGCCACCTTGCAGAGGAGCCCCTCGGCACACAAGACCTTCCGCGCAAAGTCCAAGTGTACGCATCCAAATGGCCTGGAGACCAGGACCCCGACACGGCAGGCAGATTTTTCAAGAAGTATGTCAAGGTGAGTTTTTAACTGCGCGCTTTGACCTTTCCTTTCAAAATCTTCATTGCTGACTTGGCTTGTGCGTCTACTTGTAGCCAATACTGGTAGCAGCTGCGGTGGACTATACCCTTCACGTCGGCCGCAAGCACGGCGACACCGAACGCCTCATCTACGACCAGACCGTCGACCGCCGCCGCATCGACGCCGGGCTCGACCCTGAACCCGCGCCGCCCGTCCCCCTCCCGCACTTCCCGTCCTATGCAACCCAACGCGCACGCGAGCTCGAAGGAGGTACCATTCTCGTAGGCCGGCACACCCTCAAGGAGTACCTTGCCGGCCTTTCGAGAGGGTGGTCCGCCGGCCTGGCGCGCGTCGACCGCGAAGAAGCCCTCGCGCAGGAGCTCGCGTCCGACGGCGCGTTCGACCTCCCGCCCGACCCCGAGGACCCCGCCGCCACCCTCGACGGCGAACCAATACCCACACAGTCGCGCCTTACGCCCTCCATGTCGCTCGGCTTGCAGCCAGATTTCCGTACTATGCAGCAGCAGCAGAAATCCGCCGCTCCTCAGTCCGCGGACGCGGCCTCGAGCTCTGTTGCGGTGCCCAGCGAGATACCGCCACAGCCTCCCATGCTCTTCGTCCCCTTCACCGATCACATCGGGTTCCGCCAGGTTCCTTGTATGATCTGGGGCTTCTTCAACGAGCGGCACAAGGTTCGCGCCGGCGCAGAGGCTGCGTACAAGCTCATCATGAACCACACTCGGCCAATCATCCCCCCTTCCCCCTCATCAACCACGCCTGCTTCAGAATTTGCTGCTGAGGAAACGAAGGACGCTTCGGCTGCACCATCGTCGTCGTCGCCGACGAGCACAGGCTCCCCAGACCTCGACTTCGACACCCCTGCCGAGTCGTTCTACGAAGGTTCATTCCACCCCTCCGAAGTTGAAAAGAGCCGGGAAAAGTACTACAAGGACCTTCCAGAGAAGCTTTCTCTGGCTCGCGACCCATCAAAGGCGAGCACAGGCCAACAGGTGAAAACGGAGGTGGAGCTGCGGCAAGAGCGCCTGACGAAAGAGACGCGCTGGAGGAACGACGTTGCCGCTTGGGAGGTGCTCAAGCCGGGACAGCCCGCCACCTGGGACCCTCGCTTCGAGGGCGTACTCAAGGTCTTCGACAACCCACCCAAGGATGAAAAGCAGCCATCTTCGTCATCTTTATCATAAAGTCGATGAGCCTGCCCAGCCTAGGATGTTCTCGCTGCTTATGGCCATCACGTATTCGCATACTGAATAGACATAGACATACACTCCATCTCACGACGTATATAGGTAATCACGTCTTAATATGCTTGGGGGCCGCGTAGTCCGACCCGCTCACAATGTCAACCTCGCCGCTTGCCAGAAAAGCTTCCAGCTCCGCAATTGGATCGTCGTCTGGCACTTTACGTTCCGTTATAGCGGCTAGTGTTTTTTGTGAGGCAACATCCTTGGAATTTTGAGCAGTAGCGTCCTTGTTGGCTGCTCGTTGGCTATCGCGGAACAGGTGAGAAAGCGAGCTCGTAGCACCAGAGGGCCTGTCGATAGCAGCCGGCTGAAAAGAACCCCAAGGCCTCATCAAGCCCATAGGTTCACGCGCAAATGCTCTTGTTCCAGAAGCGCCGTCCTTGTTCACCGTTGCCGGCCCGCGCTTAGTGTCCAGAACCGGTTCCTCATAGGTCATCGCATAAGAGTTGTTTCCCTGAGGCTCCGGAGTACCAAAAGGAGCGACGTCAAACCCCGCCTCGTCAAGGTAAAAGTCTTCGTCACCAGAAGCCCGAGCGTCCTGAGGAAGAGCAGTCCGAGTACCAGCTTCAAGATTAGCAGGAAAGCCAACGTCGCCGTCAGAGCTCGGCAGAAAGAGGGGTTCTCCCCGCGAACGACTCTAGAGTGGCGCAGATGCAAGCTGAGTGTCAGTAACTAGGTGGAGGAAATGGGTATTACCTTCGCCTCGCGAGCAGGGCTAACTGGGGACCGGTCACTACCTCCAACGCTGTGCTTGGAAAGCGAAGACCTTTCTCGCGGTTTCCATGAGGGGTTTGCCATTGTTGATGGTTTAGCGCCTGCGCGTCGGTCGACAGAAGTGACCGTAACCTCCGAGAAGCTCGAACGAGAGGGTTGATCTAACGGAAGCTTCCTTATGAGTTCGTCAACCTCAGAGCTCGACCAGTGAGTCTCAGAAGACAGCTTGTTCTTCCCCTTCTCGGCTCTGAGGATATCCGACAAGTCCCGTAGCTCCTCATTATCGGAGGAAACCAGATCCTCAGGCGACTTTGAGCGACGTAGCGTGGTAAAATCCATGTCGAAGTTTGGCTTGAATTTGCTTTTGCCCTTGGAGTTCACAGTGCTTAGATTCTCTTCCTCGTCCTTGATATCCACTTTGATGCGCCGTCCCTCGCTGAGCATAATATTTTCCCGGACATTGCTATTCTTATGCAAAGTGTCGAGCTGACGTAGTACGGGAGCAGCTTTGGTCTTCGGGCGTTTCGAGCTTGACTTCTCTTTAGGTGAGTCAATGTAGATTTTCTCAGAAGTTGGCTGCGCCTGCGATACTTGAGCAGTTTTTGGCTTTTTACTCAGAGGCTCAGGTTCTTGAGTGGGTGGTAGGCTGCGTTTCCTAGAAGGCTTAGAAGGCTCTGACAATCCGTCCCGACAGCTACGCAGTGTTAATGATAAGCATACAAATGGGCAAGTGCTTACCACAGGTGGCGGCATGCTGTCTTGTCCTTACAGGTATGGTTACATCTGCGCATCTGTGAGGCATATGGATCTTATGGGTGATACCAGATTACTCACTCATATTTTCCATCGAGGCGAGTCTTGCGGTGCTCAGGATCTGCTGTCGACATACCCTGTAGTTTGGCTTGCTTCTTATCTCGCGTGTTGTTGCCTATCCATATCAGAACTGCGTATAACCCGTGTAAAAAGACATACCTCGAGAGGCTGTCAGGTCTTTCACGGGGGCCTCTGTTACTTCATCATTGTCATCCGGGTTCATATTCCAAAAGTCCGGATCTTCCTCGAGACCGGCTAGATCCGACTCCTGCAAAAGTTTCAGCACAATAACTTGTATCGAAACAAATGTATCACCACTGAAGTCATCGGCCGAGTGTTCGGAACCGGATATTGGCTTGCGGGAATCCGAGGCTTGTATTTCTCCACAACGGTGACGCCAGCGAATTGTTCCTACGAACGGTGTCATTGGAAGTGACGTCTAATGAACTGCAGCGACTCACGGAAGAAATATAGACTGTGACAAACTGACTTGGCTTCGTCAGTTGCGCAGTCACTGTGAACGACTTCTTGTCTTTGAGCGCTTTTGTTCTAGATAAAGTTAGCTCGGCTTCGGTGCATAGGAGTGATTGAGACATTTACGGGGTACACCGGTAATCAATGAAGTCATTCTCAGACGTGATAGTGAGAATTGTAGTCCTTCCACCGCCGCGATGTTTACTCTTCTTGAAGTTCGGAGAAGCCTCGCCTCTTGCGATGAGACCACACTGAATGTCGAGTTCCACCTCTACCGGACTCTTTCCATCGCTGGGGTGTATGCGGCTTTCCTGAACGGTGAGGAAATACTTTGGAAGCTCGCATACAGCAGCAAGCACTTCTACCCCGAAGGGATGTCGACGGTTTAAGAGCTGTTCATGGCAACGTCAGAGAACTCCTTAGAACCTGAACTACTTACCATCTCGATCTTATGTGCCGTCTGAGATGCGAGCTTCTCAACAGAGGAGATGCCATGTTCAGCAAGGACCTGTGACCTTTCGTGAGATCTGGGATTCGTCACTCAAGAAATTAAGCTGCCTTGATCCTTCAATCGCATTAGTATGTGAAGTCATATAAGAGAAATCATGCACACGATTTTTCGCCAATATGCTCAATTTGACGCAAGACTATTGGCCTATCCTCCCACGCCTTCGCGTTGAGACATCTTACCCTATAGTTGTGAGGATAAATCTTCAGGTATCGTCAGCGCGGGCCGAATCACCCACAACTCCAGGCAAAATTTGACGTGATTGCCATTCTTCTTGATCAATGAGATATCTAACGCCGCTAGAAACTGTGTTAATTATTGGGCGAAGACGAAGATGGTTATCGAACCATTTGCGATTCGTACGACATGGCGGAATATAGAAAAGGCTTCAAGGTAAGGCTGACTTTCTCCGCTCCTAAATTCGGGAGTATTCAACGGTACACCAGCAAGGACAGCCTAGAATCCTTAGACCAAAACGCTATGTCACATGCAAAAGCAACACCTTACCTGTATCAACAGAAAAACTTTGTCTGAAGTGGTTTGCACTTTTTTGATGGTGAACCGAATATCATCGTGTCGCCTCAGTTGTTCGTAGACCTTCGGTAATTTAGTCGACAGATAATCCTAGAAGGACTGAATCTCACCTGTTTCTCTCCGGCACGAAGCTTGCTTTCCGATAACCTATTACCGCTTAGCAAGTAGGCGGTAATCATGTGCGAGAAATGTTACTCTTCCGAGCTTGAAATTGCCTCTAGCTGATCGAGGTATCAGCGGTATATAAAGATTAATGAAGCTCATGGAGCTCACAATATTCCGTACGTTGGCTGACTCTGAGAGACCGAGAAGGGTTTTCATCTATAGGGTGGCCCTAAGATAATTTCACGTGCAGGATAAAGATCATATTCACCGTTGAAAGTTTGACGTAGAACTGAATGAAATTGAGCAGGAAATTTATAAGAAAAAAGAAAAGAAAAAAATGATTGCTTACCTTGCTCATAATATCGCCGTATTCTGTTGACCGAAGATCGGCTCCTCCTTCTGAGCTTTCAACAAGTTCGCTTTGGCGTAAACTATCGACGCTCGCCAAAATGATATCATCGACGACGTCTTGCCACGTCTTGTCCGCATCTTTCGTAACTGAATAGTGATCAGGATTTTGTTGAATACGACAATAGAAGAAGGATTGGCGAAGCCAGCTCTTAGCAGAGTTGACATCGGTGATGGTCCCTAAAGTTATCTCAGAGTTAAGATGCTCAGTCAGATTAGTATGTAGGTTGCTCTCGAGAAGCGTTGACCCCTGAGCTAGCTCCCGATATTTGTCCTCGAGCTTAGGCTCACACATGATGATTGCAACGCCGTCTTTATCTAGATATCCAACATTAATCATGAGTTCTCCCATGTAAGAAGCTCATAAATGCGCACCAAATTGAGGTCGGCCCTGACATTGATTATCAGCCGTGAAGCTTTTGAGCCGAACAACAGCAGACCACTCACCGCTCGCCCCATCATCTGCATCATATCCAAATCAGAATACTCCTTGGTTTGCCCGTTCTGAAAGACCTTAACACCTTTAATAACGACTGTGTGAGCGGCTGATGATGGTTCAATAAAGAGCCGTCTTTTTCTGAAGTAAACACAAACGAAGGTTGACCCCAACGGCCAGAGTCTAATGAATGATGAGAAACCATCCGGCGTGAAATATCAAACGCCTACGGATGTCGCAGTGAGAACGCGTAGAGTCTTCTTCAGATACAGTTCCTCGACTAGTTTCCGATCGTCCAAGTTGAGACCAGCGTGGTGAAAGGCTATCCCGACGGCTGCAAGGGCTGAGAGTACCCATGTCATCATTTCCTTTAGGCGGTCATGTGAAACAACGCATACCAGCCAAATCCTTATCTTTGAAATGAAAGTCCATTCTGTATCTGGTCATTATAAAAATCTAACGGCGGACGGAAACCACATACTTTGGCGGCGGATTCCATGGTAGCTGATGCTTGTTCTTCATGGCTTGCTCATATTCCTTCGCGAGAACCTTGGCAGTTGTGACTGTACCTACAGTTGTTGTTAACAGTGGAACAGTCTAGAGTATGCAGATAGACAACGCACCTTTCCTAGTAGAGCAAAAGACGAGGATAGGTTTATTGACAGAATGGCGCTGCATAATCTCGAAAAGGCGTCCATCCAGGGTATGAGCGTACGCAAAGTCGTTCAAGCCCTTGGGCCTGCCAATGCCGTAGACATGTCGAGAAAGTTTACAGGGTCGATACTCGTCCCCAAACTGGCGACATAATCAGTCAGTTGTGCAACATGCAAGAAGATCAAAAAATCTACCTGGAATACTTGCGCAGGTCGCGCCGAAGAGGCAGAGCTTCCTATCCATGATGCAACGTCCTGAATGTTGGGGACTGTTGCCGAAACGAGAATGAAGCGGACGCTGGATCCGCGCTTCTTCATTCGAGCTACGATTACCTCGAGCGTACTCCCTCGGGACTCGTTCAGGATATGAACCTATATAATATAAGAACCGACTCGACCTCACGTTGTGAGGAGCTTACCTCATCAACTAAAAACAACTGAATCTGAGATAATATTCTGGCATGATCACCCCTACACAGGTCAAGCAGGATGCATAAATCAGACAGTAGAATCTCATTCTTACCAATTCCGAGTCAAACTGTCCCACTTCTCTGCCTAACAAACCCTATTAGACGGGTAAACTGAAGGCGCTAGCCCTGCTTACTGTCGTCACGCTGTTGAAGACACCCATCAGTGAGACTTGAATAATGAACCCTCGTATACCTACATCACACGAGCGCTTTTGGCATCGCCCCAAACTCCCTTGCCGTTTGTCACAGTGTCACCGGTGAGTTCACAGACTGCTACAGTGAGCATTATGGAGGGCTTATAACATGTCGTCTGCGTACTTTTGATGCCGAGACCACTGAATTTCGTGGACCACTCCTTGAACTTTTCTGCGCATAAAGCCTTCGAAAACAATCCTGATTAGCTATAGATGTTTGGGATGATGTGTCGACCTTACCTTCGTAGGAGCAACGTAAACACACTTCGTGTTGACCGAAGCTTCAGAGAGCATACGGATGATGGACAACTCAAATAAAACAGTTTTCCCGCTGCCCGTAGGAGCTAGGGCTGATGAGTCCAAAGCTGAAAACGAGTTATGTAGAGCTTACCGCTGATGACCTGTCGGCGACGGTGTTATGAACTCGCACACTATATGCGCTAAATACATACGAGATTTTCAGGGGTTTTCAGGACCTCAAACAAAGTTCAGCTATAGTAGATCATGTGGAAAGACGTCACCTTACTGCATCCAAACAAGTAGACTGAATCGCATTGAACACACCAAACTTAAAGACACTCCTAAACACGTCAGCTAAGGAACGTGAGCATATCAATCAGTCGCCCCAATTGGTCGATCTCACGTAAGTCCGAGACGGGCCTCAGCCTCAACCTAGCATTCTGAGGAGACTGCGGGGCGGGTGAGGGATGTGCTTCATTCCTCGTTTGAGAGTAATCATTGTAAGAGACATGTTGAGGAGCGGGTGGGTGTATCACATCATTGCTCCTCTGACTGCCTGATTGACGTCTAAAGGAAGAGTATTCCTGAGGGCGGATGGGAAAGTGACCCCCATTGTACAAATTTGTAGGATGGTCGTAGGTACCAGATTGGCCGATATGCCCCACTGAAAATGGAGGAGTTTCAGAACCTACCGGGGGCCACATTAGCCAGGAAACGTGGTCTGTTTGATCACGAATACCAGTCTCACAGTAGCCTTGACTATATTGAAATTCAGCCTCTGCGAAAGGGCTTGAGGGTTGGTAGTGCTGCCCATACCCGGGGCTCGATGGAAAGGAGTCAAGTCCGCTTCGATCTTGTTGAGGGTTAGAAGAGTAAGGCTCTAGAGGATGCTTTGGCATTCGTGTGAGAAATATGCGCATATAATCACACCTATATCATCAGCGTCCATAACATCATAATATTCAGCTCGAGGCTCCGGGCCAGGACTCATGGCATATCCCTGTTCGATAGGATGAGGAGATGGAGATCTCTCTCCGGGAGGATGATAGTAGGATGACGGAGAGCCATGTTCTTGGTTGCTCGGCGCCCAGTTACGATACATGTTCCACCTCAAAGTTGTAGTCAAAGAGAAAGGAGACAATGAGCCGACGCGTCGCGACTCGGAAGCAAAACACGGTCGCACGTGATCACGAAAGAAGCGATCTCGCGGAATGTCGGTCACCGGCGCCGGAAGCTTTCTTGCACCTGTGTTACCCGCATCGACCGCCTTCCAGCGGTCATCTCACTCTTTTTCTCGCTCGAACCCCTGCGATGGCAGAACGTGCCAGCAAGATTGAAGAGTACATCGAGAAGTCAGTACGCGATCATTCACCTCCCTTGATAGCACCATTTTGAGACTGCTGCGCACACAGGATTCACTACTCCGACCGTTACTCGGACGACATTTATGAATACCGCCATGTCATCCTCCCCAAGCCCTTACTCAAACTCGTCCCGAAGGAATATTTTGACAAGGAACAACCAAACTGTTTGCGACTCTTGAGGGAGGATGAGTGGAGAGGCATCGGCATCACCCAGAGCCTGGGTTGGGAACACTACGAAATACATGGTACGTCGTGATAAACGTAGTATGTGGTTCAAAGTTGAAAGTAGCCCATGATATCAGCCCCAGAGCCCCATGTACTGCTCTTTCGTCGTCCAAAGAACTACGTTCCACCTCAGCAGCCTCAGATGATGAAGCAGACTAGGAAAAAATAACGACTCAGGTCAATCTCTTCACTCATGTTTTATACTGTAGCATTATCGGGTCCGTATTCTTAATGTTATTCTCTGCAACCCCACCTATTGCTATGCTATCCATGCCTTATGTGTTATTGGTCGCAACCTCACATGTTTATCATGCATCATACTCTACGTTGTGTCAATGCCATGGACCGCATGGCGTCCTTCTCTCAATTTATTTCAGGACCACTACTACTTACTATCGGCACAAACAGGAGGTCACAACGTTGAATTGACATTCCGTTGGTGATTTGAGCTTGTGGTTTCGGGTCTGCACACACACGCATTCTTATCCCTTTATGACAGTCATATCAGCGACATAGATCATTCTTTCGTGAGTTCAGACGTACGATATCTTGTCTTTCTTATCTATTCTTACGAACATTTCGTTCATTAGTACGAGGACACGTGCTCCTCAAACTTGTCATGGACCGTGACGCGTGAATACGCACAACATCGATTTTACAGCACACGTCAAGGGACAGGCCTCCCCGGGCCTGTACCTACCTTGGACAATCTTACTTCGGTTTCACCGAGACCGACAATTGTAGTGGCGCTTCACACGCAGATGAAAACCTTGATATACTCTCAAACTCAACGTTATCCAATGTCGTCGAGTTCGTGAGACCCACTGAGGCGATAGGTTCGCAAAGGGGGGAATTCACATAAGATCATTAATACCGTTCTGTAAGTACTGGTGACGTCTGGACTCTGGGATGAGCTATAGATAAGCCACAAGGCGGTACAAAGCTGGTAAATTCGATACATCTAAGCGTGTCACGATGAATGATTGTGCTAGACGCATCATGCCACATGAGACAACATACACAGGCGGAGAATTGTCTGACGTGAAATTCCTGCGATGGCCCGGCTAAGCCCCTGAAGCGCGTCGGCTCTGTGAGCGTGTACCGCGCCAATCTGCCGTATCTTCCACCTACTATCGGCCAGTCGGAGGGTTGGCGGGGGCCTGGGCGCCCAAAGATGCCTAAGTTGACTGTCGACACATGCGAGAAGTGAGAAGGCGATAGGTAAATCCAAGAACGCGTCTACGGATTCACTACGGCTCTCTGATAGTGGTTTCGCCGAGCGAGTCGTCGAAGGTACTTCTTTCAGTACGGTCCGGCTTATGCGAACTATGGGTAGCCGCTACATCGACAGACACACACTCGGCGCTGGGGTGGCTAGTGAGCTGGTTAAGGTCGACTGTCGTAAAAATGATTGTGCGTGTTCCAGCTTCTGCGCTTGGTCGGCGATCGAGTTCCAGGTCCTTTCTCTTGAGGACGCGATAGATGTAGGTGACGATAACAAGAAGATTACAAATGACAAGCGACAGCGCGATCTACCCAGAATTGTCAGCCACGGAGTATCCTGGAGCATGCGCGACCCAATGGTGCGCTCACCTCAGCTTGCGCCGTGATTGTTTGCAAACCAGGGTCCGGAGTAAGAATAAATATCACATGAACGACGCTAAGGAGTGATGTCAAGATGCTCGTAGAGAACGCGGAAAGAATGAGGATGCGTTGGTCTTTCGGAGAATTGACCTCTCGCAATAGAAACACAGGAATGGCCACGAGAGCCACATCAGAACTGAAGTCGGCTGTCCGGATTTCTTTGAGTCTGCTCTCCAAACCAAATTCTTGGGCATGTGAGCTACTCACTAACAACTTGTGCAATCGCAATTGAGTCCCCAAGTCTACATTGAAAGGCCATAACCGGGTCCTCTTCCCAAGAAAGGTCGTGACCGCAAACATATACCTTCTGGCACAAGAGACCAACAAAGATGGCTCCGAATACTGCTGCAGCATAGAGCGAGACTTGACGTAATTTTGTCGCGCCCGAGGACAGACGCACAAGGGAAAAAATCAGGCTAAGTCGAGCGCTCCTACACGAAATGAATATATCATCTCTGGAAAACCATCACAAGGAGAACGCACCACAGACAAGTCGTAAACCCAAATATCATAACCCAATCAGCCACTACATGACCGGTAGGGGATTCACCGGGAAACGGTGGGTCATCTAAGGAAGCATAGATCCAGTAGTCTATACAGGCGTTGAAAAAGGCGACTACTCACTTTCCGAACCTGTGATGCCCATGACCGCAAAAAGACTGGCGATGGCTCCGACTAACGAGGCGGCAGCCCAAGCATCCTCCCACCAGAAGCGTCGCTTCCTGACTCGATACCACAACCTAAATGTCGTCGTCAGAATGGCGAGTCCATGCATGATGGACACGGACGCTGAAAACGCAAGTATAAGTGGGAATGACACCTTACCGAATACACAACCCTGATTACTCACCTCTGACAGAAGTCAGGGAAGGGTGGATGACATCAAGTCCGTCCCGCATGAGCACTGGTCAAGACGATGGTGGCGAGCTACGAAGACGGGAGCCAATGAACCCGGGAGACCCGGCAGGGCGCGGCCTGCAGATATAACGCTATATTTGTCGTGGAAAGAGGATCTGTGGTGAGGAGCGTGGAAGATAGAGAAGGAGAGCGACATACATAGCCCAACCTGAAAGAGCGTTTTCTATAGCTGCCACGAAGGGCGGCTTTCTCGCGGGCTGCTGAGTTCAGAGGGTAATAAATCTGAGCAGCCCGCCCGCCCGCTGAGAGAAGTGACAGTGCACGAAAGTTATCTGCCACGCGGATGGTTATTTATACGAGATTGAAGCGATTCCACTTCCATGTCCCATGGGCGCATGGGCAGGGTCCCGTCTCGGGTGCTGCCTCGCTTTCGGGATGGGGGCGCATCGCGATTGAAAGTTACGTTAAGGTTCGCGGTCGGCGAATCTTCCCAGCGCAAGCTGAGCGCAAGTACCCACCGTCATCTAAGTATGTGAGCAAGTTCTGAAGTTCCCAGGCAGCTGGCTCATCAGTAGGTATCGCGGCGTCTTGCGGCTACCATGCCACGCATCATTCGGGGTGAACATCAGAAGGTGTAACCTGCTGTAACGAATGAATGGTCGAGACCACGTGAGTATTCTCGCAATGACAGAAAGCGTTGTGCAGACAAAACTTGTCACATCTCCAGATTGTCTCTAGAGGTGGTGACGATCCGCCGACGCAGGGTAGAAACTTAAGACGAGATGTTGAAAAACGGGAGCTATGGGGTAGGATGAGATGTGGTCCCTTATGCGGCCCGGGAGTTGAGCAGGCCTGAAAGTTTGCACCCGAATCCGATATCACGCGCAAAGACAGCATGGTGGGAGCAAGGTTTGGAAAGCAGCTTGAGGGAGTAGTGTCTAGAATTATTACAGAACATAGGGTACAAAGATAGGTGCAATTGCCAATGGGTCAGCTATGTTCAGAACTTGGCAATAGGCAGATCATTCCACTCCACCAGAGGGGCAGGCTCCTCAGAAATCGGAAGGGCACTCTTGTACGCCTGGATGTCCTCAATGTAAGTGGGTTGACCCTCCAATGTCTCTTGGACGCTACTCTCAATGACCGGGTGTTGGACCATTAAGGCGGGAATCTTCTCTAGCAAAGTCTTGCCATCGTCGCCCAGAATTCCTGCCCAATACTTTGCGAAATCAGCAGCCGTCATAGTCTCGCCCAATGCGTCTCGCCATCCGTCGGCGTCAACCGTTGGCTTCGCAGGCTTGACCAAGTCTGCAAAAGCCTCAGCTGCTGCAACGCTGATCCGCGGGGGCCGCGGTTTCCGAGACTTGAGGTGAACAGAAAGCTTGGAGCGACGTGAAGAGGAAGGATGGACCCGAGACAAAAACAGGTCCAGGACGTCGGTCTTTGTGATCTCTGTCAGCGCGTTCGCGTCATTCCAACCTTAAAATAGGCGAACAGTCAGCAACGAAGCTTTAAGACCGCAATAATAGGCCATGTGGGAGATCGCACTCACGGCGAAGGAAATCTAAGTATCCAGAGTCGATGTGTGTCCAATAGCGGCTCGCCTCCTCCGACAGATTCTTCACTGCTTCCGTCCACTTCTGGCGAAGGCCGGACTTGTGCTCCTCAAACACCTCTGGAGCCATTTTCTCAATCTCGCTCTTCATGCCGCCGAGGAAAGCCTCCACTCTTCGCTCCAGATGGACGGGCTCGCGCTCACTCTGGACGATGATACGTATGCCCCTCTGGCCTTCGCCCGCAAGATTCCAAGACGAGCAGGAGACGATGTACCCAAGCTGTTCCTGCGTACGAAGGACATTGAACGCCGGCTCCGACAGTATCTGAACGAGCAGCGATCCAACGACACGTTCCTTCGGGTCCGTCAGCTTACCTAAGTGCAAGAAGTAGGTGAGCGATGAATTGGGCTCATTGGGGTTCGGAACGAGGGCGCTCCACACGTAATTAGAGCCTATACAGATGGTATATTTGGGTGAGGTGGCATTCTCAACGACGACAAAGTATCACACCTTCTGGCAAGATGAGCGCACGGTCGATTACTTCATTGGGAGGAATAGGTTTGGCCTTCAGTATGTCCTCGGCCATTTGCGCCATCTGGATTGCTTCCTGGGTATTCATGAGTGTGTGGCCCCGCGATGGTCGTGGGCATGATTACATACGTCCTTGTACATGTTCCCTGTGACCAACATTTGTATGTTCAACTGAGACAGCAGTGCGGAGGCATGTGACTGTATTTCTTGAACGGTAATATCTAGAAGGGAAAAAAGATCCATCAGACTTAAAAATCACCTTTGCGGGTCAATAAAACATACTTGGTATCTCCTTTAGTGTCTCTTCAATGGTCCATTGTTTTTGGGTAAGCAAGTACCGCCCAAAGTAGTCCGAAATTCTATAAGTCTGACCCAGGAAAAAGTTTTCCCAGTCACGCTTGATCTGCAGAATGTTCGAAAATATGACCATGAGAAACACCGAATAGTCCTCACCTGCTCCTTAAAAACTTCTAGACGGTCCGGAGCAATCTCTAGTGTTTTAATCTTCTTGAGGACGCTCTCAGCGAGAACGCCCAGCTTGTCATTGTACCCGCTGATCATGATTGTCGTGCCCAGAGAATGGGAGCCAAACATATAGCTGAGGCCAGCTAGATCGGCATCGTAGGCATATTCATTCAGAGCATCATTGACGAGCTCGGTGAACAATCTGCCAAGTCGACAAATATCAGGAACAGTTCCTGAGCCGAAGCAATAATAACTCACTTCGTCATTACTCGGTCTCGAGGCGAGGCGCTCGCAACAGGGCTAAAAGCTTGTTAGAGCGAGTTCAACATACGTAAATCCGAACAGCGTACCTTCGCAACTCCATGACAAGTCTCGCCTTGGGCGTCCAAAACTGATCATCTTTCTTGTACCAAAGGGTGGACAAGTCCGTTTGCCGAATTAGATGGGGGCGTTTCTGAACCTAAACAGAAACCCATGAGTTCGGCAACGCGAAACGAAAAATCAGAAGATAGCCTACCTCGGCGACATCGCGCTTCTCAACCTCAAGATTGGTTGGAATGAACTTGTTGGGGCCCGGCAGGTATAGCTCTTGGATGTCGTTCTCACGTTGCGCTTGGCGAACAAAGTCCTCATCCCACCTCTCCACGCGGTACTCGGTGCCATACCACGGCTCTTTTTCCCATACCATGTTCTCACCTTCACGCAGTTTCGCGTGTTCCTCCTTCTTCGCCATAAGTGTCACTCGGCCTTGGTCAATCTTTAAGCTTTCAAGCATGTGCCTCACATCCTTCTCGCCGCCGGTGTTGTCCCACTCCCAGACCTGCGGCGGGGCGCTGAGGACGAGGTTGGGCGGGACCGGCCAGGAAAGGTGTTCGGTGACCCAAACGGCGTAATCCTCGGGGCGACGCTTCTCCTGGAAGCGGAAGCGGATCGAGTTGATCTTGGCAATCTCAGATTGGTGACGCGGCGAAAGCTCAGAGGAACGTAGGAGGGAAAGGTATTTGAAGACAGCCGACACGACTTGGCGGTAGTTTTCTGTGGCATGTCAGAATATCAGAACATGCTCTGCCGACTAGCTATCATGAGTGGACACGTACGGAAGCCGGCTTGCGTCAAGTGAATCGTAACCTTGAACATGCCAAACCCACGGGCAAGATTCTGCCCTCCGGCGCTGAGGTAAGTGAGCCAACCCTGCTTCTTCAAGTACGACGTCAGAGAACCGGGTCCCTCGTGGCCAACTAGGTGCGCCAGGAAGTTAGCAGGCTTATGGCGCCAGAGAGGTGCCTGATATTCCATTGGGAAAGACACTTCAACAGCGTGGAGGTCCATGATAGTTTGCACTGAAACCAGGGTCTGCCAACTAAATTCAATATCATACGTAGAGACAACAATACTGACACTTACGCCTTTCTCATTTGATCCAAACGGATGATCATCATTCCTGGGTAGTGATTCCTTTCCGCGGTTTTGGATGGGGGAGAAGAGGGTGGCCACGAGGTCAGAGAGCTCCTCCACCGGCTCTGCGACTAGTTAGTCACATCAAACTGTTTGCCAACGACTAGCGGACCTTTTCCAATGACGCATAACCGCATCCGGCCAGCACAGTACTCCTCCCTCCACCATTCGATTAGACGGCGGCGAGTTTCCTGTCCAATAAAACCACCATCGGCTTCAGTTTCACTGGTGGCAGACGATGTTGATGGAGAGGGTGAGGGCGAGCGGAGCGTAGCACTACCATTCACTGATAGATTTCCGTTTACAACATGAGTACCATTAACGCCATTGACCTTGTTCCGTGCCTTGAGATCGCGTGCTGCCTGAGTTAAGCTTTGCTGATTGCCGGTACCAAATTTACTCCAGACATGACCTTCTTTGCTGAGGTGCTTATTTAATTGGAAGATCCGCCACATGTCATTCTGGAGATTCTTCTTGTTTTCCGAGTCTACTGCGTTAAGCTCGCGCATGGTGCACGATGCGTCGAACAATGGGCAATGGAAGAAGGCGGCGAAATGAGCGAGAGCTTGGCTAAGTGCGGGTGTGGCGACTTGGAAATGGTAATTTGTATTCATGACCGAGGTATATGCGTTGGATGATCCATTGTTCTTGGCCAAATACTACGGGCGCGTCATTGAATTATCCGCATTTATGAAACTCGTGTTGTGTCTTACCTCTGAGTATTCATTCTCGCGAGGAAATAACTCTGTCCCCTTTCATACAGCTTAGCATATACGAACATTGAAGGCGATGAGAGGGGAGTACCATGAATAACAGGTGCTCGCAGAAGTGAGCGAGGCCAGGCATATCAGCCTGCAGAAAGTCACGTTAACATGTGGTAACGATATAGGCAGCATGCATGGGCATTCAATGAAGTCCCAATGGAGAGGGAAAACATGGAATGCCCGAGAAAATTGGTGCGCCACTGAAGTATACACACCGGGTCAGATAAATGTCCCACAGCGACGTCCAAACTAGCAGCAGCCACTTCAGCTTTGGGATCGTGAACAACCATAGCTTCAAGCCCATTCTCGAGCTTCACAAGGCGGTATTCACGGTCATCCTGCTGTGACCTCTCTATCGGTTGAGTGAAAAACGAGTAAGAGGGAATCTTGTCCTTCTTCGGCCGAGTGCTCCAGGCATTATCTTGGGCCAGCATGGCGAAAGTTCGTGATGGCGGTGGTTTAAACGGTCTACGTTGATAGGCTGGATACCTGAAGGAACGAGAGTGCGGAACGAAAGAACGAAGAAAGGATGTAGGCCTGAACATGCACGATGTAGGCTGACTGAAGTGGTACCCGAAAGAGGCGACGCGGCCCTCTCGGAGCGTGAAATTAGCGTGAATAAAGAAACACACGACTGGTGCGGTTGACGGCCCCCCGGATCCATGGAACCCGAGTATGACCCAGTCTTACCTCTGAAACTGGGCAAATGTCGAGCGCTATGCCTGTGCATTTCCAAGCCGAAGGTTGTGTGAAGATTGCGAATGATAGTTGAAACATAATTTTGTCATGCAGCCCGAGGGTGACCTGGGGAAGTCAGCTCAGCGAAAGGCACCGAAAGCATGCAACTCGGGAGCTCCGGCGGACTTCCTCCGAAAGATATTCCTTTTATGGGCTACGGACCGCCTGAGCCTGTTGACAGTCTGTTGACTGGACGCGTCTCGCTAAACGCGTCCTTTCTTCCCGTCCTCTGGTCGGCCCACCTGTTCTCCATACCTGCAAATTAGACACCCAACCTGACTCAAGTCATAAGTACAGGGCAGGGTCATCTTATCTAGTAAAATCATCTTTGCTACAAGTTCAGGGGCCAGAATTTCTTGGTACTTTCCCTCTCTGTGTCCGAGGGAACCATTGCCAACCACCTCTTCACGCCCAGGCACTGTGTAACCTTCGTTACTGCGACAGGCCGCAGGTAACATACCTGATCTAATGTATACACCTGTTACCCCCGTTTCGTCGCGTCGTACCGGGACCTTCAGCCCACCTCCATCCACGACTGGTTCAACTCAAACCTATACGTTGACTCCCGGTGGGACTCAAAGACTCAATGTCGTGACACGCCTAGCTATAGAGGGAAAGGCAAAGGATAGGAAAGATGCCGTAGGTTTAAGGATGTATATGAAGGTGCGCTCTTTAGTTGAATTTGGTATTTATGGTACTAACTTGGTCATCGTGTAGTTGAGTATACCGATGGACAGTGTATCCCCTGGTTCTACTGTAGCCTTATTTCCCGGTAAGCTTTCAACGTAAACAGGGTCTATGGTATGTTTTAAAATTACCCACAGAGGAGAACCTCAAGATTATTGGGTCGCCGCAAGTCCACCCTCTTGACGCCAACTCTGCCCCGTATAACTTCTCTTCCACCGCTTTCCCACTTCTCAACGATGCGGCTCGTGCACTTGGCCTTCCCGCGCGATCATCGAAATCGTATATGTCTGTATTTGGCCTCTCACAGTCCCCTGTGGTCTCTTCAAGCCGCTCCTCGCCTACGTCGGTGAATGGAAGTAGCAGCTCACTACCCCTCGACAACAGATACACTGGCCATATCCTCGTCAGTGGATACCACGTATCTTATGTTCTTCCTCGCGAAATCCCTCCCCGCAATCGCGACGACGATACACCTATTCGTACATCCTCAACAAGGTCGCGAAGAGCTTCGATAGGCGAGCGCAACACCATGCAATTCATGGCCGCCCTAGAAGTAATGGTTCCGTACCTCTCGAAACCACCGAGAGCTCCTTATTATGTATGTTTCACTTGTATTGATCGCGTATATGCGTCCTCATTTTTTCGCAGCTATCTATTCCCATCCCCAGGTGTCTCTCCAACCATATCAGACTCCGAATGTTCTCTCCTGGCCCCGCCCCCGCCCAGTCTTTTGCATCACTTTCCTCAGCGGAGGATGACCAGCAGAGATGGGAAGTTGTTACTGAACCTCACATCACCAACCAGATTGGCAAGCTCGGGCGTACAAGGTCTTACGGGGAGATGGCTGATGATGAGTCGTCTGATTCAACGTCCAACTATCAACCTGGAGGTCTGCAGGACGCCATACAAGGCACCTTTCCCAGCTCCGATTACATTCGCATACGGTGGGCTGTGCCTGTCAAGAGTCTAGATATCAATGGTGAAGGAGGGCGTCGTCGGGTGCACGTCGCGCAGGCGAAGGGAGAACTCACGTGTGTTGTTCTCGGGAAGGCCAGAGACAGGGAAAGCGACAAGGAAGGCATCGTGATGAGGCTTGAACAGAAGGGGACCTGCAAGGACGTATGGTTTGCTGGTGTCGCGACGATGCTCGGCATGGACATCGGCCTCACAGCCAAGAACGCTGAAGCTGTCCTCTGGGCTCCAGGCGAAGATGCAAAGTGGACTGTTACAGGAGGTCGTGGTTATACGGGCTACGATATTGGGCCACCAACGGAAGAAGAGAATCGCGAGGCATCTTTGGAATATCCTGATATGATGGAGTCGACTGCTTCACCACCATTCCTCGCAAGTCTCACGACTCGCCACGACTCGGCCTCGTCCAATACGTCACTTTTGCGGGCACCCCTGCCTGCGGATCCCATGCCGAACTACTCTTTTGAAGGACGAACGAACAATTTAACGCCTGCAACAACGCTTTCCTCCATCAGCTCCGCCCCTTCCGACATGCGGAGCCGCGCATCCTCCGTGAGCAGAGAACCCGCCCCCACCATCAAATCTCCAACGACAGACCTGACCGTGCACATCAACATGAACGACCTCATCCCTGCCTCTAAAAAGGAATTCACCTTCACCATCTCGGGCACTATCCTTGTCATTCCGCGCAGCCGCTCTTTGGGTATGTCTACGTCCACGTCCACCGGACGCTCCATGCATATGGACTCCGACCTCGACATGACACCCGTCATCCTGCCTCACTTCAGCGTGCATGCGGCGGACCACGAGTCGGTGACGACATCCGTCAGGAACGACTGCACTAACGCGAAACTGGAGGTGTACAACATTTCCGGTGACCTGCGTGATGCGCAGACACTCAAGACGGTCCTGCAGACCGGCAAATCGAGGGACTGTGGCAAAGAGGGAGGACGCATTGCTCTGCGTGCGCTCCCTCCGAGCCCGAGCGGGAACCGCGGTTATGTCAATGGCATTGCGTCGCCGAGTCCGAAGCCTCGCGCGATGAATACGTCTGGCAAGAGCGGCGCTGTCCAGACATATATTGCACCAGCGCGGCGGAAGCGGGAGGGGCCTGCGATTATACCCTCGGTCAAGGCTACAATCACGCCGCTTACACTAGACTTCTCTGGTTCTCCCAAAGCATATGCTGTCCGACTCTCCTTGACCGCCCCCTCGGACCTCGATTCTCCATGGCTTGAATTCGGGCTTGCTCAGCCATATGTGGGCACTTCTGCTTCTGCTGCTGAGCACGGTGATCCGGAGGTGTCTATTGCTGCTATTAGCATTGATGGTGTTTCCGCGCGGTACGAGAGCAGCACGCGTAACAAGGAAGATATACTCTCTGAGCTTGATACGCTCAACCGCGCTGGCGACTCTGAGTGGGTCGCGTGGGTCAAAGTCCACGTCGGCGAAGCTGGAGGGCAACTGCAAGTCGATTATGTGGTCACGCATGACACCTCAAGCCCAGTTCACGAAGGCAAAGGGAAGGCCGACCCCTCCAGTATTAGGTTTGGAGTGCTATTGCCGACGTTCACGATGCCCGTTGGTTGTCTAGATGCGACGATTGAATCATATCCTGGTACGCTTCTCTTATTGTTGTAAAATATGTTACTCACCTCAGATTAATTCCAGGTCTTTCTGCATATACCGTTCGCTCAAACCTCTCCTACCGATACAAATCTACGCATGGCTACCGCCTTCTACACTACTCAATACAAGACCTCTTCAGCCCCTGGCTCTTCATCGAGACGCAGCCGCCACCCTCTCGGGCCCGCGTCGCCGGCCAAAGCGCCGCACAGACCCTGCAAACCCTCGTCCGTTTGCTCCCGGCTCTGCTGCTCCTGCTGCTAGTGCTCAACGTCGGCACCGAGTTCCGCCACATGCGCCGCTCGCTCGACGCATGGGGATCGGTACACTTGACGCGGTCTGAGTCTGCGCCCGGCCCTGTGCCCATACCTATGGATGGCACGGGCGCCCACGTAGAGACCGAGACAGTGTTCGTGACGACGACGCTGACGTCCACCGTGACCGCCACGAGCACGAAGCGGCCGGGGTGGTTCGCGGATACAGCCTCGTCGCCTTCAGCCTCCACGGCATCATCATATTCATCATCGTCGTCGTCTGATACGATCTCACCCACCGCACGTGGCAAAGCGACCAAAGATGTGCCCACGCCCTCTTCCCAGATCTCGAAGTCGAAGAGCAAGAACAGGCCCACGAAGACTTTACGTCCCGAGGTCCCGCCATCATCATCGCCACGGCCAGTGTATGATTCGGAAGCGGAGACGGACGCGCTCGCGCCTGTGATGGACCTTCCGTGGCTAAACGTTCAGCTACACCCGGCTGCAAAGAAGGCCATCGATACGATGGTTGATGGGCTTGGGATCGTCTGGCAGGTCTTCCGGAGGGTATACCATTACCCGCTTGACCCTCCATGAGTTGCATTTGCTCTTGAAACTATTTTCTGCACTTGTGATTCCCGACTTACGGTTGATAGTGTGCTATTGTAATGTTATGATTTCATTTAATCACCCGTATCTATACCTGCTATACTTAGTCTCAGTCATTTTTCACTGTCATGGGGCAGTCCTGCAATCAAAAGTTTAAAACAATGTACAAAGGAAACCCTTGCATTCTTGAGAACAAGAAGTCATTATATCGTACATCAACGTTGTCAACATCAGCAGTCTAAAAAATACACAACGCAATTACTGTGCCCAGTCGGACTGCAGCAGTTCAACGAGATGCTTAGCCTCCTCGCGGTAGTCTACAGAGAGGATCTTCGATATACCGTAGCGAACGCGGGTGTTATCCTAAGTAAGATCAATGCGACAATTAAGAGATTGTCAATCCACCATTAGAAGCTCATTACTCACATTGTAGGTGTCCTGCTTCGCGCGACAGCCGAAATTGAATGTGACACCGGTCGCCTGAGCCATGACCGCATTGTACTCTTGTTCGTCACAATTCTGCAGGGAAAAGAAGGCAAGGAAAAAAGAAATCAGCAATCAGGAAAGCGGGGCACACGTGGAGCACAGCGTTGGCTAGTGCTAGCGTGACTAACCTTGATCTCCATAACCTCGTCTGCACTCTTGCCGAATATAGCCTCGCCCGCATCATTAAAGCCCTGCAACCACGCCTGGCCTGACCAGTCCGCCACCGCGATGGAGACGATGTAGCTGGAAATGAAAGAACCGTTCTGTAAGCGAGGGACTGAGCTGTCAGAGAAAAGTGACGAACCGGTACTCTGGGCGCTCAAACGTCTTGTCGCATTTTTCGCACCTCCAGCCATCTCCCACATCTGTGACCTTCTTGTTGCACCCCTGGTTCGCGCACGCGGGATACGCGATATTCTCAGTCTTGATGTGCATGATGGAGGCGCGCGTCGAGAAGAAGTCGGCTTTGTCACCCATACCTAGCTGCGAGTCCTTCACATCCGAGATGTGCCGTAACTCAGAGCGGTTGAAGCCACCGAATGAGGCACCAAGGGGGACAGCGCTCGACTGAGCTGTGAACGTCTTCTCGTTCCCGATACCATCGTACCAACCACGAAGAGCATGGGCTTCGGGGATATCGGGTGAAATAGACATCAAGCTAGAGCTCATCATCGACAAGGAGCGACCTGTGTGATGTGAGTAAACTAGGGAGCTCATATTCCGAATTTATGAACTCACCTCCGTAGTCACCAACCTTGACACCCTTGAAAGCAATGACTGGTTGATCCTCTGCCGAATATAGTTCTGCTTGTTTGCCCCAAAGCGTCATTCGTACTGAAAACTGTGACTTGTCGACGATCGTCAGCTCGCGCTTGGGAATCTATCACTTGATAAATAATTGATATCTCGGCTACTTTTCAGGACACATACGGTTCGGTTCGTCTTTGAAGTGATTTCAGACAATGGTCCGGCTTCCTTTACAATACCAATCACATCTGTGGGATATTTTAAGTGATATTGAGCGTAGAGAGAGAAAGATACCTACCGCAGTTCACGTCCTTTGCAAGGCTTTCGAGTTCACCGAGGGAAATGAAGTTATACTTGATCGTTGGGAGGTTGGTGGTATCCAAGCACTATAACAGCACAGTCAACTGCATTAGAACCCATCCCATGTATGGCGCGCTGGCAACATACCTCCTCAACCTCGGTGTTCTTTTCCAGGCTGAGCTCATAATCATTTTGAATGTTAGAGAACTTCTTCTTGGCCAGGTTGACGCGGGCCTTTGAAACATAGTAGACCTTTCCTTCTTCCAATTTTGGATAAAGTTCATCTACGACCGCATTGAAGCCAGTGGCACGGATCTCCCCAGATTCGTCCATAAGAGTCACATTGAAGAGTTTGCCCTCCCCGCGCGCATTCGACCAGTTTCGGACTTCGGATTTCTGAGTAACGCGTGCTTTGATAGTCCAGTTGTTCTGATACGGGCTGAGACCTTCGATAGGGAAAACGTTCCTTCCCTTCGTTTGTGTTTGACGCGCTGCGGCGGATGATCTAACTGGCTGCGCATTGGAAGTAGACTGTTGTGGGGCGGCGGAAGGTCCGGCACCTGCCGCTGCTGCTGCAGCAGCGACAGACGGGGGAGGAGACGGGGTGCCTATCTTTTCTTCGTCTCTGGTCAGGACCTGCAAGTTGAGTACGATAATTAACCTAGTACAGTAGCGTTAATATGAGTAAGACATCGCGTTGCGCCCTGCACTCACCTCTTCTCCTGGACAAAGTTGCAGGTGAGTTGATCGATAATGACGACCGTGTTCTTTCCAAGTTCGTTGTTTGCCACCAGATCATTAAGCTTGGTGGCAAGCATAGCCTGGATGAAGTGTACCCCATCTGAGATGATGAGACGGTACCTGTCGACGGTGTTGCTGCTGTTTGCCGACTGGCTGACTTTTTTGATTGAGAGAAGCTGAACAGTGTGCCCCGAGCCAATGTTGTCAATGTCCTCGGGCGTTGCCTCCTGGAGGCGTTGGCATATTCCTGCTGAGAGCTGGGTCATGATGGTATGGAGAGAGAGAGAGGATGATTAATTGGAGGGAGAGACGCGACTCAGTGGACGCGTGGTGTAATTGTTTACACGCATTTGGCGTAGCACGCGTTACCCTGTGGGAAATGCTGACGAGACGCGATTTCCCAGGCTTATCCATTTATTCCCACATTTCCTTTGAGACAGGGGTTTGAGCTCCATTCAGTTTCAATCTCCGGCCAACGAGGCGCGGCATCCTGGTTTGTGGCCGACCGGTAACTTGAGGACGTTGTGGATCCACCTCGGTTTCAATCCTCCCTGGGAGGAGTCTCTGCTGCTCGAGCATCATATTACATTGTGAGTAATCCTACAAGTATCTGATAAATATTGAACGGCGAGTACAAGATGCTCGACGACTACTAGTCCATTCAGCGTAAATTAAACTAAGTAAGTTAACCTTGTCCATCTGCAATGATTATCGTTGGATCCATACTCTAGCTGCCTCCGGCCGTACCATGTGCCACACAGTGCACCTCGTGTGCCCGGCGAATAAATAACGTCTAACTCCGACGATTAGGAATCACTACGCGCTCGCTGCGTCAGTGACGAGTATAAAGTATCTCCCACCCTCACCCTCACCACCGCTTCCTACTTTCCCCCGTCGCCTCTCAGTCATTTTTCAGCACAGCACGGTGCGTCGCATCCCGACCCGCCTTCAGCAGCATGGATAGTTGTGTGCCACCGGTGCCTGTCGCCGGCCCCCTCTGCTGTGCCCGTTCTCTCTCCATCCTCTGCTGCATAGCGTATAGTGGGCAGCCAGGAGGAGGGTTCGACCTCGCCATCGAGATGACGTACAGCGTGGCGATCCGCACATGCGCGTCCCGGAGCTTCTTCAACGCCATAACTGCACCGTTGTAGGAGTCCTTGATAGCCGGACTGTTATTGGCCAGCTCCCGGACAGGACGTGGGTTCGCTGCCAGGCTGCTGAGGTAGTCTCGGTGTCTTCCAGGCATGTAGCGCCTCATCCTCTCCATGAAGCCGCGGTCAGCGCGCTTGTTCTCCTCGGATGGTGCCGGCTGGCGACGGGCTTTCAGCTTGTGGTCAATATCGAGGAAGGTGTCGACCGCGTGCATGACGCCACTCTGGCCTGCCGATGGCCCGTCCAGGTCGAGAACCGACGTGTCGGGGACGCCCTCATATATCCATTCTGGGCGGTTTCCAGCACCGGAGCCGTTCAGCCAGGGGCGAACCTCCCAGTAGAACATCTGCGGGTCGACGGTGTTCCGCATTGACGTAATGATCTCGCTGATCTCCTGGATGATGGTGGTGAGGCGAGCAAGTAGGCGGTTGACTTTACCCATTGAAGACGGGCTGCTGACGTCGGGTATCAGTTGGTAGTCGTTGAATATTTGCAGCATTTCCACGCCGCGAATTTCGACCAGGCCGTTGCCTGCGAAAAAGTTCCTCTCGTCTTCCGAACCACCAAAGAGGTCGACGCCAAAGCGCACGTTCTCCGCGGAGAAGGGAAGCTCCGGGTTGATGTACTCCCAGTTCCAGGAAACCACATCGGAAAAGGTGACGACCGGGGCCATACCCAGCTCTTTCGAGACCTGCAGCAGTGGCGATACTAACGAGCGTGGAATAGTGATAGGACCGGAGAGTTCGTTTGGGGGGATGGAATGTGCGTAAAAGTGCACCAAGAACGTGAGCACTTTGTGTGCCCGACGGAGTAGCTGTTTGTCCGTGTTGAGGACGTCAGTACGGATCACCGGGAGCTACAAAATGGAGACTAGGGTCAGTATCAGCTTTTTGTGGATGCCAAAAGAAGAACTGACGGTCCGTATTTGCTCCCTCCAGCGCTCACCGGTGGCGCGCTGCGCATGGTCGTTGTCAGGGATGTCTTCGCCCAAGACCAGCTTGTCTTTTGCCGTAGATAATGCGTTCTCCCAGACTGCGAATCCGTTCGGTAGTCGGGGGAGCGGCGCGGTAGGGTAAAACCCAGTGTTGGTGCGAATGTTAACGTCGAAATCACTGGGTGAAGTGTAGCCAACGTTGGAGGACCGTATGCTCATATTGACAGAACTCAGTGCAGAAACGAGTTGCTCAACGAGATCAAGAGGAGTCGGAAGGAGATCGATGGGATGCATTATGTTGACTTTAAGAGGTTAAGTTGAGGGAAGAGTAGGTTAAGTTGAGGGGAGTGGGCAGCCGAATTAAAAGGTGGTGTAAAGTGAGGTGAATGCATCTGCTGCACTCTGACTTTGGCCTTTATAGAGTCTCGATCTGGTTGTATCCGTCAATCGGGGCGTGACAACAACCAGTTGTCCAGATCCTACAAGTCCAGAGGATCTGTGCTAAGATGATTGTCATAATTTCTGGCTCTGGGACCCCGATTTGTCCGACTGACCTTAGTTTGCCCAGTCCTGCGTTGTTTGCAGCGGTCTCGGCGCCGTACGCCGTCCAACCCAGGTGCTGTACCCCCCTTCGTTTGGCTCCCACCGGATCCTGAACTCAGCGCCACACATTTTTGATGATTCTTGGGACACGAATACAGAGCTGAGAAAATTATTTGGTGCTTCTGCCACTGCCCTCGACGCGAAGTGTGCAGGCTGAACGATTTAGCTGCAGGAACTGCTCAGTCGATCATGGGCCGGTCCTTGGATTTGAGGTACATAGGCTAAGCTCAGTGCCTCATGCCTGCCAGGTACTGGCATTCTACATGGTGAGCAACCAGCGAAGATCTTTGCCTTTGCGGCTATGAGGGAACTCGTCCACTCTTTCGAGAAAACAGACTCTCATGAATATTCCCTCGTCTACTTTATTTCTCCCATAATCCCTGCCGAGCAGTCCAGAGTTTCAGCGCCGAGAATGATTGAGACCTGACTCTTCTTGCGACTGAGCCTACCTCACGGTACCGAGCCTCGTGACAGCACAGACGTACACCGTATGCCAGATCATTTTTAGACGCGTCATATTGCACAGATTCCCCGATCAGTGGTATTTTTGGATGGAGACGCGCAAAGAACGCGCTAGTAACTCGCCAAACGCTCGGCCGATGTAAGACGCGCTATGGCGTTAAACCGTACACCATCTCGGTAGATCCATGGCTAAGACTGCATTTTATCCTCTTTTTTGTTTTTTTGAAAGAGTGGTTCAAATGATCTGTAGTACCATAGCATGCTGTGTGCCATAGCTGATCTGATCAAACCAGAACTTAGGTCTCACCGGCGGTCACAGCATTTCGCAAGGTACCAATGCTACATTGAAAACGCCCGACGTGAGTGCTGCCAGATCACTTCGCACGGGTTCTTATACAACTGCTTTGTTTTGTGCAACTTGTCCGGGTTTCGCGAAGAGTCTGCGATGAACCGGAACAGGGTGGGCGCTGTGTGAAGACGATTTGGCACGGCCGCCTTCAATTTGACAAAGTAATAGTTCTCCCTTAAGTTCCTCTCCAACTTAGCTCGGACCTCAAGGTAGCGCAATCTTGGACAAATATTATTGAATGTATCTAGCTTCCTTCAAAGCCATCACCAAATCTCATCGCCACATCGGCGTCTCGAAGCCATCAAGGCGCTTCTCCAAGTGGCAACTAAGTACTTGCTGTACCCAATCTGTCATTCTGTTACAGCATATTACATATACGCCTACATACTACAGCACCATAGGATGGAAATCCCCGAAGCTGCCCGGGTCTCGCCGAGGAGAGCGGCTTGTGCCATGTTCGATCCAGCTCTACACTTTGCCGTCACTGTTGGTGTGCTGCCCAACGAGCCGGCGGCCAGGGGTATTCGTAATAACCACAAACTTTGGATAGTACAGACCCTGTCATTATCAATCCGATACGTCGATGCAGTTAGGCCTGCTGCTCTGTTGTCAGATTGTTTGGAGCCTGAACTCGCCTAAGCTTGGCAGAGCTTTACATTCGCTCCATCCGAAAAGCCGCGTTACCGAGGTGCACAACGTATCAAGATGTGGATTTATTCTGAATACCATCATAATTCATACTGAGAAACGCATGAAATCCGGCACCCGACCGATTGTGTTCAAAGTCTTGCACCTGGCAACTCCCCAAATCCGCGTAGTCGCTCAGCCAGGAGCACCGACAGGCGACCAGAGCTCGCCAGCAAACTGAGTCCACGTATCGTTTGGACGGTGACACGCCGAGACTCACCGAACTCGCACTCACCTCGCTAGAGCCGTAGCGTCGGGCGCGTAGCTGTACGATGCGTACACACTTACCACTAATCCGGGGTACAAGTGAAAGCCAGATTTACCGCTCTTCCAGAGGATCGCGCGAACTTTGTCCTGAAGTATTCGTCAGTTTCTCGTAAGAGACTATTCCCTAGCAGGGCCATCGAATGATCCTAGCAGTGGCGCATACAGATTCAGATCTCTCATCCAAAAGACTCCGATGCGAGCTTGCAAACGCCCGATTGTAACACTTACTGGATTTGTTTTGAGATCAGCAGTCCAAGTTCCTCACGGTGCCCTCAAAATCATGTTCGGCGCCGAGTCCGTTGATGTTGTTTCTGGTCCCATCAATCTTCTGCAGGCAGCGTATTGCCCGAAACTCAAACTCAAAGGCGCACACCCTAACGTACCTCAGCTCGCGGTTTCATGGGGGAAAAAGGGTGAGGCACATGTGCAATAACTCAGACCATGCGACTTACGGGGTTACGGTAGTTTGAGACGAGGTTATGGTTTGGGCATGAAACGTACAATATATTGTATGAATGATAATTGCGATATGGGTGCAATGTTGGCGCAAATGACGCATGCGAAACGGAGGCAAACTTAAATTTAGCCCCTGACTAAGTGGTCCAACATGTATGCACAAATGTGGACATGAAAACATGTTTGATTGCAGATTTGCTCTCACGACTGGATGAACTGGTTGCCGCCCTGGTCGACGAGCTTGTACCGCCGCTGCACTACGTCCATCACCTTCTCCTTTATTCCATTCTTACCTGACCGAAGATCATCAAATTTGGCCAGCACCTCGGAGAGCGGCACGCTGCCCCCCGAGCTGAGCGAGTTGATGGTGTCGTTGATTGTAGCCTCAGTGGGCAGCGCGAAGCGCATCGGGTCCTTGTTCTTGTTCCGTAGCTCAGGTGGGGGAGTAAGCTGGGGCGAGGACGCGACATAGGTCGAGCTCTTGTTGAAGAATCGATCCACGATCTCTGGCGTCACCTGGTCGATGCTATCGGGCGTCCACGTGGGGCGCCCCTGGGTTTTGTCGATGAGAACGGCGCTGATACCGGTGCGGAAATCTGGGCTGGCACCGCTCTGCATGAATAGGGAAAAAGAAGGCACGATTTGAGCGCAAATAAATTTTTGTGAGCTGAGAGCACTCACGCAGTATGCAGTTGCAATGCCCATCTCCATTTGCAGGCTCTCTAGGAGGGACAACTTCTTCCCGCGGCGAACAGCGGCCAGAGCCACCTTCAAGCTGGTAGGGCTTCGCATGCGAAGCGTTTCCAAGGTTGCCTTCGCCCAGTCACGGACACCGGTATCCTCGTGCGAGGCAAACGCTTCCAGACTCTTGACGATATCTTCCACGGTATCGTGGCTAAATGCGGAGTCGAGGGCCTGTCGCGTCTTGCCAGTGAACTTGCCAGCTGCGTCATTGGGCTGACGCTCAGCATGGAGCTCCTCAATTGCGCGGTCAATGAGTTCCGGAGTTGGGTTATCCAGATCCGCGAGCCTCGCCATCAGAGTAGGGATAGATGTTGATGGGATGTAGTGAGTCGCAAATCCATGCTCGCTATCAAAAGTCAGTATCCAACATTGTAAAAGGTACCGTAGGACCTACAAGACTTCACGACCAACAAGGGTTTCTGAGGTAAGAGCAAGGTAAGTGCCTACTTGACCGTCCATTCGGGATAAGAAGAAGCTTGCGCCGACATCGGGACAAAAGCCAATCTTAGTCTCAGGCATGGCAAATACAGTTTTTTCGGTGGCTACTCTGAAAGGAGCGCTGATTGCAAGGCCAACACCACCACCCACTAAAGTTGTGTTAGTGAGCTCGTTTGTATTGGTAAGACCAGTGCATACTAGTGATTCCATCCAGCAAAGCGATGTAGGACTTGGGGAGAACCGAGAGAATGTAATCCAGCTCATATCTTTTTTCAGATGGCTTTGTAAGTAAGATGTTCAAGGCACATGGAATGCGGGTCAAACTTACTCGCTTCTGAAGAAAGCGATGGAGTTGGGACGAGTGGCATCATTCAATGAGTCCTTGAGCACAGCTAACACGTGGAATGACGGCTTAGTGGGAGAGCGAAAAGAAGAGGTCGTGACTCACTTGCAACATCTCCGCCCGCGCAAAATGCTCTGCCCAGACCTGAGCCCACGACGACTTTGCAAAGATCAGACTTGGACCATTCCTACGCAAATATTCGAAATTGGTGAGAGCTCATGTGGAAGTAGAACGCATGGTACCTCAAGTTGAGGTCGCAGTATGTCAAGCATCTCAGTGTTGAGCGCGTTGAGTTTCTTTTCGCGGTTGAGGATATACTGCCGCATGGTCCCGCGGGACTCAAACAGAACGGGCTGTTCATCCGAGAGTTAGGTCAAGTTATGAGTGGTGAGAAAGAGGTATGCACTATAAACGCTCACCTGTGCATCGGGTGCGCTGGTAGACATGTGTGCAGCGACAGCTTGTGTCCTGGCAAGGGCGGGTGCGCTGTTACGCGTCATTCTTCTAAGAGCAGTTCTGAGCATACTGTATGGGCAACTGGCTGGTCGTTGTCTGGCAATTGTGGATGGCCGCTCCTCCGTCTGCCGTCACTCGTACACGGTCAGGTGAAAGCAGCTCGGTTCACTCGGCAGTCGGCGCGCGAACCGTTACTTCCGGAATAGGCCGGACCCCCTATCACCCCGCGTTATCCAAGTCATCCCGCTCTCCGGTTCCGCTCGGCGCTTCCACCCACAGCGCACACCCGACATAATTCATCGTTCACAGATGCTGCTGTGAAAAGGTACATACCCGCCATTTACAGCATGTCTCTCGACGGTTTACTTCCAACACCGGGTACAAGAATCAGTCATAATGGGCAATTGGCTACAGTCCGATACGTCGGTGAGGTCACTGGCACGTCAGGCACATGGCTAGGCGTCGAATGGGACAATCCAAAGCGCGGAAAGCACGACGGCGTGAAAGACGGAGTCAGGTACTTCTCCTGCCTGTGAGTGTGAGATACCAGTTTCTTGCATTCTCTGCGCGGGCCCTAGCTCTGACTCGGCCTCCGCCTGCTGCAGAGTACAGGGTGCGGGCTCATTTGTTCGCCCGTCGGCTTCCATCTCGTATGGCCGTCCATTCCTCGAGGCACTCAGCACCAAGTACATCGAGACCGTCCATGGCACAGACTCGCAGGAGAAAGTAACTCTAGGATCCTCCAACAACGCCATCGAGGTCGAAGCTGTCAATCTCGACAAGATCAGGAGCAAGTTCGCCCGACTGGACCGCCTCCGAGAGGTCAGCCTCGACGACGGACTTGTCGGATCACCGAGCCCCCAGGATCAGATGCGGAAAACGTGCCCGAGTATGTCCGGCACCTTGCTGTGCTTTGTTTTGATTCATCATTCGTGAAACCGCTCAATGTTATACTTTCATTTGTGCCTTTGGTCCTTGCTGTGTATACTAGACATCCGTGGTCTCGACCTTTCCTCCACACTCCTCCCAAGTTGGGACGATGTCGCGAACATAGCGGGAGCCTTACCCCATCTCGAACGGCTTGCCCTCAAGTGCGTAACAGTCATGCCAACTGCCCCATACGCGTCGGCGGAACGATACTCATCCGCACTAGCCGCAACCGTTTCCTACCCCCTCGGGACGTGAATCACGGCGTGGCGTTCAGCCAGATACGAGAACTCCAGCTAAACCAGACGATGATATCTTGGAACGATGCTATGAACGTCATATCTCAAATGCCCAAACTCGAGGCGCTCGAGATCGGTTACAACCAGCTAACCGCGCTTCAATTAACACAGCCTGAAATGCCGCCAGGAATGATGCTGCCTGCATTGCATACCATCAACCTCAGCGGTAACTGGCTTGAGGACTGGAAGAGCTTGTACGAGGCCTTGCAATGCTTCACTAAGTGAGCTCTTTTTGCGTCCTCTTCGGTGCTACCTACTCACCGACGAGCAAGCTTACAGCGTCTCGTCCTATCAAATAACCGACTCGCATCCATCCCACCGAGGACAGCCGAGGACGCACCCATCCAAGCGCTCCGTCACATCGCACTCTCATTCAACAGCCTAGCGCAGTGGAACGACGTAGACGCGCTAGTGTCCTGGGCGCCCCAGCTTGAAACGCTCAGCCTCAACGGCAATCCTGTTACAACTGGTAAGTGTCAAGTGTCACAGCCGCTATCCGCCAGCATAACACATGCACGACTACGAATTGGCTTATTTTTGTAAACGGCGAAACACAGACAGCGACTTGTCCAAGTACGCCAGGCAGTTCGCCGTCGCAAAAATACCTACACTCAAGTCACTAGACGGAGCATTTGTAAGCCCCTTCCTCTCCAACACCGTCCGGAACCGTGGCGTGGCTAATCAAACCTACCAAGATCTCTACGAGGGAGCGTAATGACTCAGAGCTGTTCTATTTGTCTTACATCGCCAGGAGCGACATCACGGAGGCTGACAGAGCAAGGGAACACCCCAGATGGGATGCGCTCTGTGAGAGTATGTCTTTCTCACTTATTGTTATCGATCTTGCTACTTTCTCGCTGATGTCACGCTCCGTAGAGCATGGCAAGCCTGATGAAGTACCGAAGAAAGCCAGCGAAGACAAGCTGAGCAGGCTTCTCATCGGTGAATCATGGAGTTGTCGAACTTGTTACAGCATGTTAACGTTCAATCCTGTAGACATTGACATTCACCGCTGTGAAGTCAGCCCCGAGAAGAGCTTGCCAGAGGCTAACAGCACTCCTACAACGACCGTCCGCGTTCTATCCACCATGTCTACTAAGCACTTCCGTCTCAAAGTCCTTAAATCTCTGAAAGTGCCTCGAACACCAGGCACACAGGACACACCACTTTACCTCAAGATGCACGACAACTCATACATGCAGCTAGACAAGGACGACCGAGATCTCGCATGGTGGGGCATAGAGCAAGGATCGATTGTATTCGTCTGTATACCAATACAATAGAGAGACGTTGGACTACTGAGATTGAGAAAGCGCTTGCTTGACCTGCCAACAGTTTAATAAGGGACGCGACACAAGGCTTACCTGGGCTAGAGTTACGGCATCGCATCCAATTGAAGGAGATATGACCCTGTCATATTGATGGATTCCCATGCGTGCCCTATTGTCAACAAATGCAGTAGGTTTAGTTGGCCAATTAAAGCCAAGCGCCTTTCAACGTGCCTGTTGATACTGATACTTCGGATACTTGATTCAGCAAGAGGGAGCGTCTATGAAACCTTGGCTGCCCAGTCGACCGTACGCAAGTCAGATTCCACGTTCCATTACCGTCGCAGGGTCGGTCCTTATGTCACTTGACACCATACCGAACCGAATTGCGTCCTAGGTCCTTAGGCTCAAGAGGTCTCCCAACGACGGAACCAACGCGGATTTGCCCACTAAAGCATGTACAAGGGGTCCAGTTTCGAACTCGATCCAAGATCACCAGTATTCGACAACGCTTCACGGCCCACAGCGGAAGGAACCAACATAACAATTTGCGCAAAACCATTCGAAACCACCAACGGGCGTCCTTCCCTGGGGCATTTCATCCGCCGAAACTGATACCGATCCACGTCTTTTCAACGCCACGCTGCTCCGTCACCATTGGTCCTAGCAGCAGCCCTTTCTTCGAAGCGGTCCTCCTTGTCATCGCGGCGGCGTTCGTCACGACGGTCGTCCCTACGACGGTCATCATAATAATCAGGCACTCTGCGGTCATCATAATAGCCCCCCCGCCGGTTATCATCGTACCCTGCAGGTTTTCTCTCATCATGATCCCTCCTGTTCGGAGGTGGAGACCTGGGGCGACGATCATCATGTTCACGGCGGTGGGGCGACCTAGAGCGGTCGCGGCGGTAGCGATCATCCCTGGAGTAGCGGTCGTCCCTGGAGTAGCGATCATCCCTGCTGTACCTGTCATCGCGGAACCGCTCGCGTTCCTCGCGACGGTAGTTGTCCGGTCCGCTGCGCTAAAGAAACCTTCAGGTCAAGCAGACAAGTTTAGGACAAAGGCTGGAACTTACATGCTCGTCATAAGCAACACGAACCGGCCTACCGCGCAAGTCCTTGCCATCGAGGTCGCGGACAGCTTGGTCGGCATCATCCCGGTTCAGGTACTCGAGGACACTACCGTTTGATGAGCTGAATTGTTCAACTGGAAAATGACATCACTTACCCTGAACCAGGGTACTCGGAATCAATGTCGGCAAAGGAGACGGCGCCAGCTTCACGCCCGAAGTCCTTGAGGTCCTGAGGGTGTAGCCAGAAGAATTAGGTCCAAAGGTTTAAAACCAAAATATCCAGGAACGGATATCTTGAGGCCAAGCACGGCATGACTCCTGGCAAGCAGGTGCAAAAAAGAGATATGCTCATTATGAAGGCGTAGGCTCACAGCCACAATGGACGCCTGAGGTGCCCATATCCGTTCGCAATGAATCCGAAAAAAAAGCCCGTACCTGCCAGCTAGTGTCCCGCGAAATACCAGACACGGTAAGGCGGATCCCGGGGGGACGACGGGACCTCGCAGCCCTGTAGAAGAAGAAGAAAACCACCATCAGCAACTAGCGTACACGTGTTTATAAGCGCTTGAATATACCCATCCCTGTCGTAAGGTTCACGTCGGGGGCGACTCTCCTTCGCGAACTCGACCACGATGCTAAGCCGTGTTGTGAGCCCAATATCTTAGGAGATGAGAGTTGTTGGGGTTTTTTACTCACTTGACACCCATGAACGGCTTGCCATTGAAATGGTGCACAGCATCCTCCGCGTCCTGATAACCCAGTAAGACATCAAGCTTGCTGCTGAAAAAAAAAACACCGTGCCACTCACCTTAGAGTTCTCGAACTCGACAAAGCCAAAGCCTGTCGCGGGCGGTTCCGTGAGCTCTTGGTTGTCGGGGCGCCTCTTGGACGAACCAGTCATAACTCGACAGTCGATGATTCGGCCATAGCCTTCGAAGAACTTCGCCACGTCCTCGGAACGAGCATCAGGGGGGAGTCCTGAAATCAAATGTGTATCTAAACATTTTCGAGTGGCAAAGCGAGCGCGGTGAGTACTCACTGCCAAGGTACAAGCGTCTGGCCATGGTTGTAGGAATGAACAAAGGGATGTTCGTCGGAGATCCAAATCCTAAGAAGGCCCGTGCACTCATCAGCTCCAGTTCGGCTTTCTCCGCAACTCCGACCCCTCGCCAACGGCTCAACATTCTCGACTCTTACTATAGCAGTCTGCAGATGTTGTCCACAGATCGCATGTATTGGCCTATAGCTAAATGCATTACTCGCTAACACTAATTGACAAAAAATCTGTATAGGAAGCATAACTAAACTAAAAGCAAGAAAACGGGACGAGAAAACAACATATTAGTGCTGAGACCAGTTGATTGTGCTGATGTCGATGCCCTCCTGTACCATCTCCCAAAGCGGGCTACGCGTAACAACGTCAGTTATCAGGACATGACACATAAATCAAGGACATACCTCATATCGCGCAGCTTAGTCACGACCTTCACAATATGGCTGACGACAAAGTCAATCTCAGCCTCCGTCGTGAACCGGCCGATACCAAAGCGGAGTGACGAGTGAGCCATGTCCTCAGCAGCGCCTAAAAGAAAATAAGTGGCAGGTTCACATCTCAGTTAGAGTAATTACTCACCCAAAGCACGGAGAACGTATGATGGCTCAAGCGAGGCTGACGTACAAGCACTGCCAGAAGACAGAGCAATATCCTAGTAGAATGCAATGAGATTAATGAGAAATGGACTACTAGTGATTGGAGGCGCACCTTGAGTGCCATCAGCAGACTCTCGCCCTCGACGTAAGCGAAGCTCAGGTTAACACAGCCTGGATACCCCTGGGCGTCTCCGTTCCGGACAATATGGTCGACTTGTGAAGTGATGCCATCGATCAGTCTGTTGGATAATTGCTCAATGCGAGCAGCGTCTCTCTGTATGAAATCAACAGTCAGCTCACAAGTCCAATAGCATCGCATGCAACAGGTTCGGATCAGTACCCCTGCACCATGGTCATTGCCAAACTGGCGGCTCGAGACGACAACTCGCTCGTGCCATGGCGCCATTTGACTCGTGCTCCTTCGGAGCACCGTGCGAACTTCTTCGTCTCCGCTTTCTCCACCAATGACGAAAGAGAGAAACTCACGGCCATCTCCAGCTTCGCGAGGCGGGCAGCCTCACCCATACCAACAATCAACGCTGTGGGTAGAGTTCCACTGCGTAAGCCACGCTCTTGACCACCACCACTGAGGATGGGCTCCAGGCGAACACGAGGTCTCCGACGAACGTAGGCAGCACCCACGCCCTTTGGGCCATAAAGCTTGTGGCCAGAGATACTCATAGCGTCAATGTTGCCCTCGTTGACACTGACTGGGATTTTGCCAACAGCTTGCGCAGCATCCGTGTGGAAGTAGACACCACGGTGCTTACGAAGCAGCTCGCCGATCTCTTTGATTGGCTGAATGACACCAGTCTCGTTGTTCACGGACATGATGGAGACTAAGGAGGTGTCCGGACGGATGGCGTCCTCAAGAACCTTGAGGTCAACAAGACCATTGGTCTGTACTGGCAGGTAGGTGACGTCGAATCCTTCCTCACCAAGTTTTCGGCACGAGTCCAGAACACACTTGTGTTCCTGATAGGGGCAACCTGTCAGCGCACGTTCAGACAAGTTTCAATGCGTAGGGCTTACCGTCTGCGTGGTAATAATATGCTTCTTCTTGTCCTTGTGAAAACGTGCGACGCCCTTGACCACCATGTTGTTGGTCTCGGTTGCTCCCGAGGTGAAGACAATGTCCTTCGCGTCTGCACCAATCAGATCCGCGACATTCTAGTGAAGCCATGAGTCATGGGCCAGCAACACGTTGCAGGGCTACGCACCTTCCGCGCCTCTTCAACGGCCTCCTCAGCCTCCCAACCGTATGCGTGTGTGCGACTATGGGGGTTCCCATACTGGTCGGTGAGATAGGGAAGCATGGCATCGAGCACTCGGGGGTCGACTGGGGTCGTTGCCTTTTTCCCAATGCTTCAGCATACTTCTTCAGCACAATAGAATAGACAAGCCATACCTGCATATCCAAGTAGATAGGACGGACCTTGTCCGTGAGGCCCTTCTCACGGTTAGGCGTCTCGAGCTTGAAGCCGAGCATCTCTATGAGCAACATAGTTAACATACATGGCGCCTCCTCGCAAAAACAGATATACGTACCCGAGCTGGGGGCGATGTGGGTGTCCTCTTTGTAAGCAGACGGGGTGTCCATGACGCTGGCCCTATCTGCGCCCGAGGGCTGAACATACGTCCTCCTTGCTCCGACAACAGCACGGGGCACTGCGCGCCGCAAAGCTGTCTGGGAGGACACTCTTGCGGATACTCTGGACAGCATATTGGGGAAGGGAAAATGCTATCAGATAATGGGCGGAGGCAAGTTATGTGGACCTGGGGGACGTTTCGGACAAGGAGTGACGAAAAGATTCGGCCGCGCATCCGCAGGGAATCACAGACCACGTGCGCGGTCGGCAAAGTGCGGACCTATCACGGGTGCGCGGCATTGTGCAGAGGCCCGGGCGCTTGCCCGCTTTGTCTCCGTCCTCTTCCGTCCTTCGAGGCAAGCTTGGTCATGACTGGCTCATACAAGTCCCTGAGCGCACTCTATTACGTATGTTTGCTCACAAGTTCCGCAATCGCACGGACACGAATAGACACAGATGACAATTGGCTCGCGACAAATTCTATAGCATCTCGACGGTCTGGGTTCGAATGTTCGCGATTGGTTCACGGACCTTCGCGCCAGGATGTCCAGATGCAAGATGTTCCATGTTAGGTAAAGACACCGACCTTTTGAGAGCACCTTGAACAAGATGCGACGGCAATAAGTACTTGGATGGGACCTCAACTCATGCACTCTCCATCTAGTAGACGATACCAACGTTGTAAACTCCTAAATTCGAATCGAGTCGTGGGCTTTAGTTCTTCCGGACTTCAAAGTCGAAACACTACCAATGATAGCACGAGGCAAATATAACGCGCGGAGGAAATCAACCTTGGCGACGAGTATTCATAGCGATAATACATAAATTACACAAAACCATCCTTGTAGTACCTTCGAAACTCTAACAAGAAAAAGCACAATTAAAGCGAAGGAGCTGCGTTTGTCACAAGGGCCTCAAAGTACTGCTGGAACCAGGTGCCGGCCTCAGGAGCGGGCTGGAGAGAATCAGACTAATAGCAATGAAAAACCCAATCAGCATCGTGATGACCCAGTAGGCAATTCCGAAAGCAAAATCAAACGCACCAGAGAGCAAGTAGAATCATAGCGAGGCGCAGACGAGTTGCTCGTGCCATCGCACTCGCCTCCAGGCTTCACCCATACGATCGAGTCGATCAGCGGAGAGCCCTAGTGTCCGTCGTCGGGCGGGTACCAAAGCCGGCGCCCTTGATGTTGCACCAGTCGCCCCATGCATTTCGGATGTTCTGCACGCCAGAGCGGCCCTGGTCAACGATGAACTGCGCGGAGAAGCCCTGTTGCTGCAGCAGAGGGGAAAGAGCGTTGATATAGAGCATCTCGTCGCAGTTGGGGGCGTTCTTTCCGAAGGTGGCTGTGCTTCTGCGTCTCGATGCGCGACGTTGTTTTCTTATTTCTTTCGCCAGATAGCCCCAGACGGAACTCAGTGCCATTATCCTGGACGGTAAAATCCACGTATCCATCCAATCAAGCACAGCTAAAAATGCAAGGTACTGTGCTCGTAGTACTGATCAGGTTGGTCAACTAATATTTATGCAGAATCTATTGATACAACTGTAGTTCGTCCGGTCGGAACCAAGTCTATGCCCAAAGGTACATCGCCCTGTCGTCACCGGGGTACCTCGTACCGGCGAATACAGCGTTCTCGATCACCTCGGTGACCTTCGTGAGTTCCTCAGTGGTAAACTGCACCTTGCTGGCGCTGACGTTCTCCAGCGTGCGGTCGATGTGACTATCGAACAACGTATTAGCTGCATACTACTTCTTTTAATGCAACTTGTTAAAGATCGACACTCACGAAGAGCCGGGCAGGGGAAGAACGTGCGGGCCAAGCGAGGATACCCACGCGATCGAGAGCTGGGCAGAGGTGATGCCCTTCTCCTTGGCGATCGACTGCAGCTTTTCGACGATGGCGAAGTTCGTCGCCATGTTCTGCATTTTATTATAACAATCAGTACAATATTGGCAAACGCATTAAATTAGCCAACTGGCCTCGGGCTGGAAGCGTGGCAGCATGCGACGGAAGTCGCCCTCTATAGGAAGAATAAATATAACATGTCCCATGTAAGCTCCCCCGTGAAAATGTGTTGACGCACCCGGAATATCGTCGAGGCTCTTGATTTGGCCGGTCAAGAAACCTCGGCCGATGGGCCTATCAACGAATATTACAGCACGAAAAACGTTCGGTACGAGCAAAGACTCACGAATACGCGATCACAGCAATATTGTTCTCTTGAGCCGCCTTGATCACCGCCTTCTGCTGAGGCCCGTACTCCCAAGGGCTGACCTCAATCTCAACCGCAGTTATCGGGTGAACCTACATAATTTTTGGTTTGTTTTATCTTTAACACGACTTCCCACAAACTTTGTTTATCTGTATGCTCACCTTGTGGCCGCGGAGAAGCGTCTCAGCCTTAACCTCGGACATACCAATGCTGCCGATCTTGCCCTCCTTGACGAGCTGCGCGAGCGCACCCAGGCTCACCTCGAGCGGCGTGTTGGGGTCCACGCGCGCGCACTCGAAGAGGTCGAGCGTCTTCTTGCCGCGCAGCTTCTCGAGCACGCGGTTGACGCTCCGCTTCACATTCTCCTCGCTGCCGTCGGGGACGAGCGAATCGGCTTTGGCGCCGCCCTATGTAGTGAAAACAGCAAAAAGAAAAAAAGTCAATGGCTGTCAGCGTCCGAGAAGATGCAAGTAACACACCTTGACGGACAAGAACGCCCGATCGGCGTACTCGGGGTACTTCTCGAAGAACCGCGCGATCATCTCGATGTTGGCAGTGCTGCAGTTGGGGCCATAGAACTCGCCTTGGAGTCACCTCATCAACCGCAGTCAATCTAAACGGCAATGATACGCCACATACCTCCGTTCAAGAACATCTTGACACCAGGCGGCAATGAGTCGATGCCAGCCTTGATGGCCGCAAAGCTCTGCTCGTCGGGGTTGGGCTGCGCTTTCCAGCTACAATCAAATCAGCGCCCTGCAGAGAAAGAGAGAAATGGGTGATCGCAGTTGAACGCACGTCATGAGCATCAAACCATGCTGCATTCAGAGAGATCAACTTGAGCAAACCATCGATATATTCGGGGAGTAATAACGGCATACCGCAACTTTGTTGACCGTGACGGGGCCAGAAGGCGTGTGGAGAGTGGTAGTAGACATTTTGGTAATTTGATGATGGTTGACGTGGACTGGGACTCGATAAAGGGTTTGCTTTCCAGGCGTCCTAGCGGCTAGGTTTTATATGCAGGACGAGGCGCTCGGGAAGTGGAGATCATCCGACTGGTGGGGTAGCCCTCGATAGCCCCTGAGCAAGTTCCTGAAAGATATCATCATCGCTGCCGTCTCGGAACGGCTAGCCGAGGGCGCCGGGCGAACGCGTCATGTTTGCTCTACAACCACCGAGGTCTGGTTTTCGACTCAACTTCCAAGCCGCTGAAGCCGCCTGCCTTAGTACGACATCAACGTTAGTAAAATCCAATCTACCCGCTAGGGACTGTTAGGAATCAATACAACACTCGTAAGCTTTTTTGACATCCAGATTATAAACTTGAATCCTCGCTTCCATCCATCCTGCCTTCTTCAAGTTGTGATTTCAATCAAGGACCGACACTACACTTAATGGCGTTGTTACTAAGTTACATGGGCACGCCGAGGGCTTGCACAAGCTCTCTGCCGTTGCAAAAGCGTTAATGAGCATGTGACTCGAAAGACTTAGCTCCATTTCACCTGATCGATGTTGTACTCTGTAAAACCTTGCTCAAATCTATAATTCAATTTCCTCGATTTGTGCCACTGTCTAGGGTAATTAAAGACCTTAGTAGTACTAGAGACCGCTAAATTTGGTGAAATGAGCTTTTTTGGAGTCTGCTTTCTTGCTTGCTTTCGCGGGGAATTAGAACAACTTGATGAATAATGAACAGTTGCTAGGCGGTGGCGATTGCGGCACTGCTCCCGCAGCCCTGGTGCATCGTATATGTAAGGCTAGGTAAGGTGGTTGAACCTTTCTTGAAGTCAAAGTGTTCACAAAGGCGAATTATGGGCATCAATTAGGCCGCTAACGTCGGACTGTCACCTCGTCAATTATTCGCTTCCACGTTCCTTTAAGACAACAACGATATGAACGTCCGTCAACCACTAGCTGCGGCAACATATACAGAGGTCTCGTAGTCTTTCCGAAGCTTCTCAACGTAGACGAATGTCATCACGATGATATCCAACATGTGGTAGCCCTCCTCGAAGACTTCCAGGCCAGCACTCCGCTTCTCTCCTATAATCCCCTTGTTCGAGCGTTGATATTTGGCGATCAGCGGGTTCGAGCCCTCATTCAACTTCAACTATACAGACCATGGTGGTGAGAACCAGGGTCACGTATCAAAACTAAGGGCGAGAAATACCTTGGAGATATACATGTCTCCAACCCATGTATATGATCGACCATCAGGCCCTGCAAAGTCGCGATTCCTACAGTATGTGGGTTCATTGAAGGCCAATAGCACCATCGAACTGCGGAGAGACTGACCACTTGATTTTATGTCCGGGTATATACTCCTTCGAGGTAACTTCCTGTCCATTAAACCGGAACTTGGACGACTGTATGATGTGCCACTCGATCTCAGCGAAGAGCGTGAACTGGTCACACATGTCCAGGCGGTCCGCATTGGGCGTGATCTTGAAGATCTTTGTCACTTTGTTCCGAAACCCGGACGACGTCTAGCACTTATAGAGAGTCTGGCCGCTATCGTTCGTGAAGGTGGCCTCGCGAGGGTTTGGGGTGCTCATTGTGAGGAACATGATGTTGGTCAGGACTTGACCTCGATGGGGAACGAATTCGAGGAGAAACGGGTGCGAGAAGGAATAACGCCTGATGCTTGGATTTGCATGCTATATATCTGAAAGACTCATCGGACTCATGAGAGCGGCTGTGAGAAATGCTGTAGACGCGCAGAGTCTCGACGTGAACTTCTGATGTGCCAGAAAACGCAGTTTTCATTGAAAGCGCCACCTCGATGCGCTCGAAAGCAGGTCCAAAGAGGCAATAAATCGTTGTTCAGTGGGGCACTGGGATGTCAATAAGATAGGCTGTGTAGTGGTTAGAAGCTCGGCAGAACCTTGAACTTCTCAGACTGATTGTTAAAACTCGTTCTGCCTGCGGAGTCTGTACATCAAAGAGTTCACAGCAAGTGCCAAGAAGATCATCGCATGGGCTGTAGTATCAACGTAGTCAAGTACCACGCAACGTGTGGTGTCCGCAAACCACTGGGTGCTCAAACAAGAGCTGTGAAGTGAAATACACTAACCTGTAAGCAAGACGCAACCCTGTGAAATGGTCATGTTCAGTGGCTCATACCCTTTGGCATTTGAGTCGGGAGAGATTTTGTGGAATTTCGTGCTCTTGTGGCCGACTTAGATGGCCTGGCCTCGCAGACTCACCACTGAGTGAAGAGGGTATCGCAAAGATAGGGGCAGCTCACGGCGAAGTACACGACGAGAAGCCACGTAGATCTATAGGCGATGGGACTCGAAGGAGGAAGTGGACTGTGGAGGGACCTACATTTCTACGGATTCAAGGAGAGCGCAAGGAAAATGCTGTGGTCCGTAAGGTGATAGCTTTGATCGAATGACAACGCGACGAATATATGTTTCTTCTTCAGAAGCATTCCCCGCCATATGATAACCGTGGAGGTGCTGGTGATGTAATGATCGCCCGAGGTAAGGTTCCGAACGACCGGGTCACTTCGCAGGACCTCGAAGAACACGAGAATTCCGGTAGACATGTCGCTACAGGCTGCTGCGTCGTGAGCTTGGCGTTCCCGACAACGATCCTTGTCCCCCATGACGAGCGTCCAGCATCGAATAAAGAATCACTTCAACAGTTCACAGGTCGTTCAAGGTCCTGGATGTTCGCCGTCTTCCAGCCAGGAAGATCATAAGTACTCAGAACGAAAGATGTGCTTGAAGTCCAGTCTCCAGCCCTTCAGCTTGAAGCCCGAAGCCAAAGGCCATCGATGTCTTGAACGTTGCTCTTGTCTGCAGCGTGACGCGGCGGCGTGGGCGTGATGCCGGGATTTGTACCTGCCCCATAGCGGTCTCAGTGGAATGTTCGAATGGAAAGGTTAGGAAATGGCAGTGACGATGGCCCCCCATAGCCGAGCCCAACGCAACAGTTGAAACGTTGATATTCTGATTCTCCCTTCCCCCCAATTCTTCGCCCCCATCCCTCCCTCGAAAGTCTCGTTCACATTTAATGTCGCCCAGAAGTCCGCCGACAGAGTACTCGCCGCTGCTCGAAAACGGCGACGGTGCGCAACAGCCCCAGTCGTACACCCACCGCGTTCTCAACGTCATCAAGGCCGAAGGAGAACCTTCCTGGGCACATTCATATCGTCACTTTATTTTTGGCTCCTGGTTCAACCTCTTCCTTGTCTTCGTCCCACTCTCCTTCATCTCCCATAACCTCGGTTGGGATGCCGGCCTTCGTTTCTTGTTTAGTTTTCTCGCCATTATGCCGCTCGCCAAGGTAAGGAGTCGTATGCGCTTTGCTCAGCTAGTTCTCTCTTGCGGACCTTGATACTGAGCAACATACCTACGACTTCTCTTTAGCTCCTTGGAGATGCCACGGACCAGCTCTCGGTCAAGCTTGGCGGCACCCTTTCCGGTCTGCTGAACGCGTCGTTTGGAAACGCGGTCGAGATCATTGTGGGGATTGCAGCTCTCCTCGATGGTACGTAAGAGGTGGTAAACCTTTAGCGCCATTTAGTGCTCACTAACAAGCGCCCACGCACGACGGCCATGTGCACTGTAGATCAAATTCGCATTGTGCAGACTTCTGTGAGATTCCCAACACAGATCCAGGGCGTCTAAGGGTGACTAATATTGGAATAGATGCTGGGGTCAATCTTATCAAACCTTCTACTTGTCTTGGGATGCTCATTCCTGGCTGGTGCGTAAAAGCTGGCTTAAAACTCTGGTCAGCCTTCAATGAACCGCGGTCACAGGCGGCCTTAAGCACCATGAAGGAAACTTCCAGGTCCAGGGCGCCCAAGCGTGAGTGATCAGCATTTCCTTACCTTATAAAATCTAATCTTGTCTCTAGTTCAGCATCGGTACGTTTCATCTTCATAAACTATTTATCGCATTCACTTCTAACGTTACTGGTAGTTGATGACTCTTGCCTGCATCAGTAAGCGTTATAACTTATCCTCGTCTCATTTTCATCTGACACATGCATGTCAGCCTTGGTCATCCCTGCCGCGTATAACAGCCTGTCCACCAACGGACATGCTGTCAGCCATTGCGACATCCCCAACAGTATGGGTGGCTGCCCTTCGTCCGGCCTGCTGGCCATCTCCCGCGGGACCGCAATCCTGTTGTTTTTCGTTTATGGCGCCTACTTGCTCTTCCAGGTACAGCATGAATTTGCTTGATGCGTTCGAAACTAAACGCTGACGTCCTTCTAGCTCAAGACGCATCGTGAGTTTTTCGAGGATCAGGCTGAAGAGGAAACTGCTGCCGAGATGAACACTTTCTCTGCTGGAACTGCGTATGTTACGGTCCCTTCGCCCCCATATCTTCCCGGCTCACCAGCTGTAAAGGCTCCTACTTGTCACCGTCATCACTGCGTTCTGCGCGGAGTATCGTAAGTCCCCCTCACTGCTTTCTCGCGGCGACGTCGGCTCATGTGATTGACCCTACAAAGTGGTCGCATCTATTGAAGAGACCGCAGAGCGGTATCACATCCCTGAGGCGTTCATCGGTCTCATCCTGCTCCCAATTGTTGGCAATGCTGCTGAACACGTCACGTCCATCTGGATGGCGCTGAAGAACAAATACGAGCTCACCATCGGTATCTGCGTCGGAAGTTCCATTGTACGTCTCAGACTCGACTTGATTTTCTGAGTTCGCTGAACAACACCCGCCAACAGCAAATCGCCACCTTTGTTGTGCCGCTCTTGGTTATGGTAGGCTGGGCGTAAGTGAACATCTACAGATAAATGATTATTTACAATGCTTAACGCACATGACCACATCAGCTCGGGCCACGAGCTCACGCTCTTCTTTGCTAACTTTGAGGTTAGCCAGTAATTTACAGTTACATTCAAATGCACCATATTGACCTTTCTTGCTCAGACTGTCATCCTCTTCGTCTCGGTTTTCCTCGTCACCATCCTCATTATGTACGTGTTCGAGTCTCTTCTTCATGGTTACAGCCTCTCTCATCATCCGATGTTGGAATACAGGGACGGCAGGTCGAACTACATGGAAGGTCTCATGCTCATCACCCTCTACGTGGTCATTGCCATTGCCTGTGAGTATCTTGCTTCACCGTATCACCGTCTTGCTAGAAGACATTCACTGGATATTTGCTCACGGGTGTCCTTTTAGTCTGGGTGACTGAATAATGCGAACTGCGGAAGAAGAACATCACGCTGTTGAAAGCTGGAAGCTGGAAGACTGGGTCAAGAAGTCTGCGTATTTATAAACTAGTGTTGTCCCAGCCCTGCGTTCATTCTGTGCTTCGTTAGTTAATCTACATGAATTGCGTTAGTGCTAGTGCTATTCTCTGCTTATATGAGATTTAAGTAATTTGGGTGTTCATGGTACCTCTGTCGCATATTTATCAACTTTCAGGAATGGAGGGCAGATCGTCGGGTCTATCAACGAGAAATAAGCGACACATTCCTCGCCCGCCTGATCATACGGTTGGTTCACAGTACGTAGAATCCTAAGTTCATTCAATTTCACCGGGCTACCTCTAGGTACAATCTAGGTACAAGAGGCACGCCGACAAAAAGCTGAAGGTCTTACAAGTAAGCGCGATCGATGGAGATGATGACTTGTCGAGGAGTCAAACAAGCGATTGCAAACAAGAGGCGGAGGACAAAACGGAGTTTCGAAATGTTGACGCCAACTTCCACATGCATCTCGCGTGCTGTTATACGAATCGTTTCTTATTGTCTCTTTCATCGTCAGAACACCTTCCTCATCCTGATCCTTTAGCCTAATGTTGGATACAGGTAGCTCACATGCTGATGAGGGCACACAAACACCTTCCATCTCTCTGACGCGCCCCGAAGATTGGAAGTACATCGCAGAAGGAAACGCGACGATCGCCTTCACGTACACCGGCCCAGATTCAAACTTTCGCGAGTTCGCCCTCAGGCTGCGCAAGACGAATGCAGCTGCCCCAAAGGACGTGATGCGAGAGCCGAACTCGGGGATTGGGCTCACAGCTGGGCACACGCGGTCAGATACCCTACGCACTCCGCGTTTCACGGCATCAGAAGAGGGAGACCATGCGTGCAAAGACCTTGCCTTCCATTCTCAGGTGATCGCGCGTCTTCTTCCGAACGAATGCCTTCCGCGGATCAAGACGGTGAAGCTGGAGAGAGGTTGGCTCGAAAGCTTGCATGCTCTCGAAGGACGCACGTATAGCAGACCTGCTGCTCGAAAGAGTGTCGGTGGAATTGATGTCTGTGCTGATACAGGCGTCCTTGCCACTGATCTTGTAGGTTCTGCGCCGCTTGCGGTTGAAATCAAGGTGATTATCCCGATCCTTGTATTGTGTATTTTTGCGAACATTTTCCATCTGAACATTGGGGTTCTTGCCGCCAGCCTAAGTGGGGCTTTCTTCCGTCCACATCCAAGTGGCTTTCTCGTGAGACGGCACCGGTAAAGACGACGACGTGTAGATACTGCATGCACTCTTGCCTCAAGCTACATGGGCGCGACTCAAACTCGAGGTCCTTCTGTCCTCTTGATCTTTACTCTAGAGATGAAGAGCGCGTGACGCGAGCGATCTCTGCTTTATGGGACGAATGGGCCGCTGACGATGCCTCGTTCAATAATTTGAGGATATTTGCGGAAGGCAAACCGGTACGACCCAACGATGTAGGTTTTTGTCTACAAAGTCGGTGCTTGTTATTCATTATCCTCAGCATAACAGTCTCGCACGGCTGGCTCAAGTGCTGGGCTACCCAAAGTCCAATCTTACTGGCTTCTCATGCCTCAAGGATGTGTTTTGCTCCGCGCTTGTACCTCTGGTGCTAACGACAGCGGCTTTCAGTACACTAGCAGAACTGCAACGGTCCCTCGACGTGCTAGACATCGAAGGTCTCCTGGCTATTCACAAACGCGCGGCGTTATCAATCTCAGATCTTGCAGAGCCGACAATTGGTGACTGGAACGCCTTCGTGGATACATACACCTCTGGGTTCCGTACGTGGAATCATGAGAATCCCGCCATGGGAAATGCCGCAACATATAGACTTGCTTACACGCTATCTGCGACATTCAAGGACTGCTCTGTGATCCTCCAACCGCACTCCACCACTCCAGCCTCTGATACGCGTGGATGCGCTGCCGTCATAGATTTGGGCGTAAAGCCGCTTTCTCGCTTACAAGAGTGGGCTTCCAAAGACAGAAAAATTGCTTTGTTCTACGCAGAGCATGTTCCCGAGACGGAGCGGCGAACTTGCATCGATAACAACAGAAAGCTCCGAGTCTCCTCAAGGTGCAGCAATTGGCGCGCGGATCTTGCTGATATTTTTCGCGGCGTTCTCCGTCGATGAGAGCCCGTGTCTTTTTGCGAAGTAACCTTCGACATCGTCTGTGTGCCCCTGGACACGAGCAAATCATGCCCAAAATCGAAACTTTGTCTATCTTTGCGACATCATGCATATGCCGTGCCTGTGATGCGGGCGCTATTCCCCTTACCTCCTTCTGCTGCTAATTTTTTTTCTTGTGTTTTCATGGTTATTCCGGCGTACAATCGCCTCGAACACGGCATCGACGCGAATTGGAAATCTTTCAATTATGGGTTTCGCCTTCACATTCACGACCAACGCAGTGGGAGACCCATCAGTAACCACTCCCTGATACGAAAAACGACTTCTGACATCAGCTTCCGTGGCTGCCCTCCACAAGCCTCCACATGCCTCATGTTTTCGCCGCTTCCACCATGCGGATATGGGTCTGATCATTCCCAACGAAGGCTTGCTGAATTGCACACTTCCACATATGATCTCGACATCCCCAAATGCTCGTTCGCTTAGCGATCGCGATGGCAGCGAGGCCGAGCATCGACGCTGACACGCCAATATATCCCTACCCGCGAAGGTCATACGGAGGGTCAATCATAAATTGGGTCTCAGGCACCGCGTGGTCGACGGCGTTATGCGCTTATGCGCGTTTAGGACGTCCCCTTTGGACGAATGGGAGATCCATAAGGACCCACACAGCCTCCGACTCATTGGTTCGGAGGAACCGAGCGTGGAATGACCGTGTAGGCGCCCGACGACCCTGCCGCTCCGTTGGCGGGATGCCATGGGACTGGTATACCATAATTGGTGGCTAACTTGCGTCGGGTCGGCCGCCCCGATGGAACCCAGGCGCTCGTGTGCCGAACTGGTGTTTGAGCTTTGATAGCTTTGATAGGTTATAGCTCCAGGTACGGTCAGTTGCATATGTTTTGCGGGGGCGGAGTACACAGCCTCTTACTGTCTAGCCAGGCCTTGAGCTCAAGCCTAGGGCCAGACGGCCGTATCTTGTCTGTCTGTTGATTGAACTTACCGTACGGAGGCCCCTACTAGGATCAATAAAGCTAAAGCCACTCGACTTCGAGCGCGAATGTCGGGGAGCATGCGACGTATCATATCACGGTACATCAGGTGTACTGCACGCGACTGCGAATATTTGCTCGGTGAGTCTCGCGCCACCACCTGCAGCCCGCCACAATAGTAGGCGCCACAGGCTTCGAATTCTCGAGATGCACGAGCGAATGTCGTGCATCAGTCCGGCGCGCTGGCGTGAGCCTCGCTCCGAACACGTTATATGTACAAAGCAGTGGCTATTGTCGTATCGCGGTGCATCTCCGCACTCCAAAGACAAAGATAGCACCAGACAGGCACACATCTACATTATCAACTTGTCCGTGCGTTCGGACTGTTTGATTATAGTCTTGGTGCGGGCCGAAACGGTTTTAAGGTGTGAGATTCAGAAGACGGATCTAGTACCAAACATATGCGCCTCGGCGCCAAGTTTGACTTGCCTGCATCTCAGCGGTGATCTCGGCGAGGTACTAGACATGAGAAAACCCAGCACCACAAGTCCGGCCCTGCATGCGCACATTTGAAAGAGAGACATATTGAACAAGTTAGATCTTCGCAGGCCAAACTCAGCAAGTAAGCTTCCGTCGGCCCCGTTTGAAAATGTATACAATGCAAGAGAGTAACGTTACTGTACGTGCACAATGTCGAATTTTGTGAAAGAGAACACGGGAGAGCGGACCTTCCGGGTCAAGCTCGAGAAGAAAAAGGAAAGAGAGGGGAATATTACAGGGTAGGCTCTGATTTCAGAGATCCTAACCCGTGGATGATGTACGATTGAGTGTTAACTAGAAAGTCCAAGAGTAAGGTACAGTTTATAGAGCGACCCGCGTGTACGTAAAGTAATGGCACCCAAAGACCCAAAAACCCGAGTTGAAAGAGGAGGCGAATGGACAAGGAGGCGGAATAGGTGTATGTAGTGTAATTGTCACTCTTTTTTGGAAACAAACAATAAAAAAACATGCGAGCGCGGAAACATGCCGTGACCGACCATAGCGTCATGGCCGTTTCGGAGCCATAGATACGAGATGGATACGAGATGATGGTGATGATGACAATGATGATGGTGTGGATGAGGGGCACGATGGTGATCAGATTTCTACTTGAGTGTGTGATTCAATGAGCAGCAACAGAACAGTGCGATCAGCAGCGAGATTACAGAGATGGATATGTTACGACAGTGGCAGTGGAGCGATATGCAGACAGCAGTTATACAATTGCGCGGAGTGCGGCGAGATGAGGTGAGGGGATTGTGGGAAGGGATCCAGAGCAGAGGGGAAGGAGAGAGGAGATGGGGATGGAATGGGAAGAATAATGATGGCACGGGAAAGGGAGGAGGAGAAGGTCGAAAGTCGTGGAGATGAGGGGACACAGTGCCCAGAGGAATGCTCGAGGAAGAGACGCTATCCCTAAGCGTAGGGACCGTAGTATCCATCGGGCATGGCGTGCCCATCGAAGTGGCCATTGGCTTGCGGATGGCTCATCTGCATCTGCGTGTTCCTACCTTGAGCCCGTTGAAGCTGGAGCTGCCGTTGCTGCTGGACAAAAGCGGCCTGCTGATCTGCAACATAGCTGCTGTGCGTGTCCATGGGATGCATCACACCGTTCATTTGGGAATGGAAGGTGGTAGGACTTGTTTCGAACGTTGGCACAGACTCGAACAGGGCGGAATTCTGCATGCCATAGTCCGGGTTGCTCGCATATGCGTGCTGGAACGAGTAGTCTCGATAAGCACTCGGAGGCGGCGCCATCGACGGAGAAGCCGACATCGGACTGGACAGGGAAGAGTGGTTGCTGCCGACGGGAGACATATACCCAACGCTGTCCACAGCCTGCATGGTCGCATGGCCAGAGGCCCCGTCCGTATAGAAGAGCGCGCTCATTTCAGTTTGACCGGAAGCTTGCGGCAGGAGTTCACCCGAGGAGGTGCCGAAGCCGGAGCTCGGTGCGGAGAGCGGCAGTGCCCTAAAAATAGCCGTCAGTAAGTCGTGCCGAACAGGAAAGTGGAGAAGTGGAGAAGCAAAGAAGCGAAAAGAAAAGAAGCTCACATCGACGCATCCGGGTAGCCAACTGCCGGCGGCGACTCTTCGTATATGTGCTGCCTCGCGGTGGCGTACGGATATTGATTGTACAGCCCATGAGTATACATGCTACTAGTCGGGAAGCTCCCAGCGCTGAACTGCCTCGGGTCGAAGTCGGGGTGGGCTGAACTAGGTTGCGAGTGTGACTGTGGCTGGCCACGCTCGGCGAGAACCTGTGCAAGTCCAGTCGTCGACAAAGAGGGCGCAGACGCGCAAGAAGCGTGACCGAGTGAGCGGCGAGGAAGCAGTGGAGCCATGCTGGACATCCGACTAGGCGCATACACCTGTGGTCGCTGCTGGGGCGATGAATCGCACGAAGCTGCCCGAGGCGTCTGCATGGAGTCCGATCGAATTTGCGGACTTTGGGTTGGGGAGATCGATGTGTGGGCAGCTCCACCGACTTGGTCACTGGCGTGCATGCCCTCCAATGGACGTGGCTTGCTACTAGGCCCCCGGGGTTTGGATTCCTTCAACGGCGCATAGATGCAGATGAGTCCACGCTGGCTGCATCTCTGACACACAGGTCGTTCTCCCGAGCACTGCGGAAGCGCGTCAGATAGGGTGTCAGGTATGGCGTAACTGTTGCATGCTTACCTTGGTTTTCCGTTCCCGACACTTGTCGCATGCCTGAAGTGTCCGCTGTCTGGACCCAGTCGGCATGCGCAAGAACGCAGATGCTCCGAGATGTTCGATGGACGGCGGCGATGACGATGAGTGGCGAGAAAGGCCGGACGATTCGGGGGGAGGATAGAGGGGGCCTTGCTGGGCGAAGTTGGCATAGGAGACATCTGCATCGCTTCGGTGCGGTTTCGAAGCGTCCGTGTTGAATCTGTATGACAAGGTGGAGGGGGGCGGACAGGAGCTTGGGCCGGCGGACGATTGCTGGTAAGAGGCAACTGCCTGAGGTAGTCTGTGCTCGAATGGGCCTGCAAAGTACGGAAACTGTCTTTGAGGGTCCATGCGATGTGGGACTAGGGCGAGTGAGATCGTGGTTGGACAAGGAAGGGGGGTGCAGATGGTCGACGTCTCGAATGGGATCGCGAGGGGTTTTGTATGAGAGATAGGAGGTATCTGCGACGAAGAGGATTGGCAAGGGGGGACGAGGCGAGCCTGGCCAGCATTTTTAAGGCGTTGAGGATACGCTTGGAACGAAACTAGATTTGACCCGTCAGCTGCACAGGCCGAGTCCGAGTGGTGCAGTGTTTGGATGAATAAACTCTGCTTGGTCCGTCCCCCAGGGCCAGGCCGCGTCGAGGCACGGCAGATTATCCGTATATGGTTATACCTCCAACTCCGCGCATTATCTTCCCCTCTCTAAACCCTTTTTCACCCAGCTTTGCTGTCAGATATTCCGATTTAGGTCAAAACGAAGCAGAAGGACGGCCGCGCTCGAGGCTCTCGCCGATCGTACCTATGTGCGTTGCCCCCGATGATGCCCTGAAGATCTCTCAGATCTCTCAGATCTCTGAAGATCATGGTGTGCGGTGCTCCGATGTCGGCCAACTCGCAACCCGGATACATCGGACTCCCTCGGATGCTTGTAATGGCTATACACGCTTCAACTCCTTGTATTTTATTATAGAAGCCTACGAGCGTCTCTCTTCGGCACCGGCTTCCGTCCTCCGGGACTCCGGCTAATCTCAGCTTCCACTTTGCCCCACACGCGCCCTCCAGCCTAGGCCGTCCTTGCTCGCCGCTCCTGACTCATCCTTATGCCTTGAACGCTTCGTTGAACTCCCTCCCGATGAGCATCCGTCGGATTTCCTGTGTCCCCGCTCCAACGGCATACAATCGCGAATCCCGTAGAATTCTGCCCACAGGGTATTCTGTACACACGCACATTAGTCCTAAAACAAGACAACCGATTCAAACGGCTGCTTCAAGCGCTCACCGTTAATATACCCATTCCCACCAAGACACTGCTGAGCATCCATAGCAACTTCGATGGCCTTCTCGGTCGAATACAAGATCGCACCCGCGCAATCCTGCGGCAAACGAGAAATTTCTTGTCAATAACGTGTGACACCGCGCGCAAACTTCCGTTCGCCAACGGATTTTGCGTCGCACGGAACGCGTAGTATGTGGCGGCGATTGTCGCATGATGATATCGATACTCACCCTTCGACTGATCTGACCCCTGTCACATGCCTTTGCGACGGCGTACACGTACGCTCTGCTCGCGTTCAGCTTCGTGTACATGTCCGCGATTTTGGCTGCGAAGATGCCAGATTAACAAGATCCACGTGGCCGGGTCCGGACCTGACCGGGGTCAAAAGCCGTCGAGCGAAAGAAGACCGACCTTGGATGAGCTGGAAAGTTCCGACCGGTTGGCCGAACTGTTTGCGGTCATGTACGTATTCGACAGCGTAATCGAACGCCGATTGCATCAGGCTGTGCGTCGGGCAGATCCGTAAGCCAATGCCCGGAGACGGAGATTCTAACAGAGTTCAATGGCACTGACCCGAGAGGTCCGCCACTCAGGACCAGTCGCTCAAGGTCAAGGCCCGACATCAGCACACCGGCGCCTTTGTTGAGCTTGCCAAGTACATTTTCTGTTAGCGCAGCAGCAGCGTCCCAGAATACCCAGGGGCAAGATTAGCATCAGGTGTTGGCTGTTGGCAGAAAACTTTTATCGCCGCACCCTCAGGTACCTCGCAGTCCTCGAACACGAGCTCGCATGTGTCACTTCCCCGCATGCCAAACTTGTCCAGCTTTTGATGAGTCGAAAAGCCTTTGAATGACTTCTCGATTATGAACGCGGTAATCCCCTTGGAGCCCTTCTCGGGCGCAGTTTTGGCGTACACCACGAGGGTTGAAGCAGTAGGTCCGTTGGTGATCCTATCAACAGATAAAGTACAATGGCTCAGCAATCTCGGAACAGGGCACGGCGCACCAGCGCTGTGGACGCACCAAAATTTGTTCCCGTTCAGGCGCCAACCGCCATCGATCTTGTCCGCTTTGAGTTTCATACTCACAACGTCGCTCCTGCACAGCTCTGGTCAACACCCTTGCACCGGATCCGTCCGCTCCGGCGACCAAGGAATTCGTCATGCGGCACCAAGGCGCAACTTACCCGCTGCCTGGTTCGCTCATGGCGAGAGCACCGACCTTCTTTCCGCTGACGAGGTCGGGAAGGTACTTTTCCTTCTGCGCGTCTGTGCCGTGCCTGTGAATCTGATTGACGCACAGGTTCGAGTGGGCGCCGTACGAGAGCGCGACGGAGCCGGAGGCGGCAGAGAGCGCCTCCATGGCGAGCGTGTGCTGGAAGTAGCCCGACTGCAGCCCGCCGTACTTGGATCCGACGGTGACGCCTAGGAGGCCCATGTCGCCCATCTTCTCCCACACGTCCTGCGAGCGCGTCAGGGGTAAATGCGTGTGTACCCCAAGGAGGAATTAGTGCCAGGTACGCACGGTGGGGAAGGTGTTGGTGTGGTCGATCTCCTGCGCTCGAGGTGCGATCTCGCGTTGTGCGAACTCTGTCACTGCGTCACGAAACTGGATGCGGGGGAGGATGTATGCGGCACGTCAGCGTTGTCAGGAATTGTCAAGCCCCGAGTAACCTGTCAGAGCCCCGGTGTGGGGAAGGCCTAGACGCTAAGGCTGCCGTGGCATGGCTAGGAACGGGGCAACGCAGAGCTTCAGAGAGCGGCACACACCTCCGCTTCTTCGGCGGTCAGCCCAGCAACGTCTGCGTTGTAGGTGGAGGCGAACCGTGCCCGTCGCACATTAGCAGGCACGGCGGTGCAGTGTCTCCTCAGATTACGTGCGCCAAGTCGGCCGAACATAAGCGAAGGCAGAGACATGTAGGGAAGGTGGACGGAAGGCTGTCAAGCAATAGAAGGTGAAAACCAGTGTCGGCGCAGTGAGTGGTAGGAGGGCAAGTGAAGGTGGACGCCGGCAGCGGGTGTTGGATACAGCGACGACGTCTGCGGGAGTCCGGCTAAGCTAACTGTCAATGGTGCGCGGACCTTAGCCGCCGGTCGCCGGTGGGGCCGCGACGCGTCTCCGGCTCCGGCTTGGTTTACCCCGACTTGTTGACATCCAAACATGTCTGCGAGGAACATGCATAAGGAGCTTCACTGGGGGCATTAGACGATGTTTCCAGGGGAAACATGTCAAAAACATTTAAAATATTTTGCTCAAAATGCCAAATTTAGAAGGTAACCTGCCCAATTAGGAAGGTGACCCTCAAAACATTTTGAATGTTTTCATAGAAAACATTGGCAATTGCCCCCAGTGCTTGTAAGGAACACGAATTCAGTCGAGCGGTGCAATGAAATGCAGTGAAAGAAGCAAATCGCACTAGAGCGAGTGCGATGTCAATCTGTCATTCAGCCTCCTTCGTGGCGTCGCACTACCACAACTTGGAAATTAAGTACCGTACAACGGGTTCCCCAACCAACGACTTGGAGGTACGCCAAGAGGTACGCAGCTTAAAGACTCTGTAGCCCGGTGCAACTGGGAACGCTGAGGCGGTTCAACGGCGGATCTCAAAAGAGTTTTTGACCGTACGGATAGGATCACGAGAAGATCGTCATCACCAAGAAGCTCGTCGTCGATGTGTTGCGGTGTACGGATCGTGGCTCAACTCGACCGTGTTGGGTGATGTTGTTGAGCGTCTCGTCTTACTGAGCAATCCTATTCAACGCTTAGAAAAGATTTGATAGTGCGCTTGACCCGTAGATCGCGGTCGGAGATCCGGTAAAAATACTCTGCAAGGGCCAGAGGCCCAGAGCTGCGCAGCTGCAGTCTGTGCCTACTCAGCGCCAGCTCTTGATTTAGCGTTCATGGTTCCTGGATCTCCACTTACAGAGTTAAAGTTGCTGCACCGATATCTCCTTTGCAGTTGTATGGATCTAAGCAACGGTAGACATCGGTGATAGTTTTGTCCGACTTGATTCTCGTGCCTTCATAATACGAGATTCAGTCCATGTCCTAGATTGCTGAGTAGTTGACCTTATCAAACTCAATGGTGTTGCCCATCATGAAGGCCGCCCTGAGCAGGTACTTTTTTCTTTGACAAGCTCTGCCTCTCGTGGTCTTTTCGGTCAAGAGTTTTAAGACTGCGTAGCAATATTATGTGTAAGCGTGCGGGGAATTAGATTTACAGGAACCTCAGGGTAAAGATCTTGCATACATAAGTATGCACACCATCGCGGGAAACGCAGGGAGACCGCTAAGGTGCAGGGACATGCCTAGCGTTCATACTCAGAGATGTTAGTATGTTGGTGTGTGTGAGGCGAGGGAAATTGAGAGTTGCTTGGTGCCGGTGAGGTGTGGTTCAGCGGCAGCTTGGACCCCTGACACTGTAAGTGTCACGTGTACCTATGCCAAATACAATTACATAATTTCAACCTCGAGTTCTTGGTCACACAGCTCCTTGGCCACCAGCTCCAGTTTGTGATCCACCGCCATGGCTGCCCTCGCTGCGTACGTCCTCTCTGCATTTTCTGAGGTTGATTTACTGACAAGAGACTACAGTGTATTACCCGCACCTACATATGCACCCACTGTCTCGGACGATGAGGACGACGTCAGACAGGAGGGCCCGTCAACGTCAAAGGACCAGTCGTTAATCCCCCACAATGCCACTCCCCCGTATGGCCAGCGCAAGGGATGGAAGCCTTCGAGGCCTGAAGACTTTGGTGAGCCTATACTGAGACGTTACGCTGGTCTTGGGACTGACTGTATCAGGCGACGGTGGTTCGTACCCCGAATGTCATGTCGCACAGTATCCCTTGCAAATGGGCAAGAAAAAGGTATGCTTTCTCCTCCTACATTCCCCGACAATCTAACTATATGCTCTACAGACCGCCGCCGGCAACACCCTCGCCCTACAAGTCGACTCGGAGGGCAACGTCCGGTACGACGCCATCGCGCACCAGGGCCAGCGCGAGGGCAAAGTCGTCCAGTCTCAGTTCAAAGACCTCGTCCCGATCGCACACCGCAAGGACCTGACCGACGAGCAGCGCGCCATGGAGCGGCCCTCGGAGGAGGACGTGCAGGCGACGACGGAGAAGACGCGGCTCGCGCTCGAGAAGCTCGTGAGCGGGAAGATCAAGGCCGCGCAGCCCAAGAACGTCCCCGGCTCGCAGGGCAATGCGAGCTACATCCGGTACACGCCCGGCCAGCAGGGCGCGAGCGGGAACGGGCTGAACCAGAGGATTATCAAGATGTCGGAGGTGGTGGAGGACCCGATGGAGCCGCCCCGGTTCAAGCACAAGAAGATCCCGCGCGGTCCGCCGAGTCCGCCGCCACCCGTGCTGAGGAGCCCGCCTCGCAAGGCGACGGCGTCGGAGCAGAAAGAGTGGATGATTCCGCCTTGTATTTCGAATTGGAAGAACAACAAGGGTTTTACTATTCCGCTCGACAAGCGGTTGGCTGCTGATGGCCGAGGGCTGCAGGATGTGAGTTCAAACATTTTTATTTCATTCTATTTGTAACACTAATGAGGGCTGCGTGTACATAGGTGCATATTAACGATAACTTTGCCAAGTTTTCGGAAGCTCTCTTCGTTGCCGACCGACACGCTCGAGAGGAAGTACGGCAACGGTCACTCATGCAGCAGAAGCTTGCTCAGAAGGAGAAGGCTGCCAAAGAGGAAAACCTACGGTTGCTTGCACAGCGTGCTCGCGAGGAGCGCTCTGGCGTTGCTCCATCACGACCGGCGCAGCCGACGGCAGAAACTCGCGCGGCTGTCACTTCCGCTTTGGGTGGCTACGGCAGTGGCAGTGATGAAGGGTCCTCCGAGGCAGACCAAGACTCGGAGGCGGAGGACGACGATGCCCGCAAAGTTCGCGACGACATGCGCGCCGAGAAGCGGCGGGAACGGGAGCGGGAGATGCGGATGTCGAACATGGGCACGGAGCAACGCGCGAAGATGCTCGCACGGCAGCAAAACCGCGACATTTCGGAGAAGATCGCTCTTGGACTTGCGAAGCCGACGATGTCGAAGGAGTCGATGCTCGACTCGCGGCTGTTCAACCAGGAGTCGCTGAGCGGAACATTTGCTGACGAGGAAAACTATAACCTGTATGACCGTCCGCTGTTCCACGGCTCGAATGCTGCTGCGATGATCTACAAGTCGCGGGGAGATCTCGATGCTGGCGACGACGATCAGTATGGTGGCGGGACTGAGGAGGGCATCGGAAAAGCTCTGGACAACGACCGGTTTGGGCTCGGACGTGCGCAGGTGGGCTTCGAGGGTGCACAGGACCAGGAAGTCCGGGAGGGTCCCGTGCAGTTCGAGAAGGACACGAGTGACGTGTTTGGTGTGGACAAGTTCCTGGACGAGGCCAAGGGGGGGAGAAAACGAGGGTTGGAAACGGATGTGTAAGTATAGCTTTTTGTTTTTTTGACGAACAGATGCTGATTCTCGTTCCTTTTGCCATGGCAGCTCTGGGTCACGGAAACGGCAGCAGGTGGAGAGGGATAACGAGATGTCATAAGTAGGTAATGTTGTAGATAGACTATAGGTATTGTTTCTATGATATGATCTTGTGCTGTACTGGAATAAGAGTGAGAGTGACACGTCAAGGCGTGGAGGTTGCATGTGATGAGTTGGTGTGGCAACGGCAGCCAACAACAGTCGTCTCTTTCTCTCACGTTCTCCCTCTCCCCACCGTCGACGCCCCGTTGCCTCTCCAGCAACATTGGCTTAGCCACCCTACACTCTTTTCTCCCTCCCACTCACTATTCCCAGTATCGTTCTTGAAGACGGCAAATACACAGTACTAGGCTTATTTACAACGCATGAACACGCCTCATCGTCGCCTGCCTGCTGAGCGGGCACGCCATACAAAAGCAAAACGACTCGGCCATGTCCAACCTGGCCCCAACTACAACGCTATTCTCGCTGGGACACCCCAGCAAGATGATTTGATCCCCTTACCTGGTCTTGGCAGCAGTGGAGGTACAACGGGCGGTACAACGGGCGGTCAAGCAGCCGCTGGTGCAAGCGCCTCGACGACGGCTGTCTCTGCTGCTCAAAGCCAAACTAGCAGCGACCCCAAGGCAAGCAGCACCACCGCATCTGCAACGGCCAAGTCCCAGTCTGCGACTTCGGCCTCGGCGTCGTCCACGACTCCCAACTCGTCGACTACGGCTGATAGCAAGACGAGCACCACCGCAGCGTCCTCTACCACCGCATCATCGGCTTCTGCATCCGCATCCACGCCTGCTAGTGACCCCGCAGGCAGGTCTACTTCGGTTGTCGTCGTTCCCGGGGGAGGCACCAGCACTGCATCTGCCCCGAGCAGCTCCATCACGACCAACCCGAACAATGACAGCAAGTCCGGCGGCGGTCTTTCCAGCAGCGCCAAAGGCGGCATCATTGCAGCCAGCGTCATTGTTGGCATCGCGCTTCTCATTTTCCTTATTCGCAAGACCTACCTGCGCCGGCGAGACAAGCGTCGCATCTCCTGGGCGGACGCCGCTATGTTCCCGCCGCCCCCTGAGCCCGAGAACGAGAAGGGTTCCGCGCCTATGGAGATGTTCCGCGGCGCGCCGTCGCCCCCGCCCCATCCGATGGGCAACATGGGCGGAGGCGGCGGCGGTGGTGGCGGCGGAGGGTACTCGTCGCACCAGCAGATGATGATGCAAGGCCCGTATCCAACGGCCGGTGGCGCGTTCCCGCCGCCCCCGCCGCAGTCGTACAATAACCCGATGCCGTACAATCCCTACAACAGCCCGCACATGAACCAGTCGCTCCCGCCGCTTCCGCCGCAGTCCCCTGCACCTGGGTCTATCGTCAGCGTCGGCAACGGAGTCGGCGCAGGCGTCGGCGCCGCCAGCGCACTCGCCATGGCGCGCGCCGCGGCGTCCGGCTCCCCGCCCGCGCAGGCCCACGGGCACGGCGGGATGGGCCCTCCGCCGCCCAAGTCGGCGTCGCCGCCGGTGCAGGACGCGCTGGTGAAGTGCACGTTCATCCCGACGATGCCGGACGAGCTGCAGATCCTGTACGGGGAGCGCGTGCGGATGCTGATGCGGTACGACGACGGGTGGTCGCTGTGCGCGAACGCGCGCGGGGAGCAGGGGATGGTGCCGCTCGAGTGCCTCGACTTTGGCGGGGACGGGCAGGGGGCTGGGTATGCGGGCGCGCCGCAGCAGCAGCGGCACTTTGGGGGCGGCGGGTCGGGCGACTGGCACAGTATGCAGAGGAACAGCAGTTTGAACCCCGATGGGCGGTTTTAGGTGGAGGTGGAGGGACGGATGCGGCTATGAGATGAGATGTTGATGCGATGTTGGGGTAGGTAGCTTTTCTGTCTTTTGTTGTTGTTCACGAAGAGTAGCATGCTCATCAATGATGACTGTTTATTTTGTTTGGTGGACCAGGCTAGGCACTGCTGCTGCTGCTGCTGTGCACGTTGTCGTATTCCGTATTTATGATGCATACCCCCACATCGTTACCCGGATTTATTTCTTTTTTATTCTTTTTTTATACATCCTCTTCATTCCTGGTGTAGATGTGGATGTTGGTTATCGGCGGCCCGGTCTCGGGCTGTCCTTCCTCTCTTTTACATACTACTATTACTTATGCGTCTCTGGGACTGAGACGCTTTTCCTTACTGTTGATCCCTTGAGCGAGTCGCGTATATTTGACTCGGGCCTGGGGCTCTCTGTAATTCAGTTTTTTGTGACGTGGATTTTTTCTTGATAGATTGGGAGGACGTGACTGAGGGCTTTATGGAGACTTGGTTTTTCTTTTTTCCTGGAGGATGGGATTTTTTTTACAGTGCATTGTCTCGTTATACTGTGTTTCTGTGTGTACGTATGCTATAGTGTTTTGTTACTTGCTGTCGTTGTGGAGCTGGGTAATAGCACTTTGTCACTTTTTGACCTGTGGTTAGGACTCAGATGTTTGACGGGCGCTAAATTGTACTGACGCCGAGTCGCGTCTAACAAGGACCACCAACACCACCACCTCAATTGCGATTATGAAGAAAAAGGTAAGGTCTCAGGCGGTCAATGTATCACAGTAAACCTTGAACAATGTCCAGGTTCTCCTCATGGGTGCCTCTGGCAGCGGAAAGACGTCGATGCGCTCCATGATCTTGTGAGTCCGCCTCCCGCCGTCCTCCCGCCTACCCGATCACAGAGCGTCTAGAAACCCACCCGCGCGCCTCTGATCCCCCAGCTCGAACAACCCCGCGTCGCTGACGGAGCGCCTGGGCGCGACGATCGACGTCGAGCAGAACCACGTGCGGTTCCTGGGGGACCTGATCCTGAACCTGTGGGACTGCGGCGGGCAGGAGGCGTTCATGGAGTCGTACCTGCACCAGCAGCGGAGCACGGTGTTCTCCGCGGTGGGCGTGCTCATTTATGTGTTTGATATCGAGACGCGCGAGCTGGGGCGGGATCTGGAGTATTTCCGGGAGTGTTTGGAGGGGCTGAGGCAGTATAGTCCGGCGGCGAGTGTGTTTTTGCTGGTGCATAAGATGGATCTGGTGAGGGAGGGGGAGAGGGCGGCGGTGTTGGCGCGGAAGAGGGAGGAGCTGGAGAGGGCGAGCGGGGGGAAGGGGGTGACGGTGTTTGGGACGAGTATCTATGACGAGACGCTGTATAAGGTAGCCCCGTCTCTCCCCTTGACGTTCTCGAGCTCATCGCTGACTTGGATAATTTGGATGGTAGGCTTGGTCTGGGATCGTGCACACGCTCATCCCGAACGCGTCGACGCTCTCGCGGCACCTGCGCATCTTCGCGGACGCGTGCAGCGCGAACGAGGTCGTCCTCTTCGAGCGCACGACGTTCCTCGTCATCGCCACCTCGTCCTCGTCCGCCCCGGCCCCGGTCGACGGCGGCGACATTTCTGCGGCAGAGGCGGCGGCTGCGGCGGCCCCAGACGAGACGGCGCTGAACCCGAAGCGGTACGAGCGCACGTCGGAGCTCATCAAGGCGTTCAAGCAGTCGTGCTCCCGTCTGCGGGAGGAGTTCCACTCGCTCGAGATGGAGCTCGCGGAGTTTACGGCGGTGCTGGATGAGATGACGAAGAACACGTATGTGCTTGTGATTGTGCATAATCCGGTCGTCGGTGAGTGCGCGTCCATGGATCAAATCCAAAGAAGCTTATTGTGCTTGTTCTGCGTCTGTGCAGAGACCGCTGCGATCAAGATGAACATCCGTATTGCCCGTAGGAAGTTTGAGGAGCTGCAAGGGGACAATACGCCGTCGTGATGCTCTCTGCCTTGCTCCTCTCACTGCGTTTCTGGTTTGTACACCCTGTGTCCGAGCCTTTTGTTTGGTGTCATCCGACTGTGATCGGTGCACCTTGGAACAGGATTGCCCCCCTTGTATCACAAGGAAGAATGTACGATATGAACAAAGTGGTGTAATTATATCCTGGAAGGAACAATCCGGGTCACTATCCTGACCTGTCCAACGTTGATAGCGCTACTGCTCTGGTGATGTGATCTGCGCCGGATGAGCTCATCTGAGATTGTGCGCCGATGTTTATTGGACCAGCAAAGAAGCGGTTGACAAGGGAAATTATAATGAGCTGTGAAGACACATGCAGAACATACACATAGGGGCTGTGCGTTGTCCGTCGTAACGCGTCGCCAACTAAAAAGAGCCTCAACTCCACCCTTTATTATAAACTTGTACTACTCACGACTCGGGCTGCCTAATAATACTGTGCACTCGGAGTCGTCGACGACGTTGATCAACACTCCCACCAACGTCACTCCTGGCCGAGCGGACTCCACGCGACGTTCAACATAATACGCACCAATGCACGCCGGTGCCTCGAGCAGCTTTATAGGACCTGATCCTCGCTCCGAGTCCCGCATTTACTCTTCAAGTCCACCAAACATGTGGACATCAGCGCCGGAACGCACAAGCCACACAGCCAAGGGCAAGGGGCGTGCCTTTGACGGTGTCATCCCGCCTGCCGCCCTCGAGGGCATGTCGGACCGCGACGTTGAAGGTGCGTCTCAGTCGTCGTGTCTTGCGGTTACCTCGGTCTCAACCCCTTGCAGCACTTACATACCAGCTCCTCGGCCGCCTGCCTCGGTCCAAGCTCGCGGACATCCAGCGACGCATAGACCCCATGCTCCGCTTTGACTTGATTTCTGTCAGTCCCTCTAATACCCCATCGCTGGGTCTATCCTGCCCAAAGCTAACCTACGCTCCCATTTAACTACAACTACAAACACAAACGCGCATCCCTCGCCCGTCCGCCCATGCGACTCGCCATGCCCACCCACATCCACACGTTCCCGCACCCACCCGCCTATCACGCCCCCCACGGCAACGGCAATGGCCACGTGCAGCACCTCCCCACCGAGCTCGCGCTCAAGGTCTTCTCCTGCCTGCCCGCGCCGGACCTGCTCGCGTGCGGGCGCGTGTGCAGGCGCTGGCGCGCCGTCGCGGACGACCAGGCGCTCTGGCGCGCGCTGTGTGCCGCGCGCGGGTGGCGGTGGCGCTCGAACGGCGTGTTGTCTGATAGCAAGGCGAAGAGGCGGAGTGCGTCGCTCACGGGCGCGGGGGGCGGTGAGGGGGCGAGGCGGCGCGAGAGGGAGGACGGGGACGAGGACGAGGGGATGGGAGATGAAGAAGAGGACGACGAGAGCGAGAGCGAGGACGAGGGGATGGGGATGGGTGAGCGGTTGGATGGCCATGTTGGGGCGGGTGCGGGCGCGGCACAAGACGAGAGCGCCGACTCGGGGTTTCAGTCCATGGTCAACGGTTCAATGGACGTCATGCGAGTCGGCGAACGAGAAGATGCGTTCCGAGTACATTCGCCGCAGGCGATCTCCCCTGCGCGCTCGACGGCTTCGGACGCTACGATCGTGCTTTCTGCGACACCGACACCTGCGAGACGCACCGTCTCCGCCGGCCCCTCACTATCTCGCCTGCCCATCCGCCTCGCGCCCTCCTCGTCATCTTCTCGGCCCTCTGTACCCGCCGCACCGACGCCTTTAGCGCCGGACTACAAGCTCCTCCACCGCACGCACACGCTGCTGCACGCCCGCGTCCGGCGCGGCGCGTACCGCCTGCGCACGCTCCCTGGCCCGAGTGGCGGCGGACACACCGCAGCCGTGTACTGTCTCGCGCTGTGGACGTACCCTGCGCACTTCCAGTCTCGGACGCAGCGCGCTCCTCGCTTTAACAATGGCAGCGGTAGCAGGAGCGGCGAGCCGCTGCAGGTGCTCTTCACGGGCTCGAAGGACCGCACGGTGCGCGAGTGGGACGTGCGCACGGGGAGGCTGAGGCGCGTTATTGCGGGGAGACACAGCTCGTCTGTGCTTAGTCTTTGTGTTGCGCCTTCGCGCTCTCAGGTTGGCACCGAAGATGGTGAAGACGACGGCACCGACGAGCTGGGCGACGCGGGTCTGCTGGTTACAGGCGGGAGCGACCGGCTCGTGACGGTGTGGGACCTGGGCAAGGACAGACTCGTCAAGGCGCTCAGGGACCACCTCGACAGTGTGCTGTGTGTAAGGGTGGACGGGGGCAGGCTGGTGACGTGCTCGAAAGGTGAGCTTGTCTCTGCCGTTGCGTGCATACACGAGGCTCATTTCGTGTTCTTCTGCTTTTTCGCTGTACTTGGTACTTTTGTGATGCGGCACAGATCGCACGGTACGGACGTACGCCTTTCCTTCGCTGCAGGCGCAGTTCGTCCTGGAGGGCCACCGCGCGGCCGTGAACGCGGTGTCGGTCGTTGGGGACACGATCATCTCGGGCTCGGGGGACCGGTCGGTGAGGGTGTGGGACGCTCGCACGGGCGAGCTTGTGCAGTCGTTCGAGGACCATCATAGTCGCGGGTGAGCCAATTCTCGAGATCATGATATCAAAGGCTGAATGGAAATCTGCCCCGCCATCATAGGATCGCGTCTATCGAGTTCCACCCGCCGTTCCTCCTCTCGGGCTCGTCGGACCGCCACGTGCGGATGTTCGACATCTCGACGTCGCAGGGGTGGTCGACGAGCCACCGGTACGATACTGCGGCCCAGGCCGCGGTCGCGCCTCAGATGGGTGCGGCGCCGTACGCTTCGGCGGCGATGGCGAACGCCGCTCTGGCTGGCGCAAGTGCCACTTCAACGATGGCGGCGGGCGGCTCGTTCATGCAGGGCGTGCAGCTGCACGGCTCGCTCTCGCAGACTCTTTTGCAGGGCTCGGTGGGTCTGGATGCGGCGGGCGCGGACTTCGGCCACCCTGTGGCGGCGCCTAATTCGACCGTGACGCTCGGGCATCACAACTACACTCATAATGGTGGAGTGGGTGTGGGTGCTGCTCAGCAGCCGCAAACGGTGCTGATGCAGTGCGGCTCGTGTCGCGCGCGGGCGGTGACGGCGATACCGATCCGGGCATATGAGCGGCACGGGCAGCTGGTGAGGAGTGTTGCGCTCGGGGACGAGTTCGCGATCACGGGGAGCTATGATTTGAGTATTAAGGTGCGTGTCTCTGTTTGACACGCGTTCATTATGCTGAGATGGGCGATGTGGGGTAGGTGTGGGATCGGAAGACGGGTGCGCTGGTCGCTGATCTCGTCGAGGGGCATGTGGGGCGGATATTTTGTGTGGGGTTTGACGGCGCGAAGGTGAGTTGGGCTTGCGATTCGCGAAGAAGTGGTGGCTAATGGAGCGGGTTGCTCGGTTCGCTTGGGCTAGATCGTGTCGTGTGGAGAAGACCAGGTGTGTGGGACGCTTCATGTGTCAGACGCAGTGGTGCTAACAGATTGCTCTAATTAACAGAGGGTGTGCATATGGGACTTTTCGCATGGGATGGATACGTCGTTCATCGAGTTGTAGTCTTTTTTTTTGTCACGATCAATGAGCAGCACGTTTTATCTGCATGGCGACTTCAGAATAATCTCTGCGAAGGATTCTACGGCGGCCTCTCTAATTTTACCCTGAGATGTTCGACGAACGACTCCAACGGGCCCCACTGGCTGAGTGGAGGAAATAGCCCCTATGTCCCAGAAAGATGATGTCACGCGACGTCATGTTCCCTTATAATCCCTCGCAGCCATTCCAGCCCTCACATATTCCCCACTCATTTTTATCTCTCAAAGCTTATTCTCTCATCGTCAACACCATGAACGCTCTCTTTCGCTCGTCCGCTATTCGGCGTGCCCCTCTCGCCCTGCGCACAGCTGCAAAGCCACAGCCCCTGTCTCGCCCAGCTCAACTCGCAGCCCTCGGTGGCCTCAACGCCAACACGATTCACGTGCGCTTCGCCGCCAGCTCAGTCGCCAACCGCCCGGGCTCGCAGACCGTCGAGCACGCCACCCAGAATGTAAAGGAAGAAGTTGGTAACTCGGCCGCTGACTGGGCGCGCTCCATCGCCGGTGGCTCAATCAATGTCGGCTCTGTCACGCCTTCGAAAGACAACTTTGTAAGCGTCCATTCGTGCTTCCTTCCATCTCTTCTTCCCCGCGCGCTTTCTCCGCTTTGAGCCATGGGGTTGTGTGCATGAGATGTGTGCGTGTTGATGCTAATTTTGGATTTGTTCTTCTCGAACGAATAGGTTGGCATCACGAGTGCCATGGCCAACACCGTGCCCAAGCCCTACCTCTTCATGGGTCTCGCCGGTGGCCTGCCCTACGTCGCCTCCGCTGGTACGACCGTCTACCTCGCCCACCAGGCAGGCATGGCCGCCCTCGGACTCGACTCGATGGACCCCGGCGTCGCGTCGACGATTCTCGACCAGGCGCTCACGTTCCAGGTCACGTACGGCGCCGTGCTGCTTTCCTTCCTCGGTATGTTCCTGGGTTCTTCGCGGCCCCCGCAAGATGTGTGCTGACGGGGATCTGAATCTGGGGTAAATTGTTAGGTTCGCTGCATTGGGGCATGGAGTTTGCCGGCCTCGGCGGCCACAAGGGGTACCCGCGTCTCCTGCTCGGCGTCGCGCCCGCCATGATCGCGTGGTCGACGATCGCTCTCGCGCCCACCACCGCGCTGCTGTGGCAGTGGCTTGGCTTCACGGGCCTATGGTATGCGGATAACCGCGCGACGAGCGCTGGGTGGAGTGAGTGTTCCTGGCTTTCTTGACGATGTCTCGCAAGGGTGTGTTTCCTGACCATATCTGTTTTTTTCACAGCTCCCAAGTGGTACTCGCAGTACCGCTTCTACCTCTCCATCCTCGTTGGCACGTGCATCATCGGCTCTCTTGCCGGCACGTCGTACTGGGGCCCCGTCGCGGGCCACGGTCTCCTCTCGCACGACCTCAACATGATCCGCGCTGAGAGGTAGGGTTCAACGTTTATCCCAGCACAAAGTTCAGTGATGCTAATTGGACGTTGCAGGAAACGCCGCTCGCCCGAGAGCGTAGGCACGATCGGCGGTGACGTCGAGGCCATCCAAGGCGGCGAGGCGGCCGACAGCTACGTCGTCCTTCGCCACAAGGCCAAGCCCGAGGAGGAGAACAAGGACGAGAAGAAGTAGGCTACTGCTCCCTGTCCTCCCTCACCTCTATTCCCTTGAGGGTTGAGAGAAAAAATGTGAACTCGCAAGCGATTGGACACTCATCACGCTGTATGTATGAATAGATGATGTGGAGCATTGTATAGTAAATGTGTATCATACCAACATAGTAGTCTGTTAACTGTTAATATCAAAGCTGCATTCGCCATTTGAGAGGTTCGTGAGTCGTGTGTTGCTTGCGAATAGGTGTCAGACGCGCCTTCGTATCAAACAAGGTACTTATGGTCCAGACGTTACAGAATGGCATGCCGCTGGTTCGACGTCGTCGGGTGCCAATCATCTTGCATATCCTGTTACAGCAACTTTTGATGAGTCCTGGTACGCCAATTTCTTCCTACTCAAAATGTTGACTTGATTTCAGACTTTATTGCCCTTTATTGCCATACCACTTGTTTCTCGGGTCATTGACCTCTCTTTGGAGCCATGCGAACGCCGACCGCAGAACGGAGCCAGACAGTGCTGGTGTCCGCATATGATCATCATTAGAGACCGTTCTGAGGTAATCAACCCACGCTGACTCCGCCCCGAGACAGAGCATGTGAAGATCAGGCGGGCAGACGTTTGACAGATGCCATCCACAGGAAGATACGTAACGTCACAGGATCTCCCCATGTCATAAAAGCACTATGCACTGGCAGCCCCCCGTCAGGCTCCCCGTTTCCCAGCATCCCCCGAGGCCTTCCCTTGCAATTAATATTGACCAGCCCCGGGCCCTCGATTCATATTCTCGGTGATACTGTATATCATGCGATTCTACTTCTCAACGGACCACGTCCGCAACAGCATCGTCACCAACGACCACGCGCAGGTCGTATACAAAATCGACACGCCGTTCAAGTTTCTGTGGCAGAAAGGCGTCAGCACGATCTGGAAGATCGCGCCCAGCTCCGAACCCATCTCCTTTGGTCAAGGCATCAACTCGGCGGATGCAGAGGAGCTCGATCCGGATCCGAGAGACGACGATGGGGCGGCGTTTCTCGAGGCGGACGCCGCCGGGGACGACGCGAAGATTCGGTCCCCCAGTCAAGAACCGGACGGCTCGGAGGGAGACAGCGCGAGTGCGAGCGACGGCGAGGAGCTGGCGCGGTCTGCGACGGAGGAATTCGACATGCAGGATCGCTTCGTGAAGCTGGCCACCGTCGAATGGCGGCACATCAATAGCACGACGATCAAGTGGCTTGGTGCGAATGGTTTCGGGACCAGCGAGGTTGCAACCAAGGATCTCTTAAAGTCAATCACTTGGACTAACAGGTAAGCATTACTGGTGTACCTGTACACTGATAATGGAACGCACAGGCGACGAGTGTTTACCGGATGTGACGGCCGTACCTACGAGTGGGAGCTAGCATTCCACGTATGCAAAGTGAGCCATTCGTCCTACCCACGATGTGTGACTAGAATCCTCTTACATTGTGAATTAGCTCTATCTGGTTGATGGCGTCCAGAAGACGCGCATAGCCCGCTATCACAGATACAAATCTGTTCTTGTCCACGGCAAGGACTCCAGGTCCGGATATCTCGAGTTCGACGACGAAGAGCTTACCAAGGCTTTTGGTCAACCTCACATATCTTCCGACCTTTTGGACATGCTACTGGTGACATTCTTGTATGTCGAGAAGCGTAGGAGGGACAAGGAGCGTGCAGCAAAGAGGGATATCCGATGGAACTTTTGATTGCGTCCTGCGATAGCCTAAGATATAGGTATAATACATAGCTGATGGCCAAGAAATCCCGGAAACAAAACGCGGTCAACGTAGAGGCAGCGCAAACGAGACTCATCTAAGTGGTGAACCCTCCGATCCTCATGCCGGCGCAGCCATATCGGCATTCGTCTCGTGCACAACAGTCCCCGCCAGATGCTTCGTGTCAGAGTACTGCACCAGCGTGCCCTGTATGCTGCTCTCCCCCGACTCTAGCTGCTCGAGCGTGAAGTCCACGATCGAGATGCTCGCGTTCGCAACACGATCCGGCATCTGGGGGGCCTCTCCCGACTCCTCGGGGCCGGGACGCCAGCGCACCGCCTTCGTCAAAAGCAGCTTGCGAACCAAGCGCGAGATGAGGCCGCCGTGGCTCGTGACGAGTATGTAGCGGCACCGTCCGTCGACCGAACTGTTGGCGGAGCAGCTCTTGATGTACTCGACGATGTACTGCTCCCAGCCCTTCGTTGAGCGCTCGGCGACCGCCTTCGACGTCTCAATCATGCCAGACGGATTCCGATTGCGTGCCGGGGCAATCTGGCCCTGCAGCTCTGCGAGAAACTGTGGCATCCCTCAGCAGACGAGAAAGAATATGAGAAAATCGCGTTTGTGATGGAGGACTCACTCTTTCGCGGAGCCACTGGTGCTTCTCGAGTCGAACTCCAGGATGATGCTCTAGAATGATTTCTGCCGTCTGAATAATCAACTTCCGTACAGTGCTGCAAAAACCTGGACAAGGCTGGAGATCTAACGCACCTTGGAAGCCCGCTGCAAATCGCTCGTGAACGCACGATCCAGCGGGGTATCCTTGAGCGCCTCCGCTGTGAGCCGGGCTTGCGAGATCCCGAGGTCGTTCAGGGGTATATCGAGCCAGCCCTGCATCCTGTTGTCCTTGTTCCAGGCAGTCTCGCCGTGGCGCACAATGAAGACACGGGCTAGGAGCGACGACGACATGTTATCGTCGTCCAGAAAGCGCCGTCGCGAGCAGATATATACGTGACAGTTTTAGGACCTCAAAGCAGCGCTGAGCTAGATCAACCATGCTTTCTCGGAGGACAGGTTCATCCCCGGGCCCATCACCGAGGGGAAGCAGGAAGCACTTCTCACTTGTTCGTTTTTCGGGGACGAGGCCGAATGCTCACAAATGCTCGCTAACACCGTTAGTTGACTTCCGCGAGAGACCATCGCATTTAACGTTATCAGCTGATTCCGAACCAACTAAGCTCAAGCTCACACATGACGCAGGCATCTAGTAATCCAACATACAATTCTACATACAGCACTTTGGTGCAAAAGATGCAAGTGACAAAAATAATTAATGCATTTGCATGCCACGCCAGTTCTTGATCTTTCATGAGTTGCGACCAACGCCCTATGTCACAGTTGTTTATACTACCAGAGCCCAAAGATATTCGAAAGTTGCGAAATTGAAAGTGAAAGAGAGTTCCTTGTTGGAACATTCCGGCTCTATGGTGGCATTTAGTTCGGGGTCTGGTTCTTCAGGGGTTTCACAGAAGTTGTGCGACCTCGCTGGCAACATTCTTGATGCGAGCATCAGCAAAAGTTGAAGGAAGGGCAGCAATAATCTGTTTGGCTCCGTTCGACTGTGTAGTGTCAAGAGGCGCGCGGTGCGATTTTGCTCCGTATACCTGCGTTCAGTGTTTAGTTGTTTATCTTAGAAAACTCTTCTTATACCCACCATGTTTCCGAGAGCAACTAAAGTGCGGTAGGCAACTTCCTGATCCTCCTTCTCTGATCTCAAGACCTGTACGGTTTCGTCAGTAGTGTATTGACCTTCGGGAACTGCAAGCATCACCTGAAGTGTAAGCTCCACATGCTTGGATCTAACGCTGGAGTCGATCGGAATCTTGAGGTAGGCACAAGAAAAGCTGGTAACAAGGCTAGTTCAATGACATGGTAGGGCAATACTTGCGATAGCGCGTACTTCAAGAGAATGGTTGCATAGCAAGTGCGCTGGGCCTTGTTAAACACCCCTAGCGGTGCTTGCGTCAATGCCTCCAACACCTGATGACCCGTTTAGTCCGTCTTCATCGGGGTTGAGGTGCGGATACATACCTGGTTAGCCCACTGACCCTCGTTGATGGGTGTGCCGTCCATGAAGCAATTGGCAAGGGTGCGAAGGAGGAGAAGGACGTTGGTCTCCTGAGGTTTCGGCATAGGCGCTCGTACAGATGCGATAGTTGACCAGTCCGAAGCCTTGAACAGGCATGCAAAAAACTGCTCGCGCTCACCAGGAGCGGCTGACGCAGCAGCACAGTACGCAGCAAGCAAGCGGCTCAGGTCCATTACTGCAATCGTATTAGCGAAGTCTATCAAACCATCCAGGTGCTCCACTGACCAGGGAACCGTTGCGAGGACGGCCAGCGATCCAGAATCGGGATGATCGCCTCAATGTGCTGACCGGTCAACGGCGGAACACCTGTCTTTGTACCATTTGTGACCTGAGTTAGTAAAGCGAATGCTTCATCAATTTTCTCCAGTTCGTCGGGGTACATCGCAAGAGAAGACGTCGACTGTTTATGGATTAGAAAACGCCTCATGAGAATATGCATACAACGACATACAATTTCATTTTTCAGCGCTTCATCAAACTGGTACAGCTTGGTTTGCATTGCGGAAACGTTTGCTTGTTTGAACGAGATTGAGTCAACCTGAGAAGTTGGTTAGCATGAAGACTCCCAGGACTGGTCTAGCACATACACATGGAATTATTGCTGTGGCCCGTGCAGCTTGAGGAGTGGGAGTAGACGTCTGTGGACTTCCACTATACCGCGAAGCGCCGGTGAATGGGTCCATGTACTCCGAAGATGGCTGGAAAGCCTGTTGAGGTGCCCCACTATAGCGAGACGCTCCTGTAAAAGGGTCCATATACTGCGATGATGGCCCCGTTGAGGCAGAGTTCGATTGCGCTTGATATCTGGAAGCCCCTAATCCAGATCTGAGCTGTCGACTCTTACACATTGCAACCGGATACGCACCAGTGAAAGGGTCTACATAGTCATTGTTATTTGAACCGAGAGTTGTTCCACTTGCGTTCTTTTGAATGAAATTGGCAACCTCATCGATGTAAGACAAAGGAAGGTCGTTTTGCTCGAGGAACCGATTAGCAGCGGTGTACGGGTTCTCTAGATATTTCCAGTCAGTTACTGCCGTTATACAACAAGCGATATGAAGCGCACCGTTGGCATTGTACGGAAGCTTGAGAGGAGGCACGCCATCCTTGATGTCGACGTCGAAGACATAGTCATACTCTTTGCCTTGATATATTTGCTTTCGTCCAGATCCCACTGCGTCTACGACGTCGCCTACTTTTTGCCATTGGCGTGCCATCCCATCCCACTGCGCAGTAGAATAAACTTGAGTGAGAAAAGTATAAGACTGGCATGCCAACTTACTTGATGCGCCTCGACAAGGTCTCCGTTTCTAACCATCTTCACCTGACCGTCTTTGTTTCCTGGAAGACCCATCGTATCCGATCTGCATAATGAATGAAGGCCTCGGCTCACCTGGTTCGCTGAGGGCCTCAGGTCCGGGTAAATCAGACTTCTTCACGTCACCAACCTGCTGTACAGGAAGAGCCTGGCTGGCGACCTGGTCCCCGTAAGCTTTGAGCTCTTCGGCACTTGCCCATCGTTCTTCCGCCTCACTGAAGACGCGCACAACGCCATCGCTGCTGCCACTGACAATATCACCGTTAGGCATTGTTGCAACGGCCCAGACTGAGGTTGCGGGATGCACAATGGTTTGCGAACATTCACCATCTGTGAAGAACATAAACGTCAAGTTGGAGGCTATAAGATGGATTGCTGCTCACCTTTCCAAACACGCACACTCCGATCCTCTCCTGACGAGACAACATCACCGGTATGTAAAACCGACAGACTATAGACGAAGGATGTATGTCCAGAAAGGGTATACACAATGTCTCCTTCAAATGTCCAGACAATGATTTCGCTACCGCCAAATGAGTATGAATCTAGGAGGGCGGGCAGGATGAATTACCTGTCGTTCGAGCATGAAGCAAAACCGATATCTGGCATCCAAGCCAGACCACGAACCACGTCTTTGTGTCCCTGGAAAGTCCGCACGGTCTTGTGCTGCTGCCACAGTCTGATCGTTTTGTCCGCGGAAGCTGTAGCATTGCCTCAGCTAAGTTTGAGAGACTATGGCCAGACATGACTTGCCAGTCAAGAACCGATCTTCGTCAGTCGCGAGGACAGCCCATACCGCCTCCGTATGACCTTGAAGATCATATTGCAGTTGGAACTGGCTCCAGACTTTAGCGGTCCTGCGATAATTAGCCTGTTTCAGGAAATTCACTGAGGGGAAGTATACGCACTTGTCCCAAGAGCCGGATATTATCGTGCCCTGTGGTGAGACGTGTATGGCGCAGATGTTCGCCGTGTGTCCGACGAGAGAGTAAGTTGGATCATCCTTATCCGCGCCGTCAAGCGGGAAGATGTTCAGAACCATGTCCTGACCGCCAGTGACCGCATAACCTAATATCCGATTGTCAGTAGACCGCTTACGCGTTGTCTAGTAATTCGCCCCTAACCCTGTGGTGCATCTATGGATGGGTGGATGTATCCCACCGAGTTGACGAAGCGCGATCCGGCTCGAAGGACGGACGCCTGGTTAAAAGGTGTGCTCGGGGAAGATCTAACCCATGATACCGCCGTGGTGTCGCGAGAGGCGGAGAGTATGATGCTGTTTGTTGGGGACGTTATCGCACGGACCTGCAAGATAATTAGACATCAGAGAAAGCAATCTAGAGTGATCGGGAGATGTACATCGGATGAGTGGCCGGATAACGTCGCGGAAAGCTTATAGGGCATAACGGAACGACCTTATGAACGTCACTAGAGAAAAAGAGAGACAGGAGTAGGGTCTGAGGTATTACTTACACAGCACCCCCAAAGTGTGTTATGTGTCCAGACTGTACCATGGCAGAAAAGGAAACCCCGGCGACGCGTAATGACCTTCAAGCTTCAAGACCGTTCCGAATTTACGAAGGGCTGGAACGCACTCCGAACTCTTGGGTCAGCTTGGGTCCGTCTCCACCGCTCTCCGAACATTCCAATATTCTTTCGTCTTCGACGCATTGTCACATGTTATCGCAAATGCCACGCTTTTCAATTATGTGTAAGTGAACAATCCTATCGTCGCCATCACTGCGTAAAACTATAGACCGCAGTAATACGTAGTACTGGAGAAAATGTGCACCACACTAACGAGCCCCACAGCCGTGAAACTACAACTGAAGGGAGATACGGAGGTGTATACTATGCCATGCACCATTACTTCATCTCCTGCGAGGGCCTCACCATGTATATCATCGACCTTGGAGTAAGAAGTGCGACGCGTTCTCAAAGGGTGAGGGGATAAAGGAAAAGATGGGTAAATCCAAGCACGAAAACTGCACTTCGTTCAGGGCAGGTTTTTCAAAGACGATCCCATTCGAGCGACCGGCCGCCTGTCCATCAAGTTGTTTACACTGACAGTAACATCTTATCAATAAACTCGGACTCCAATTGAATGCATGCGCAGCATACGCCTGACACCTCCGATTTTTCTGGAACCTCGTGAACAATAGTATATTCACATACGCTAGCGATTACGCTGCCATTTTCAGCTCAGTAACTCCAGAAGCTAAGAGAACCTTTCACACGTTTCGGCCAAGAAGAGAACTGAAGACCACAGAGCTGGAGCAGACCCAAGAAAATTCGCCTTCGAAGACATAGCAGGGCAAAGAAATCAGTCACCAAGGTCCACTGCCGCGCCGACGGAGATCTTGATCTTCTTTCCTTGAGGTTTCTCTGCTGATGACTTGCGTTTCTTTGATCGCATCGCAGTCTTTGTATCAGGTGAAGACTGGTATTGACCTTTATTGATCTCTGTGCGACTGTCTGCTCTCAGTATGAGAGCAAGGAGAGTCATAGCGGTGAACAAGTAACCACGCACGAGTCTTGTTCACCCATAGCACTTGTCGACTCGATCGGCTCAAAATGATTCTAGTCAATGCGTGTCAGCCTGGGACTCACATTTGATGATGAAGTTTCAGGATAGTTACTCTTAAACCCACAAGACGACATTCAACCTCTGGGGTAGGGTCGAAATAGTCTCTGTATGCCTTGGACCTCTTCGATAAATGATTGAACGCATATCGGGTTTTCTGGATTTCCTTTTGTTGCTTTCCACCCTTCTTCTTGTTGACTTTCTTCCCCTTCTTCGCCTGTGCTTGAGTAGTCATCTCCCCAATCTCGTTCGTGACGGTGGCTTGCTTGGAAATGAATCCTATGGAGATGACTGTTACTAACCCTGGGTGTAGTTGTGTAACAGAGCATCTTACCTTCTTCTTCGAGCTTGGTCAGTAGCTGTCCAGTTAACGTAGCATCACATCCTGCGACAAGTTACGTTCAGCATCCTACACAATAGTAATGTATCGGAGTATATACCCGTCAACGTTCTGAATCGGGAAGCTGTTGTTGGCCGATGGACTTCGAAGACTTTGACGGCTCTCCTGCGTGAAATACCTGATGTAATTGTGATGGCTGTGGAAAGCCAAGGACAAACTCGCCTGAACAGAGTAAGGGTTGTGTATTCCCCTCTCGCATCATCAAGATGCCGATCGTTGATCAAGTCCCAGTCTTGTCTTTGTTGCAATCTACACTCAAAGCATAAGAACTTCTCGGGTAGACGCTTGTCCTTCGCGCTGTGATATCTAAAAACATTCAGCACTATGCCTGATGACCATCGCGCTCGAATTTACCCCATGCACCTGTTGGTAGGGTTAGTGACGCAGCTGAGGTTTAGAATGCAAGTCCTGCTTACCAGATATGATACCAGCGACGACAGCCTCCTTCGCAGAATAACGACACATCCTCGACCTGCAACAGAGTATTTAGATATTATCTCCATAGCATCAACGCAAGGGCTTACGTCAATGCCACAATGACAATCTAAACGGCCCTCTTCCTTGTTAGCGCCACTAGCGGATACCTTAGGAAGACTTTTGGAGGTAGAGGGAACCTCGATGTCTCCGCCTAGTCTAGGCTGCGTTTCTAAATCTAATAGCAGCGCATCAGCACTCAGCCTACAGTTCAGGATAGAATGGCTTAGGTGTGTCACCTAGCATATCCTGGTCTGCAACTTGTATATCGTGAACATCCGCGGTCGGCTCCAGCATATTTGCGTCCTGGGTCGTGAAGGTAGACAGGGTCTCCATATCTGAGGGAGGGAGGGAAAACGAGTTTCTGCGCGGGGTAGGTTGCGAAGAGTCCATTGCGACATCCTCCGTGGCAGCAATAATCTGGGTCGTCTCCAATTCTGCTCCTCGGCCCCTCTTGAGGACGAAGGTCAGTCCAGACAGAGAAGGAATGTGTACCGTGCATATGTACCAGATCACCAACCCTTTCAGGTGCACGCTCTTGGGCACCATGATACTGCTTTTGCTTGGATGGTGACACTGGCGGAAGGGGAAGGACGATCCCTCCCTCAGCACGGATTCCTACCGGGATCATACTGCCATTGCCATTGAGCCGTCGAAGTACAATACCATCATCTTCAACCTCTTCGCCTTCGGCATCTTCTTCTCCTTCGGCGTCCCATACAACGTTACGAGCAATAGCATCGCTTTTTTGTAATTCTGCGTCGCGCGCCCTGAGATCCGCCTCCTGAACGGGAGAGAGGTGTTGAGCATGACGAGTTGGGGTAAAGCCGCCAAATGGAGCATTGTTATCTTCAGTAGCCGAGGGGAGGAATCCAGATACTGAGACGATTTTCAGGCCAACACTAGTCAGACATCAGTATTATAGCGTCAATGTCTCAGCCGGGGTTACCTATGCCAGCCGGTGTTAAGGCGACCGATTGTGGTTTCTTCCGGCGTTTCACCTTGCTTGTGAGTAGTGAAGTACCATTTGTCTGTTAATTGACCTTCATGGAAATGCGGTGGTTGGTATTCCTCGGGTGTTTTCTCGTTATAAAAGAGTTTGAAATTGGCAAAACGGCTTTCTGTGCATAGGTTAGCAACGCACAAAGCCGGAAACCTCTGCTTACTTGGCAGGTTGTCCATGTTACCCATGGCCATAATCAAGGTCTTGACCATGGCCTATTATGTCGTTAAGAAATGAGGTTGACTGGCGAAGCGACATTCGTAACGAGTCTAGCTGACCTTTAAGCTTCTTTTCACTTCACCCAAAGTGGGCACGCTACCGCGCTTTACCGCGCTGGCAACAGGGTCATTCATCGCCGCGATCGACATATCTGCTAACTGGTCGCCGAGCGACATGATTGGCATAGGGACATCAATGCCAGAGACTTTTATGTACTGTATAGCAGAAGACCTTAGCATTAATCACTGGCTGTAACAGTACTTGCTTACTTGAAAGTTGAACGTATAAGCTTCGATAATGCTGTAAATCAATATCATTCAGATCTGCCACGACGTGCACATTATCTAAAGCCCTAACTTGTTGGGGTCGCTCTTGTCCTGAAATAGAGTTAGCAATATATCGCCACAGACGAGCATGGAGACAGACGAGGTATATGGCAAAGATAAGCCTTCGAAGGTACTGCTTTTCTAATGCGTCGAAAATGCCATGTTCCTGCGTGGTGATAAGATGTATGCGCATCGATTCCTGCTTACAGGCGCATATATGCATACTAATAAGTCCATGAGCTGGTCGCCCTCGTTGGTGTAGCCACGGTTGATGGTAACTATTCCTACACCACTGACTTTCCGTGATGTTTTGCTTCTAGTTGTTTCAACACTAGACTCTTTAGAAAGTTGAGAGGGGAATTCATCACTGATGCCCGAAGTCAGGTGGCCTATAGAGAAGGTAGGTCAGCCGACAAGGGCAAGATATACCACTTACAATCGCCAAAATTATCGGAGGGGAGGAGGTTTCTGTTGTGGATAACACTGAGCATAATATCCTAGAAATTAACTGATGCCAGATTGCCTCAAGTATGCTATAGCACCAAAGCCAGCTCGTAAGAGGGTTTCTACGCATAACTGACTTTGAGCATGGGTTACAGACTGAGGCGTGTCAGGTCAGTGAAATGAGTAGCAACGAACTACTGCCAGCGTACCCGGACAGCGGTACGAGTTGCTTGTGTTTGCATACCGTGTTTGCGGCAGTCAACGGGTGGAAGTTAAACGTTGGGAAGAGATGAGGGACAGAAGGCGCGTCTAACATCCTTAAGATCTAGACGCGTTTGCCCACGTGATTGGCTCAGTACGTAGTAAGTACCCGAAACATGAAAGAACTCGAAAATCTGTAAACTAGCTGAAGCTGATCACAGCTCCATTCAAAGTGCGAGTGAGGGTATGGGCTTGAACGTCTGAATAGTGATCCGGGGTTTGGCACACAGTGTGCATTTCGGGCCATGATGGTGCTCCATTGGCAGACTTGAACCAAAGTTAGAACAACCTTGAACGACCCCATAAAGCTAAATATTCCATCCAGCCCGCTGTGCCGAGACAAAGTCGCATTATCTCGTGATTGCAAGCCAGGAGAAAGTTACAGCATCCAAAATAAGCCAGAAAGGCAGATTATACAAGCAAAGAGCAGTATACAGCATTTCCGTCAGATGTGACAACGCCTTTCAGCTTTGGCCTATTCCGATGACAGTTGTAACGCGCGTCTCAAATCCTTCGCTACGAATAGGCATCTCGGGTGTATGGAAAGGGTTCTTCATAACTGCGTCGCTATACGCCTCATAGACCTTCTGAAGGATCACATCCGCAGTGGTTTCAGCAAGAGAGGTCAGCAGAACAAACTTTGTTCCTAATTGTTGAGAATCAGCTACTTGAACTAGGCAGATTAGATGAAACGCACCTGTAGCCGTGAGCATGATGGTCATTTTAAACGTCTCCCCTTCGATGACTTGAGCGCCAGAGCTAGAGCCTGCCGCGGGAGAGATGCGACTTGTGATAGCGTGTATACCGTGTAATGTACCTGCCAGCACCAGGTACTCGTTTGATGTCAACGGAGCCAAGCCCTCTGGTCAAGGGTTGGTTCAACTCGTAAAGCACAAAAGCACGAACGGATGACCTGCGAAGTTACGCTGGTATACAAGGCCACCTGCTTTGTTTATAATCTGGTCCAAGAGTTTAGCCAGGGGCCTGACCGGATGTCAGCGTACATACCCAAAGCCCGAAGATAGCCATGACGGTGGATGGAAAGGAGCAACTCTGGTTTATACTACTATAGTAGCACTTACCGAGTATTGATCCCGGGCGGACGTGACACGGTGTGCTATGCCGAGGAATTTCCAACGCGCGACATTGACTGTTTCCTCCACGTCGGTGAAGACGCCTCCGAAGTCTTTTTGCCCAAGGCATTTTCCTCGCTTTTACGTGGGGCGGCCAGTTAAATGAAGGTTACATGCCGAGTCGGCGGCGTCCTTGGCGTGTGCTTTGGAATTTCCTCTGTATTGTTATGGGCCACCTCCTCGCTGGGTGCATCATATCTAGGACAACGCGACTTGTTGCAACTGAACAGCGACGAGATATCGGCTTTCTCGACAGCGGTTGACCCTGTCAAGAACATAGACTTTCACAATCCCGACTCTCATCTGTCCAAGATTTTGATACCTCGAGCACGTAGGGGCCACTTTTACTCCTATGAATTTTCGTTCAATATATCCTTTCAGCTGGCAGCGAGAACATAACTTTCGTCCGGGCCTACATAGTATCGACTCTCAAGAGTCTCAATTGGGAGGTTGAGGAAGATACTTTCACCGACAATACACCCTACGGTCCTAAGACATTCACGAATATCATTGCAACGAAGGACCCAAGCGCGGCAAGACGTGTTATTCTTTCCGCTCATTATGATAGCAAATTCTTCGAGTCCTATCCTGAGAGTCAGGTTTGTGCAGTCGTTATGAATTGAGTTATCCGCTGAACTGCGTCAGTTTGTAGGCGCCACCGACTCCGCGGCACCATGTGCAATGATGCTTGATGTCGCTGAAGCCTTGAATAAGCCGCTGGAGCAGCGTAAAGAGCGCTTCGAGAATGGACTTGAGGATGATGACGACGTGGCAGAGACAACTCTACAGCTGGTCTTTTTTGACGGAGAGGAGGCGTTTAAAGACTGGACAGACACCGACTCTATCTACGGAGCGAGGTACGCACAGTCTCAATACGGTGTGTTCTGAGTTTCCTGCTGATCCTACCATCAAGACACCTCGCAAAGAAATGGTCGAGTACCTTCGTTCCTCCTAACACCAAACGCCGCCTTATAGGACAAGGAAGCATGACTGAACTGGCTACAATTGAGCATCTCATTTTGCTGGATCTGCTTGGCGCTCCGACCCCTTCGATAAAGGCCTATTTTCCGGATACTGCTTGGCTATTTGATGCAATGGCGTCTGCTGAACGTCAGCTTGCCGAATCTGGCGCCTTATATGAAGTTGGCGCAACCGACACGACATCATGGAAGAGCTTCTTCCTCCCGCGGACCGGAACGGACTTTTCCTTCGGGTACATTGGTGACGATCATGTCCCTTTCCTCCAGCGTGGCGTCAACATACTTCACATCATCACGCTGCCATTCCCTACTGTTTGGCACACTCTCAAGGTACGTCCTATGCAATCTACCTGATCATGAATATCTACATACAGCCTTTGCTAGGATGATGCATCTGCCCTTGATATACCTACGATGAGACGCTGGAACCTTATTCTGCGTATCTTTATGGCTCAGTACCTCAACCTTCGGCCGGATGATTCAGCCATACACAGTCACGTTAGTAGATTAGAAGGCGAGCTCGTAAGTTCATATTGTTTACTCGGCTTACTGCATTGCACGCAGACTAACGCCATTCATGCCCAGTAGACATATCCTTGACTAAATATTTGATAATGTGGATTATTTATAGAGGGCTACCACCCCTGAAGTTCAAGGATCGACAGCAAGAGAAGGTTGTTACTTCACGAGACTCGCGGCGTCGAACTATTGTAATCAGGTCGACAGGATGAGCGCTTTGTAATGTTTGATGAGGTCTGACGCGTCTGCGGCCAGCTACATATCAATGTGAGCATGGAACTCCGAAATGAGGTGGTAAAGTAACCTTCTGTTTCTCCCTGTTTTGCTCCATGCAGGCGACTGCATTCTTCATAAGCTTCTTTCGAGACCTGCGGCATTCAGCTTGGAGGGAGTTTGCTGCATGTATGCGTCAGAATTGCTTTGAGACAGCCTAAGTGGCATTTACCAAAGTTATATGTGGCTTCGTTCTGCTGAATTCTGCGAGGCACCAACTCGTCTAGCAACTGGGGGTAAACTGCCAGAAGATCTCGGAATACGTCCTACCGGGATATCGTCAGAATTCGCTCTCCATGAAGGGTGTATGCATAAGTCGTGCTGACATCTGTCTCTTGAAGGTGCACCCGTAGCATATCATGTAGGGAATCTCTCTTTTGGGTATGTCGTGTTTTCAATTCATCCAACGCCTTCAGAATACCGTCCCTAGTGCATCGTGTAAAGGACTCTTACGCGGATTAGGTTGAAGTACTCACGTATACTGGTCAGTCTCCTTAGAACAGGCACTGGCATCTTCTCTCGCCTTCTGAAAGACATCGCTGGTATTTCCTTTGCTGTTAGCACCTATATAATAAACTGCTGTCACGATAGACTTGATAGCGAAACCAAAAGGATGCGTACTACCGCGGGCTTTTCCGACCATCGCTGGGCACAATAAGTAACTAAAGATCTCAGAGAGGTAGTCAGCGTTAGTTCAAGATGCGCGGCGGGAATACCGGAGCGGAATAACCTCAACGCGCGTATACACTAGACGCGCTTTCATCACGTGCGTTGGTTTTTACTTGCCGAATGCGTGAAATGAACGCCCCCAACCTGGATCGTTTATCTGAAACCGTTTATCTGGTCACTGTGGGAATAAACGGGTAACCGTGTGAATAAACAAGGTGTTCACGTATAGGGGCACCTACTTTGTAACCTTGATACCTGGATAGATACGGTTTTACTTGAGGGAACCTTGATTTATTTGCTGCTTTTGAGCATGATAAAGCTGTTTGATAATTATCAGTACTGATAAAGGGGATCCGACGGGGACTTGTGGCTTTTATGCATGCTTTTTGATCAATTTCTACTGGTTAAAGACAGTTCAACACTCAATAAAGTGCTCTCCTTACCGTATGTCACCAGTAAACTAGCCAATATCCTCATAAAGGAGCCAAATATTTCTTATGAAGTATATAAGCCCATGCTGATAGTAGAACATCCACTGAAACCTCGTATTTGGGGGTAGGACTCAATAGGGGCTTGGCCAAACACGGAAGGGGAACCGCGCACATCGCTCACGTAGCCCGTGAGAATAAACGGTCAGATAAACGACTCATGGAGCCGTTTATGCTGACTAAGATAAACGGTTTATCTGAAACAGAAATAAACGGTCGCGACTTTGGGAGTGAATGGCCTGATATTGGAAGAATCATTTACTAACTGATTAGTTATCCTAGATTCACGTATTCTCTCATCTTAGGGCGACACATTGCACATGTTGACATTGAAGTAAGCCAAATAAAGGGGCTTCATATAGACATAACTGTGACCATCATGTAGTTCGAAGGGCCAGAGCCGGTACACCTAGCCTTTCAAGACAATCCAAGATTCTTCCCAAAGCCATCATTCCGAAGCTCTGCGAGCCAAAAGGTCCTATACCGTCCTCCCCTCTGAGAGAGACACTACGCTGCCACCAGGCCCAGGCCTTCTGTAGCCCGTCACAGACCTCTTCATCGGGTGCCTCTTTGACGTCACGAATGAGCTCGCGCTCAGTTTCCTGGACGAGGAACGACACGCATTCTCGCATCCTCCATATACGATCTTCCCTCCAGCGCTTTTGGGAGCACTTGGCGAGAATCGTCGAGGCAACGACTTCTTCCTCTTTGAGCCGATCTTCGACAACGTCTGTGAGCGTATGAGTTGCACAGATGTAGCGGAGCTCGTCCTTGTACTTGGTGAAGGATTTCTCGATGTTCAAAGCAGCAACTTGCTCTTGAGTACGACCTTGTAGCTGCTTCTCAACTAGAGGCCGTAACTTCCGTGTTATTGGGTCATCGAGAGCCTTGTTACCATTGGGCCTTTGAGGGGGGGAATCCCGGATCTCTTCTAGCGTTACGCTCCGATACATATGTCCCAGTGCGCGGTCCGACTCGTAGTAATCAAGGGAACGGGGGGAGCTGACTTCGGCAGCGTGCCAGTCTGGCTTGTAGGGTATCAAGTTGCGCGGTAGCCGACGAATATCCACTGGGTTACCGTTCTTGGGATAGTCAACTGCTTGGCTGTGTAGGTCTGCTAGCTTCAAACAAAGGTCATCTCTCGTTCCATCCTACGATAAAATGTCGACTTTAGTGTTATGGGTTGAAGCTTGAGGTATGACAATACCTTCGATTGATCTGGAAAATAGTAGTAAGCAGTTATTATTTTTTCATTTATATTATCCTTACCAGCGATAATAATGTGTTTGTCTGAGATCAAGCCCTGGAAATGAGATTAACAGGAGCTTATCACGAAGTTAAGGTTGTACATAACTTACCACAACATCGGAATGAATATACTCAACAACAAAATCGCAGACGTCATCAATAGTGCTTGGTCGATCCAAAGTACGTGGTTTGCGATCCTCATACTGTGCAGGGTCTGAGTGTTCTGTGATGAGGAGTCTCTGGAACATGATGATCTCGTAGAGATCCCTGCGTATTCATTTAGATGTCTGAATTAAAACAACCGCAATTGTACACACCCATCTAGATCCCCACCTCCAAGACAGTTGGCTAACGGTCGCGGCCCTGCAGCAAGGTCAGCTTGAGAGACGTGATGACAAGTGGGAAATACTTGCCTTGAGATGGTAAGACTACTACATTACGGAGATGTTCAAATAGACATAATTGATTTGCTGGAGGTTTTCCAACAGCGTACACACGTTGTACTAGATTAGCTAGTCAGCAGCCTGGCTGATCGCTTCCTAACTGAGCTTACCGTCTCCAGGATGGACCACAGGGGACCTTGAGATAACGCACGGACCTTCCAACCATTTAGGTTCTTCGCCGAAGTTTTGTATGCATGCTACGGGAAATCCATATCAAATGAGCATTATCAACAGCATGGGGCACAACTCACCGAAGATTTTGCCCGGGGGCAGAGTATAAACGTTTTCGTGCCCGTCCTTGACGTATGCAGGACCCTCGTCTGCTACACCTACAAGTTGATAGCTTTGAGGTATCGGGATACGAGCGAAGTGTTTGATATCCCGAAGGACGTGATTTATTACGCAACCCCGAACACGAGCTAGAAATGCTGTATCCAAAGACTCCTGATTGGAATTTGACTTCAAGTCGAGTCCAAGAGCGTCAAGCTTGAGGAGGATATGGGCTAAGCGATAGGAGAAACCAAGTCTGTTACTCCTAAGCACGTTAACAAATTTCTCGACAGAGTCATGAGCCATCCGTGCACCAGCGACTGCATCGTCGAGAAGTTCCATGAAAGCGCCCTTATCGACTCCAGAATCTTCAAGTACCATAACCAACGGCCTGGGAGGATGTTAATTGTATACGTCCATTCCGTCAGGATCTAGTAATACTTGCGCACCTATTCAGGTTGGGCTGGTTAGGTTTGTCGAACGCCCTGACAATCTCGATTTCTGCATGCTCGGTCTGGTCAGCGAACTTCCTCATGGAGGTCCGGGGGCACAACATTATCCCCTCAAGTTGTTCATCAATCGCTACTACGCCTTTGAAACCCAGGAACCGAATCTGATACTGCTCGAACGCATGAGGGGCCGCAAAAGATGTAAGGAATTGGAGCGTACAGCGGATGGAATAACAGAATTCGCGCCGCGATCCCTACGGGCCTCGCACAATTTTTCCCAGACCATGCGTCCAAGTTCTCTTGATATTGTCCCGACACCATCAGTGAATAACTGTCCTTGAGCGTTTTTGATATCTCTGATTTCCTTCCATTGATCTTTTGAGATTTTTACTGAGGGATCAGTGGCAGAGAATGCTTGCTGGGGGAGATTGAACATGTGAAGGTCGAAGCGGAGAAAACCATTACTCACTCCAATACGAGCCGCGTACTTTGAAGGCTGATAAATAGTCTCGGCGAAGACACCAAGAGAGTCGCGTATGTTTGTCGCAGACATGAAATCTTCCTCGTTGACGAACCACACCGAATGGCTTCTAAGCGCCGAAGAGGAATAAGCAAGAAAAGTGAAGTGTCGACCAGCAATGTCGATCCCGTTCTTGAGCATGCCCCCAACCCTGTCTTCAAGGAATGATTGTCCGTCAACTTCGCGATCCCACCTGAACTGCAGCCTGTCCTCATCCCGGAACTCGACTCGTAGGAAATGGTCTTCAAAACCTTCGTATTTCCGAATAACCCTGTTAGATTGAGTTATGTAAGGCCCTTCCAGTAACATTCGAGTGGGCGTGATTGTGACGTGATAACAGAAGAACCGCCCGCTAGCAGAAGAAATGCGCCGCACTTCATCAATGGATCTGCTCTTCCTGACCACTTCAAGGAACTGTTTCGGTGTCTGAGAAGGCGGTCGGGTGGAGATCTTCTCAATGAAAGACCGCATGACTTCGCTCGCTATTTCCTGTGATTGGCTGGCCATTTTATCAACTACAGGAAGGATGGATTCCACTTCTTGGGTGTTCAAAACTCCGTTGTGCAACAAGGCAGCAACTTGAAAGGCGATAGACCAGTGAACAGATTTCATCCACTTCGTCAGCTTCGCAACGCGCTTTGGGTTAAAGAATCCAAGGCTACTAGCGTCAATGGTAACACCGTGGATGGGCGGGCGCAAATCGGCAACCTTGCAGAGATGCCCGAATCTCTCCAAATCGTCTGACTCGGAAAGTAGTATACGAATGTGGTGGGCATAGTCGGCCACGGCACCATGGCGAGCATCTAGTTGTCGTACTCTATTGCGAAATTTTCTCTCGGAGCCATCTGGACGATAAAGATCCTCTTGCTCTAGAATGGGCGGGGTGAAGAGATCCAAGCAAATGACTTCCCTAACGATGAGATATGTCGAAGGATGAAGTCTTCAAACATACATTGATTTCCAAAGTCACGACCAATCGCAAGTTTCTTTATGGTAGAAAACTTGATAATCACGCTATTCTGTATTCCATCACGGGTGGGGTCGGTCATCTGAGAAGAGTGAGTAAGAATATTGTTGCAAACAAGATCCATGGTACCTTTGCTCTGAGTAGCTTATGCTCATATTCAAATTTAAGCCACCCGACACTTGGCGGGTCAAGATCCATTGACCATTCTATTGAGAATGAGCGGGGATCGGTTGGAAGAGAAGGAAGTGGTTTGTAATAAACGCCTATGACCGGCCGATATCAACATCGTCCTCGGGTAGTCCTGCTTGACTCACCGAATTGTAGTTTTCCGATTCTCAGCGAAACATCGAGCTCCTTTAATTTCAGTTGTCGTTGTTTCTCGACTTCAGGGTCCACAAAGGGTGCCTTCCTGAGGGTCATGATAGTGTCGTGTTTAACACCATTGCTCGTTGGGAAGATCTTGAGGGCTTTGCATCCAACACGTATCGTATTGTTAGAAGGATCCTTATACCAACGCAAGAACCTCTGGCCAAGGCTCCTTGTAGGAAGCCTGAGGGCTCCCGAGCCATCGTTCCGTGCACCAATGCTTTTCTCTCGATAAAGCTCGACTTGGAAGTTGATCAGCCGATCCTCCGGGTTAGTTCTAAACGGAAAGTTGTGAAGGACTTTGGCAATGGCAGTCGTGACGGCAAACTCGTCCACCCCCGTGTCAACATTCCTAAGATCGAACTCCATTAGTAGGCGAGAGAGTGCAGAAGATGATGAGGCGCGACTCTAGGCCTCCCTTGGCTCTGTGAGGCCGAGCGACGAGTCTCAGGTCAAGTGCAAGTTATCAAGCGCCTATCATACTGCGTTTTTGAACACATGCGTTTGTGTGGGAACAAGGTATACAGTATGCAAATCCGTTGTCCGAGACGCGTCGCGTGGCCCACGCAGATTTCCCTGAGGTTTCCCACACAACTACCATCCACCCAATCAAATCCATAAGCTTGTCTTTCAGGAGTTTTACTTGTATGGTATACCTGAATGAATTCGAAGTCAGTCTCATCATGCACACAGAACTTGCTTGCAGCCGACCATTTTGAATCTAAAAGCCGATATTTAGCGTGCATTTCAACGATGCTTGTAATCCACTCACCCGCTGGAACTCATCGTAAGCTACGCTACGAACGTTTTCATGGGCGTTGCGGATCACGCTCATCATCCACTCCGCAGCTTGGCGTTCGTTCAGTCCCAGAGCGAATCGGTCTCTTAGCCTCTTGATGGTAGGTTCTCCTTTAAAGGAAGGCAGGCCAGTTCCAAGCATGAGCTGGACCGTGCCAACAATCTGATCTGCATAAGGTCGGATCGCTAGGAAGGCCTTGACTGTCAAATGCTGGAAAAGCTCGTAGCCTTGAGAATAGCGTCCGCCCATGAGGACAACCATCTCATGATTTAGCTTGAAAGAGTTTGGCTCGAATTTGACACCCTAAAATCAGTAGTTTAGCATTACTTCGTAGTGCATGATCATTCTGACTTACTCCCGGACGTAGGAAAACGACGCCATCGTTAGCCTACATATGAATGAAATTTGAATAAATATACTCATCTATGTCGAAAAGGAATCCGAAATCTAGACGGTGTTCTCAGCCGACGAGAGGTGCGAGAATAAACCAATGACACTCACCGATATGGACGATGTGACCTTCGCCGTCTATCATGATATTGCCATTGTGACGATCCTTGATTTGCAAGATATAGCACGCAACCGAGTAGGCAGCCATGGATTGGATAAAGTTGAGACGAGCTCGTTGGAATGCCACGGTCTCTTGGCCACCGTATTTAGAAACAAAGAAATCCAGAAGATCGTTAACTTTCGCGCGCCCCATTTCATCTCTAGAAGTCGCGTTCGGAACGACGTCGATAACACCACACTATCCCAAGAGGCGTCAGCAATTGGTAGGATGGTAAATTTCAAAACTTACACCCGGTGCTGTGGCAGTGACTCGGTATGGATAGAGGTACAGGGTCAATCCAATGCTTGTGTAGATATTCTTGAACATCGCGATGACTTGAAGAGCAAGGACATCTTGTCGGCAGTCGTCTCCAACCTTGAAGATAGCCTGCTGCCAGACTGTGTATTCTTCTCGCTTTTCAATACCAGAGCCATCAAGCAAGAGTTCAGCGTCTTCGTCTATGACCGTCTTTTCCTTCCGAACTTTGAAAGTCGCCATGAAGGGAGCCTAGCGACATGTTGTTTAATTGACAAATAGTTGCTGTTGCGGAGATTACACTGACCTTTGCATGACTTTGGAGAGGCCGTCCCGATTTCTTGTCAATATCAATCACTTCACCATCGGGGTTGCTGGGAAGATAGACCCCGACGTCAACGACAATCTTGGCCATTTCTTCATCAATCTTAGCCTGAGTGGGTGTTAACGCTTAGAACTCATTCATGCCGGAGGTGAAATTACCTTTTTCTCCAGCTTGGATTTTTTGATGAATGGTTTCAGTTTCCCCGAGATGGAAGTAACCTCGTGGAAGAAGCTGAATTCGCGATCATAGAATGACTTGGCTTCTCCAGACAAAGAGCGAACAACCATGTCGGTCATCCTGTCTAAAGCCGGCTTCATAGGGTCTTCCTTTGGCCAATATAAGATATCGGGACGGATATCATCCGAATATGAGTGCTACATACGATTTCTGCCGCATCATCTTTATAGCAGTTGGCCTTCATGTTCCATATGATTTGATGACAGAACAGCTGTGAGATCTTGGCAGTCTCGAAGATGAACTCCGCGACGTAACCTAGTTGCGAGTCAGTCATATATTCCATTCGGCTCAAGTAGCGCAAACCTAAATCATCGAAACGTAAAGCCTGAACAATTTGTGGAACAAAGAAGAACGTGAGATCAACAGGATGTTCTTGCAGAACACGGTGAGCAAATTGCAAGAGCAAGGGGTCGTTGTTGTATCGATGTTCGAAGAAGGTTATTGCCAGAACGGGAGGTACAGGCGCCCAAAGTAAGATGTGCTGGTAATAAGATTGAGTCGGATTACCTCATACTCGACTCGTCAACCATACCTTGAGTTCCCGCCTGAACTTCCCGTCAGACGTGTCTCCGATCAGGAATCGTAGAGCTTCAGGAGCGTGCAGCACATCGGCAGGCTTCGTGCGAACGAGTGATGAAATTTCGCTCTGGGCTGTATGGCTTTTGAAACGTTCAGTTGCTTGGACAGCAATGGCAGGGTCGATTTCCCATAGCGTGCGTATAACTCCTGGCCATGTGCTCTGATAGGTGATACTAGCGTTAATTGTCCGAACTATCTGCTTTCCACTGTGACTCACCTCTAGCATTGTACGTTCTGCGGCTCCTACCTGGTCCGTGCCCCGCTTTGGATCGCTGCTTGGGTTGCTCCAGACAGTGAGTCTGTATATCTCATTCTCCACAAGTAATCGCAGAGGGTGATTAATGCTCTTGAGTCGCGGAACGTGCCCTGTATTGGATTAATGGAACTAGCCAGGCCTTCCTTGGCTAGAACTCACATGATGCTCTTGACGCTAGCTGGACGGGAGAAAGACTGGATAAAGGGGACAAACCCACGACGGAATCTGACTGAAGGTAAGACAGAAAGTCAGAAAGTGACTGGATGTCGGCTTGAATCTGAACTCGGTTGGCGCCGTAAGACCACCTATCAAAGTCATGATTTTGTCCAAGCCTATCAGGAGGGATTGGTAGCTTACTGCGACCGTGATGCAAACCAGGCGTACGCCGTACGATACAGGCTTTCTCGAATCATGGATTCACAACATGAGTCCAAAGAGGAGCTCTTCAAAGCCTCGAAGCCGAATAAGAGGAACGAGAACCGTAGCTCCCGAGACAAAGGATGCGTGCTGCAACACCGTTAATGACTTGACTACAGATAATCGATTGTACCAACCTAAAAGACTCATATGCATGCGCAGACCTCAGGACTAGACGCTGGATAAGGAACATGACTGTAGGTTTGCAATATCTCGCCGACTGTAGCTTGCTAAATAACATCTGGATCAACAGTGTATGGGGCATCAGCAGACGTCGAGCATGTGAGGTATTGCGGTCAATTTCTTCCTTATCGGTGGGCGCGTAGTCGATAGGATGACAGAAAGGATCGTCATAACTGTGGTAAAATGTGAATACTGTAGTCTGGAAACCAAGAACTTACATACTTAGATGATATAGAGAAGACTCCTTTCCTGTCTTTCACGATACGGAACCAGGCAGTGATAATCTCGGTCACAAGTGCAACTTCGATCTCTTGCTTCTCTGCAATCACCCAAGTCCAAACTTCAATGCCGGCAGAAATTGCTGCAGGAGTGAAGACTTCGCATGGGAGAATAACAAGGTAGCGCAGGAGAACATAATCACACTGATCCTATGAGAACGTTTCGAGATGACAACGCATGGGATTCACCTTCTTAAGCGAGATGAGCAAAGCAGCACAACGGAACATCAAGCGCTTCAAGTCCTGAACGGTTAACGCGCTTTGCTTTCCGCGAATATCTCCAAGAGTTTCTTCCATCTTTCTCTTCAAGCCCTCAATCTCGAAGGCAGGAGCACTCTGGGGGGGCAGCTTATCCAGGTCATCCTCATCTTAATCGAAGTTATTAGCACTGTTGCGTAAGGGTGTGAGTTGCATACCCTTGCGATTAGCGAGCCGTATTCCAGCAGCTTCTCCGGCATAGTACCCTTTGCTCGCAAGCTGACTTGCCATCACCCGTGCTCGATCAGATTTGAGCTGAGACAGGGTGCCGAGTGATGCTTGCAAGAAAGTAAGTCGTGCCCTAAGCCAGTCAAAATAGCCGCTCACAGAGATGACGCTGAACACGTCCAAAGGATTTCCCATATTGTTCGGCGATAGATGCTCCTAATTCACTCGTCGCAGGTCCTGACAAAGACTGAGTCGCAGCGAGGTATTTCTATCCAGCCGACTTAATAGCATGATGGGGCCGCCAGTGAAACGACACACCTGTAGCGTGGATTGGAGTTCATATGGCGCTCTATTCAGGGCCAGCTCGAACCATTGGTTGGCGGCTTGATTTAGTTGGGCCATGATTTCGTTCCGACATTTGTAGTCATCAGTAAGGTGAAGGGTGACATCGGCGCGCTCGGAGTGGTATTCATGTACAGGGTTATACTGGAGTTTTTCGATGAGTCCGGTCCCACATCCAAAGAGTTATCCTTACCTCGTCCATGAACTCATCCTCGCATGCGCGGCGAAGCAATGTAAGGACCTCGAGGATGGCATAAACAAGCGGTGCGTCGCACATCAAGGAAGGGAAGCTGGTAATCAAGCGGTTGAGATACTTGAACGCCTCCTCGCGTACCCTGGCGACACGATGCGTGCTATACACCAGCAAAGTTCGAAGCTCATTCGAGAGCTGGGAAGGCAACGCTTGCTGCAACGCTTGGGCGTTTAAGTCAGCTATGCTGCCACGCATGACCTTTAAGCAGGCAATAAACCTCGTAACCATCACCCAGAAATATTTTGCGATACTTCTCACCTTGTCAGCAATAGAGTCCATACAGGCACCCATCCCAGGATGGCTATTTAAGCCACCATTTGCAAAGTAGGCAGCTAGAGAGGATGGCAGGCCTGCCGCTGAGCGCATGACCTCCATATCATGCATAGTTAGCAAGAAGATGATCTGTCCAGTTGACAATGTTCGAATCTCAGCGTAGCGCGTAGCAATATGTCGGTTGAGGAGAGTACGGTGTCTGGTGACATTCTAGACCGTTTATTAGAAGTTGGATGAGATCGTAATGACTGACAACTGACCGAGTGTGCATACTCATGTCGTACTACAGCACTGTATTCAACCTCGCTCGTGGCATTTCGTGCTCCTTCAAGAACTATAGGGGGCGTCTTACTCGCAATGCGGACCAGCGCAGGATGTATCCAATCCATGGCATTCCTTTCCCTCCCTTCCGAGTCAGAAGACGTGAAATGGAACAGCACGCAGAGGAACCACATGTTGCGGAAGAGGGACACGAGCTCTGGTGATGCATTGATTTGAGGGTTGAAATCCACATGAGTCAGAAGGGCCTCAATAGGAAGCAGGAGGGAGGCGAGTTGTGCCGTCATTTCCTCAGTCTAAGGTGGAGGTAAATTATTCAAGTTACTAAGAGTAGGGGGCGAGCTGGAAAATCATTTCTACCTTCGCATGGTGGTCCGATATGGCGATGTTCTGAATTGAAACACCCTTATCAGAGAACAGAGTCAAAAGTTCGACAAGGTATAGTTCGTAGAGATCGGGTCTCCGGTCCATTTCTTTGGCAAGTCTGGTTTGAGATGCTAATACCTGCAAGGCGCTTTTCAGTGAATGACAGCTATATGAGCAGAAGACCAATACCATGTTGTTGGAGTACCTTGGGTCGTCGGAATTTGCGGTGCGGTTAATGTACGAGAACGCACGGATGATATCGATGAAGGAGCTTTCGGGTGCAGTGAGTGCGAGATCAACTAGATTATATGCTACGGTTGCTTCAATGCTTGGCTCTGCGGTACGCAACCGCTGTAGTAGCATTGAAACGGTCAATCTCGTCACCTGAGAAGAGACATCATTTATAAATCGTTGAGAATCAGCTGAAATACCAACTTCTTCAATGTCAAACACCAATGCCAGCCGGCTGACAACAGAGATTGTTGTCTTCCCGATGAGCCGCTTTTCTTCCTCGCTCATCCCACGAAGACCGGTGTCGTCGCTCTGGAGGGTCATACGCTCAGACGCCATTGAATTATGGAGTGGGTTGCTAACTTGAGCTCCTTCCGTGATTTCTTTGCTAGCTGCCGCAATGTAGTTTAGCAGAGAGTACATGTTAGACATGATAGCATCATCTTCCGGTGTAAGCTTCACGCGGATACAATGTAAGCCCGACTGCGCTAGCTCAACCGCATGCAGAGCGCACCTGAATGCATAATGCGAGGCACTTCGCGGCAGCCACCAGCGCCGGTGGCGTGCGTCGCTCCGGGCCGAACTCAAATTCGAAGATCGACAGTGGAGCAATGACAAAGCGACGAAGATGGTTGATCATGTCAGGAGCTATATCTGGGAAACTGCAAGGAAATCAGTTGCATGATGTGCGTGCAAACTATCACTGTACCTCTGCACAAGTACCGTCATAGCTTTCAGTGCCGCTTCTTGCACTAAACTATCTGACAGCGGAGATTCTTCACTAAGGAGTAACTTAAGCTTCTCAAAGATGTCATTGTCCAGCTCTCGGAGAGCAACGGCGCATATAGAAGCAAGTTTCTGGAAGTGATAAGCATCTCGTTCCAGTAATATATATAATTTTACTAACCAAACTTTCAGACATCGTCTCCCAAGCATATGTGTCAATCGGAGGGTCAGTGTCCATGTTCTCAATCTGAAGGAGAAGATCACTGAAGCATTGTCCAGCGTATTGGATCGTCTCCTTTAGCGAGTCTCTAGTCACCGCGTCAGTGACATCCAAGTCCACTGCTGGTCGACGAATCAAAGCTAGCAGCGCCCTGTTAGCTGCTGCAGCCTCTGAGCCTGGACCGTATTTCGCTTTCTCGGGAGGTGCCAGCGCTTGCGCAAGAATGGTCCACTGCATCTCCATGACACAGCACACGATGAAGTATCCGCTCAGAGGACGTTCCTGATTGATGTATCGTGCTATGAAGGTATGACAGAAAGTAAAGGCATCTATATCAGCCTCCAGTTCTTGATGAATATCCAGCAGTAGACGATTGATCCTTTCAAGGACATCTGGGGTTACTAGAAGCCTAAGTGCATTGGACAGCTTGCACCACTGACTAGCCGACCATGGATATGAAGTCGATGTGACAGCGCGGTACAGCCCGTGAATTGCAGGTGTCAGCTGTGTGAGAACGCCAACCGCTGAGGATCAAGAACTTCGGTATGAGTTTAGGACCAGCAGTAAAGGTCTGACATACATGTAGCTTGTTTCAGTTGACTGACTGTGTCCGAGATGAACAATGTGATAGAGTCGATGACAGATGTGTTATATTCTTCATGCCTGCTGGAAATATGCAAAAGCGCGGAAACCGTAGAATAGACAAGTTGATCAGGGAGTGCCCACTCTAAGAAGAGCACAAAGTCAGTGGACCATACATGCACATTGCCATGCGAACGCACCATCCCATGAGAGGCACTCATCAAAATCCGTCCGCGTAATATCTCGAAGTAGGTCGGTAAGAACGTTGATTAGGGTAGTTTTCTGGGTATCTATATGCGCGTCGGGAAAGCTGGCTACTAACTCTCCGAATGCGATGTTGCAATGGGCACGAGCCTCGGACTATGTAGTGGACTCAGCATGTAATGCTCTGGAAAGCCCGTCATTGAGACACTCGCCATGAACATTCTGGTTTCCGAACTGTCCGAGCCGGCTATGGTCCCGTTAGGTTCACTAGAGCACGGTATATCTTGGGCCTTGGATTGAATAAAGTCAGTGGTTGTGAGCAGTTCATGCTCATCTTCACCCGCTTGGGCTGCGAGGTCTGATAATATTTGCTGGTGGATATTCAGCTCTAGGCTGTCACGCAAGTGTGAGTGCGCGTGAAGAAACGCCCCAGGATGCGCACTTACTAGTCCATGGTGAAGGTTAAACGCGGCGTTCGATGATCGCGTCACAAGTCGAATGTGCCGAAATACGGAGGGTCGATCATGGCCTGGTCAACATGAGGTACATAGTCGCTATAAGTGAACCCCTTTATATCAGGCACTATAGCCAAGTGGTTACGGCGACAGATTCGAATTGCTCGACTATCTGTTCCTCTTTGAGGGCGCAGGTTCGAATCCTGCTGGTGTCGTTTTTCCAGCACGCGGGTAGGCCAATCCTATCCACAACGCGAACATTCTGAAGGTGAAAGCGAGCTGCCGCACTCTTTTGCTTGTTAACTTACTTTCACTATGTATCCTCACAGCCCTCGGTACCTTAATATCGACACTTGGCATGCTTTTTTCAACCACATCAATACCATCATCTACGCGCTCCTTCTCATATGGCTCTTTCTTCTGTGGCTCATGCTGAGGCAATGCTTAATCCGACGCAGGACCTTCGAAGCACCCACTCGTGCTGCTTTTCAAGCCCTTCAAACCGTCATTGTTCCGCAGGGCTCGTTCTGGCCAGCACAGTATATTCGGCTTGCGAAAAAGGCGCGCTCTTCTAAAGAAGGTCACGGTTCAGTTGTTCTCTTGTCTATGTCACGTCTACTGGCCGACGCAAGCTCTGGTCTTGTGGAACTTCGCAGCCCTATGCAAAACCTTCGGGACATGCTTGCTACCCCGGCAAAATCTGAATCAATTGCGTGGAATGTTGCCATTCATGTTGATTGGCCCTGGTACCTGTATGTAATGGACTGGCTGCTGTTCCCAAAGGCAAGTCTTGTAGCTTTTGACGCCAATGTGTCTTTAATGTTGTCTATGGATGCATACAGCGGCCCTTCTACTGTAAGTCGTTGCGTCCCTTTTCCATTCTACTGCTCCATTTCTGTGGTTGCGTAGATGGGCGAACCCTCAATACAAAGTACTCAGTCGTTCTGGCTCTTGGTGTTCGATGAGAGCGAACTGACTTTGTTTCCTCCCAGAATCACTGAATGCTGGCATCTGCACCGCCTGAGCTTCCCTCGAACTCATCAAGGCTCATGTAGTCTCGATACAGTTCCTCACGATTATGTGGCGAAGTTTATAGGTCGATTCAAATCATCGTTGGGTCAAGGTTGTCGCGGCACAATCGAGTTTTCAACGCTAGCTCCTGGGATACGGTTCATGTCGTGCGCATACATTCAATCGACACTTCCATTTCTGCCCCGGCGCTTCACTCGATCTCTTGACCGAAAGACCGCTATCCCGGAGCGATCCTCGACGCCGCTATTCATCACCTTGAACCGAATTGTTGAGCTGCTCATCTCTCCGGCTCACGCTGACCCCCTTGTTCTGGAATCTATCACAAATGCGTCTTCTGCTCATGCGCGATCAATCGCTGCTACTTATGATAGCTTGTCTAATTCTCGTTACGCTCGCGATCCATTCATTCAGGAGTTTGGAATAACCGCTTGGCGAGAATACCGATTCTTTCTTGCTTGGGAGGCTGCGCTGCTCAAAACGGGAAAACTCGAGCGATGGGTCGTTACGGTCCAACGAAACTAAACAAATTTCTCATTGGCCCTCTGTGACACGTCATCGTCGTGACAACACTTCCTTCAATATTATGACGTGTATCCTTGTGCAAGTTATGGGTTGAATTGTACATTATACAATATGCAATGATCTCCTGGAACTGTCTTTTCTTGTCCATGCGTTAGTAGCTCAGGGTCTCTAGTATCCCATCCAGGATACGAATGGTATCAGGCATGTTGAATTTCTCGTACTGGAGAGCTGCAGGAACGCTGTGCATCATGTTAAAGCAGGGTGGCAGGCGGTGAAAAGATAAAACTTACTCCCATCCTCCCACTCGCTTCACCGGTGCCTGCAGCTTTAGGAAACACCGCTTCTGAACTTCAGCTGCAATCTCGGCGCCGACGCCAGCAGTGACGCTTGCCTCATGGACGATGACGAGCCGTCCTGTCCGGTTCACGCTCTCGACAACAGTTTGCATATCCCATGGGAGGATTGTACGCAGGTCAATGAGCTCGATCTTTGCTCCACGAAGCGACTGGGGAATAACGTCCGCAAGGCCGGGCGGTGGGGTATTAAGCATGTGGAGGGCTGTCTCGCAGTGGTAGACGGGCGTGCCCCAGGTGAGAACAGTAAGGTCCGAGCCTGGAATAAGGGTTTCTGCCTTGCCCAAGTCGATGGTATAGTCGTCTATGGGGACTTGCTCCACTGGGATAGAGGTTGTGAGCGAGCTATACGCGCGCGGAAAGCATGGAACCTACCAGCGGAACGATAAAGGATTTTAGGCTCCATGAAGAGTACGGGATTTGGATCGCGAATGGAGGCTAGCAAGAGTCCTTTGCATTGTATAGGAGAGCGCGGAATGACAATCTGGGGTGCATCAACGATATTACTCACGAAGGATGCGTTGATTACAACTCAAATAACGTACCTTCAAACCAGAGGCTCCCATGAAGTACCCTTCTGGACTCTGTGAATGATAAAGACCGCCGTGCCCTACAGCCATGGTAGGCATGCGCACAGTGAGGCCGCCGATATTGAATTGGCCGCCTGCTCGATAGCGATACTTAGCTGCTTCATTGACAAGCTGCAGTAAGCTATCAGCATAGACGCGTGCGAGACACGAAATAACACCCGACCTGATCAAATGCTGGATAAACGTAGTCTGCGAACTGTATTTCTGCGATAGCAGTGTGGCCCATAGACGCAAGTCCTATGCCGAACCCAACGATGCCCTGCTCCGTCAAAGGGGTGTTGAATATCCGGTCACGGCCTGCAAGACGCGTCAGTACACGCGCCATGCATTACTCTGATTCGAAAGACGCGTACCAAACTCCTCTGACAGACCCTAGATCCAAGCACAGTGATTAGCACGCGAATGGGAGAGTTGCAGCGTTGCGCACCATAGTACACCGGAACACGCCTCCAAAAGCAACGTCCTCGCCAAAGACCACGGCAGTATCATCCTTCGACAGCACGGTGCTAGAAGACTCACTGAGACCCCAAGTGGAAAATGGCTATGATCCGGGCCTACCTCAATGCATCACGAACGGACTGATATGTGTTCATCTTTCGCGTTTCGCGACCACCCACAATGTTCCCAGCCAAACCTGGTTCAACCTCATCTGTCCAGCGTAGGCCTGGAGTACGAAGAGCTTGGTCGCGGTTTTGACGTAACAGTTTTGACGTTGCTACCGATGGAAGATGTCCATCGGCTGGAGGTGGCGCTTCGGAGGACGAGGCCAACCTCCTGAAAGACTGCATAATGGCGTGCAATGGTGAGGAGCTAGCGAGACGAACAACTTCGTGGTACTCACAAATGGAATACGCCGTCGAGCTGCACGCACTGCGAGAGATCCTTGAGAAGACAACATGGTAGTGGTTGTGGGTCAAGCTGGGGTTGCAAGATCCGGCCCCCTGGAGGACAGGCGAGTGAAGCCGGACCGGATGACTGTCCGGGTCGCGCGGACTCTGTCCCGTCAAATTAGCGGCGCTAAGCGAATTATCAAGGTACTGTCACCGAACACAACCTCCGTCATCTCCTCCGCATTGGCTGCCAGGCACCGTTCGGAGCTGGACGTGTACCCATACTTCCTCATACCTGTCCCATCCGATGGAAAACGACTCTGCATTTGTCGCGCCCGAGGGCGTGTATTCTGTCACAGAGGAGTACAAACCCCTGCCGCTCCCTGTGCATCCGACCCCCTCCGCACTCCCCCAATATCCGACGCGTCTGTCCACAATCACTGTCCGTTTTCCGGCATCGAAACAGGGAGGTATTGGCGCACAGGGTCTCGCACAGCTGCTTGGTGCGACGAAGGACTTCAAACGAGATAAAACAGCCAAGGAAGATGGCGTTAGTTTGTCCAGCAGCGACACGCCAGAAGATGTCATGGGCTCCCCTGACCCATCTAATGCAGGTGTCACCGAATCGACAGCCGTAACATCCCAGGATACCCCAAACATGTTCTCGCACCCGTCTATTAGTGGAAAGAAGAAAAATGCCTCACGCCCAAAGAATAACATACGGACCACATCCTCGACCTTTATAACACGTCTCCAGAGCGCGGAGGGGTTGACAAAGCTTCTGTCTTCAAAACAAGGAGACGCTACATTCATGTTCTATAACTCGGGCAAGGCTTTTCATTGGATAGAGGTTGGCTCAAAGTCAAAGGTGCGTATACCCTGCTCCTTGCCAGATCTTGCCTTCACTACTTGTTTAGGATCCTCTAACGAGAATCAGCTTCACCGCCTTCCCGACTTGTCATGATGTAAATACACATACTGCTTCAGCGGATCGACTAGACGTCATCATTGGCTTCAGTACTGGCGATCTCATCTGGTTCGGTATGTTTCCTGTGTCTACTGACTTTGTAGTCCACTCATAATCCCTGGGATAGATCCCATATCCAGTCGTTACGGGCGTTTGAACAAACAGGTGCGACCGCACGCCTGGCCGAAATCCCTGAAGTGCCAGGCTCACCGAACATCTTGTTAGGGTGCCATTACCACCGCAGCTTGTACAGCTGTTCGGTGGGTCCCATCCTCGCCTACTTTGTTCCTTGTCTCCCACGCCGACGGCACCATCATCGTATACGACAAAGAGCGCGAAGATGGGCAGTTCACGGCCAGCATGCCCACTACGCCACCACGACCACTGCGACCTGGTTATTCGCCTCCTCCAACACAGGATTTAGAGGTAGAATGGGACCCACTCACGAGCATATATGTTACTGCACCTCCATGGCACCCCATGACGTCGGGAGGTACGACCCCTGGGCCGGCCAAGGGTGACAAAGACAAGGCAGTCAAAAACCCTGTCAGTCATTGGCGAGTTTCCCAGCGCTCAGTAGTGGGTAAGTCTTGACGTATAAGTCACATAGTCAACCAGCTAATGCATTATTAGACTTCGTTTTTTCGCCTGACACCAAATACGTGGCTGCAATCTCGGAAGATGGCTGCCTGCGAGTTATTGACCCATTCGCCGAGCAGTAAGTTACCTCCCTCGCCCGCGACGTTTCTAGGACCTGATCTCTTGTCAGGCTTGTAGACTGTTACTCAGCATATTTTGGTGCCTTGACTTGTGTAGCCTGGTCGCCTGATGGTCGGTTTATTCTGGTACGCTTTCACAATCGGTGATTACCACAGCATCACTGATCGCTCTTTCCCGGGCTGAAGACGGGAGGCCAAGATGACTTGCTTACCATTTTCGCACCCTTGGAACAGCGGGTTGTAGCCCGTTGTCAGGGTCACTCATCATTTGTCTCTGCGGTGGCATTTGACGATCTTCGTTGCGATGGGCGCAATTATCGCTTTGGTAGCGTTGGCGAGGATAACAAACTTATACTGGTCGGTTTGCTCGCAGTTCCATGGATGTGTGCAATACTGAAGATTCGTTAGTGGGACTTTTCAAGCGGAGTTCTTCATCGCCCTAAACTTGTGAGCTAAGAATTATATAATGATCTACTTGCGCAGCGCTAAATACTCTGCAGGCGACGCATCATGCTCGCTTTTCTATGGCATCAACTGTTTCCCTTGCCTTCCGGAAAGGTACAGGGTCTGCTTTACATCTGCCAGGTGCTTCCGTCATCGGCTTTGATACCAGTGCGCCACCACGATACCATCCAGCACCTTCGCGGAACGAAGTGTCCGTCGTTCAGCCAGTGTTGGTACGTGAACGTGGGTTAGGCCTTGTGAAGTTCCTGACGTGTCGTTCAGGTGAAGCAGCTGGAATGCGATATCCTGACAGCCCTCTCTTTCCTCCCTCGTGCCCTCCTCACCGCAACGAAAGCCGGACTTGTGAGGCTCTGGGTGCGCCCCCTAGCCATGAAAGGTCGACACATGAAGCACGGTCACCGGGGCTTGTCAATATCTGACATCAAAGATGTCATTGTGTAAAACAAGGTATCCGAGGAACTTGGAAAGCGTTCTGCAGGCGGATTTCACGCTACATTTGGATCAGCATGGACACCATCAGTACTGTAAGGGAACGCATACCCTGGAACTACTTATTATTTGTATTTATATATGTTCTGTATGCTCTACGCATGACAGCGTTGTGTCGTTATTTTACCTTGCAGACCAGTAAGCACATGCAATCTGAAGTCAGGGATAAACATACATTTCAATTTCTTCTGAGTAATCCCCAGTGGCACCCTCGTCCATGGTATCAGGGTCATCCGTCTCAGCAGTAATGTTCCCCTCTTCGTCCATGTCTTCCATGCTCGCGTCTAGATCTGGTCCAGAGTCATTCTCTTCACCGTCGTGGGTCATGGACGGTGCGTTCACTCCCGACTGCTCAGAATCAGAATCTTCCGACTCAGATTCAGCCTATAAAGAATACCAGGCATAAGTCTATCTTCCAAAGATGTCGAGGGTAGTCGAGAGAGGACGCACGTCGTTTTTCTCTTCCATTTGGGTCATATTCTTTCCGATAGGTACATAGTATGTGAAACCGCGTGATCTGATGTCCATACTCTGCGAAATTTTTGAGCAATGAATGCCCTCCGCCGCCCATCCGAGCTCACCATATCCTCGAGCTCGTTCTCTTCGTCGCTTAGGTCGTCCAGTTCTCTGATGATGTCGCGTCTGTGGTTCATCTTGCCGGGCCATCTTTGCGGAAGCGGTGTGGGGTGAGTTTGAGGTAAGGCAGGGAGGATGTTGGGTACAATGGGCGGTCGAGGAATCAGTGTAGGTGTAACTATTGGCATGCTGCAGATGTGGACGAACTGTGAGAAAGTAGGATAGTAGAATGGAAACACAACGTTGAGAATGGTGCAGGATAGGGGAAGAGACTGATTGAGGACGCGCCGAGGTGGCTTGAGTTTGGCTTTGTTTGCACGTGATGGTGACGCGCTTCCCCTTTACCCTCGCTTGGATCCGTTGCAAGGACGCACAAGTCAATCTCGTAGCCGCCACAGGCTGCAGTTATGAAGTGTAAAACAGCAGCCATGGCATTGCAGACTCGAACATGCGGGCTTGGGCCAATGACAGAATGCGGTCTGATTGGACATGAATCTGACCAAATAATCGTAAACATCAACGCGTCCTGCAGACATCGGCAGTAGTGACACGATGCACACACGACGAGTCGACCACTGTACTACATACCTTATCGCTTTCTTCTTTGATACGATATTAACGTTTTATCCTTCTCACTAAACTCACACCATGGACGCCTCGTCTACACCTACTACTGCAGACTTCTCATCAACACCGCCGAAGCGAACCAAGATTGTATTATTGGGTGACCAGAGTGTCGGGAAGACCAGTCTAATCACTCGGTGAGCAGACTTGGCAGGGTTGACTGGCGCATTATGACTTGATGACTTGATGCAGATTCATGTACGATACGTTTGACAATACCTACCAAGCAACGATCGGTATTGATTTCCTGAGCAAGACCATGTATCTTGAGGACAGGACTGTGAGACTACAACTTTGGGATACAGCAGGGCAGGTAAGAACCCAATCATCTGGCTAAAGTGACGCGCAGGGCTCATGAAACATCTAGGAACGTTTCCGCTCACTAATTCCTTCTTACATCCGAGACTCTTCAGTCGCAATCGTTGTCTTCGATATCACTAGTGAGCAGAGGTGTTTTCAGGCCACTTACAATGACCTGGCTGAGATGGTTCTCCAGACCGCCAGTCCTTCCTCTCCACAACCAAGTGGATAGAGGACGTACGATCAGAACGAGGGAACGATGTTATAATCGTGCTGGTGGGCAACAAGGCTGACCTCTCCGATAAACGGTATGCGCATACAGCTCAGGTTACGCACCTGCTTGCTGACCCTGATTTACCATAGGCAAGTCACCCTTGAAGAAGCGACCACAAAGTCAACGGAGATGAACATAATGTTCATGGAGACGTCTGCTAAGGCCGGACATAATGTGAAGAGCTTGTTCAAGAAGATTGCTTTGTCCCTGCCCGGCATGGAGAAGGAAGGTCAAGCAGATGCACAGAACACCAGTGAGTCACCTTAGACTCCCTGTAGACATCCCGGACTGAGTCGCTCGCATAGAAATTGATGTCACGTCTACGCAACCTGCACCTGTGCCGGAGGCCTCGCAATGTAACTGCTGATGCGCGTGGTGGCCTTCATTGGTGTATATATTGCTTTAGTTTTACTACGATATACCTTAGTGTTTGATGCATCTTGTCTGTATTCATCCCGTAAAGCCCACGCGCGCCTTGTGATATTGCGTGACCATGCAGGTAAACTGCTCAGAGTCGTCGATTCCCTGCGCTCCGGAAACGACAAACCGACCATAATTGGAGCGCTCACAGCCGACAAAACGATGAAGCTAACCGACAAGATCGCAAACCATGACACCCGTCACCCATTCTACACTTTTGAGTTCTTTCCCCCACGAACAGATCAGGTACGTTTGCGATGCTTTCGATGCAGTTGCAGCTTCACCGTTCTTGTACAGGGTTTTGAGAACCTACTTTCGCGTATCTCCCGCCTTCAAACATACAAACCGCTTGCCGTCAGCATAACATGGGGTGCGGGAGGATCTACAAAGGACCGGAGCCTTGATCTTGCGGGGATCACACAGGCAGACTATGGCATCGACACCGTTCTCCACCTCACATGCACCAACATGGTCCCAGGTCTTGTGGACGACATCCTTAAGGTGAGGTAGTACCTCGGAGCTGACGTTCAGATGTTCACCATAGCTTGTTCTGATAAGGCTGCCAAAGAAAGGGGCATCCAGAATATCCTTGCTCTACGCGGAGGTGCGTAACACTTTGTGAGGTAAACACGAGCTGATCGAACAATGCACACCTATCTTCAGATCCACCCCGAGGTGCCGAGCAGTGGACGCCTACTGACCCCCGCTTCAAATGCGCCATCGACCTTGTCTCGCATATCCGGTCTACCCCTGAGTTTGCATCACACTTTTGCGTTGGTGTTGCCGGTGCGTCTGTCATTGCGCTAACAATATGCTCATGACGGCTCTAACCTCATGTTACAGCTTATCCAGAAGGCCACCCTGACCATGATCCGGCTGACGGTGATCCCAGCGAACGAGAGATAGATGTACTGAAAGAGAAAGTTGACGCTGGCGCTGAATTCGTCGTCACGCAACTGTTCTATGATACTAGCAAATTTTTGACGTGGATTAACAAAGTGCGGGAAAGAGGTACGTCGGACGTCAATAGCACTCAAATGTAACATTCTGATCTGTTGTGCTCAGGTATTATTGTCCCCATTATACCTGGGGTTATGCCCATACAAACCTATGACTCGTTTGGACGGGTTGTTAAGCTATGTGGCGTCAAAATCCCCCCTGCACTAAAAGCTGACTTGGAGCCCATCCGTGTATGTTTTCAAAAACTGCCCATATTATCTGGATCAGATGGACTCACCAAGGATCCAGCACAATGACCAGCTCGTAAAAGACTATGGAGTCCAGCTGACAATCGACACTATTCGCCGGATCACGTCTCCCGACGCGACTCCCAATGGTCCTGCTGTACCAGGTGTCCACTTTTGCACTTTGAATCTTGAGAAGAGTGTTCAGTTGGTCCTCGAGCGTTTGCAGTGGACAGATGCTAGCCCTAGAATTAAGAACAGATTGATTGCTGTAGGTTCTTCCTAAGTATTGTTGTCGATATGCGCCTGCTCACTAAGCATAGGAGACGGCTGGTCCCATCATTCATGCTGAGGAGCCTTCGAGTGGACTTGTCGTAACTCCAATCACTGCCACAGACTCTGCTACCACGGCTCTGTCTCACAAAGTCCCCGAAAATGAACCTCACCGTGAAGGAGATAGCGCTGCAACGTGGGACGACTTCCCCAACGGTCGCTTCGGTGATGTCAAGAGTCCCGCCTTCGGTGCTGGTGATCAATGGGGAGGTCTTGGACTCTCGGTACTTCGCCCCCTCTGTTCCTAAACGCAATGCTTAATCCTTATCCAGTTGCACACACCACCATCAGAATGGGGGAAACCAAAGGAGATACGAGATCTGACGAACATGTTTTTGTCTTATCTCAAAGATTCTGTGCGGACCCCAACTACGCCCTTCTCCCGCTTTCCTCTATCTCCAGAGTCCGAGACCATCCTGTCTCACCTCGAAGTTCTCACTCATAGAGGCTGGTGGACTGTGTGTTCTCAGCCTGCCGTGGACGGAGCACGCTCGGAAGACGAGGTATTGGGCTGGGGTCCTCGGGGTGGGTATGTGTACCAGAAAGGGTTTGTAGAATTCTTCGTCCCAGAAGAGGACGTTGGCCCCATCCAACAAGCTATCGAAACGCAAGGCGAGGGCTTGATACACTTCTTCGCAAGCAATAATGAGGCAGGAGTGCATATAATCCTTGAACGCAGTACCTACTGACTCTCCTTCTAGGAAGGCTTTTTGACCAATGTCCCTGAAGATGGTCGAAACGCTGTAACATGGGGTATGTTCCCTGGGCAGGAGATTGCCCAAACAACTATTATCGAGCGAGAATCTTTCTTGGCATGGAAGGTTAGCCTCTGCACTTTTCCTGCTGAGCTAGCCATTTACGCCTCTTCAGGAGGAAGCTTTCTCGATCTGGGAGGACTGGGCTTCTTTCTACCCCCCTGGGTCGCCAGAGCGGAATTGTTTGGAGAGCATACGGAAACGCTGGTGGCTACTGAGCATCGTACATCATGACTACCGACGCCCTGATGCACTGTGGAGTTTCCTTGAAGGGATTGCCAGAACTAGTGCTAGGACGTCGGCATAAGTGATGCTTGGCGAAATATTACCGAACATATATAGAACTTTTCTTGGCTTATATTACCTGACAATGCCTGTACTTTTACATAGCTCAAAGCTACGATAAGGGGTCGTAAATCAAGTACTGCCTGGCGGTTTTTTATGACACGTGATGTCATGCTTTAGAACGTTACCTCCACGACACGCGAACTTCGAGACGCGTCTGAACGCGCAGATATCGCCGCAACACAACCACGGACGTGCCATGAAACGAACAGCAGAGGATACGACCGCCAGTTCCCGCAAACGAAATCGTGCACTGGACTCATTCGACCCCTCCCTCAAGCGTGATGCCTCCCGTCTGCTCGATGCTCCCCTCGATGAGTCTGGTTTCATCTTTGGGCGCATATACATGATATGGTCTACAAAGCCTCTACGCGGGTTTATGATGGAGTCAGACTATCATGGCTGCACCTCGCGTTTCAAAGTTCAACTTCTGGGGCGCGCTGCAGAGGCCTGTACTTCCCACATAACACCAAATGGGAGGATATATCTGGGCCTCAAGGGCGCCACTGTGCAGCGCGTCGATCCGCAAAGGCCAGATCATTTACCGTTGCAGCTAAGTTACTCCATGGGTATTGTCATCAAGTTTATGCCCAAGGATGGTCGAGGGACACCAACGGTAATCAACTCTTGGGATGGTGAGCGGGATACAGTCATGCCTTCCCAAGTTATCTCATCAGTGCCGCATAGATGGTTGGTTCACTTCGGACGTTGGTACCTCTGCAGAGAGTGTGTTAGCGTTCATTAATGCTGAGAAAAAGGCTGGTAAGAGGTGGTCCTTTCCCTAGCTCCTCATCCTCATTTACCCCTCGTGATTCTCGCCGAAACACGTCTTGTTCACTGACGATGGCTACATGGGCAGCTGAGCAAGCTATTGCTACCGATCAACCGAACAAGACCGCTCAGCGCAAAGCTCGGAAAGCAGCCTACAGACAGGCGGAAGAAGAAAAGCAGCGCGCTTTGGAAAAGCAACTACAAGCAGAAGAAGGACCAGCTGCTGAGACGTCGACACCGATTCCACAAAAGAAACATTTTACAAACTCGAAGTCTCACAGTGGATCGCCAACTCCTGGCGATCACAAAAGGCGTCCATCTACTTCGCCTCCGTCTTCTCCACCAGGTAGAGTTACCGCTCCAGTAGGGGGGAATGCTGTCCCAAAAGATACTGCAAATTACACTGCCGAAGATGCCCGAGGCAAGGTTCAGCGCGATGAGACTGGGCGAACTAACGCCAAACCAACTATGACCGCTGGTTTCCGTTCGGAATATGTGCGCAAGGACCCCTCCTGCTCGTAGCTAAACATTCATTACTGATTGCCATCGACGCGTAGAAGGAGAATTTTCCTGCCATAAAATCCTTACAGCCATCTTCCGGCATAGTGAACATAGTAGGGGTCGTGACTTCATGTACAGCTGTCAAGACAACAAAAAGCAGAGGTTGGCTACCCTATGCTTTACGCACTCCTCCGTATTAACTATTTTTCCTCGTTCAGAGTATATGGTTTCTCTGTCTTTAGCTGACCCGTCGAACCTTGACGAGAATAACGCCTTCGGGTGCACTGAGAGTGGAGGATTTAAAGTCAACTGTTTTCACAAGAAGTACCCCGAGTGGTTGCCCCAACCTGCCGTTGGAGACATCATCATATTCCGTAAACTCAGGGCTAGTATTCAACAGGAACGACATCAATCCATATAGCTTACATCTAAACAGGTAACGACATGGAACTCTTCGGTCTCTGCTGTCGGTTACTCAGACAAATTCCGGTGGGCCGTTTACGACGCCGTGAAACACGCTGTGGCCCCAGTAGCTTTGGGCAATGCACCACAAGAAGAGATGATTAATGATGGGTATGGCTATACCTACTCACCTTTCTGGGCGCCTATCGACGATGGCCTGGAGCTTGGGTATTGTCGCCAGTTGAAAGAGTGGTGGGACCGGGCGCAGAGGAAGGCGGCGGAAACCGAGGTCATTAACATTGGTGATTGGCAGGGTGGGGGACCCACAACCACAAAAGGCTGGATTGACAAGCGGACGGCTTCCAAAACCCGAGTGCACCGCCTTATGCAGGATGCTTCTCCCGATGCTCCTCCTAGTGGCTTTTTTGACTGTACTGTTGAAGTTGGTTGTTCTTACACTGGCATTAATGAAACTTCTGACGAAAGACACAGATTTTGAGTGGGTTCAAGCCAGATGAGCCAGGGAGGCCATACTCCATCTACGTGACAGACTACACTCCGAACCCCAATGTGTATTCGTTCCCTCCAGATTCCTCAATGTCCCAGTCTACCTGTCCACCAGCTTTGCAGGGCACTCAGCTCGTGCTCAAGGTAGAATTGTGGGATGCCTCTGCAGCGCTTGGACCTACCATGGACATTGGCGACGTGTGGTTTCTGAGGAATGTGCGAATGAAGCTTGCTAGGAACGGCCTTTTCGAAGGCAGTATGCAAGAAGCTGACCGATCTAGACGGCTTGGTAATTCCGAGCCGGAAGATGGTGACTCTGCGGCAGTTTCTTCCACAGACGTACACTTCGAGGCGTTATTAAAGTAAGTGACGATGTCCAGCTTGAGATTCTTATATTGATGGCTGCTTGCAACCCAGGCGCAAGAAGGCATGGGAAAAGCAGTGTGGCAAAGCTATACGTCCCGTTGGCTCAGGAGGCGCCTCCACAAAGTTCGACTCGAAATTGATTGAGGATGTTGACTGGACTGGCGGTAGCTCGTTCTTCAATTGCGCTGTCGAGGTTGTATTTTTTGCACTACCTTTCCTCACCTTGAGCGATCACTTACAGTTTAATCTCAGATGCTGCACATTGATCTTGTATCTCCCGAAGCTCCGCTAGCATTTGTAACAGATTATACCTACAACCAGGCACTACCATCCTTCGCCACTCTCCCGGGCAGCTATGAAGTGCCTTTGGACGCTTTGTGCCGCCGCATTGTCCGTATACATCTTGAGGGTGATCAGGCCGACAGAGCAAGCAAGTGGAAAGTCGGACACGTGTATGAAATCAATAACCTCAGGGCTATCAGGCGCTCGGGGATTGCTGTAGGACGCCTTGGAGGCTCGGAGATGCTTACATTACACAAAGGTCCTGCTAGTCAAGATGCAAGCGGATCGACGGATTCCGTCATCGCTGCGCTTCTAGAGTAGGTGGTCTCAAAATCAACATTTTCACACGTGCATCTTACATTGGCATTTTTAGACAGAAAGCGCGGTGGCGACGTGACGCCTCACTAGAGGGCCACTGTCTGGAGGATAGAAGACAACCTTCGCCGATCAAAGTTACAGAGAAAGTGGCGGAAGAATTCTCTAAGGCGACAGCTCGGCCGTCGGAAGCACCTCAAGACGCTTCGTCACCCAGGACATATTCCACACTCAAAGAGATTAAAGCCAGTGATCAATGCCCAAGACATTTTACAACGCATGCTCGTGTTGTTGATTATTGGCCATTGAGATTGAGGGATGCCTGCATCCTCAGGTGCACGAGCTGTAATGTTGAGTCAGTCCAACGCCCTCCGCTTTCTTTGTTCGCGACTAAGCGTTATTGTGATAGTCTACCGTCGATACAGCGCTTCTGCTCAGAGTGTGCGAGCGACGATGATGTGGAGAGTTTTTATCGTTTGGTGTTTTTGATCGAGGACGAAGACGGCGAACGGCTGAGGCTTTCCTTGTGCAACCCATCGGTACGCATAACCCCCTTCGAACACCCAGTGCCTCATCGAATTGCGATGCGTTGCAGTGTTCCCTGCTATCCGGTGTACCCGCTACAGACTTCATGTTGGATAATGATGCCTGGAGAGAGTTCCAATCTCAGGTGCGGCCGTTCATAGGAAATTTGGAAGAAGTGCATGCAACTTTCGATGAGGGCATGCGTAACAGGGACAGTGTCCCAATCAAACCTGACACACCCTTTACTCGCATGGACATACAGAACTGGCCAGTTAGTCACAAGTGCATAGGTGGTGATGCGCACACTCGCCGTGAAGAAGCGTGCGGATGTGACCGAGCTTACGCGCTGCTGAAATGTGAACTCGTCTGAGCTCGCTTTATAGGCTATGAATACTGTACATTATTTCTAGCTTATTGTTCCTACTCCGTAGTATCAGGATAATTGACACCGCCATTAGCACGCACGAGGCTACGATGTGTGCCCCGAACCTTTGCCGAGAACGCCGAATTCGCGATCGATGACATAAGGGAAGGCTCAGGGGAGAGCTGGCACGGACGGCTTGATGAGTGTCTCAGCGGTATACTCGCGCATCCTCCTCAACGGCGCCAAGGCGGCGACGCTTTCTGCACTCTCAGACGACGCACAGGCTGCAGTTTCTGCGGCCATCTCAGATCTACGCGCCCTGCAGGCCGATGTCTCTGCCTTGTCCCTCTTCAGCAGCAATGAATCTCTCCGAGACATATCCACCCGCCATCTTCCATACCTTGCCATCCCCTTCGTCTATGCAGAGATCGTTACCAGAAGATTTACACCCGAACCCGATGCTCGCCTGGAGGTCGTTCGTGTGGCGCAGGCGAATCTGAATGCATATGTCAATAACATCGAAACGCTCGAAATCGTCTCCCCCGAGGATCGGAAGCTCTATAGCAATTCGACAGCCAGCGTCAACGATCCTGCCCAACGACGAGAGCTCAAAATCAGACAATACAAGGCCGAGAAAGAAGTCAAGTCTCGTGTCACCGCACTCCGTTCACGTCTATCCTCTGGAGGCTCAGACCTCGACTCAGATGCAGAGACGGATTTCGACCTCTTGAGGTCGCTATTACCCTCTTCTTTGCAGACAGGATCAACGACAGCTGATGACGACGACGAAGAGGATGATGATGGCGCGATGCGCCAGACAGCTTTGATGGTTCTGCGCCTCCTCTACGCACATGCCCACACCAACCTCACCAACCTTACACAAGAGCTTGAACTCCTTCGATCAGCACCTCCTCCGCCTCCAGGCGGTTCCCAAGCAACTCAGCCTTCCGATGGTAGCTGGAGGCTCGATGCGCCAACGTTCGACAGGAATGGGCCACTCCTTGATCCCTCAGGAAAGGTACGGATCTGGATCGCTCTGACTGTCTGTTTCACCAAGCTGATTTGTCTCATTCGTTCAGCCACTACGCCCTTTCACAATCCTGCCGGCTGGGGCAGCGGAGCGCTCAAGGCTTCAATCGCAAGTCTTTGGTCCTGGTCACAGTCTGCCCACCATGTCAATAGACGAATATCTGGAAATAGAGCGACAAAGGGGAAACATTATCGAAGGGGGAGGGTAAGTCTCAAGTACTTGTGGATGATACGATTGCCCGGTTTCTAACGATATCTTAGACAAGCATCTGCAGACAAACTCACTTCATCCGAAGAACTCCAGCTTGCATCAGAGGATGACGGCACGGCTGCGGCTGAGGAAGCCTCAGAGAAGAAACGATTAAAGGACGAGGCTTGGGCACAATACACAGATCTTCATCCGAAGGGAGAGGGAAATACGATGAATCGGGGGTGATCCTGTAAGTAGGCGGGATACGTTGGTGAATCGTTTATCCAGAGCTAAAGAGTATATGCTACGTAGACGACAACAACCATTCAAAAAATCACGCCTAGTGGGCATCTTGCCCCCTGCAAAACTTCTTCCATCTTGATGTGCTTAACCACCTAAACTCCTGATATGACTACAATAAGATTATGTGTAACTACGATAATTGTTAGATTGTGTGTTCCGGACATGCGTGAGGTGGATAAGAGAAACTAGCCATGAATATGTACAGTTCAATGCCATGATAAAGTCACTTCGTGGTCCATTTGCTAATTAGCAGCTCGCGAGTCCTGTCTCGCTCAGCTTCAATCGCAGAAATGCGTTCTTCCAAGGCCTTGACCTTGGCACGCTCTTCTACCAACTGCGCTCGTACACCGTCTCTGGTAGTGTTTTCAAGTAGAGATGCTTGGCGTTGCAATTCGTTACGGTTGACTTGTGCGTCGTAAGTGGTCATGATAAATTGGATGGATTCTGCCAACGGGTGCGATTTTGGGAGAGGGGGTGATGATGTGCCAACAGCTTTTTGCATGGGGATATTCGAAGTGCTCTCCGAAACAGCTAAAAGAACAAATAGGTTCAGAGATCCAAGGAAGAGCCATAAGCTAGTACTGCTCACCTGTAGACTCGGAGACCATACTAGTACTGTTGGCTAGGGTGCTGTCGGCAGTGGTATTCCCACTGTCATGTCCTTCGGTTTCGCTGGAGCTCTCCTCCATGTCGCTTTCAGAACGCGGAGGACCAGAGCGCCTCTTTTTAGCGTTCGCGTTTGAATTTGAGTTCGAAGCTTGTCCTTGTCTCTGCTGGTCCTTCCGCTTATTTGACCCTTCAAACGATATTACTCAGCTTGCCTTCGCTCGCAGGTGATAGTCAACGGGACCTACCTCGACACCTTCCACTCATGTTCACGGCGAGGCTTTCTGCGCCCATCGCAATAGCGTAGGCGCGAAAGACATCTCCCATCTCCAAGTTCCCCGTCTCTTCTCTACGCTTCTTCGCCCTCTCCAGGAACGTTTCTCGCGCCAGCACGAGTGCTTCTCCTACCCAGCACGCACACTCTGGTTCTCCTTCTAATGGATTTTGTCGCCCACCGCTGTCGTGGCACAGTGGCAGCCCGATCACGAACTGCCCCGTGCGCTCGTCCCACAGTACGCGCGGGTACACGTGCTGGTAATCGACCATGGCGACGTCATCGTGCTTGGCCCACTTGAACATCTCTGAGATGCCCTTGCGGAACGCCAACGCACCCCCGCGCATGCGGCTGACGGATTTCGTTTTGAGGAAAACATGCTCTGCGTGCTGTTTGATTGACTCGTAGGCGCCGCTTGGGATGATGATGCGGGACATGATCTCATTGGTCACTTCGACGGGCGTGAAACCGAGGGAGGAGATCAGGACTCTGCAGGAAGGCGAGGATGCTGCGAAAGGATAGAATTCTTTGTTATTTTTCAGGTCGGGATGCAGTCGACGCCAGGCACTTTCAAAGGCGGCTTTGCAGGTTGCCTTAGACTCGGACATAGGCGTGAACAGGTCTAAGTCGAGCTGCTGGTTAGACGAGTCCTTGGAATTACAGGACAGCAGTTCTGCCGCTAGCTCAACACCGAGGTCTGGCATGTGAAGTAACGCGCGCTGTATACATTCCTTGAGGAGGTGGATGTATCGCTCGTAGACCATGTCATTCTTCACGACCTCCACACGATTCGGTGCGATCTCCATGGTCCCATTGTAGTTGACTCCTAACCGACCAAGGCCAGAGAGGTTGCGAGGCATGATCTGCCCTCGGATGTATAGCAATCCAATGTCTCCTGGAGCACGGAAGAACTCAAATAGCGTGCTTGGGACCTTCCATGTCAGAGACGGTCGCGTTAGCGAGTACGTCCCGCAGAAGATCTGGCCATGTGTCAAGCCGGAGGAAGAGATGCCAGCGACAGTTATGCTGATTTCGTCCTTACGTGCCAGAGGCGACTCGCTGAGCAGAGGTGAAAGTGAATGATCGGTTTCCGACGAGTCTTCAGGTTTTGGTATGGTATGTGGTTTTGATAAACGATATGAAAGACGGTGCCGGTAGTCGGAAGCGACCTCAAGAGCTGCATCGTGAGGTGTTATACCTACCACACTCCTGTCAAAGGTGTGAACTTGGTGTGGGCTGGGATCTGCTCACCATACTTGGTCGCAAAGTCGTCAGGAGTCATGGGCGTCAAGTCATTAACCTCAGCGATCAGGCGGGGTTTGCAGCATACACAGCTACTCAGATCGTCCTTAACTTCGACCACTGAGTGACCTATCCGGACTGACAATCCTCGTGGAAAGTCACTGATGGTAGAAGAAGGTGCGTTGTGTTGGTGGACGAGGTTGTGTAGATACTGCGTAGCGATGATAAACCCCTTTCCATAATGTCCTGTAGCCCATAGATTACCACGGTTTGTAGACTTTTCTGGCTCCAAGAAAGTTGAGATATCAGCCTCTTCGTCGATGTGATTGTTGAGGAAAGTGAGCGCAAGTACATCAGCGACCTGGTGTTGCCAGACAACGTTCCGAACCCAAAGGTCTGATTTGTAAGGAGTGTTCGTAAGCTTCGTCCTGGCAACTGTAGCAGAAAGAACATATACAGGTAGCCAGTCGTCATCGATGGCAATCTGAGCGCCGTGTGGCCCAGTGAGGAGCCCTGGGTAGGCCGCCATGAGCTTGGACTTGAGCTCAAGTTTCTTGGGACTGTCGCGAGGTTCGGAAGAGTAGTCGAGATGCTTCCACTGTGTCCATTCTAGCGACTCTGTTTCCTTGAGAATTTGTCCAATCTGATTCTGAAGATACTCGCGAACGGCCAGGGAAATGTCCATCTCTTGAAGCTCTGGTGCATCGGACCGGTACCAGGCGAACGTCTGCTTCTTTGCCATACCAGCTGTCTTGAGCACACAGGGACAGCTAGAGTCCCGTGTGCTGTATTAAACCTATGATGGTAGTGGTTAGAGGGAAAGCGAATGTCGAGATGGCCAATGACGCCCGCCCTCGTTGCTGCCTCGTTGAGGAGCACAAATATTAGATACAGTTAGCAAGTGACGCGACGCGACGATCCCACGTGGTGCCAACGTGACCGTGACAATATGTGACAATGGTATCGTGACAGACGCGCCTGGACGCGTTCCTCCTGGCTCGTTCTCGTCCGTGTACAACCTCGGACCACCATGTCTCTTCCAGTGGTGAACGTCAATGTTAATTATGCATCGGAACTCGGTATGTCCCGCATCTCCCAAGCGCTGACCACTCAACTTATTCCCTGCAGAAACCATCAAGAACTTTCTTGAGACCTTCGTAGGATCGCCAGAGAAGGATATCAGCAGAGGTTTCGCGGATATTGCCCTTAGTGACGATGAGGATGATATTATGGACAGTCGGGGGAAGAATCTCAAGTATAAGACACAACTGGTATGTTCTCGCTGGCTTGCTCTGTCCTCTCAGTCGGTCATGTTCATCGTTCGGAATAGCAACGGATAGCAAATCGCGAGCAACAGATGCTTATTATTGACCTGGAGGACATTCACCAGGTATGTCCATACAACAGGTCCACAACTGTAAATGCAGGTGATACTAAGTCACGTTAGCATGAAGGAACTGTCTCGGAACTGGTTTCACGTATACGGGGCAACACGCGCCGCTACACCAACATCTTCTGTGAGGCTGTAGACCAACTCATGCCCGACCCTACAAAAGACATCAGCGAACACGATGAAGTTATTGACGTCATTCTTCACCAAAGACGGGAACGTAATGAGCAGACTGAGGGTTCCCAAGACGGTTTCCCCACTCACCTTCTGAGACGATAGTGGGTTTCAAAATACCTGCTGAAGATGCGACTGCTTGACGAAAATGATGTAGTAACCTCTACTTCCAGCCTCTGCGCTCTGAAGTGGCATTGGCTGTACGCGACGTCAAGAGCACATCCCTCGGCAGACTCATCACAGTTCGCGGTATCGTTACGCGTGTTTCGGAAGTCAAACCGCTCCTTCTCGTCAATGCTTACACGTGCGACGCGTGCGGGTCAGAAACCTTCCAGTCGATATCCAACAAGACCTTTACCCCGATTCTTGACTGTCAGAACGAAAATGAGTGCAAGAAAGACGGTATCCACGGCTCGTTGCACATGCAGACTCGTGCATGCCGCTTCAGTCCTTTCCAGGAAGTGAAAATCCAAGAGATGGTAGGCTCGCCCCTTCGTGATGCAAACACAGACTAAATCCCTTGTCAGGCGGACCAAGTCCCCGTTGGTCATATCCCTCGTACGATGACCATTCATGTCCACGGAAACCTTACCCGCATGATGAACCCGGGTGATGTGGTGCACCTCGGTGGTATCTTCCTTCCCATACCTTATACCGGCTTCCAGGCTGTTCGAGCCGGCCTGCTCACCGACACCTACCTCGAGGTGCACCACATCCATCAGCTAAAGAAACAGTACAGCGACATGGAAACAACTCCCCAGATCGAGCAACAGATCCGTGACATGCAAGCGGATCCTGCTCTGTACAACAAGCTTGCGCAGAGTATTGCTCCCGAAATATACGGTCACCTCGATGTCAAAAAGGCTTTGTTGTTGTTGCTTGTCGGAGGAGTTACCAAAACGATGGGCGATGGCATGAAGATCCGTGGCGACCTCAACGTCTGTCTTATGGGTGATCCTGGTGTGGCCAAGTCCCAGCTGCTGAAGTATATCTCCAAAGTTGCACCAAGAGGAGTGTACACGACTGGCAAAGGTTCTTCAGGGGTCGGTCTCACAGCTGCAGTCATGCGGGACCCGGTGACCGACGAGATGGTGCTAGGTAATCATCGTTTGAATTTACTCATCCAAATAAATGTGCTAACCAGATCCTCGTAGAGGGTGGTGCACTCGTGCTTGCGGACAACGGTATCTGCTGCATTGATGAATTCGACAAAATGGACGAATCCGACCGGACGGCCATTCACGAGGTGATGGAACAGCAAACCATCTCCATTTCGAAAGCTGGAATCTCAACGACTCTCAATGCTCGTACTTCCATCCTGGCTGCTGCCAACCCTCTGTACGGACGATACAACCCTAAGGTGTCGCCCGTGGAAAACATTAACCTTCCTGCGGCGCTCCTCTCTCGTTTCGATCTCCTGTTCTTGATTCTGGACAAGCCAACGCGTGATGATGACGAGCGGCTCGCCCAACACGTTACCCATGTCCACATGTTCAACGTGCACCCGCCACTTGAATATGCGGTCGTTGACCCCTTGCTCATGAGGCGAGTTTGTGTCGATCAACTGAGCTGATATCTCTTTACTGACTGTCTACCCTAGGCACTACATCGCCCGCGCACGCCAGAAGCGCCCCACCGTGCCCACCCAAGTCTCCAACTACATCGTCGACTCATACGTTCGCCTCCGCAAGATCTCCAAAGACGACGCCGAGCAGAAGAAGTCGCACACGTACACCTCCGCACGTACGCTCCTTGGCGTCCTCCGCCTTGCGCAGGCGCTCGCCCGGTTGCGCTTTGCGGACGTTGTCGAGCACGCCGACGTGGACGAGGCGCTCCGCCTCATGGAGTGCAGCAAGGAGAGCTTGAACGACGATGACGAGCGCGAACATGAGCCCGATCGGTCGGCGGTCTCTCAGATCTTCAGGCTTATCAAAGGCATGGCAAACGAGGGCGGGCGCAAGCGCCGTAAGAGACCGCGTAGGCTCGGAAAGGGTCCTGGCGGACAGCGTGACATGGACGTGGATTCTGATGAGGACGATGAGGATGAGTATAATGATGGCGAGCTTCCGCTTATCGACATTCGTTCGCGAGTCCTGGGTGCTGGCTTCACAGAAGTCCAGCTTAATGATACCATTGCAGAGGTATGTTTGTCTGAGTTATTTTATGGGAATCATACTGACATTGTTCGATTTAGTACGAAGCCATTGACGTTTGGACAAGAGTTGCGAACGGCGCCAAACTCCGGTTCATCGATGTTTGAACGCTACTTACGACATTAGTTCATTTACTACTCCAAAATCTCATGCTGTCTTCCTGCTTTCCAGACCTGTATAATCTATGATTACGAACCCCTTCCTGTTGATATATAGATACTTGGTATAAATAGTGTAATCCCTCAACCCAGTATCCAGAGGAAACTGAAGTCTACCGCGTCTGTGACGCGTGCTCCCAACTCCCAGACCCAGAACCACTGCCGCTGGCACTGGCAGGGCTCCCAGACCTGCCTGGTGAACGCTCATCCTCGGGCTCGTCTCTATACCGCGACGGACCGGGCCCGGTAGCTGAGGCCGGATCATCATCATCCAAAAATCCAGCGTGATATCCAAGGCCTTCTGAGCTCGTTGCCTGTGGCTTGAGCCCAGTCTCCTCGTCCGCGTCGTCATCCGAAACCTCGCCAAACGCATCATACAACTCCTTGGCCCTTGGCCTGCCCGTGCCGCCCGAGATGCCGCTCATTGGGACCTCATCGCCGGCGAGGGATGTGTACCGCGCCCGACGCTGAGCAACACGACGGCGCCAGAAGAACACGCCTGCTCCGACGCCGAAGAGGACAACGGCGCCGACGGCGCCAAAGAACCACTTCTGGTTCGAAACGAGGTTCGACATGTCGGAGAACCAGCCTTCGTCCGGAGTTACACTCACGCTCGGCGCAGATGGGTCGGTCTCAGCGTCATCTTGCTGTTCGCCAGGACCGCCAGGGAATGCAGGGTGCTTGTTCTCTCCCTCCGCGTCGCCGTGATCATCTGGCAGGCCCGCAGTTGGCTTGGGATGCGTCTTTGTGTTCGTCGGCGTGGGCATGTCGGTAGCGTCATCTTCAGGTGGTGAAGGGAGAAGGTTTTCGTTGTTAGGAAGAACGTATTGTTTAGCCTTGGAGGCGTCGATTGTTGATCCGAAAAACATCATCCGCCAGCCAAGGAACGTCCCGTTTTGACCGGGATCAGCCTGGTCTTTGACACGAATAATCCAGTCGCCCACCGGGTTCTCGCCCCTAAGGACAATCAGAAAGATGTTTGACAAGAAGCAGAACAGACTCACCAATGCTTAACAGACATGAAGCGCCAACCAGGGTACCCTGACTTTGCAAAGTCCTTGTCTCGCTTGGCAGCCAAAACACTACGAATGCCACTGGGGCTGGTGACTTCAACCTCTACATCACCACGCTTCGTATGCTCAATCCATACACGAACAGTAATGTGCTCCAGCGACTCGAAATTGTGTTCCTTGAGCATATCCTGAGTGATCGTCATCGTGCTCTTGAGGCCGTTCTTAGGGATAAGCTGGCCGCCAGACATCTTCTCGTTTTCATCCATAGTGCCGTTAACGACTTGAATGGCAGGTGGCTCAAACCACGCTTGGGGCTTGACAAGTTCCCAGTCTTGCGCTGCAGTAACAAATGCGTATCCGTTGATAGCGCCATAACCGTACTTGTAGCTGAACTGTTTGCCGATGGCAGTAGACTCCCAATCTGCATCCTCCAAGTTAATCATTTGTGCAGTCTGTACGCAGAGGTGTTGAATGTCGCGCCATGTCAAATCGGGGCTATGAGGGCTGGTGAGAAAGAAACTCGTTATCAATGTAGCTACAATTGGGCTCACCGAGCTTCCAAGGCGAGAGCGAAAACTCCAGCAGCATTAGGAGCCGCTGCAGAGGTACCACCATGGGTTGTTGCGCAGGCTGTTTCACCTACGTCCGTGGTAACCTAGATTTCATAAGATAAATCTTGACTACACGAGAAACATTACTTACGATGGAATGCCCGCCTCCAGAGCTATATGCTACCACCATGTTGGCAGCACAAGCCTCCGAGTAGTACGGATGCATGCCTTTAAAATCAACAGCTGAAACCGTTACAGAGTATATACTGTTTGTGTAGCCATCAAAGTTACACTGGTCGCCGCTCGCGGCACCATTACCACTTGCGAAGACGAAGATAGAGCCTTTTCCGTCTCTTCCGTTGACAACACCGTTGACCATAGCCTTCTGGATGAGGTATCCTGGTGCCTCCATTGACCTGCCGTCATCGGGTGGTCCCCAGCTGCATGAATAGATGGAGGCATTCTGATATCCGTAGTTCAGGGATGCGGCTTCATCTATATCCGTGATTGGGCCAGAGAGAATGCGCAACCCGGCAACTTTGGATTCGTAGGCGATGCCGACGCCGCAAACATCGTTCTTCGCGGCCGCGATCTGACCAGCGCAGCGTGTCCCGTGACGGTCATCACTCAGCATAGGAGTCGGTAGGTCTACGTGGTCGTTGTAATCGTATGAGTTAGCGGCGTCCTGAAAGGTATGCTATAGTTAGACCAAGAGAAGAGGAGTGAGAACTGACAACGCACAAAGTTAGGTGCTAGGTCAAGGTTGTTATAGTCGAGACCATCGTCCACGAGAGCAGTCAGAACGCCCTTGCCAGTGATTCCCATCTCCCACACTCCCGTAACGTTCATCATGTGTTCAGGATGCTCATCGTTGATGATGTGCCACTGTGAGGGGAAGAGGGGGTCTACGTAGCCATGCTGGTCTGCATAACTTTCTGATAGCGATGGGCCAGGGACGGGAGGAGGAGCTCGTTGAAGGAGGCTGTCGTCCCGTTTTGCCCTCTGACGGGGCTCTTGCGAGGAGAAGTGTTTGATGGAGGAAGCTATGCGCCTGCGCCGATGCTGCTCGTTGCTTCGCGGGACGGGGGCAGAACGTATTGCACGGAGGGAGTTCCACCTGTTGACGACAATATTACGAGAGGTTCTTGGGACACTTCTTGAATGAAGCTTTGGAGAACGGGCGACCCAGAAATTAGGGAGCTCGTCGACTTGTCCGACGAGCTCTACGCCGAGCTCGTGTGCGCATTCGGAGAGGGTCGCGAGGCCATTAGGGTCATGCTCAATAACATAATAATCGTGAGTAGAATATGATCGTTTTGCGTTGTCAGTAGCGAGCGAGAGAGTCGCGCAGACGGCGAGGACGAGGGACAAAGGGAGCCGCATTGGAAGCGGTCGTCAGAGGGGAACGAGAGAGAAAGTCGAAGACTGGCTGCAGTAACAACGACCAGCACAGCCGCTTCATTCCAATTCTATGCCACATTGCCAATCACTAGCACAAATGTTATCGCGCTCGACCATGATCTTCTAGTATAAACATGTAATCTCCGCATATACCCAGATCTAGTCAACCACAAGTTCTCAAATGGGGGCATTGACATATGTATACACCTGAGCAGTATCCGAGCAATATCTCCCTCGTTCATGCATCATGATTGACGATGCATCCGTCTTGATCCTCACTGTTGAGCAGTTCCCCTTTCTAACCAGCCACAGGTCTGCAGGTCTACAGCGTCGCTGGAGCCTGTTCAGCGGGAGCCGTCAATATTCATCGTGCAGATGTTGGCCACTTCGGTTTGAGAGCTAGGGCAAGGAGCACCAAGATCAATCAAAGTAGTCGAAGATGTTGTCCCAGTCGCGTCGACCTGTCGCGGCGCGCTGCTGGTGCCCCTTTCCACACCTCTCTTCATTCGACCCTTTACCATCGCATGCCGGTAAGCTCGAGCATACCCAGCCGGAGTACCCACTAATCCGTCACTATATTATAGCTCGCCCCAAAAGATGTATCCATCCCGGCCTCAGCACCTGAAGCCATACTTGTCAGAAAGTGAAGTATCGGACTCAGAACCGGAATCCGAGACGTCCGAGACGACATCCGAATCCATGCACACAACGCGAATTCCGGGTAATACAAACCACTTTTACCTTTTGGATGACTCATTGGCATTAACAGTCATGCACCGCATGTGTCACTGCAGGACTTGCCTATCATAAGGTCTTTCAGGATGACAGCAGTCCCGACGGCGAGACGGCAATCTCTTCCACAAGATTCTCTGAGCCACCCCTCAATGGCGACTCAAAGGATGCTAGCCACCTTCCTCGCGTCGGTAAGTCGCGCCGTCTCTGACTCAAGACACAACTTACGGTATTTTGATAGTAGTCACCAAGTACCCTCTCGAGAACGCCGGGTTTCGACCTCGCGGCGAGAGCGAACCCGAACCAAGCACCGGTTTGGACGATGTTCCCATTCGTCTACTTGAAGACTTCACGCTCTTCGAAGAGCAGTCACGCCATATGGTCTTATTTGAAGAGGTGCTACATGACCTCAAAATCTGCAATTCACCTCGTTCGAGCTACTCTGCAGCTGGGAAGGTCATGGCATACGTAGAGAACGACTCGGAATCAGATGACATCGTCGGCGAGTTTCAGTGGCATTCACTACAGCTTTCAACTATCAAGGAAGTTTCTATCCACGACAACTCGAATGATGGAGGACTTGACCCGTGCGTCATCGTCCGACGAGTCTTTTTGGTGCATACTTACTGATGCTGACGTAGAAGGATCTGGCTACGCACATGTCACGCTTGGTATATCATCAACAAACCTTCGTCCGAGTACCAATCGTTTTTCATGCCATTCAAGATCAAGCATAGCATCTGTCACGTTCTAGTGACTGCCGCCCAAAATCCTGAGCTGAAGTACGATGAATTCATTGCCCAGCTGAGTTCTAGCGAAGCTTCTGAAGAACTTACTTCTATGCTCGGGCGGGAGCTCTCAAGCACTGACGTTGAGAAAGATGATACAGTGAATCTACACCTCTCTATCTCGCCGAATTTCTAATCACGTTGGTACTGCAGGTGGCATACCTGTTCTCGATACTCAGCGGCATGGATGGTTCAGAACTGCCGGTGCATTTTGGGCAAGTTCCCGCTGTGAAATATATTCTAGGCTCTTCCTGGAGCTCCGAGTCAGACCCACTCAATAACTCGAAGACCAATCGCCCGCGAAAATCGGGCGATGTCGAATCTGAAGTGTTCCAGAATCGAAATAGAACGACCGTAACAGCTGTTGTCGGGGGCTTGGCCACAAGGATGTTCGAGCAGAGATTCTCTGTTCTGGGTGAGCTTGATCGTGAGGATTGGACTCGCAGAGATTTGTATCAGTCTCATGCTATTCACGAGACAAATATGAGCTCCATTGAATGGTTGGACTCCGGGACAGAGTTTCCGGACACTACATACTACCAAGGCGTCGAGTTAGATGGAGTAGAGTACAAGGTTTGCCGATCCTTCTTCTTTATTGTACTCGGCTGACCCGAGCAGGTTGGGGACATCGTCATGGTGCATCCAGGCGTCAATGACAACGTCAAGCAAGTTGCCAACTACGATGGTCCGTGGTCGCAGTCCTCAAACTCACTCGGGAATACGCAGTGGTGACGAGTCTTCAGTACTGTGTGACAGATATGCACCATCTCTAACATTCGTTTTGAAGGTTTACCAGAATATGCTACTTCTATGAGAACTCCACTGGAAAAGGGTTTCATGGACAATGGTTTGTCCACGGCTCGAAAACTCTCCTTCAAGAAATCGCGCATCCAAACTCCCTGTATCCGACTGCAACCTGTAATGACCTTTCTCTAGATTCCATCACCCAGAAGTGCCACGTCAACGACTTCAATTTTGGAGATCCGGAACCAGAAGTGAGCGATGAGGAGAATGACTTTCATGTCAGGTTCGTACTTGCTGCGGCTTTGGGAACTCTCCCTCACGAGCCTGATCACAGCATTTATTGGGATGAGGTTAATTCAAACTTCTTGGCTCTCGACATCCCGGACGGCCATCACCCTTGCCGGGTGTGTTGGTGGAGAGACTCACAGCACGTGCAGTCAGAAGAACACCAGAGTTTATCGAGGATTCACCCGGGTGACTTCGTTTACCTGATGCTATCTTCCGCATTCCGAAAGTTCGACATCGGTCAGGTCATCAGTATAGACTCTTCAGCCAAACACCTCACAGTGCAGATGTATGCACGTTTTGATGACATCAAGTCCCGTGCCTCTCGACATGGTCGCCGTCCATGCCATGAGGTAAGAACTGGATTGGTGATGGTGATTTAGTGGGCTAATAGCCGGTGAAGCGTCAGCTCGTTCGGACCTCCAAGCTCAAATCTGTCTCTTCGTCGACAATCCAGGGTCAGGCCTATGTCATCTACAGTGACAGCTCGGACGCCAAGGATGTTGCAGACTGGATTCTTGATGATGACCATTTCTATGTCTATCAGTTCTCCGACTCCTCGCCGGTATCTGAAGACAACTTGGAGACGCTATCCAAGTCGATTTTTACCACAACTGTCTGCAGCGAATGTCACGATGGGCATCTTGAGGAGCTAAGGTGCAAAGCTGATTGCCTCAAGCAATCTGGCTGTCTTCAAGGCCTGGAGCTGTTTTGTGGTGAGCATCAATCCCTTTCATTGACAACATCCATGTTTCAGCCGGAGTTGACAGTGTTTGTAACCAGGTGCAGGAGGTTTGGGTACGGGTCTCGAGATGTCTGGTTTTGTCGAAACAAAGTGGGCCGCCGATATCTCCCCAAGCTCCGCAAAGACGTTCAAGTAAAAGTTACTATTCACATTTTAAGGGCACCTTGCTCACCTTTTTTTAAGGTCAAATCATCCCGACGCCACCGTTTACAACCAATGTACGAGCCTGCTTTTAGAGCATGCGATGGCTGTTGCGGACGGCGATAGCCCCAGACCACTTAAGAGTCTTGGCACCAACGAGACCCTGCCGTCAATGCCTCAGCCCGGGGATGTAAACTTCATTTACGGAGGTATGTAGCACATTTGCGTGCCGCTTCACCTATTGAGGAGACACAGGGCCCCCTTGTCAGCCGTTCAGTAGAATGAATAGTCACAAGGTAAATACCATTTGTTCCGTGGTGATCTACTTAGTATCTCAATTGTTGGATAGAAATCAGATGACATTCGGTGCGGCAGCCTCTCGAAAACTCTGATCGAGTCTACTGACCTTCCCTCTTGTCAGAGCTACTCTGGTAGCGAACATGCTGTCATATGTCGAATTCTATAGGCCACGGTTCTTCCTGTTGGAGAACGTCCTTGGGATGTTGGGCCACAAGCTTGAAGATCAGATCGGGCGTGAACAAGACAATCAGCTCAAAGGCCGCCTCCCCAAGGAGCGCTCCAGTGACGAGCAGGAAGACCAATCAGTGAGTTGTTCGTATCCTATGACCCAGCACAGAGGTCCTCCGCTCGGACTGCAGTCGTGTCTTGCTGTGCATGCCCATTGTGAGCGTAGTCGCCAAGCTTGCTTGGTTTACAAAGCAGCCGACTTCGACTAACTAGGGATGGACATTGTATCGTATACGGCGACGCCCTACAAAGTATGGTGTCCGTCGGTGTGGCCCCCGTAATGAGCGCAAGCAACGTCAATCATTGTCGAGCTCTGTATCTGGACTTGCCCCGTACCTCCCGCGCGGCTGCACCAACTTGGCATTTGCGAGAGCAGTAGACCGCCACAAAAACGATGCCATAGTTTCGAATACATGCCAATATCGGGGTTCAGGCGGTGTTCTGTCTAGTCCTCTCTTCTGTCCATGGAGCCAGGCTCATACTGCACAACTATGATGAACAACGAGCTAATTCGTGGGCAGATCAAATTCGGCGTCGTCAAGTTCATCACTCGGTGTTTACTTGCACTCGGGTAAGTGACACTTCACTTTTGATGTCTATCCCTAATAGCAGCCCCCAGATACCAAATCCAGTTCAAGATCTTGAACGCCGGCCAGTATGGAGCACCTCAAAGTCGCCGGCGCATTATCTTCTGGGGTGCTAAGAACGGCGAACTGATGCCGGCCTTCCCTTTGCCTACACATTCCTTGCAGAACCCTCTTCAAAAGAGCCTGTTGCCCACGGGATCATGGAGCTTGCCGGTGACCTGGGACCATCAAGGCTTGTGGCTACTCCAAGACAGTGTTTATGAAGAGGTGACGGGACTACACTCGTGTGCTCCCCTCGACATGGTGACCATCGAGGATGCTATAGGGGACTTGGTGAGTGCACAGAGTTTTGTCGCTTCTACATCTGACACTGCCGATGGAACTGAAGCCACCCTTCGATTGGTAAGTAAACCTTTCAACTTGGGCTTTCAGCGAAATAATGTGAGCATAGGGAGCATCCTAACCCCACCGAGGACGACATCGAGGAATCCGAAGCTCGGCAAGATATTGGAATCTTAGCCTTTCCCGCAGTAAAGACAGAAACATGTCAGCGCGTTTGTGGTTTTGAGGGACCAGCACACTATGCCTATCCTCCCATGACGAGCTACCAGCAGGCGATGAGGAGCAAGGGTGCCCCACAAGTCACTTATCACTACACCACCTTTCACAAACCAACAACCGTTGAGAAGTGGGGCTGCAATTTGCTTCAATTTCCGATTCATTCTAACATTCAACAGAGTACTCCAGAACTTGTCTACTTCGACAGATGGTCCGCCAAGTTCTTCCACTCCACGTAAGCTGATCGGTACCCTCAAAGCGCTGACACGAGAGTTGAAATGACATTAGGGAAAGTAAGGCTTCGAGCCAACTCGCTGTTCAAGACTATCATGACATCAATGCCGCTGAATGGTCGACATGCTGGCTCGTCCATTCACCCAACCGTATGTTCAGTCATTGAGCTGAAATTCAAGTATCAAATCTGACAGATTTGTTGACAGCAAAAACGCGGTCTTTCTATTCGCGAGGTTGCTCGTGCCCAAGGATTCCCCGATCACTATAAACTCGAATCATTCAACCGAGATTTTAATAAGCTAGCGGTCAATGTAGGTTTGAGATCACTTCCTTATCGTGGTAGGCTAACTTTGTTTCGCCCAGCAACTTCGTCAAATTGGAAACGCAGTTCCAATACCTCTGTCCCATGCTCTAGGCAGATCTCTTGGTGAAACACTGGTTAGGAGGTGGCAAGAGAGTCTTAAGTATCGCCCACCAAGCCCAGAACTGTGAAGGATCTGATTGGAGTGGATTGTGTAGTATATCCACAAGACATTTTAAATTTAATCAATCCTTGTAAATACCATTGATACCTTGCATACTTTATCGACTGTTCATGTTGACTGTTCAGTTTGATTGTTCAACTACATAGTTCCTATTCTTTACGCATGCTGCCCAAGTATATCTTGTACGCGGGTCATTTTGCTGTCATTGCCTGTGCCTGGAGCGACCTCGCGATCAACTCGAGTGCCAATGCGAATATCAGTAGCGATGCGGGGAGCGCCCTTAGCATGGACGGCGGCGTGGCAGTCTTGAATGGCTTTGCAGACTTCGGTCCAGTTTCCTTCTGGGGTTCATTAAAAGTTTGGATCACAATAGCGATGGCCTGATGCTCACCAATGTTTGTACCGTAACCGCTGTAAGTGTTATTTAGTGTATGAAGCTGCATAAACTTAGTCTTAAACTGAACACATACTGCATCTGCATGATGCGTTAGTCGAAGATAAAAATAAATGAAACGAAAAGACTCACTTTGAATGTTAGTCCTGATTTCTCCAGGACTCGGTGACATTCCGCGATATGTTCAGCAACCTTGATTCAAGGTGAGAGAGATAGGGGCAAAACGACTGGCACGCACAGACGACTCTCCGGTGCCCATAGGAATGAGGCAGAAGTCTATATAATGACAGCGCAGGTTGATATATTTTTCTCATCTTAGGGTATGTATAATCAGACGAACCTGCGACTGCATAGAGTTCCTGGGAGGACGAGGAAGACATAACTTATGTGTCGATGATGCAAGAGCAAGTGTGAGAGGCAGGTCCGGAGTCCGACTACCGGCCGAGTGCGGCCTTCCACCTTTGTGGTGTGGAGAATGCTTCCACCGCTATGCCCTCTGCTGCCATCCAGTCCAGAATAAAAGCCTTTGAGGCACTCTCGGCACCATCGACGAGCGACACAGATGGGTCCTCACAGCCAGCAACTCAGGTGACGAAGACAACGGTGCCAGACTCGTCAAGCCTGCTGGAGACACCCATCTCTCCCACTGCGCAGACGTACCGTCCAATCGCCCCGCTCACGGTTCCTCGTTCGTCGAGTAGATCACCCTCACCTTCACCGCCGAACCTTGGACGAAAGTCGTCGCTGATTGACCTCAAAGACTGGGTGGTTGATGACGGGCCAAAGAATGATTCCGCACGCAATGGGAGCACAGGTGTCAACAGTCTGCGCACCAATATCAATGGTTCGTCCCACCTAATGCCTGCTCATCAGCCGAGTCCATTTGCATGAACGTATCTGACAGGCTCCTCTACTCCACTCATCAATCTTGAGTCTGCTCCAAAGTCACGGCCGCCATTGCCCCCACGCAAGCCGTCGTATACTTCAATCAAATCGACCTCTTCATCTCCGTCTGGCTCAGGGGGACTCGGTGCTACACTCAAGCCCCCACCAATCGCCGGATCACGCCCCGTTGAGCATACATACCCCCCGACGAACGGAAATGAAGGGTTTGGGACATCTCGCAAAGGACACGCGCCCACTTCCTCGATATCCTCGTTCCATTCTGTATCACTCTCCGACGGTGGAACTATCGACTCCATCCCTTCTGCAGTTTCCCTAAGTCGAGAGGCGAATGCGAGTACAGATGCTGACTCTGCTAGCCTCGACGAGTCTTTCGAGAACGTTTCCGCCTCATCTGCGGTCAGCCCGGGCGCAGCGTCCAGACACTTTGACTGGGGCAACGCCACCGTGCGGCCTGCGGACCCCAGACCGGTCCCTCCTAGGCTGCCACAACGACCGGGGCCTCCGAAATCGCCAGTATCTGGATCGCCCAAGTCACCCCTTCCGCCCAGCTCTCCTGTTCTATCACCACCAAGATCCGTGTCCCGCTCCGGGTCGGCTTCATCAACCTCCACCAGCGTTCCAACGATCACCACGCGCCGTCCGCCACCGCCGCCCCCCTCGCATGTGTCGAATCTCAATCGTACCAAACCTCCATCCTCGCGGGGGTCACTTAATTCTGGTCCTGGTACTGCATCCGCTTCAGACCGCTCCTCGATACAGAGCCAAAGCACTGGCACATCCACCTCGCGCACAAGCGTCAGCACACGGAGCAGCATCGGAAAGTCTACGAAGCTTTCGCGGCCCACTCCGGTACCACCAGCGGCACGCGCGCGCTACGAGACTGTCTTCAACACGAACGTCCTCGCGCGGCGCAAGGTGGAAAAGTCCGTCGCAAGGCTGAGCAGCGGCTCGGCTTCATCATCTAGTCCGCGAAAGACTCGTCAGGCAGCAGGGTGGAGAGGCCTTTCTGTCGACCTTATTACCGATCCGAATGTCGGCGATAAGGCTAAGGAGGAGGAGAAGGATGGTGCTGACGTAGATGCCATCGTGGGCCCGGAAGAGCGCCTCAACGGTCGAATAGTACGGCTCATATGGAACGCTTCAATGTTAGAACAAAGTAAACTCCGTGACGTATGGTAAGCTGTGTTCGTTTAAATCCTCATGGGGCTATCATAGCTCACTGACATTCATGCTAGGGCGGAATGTAACCCGGACTCCACTGGCAGCATTGACCGCGACAGCTTCGTGAGAGGCATGTGGCGAATTGACGAGGAGCTACGGAAAGCTCATCTTCAGGGCCGGACTACAGCACTGAGCGCTGCTTCGTCTGCTCGCCTCCCCTTCCGACCAAAACCAGTTCTGCGGTAGCGTGCTGCGTGTTAATGTTCATCACTCGGGAATTTCGTCACGCTACGATGCTTCATTAAACGCATTATTACTTACTATGGATACCAGACACGGACTCACGCCTAGTATTTATCGAGTAACATACACTATACGAGTAATAATGCGCTCGACGTGTCCTGGCATCGGTCCTTGTGATCATGAACGAAGTTGAGGCTACAAAGAAGACAAAAAAACACGGAAACAACGAATGTTCTACATAATATGCTTCGGCTTCGCCCCACGTGTCGCATAGATCTGGGCAAGCAGTCCGAGCACACCAGCATCCTCGAGCTCGTCCTCCTCGGTGATGCTCTCCTGCTGCGACTCGAGCGCCTTGGACGCCTTCGCATTGCCATCGACATACGATTCGCCCAGATTGCTCCCGACACCGCCGTCCGCTGCCAGATCCTCACTCGAAATCTCCTGCGCCCGTGCGGTAGCCGCCGCCGCCGCCGCAGACGGCTGAGCAGGCATCGTAATGCTCCCCTGTGAATCGCCCAGCACCGCCGTCTGCGCCATCGGACCGGGGTTCACCATGCCCGACGCGGCCGTCGACTGCCACATCGTCGACGCCCCAAGGGTGTTGTTGTTGTTGCTCGGGCCGCCGCCGCCGCCGAGGATGCTCGCGCCCATCTGCTGGCGCCGGCGCAGGGCGGCGTGCTGGCTCTGGCGGAGAGCGCGGTCGTACTCCTGCGCGCGCTCGGCGAGGTCCTTCTTGTCCGGCGACAGGATCGTCGTGCCCTCGAGCCCCGTGCCACTCCGCCGACGGCTCGGGGCCACGACCGAGGCGCTCAGGTCGGCCATGCGGCTGAGGTAGAGCGAGCCGGACGGGTCGACGGGGTTCCAGTCTGGGTTGGCGGCTTTGAAGTTGAGGAAGCTTTTCTCCATCTTGCCTTCGCGCGAGAGCATGCGCTCATCCTTGATCTTCTCGGGCGCGCCGAACTGTGAATTTCTTTGTTAGGTCACGCACCGCGACATGATAGAGTATTACATACCTTGACGTTTCCGTGCCTCTTGAAGTCAAACTCCGCAAAACTACAGACGTATCCTCTCCCGGGCACCCAAACCGTGAAATCATGGAAGAAATCCACAATCACAGGTGCACACTCCGGCAACGAAAACCAGAGCACAAATGGTGTCGTCACGATCGAGATGATTTCCTGTGCGAACACGAGCGGCTTCATCGTAAACAGCTCGCCAAACTCCTGATGAACCTGCTTAGAGTGCAGCATGGCCTTCCACTCGTCCGGCATGTAGTGCGTATACTGGATCACCTCGGACATGAGCAGCTCGGGGTCGAAGACCTTGTTATCTTCCGGGATCATCCCACGAGCGACGGCAAGTACTGAACCAAAGATTGAGATGTAAAAGAAGACGGTCCGGTGAGGCGTGATTTCCAAAGAGAGGAACACGTCGGGATCGATGATGGTAGCCAACAGGAGCACGGCGGTGAAGGATCCAGCGACGAAAGCCACAAATCTACATACATGTTAGCAACCTTCTTCGAAGTTAACAAACGCAGTGACATACCGAACGATAATGGTCAGCTTCTCGTTGGGGAACTGGCCAATATATCGACTCGCGACCGGATAGGACTCGTCAACACGTCGAGTGAATATGTGAGGGAGCTCGTTAAATTCACGGAACTTCCACTCTGCAAAGGGCGTATAGCGGCGACTACCAATTGAGGATGGGTTGTGTCGGTATTCCTACAAGGTATTCAGCTTTCAGTGGGCTGAGGAGCACATGAAGACCTACATCAAAGTACCGGAAGAACGTGTACATGACCATGTACAGGACGATGAAGGGTGCGAAGATGGCGTTGAGAATGCCCATGAAGATGAAACGGCGACGTAGGCTACATCCGACATGCGATCAGCATCGTTATTGCCATAGGATTAATTGAGCCAGGGCTCACCCCTCAATCAAGATAGGGCGGTTCTTGTTCTTCAAGAACACCTTCCTGACTCTTCCTTGCGGATCGAACAAGTACTCCATCAAACAGAACCGGAGATTCCACTCAAGCACCCTAGTCAGTGTCTGGCCCTTTCCTTCGTCTCCACTCTGATGCAGGAGGCGCTTGATATTCGGAGGCAGCGGAACCCGTAGATCCAATAAATCCTTGTTGAACAACGCGATGAGATAATTCTCTTGCCGCATGATACGATTCGCAACATCGTGAGCATCCAACGAGGCCGTTGCAGGGGTGGCAGAGTTGCCTCCAGCAGCAGAGGAAATGGCAGTGATTGGATTTTCTTCTCGGATAGCCCCTATGCGGCGAACAACCTCGGGCCAGGATATGGTTTGGATGTCGGCCTAAAGTTCTGTTTAATACGTGGCTGAGACGCGATCAGAGTGAACTTACATCGGGTATACGCAGAAGGTAGGTGTAGAAGTTGTACATGTCTACAAGTCGTGAGATCTCGAACACGAATGATATTATCCGCCAGATGTAGAATGCGGTAAAGGGCAAGAAAAAGAGCAGAGTAAATCCAGAGAATCTGTTTCACAGCGAGGTGCATGTAAGTGAAGCCCGAGATGATATGAGTCTAAACATACAGACCTTGATACGCAGTGCGGTACGATGGCATCGGACAAACGAGTGATCTTGTCAGGTCGTATGCGCCCATAGTCGACACAGCCCAAAAGGAACGTAGAAAAGCCAATCACAAACCCGACTGTGCTATGCGTGAAAATCAGTCACACTTTACCGGTGCATATGTGAAGGGACGTCTACAGACATAAGATTCAAGCCCCTAGCGAGTGCTATCGAATATATCCCCTTGCCCTCGTAGTACCGATAGACGTCCTGCAAGAACGCATCGAGATTGTACACATTGACCCACTTCCACAGCGCGCGTTCGTACGCGTCGAGTCCGCGCATAGGTTTAGGTGACATCCGAGGCTCCGAAGGCTCAGGCGACCGCTCGACATCAAGCTCAGAGGGACGGGGAGGTATCGATACCCCAGGGATCGAGTACTGTCGATTCGGCAGAGGCAGCGAGCCGGGGGTGTTGGATTGCAGCGGTTTGGAGCGGTGCTTCTTGGGCGCCGCGGAGGACGAGGATGCGTGCTTGCGCGGCGAGGTGGGAGCCTGGGGTTTGCGCACCGCGTCCTCGATCATGAAGCTCTGCGGGACCTCGTCATCGGACGAGTCGCGGTCCGCCGTATTGGCCTCCTTGCGTATGTTTGGGTTCAAAGCGTGCGTGTGTGCATTCCTCCTGGACGTGGACGGGTCACCTTGCCATGCGACGGAGCGCTGCTTGCCGCGGGCCTTTGCGGTGGTAGAGGCAGACATGCGTATGCTCTCGCGGGGTGTAGCATCGTGTGCGTGGCCGGCCTCTAGTGCGTCGTCGTCCTGGCTGTCGTTCTCGTGTTCGTCCTCGACTAGAGACTGGTTCGCCTGAATGTAGCCTTGGTACTGGCGCCCCATGGGGTTGATCATGTTGAGGAATGGCCTGGAGCTTGCGCCGAGGCCGCCTGGGGTGAAGGAAGAGGAGCCCTGCATGGATCTGGAGGGAAAAGAGGGGCGTCGATGGACTAGTAGTACTTGCAACAGAAAAGGGACATGGACTGAAATTGGCAGGACAGACTCAGAGTCTGCGGCAGTCGGCCCTGGTGTAGATTCGACGACGCACGCGTCCCAATCCAGCGCGTGTTTCTGTCACACCCAGCCAATCTAGCCGTGACGTCACATACAGAATCAAAGGTGTGCAAGAATACAATGCTTCAAATAATACTACTATTAGATACAGCTAAGCAAATCGCTAAATAGTCACCAGCCTTCCACAGGCTCATTTTAAGCTGCCTTCAGCACAACAGGCAGACTACTCGCCGACCTCATCACGCCACGTAGACCCGATGCTGTAATGTCCGTATCGCTGCCCAGCCCCCACGCCGACTCCTTCTTCCCATTCACCTCATACAATAGCTCAACAAAGGACACAGCCTTCACCTCGCTGCCAGCTCCAACCGAGTGCTCCGAGTACTCCCGGATAGACAGCGTACCCTCAATCATCGTGTGCAGTGCCGCTAGCGCAGATGATAGGGGTCCGTTGCCCTCCCCAGCCACCTTGCGTGCCTCGCCGTCGACGAGCAAGTTGCCGTTAAACCGACGGCCGCCATCCGAGCCAATAGGCTCAATGGTGAACGACTCCAGGCTGATCCTGGCCTTCTCCGCGACCTCGTACCCGTAGGTCGTTTGGAACAGCTTCGTTAGGTCTTCATACGAGATCTGCCCGCCCGATGCGTGCGTTGCGCGCTGCACGACCTCAAAGAATGATGCCTGCAGCCTCCGTGGCAGAGTGAGGTTCAGCGAGTTGACAATCGCATCCGAGACATCAGATTGTCCGCTTGAGGTATCGAACCCGACGCTGAGCTTGAGTTCAGGCAGAGCGCGGTCACCAATGGCGTTGTTTGCAGCGCTCAGGACAGCACGTAGACCTGCGGCAGCGATGTCGGAATCGAGGCCAACGCCCCACCATGATTGAGCGGCACGGCGCTCGTCCTTGACATCAGGAGAGAGCGGCACAAGTTCGATGTATGCAGCAGCCCTGGCGCCCTGGTCGAAACCAATAGTGTGCTCCGTGTACTCTCTTAGACTCAGCTGGATGTCTAGGTGCTTGCGCAGAGCATCGAGGAGAGAGGAGATGGGACCGTTGCCATCGCCACGGATGACACGCAGAACACCATCGACAACGACAGTCCCATCGAAGCGACGACGTTCGTCTGGCGGAGTTTCGTCTCCACCAACGCCATTCGGAAGGTCACCCGAACCTTCGGTCGTGATACGGAAGTTCCGCAGGGCAAGGCGGCCTTCGTACTTCGGACCACCAAAGTGATACGTCTTTCTGAATGCGGTGGTGATATCGTCGACGGTGACCTCGCGGGCCTCGCGGTCTGAGATCTCTTGGATGACCTGGTAGAACACCATCTGCATTTTGCGCGGCAAGTCGAGGTGCAGGTTCTGTTTGACGATATATGCGATACCGCCCTTGCCCGACTGCGAGTTGACGCGGATGACTGCCTCGTAGTTGCAGCCGAGGTCGAGAGGGTCGATCGGCAAGTATGGCATGTCCCAAATCTGAGCCTCGCCAGCAGCAGCAGCCTTCTCGTGGCGGATATTCTGGTCCTCGAAGCCCTTCTTGATCGCGTCCTGGTGTGAGCCTGAGAAGGCGGTGAACACGAGCTCGCCGCCGTAAGGATGCCGTGGGTGGACCGGAAGGTCGTTGCATTGCGTGACAATCTCGATGATGCTTTGAATGTCACTGAAGTCGAGCTGGGGTGCGATGCCCTGGGTATAGAGGTTGAGGGCAAGGTTCACAATGTCAACGTTTCCGGTTCGCTCTCCGTTACCAAACAGACAGCCCTCGACTCGATCCGCACCCGCAAGACAGGCGAGCTCGGCGGCAGCAATGCCAGTGCCTGATCGAGTTTGAGCGTGGTCCTTTAACGAAGCTTGACAGCGCTTACCTCGATCGTTGTGGGGATGCAGACTGATCACAACCTTCTCACGTTCGGAAATGTGGGTACCAAAGTACTCGATCTTAAACTCATTCAAAATCTGCTCTGCAGAACGCATAATATGAGTACTACACACCTGATCGGCGTAATGGTTTGGTGGTGCAATCTCCACGGTGGCAGGAAGGTTGAAGATGATGCGCTCATCGCCCAATCCTGCCTTGCCCCATGTCTTCTTGACCGCCTCGCAGATCTCGAGAGAGAACTCGATCTCAGTTTGCGAGAATGTCTCGGGGCTGTACTCGTAACGGATCTTCATGTTATGCTCTGCCGAGTACTTGTCTGCCAATTCCCTGACAAGCTGGGTGTGCGTTACTGCGAGCTTTACGGTCTGTGCCTGGTCATTTCTGAAGACGACATTGCGGAACATTGGGCACGTCGCGTTGTACATGTGGATGATGACATTTTTTGCACCTTTGACCGCCTCGAATGTCCTTCGAATGAGGTCCTCGCGTGCGGGGGTCAAGACCTGGTCCAGGTGTTAATCCGTGTTACCGCAGACATAACAGACACGCGCGCACCTGTATCCAGACATCATCAGGGATCTCGTTGTTCTCGATCAAGCTTCGGACAAAGTTGAAGTCCGTGTCGCTGGCAGCCGGGTACGCGATCTCGATTTCCTTGAACCCGCATCGCAGCAAGAGCCTGAAGAACGTGAGCTTCTGATCGCCCGTCATGGGGTTCGCGAGGGCCTGGTTGCCATCGCGCAGGTCCGTCGAAAGCCAGATGGGGGGCTTAGAGAACGTCTTCGTGGGCCATTGTCGGTTGTCGATTTTGAGGGGGACGTATGGCCTGTACTTTGCCGATGGGTCGATGCTAGAAAAAGAGAGTTTGATGGTGAGCACAAGTCAAAAATGGGGACGTGCGTCCGACGCGCGACGACGAACGGCGACATACAGCATGCATGGCATCTTGGCCTTTTGAGAAGAAGAAGAAAAGGGAGAGGAATGGGCGGCAGAAAAAACAATTACGGGGCTGTAAGATACAGAGATGGAGGTGGTGTGGCTTTATAGAGCACTCTGATTCAAGCACGAGTCATGCACTAAAGTTCTTGGATGCCACCATATCCGAAAAACCTTCCATTCATGCACTCCAATATATCATCTTTTCGGGCCCAAAGCCGAAGAGCAGCACGACGGCTCGCTTGGAGGATATTTCGAACTTTGTTTGCTGCCTTTGGTCATTGTCTGATGTGACTGCATGCTCGTGCACATCAACAACGACTATATTCACTTGTTGTACTCAGAATCTAGGAACGTAGACGTCGTGGTGTGAGATGTGCGAACATCAATAGACGCGGTCAATCTTAGATAAGATCGATGTAGTCAGATTGACTCGACGCGAAAGTTATCTCGACTCGTTGAGGTGTGCGCTATCGTCCCCCCACCCACTATGTCCCTAACGCTTTCCTCGAAAGCATCCCCTTTCCCCTTTGCAGCAGTCGCTGCCGCAACCCACACTCAAAAAGCAGTCCTCAACTACGACGAGGACGCCAAAGGCATTGAGCTCGAGCTCGATGGCTCACGCATAACCTCCGAGGACGAGATTGTCCAGGCGCTTGCTACGGACGGCGGTCTCTCAGGAGACAGCACAAAAGTACATATAATTCCGTTTCTGTATGTACGCCCATTCTGATGAACCTAGAGCTCGGTCTACTTTGCCCTCGCCAAAGCGTTGCAAACCCTGGCCAGCGTCCCGGAAATCATATCTGGGCTTGACACTTTGGATGATCACCTGGCATACCGCACCTTCCTAGTCGGCCACGATATCACAGCCGCTGACTGGATGGTATGGGGCGCCATCAAAGGTGCGTCCGCCTTCCCTTCCGTCCCTTCTTCGGCCAACGAAAGAATGAATGGCCCCGAATCAACTTCCATTCACCCCTGTCCATTGGACCCACAGGCAATGTAAAGATCATAGGTCTCCTCAAGAATAACGTGCACGTCCACCTCCTCCGCTGGTTCTCCCACATCGACAGCCTCGAGGCCGCTCAGCTCGCCGTCTCCAGTCGCGCAGAGGCCAGGGCCAACAAGGCGCGCACGAACAAGACCGCAGCAGGCTTCGCGCTCGGTCTGCAGGGCGCGAAGGAGGGACAGGTCGTCACGCGATTCCCACCCGAGCCGAGTGGTTACCTGCACATCGGACATGCGAAGGCTGCGATGCTCAACAACTACTTTGCGAAGATGTATAAAGGGAAGCTGATCCTCCGATTTGACGACACGAACCCTTCGAAGGAGCGGGTGAGGACAGCCTCTTTTGTCGAGTTTGATGCATGCGACTGATTCTGAAAGCACGCAGGCCGAGTTTGAGGATTCTATGATCGGCGACCTTGAGTTGCTTGATATCCGTCCCGACCAAGTAACGCATACGTCGGACTACTTCGACAAGATGTACGAACTCGCCCTTCAAATGATCAAGACCGGCAAGGCGTACGCCGATGACACCGAGCAGATGCAGGTTGGCAGAAACCGCGTTCTTTTGTGTTCCTAACCCATTCATCCACCGTAGATGCGCCACGAGCGAATGGAAGGCATTGCATCCAAACACCGCGATGATTCGGTGGAGGAGAACCTGAAGCACTTCGACGATATGAAGTCAGGGACCGAGACGGGCGTAAAGTGGTGCCTGCGGGCCAAGATCAGCGTGGACAACCCCAACAAGGCACTTCGCGACCCAGTCATCTACAGGTGCAACTTAGTCGCTCATCATCGCACAGGGTACGGCTTCTCTTACCTCGTCTTTGCTAATTTCTGAGCCCTGTTCGATAGGGACAAATGGAAGATATACCCAACCTACGACTTCGCATGTCCCATTGTGGACTCTATCGAAGGCGTCACTCATGCCTTAAGAACTAACGAGTACCGAGACCGTAATCCCCAGTACTTCTGGATGATTGAGGCTCTTGGTATTCGTTCAGTGCAGATTTGGGATTTCAGGTCAATCCCCTGTTTCTGATCTTCATTCCAAGGAGCTAATTACCGGTTATTAGTCGTCTGAACTTCATCTATACTTTGTTGTCGAAACGCAAGCTCCATTGGTTTGTTGACAACAACCTCGTGAGAGGCTGGGATGACCCCCGTTTCCCAACAATTCGAGGTAAAGATGATTGCGACCTTGTCCTGTGTCATGGAAGTTAATGGCCGGAAAAACAGGTATTCGCCGGCGAGGGCTGACTGTCGAGGCGCTTTCGCAGTTCATGCTGCTGCAGGGACCCTCACAGGCCATCGTCTCCCTTGAATGGGATTCCATCTGGGCCATGAACAAGAAAGCCATAGACCCAGTTGCACCCCGGTTCTGGGCTGTCGAGCATGACAACAAGTAGGTTCTGGAGTTAATATGAATACAATGTCGTCTTACATTTGACAGGGTGCCTGTTACGATTAATGGTGGACCGTCCGCTCCCGAAGTCAAGACCCTGCCTCGACACAAGAAGAACCCCGAAGTAGGCGATAAGAAAACTGTGTTCACGTCGACTGTTTTGGTCGAGCAGGAGGATGCGGCGTCATTCGAGGACCAAGAAGAGGTTAGTCGCATGTCTTCGGATGCTAAAGTGTGCTTTCATCCATATACATTCAGATTACCCTCATGGACTGGGGCAATGCCATTGTCTGCTCGAAAGAGACCGACAGCGCCGGCAAGATCACCGCGCTGACAATGGACTTGCACCTTGATGGCGATTTCCGCAAGACCAAGAAAAAGATTACGTGGCTCGCGCAGCCGACGGCTGAGCACCAGATGGTCGACGTCACGCTGCTCGATTACGACTACCTGATCACGAAGAAGAAACTTGAGGAGGAGGACGAGCTCGAGAAGTTCGTGACGCCTGTTACGGAGTTCCGGACCGAGGCGCTCGCCGACGCGAACGTGAGCACGCTCAAGAAGGGCGACATTATTCAGTTTGAACGCAAGGGATACTACATCTTCGACGGCAAGTCGGACGAGACAAGCAGGCTGGAGTTCATCCACATTCCCGACGGGCGCGCGGCGAGTCTCGCGAGTAAGGCGGGAGCCGGCGGTGCTGCGCCGACGGATCCCAACGCTGCGGCGGCGATCGCGGGCGGGACGCCGGTGACGACGAAGATGTATGATGTGGAGAAGGTGTATGGTGTTCAGCCTATACAGCCGGGGGCGACGACGAAGATGTATGAGGTAAAAAATGTGTACGAGGATTAATCGTTTGCCTCTTCTCGAAGCATGGGGTATGATGAATACTGTATCGTTCTGCTTGTAGATTAAGATAGTTGGAACATGGGATCCGTTTTCTCCCTCTGTTTTCTGTCCGTTTCTGTCCAGTAATTGCCATAGAATATCTGGCAGATGCAGGCGTGGTGAACGCGCAGACCGCGAAAGCGTATCATTCCACCTTTGCCTCGGCCAAATATTCACTGATCACTTTGCACTCGTTTGCATTATTGGCCCACGGCATTCTTGACTAACATCCTCTGACATTCGAGCGGAAAAGGGTTTCCGCATGTCAACCATTTTCTGTAATCAGTCCTCGGCGCTCGCTACCAACCTCCTTAACCATGGCGACGTTAGCGCTGTCGCCACCGACCAAGTCACCTTGCGCTTTTCGATTTAATGTCCGAGGGCTTTCGCCCAGTTCGCCCTCGCGAACTCAATAATTTGAGCTGCTTGGCTTACCTTCTTTGTTTGGATGATCCAGAAAGACATTTGATCAAACATTTTTGGGCCTAATAACGGCGACTGCAGGCTACGAAGCAGGGACAAATATCATGGCACACGGTAGAAACCTTCAAAAATTCGTCAAAAACTCCACACTGGCATCATGACTTCGGAAAATGATCTGCGGGGATAAACGAGGCCCTTCTTGACTTCATGACCGACGAGCGACGGCCGTCTTAAAGTTTCTTTCCGCCTGACACTGAGCTCGCGAGCTAAAGATGGAAAACTCAAAGGTGGAGTTCCAGAAGTACTTACAAAGGGATTCCCATTTGAGGAAGTGCATCCCATGAATGTGACCGCCTATCCGGGTACTCCGGATCTACCGACCATACGACGTGCGAGCGAAACAGGGTCACAATGCGGAGGATGGACTGAAATGTGGGATGTCGAACTATGTCGAATTCAGTTTGGGTCATATCTTGACAGGTTGGGGCCGCTGCGAACAGCGGTAGCAGTGGTGGGACTGGAAAAATACATCGTATCCGAGGTGGAGATAACCAAGAATGCATGATCAAGGCGTTGGATGTGGGTAAATGAGTGACGACGTCAGGCATATTTGCCTGGAGTTAAAACAATGCGAGGAGAAGGTCAAAGTAGAGAGACAAAACGGAGGGCCACGGAATGTCGAATATCGAATGCGACGAGGTATAGCGTGAAGTGTGTGTAGAGCTACAGAACCAAAAAGGAGGAAATGAAGAGTGATCAGGAGTACACAATATGGACAGAGGAAAAAATATGCAATGTCTAACGGTATGCTGGTGGTGGGAGACGTTCAGACGGAACTTCTTCGTATTTTCCGCCCTATACTGGCCAAATTTTCTGTCCAGGGTTTGTGCGGATTGAGATTGAAGCGGCCGCGTCTCATCGTTTCCACCAGGATAAATGATACTGGAGAGTAAAGCATGAGTATGAAGACTGCGGTGTCCGTTTGATACATACCAATAAATTCTTCTGTCGGAGCGTCAGGATGGCTATCGAACTCGAGGTAGTCGTTTCCAAAGCCTGCTATTGGAGCGGCTCGTAGCTTATCGCCAACGCGTATTGCATTGACGTGATATTGTCCTCTAGTTTGACTTGACTCATAGTCTAGTAGCTGCGGTACTTCGCGATGAGAAAGGTGGCATTTGATGAAGTACAAAAAACGTACCGAAAGACCACTAGGTGCTGCCAGCCAAAACAGTTCTGGGTCAAAACGAGTTGGCAGCCCAACAACATTTTGACTGAAGAAGGATAAGGGCGGAAGCATGCGAGTGAGTGGCGGAAGACGTACGATAGTATTGCACTCTTTGTCCCAAACATCCCTTTTACATTTATCTTCTCCTTCCCAATGACAACCTCCACTGGTTGTCTGCCCTTCCACGCAATCTCTGCTACAGTCCTGCCTGTCTTGTTGGTGATAATGGTGCGCTGGGTCGCGCTATCTTCATCCTCGCTCTCGGTATCTGAGTCCCGTCCGTTTGCGCGGATGAAGTGGGATCTCGTGAGGATGGTGAAAACAGGAGCTCCGGTCTCTGGGGTGACAAGAGTCGAGTTGAGCATGTCGGCTTTCGTGAACTTGAGGATCGTCATTGCTGGTGGCTTGACTACGGAGCGAGGATGACGGTCAGGGAAAGCCAGGGGAGCCCTCAGTGTCAAGCGGAACTTTATGTATACATACGGTGACCCCACGAGAACAGGGCCAGCGAATCAGCCAGGCCGCTTCTAGTAAATGATTCAAATCGAAACCTTGATAGACGATCTGTCGGAAGCTTTCTCCGATCATGCAATATTGGTGCACAATATTGCGGAGCTACATATCCGCAGCCAAAGTGAAGTCAGGCCCAGAACCCGGACAAAATGGAAGTCCGGCCCATTTTTTGCGCCAAAGCCGACTTTCCACGCCACGGACATTGTTTGAGCTTGCTTGTCCCTGTGGCTGCGCTGTTCTGGGGCCAAACCTGGCGCCAAACAAAAGACTGAAGTTACTCGAAGTCAACATCGACGACGACGGCAAGCAAGACGTCAATGTCCGCCCTCTGAATCGTCAACGAACATCCTCACGTTATCACTCCAATCCCTCTCTCTGCTTCCCCCTCTCTCTGCTTTCCGATCTGAACTAGGTTCAGTCGCGGCAGCTCCGTTTCTGGTTCCAATTTTCGTCCATGGTTATGGCACAGCACCGTTCGTCCCATCGAGTATCGCGCCCGCCGTCAAGCAGCACGTTATCTCGTAGAAAGTTATCGCTTCGCCACTCATCCGCCGCAAAACGCGCTCTCGCGTTCGTCAATCGCTTGCAAAGGTCAACCGTACATTCCCACGCCTCTGGCGCGTCCTCCCAGTCGTCAGAAGACACAGAGACCCCGCGTCGACCCATCCTCGCCCCCCTTCATCCCAATCTACGCCGCTTACCGTCGCGCCAGCGTTTTCTAAACAAGGACGGCATGCGAAGTGTGAGCAATGAGACTGTTGGTTCAAAACGAAAACGCGTCTCAGGTGCCAATGAGAACGGCCATGCAAGTTCGCGCTCAACGCGTGGTTCAGGGAGGACGAAAAGACACAAATATTCAGAGGAGCCGCCCAGTGACGATGCATCAGAGGCGAGTTCAATGGATGTCGATAGTAGCAAGTGGACCACCTCGGATCTGTCCGACGACGCCGCGAGTGACGAAGAAGGGTCATGTGAGTTATCTAAGATTAATGTGGGGACGCCTCATTTGCTGACGCCTCGTGTTAGCGGACGAGTTCTATATAAATGAGGCGTCTGAGAAGACCCTTCTTCGACTCAGGAAGGATGAACTCGTTCGCTTGTATCAAGCAACTGGTCTGTCGGACGATCCCGAGACCTTGACCAAACAGGATCTGGCCCAGGAAATCATCGCAGCGCGAGACGATCTCGCTTCATTGCCTCCGTCGTCTCCTCCTGCTAAGGGAGACGCCAGCGACTGCTCATCTGACGATGGCAATTCTGCTGACGTGTCTGATTTTCACGGCAAACAGCGTCCTGGGATGGTGAATGGTTTGAAACGACGAGCCACTATGAACCTCTTATCGAATGGCCAAGCAAAGCAACTGACCACTCGAAGTGCATCATTTGGACAACTCTATCCGTCTCCTGATGTCGATGAACCAGATGTGTTCTCGAGCTCCAAGCAGGTCAATGGCACTACTTTCCCGAGGTACGCTTGCTGGTCAATTCACGTGAGACGCGTTTTTGATATGTCCTATCAGACGTCGTGGGACACGTACCTCCTCTGGTCGCTCTTCTCCCGGACCTAGCTCTTCGAACACTGCTTCATCCTCACCACCCAATACTCGACTCCGGACAAGAAAGGTCTCCGCCGAGCAAACTGCCTCTCAAGCTGCTTTGAGCAAAGCCAAGGGCAAGGCAAAGCAAGTTGAGTTTGTTGAAGACGTTCAGACGCATGAGCCGGGACCTTCAGGCAGCGACAGCGAGCTCACCGACTTAGAAGTGCTGGAGGGCAAGATGACTGGTCCTAGCCCACGGCGTCTGCGCAGCAAGGATAAGAGCAAAGGTTCCTCTAGCAAGATGTCTGATGTAGAGGCCGCGGAGGACATCGAGGCGACGCCAAAGCCTCGCGCCCGCACTCGTTCAGCTTCGGCTGGAGATGAGCAGTCCGATTCACAAGATGACGAGGAAGAGGTTGATGAACTCGTTTCATCACCGTCTCCTACACCACCTCCCCAGGACGTTCGCAGGACTCCTCTTAGACGGCGTCTCCGCCCCCGCCATACTCAGAGCCGAACCGTCGCTGACGGAGGCGAAGGTGATGACGAAGAGGAAGAAGAGGAAGAAGATGAACTGGAAGAAGGTAGCGTAGACCTTGAGGAAGAAGATGAAGGCGAGGAGTCGGAGGAGACTGTTGAGGGTGAGGAGGATGAGACTTATGAGGACCCGGGCAGTAATGCTTCGGTCTCGGTCACTCCTCGCAAACTTCGCAGCGGAAAAGTGGTTGGTGACGATGAGGAAGAGGAAGAGGACATGGAGGAAGCTGAAGAGGATGTTGGAGACGAAGATGAGGAAGAGAACGAAGAAGCTGATGATGCTGACGAAGCCGAAGAGGATATTGACCTTGATGCTGAGGCTGAGCACGAAGACGCTGAAGCATTGGAGGATGATGACAGTATGTTTTCCATCCAGCTTACTTGCTTTTCTATATGCTAAGTGCACTTTCAGTTGACCTCACCGTCGCTACTGCGAAGACGCTAGTTAGACTCCGACGTGATGACTTGGTTCGTCTTTGCGAGAGCAGGGACCTTGACGTCGGGGGCACAAAGCCTCAGCTTGCTCGTTCACTGCTGCAATGGCGCGATCGCCGTACAAGCGAGTTCTCTTTTTCATCACCGTCATCAACGGGCACGGCTCGCCCACCATCGACTGTACGTGCACGCAAGCGCCGAACAAGGAGCAGCAGTCAAGGCACGACTCCTGTTCTCATGCGGTCCGATCGTGTTCACCTTGACGAACCTCGGACTCCGGAGAACAACAAGGAGCCTGAGCCTGAGCTGGAGCTGGATCTGGAGAGTTTAGGACTTGATGACCGCGAGATCCCTTATGACAAGCTCACCAAGCTCGAGAAGATCGGCAGTGGTGGCTTTAAGGATGTCTTCATTGGCAAATTCAAGGGCCGCAAGGTCGCCCTCGCCGAGTTCCGCGATCAACTAAGTTCAAGTAAGGCTGACCACTTTCAGATGGCCAATCTTCTTTGGGCTAACTGTTTGTAGTGGATATTAAGGAACTCAAGTTGCTCGGCGGCTTCGATCATCCCAATATCGTCCGTTTTGTAAGTCCTTGTTGGTGATTGGCCTTCGATATTGTTTGGGCTCACTGTGTGTTGTAGCTTGGTGTTAGCATTCCCGAAAATACGAAAGAAACACCCGTCATGATTGTCAGCGAGTTATGCTCTAACGGCGATCTTTTTGATTATGTTCGCAATGTAGCCCCGCCTACTCTTTATAAAGTTGTACGTGTGTCCACTTGATTCTTTATGCCACATGGGCTCATTATCTTCAGCTCTGCATCATGTTCGACATTGCTCGCGGCTTAGAATACTTGCATATGCGCAAACCTTCCATCATTCACAGAGACTGTAAATCGTCGAATATCCTCATTACCTCCAAGGGAGTCGCCAAAATTGCAGACTTCGGTCTTGCCAAGGTCAAGCAGTCCACCCGCTCGATGGTTCGAAGTGTAGTGGGCACAGTCAACTGGCAAGCTCCAGAGCTGTGGAGTCCTCATCCCAAGTACAACCATAAGGTGGACGTGTTCTCGTGCGCTATGGTGTTCTGGGAGATGTTGCAATGGCACGTTAGTACGAAGAAATTCCCTTGGGAGGTATGTGATGTGGGACTCCCAACTAGTCGCGAAGGAGCTAACTATTATATACAGGGTATGAACGAGCACGCTATTTATGATGCAGTTGGTGCAAAACGTCAAAGGTGAGCAGACTCTGTATCCCCTCCACACTCAATATTTCTAATGACCTCTCAAGACCTTCGATTGCTGGGTTACGGAAACAATGGTGTCCTGAAATTGTAGACCTTGTAGAACGCATGTGGGCTCAGGATGCGCAGGATCGACCAACTATGAGCGAAGTCGTCGAGGAGCTTGAACACCTTGTGACTGAGTATCGAACGCGATGATCGGCCACCCGGGACCTACCATTTATTTATTACTACATTCTATTCCGATAATCCCTGCGCAACCTCACTCAAAACTATCCGGACAGTCTACTTACCACATTATTTCGGTTTGTCTCTTTAAGCACTTGTGCCCATCATCTGTCTGTGCAACCGTATATCCGCAACTGTATCATTCCACCTAGCAATATCCAACTGCTGCTTTTGCATTATCCTCTGTTGTGTTCATAATAGTTATGACTCTGCTCGAGAGTCTGAGATTGCGTGCGACAGCATCGGCCGAATCGCGCGTGGACATAAATATGCGTGACGTCGAGGCAACAATTTAATACGTCAATGCCAGTACTAGTTCTAGTGCGCTCCGGTTCACATCATACAAGTTAGCTCCTCTTCCTCGTGTGCGGCGCGCGTCGGTCTCAGGTATATGCGCTTCCTCTCGCAATTCTCTTCTGAGGCTTCTGGGCTTACGTTCTCCAGGTAGACCTTCTTGAATGCTAATGCAAGCATTCTGCCGCTCGGCCAGGCTAGGCCGCTATGCGGTGACCCCTTCACTGGCATGTCGACCAACCAACTTGGGTCAACATCACTTTTCGCTCCGCCAGGCCAGGCAGCTCGCCACGGAGGCTCCCTCCTCTTCCTCAACAAAGCCCAAGATCCCCATTGAACCCCGTCCGCGATCCAAGTACCTGCGTCGGACGTTCACGGGCATCAAATACACGGGTTACCTCTGCGCGTCTACAGTTGTTGGAATCATCGTGCTCGGCGCGGGCATCTTCGTCCACGATGCGTTCACGTATACGGACAAGCACATCGACAAGGTTCCCATCTCCCCGCTCGCGTTGCACCCTCAGAAGGGTGGACCCAAGAACCTGCCCATTGTTGCGTCCCTCGTGGACGACCAGGAGGACGATGAAATGAAGGAACTCTCGACGAAGCCAAAGCTCGTTGTTGTTGGTGGCGGCTGGGGCGTATGTTCTTCACTCATGTTTCTTTGGGTTTGCCTTCTGACTTGAACGAGGAGGTGTTCAGGCTGTTGCAACGTTGCAATCACTGAACGCAGGAGACTACCATGTGACCGTCGTGACAGGGGAGACCTTCACCACTTTCACTCCTTTGCTGCCTTGTAAGAGTTACGGAGTGTCACGATTCGCGGCTATGTTTGACGGGAGCGAATAGCTGCTGCAGTCGGTACGGTCCAGGTTCGGAGCTTGGTTGAGCCTATCCGCAAGGTCATCGCACGTCTACGGGGTCACTTCATATCCGGAAAAGCCGTCGATCTGGTCATGGGCGAACGTCTTCTGGAAGTCGAAACGATAAGTTCAAACGGTGAAAAGAAACATATCTACGTTCCGTGAGTCTCGTAGCTCGTGCCATTCGTTAACTTTCTTAGCTCACGCCCGCTATTAGTTACGACAAGATTGTCATTGCTTGCGGCTCTGTTTCGAGTACACACGGTGTTCCCGGACTTGAACATTGCTTCCAGCTGAAGACCATTTCGGACGCTCAGGGTATTCGCCGCCGCATCATGCGTATGTGTTTTTGTGTCTTAGAAGTCCCGAGTTTAACAGCACCGCGTGCAGAGAACTTCGAAGTTGCCAGCCTTCCGACCACCACGCCTGAAGAGCGGAAGCGATTGCTAAGCTTTGTGGTGTGTGGTGGTGGACCTACGGGTGTGGAGACGGCCGCCGTACGTGTTATCTCTGTCGCGCCGTCGTTCCTTCGGACGCTGAAGCGGCCTCTATAGGAGATCTACGATTTCTGCCAGGAGGATATCATGAACTACGTGAGGATCTTTTTAATGCGTCAGTTCTGTAACACTAACTGGATCAAGTATCCTAAAATATGCCGGGAGGAGGTTTCTATACATGTCATTCAATCTCGGGAACATATCCTTAACACCGTGCGTGGTACTCCGTGAACCGTTTATGACTCGTACCTGAATAACGTGCCCGTAGTACTCGGAGGCGATCTCAAAATATGCTGAGGTTCGTCTCCCCTGTTCTATACTCGTTTGGCCCTCAGAACTCATGCCCGCCTTCAGGACAAGTTCGCGCGCGATAAGGTTGACCTAATCGTCAACTCGCATGTCGCCGCCGTGCACCCTGATCACGTCGTGTACACCACCCGCGATGAGAACGGTAAAACCATCGAGCACCAGATCCCTACCAACTTTGTCCTTTGGTCAACCGGCATTGCTATGAACCCATTCTCGCAGCGTGTCTCGGATCTGCTGCCGAACCAGGTGCACAAGAAGGCAGTCGTCACGGACTCGCAGCTCCGCGTGAAGGGCGCGCCGCGTGGAGAGGTGTATGCTATCGGTGACTGTGCTACTGTGGGTACAAACTGCGTAGAGGCGATGGAAGAACTAAGTTTTTTTTGGAGATTGAAACTTCGCTCATCGCCAATCTGCTAGAGCTCGTCGAAGAGTCCGACAAGGATAAGAACGGCAAGATTGACTTTGATGAGTGGGAGTTTATGGGTAAGACCACCGGCTTCAGGTCATAGACGGAGTTGACTAAATTGTCCCAGTACGCAGGATTAAGCAACAGATCCCTCTGGCCGAGGATCACCTCCAGAAAGTAAGTCCATGTTCAATGTTTACTTCTAGACAGGAAAGGTTTACGACTATTTGGGTTAGGTTCGCCACTTGTTTGAACTCTATGATGCCGACCATGACGGTAGCCTCACTCTGAACGAACTCGCCGTCCTCCTCCAAGATGTCGGCAACAAGATCACCGCTCTGCCTGCTGTAAGCATATCCCACACACGCGCATCCTCCCCTCCTCGCGATTCTGACTCGTCCACGCAGACCGCCCAAGTAGCCTCTCAGCAAGGCAAATACCTCGGCAAGAAACTGAGCAAGATGGCAAAGGCCAAGCCTAACCTCGTCGAGCACGGCCTTTACGACACCGACGAAGCCGTCTCGTCGGCATTCCGGTACTCACACCTGGGCAATCTGGCGTACATCGGTAACGCGGCGGTGTTCGATCTCGGAAAGATGTCGTTCATGGGCGGGCTCCTCGCCATGTATGCGTGGCGGAGCGTGTACTGGAGCGAGCAGGTGTCGGCAAGGACGCGCGCACTGCTTATGATTGATTGGATTATTCGGTAAATATTTTTAGAGATTATGCCTGCTGCTATGAGACTGACTGTTTCTTTTTAGGGGCGTGTGGGGAAGAGACCTTTCTATACTTTGAAACGGCCAACGGACCCTACTAGCTCTCATTCTTCATTTTACATATTTAGATGTCTAGATTTGCACAACAAGACGATTATCGTGGATCCTTTGTCATTAATCGAGTCATCGGCACTCTTGCTTTCAAGATATCCCAAATATTGCACCATTTTGTTGTGTCCTAGTGTACTACTCGTGGCACTCGAGGGACCCAACGATTGCTATCCGCCCTGTAAAGGAGGTTTGATTCGGCGCGAGGATCGTCATCTTGCGGTTTTTGACATCTATGCTTGTGCTGTCGAACATCCGTCAATAACGACGAACGCAATCGACCGAGGGGTTTCGTAGGGCTTACACATAAAGGTATCCGACGACGGTCAAGTCCAGGACTTCTTCGTCGTAACGTTCGGCTTCGTCCGGGTTGGGCGGCGAAAGGAGCGCAAGCACTGCATCGAGAAGGCCCGAACCTGGCGAAGCAGGATCGACAGGGACGGGCTGCATCTCCGAGACGGTGCGACTTGCTCCGATTGGAAGGGCGGAAGAAGGCGCCATCGCCTCTGAAACAAATACGCAATGAAAGTCAGGAACGAGCGACGGACGGCGTCATTCGACGGAGATGCTGTGTACCTCCTCCGATGCGGTAGATTGTCAGTGTGTCGAAGTCGACGACGGACGACGACGGCGAGAGGATGAGGTCCGTGAGTGCTTCTCCTCCCAGCGTCGCGGCGGACAGGCCGGGGGGCGGGTCGATTTTCTGGCCGTACATGTACGCCTGCATCTGGTACTTTTGCACGCGCTCGCGGTAGCTGTGGTCGAGCTCGACGACGCCGCCGGATTTTGGGATCTTGAGAACGATGAGCTTCGCGCTGAAGAGGCGTTGCATTTCGACGGTGAGCTTTTCGTGGCCGACGACGAGGATGACGTTCACTGTGAGTCCGAATAAAGGTAAATAGAAAGACACGAAGAGATTGAGTGAGGTGCACCTCGGAAGGCATCGACGCATGCTTTGATGAGGGAGTGTCTGCGTTCGGCTTCTCCTGCTGGACCAGAGGCAAAGGTGGAGGGCGTGTCGATAATGAACCCGGACGCTCGACCTTCAGCGTCATTTTCGTGTCTGTCGTAAGCATTCTCCCCAAGGTTTCGAATGAGACGGTCGAGCAAGAGTGGATTCCGCTTGATGTCGGTGTGCCCATACCAGTACGACAAGGGCAAGAGCGCGTTTGACGACAGCGCGGTCGGTGCCGAGGTCGCTGTGGCTCCGAACGGGTTTGCGGGGGAGGAGGTGGATATTGGACTAGAGACCGGTGCTGCAGAGACACAGCCAGGCACGGACCACGCACCCTACGGCATTCATGGATTCGACTCACAGGATAGAACACCGGCGGCTACTACTCACCTCACTCGGATCCGTGTTCACTAATAGAGGGCTCCACTTTTGACCGGCACGAACTGCGTAGTTGGTCAGTATCTTGCAGATCGTTGTCTTTCCAGAATTCTCGGGTCCCAGGACCAAGACACGAGGGGGTTCGGAGCTGGCTCTTGGATCGTCGCCAGGTATAGGAGAGCCCCGAATAGCACTCTGTGCTCGGACGCGCATCTGTTCAAAGGCGATGTGAAGGTTGGCGTAGGCACTCATAGGGGTTTCTTCTGAAACATATTCTGTTGAAGCTGTACCGGTGACGTGCAGAAGGTTGAGGTGGTTGGTGTGTGCGAGGCATTAGGTTGGAGGAAGACTCATCTCGAGCGTGCAGCCCTGCCAGGTGTACACAGCAGCCTTGCATTCACATCCAAAGATGTATGTTTTGCCTTCTGCGAGTTCTGCGCCGAAGATTTCTGCGAGACCACGCACGAGCTAATATTAACGTATCATGTTTCAGCCGATCCTGTGGGGCAATTCTTGGACGCACCTTGATAGCAAGCACTGCTCCTGGGTCGAGCTCAAACCTGTACTCTGTCTCTGGACCGAGATCCCATTTTTTGGTTGTAGACACTGTGTTCTCTAATGCCTCTGACATCAGGGAAGCAGTAGTGACTGAAAGTGGATCAAGGATCGCTCAAGCTCACTCTCGAGTCTAGTCAGTATGTCGGACGAAGGCTCCGAAGGACGATTCACCCGTGGAGAACGGTGCAGATGGTGGATGGGCACTGGGCACACTAACTCAGGCAGACTGGCGTTAAGCTCAGAGTCAACGGCGGACGGCGGCAAAGCCTCGTTGATCACGGAGACGGAGGAACTCTTTTGGATGACAGGATGTTATTAGTGTTGTTCGGTGCCTGTGTGGCTGTCGGCGTATCGCTGTTCAGACTTGCCGCCGCTCTCTCCGCCCAGCACGGATATCACGCTTCTCGCAGAGCCGCGTTCACAGACAACCGACTTATGGCCACACATTCACTAAAAAGTATTAAGCGCCAAGGGGTGTTCTCTTATAAACCCTGGCCTCTTCATCAGATCGCCAGTCCAAGGTGCTCTCCAGCTCAGGCTCACCCTCACACTAGACCATGGACACCAGCAGTGCAAGCGAGCACTCTGCAAAGCATCATGCCGACGAGGCTCATGTCTCGACCGTCAAGAATGCCCAGGTCGATACCGCCGCTCAGCTCGTCGCTGGTTCAGCCGTCCGCCTCACCCCTGAGGAAGCCCTCCGACTCAGGTAGACACCGCGTTTACCCCGGATTTTCACTACTTTATTAACGTGCAATGTCCAGGCGCAAAATAGACTTGCACATTATGCCTCTAATGTGTAGTAAGTAATGCTGTTGTGCAGGTTATCCAAACTGCTCTGACCCCCCTTCTGCAGCTATGTACTTGTCAGTACGACTCACTTCATCGCATTTGGCAGTTTCTGAAAGAATGTCAGGATTCAATTCTTAGACAAGACTACACTTGGAGAGGCGGCGGTCCTAGGCATCATGTATGTCTTCTCGCTTATCTTATCTTTGTCAACTGTGTTGACTTATGGTTAAAGACCTGGAGCTCATTTAACCGAGACGCAATTCAACTGGCTCGGCACGATCTTTTACCTGAGCTACCTGGTCTTCCAGTACCCCCAGAACCTAGCTCTCCAGCGCTTCCCTGTGGGCCGATGGGTAACGTGAGTGAACAGATGAAGCTTCCGATCAGTCCTCTTGACGTTCTCTATCAGCATCAATATATTCCTCTGGGCAGTCATTCTGCTCTGTCATGCAGCCTGCTCTTCCTTTGGAGGACTTTTCACAGTCCGTTTCCTGCTGGGTGTTTGCGAGGGTGCCGTCACCCCCGGGTTTATGATCGTTACATCCATGTTCTACACCCGTGAAGAGCAGACAAGGCGTGTCGGTTACTGGTGTAAGTCTTCGGCTGCTTGTCGGCTGCTTGTCAGGCGCCCTTACTTATGTGCATGATTCTCTAGTCTTGATGAACGGAGTCGCAGTCATCTTTCTAGGATTCATCAGTTTCGGTGTCCTGCATACCCACACGGGCGCATTCCTGCCTTGGCAATGGTATGTCGCTGCTAGCCTCACATATATACCATCCCTGACCGTGATTCGTTCCGCTTAGGCTCATGGTCATCACCGGGACAATTACACTGGTCGTTTCAGTGCTTTTCTGGTATGCTATCCAAAGACACTGAAATAAATCAAAGTTGATCCTTTTCTGCGCAAAGGTTCTTCTTCCCAGATTCGCCTACCACGGCTTGGTTCCTCACCCCTGAAGAACGCATCCTCGCCATCGAGCGTATCCGCGAGAACCAAACTGGTGTTGAGAACAAGCACTTCAAATGGGATCAGTGCGCTCATTTCTATTATTGTTCATTTGATATATACTCACGTTGCCCTGTGCAGGTTCTGGGAAACGATCAAGGACCCTAGGACGTGGCTGTTTGCGTTGTTCGCCGGCACATCGTGAGTCGCTTCTTTCTCCCTGCGACAAGAATTCTTTTCTCACCCCCATTTTCAGGAACGTCGTCAATTCGGTTGGTACACGAATAAGATCGATGACCGGACCGAAATGGCTGATTCATATTTGCAGCTAACAAATCAACGCCAGCTGATCGTCGCGCAGTTTGGATTCAACGATATCCAAACGACTTTGCTTGGTTGCGTCGATGGGGTTGTCGAAAGTGAGCTACGATATATGGTTCTATTTGAGCATGACTAACCTGCCTTCTTAGTTGTCTCCATCTTCGTTGGTGTCACGCTAGCATCCCAAAAACATGTCGGCAGGGCATTCTCCGGCGTGTTGATGTATGTTCCGGCGATTCTCGGCGCAATCCTGGTCAGCGCATTACCCTACTCCGACACAGTGGGCCTGCTGTTCTCGTACTGGCTCTCCAGTAAGTAATGCACCTTAGGCTGAAACGGCTTGAAGGAGAGCTCACCACACCAAATTGAACTAGTCTTTGCCATTGCTCCGTTCAGCATCTTCTTGGGCTGGATAGGTGCCATCACCTCCGGACACACTAGGCGCATCACGACCAACGCCATCGTCCTGTGTGGCTACGCTATTGGAAACGCTGTGAGCCAGTTTATGTGGAAGGCCGAGTACCAGCCACGGTAAGTAGCCTTTCACCCTCACGCATCTCGCGTCTCATCTGCCGTCTTTTCTCATCTCACTGACTAATAGGAACCACATTCCATGGGCCGTGATCACCGCATGCAACTTCGCCGCGGGTGTCATGCTCATCCTCATCCGCTTCTGGCTTGCATCCGAGAACAAGAAACGCGATGCCGAGGGGTACGACGATACGTACGACAGCGTGTATATCGCCGAGGAGCAGGCTGATGGGAGCACCCTGGAGAAGAAGGTCGACAAGGTGGGTCTCATTGATATCAATTACCTGAATGGAAGTCTGAAGAAACGTATAGGCTTTCTTGGACCTTACGGACAAGCAAAACCGGGAGTTCCGGTACATTCTCTGATTTAGTGTTTGGTGTTTGTTAGATCGCGCATACCCTTCAGGTTGATTGGTTGTCATATAGTCACTGTTAATTGTACGTCTTGTTTTATGCGTTAACGAGTTATTATTATCATCTGTGTGCATAAGAGAAAGCTAGTGCTGTACATTTGCCCGAACTCTGTCGCGACTGCAGCTATATAACTTACCGCTCATGTACGTACCATCGATGTTATTGGGTCAAGCGTCAGAATATGAAAACAATATTGTGAACCATTAGTGAAGTTAATCCTCCCTCATACAATATTTCTCTACACTATGACTCAAAACCTATCAGGGTTCGGAATGCCGTGAAAAAGAATTCCGTAGTCTACAAAGCCAGCTTCAGCTTTCAAATTGTTGTACTCATCCACGTTCGTAGTCATGAGGCAATCGCTCTCCTTCCCATTCATCCCGTCGAACATGCGACGAACACAATAAATGGGAATAGTCTCGTTTGGGACCGCCTCAGGATAGGCGAAACCGACGAGGAGCTGTTCGATGTATTTCTCTTCTCTGACGAGCCGCTCGAGCTCCTTGCGGTCGAGGGTGTAAAAGTTGTCGGTGTGCTCATTGGACCACGCCCGCCAGATGGGCATCGTCCCGACCTGCGGGCCGACAAACACCTTGCAAAGCACGCCCTCGTCGACGCTCTCCCCTCCACCCGGGACGCGGAACGCTTGCTCGATCGCTAGCCCGTAGTAGTGATCTTGCATGTCGTTTCGATACATTTTGTAGAGGGGCTGCGCCTCGACCTTGGCGGCCTCGCCGCGTCTTTCGAGGACGGCACGTTCCAGGATGTGCTTGGCCTTTGTGCGTAGGTCGGCGGGGAGGAAGTCGAGTGTCGAGCGGACTCTGTAGCCGATGGCCACCCATGTGTATGGCTCTTCTTCTAGGGACTTTTCCCATCCCTTGATGTCGAGACTAAACGAAATGGTTAGGTGCTGTGCCTAGCTTTGAACAGGTGCGCTGACTTACTGATGAGTCCCTCCCTGAAGAGTCATGTTGAATTAGCAATAAGGTTCAGCTTTGTTACGCCGCTGAGCTTACAAGATAGAGGTAGGATTGGGCCTTCTTGAAGGCCTCCTTGGAAGCTTCATCCAAAGATTCTAAACCTCCACTGATATCCATTGATGCACATATGGTGAGCGTGCTACTGAAAGAGGCTGCTGCGTCGACTTTGAGCTCGTGGGCAGATTTCTGCAAGGCAGAGGGACTTTAGTAGGTCGGTACATCAAACAAAATGATATGCTACCTACCGCCGATGACCTCTTTTCGGTGACTTCATTGGCCATGCAACCACCAAGATCGACACCAATGATGACAGCATGCCCTTCGGATGCAAGGATAGCTTCGATATCTTGGGCCTTGCTAAGGTTTGATTCGTTGTTATTGATAATATCCGCAAGACTTTTCGCCAAGTGCGGTAGCAGAGAGAGACTCGTCGGCTTCAGTAACGAGAGGTGAACTTTCTTGTAGACGCGTCGGTTCGTGATAAAAAGCTCGGAAGACGACGACAGCTGTGTTCTGGACTCGTCATAGTGGGCAGACACCTTCCCGGTGATGCCCCACGACTTGACGCTTGCCTCGATGTCTACACTTGCGTAGCCTTTCTTCACAGTGGATGCTGCCTCAGCCGAGTAAGAAATAGTGCTCTCGGTTTCCGTGTGCCGAATAGGTGTGAGTGCAAAACGATTCAAGAGATCTGAGTCGGGCGGGAAGTCTACGAGCGGACTAAAGCAGATGCCGGCTTTGGAGAAGCTGAAACCCATTGAGATGGTACTTGCGCTGACCTTTAAAACGAAATTGGTATTATTGATCATGTTCTGGATCGAACATCCGTTGTAACATTATGCTCACCATCTCTTTGGTGAGCTGAGGCTCAGCTTTCAATAGTACTGATGGCGTCACAGGGAGGGCTGGAGCGGTCGGCTGTGGGTCAGTCTTTGCGACAGGCTTATGGGAGGACATGGTATAGGATGGGGTATATGACTATGCCTAGACGAAGGGCAAATGAAAGGGTCGAAAAGCAGCGAGAACTCAGGGGATGAGGGAGGGGAGCATTGCTCAGGTGGTAGCCAGTCTTAAAGAGAGCAGAGGGTTTGGCTTGGATGACCGCAACAAGAACTCTTCTGCACTCAGGAGTGTCCCTCAAGGGCATCGCGGAGAGAATGAAGTACCGGTCGAATATGAGAACTGCGGGACGTCATAAAGTGCCTGAACAGCGTAGGCACTGATCCACGTCAGCAGGTAAAGACAAAGCGCAAGAGATCAAGTTGCAGAACAAGAGATGCTTCATGTCTGTGCACGAACCCCGCGAGATGGGATGCATAGGTGGCGCGAAGGCGGATACGAAGAGAGGGACTAATCGTGCCTAGAACACGATGGCGGAACGTTGGTGGAATGGATGGTGCCTCGACCGCTTGAAGGCGTCGTTAGTCGGGATCGAGAAAACGGCGTTGAGTGTCAAGAACTTAGTAGTGCCTGTCCTGAATGCCTTCATACAGGCGCAGCAGGTACGTGCCTTGCAATCAAGTTGCCCTTCATTAAACGGAAGGCATACTAGTCGTCCCGGGCTCACCGCCAGCATCAGTGTCCCTTCTTGCAAAGTGAGGTACCGGAATCCTCTTGTCTCCGTCACTTCGAACGTGTTTTGAATGAGATCAGGCCCTGTGAGTCCTTGAATAGCTAGAAGTGCATGACATACACTTGTCGCAGAGCGAATATTCCTTTGAAAGGAACCTTGTACGAGTTCCTGAGGATCTGCGACTCTGTCAGTTCGAGCTGACCAAGCTTCGATGGAAAAGTCGAAGATCGTAACGGCTGAGAACGATTCGACCTACTGAAAGTTATAAAAGAGACGATGTAGTTCACCTCCCTCCCCAACACAATCTGCTACCTCCTCGTTGCGAGAACATCCACGAAAATTAGCGTAGTCTTACATTTCTATTCTGCTTTGAAGCATTAGTGAGTCTTCTGGATCGTCAGTAGAACTTGACCTCGATTTTGCAACTGAAACGCTGCGCTTCCATAGTGTCGATTCTCCCTAACATCCAATTTGTCGGCCCCGACCAGCTCAGTGAGCATTTCAGAACCATCGTGCTGCACAAAGCGGCTGGTGTCGTCTCGGAGAAAGCCGCTCAGAACAAAAACGTCGACACGTTTGTCTGTCGCAGGTAAGCGGTCATTTTCGCAAGCCTGACTTTTCGTACGGGTCTAATATGTGCATCGCAGCACTAAAGTTGCTGGAGGCGGGGTCGCGATGAACATCACGCTTTCCTATGTTGTTAGAAGTCCCAATGGCCATGCCGACGAGAGTATCGGTTTCAGACTCCCCGAGTAGTTCAAAGAGTGTGATGTTGGTGATCCAAGGATATTGAGAACAAGAATGATAGCTCTGAAGTTAAGATAAACAATATGCTGGTACCTTTACACGGAAACTACAAAAATGACGAGACTTTGACGGGTTTCCGGACAGCTGCGGAGTTGCCTTCGAGGAAGCGATACGACACGTGGTAGTCCCTTCTAGGGGCCTTCTTCGAGGCCGGTTTGTTGTGAGAGTTCGAGGTATGGATGGCAATAGGACGCCCAAAGAAATCTACCGGAGGCTATCATCAAATGAGTTTTGCTGTCCTGCTCAATGAGAAAGCACAATTATTATGTACCTTTTCTTCTATCTCTTGGGTTTCAGTGCGTTGCCGCTTCGAGGGTTTTGAGTCGTCTAGGCTCAGGCGACGCAGTTTGCCATCAGCGTCGTTCACATTCGTGCCTTCGTGCTCATCGTTGTCATGTCCCTTGGACCTTCAGCGAATCAGGCCGATGGAGCTATGAAGACAATGATGAATAGCTTACTGCTTGGAGAAGAAGTTGGATGGTTTAGTCTTGCTTCTTTCAATGGCATCGGCATGGCGGGCGATCAACGCATTATCGATCTGGGCCAGATCAACGACACGCTCACGGCAAAGTCTTTATTGACTGACCTCGCCTGCAACCAGCTGACGGACTGCGTATCTTGACACAGAGATGTCTGCTGCACGTTTGCCATCATATGTCACGAAGACATCGATTGGGGGATCAAGTCTATAGGTTAATGCGCCCTCCTCGGTCTTCTCTTGTATGAACCGGAGCTCCATCGCGACCATGATGTCCACTAACCGCGAGAGGAGCTCGCGTTCTCCTGCTTTAATGATCTGTCGGTTCACCTATCGCATCGAAAGGTATTCAGTATACGCAATGACGCTCGTGACAAATGTACGTACTGGGCGCAGAGGCGGGGAAATAATCCTATTGATGAACGGACCGAACTCAAGTTGTAGGGCCTGCCCAGTAACTAGATGCCTGTATGTACCACAGTTCCGTGAACTCGCGGCGAGGATGTTACTCGCAAGAGTTTTATAAATGTCTTCGTTTACTCTGGTTCTTTGCAGGTTCTAATGAAAAGTCCCTGCTTTCAGTTTCGGAAAAGTGAGACTAAGAAATTAGCCACTCACCTCCCAGTCGGTGGCGTCCCTCTCTACTCGCTGCCCACCTCTCGCCTTGAATAGCGGGTGGAACGGGACAAGGAGGTATGAAAGATATGAGTGCAGACCGAAGTCGCCGTCCTGGTACATCATGGCCGCGAAGATATCATAGGTTGTCAACCACTCGTTTGCTTTTCCATACCGAGAAAGGTCAGCGTCGTGCCGATGGCAATTGGTGTAATGTGCAAAACACCCTGTTGTCCGTAGTCAGCCCCCCGAAAGTTTTTCGAAGGAAATACCACTAGTATACTAACCGGTAGCAATACTGGCGAAGCTGTTCATCCCTTCTATCGTTCGGCTCAGCCGGTTCACGTATCTTGCTTCCTCCTCTTCACCCATCCCGAGTTCTTTCACTCGTTTCTTCGACATAGGGGCAAAAAGGTCATTCAGGACGGAGTTCGCAGTGGTGTCTGCTTCTTTCATTCCTGCTGTACTACGACGTATCAGCGGTTCCGTGACATCCTCACTGCGAGATTTGATGAACTAGATACACTGTTCAGCTGTTGTGTATGTTATATGCTTTGACGGCGAACGCACCTGCAGTGTATTGAGACATCCTCTCAGGTCACCCTTTGCAATACCGACGAGAGTGCTGAGCGCTCGTGAATCGGCCTTCAGACCCTCCATCTCACAGACTTGCCGAAGTCGCTTTACGATATGAATATCGGCAGGTCGAGTGCAACGTATCTGAAGGGCGTGAGGCCGAAGTTTGGCGAGTGAGTGTGCATTTATGTCGTTGCAAATGCATATTATGGGTCGAAGCAATGGACGTTTTCCCTTGTCTTGCTTCTTGCCTGCAACAGATCGAAGGTGAGACGAGGAAGATATGAGAAGTAAACAGAGGCATACGCTTGTTCTTCGGCTGGTCGTAAGTTAGAGAGACAAGTTTCTGAACGAAACTCGAAGTCTGCAGCACGGGTTAACGCTAGTATACCGGAAAGGCAGAAGTACATACATTGTCGCCCCCTCCACCCGTAGCGCCGTCAATTTCGTCGATCACAACGAGCACCGGCTTGTTACTCCCAATTGCCGAGCCCGACTCAAGTGCTGGCTTCAAGCGGTCATCGATGACCTGAGCTGAACGTGCGTCACTGAGAGTTCGTTCGACTGTAAGGGCGTGGAGTAAATATATGCAGAAATACACAGACCTTGCGTTAATTTCCATCACTTCATAACCTGCTTGCGCAGCAACGACATGCGCTAAGGTGGTCTTGCCGAGACCAGGAGGCCCTGATATGAGGAGAAGCTGAAGGGGACTCAAGCTTAACACCGAATAAAGCAGTACGTAATATGCGATTCCTCACCTTTTCCCTTGGGCGTCGGAACTCATCATCGGGGTTCTCATTCTCCTCGTCCTCTCTAAACCTCTTCTTTCCTTTGTATTTTCTCTTTCCAAACACACACCAATCCCACTGTTTCACCCAGGCCATGGTTTCGCGAGCGACGCGTTCATTGCCAAGTAATTCGGTGAATCGAAGCGGTCGATATCGATCAACCCAGAGGGTTTCCTCGACCTTGGAAGGGATCCGTGCGCTAGCGGATTCACCTTCTCTGATGTCTTGTCAGGAGAGTCAATGAATTAGATTCCAACAGTGCTCACTCTCGTGATAGCCGTAGGGCTTTCTCTGTGGAAAGATCGTCCATCAAACGATGTATTGGAATGTCAAGTAGCCCGCCCATCTTTTGCGCTGATAAAGATGCCTATAACAGGGTTTAAAACAGTGTGAGAGGTATCAAACGTAATACACACTTTGTTAAGACCAGTGAGGCGCGTTTTGCGTTTGATGTGAAATGTGCGTCCGCTGAAGGTGGTCGCACGTGCAGGAGCGCGGGGCAAATACAAAGGGCCATCTGAGATTGTTGTGGAGGTTATAGGACGTGATCCCGTGGTGCGACGTAGGAGCTCTGATACGGCTGGGAAGCTATCTGAAAGCAACGTTAGTGAGACATAGTGTCAAGCGCTGCAGATACGACCTTGGGAGTCCGCAAGCAAGCTGGTGGGCGTGGAAGACGTTTGGTTCTCGCCAAGAAGACCGTTGGAGACAAAGGAGTTACTTGCTGTATCAAGTGTTGACGAGAAAGTAGGCTGAGATGGGCTGGCATCATCTCGCGAGGGTTGAGTGGACGTTGAAGCATTCAAGGCTGATTAATACGTTGGTACAACCTCAGTGAATGAGGTCCACAAAGATATCGCAGCATCACGTACTGTTGGAACTAAGCAATCCTGAGGACTTGAATGTCAAGCCCTCGTCAATCGTAGTGATAATGGACGCGTCCTCCTGGATGATGGGCGCCCCTTCTCCCAAGAACCCATTGGATATAAATCCCGATCCAAGTACGCTTGACGATGCCTCGGCACACGAGCCAGATTCGCCTTCATTTGATAGTAGTCCATTTGATACAAATGCAGAAGACATTGGAGGTGAATGCGGCGGTTTGATGAGGGGATAAGGATCTGGTCGCGGTCCGCCGGTCGCGTTTCGGTGTCAACGAGCAACACGCGACGCGTCTGTGGCGCGCTAAGTATATTAGGTAAGTCAGATTTGCCTTACTGTACATTGATCCATCTGCCTTCAAGCTTCAACGTTGTCAACCTCAGTCCTGGTCTATCGCGCAGCTCATGCGCTAGTGTTTCTCTGCGACATCTCTCCAAAGTTTACCCGCTTTCAATATCATGCTGTCTTCCATGACAGCTCGATCTGAACGTAGCTACCAGGTCTTTTGAAAGGAGACTATTGGCCCTAGCGATTTCCTCAGAGGCATGGCACCGAACCTGTACAGCTAGCTATGTGACTTTTTGAAGGGATCTTTATTCGCTGAGGAACATCGCCCTCAATGCTAGATGAACCTTTGCCCCCGCTGTCCTTGGCGTATCGCGTGATGTAGCATCGGTGTTCAACGTTCAACGCCTTGCAGTGGCTGTATTCCGTACTCAAAAGGAACCTAGGCCAAGCTCATCCGCTCGGTCCCTAGCGTACTCACTGCGCTTCTTGTGTAGCCGAGATACATGCTATTTACTTCACTTCAAATCTGTGTAGCTTTTGTCCTGAGGGCGAGAGAGGTGCATGTTGCAGGGATTGCAAGCACACGTTCCCGCGGCGAGAGTCTGTTGATGAGTATGCGGGCGTCGTCTTACCACCCGAGGACAGGCACAGCTGTCTCCTCATGTCCCTGCGGGTTTGGTCGGTCGCGCGTGTTCACTCCTGCGTGCGATGGTCCGCGTAAATCTCATCTTGGGCCAATATTACAACGGGTGTTGATGTTTGGCACTCGTGGACATAGCATGCATAGGCAAGCGTGGATCAGGTTTACGTCGGGATGGACAACCCGGACAACGTGTGCACTGTGCGTTAGGTTGCATCAATCCATTTGCTTGAGTGCGGGCCTAGCGCTGTTAGCGAGCCGTGGGGATGCCGGCCAAAGTCGGGAGCGGAGCTTAGAACTGACATCAAAATTAGATGTAAAGCAAACGGACATTTCTTGCACACAATTCCCTTACCTCCGTCGCCACTGTCCTCGTCGTCCTTCACCATGCTTACTACCCGCGGCGTCACCCGCGTCTCGAGGAGAGCGCTCAACGGTGCTAAGAGCACCAGCAGGCTCATTAACACTGCTTCCGTTCTCTCCCGCGCATCTCTGCCCAACCCCGCGTCAAAACAGCAGGCGGCTCGCCCTTCGCGTCTCTCCTCTGCTCAGCCCGGTTAGTAGCTGCTCGTGTATTATCAAGCGTTTTCGCAGTGCTGATAAGAAACGCGCTGTTTTCCCCACTTTTTTCGACGTTTCAATGGGTCGGAACGGAACGTCAAACAACAGCGCGCTCGTATGCCACGGAGGCCAAGGCCACTATTGGTACCGTGAAAACGGTCATCGGTGCCGTCGTCGACGTTCAGTTTGACACTGAAAACCTCCCTCCCATCCTCAACGCCCTCGAGGTCCAGGATTTCCACGGTGGTCGTCTTGTCCTCGAGGTGGCCTCTCACCTTGGCGAGAACTCGGTCCGTACCATTGCTATGGACGGTACCGAGGGTCTTGTTCGTGGCCAGAAGGTCGTCGACACTGGTGCCCCCATCCAGATTCCCGTCGGCGCTGCCACCCTCGGCCGTATCATGAACGTCATTGGTGAGCCTATTGACGAGCGCGGACCCATCAAAGGTGTCAAGCTGTCGCCCATCCACGCCGACCCTCCTCCGTTCGTTGATCAGTCCACAACTGCTGAGGTTCTCGAGACCGGTATCAAGGTCGTCGACCTGCTCGCCCCCTACGCTCGTGGTGGCAAGATTGGTCTCTTCGGTGGTGCCGGTGTCGGCAAGACTGTGTTGATTCAGGAGCTTATTAACAACGTTGCCAAGGCCCATGGTGGTTTCTCCATCTTTTGCGGTAGGTTCAAAAAATCAAGTATGCGAGATCGGGTTCTCACTTCTTTAAAGGTGTCGGTGAGCGTACCCGTGAGGGCAACGACTTGTACCACGAAATGATTGAGACCGGTGTCATCAACCTTGAGGGTGACTCCAAGGTCGCTCTCGTTTTCGGTCAAATGAATGAGCCTCCCGGTGCCCGTGCCCGTGTTGCATTGACCGGTCTCACGATCGCTGAGTACTTCCGTGACGAGGAGGGCCAGGACGTGCTTCTGTTCATTGACAACATTTTCCGCTTCACGCAAGCCGGTTCCGAGGTATCTGCCCTTCTCGGTCGTATCCCCTCTGCCGTCGGTTACCAGCCCACGCTCTCGACAGATATGGGTGGCATGTAAGCCATTGTCATAAACTTGATTTTTCTTTTTATTAAAGTCTTCAACAGGCAGGAGCGTATCACCACCACCAAGAAGGGTTCCATCACTTCCGTGCAGGCTGTCTACGTCCCTGCCGATGATTTGACTGACCCTGCTCCCGCCACCACCTTCGCTCATTTGGACGCCACCACTGTGTTGTCCCGTAGCATTGCCGAGCTTGGTATCTACCCTGCTGTTGACCCCCTCGACTCGAAGTCGCGTATGCTTGACCCCCGTATCGTCGGTCAGGAGCACTACGACGTCGCCACTGCTGTCCAGAAGATCCTCCAGGATTACAAGTCGCTCCAGGATATCATTGCCATTCTTGGTATGGACGAGTTGTCGGAAGAGGACAAGCTGACTGTATGTGAAGACATAAATATATACGGACTTTACTAACCCAGTCGTCACAGGTCGAGCGTGCTCGTAAGATCCAGCGTTTCATGTCACAGCCCTTCCAGGTCGCCCAGGTCTTCACGGGTTACGAGGGCAAGCTTGTCCCTCTCAAGGATACCGTTCGCTCCTTCAAGGAGATCCTGTCTGGCGCCCACGACACTCTCCCTGAGTCTGCCTTCTACATGGCTGGTACCATTGAGGATGTCAAGGCCAAGGCCGAGCAGCTCGCCAAGGAGATGGGTGGCAACTGATTGCATTGCTGACGGGGGATTACCTTTTCATTCGTTAATTATCTCTTATTGCACCCTACCGTAGAGCATAGACAACAAAATACTAGCTGCGGTAGCCCGTATGCAAAAACTCCTAACACTGGGACCGTCCTAAGCTGGTTATGTTTGTCAGTGAGCCCCTTTTCTTTCAAGGCGCTATAGCCAAGTGGTTACGGCGACAGATTAGAAATCTGTTCCTCTTTGAGGGCGCAGGTTCGAATCCTGCTGGCGTCGGTGTATAGTTTTTTCCTCTTCGCTTTTGTGGCCAGCTGGGTTAACATTTGTCAGAGTACTGCACATTGGTCAACCCTCTTTACCCCTCCTCACAGTTTGGAATATAAATTTGCTTTCTCTCTCAGAGTGCTATAAGACACCCCACTGCATCTTCTGGTTTATTCTGATTTGCCCTCTTCAGCAGTGCGAAAATGTCCCTTGGCTATCTAGCATCCGCCCTACTTTCGGAGGTAGTACTGCTGCCACGACTTGGTTTCGACCTCCCTCATAACCTAGATGAAGTTTGAGGTTATGATATCCGTACGCACGCTGTCAAGAAAGCACCAACGATCGCTATTCCCCGCTGAGTCTGATAGGTTCCTTTTTGAGTGGGGAGTCTGGACAGAAAAAAAAACGATGACAACTACCGGCCAGAAAACTATGAGGAGCTTCGACAATCAATGAGAGTTGCAACGTCCTAGGGCATGCTCTGCCCCGGGCTTATCATCATTGTCAGTGAAAGTATATACTCGTACATAAATATACAAAACGGTCACATCCATGGCCGTACTAAATCATGTCGCACTCCTCTTCAAACGGAAACCTCGACCAGAACCCTCAGCATCGCGAACTCTAGCTTGGGACCGTAAACTGCGGGAACTCCCCGATCCTCAACTTGGTCGCGCCATACGGCCACAACGTGATATTCGTCGGGTTACCCGTACAGCTCGGGCTCGTCGGCGGCACCGCCGCATACGTCGTCCCCGCGAGCGCCCAGTCGATCGGGCACGCTGTCACAGTCATGCTCACCGGCGGCAGGCCAGTATCCCAGATCGGACTGGGCAGCGTCCCGTTCTGCGTCGGCAGGTTGCTCGCGAACGCAAGCGTTGTTGTGTCGATGGCGTACTGCCACGGCGCGTTCGCGTCGAACTCGAGGTCGACCGCGAGCGCCTGGTCCGCGTTCTGTGCGAGCTGCTTTTGCGTGCGCGCGATGTCGTACGCGTAGTGCAGCGGCCCGCGGTGCACGGCGATGGATCCTGCGGGCCGGTCCTCGGTCGTGATCTCTGGGGTGTAGACGAGATCGAGCGTCGTAGTGCCCGCGCCGGCTTGCACGGCCTGCAGACCGTTTGATGGAGCGAGCGGCTGCGCGGCGCCGCCATTGGTCGCGAAGGTGCCGCCGGAGACCCAGCTCGGGACGCGGACGTAGAAGGTGAAGGCTTTGTCGGCGGTGATGGTAGTCGTGAGCGTGTCGGCAAAAGGATACATGGTGTCGACGTCGACTTGGACGTTATTGCCTAGGGGTAGCGTCGATGTCAATCGTCGGGTCGGTTGGGACGTGATAGCAATAAGACATACCATTGAGGGACGTCGACGTAGAAAAGGGACCGAGGTAGGCTTGAACAAGCGAGTTACCGTCGGGCGTGGTGACGAACGCGTTCGAAACGAACTTAGGCCAGCCTTGTGGGTGGTTCACCGTGCAACACGGGTAATTGGGCTCAAGCCCGAACACATTCGAGTACGGGCCATCCTGGGGGAAGGGGTTGCTGCGATGCCATCAGCCATCCCTCTCACAACACTGAAATTAATACATACTTGACCATGTTCTGGGCGGCGACCTGGTTCTGCTGCTGGAGGTATTGGCGTGACCACATGCTGCCAGTGAGCGTGCCCGGGAGCGCGTTGTACGCGATGCGCTCGGCGCGATCGAGGTACTTGATGTCACCGGTGACCTGGAAGAGGTACGAGCCCCTGGCATTTCCAACACATTCAGAATCGAGTGCAGGAGAGGGAAGACGCGAGTGTACTCACGAGAACATCGTCTCGACGACATCGCACAGCTCCGTACCACGGTGTGCATCCAAACCGGCGAGATACTCGTCTGCAGAGAATATGCCTGACGGACGGCCGTGGTACTGGAAGAGCCGGTCCCAGCCGTCGCTAGCGCTCTGCAGCACTATACAAGAACGCGATCAACCAATACGTCCCCCAAAGCCAATGTTCGCGCTTACACGACGTGTCGTTCGTAAACCGATACGCAACCGCCGCTGCCTTGACGCCCTCCGCAACGTTCACCCCATGCCACACCAGCGTGTTGTTGAAAGGGTTCGTCAACCCTTCCGTGGGGCCCTGCGGGAAATTCTGCTCCGAGAACACCTGATCCCATTGCACGCCCGTCGTCTTCAACTTGTTCATAAAGTCAAGCAACATCGCCTCGTTCCCATTCGGGTGATTCTCGTACAACCACTGCAGCGAGATGATAAACTCTTCCCAGCGCGCGTTGCCCCACTCCTCGAGGCCGGTGTTGTTGTTCTGCACCATCGAGTACGCGAGATTGACAAAGGACCAGATCTTGGGCACGTACGTGTCCGCGAGCGAGGGGTTGTTCTCGATCATCTGGATCGCGCCAAATAAGAAAAGATACCGCCCCCAGAGGTAGCGCGGCTTGCTCGTGTCGAACACCTCGGGCCCGAGCCAGCCCGTCGAGTCTTGGTTGTCGAACACGTACGTAAGGAAGTTGGTCGCTTGGGTTTGGAGGTCCGAGTCAGAGGAGCCAAGGACGAACGCGTTCGGGACAATGCCGTTGAACCAGTAGCTGCCAGCCTCCTCGAGGTTGGAGTAGAATGAGCTACCACCCGTCCAGTCACTGTCATGCACGCTGTAGAGTGAAACCAAAGGTCGAGTGACAACGCGTGAGCGTGGATTGCGGAGAGTGGAGTAGACGGGAGTACGCACTAGTTGTAGAACTGGCTCTGCTGGCCTGCAAGCCCGTTCGTCTGGACCATGACCTGGTCATGAAGCCACCCAGCGGGCTTGACTGCGCCGAGCGGGAGGTAGTTGTACGCCTTGGGAGCCACTGCGCACCCGAGTTCGTTTGTCAGCGAATATTCCTCATGGCGAAAGGAAGGGAGGGGAAGAGTTACGCACGAGGGCTCTGCGCGCTGGCTGCACGCGCCGCGGCCAGGAGAGCGAGGACACTGGTGACGGAGATCATCGCGAGTGTGGAATGGGGAAGGAGGGCGCAGGCCAACTGATGTCCAATTTAAGGGAAAAGGAAGAGCAGGGTGGGCAGCCGCTATGAAGATCAATTGGTCTCAATCCACTGCCACAATGCTCATAAGCATGGGCGGCAGCGGCTTTTTATACATACAGTTCAGAACGCTGAGACGTTGCCTCATCCTGCGTCTTCATCTGCCCATCTGCAGCTGCTCTCCTGCGCATCTGGCAATCGAATTGTGACCTGCGGCGTGTGCACCCCGGCCGTATGTGCGTTCACCAGGCCCAGCGCAAAACCCCATGGCACATCCTACATGGGGACTCTCCTCGTCCAACTTGTCACGGAATGACAGGTTGTTCCCAAGATTTGCTCAGGCGGGGGGCACGAGGTACGCGTTCCTGGAGTTCGGTATGGTGTCTTGCGCGACGCTGGCTCGGATTCGTTCGAAAGGCAACACGTGAGGGCGGTCGAGGAGGAGGGAGCGCGTGCTCGCGGTGTAATCTGACGATCACGCGGAGGAGAATGTGACGCTCATTGTCCGAGAACCTGGAGTGCTGTGGCTTGATCCTCCGATCCGGCCCTTATGCTGATTGCGGTGGTGTTTTTGTTATGAAGTAGTATGTTTGATTGACGCATAAGCGGCCCACATATCAGAGATGTCATTTGCTGTGTTTTTCTGCAAACGAAATGGGCGATGCGATGGAGTCGACAAAAAGGCTGGGCAAAGGGTCCGAGCCGAACGCCCAGGGTCACGAGCCTATACAAAAGGAGTATTACCCCTGAGCACCATCGATGGACTCGCCCTTCGCGCTGGCCCGTCACGGCGTCGACGACTTCAGTGAACTTTCATGAGCTTTCAGGGCCAAAAAGCTTGACGGGGTTCCTTCAGCTATCACTGTAGTCAAGAAGTCTTGCACGCGATCTTGTAATGCTGAAGCGCCAATGAGCAAGCGAGGTCAAGCAGCAACGGTGGCCAGCAACAAGGCACGAAGAGCCTCAGGGCATTTTCTCTCCCTGGCCTGACAATTCTGCAGCTGATCCCTATACCTAGGTTCCTTTCCCACCACACTTCCTCTCTGCCTTATTCAAGGCATACATGAGCATCTTGTGAGCATCATTGCAGTGTGGGTGTCTTGGTGGATGTTCAACCCAGTGCGTTCATCTTCTCGGTGCTCCCCGTCTGGGAGAACCACACAGCGATGCTCACTCAGATTGTCAATGGCGTCGCGCAAGATGCTCAGCATATAGCCAGCATGAGTAGCTCAAGGACTGTGTCATTACAACCTTGTTTGTACATGTGGGTCCCCAAGTCTTTTCGCTTGCAATTCGCCCTTCATCGACTCAGGGGCTGTTTCCTAAAGTTCGTAGTCTTTAGACGCTCGGGGATCTCGGACTTTCTTTCTCTGACCCATGACAGCCCATGACGCAGTTGCACAGCTACTTTGCGAACAATAGCCGCTCGTCTGTCATTCTTGCTTTAACAACCATCTTGGGCCCTCTTTCTGGTAGCAGTTGAGACAGCAGACAATGAACCTCACTTACACCACATCCTCGGGGACGCAGGTCGCAATTAGCGCGGATCCTCTTTCTGTCCAGTCCGAACTCATCCTCACTATCCTCCTCTATCCCATAATCAGCATCCTCACCAGATGGCGAGTCGAGTACTGTCCCAAGCAAGGCAGAGAAACAGTTCTTCCCTTGAATACAATACCCGCCAAAGAGGACACAGCTACGCCGGATGTTCAAATTGTTGTTGATCCCACCGCAGGGAAGTCTTCTTGCGATACCGAGCCAGCGACGGGGACGCCCTATAAGAGCAGACAATCCTTCTTCGAGATGGCAGGGAGAGTATGGACACATGAGGTGAGCAACATGCAAAACTGTTATTGTCTATTGATCCTGCTTATCATCGATCTTCACATAGCGATGGAACGGGCTCTACAAGGGTCTCCGTAAGCACACCAATCTTCTTATCAATATATGTGGTACTCATGCGTGATAAATACTTGGCTGTTGACTTAGCTCTCCTTTTGGTGTCACAGGCACTCTCAGGTTGGCTGCGTTGTCGCAACGTCGACCTAGCCGAAGTTCTCATGACGGAACAAATGAATCTATCTTGGGGTGTTGGCTTGAGCTTTTTCACCAGCATATTCGGCAGGCTTGCATGGTGGATACCACAAACAATTCTCCTTACACGGTTTGTCTTCCAATGTGTGATCGACACTACTGCTCATGCTCACTCTTCATTTCATTGGTAGCCTGATCGTTTCTCCAGAAACTGTCCCATTCCCGTTCTTCAAACCACGCTCTCTCATGACACCGACTGAGCTAGCATTTGCCGACGGCCATGGCTGGATCGCCATGTTTGTGCCAGGCCTCGGACAAATTTTGACTCCTGTACTTACCAGTATCTTCACGTTCTGGCAGCTTGCCTTTTTGCTTACAGGCGTCTTTCGGCGTTACCTCCTCCTTTCTATCTTTCCCCGGATAGACAACGTTTTCTTGAGCCTTGGCGTCGTGTTCTTTGCGCTTGTCGGAGGCGCATTGCTCGACACGGTGCTGTTAACGCCACTTGAAGTGGCAGCATGCCGTTTGGCTGTCCGGGCGGATCCCTTTTTCGCCAAGGACATAGTAGGGCAAGCACTCAAGGACCATCCGGAAACGCGCGATGCTCTTGAACGGTTGGAGAACGAGGCAGCATCACGGGCATACGTCAGGTACGTGTGGTCATATACTTTGTAGCATCGTCCGTTAGGCTCACCCACGTTTTCCCGCGTTTTGGATAGGCTGAGACAAGTACGATATGATCACCTTCGGCTGCGCCACTTCAGCACAATCATCTCTGAGGAAGGATGGGGTGCGTTGTACACTGGGTGGTGGTGGACCTTCTGGCGTTCGCTGGTTACGTACTAAGCAAGTGCAGGTGAAACGCAGGATATCGGTCTCAGGCGTCATGGTGTTGTTGATACGATATTGTACAATTTGTTACACATATGGCTCGTATGATCATGCAATAGTGGACAGAGAAAGCAGCTCTTGATAATACTTAGGGGCAAACCGTGTTTGTCCATATACAGACCCGATAAGATTACGCTGAGGTTGATCAGAACTGAACGCACACATACCATCAGCATGGGTACGTTCCGTCCCACTTGGTCGCACTATCCCAACGCCCTCGGCTGACACTGAACGACCTGCTCTTCTTGTTTCATACAATGCCTTCTATGACGACCGCGACTCCGCCTGGAGGCCTGGCACTCTGGCTGATCCCGACGCCCGATCAACACGCTTTTCTGCAGGACTTCGTCGAGAAACACTGCCGCCCCTCTTCGCGCGCAGGCCTGTCTCCCAAATCATACCCGCGACTCATCCCGCACGTCACACTCATAAGCGTGCCCACCAGCGTGCCCGACGCGCACGGCCAGCTCATCACCGTGGACCGGCTCAAGTCGTTCCTCCCTGACCGGGACCCTTCCTCCGAGCTGTCACCGGAGAGTCCGGGTCCGAGTCGCGACGGCCGGCTGCCGGGGAAAGTGCGCGCGGTGGTGACGAGCGACCACTTCTTCCGCTCGGTGTTGGCGGAGCTGGATGCGTCGCCCGAGCTCGTGGCGTACCAGCGGAAGATCGAGGCGCGTGTGCAGGCGGCGGGGTGGAGGGTGACTGCGCCGATGTTTCCGCACGTGTCGTTGGCGTATATCGCAGACGAGGACAGGGCGGAGCGGACGAGGTTGCTCCGAGAACTCCGGGGCGAAGGTCACGTCGTTGAGGTTGAAGGGGGTGGGGTGGAGCTGAGGGTAGGTGGTAGGGAGCCTCTGAGGACGTTTGAAGGAGCGGAGGTTTGGATCGTGGATTGTGACGGACCTGTTGAGAACTGGAAGACGGAGTGGTCGATACGATTGGATGGGAGTTGAGGGAGCTCCAGAGCTACCTTGTACCTTCATGACATTAGGAGACTTGAACTGACATATCAATTTACGAAATGCATAACATCAAGAACAGCTATCGAGTAAGATACGTTTGATGCAAATTGCTAGTGCAGTGCCGCAATGAATGCCAACTTTCGATGCCCGTTAGTGAAATGGAATGTCGAGCGTTGGCTACAAAATGACAACTCGAACAGCGTCTCAACCTTCTTTACCTTCACGATCTGTTACGACCTCTTATGAACACACACCTCTAGCCTATCCACAGACTATTTATCTTGTTTATCTGCATACGACGCACAGCAACATCTCAGGGAATACAAGGACAAGATGTTGATCAACCTCATAACCGGGATTCTTAGCTTCGTTCGCTACATCGTTGTAGCATGCGTTGCCGGAACCGCCGCTAGTATCCTCTGGCTCGCAGGTGCCCGGGCACCGCGGGTTACTGAGGACAAGGCCCATCATCACTTCAGACACAAGGTACGGACTGGCCGAGATGACAAGAGCATATTCTGACCCTAGGGCATATCATCGACATCCAACAGAAATTTGCAGTCATCGACAACATCAAGGCAGGATCTCTGGCACTCGGCGGCGCGAAGCCTCCTAACACGACTGTGGACTCGCTTTGGGATGCATTCCTCCTGACGCTCGAACCCCGTGCATGGGCGGGCCACCTGAATGTCGGCGTGAAGAGCGCGGTACACTATGCGCTCGGACAGGATCTAGCTAGTTGGCTGACGATCTTACCCCGCAATGTGAGCGTGTGTTTCGGCTTCCGTGGGCATGGACTAATACAGGAGTCTGACAGAAGTACCTTGACTTCATCCGGTCCGCCACGAGCAGCAACACCGACTTTCAGCCATCTGAGCAAGGAGAAAAGGGAGATAAAATCGAGTCTGCTGCCGAAGTACGGGCAAGATGCATCCAGGTCATCAAGGCAGGCACTGCGCGCAGGATACAGCTCCGGATGCGCAGCCTGTCCAGAGTCCCCCTTGTGCGTTCGCACTCTGCCCCTGGTGTTCCACAGATACAGAAGGTCGAGTCCCGCGTTCCGGAGATACATGCGGAGAGTACGCTAAGCACTAAGGTCGGCCTGGGTATCAGCGCCGTTCAGGGTATGAACGGGGCAGAGAAGGAAGCTTGGTGGCGAGCTCCAACTGCAGCACAGATGGCGGGCACAGACGCCAACGCGCGCTGGGCGAACTCGGTGCTGAGGAGAGATATCGCAGAAATGATCAAGTCCAGGGCTCAGGAGCGATTTGAAAAGGCTCAGGGCATCATTCGCGATCAAGATGAAAACACGGTCAGCGGCGAGTCTCGGGTACTCAACCTGGGCTACGATGGTGCAGGTTCTCCCGCAGCGCTTGCTCCTTGCAGCTCGGTGCCCAAGATTAACATCGAAGCACCATCGCCGGGGCCTCCTTCGGTTTTCTCATATGCCGAGGCTGTCAAGACCATGGCGAACGCACGGGCGAAGATTCCTTCGAAAAAGAGCAACCGAGTTTTCAGCGAGAGCAAAGGCAAGAACACTAGCCCTGAGCGCACAGATGAAGGCGAGAAGGAGAACAACCTCGCGTCGTCGGATGCCGGGGCAACACTGAGCTGGAGGCGAAAGGTGTCGCGTCCACCGGTGAAGACATCTTTATTTTCGGTGCTGCGTTCGGGCCAGAACATGCAGACGTCGTGGGATGGGGTTAAGCATGGGATGGGTGCGGGTGGATCCAAGTCGACAGTCCAGCTGCGCTGATGTAGTCACCTCGACGTTATAAAGTAGTTGAAGTAAGGTAGTTAGTGAGAGCATGGTTTAGCCGCTAAAGCCGATGTTTGACGTTGTGTCCTGGCCTGGGCTGGTCTCCAAATCAGAGTTCTGCCCCTGACACCATTCACTGAGGCCAGAATGTTCTGGCGCTCGTCCTCGTAAGCTTTCTTTTCCCTACGTTGTCCCCTCTCTAGCGCTCTCTCTCGGACTTGGGTCACTCGGTTGGGCTTTTGACTGCCATGCACATTCTTTCGGAACTCTGGTACTCTGTCCTTCTCTATCCGCTCTTTAATGTCCTCGTTCGTGCTCGCGCCGATTACTCTCCCAAGCTCTCTTCGATCACTGAGTGTGAACCTCTTGACCAGCCTGAGTGGTCAAGCGACAAACCTCGCCTCAGCACGATCGTAGAGGAAGACATTCTTTTTGATGTCAAGACCGAGAACGATGATGAGCTCATCGTTTCACAACAGCCGCAACCTACTCTGGATATGGAGAAGGGGCGCAAGTGGTACATCTTTGCCATGACGAGGCAAATCTGGGACAAGGAAGGCCTCGCGGGGTTCTACAAAGGCCTTGGTACGTTCACGTTCTTGTATTCGGCGAAGGGAGTTTGACTTTTTATTCACGTCAATCTGATGTGTAGCGCTCCTCATTCTTTACAAGCTTCTGTACTCCTTCACTGGCCTCCACGACCAATCGATGGTTGTTGGCGCCATGAACGCTGGCTGGGCGCCTGCTAGTATCGCATCAAATCTCACGTTGGCCTCGTACAAGCTCTGGCTGCAAGTTCCCCAGACCGTCTTTGTCGTAAGGTACGTGTTGCCTAGTTTTCGCTGCATTATATCGGACAGCTGCTCATCCCAGTTCCATCTAGGTCAATCACCTCAACTACACATATCCCGTGGTTCAGCCCGCAAGCCCTCCTCACTCCTGGTGAACGCTCGCACCCTCTCTGGCCCACGTTCTTCGTGACGATGTTCGTTAACCCGTCCGTCCTCGTCGCGCTCTTCTTCCGGATGTGCTATATCCTCGGTATGGCGTACGTCCGCTGCGCCCTCGGCGAGCTCGGCGAGTCCGTCGCAAAAGCATGGAACATCCCAGATAATCCGGCTGCCCTGGAGGGCAATGACAGGGCGTGGATGTACGCGCTTTTCGCTTGCTTTGCGGTTGTGTGGATCTTCACGTTTGTGGTGGACGTGCTTGTGCTTGCGCCGCTGGATGTGGCTACGGTTAGGCTGGCGTTGCAACGGAACACCTGGATCGAGGGTCCTGAGGAGGAAGACGCGTGGACGGCTGAGGAGGGCCGCATTGGGCTGCCGATGGAGGATGCTATCGTCAGGTACGTGTTGTGCTTACCCTGTGCCCATTGTCGTGACTGACATTTGTTTGTGTAGACGTCGTCCCGAGCCTTATGATGGTCTGAGGGACTGCCTGAGAAAGATACGCCAAGAGGAGGGAACTGGTGTGCTGTACCGAGGGTGGTGGTGGACCTTTGTCAAGGCCATCTCCATGTACACTTGAAACGGACATGTGTAAAACGTGGTTTTTCTTTATTCTTCAAAGTTTATATATACGCGGACTTTTCTCGGTTTCAGGGACTCTTGCTCGTTCTCATAGGGTTTGCGCTTGTGTTTGCGGTCTTGCTTGGGTTACATTATTATAGGCTTACGTTCTTATAGGACTTTCGTAGTGACAGTAGCTCAGTGGTGTATTTGCTCGGTATAAACACAATGAAACTACAAATGTAGTAAGCTAGATTTGATCAGTCAATGGGAGATAGGGGCTTTTGGGCATGTGCCGGTGAGGAGGCGTCATCTGCGTGCACATCCCCTTATTACCGAACCTCAGCCCTCAGCTCATCGCAGAGTCCATCGTGCTCGCCATCCCTTTCCATCGTCAACGTGCTTAAAGCCAGGCATGGTACCCAGCGCAGAAGAGGTCGAAGAGTACTTTCGCTCCCTCGAGCGTTATGTCGAGGACACCGTCTCATCTGCGGCTCCCAACATGCCCAACGCCCGCGAGGCCTTCTCCCGCCTCTGGACCGACATCTCACGCTTCGGGCCCCCGGGATGGGCATCTCTACCCGACATCCCTGTTCCGGGTCCGTTCAAGGTCCCGCCACCGCCGCCGCCTCCGCCTCCGCCCAAGAGCACCCTTGAAAGTGCTGCAGGTTGGGTGTCTGACCATAAGGTTCTGTGTGTCGGTGCGCTCGTAGGTGCAATTGGCGTCGGTACCCTCGCTGGTTACGGTCCGTTTGCTTGGACGTTGAAGGGGCGGAGGAGGGCACGGGCGACGGGCGCGGACCGAGATAAGGAGAAGCGGCGAGTTGTCGGTGTGTAGTGCATTTGCCTCAAGGCTCGTGTATGCTGACTGTCCTTCTGTAGTTGTGCTCGGTGCAGACCACCCGTTGGGCTTCCCACTCGTTGCCGAGCTCGAGCGAGCCGGTTATGTGGTGATCGCATCCGTCTCGACACCTGCTGCTGTTGATGCGCTCGAAGGCGCCTGCGGTGGATTTCTTCGTGCACTTGTGCTTGACCCCAACGAGGTACGCCAAACTCGCGATTGATGACATCGACTTACTCATTATTTGCTTGTTGCTTCAGCCCGCAACGATCCCTGTCTTCCTGCGCTCTCTTGCATCAACGCTATCTCGCCGGTTCCCGCTCACCTCTGCCGGCGATCCCTACGCACCTTCGCCTCACCACCCCGTCCTTTACTCCGTTGTTTCACTCCTCACTTTGCCTTCCTCCATCATCACTCCCAACATTGAAGCCTCGCCCCACGCACCGCTAGAAGCCCTTTCTCTCCAGTCAGCTTACATCCCCCGCCTGCTCGCCTCTCACGTCGCACCCGTCCAAGTGCTCCAAGCTCTCCTACCGCTCCTCCGGGCCGATGCTGTTCGCTTCCCGTCTGTGGGTTCTTGCCCGCTCGTCATGTGTGTCCCTGCACCCGCGGGTCGCATTGGGCTTGCTTTCGGTGGTGCAGATGCCCTCATCGCCGCTGCAAACGTGCGCGCTGCGGACCTGCTCCGGCGCGAGGCAGCTGCCGCAGACGGCATGGGCCGCGTCAAAGTCATCACCATCGATGTCGGTGCTGTCGCCCCTCCCCCGGGTGCATCTGATTCCTCCGCTGAGACTGAGGAGGCGATCAGCACGGACGACTGGACCCCATCGGAGCTCGCCGCCTATGGACGCGCGTTCACTGCCTTTGGTGGGTCGCAGGCATCTGTGCGGAGGCCGTCTGATGTCCGCGTGTTCGTCGACGGTGTCCTGAGCGCCGTAAGCGGCGGCGCGCGCACCCACCGCGCGCGTTCTATGCCCTTGGTCTTTGGACTGCCACTCGGCTTGTGGTCAGAGCGCTGGCTTTACTGGTTGCGCGGCGACCGCTTTGCGCTGGGCGCAGGTGCGGGGACATATTCGGCTGCCAGCGTGTTGCCTTTGTCGATACTCGACACGCTGCTCAATATCCCGCACGCCCTCGCAAAATTTCGTAACAGACTGACGGCCGCGGCGCCGTCTGTCACTCTGCCGGGTGAGGCCTACCCTGCGCCTGGTGCACCCTCCGCTTCTGCTTCTCGCACAAGTTCATACCAGGCTGCGCCGGTGGCAGCGCCGTCGCCCGTGCGCCCCACAAATGCCAGCCTGCTTGGCTCCGTGCTCAGGAGCGCGCACGACGACGCCAGCGAGCCGCTCTCTGACCGGGATGCGGGTGAAGACGTCCACGAGACGGGCTCGGAGGCGGACGTGGAGAGCAACGACGGGGATGGCGTCAGCATGAGCTCCGGCGTGGGCACTGTCGAGAGCAGCTGGGTCAGCCTCGACTCTCGCGGGGCCCACCCGTTCGTTGGAGGCGAGCGGAACTCGTGGGCTCAGCTCTGAGATCCGAGGTTTGAGCCGCATACTTCTGACGTTTCATTTGATTTGGAAAAGGTGCTCTCCAAATGGCTTACTTGATGGATTAGAATTCTCGTTGGGCAACGTTTTGCTATTTACGACTTCGTGTATTATTTCTAGTATCCTCTGCTCTATTTCTGTGTCTGTATAGCTTTAGCTTGCCCCTGCTCTTTCTCATGTATCATAAAATACATTTCGTCTCCGCTCATTGTTATGGTAACATATACGTCCATTCATTCGCGATAATTGACTCCTAGGACACAGCCACAAAGTCGAAGTCGAAGTCCGGTATCTTTTCTTCCCACGGTCTTTCTCTTCCGTTCATCGATCCCTGGAGTTCTTCTCCGTTCCTACTACATAACCTTTTTCATCACTTTTATTCAAAACAGTCTGAGTGACGCTTCTGATGCTCTCATTAATCATTGTTCACCTATCCTTCCATAGAGCTCCGTACAGTTCAACACCCTTGATCATCGATCATCTACCGTCCCTGTTGCACGCAAGGTTGCACGACCTGGAGTGAGTCGGACACTATTCGCTCAATCAACTTTCGGTTCGGAACGTAGGTGCTGCTACTGAGGTCAATGGAGAAATGCCGTCCCGCTAGTACACGACACTAGATGCGATATGCCACGTTGCGACATCTCCACTTCCTTGGCTTTATTCGGATTCTTGCTTCCTTCTGCACGTATACCGATGTCTAGTATTCATTACATGAGTTATAATACGCAGTGAGAAACAAAACACGGCTACGCATACGGACTGGATAATAAGCAGTTGATGCGATGAGTATTATATACACCAGCAAGTGAGTTCGAATGAGCGGGAGGGATATTAGTGAAGAGAGCGACAGATATCCCAGTACAAAGTGGTGGGAGGTAAGTTGATGTTTATGATCGAAGGAAACAGATGAAAACTGCTCTACGCATGCATGGGAAGGCACGTAGTCATGAAACATGCTGATGCTGATGAAGGATTCACGGAGGCGACGAGGCAAAAGACAGTGAAAGACGCTTAAAGACCGCGAGGTTGGCGTGTAGAGATGCCACGATGTTAATATTTCAAGTAAGGCCAGCAATGGTTGATGTAGTCGAAGGCGAGGATGCTGGCGGTTCATACAGCGGCAACTGCATAGACCAGTTTATCTTCTCCTCTCCATTCGGGTGGAACAGTTGCGAATAAGGAGGCAGCCTATTTGTGTACGCAGCACCCTTGTTCATCCCCATCCCCACACCCACCAGCTGCTCCAGCCCTGCCCCCACGTGTGCAACGACAGGGGGCAACAAGGGCGGGATCAAAGTCTGGATACGTGGGTCTATGTGTAAAGGCGTGGCACGCACAAAGTTGAGCGGCACAGAGAATTGCAGACGTTCTGCGGCGACAATACCATATGAGTCTGTATACTGAACGCGAAGGGCAAGATGTAATAGGTGCTGGACTGTAAAGAGTGGTGTGTCTTCGCTGGGACGAGCCCCGCGTAAGCCGGCCCAATCGCTTTGATATGGCTCTTGTAGAATGGGAATATGCATGTCGAGCACATACCAGTCCTCGGGATCGGATTCTGGTAGCGAACTGGGGGGAAATGTAGATGACCTCGGTAGCGCACCTTCGCGTTCCGGATGGAGAGAGAGAGACGAGGGATGCCGAACGAAAACATGTGTATTGCCCCCAACATTGAACAATCCGGACTGATCCAAAGGCAGGAGAGAGAACGTTCTTGTGACTGTAGACCGAAAGTGCGCAGGGGTAATGACAAGACCAGCGTCAAAAAAGGAGGCCAGCGAATGTGTCTGCCGCAATGGAAGATAAGGTGGTTGGTATGAACATGGTGGGACAGGCCATTTAGCAGCCTCAATCTCATTACGCGGCATAGTATTTCTGTATAACTTCGATCAGCGAGAGGTTGTGGAGTGGTGAGTGGGTAAGTCCACACCTAAAGAACTCCGTTTGCTCAATGTCTACATTCACCTCAGTAAGTTGCAGTCGCGCGCGGAATCCGTCCTCGAGGTCAGTCGCTCTTACGCGCAACTCGATGGGAAAAGATCCGCCTTCGAACGACACAGGGCTTGGCACCAGCGCACCGACCCTCACTTTGCTTAACACTACAGGGGGAATCCCATGCCGGGGGCTCTCCATGCTTGCCCGCTGAGCATCGACGACAAATGCTGACATGGGAAACGCCGCACAGCTGTCCTCCATGCGGGGCGGATCCACGTAGCGTGCTACCACGATCGGGCATTGAGGTGCCTCTACAATGTTGGTTTGCCCGCCACCAAAAGGCAACGTCATGCAGCTCGTGATTGCAGTCATCCATGATGACGGGCCCGCCGTAGGTGCGCTGCTACATTCCTCCCCGTCGAAAAAAGATGCGCTTGCGTAGAGTGCGTAACGAGTTCCCGCATCGCCATGGAAAGGCGACGGGCTTCCCCATGAAGAGGTTTCAGGCAGCCACCCAGGTATCTGTAAGTCAAATACGAAGTGCCATATGCACGTCTTCTCCCCGCCCTGTGTTGCGTTGGAAAGCTGAAGAGGTGCTCCAGAGACAAGTTCACGCGTTACTAAGCAGAGTCGCACAGCTCCGTACCCCGTTTCTGGAGTAATTGATTCTTGCCGACCTTCAAAAGTGACTATGAGCGATTTCAGAATATGTCGGGTTGGCGAACGACGTGACAGAGGCCAGGAACTTGGATTGATCGTGATTGTGATGCGACCCGAGAGCGAAAATGACGTTCTGAAAAGGAGAAGTATGCTGGCTGAGACCTGACAACAGCGGCATTTCGGTACAAGACTTACGATGCATCTGGAGGGCCGTACATATTCAGGCTGTCAGAAGACGGTATAACTTCCAAAGAACAAGGCATATATGGCTAAGGAATGATGAAACGAGAGAGAGAAGAAAAATAGCAGGTCTAGGGAGCGACAGCGTTCAGGCGGACGGGAAGGCCCCTTGGACGACCCATCAGCTTTTATCAAGCATGGAGGCGGACAATGGCTACAAAACTGGGCAATGGCGCGCAACGCTTCGTTCATCCAGCTGATGCTGTCTCGGCAGAGGATGTGACCAGGTCCACTGAGCAGCATATGCGTGCAGATCGCCTTTGTTTCATTACCAGGAGCTGCCTGAAGCAGCGGACAATGGAGGGCGACACCTCGGCGTCTGTACGAGCACAATGGATTAGGTACCTAAGAACACTCACTCACGCTCCGTATACAGATAACATGTAGGTAATCCACCCCGCAAAATCATATCTCGAATCTAACGAGTAACCCCTGATCAACATTAGTGGGCGACTACAAGAAATGGGGTACGGAAGTTCGGGACGGGGACGGCGGGTCAAACGCACTAATGTCATGAGTCCTTGCCATACGTTCTCGGATCAACGTTTGCGTAGCAATACTGCAATGTCCAGCACTGGAAGGTGTTTGCGTTCATGCAAACACCTTCGAGACCGCTAGGACATCCTCGTCTCTCTTGCGCGCCTCCTTCCGTTTGCTACTCTCTTCCTCCGCGTCCTTACGGGCACCATATTTCATACCCTTTTCTTGTCGTTCCAACCTACGTACAGCAGTAGGTGTAATGAATTCTGAGAACATGGGGTTAGCGTTGTGACGACGCTGATCGGCAGAACATACCTGGGTTGGAGTACACGGTGGCGCCATGGAAAGCACCTTCGAATATCCGGATTGGCGTGAGGACAAAACGGGGACCAATCTCTACTAGAGAGGTCTGAGGAGGGCCGTTCGGCTGTAATGGGTCCTTCTCCATTATCTGCGCGGGCAATGTGAATTTCTCTTACAGGACCACTTGATAGCACTGACCTGGAAATTCCGGAACCATATTTTGTTATCGAGAATCGAAAAGGAGAGGATGTGATCTATGAATGGCTTTGCTCGTCTGGCTTGTGGTGGAACACCAAAAATCTGACGACCCATCAGCTTGAGTGGACAGACAAAAGAAGCACAAGACACACATGCGTGAAAAGCTCCTTTGTTAGTCTCCCCCATTCCGTGTCCTCGAATGCTTTATCAAAGCTAAGAATCCCCCGGCTGCCCTTGAGACAGTTGCCAGTCATTTTGAGTTCGTCCATGGTGTGGACGTTTTGTACGTGCATCTTGATGCTCGGGCCATTGGGCGTCTTCGCAGCCCACAAGTAAAGGTCTTCGTGACGCCGAGCCTCAAAGTAAAGCGTGTTGTTACAGTTATTGAGATCGGCAAGCTCAGGAAGGAGATGAAGCTGAGACTTTGAGTCAAGTTTGGAATCTTGGCACGGCGACTCAGAGGTTACTCTGGGACTTTATGCATACGAAAGATACTCACCCTTCTTTACATGTGGTAGAAGTGCCTCCAGATCGTTCATGAGGTGTCTCATGCGGTGTGTGATCCCCCGCGAAGACAACAAGAGTACGCGCTGCTTGTTGCGCTTCTTCTTAGGCTGGATCTCCGTTTCGTCGACATCCATGTCGTCTGCCTTTCTCTTCCCTTTTCCCACTACGTGTGCCTTGTGCGCGTTGGACTTTTGAGCTTTGAGAACGGACGCCATAGCTTCCCCAAGTATTGACGAACGCGGATAACTCGTAAGTGCCCAAGGTAAAAATCACGGCAATCGGATTTTACGAATATTATATTACGTAATAATCTTCACCTCCACAGCGTGTATCCCTATCAGCATGGGTACATGGGTCCAAAGTAGAGACTGTAGAGTAGAGCGCAAGAAAACGAATATGTTTTTGACTAAGAATACACGGGCAAAGCATTGATGCAACCGACAAGCACATAAAATCGCTTCAAGACAAATGTTGACGATCATCACCCACAAAGACGCCCCTTACGCCGTCTGGGCCCGCAGCTGCTTCTGCTTTTCTTGCTCCAGACGCTGCAAGAATTGTAAGCATGGCTAGTTGGGATGTGGTAAAATCAGCTCACATGGTAAAGTAATTGAACAGCCATTTGGATATTCGCGGGCTGGCCGGTGATGACGACTAGACGTTCTCCTTCACCTCCAGAGGGAGCAGGGGCACCGTTCATACCGACGCCAACAGCACCGGGTTCCATGATTTTAATTTGTGAAGCGCTCATGTGCCGTATCTCGTTGATTTTGCTTCCACCTTTGCCAATGATGCAACCGACGAGATCGTTGGGGATGTATATTTGCTGTGTTTGGAGCTGTTGAGGGGGATTGGGACCACCGGGACCGCCGGGACCACCGGGACCAGGAGGACCAGGAGGACCACCGGGACCGCCAGGACCGCCGGGACCGCCAGCGTATGGCTGAGAAGACGAGTATCCTGGGACGTAAGATGACCCAGTGTACGGTGGCCTGCGAGTGTAACTGGAGGGCCGATAACTTGAGTTTCCCGAAGATGGGAGCCGCTCATTGGCCTCGATGAGAATATTGCCAATATAGTAAGTGGCGATATGAATGGCGTCCGCAACACCTGCCACACTGAGGACACGCTAAAATTCCGCCAGATGAATGACAAGCTGTGCATATATCATATGATGGAACGAACCTCTGTAGACCCAGGCAGCATCCCTTCGCTCGCATTCAATCTCGCTCCGCTGGCATCTTGGATTTCCTTAATCTTCGAACCTTGCTTGCCGATGACGGAGCCCATACGAGAATTAGGAATCATAAACTTGATGGTGACTGCGCGGCTTCCGGGGACAGATGGGACGTCGAAAGGCTCGTCATTGATTCTTCGGACTATTAGTCCAAACGCCTGAAAGTGGGGTTCATATATGCGCCAGTCTATCGACATGTATTGGGAACTGACTTTGGAAACGGCATCCAACGGGCCGCTGACGTTGAGAATACGCTCTGGGTTCCCAGGTATGCTCTCAGAAACAACGACGCGTGCGCCGCTCTTCTCTCGAATTTCGTTGACGTGTGTGCCGCCCTTACCGATGATGATCGACGCGTCCTGGGTGACGATGAGGCAACGCATGTGAATCATGGCGGAAGCTGGCGCGTTGGGGTTGGTGGAAGCAGAAGGAGCTGCAGAGGTGGTGGCTAACGATCGCACGGCGTCGTCGGAGCCGTCCTCTTTTCTGGCCGAGGACGCGGGATTGGGGGAAGGAGTAGACGCGTTGGTGTCTGCTGTGTGCGCGAGACCTTCGGCCATTATTACATCGTGATTCACAGACGCAGAGCCTGTGTCCTGGTGATTCTCAGCACGTGAATCATTCGAGGCTGAAGCGCCGGTGTTGGCACGCTTATGCTGTTTCTTCTCGTCGCTGTCGGAAGGAGACCTGGAACGCTTGCGGGTCTGATCAGCTTCTGCCATGTCCAATTTCAGTTCAAAGTCCTGTGGTCAGAATACGGTCTGGGAATGGCTTGATAGGGTATTATGTGTGACTGGGATAAGATGCGGACGGACGATAGGTCTGATGGAACCGAGGGGGGATGGTAAGGATAGAGTATGGACGTAAAGGGAGGCGGCATTTGCAGAGCCAGAGTACGTACCAGCCTAGTGTGTCGTTCAAATACGAAGCTAGAGAGCCAGAGACGGTCTGTCGACAAAGAGGTCAAGGGCAGCGATTGAAACGGTGTACAGCACGTTTTGTAGTCGACGACGACAAGTAAAGAGGTATATTTACGCGGGGCGTCTACTGGCTGGGCGTATGTGCAAACAGAAGGCAACACCACAGCCACTTTACAACCTCCGCCACCCCTAAACTCCCCAGACAGAGGACACACATGGCCACATAGGACCACATCCCCAGAGTTTGACCCGAACATGGCGAGCAGTACTTGATGAAAGCCATGCTATTTCCAGTTCCCAACTTGGTTCCGGGGTGCTTCCATCCCAGCCACTATCTTGATAAAGCTGGTCCATCGCTTTTCCCATGCGGCCATAGCCATCTCTTTTTCGTGATCGGACAGCATTGAGAACTGCCAACAGTATCTGAGTGTTTCTACTCAAATGTTTGCAAGCGATACGTCGTACCGTGATGCTGTCTCTTGCCATCTGTCCCAATGTGAGTAAACCAGTCACCTCGCTTGCCATTAAAACCTGTTTATGTGATGAGCTGGTTGAAGAGATACAGCTCCAGGCATCTTCAAAGTTTCCCACCTGGAAAAAATCAAAGGAGAGACCCATGCTGTTGAAAGGCGCGGGATCATCCGAGCACAACACCACAGGAATACCATTGTTAATCAGGATTGGTAGAGGATGCATTGGCATTGACCCCGTCAAGCGCTGGAATGAAAGTCGGGCGCCAATTAGTCCGCACAATGGACGAGCGCGCGACCCTTTACCAGTATTTCATTTCTGCTCTCGGGAGCATGAGAAAGATACTCTCGAAGATGGTATGAATACGCACGAAATAGGGCAGACCTCGATGGCAATCTGCCGTTCTCTGCATATCTCCATAAGTTTCGGATGTTTGGCCAATGAGAATCTGATTGGGTGGCATGAACATGATTCTCCATGTTTTCAAAACCATCAATATTGGAGCCGCACCCGTGCCCAATCCGCTTAGTGTTCAGCAATATTGCGTCGTAAAGGTTCATGTCAGCCTTGGTGCCATCGCCAAGAGTCTCTCCAGCATGGAAGAGGAAGGGTACATCAACGCCAGCATCTCGTTGACGATCGACAAACCGTAATAACACTTCTGCGTGTTCAAGCAAGCTAGTGCCCAAATCCTCAAAGCCAACGAGATCAAAGCCTATTTATGCAATGGGCTTAGCTCGCAATAGTCTCCCTGTCGGCCTGGCATTCATTACCAGCAATAAGATCGGGAAACTCTTTCTTCAAAGAAATGCATTCCTCGGTGGCATCTATCATTTCTTCCTTGGAGATTGATCTCATCATGTTGTAGATGACCTGTACACTGGGTCAGATGGTCAGGTTGTTGATGTGTGCGTACGATATCCCGACCTTCAGCCCTGTAAACTCGTCGTCACGACCTTGGGCTGCTAGCTCAGCTTTGGTTTCCTTGATTAATCGCTCAAAGATGCGAAGTAATTCCTTAAGCTCTAGATGGGTCTTCGCATCTTCCCCGAGGATATATCTGACTGCCGGTAAGAAGGTGGATCTCGTATTTATGAATCAAATAAACATTCAAACCGAATGACGAAGGCTGTTCGCACTTCAATATAAGAAATACCATCCCGTATGGAAGACCTAATGAATTCGCGCAGGTACTCCGTGAGTATGGGAATGAACCTGATAATCGGCTACAAAAGATTTGAGCTTGAACGCATGCGACAATACTACCTACGTACATCCGTAATCATGAAGGTGGACCCAAACTTCTTCCATATCTGCGGAGGTTTTGTGAAGATTAGCATCTTTGGTGTGTTGGAACTGTGCCTACTAAATCAGCAGTTCTGTACGTCTCATATGCCTCCCCTGGGTTGATGGTGAATATATCAATGAGCCACTTGTCGAATCCCTCAGGTCCACCAAGGGTAGGATCGAACATCTTTCGCGCCGTTTGGATAGAAACCCAGGTGTTTGGGGTATAGAGATCGTCTGTGATGCCCGGTCCTCCTGAGTACTCTTCCACAGGAAGAGGCTTGAACTCTGGTGTGGCGGTCTTGATAGAACTCGCGTTGACAACGCAGGGAACGCGTATGTGAATGGCGCGATGCTGTAATGCAAGATGTAACAGGAACTTCGCGTCCACTGTGGCGTTTTGGTGCACATGTAGCAGCGCGCCCTTGGGCATCTACTGGCATCAATATCAGCGAATATAAAACACACGCCCTAAGATGTTGACGTTGCCTGTCTCAGAATTTCATAGAGTTCTGTCTTTACAATCACACTCTTTCCTGTCACATGCCTCCGTTAGAAACAAACAGGCACGAATTCACCACCATCGTACCGGTAAGGAAATCCATGCCCGGAAAGGCCTTTGGAACGCCATCGTGTTCCTTGCTCCAGATTGTTTCAGCCTCGCGTGCGCGTATGGCGCGTACAACACGGTCTGCTTTGACCTCCACATCAGTAAAGCTTCCAGCACGAACATGATCAACCCGCAATGCGCGATCTTGAGCAATAAGCTGCGTGCGCTGCTCTTTGTAGTCCGCGAATGAGGCCATCATGGAAGGTCTGCTGAGAGAGAATTCGAGACGTGTCAAACACAGTGATGGACGTGTGAGGACGTATTTGAGGGTGGACCCAATATTAGTACAGGATACTCGGCTCCGAGGTAACGTGTCGCCCCCCGTCAATATGTAAGTTCGTTGGCTTGACTCGAGCGGTCAATCCACCAATCATAGACAGTGATGATCCTAGGGTGCCGGATCCCGTACACTATACCAGCAGTACACGTTAGTAAACGTTAGTATCGCACAGGAAAGATCTATGGATATCCCATTATTTGCTGTATATTTGCAGTGTAACGATAACCTGTTGGTCGTGACCAGGTACCTCCGAACACCCAAAGTAAAGTATCTCACCATGTATAGAGTCAAACCACGCCCCTTCTGAATCCCTCATAACGTTCTACAACGTTCTGATTCCTGAAGCTGTCGCATGATAGCATCCGTGTGTCGGACGGGCACGCACACCATTGATATTATGCTGTCGTGAACCAGCACCAAGAGTGGCTATTTCACTGCAGTTGTCACTTCATGACACAGCTCAGGAGGAAATATGTTCCTGGCGTTTTCCAAAACAATCCACGGGGTTTCAAAGGCGATCTCACGGAAAAAGAAAACGTTTTGGATTTGTAAACTGGAAGCGCCGAATAACCTGGACCGCTTGCGTCGAGAGCTCGAGGGGCTGTGTGGTAATCTCGAATATAACCAACACAAAGCATGGTGACCTGTGCAACCAAGAGTCCCCTCATTCCAATTCTGGACGTCGAGGCCGGTAGGGTGACATTGACCCTAACCCTAGTGTAGGTCTCCTTGCAATGAACGCGTTCTGGCATCTCGCGCTTTGACGCGCACCGCTTGGATCAACATACATACACCCGCGACTCTAATCAAGGAGTGTAACAGATACATACCCAGCAATTAGCGCTCTAGCACTCGCAGATTACCAAACATGTCCTCAGACGACGACCTGAGTAAGCTCAATATATTCTTGAGCCACTGATACCGCTCACGTAGGGCAGACAGCTTTGAGGACGGCCCAAAGGCAAAGGGGCGCGTCCCTATTCGAAAGAGACAACGCAGTGCTTCACCAGGCCCAAGCACAACCACAAAGAAGCCCCCTTCTAAGGCTAAGGCTGCCCCTATCGCTGTTGACGATGACGACGAGATCATGGCAATAGATCCTCCAGACCATAAGAAGTCCCAGAAGCCACCCTCTGCTAATGGCGTCAAGAACGCTGCAAAGGGCAAAAAGAAGGCCACACCAAAGTGCGCGTGTTAGACCAGGCCCTTTGACTATTTAACTGACCCAGCCTCTAGCGCAGAAGTACCGCAAGCAGTTGACGAAGTTAGTGAGGAAGATGCCCCTCGGAAACCGTCCAAGCACATAAATGGCATAGTTGACACCAGCAAGTTGAAACCGCGCAACGGGGTTCATACCGCAAAGGAGCCTATTACAGCAAAGGAGTTGATTGAGCTTTCCCAGCTCAGAGATCGAGAGCGGGAGGTACGCGTTTACCTTCTCATCCGTATGGATATTACCCAACAGCTGCTAATGTTTCGCTCAGTTGACAAAGGACCTGGAGAAAATACTCTCAATACGGAAAACAGAAGCGGAAAGTCTATCACAACAGATGCAGGAACGATACGATGCTCAATTAAAGAGTAAGTCCGCACGTCCTTCTTGCAACCACGAGGGAGCTCACCCTCTCCCACAGTTCAGGAGGACCTAATCAAAGAGCTCACGTCACAACTGGCTCGTGTGGATCATCTCACCAAAACTGGACAAACCGCGGCTGTCCAGTTTCTGACGCGGGAGGCTGCTGACGAGGAGAAGAGAGGTGCAGAGGAAGAGGTAACTCGGCTGAGAGAGGTCATCAAGCAGAAGGATAGAATGCTGGTAGAGAAAGACAAGAAGATTGCTGAGCTGGAAGAGTCTGGTATGCTCGAATTATCATCGCCTTTGCCCCGTGGACTGATTGCATTTCGTAGCACTCCAAATTCGCCGAGAGCTTGACACGGAGATTGCTCACTCCAAAGCACTGCAGGCCAGCAACAATCGTGCCGCAACTGCATCATCCGCCGCCGCTAATCCTCGGAAAGTGTACGGCACGGACGACCCAAAGAACGCGGCAGTCATAAAGCTTTACGAGGAAATCACGAATCTGCTGGTCGTGAATGTCAAGCATGAACCGAACCAGGATCCAACAGTACAAAATCCGGATACCGTCTTCACGTTGATATATACGTGGCAAGAGTCAGCTCGAGATGACGAGGACGAGGAAATTACAATGCAGAAAAGTGCGTCAAGTACTGACCTTGCAGACCATTACTAAATCGCACATGCAGGCATCAACTTTATGCTCCGTCTCTACTATGGGCCTCCTGATAGCGAGCCAGGGGAGGAAAACCAATCAACCGAATCAGAAGATCGCGCTCGTTATACTCCGTTGCATCTGGATCAGGAATCTCAGATATTCGTTGAAAGACTTGAGTTCCTCAGCGGTTCATTTACGTTCCCCGCTTCTCAACATGCGCTCTTCTTTAATACACTTGCAGAGAAGGTCGGGAATGCATACAAGGCTGAAAAGGGGATCTCAGTTCAGCAACCCGAGGAGCAACCCGAGGTGGTAGACTTGGTGGACGATGACGATTAACGGCTTTCATCTTGCTTACGCGAGGCGGCGATTTTCATGCTTGATTTCGAACTGACTGTATCATAGGTTACAGCCTAAGTTAATTCTGAGCGCCTCATATTCCTGATTACTTGGCAATTTTTGTGTAGCATACTCTACATACAGTACATTCAACTCTCTAGTGGCAGTTCCATACCCGCCTTTTCCCATACCCTTCGAGCCTGTTTGTTTCCTGATCTTACGGCACACTGCAAAGCTACATTGGTGAAGCCAGCATCAATCTCGAAGCCACTGAGGTTAGCGCCCGCTGCCACTAGTAAGTCGACGATAGGTCCATGACATTGACGTGCCGCCTGGAGCAGTGGTTGGTGACGCAGCGCGAGACGAAGGCATGTCACATCACTCACATAGTACAGAGCAGTATGCCCAAGGGTGTCTCTAAGATGAACTAGTGCACCAGATCGTAGCAACAGTTCTGTGCACTCAGTGCTTCCATTCAGAGCAGCAACGTGCAACGGCGATCTTCCACTTCCAGGTTCTAAGCAATTGATTATTCCTCCGGGTATAGCCAGATCGGTCACATCTCGTTCTTCCAAGTCCAGCGCTGCAGTCTCGAGGCAGAATTTGAGAGACTCTAAGTGATCCTTTGCTGCCGCTAGATGGGCCAAGAAGGGTAAAAGAGCAGCCTCAGTCGTAGCAGCTTCAGCAGCAGTCCTAGTCCATGGTGCGGGAATGTCTTGCATTTTTTCGCTGCTCGAAGAAGGGGAAACCACGATTTGAGGGGTATCTCGGTTGAAAGACGATGTTGTCACTAGGTGAGTGAGGATGTTGTGCATGATCTCAGCATCGCCTTCAACAGACGGTTTCGCGGGGACGGAGTGCGCTCGGCGGGTGAGCTCTCCTCGCAAGGGCTGCGCGATGAACGTGCGAACGTCCTCCACCGTCAGCTCTGGTTTGCACAGCAGGTAGCTGAGCTTGGTGAGCGCACACTGGCCGGCAACTTGTTTGTAATCAAAATCGACGGGTGTTGAGAAAGCAGCATACCTCTGGTGTCATGTCTCCACCGGGGATCACACCGACCTGCAATAAGGTCCTACCAGTTTCATATGCATCGGATACTGATCCCTTAGCGCATTGAGATATTGCCACGATGATGACACCTCGCGCGCACGCTTCTTTGAGAGCCTCCATGAGATCCGTTCTTTGTGGCGCGTTTCCGGCGCCGAAGGTCTCAAGGACAACGCCGTGCACAGGAGGCATAAGAAACGCCCTCACGGTCGCCGCAGTGATGCCTGGAAACAAGCGCAGAGCAGCTGTAAAGCGTGAGATCGCGAGTCCAAAAGATTCGTTAAGCATGGAACCACTTACCGACATGAGGGCTGAGGTCTCAAGATTATCGTGAACGCAAATACATGACAGATGGTAGGACAACCTACTCTTATGTGCTTTGAAGCGTCTAAGGCTTGTCTGTCGGATAACATCGTTCCAGTTGACCTCAATGTCAATGCCAACTGAAAGAGGGTATCGTTATCGTGCACCCTCCCACAGCGGCAGAGGGAGTTACCGTTTACGAGCGGCGGAAAGTTCGGGCTATGGAAAGCATTGAGATCGTTTGAAGATCCCTTGGACACCCTGTTTCCTCGGAAGAGCGTATGGTTGAAGTACAGGCTACATTCTAGGGACTGTTAGTCCATTTCAACCCAATCGAAAAGGAATGTACCAGGTATAATGAAACTTCCGGCAATTGTCAATGCTCCCAGGAGATTGTCGACTGCATCATTGCGCAGCTGAGAGAGGGGGATTTGAGCTCCGGTCAAAATCTAGGTCACCGTTCGAGCTATATTCCCAACCAGAACGCGAGTGGTTAAACATACCACCGTCTTTCCCAGATCTTCTAACAGAAAACTGAGCGCACTGGCGGTATATGCCATAGTATCTGTCCCATGCAGGATAACGAAAGCATCAAACACGGAGTAGTTTAACTCAACCTCCGTAGCGATGCGAATCCAATCTGCCCTAGCATGCTGTGGTTAGGGAACCAGAGCATAATGTTATGAACAGGCTCGGTTACCAGATATCTCAATGTTGCTACTATCCAACAACGGGTTCCACTGAATGACGTTTCAGTTTATTGCATAATCTGATGAGAATGGCACAGACCTCGAGAATAGCATACCTGATGCGTTTGCTCCCGCTTTGCCCTGGTATCATACTCCGAGGTGTGACCAGTGTAGCCAGATCAGCTTCATAAACATTCTCTGCCACGCGTTTGGACATAGGCTGAGGGCCTTGGGTAAGAGCATCGCTCTCAGAGGATGCGAGGCCACGGGGGCTGCCTATGGGCCGCGATGAACGGACAGGTAAAGTAGGCTGATGAGGCAGGCTGGCGGCAGTAGCTTTGGACGAGGCGCCTACGGGACTCGATCTGCCGCTTGTGGTGCTCCAGTTCCTGTAGCCATCGACAGATGCGGCGTTGGAGAAAAGTGAGTCCTGCAAGGGATCATGAAACCGTTTCTGGCTACGTAGAGTCTCTGTCAAGAAGTAGGGCTCAGGAACATAGCCCTGGGCGCTGACAAGCATGCCAATCGTGCCCCCTGTGTAGATAACGAGCACGCGAGATTCATCAGCTGGGCGAAGTTGATCCATTTGATTCGGGGACGGGGTTTAGTGCGATGATGGACGGAGACAGGAGGTATTAGTTGAGTCAAGCGTTTTGTACACCGAAAGGTCAGTGTAAGTAAAGCCGGACAAGACCGATGTCGAGGATAAATGATCAAGTCATGACTCGATCGACTCCATCCAACCACCCACATTTTCTTCCTGCCCTTCTCTTAGATAATACACCATGGATGCTATCAAGAAGGTGTTTGAGGCCAAGCAAGCTGAGGTACATCTGCCAACCACGTCTCGATTCAGCTGATTATACAACTTGCTCTAGGGATCTCCAGCGTTGGTCACTTTCGTGACTGCTGGCTACCCCAGACGCGATGACACTGTGCCGCTTCTGTTCGCTATGGAAGCTGGCGGCGCGGATATTCTCGAGGTTGGCGTGCCCTTCTCAGACCCCATCGCAGATGGCCCTGCTATTCAGGAGACCAACACCGTAAGCACATCACACTCTACATACTGCTTTCAGGAACTTCATCTTCTGTTTGGTCAGGTTGCTGTCCAAAATGACGTGGACTACACCACTGTACTTGCGCAAGTAAAAGAAGCTCGCACAAAAGGCTTGAAGGCCCCTGTTCTCCTCATGGGTTAGCCCAATTCCCTGTCACCTGCAGTATGTGCTTACATCTATAATCCAACTTACAGGTTATTACAACCCCATGCTTGCGTACGGCGAAGACAAGGCCATCACAGATGCACGGGAAGCTGGGGCGAATGGCTTCATCATGGTGGATCTACCTCCCGAAGAAGCGATCAACTTCCGCGAGAAATGCACCAGCGCAAAGTGAGCATCCTCCTTATCCCTTGTCAACAAATACTGACCAGCAGTTAGCCTCTCATACGTGCCATTGATTGCACCGTCAACGTCCCTGCATCGTATCAAGTTTCTTGTTTCTATCGCCGACTCGTTTATTTATGTGGTCTCCAAGGTATTATTCTGGCACAATTTACGAGCTGGCTTAATCATGCTGAATCGGTCTAGATGGGGACGACAGGCTCCTCTACGTCCGGCGTCATGAACGCGGCACTCCCGGACATCATTTCGCGAATCAAGGAATATACTGAAGTATCCCTTGCGGTTGGCTTCGGTGTTGCAACCCGCGCTCATTTCGACACCGTTGCGGACGCGGGTGCGGATGGCGTGGTCATCGGAAGTCGCCTTGTGTCTGTAATCAAAGAGTCGCCGAGGGATGAGATTGCTCAAAGGGTCGAAGCTTACTGCAGAGAAATCAGCTTGAAGGGCCAGCCCCCACGAGCTCGGTCCCCGAGGACCTCATCTAAGCCTTCCACACCCTCTTTTCAGGAGCAGAAAAAGTTCAATGTCGATGGTCTTGCCGTCCTTCCGCCTCGCTTCGGTCAGTTTGGTGGGCAATACGTCCCCGAAGCGCTCGTTGACTGCCTTGTGGAGCTTGAGGAGGCCCACAACTCGGCGATCAACGACCCAGAATTCTGGAAGGAGTTCCAGAGCCACTATGGTTATATGAACCGCCCCTCAAAGCTTTATTATGCTGAGAGCTTGACGGAGTATGCGGGCGGTGCAAAGATTTGGTTGAAGCGTGAAGACCTGTAAGCTCCTATTTCCTACTATCCAAGTCTCCTTCCTCACGTCCCTTTAGGAACCATACTGGCTCACACAAAATCAACAACGCCGTTGGCCAGGTTAGTAACAGCGATGATGATTGGAGTAGCGGCTTACCCGTCCACAGATTCTGCTCGCGAGACGCCTAGGCAAAACACGCATCATTGCCGAGACTGGTGCTGGTCAACACGGTGTAGCCACTGCTACCGTCTGTGCACGTTTCGGGCTAGAATGTATAGTCTACATGGGTGCCGAGGACGTTAGGCGTCAAGCACTCAACGTCTTTCGGATGAACATGTTGGGCGCAAAGGTATGTAGCTAACACCGTGCTGCTGCACTTTGGCTAAACGAGATGTTAAGGTCATCCCAGTCGAGTCTGGATCCCGCACCCTGAAGGATGCGGTCAACGAAGCGATGCGTGACTGGGTCACGAACCTGTCCACCACCCACTACTTGGTCGGGTCGTGTATTGGTCCTCATCCGTTCCCCACCATCGTGCGCGATTTCCAGAAGGTAATTGGCAGGGAAATCAAGTCACAGATGCAAGAAGCGGCAGGAAAGCTTCCGGACGTTGTAGTTGCGTGTGTTGGCGGTGGCAGTAATGCTATTGGAACCTTCTTCGACTTCATTCCAGACACGAACGTCCAGCTCGTTGGTGTCGAGGCTGGTGGAGAAGGTAACAAGATTCATCAGAGACAATCCAAAGTTGTTGACTGCGTGTACAGGACTCGACGGTTCGCGACACAGTGCTACCTTGTCGATGGGCCAACCAGGCGTCCTGCACGGTGTTCGGACGTACATCCTCCAGTCTACAGCGGGTCAAATTATAGAGACGCACTCCGTTAGTGCAGGTCTCGATTATCCAGGAGTTGGCCCCGAACACGCGTGGCTTAAGGACACCGGGCGAGCCGAGTATGTCGTCGCAACGGACGAAGAAGCTCTCAGAGGTTTCAGGCTGGCCACCCAGAAAGAAGGCATTATTCCAGGTGTGTATAATGTCTTCATGTCGCAACCTTTTCTGAGTCGATGTCCAGCTTTGGAGTCTTCTCATGCTATCTGGGAGGGTGTTCGACGGGCGAAGACATTGCCGAAGGATGTTGATCTAGTCATTGTACGTGATACGATGCAAAGTAAAGAACGTTCACTAAACATATTCACTTCAGTGTCTCTCCGGAAGAGGAGACAAAGATGTGGAGCAAATCTCTGAGCTTTTGCCTGGGAAATGGGCGGACAAGTTGGACTGGCACATATCAAACTAAGAGACAGTTCTAACATATAATGCTAGCGTATGCGAATTATAGCCAAACTGTTGTAGTAGACACGGTACATATTTACTTGCCAAATTAAGCGCTGTACTCACCTGTAAAGATGATTCGTCCGTCCGAGTCTTAGCATACTCCGTCTCAAAAGCAAGGCCCTAAGCAACTTTGCTGATTGACATCCCCCTCTTGCTCTGCATGGCGACCGATCCAGCCAGCGCGGCGAACCAGCGCATCGTCGAAAATCTTGCTGCAAGATTGCGAAGAAGGTCAGCGACAACCCACCTCTCCTATGATCTCAGCTCCCTCAGATCGTTCGTTCTTATTGACTCGACAGGCAGGTAAAAGGATCTCGCGAGACCGCTCTAGAGACCGTCCTCGTCTTGCGCCAGGTAGTTTCCAAGGCGCGCTTTTCGAACATCGATCAGCTCGTCGAGATTATACGATCTGTCGGCCGCAAGTTGGTGGAGGCCCAACCTAAAGGTATGGATGACGCCTCGAACTTCATCGGGAGCTGCGTCCCATGATTCACTGCCTTGTACACCAGAGCACACTGTCGGGAACACCGTTAGGAAGGTTCTGCATCACATTCGAGAGGAGTACAATACGGCGACCCAAGGCAGCGCATCGGCCTCGACCTCAAAATCTGGCCTGTCAATATCGCGGTTTGTCCTCCAAGGACAACCTCGGAAGCATGTTAACGCCCCCGTGAAGCTATCTCACGAGGAGCGCCCCACCTTGAAGGAGAATGATCCCGACGATCCCGACGCATTCGCGCGAGCGCTGAAACCAGTGCTTATGGAGGCGATCCAGGACGTGTTTGACGAGCTGGAAACGGTGTACGACAATATATCGAAAAACGCGAAAGACCATATACACTCTGAGTGCGTGTTACAGTGCCTCTGGTTCTGTGTCCATCTCATACATTGCAAAATCAAAGCGAGATCATCTTGACGATCGGCAAGTCCAGCACCGTGGAGGCATTCCTCAAAGCAGCCGCTCCTTATCGAAAGTACACCGTCATTGTGGCAGACACTGCACCATCGTATGCGCTGCTATGAATGTGTACTGTGCAGCTGCTGACCCTGCATACAGATACAGCGGACACGAAATGGCTGAATCGCTGTCTTCTGCAGGGATTTCTACCGTCCTCGTACCAGATTCCTCAATATATGCCCTCATGTCTCGAATAAACAAAGTTATTCTCGGAGCCCATGCCATCCTTGCCAATGGTGGTATGTTTGCCATCACAGGCTCGCTACTCGTCGCTACCGCCGCTCGCGCGCACAGCACGCCAGTCGTTGTCTGTGCTGGACAGTTCAAGTTGACACCCCAGTGGAATCTCTATCATGAGTATGGCGCTCTGGACTTCGCTGATCCAGGAAGTGTACTAGGCTTCGAGGAAGGAGATCTTGTGGACAAAGTCGATGTTGTGAACCCGTTCTACGACTACGTTCAGCCAGAGCTAGTAGATGCCTTCATCACAAACGAGTGCGTTGGCTTTCACTCTCGTTATCTTCTTAATTCGTTCTCTGATATCGTTTGCAGCGGTGACCATCCTCCCTCGTCGGTATACCGCCTGATCAAAGAGGCATACGACGACGAAGACTACGAGCTCTGAGGGATGAAAGCAAGAAGCAGATTATGATTTACGCTACAGCATGTACTCTATAGATAATGGATTACCCGCCTTGCAGCTTGTGATTACTTGTTCTTCGTGCTGAGGATATCAAAGAATGCCTCCTGAGGCAGGTCTACTTGCCCAATCTTCTTCATGCGACGTTTGCTTTGCTTCTGGTTCTCGAGGTGCTTCATCTTGCGTTCATAGTGACCACCATAAAGGCCAGCCGTTACATCCGCGCGCATCGCCGAAAGATTTTCTCGAGCTATGATCTTCTTCCCCACCGCAGCTTGGATGGGTACTTCGAACAGTTGTCGAGGGATAACCTTGTCTGTGGCCAGTGCATCAGTTGTAGAGCGAATACACTCAGCAAAGCTCGCTTACGTAATTTCTTGACCCATGTCCGCCCTACGTGATCCTGGGCGGAGCGATGGACAATCAACGCTAGAGTGTCCACGGGCTTGCCATTCAGGAGGAAAACCATCTATTTCACTCAGAAGCCGTCAAGATAGAGCCAGGGGTCCCGCTTACCTTCGATAGCTGACTTGCTCTGTACCCTGCATCCTCATAGCTAGAAGGGCAAGTTTGAGTAAGTCAGATACCGCTCAAGTTAACTCCGCTCACTCGAAGCTGGCGTAACCCGAGCTTCTACTCTTTAACTTGTCAAAGAAATCGGTGACAATCTCGCTAAGAGGAAGTGTGCACGTCAGTATAGCGCGCGCGGAGCCCAAGCCGGCGTCCAAGTAGCGATGGTCTATGTCTTCTGCACGGTGAGAGTAGCAGAGGTCCATCATCTCTCCCAGATAATCTATCACTAGATTAGCAAAAGTCACAATATACGGGCGAATTCGTCAAACCTTCAGGGACAATAATCGTGGCCTTCACAATGGGCTCTTGGACTTGAATGACTTTTGAGGCCGAGTCGGTCGTGTCAGGGAACTCAGTGGGGTTGCTGATGAAAACCTCCCTGTCTCTGTAAACCACTGGGCTGCATCAATATTTGCTGCCCACAGTAACATAGGTTTCTTAAAGCACCTTTATACGGGACTGTTGGGGCTGTGATGATGATATTGGCATCATATTCGTCCTCAAGACGCTGCCGGAAGACGTCCATGTGCAAGGTGCCTAGGAAACCTAGACGGCATCCTTGACCAAGGGCAGACGAAGACTCGCGTTGCACCGAGACGCTTCGATCCGTGAGTGTCAGCTGAAAAGAATATATGAGTGGCTGTAAGTGAGCACAGGATCTCGCACCTACCCGTTTAATGGATTCTTCCAGCTTCACGAAGTCGTTGGTGTCCACTGGGAATATACCCGCAAAAACCTACACCAAAAATATGAACGCGAATACCTGGGCAAAAGTATGGTCTGAATCACCATAGCCTTGGTAGGCTTAAAGCCTGGCATCGGGTCTACAGGACTGCCGACTCGGTGTAGGGTATCCCCGACATGAGCTTCATAGACCAATGAGTATTTCGTCCACCGACATCTGTATTGTCCCTACCCTCCGTCGAGTCCTTCATGTTGCAAGCCATATACCCGACCTGACCAGGGCGTAGCTCTGCAGTCGTGACCTCTTCCGGGTGCATGACTCCAACTTCCATGACTTCGTATTTCTTACGGGTGTGGCAGGAGCTAATCTTGTCACCTAGTATACATTTAGTGAAAGCACAACAGTGCATCTGAGATCTGCTCACCTTTCTTCAATATACCGTTCTGGACTGCTACCAGGGAAATCACACCACGGTACCGGTCATACCTGTGTCGCATAAATGTAGTGAACAAGCCTGAGAATGAATGATACATACAAAGAGTCGAAGAGGAATGCTTTCAACGGTTGATTTTCTTGGCCTGCAGGCGGAGGTATGCGATCCACAATTGCCTGAAGGACTTCCGGTACACCCTTGCCGGTTTTGGCAGAGACGTGCAAGACATCCTTAGGATCTATTCCAAAAATTGATTCCATCTGAGCAGTAATTCGCACAGGGTCCGCTGCAGGCATGTCTATCTGCCAGGTTTGCTCATATTAACAAGGAGAATCACAAAATATCTACTGGGAATCGCACCTTGTTCAGGACAGGGATGATTGTCAAACCCCGGTCTTTGGCGATGTGAAATACTGACAAGGATTGGGCTTGTACACCTTGTGAGGCATCAACTAGGAGCAGCGCGCCCTGACAGGCTGCCAATGAGCGGGACACCTCCCAAGCAAAATCGACGTGGCCCTGCAAGCTCCGTTAGTGTTAGACGTGCATACAGCAGCATGAACACTTGCAGGAGTGTCAATAAGGTTCAGAAGGTAACTTTTCCCGTGAGCTTGGTGCAGCATGCTAGCGATTGGACTGAGAAGGCGTTCTTTGGGTACATAAGATTAAGAGGTCTACCTGGCGGTCTGAGCTTTCACTGTGACATCGAGTTATTTGGGTTATGATGTGATCAGACATTGGGCTTGTTTAGACCGCACCAGTAATTCCGCGTTCTCGCTCTACTTTCAACTTGTCCAAAAACTGTTGGTTGGAACCAGCAGACTTCTCAATGGTGCCCGTGAGCTGTGATGAAGGTTATACCCCGTTACCAGCGTGTAATATGAGTGGAGCAGACCTCGAGCAACCTAGGCAGTGCATTTTAGTGCCACTAAGTACAGCTGCATAATGTAAACACACACCGGTCGGCCAAGGTGGATTTACCGTGATCTATAGTGCGCTCCCGTGAACTCGTAGACAATGACGAGACCTCTCGCACTCACCAATGTGGGCTATGATTGAGAAATTGCTGCGTCAGCGACTTTCAATACATCTGCTGGTCCACTTGCGCTATGTTACACACCGTATGAGGTCGCAGCCAAACTGGTCCGTTTCAATAGTTTTGTGCTTATGGGCCTGCGCGTATCCACGAGTCGTCACTAGAGAAAAACATACTGGTATCCGTCTAACCGAAGACTGGTGTCTTTGGAAGAGTTGGAGGCAGCCCTGGCGCCATGCCGGGTGCATGACACTATATGAGCACTTCAAGTGGATGCAAAGTGGATGGCTCTGGAAGAACAAGACGTCGGATTCGGAACGCGCGCGACGCGTCTCGATCGGACCGGGAGTGGACGTGCGGGCCCTTTAGACGACTTGCCTCCAGACGCTCTCCACACAGACTACACTCATGTCACTACAAGAGGCAGCTGAGGCGCGAAAGGCCCGCCTCATCGCCCTCAGACAACGCAGAGAGGGAGGCGGAGGACCCGATGGGTATGTTGTTACTTTCAGTGCCGCACACGGATGCTAACTAGCTACCATAGGTCGGTTATTCTGAACCGCAATTATGACCCTGAAACGCGAACATTGAAAAAGCGCGGGCATGATGACGATATAGAGGATACCATTGAAAAGAACGTCGAAGGAATGGCAGAGATGATTATTGCAGAAGACGAACAGCGCCGGGAGCAGGAGTTGGTGTGTGCATTTGCCCCCATTCCGCCTTTCATTGTATCAAATCTCGAGCCCGTTCTTTCCTTCAGGACATCTTTAACATTGCGCCCAAACGACCCAACTGGGATCTCAAGCGCGAGATGGACAAGAAGCTCGCAAAGCTGGAGCGAAGGACTCAGGAGGCAATTCACACCCTTATTCGTGCGTTCTCACTTGATGCTCAACTTCAGCACCTTGAACACTCTTACGTTTTTTATGAAGGTCAACGTCTAGCTGCACAAAAAGGCCAGTCTGATGACATCTTGGGGGCGATGAACGCACAAGAAAAGGCCCGTGATGCCGAAGACCGCGCATCTGACGAAGATGAATGATTCCCAGCTGCGCAACTCTGTTTGCCCGCAGGGCCTTACGCTGGAAATACTGTACGGCGTGAATGATACAGGCTCGGTCTCATTGGTTGGACACCTGCAGTCGCTTGGAGATTTGCTCGGCTTTACCCCTACGCCAGACGTGGGGATTCCAAATGCACGCCGACAGTCACGCAATCGCAATCATCAGCATGAGCAACGGGATGAAACGTAGTCAGTTCGAATTTACTGGTAGTACATGTGTGGAATCGGAGCTGTCCGTTTGTACCATCCTGTGCTCTTTCACGGATGCTTCCTCACCTCAACTCAAACCAAATGGGCGCTTCGAGCACAGGGGCCGGTACGGAGGTATTTCAGGCACGTGCCAGGATGGGAGAGGTATTAAAGCCCTCCTTGGTTTCGGCCAGCACAGATGATTCTTCCAGCCCTTCTCCCCTCGACGTTTGACACTTCATTGCGCTCTCAGGCGGCTTATTTAGAGCTAAGACATTGCGTGTAATATGTTTGATTCCGATAATCCTCCGTCTAGGGTGCCCAGTCTTGTCTGTTATTGTCAACGTGGTGTGTATCTTCCGGGCCCTAGGCGACTGCACTTCTGTGTCAATCTATCTCACCACGCACCTCGACAGTCGCTTCATCTTACGTAGATTGTAGGTTGCGTTTAGCCGATCCCTTTCTCGACGCTTACCTTCTGTGACACAGCAATCAGTAGTCTTGGCGAAGAAACACGGTTTGAACTAATACAACCGGTACTAGAAAGTTGTACTGCAGATACGTTGCTGCGTCTTGAGCAAGCCTCTCCGGTACGGGCATAGCATTTTTATTAGCGCCGTCATTGCTCATAACCCCCCTTCCGTCAGTATCTCGAAGATGACACGCAGGGTAAGTGGGGAGCTGTTCTAGGACGTCAAATGATCTTATTCCCATTGGTAGATCTATGGAAGCATCTATGTCTCAAGACATATCCTATGTTTAAAGAGCAGTGGACTTCCGGCGGCGCCCAGGACCTTGGTTCTTGGCGGGATCAGTTTTTCGTATGTATTTATCTCGTCCTAAGTACACTTAAGATTTCTGACACATATTCAGATATTACGCGCGGCCGAGGCTGAACGGCTCGAGAAAGTTGGCAACAAGCTTCGTAATCAACGACTCGAAGAAGCCGAACGCAAGAGGGAACGTGAAATCAAGCTCACCGATAGGGTACCGCCACCAAAGAGGGCGCGCATCGGCGGCTGTAAGTAGCCAGATGTCGCAGAGTGCTCACTCAGGCTCACACTATCCTAGGGGGCGCACCTGCTCCAACAAAGACCTTGTTCCAGAAGACCAAGACCCACGCATCGAAGATTCAGCGCAACATGTACAATGCTCGAATTCTCCCTGCAGCACCTCAATCCAAGACCTTCAAACCACTTACAAGTACACCTCTTCTCAAGCCTCCAGCAACGTCATCCGCGACGACGTATGGAAGCCGTGTCACGGTGAAGACCGTGGCTTACCGGAAATCTGTCCCGTCGCCTGGTTCTGCATCAAAGCACTCACAATCACCCGTGGCGGATACTGCTTCAGTTACACCCACAAAGTCTCAGCCTCAGTCCTTGTCTATGTCACCACCCTGCGAAGCGCGACCGCTGAAACCGCCGGCAGCTACGAAGAAGGATCCAATGGCAGCCCTTTTCATGCCCAAGCACAAGGCACTCTCACAGCTACCTTCACAGGCCCGTAAGTTATCTACTTCATAACACTTCTTCGCAATGGCAATTGTCGAAATCGCTCCATTTTTTGAGGTAATTCACATCAATGTACCACCGTTACCAGTCATCAGCATCACCCTTACTTCGCAGAAATTATATTATATTTCGCTGTTTAATGAAAGAAAGGTGATACAGTTGTGCCTGCCAGTACTTGCCTAGAAAGAAGCCTAAGACGAGATGTATTGCGTGACTAACTTCCACAATAGAGATGCTAATATAAAACCATTCTAAAATATGCATGAAGACGTAAAACGTGGCACGTGAACTGCAAACTGTATAATATCAATTGAGGCTTGTCTGGGTCAATGGCGTGGGTTGAGATGGGGTAGGTGTAGGCAAGTGACGGGGAGCAACGAGCGTTCGGTCCAACTGGACATGAGAGATAATGTGGTAATCAATAATACACAGGCCAATGATGATGAGATGATGATACAGAGAAAAGAGTACTTGGCCTCGCGGAAGGTCCGGAAGAGGCGGCGGCCAGAGCCAATGCCGAAGTCGAGGTACTGACACTGGCCAAGGCGGCAGGCGTCAGATCACCCCATCCCACTGTTGCTTGCCCTTGCCTTTGCCAATAGGTGGCTCGGGCTCCATCATAGAGATTTCGGGCGGTGCCGACTCCCATATCCGTATTGTGCTATCGTCGGAACACGACGCGAACATACGCTCGTTCTGAGGGTTCCACGCTACAGAATTGACACTCCCGTTGCCGTGGCCAGACAGAACTTCGAGGAGGACACCTGTATCACGGTGCCAGATATAAACGTTGGCATCTAACAATGACCTATTAGTACAAGGGTGATGAGAAAAATGAGGCAAAGGTTACCTTCACTACCGCTGGCAACGAAGTTATTGTCTATGCCTCCAAAACAACTCCGGATCACATGATGCCCCTGGTGTTGACCAGTAAACTTCCGCGCTAACCGACCTGATACGAGGTCATAGAGGTGCACCTCCTATAACACAGTTCAGGGAGTGCGAATTAATAAAGGCTCTGGAATATCTGCACTGAACTTACGTGTGGTGCGTGATTAATGAGGGCAAATTGTGAGTCCTCCGAGATCTTCACACTTGTGAGCTCACCCCCAAGTGGAATGGTACTGTATGTACAGTATCAACATCTCGCTCAGCGTAAGCACAAATGCACGTACATTGCAACCTCCTTCGTATCCATGTGATACACGATCACTTGATTCCTTGGGGGACGAGCGTCGTCACCCGCAAGCGCTGGCGAGCTTCCTCTATCACCCGATGCGTCTGGTGGAGAGGAGTAGGTCATTCCGACTGTGACAAGCCTTGAAAAGTCTGGTGATATTGCCATGTCTGTGATGCGCATCGGGGAGATGGGCCAAGAATCTCTCTTTTTGCCGTCCGAATCCTACAAAAGCTGCAGTGAGATGACACACAATCAAGGGATTGGCATAGTCCTCACCCAAGTGACGATCTTACGGTCTAGACTTCCCGAAATGAAGCCTGATCCATCTGGGAGCCAGGATAATGCTGTGACAGTCTCTTGGTGCTCGTCAAGTGTTCTCAACAATGTCCCATCCTGGCATGGTTTAGCCACTGCAAATTCGTATGGACGTATATGGATACTCACCTTTGCGTTCCACATCTTGATAAGCTGGTCAGCAGTCGTGAGGAGTATTGAGTCATCCAACGACCATGCAAGGCATCCAACGCAGTACTCGTGATCCCGAAGTACAAGCTCTGCGACGCATTCCCGAGAAGTTGGCTCAGTTTCATGCTGAACAGTGCACAGGTAAGTAAAGAGCAGTATTAGGAACCAACCCTAACAGAACGTACCCCTATGCGCCATATTATGGCGGTCTTGTCTTTGCCCGCACTGGCGAGGTATCGGCCATCATGACTCCAAGCAATATTCCACACTTCATCGGTGTGAACTTCCAAAATGGTAGTGGTCACACGAGGGAAGTCCTCCTTGTCACATTCGTGGTCCATGAATAATGAGAACGTCTGAGGGTTAGCGGGGGAGTTGTGGTAGAAACACTGTTGCCGTTGATAAAGCTGAGCCTGGCTTAATAGGGTCGCAAGACGACGCTGCGGTATCATCGTCGTTGATGAAATATGACCTGTACAGGATGTCTGAGTCAGAACCTGTGCTCCAAGGCGTTTAACCATATGACCGGGGCACCAGAGCTAAAGCCGTGGCCTCGAGTCGCAAATGTACGGTGAAAGCGGTGACTCACGCTGCAGTGAGAATAAGAGATCGTCGCGAGATGTCCCCGAGGCACCGTCCCATCCTGCGCGCTCACATAGGTCTTTAGGATTTGAGAACATGATCAAACTGGGAACAAGGTTAGCGCTCTATGATAGAAAACGTCCGAAGGTGGGGCTAACCTCGATAAGGAATGTAATTGATCAGAGCCCACATTGAGAGGTGCCAATTCTGTGCGCAGAACCTGCAGCGCAGCGGCAGTCTTCCCCGCTTCCAACAGCTCAAGATATTTCTGCTGGCCAATGAGGAACTTCACCGCCTAGAAATAAACATCAGGAGCGATACAGGCTGAGTGACTGAAGAGCCTTCGTACCCAAAGAGATGTCTCGTCAACCACGCCGAGTCGTGGAAGCAGTGCCTCGGCCTGTGACCACGAGCCTTCGAGAATGCATTGCCGAAACTCTGAAACGTACCCGGTTTCAAGTGAGTAGCCCGATTCCGCTTCAAGGGTAGCAGCAGACTCTCTGCGGAGATACGTGCATGAACAAAATATGCACAAGGTCGACGGGAGACTTACATATAGCCAACATCACGAAGGCTTTGTATGACGAGTCGCACATACTCTTCCCGATCAATGAGCAAGTCTTCGTAGAGCCTTGAGCCTGGCAATTTGACTCGGGAGACAGGTGGATGACTGTGCGCTCCATTATGCAAGCCGGCTGAGGACCCGTTAGACAGAGGCTGAGAAGCACTCTTCCCGTTCGTATATCCGTTCGAGTTGGCCACCTTATCGAGCGTGAGGTAGCTCGGGCCTGCTTCAGAGGTCGATTCGAGAGAGACCGACATGGGCGGTTCGTGGTCAAGTTCAGGGCTTCGCATCGTGTCCGGATAGGTGATTATGCGAGCGGCAGGATCGATCGAAGACAAGGAGGCGGGATTACGTATGCGAGCACTCGGGCTCTCAAGCCTGGGTCGCTTATGTGCTCTGGGGGTGTCTAAACGAGTCGGTTGTGAGATGACAAACGCCCCTGACTTTCTCGCAACCCAGCCTTGCCAATATACGCACCCGGAATGTCAGTAGATGGATCGCCGTCCGCTAAATCTTCGAGGAGGGAGCGGGAACGAATCAAAGGGAGCCGAGGAGGGGTGCGCGATGGTCCCGCAGTAGCTGTCTGTGACTTAGATGGAGATTATGGACTATGCCTATATGGCACGGTACCTTCCAGAGTCGAAACGAGTGCGGGACGAGGAGGACGGGAGTCCTGGTGGGTGTTCAGGTGGGTATGTGGATCAATGGTGACGAGCGTGCGGGGATGTATTCGGGAGTGGCATGCAGCGTCGCTGACGTTCCGTAGATGCTTCTGGGTGTCAAATCTGAGGGCTCTCGACTGTGCTGGGCTCTCTCTTCCGCTCACGACACTGATAGACAGAGAGGACTGGAAAGGGCCTGCAACGCTGCCCAGCTGCTTATGGCAAGCCTGCCTCGCGTGTGCGGTTCGCACGCTACTATCTAACACCTCTTGTCTCCGTGACCATGGCCATAAACCGGTGAATCCATGCATTGTTAAATAGCTAGTGCTATACGACGCCACCCGTTTACTACCCCAACAGTTTCACTATAGGAAACGATGTTTGGGTAAGCTCTTGCGAAATGCATGATGGCGTGGTGCTATCAGTCCATCCAGTGGCTAAGGCCGGAGGAGTAATTGCCGCACTGGAGGCCCACCCAGATGCATCGGCCCGGAGCACTCTCATTCAACGATTAGTTGATAGATCTCTCACCTAAACTCAAGCTCAAGACCAGCGGCTTATCTAGTACCCGCATTCTTCGAACTTGTCACCCACTAGCTATAGGCACGCGTCAATTATTTTGCAATACGCGTATCGATTATGTCTAGGCATCGAAAGTGACAAGGATCTGGAAGCGGAGCACGTATCATTGGTCCGATAGGTCGACATGAGCCTCTGGACACGTTTTATCGGACAGGAGGCGGAGCAGGGTGCACTTTCGAATTCGAATCATTCATTTGACGGCTGAACGCACATCGCTAATGTACATGCGCAACAGGCGAGCACGTTACGTCAGCCCGTTAGTCGAATCTCTCGACTACAGCCTGCTGGTGAAACCTACGTCTATGACGCCCAACCAAAGACGCCTAACAGGTTAGTTGTAATTGATCGGTCAGGCACGTACTCGAATACCCCAGTTTCATCGGGCAAAGTTTGTATAGTAAGAGTAGGAATTAGTGAGCTAGCATACGTGATTGTTTGATGCAGAGAGGTGATGAGTTTGTATAGTAACACTAATCAAAATCCTTGTTCCTGTTTTTCGATTGATAGCATGAGAGAAAACGTGACCGACAAAGTACTGTAGTAGATAGCGAGTTGTGAGTATAGGTGAATGATGCTTGTTTTCTGATGCTAAAAAGTCACAATAGATAGACCGCCGAATGAAAGTAGTGCTGATTTGATGCTATGATTTCCATTATTTTCTTGCACAGTGCAACAAAACCGAAGAGCATGGATGATGTATGAATAGCCAAGAATAGGTGAATGATGCCGATCGAGAGCGATGCAAGGACGAGCGAAATGCAGTAGGCTGGTGCCACCCACGGGCTAAGCTGGAGCGGTTTTCCCCGGCTGTGCTTTTGGTCATCGAGTCTTCAGAAGCTTGAAGACAAATAAGAAAAATATACGTGGGCGTGGATGGCAAAGAGAAGCCGGGAGATTTTGAAATAGGTGAACCGTGTCATGTTGCGCGGACTTATTGCAAGACAGCTATGCCTGTGAGACGAAGACGTTCCCGTTCTCTAAGGCCGCTTCGTCCATTCCCGTAAGCGGGAGCATCGAGAGTGGAGCCTGGTCCATCAAGCTCGTGAATCCGCATACGACCCCTGGTGAGACGTGTGTGGTTGCCAGACTCGGATATGGCACCAGACCGGTCTCCGACGTGAAGCACCATTTTGGGCAGCGGGGAGCTGTTGCGCCTCGCTGGTCGTCCACGAGAGACGGCCGCAGATGAGAACATGTGTTCGATGCTTTCCCGTAGGTCAGCAGGACGACCACGACCCTCGGGAACAAGTGTAGCGTGGCGAGAACGCGAGCGAGAAGGGGAACGAGATCGATGGGAGCTGCGAGAACAACCAGGTTCAGGTCGCCGCCCACGAGGAGTTATCTGCGAACGACTGGCGATCGAGAGCAGAGTCGCCAGCCTTGGAGTAGGGGGCGACATTTTAGCAGGAGTGGTGCTGTCTGTGCTGGCAACAGCTGGGGGAGAACGCTGTGGGGAACTTATTTGCAGCCGTGTAAAGCATGCAGGAAGGCTTGTTCTGTTCCGGCTTTTCTTCGATTTGGAGGTGAGCGTTGACCTGTCGCTGACTTTCTCGGGAGTTCCGTCTAGGGGATTGTCCTGCTGTGAGGTTGTATCGTCATATTCTAGGTCAATTTCGGCGGAGCTCGAGGAAGGGAGACGGTGCAAGAGGGGAATGACGGAGCGGTTATTGGTAGCCGAAGGTCGCCGAGCGTAGATGAGACCGGGGGCACTGGAGTGAAGACCAGTGTGGGAGCGGACGTGCTCAGCGTGAGCGTCGGAACCGTCATCATCGGACAGGCCGTCGTTGATTGCAATGTGATCATCCTCCTGGTCATCCGTAAAGACGGACCAGGATGCGGATGAGGTCGAGGAAGAAGAGACGGAGTACCGGTCGCGTTTATTGTAGCGTTGAAGTGCGCTGCCGAGTGCCGAGGGAACGAGAGGCGGGACTTCGCCGCCTTTGGTGTGCTCGATGAATGGAGAGGAAAGAGCGCTACTTGCAGAAGACATGGACGGAGAGGTGTGAGAATCGAGGAGTTCACACTCGTCGCTGCAATAAGCACGGCTTTGGGAGATGGTGGTGGTTAGAACGTGGCATATAGCTGCTATGAGGAAGGATGTACCCGTCATCGGCGAGCTGCTTGGAGCAGGTGAGACATATCTCCTCGAACATGGTGCTATTGGTCTGTGACCGAGCACTGGTGGTTGTGTGCGGATTCGGTGGGCTACGACGTGGCGGGCGAGTCGAGGACGGGAGGCTGAGCTAGTGGGACAACGTTGGGAAGTGGAGGTCTGGACATGGGACCTTAAATATTGGACGGGCACAGGAGGCACGAAAATTAGCTTGCAACGTAAACGGCAGGTGAGTCAAATGTGGACAAGGTAGTCACACCTGGCCAATAATGCGGTCACTACGTCACTACGTCACAGATCACAATTCACAACAGTTCACAAATGTCCCCCGTTAGCCCGTTGCGGTGTGCTGAAGCGCTGATTGGCGGCCAGCTTCGATTCGGGCCTTGTTGACCTTGTGTTGGCCTTTGCAACTCGACCCCAGAATGCACCCTCTCTCGGCTTCTTGCGCCCCAATTTCCATTCCTATTCTCCACCAGCCCGGTCACGCCAACGCCAGCTTCGTGAACGTGCCATCGCCCATTCAGGACATCCGCCAACCGAATATTATCATACCCATGACCTAGATGGTCCCCCCGCGCAAGCATGCGCACGTTTGATCTGCATACTATTGCGCCACATCCATCTTCCAAAATGCCCAAGCTTGCGGCTTTGTGACAGACCTCGCCACTAGTGTTGCCGCGGTTCGAGAAACCAGCTCAAATCGGCTCCTTGAAATACCCTTTCTTGCGACAATCCCGACCAACTGAGTGTTAGTCTTCGTGGGGTTTAGCCTCTACACAACGCCGAGGTGTGTTATCTGGACTGATAGTAAGTGCAAGTACAAGTTTCGTTGACTTGTTTCCAGCCAGTTCGCTAAATGCGGCAACACTACTCGCCACGGCTTCGGCTTCACTTCCATGTGACACGACCTGCCGATCTTCGAACATAAGAGGTCCTCTGTAATTTGCCCCTTTTTGAAAGGTCTTTTTGCGTATCTTCTGTTCCCTGGTTCACGATCATCACCTGACTGATTGCTTGCGTAGCATCACTGTAACATCGCGCTCGTTGCATCGGTGGTGGCTCCGCCGAACCGCTACTTTGATGCGTTACCGAGTCTGTTCGTGCCACCCACATGCGCTAACGAAGATCTGTGAAGCGCGACGGGTCTCGCCCCGGACTTTCTACGCGTGTCATGACTTTGTCACGGAACCATTATGCACTGGCGGTCTCCAGCAGTACGCAATTTGCTAGCAAAGCTTTTACCGAGTATCGTGTTTGCCTTCGTCCAATCATCCAATCCTCGGCTTTCCTCGTCATAAGACGTCATCACAGCAACCCGTTGCCGAGGATAGCGCTGCGAAATAAACCGGATTTTTTTTATCGCAGCAGACGCGTCGATTGATGATGCACATACCTTTCATGCATCGTCAATGCGTTTCACCTGCGTTCCACCGCTATGGTCGGACCACTGGCAGGGCACTCAGACCCAAGCACTAGCACATCATCCACCGCATCAGTCGATCCTTTGGCGTCTCAGGTTTTCAGAAAACGCAACCCGCGATATAGCTCTTGCACTGATCACGCATTGTCGTGTGTGGATCGTGCGCGATCGGAGGGCCAGACCGATCGGACTATCAACGGACATTTCGAATCTTAGCAGCTCACATCTGCTCACATGGAATGAGTTGTGGAATGACGTAAATAGCATCGCTGGCGACGATCCTTGGCTTTGGTCATGCAGTCATGACTGTAGAAGCTTAGGCGGCCGCGTTCTCGCCTTTTCCTCGCATCCATGCAAGACAGCCTGTTGTAAGCCTCATGCTCGCACACGAAAGCACAAGAGCGCACAAGATCTTTTATTGCACTATTACATCCCTCCAAATGCATCAGTCACAGCTTCCATCCTGAAACTGCGTCACGCTAGTCTCTTTCCCAAAGTGAATTACAATGCGGCAGACATTCAAACTGAAGACACGCCAGCGTTACTTCTGGGAAGATCGCGAAACTCTCCGTCACTCTGGTATTCTAACAGTTACTCTGTTGCCAAAATTGCTATTTAGCCCGCTAGTACCGTGAAGGTCTCATGAGCCTAACTGCGAGGGTTCCGAGGTGGTTCGTGTGTCTCGATGTAGGTGCCTGATGCAAGGCGCTAAAACAACCGCGTTACCGTAGGATCTCGACATACTCACACACCCGGACTCTGACAAAAAATCGGAGACGCAGGTAAATTAGTGTGTCAAATCAAGGTCTATGGTTACACTCTACGGGCCGACGCAATCTAATTCGTCATCTTTACAACGGCGACGCAATCAGGCGAACCAGTGTGTGCTCGACGCCATGCAGGATGAACGTCATAAGGCGGTAATCATCGATCATCTCTCATCTGCTCGGGCAACGTCGTCATCTTGCACGGGTGACAGTAACACTTCCGATTCCCCAGACTGACGACCGTCAGCGCTGATCTCCGTTCCCCTTGCACCTGAAAGCTGTGGCATTGCGGGGTCACCGTCCGACGCCGGCCCCGACGCAACGTCGGGGTTCTCAACCGAGGAGGCTGCGGCCGTTGCGGCCGTCGTGTCGCTACCATTTCTGTTTTCCCCATCGATGGCGAGCCCCGACGACGCTGCCTCATCCCTAGGCGTGGGCGTTGCATCGCCTATGTCCGCGGGCTCTTGTTCAAGTACTTGCCTAAATCCCATCCTTGAGCTCCCTCGTGGTGGGGGTGACACGCCCTCCGTAATAAGTGAGGGGTTGGCATTGGTGGTTGAGATTGATGGTGGTGGCGGTGGTGGTGAGGGGGACAATGAGCCGTTCGGAACGGAGACAGGTTTGGCACTATCCCTTCGAGAGAATAGACCTCTGATACGCTCGTTGGCTGTGGGAGGTGCCCAGCCGTTGTTGGTCACAGGTGACGAATTGGCTGCAATAAAACCAGGAAATGCCTTTTCGGACACTAGTTTCTCAAGTAGATCCGTGGGGGCGTTGACGTTCTTAAGCACAGAAAGTTTCTCATTGAGGAACCGTGCGTCCGCAAGCATTCTATGATGAATATGTGAACTGTGCTCGGTGATCATCTCCGCGGTGACCAGGCTTACCGGTTCTTTGCGTCCTGGTTCGAAAGTTCAATATTTCCATACTCCTCGGAAAGCCTATGATTGATAGCAGCAAATACTTGTGACATCACGTACTACACCAGTCAAGTCAGGTTGATTCCCTCATCTAACACACCAAAAGTAGGGTGTTTGCTCACCTCCACAACTTGTGTCGTCAGATACCGTGACAAAACCTTGTATAGCGTGACTGTCTCTTTGACGAGAAGTTCCATGTAGCTATTTGCTCCTTCTTTGGGGACCGTCCAGTCCACAGCCTAAAGTATCCATAACGTTGACGCATTCAGGCCGGTGCACACTCGACCACAGCCGCAACGCACGTACCTGTAGGGATTTGACATGTGCACTAATCCGGTCGCTCATTATGGCGATTAATTTAGAGTGAATCTCATTCTGATGTTCTTGGAAGTCCTGTGACAGTGACCCCAGAGATTAGCCAGCGGGGTAAATAGGCTATGATCGGCCGCACCCGTTTGAGTTTATCAAATTCCACAAGCATAACTGCCTGAGTCTGGCTTAGGTGTCGTCTGAACGTCTCGCGGACGTATGGGATCAACATCACCATAATTGACAGTGACTGCGAAGCTAGTGCTGCAGAGCGTCAGGCACGTTAGAAACGACAACTCATCGCAGTCCCACACGACGGGAGCTCACCAAGGTGTTTCGCGGTAATGTTTCGCAATCCAGCGGAGCGCATCGCCCCTGCTCCAAGCACGACTTGGCAGGTACGAGAGTTGAACGCCTTCAAAAACTCGATAACCCGGCTCATCGTATCCGTATTCAGCACCGAGAGGTTGACGACCACTTTGAGATAATCCAATAATAGAGCCAATACGGCCCCTGTGGCTGAGACGCAAAAGAACGGGTGCTCTTCAATGTGAAGATACTTTGAAGAGGCACCGGGTCCATTAGCCTTAGGTGACGGCGACGCGCTTCCATTCACGGGAGAAGAGGGTGACGCGGAGGCAGTAACAGGTTTAATGATGAGCTCTGGAGAATCCCGAACAGCAGAGTCGACCAGGATGCCGACTAATTGCTGCAATGACGGCGCGACTTCCGTTTGACTCCACTGCTCGTCTTCGACCAGCCTGGCGGATTGGGAAATCCGAGCCTGATGGAAGGTTTGGAGGAAGGTTTTGGCCTTCATTGTAGAAATGAGTGGACTTCGTTAGAGAGGTGAAGAGTAACGAACCTGCCCCAACAACGTGCCCCGGAGACCCATGATCATCCGCCGACAGATGGTCTCGCATGTCACAACGAAACTCCAAGATTCGTTGAAAAAGGTAAGGAATTGAGGAAGTTCAAGTTGTGCATGCTGATCGGCACGGTAGCCGATGAGTTTGGCGAGTATCTTGTTCACGAGGTCGGCTGCCGAAGACATGATGTCTGCCAGCTCCTCACGTATCGAAGGAATATCGATAGAGTACCGCGACCTTCCAAAGATGTTAGATACAGTGCTGCCTCGCCCAGTCAGACCGAAAAACTCACTCGAGCCCAGAAAGTACATCGGTAAAGGTACTGTTTTGAGTTTGCAAGCCGGACAGGGCGTTGACAGTGCTTCGGTACAAGGCAGAAACCAGATGCATTGAATCTTCATAGCTCAAGCCTCGCAAGTGCGTTGATGCTCCACTAATTTCACAGTCAGATGGGGGGATTTTTCTCTGAAGGAAATCGTTTACTTGGGTGGGGTTTTCGGTGACTTGAGCTCATCTTCATCAAATTCGAGGGACGGTAAATGCTAAATAACGTGAGCTTCTAGCACCTTGGACAGACCCCAACGACTGACTTGGCCGATAATCCCTCTCATTTCGAGATTGACGATTTCTCTCCACGATATTGTGGCTTCCCGTAGACCCTTCGTACGCGAAAGACCTTGCAGCAACGGACGAAGACGATCCTTCAGCGTGACTTCATCCACGGGAGCCTCAGGGGTGAACGTTGCGCGTTCCCGGAGATCTAGCTTCAGGGCTGTCACGAGATCCGTCGTGAGTGACGAAGCGATCTCCATTGTAAGCGTCCGTAGCTGGTCTGGAAGGGAGGAGAAGGCTTGCAAGGAGGATAATGGGATTGAAGCATTGGAGAAACGCGTTACAGACGCGGCATCAGTCTCGGGAGGCGGGGATTCAGGAGTAGGGGGCAGAGGAGATAGTCTCCCGTTGCCATTCGAGAGCAAGGACTGCCGTGAGTTCTTCCGTGATAGAGGTAATGGTGGCTTGAGTGGTCGAGGGTCCCAAAGTGCCTCAACGTCTTCTATGATGCCCAATGCTTCGCCCCACTGACCAGCTACTACGAGACCCTTGGCGACACCAGTCATCTCCACAACACTTTCCACCTCTTTGATGCCTTCATGGACCGCAGCCAAGTTTCGCTGTTTGCTCTGTCTCGTCACGATGTGTAGTCCACGCTTCGCTCCCTTCTCGTCAACGTCGTTGAGTAATCCGCGTAGCTTAGACACCCGATCCAAACATTCTTCCGACTCGGTCTGTAGATCTTGAAGGTTCGAAAGCGCAGCAAAGAATGAGCTTGACCTGGCGGAAATTTCACGCACGAGGTGCTGCTCGATGGTATCCGCATGGTGTGACAACCTCTCGAGTAGTGGGAGAGCGTACGAGGGCAACAAAGGGTCGGCGTCTTCTTCAGCATTTCCCCGCTCTGTAACTACACCAAACGTACGTGGATCTCCAAGGTTGAAATGGGGGTCGAAGAAGATTTGAGGAACGGAGTTGAGAGGAGTGAATGGCTTGGTGGAGACGGGCGTATGTGGTGTATTAAGCGATGACCGCGGCGTGGTCGATGACTGTTCCGGTCGCGTCTGGTCATCAACATCAGGCTGCAAGTTGCGTTGGAACTTGTCCCACTCTGGCCCTACAGCCCGGAGGTACGAATCAAAATCCTTGCGTTTGACTCGCGGCAGGTCTGCTGGAGGAACAGCCGGAAGAGAAGAGTGCGCTTTGGGAGGAGCCTGTTTCCTGTGAGGATTGTTGAGGACGGTGGAGATTGCTAATATACGGCATCACTTTTATTGGTGCAAGGCCTGAAGAGACTGGCACGTACCGTTGAATCCCTGCTTGGAGCTACTCCATTCATTGGGCAAGGAACCTGCCGTAAGGTTGGAACTTGATGCACCGAAAGGATCCAGGCGTGGCGCGACACCAAAGTAGTCTGCCCCACGCCCTTCAGTTGCTTCGGAGACACTGCCTGGGCCACGCACCCGCGACGCAGTGTCCCAGTTAAATCTAAATGGACGAGGGGTGATAGTCTGAGTGTCTGGAAGCGCGCCTACAGGGGAAGCAGGACGGGAAGGACTCGAAGTATAGTCTGACATAGTTCGTCGATGCGGTGTGCGTTAGTTAGGAAAGCTGGTGTAGTCGGGTACGGCGAACGCGTCTTTGAGCAGTTGTCACGAGCAATGCATTGAGTTCTGGGGTGAGTAGGCACACTTCACGGCACGAGCAAGCGAGTTCGGATCGTTATGGTGTTGTGGCTTGAAGCCAACTTGAAGCCTGAGGCCTGGATGAGGACAAACAATTAGTAGAGCGAAGATGTAGGATTGACTTCTTCGTTTGGTCAAGTGCAGGGGCGCTTTCTCAGAAGGCTTGTACCGGCCTCATTTACTTTTGGAAGGCCTTGTGACTGCACTCATACTTCACCGAGTATTAGTCAACATGGACAGCATCCTCACAGTCCCCGGTCCCATCCAGAAATTCTTCAGTCTCTTTCCCCTCCAGTCACACTCTCCTATAACTGTTCCGTTCAAGCGCCCTGTGCAAAAGCCTACGCTGTGGATCGCACCACCAAGAACCTTCGAAACCTCCGATTTCCTCAGCACCGATGTCGAATGTCTAAAATGGCAGGCTTACATCGCCCTTCGCGGCCTCACCAACGTTGCTGTTCGCTCAGATGTCTCGCCGGAAGGCGCATTGGGTGAACGTCTGCCCAATTTGCATGTTCCTGCATTCGGCGACGTTGATGGTAACCTCCTGGCCGCGCATATGATCCCAGGCTGGGTAGACGAGCAACTCGGGGTACCCGTGGATGACCTCGAGGGCTACAAGGACGGGCCATGTAAGGATGAGAGTCGCGCATGGGTCTCCCTTCTGGAAGGCGTCGTGCATACTGCTCTGGTAAGCTGAAGTGGACGTGTCTGCTTTCAGGTCTTCCTAACTTCCGTTACAGATCACCTCCTTACCACTCCCTTCCCTGTTCTCTTCACTAATGGAAGCAGATTCGGGCGCAATCAGACCAGTACAAGCTCTCATGAACCCTCCGCCCGCTCCCCTGACTGGCATTAGCTCTTTTATTCCTCCTTATGGGGTGAGGATGACCTTCGCTTCCATTCAGGGCCGATATACAGAGGCCATTGGCGCTCTCTCTGAACGGCTAGGGACTGATAAATGGTTCCTTGGTTCAGAGTAAGTACCGCAAAGCTGTTTGCCGTGTCTCATCAGTTAACTTATTTGTCCTGTCGTTCCCCTTGCAGCAATGCTACCGCGTTGGACGCGCTTGCCTTCGCGTACCTCCACGTCCTCATGCACGGAAGCGACGACGTCCGCATCGAAGTTACTAAAAGAGTCAACTTGGTGACATGGGAACGGCGTGTTAGATCGCAAGTTCAGGGAGCGTTTTGCAGCGTCTGAATGTTCTTGTATAGGTGTAAGTATATTAGCATTTCTATATAGATTCACTAAAGATGCAATAATATTCTAACGCTGTAGCCCGGCTAGTTGAGCTTCGACTTCTTGGTACCATTGATGTGACCATTGCCATTGGCGTGTTCATTTGCATGTCCAGTTGTTTGAGTGAATCGCTTACGAAGAGCAGTAATCATCTTCGTGAACCTACACGATGGAGAATGAGATGCAGGGTGAACAATCACGGGATCTTCTTACCAAAGCCAGTTGAGCGATTGCAGGACGACGTTACCAACACCGTACACCAAAGAATATATGATAGGGAGCTGGTTGTAGATATCCCCCAGTGTATGCCAAAAGTCGAATGACTACAGGAGAAAATCGGTCTCAAGGTAGATTTCAAAGAGGATTTTGCGCACCATTTTACCGCCCCAGATCAGCCGAACGGAAAAGAATGTGGCCAATAAGCAGATGCCATTGAGCAGCTGAAACTGACTACCCGACTGGCCGGTCTTGTCCAAGAACCTGGCATCCTATATTAGTGAATGAATACATTTGATAGATTTATACTCACCAGTGAATGTTGAGGAAAACAGTACTCCTAAGAGACGGAGAGTTCAGACGAAGGACGTACGGAGAAGCAATGTACACGCACAATTCCCAGAACAAAAAGCGAAGCCCATAGTATTGCAAGAACGGTCTCTTTCGCAATGGTCAAGCCACGACCCGTAAATCTCATTCGAGCCAAGACTCACAAATGCAAGCCCATATATCAAAGTACACGAGAAACCTACAGCCGCCATGAGTACGGAAGTCTAGCGATATGAGCTGAAGAGACACGTACCATGAAGAACGAAACCAATGTCTGTAAACTCCACTATAGAATCAACCAAGTCCCAGATGAAGTACCTGTGACATCACATTGATACGAGACTATTTGAACCACCCACGACGCAGACTCACCCGCACGCGATAGCAATGACATAGCCTGCCTGGTCATCCCATCCAAAGGCACGGTCCGCATCCAGAGCAGGAATCATCAGGCAGCGACCTGACAACACTATGATAACAACCGCGTGCACCAGAGAGACGACATGTATATCCCTAAGGTGCTCAGTTAGACATGGCACCGTTACCTTGAAAAACTCCATGTCGATGACTTACCAGTTATGTTGCACCCTCTTGCCAGCCTTGGCATATGATGATGGAAATAGCGCGCTACTCAGCAGAGGCGACAAGACGAGATGCACAAACGTAAAAAAGAGCGTCGAGAAAACGATGACATCCGCGTAGTCCGGTATCTTCTGTAGACCGCTCTTCGCAGCTAACGGCTGGGCCAGGACGCGTAGCTGCGCGCGAATACCTTCCAGCATGACAATTGCACAGGAGCCCCTAGTACTTCGTGGTGTCTGGAAGAGCAGTCCGTGTGAGGGGCACAGGCGCGCTTCACAGGTATAAAGCTGCAGCCCGCTGAGAGACAGCGACAAGAACAAAAGCTAATTTGAAAACGTGCTCTGGATGAGTAAAATGCTCATTTACACTGCCACGACGACTAAGTAATTGGACCGGAACAGACACTTGTCAAGCACATGCCAGCAAACGTCAATATGCCACGTTTTCACTCAATGGCCAGTCCTTGTCCCCCATTGATGGTCTGGCACTGTGAAGTCATTCTGGGAAGCCCGGTGTAAGGTTGGCCTGATCATGATTTGGCGCTTAGTGTATCTCAGTGCGGACCACAAACCCTCCGACTTTCTCGAGAAGATCCTTTGTGTAAACTCACCGGTACCGGCCTTTGTATCATCTAGCAGCTTGATTGACACGGAGCATAGACTGTACATAGGGAATCGCTCCTAGCTAGCTCACAGCTTGCAACAAGAATATATATGTATGTCGCGAAAGAAACAGGCCTCTTGATTATATAACAAAGAATTTCCAATGAGATGTGAACTAAACCATATTAAAGGGTAGCAAAGCAAGAAAACACGGCGGATTTTACACAAGGTTCGGTTGCCTTGTGTAGCATGTAAGCCCATAGGTGAGTCCATGGAGTAAGCAATATGATGTATGTGGTAGCTTGGGGATAACGAGCGTGTGGCTTTCAACGAGGCGAGCGAGCAAGTAACGAATTGCGTTGGAAGCGCCGAGCGACGGACGTGCGGAAACGTGCGGAGGCTTGCGGGAATTGTCCAAGGTATAGTCACCGTGGAGGGGTATAGGGCACGCGATAGAGATTACATTATGACGCAGTTGCAGCATGGCTGCTCGGGTGGCGCGTAAGGGTCGTCCTGCTTGCTCACAGGACCCCACACAGAAGGAACCTAAACGATGTACACATGAGTCCTGATCGACGAGATACGGAAAGGGAGAGCCATTGAGAAGCTTCAGGACACGCACCAGGTGGTCTTTCGTACTTTTGCAGTACCGGATGAGGCTGGTTACAGGAAGGCAGGCGTTAGCATCACACGAGTTCCATGTAGAATAATGATGATAGACCTTGCTGATGCCTCGCTGACTCTCATACGCGGCCGCGCGAGGTCTTCTCTCAACCGTTGATTGTGTTCCACAAGTCGGCGCAGCTTGAGCTCGGACATGGACTGCTTGTGGGGTCGGGAGCTCATTATGAAAGTATGTGGGAGCGAAGGGGTTTTGTGTTGTTGTGAGTATGTGTTGTTTGAGGATGGTGAAAGTAGGAGGTGGCAGTCGATGGGTCCTTCGGTGGCAAGAAAAGCGAAGGATGGACTAACTCCAGCACACAGGCACGGGGTCGGCGCGAATGGTGAAGCGGGTTTTGCGGGGAGTTGCCGATCGGAGGCTGAAAACACTACGGGCAAACTGCCATTTTTCGGCGGAGAAAAAAGAGAGAAAAGGCGTGTAGGTGAAAACCTTTTTCGCTGAGTTTTCACCGCGAGAAAAGTCAAAGGAAAGATTATCATTGAACCCGAGAGAGCGCCTTTTCTGGGTGAGAAAAGGATAAATGTCTCATTATGGACGCCTAATTTGGTAAATTTGCCGACTTTGGGGAATTGTTAACCTTTTCTCGCCCAGAAAAGGCGCTCTCTCGGGTGCAATGGTTATCTTTCCTTTGACTTTTCTCGCGGTGAAAACTCGGCGAAGGGGGTTTTCACCTCCACTCATTTTCTCTCATTTTTCTCCAGCAAAAAATAGCAGTTTGCCCGTGGTGAAAATGGCTTATGGGAATAAGAATGGTCGGGATCACGGCGGTATATATACGGTGTATCCCTTGTATTCCGTCACCACCCCTGCTATTCATACATATCAGCGCAAACGGCCCCCCGCAATCACCATGATACGACAATCAAGTCCCAGGAATTGCAATGCATCAGCTCCTCGGTACAGTGCTGGAACAGCCTCAAATTTACGTTGGAATCGCTCTTTCATATCGCTCCCAATTCGTACAGCAATACTCATGCGTGCTGTACAGGATTACAGCGGCGGGACAATGTACGACCGGAAGCAGCTCTGTCTACGCGACGCGAAGCCCTCTTTGACGCTGGACACACGATGCAAGATCTTGAGGGACCGCATACACCCACCAAGCAGGCCAATCACGTTCAAGACAACGATTCCGGCGAACTCGAAGGCAGCTCAGACTGGGATGACGAAACTGCCTTCATGAGTTTGCTTGATCTGTAGGAGACTTTCTTGCTGGGCTCTTTTCCGTCTAACGCATATATGCGTCTCGTGGTTCACTCAGAAGCGACGTTCAGGAGAAGGAGGACAGCGCCTCCGCAGTTGTCGATAAATTACAACCTGCATTTCTAGCTCAGGATCGTCAGGCCAGGCAGCTCATCAAAGACACATACTTTCATGTTATAAACGACATCAGGCGTGTTCACTCGCAAGTCGATCGCGTAACTTCTCCTGCTTTGCTAGCCGGACTCTCTATCTTTGTGACTAGCTCAAAAACATTCGAGGATGCTATCCTACGTGAACAAGACCTCGTTGGGACAACATACACTCAGAAGAAGGTAATCTCAGTCAGCTTCCATCCGCGCAGTCGACCTATGGTTTCCCAGAACGAGCTAGATGATCTCTACATGCAACTGGCCCATAAGCGCGACGACTCGGACGAGCTCGTGAAAAGCCTAGAAACAAACATTGGCGAGCATGGTGACCTATGCACACCACTTAGCGTCTTGGAACCAGGATGGCTAATCTCTCTTTCGTCAAGTTTCTCGATTGCGCCATCTATCCAGCTCAACTTCCGTCGACGTGGAACGCCTGATATCTAAAGTTGACAGAAAGATGAAATCCCTCAGTAGTGAGGATCACTCGAGGGCAAAGGAGAAATTGCTCAGGGACATACTCGCGAAATACTAATTGGCGACGTCAGGCTGCTCGGCTTTACCACTTGCTCCTATGTTGCGCTGGCATGCTATCGGTGGCACAGTCTTTCCTTCTTGAGCACGGTGGTCTTAGTACTTTATGTGCGTGTACTTGTTGAGGGAGCTGTGGTCTTCAAACCCCGATGTGTGATTACACTATTATAATGAAAGTAGGGTTTAAACGTCCACGTCTGTATTTCCCACGTCATTTCTCAGATTTGACTTGCAAGTTCAAGGAAAGTACTAGTGGTCAAACGAATTATGTAAGTAGGGGCGTAATTATGCAAGCTGGGCCGGTGTGGACTCGTATGGACAGCGGAGACTTGAACTCACGAAAAGCGGGTGTCTGCGACATGAATGAGTGATGCCGGAGCGGGAGAGGATGCTTATGTGAAGGCGCCATAAACTAGTATTGATGCATATTGATGGTGAGAGCCTAATTTGTAGTCCGAATTGGTTCGGGCACTGTCCGCCACTTCACTCAACGCTGCCATCACCGTCGTTATCCTCCCACGTATCCTTCCCCCCCGGCCAAAAAATACCCAGCGCCCTTGCATAACCGACCTCAGATTCATTTTACAGACAGTAGCAAGTTCTTCTAACCCATCTCGTAATTCTGCCTCAATAACGCTTCGCCACTTGCTCCCCCAGGTGGTTGTTCCAGCCGGTCTACAATTCAACATCCCACCGTTTTCCTTGATCTGAAACTACATTCCTTCAATCAATCATGAGCGCTCGAGGTGGAAGGCAATCAATGTCTGAGCTGCGATACCGCCGCTTGCTGGAGCACAACCAGAGGTTAAGAGAAGACCTGGCACGACCCAGGATTCGCGTCAGCGAGGCCAGCGCGAGGTACGTATCGCTGCGTTTTACGTTCTAGCTTTCCCTGATTGGTGAAATTCTAGCCTCATACGGTACTGTAAGACCACGAAAGACCATCTGGTGCGCAATGCCATCTGATATGCTGAACCTATGTCCGCCCACTGATCCATCTTTATCAAGGTTCCGTCTGTATGGGGACCGGTCGGAAGGAGTGAAGATCCCTATGCTCCACAGACGAACAAAGCATGCTGCACCATCCAGTGATCTTCCACAAGACTTGGAGTGTGACCTGTTTTCTCCCTTCTCCTTTGTCTGTTCGCGTACGTTTAGTATAGACCCTGTGTCCATTTCACCTCCGCAGGACAGTAGGGTTTGTCGATACCTTTCCGTACTGTAGTCTGCCTTTCCTATCTTCTTGAGACCCTCTTTTGCTCCTCTTCGCCTGTATTCACTCAGCGTTTTCCCTCGTTTACCTAGTGTGACCTTTCCCGGTGCAACATACCATCTCCTTGAATCGCTTTAATATATTCAGTGGTCTGGATAAAAACTCAAAGGGACTAGCTGGTAGGTCATACAACCTTCACTTCAGACACGCTGCAAGAACTGGCGGATGCCACTCTCGTTTAAAGCACCAATGAAGTGATTCACGGGCTTGCCATCTCGGAATGCCATCACCGTTGGCAGGGAGCGTATCTGCATCGTATCAATATTGGTTCGTTTAGTGAAAACCAAAGAGCACTCTTACCTGATACTCTGACGCCATCTCGACCTGTTCGTCAGCATTGATAGTGACCAAGTCTAATGACCGGTTGCTTCCTGTCTTTACACTTTCGTCATTGGTCAATTTCTCAAGTATGGGAGAAATCAGTTTGCAAGGCGGGCACCAACTGTCAAAACGTCACCTAATGTTCAGCAAGCATCAACGTATACATATTCTAAATCCACTCACTCTGCGTAAAAATCGACCAGCACAACTTTATCCTTGGAAGCCGTGTTCAAAGCGACTTTCTTGAAGGTCTGCATGGATACGAACGAGATCACTAGAAGCATGCTCACCACGACTTGTGCTCGGAAAAGGGCGGTGAACTAACCTCGTTACCTACATTCAGGTAGTGGATTTGCCTACGATGGAGGCCAGTCATATGGCTGGCACCTAACCGAAAGCAGATCCGTGATGGATTGAGCGAGGTACGGAACTTCAGCTTCAGGATGGAAGACATGGCGAAGGCTTTAGCGCACTTTACTCGAAGTCACAGAGTTGACTTGACGTTGAAAGCCGCTGACTTGATATTTCGGTTATTTCGGGTGAGAATCTCCCACTTATGGATATGACCCCTAACTCAAACACACTTCTCGTAGTAAGTCAGAGTAAGTCTCATAGTCGTCAGGCAACCTGCCGGCCTCTAAAGGCTACCCATGACCTCAGCCGTCGCAAAACTCAAGCCCTAGCCCTAGCAATGACTTCGAAATCTATAACTTATTCATGTCTTAGATTCAACCTGCGCTTAGCTTCGGGTTGGCGACCTGTTGGCGGGGGTCCTTGGCAGGGCCTTGTTGCCTTCCCTTGCGCCTTCTTCGTACGAAGTCAACGTCTCAGCGACGTTCTTCGGTGACCAGAGCACTCGTACATCTTTCCCTCTTCCCTTCACAGCAACCATGGGCAAAATTGTCAAGCCTCTCATGGCATCATGGCACTTCGCTACAAGAAGTTCTCCGTGATGACCTCCTTGACGGATAGTACGCTATCGCCCTGCGTGGGACGGATCCCCAAGACAACTTGGCTCTCGTATAAGTTCGTGTCCACAGGCCCACTACTTCACTCACTTAGTTTTCTCTCAACACGAGCAGGGTAAGCGCGCTCCTAAGTGCTATGATACGTACTATCTAATGCTGCGATGGTTAGACTCGAAATATTCCCTTCTTTCGCCCTCCAACTTCTGACTGCAATCATTCTTTCGGTGCTGGCATCAATTTATTTTATTCGGTTCTCAACACATTTCCATGCGCTTCTCTGCCGCCTTTTTTGCCGTTGTTTGTTCCGCTGCAGCCGCTGCACAGCAGACATACACCATCCTGGTCGGCTCGAATGGCACGGCTACTTTCAATCCGCCATAGTAAGTACGTTCAATACATTCAGCACGGAGTAAGGATTTCGATACATGAGACAGTGTCAATGCTACTTCCGGCGATAAAATCGCATTCCAGTTGTGAGTGTTGCATTCCTTGAGCACATCAATCTCGAGTTTGATCATTCTGGCTATAGCGTGGGTGGGAACCATGTACGCGCTTGCTAATGCATTTATGATGCCATGCTGACCCATAACATACAGACCGTTACTCAGTCGGCCTTCAATATGCCCTGCGAGAATAACACAAGCCCTATGACGGGCATGGACTCAGGTTTTCAGCCAGTTGCCACCAATGCTTCCATGTACCCACAGTACAGTCTCACCATGACCAACTCGAACACCATGTGGTTCTACTGTCGTCAAATCGGGTAAGGGAAGCACATTTTTGATTCTCGTCAGGCCACACTAAGGTCTCGACTGCAGTCACTGCGAGAAAGGAATGGTGTTCGCGATCAATCCCACAGAACAGATGACTTTCCAAGCCTTCCAGGTTGGTTTTTGTCTGACGTTGTATCCGAATATGCTTACAATCTCTTGTCTAGAATACTGCTAAAGCTAGCGGGTCGTCTCTTTCGAGCTCGGCGACCATGAGCGGCGCCATGCCCGTATCTGCGTCAACGACAAATGGTGCAGTTTTACACGGCGTTAGCTCAGCCTTCGTTACATTATTCCTCGGTGCATCTTTGATAATTCTGGCATAAGCTACCTTCCACCAAGGGCAAACTGTTTTGGATTTAACTTTGAAGTGGACAGCTTTGGGTCGTTACGTTTGCCTTGGGTTGTTTGATATCGTATGACAATACTACCGATGACACTCTGTGTTTATACTGGGTATCAGGCTTCTTTCTGTGTCTTTCCTAACGATCCACGCCTGACATCCTGTGGTTATGGTTACATTGGGGAGTGTTCTTGAAAGAAGGGACGCCGAAGCTTGTAGTTAGGGGTTTTGCCCATAAGGGTTTATTAGGATTTTGCTCGCGAAGATCTTATGTTCTCAAACTCTTCGGTTGTTCACCAATGCCTAACAGATCTCTACCACCGCCCGCAAAGAAACGAAAACCAAACGATGACGTACAAGACGAGCTAAAACTTCTCGAGACTCAGATATGCTCTGCAGTGAAAACGCACTCATCCCTCAATCAGTTGGCGGACCTTCTAGAGCTCGCAGAATCGTCATCCGAGGTGCACAACATGTCTCGTGCAATTTACAGTCTCTACCGTGTCTTTGTTGTCATCGTAACTAGCGGAATGCTGGGTCATGGTGGAGACGATACTGCAAAAGCTGTCCGACGATGGATATGGGACAAACTGGAAGCCTATGTCAACATTTTGTCAGGACTTTTGCAAGACGAAGAATCAGGCTTGCGAGTGAGTTGAAGCGGCCTCCCCTGCGAATACGTACTCACATAAGCTTTGAAGATTTCAGCCCTCGAAATTTTGTTTTCGCTGCAGAAGCACTTGTCCACGTCCTTAACGAACTCAACATCCTCTGATGCATCATCGTCGAAAGTTCAGCCGCAGTTTCATTCCTCGCATTTTCAGTCCGTTGTCTCCGCCATCCTCATGTGCCCGCCTTCATCTCGGCCTGGTGCATCCTCAATTAGTCCGGGAAAGCTAGCAGAGAACGTCAGAGAACTCTTTGTTGAAAAATGGCTTTCCGTGTATGACGATGTGCGGTGGTGGTTCCTTCGATTGTCAACGTAAGCTGCGTATGTTTCGCCTTGCTCACTTACTGAACTAGACACATCTGCTCAGCACAGTGCTCACTCGTGCCTCACCTAAGGATTGTCTTCATATCCTCGATAATATGCTCTCCATTATGGAGAAACTCGTGACCTTCCCAACCGAGCCATCCGAACTCAACTCGTGGTGGGTTGACGAACTCGGTCAAAGGCCGCCAGCCCCCAAAAGCTCCAGGTCCGATGCAGATACAGAGGAGGAACACGACCTTGCCGACAACGAAGAGGATATAGATGACTGGAGAAAGTACTTCGACGAGGATGACGATGCAAAACCGACCAAGAGTAAAGCCATCAAAGGCCGGGTACATGAACTTAATCTCCATCAAGCCCTTCATTCTCTACAAGCACATCGTGCAGTCTTCACTCGCGCATGGCTCTCGTTCCTTTCACGCTTTTCTCTTGCCAGCTCCGAGGCGAACAGAAATTTATCTATCAGGGTGTTGAACATCATGCACCGTGGTGTTTTGCCTCACCTTACGAGACCGGTGCTAGTGATGGATTGGATCAGTGCATGTGTTGACTTCGGTGCGCCCCCTACTTACCTATTGACACCATTATCTCGTATTCATCATTTTCTAGGCGGAACGGTGGGGCTCCTCGCGTTTAACGCCCTTTTCACTTTGATGAGAGATTATAACCTGTAGGGTGCTTATGGGTTCAAAGAAACTAGCTGACAACGTCATAGGGACTATCCCTCCTTCTACACACGTCTCTACGCATTCTTGGACCGAGATGTACTCCACCTCAAGCACCGCGCCCGTTTCTTCCGACTCACGGAGCTGTTTCTGAGTTCGACGTAGGTCAGGTATCAATAAATGCTGTTGTTTATGCTGATGGAGATGCAGTCATCTACCTGCGACGTTGCTTGCCTCCTTTGTCAAGCGACTTGCACGACTTTCGTTGACTGCTCCCCCGGCTGCCATTGTCATGGTCATACCATTTACCTATAATGTTCTCAAGAGGCATCCAGCCCTGATGGTGATGATTCACAGGGTCAGCCTGGATGATGATCAAGACAGTGGTATGTATGTACCTGATAAACGTATAGCAGCTCTTTAAACTCGTTTAGATCATTTTCTTCCTGAGGAAATAAACCCGAATAACACGAATGCCCTAGACTCCTCGTTATGGGAGCTATATAGCCAGAGGCAGCACTATGATCCTGCAGTGTCTGGTCTGGCTCGAATATTCGAGGAGGCCTTTACAAAGCCCGGCTACAATATAGAGGATTTCTTGGACCATACTTATGGGACAGTGAGTGGTGACGGATATTCATATGTTCCAAGCTGATTCTGTCCCAAGCTCATTGAAACGGAAACAAAAAGGAGGATCCGGAAAGAGCCCGCACTCGCCATTGACCTCAAACCAAGCACTGAGGGAGACGTAATTAGTGAACTGTGGGCATTATAGTAGGCATGGATCACTGAGGTGTTGTTCAAACACTAGCTGTTTATCGATATTATTTGTTGATGTCTGTTCCTCTGCGCATTTGCTTACACCGTCGTTAACACAGCAGAAGTGTCGATAGGATAGGGGCTGGAACAGCACTGATATAAACACATTCAAATACCTTCCTGACTTCATTCAGGCTCCAGGGTCTTCGTAATGCATAGACTATCGTCGGCTTCTTAAGTGTTGATAAAAGCGCATCATTTCTCTCTCACCAACCACTCTTGACTCCTCAGACCACTATGGATGCTATCCGAGTCACTAAGGTAAAGATCTCTCGAGTCTTGATTTCAACTTGCACCAACGTCATTCAAGGTGGAGAAGGTACTCTGCGGAAGATTGGGCAGAGCCGAGTACGGTTCCATTCATCTCACTGCGCATCACCTCATATTTCGATACGAGGATGCCGAAAGGGAGGAGCTGTGGGTGAGATCATACTCTCCTCCATTGAGCAGCTCTGACATGTCATCAGGTACCATACCCACTCATCTCGCTTGTCATGCAACTACCTCATACCTTACATGGCCAATATCCTCTAACTTTCCACACGAGAACATTTGAAACATTCTCCCTGTCCTTCACGAACGGCAAGGATGCTGTTGATGTTTTTGAGAGCGTAAAAGAGCTCACAGTATGCAGTGAGTCTTCTGCTCGATGTTGGGATCGCGTGTTTCACGCATCAGGCAGCTTCTGTGAATCAGCTTTACGCGTTTTACTATTCCTCAACACCTCCTTTGGAACTCAAGAGCGGATGGACAATATACTCGCCGAGGGAAGAGTTTGGTCGCATGGGCGTCGGCACACGATCGAAGGCATGGCGGTTCACCGACATCAACAAGGACTATTCGGTGGGTAATTTCCCCTGCGATGGCGTTATGCATTAACAGACCTGCTCAAATCTCCCAGCTCAGTTCTACCTATCCATCTCGATTAATCGTACCAACACGCATCAGCGATTCTACATTGCAATATGCTGCTAAGTACCGTAGTAAATGCCGAATACCTGCCCTCACTTATCTACACTGGGCCAACTATGTATGCGCAACTCTTCAACAAAGCTACCCTCGCTAACTTGTCAACAGGGCTCTTTAACTCGTTGTAGTCAACCCATGGTCGGCATAAAGCAAAACCGGTCCGTACAAGACGAAAAGCTCGTCGAGGCTATATTCCAGTCACACCACTCGCCAGATTCTCGTACTCCTAATGCTTCTGTTTATGGCGCTCAAAGTACCAATCTGATCGTGGACGCTCGGCCTACCGCTAATGCCATGGCCAACACAGCTCGTGGTGCCGGGACAGAAAATATGGACAATTACAAAGACGCCAAGAAGGTGTATCTGGGGATTGACAATATCCATGCCATGAGAGATTCCCTCGGACGGGTGGTAGACGCTCTACGAGAAGCCGACACCGTTTCCGCCAGTGTAAGCGGCAACCTTCCTGGCGAGGCTCAGCAGCTTGCCGTTCTTGATCGCCAGGCACTCAGGCGCTCTAATTGGCTGCGCCATATCTCAATAATTCTAGAGGGCACTCTTCTCATCGTCCGAAATATCCATGTCAACTCGTCCCACGTTCTTCTTCACTGCTCGGATGGGTGGGATCGTACCTCGCAACTTTCTGCTCTTTCTCAGCTATGTCTCGATCCTTTTTACAGGTCAATGCGTGGCTTTCAGATACTGGTGGAGAAGGATTGGATCGCTTTCGGTCATAGATTCTTGGATCGCTGTGGACACCTCTCCTCGGAGAAATTCTTCACTTCGCTTGCAGATACGGCTGGAGCTGCTAACGGTGGCGAGGCTGCACAGGCTGCGCAAGCGTTTCTAGCATCAGTGCAAAACCGTTTTGCTTCCCAGAGCCACGTCAAAGAGACTAGTCCCGCCTTCCACCAGTTTCTGGAGTGTGTTCGACAGATACAACGACAGTATCCCGACAGATTCGAGTTCAATGAACGATTCCTGCGAAATCTTCACTACCAACTATATGCTTGCCAGTACGGAACTTTCCTGTTCAACTGCGAGAGAGAGCGACGGTATGGAGAAGACGGCATGATACCCTCGGAGAAGACTGTAAGCGTCTGGGACTGGTTTAACTCTCCCGCGGAGATGGAACAGAACAAAAATCCCACTTACAGCCCAGAGTTGGACAATCCTAGGCAGGCAGACATGGGAGTTCTCCTCCCAAACGTGAAGGATGTGAGGTTCTGGAATGAGCTCTATGGGCGCACAGATGAAGAAATGAACGGGAAAGTGGCCATTGCACAGGTCAAAGAGGATCCAGAAAGCCTTGTTGTTTCTAATGCCGATGAAGAACCTGTCACTCCCGATAGCGCTTTGGATGCCGTACAAGATGCGGACGCTCTTTCACCGTCATCATCAAATGAGCCAACACCAGTGTCTTCCAGATCAACCAATCCTTCTCAAGGTGGCCTAGGCGCCAGTTTCCGAAGTCTGTGGTCATCGCTCCCCGATGTCTCTCAAACGAGTCTCGCCGAACCGTTGCCGCCTGTCTCCATAGCCCCTTCTGCTATCTCATCATCACAGCCTGACCTCGCTAGTACAGACGCGGCGACAGTCTGGGGTTCACAAAGCAGAGCAAGGGGTGCGAACGCAGTTGATGTTCTCAGTGGTGCCGGTGTGCGATCTATGTGGGGGAAGCTGTCTTCCAATGCCACGGCCGCGTTTTCTGTGGTTCAGGACGCCTACGGTGGCTCCGCACGAGACTTTAACAGACCTACTTTAGGAGATAGAGAATTGCAGAGCAATTTCTCTGAAACACCTTCAGTCAATCGCACAGTCGAAGAGCAGACATTCCCCTCACATGGAATCAGACAAGGTAGCACAAGTGCATCTGTTTACAACCCCTGGAACAGTGTGAAGCTACAACAATCGAATAATCTTGCGTCTTTCGATAACCCATGGAGTACGACACGGTCACCTTTCACGGGCCAGATCCGTAGTCCGCACGTCCAGGACATATTTGATGCCTCCCCGCTCCCCACGGATCCCACTATCGCACACCCCCCGCAACGCTCGGAGACCATTGATAAGCTGTCTCCTTCCAAAGCAATTGGGGAACTACCGCAGAGCGATAGCGTGAGGGCCGCACATCTCACGGGTACTTACAGTGAGAAAGCAACGCCAGCTCAGGACGAGCATGCGACTTCGCAAGCAGACACGAGCTCAAGCACGAACTCGGATCCGCTAGGGGCTGGTTTTTTGTAGCAATGGATTTAATCTTCTCTGTTCATCTGTATACGTAGTAACATTGTAGTTTATTCCATGCACATCGATATGCATCTACTGCAGGCAGTTCAAATGTTGTCATAAGCTACGAGTGAACAAAAATGACGAGATGCACGACCGTGAGTCCGACGAAGCTGGATCTTAGAACTAGATCTGATTTTCCTCGGAAAACCTGAGATGGCGTGATAGAATATTGTTACGTAAGCGAGACAACATTTAATTGAGACCTTGGCTGGACACGTTCAGTTTTCAACCCCCCCATCGTTCCCCTTCCACCATCGCCTCTCTCTCTCTCTATACCTCTCCGTCTCCATTACGATTCAAAATGTCCGTCCTTCCTCCCGGTCACTTCCTCTTCACGTCCGAGTCTGTTGGTGAGGGTCACCCCGGTGAGTACCCCATACATCCTACCTCGGCTTGCGTGTTTAATATTTTGGCAACAGATAAGATCTGTGACCAGGTCTCCGATGCTATCGTACGTCTCCGTCTATCATATTTACCACAGAAAGCTCACCATCACCATCCGTATAGCTTGATGCTTGCCTGGCGCAAGACCCGTTCTCGAAGGTTGCTTGTGAGACCGCAACCAAGACGGGCATGATCATGGTCTTTGGCGAAATAACCACCAAGGCTCAGATTGACTATCAGTCCGTCATTCGCAACACCATCAAGCAGATCGGTTACGACGATTCGTCGAAGGGTTTCGACTACAAGACTTGCAACATCCTCGTTGCCATTGAGCAGCAGTCCCCGGATATTGCTCAGGGTCTTGACCACGGCTCACTGGAGGCCATGGGTGCTGGTGATCAGGGTATCATGTTTGGCTATGCTACCGATGAGACCGAGGAGCGCATGCCCCTTACCATCATGCTCGCTCACAAACTCAACGCTGCGATGGCCACTGCTCGCCGGTCCGGTCTTCTTGGCTGGCTCCGCCCTGACTCCAAGACTCAGGTCACCGTTGAGTACAAGAAGGAGGGCGGTGCCACTATCCCCCTTCGTATCGATACCATCGTTATTTCCACGCAGCACGCTGAGGAGATTTCTACTGAGAAGCTTCGCGAAGAGATCATGGAGAAAATCATCAAGTCCACCATCCCTGCCAACCTTCTGGACGAGCGGACTGTCTACCACGTACGAATCTTCATTTTCTCGCGGGGAGTATGGACTTATGTTTTGGTAGATTCAACCCTCCGGCCGCTTTGTTATTGGTGGCCCTCAGGGTGATGCCGGTTTGACGGGTCGCAAAATTATCGTCGACACGTACGGTGGTTGGGGTGCCCACGGTGGGGGTGCCTTCTCCGGCAAGGACTTCTCCAAGGTTGACCGCTCGGCTGCTTACACCGCCCGTTGGATTGGTGAGTATATAGTTCAATCGAAACCATGACCACATTGTTGATTATATCGAAGCCAAGTCCTTGGTGTCTGCTGGCCTTGCTCGCCGCGCTCTTGTTCAGCTTTCCTACGCTATCGGTGTTGCCGAGCCCCTCTCGGTCCATGTTGACAGCTATGGTACTGGTACTAAGTCAGACCTGGAACTCGTTGAGGTCATTAAGAAGAACTGGGACCTCCGTCCTGGTGTTATGGGTACGTTGTCGTCATGTACTTGACAGCGCTGTATTGATAGATTGTAGTGCGTGCGCTTGAGCTCCAGCAGCCCAGATACCTCAAGACCGCCTCTTACGGTCATTTCGGCAACCCCAACTACACTTGGGAGAAGCCAAAGCAGCTCGTCCTCTAGACGCTTTGCTTCTGTCCATTCTTTTTCACAGGGAATCCTGGAGTTTCGTAAAACACAACTGGCATCGGAAGTTCATCCTTCCGCTATATATTATTGCAAGCATTTAACCGCTTAGACGATCACGCCGCACGACATGTAATCATATATCGGCATCGATGACATTAGCTGGCCCTTCGAGATGGCTGCTACATCGCGACTATCGGATCGATTATTTCTCCCGATACCACATATCACCTATACTTACTGCTATTCATATATTACCTAGTAGTACAGAATACGACTGCGTTCAACCGCGTATTTCGCTGAAAGTTGTGCACGTGTGCAATAGCTTGTTAAAGTAACCTGTTTTGGGAAGTTTCTCGATGCCTGCGGGTTTCTCTTCAGCGCCGGACCAACGCAGAGTGAATGCAGAGGAATGCAGGCACATCTGTAAATAAAGTTGGAACCAGACCAAAAGGTCCGAGTCCGAGCCCCGAACCGCCACGGCGCGGAAAGATTTGAGATTATCGGAGAGATGCAGACCGGATCGGCGAAAGGGACAGCGCACGTTGGTAGGGTGTTGGAAAAGATTCTTTCAGCAAAAACCCATCAAGAGCCAAGCTTATCCGCACTCTCATTTGTCGTTCCACCACGTTCGTTCCTTCTTAATATCAGTAAGTTCCTCACTCCAGTCAAGCTCGCGCATCGCTGATGGATTTGACCCAGTGTGTGGTGTTTTAGGTCTTCTTCTGCACGATCCATCAGTGGACGCAGCTCCAGAAATATGCGAGGGTCTCTCACTACTCCAGCACAGGGGTCAAGATGCTTGTGGTATTGTGACTTGCGGCCACAAAGGCCGCTTTTACCAATGCAAAGCCAATGGCATGGTTAGAGATGTGTTCGACGAGACATCAATATCGCGACTCACAGGCGGTATGGGGATCGGGCATGGTATGTATGGTCATCGGCTTGGGATATGTAGCGCTCACTTCCGCCTAGTAAGGTATCCCACCGCCGGTAGCTCCAACCATGCCGAGGCACAACCTTTCTACGTCAACTCGCCGTATGGTATCGTTCTCGCACATGTGCGATTTATCTTTGCGCCGTGTTCAACGAAATGTTGACTAAACAAGCTGTAGAATGGAAACTTGATAGACAGCGCATCCTTGCTGCATTTCATGGATGCCACTGCACACCGACACATAAATACCTCGTCAGATTCTGAACTTCTCCTAAATCTGTTCGCCAACAACCTGCAGCAGACGGGGAAATTTCGAATCAACGAGGAGGATATATTCACTGCTATTGGCGGTCTCATGAAGGAATGCACAGGTGCATACGCGTGCACTGCCATGCTTGCAGGCTTTGGTATCATTGCCTTCCGGGACCCTAACGGCATCCGGCCTCTTGGGATGGCTTCTCGAAAAAGTGGTACCGGAAAAGATTACCTTTTTGCAAGTGAAAGCATTGTCGCCGATGCCGGAGGTTTCTCTGAGTGGGAGGATGTCAAACCAGGTATGTAGATCCCATGGAAAGAGTTGACTGTTGTTCATACTTGTGAGTCAAGGCGAGGCAATCATTATCACTCGGAGTAGCGTATCAAGGCGTATAGTTGCGCAACCCGCGACCTTTGCTCCAGATATCTTCGAGTTCGTATACTTTGCCCGTCCCGACTCGGTCCTGGATGGAATCAGCGTCTACCGAAGCCGTATGGCTATGGGCGATGCCCTAGCTGCTGAGGTGGAGAAAGTGCTGAAAGAGCAGAATATTTCGGTGGATGTGGTTATTCCCGTACGCCCACTTTTCTGCATACGTCGGTGCGAGTACGATATTATACACAGGTCCCGGACACATCCCGGGTGGCGGCCCTAAACCTTGCACAAAAACTCAACCTACCATATCGCGAAGGGTTTATCAAAAACCGATATGTTGGGCGTACCTTCATCATGCCAGGGCAACAAATGAGGTGGGTCTATTCGCCTTCTGCTATCACACGATAATCTCACCCGTGCTTTACAATAGGAAAAAGAACGTACGACGGAAGCTCAACGCCATGGCGTTGGAATTTGCAGACAAGAACGTCCTTCTCGTTGATGGTAAGCTGTCTTGTCTGCGCGAAGGAAAGACTTGACCTACTCATTTTCTACGCAGACTCTATAGTGCGTGGGACGACATCTCGCGAGATCATCCAAATGGCCAAAGATGTTGGAGCGAAGAAGGTGATAGTGGCGAGCTGCGCGCCTCCGATCAGGTAAGTGTAGCTCAGGGCCGTTGTGACAATAGTGCTCATTGCGGCACTTGATCAGATATTCCAACGTGTACGGTATCGATATGCCGTCTCGTATGGAGCTAGTTGCCCACGGCCGGAATACTGAAGAGATAGCTCAGGCCATTGGTGCTGACCTCGTCATCTTCCAGACATTGCCTGATCTCGTGGCTTCCGTGCGCCAATTCAATCAGTCGATCTCGACGTTCGATTGCTCTGTCTTTACTGGCGAGTACGTTACTGGAGGGGTGACAGAAGAGTATCTGCAACACCTAGAGTCTTTGAGGGCGGATAATGTCAAGAACATGGTTCTCGTTGGCGAACTCGGTGCTCAAGATGGAAAGGGTGGCGGCGGACGAGCCCAAGACCTGACTACAAGTGTTGTGGGCTCGTCGCCCATGAGCGTAGATGACACTGTAGGTTTGCATAACACTTGGAACGTCAATAAATGAGCCCGATTATCGTAACATGATCAGCTGTAGCCCTAATTGTTATATAAGTATCTACCGTATCTTTATCATTCCTGGTCCTGGGCAGCTTTGAATAGAGATTTTATAGACTTGATCTGATCATAACACCTTCAGTCTTCTAAGGGATGCTTCAATTCGTTTGAAAGTCAGCTCATGTGATCTTGACGCGTAGAGGCTGCGTGATTTGGTCGTGACCTGGAAGGTTTGTTGATGTTGGCTTATTAACCCCTTCTTTGTTCTTACCGCCACGTTTGTCTCATCCTACGGACCTCTGTTCGCTTATGCATCTACGTTCCTTCTTGTCCTTTCTTTTTATGACCTATGGTCTCGCCTCTGGATCCAACTCTCATGAATCTGCATGGAATGGACATGTTTCTCCGGGTTCGGACGTTCCTGGCCGTTTCTATCCATATTACGTCCCGCCTGGTGCAAAAAGCTATGATTCGTCTTCTCCACTGATCCGCTACTCTGGTCACTGGATGGACTCTTATTCTGTACAGTTCGTCGACAGGACACTCCGCTGGACGTCTGCACCTCGTGCATCGGCAAGCCTGACCTTTACTGGCACTGGTATTGAGTGGTTCGGAAACATGGATCGCATGCACGGTGTAGCTCGCGTTTACATTGATGGCAAGAGAGATAGAGATGTCAATGCCTGGAGCCGATCTTCTCACAAGCAACAGCGACTCTACTGGAAGTTTGGCCTACCTAATGGAAAGCATACCATCAAAATAGTGAATACCGCACATGGCCATGGCAGACGCGGTCATGCCGTCATTGATGTTGATGCTTTTGTTGTAACCCAAGGCCCTGGGCCCCAGACCAAGCAAGAAGCCTTTGTAATGAATACCCTCGAGCGTCCATCTGGATCGTCAACCGAAGGATCCTCATGGCGCATGACACAACAAGGGTCTACTGGAGTTGCAGCAATGCAGCTTGCCATCATCTCAAGTTCTCACGCGCTAATCATCGATAAAGTCGAGCATAATCCTTTGACAGTCGACGGCCATCCAGCTTGGGCTGCCTTGTACAACCTTAAGACGCACGCAGTCCGACCGCTTCGAGTAGGATCTAACTCCTTCTGTGCTGGGGGCTCTTTCCTTGGCAATGGAACTTTGGTAAACGTCGGTGGCAATCCTGTTGTTGAGGATCATACATCAGCTGCAGACTTTGGTGACGTGGATGGACTCCAAGCTATCAGACTTTTCCATCCTTGTCTATCTGAGTCGGCGGGAGAGTGCGAAATCTACGAAGATCACGCTCGTGTCCGCATGACCAGCCCTCGGTGGTATCCTACGGTCTTGCGCATTTCTGATGGCAGCGCTATGGTTATCGGTGGGTCCAAGAAAGGCGGGTGGATCAACAATGCAACCGTCAATAACCCAACCGTTGAGTACTGGCCCCCAAAATCGATTCACGGTTCGAAGGGATTATCGATCCCCCTTCCTTTCCTCATGGACACGCTGAATTCCAATCTGTTCCCCATCGCTTTCGCTCTGCCAGACGATAGGATCTTCATGGCAGCTAACCGTGACGCAATGATCTATAGTTGGAGAGACAACAAAGAACAAAGGCTACCTCAGCTACCTAACGGTGTCCGGATAACCTACCCCATGGCAGGCACCAGCTTACTCTTGCCACTGTCTCCTTCCAACGATTACACGCCTGAGGTTCTCCTTTGCGGTGGCTCCACCATCGATGACCAGAAAGCCAGCTACGAGATCTCTTCTCAAGACTCTGCGTCAAACCAATGCTCGCGAATGGTTCTTTCTGACGATGGGATTGCCGCAGGGTGGGAAGTCGAATTACTGCCCGAAGCCCGTGTCATGCCCGACGCTGTCCTGCTTCCCACAGGACAAATACTGATCGTTAATGGTGGAGGGACTGGTATGGCAGGATACGGCAATGTCATCGACAGAGTCGGCCAGTCTAACGCTGATAATCCTATCCTCAGCCCTGTCCTTTACGATCCGGCAGCGCCCAAGGGGCAGAGGTTCTCCTCTGCCGGTATGCCCTCGAGTCTGATCCCGAGGTTGTATCACTCTGTGGCTACGCTGACTCCCAGTGGCGACATCATGATTGCTGGAAGCAATCCTAACCTCGACAGGAGTGAAATCGCGTATGGCACCGAGTATCGAGTTGAGTGGATCGCACCTCCTTACATGTCACAAGCCCGCCCACGTATCATGAACCATCCCGCTAAGCTTGATTTTGGGGTGCACATTGAGCTAGGGCTGCAGCTAGCCGTAGGCACTGGGCAGGCAATTGAAGGTATGACCGATGTTGAGTCTTGTACTTTATGTGCCTGATAAGTCTTCGCCAGTGGCGCTAATGGACCTGGGATTTGTCACGCATGGCGTACACGCTAACTCTCGCCTTGTCCGTCTGACTGCAAGTCTGCAGAATGACGGGAAGACGTTAACCGTGATAGGGCCTCCGAATGCCAAAGTCTACCCTCCAGGACCTGGCTTTATCTATGTTCTGGTAGATGGTGTGCCCAGCGCCGGGGTTCAGATTATGGTTGGAGACGGTACTGGGCCAGAAGTTGACCACGAGGCTTGGGATAAGTAGGTGATCCTGTCGAACCTTGCGTCCGAGTCATCTCACTATTAGCAGTTTATTGAGGAAGACCGCTGTGGATCAATACGAGGCTTCGAGAAAACATACTGGAAAGAGGAAACAAGACTAACCAAATATCACACTCCGTACTTCTGTTGCTGGACAACATGCACCTACAGTCTAACATGTTTTATACCTTTGTCCATGATCTTGATGTACCCTGAACTTGAATGCCTTCCTATAGATGCATACGTATCATCTCGTTCATATCGAATGCATATTAAAATAGTCCATATAATTGTGAAACACACCCGCGTGCGTAAAACCCAATCTGTTACAGTGCCCGCTGCTTCATACGGCTGGCTACCGTTCTAAGCCCAGCGTATACTTTTCCAGGTGGCGATCCCAAGATGAGAGAAACAATGGCATCTCGTGCAATTTTAATATTTTGGAAGGAGCCCATAATATGTATTTTCCTATTGTATCATGAGCGAAAGTTTGGCGAGGAAAGTACCCCAACTTACGTGTCAGCGAGGACAATGCGTGTCCGGCTCGCGTTTTCAATCGTAAACTTGGTCTTGCCATCCTGTCCTGCTATTCGACCTAAAGCTATACATCAGCACACTGGATACGAAGGTGTGATGGAAGTCCTGACCAATGGCACGGGCGAGGTGATCGCCTTGGAGTGTTTTGACGTCCTTAATCTCGAATGAGTCGAGGTATAGATCATCTAACCGAAGGAGGGCAATAGCATCCTGAGGAGAAAGATCTGGGTAAAGATAGCGATTCGAGGAAAGAATAACCACACGTTGACGTCGAAGCCCAATGCAAATGCCTTAACAAAATCTGCCCCCTTTTGCAATGCACCGATATCTTTTGTATGTTTTGATGTCTAGAGAGATTAGACTGACAGAACGCGGCAAGCCGCCACTTGGGATATCGAAGACTTACTCGGATCTCCACGGATCTCCGCTGAACATTCATCCGGACTTGAAGACCCAGCATCTCCGTAAGTGGGCTGAAGATGTTGACCCATTCTTTTTTGATAGGTGTCATCCGGTGTGGTGGTATAGGAATGCGCCGTGTTTCTGATTTGAGGAGAGTTCGTTGTGCGGATGGATCAAGGGCAGGAAAAGTAGGTACTGCAGATGGCTGAACCAGCGCCGTAGGATCCGAATCTATCATGAGTTCATCATCGTCTGCAGGAGCTTCTGCTGAAGCTATTGGTTCCATATCCTGATCCAAGTGACCTGTAGAGAGGCTAGTGAGGCCATCAGCGGATTTGGCCTTCTTTTTGCCCTGACTTCTGCGTGTCTTTTTGCGAGATACGGTGGAAATGGGCTCTGGGTGTGCGACAACCATGCTGCGAAGGGTCCGAAAAGTGAGCCAGGGGCAGGCAGTTCTGGTGAGCTATTAGCGCTGTGAAGAAGCTTTTGATCTATTGAAAAAGAGATCATGGTCACGTGTGCACATATGAGAGCGTCAAACACAGCCACAGATGTCTGGAAGGAGATTTGGGGAAATTTCGAAAGCGGAGCTTGTCAGTACCACAACCTGGCTTGGGCGTGCACTGCAACGTGCAGCATGGCCAACATCAAGGATCTCAACGACAGTAAAACAGAAGGTTTAGAATGGTTTATCTTTGTCTGATGTGCCTGTTCACTGGTCTTTACAGCGCTCCAGGCTCTCTTTAACTCGCTTTCCAACCCATCTGATTCAATAAACGGAAAGCTCAGCCAAGAACAATTGCAAAAGCTTTCCTCCAAAGTCGACGAAATACTAGGCGGCGACGATGGGAAACATGGTGCAAATCGTGGAACAACTCAGGTGCGTTCGCCCCTATCTTCCTACACTGCAACGCTCAGGCAGACGTGAAGCTCGTTAACGAAGATGGTCTCCCAATTGTAGATATAACGGAGCCTGTCGGCCAGTCCGTTACCACAGACTCGCCACAGGATGACAATATCACAGATGGACCCGACTTGTTGCCACTTCACACCCTCTCGCCCGAAGAGCGTGAAAGCCGCAGAATCGAACGTGAACGTCTACTCGACCTGCTCGAAGAAGAGGAGCGTGCTGAACATTCAAAGGAAGAGGCCGACGAGGAGGAACGACGAAGGAAGGTCATAGAGAAGCGCAAAGAGGAATCTAAAGCCGAGATCGAACAACTGAAGGCTACCAAAGAAATGCATAAAAAGATGGGCAAAGCACTTCTCAAAAACGTCGCAGAAGCGAGAGAGAAAGAAGAAGCGGCCAAGAGGAAACTCCTCGACGAAGAACAGGTATCCAAACTACAAAACAAATCTATCAAGCCCAAGAAGAGCGTTACTTTTGCAGAGGGGACTGAGGAAAAAGACGGTGGCACTAAGCTTGCCTGGGGGGATGTGGTGCCTGCACGTCTGCATTCTTCCAACCGCATATGGGACAAGTCTGCTGATCGGTCGTCGACAATGAAGAGGCAGGTGGTTGAACGTTTCCCCGGAGGGCCCTCCACCCCCATCGAACCAAGTTACGAGGCTGATTCTGACGATGAATCTCCCACTGAAGAACCCCCTTACTCCAGCGAGGAAGACGACTCTGAGGATGATTCTGAAGAAGAACCTGACATTGATAGCGGGGATGATTGGGACTCGGCTCGGCATCAACGGGAGATTGCCCTCGAATATTACGAGAAGAAGCATGCTGTTGGATCTGAGGCCGCCAGAGTGATGTCATCTCATACCCACGACGATGAGTGGGACCAGCCAGTAAGACATCAAGGATGTGCGTTCTCGCAGAGACATATCTAATATTCACCTCAGGAGGTTCCTCTGGAAGCGACCCTAGCAGGTCGGCCCAAGTCTGGGACTTCTCGCTTCAAGGCAGAGCGATCAGGTTTTTCCGAAGCCAAGTCCGAAAGCAATCCCGCGACGCCTACTACTGCATCGACGTCGATCGGATTCGCTACGATACCTGCTTCCGGGCAGAGCGCCGTGCGCAAGGCGGTTAAGGTGGGAAAACTTGAAGGTGGCCAGCTGATGGGTGGAAGCGACAGTGAGCCCGAGGACGAAACAACGACGAATATACTCGACATGCTCAAGAAGGGTCAAATTCAGAATGCTGGCCCTGACTTCGTACCTCCGATGAGAAGCCCTTCAACATCTATAACTCGAGGCAGGCCGTCTCCCCTTCCTCTAGCAAAGGGCAAGACCAAAGATCAAAATTACTTGGATGTCGACCTGCTAACTCGGGTTCCTCAAACTCCTGTTAATCATATAATCAGATCCTCGCCAAAAGTCTCGACCTTCGACCTTCCAACAAGCGGAACCTCTCATGATCACCACCCTGTTTCGGGTGCTGGTTCGTCTAGCAAGGTCCAGCCGGCTCGCCTCACGATTGATGACTCGTTGCTGGCACCTAGCAATCCGCAACCCTCCGATAAAACTAATGCCTATTCGCCGTGCTTGTCCTCGGCATCAACAGCTGTAGACTCACCTGTGGGTGGGGAAGAGCCACAAAGTGCATTCTCGTGGAATAATCCTCCAGTAAACTCATCCACACCATCTAGACCTCCCATTATTGTGTCGTCGTCGGTCCAAGAGTCGTCTTCCTCACGGCCAACGCGGCCTCCAGTTGTATCGGCAAGCGTGCAGGAATCTTCGCGACGCTCGGACCCGGAGCCACAGCTCAGTAATGACGGCCCCAAAAAGCGAGTTTCAAAGTTTAAGGCGGAGAGGATGTAGCATTAGGGGTTTACTACGATACCCGTTTCCTCTTGTTAGTTGCTAAATTATGTGTGTTTTTTTTGTTCAATTCAAGGCCTTGTATATTTCAACATCGTGATCAGTAAGTAGTTCAGCGTTACCCGGTATCAAATTTAATGAGGGAAATTGGAGAGAAGAGTAAGCACCCATCGAATAGGGCAGAGCTTGGCAGAAAACTTGGTTCAGGCGCAGGGGCTCGGCGCGGCATCAGTATGTCGAAGCGCGCTCCAGGATGAGTCGCTTCACCGTGACAATCGCGGGTTGTCCGAGTCGTTGAACGTTCAGACGTTAATGTACATCCCTCTACACATCGTGTTACGGACATTCGTCGCGCTTCTCACTCAAGGATTCTTCCAGCCCGACGAGTATTTCCAATCTCTTGAGCCGGCTCATCGACTGGTCTATGGCTACGGACACCTTACATGGGAGTGGCTCTCCCCGCGACCGATCAGGAGCTTTGTCTTTCCGGCCTTGAACGTACCGGTGTACTGGGCACTCAGGACTCTTGGACTGGACGAGAGTCACCCCTCCCTGGTGGTGAGTGAGGGCTTCTGCTCGTTCTTGGCTTGCCTCTCAACCAGTTAGATCTTCCTCCCTAGGCTGCTCCAGGGTTTCCTAGCGTCAGCAACCGACGCGACCTCACGCGTTTTAGCGCGTCAGATCTTCGGGGACCGCTATGCATCCATGGCTGTGAGTCTTCGAGCGTGTTCGAGGAACCATACGAGTTCATAACTCTTGCGCAGTACTTTCTATCAATGACATCCTTCTTTCACTTCCTGGCTTTGTCACGGTCTCTGTCTAACTCTCTAGAAACAACCCTCAGTACTCTAGCTTTGAGTTATTATCCCTGGCATGTCCTTGCAACGTCAGCACCGGAGCCGTAAGCATGTTCTTGCATACTTGACGTGATCTAAATGCTTTCAATAGACCTAGTGCGCACCTCTGTATATTATTCTCAGCACTAGCCTGCCTCGTCAGACCTACAAACGGTGTCCTTTGGTTCTACTTGTACGGAATACTCCTGTTTCGCCTCAGGCGCAGAAGCAGGGCCTTCTTTTCTGTACTTCGTACCTTAATCATCATTGGGTAAGTTGTTGATCTTGTCATAACGATGGCCCGACTCAAGAAGTTATGTAGCATCTCATCGCTGCTTCTTGCATTTGCAGTTGACTCTTCATACTATGGCATGCGGGTTCTCACTCCTCTCAACTTCATTTGTGTCAATGCGTCTCCGGTGTCATTGTTTTATGGATCAAGTCCATGGCATTACTACCTCTCGCAAGGCCTGCCCATCCTCTGTACGACATCACTGCCTTTCGTGTTACATGGAATGTGGCTCAGCACGCGAGGCTCAAACCAGAGCGCTAAAATTCTGTTAGGTTGTGTGCTGTGGACAGTTTCGATATACTCTCTGGCTGGACACAAGGAATGGAGATTCATCCATCCAATACTACCAATGTTACACGTGTTTGCTTCAAAATCCCTTGTCGATCTCTGGGACGGGCAACGGAAGCAGCTCCAAAGAACTGGCAAGAAAGTGAGCAGCTATGCTGCTCGCCTGCCTATATGCAAGAGCCATCTTTACATCCTCTTGCTCACCATACCGGCGTCAATATTTGTCATTTTCTTCCACTGTACCGGCCAGATCAAGGTCATGACCTACCTGCGTGATCTTCCGGCAGACGATCTCAAATCCGTTGGCTTCCTAATGCCCTGTCACTCAACGCCGTGGCAAGCGTACCTCCACCGGCCCGAGCTTGCAGAGCACGGCAAAATGTGGGCGCTAGGCTGCGAGCCACCTCTCAAGTAAGCCCTTATCAACCGGATATTGATCGCGGTTGCAGATGTTTCTAACGTACATATCCATAATTACTGCCAGCTTGGACACCCACACGGCAAGCTACAAGGACCAGACTGACATCTTCTTCGAGTCACCCCAGAAATACATCCGCGAACATTTTCCGCCCGCGGTCGACCCTTCTTTCCCGCCTTCGCCTTTTCCGAGCTCAATTCCCGGAAGCCCGCTCGTTGCCAGGTCTGGGGGAGGAAAGGATGCACATGGTGCTGGCAATCCGTGGGTCATGGACTGGAGACACGAGTGGCCACAGTATCTCGTCCTGTTCGGGGATCTCCTCGCAGAAGAGGGAGTACGAGACCTCCTCGAAGAGCAGTTGTACAGTGAGGTCTGGAAAGGAGGGTTTGAGTGGGAGGGCGAGGGACGTCGCAAAGGGGCAGTGAGGGTATGGAAACACAGCGCCCGATGATTTAACCTGTATAAGCGCTATCGTACTTACATGGACCGACTTTGAAGTGCCTAATTGTTTACCAGACAGAAATGCGGGTGCAGTCACTGGATGGACTCATTGCGGCTCCTCCAGGAACGCACCTGGCGAGCGTAACGGATGCTATCGGCAATGCACGCTCGCACTGCTGTGATATTCAGTCCGCAATCCATGGTTTTGTACAGCCGCGATGAGGTTTAAGCAAAATTTTTGTTAGAGAACAGCCCTTGAATAGTGATTGCTGGGAGAAGAAAATGCTATTCATTATAAGAAGACACTGAGGACATCTATGCATTAGATGAGGCTATTGAGAAGCAGAAAGAACACAGTTGCGATGATCCAGGCATCATCACCCTGTCTCTACCGAGCATTCTGCCGTTGTATGCGAGTAAGCTGGCCGACAAATTAGCACCGTTGTCACCGAAAGACTTAGAGAGCACTCACTCTTCTCCGCTTCTTCAACCTTTCGTACAAAGAAAATTGCCATTAGTTTCAACCCGCCCTGTCTTGGGGCTTAAGTACTCACTTATGTTTTTTCATCTTCGTGCGTTTCTTCCTCCTGGTGCTGTCCGCGTGGATGGTAATCCATTCCTCTGCCGACTCCTTGGCGGAAATGGTGTCTGCAGACTGAGCCGAGTCCAGTCCGAGCCTCTGCAGCGTCTCCTGCCATGACATAGCATTACCAACGCGGTTCAGCACCATTGAGTGGGCAAGCTGGCGCGCAGTATCAGCGTCGCTCTCAACGCTGGACTCTGGAATTTCGCCGAATAGAGAGCTTGAATGGAGGTCCTGGGCTAGTTTCTGCTCCTTTGGACTATTGCCGAAAAGTGGGATTGATGGATCCGGTGAGTCAAAGACCATGGAAGTCGGTTGCTGCAGAAGGAGCATGGGGCGGTGGAGGGAGAAAAATTGGTGAGTCTTGAGGTCGTTCATGCTGAGGGAAATATGGGGGGGAATGACGAGCTGCTGTGGTTGGTGACTCATGGGTGGGGAGGACGTCTTGCTGGCGCTGGCAGTGGCAGCACGTGTTGGGCCATCCGAACTGGAGAGCGTCGTAGGGACTTTGGCTGTCTCTTCAGAGGCACCCGTCTGAGCAGTGTTGGGAGAATCGTTGGATTGAGAAGTTGGTGAACCCGAGGCATCGTTCTTCGAGGCTGGTGAGGACGAACTCTCGACCTTTGCACCTCCTCTGCCTGAGACTACAGGCTTTGGAGGTTTTGCGGATGTGAAGTAGCGTCCACCACCACCACCACCTCCTCCTGTCTTCGAGGAGAAGTATGAAGAATAGGCCCTCCTCTGGATGAAGGACGGACGCGCTAAGCGCGGAAGCAGCGACATGCTGCACTGAACGACCAACTCGGCTTCTTACTTGGTCACTGAGCGAAAGAAAGCGCGTCGACTAATTTGGAAAGCCCTGCCCCCGACGGACATCGCCGCTCCGGTTATGCCACGTGACCAGACGCCGAAGTGGCTCCACTTCCCCTGACCACTGCGGCTGGAGAATACAAGAACGAGCCCATCACTCACATCTCTCCTCTCGAACCTAATCATGCAGACGGACCCAGCAATGACTGCACCTCCCCCAACTATCAGCGTACACACGCCTTCTTCCTCTTTTGCCCTCATACACTCGTGTATGTATGGCATCTCCATATATGGAATCACCCTAATTTGTTCGCTTGCAGTGAGTGAGGAGAACATCGTTCAGCTCTTCGACAAACTATCGCGCAGACGCAGCGAATTCAGCGGAAAGCGCGTAGGTCCTGGATGGGTTAAGTATCACTGGAATGAGTCTGTCTGGAATCTGGACGATGGTACGCCCCTTTGCTGCAGCTGCCATAAGCCATTGTCCTGATCCTGAGGCCTGGTGTTGTCTAGACAGCGACTACACTATCTTCGTCTGGCGACAGAAGTCACCATCTACCTCGAGCGCGGAGGCACCTCCCGTCACTCTGCACGTTCACGACCCCACGGTTCCCCTGCCTGAATCTCCTAACTACCGCAATGCGTCGTATTATCTCTTCCAGCAGTCACGCGTCACCTCCCCTCCACCACGTTCTGCACGCAGTACCAAATCACGAAAGCCAACAAAGACAAATAGCAAAGCACCATCCGTCAGCGATGATGCTCTTTCCGGCGTTGCCAGGCACAGAAAAGACTTCGAACGTTTCCACTCAGAGAACGGTGTACGCACTGTAATGGGCAGCATCGGTCCCGTGGAGCATGGTACTTTCTGGCACGTTTCATGTGGCTTTGGTCTTCAACTTACTTCTCTGTTTTCCAGTGCGCATGCTCCTCAAGAATGGCTACCGGCATGTCTATATCTCCCGCAAGTTTGCGCTGAAGAACGGCTTCATACCAGCGGATGCAGCACCGGGTTACTACGGTTACGGGGGGCTCGTAAACCTTGGAAAATGGCCCATAACATTGAACATTGCTTCCGACCTCGAGGAGACAATTCAGCGAGAGAATGGCAACGCGCCGCCCAAGACACGCAAGTCGAGGATGGTCTCTGTCCCCGTATATCTGTCGGAGGAACCCCATTTCGACGTTGTCCTAGGCCGGTCGTTCTTTGAGCGCCGGCAGATCAAAATCTCCGCGACTGATCCAACGGAGGTCTTATGCTTGGACACAGGCGAGAAGGTCGAGTGTGAGCTTGTTGTCCTCAAGGATGGCAAAGGGGATATTGTCATCATATCTTAACCTCCACTTACCACACATCTCGTGTTTGTGTCGACTTCTGCTCCAAGCACATTGCTGCATGATATGATATCTAATCGTCCGATACCTTGCTTTTTAACTTTGTCAAAAGGACTCCTTCAGTGCACTCTATTTAACTGGGAAGGCTATTGATTGTCAACTATTACTGCTTAGATGTTCGTAAATTTCAGTAGATAGTGTAGTTGTACGTGTGCGTGAAGTACTGCAAAGTCCCTATTCGAGGTCTACAGTGATGATACGAGAGAAATTACCAGAAAAAGAGTACACAAGGATAGCAATTGTTTGATACATGAAATAGTCGTCAGGGTATCATGAGCAAAAGAGAGAGAAAAGAAAATAGTCGCAGAGGTTATCGTTCATGATGCCCAGTCCTCCAAGTCGGACTCTATGTCAGAGTCTGTGTGAAAGGCCCCTGGTGAAGGGAACCAGCCGCAGGAAGTGAAATCGATTCTTAATTCGCCGTAGGATCCAGTGCGGACGTCGACGCCCTCGCTCTCGAGTATGCTTTGCTGACGAGATGAACCGTGTGCGGAGACGATACCCGACGTCGAAACGACGCGATACCAAGGCAGTTTGGAGGATGTGTGTGACATCATTTCGACGGCTGAAAGATAACGTCAGACGTCTGTGCCTGCAAATTTGATGCTCGATATGCACTCACCAAGTTTAACTTGACGCGCCGACTTAGGTCTACCAACAAGCTTGGCAATGTGGCCTAAAATATAATCAGGACCAGCACTCAGACAGCAAAAATGAAATCATACCACATGAAGTGACTTGCTTGCGAGGGATGGACCGCACGATACTGCATACCTGAAATGGACGTGAGTCCTCAAAAAAATGACAAGTGATGGGAAGCTTCTTACCTCGAGGGTGAATTGTTGCTTCTCAGCCGCAGTCATAGAAGGCATGATGGTGGTAGTGGCGGTGGTGGGGTGGAAGTTGTGGTACGTTGTGAATGTAGGTGTGGGAGGGCGTTCAGACTTTCCGAAGAAGTGAGGGCCATAGGCGGAAAAACCAGGTCCTTATATATGTACCATCAGGATAGGGAACCCCACCCATTTTCGATCGGGTTCAGCACGTCTGCTCCCGTACCCGGGTGATATTGGGCGTCAACTGTGCCCGTGCCGGTACACACTAAACGCATAAGCGCATGCGCTTGACAGCTCCCGCGGCTGCGGCATTTGGCTGTCCTCCTCCTGGCCGGGTCAGAGAAGCCGCAGTGTCATGGATGAAACCAGGAAACTAACGTGTTGGTTACTTCTGGAACGCGACGAAGAACGGCGACAGTCGTCTTGGAGGGCATGGCTCAGGCGACCGCTCTCATACGACAGCACCCGAGACCTCCTGACCTTCGATTCATACGCTAGGCTACACTTGGGCTTCCCCAACCCGACCATGTCAGACCATGTCCCCAAAAGGAATCTCCGGCGGCAACCCTGCTCTTTTCCTGCCGCCGCTGACTAAGCCGCTGCGCTGTGTGGCAGTGCGACACAACAGACGGAGAGAACAAGCACGGCTGCAGAAGGCCCCAACGGACAACTCAATTGCACGCGACGCCGAGCAAGTCGCCCGAGGCGTGTGTCTTCAGCCTTACGCACCGCAAAAAGCCTAGCCGTACCTGCACACTCCAGTCCCTATCGGTCTAACCTCGTTCTATTCTGGCAATGTCTGGCATATGCAGAGCACGTCTCGCCGAGGAACGCAAGCAGTGGCGAAAGGACCATCCTTTCGTACGTCTGTTTCCTCGCTCTTCTCCTCGCCACATCCCTGATTTACCGCATCGCATGGCTCATGCGTTTGGACACGCACACATGTCATCCATCCCTGTGCTTTATCACCGCTGCCCTGTTCACGTTGCATCAACTCCGCAATTATGATGCGCATATACCCCAGGGCTTCTATGCAAAACCGGTGAAGGCAGCAGATGGTTCCATGAACTTGATGGAATGGGAGGTCGGTATCCCAGGCAAACAAGGGGTGAGCAGAACCCTCCGCACCGCCCTGTTTCACCACCATCATTAACAATGCGTGGCCATGCCCATAGACGGCTTGGGAGAACGGCCTCTACAAGCTTACCATGGTTTTCCCGGAAGGTAAGCGCTGCGGATACATCGTTACATCTATTTCTAAGCTGAGCTCAACTGCGCTGTCCTGCATCGCTATCCACAGACTACCCATCCAAACCGCCGAAATGTAAGCCGCTGGCGCCTATCTACCGACGCGTGCTACTATGCTATCCAGTGGGATCTAACGAACCTTGACTGTGTGGACCAGGCAAGTTCACTCCTCCCCTCTTCCACCCGAACGTGTATCCCTCCGGCACTGTGTGTTTGTCCATCCTTGATGAGGAAAAAGGGTGGAAGCCTGCCATCACCATCAAGCAGGTATTGCCACTTTTTCTGTTGTGAATGTTCTTCATCCGATGATCATACACAGGTTCTGTTGGGAATCCAAGACCTGCTTGATGATCCTAATGTGAATGACCCCGCTCAGAGCGATGCATACACCATGTTCAAGTAAGATGATACCCGATTTCGCGCTTGATTTTTGAAGGCTGATCATGGCAAAAGGAATGACAAAGTCGCGTATGAGTATGTCTTTGATGTTATCCGCAACAATAATTGCTGCTGATTCACTTCGAAAAGGCGACGCATCAAGCAACAAGCCCGTGAAAATATACCCAAGTGACCTTGCAGCCCTTTCGTATAAGGCGTTTCCCTTGGTTTCCTTAGTAAACGTTTGTATCTGCTTTGTAGAATAGCATTCATTTTTCTTGCAAACATCAGGGTAGCCCCCATTTTATCATTCAGTAGTACGATGAGGCAACTAGTACATGAGCTTCTCAATGGCCAACTTAATGGTCCTGATTTGACTCTGCAACTCTCTCGCCTCGCTAGTCGTAACGCTCGCGGCGATTACAGGGCGGGTAACGTTGCACGCACGGCCAAGGGCAGTTTTGGAGGGAACGAAGACGTAAGGGACGTTCTGTAGGGTATGAGAGTCAAATAACGCCCATCGACTAAAAACTTCAGGCCGCGTACCTTCTCTTCGCAAAGGAGGGGAAGATGAAGTAAGATCTCCAAAGGTTCGGTATCGGCAGTAAGCACAATGAACTCCGCAACACCACGGTTCAAAGTTTTGGTAGCTGGACAAGCAGACGGTGAGCGTCACGGTTGCCATTCAACGGATAAACCAGGGAGATGTTGGGACCAATGAAACATCGTCGTACCTTCGTTAGCACCTTTTTTTAGCTGCTTGTACTGTCCGGCCTGCTGGACAAGGTCCAAGATCTGCGAACACGCGCCAGGAGTGAGAAAGCGAACGGAGATTTAGTGTAAAGGCACTAGGCGAACTCACCGAGTTGGTCAGGTTTGCATCAGCAAGGGGCCATGCCTTTCCTCTGCTTTCGGCCATTGTTGTGAAGAGACGTGCGATTGACCTCACGGCTATAGATCCTTGGTCAAGTTAAGGTGCGTTCAGCAGCTCACGACCCTCACCTTGAGAGCGCATAAAGGATTTTTTGTGTTACGTAATATCTTCCCGATCAAGAAGGTGACCTGGGACAGCATAGCCCCTATTCTTTGGATTTGCGTCTTTCCTCAACACTACTTAGTCGACGACATGTGGAACCGTTGAGCGTACATGCGGCTGTCAGGGACTGCGTGAGCTATTTCTAGGATCTGTTTAATCTCTCACATATGATAGGATGTTATGTCTCAACGCCTGACCGTTCCTGGTTTGTACAGACTCCTACTTCGCTTGATCCACGGATTAAGCTTGGAGGACGACATCTGCTAGTGTCCTCTCAATTGCGTAACTTCTAATGTGTATTTTTGCATTTTGGAGGTGTATAAATCTCCGGGATCGCAGCTCTCTCGAAACGCACACAAGAACTTGACATTCGATGGCCAACATGTTCTTCAAAGGCCTAGCTTTCATCGTCCTTTTGCTCGGCCTTCAATATGTCGGTTCGTTTCTGTTGCAAGCTCAAGGTACCGTGAAGGCGCTGACAATAGTGATGTATTCTTATAGCCAGAGCTTCGGCACAATCTTCGACTGCATACTGTGACTCTTCCAGCGGAATCTGCTACCAAGGCTATACAGTACGCTGCCTTTCTACCTTCCCATATCCAAAATATCACGGGTCCTAATTGCTATATACTGTAGGACCCCACTCTCAATATCACTATTGGAGTCGTTCTCCCTCCTCTAACCACTGGAAGTACACCAAATGCTACGGAGTTCATTGCAGAACTTATTGCCCCGGCCAGCTTTGGCTGGACCGGCCTCAGTATGGGTGGCCAGATGGCCAACAGTCTTTTATTCACGATGTGGCCAAACAACGGCAAAGTGATGTTTGGCCCCAGGTGGTCGTCGTTAGTCGCCAGTCTTCTCCTCGTCATTCCATCAGACTGAAAGGTACTACTGCAGTGGTTATACTCAGCCGACACCTTACGACGGGCCTACGATCACACTACTACCGGACACGATGGTCAACAGCACGCACATCAAGGCCTCTTTCAGATGCCAGGTTCGCTGATTTTTCAGGAGTCACTGGATGTCATATAACAGAAACGCGACCACAGAACTGTACCACGTGGGAAGGAGGCTCGCTCGGAAGTGGTGATCTTGCTGGATTCCAGCTGCTCGCATACGTTGCCAACGATGACACGCCGGTCACTGATCCATCCGACATTGCATCGAACTTCACGGAGCATGATCAGATGAACTTCTTCGGCCTTGAGCTCTCAGATGCGCATTCGTCGAGTTACTACAGCTACATCGGTGGAGGAACCACAGCTACGGCGACATCCACTTCGACGGCTCCAGCAGCTACTCAGACCAAAGTAAGCTTTGAAACTCTGCCGCCCGAATGCCGGACGCATATGCTGATGAAATACCTGCTTAGTACGGTCAATGCGGAGGATCGGATTGGACTGGACCCACCGTCTGTGCTTCGGGCTCGACATGCGAAGCTGTGAATACATACTACTCCCAATGCTTATGATTGATTGAGTAGAGTTTACAACCGCTATAACATGTGATGATTGATGCTGGATAGCAGGTTCACTTGTTCGCTGTTATTTTCCCATCTCCGCTACTGTACTGTCCACGTAGTATAATGGCCTACTGTGCCCCACCACTAGTTCGACGGTCCACCACTAGTTCGTCACCCCCCGTTTTTGACCATTCCTCCCTTTCCACCTCCCATTTTTATTAGCAATACGTCATTATCATACTGCTGTCATATCATTTTCTCGAAAACCCGGTGAAAATCGATGCATTTCTGTGTTGTCGAATAGGGGTCGTGACGGCGAGTTTTGTCACTCCTTCGACACCTCGCAAAACATCCGTAGCTGAGTTTAAACCTAGTTGCATAAGTCCGATGTTGCTATTGATATCCTACGCGTGAATGACAACCGCAAAGCGGTCGTGGCTCAGTGGTTTTGGCGGCATCACACATCATTTTGCTTACGATTCAGGAGTTCGATCCCTCCTGTTGCCATTTTTGAGGCCTCAGCGTGTCACTCTCACCTTAATGCCGCGCTGCCGAGATGTGACCAACTCCGTGATCAAGTGTGACAAATGTGACCGTCGAAGTAGTGGTGGGCCGTCGAACTAGTGGTGGGGCACAGTATTTGTTATGCCAGGTTACTGCTTGGCCGAGATTATGACAAAGGTAAGGAAACGTGGGAAGATCCTAAGCTTCAGGTTGGTTCCGAACTTTCTTCATCGCCGCGGGAGATTGCATCAAGGATGTGCAGTCCGCGGATATGCGTTATACCCAGCGGACCCGGATACTCAACCTTGTCTGTCGCCTTATCCTTGAAGCTTGACGCAAACAATTGCGGCTCATAAGAACCGTCTATCAGTATTCCATCTTTAGCTTCTCATCCCTGCAGTTGACAGTGTCAGCTATCGCGAAGGCGAAATACCCGGCCGTCCCTCCAGACAAGCCATGGATATTGTACCAAGTACTTCACCGCTTCCTCACGGATTTTTCAAGCGATAGCTCAAACTTCCTCTTCAAGATCTGCCACCTGAACCCTCCAAGCGGATATGCATCATAGGTGCCGGTGCTTCAGGACTGGCGGCACTGAAGATAGTCACGGATTCGGCTGAATACCAACGAGGGGCGTGGTCTGTCATAGCCTATGAGAGTCGTTCCAATGTTGGGGGGATATGGTACATAACTCAACACTTGGGCCTTGGTACATCTCACATATAATCTTCAGGTTTCCCGCAGCGCCAGAGGAGAACCAGGCAGTATCACCGTTGTATGATTCCCTGACTACAAACTTGCCACATCCAATCATGGCTTACACCTCTTATCCTTTCCCTCCGTCTACCCCTCTGTATCCAGTGGCGTCCGTGGTCCAGCGCTATCTTGAATCTTATGCGTCTCACTTCAACTTGTTACCCCTGATACAACTCAATACCAAAGTGGCAAAGGCTAGATGGGAATTAGGAAAGTGGGCTGTCACGACTTCCACCGAAGATCAAGACTTGTTTGATCATCTCGTCGTCGCTAATGGCCATTATACTGTCCCGCGCATACCACAAACTCCAGGGCTAGATCACTGGCTAACATCTGGCAGGGCCATGCATTCAGCTTTCTATCGGAGACCTCACGGGCTTGGCGACAAGGTGGTTATTGTTGGTGCTGGACCGAGTGGACAAGACTTGGTGACAGATATGCGGAAAGCGGGCAAGGTCGTGATACATTCCATACGAGGCGCAGAATCAACCGAAGGCGAACACTTTAGACGAAGAGGGACTATTGCAGAGTTCAAGGTTGATGGATCCATTATTTTCGAAGACGGTGCAGTCGAGAAGAACGTCGATCGCTGTCTGTTGGCGACCGGCTATGTCGTGGAGTTTCCATTCTTTGACGATTCGGTTCTAAAGCCTGAAATCCCACCGCCCTGTCCCCCGATCCCTAGCGAGTTGTTCAACTCCACCTACAGTGTATTTCCCCTGTCACGACAGCTGTTTCCTCTACAAGCACAGTTCCCTCCATCGTCGTTAGTATTTATGTGCCTACTATACAAGATCGCGCCCTTGCCAGTGGCCGAAGCACAAGCGATGGCGATGGTGCGAGCCTTTGCGGACCCTTCAAGCCTTGAACCGATGCAAGAAGCGGTCGATATCATGACACGTTACGAGAACTTTGTCTCGAAGGGGATCGAGACGCCCGCAGCTATTTACAAAGCATGGCATCGGTTCGGAGAACTGGAACAATTCGACTATCGCGACGAGCTGTATACCTTCGCAGCGGGTGGGAGTGAGGAGCGACAGAAGGTTTCAGAGTGGGAGAGAGAACTGTATCCTCACAAAGTGACGTTGAGGGAGAAGTGGGTTGCATTGGCCAAGAGTGGACGTGGAGATGAGTTCGTGCGAGGTGTGGGCGAGGGTGGGACGCAAGAGTGGGTTGATGCGATGTGGAGGCTGTTAAGACTCTCGAGTAAGGAAAAGGAGACTAGTACTACGGATTGTAGACTTTGAGAGGTTGTGATCAATCTGGCATCACTTGAGTTGATCCATACACTTTAAACACTTCTTAACAATCATGTTCAAACTCATGGAGGTTATTACTGGAAACTCCCAGCTCTAAGCAAACGGGTCCGAAGAAAAGGGAGCATTTAGAAACTGACATCGGATGAGTCACGAATCCCATTGCCAATCGCAAGAATAGTTGACGCTACCTTGGTGAGAATACGAGTTACTCCGAGAGGCTTGCACAGTTTAGCATCACGATCTGCGACGTCGATCATCTTTAACCATCATGGCCACTAATCTCAGCGGGACTCATTTGCTTCATGCAGACGAAGGCTTTCCTGGGCACGAGGTATCGCCTTCGATCTCAGTGACTACGAGTGAGTCACCACCGCTTTTTGTGGTGGAAATAATAGGTGTAGTCAATCTTATCTTCCTCAAATCTCGCGTAGCTTTCAGGAGAGATGCACCGTTTGAGGATCCGGACATCGTAGCTCCGGGGAGTAGAGGCAACCACCACGACTACTCCAGATATTCGCACGATGTGAGCGACCGAGTGGTCGCAGTGCTGAACAAGATTACTGTAGGTCCAATTTATAGATGAGAGTCACTGGACTCTGACACAGATCAGAATGGACACTCCATAACTTACTCGTCTGGCCTGGCAGCAGCGTTTTCCGTGAGTTCCCGATTTTAACAAAGAGCAATATCTAAACTAGGTGTCACAAGGCACTCATTCATTACAAGCCTCGACGAATCGCGATCCGAGGCGGTTATATGGGCTGCCACGGAAGCATCAAGGTATACTCGAAGACCAGATTCGACGATACCCCTGTCGTCGATCTCGATGATGACTTGAAAGAAGGAGACCTTTGCTGGCTCGAGACACCCTTGAATCCTACTGGCGAATCACGGTATACAAAGTTGCGCCTGTCAGCATTTTTGCTTGCTGACTGCCATTAGTGACATCAAGTACTACGCTGACAAGGTTAGCGGCCGGCCTTGAGAGTGAAGTAAGTTGACCTGATGATGCGCAAACCTAGATCCATGCAGTCGGCGGAAAACTCCTAGTGGATTCGACGTTTGGACCCCCGCCTCTTCAAGACCCGTTCAAGTGGGGCGCTGACTGCGTTTTCCACAGTGGTATGTATGTGCAAAGGCGTTGAGTATGAAGGGAAACTCAGTGATGTCTAGGAACAAAGTATTTTGGTGGTCATTCTGATCTTCTTTGCGGGGTCCTGGTCGTCAAATCCGAAGCTGAGTGTAAAGAAGTAGGTTTGGTTGGCGTTTTGTGAGATGGGATGATGTCCTTACCCTACGGTAGCTCTGGCAGGACCGCGTTTATATGGGCAATGTTATGGGCTCAATGGAGTCGTGGCTGCTCCTACGGTCCCTCCGTACGCTGCATCTCAGAGTTCCGAGGCAGTCCGAGAACGGCACAGCTCTGGCGCAGTGGCTCAGTAAAGCCGTTAACGTCCCCGCCGGCCAAGAGCATGATGGTCTCCCTGGAGGGATTCTCACCCACATCTGGCACTCCAGTCTGCAAGGCGTCGACGAGCGAGGTTTCGACCCTGCTAAGCAAATGGAGGGGGGATTCAATGCCACGTTTTCCGTTGTCGTCAGTTTGTGTCTGATGCCCTACTTGAATAGCTCTAATCGATTTTCACTAGGTTTCAAAGCCGGAGTACGCGGAGCGCCTACCAAACTACTTACATTACTTCGTGAATGCCACGAGCTTGGGAGGGGTTGAGTCTTTGATTGAGCAGAGGTCCCTGTCAGACCCCAGTGAGGATCCGCTCCGCATCCGGATTAGCGTAGGGGTTGAGGATATTGAGGTGAGTAGCTTACTCTTTTATTTGCGAAAATGCTAAACTGTCCTTTAGGACCTGAAGAACGATATGCGCCAAGCGTTCCAAAAGCTAGCAAAGGTGAGACTTGGGCTTAAGCTGGGCGATTGATCTGTTGTCTCATCCATGCCCATCTACAGCTTCAAGTCTAGGTGGTTCAGCTAGTCTAGACAGCGCATGTAAAATATCTCCAGAGGAAAAATAGATCTAGGGGAAAGATATCATTGTAGGACGAAGCCACCATGTTGAAGAGTTGTTGGAGTTCGTAATTGATGAGAAATACCAATGCACCTCGTCAATCGTGAATAGGGGCTAAAGGCAAACAGAGCTAAATATTTGAGAAGGATACGCGTCTCGAGCCGCGTCATCTTGGCCTACAGGTACATTCGGTACACTCAACATATCTTCCAGACATCATGAACTCCCTTGTGGATCGGTTCGCATCATCCAGCTCAAACAGTATCTTCAACGCCAAAAACTTGCACGTTGTCGATGAAGATGACTGCTCCGATGGTGCATGGGGATCTCAGGCCGGCTTTGGTAGCTTAGCCAAGGGAGTCCCGTCCTTTGAAGTTCCCGCCGTCCCAGACGTGAGCTTTTATATGAATTCGCTACGTAGCATTACTAACGAAAAATCAGCCTTCTGCTTTCCTACGCTTGCATACCGATGATCATGCCGATCCTTCATGCAGAATCAAGATCCAGCACGGAACTACGACGCTTGCCTTCAGATTTAAGGGCGGTGTTATCGTAGCGGTTGACTCGCGTGCCACTGCAGGAAGTTATGTTGGTGGGTAGCTGTTATGAGAGCTTAGGTATGCGCTGATATCTCTCACAAGCGTCTGGTACGGTGAAGAAGGTGATCGAGATTAACCCGTACCTTCTGGGGACTATGGCCGGTGGCGCCGGTACGTCTTTGAACATAGTCAGATAAGAGGGATACTCAAATTTCAATTAGCTGATTGTCAATACTGGGAGACATACCTAGGCATGCATTGCCGCCTTCATGAGCTCCGTAACCGGGAGCGGATATCGGTGTCTGCTGCGAGCAAGTACTTGAGCAATCTCGTGTATGGCTACAAGGGAATGGGTCTGAGCATGGTAAGCATTCAATGATTGCCATCAGATTCAACACTCACCTACGCATTGCAGGGTACCATGATCTGCGGTTGGGACAAGACTGTACGAGTCATGAAACCCTTCTTGATACGAAACTAACGTCTCATGTGAAGGGCCCGGCTGTCTTCTACGTCGACTCTGACGGAACTCGACTCAAAGGCGACCTATTTTCTGTTGGTTCTGGCAGTACCTTCGCATATGGTGTTCTAGATCAAGGTTACCGGTGGGATATGTCCGACGAGGAAGCCCAGGAGCTCGGTAGAAGAAGTATCTATGCTGCAGGACATCGCGACGCGTTCTCTGGTAACACTGTGAACCTGTATCACGTAAAGGAAGAAGGATGGCAGTTCATTGGTATGCTCTTTGGCCCCGTGTTTTCGATGATGCTGAAGTCGTTTTCCAGGAAACTACGATATCTCCCAACTTCATTACGACGGCCCTGGAAACGTCGCTGGGTCTCCTGGACATGGCTATGGATACGAAACGCGTGTGGGGGGGCTTAGCTCAGCTAATCCGCCTGCTGTCGAGGCACAAGCATGAGTGTAGAGGTCTACAAGTGTGTGAATCGTGTATCAATAATAGTACCTTTTCTCTCTGTACTACATTCAGATGACATGGATTCGATGTCATGCCTATGCCCTTTGCCAATCCAACACGCGGAAGATGACGCGTTTTCACTTACTTACCCGTCGGTATGCTACCGTCGCTTGTGTACAATGATATCAGTGTGCTGGCTAGTGTGGGAGGACTGAGTCTAGCACCTCCCCTGAAACTACACCCTGAACATTTGTTCATGGTCTGAAGTTTCCCAGCTAACATGAAGCGGCTCTTCTCCAAATCGCAGAAAAGATCAAGCACCATTGGAGCTCCTGCCAGTGGTACGGTAGTATCGAGCTCATCGTCCTCAACAGCCCCCACAGTTGCGCACGCGAGCATCGCAGGTCTTCAACCGAGCTTGACTGTTCCACCTGTCCCCCATCCACGTCCCCACGAGTACATCTCAGTACTGGTTGCTGAAGAGGGTATATTGCTACGTCCCCACTTCCTCGGATCCGAACCACCTGAATGTCATGTTCGTGTCGCCTGGGGGCAGCTCGCGACAGTTGAGGAGGTGGATGGAGATGGAAATGTAGGAGCTGGCTGGGATGATGCTCTAGTCATCTATGGTGTACTTGGTGTCGTCACTCTTTTCAATGGTATGTGCGATTTGCCGCAGGAGATACCTAACCAAGCTAATCTCTACTTGTTTAGCCTCATATCTCCTCATAATCACCTCCAGGTCCGATATTGGGCAGTGTGAGTGACTTGGCGCCAACATGCTAATGTTGCCTTGTGCCCACATGTGCTTAACCAAGTCTGCTTGCAGTATTTGACGACATCCACAAAGTGTATGAAGTCAAAGGTGTTTCCGCCATCCCACTGGTGAAGGAGCGCGCAGAGGTCACTCTCAATACGCTCAAATCTCGCAACGCTCTTGCCACTCGTCCGAATATCACTGCTGCCATCTCTAGTGATGTTGCTAGCTACATCGGCACTCCCCCGAATTCTTCGGCACTGGCTGGTCCAGCTCAGCACGTTAAATTCTCTACACAAACCAATCCGGATGTTGAACGGCCCTCGTCTCCTGTTAGTGCGTCGTCGGGCGCCTCGACGCCGACTTCAGAAGACGACACCATGAATTCACCCGTCGCAAAGGCCATTGCTGACCGCCTTTCTTTCTGGAAAAGGCTATCAAAGCGGTTGACTAACGTACCAGAGTCTATTGCAGCAGAGGTAGATCAGCCTCTCCTCGACGAATCTGAGACTCTTGAGGAGATCATTAAGGAGTCTGAGGGCGAGCCGGCCAAGGTCATTGATTCTATATTGACTGCAACAGCACCTCCACCTGCCTCTGCTGAAGAAAAGCATATGGAATTAGAGGAGAAGGTGCTACGTGAGGTGATCCGTGAATTCTCTAAAGGAGGCATGTACTTTGCCTACAACTTTGGTAAGCACTTGCTCAAGCGATAGTGGTTGTAGCTCACGCCAAATTTTTGAAGATATCACTCGCTCTCTGCAGCATAAACAGGAGCAACATACCAAATCCCGACAACAAGATACCCTTCTTTCCGATTTAAATGTCTTGCCGAAGGATAAGAGCGTCGGCCCTTTAGACGAAAAGGTGGACGTGTTGGCAGAGCCTTTCCCTACTCTGCCTCTATGGCGCAGGATAAACCGACAATTCTGGTGGAACGAATGGCTATTAAAGCCGTTTATTGACGCTGGTGTGAGTGCTTATTTGCACAGCTCAAAGTTTCTGCAGTTCACGCTGCTTACGTCTCTTGCTTTAGTTACATTCCTACGTTCTCCCGATTATGCAAGGGTTCTTTCAAATATCCTCCTTTGAGCTTCCGGAAGACCCCTCTGCCCCGGATGAAGACGTCATACTACCTATTGACTATATGGTGATATCCCGGCGGTCGAGGGATCGTGCGGGTCTGCGGTATCAACGAAGAGGAGTTGATGACGAAGCCCGTGCGGCGAACTTCGTAGAAACGGAGACAATCATGAGAGTACAGGTAAGAGAGGTAGCTCAAAACAACCAGAGTTTGTGTTTAGACGTGCGTCTCAGCGGAATTCCACATCAAACATCTACAGTTACGTGCAAATACGAGGCTCAAGTACGACCTTCGCCCATTACTCGTGCATATGTTGATGCTGGGTTTAGTACCATTGTTTTGGACGCAGTCAGGTTATAGCATGAAGCCACCTCCCCTGTTATCGCCTGAGCGGACTGCAGACCAGAATCTAGACGCTTTGAAACGGCACTTCAAATACATTGTGCCTAAATACGGGCCTAATGTAAGCCAGGGACACTTACGGATAACATTGTCCCTTAACCAATGATTGCCAGACTATTGTCAACCTCGCAGAGCATCACGGGAAAGAAGGAGCATTGACTGCTGCTTACCGCACGTATGCCAATAAGCTTGATCCAAAAGAAGTCCGGTAAGTTTCTGAAAAAGCCCTTCAGTGGATATTTACCTTCATCTCCTCTCCAGCTACGTTGAATACGATTTCCATCAGGAGACCAAGGGCATGAAGTGGGTGCAGCTCGACTAATCTTAGGTTGGCCAAACTGCTAATGAAATTTCAAGGTATGAGAACATATCACACCTTGTAGATCAACTAGGCCGCGTTTTTGAAACCCAAGGGTACTTTACCCCATATTTCATCACAACTCCATCAATGCTAACAGGAATCCAGTTACTATTGGATCTCAAACAGCATGCTCATGTCAAAGCAGAAGGGCGTTTACAGGGTGAACTGCATTGACTGTCTGGATCGTACCAACGTGGTGCAGGTAGGACGCGCTGTTTTTAACTTTAGGGAAACATTGTAGCTGACATTAAATCTCTCCCTGTAGTCCGCATTAGCTAGACATGTTATGAACTTGCAGCTTGGTGCTGTCGGTTTGCTCAACCATACAGAAATGGGCAGATCGCAAGTAGATATGGTTTTTAATGACGGTGGGTATAATTGGTCTATATTCAGAAACATCGCCGAACGTTGAAATTCACAGTATGGGCCAACAACGGCGATGCCATTAGTCGCGAATAGTCAGTAATGAGATACCTGCGTGTCACCGGTTACTGACGTCGAAACAGTGCCGGAACTTCAGCTTTGAAGGTTAGAGAACTGGACTGCGCGAACTAGAGTCTGCTAATCATCACCTTCACTGTAGGGTGACTTTACGAGGTATGTCTATTTGCAACCAACCACTAACCAATTTTCAATACCTTTCAAGGACGGGCAAACGAGACCTTAGCGGCCTTCTCAATGATGGCGTCAACTCGTTGGCAAGGATGTACAGTGCTACATTCAGTGACTGGTTTAGCCAAACGGTCATAGACTTCATGCTGGGATACCGCACCATATCGGTGTTCTCGGAGTTCCTGCTGAAGTTGCAGTCTACTGACCCACGCGAGCTCATACGCCTGTCCAAGATTCGCGCAGAAGCCATTGCCACATCGGTCGCGCGCGTTTTAGAGGAAGGCGAGAGCCTTCTTTCCGGGTGGACAACGTTTGCCCCTGAAGAGCTCAATGTGAAGCTTGGAGACAAGTTTGAGGAGAAGATTTTGCTTCTTGTGAGTTGCATAACGATCACTATAACATAGCTGTCATTAACGTTGCTTCAAGAGCGTTCGTGCGTTGTACATCGTTGTGAGAAAGGCTATTTTATTAGCTTGTGGATTTCCCGGCTGAGGAATCCCAGAGCTATGATTATACCCTGGAGAAAGTCAAGATGTATACCCGTGTCCCCTTAGGAGATATTGTCAAAATTACGAAAGGTGAGCTCAGTATATTAGTTGAGGTGGCGAATACGGAAATTTAAACATGAAAAGGCGCATATATACTATCTCCCCTGGAAGAAACCAGCCGAGATCCAGTACAGAATGCTGGGTTTACGATCGAATGGATCCACAGCAAGGGTGTGACCACGCGGATGACGACCTACTCCTACAGAAATCAACTCGAAGACACTCCACCTCCGTCGGCATCGATTTTTCCAGCTGCAAAGTCAGGCACCTTGGACAAGCGGTTCTCCACGATACCCGGACGCTCATTCGCGCGGACGACTACGCTCTCTCGCATGATGTCAAAGGTATCTGAAGGCTTCTCGAACGAGACCAATTTTGGAGCATTCAAGGTGCTGCCTGTGGATCCTGCCCGTATACGTCGGGAATCGACCGCCGGATATGCAGAGCCTGCAGATGATCTTGCTGGCGCTACGACGTGCAAGGAAGTGGCGGATTTGATGGTTGAGACAATCGCCCGAGCGTGCGAGGACATTGGAGGGCACCATGAACATTTCGTTGTGGATGAAGACGTCGTCAGGTAAGCGAACTGGGATGACTAGGTGCAAAGGAACAAATCTGATCCATCGTTAATTTGCAGTGTAACTGAAGCTCAAAGGCACACAACCATGTATGCTAAGATGGAATATGGAATCAAGAGACTGTTGTGGCTAGGAGGCTAATTGTGCAACTAAACGACGGTCTTTGCGGACTTGATACTCATGTAGATACACAGATCAAGAACCAATTTGCAACATCTACTATACCACAATATATTTTTGCAAGACCATCGTGAATGATTGGATTACTCGGGGACCTTTACACTATCGTGAAAAGTTCCTCGAAGAGTGTAGAAGATGAGTAGCGAAAGTTGAGGGGGAAGGGGGGTGAAACGGCAACAAAAGAACAAGGTCGAGAAGATCCACAAAGCGAGTCCAAAGTCCGTCATGCAAATGCAACCTGAATGGCCCAGAAAACGAGATTTAGAGAAGAGAGATACGAAGCGGATGGGGGCCTCCGGCAAGAACAACAAGGTATATATCCGGGTATGAAGGGGGAATCGAAGTTGTGGGAATATATCCAATGAAGATGCGAATACATAGCGAAGAAGGCGAAGGAGTAATAGTAATGTCCAGTTGTGCTTGTGCGTAAGAGAGAAAATTAAAAGATAATAATAAAAGATGTGACTGCAGAGTGGTGCGTGCGTATGGTCCAGAGGTGAAATAGGTGTTGTGGGGAGGGAGTAGGTATGGTCCCCGATCGTTTGTCGCTCAGCCCTCGGGCATGTTCTTCCAATTAAAGAATGTCGAGTTCGTCATCCTCGTCTTCGTCAGGCGTCGCGCCAAGATCGATGAAGCGTGTCATGCGCTTCATCGCACGCATGTCGTCCCGGGCAGCCTCGAGTGCACCTCCGCGTAGCTGTGGTCCAAGTCGAGCAGCAGCGGTAGCACTGCCGTGACGGTCGCAGAACATCTGACCATCGATTTCCCAGTACTCAGCGAGCCGCTCGCTGCAGCCGCCCTCGTATTCACATAGCAAGTGCTGCGGGTGATACCGCCTTCCGGAGTGGGTGACGGCGCAAGGGCCTTCAATGGGTTGTCCACACGATACCGCGGAACAAAGCGAGTCATTCGCTTCATGGTAGTGATATGCGCAGAGAGGTTTGCCGTCGAAGACGTAGAACTCCTTGTCAGGGAAAGGTTTCTGAAGTGGAATGTTAGAACTCCGGTGTTGAAAGAGGGTTGTATATTATCAACTTACATGACACGCGTGGCAATTAAAGCAGTTCCGATGGTATTTGCCCTTAAGCTGGCCATCCGAGGAAGAAACAGCTTGTTTCTCAATGGGTAAATTACAACGACGGCACTGGTTCAGACGCGTCAGTACACACACCATACTGAGATGACAGTATCACCAGCTGACCTTGGGCAAATACAAGTTTTTCCAGCACTGCTCACACAGCACGCGCCCGCCATCCATCTCAATCCACCGTCCGTTCTCAATCTTGCTATCGCAGCGAGCGCAAGGCCGCTGTTTCTTAACGCGCTCCAGTGCGCGAGAAGCCTCGCCGTTTGCGCCGACACGCTCCGAGTGTGCGTGAGCGGGACTAGTGTGAGAGCGAGTCGGGGGTTTTGGAGTCTTGTGCTCGGGTGCGGGGCCGGGCACAGTGTTGGAGCGCTGTGCCTTCGCTTTGCCCTTGGACATAGAAGCGAGCACGGAGCCGGACGAGGTCAGAGACACAGACGCGCCCTCTTCAAGGAGCGTCTCCATCGCGCGCTCGAGCGCACCGCCACGTATTGTATTGGTGGTCGACGTACCACGCGAGTGACTCGTGCCCTCTCCCGAGGAAGAAGAGGAAAACATGGACCCTGCCGAATCCTGGCGCACGGGCCGCCTTACGTTATCGCTTGACGACATGGTTGGGAACTTGACGGTCGATGCGTTTGAGGACTTCCGGACGTTGAGTGGGGTAACGACGGGAGTATCATCCTCATCGTCATCTGCATACGCGAGGCCCACCTCCGACTCAGTTGCTGTTGAATGGCGGTTGGCGTTTTTGGAGCGACCGTGTTCTTCAGAAGTCAGGGTTGTGTAAACACTCTCGTCATCACTACCATCATCTTCAGGCCGCTTCTTGTCCATATATGCATCCAAGAAAGGGACATGAACGCCATCGGATGCAGAAACCTCTGATTCGTAGCTGAAGCGACTATTGAATGGATTCGACACTGGCGAGGGCGTCCTTGACGGAGAGGCAATGCGCACGTGGTCCGACACTTCATCGGGGGATGCGGAATGTTGATGTGATTTGCCACTGGCCAATGATACGCTCGGGAAAGCACCACCGGTGGGAGTCGTGCTGCCCGATGGCGAAACCGGCGATACAGGATGAGGAGACACGGGAGAGCGCGAGTGCAGCGAGTTTGGTGATAAGGGGGGAGTAGTCGCAGCTAATAGAAAGACGGATATGTCAGCCAACGTTCATCAGAAGCTTGCCAAGGAAAACTCATGTAATGAGATGGATGAAGAAGGAAGTCAAGGAACCATAAGGCGTAGGTGTAGATCCGGTACCGAACAGAGGAACGGCCCATAAAACCTTCACCGCGACGCATATATGCGCCTAGATAACTCTTTTCCCGGTACAAGTATCAGATACTCACATCGCATCCCGTTTTTCATGGTTGCGTCGATATCCAGGTATCCAGGCGCGTTCGGACGCAAGCTCTGCTGTGCAGGCTGATGCATATGGGCACCGTACGGACCCATCACACCGGTACCTTGATTCATTGGCAGAGTGAACAGTCCAGCACGCGCAGCAGCAGCAAAACCACGCCGGCCTACGCCTGCCATGCCAGCTTCCCCTCCACTCTTCGTGTCAATATCAGTACCCATCCTGCCTTGCTCTGCTTTTGCTGGAGGTATCTGAGGAGCGTTGACAAGGGAAGGGCCACCCTGCGCAAGACGCATACCGGAGCTATGGCGAGGCGGGGGTTGGATAACCTGTCCCGAAGGAGCAGGAGAGGCACGTCGGTCAAGGGATGGCCGGGGAGCATCCGTTGAAGGACGACTCTGACCATCGACCGACGGTCGGCGGCCATCAAAGGTCGGTCGAGGCGGCTCTAAAGATGGACGCTGGCCATCAACGGATGGCCGACGGCCGTCAAACGATGGATGAGGTGGCTCGAGGGACGGACGTGGCCCGTCCATGGATGGTCGACGGTTGTCAAAGGACGGGCGGGGAGGCTCAAGGGATGGGCGACGTTGCGGATCGAGCGAAGGTCGTGGAGCGGAAGAGGGCGCGCGAGGTCGACTTTCAAGCGTAGGCCGAATCGAACTGGCATTGGAAGGCGTCCGCAATCGTCCTAGCGGTGGCGGAAGGGGCATGGGCGGCTGAGGAGCCGGTGAGAGGTCCCTCCTCGCTAGGGACGCGCCTCTAGGCCGACCAAGGACAGGCGGTGGAGTAGGGCTATCAAAGGGATTCGGGAGGGCAGTCGAGGGGGGTGTTTTGGGTGTTTGGACTGAGGGACCATCGACGGCACGGACCGGGGTAGAGACGCGTTCTGGAGGGCGTCTGTTAGATGATAGTGATACAGGTAAGTTTGGTCGGCCCGAGGATTGCTGTTGTCTGAATGACACGGAGGAAGGAGCGGCTGGGCTGTTGACTCTAGGAGTGGGTAGTGTAACATTATTCATGGTGGGTGGTAGGCGTTGAAAAGGATCGTCGTTGGACAGGTCATCAACGTCAGCAAGTGATGTTTGCTGTCTGTGTGTAGCTGGCAGTGGCTGTTGCTGTTGCTGAGTAGGTGTTACTGTCTTGTGCGGGATCAGATTTTGTAACTTTGATGAAACGAGCGAAGGAGCCTGGGTCGACCTTGACGGCTGGCTAGGTAAGGGAGGTACGGGCTTGCAGACATGTCCACCGAGCTCGCTGAAAGGGACAGGCTGAGAACAAGTCGTACATTTGACTGTCGGGAGGAGCTGGGATAGCCTGGGCTGGGACTCTGCAGGTTTGAGCAACTGGGCCATGGAAATTACAAAAAACGAGCGACTGTGGCCGGTTGAGGAGAGTGGGCAGAGGTGCCCGGTGAGCGAGTGTGGGAGGAGGGAGGGTGTTACTGGGTAACTGTGGCTACTGCAACTCGGAATCAGAGTTCGCTGTGGACGGAGACCTACGGAGACAGCGAGCGCTCTGACATGAATCTAGCTTTCTCAGTCTGGGGAGAACGTGGGCTGGCGCGCGTCGGAGAGCTGCTATAGGTTGGATCTTAGGTGCGGTACCGTCCGTCCGCCGCCTCGCCTGGCCATCGCTAGCCCGCTTATGGTCCATGTCATGTCGCGACTCGCTGCTTCTTCGGTCCCAGAGTCTCGTATCCGCATCACACATCACTCACCCGACTCTCATCCACCCAGCCTCCTCCAAGTTCTCGTCTTCCCCCCGCCCGCGCTTGCTTTACTTAGTGCGACAGCCCTTGACATTTCGACGCCGAAAGCGTCAAATACGTTCTTTGACTACCACAAAAGAGCTCCCAGAGGAGGAACAATAGCTAGGCCACTACTGTCATGTCCCATCATTCCAGCATTCGCTGAGCTGTCAACCTGTTATTTCCCTTGCTGACTAATAATAGCTTGTCCTCCTCTTGGCAGAATCCGCCTGGTTGATCGTATTGATCTCCATCAGTCCCCATAATAATATTTTAGGATGAGTCCTTATGCTGTCATGCTCCCGCGACCTGTATCGCCCTCAATTCTTGCAAGCTATGCTTTGATGCTCATTGGCCGCCACATCAACGCAACGTTCAAATCAGCAATCAGCACCTCATGCTCAAGAAGGCTCAAGACAAACCAGGACAAACCCATCGTCATGATCACTTCCCACACGCTGACATTCGCCATTGGTCGGCCGCAATGTCGTCCAGAAAGTCGGTCCGAGTGGGACGACTTCAACTTGTCGTGCGTACACGATAGGCTCCGAGATGGTCCAGATCCCCACTTTCACTTCCCGCGCACTCAATACGGGAAGTCGAATTTGTCTGTCCTTGCGTGGCGTGAATGCCGTTAGCGGGACCCAATTCGGTGGATCATCCAATCCTCGGTGACGTGACGTCGTCAACGTCGATCCTCGGAGCACCTACATCTTCGTTTTCATCCCGAGCAGCGAGTCGAGTTCTCTACATCCCACGACTGGCCTTCGGCTTGAGCTTGAAGGCTGAACCGATAATGCTTCCTTGCCAATCTTAATTCTTCCGTGTGGTACACGTATCAATTGCAATTGCAAACGCGAACTGTGGCTCCATCGAATGAGGGACGATCCCCGACTGATAACGAATGCACTGAAACGGATCATCGCTCAAAGTAAAACAGGGCGTCCGTTCAGCGCATCAGAAGCATGATGCCGTACCTTGCATATTTCACCAACACCTTGGAGAGTATAAAGGCATCCCCTGGCCTTGAATATCATAGGAGTACGGGGTATTGTTTCTTCAATGTGTTAAGGCTAATAAAGAAGACTAGAAATACAGTGTATGCACTTAGAGGAGAGAATTCGTTATCAATAGTGACCTAGATATGACGTGGATACATATGTATGATTGCTCGTGTAGGAGGAAAGCGAGGCATAGCACTGCAGGATCCGGATCGCAGCTAGGCGGTGAGATTAGCTGGACAATAGTATAGTCACTGCGTTTAATCCATCTCCCTGCTCCTTTTCTACGGCCGACCATGGTCCCACCAACTCCGCCTGCTGCGAGAACAAGCGCTACGAGCCCTGCGGACTTACTTGCTGCTGCTGCTGCTGCTGTTGCTGCGGTGATCCCGCAGTGTTACCACTGGGACCTTGCTGCGTATCTCGTTTCTCAAGCCCGGGGTTGCCGCCTTCACTGTTGTTGAACCTCGAAAAGAACGAGTCCCATTGGCCTGATGACACTCAAGTCAACGGACGCACACGGCAGCCAGTGAGAGTCACGTACCCCAATCGAACATGCCTCCTGGGATGCCCTCCAACAACCCCACGTCGGCCATGGCAAACTGCTGCAGAGTGTTCGAAGCCTGTGGAACATCTAGAACGTTCAACACTTGCACGTTCCCCTGGGTTTGTCCTAACGGATTGTTAAGGGAAGGATTCATGTTCGCAGTTATATCGGACCGTCCCCCGGCACCAGGCAGCGGTGTGATGGTCACCATCGATGTATTTCTCTGGGGAGACCCAGGCTGTTCTGCTTGCGCTAGCAGAGTGTCAGTCAGGCCGTGAACTCTCGTCGCATGCACGAGACTCACCCCCGTCCAACTCATCATCTGACGAAGTAATAATCGTACCTTGTAGCATGTCCTCATAGGCGCCATCTTTCGCGGCGTCTCCATGAGCGACAAACACGCCTCCTCCTGGTCGAGATGGATCTTTCTTATATTGCAATGATCCCATTGGAGGTGGCTTCCCTTTAACACCCCCGGTCGGATTCAATGGAGGCTTGTCGAGTGGGAGGGGCGGACCTTGCGTCGCCTCATAGAGAAGTGCAATAATTTCTGCGGTCTAGTGCCAAAACTTCCAGCCCATGCCATTAAGGGAATAAGAGCGCCGTACCTTTCTCCGAGCAGACATATGGTCCGGTGATATCGAGCTCTCCCATCGCCTGATGCAGTCGCGGAGCTTACAGAGCTTCTCCGCGGCCTCGTTATCCTGACGCCGTGCCCAAGTATGATACTGGCGCAAAGTAAGATGGCTACTAAAACAGAGCAAAAGCGACACGTGCTTACTTGAACAAGGGCGCATGACGTCGCGGCATACGCAACGAGAAGCCAAGAATCATACACATTCTCGTGCTTGTCGAGCCAGTCAATGGCCTCGCCCGTCAATAACACGAGGTTACTCCAATTCTCCACGGTCAACCCAAATTTGAGGTGGGCAGGACATGAATATGATATCCGCATGAAGACACGCCAGAAGATCATGCAAACACACGAGTAGAAGAGATGAAGCAGACCTGATACTCCTTCAGAATCTTTATTCATGCGCTATCTGCCATACGTACCTGCATCTCGAGGTGTATCCGGTCCTTTGTATTGAAGATTGAGGGGTAGGTTAGCTTTCCAAGATTCGAGATCTGCCAACAGAGTGATCAAATGCTCGTCCGTTGCAAACATCAACCCAGAAGGACTGCATAAAGTAAGCGAACGGAACGAATCAGAATGTGTTGAGTTTTACCTGTATATCGTCTTGAGGACACGTCCTAAGATGACGCTAAGTCTCACGAGCTCGTTCATGTAGAGGTCGCCAGCTTCACCCGAAGTAGGGAGGCGAGCGTCACAGTCCTGGACATCAATCATGTACGGGTGGCCGTATGTGAGACTAAGCCTAGAAACGGACATTGGTGTGAGCAACGGTCGAGATGCGAGGCTGTGAAGTGAACTAGCCATCGGTCACAAATGACGCATACCCCCCAGAGCCTCCGTCTAACGTCAATGTTTTGCTTGACTGACTCTGCACGATGCAACCCCAAATCTTGTGCCTATATTAATCATGAGAATCCTTCCTAACAGAAAAATCAGCACCAACAGACCATCCTAATAGCAGTCCCGAGCCGGACCCACAACGCGGATAGTGCATTAGGGACAAATTGCGAATGGCTGTCGCCCGCCATGCTTAGAATGAGCAATGCCTGGACGTTGGCGATGGAGGCAGTGGACAAGACATCATCGGCTTTGATGATATTGTTGACGATAAATCGAATCGAGTCAAAGACGGTTTGAGGGACTTCTCGCCTTGTAGCTGCCACGAGACAAATAGAGTAAAGCAAGACCGGCGAAGGTGAGGACGAGCCCAGAAATTCCTCCTTAGTGATGACAGGCAGCATGGGCGCAATTTCCTGGAAGTAGACGTTTACAAGCTTTTCAACGACGTCCTTCTCGATCCGAATGTCGGTATGCTTTGGGTGAGGCACTTGCTTGTCCTCTACGGGCTTGTTCGAAACCGAAATAACACCGTCACCGTCATTAGACACTTCCCATGTGTGATGGTATCGTTGATCGTAATTTTCATAGATGCGTGAGTTGATAGTAGCCTGGGAATGAAGGAGATGCACCGCGGTTGTTGGCCCTAGTGCGAGAGAGCGTTAAAAATTGAAGGGCCAATCACGTAATGATGAACTAGCACAAACCGAAAACCCGTCGGTCGGAGTTTTGGGGGTCGTTGGACGGAGAAGATGTACGACGCCTGAGCTCTGCTGATTTTTCCTTTTCAGCAGCTTCATCTTCCAATTTCTTCTTCTTGAAACGAGTCTCTGTGATTGGCAAGAAAAATGTGCACTCAAAACCGTACTGCTTGCAATGTTGGCACAACGGGGGCTCGGTGTCTGCCAGGACATCGCACCTTGATTATTACGATTTTGAATTAATATTTGGCTACCCATGTGGAAGAGGAGTGACGAACCTAATTTTCCGGCTCCTGCAGCTATCGCAAGCCCGCTGAGTCTTTGTCCGCTTCTTACTCATTTCCGAGGCCGTGGGAGCACTCGTCGTAGGCGTTGTTGACTTGCCACCAGTGTCGGTGCCCTCGGGATCAGACTCCCTGTCCGTGTCCTTACTGCGTCCTCCGTCACCCTTGCGTTTACGTTTACTGCCCTGCGAGGCTAAGGGGGGAGCCTGCTGCACTGGAGAAGGGGTGGGGGTCGCGTGTGCTGCCTGTTCATGATGTTCCTGCACCCCCGAGTTAGGTCGTGGATGAGAGTACATCATCATCTGCGAGTAGGGGGAATAAGGCGCATATCCGTGCGGGGCGGGAGGCGGGTAAGGAGCGGCATGCATCGGATAATAGCCGGGATGGCCGGTCATGGGTGGCTGCTGACCACCGGTAGAGCCAGTAGAGCCAGACGCTCCATAGGGGGAGGAGAGATGCTGCTGGTGCTGGGTGAACGGAGAAGGGTTGAGCGGGTAATTTGGATTCATGATATACGGAAAGGGAGACGGATAGGCGGGGAAGAGGGGAGCACGAGGGAGTTGTGCTCTAGCAGCGTCTGAATAATGCGAGGGAGATGCTGTCAAGAAGCAAGGAGCATTGTCTGAGTATAAGTTCAAAAATTGGATTACCAGGACATACTACTGTCAAGTTGTGCCGACCGGGGGTCGGAGTTTGTTGCTTGGGAGCGACGGCGAGGTGTTTCGGCTGCCGCCCTGGAAGTTGTAGTCTCGCCCGCTTTCTTTGATCGTGGCTTTCGACTCGGAGGGGGGGAGGCACTCGGCTCTGGCGGCTCGGACTGAGGATCGCTGGACTTTGGGTCCCGGACGGACGATTCCATAAGTCAGACAGATATATGTTTGGCTCAGACGTAATTTGGTCCGATTTCGCCGAAAATATGTAAAGATCGTCTCGAGATCCCCTTACACGTCCAATTTGACGTAATAGATCTGTCTCAAATCCCCTGTCATCAGCAAGACATGCTTCACCAATATCCCCCAGTCGCAGTTTTCTGCTGCCGCTCACCTTGCTTCTGCTCAGCGGACACCGGTGGGCGTGGTAGGGAGGGAGCGAGTACCTCTAATGCCGCCGTCTCGGCTCCCCTATGATTGAATCGGAGATTCTATTTTGGATGTCCGTGAGATAGACAGGGTCGTCGGCCGGAGGGAAGCAACTGAAAGGTGCCATATGTTCTTGCATCACCGGCAATCGGGGGTGACGTTGTCCTTGCCTTGTGCCTGGACCCTTAATTATGCGGTCATTATACCCAAAAGCTTGACGCTTGTCCTTACACTCCTCGCAACAGTAAAACTTGTTATAGTCTCTCCATATTCTGGGAGGGCGAACATTTTCTCACCAAAGGGCTCGGACAATGTTTGCTCACGCCCTGGCACATGCCTTTGCAAATAGTCGCCTAAAATGTATCTCTTTGTGCTAAGAAGCCTGAAATTCTGCTAAAGATAGCATCAACGATGTCATCCAACGCGTCGGTGCCTCACGTCCCTGTTACGTATTACTTACAAGACCCGCGTCCAGTTGACTCTGAATTTGGCGACACATAGATGGCGGTGCGGCATTGCAAAGCTTCTACGCTTGATTATCAGACGTCTCGTGCCTTTCCGGCAAACATCGCGGTCTCAATAACTATTCATCCGTCTCTCCGCACCCGCCTTTGCCCTTGCGTTCCGCCGGGATGTGTGAGCTCAAGACGAGGTGACCTCCCTCCGACCCTTTTTTTTGAGAAACCTCAAATGATCTGATGCACATGATCATGAGACACGAAGTAGGAATCAGCCAAGAAGATCTCACTTTCAAATCGGTGTGGAAGGAGCACGTGAAGCACGAAGTTGGCGCATGAACGCGCATAATAGGGTGCCAAAAATACCGCATGGTCACCTTCCAAGCTTCTCCCAACCCTGAACCAACCTGGAACGGACAGAAATATTAATCAGCTATCTTCAAATATATAAGTGTAGTTTTTCAAACGCTCAATTTCAACAACATAGACATGTCTTGCCCCAACCAGAACTTCAGAAATCAAGCCATTAAACGCAAAGCTAAGGTAAAGGCAAGGTAAAGGTGCGTATACGTTCACATGCTAAACAAGTTCGCTAGCCCGTGCATGATCACTCTGATTGGCTTCCCACCCCAATCCGATATCATCCAGACCTGGGTTCACACGGCGCTTGTCCTCGGTCGCCAATGCGTGAGCATCAATCCATGAAAACCCTGCAGGCCGACAGAGCACGTGGGCGAAATTGTTCCGCCAGGAACCAAAAGTAAAAGGGTTGGGCGGCGCGGGTCCGGGGACAACACTCTTGTGAGCCTGGTTCCTGATCTGCGGGGAAATCATATCAGTCGTGATCACGGCCGAAATTTCAAAAGGATACAAACCTGCTCAATTGTTGTAACGTTCAGGACAAGCAGCTGTAAACGATTGATCCTTTCGGTTACAATACACAACGGCAAGTAGATCGACTTCTCACTCACCCGTATGTGATACGCGAGCAATGCTGTCATGGGCCAAATGACGATTACGGACAGACAGAAAACCACTGCACTGCCAGCCCCATGATCAAGGGCAGCGCGGAAAGCAACATGGTCTCTTCGCGTGAGAAGATATAGGTGTAACGCTGATGTGCAAATAACTAAGCACAGAGTCAAGACCTGCGGGTTAGATAACATGCCTGAGCGGGCAGCATCTCCGACGTGAGAAGATCCCACTCACGGCGGACGCTAGAAAAGCAAAGAAGAACGTGTAGTTACGTCGGCCAATGCAGTTGTTGAGCCATTGGCAGTGATGGTCACATCCGTCAATACAGTTGTCGCACTAGGGTATCATGAATGTCCAAATGTGACTCAGTAGCTCGCCCAGTTACGCACCATCTTGCAATGACTAGACCTTGGCGGGCGATACGTCTTGCAGGTTGCACAATATTTGACACGGACACTTCAGCAAGCTATAGTTGGCACGATTGCTGGGGTGATACTAAAGTTCCTGCTTACGTGTCGTTCCGAACCCTCAAATCGCGGGGGAGGGGCCCACGACTCCCGCCGTCCTCTGACGTAGTAGCTGGCATAGGAGGTTCGGGATCCAGACCTCGTGGTAATATTCCAGGATCACGGAAGGCCTGAGCGCAAAACTTGAGTTGCATTCATGAACCTAGATTGAACAGAGTCTTACCGCGGCAAACATGTTAGAAATAGTCAGCGCACACATGTATGCGCCTAAAATTGCAACGGCTGGGCTTTCATTGTGCCACCACCACACGCTGGTGGTCCCAAGCCATACCCCAGCGATCCCGAAAACAGCGATTAGAGAAGCCACAAAGGCCCAAGGGGAGTCGCCTCCTGTCAGTAAACGTCCGCCAAAGAAAAACTGGTTCTGCGATGGGTATATCTGGTATATTCTCTTCATCGGTGAGATAGGAGTTTCTGACAGTGGGTGTTTGTAGTCAGGAGGCACAGGCTGAAACATCAAGCTTGGCGCAGGGGATGGACTAAGCACGGAGCCCTGGTCCTCCTGATGAGAGGAAGAACGCGATACGTTTCGACGGGTCAACCTCATGGGATAAAGGTTATCGACTGGTCTGTCTTTTTCAAAGGTATGGTTCGCGTCGGTGCTGGTAGACGGTCGCTGCAAAGCGAGGGCGGGGCTAGTGGTAGACCTGCGAGGTGAGTCGATACTAAGGCCATGTCGAAACACACGTTCAAGACTGCCGCGGATCCGGGTATTTCCTCCTGCACTCCGTTGAGAAGTAGACCGGTCAATAGATGGTCGTGCCGGAGCACTAGAACTGGCGGTCAATGGCCGACTCCCCATGGGCAATAAGGGCTCCCGGCTATGTTTGAACCGCTTGGAAAGCTGCTGGGGAGTGTCGTCCCGGCCGGGCGAGCTTTGAACACCATCACTACCAGCAAAAGATTCGTCATGAGAGTTTAGACTCGCAAGATGCGTCAATGGATAATGATCTGGAGGAGTATCGTGCGAGTGTGAGTGCTCCTCGGTGAAGGAACCTGACTGCGCCGAGGACGGACGCGCGGACGGTCGTGAAGGGTGAAAGAAAGAGGCGGAGGGTAAGATACCGCCTGCATGTGATGTACTCGTCAAGGAAGGAACTTGAAAGGTGGCGACAGTAGGAGGCGAGGAACCAGGCGGCGAGGAAGTAGGTTGGTCTCGAGCATGGTCAACACTGGTTGAAGCCAAACCCCTGTTCGCTGTGACAGACGAAGCCGAACGAATATGCAGATTGAGACCTTGACCATTGGCCTTTGCATCGACGCTTCCTGACCTACTACGTGCAGCTGCGCTCTTCTTGAGGCCGCGCACAGGTGTAGCACTAAAGTCGGAAGACGGCAGAGGGAGTTGTGGTGACCGAGTGGAGTTCATCCTCGACGGGAACGAACTGTTCGTCGGAGACGGTGGAAAGGAGAGTGGGACCTGTGAGTTAGCCATTGGCGTTGGAGGTAAGATACAAGAATGGAACGGATTGAGCCTGAAGGTTGCTTCAAATTAGACCTAAGTACAGGGTGTGGAAGTACGCGTTTCGCGTGTCCAACGCACGACAAGCCTGCCACTTTACCACGACTAGAGGAACCGGTAGCGCCAGGAAAGCGTGTAGGGAAGTGTTGTTCACGGAGACGATGCACAAGAAGGGGACGAGGCTGTAATCTTTGAAGCGAGCCTGATCCATTCAAAGCCAACGTAACACCCAGGTCAATCTTCTGTCCGGCGCTGGACGCAAGGTACATTCGACACTCACCAAAGATTTCTTTCCTCGAGATTGAACCGCCAGATCAATCTCTCCAGCTGTAGATGTCTCGGCTTCACAGGCTAGTAGTGCCGCTTCAATCAAGGTATATTGCGATTATTGCGAGTAAATGAAGTCGAAGCCGACGTGCTGCTTGGTCACTTCTCGGGCTTTGTATTAGGCAGCCGTTTCTCACAGTAACTCTCCTGGACAAACCTTAGTCGCCATCCTGCAAGTTATTGACGACAATTATATATGAGTTCTTCAGCCTTTGTTCGTTAACCTAGGCTCTTTACCTAGCGCCCTGGCTCCATGTCGCTCACTCCGAACGAATACAAGAAGGCCCTTCTGGTTGCAACAGTTGACTCTCTGGAAGTCCCCTATGTCCTAGGATCCGCAATCGCGTCTGCTACTACTGCAACAAAGCAGAACCTTGTCATCGTCCTGTTCTCACCTCTGTTCAATAGCACAACGAAACTCTCGCACACCAAACATTGGAGCGACGTTCAGGCCTTTCTTACTTATGTCTATGTTCAGGCGACTAAAGTTGCTCAGAGCATGGACAAGATTCTAATGGACATCGACGTGCTGCTGAAGAGTGAAGGCGATGTCCTACCACACCAAATACTGTCGAGCATCGAAGTATGCTATTCCGTTCTCACTGGTATGCTCTCAGCGCGAGGTTGAAGACGTAGCCTGACGTGCTACCAGGAAACAATTCAATGCCATCACTGAACTTTGGTAGACTAGTGAAGCAGATAACGCTTCAACCCCATGGATCACAGGCAAGATCTATAAATCCTTCAGAACACTATATGTACAACAATGACGAAGAGGGTGAATCATCGACATTGCCTGTTGTAGCTCTTGGCGGGACCTTTGACCATCTGCATGCCGGTCACAAGATTCTCCTCAGCATGGCTGCTTGGATAGCTTCTGAAAAGGTCATTGTGGGGGTGACAGGTAAAGAATGTCTTCTTCTTGGGTATATGCGCTCAACATCTTGGTATAGACGACGAATTGTTGAGGAATAAGTCCAATAAGCACGCGCTTGAAAGCATAACCACGAGAAAAGAGAGGACCCATGCATTCTTGAAGCTTTTCAGATCAGATCTTGTGTATGATGTGGTCGCCATCAAGGATGTATATGGTCCCACTGCTTGGGATCCTAATATTCAAGCGTTGGTTGTCAGCAAAGAAACACTGCCTGGGGCGACAAGCAGTAAGCACAACAAGCTACTATGTGTGCACCACTGCTAACACTTACAATCCAGTTGATAAGGAACGCTCCTCCAAGTCTCTACCACTTTTAAAAACGTTTGTCATCGACGTGATATCTTCAACTTCTGAGAGAGTAGAGCACGAAGATATTGAACTGCTCAAACAAGCCAAGATGAGTAGTACCTTCATTCGCCAATGGATCGTGGACAAGGGACAACAAGACAGCACGATGTAGGGCAACTGGCCACTGAAGCAGTGGAGGGTACCCAGCTGTAAATTAGCACTAAGTTGAAGAAATCCTGCGATGAATAGACATATACACCGGATGTATCACTTGAGACTCTAGGTTGGCTACATAATGCACAGTGATCATTAATCATCGATCATCAATGCATTTTTTTCTGAGTCCACGTTTATTGTCATTGTAGGGCTCCGCCCTATGTTAGACGGTAACGTAACTATTGTAACTACTCACTGCAAACATTTCTCAATAATAGTGGTATCACTATTTGAAAATTATTTTAAAGATTAAGGTGAATGGGTTTCAATAATTAGTTCCTCATTATTTAAGAATTTATCAAATACAGGAAAGGAACGCACCCGTTATTGACAGCTGAACAGCCCTGTCTTTGATAAAGATGATAAATAATGAGGAACCAGTTATTGAAACCCATTCACCTTAATCTTTAAAATAAATTTCAAGTAATACTGCCGATATTATCAAGAATTGCTTGCAGTGACTAGAGCATCCGGGACTTCGTGAAGTGCGAAGAGAGTGAAGCGAACATTGGCTCCGAGGAGCGGTGCATCAATGCATCATGTATCATGTTAGGGCCCGCATTAGCTAAAGATAGGGCTTTCAGGGCTACCGCTGTGTTGCCTGCTTACCGCCGCCGGAACGCCGGCATCGGATAGTGGCAGCTGGTTGTAGCATCGCTAGATTGCGTACGAAAATGGTCGCCGTAGCTCTCGCTGCGCCTTCCAGCCTCTCATAGGGCCATTTCATTCCAATGCCTTTGACCGCTCTGACAAGATGCTTGCTCTACACGCGATATTAGGAACAGCTATATTGCTGTTCTCCCATACGACGCGGTCTGCATGGGCACTCTCCCCGTCTCATCCAAACTCTCAGCTCGTCTTCGACCTGGCACAGGAGTTTCAAGTCCAACTCAACGGTTCAGAAGCGGTCGGGCTCAAGTTTACTTCCGCCAAGGTTTCTGATGGCACGCATTCTGCTTCACTGAAGTCGGTACCAACGACAGTCTATCGACCGCGATCATTCGATGCTGTGGAGAACGCTCGCAAGAGGTCTCTATACGGGCAGGAGTGCGAGTCTGTAGAATGGGTCCAGACTGAAGTATCCGCTCCTGATGTCACAGATAGATATACGCTAGCTCAGCTCGGACGTATGACAGCGAATGCGTACAAGCTTCCAGCTGACAAGAAGTGGTACCCCCTTGATCCCTATTGGAACACCAATGCGGTGAGGCACTATTTGACGCTACGCTCGTCAGGCTGGCTAATTACTTCCTTAGAGCTTTCCCTTTGGCTGGGAGGATGACCAGGATGGCTTTCGTGGCCATGTATTCCGATCGCGTGACGAATCGACAGTCGTTTTATCAATCAAGGGAACGACGATACAAGGAGTTACTTCAGACAAAGACAAGTTCAACGACAACTTACTATTCTCATGCTGCTGTGCGCGGGTGGACTTCACGTGGACGTTCTCTACGGTTTGCGACTGCTTTTCATGGTCGCCTCTGCATTTACGTTGCGACGATACGTGCCTGACAAAGGCATTGGTTCAGGACAGCCTTTTCTACTCAGTAGGCGTTGTAAGCACTAACCGCCCACGAACATTGCAAGCTTCCTAACTCTTTGCTTTCGCACGAAGGACCTCATCAGAGACCTTTTGTTCCTCTATCCGACATCCGACATCTGGCTGGTTGGGCACTCACTCGGAGGTGCACTCGCCTCCCTCCTTGGGTCTACGTTTGGTCTTCCGGCAGTCGCCTTTGAAGCTCCAGGCGAACGATTAGCCGCCAAGCGACTGCATCTACCTCTTCCTCCTTCCCTAGGGAATGGCACCCTTCCCCATGTGCCAATTACCCACGTATACCATAATGCAGACCCGATCCCTCAGGGTACATGCTCTGGACTCGCATCCATTTGTGCTCAGGCTGGGTACGCGCTAGAGACTCGGTGTCACCTGGGTAAGAGCATCGTGTATGACACTGTAGGGAGGCTGGGGTGGCACGCCGACGTTACGAGGCACCCAATCAAGGAGGTTGTCTTCAAGGTGCTCGAAGATGAGGGTCCATGGCCCGATGGCGAAAATGGGGAAGCTGAAGTTCCGACGGCGCGCGGGGAAGAAGATTGCATAGTAAGTTTCGGCGCTTCAGTCTAGGTTTAGACTAAACAATTCGAATTCCGCGTACTTTCCAGGATTGTTACAAGTGGGAGTTTGGAGACTTTAAGAAGGACAAGGGCCTTGGGAATCTATCATAACGTAGCCTATCGTGAGTGGTTGCCCTCTTGATTGCAATCGTGCAAGTTGATTTACCCGGAAGCTAGTATACTGTGTATATAACTTTAAGCATCGCGACGCATGCCCCCGCGCATGAAACAAAGTGATCATCTCGACTAGTTGCTTCACCGCCACTCCAACATTAAGCCTCCTTCCCGCCAATTAGCCGACCTTGGACGAATACTTTCCTGATATTCCTATCATCACCACAAAAGAGGAACCGTTCAAGCCAAATTCTGAGTGTCTTCTTGTCCGGCAGCGTGTTAGCGTTATGGGAGTCGCGGTGTGGGTTGTAGCCCCAAACTGCTGGATTTCCCGTTTCATCTCGCACGCTAACTAGCAATGCATCGAAGGCCTTCCCTTCATCCAAAGAGCCTATTTGTTTCTCCAGGTTGCAAACCTTGGCACCACCCAAAGTTGCAAGATGAAGAAGGTTCGCCACAGTGAGCTTCCGATTGGCTCTTTTTCCGGCGTGAAATCGCTGTTCACCACGCCTTTCCGCGGCTTGTGCGTTCACAAAGAGCATCTTTGATACGTTACTTGCGTTCCGAATAGTGGTTAACATTGATAGACTGTATCCACCCGATACATCAGTACCCAGTCCGACCTGGACAAGAATAAAAGACCATCCATTTTTCGCCAAATGTCATTGATGAGCTCACCTTTACATCGTGGTCCAACAGTTTACCAACCTGAGCCATCCCGCTGCTGAGATAGAAGTTACTCGTGGGGCAGTGTGCGACACCAGCACCTTGCTTGGCAATGAGCGTCATTTCGTCATCCGTCAGGTAAACACCGTGTCCTAGAATCGTTCCCCGGCGAAGTAGTCCATACTTTTGATACACAGCCGCATACGAAGAACAATCCTTGAAGATCTGCAGCGTCTCCTCAACTTCCTCCATGTTCTCCGATATGTGGGTTTGTATCGCAAGTGGTCTACTTGGGTTGTCGTTCTCTTCCACAAACCGTTTCAGAAGCTCCAACAGATGTTCGGTACACGACAAAGCAAAGCGTGGTGTAAGGATAGGGTATACGAATGGTGTGCCATCCGCAGACTTGCGTAAATGATGTATATGCTTGAAAAGCGCCTTAGTATCGTCTATAGAGTCTTGCGCGCTTTTCTCGTGGTATTCCGAGTCGCCGTCACTCTTGTGGTCCATGTTACATTTCTAGCCACATTCGGACCTTAGGTTCGATGTTATCAAACAAAGCAACAAACGTACCCCAACAAAGGCGCGCTGTCCTACGGAGAGAGCATTAGCCTTTGATAAGTAGCTATCGCCCCCAGTCATTCTAACCTTTGTTATTGATTATGGTGGCCAGTGTTTTCGTGGCATCCGAATGCAGAGAGCCATAATAACAAGCAGTTGTTGTCTAAGCCCCAGCATTCAGATTAGGACGTTGTGTCCACGATAATGGCAAGGTCCTATGTACGTACGCCACTCTCGATTATACGTCTCACGACGTCTGGGTATATGCGCTCTGCAAAGCCGGGACTGCCAAATTGCGTCTCTAGAGGAAAGGTGTAATCCCGCAGCCAGCTCAGAAGTTCCTTGTCGCCGCCACTAGTGACACAATCAGCCAGAGAGAGGACGAGCATGTGTCATCAAAACGCACATTCCCATGTTAGGAACCTGACATGCATGCTACCAAGTGTAGCGGTCAGCAATAGTTTCAATATCCCAAGAAGAACACCCACTATGTGCGTATCTATGAACCCAGGTATAAGAAATTCACCGTTCTTGAGAGTAATGATCTCAATCCCGTCCGTGCTGAGTCCGCCTTCAAATAATCGCTGTTGCACCATGCTGTCTTGGACATCTCTATCTAGCCACTCGATGGTGCCTTCGTCGGATACCACGAGGAGGCAGCGAGGGTCCACGGTGTATTCATCGTAGTCATTCGTGGGAGAGATGACCGGCCCATAGAAGACGATGGTCATGATGCAGTTTAGATGAAAAGCAAAGTGGAAAGAAAAGAGGATAGGTTGTTGTAGTGCTCACGGGCAACTTGAGGGGGATGCAACGCGACAACAACGCGGCATAACGCGGCCCATGCCGTCTTCTTCGGTTCGGAGAGGGCGGTCAATAGAAAGATAAGATAAGATGCGGTCCGAGGAGAATACCAGTGTGACAGGGAATCAATGCGTGACATAGTCACAGATCCCGATCACATACTCGCGTCTTGTTCGCGTCCGAACCACCGCCATATATGCCGTCTCACGCGTTACTAGCGCGTCAATCTCTCATATAAACGCGTTTTGACGCGTACTTACGCAGCAATTGCACATGTGGCTCACGATATACCACCTAAGCGTCTTTTGGATACCCCCTTTCGGACCTTACTATCGTGGATCGCAGAGACGGCAAGAGGTACACTGAGACTTGAGAGCTTGAGTACTAGATTTGTCGAGGCACAAGGCCAAGGTGTAAACTTTTTGCCTTTCGGACTCGATCTTAAAGTTACGCATGCAGTTGACAACATGTACAAAAAGATACCGGCCGCCCATGTCGCCCAAAGTAAAGGATTCTTAAACCGGCGTACTCACGCTGTGGCGACCGGTTGCAACGCGGTGATTCCATGTTTAAGTCTGATCACGGATGGGCACTTCTAGTTGCAAGAACATAAGGTGAGATTGTATCCTGAGGGCGTGCTGCCGTCAGAACAATCTAGCACCTCCTTGGCTCTCTCAAGAATGTATTGCACACCAGGAGAACCCGCAGGTCGCGGCGCTAGCTCGAGACCGTACGGTGTCTGAACACTGTCTGAGCCCATCGCAGGACAAGGCCAGCCTACCCGACACAGGTTTTGCCAAATCAGTTCCTTCCTGTGTGACACGCGAGACATGTGCCATAGTTTTGGGCGGCGATAATGTATCCAGGCGTTACTTATGTTCCTTGCCATCGATCCGCACTAGCGCAGTGGGTCAGCGCCCGTGATTCTTAAAGCTAAAGTGTTGGCGAGCTCAGACTAAACTGCAAGTTAAACAGCAGTGCGCCATCCGGTATTTACGTGTGAAGATTGAGCGAGAGTCCGCGTACCTTGTGCAATGGGTGATGCAACCTGAGTTGAGGCCTGAGGCCTGAGGGCTGTTGAGGGCCCGAAGTTGAGGCAGGTGAGGTACGGGTACAGGGGCCGGACAGTAGTACATATGACAGGAGAAGCTTCCGACTTTCCTAGCAGTACTTGAGTTCGTAAATAACCGATCTCGTTGATGCCGATGTCGGACCGCGCGGTATTCTGACGTGGTCTTGGAATTACAGGGTTGTGTTCTTTGATCATAACGGCGAGACATAACTTGAAGAGAAGCGCGGGAGACTCAAAGCTAATACGAAGGACATGGTCCGAGACAGTGTCATGTGCGATTGTCCCGGGAACGTCCTCGTGGGTTCTGTCTTAGAAGCTCAAGACTCAAGAGTGCCTCGAAACGAAGAAGTTCTGGCCGAGGTGACACGTCCTGCCATTTCACGTCGTCACATCTGATCAGGTCGCCTAGTCGCCTATACATATTTTTCCAATAATATTGTTATAGTTTGGATAACCCTTTTGAATGGTAATTATAAAAGTGTATCACACTCATTCCCACCCCGGCCATCCTCCCTCCCTCCAGTCGTCCCCTTCAGCGAGCATTGCGTTAGGCAGCTCCTGGTTTGCACCCTTAGAAGCACGGCAACCTCATCCTTCTCCATTACCCTTTATCAATGCCCTCTCTCCGCAGGTCGTTCTCGTCCCCGTCGGTCCGCTCTTCTCCATACCCAGCGGCGCTCCCTAGCCCGCCGGGCACCGCGCGTCTTCGCGTGAATGGACGTGGCTTGAAACGCTTTTCGAGCACAGCTACTAGTCAGCGACGGGTACTCGCGGATATAGAGTGGTGGAGGGTCCTGGACGGTCAAAGCGAGCTTGACGCTTCGCGTGACGGGGACGAGGTTCAACCAGGTGATCAAGCTCAGGAGGTTACCTTTTCAAACGACTCTGGCAGTTACGATGGAGAAGGAGACGAGCCTCGTACTCCTTTGGTGCTGTCGCTGCCGGATGCCGATCTTCCTATCCCTTCACATGTAAACCTGTCATCACTCAACGTGATTCACCAGTTCTAACATTCTTTCTACAGTTCATGATGCCCACCACCGAATTTGCAGCACTATCTATTGCTCCCCGAACTCCTCCAAGGAGAAATCGGTCAGGCAACTCTTCTTTAGAATCCACCCCTGAATCAGCGGAAATCCGTACCTTCCAATCCTATGCGAAAGCGGCGGCGATCTCACCGCTTTTCGATACACCAACACGGCGTGGCAAGCGGTCGAAGCTTATCATGTCGCGTTCCTTCTCCTTTGGAGGTTTCCCCATCAGCGAGGCCGAGGAATCAGCCCCGCAGTTCTCCGATCTTGGTGTCTCATTTTCTCTTGACCAGAATCTATTCCATTGATTGTTTCTTGTGGCGATTTTGCGTTGTTAAAAATTCCCCGGGCATCTTGTATGTACCCGTTGTCATTTATACACCTTTACATTTATCTTCAGTGTCCATTTCATTTTTCCATCTTGCATACCACAGTACATTGGCATCCCTGCAACCTTTTTCATGATAACTTACGCTTCATCCTTACGATTGAAGGTTCTTACTATCCGTCCTTGTCACTTTATCTCTCGTCACATACGCTACGCATATCTCTCCCTACGGCACCCTCAAGACGGTTGCACGACTATCTCCGACTCTATCACTCATCCATTGTAACGACTAGACATGCATACCATTTGCTTTCGTTGATGCTTTCGTTGTTTTTCGTCATTGCGTAGGAAGAGCTTCTCGACACTTGACAAGTAGAGCTCGCCATATGAGAAGTCTAAAGTGCGCGTTATACCACGATCGCGCTTCTCCCAACGATACCCCCTAACGTCACCTGCCATCGCCTCGTGCGCCTTTGCATGTGACGAGAAGAATGAGTCGCCCGCAGACGGAGGAATTATAAGCATGCTCGAACAATAGGGTGGTGTCAGCGGATATCCGCTGGCTGTGATTGCAGAAGGTACCGTGATTGCGGGGAAGCGAACACTTGATGTCAGCAATAGGGGCTTTGAGAGCCTTTTTTGGACCACGCTTGATCACGGGCAATTCGTCGCGAGATGGAGCGCGCAGGAGCGGGCTGTCTCCGGGACGTTGTTATCATGCGTGATGTCATCGTCTCATTCCAGCAAAAGTAATTGGACCAGAAACCTTGCTCCAAGGTGAGGTTGCAATAGCGCCGTATCGGAACGTACAATCTCCGGGTGGTAGACGAGTGGGCAGAGGTCCGTTGGACGAGCCATGAGCAGGATAAGATCCTCCAGCTGAGGATGGAGGTCCAGTTGGAGTGGGCAGAGGTTGCTGAGCCTGAGAGCCGCGGTTCATCCGTTCCTTCCAGGCTGTACGGATGACAGGACACCGGCCAAGCAACTATCAAAAGTGAAACAGTAATGAAATGAACAAGGCTGAGACTTCGGGCGCACTTACGGAATCTTTCTCAACGCCATCGACTATGCTCTGAATAATCTTCCCTACGACGGTCTTGTAATTCCCGTTCGGCTTGTCATCACGGAAGCGCATCATTCGCCAATGAGATGATACGGAATCCCAATGCACTTCCACAATCCTGTCATCGTACTGATCCCCTGACAACTTCATCCTGGAAGCAATTATTTGAGAGTCAGTGTCAAACCGCGATAAAGCAAGGAAACCAGCTGACTGCTCCCACTCGGCATCGGTGACATATAACTCATCATAAGGTTCATATCTTGCCTGCCCTCGTTCATCACCACAGTATACATGGAGCCCGAAAAAGGGCTTAGCTTGAAAATCTGGCTGAGAGGGAGCACCTTTGAGAGGCGGAAAGCGCAAAACAAGTTTGAAGTCAATTGAGTTCTCTGACGGCGGTTTCCACTTGAAACTGTTCCGACATGAGATTCCTACACTGAGAAGCGTGTTGCATGAACCGCTTACATGTTCTCGTCTGTGCCCGGCGTATACGGCGTCTCAACACACGTGTAAATAAGACCATCATTGCCGTGCTGCAATAACGGTATGATTGCCTGAAAAACGTGATCAATTGTATACGAAAAATTGATGTCTTTGACTTTGATCCTAGTCAATGTTAGGCTCAAAGACAACAGTAATTTAGACAGTGACACTCACGAAAAAGGTTGAGGAGGAAGCATATTAGCTTGCGAGTGTAACATGGCTGAATATGGGCGATAGAACCAATCTCGCAGGCGCTGAACAGAGTTAGCTGGTTTACGATGACATGAATTGTGACCCTACTCCATATCGTTTGTCCAAGGGCCGCGACATGACGTGTTGCGAGTCAACGACGAGACAGTCGAAAGCCAGATACCGGAGAGTTTCCTGTTGTGAGTTGTCAAGAATAGTAGCAAGTAACTGGCAAACGGCAATAACCTCATTAGTCGCAGGATCAACATCAATGACCAGCTCTCCATCAATGATTGTGTCTCTCAAAGGTTGGTCGCGTCGTTCGTGGTGAGGAAACCAAAAGCCGCCAATTTCGCGGTAGGTGTTATGTCTGTCAATCTGAGTTGTTTCATTTAAGTTGAGGACTTGAAGACAGCAAGAGATACTTACAAGGTAGACCATCTGAGTGCTCGACGGCAAGTCCGTTTGCAAAAAGAAAAGCACGCGGACGCCATCCGACTTCTCGCACACCCAAAAGCTGACCACTACATTCAGAGAAGCCGTCGTGAGAGCGACCAAGTACGCACTCCTGCTTCTCTAGCCTATTCAAGTGACCTGATGCAAAGCTGATGGGCTGACTTCCGGGGAACCTGTGAACAGGAGCAACATGAGACAACAGTCGAGAACGCATGTTTATGACTGTAAGATATGTACCGATCATAATCCAGGTGACAGAGTGTCGCGACGCGACGTTTTAGCCATAGTTCTTGCTCTGAACCCCTCTGGACGAGTTGTCCAGGTATGTCTGGAATGCGTGGCATGCAGTCGTCCGCAATACAGGAAGGAAACACGACCGAATGAACACAGCTCGGGTCCGAGGAACTAACAGGACTTGACAGTGACAATAGATGACTAAGCAGGGCGCCAAATCAAAAGGACTCAGCCAGGAGACCACCCTAGACCACCACCGAAATTCTGATCGAGGGCTCCCTATGCAAGAAGTACTGTAGTACATCAAAGCGCTATCACAGCACATTGATGTAGCGTGTATTTCCGTTTTACCATCGCGCAAAATCGTAATGTTTGTTGCCGTGAGCAAATCCTGAACGTCTTATCAAGCTTCGAAGCGGTTATATTTCGTCAAGCATGATACTACTCTATCACAACGTTGGATAGGTAGCAAGAACAATGTACAAGGCAGATGACAGTACAGAACTAGTGCAATGATATTTCATCGTCGTGTTACACATTCACCGATCCTCGGCCCATTCCTGCATGAAATGAAGAAACATATGAGTGGCCATTACGGCATTACAAGCGATGCACTTACGTTCTCCTTCTTGATTTGAGCCTGGAATTTTTACATGAACATGAGGATGTATGCAACGTGTGAATGTAACAATAACACGCACCTCCTCTTCAGGCGTAAAGTCGTTGACGATGTTGAAGAGCTTGCGAATCTCTTCGGGGGTCTTGCCCTTGATCATGTTCGCTACCGTCTTGCAGCCGACATCGCTGTGGTGTGTGAATAACGCAGAACAAAATGGTGACATACTCGACTTACAGAAGAGGCTTGATGTCGAGGTAGTTGGCAGCCAGAATGATCTCGAAGAGCATCTCCTGATCAACTGTGATGAACTTTTGGTCCCACTCGCTGATATCAGTGGTGCGCTTGCGTGTCTCATCTTGGTTCTGATCGGTGTCGGCGCTAGGGAGAGGCTCGCCACGGTGGTGCTCGCAGTACTCCAGAACCTAAGCAAATATAAGGGATAAGTGCGTAAGCCACCGCGTCGATAAGGGGTGCTTGCCTTCTTCAGCACGCTCGACGAGACATTGGGAAGGGGAATGGGTTGATCGCTCTCGCCGACGTCTATAAAGTGAGTTGATTAGGGTGTACTGCACGAAGCTGTGGCGGGTACCAACCCTCAAGCATGTTCTTGATAAGAACGGATCGCTCAACGACCTCCTTGTCGGCGGTAAACTGCTCGTTGTCGGACGTGACGAGGAGAACCATGGTGAAAAATGCGGTAAAAACGAGGGCGTAGCAGGTAAGGTCGAGGTTAGACTGAAAGAAAGGATCTTAGGGTGACACACGCGCTTTTAGAACCCACGCCTTCGCCTGTGGCGCGGGCGCGTATGTAATTCGTCCCCAATAGGGCATACAATATACCAGGCAGCGTCTCACTGACTCAAACAAAAGTATCCCACTCCGCCGTGACTCATGTTCTCCTTTGTGTCGCGTTCTTGTGAGGCCGTGAGGGGCCCATTCTCCCTCCTCGGTATGCATTCGCCATCGTACTCCTATGACAATGGTATTAATCAAGTTTTTCAGGTGCCGTTCGGACGGCCACCAAACGCGCTGGAGGTACCGTCCGTAATCATGGTGGCTCTCCAGGCCAACGCTTGGGCCTGAAAAAGTTCTCAGGTGTGTTGCACAACATTCGTTGCTTTCTTCCTGGCGTGTTGACACGTACTACAGACCAGTTCGTTGAAGCAGGCCAGATAATTATACGTCAGCGCGGCACGCAGTTTCATCCTGGTCAGAATGTACGCCTTTCTATCATGCTCCAGGGTGTTCCACGTAACCCTTTTGCCTTAGGTCGGATTAGGACGTGACCACACCATTTACGCGTTGACTCCGGGATACGTACGTTTCTACAAGCAGAAATGGCTACGAGGACAGCGTAGATTTGTTGGCGTGGTTCTTAATCGTGGCGAGGTTCTTCCAAGAGATGAGAAGGCGCTCGGACGGAGTCGATACTGTGGTCTCGTTAACCTGCATGACCCGGCGTACCAGTCTGCTCAGGTATCTTCCGCTTGACCAGATCAGCTATCTGACTGTACACTACAAACATTATAATGCATAATGCACAATATAGACTTAGTGCCGTCGGAAGCTCGTCTTTTGGGCGGGCTTTTTATAGCTATGTGCTATTTATGGTGTCTACTTCTGTGATAGATGCATCGAGGAGCGGGCGAATAACTCGGTTGGTCATGCTGCTGCTATGGGGCAGCATTGCCATTTCTTCCCAGCTCTCCTTCCAATACAAACATGTCCTACCAGTTGACAATCACTCCAGCCAAAGTCTCAGGTGAGATGACCCTGATGTTTATTCCCCATACTTACACAGATAACAGAACTCCCATCTGACGAGACACTTTTGGCCCTTGCCAACGAGTTGCTGCAGACGACGGACTCATGGAAGAAGGGGAAACTATACCACAAGACCGTTCAGACCTACTCGCGAAGCAAGGGACCCAACGATGGTGCCCCATGGCACGCTAGAGTAAGCGTACATGCCAAAGAAGATGCCACCTTCGACGAGTTCTGGAGCAAATTGGGCCAGAACAAGGCCGAGAATGAAAAGGAGTCCGTCATAAAATTTCGCTCATTTGTTTACATGAGCTCACAACACTGTCCTGCAGATTCATTGACGCTATCAAAAAGGTGACCGAAGTCAAGCGTATCTCTGAGACGCAAACAATCTATACCCTCTACTATACTTTCCCACCCCCTGTCTCCCCGCGAGTCTTCACGGTCCTTCAGACAACCTATCTCAAGGAGGATACGCCAAAGACAGGGTAACGTATATTTACCGGATATGCATAACTTATAAGCGTTTGATGAGGTCTCACAGGATCATTGTATCAGTGCCAGTGGACCTATCAGAGGATCCCGAGCTTGCAAAGCTAGAGGAGAAGGGAACTAAAGGCCGTTATGTCTCGGTTGAGCGTCTTCTGGAGCTCGAGGACGGTAAGACAGAGTGGCGTATGGCGACTTCGAGCACGCCCGGAGGCAGTATCCCTACCTTCATCGCTGAAAGTAGCATGGCCGGCCAAATATCCGCCGTGAGTTTCTTCCTGCCATATGGCGGCATCAGCTCACATTGCTACAGGATGTTCCTCATTTCTTGCATTGGTTCCATAAGATCCGCGAGAGTTCATGAAAACACTGAGAACGTGCATCTCACCCATGGTGTTTTCTATGAGTGCATGACCAAGAATGTATGATCTACAAGGATATTGTACAAGTGCAATTGTGATAGTGATTTGGTTTGTAGTCGTCGGGGGATTGCAATCTCAGACTAGTTCCAGATATCTCTCAACTACATATTCGGTTAGATATGCTTCACATTGTGGGCAACGTCCGTACCTTCCCAGCTAGTGACGGCTTGATTCCACAACTTGACTTCGTGCTGTCTGGTGCCACCGAAGTGCTCGACAAATTCGTTCCCAAGCACTTCTCGGGCTACACTGTTGGGGTGCATCATTCGCTCTGTAGCCGCCTTTAAAGAAGGAGGCAGCATTGTGACCTGAATAGATGCAAGTAACCGGATTCGTTCAGCTATACTTAAGGCCCAAATAGGACCATATGAGCCCACGTACTTGATCTCTGAGTGCCGGATTGCTTTGATAAGCACTTATCGGGGGGATGGAGAGCTTGAGCTGCTTCTCCATCCCCCTCAGACCGAGAAGAAATGTCACACCCAGCGCGAAATACGGATTCATGTCCGCACCAGGCACACGGATCTCAAAGCGAGTGGCTGCAGGTGGAACAGAGGGTGGCGAGATGATACGGACGGAAGCTGCGCGTGAGTCGTAGCCATAGGTCACGGCGTTGGGAGCCCAAAAAGCCTCTCCCCCAGAAAGACGCTTATACCCATTGATAGTAGGGACCAGCTATCGCAAGTCAATACCAGCCGAGCGTCAATTTTAGTAGATTACCGACCATGGGCATCACTGTCGTGTGTGTCAATCGAGAATAGACGGTAAAAATTGAACTAGTCACCATCTGGCAACCCTTCCAATACTCCCGCAAGGAATTGTTCCCCTTTTTCGCTCAGATATCTCGTGTCATCGTTCGCCGCCCCAGCACGCCCACCGCGTAGTTCAGGCACGGAGAAAATATTGATTCCGTCGAGATCCTTCAGCGATACATGTATGTGTCTTTAGATGCGTGTTAGTTCCAGCGAGTGAACAAGGCTTGGCACCGACCCGCTGCAACCGGGAAGCTAGGAAGGCAGCGATCAGAGGAAAGAAGACCAGCCACAGGTGACGACATACATTTCCCCAAGGCTTTGCCATAAAACTAGGTAGGATTCCGAACTTCATCCCCATGCTCTTTGCGACGTATTTGTAGAGAATTGCGTTATCTGCCATACGCACAGCGTCGGTATATGCGAGGGCTGTCTCTAGGACTCCGGGTCCAGTCTCGGTATCTGCACTGAAATGAGCGTTATCCGTGACCACGTCGAGAAATACATACGGTGTCCTTCAATCTCAATGCCAAGCTTAAGACTTTCGTTGAAAAGACCATGGAAGTAGTCGTTGTTCAACTGTGTTCGCAGCAGTGAGTATCCGTGCACTAGGATCCTTGATTAGATCTCATCTTTCAGAGGCGTCTAAATACCATCCTTACTCCCAGGAGTAAGTGGCTGCAAGTTGGAGAACTTCTTCTCTGACGCAGACTCTGCAGTTTCTGTATGCAATGTATGAGGAATTGGCCATCTTATTCAACGGCCCTTGCTTACCTTTGAAATTATAGTACTAAGTATGATCAGGATGTAGAAGACGATGCAGTGGGCAGGCGCAGATTCCTTACCTCATACTCGACACCGGCGCTACAGGTCAGCTGGTATTTCTTCGAGGCAACATCAGATGCTTTCTTGATGACGCCTCTCGGGTCGGCGCACAGAGGCTCCAGTGTGTCCGGGTCCAAGAAAGAAACTAAGAAAAAGGGGACGTTATCTTCCCAAGGTAAACGACGGTAGGTAGCCAGATCTATGGACGCGAGGATATCGCGATATCCATTCTGCTTGTTGGAGATGAGTAGTTCACGCGAGTAGACAGTATCGTGGATATCCCATCCGCTATACAGCTGAAATTCATTTTTGGCCACGACGGACTGCAAAGAGGGACCCTCACAAAATGACGCTACAGAACCCGAACCCAGATGAAGACGCTGCGCTGAGGAATTTGTCCTTTGACTGGAGCATATGTGTATGCAAAGGTTAAGGCACCGGCGGCCTGGCTCGTCAACGACAGTAAACTCACCATGAACTTGCCTCGCAAGACCCCATCAACTGGGTGGACAGTTGCTCAGTAGCGGCACCCTGTAAACTCCAAGGATATCAACTCGAGCTCACCGTCAATACCTTCACAATGAAGTTGTGGATAAGCGCAACCTTGTTACGCTAATATCTCTCACCTGCTACCTTGACCTTGTTATCATCCTGAAGCAGGATCTTGAGCTCCTCCAGCGTTGTGGGCGCCCCTTGAGTAGCGATCTTGGACGTCATGACGATACTTTGAGGAAGGGAGGCACTGCCCAATTCAGCCATACAGAGGCTAGATAACCTGGCGCGTAGTAGCCGATCAAACTTGTCATCATCAACATGTCCTTGAAGGACTTCGAATCTGATTCTGGCTTACAGACCCGTGCAACCAAGGCACCATACGAGTTACACGCCACGCTCAACACCCCAGCACCTATATCATGTCTTCTCATCCCTGAACATGAACAGATCGTTGCTGGTTCCGGTGAGCCTCGAAGTCTTGGTTCCGAAATATAAGGTTTTATCCTAGGCCTTTCAGATGATGGGTCTGTTCGGATCTACAACAGTCGGTCTTACAAGGTCGAGAAGGCTATCAGGGGCCTCAAAGCGGAAGTCTCATCGGTGGTATGCCCCCGAGGGGACAGGCCAGAACTTTGGGTCGCATCGGGCTCTCATGTGAATTGTATCGAGTATAATTAACGGAGAGGTCTAACGACTTGATCCAACAGGTCTACAACTTCCTGCTTGCCTCGGAAAAGTTGATATACAGCCTCCAGGATGCTCAGCATACGATCCGGCCGGGGACGGAAGAAGATGACGTTTTAAACGAGGTAAACTTACCCTGCATGCTTTCCGACAGCGTCAATTATGTTAAAAATCTGCAGATCACTCTGAACGACAAGGGCAGTCATCTCGCTGTCAGTCTAGACTCTGGTGTTGTATCGGTCTTAGATCTCGCCACCCGACAAGTCACGTCAATGAAGACACGCCATAGCAATGTCTGTCATCGCGGAGTTCAGCGACGGAAAACGTAGCTGAACGAGTTAACCAGATATGCGGCACCTTGAAGTTCGTACCTGACCGCCCACGTGAGCTTGTGAGCGGGGGATATGATTCTGCACTGTTGCACTTCGATTTTCTGCAAGGCGTTGTGCTTTCCCGCCATGAAATAGGTAATATGAATACCCAGAGGTTGAGAGATGCAATCCTGATTTGATAATGATCAGGTGCCATTCCTCCGTCATCAGGCATATCGCTGTCGCCACCGTTCATCTTGTCACTTGCGATATCGCCTGCAGGAGTCGCTGCCGGAGGGACTGCTGACGGTCGCATATGGGTTGGTCTTGGTGGTGAAAAGGCGTCTTCAGGCACCTCAGGCAAGAAGAAGAAGAAATGGGAAGGGCTGAAAGCCGAGACCGGTTTCACCAGCAAAACCGCGGAAGGGCCAATAGTTGCATTGTGAGCGAAGCGCTTCCTATTATCATTTAAGAGCCTCATGTTTGTAGGACATTCACAGGCCCTCGACGAGTTGTGAGCGTTACGCTGCTTGGCCAAGTTTCTCAGCACAACATTCTCGGCACCGCAGAGCTTTCCCTGGAACACGAATGGTCGCTTCAAACCAAAGCTGTGACCAAAGCGAATGCTCTTGCTGTAAGCCGGAATAAGATTGTTGTAGGCGGTCTGACCAGTGAAGGGAGGGGCGTGACCGAGGTTTGGTTGGGAACGGAAGGAGCAGAACCGCGCTCAGGTATTAGTAGCCAGGCTTAAAAACTAAAGTAAGCTGCGTCATATACGAATCATTACCGATTGTTGTCTTCCTGTATTTCTTTCTCTAATTCTTCTATTCGTAGTATGTAACTGTCTCTTTCTGCCTTCATTCGTCGCAGATAGTCTTCGTCCGAAATCTTCTTGCCGAACCTCGCGGCGACGCGTTCAATGAAGGATTTCGGTTCCGAAGGGGGAGGCTCGGATGGTGTTTGGTTTAAAGAGAGTTTGGAAGGAATGACGCCTGTGGCCTGCGAATTCACGGGCACAGAGCCAGTGGAGGCCCGAGAAATGTATTGCAGTCGAGCTATTCGGACTTCGTTCGAAGCCCACTGCAGGAGGGTGCATACTATTGCGCCAGTGGTGAAGCCAGATAAAACGCCTCCTTTCCCTCCTGAGACTATTCATAAGCTTGCGCACTAATCTGACGCTACAGCACTTACGTCTGAACGCGTTAAAAATTGAACCCGTACATGCACCGCTGATACCAGAGTCTAGTAGCTTGGATGTCTTCATATCACCCCACGACAAGGCTTCCTCATGGATTGCGAAGGTCCGACCGACGCCGAACATGCGTTTGCGGATCTGGTACTGCTTACCAGGATGAAAGGTTACCAATGTGGGGCTGACTACGCATTCTCTGATTCCTGGCCACGGTGATGTAGATATTAGCATATTGAGCATTCAGAGGAGATTAACCGACACACCAAAGAAAGTCGCGGAAACCAGAGCACTATTAAAGGCGGAAAACGTGATGAACGACGCCGGCGCCTGGCCTCGAAGAACAGCGACCAAGCCGGCGGTCAGCGCACAGACCGAGGCTGAGGAATGTTAGTATAGGTCGAACAGTACTTGACGACGTCGAAGACGGACTTGCATGTTAATCCTATGCCCTTTGCAGCTGTCTTGTGCGCTGAAGGGTCCATGTTTTGCTTCAAGTCAGCGCGTCGGGAACAAGCTTCTATTTATTGACCCCGAAAGTCAAAATGTTGTCATAATACCTGGTCCGCGCCGGACTTTGCTTCCGCCCTTCGAGCACCTTTGGCTTCCACAAACCGAGCCCATAAAGCTACTTCCACTAATTCTTGATATCTCGTGTAGACATGCTCAGGCGTCAGCTGTTCAAGAGTCAGAACTTTCGACGGCTTCATACTCAGGCCTCCAACACCTCTCGTTCACTCGCGAGGCACCGTCCCCTGACTTTATACACTTCCCTTGCCATCTCAGCCGGTGCTCTTTGGTATTCCCTCGCCCACCCAGTGTTTGCAGATGCACCTCCTCTTGTCTTGCCAGAAAGTTTTGCCCCTCTTCAGGGAGATGATATAGCCACTGGAGAACTTGAGGACGGCAGCATTACTGGTGTGGTCTGGGGCTCAAACAAGTAGGCTTATACTCGGAAATTAAAAGTTGAGCTGGCCTTCTGACAATATATGTAGGAACAATGTGATTTCTCCAGACCATCCCGAAGTAGACCTTATTCAGAGGCCGGCTGCCTCCAAATGGTTACAAAAGGTTGCTTTGCGCGACTTAGCTCTTCACGAAGCACATGGGGCGTGTGTGGACGCTCGAGGTGACGTCTATCAATGGGGAACGGGTTTTTATGGCAAATCTACAAGTCAGGCAAACTTGCCGCAAATGACACTCTCAGGCAAGGTAAGGTCCCTTGTGTCTTAGCTTGGGTGGGTGAATGCAAGTCTTATTGTCTCGTAGAACATTGCCAGCTTGCAAGTTACTGAAAGCCGAGTGTTTGCGCTTTCATTATCCGGCAAAATTTACGTCCTTGCCTCAAGCCGTGAGCAGCAAAGACCTTGCGAACAGTCCCCTACCGAAGGCATTTGGGGTCTTGGTTCCATTGGTATCAGACAGAAATCACCAGTCGACTATGTGGAGTTGTCAACAAACACCCCTTTGTCATGGGGTGAAAAGTGAGGAGATATCACATCCTAAAGCTCCTCTTTAAATATTCATTGGCACCGCTAGGTTTGTCTCCATTTCAGCTGGCCAGGATCATGTTCTGGCTCTCACATCGTCAGGAAGGACGTTCTCCTATGCAAGCACCAAGAAAGCTAATTCTCATGGACAACTGGGCTACCGAAAGTTTGACCTCCCCGCATCGGTCACACAGACGAAATCTACTACACGGATCCCTGTGGAGCTCTTGCCGAAACTAGCGAAAGATCCTTATTCTAGAGCTTCACCGTTTATCAGAGAGTTGGCCTCTTCTTCTGCGGATCCTCTGGAAGCTATAGACGACAGACATATACGATTCTCGGATACTCTTTTCGAAATACAGTCTCTGCAAGGCATCAAGGTGTCGCAGGTCGCAGCAGGATCAAGAAGCAGCTTCGTCCTGACTGACTCTGGTCGAGCGCTTGGCTTTGGAGCCAATGAATACGGGTACGCTCAGGATGGTATCATACTGAGCCTACTGCTCAACTTTGCGCAGGCAGATGGGTCTCGGAAGCAATGTGACACTGGATTCAATCGCTGTTCCGACTGAAATAGTTTTGTCCCGTAACGTCCCACCCTCAACAAGTACCAAGTGCCTTGAAATCGCTGCGGGTAATAACCACAAACTACGGAACATCAATCCATCTAACATAAGCTTGCAGGTGGCAATTTGACCTGTTTCGTAGCTGAGCGTACCGGACTAAGCACTGGTAAATTTGTTGATGTGCTGGTTTGCGGAAACGGACAATGGGGTGGCTTGGGTAATAACGTGTTTACTACATCCCAAGGAAACCCAACAAGAGCCAGAAATGTTAGTGGTCTCAAAGAATGTAAGCCTTAATGCTCTGCTTCTGGACTGATTTCACAGCCACTAACATTCGACTCCCAGATAACGAAAAGCTAGGAACATCTTCGCCAATAGTACCTCATGGCATATCCATCTCTCCCACTGGTCACATACTTCTAAGCCTGGACACTCGGCATGAAGGCTCAGGCCGTGACCTAGTTGTCTGGGGCTTGAACCAGGACTACCAATTGGGCACAGGGAGGAAGTCAAGTCTAGCTGTGCCTACTATGATTGAGAAGCCGGATGGAAAACGCTTCATGCTTGTTGACAAGAAGGCATTGGTCGATGACCTTCTCGGACGGTCATACGGGAAGGTTCTGGTCCAGCAGCATGCTGTGGCAGGATATGGAAATAGTGTCATTTACTGGAAGATCTGCTAATCTTGTATACATATCAGTTACATACATTTCTTATAATTTTAATCAATCAAATCTCTTCTCGCAACGAATTTCTCTTCAAATCAGCGTAATATACGGTGGACATCCGATATCCAAAACTTGTCCAGTAAATACTAAGTAGTAAATACTTGGATTTGGCTCTGGTTGATCGGGTTGATCCGACGCGGTCACATGAGGTTCACGTGGGACTCGACGGTGAACACGCGAATTTCGTCGAAACCGTGACTTGTTCACAACTATCCCGATCCCGGGCGGAACAAAGGAACCAAACATGTCCAAGGAGTCGTACTCAAAGAATCTTCAGGAGTGCATGTGAGTGGTCCTTTCAAGGCCTTGGTACACTTGCGCTCATGACTGATCCTTAGTGACCTAATCAAGGAGATGACTACTATCATCGACCCCTCTGACGACTACCTCACCATAACGGCCGCCGAAGAGCAAATGAAAGTCAACTATGCCAAAGGGAAACGCGAGATTGACGACGCGTACTCGAACCTGAAGTGTACGTGCCACGCGAATACTCAGAGGAACCGGTGAATAACATCGTACTCGAAGCGCTTTCAAGGGTGCTAGAAGCCGCACGCAAGTCGTCCACCCGCCCGCCCGGCGTACCCACCGCTGGACAACATGCGGCATATCTGGATGAGATGGAGGTTTCACGTATGTCGCTGGCAAAGGCCATTCGCGACGCGGAAAGCACGCTGGCTGCCAAAGAAGCCGAGCTGACTGCTTTGAAGGAGGAATCCACCCGACTGGAAAGGTCCGATCCTGCTCGAGATCATCAGCTTGAACTCGACGGCACAGCGTGCGTTTATGCCTTCTGCCTTGGGAAACAGAAAGCTGATCATAAACGAATCAGACTACGGTTGCAGATATATCGTGGTCTCGGCTTTGAGCCGGTTCTTGCGGACGGCATAGTCAAGAAAATGATCATACGTATGTTTGGTGCATTGGGGCTCGATGAATGTCTGATCTCTCTGTTAGGTTCCGAGTCTGGAGACATCAATAGCATCCCCTTGAACAGCAAATCCTTTGAGAATGAGCAGGCAAATCAGTTATGGAAGTTCGCTTCATCATGACTCTTGACTACGATCGTAATGTAGCACTAGAATTGTAGCTTTAGATATGGAGTAATAGTGATTGGTATAAAAACCAAGGGACGGCTCGAGGGCTAAATGGACTGAAGTGGAGAAAAAGAATAATAAGTTACATCTATACAAGACAAAAGAACTAGGCGGTCATCACTACGTCCTGGGGAAAATGAGTGAGCTTTGAGAGCGAAATGATGTGCGACATTCTCACCTGTCCGTTACCCTTGACTATCCAAATCCTACGGTCTTTACACTTCTCGCCAACCTCTCGCACCTTTGCTTCAATGGCGTTCTTCTTCACCTTGTTCTCTTTCAGTTCCTGGTATATGCTTTCGACGATGAACGTGAGGTTTGACGTTGCCAGCGATGATATCTTGGACAGGAGGATGGGAAGGTAAGTATCTGGGAAGGTCGTTTTAGGCGTGAGGGCAGAGGCCACGCGCTTGGATGTAGAGTTTGCCCCGCCATTAGCCTGAGATACGACACCGCCAACCTTATTGGGTACTGTTGGGACAACGAAGGTATTTCCATCAGAATTGACAGGTGGTCGCTCCTCAAGAGCAGTCGAGATGTAAGTGAAGGGATCAATGGGACAAGGACAGTCTGGAAATGCGTTGAGCAACTAGCTCTGCAATAATTGAACTTGAACATAGAATAGCCGTACCGTTAAGCAGTTGTATGCGATAGTGTTCGAAAGGCTCGTATTCGCACTCCCCAATTGCCGGTTCCCAGCATGGTCCCTTAGCGAAGGGAACAAGGGGAACAACCATTCTCCGCTTCTTCGTAGGTTGATCATGATCTCCATGTTCTTTCCGTTTGGGAAGCGGTAAGGGAAAGTCTAGTGGGGGAGAGTTATCTCTAGCTTCAATCGGAGTTCCTGGATCCTCAACATCCTCATCGTCGACAAGCCAGCTGTCGAGGTCAGAATCGGGTTCTTCGCCGTCTCCTTCATCATCTTCACCATCCTCCATGACGTCATCAGCATCCCCTGGTTCTTCAGCTTCCCATTCTTCCCCACTGTCGTAGCCGTAATCCCGTGCCACGACGTCTTTCGCAAACGGCCGTCGTGGTCCGACAACTTGAGTTGGTCGTGTCCATGTCCCGAAGTATCCAGGTCGGTTATCTTCTTGGAAAATGAGTACCTTCGCGGGAAAATAGTCTCGGTCGCGAAGCAGAGACAAGATGGTTCGGACTTGGGCGGGATCGTCTGCGACCTCTGCCTCGGCAATGCGGGCCATGGCATCTCGTACACTGCCATGTCTTGAACCCAGGTTGCCCGAGGTACAGATACCACGTCTGGAATCGAGCAATCGAAGGGTGTGCTCCAGTCTCTCTAACATCCTGGACGTTAGGTACGGGAAGCGCAGTTGTCATTATTCTCACCTCGTTCACTGTATGTAGAGATCGACGTGCCGCCTACAGGATTGTCCATTCCAATTTTCTGGATGAAAGGATCCTCGTCAACCATTATCGCCTCTGCATGACTTTGACCAGAGCCAGAACGCGTATTCCTCCGCTTCTTCTGTTCCATGAAATAGTTGACTGGAGCTAACTCGGCTCCTTTCTTCAGGATGAAAGGTTTGAACGTCTTATAATACTCTGCTTCTGCTGATGGTGCAGAAACGCGAGAAGTCTTCGGAGAATCTTGTTTGGCGGAAACTCTAGTTTTGCCAAAGAAATTCGCCATCAAAGATCGGGATTTCTCTTGTGCTGCTTGCAGTTTCTTTTCCTTTTCGACTTTTAGAGCCCTTTGTTCTTCTCGCTCTTTCGCCTAAACGATGGATAATGAGGATTATGTCGCAGGCTCAATCACGAGACTTCACCTTAGCAACTTTGACGGGATCCACCTTCTTAGCTTGGGCATCCTATTTCAAAGATATTTTCAGCATTTCCGTTCGCGGATGACGCAGTTATAATACTACTTCGTTCTCAATACCGTCTATTTGTGTAGCTTGATCTGGCTTGGTCTTGTGGTCTGAAGAGTTACTACTTGCACTGGGTCCCGGATTGTTAACGGTTTGCGAGAGCTTCGAAGTGCCTTTAGGATCCATTATCGTATCCCGATCCGCTTGTGACAATGCGTCAAATACCGAAGCAAGTTCTTGTTTCGCCTATACACAACGTCAGTTGTTTCCCATTGGACAGCGGAATAAACCAACCTGGACACGTTCAGCGTGTCGAGCTTCAGCTTTCTCTAGTGCCGACTTGGGGAGCCAATCCTTGTACTCATCTCTTACTTCCCACCGCCACACACAGATCGTAGCGGGCAGTTTCTGTCCAAGGGGCCCGTCTATTCCGTAGTTACTTCTGACGAGAATCTCTTTGACAGCGTTTTCGACGGTGGATGGGGGAAGTGCTGCACTACTTTGACCGTTAGCCCCTTCTTCTGCAGGTAGCAGTTCAGAGCGTATCTGCTTGACCAATGGTGCAATCGTTTTGTCACTGCAATACTGTCAGACTGTGGCCGTTTTGAACAAGCCGTTTCTAACCTCTCATGTGCCAATTTCGCTATCAGTGGTTTATGCGCGTCTGGCATGGCCGTCAGGGGCAGTCGCTGATTATCTACATGCTCTTTGAGCATTTCTCGAAACTGAACGATCTCTGCAGACATCATGTCAGCTCCTTAATGACAACCGACGCCCTACACGACGCACCTTGCATGGTTTCTGATGACTTGTCGAATGCCATAGGCTTTTGTCTGAAGATCACTTTTCCATTCTTGAGCTCAACCATCGCGCGTTTTTCTTCTTTCTCTGAGTGGGTCAACATGGGTGAGCAATATTTCGAACTTGATATAGCCACGACTCACGAGGTCGCGAGCCCGAGTCTTTGTCTACACGGCGTGCACCGCCATGGGCCATAAGATCTCATGTCTAGGAACATGAAGAGCACTTACTGGTGGATGGTTCTCCCTGAGACATGCTGGCACGTCGATTAAGTTTTGTAGTTTTGTCCCGTCGAGCGCGCACCACGGTATGCACAGCGCGTGGCGATTGGGAGAGGTAGGAAGGGGCGCGTAGTGCGTGATGTGACCGTAACGCGTTTATCGACGCGTCGCTGTCACGTTCTGACGCCAACAGCGTGACCGCGTGGCAGACTACTGGCAGACTCGGCGCGTCTTGTGCATTCCGCCAGTAATCCGCCAGAGTTGGTTACGGCACGTTGATCAAGCCTACACACCCCCACCATACATGGCTTTCTTTCAGCAAGCCAAGGCTGCGCCTAAGCACACGGTTGAACCAGCATTGCAGCCGTGGGTCGAGAAATAGTGAGTCCTTCACTCGATGGTGTCATAATAGGGACGCAGACAGTCTTTCAGCCGACCCAAGACCATTGACGAGGTGTCTGCCCAAGAGCATGCTGTAGCCGTCCTTCGAAAAACGCTCTTTTCTACCAATGTCCGTAGAAGCCCTTTGAACGATTGATGCCTCTGAACTCATCTATCCAGCTTCCGCACATGCTCTTCTATGGCCCGCCAGGCACTGGAAAGACATCCACTATTCTCGCACTAGCACGGCAGCTCTTTGGGTAAGAAGAATCATGAAACTGGCTAAAAGGACCTTCGTGATATTAACATGATAAAGACCAGACAACTTCCGCAATCGAGTCCTTGAGCTCAATGCCTCTGATGATCGTGGCATTTCCATCGTACGCGAGAAGATCAAGAACTTTGCGCGTCAGACCCCTCGAGCGCAGGCCGTCGCATCAGATGGCAAAACGTATCCATGTCCACCATACAAAATCATTATCCTTGACGAAGCCGACTCGATGACGCAGGACGCGCAGGGTGCACTCCGCCGCATCATGGAAACCTACGCACGAATAACACGTTTCTGTCTGGTATGTAACTATGTGACCAGGTATGTCTTCTACACATTCTTTGAGGTTAAGTCTCTCTAAACTCCAACAGAATAATCGAACCTCTGGCGTCACGCTGCTCAAAGTTCCGTTTCACACCTCTTGATTCCTCCTCAACATCAAACCGTCTTTCCCATATTGCAGCTCAGGAACATGTCGACGTCTCTCCAGAAGTCATCCAAGCGCTCATTGATACGTCTTCCGGCGACCTCCGTCGTTCTATCACCTACCTGCAATCTGCTTCGCGGTTATCTGCCTCGTCAGAGCCTCCTACGCCAATAACAGCTAGGGATATACAAGAAATTGCAGGTGTCGTTCCGAATGGTGTCATGCTTGATTTTGCCTGTGCACTCGGCATCGAATTTTCGGGAGACATGGACGTGGATAGCGATACTGACCGCGGCCGAAAGCGTGATTTTGACGGCATCCGAAAGAAAGTGAAAGAAGTAATACGGCAAGGGTATTCTGCATCACAAATATTGCTACAGGTTTGTTGTGTAGCACGAATATCGTTCTTGAGCTCACTATCACTCCACAGCTGCATGATCTTGTCATCCTCCATCCAACCCTGCCAGCTCGCCAAAAAGCAAGATGTGCACTCATTTTCTCGGAGGCAGACAAGGCTCTGTGTGATGGTGCTGACGAGGAGCTATGGGTCTTGGAGATTGGGCTTCAAGTGCAAAAGGCACTCTTATGAAAACATTGTTATCCAAACAGTTTCTTCACTTCAGCACTTCAGTGTGACAGCGCATAATTGAGAGTGGTCATGAAAACCATATCATAAAAACGAAAGCTAAAGAAACAACAAATGATGCGACATGGTACATATACAGCCACATAATCTACGATGCCACGCAGGAGGTTGCGATAATTTACCGAAGACCAGCAGTAGCCTTCGTCAGCGCCCGCTTGATTTGAAGCTGAGCTTTTCTGAGCTCATCGGCAGTCGAGTCCTCGATCTCAAGCTTCTCCAATGCCCGGGCGAGCTCGGCCTCCACCTGGCCCTTCGCTCCGCGCTTAAGCTTCATGCCAATCTCAGGAGAGGTGATGGTACCCTCGACCTGGTGGATGTAAGCCTCCAAGTCAGACTTGGCTTCGTGGCGGGCAGAGAACTCCTTGTCCGCCTGCTTGAACTGATCAGCATCCTTGATCATCTGTTCGATCTCAGCGGACGAGAGACGGCCAACGGAGTTGGTAATGCCTTTAATTGCCCATTCAGTACATATGAACAGTCAACAATGAGGGCGAACTCACTGATAGACGCCTTACGGCCGGACGCACGGTCCTGTGCAGAGACCTTCAGGAGACCGTTAGCATCAACCTCGAAGGTGGTGACCAGCTCTGCCTGGCCACGAGGCATAGGGGGAATGCCAGTGAGCTCGAACTCGCCGAGGAGTCGGTTGTCACGGCACTGCGTCCGCTCACCCTCGTAACTGAGGGGTAGAATTAGTAAATGTACAGCGGCGGCATCAGATAAACTTACACAGGGAAGGTAACAGTGGTCTGGTTGTCCTCAACAGTGGTAAATGTTCTCGACTTGTTGGTGGGGATAGGGGTGTTACGGGGAACAACAACACCGAAGACATCGCCCTGCATGGCAACACCAAGAGACAAGGGAGCAACGTCAAGGAGAAGAAGGTCTGCGGTCTTCTCCGAGGTTTGGCCAGTGAGCACAGCAGCCTGAACGGCAGCACCGTAGGCAACAGCCTCGTCGGGGTTGATAGACTTGTTCAACTGACGGCCACCAAAGAACTCAGATACGAGGGATTGAATTTTGGGGATACGGGTGGAACCGCCGACAAGGACAATGTCGTCAACCTTTTCGCGGGGAATTTTGGCGTCCTTGAGGACTTTCTCGACGGGATCGATCGTCGACTTGAACATCTGAGCGTTGATCTCCTCGAAACGAGCGCGAGTGATGTTGGCGGAGAAGTCCTCACCCTTTTTAGATAGTTAATGCACAAATAATTGATGAATAGTGTCAGTGTGCTAACCTGGAAAAGCGAGTCGACCTCAACAGTGGTCTGAGTGACGCTAGAAAGCGTACGCTTGGCACGCTCGCAAGCACTACGCAGGCGGCGGATGGCACGAGCATCCTCGGATATGTCAAGCTTCGTCTTGCGCGTGAACTCGTTCTTGAAGTGGTCCAACAGGGTGTTGTCGAAGTCCTCACCACCCAAGTGAGTGTCACCAGCGGTTGCCTTGACGGCAAAGACACCACCAGTGATGTTGAGGAGAGAGACATCGAAGGTTCCACCGCCAAGGTCGAAAATGAGGACGTTCTTCTCCTCTTTAGACTGACGGTCGAGACCGTAAGCAATAGCAGCAGCGGTGGGCTCGTTGATGATACGGAGAACATCAAGGCCAGCAATGGCACCAGCATCCTTGGTGGCGAGACGCTGCGAATCATTGAAGTAGGCGGGGACGCTAGATCAACCGTAAGCCATTAAGCCAAGCATATAGTTTATGAACCACTCACGTCACGACAGCCTTCTGGACGGTCTTGCCGAGCTTAGCCTCGGAGATCTCCTTCATCTTGGTAAGAACCATAGCAGAGATCTCCTGAGGGGTGAAGGTCTTCTCCTCGTTAAGGTAGTTAACCTTAATCAGAGGAGAGCCCTCTTTTTCCACAACCTCGAAAGGCCAGTGGGTCATGTCCTAAAAGTGTCAGGTTTAGCGCTCGCCCATAAAACGGAGAAATTTTCGGATCACCTTCTTCACATCGGGATCGCTACAAGACATGATGATTAAGCGATCGCTCGCACCCAAAGCAAACCACATACTCATATCGGCGACCGATAAGACGCTTAGCATCGAAGACGGTGTTGCGGGGGTTCATGGCGGCCTGGTTTTTGGCGGCATCGCCGATGAGACGCTCCTCAGTCGAGAAGGCAACATAAGAGGGAGTCGTCCGGTTACCCTCTGCGATGTGACGTTAGCACTGACGCGAGAAAATTGGAAAGGTTGACTAACGATCGTTGGCAATGATCTCGACACGATCGTTTTGCCAGACACCAACGCAACTACGAAAGTATCAAATATATGTTAGGCGATCAACGAGGTAGACGGTCACGCACGAGTAGGTGGTGCCGAGATCGATGCCAATAGCGCCGTCGAAAGCGTCTTCCATTTTTTATGAGAGGGAGAGGGAGAGATAAAAGTGAAGGGAGGGATGTGATGGACGGAGGTGAAGAAAAAAATCGATCAACCGCAAACTCAGCTTAAGCACGCGGAATTTTTGCACAGCCACAGCCACCTCTGCCTTTCCTGTTCCAATGGCTTCCTCTGCGCTGAGGGCTGGTCTCGCCGCCTCCCAGTCCATCCGTCGCACCGCTGTCCGGCGTGCACCCCGTGTGTTTGCGCGCAATGCATACACTCCTCCTCTACAGGGCGAGCGGCCGCTCGAAAACTGGGATGACTGGCAGGACTTTCAGAGTGACCGTCATGCATTCAAGCAAATGGGTACGTTACTATCTCGTCGTGACGTGAAAAGAACGAATCCCTGAAAACGCGACGCCTTTCTTTCCAGTTGACGTGTACAGCGAGTTTGGCTCAAACCAAACGCGTGAAAACACATTCCAGCCCCACCACACCCTTCACAGGCCTCTCGCGCCGTCCCAGGCAACTCTGTCTGCCCTCATAGCGGCTGGTGCTCATCTCGGCCATTCCAAATCACTCATGAACCCAAACTTTATGCCATACGCCTACGGCGTGCGTGCGGACATCACCATTATTGACCTCGACCAGACTCTCCCCCTCCTACGCCGAGCAGCAAGCCTCACGCGGGCCATAGCCGCACGCGACGGCACTATCGTATTTGTAGGCACGCGTAAGGACCTTCAACCAGCGGTCGTCAAGGCAGCAGAGCGCATCGGACCTCAAGCGTACAATGTTGGCGAGCGGTGGCTGCCAGGTACCTTGACCAACCGGTTCACCATGTTCGGCGCCGGCATCAAGGACCAGCGCGTCATCCCCGACCTCGTCATCTTCCTGAACCCCCTTGCAAACATGAACGCCATCCGTGAATGCGCAATTCAACATGTTCCGACCATTGGTATTGTCGATTCAAACGTAGACCCACGAATCGTCATGTATCCCATACCGGCAAACGACGAGAGCACCCGGACTGCAGAATTGATCACAGGCATGTTAAGCATAGCAGGGAAGGAGGGAAAAATACTTCGCGACCAGCAACAAAGCCAGATGTCGCGTGGAAATTCGTTTTCAAGGACCAAGAGGACAGCATAAGGATTACGTTTGAATCTTCTCCATACTAATAGATACATATAGATAATCAATTACGCAATTCCACTTCCAGCTTTCATGCTTGCCTCCTGAGTTTCGCGCCAGTACCCTGTAACTCTTGTCAGATGCGAAGCCGTGCTCTTGTTTTCTTCGAACACTTACATTCGGCATCTGTCAATGCTCTGACGTTGCCGCCAAGCTTATTAAGGGTCTCAACATATTCCTCTTCTTCAACGCTGTCGAAGACAATACCACCTCCCGCCTGCAAGTATGCAACGCCGTCCTTGAAGACCATTGTCCGAATGGCTATACAAGTATCCATTTCGTCGTTCGCGAAGTCAAACCGGCCGACAGCCCCAGCATACACGCCTCGACGCTCGCCTTCAAGTTCAGATACAATCTCGATCGCTTTTATTTTAGGTGCGCCCGACACAGTACCTGCGGGGAAGATAGAGCGGAAAGCATCAAACCTAGGAAAGGGGTACCCTCAGCCTCACTCAAACGCCAGCTGTAATTACGAACCTTGACTTGTCTTCGCGAAGCATCCCTGACACTTGTGAAGTGAGATGAATGACATGACTGAACTTTTGTAGCTGCATGAGGTGATCGACTTTGACTGTCTCCGGCTTGCAAACACGATTGACATCATTGCGAGCAAGATCAACAAGCATGATGTGCTCTGCCCTATCCTTCTCCGATGATAGAAGCTGCTTTCCAAGCTCTTCGTCCTCTAAATGAATGTTCTGTAAGACGGTTGACAGAGCGCGTGGATCTGACAGAGTCACTCACCTTCGGGTGATTTCCCTCGCTTGACTGTCCCAGCGATGGCATGATTGTATACTTTACTACTTTCCACTTTGCACAACGTCTCTGGGCTTGCTCCAACAATTTGGAGTTCGCCACAATCGAGGTAGAACATGTAGGGGCTTGGATTTACTTGTCGTAAATGACGGTATGCGTTGAATGGGTGAAGTGTTGTTGGACGTGCTAGTCTTTGAGAAGGTACAGCCTGGATGATGTCTCCGGCAACAATATGCTCCTTCAGCTTCGTGACGAATCCCTCGTAACCTTCCTTTCCAACATTGGAAACTGCTTCATTGCCAGTAACAATAGGTGGCTGAGGAACCTCCTGAGTAAGGGGATTGAGAAGGGTCTTCGCCAGTCGCCGAACTTTGGATACAGCCGTTTGATACACGAAAGAAAGGTTCGCAGATCCAGCATCTCTGGGTACGAAGACGTGTGAGACAACCTTGATGGTTTGGAAGATATGATCGTATATGAGCAGAGTGTCTGCAAGCATGAAGACGGATTCAGGTATTCCAAGGCTATCCTTGAGCTCGCGAGCAGTCTTTGGCTCAAAGTATTGAATACAGTCGTAGGCAACATAGCCAATAGCACCTCCAGTGAACGTAGGCACTTCGGGGATCTTGATGTATTGGTGAACAGAAAGCTCGCGCTGTAACGCCACCATGGGGTCGCCAGTTATCTCTTCGTTTGGCCCAGTCCTGATGACCTTCAGGGGATCTTTAAAGACAATGACTTAAAGTTTGACGCCAGCGGAAAAGAAGGACACACCTGCGCCAACAAAACTATATCTTGCAACATTCTCTCCTGCAATCACCGACTCGAGCAAGAAACTGTACTTTGAATCTTTTGCGATCTTCAAGTACGCCATGCATGGTGTAATGAGATCTGCAGGCAGCTGCAAGAAGATGGGCACACAGTTGCCCTTCTTTTCGCGAATGATGAGTTGCTCGATCGTGGCATATGGGGGATGAACGGGGAGTTTCTGCCAGGACATGGTTAGCGTGAAGAAACTAGCGTGACAAGCCACCTTACTTGCACGTCCATGTTCTATCTTTGGGAGTGCTGGTCAACTTCTGCCGCTCTTTTGAGTTTATAGGCTGGTCAACAGCCTCCAAGAGGTCGCTATTGAGCCGGTAACTATAAGCATGATAAATGATGAATGATGACTCGATGACTGTGAAACTTGACGGGCATCATCCGCTACGGTGTAATCAGCCCCTGTCGTCTCCGAATCTGCCGGTGCGTTTGGACTTGGACACTACTCATCGTCACAAAGTTCAGCCCTCCGTGTCAAGCGCAAGCGCCCAATCGCGACCAGAACTTGATTTTTGGATAAAGAATGTACGTATACTAGTGGTCGAGTCGCAGTGTCATGCAGTGAACCTCGGCTTTCATCTGACTGTCTCATCAGATTCAGAGCTCATCGCATCTCGAGCCGGACTAGGACACTCTCATGATCACTCCTCGATTCTCGTGCACCCAAAATGATACCTCCGTGATCGTGAAGGTGTATTGTCCCTCGATTCGCGTACGTCACCTTTTTATACCCGGAGCGCACCTTCACAACAACAGGCTTCAGAGGTGGAAATCAATGTCGATGGGCAACTCGTTGTTCTTCACGTCCAACCCTACTTTCTGAGGCTAAACTTCCCCCATCCGGTACTTGAGGACGGCCAGTCGAACGCCCAATACGACCCAACGTCCGCTTACTTGACGCTAACTCTCACAAAAGAAAGCTCAGGCCAGTTTTTTGAAGACCTCGACCTTTTGTCACGGCTTCTTGCACCACGACCTACTCAGGGAGAGCAGCCGCCGGTTATTGAGGTTTTGGACTCCCAAGATACGCCTTCAGAAAGGCGAGAGGCCAGTCTGACTTCAGAACAACAGGAAATCCTTCAAGGTATGCTCGGATCGCCTCGCACAAGAAATGCAGATGCTGAAACGATTCTCAACAGCGGCTTCCAATGATTGGCAACTGCCACAGACCGCTCCTGATTCTCTGCCCTCTCTGAATCTCACGTCCAAAAAATACTACGGTTTTCTGGATCTCTACACGGGGTATTTCACAAACATCAAGTTTTCCGAGAATGAAGTCAATGAATTGAACGATGTCGAATCCTGCCCGTTGGAGGACCGGCGCAAACTTCGATTGCAACATGAGGAAGACAAATGGGACGAAGAGCATTATATGTAAGAATATGCATCTCTCGAAGCTCACGAGATTCACGAACGAAGCTAGGGCTGACTTCGCCGATGATACTTTTATCCAAGAACTCCTCTCCTGGCAAGACGACCGTGCCGAGGACGAGAATTCCTTTTCAGATGAGGAGAATATGATCTTATTGCGGCTTCCACGCAAAGAATGCATGCTCGCTTTGTTCCTCTTAAGAAACCACCTTTCTCATGATTGCATAGATATCTTTGACCCACGTCAAGAACGGAACATCTACTATAATCTTGCCGCGCTGCTGTTCGCGTATGCCTATGACAACCGAACTACGATGCACGATCCGACGCCTGAGAGTGCATGGACGATCTGTTCACTGATTCCTGCGTTCTCAGCTCTGGACCCACCGCCATATGGCAGTCCAGACTCACCCGCGCCCAATATCACTGAGGCTCAGGCTGTCAGCAGCCCATCCTTTGATGAAACTGAATTAGCGGCGACCTTGACGCAGTCGTATCGGCGTTCACTTGCATTTCCGCTCTACCGGTCGTTCTCTCTGGCCGAAGCGTGCCGCCGCGATATTGCAGGCATCCTGAGCAAGGGCAAGCGTGCGGCTATTCATCGGCTTCTCGAAATGAAGCACACTTTGGATCACCATGAAGTTTATTACATTTACAGCAAGATTTGGATCGATGACTACTGCGTGTGGCTGCAGACTTCCGGGAGGTGAGTTGATTGCCTCCGGCCAGTATCCCCGACTCGGTTATCTCAAAGTGTCAATCTTGTAGTGACGAAAAGCTCCAGGAAATGGCAGCGGCTTTGTCGCGTATCAAAGTGACCAAGGACATGATTGGTTGGGATTTACTAGAACTCGAGGCAGCCACTCAACGATCCGGAGGGTCAACTCCCGACAGCGATGACGACTCTGATACTTGACGCTGTTCAAGCTGCCGAGGTAAGACCAAAATAGCGGCCTCATGGCAGCTTCTCTGTGATCTCACTACCAAAGTCGATGCTGAATATAGGATCGGACATTCACATTGGACGGTGCCTTTCCTGCGGCTTGTACAGTCCAGGTTATTCGCCTTTTGCAACTGATCGTAGTTGTCCAAAAGATCCAGGCAGCAAGATTACCGGATGCCTATTATGTGTACATGTTACTTTAGGTTACTTTCCAATGATCACCCTTTGAGTTCTCTTGAGGTACAACGAGCATAATTAAAAAATTCGTAATTCCTCAGATCTCAGATTCTGTGAGTACTAGTGATGATCATTATGACGGACAGACCCTACCTTTGAGTATTCCTTATCAAAACTAAAATACTTCGATATCGCTTCGAAATTCTCCGATCGAGGCCAAGCTCTCAAGCGCTTATAGTATGTGGCGCGTAAGCATGTTTGGAAACATCGGGCCGCAACCACTCAGCAGGTATCGAGTAATATGCAGACATCCGACGTCGACGTGAGATCTTCGAATGCCTCGATCCTGTGCGTAGTCCGTATTCGCCGGAGGCTTCTCGCCAGGAAGCGTGTGGAGTTTCGAAGTGCAGTGACTGTCTTCGTGAATGCCCATGCAGCAGCGAGGTTCCCTGTCCAGTGCATCGGCCCGTGAAACCGATGCCCCACCGAACGGCTTCTGAGAATTGAACGTTGTTTCCCGGGGTGACGCGAAGACACAAGAATAAGCATACGGAAAAGAACGTGCTGCACCAATGCATGCCCTGCCTTCTACTGTAAACGCAATCGCAGATTTTCTGAGCTAATATATAATATTGAAAGACAAATTGTAGATCTTATACTCATGCAAAGATCCCTCGAAATGTATGCTTTCATTAATTGGAGTGACCGCACGTGTGAGGTACTGCGGGTGTCATTAACATTAGCCTCCTGCACGGCTCCTTGACTGTTGTGGGCGAATTAGAAGGATTGAAGTTGAACGTTGAACGTTTGAACGTCGAACGGAACCTACAAGGTTCTCAGCTTTGATTAATGAATGCTTTATCATTAGGCTTCGAATTCGACGTATGTACAGATATCAAAATCGGGCTCTTAGTTGGAAGGACGGTTGTGGAGTGATGTAGTTTCTTTTTCTACTCATTAGTTGCATGCGAGTTTGCAAGATGCGCATTCTCCGGGAGTACGTCATACCCGCTTTGTCCAGCATCTGCAGGAAGGACAGCAGTATCATCCAACTGCGAAGAGGACAACAGCCCTTCTCCTTCTTCGACATCTGCGCTGACTTCGTGTCCCGTGGTGGACGCAGATCGAATGAACGACGGGGGATTCACAAGATTGTTGAACATGAACTAGAGGGCAAGTTAGCAACATGTATGACATCGGATCAGCTGATTAGTTAAACGCACTGTTCCGTAACTTCAATGGACCCGAAAAGAGTTTAGCTGTTGAAGAAACTTGTGAAAGCCGAGAACTTACACCAGTAGACCGAAACCGAACACCTGCAAGAGCGAGATTGGGAAAAGAAGTTTCTCCCAACCCAATCCAAGACTGATAACCCAGATAGCCAAGGTCCTGCACGTGTCCGTCAAGCTACGAGCTGTGGCACTCACGTGCCTTGTGACGCTCAAGCCGAAGTAGTTGAAAAGGGCAATGCTGATAGCGATAGCAACTCCAGACCACAGCACTGAAGGAGTGTTGATCATTTGGTACCATCCTCGCGGCAGGTCAAAGAAGGATGACTGCGAGGAGACTGAGGGCAGGGCAAGGATAGGCATCGCAAGGAGGATCGTCAGTGCACCAAATAAGCCTTCCCACCCGACTGCAACCAGAGGAGCCACGGAGTACCGCGACATGATCTTCTCCTCTACTACGAACTGAGTAGCAGTACTAAACGCGTATTGCAATCAGTATGTTTCACGCGACATCCAGCAATTGGACTTACAAGATTTGAGCGAAGAGAATAAAGAAGACACCTAAATGTTTCATAAAGCAGGCGTTAAAACTGCAATTGTAATGATATGCTCATCTCAACGTACCAAGAAGGACCTTGGTGACTTCTGGCTGGTCTACAGGCTCAGGGGGAGGAAGACTTCCAGCAGGAGCAAGGAGAGACGAGACAGCATCTCGAACTGAGTCCTTGATTAACGAACCACTCCAGCCTACAAGACATACACCCGCCATGACCGTGATCAAAGACACCCATCTAGGGAAAGATATTTAGTGGCTATGACATCCTACGGGTGAAAAGTCCTTACTGGTACAGCCATAACCGCCGGTGAAGGAAGATGACACTTAAAACACCAACGAAGAGGACCAACGCGCCCCGAGTCATCTGGTATATTGATACTGGTGTGTACAGAAGGCCAACATTCATCAACTAAAGCGGAATTTTAGATTAGCAGTGTTTCGATGGCCTCGCATCAAAGAAGGGTGAACGAAAAAGCCCGAACTTACCGTAGTCCCGGTAAGGTCGCAGACGGCAGGAATCCACAGGAGTAGCACCTTCCAACCTGTCAATTCCTGAGCTGAAAGCTTGTCCGACCGCTGGGTATCCTCATCGACCTCTTCGGGTAGAAACACGGGCGTGGGCCGATATCTCGAGCGAAGCCACGTGTATAAAACGGGCAGGAAGCCTAACCAAATGGTAGAAGAACCGTTAGAAGAAATGCCATCCCCGCGAGACTACGATACTGACAAAGCATTTCGCCGACTGTGGGGAACATTTGGTCAGTTAGGCCCACAGCATGAGAAGGGAGGCGACAAACGGAACATCTGGAGGGTCTGCCAGACAGGCTGTTCATAGAGGACATGATTTGATGGGTTGGGGTCGTTACAATTCTCTACGCATTGCATATCCTGGTGGAACGTGCATTTGAGTCAGGATGAGAAGCGAGGAGAGGGCCGATAGACATGACCGACCTGCCATTTGCTCCATAGCGAATTGCTCGAGCCCTGCAGACAGTTACTTATGAGACACAGAGCAAGATACTGAAACTTACCGTTAGTATCATGCCCCCCAAGAGGATGGGGATATAGAGTGAGGACGGCATGGTTGTGGTTGTCTGCTAGGCCAAGCTGCAATGTCGCGGCGAGCTTCCTCGGGGGTGCAACCCGTCTGGGGTTGGAAATACGCGTGACGAAGTGTTACACATCACATGTGACGTGTGATTGAGTGAATACGGGCAGGTTCTGTCATCGAGGAATGGGATCTGAGATTCGGATGGCGGATGTCGGGCGTAGCCGTAAGGGTGGGGGAGTTCTTGATTCTTTGGTGGATGGTTCTTCTTCCATTCTCGTCAGTAGCTGCTTAACTTATATTTGTCACGCTAATGCGTCTCGTCTGCCATCGCTCCCTCTCCGTCTGACCCAAAGTCCTCTCCACGCCCAACGCGTCTGCCCTTTTCCTCCTCCTCCGCGTTGGGAGAGCCGCGTCTCTGAACAGCTTACATGGTCAAGCTCATCATCCTCTCTCCAAAGGGCAACCAGGGCGTCCGCTACTTTCCCCACCATGGATACCTTGGTTTAACCCCCGTGAAGGTCGAAGGTGGTCAGTAAGATATCGACCTATCTTGTCGTGCTCGTTGACTCTTATCTCGAGCAGTGGTTCGCACACAGCTTGAACAGGACGGGAAGCCTTTGCTGTCAAAGGACCTCCATATCGCTGTCCGCTGCTATGAGGCGCGCCAGACTCGGCTTGGGGCAACTAACACCAACATGCTAGCTGATTACTCCACAATGCTATGGAGTAAACCAGATGACCAGGATTGGACCGAAGTCGGCGAAGGTGATCACACTTTTCGTATCGTGGTCCCAGCAAATGCGACCGCGCCCAGCACCGCCCTCTATTACCAGGAATATCGCATATTTTGGCGTGTTGAAGCAAGTTAGTGTCCCCGTTCCAGCATTAGACTGAGCAGCCATTTTATCATACCCTTCTAGCTCTCAATCATATCCCTATCAATGGAGTTGGCTCGCGTATAGTCAAGCACTTTGATCTGCCGCTTATTCGGTATGACGTGCCCCCACTCATACGGCCCCCCTCCCCTCCAATGGTTATTACCTCGTCTCACCTGTATGCCACGGCGAAAAAAACTAAAGGCCCCCAGCTGAGGTATCGCGTGGTCCTTCCACCCCAACCTGTCGGTCCCCTCGACATTGTTCCCATACAAATATACGTGCAACCTATGGACTCTTCTGTAGTCGTCCGTAGTGCCACTGCCGTTGTAGAACGACGTATAACTCTTAAGGATGCACAGTCTCTTTCTCAATCAGGCTCTGGAACTCCTACTGTACCTAATGCTCACCCTCCGGACTCGACGAGCTCCTCATACGCCCCTTCCGTTTCTGCATCACCCTCTGCATCATCACCATACCCTGCTCTACATCATTCATCGCCACCGCCTGGCACAGCCGGTTCTGTTGCTTCATCTTCATTTCAGGACCTCGCAAGCACTGCTTCGGCCTCGACAATCTTTACAGATAGCGACTCACGCCCCCTTCTACCCTCTTCACCCGGGCCAGACAAGGTGGCTACGCATATATACGCACATGTCGAATCCTCGGTCCCATTCAAACACGACTCAGATGGGATTTGGAAGCAAACATTGAATTTTTCATGGCCTGATACGAAGTCTAAGGCTCGTTGGGGGATTGGCGAGACGGCGAGAACTGAGATGGCCAACGTTCAATTTTTTATCAGGCCGAAGGTACGGAACATTCACGTTTTGTCATTGAAGTGAAGTCTGATTGTTGGGCTCCTAGTTAATTGTTTCGTCATCATCTAGCAACGCAGAATCTTTTGAGCTGGAAGATCAAGAAATCTTCGCTTTGTCAACAAACGAATCGCAACGCCAAGTTGCCTTCTCGAAGTACAACGAGCAACTTTACTCGAATAACCGCTCAAAGTCTAAGTCACCTCGGAGAACGAGGCGGGAGCGCGATCGGCCCCCAGATAGTCCGAACGATGCGTCGACGAATCCACTTAGCTCAGCACCTCCCCACGTGCAACGGCATTTGGAACCATCCTCAGCACAAAATCCCAAATTTCCATCTACCTCGCCTTACCCACCGAAGGCCAAAGTCAAGGCTCACCGGCGGCCCCATACTTCTGCCGGCCCACGAGATAAGTCGGTTGATCTTCGTGCATCAGACGCGATTCGACACCAGAACCATCACCTCGTGGTTCCAGTTCGGGCTGAGACAGCCATTTCAGCCAACAAAGCGGAGGTTAGGACCGGCTTCAATCAGAAATGGGTGCTTTTACCACAGCTGGGCAGCTCGATTGTGAGCACCGACTCGGGCATATCCATCAAACACGAGGAAAGTGCTGATCACGCCGATGGAGTCTCATTGTTTGGGCACCTAGACCAGTCTGATGTTCTTGCATGGGAGCAAGAGCTTGCACGCATCGAGTCGGCAAGTCGGCGAAGTAGCGCGGATATGCTCGGATTCACATCGCGGCGCAAACAAGGGCACCCACACCACCGCACTCCGGCGGTACGACCGTACTTGCTTGCTGAAGGTTGAGCCTTCCTTCTCTCTACAGACCCCATACCTGTTCAGGACTCTCGCTACATATTCTTGAGCTGTCTTTCTTTCGTTCATCATTGGCATGTCTGCATCATACATTCGTTCAGTCAGTTCATACACACTGTTCTTGTAACTAGTACATAATATTGCATGTATAGCATCGGATCCTCCCGGGATTCCGTCCACGTTATTGTATCCTACCGGACGATCCATACATCGTGTGCAGGCAAGTGGCGAGTATCAGATGGCTCTGAGCTTCAATTGCCCGTGTGACGAAGGGAGGACCAAAATAGTAACACAGTACTTTGAGCTGTCTGACATCATTTACCTCCGGTCTATCCTCTTGAGTCTTTCCCCAGCAAACTAGCTTTACCTGGAAACATCTGATTGCCCTCGTACCTTCCCTGTCTTGAATTCATCGCCTCCACTTTGTACGTTCGGGTCGTAACAGCATGCAAAGTTTTCCTTGGTTTCGAATGACTATATTCGGTTCTGCCCGTGAGTCAAAGTGATGGCTCGAAACGTCTAGGGCATTGCGGACTCACAACTTTCGGATGGCTGGCTTCTTCACTTCATTGTCTCTCCGGGATGCACATGCACAGTCATGGGTGCGGGCTACATGCTTATGCGAGGTTCGTCCTATCTAGCTGCTTCTCATGGTGCTCCCCTGAGTTTCTGACGCGCTTTGTTTCTTTCGGATGCAGCTACCATTCCTACTCCGGAAGAAACATACGCGGTGAGCAAGACCGCACGCTTTCTGCCCCCATCTGCATCGCTGCTGACTGCCGTGCCTATGTTCTCCACCTGACCGCCCTTACACCGAACACCGAACCTCATCGGCCAATGTACCCCGGCGTCTCCAAACTCCTTGTTCTGATAACCTTATTTGTGCTCGGGCATGACGCGCTGAACATCTCCGCTGTACCTATCCAATATGCATGCACCCAAACAGGCCATGGCTCCTGACCTGAGGAGGAAGGTCGACGCCAACCGCGCTGCACGGCTCGCTCAGGAGAACGCCATGAATCGCCAGGTGGAAGCTCAGGTGCGTCATCCGTGTGCATATGGCGTGGCATTCCTGCCAGCGGCGTGTTTGAGCCCAACTGTAATATTGACGATTGTGTTTTGCCTCGTGCATCGACAGGTAGGGCAAGCTGATCCAGATACAGTAAAGCCTGTCTGGGCAGAGGCTAAGAAGTAGCGTAGTCGTCGGGCGTTCTATCCTTCATTGCGTCCATATCGCTGTATCAATACATATGTAATGTTTTCACCTGCCTCTTCTTATCCCAGCTTAATCAACTTAATTGCCTTATAACATTCAGAAGGCCGTGACTTTATCTGCACGTAAACTCAAGATTCGGGTAGCCAGTTCGGCACACCCCATTATAGCATTCATTCAGCCAAAAGATATTCGCCTTTGATCCTCCATACTCGAGTAACTTCGTGTGGCACAGTCACTCGGGGCACATATTTCCGGCTTGAAAGAGGTTTTCCTCATCAGCGCAGTCAAGTGGCGTACTGACCGAATGTTCCGAAGAGAACCACAGCGAAACTCTACTGGGTGATCGGTGGTTGAAGTCGGTCCTTGACTTGCTGTAACTATACCCACATGTCCGCCTTCCGTCCACCAATGGACGGGCGACAAAGAACAGGATAACCTTCTTGAAGAGCATCTTAGCGCCCGTTCCTCGTCACACCGTTACACAGGCAACTTGTTTGGCCTAGACCATGAAACCTTCTAATCATTGAGCCTCTCGTATGGCCGCCGCCTGAGAGCCGGCGGCCTGTACTCGTGATCTTGCTTGTCACGGGGCAGGTACATACTTGTTGGAAAGACGGCTGTGTTCCCTAGAAATTGGCGAGAGCAGCTGAAGCGAAGTGTGGACGATCGAGATCTGTAAAACTTGAAGAAGTCTTCCGAGACTGGCTGCGACATTACTGTCTGTCGGACAGACTAACCTCGTAATATCGATGCATCATGAACTCTACTTGTGGGTTCGAATTCAAGGGCAAGAAACTCACGGCTGAATAAAGTGGCAAAATACCGTTCCAGAGCGCTAATGTTGGCTTAAATCACCTCATCCCCATTGTCATTCACTGCCACATCGTAAAAATATATATAGTGTACTACAAACGCTCCAGTCTATCAGACATAAAAGGCAGATAAAGACAAAACGACATGATGCAGATCTAGCGAGAGAAAAGGGAAAAGGAATGCTGGGCAACCACAGGCGGTACTTAGTACAACGCCCACAAAAACGCCACAGGTCGCGTCAGTACGAGACACGCGGATAGATCACGACACCGCGACATTCCAGTGCCTCAGACCGAGTGCTCTGCACTGTACATGAATCGGACGTCTACGCAGACCCGGCGCCCTCGTTCGCTGATTCCGCCGCGGGCATAAGCACCCCTGCGGCCGGGGCATGTTTCGGTGGCTCGACGGCTGCCTGTGGGCCCGGCCCCGATGCGGGTTCCTCCCCCAACGTCGCTATTGGAGGGTGCACCTCCTCGTTCGCCGTCACCGCGGATTCTGTGTCAGTCTCGCCGTTCTCCTCGAAACCGTGTGGCTCGTGCGCGAAGCCATCCTGAGGCGCGCTTGCGTCTGCGGTGGCGAGCGCAACCTCGGACGGCACGTCAACAACGGGCATGTCTGTGGGTGCGGGCGCGGGGGCATCAGTGGTGGTCGTGACAGTGGTCGTCTCGGTAGAAGCGGGGGGAGGAGTAGAGAGAGAGGATAGCGACGAGGCGGATGAAAGAGATGACGACGAGGTGGCGGGTTGCGAGCCAGCCAGTGTGATAGGAGCAGCACTAGCCACCTCTGGTGCAGATGGCTGAGAGCTCGACTGAGGTTCAGGGGAAGGGACTGGTGAGCCTTCTGCCGCTACATCGGTGCTTGAACCTGAACCGGAGGTAGGCGTAGGGGTGCTCGACGTTGCCGCGGCAGAAGTGCCGGAAATTGATAATGCGCCTGTGCTCGCTGCGACAGACTCCTCTCCAGCACCTTCGCCACGTGCTGCCGCTTCCGCCGCGTCCTTCTTGCGTTTCTCTTCCTCCTTCCGCTGTTGTTCCTCGTGCTCAACAAGTGAAAGCCGCATTGCCTCCATAACCATGAGCTGAAATGAAAGACGTCAGCTGTATGCAATTGATGCACAAGGCGCAAGATTGAGACAGGTAAGGGTACATCGAGAAGGGGAAGCGTACGGGATGAATGAATGAATAATTTATATACGTAGTGTGCATGACGAAAGAAGTGTAAACAAAAATCACAAGAAGGAAGCGCAGCAACATATTCTGCTCCAAAATCGTCTCGGGCGACTCACCTCCTCCAGATCCTGCCCTGCCATCCCACCAAGACCCATCTGTCCGAGCATCTGAGACAGGTCTCGCTCTCTGTGTCTTCTGAACCTCCGGCTACCTCGCTCTCTTTCCCGTTCCCGTCCTTCCCCTTCACCGTCGTGGTTATCGTCCTGCGAGCTGGAAACTCCGCCTCCGCCAAGGAAATGTGCCAGTGCGCCACCACCTGGAAGGGAGTGACCATGTGAAGATTGACCGGAAATTGGGTGAACGCGACCGGATGTGACTCCGACGGGAATGAGACGGTCGCCAACTTGACGCATGATGATGCGACGGTTGGCGCGTCGGGCGACGGCTGCGCGCACGGAATTTAACTTGGCTTCCCAGTCGGGACGGATGTGGTCTGAAAACGGATGGAGCACGAGGAGATGGAAAGGATTTGTAATTGGTCGGTGAAAGAGCGATGAGGACGAGTTCTTAATGAAAGAACGGAAAGTCAGAACACACCAATGGTGACTACTTCAGGAGCATCGGCACTGAAAGACTTGCGACGGCGCGACTTTGGCTGTTGAGCAGGTCGGACGTCTTTGGCACCTTCGGCCCACGGCGGAAGTGGCTGAGCACGCGATCACATCAGCATCGTTGTCCAATAAGTAACTAGGCAGAAATGCCGCACCGCGCCTTCGCTACCAAGGCCAGTTCGCCATACGGGTGGGGAGTAGACTACACCGAAGTTATCTTGTACGCAATATGGACAGGCAGCCGGTTCGGATACGAGATGTGTCGCGGTGGGCTCAGCACGCTTGATCTGTACGAAACACTCTGTACATATGACCTGGTCACAGCAGCGAGATCGGTTGATGTTTGCCGGATAATACTGGCAAGGGGGTGAGCGATGTGATCGGGTAAGCACGATAAGCAGGGGAGAGGGGTCAGACGGGGGACGTGAGAGCGATGACGTACGAGGAAACAAATGGGACACTCGACGGCGCCGCGGTAGACTGCGGCCTCTAGACATTGCGGGTGGGCATCCCTGTCCTTCTGTGCGGGATTGGCTCTGCGGGAGGCAGAATGCTTGGACCCGTCACGGGAATCGACGCGGGATGGGGTGCTACCGCCTCCCTGAGAGCCATCGACGACGTTGGAGGCTGAAGAACTAGCGTCGGGCTGCGGGGGAGACTTGCGGGCTGCGAGGATCTGAGCCTCATCCCAGTCGTCCTCATAGTCCTCGAGAGGGCGGTAGAAGGGTGCGAGCTTGCGGTCTGCGATGAGCTGAGTGACGATCTGGTGGTTCCAGTCGGGTGTGCCGGTGTAGACGCCCTGGGGATGGAGGGAACCAAAGTCGACCGAGTCGTCGTGGGTTCCGCGGCCTGAGGAGGAGGAAGTGTTGCCCATGGTTAGGCGGAGACTTGGCTTGGCTGGACAGGCGGATTAGTGACTAGCGGGTGACTAGCGACTAGTGACTAGCGAGGGACCAGTCCTAGAGATGACTAATAATTGACCCAAGTAGCCTTGCAGCCTCCTGCCTTCTGGTTGGCTCCCACTTGGTAAGTGCCCGGGGTAGATGCCTTTATTTGGCAGGAAAGGAAGGAGTGCATGCTTGGTTCTGTTTGGCTGTGGCGGGGTCCGGCAATTGAGAGATGCTGTCAGCTGTTGGCCATGGACTCGAATAACGCAATAACCCTAGTAGACGGTGTAATAGGACTACTCACTATAGTACTTAGAACCTGTATACATGCGCATCCATCGGCAAGGCCACGTCTCCGCCCTTGCTGTATGCTTCATGGCCATGCACACCCTCCCAGTACTTGGGAGTGCGCCCACGCTCGTGAATAAATGCTAGTCACGTTTATTCCGCCGGACTTACCAGCGTTCTCGGAACTTGGTCGAACAGGACACGTCACCCTGCAAAGTATTTTGAGGCGTAAATTAGGCGCCAGGCTTCCTCCGTGCTGACTACGACAGACACGTCCTTTCTCTCTCTTGCCACTCAGCTCAGTCCCAATGGACGCGCCGTGGACAAAGGAGCCGTCGGAAATCCTCCAACACTTCCGTGTCGACGACAAGCGAGGTCTCTCCGCAGACCAAGCTGCAAAACACGCTGAGCTTTACGGAAAGAATGGTCCGCCGCTATTTCTTCCGTTCTTCATCCCTTCGCCTCACTAACGTCTTCCCGTGCAGAACTCCCTGAAGAGCCGTCTACTCCCCTCTGGGAGCTCATCCTAGAACAGTTCAAGGACCAGCTTGTTCTCATTCTCCTCGGCTCTGCCGTCGTCTCTTTTATCCTCGCTCTGTTTGACGACGGCGAATCCTTTTTTGGCGCATTCGTCGAACCTGCAGTCATTCTTCTCATCCTCGTCGCTAACGCCGCAGTTGGTGTCATCCAGGAGAACAACGCCGAGAAAGCTATTGATGTACGTCGTGAACTTGAAACTTCACCGTTCTATTCGTGCTCACCCTTACATGTGCAGGCCCTCAAGGAATATTCCCCCGACGAAGCCAAGGTCCTTCGTTCCTCACAGCTCGCCCGCATCCATGCATCCGAGCTTGTCCCTGGTGACATTATTTCTGTTGCAGTTGGTGACAAGGTCCCTGCCGACTGTCGCATCCTTTCCATTTCGTCCTCGAGTTTCCGCGTAGACCAGGCCATCCTCACCGGTGAATCTGTATCTGTAAACAAGTCTACCGGCATCGTCGATGACCTACGTGCGGTTAAGCAGGATATGGTCAACATGCTCTTCTCTGTCAGTGATCCTTGACCATCCCTCTGATTCTTCTCACTGAGTCGAATGTCTGCAGGGCACCACTGTCGTGAACGGTACCGCGCGTGCCGTTGTAACGTCGATAGGTGCAAGCACGGCCATCGGGCACATTCACCACTCCATCTCCCAGCAGATCAGTGAAAAGACCCCTCTCAAGCGTAAGCTGGACGACTTCGGTGACATGCTCGCCAAGGTCATCACGGTTATCTGCATTCTTGTCTGGGTCGTGAACGTCCGCCACTTTTCGGACCCCTCTCACCACGGTCTGCTCAAGGGCGCGGTGTACTACTTTAAGATTGCCGTCGCTCTTGCCGTCGCTGCCATCCCTGAGGGCCTGGCTGCGGTCATCACCGCGTGTCTTGCGCTCGGGACCAAGAAGATGGCGCAAAAGAACGCGATTGTACGCAACCTGCCTAGTGTCGAGACACTTGGGTGCACGAATGTCATCTGCTCTGATAAGACGGGTACACTTACTACTAACCAGATGAGCGTGTCACGCGTACGTAGGACTTTCTGCACAATCTCCCCTCAAGCTAACTTGCTGTAGTTCCTGGTTGTCGATGAGAATACCGGCTGGCCCAAAGAGTACACGGTTGAAGGCACGACATACGCGCCAACCGGCGCCGTCGAGTGCACAGATGGTGCCACTAACCTCACTGCTCATTCCATCCGCCGCCTCGCCGAAATCTGTTCGATTTGTAATGATGCCAAGATTGTGTACCTTCCCGTTCGTTTCTCATTGTTTATGTCACTCATGGTACTAAATCAGATTGACAGGAGAAGCATGCTTACACCAATGTTGGTGAACCTACGGAAGCTGCCCTCAAGGTCCTCGTCGAGAAGCTTGGGGCACCCACGTCCGAACTTGCTCGCTCCCTGGATAGCATGAGTCTTTCTGTTAGGGCTAGCGCCATTAACGAGGCCATTGAGCACTCTATCCCACGTCTCCTCACCCTGGAGTTCACGCGTGACCGCAAAATGATGTCTGTTCTCGTCCGCACAAACGGCACTGGCGCACTGTTCGCGAAGGGTGCACCTGAGAGCGTCCTCGAGCGGTGTACAAGCGTTCTGCTTGACGGCAAGGTTGCTCCGCTTACCGGCGCGCTCCGCGCCCAGATTTTGGATCGCACGGTCGCCTATGGCGAAGAGGGCCTCCGCACGCTCGCGCTCGCATACGTAGATGTCGACGACATCGACAAGAACCACTACCATGCTGATTCGGCCGGCGAATATGCCCGCTACGAGAAGGACCTCGTATTCACCGGTCTGGTCGGCATGCGTGATCCCCCACGCCCCGAAGTTCGCGGCGCCGTCGCCTCGTGCCGGGCTGCGGGGATCAGAGTTATCTGCATCACGGGTGACAACGCGCGCACGGCGGAGACGGTGTGCCGTCAGATTGGTATTTTCGGCGCTGATGAGGACCTTACGGGGAAGAGCTACACGGGCCGCGAGCTTGATGCGATGAGCCAGGAGGAGAAGATGGAGACGGTCAAGCGAGCGAGCTTGTTCAGCCGTACTGAGCCGGCGCACAAGAGCATGCTTGTGGATTTGTTGCAGGCTCAGGGGTTGGTTGTTGCAATGGTGAGCCAGTTTTGCAAAGATGAATCAGTATGAGACGTCTGACAGATTCGCCTACGAACAGACTGGTGACGGTGTCAACGATGCGCCTGCACTGAAGAAGGCCGACATTGGTGTCGCTATGGGTGGCGGAACGGACGTGGCGAAGCTCGCTGCTGACATGGTTCTCGCTGATTCCAATTTCGCCACCATCGAACAAGCTGTTGAGGAAGGACGACTGATCTATAACAACACGAAACAGTTCATCCGCTATCTCAGTATGTTGCATTTCATCCCAGACCTTTTCGTTCCCTCACATACCCTTCCAGTCTCGTCCAACATTGGCGAAGTCGTCTCGATCTTCCTGACTGTGCTACTCGGTATGCCCGAGGCCCTGATTCCCGTCCAGCTTCTCTGGGTGAACCTCGTCACGGACTCGCTCCCTGCCACGGCGCTTGGCTTCAATCCGCCGGACCACTCGATTATGCGTATGCCTCCCCGCAATGCCCACGAGCCCCTTGTCGGGCGCTGGCTCTTCTTCCGGTACCTCGTAGTTGGTTTCTACGTCGGTGCAGCGACCGTGTTCGGCTATGCTTGGTGGTTCATCTTCTACGAGGGTGGTCCTCAGATTTCGTTCTGGCAGCTCGTGAGTGCATTTATATTCCGCTTCGTGCTCGCGCTAAAGTCTGTCTTCTAGACGCACTTCCACCAATGCGCTTCCACGTTCCCTGAGCTTGGGTGCGAGATGTTCACGAACGAGATGTCCCACCGCGCCACGACGATGAGCTTGTCGATCCTGGTCACCGTCGAGATGTTCAATGCGATGAATTCGCTTTCTGAGAATGAGAGTCTGCTGCGTCTGCCCGTGTGGCGCAACATGTTCCTCGTCGGCGCCATCACTCTGAGCATGGCTCTCCACTTCGCCATCCTCTACATTCCCTTCTTCACCGTGAGTACCAGCAAAGGCACCATCTCGTGTGAGTTCTGAGCGCTGATGGTTGTTAACAGAGCCTGTTCGCCATCACGCCACTCAACTGGGACGAGTGGATGGCGGTGCTTTACCTGAGTGCACCTGTGGTCGTTATTGACGAGGTACTGAAGTTCATCTCGGTATGTTTCTCTGTCGTTGCCCCTGTTTCTCCGACATCTTCTCACTCACTTTCGTTGCCAGGCGACCTATGTTGACCCACCAGCAAAAGTCAAGCTTGACTGACGCATAAACATGACTTGACGTAGTAGATGCGCATCCTGTTTGTTGTAGGAAGTAGAACTATAGACTAGTTTATTCTATCCATCTGGTTGCAAGTGTTCTTGGACTGATCGCCGCGGCGAAAAAAGGCTGTGTGTTTCTGATTGAGCGATTATCGATCTTTGTTTTTCTTCGTTTCTGTTTTTTACGGGCGCTCTACCCACGGAGGGCTGCGAGGCCATGGGAGGATGAGACTAATCTGCTTAAATGTTGTGAAACGCGGTGCCTGGGATAGGGTTCTTCCTGATATGGAAGGTAATACACGCGACCGAGGAATGCCTCGATCGCGCCAAGGTTAAAAGTGACATAGGATCCGGCGTCACGTCAAGCCCTCGGAGGATTCGGAGCTGTATTTTGAACCTCGTTTTTATGAGACATGCGCACGCCTGTCTGCCCTCGACCAACAAAAGCACATGGGATGCCTTACGAAGCACGGAACGGTGCTCGGAATGGCGGCCATGCACGTTGTTCTGGTACTAAATTTTCTTGTTTCATTCATACCCGGAGAGTCCACATTGAAATCGGATGTCGGGAGTAGCTAGAAAGCGCCCGCGGTGTTCTAGAGCGTGGATACCGATGATGAATAAGGAAACAGGAGGTGGATTTGGTGGTTGTCTAGCAGCCTTTTTGCAGAAGATGGCGGTGATCCACGCGTCAACCGCACTTTTCCTCCTTTTTACCACCACTCTCCTTCATTCATAGGCTCGCCGTCCAAACTACTGCGAAGTCCTCGCTCTTTGTTTCCCTCGCTTCACGCTCCCTACCTCCTCTCTCTCTCTCGTAAATAGAGAACCATAATTCCGGCCCAACATGCAACTCCTCGGCCAGCTCTACCTCGTCCTCTCCCTTGCACTCTCCTTCTCTGCAGTCTCTGCTGCCCACCTCGGCGGCGCACATGCCCGCAGGCACAACGACAAGCACGAAGTTGCTACCCGTCCCCACGGTGATGTCAGCAAGCGTGATACGTTCAGCAACGCCCGCTTTACCTTCTTTGCCGACGGTCTTGGAGCTTGTGGTGCAACTAACTCGCCTAGCGATTTCGTCAGTCTCCCTCAACGCGTTCCGGCGTGTCATTGTCTGACGCTGTCATCCCCCTAGATTGTTGCCCTCAACTCTGCACAGTACGGCAGTGGCGGTTACTGTTTCCAGATGATCACCATCACATACAATGGCAAGACAACCCAGGCACAGATCACCGACGAGGTAAGTTTTTATTATCTTTGCGAAGTGCGGGGTATCATCGTTTACTCATATCGCTTACCTCCGCTTACCTAGTGCCCTGGTTGCCCCTACGGTGGTCTCGACATGTCTACCGGGCTCTTCGACTTCTTTGCCGACCCCTCTGCTGGTGTCATCTATGGTGAATGGTCGTTTGGCTCTGGTGGCGGAGCTCCCTCTTCGAGCTCGGCAGCCCCGCCTCCGCCTTCTTCCACCTCGCCTCCGCCTCCGCCTCCGACGTCGACATGGTCTCCTCCTCCTACCACGTCCGCAGCCCCCTCGACGACTCCGGCGCCTTCGACAACCTCGACCCCGGCACCCACTTCCACTTCGTCAAGTTCTTCATCGAGCTCTGTTGCCTCTACCGCAACATCATCCAACCCTGCTGTCGGCACTTCCCTCCCTCTCCCCGTTGGCGTCAACGTCAACAACTCGAATATACTGAGACTGAACCAGGCCATTGTCCAGCTCGGCTCATTCCTCATCGCCGCAGACCAGTCGCAGTGATTGTTGCCTAATGTGCATGTCCCAGTATTTATATTTTTGGGCCGGTCTCTCGTGAAATTATGTTAGAAGCGCTCGATATTGCGGTGCATATATGTCCGCCTGGTCCTTGTGCTTCAGCTATTTAATGGATCTTCTGGTATACCCGGTGGTTGTCGTGAATAACTTGCACACATAGATTCCCTGTTTATAGACGCATGCATATATGCATGCTTGTTGATTGTGTTTGACTACTAGAGCCTATAGAGCTTGACTTGGATTGCTGTGATTGGTCTAGGCCCATCGGGCGGGAGTGATGGACTGCGGGGTGTGCGGGGTCGGGGTGCCACGATTGACGGTCGCCAACCCAAGAAAAGGTCAGCGTTCGTTGGTTGTCTCATCCCATTCATCTTCTTTCCACCCTCGTCTCGTCGTTCGAAAAAGGCTGCCGTCTCGACTCAGTCACTCGTTGTCGACACACACTCGTTTAAACGCCTGCGTTTGGGTTACCAGATCTCCGTATTTTTGCGGTGTCTTATCCTGAAATAGCCAATTCACCATAAAAGTCAACCCATAATAATGCATCTCTCGTCGATCCTTGGTCTCGTTTGCCTCGCCCTCCCTTTCGCCGCAGGTGCACATAATCCTCATTGGGGACGTCGTCACCACCACGAAGTCGCCCGCCGTGCTCCTGGAGAAGTTGACCATTACAAGCGTGATGCCTTCAGCAATGTCCGTTTCACCTTCTACGATGTTGGCCTGTATGTTCGGTTTTCTCTTCAGCGCAAGGGCTCTTTCTGATGTCATATCGCTTCTTTAGCGGTGCTTGCGGGCAAGTGAACATACCCACCGACTTTGTGAGTATTTGATGTCCATGGAGATTGGTCGGTAGGTATTAACAAACCGTTCAACAGATCGTCGCTATCAACAGGTTCCAATACGGCTCTGGCTACCCTGGCCCGCTCTGCTTCAAGAGCATCACTATTGAGTATGGTGGCAAGCAGGCTCAGGCTACCATCATGGACGAGGTACGTCACACTTGTCGTCGAGCGCTCGTCCAGACTCTCATGGTGTGAACAGTGCATGGGCTGTCCTTACGGTGCTCTCGACTTCTCCGTCGGTCTCTTCAGCTTCTTCGCCGACCAATCGCTCGGTGAGGTCTACGGCACGTGGTGGTTCAACGACGGCTCTGGTGGAGGCGGAGCTCCGGCCCCCACGACGTCCTCCACCCCGGCTTGGACGCCCCCTCCCTCGACGTCTTCGCCCGCCTGGACCCCGCCACCCTCGTCGACCTGGACTCCTCCCCCCAGCTCTACCTGGACCCCTCCCCCGAGCACATCCTCGAGTTCCACCTGGACCCCGCCCCCTAGCTCCACCTCGTCATCGTCATCGTCATCTTCTGCCTCTTCGTCCTCATCTGCATCATCACCATCAGTCAACTACAGCACCGGTGCTGCAAGCGGCCTCGCGGAGCCCACTGGCACCGCGCCTGTGGATGCGCCGTCGGCAAGCAACCCGGAGAACCTCCTCACCCTGAACGAGGCCATCATCGGCATCGGCGCGCTCGCCGTTGCCGGCAGCAATGCGAACTAAATCTAGATCAGCAAGTGCGCCGCACGCGCCGCTTGCGTCTAGCTCGAACTCGAGCTTGCTCTGAGGCTCGTTTCATGAAGTTTTTGTTTTGGGATCTTGGCAAACTCGTGATAATAAGGGACTGATGTTACCAAATTGGCTTCCTCTTCTCCTCCTTGACCTTTCCCCCTTCCTCCCGTGCTACGTACTTATTTTATCCAGCCTTTTCGACGCGTTTATACCTCGGGTTTGAGTGCGAGATGCACTCATGCTCGATGCTTACGTATACCCGGTTCATACCCTCACTTATTTAGTCGCCCAGTGTTTGAAGGCGAACTTGTGTTTGTTGTGTGTATTGACGTTTACGAGCTTGCTTGTGTTGGTTTCTTTACTACCGAGTCGATAGTTCGTTATAGATCCTTGTATCAATGACAGCAATCGGTCCATTTTGTTCTGGTTTGTTTACTGTAGGATGATCACACGAAGGCTTTCAAGTTTAAGGCAGCACGAAAGAGAAAGAGAGGAAGACGACGAAAGTACCGATGGCTTGTCACAAACTGATGCTTCCGTTCAGACATTGAGACCATATTTCATACTCAAATCCTAGAACAACAATATCATTGGTGAAGAGTGTACATATGTACAAGTATGTGAAGTTTCAATAACAAGAGAGCAATTGCAAGTAGATGAGAGTCCCAATTAGAAGCCAGGCCATGGAAGATACTGTGCGCGCGTTAGATGTTACATGTGCAAAATGGTGATGTAAATATCCTGAGATGAAACCAAGATACTTGTATGTGGTCCTGATAACTGTTCGCGTTAGAAGCAGACAACAAGTAAGGACTGCAACCCCTTCTCCTTGACCCAGCCCCGGGGGGCGGGATTCTTCTTCTTCCTGATGCTCTTTCTCAACGACGAGTGAGACGGGTGCTTGAGCTTGACAATCTCAGCCTGCGTTTTGCCTCTGGCTGCGTAGTACTCGCGAATGTTGATATGAGCATCTTCTTTTAGGAGTTTCTTGGCCTGCGTCAGTGACTTGGGGAACTCAGGGGAGTCGGATTCCTTGACGTCGAGTTCGACGATGAGAGCTTGGAGGAATGCAAGCTTGTCGACACTCTTCGGATCATGCAGGGAGCTGTTACATGGGCGTTCACATGTGTGAGCGATAGGGGTTAGTAGTGAACTGACTGACCTGGTTACAAACTCAGATGCCTCGTCGTATGTTATGTTCAAGGAAGGAGAAGCCCCTGAGGCTGGGGCGGGTGACTTGGAGGCCTTTGCCTGTTCCTTGTGCGCTCGTGCGGCCTTGCGCTGCCTACGAGCTCGCTGCTTCGCTTTCTTTTTCTTGCGTTTCTCTGCAGCAGCGTCCTTCGGTGCTTGCTTTGATGACTCTGATTCACTCCTATTACCAGGAGCATTCGAAGCAAGAGACAAGTTGCTGAGTGCGGACGTGAGGTTACTGTGCAGGCCCACTATGGCCGAGTTAACCGTGCGCAGGGCCGAGACGTTGACATCGGTGTCGTGGTGGAGGAGGACGAGGTCAGAGTCGTCGGAAACATCGCTGGCGAAGATGCTAACTTCATACTCGGATGACGAATCCGAGCCCGAGAGGCCGATGAGGACCTCGTCGTCGGAAGAGTACGGGGACCTGTCGTCAATGGGCATGGCTTCTTCCTCGATAGAGTGTAGAAGGCGGGCTCAAGGAGCAACAGCAGAAGAGGCGGGCTGAAGAAGTTGGCTGGACGACCAGCAACGAGGTGGGAGTTGGGGAGTAAGCAGAGGTACTAGGAGCAGCAGAGTGGTCAGCCAAGTGAGAAGACGGGTGAGCCTGAGAAAGGGATCAGGGGGCGAGAGAGCGACAGCAGGCGCAGGTGAGAGGGTCTCTTAAAGGAGGGGGAGGCGAGTTACAATTATCAGCCCCTAGCTTATGATCAATCGAAAATGAGGATCTCATTCAAGGGGCTGTTTTCCTCGAGGCAACGAAGCGAGGCTTGCGAAATACGTGATTGACGTACATAAACTGGACTAGGTAGTCCATTGCCGAGGAACGCGTCGGTTAGCCCCGGTCGCTGTAAATTCAGCCTCGATGTCTATGGCTCGGCGTCTTTCGCAGGCGGACTACAACACCATCATGATGCGTTAACGCCTCGATTTCCGTTTTTTCCTTGCTGAAAATCCACAAGGCATGCGTCGTAGACCATTTTCGCGCTTTATTATGCTACTGGCCCCCGTGGATTGAACCGAATTCACCTCAAGGCGCTCTTACCCTGCTCATGCCATCCTTGATACGTACACTTGAAGAAGGCTGACTTCAGCAATGTCATAGTTCCAGCTATGTGTGTGCCCTGGCATCGTTGGTTTCCAGCTTTCAGAGAAACATCTGAAACATGCCTGTTGACGCATGTTCATGCATGTGGCCCTTCCGATAACAAGGAAATGAAAGAGGTCTCAAGTACAAAGCCTTCGATCAAACTTCAAGACCTCCCGAAGGGCCTTATCTCGGGTTTTTAACGACAAGAACAACCGCGTCACAGTGGAGGGCGATCTTACACTCTGTTTGACAGTCTCGGGCTCAGGCATTCACTGCAAGCTCTGAGACCATCGATCAAGTCTGATGCCGTTAACTCAGTGTCAACTCTCGTTAACTCAACTCGTGAAATGTTTGCCGCAGCCCATTAAGCCCGCTATCATGGTTGCCAGTGCCTGTCGCAGCGCTAATATGTATCCGGTGAAACTGGGGAATCATTCATGAAGCGCCTTTCGTCATCCCCCTGTTCGCAGCTGTGCCGACGAGGCGCGTCAGCCCTAGTACTGCGCGTTCCGTCGGACATCCTCAGCAACTAGCTGAACCACCGTTCACTTTCAACGACTCATCAACCATTGATGCCCCCCGACGGTGGATCACGCCCAATGAATAGTTGTTCAGAAATTCCGAAGAGCACCTGTCCCTTATAACGGCACGGCTAAACTCCAACCTGAGCAATACTTCCCAGTTTCTTCTCCATGGCTCTCCAAATACCCTCTCAACAGCAGTCATGGCGCGTTCTCAACAAGGGCCTTCCCTCAGATCCCAACGTCCTGACACTGCAGTCAGATACTGACGTCCCTCGGAAACTTTGCAAGGGCGAAATACTCGTTAAGGTCCAAGCAGCTGCTCTTAATCCCGTGTAGGTTGTTGCACCCCTTCCTCTCAACCTTTCTCTCATGTTAAGCTTTAACGGTGGTCAATTATGCTCAGCGGCTGGAAGATGATGGGTTTCCTGCCTAACTTCGTGGCTCGTCGGCCGCTCACTCCGGAGCACGACTTCGCGGGGACTGTGGTTGACCCTAACGGTTCCGAATACTCAGTAGGGGATGAGGTTTTTGGCTGGATCCCGTTCCGTAAGTTATAGATGCTGGTTATCAAGTTTACTTACTTGCTCATGATTCCCTCGTTAGCACTGCAGCTTTCAAGCCACCAAGGCACTCTCGCTCAGTATACGCGGCTACCCGCTGCAAACGTGATACGCAAACCCAGCAACCTGACTTTTGTTGAAGCCGCTGCCGTGCCTCTGGTATCTCTGACGGCTTACCAGGGTCTTGTTCACGACGCCAAGCTGAAGAGCGGGCAGACGGTGCTCATCAACGGTGGTAGTACCTCTGTGGGGATCGTGGCCATTCAGATAGCCAAATGGATAGGCGCGAACATTGTTGTTAGCGCGTCCCACAGGAACGAAGAATTTGTTCGTAGTCTTGGAGTAGACGAGGTATGATCCATGATCTGAAATAACCTGGGCTCGCTGACTTGATATGATTCAGGTCGTGGATTACACAAAGAAACCGCTTGCGCAGCATTTCACCGAGAACCCACCATCACCCAAATTTGACATCATTTTCGACGCAGTCGGTCTGACGGACCAGTCTCTTTACAGAGAAAGCGAAGCGTACTTAAAACCGGAGGGTGCATTTGTATCGACGGGGCCTGTCCTTGGTGGTCTTCCATCAATGATTCTGCAGAGCATTCGGCCTTCATGGCTTGGAGGCACCAAAAGGACTTGGAAGTAAGTGGCATACCACTGAAAATCATTTGAATCAGGGACAAATCGTGTCTAGGTTGGTAGGCGTTGAGCAGAACGTCGCCGATTTCAAGAAAATTCAAGAGCTTCTTGTCACAGGTGAGTCCCCTTTCGGACACTTTTGCCCTGACATGCTCATTACATCATTTGCCCCTATTTTTCTTCACCCCTGTAAATGGTCTACAGGCGACCTGAAACCTGTCGTAGACACAGTCTTCTCGTTCAACGATGTGCTAAATGCATACGAACGGATTATGACGAATCGTGCGAGGGGCAAGGTAGTTGTAACGATGGAAGACATCTAAGCTCAATTCGGAATTTGCTCCCGGAGTTTGGGCACGCGTTTGACACGCGTTTTTGGGGCGCGTTGATATGATCGCAGGCGAGAGGATGTTCGTGAGGAGGTATTCCTATACTGTATGTTAGAGCCGGCAACAACATTGAGGACGCTGCGAAAAGTGTATTGTGTCTTGTACTCGTTCAATGAAGGAGAAGATCTAACTGCATAGGCTAGAGTGGCTCGAGAAGGAGGGGGTTGATTGATAATTGAGCTTAGTCAGCAGGGATAGATCATGGGAGGCAAGCTCGGACGAAGCGCCCTGTGCCCAACATTGTTGACGTCCACGAGTGCTCTCCTCCCGCCCTTGTCACCGGCGAACGCGTCTTTTTCTCTCTTTTTCTTCACTTAACCCTCCTCCCCCTTTCCCACTTGTGTGTCCTACCACGATGGAGGTTAGACTTAGATCGGCTACAACTCATATTAGCCCCTCGCTTACTCTCTCATATCTAGGGCATCCTTGATTTCTCGAGGGAGTTCGATGTCTCCCTTCTGGATAAAATCGCTATGGCTTTCTATACCGGATCAGGCTCGGATGTTAGTGGCATGTTTTACTCTTATGCTCCAGGATGTCACTGACGGATCGCGAACATTCAGCACCAAATGGCACAGCAAGTCCTGACGCAGTTCGAAGAACACCCGGACGCGTGGACACGAGTACCTGATATCCTGGAAAAATCGACATTTCCTCAGTCGAAGGCATGCCCCCTGTGCTTGCCGAAGATATGACAACTAAAGCTAGTCCTTTCTAGTACATCGGTCTGCAAATCCTCGAGAGGCTGATTACGACTCGATGGAAGACGCTTCCAGATGGGCAACGACAGGGTGAGTGGCTACCTTGCCATATCGTGCTTCATGTCGCTTACACACGTCTTCAAGGCATTCGGAACTTCATAGTCGGTGCCACGGTCAAAGTCGCGTCAGACGAGACCGCCTTGCGAAAGGAGAAGACGTACATCAACAAACTCAACCTTGCCCTCGTCCAGGAAAGTGATCTACGACGCGTCAAGTAACAGCAATCATTTATCAATTAACTTTTTACAGATCCTGAAACAAGAATGGCCACACAACTGGCCTACGTTCATCTCGGAGCTAGTGGAATCCTCTAAGACCAACCTTTCCCTTTGCGAGAACAACATGGTCATCCTGCGGCTGCTCTCCGAGGAAGTTTTCGACTACTCTGCAGAACAGATGACGCAGCTCAAGATCAAGAATCTCAAGAACCAAATGTGCGGAGAGTTCAGCGAGATCTTCAAGCTGTGCTCAGAGGTTCTTGAGGAGGCCCAGAAAACCAGCTTGATTAAGTCGACTCTCGAGACTCTCCTTCGCTTCCTCAACTGGATACCGCTGGGATATATCTTCGAGACAACGATCATTGACCTACTCCTGAATCGCGTCCGTATGCCCTCTTGCATTTAACTTCGGTCACTGACACGCGCATTGTATATTCTAGTTCCTCGAAGCGCCCGAGTTCCGCAATGTCACGTTGAAGTGTCTTGCTGAGATCGCCTCGCTGAATGTTGGTCCTGAATACGACCCAAAGTTCGTCATCCTCTTCGCGATGGTTATGACCTCCATCAACCGCATGATCCCACCTTCAACCAACATCGCTACCGCATACGCGTCAGCATCTGACGCTGGCCAAGAACTTGTGCTCAACTTGGCTCTGTTCCTGAGCAATTTCTTGGGGAACCATCTCCGCGCTGTAGAAACCGAAGCCAACCGGGACGTCCTGCTCAATGCACACTTGTACATGGTTAAGGTATCGCAAGTGGACGAACGCGAAATCTTCAAGATTACGCTTGAGTACTGGTCAAAGCTCGTCGCGGAACTCTACGACGAGATTCAGGCATTGCCTATCGGCGAGAGTGGATTGCTCATGGGGCTGAGCTTGGGGAATGGAAGTGGAAACATGCTGAACGGCATGTCTCTGAGGAAAAATATTTACAGCGATGTTTTAAGCAACTTGCGTCTCGTCGTCATTGAACGGATGGTGAAGCCAGAGGAGGTGAGTTTCTTGTGGTACTGTTAATGTCGCCGCTCATTCGGATCGCGCCCCTTTGCTCAGGTCCTCATAGTTGAAAATGACGAGGGAGAGATCGTTCGTGAATTCATGAAGGAGTCCGACACCATTGTTCTCTATAAACAAATGAGAGAGCTCTTAGTCTACCTCACACATTTGGACGTCGTCGACACCGAGAACATCCTTACGGAGAAACTCGCGAAACAGGTCGATGGCTCGGAGTGGAGCTGGCAGAACTTGAACACCTTGTGTTGGGCTATTGGTAGTATTTCTGGTGCCATGAGTGAGTGCATTCGTCATTCTCTTTTGCAGGGGGCGATTATAACACCCTCTGCAGACGAAGAGACCGAAAAGAGGTTCCTTGTTACAGTCATAAAGGATCTTCTCGGACTCTGCGAGATCAAGCGCGGCAAGGACAACAAGGCCGTCGTCGCATCGGATATCATGTACATCGTCGGTCAATACCCACGTTTCTTGAAGGCACACTGGAAGTTCCTCAAGACTGTTGTCAACAAGTTGTTCGAGTTCATGCACGAGACTCACGAAGGTATGGGTCCTTCTCTACCATCTGACGTGCATTGATTGACTTCTTCCGTAGGTGTCCAGGATATGGCTTGCGATACATTCATCAAAATTGCCCAGAAATGCCGGAGACACTTTGTCATGCAGCAGTCCGGAGAGCAAGAACCTTTTGTAGATGAAATCTTGCGGCTCCTGCATCGTATCACTGTGGATCTTTCGCCTCAGCAGGCACGTATCATGGAGGCTAATTATCGCGCAAGGCCTAACATCGTTTTAGGTCCATACATTCTATGAAGCTGTTGGCTATATGATATCTGCCCAGCCAAACAAACCCCAGCAAGAACGTCTCATTTCCAAGTTGATGGAGCTTCCAAACAATGCGGTAGGTACAACGTTTCGCGCTTGGGGTGCCCTGCTTAACCAGGTTGCAGTGGGACTCCCTCATGGCACAAGCTGCTCAAAGCGTTGACGTCTTGAGCAATATTGACAACATCAAGATTCTCTCTAACGTTCTCAAAACGAATGTTTCAGCATGCACATCGATCGGTAGCTTCTACCTTCCTCAGATTGGTAGAGTCTTCCTGGACATGCTCGGCCTTTACAAGGCCGTGAGCGGCATCATCAGTGAAACTGTGGCCAAAGAGGGTCAGTGCCGGTATCCCACTTCTTTCTACAGTGATGTCTCATGCTCCTCGCAGGCAACATCGCAACGAAAACGCCCAAAGTCCGCCAGCTCCGAACTGTCAAGAAGGAGATCCTAAAACTCATGGAGACCTATATCAAGAAGGCTGAAGATCTTGAATCTGTCAACCTCAACTTCATGCCTCCGCTGCTCGACGCTATTTTGGGGGATTATCAGAGCAATGTTCCTACTGCTCGCGACGCCGAAGTTCTGAACGTTATGGCCACCATCACTGGCAGACTGGGCGTAAGTGTCAGCTCATTGTCCTTCGTACTCAAGCTCAAATGAATCTATAGCCCCTGCTTACCCCTCAAGTTCCCCCTATTCTTGACGCGGTATTCGAGCCGACGCTGAACATGATTAATCAAGATTTCTCGGAATACCCAGAACACAGGGCTGGTTTCTTCAAGCTTCTCCGGGCTATCAACTTGAATTGCTTCCCTGGTGTGTTTTCAGCTTATTGATACGGTACTATTTTCTGACGCATCATTCTAGCTCTGCTTGGTATACCACCACAGCAGTTCAAGCTGTTTATGGATAGTATAATCTGGGCCATCAAGCACACGATGCGTGATATCGCAGACATCGGTTTGAACTGTAAGTGTTGGCTATGTGCGCTCACGATCACTGGTCATTGATGGTCATCAGTATGTTTGGAGGTCATCAACAACTTCGCGGGTACCGACCCCAATGTTAGCGACGCATTCTTCAGGGAATACTTCTTGAGCATACTTCAGGACATCTTCTTCGTCCTGACGGATGCTGACCACAAGAGCGGCTTCAAGCTCCAAAGCTTGCTGCTCGCACGGCTCTTCCAGCTGGTGGAAACCGGCCAAATCCACACACCACTGTTTGACCCTGCTGCAGTGCCTGACCCGAACATCTCAAACTCCGTCTTCTTGAAGGAGTATTGCGCAAACCTCTTGAAGAACGCATTCCCTCACGTCCATAAGTAAGTTTCAGATATTACTTGAGAATCATGAGGCTGACTCCGTTTCGTTAGCTCACAAGTGCAAGTATTCGTGAACGGACTCGGCGAATATCACAACGATATCAACCGGTTTAAACTCGTGCTCCGCGACTTCCTCATCCAACTCAAGGAGTTCTCCGTCGGAGACAACGCGGATTTGTACTTGGAGGAGAAGGAAGAAGAGGCTCAGCAGAAAGCGAATGCAGAGAGAGAATTGGCGATGCGGGTACCTGGCATGCTCAAGCCTTCGCAGATGGAGGACAAGGACGAGGACATATAAAGAAGAATGGACTTGCCTGGTTCTTGTTGTGCTTCGGGTTTCATGAATTTTCTTGCATATATCATTACGCATCCACCCCTCATCCCCCTTGCCGTCCACGATCTTTCATCCGTTCTAACAGCTTAGCTTGCTATCGATGTCTTTGTGCCACAGTTTTTTATATCTATTGTACTAGTATAGGCCTCGAAATACAACTACGGAAAGCTATAATGCAGTTTTCAACGTTTGATCATGTACTTTACAGTTCGTTCAGGTTGAATGACAGGGGTTTGCCGAATCGGAGCGTGATAAGATAACTACTCTCGGACTCCACCCGTTGTACACAACTTGATCTTTCTGCACCATGTTCAAGAAGTGAGTTCACTGAACACCGTACATCAACAAAACTGACTCGACTCCCGAACTAGATTCACGCCCTCTACCGACATTTCGGGCCAGACACCTCCAAAGTCGTCAGTGCAGCGGTCCCTGAGAAATGCCCTGCTGTCGCAATGGAAGATTACACCTGAGACTCTGGAGCAGATTTGGCCAAAGAAGGAGTCGCTCATCCATGTCAAATGGTGCGTCTTCTTTAAGCATTATCGTACAGAACATTCTATGAAAACGACGTGTTGCTCGGCAAGATAGTCGAGACCACCTATCGATGTACACCGTTCAGGGATCACCCCTGTTCTTCCAGCACTTCGATGGGCCCATGTACCCCACCCTCAGACTCCTGCAAAGATGTAAGTCCTCACGAATCATCCGCTCGCTGTTTGCCGTACTCATTGTCCATCGTCATCTGGAACGCCAAACCGGTCTAGATCCCTCTATCCTACCCAAGGTAGGCATTGATCGCGGCGCCATTCGCTTCCTGCTCGGCGGCGCGAACATGATGTGCCCCGGACTCAACTCTCCGGGAGGCTATCTGCCCCCAGCCGAAGAGGCGCTGCCGGCCGAGAGCATGGTCGCGATCTTCGCCGAGGGCAAGGAGCATCCTATCGCTGTGGGAATCACGAAGCTCGAAAGCGAGGAATTACGGCGTTCGAAGAAGGGTGTCGGGGTCGAGATTGCGACGTATCTGGGGGACGATCTCTGGCCTCTGAAAAGTTTGTAGGCTATGAGAACGCCGTGGACGTCGCGCGCAGCCAACAGCCCTTGAGCTAGCTCATGCCTTGTGGAAATATACATGTTACGCCGTCATGATGGGTACATATTGTGCCAGGCCTCGAGGCGTGTTTGATATGGCCTTGTGTATTTTGGGGTTAGTGTTCTATCGCTTTCTGATATATGCACGGTTGTAAACCGAGTCAAGACATGTTGGGGGTTTGAATGTTTGATGATTGGGCCCGCGTTTGATAACGTTCTGTCAACTGCGTCTCGGACGTAAAGTGCTCTCAGCTGCAGGTTACTACTTGCTGGCCCGAAGTGGCCACAGATGGGCAAGCGCCTGTCATGGCGCCCGGCTCAAAGAGGGTTCCATTTCAACTTCAGAAGTCCTTGCCATATTAATATTGTAGATGACTGAACCTGTTGAGCTTATAGTCCGTGAGACTACATTTGTATTAGACTTCCCCGCTGCGCCTTTTCGAGTCACCTGTCCTATTTGCTGACCTGGCAGCCGATCAGTCCCTTCTGGACCCACGACATTCTGTGACTGGGGGTGAGCCCTTTCCCTGATTGGGCCGGATGGCAGCCATGAGCCAATCCACCTCGTTTTCGTACGCGGAGACGTTCACCCCTGTTCGATCGCGCAAAAAACGCAAGGCAAAGGCAAACACACCCGAATCTCCGTTGCTGCTATTGGACCGCACTAAGCGGGAACTTGAATCTGATGCAGGAACGTGGACAAAGGAATGCCAGGGTATGTGCTCACACCACAGCGGTCGTTCGTTATCAATGCCGTTACTGATACGATGGCACTCATTCGTTTGCCCGCAGAACTTGTGCGGGCCGCACTGGCTGACGCTGATATCCGCGAACCTGACGTGCTATGCCTGGGTCTGGGCAGTCCCACCGCGTCGCACAACAGCCGCGCCCAACTCGCGTTTCTGATTCAGTTGTGTAACTTTCTCGACATCGTGCGTGTCCGTCGGCGCCTCCACGCTTCCCAGGGGTGGCGCTTTAGGTTCGGCTGATTGTCCTGGGCTGACTGCTGGGCCCTGCTGCAGCACACCAGTAAAGTCACCGCGTATGATCCTGCGTTCACGGATGCCGACCGTGGTTTGCTTACCGATCTTGATGTGCGATGTTTGACGGAGAACACGGAGAACAAGGTATGTGTATGCGCACCACTCGACACAGCTATTAGACACAGCTGCTCCATCGGCACTACGGGCCCCAGCCCGACCGAGGGTGTCGATGACGCGACAGGGGAGAGCGCGGGCTAACGGACATATGTGCATCACTGCAGGCCGGAACGCACCCTATTGGTTGTCCGACAATCCTCTATTTGCCACATTGTGATCTCTGGCTATATGAGCGTATAGTCAGGGAGAACTGGTCGCCAGTACAACTGGGGCGCGTGGTGTTCATAGCGAACCGGTTTAAAGACTACGTCGACAAGTGCGTGGGATGCTTTATTTTTGTGCAACTGTTCGGGGCGACGCGGAATGCTCACAGGAGGGTGGTGTGGTGTCACTGGACAATGGCACGATCAGGATGACGCTGATGTTTCACAATAGTATCCCAGCAGCAAAGATGAACAAACAGTACCCCTGTTTGACTCGCTTCGGTACGCCTGTGTCTCACCGCGCACGTAATCCCGAGGTCTCACCAGGTGACCAGTTCCTATGCTAGAGGCTGTCGCGATTCCTGCCAGCGTGGCGTACCCCACAGCGTTCAATAGCCTCGCAATACAGTTCGTCAACAAATCATCACTGCCGTCACCGGACGACGCATTTTGGACACTCCCCGATCAGGGCAGTGACTAGCTATTTAGAGTGGTGGGTCGGCCGGTGGCGCCATCGCGGATATGGGTTCCGATAGTCTTCTCCTAGAGCCACGCGCTCCCGTTTGCGTAGCACACGACGTAATGAGAGAAGGAAATGACATCAATTCTCCCAAACCAAAAAGAAAACAGTGAGATGGATACATAGCCCAAGAACGCGTGCATATCAACAACAAAGCAGTAGAGTGAGTATATTATAAGACAGAGCAACGACTAGCATTGTTGGTAGATACCATTATAAGTGAAATGATCTTCGTCAGGGAAAGGAAGGGGGTCAATATCAAGGCGGCCAATGTATGAGTCCGGTGTGCGAATATAAACATGAGGCTGCTGTCTACCGTCTAGCATGCGAACGGATGCAGAATCTGGAAACTCAAGGGATGACGACCGACCTAACGACGGGGTCGACGGGGCATCCGACTCGTCATCGGATGTATCCTCTATGGCCTCAGGCACGGAGAGGTCGTCTAAGTCATCTGAATCATAGTATGGGAGGGCGTCATAAGCGGGAGGGGAAATGTGGGGTGGTGAGGCGATGGGGCCGAGGTCATACGAGTCAGAGAGGGGGTGATGCAGGGGTGGATATGGTACAGGGTAGGGGACAGCAATTGGGGGAGGGAAGTATTCATCATGGTTAAGGAGGTCGTCTGAAGAGGACATGGGTGATATGAGGGGGCTAAGATGGTGGTCCTCGTCGTCTTCGGCGGGCACCACTGAGACACGGACGTCGCCGTCGTCGGGATCCTCGAGCTCTTCCAAGAGAGAATCGAGCCACTCGGACTCGGCGTCAGAAGAGTTACGCAGGGCTATTTCGGAGGCATCGGGAAACATGAATGAGTCCACCTCGTCGTCTTCGTCACTATCGCCATTGTAGTGGTGCGCATGGCACACAGGCGGCGCGCGAGAGGGGTTGGATACGGCTGGGTGCACCACCTCAGATTGGGGATGGACAAGAGAATTTTTGAGAAGCACCCAGCGGTGCAAATTGCAGTTGTCCTTGCCGCCAATGGCGAGGTGGAGTTTAAACCGAGCCAGAGAGAGGAGGTCAGAAGGTTGTGCTGGCATGAAGGAAAGACGCGGGGGTGGAGAGATATGCTGTAGATGAGGATTGGGTTGCGAGCGAGCGAGCTGAACAGGGGTAGACAATACTGCAAACGCGTGGAGGTAAGCACGGATGACACGAGGAGAGACGAGTGCACAGGAGCTTACTGGATGGAGGTGATAGTTCAGCGGTGTATACGGTATACGATGAAAGGCTCAAAGAGTATGGTGCCGTTGTTGGATTTGTGGGCGGATTTGTTGACCATAGTTCAAGGAACTGGTGCCAAGCGGTCTTTCAGAGACTCGGCAAGGATGCAGGGACAAGGGAAAAAGGCGTGGTGGGGGAGGGCTCTATGCAGACATGGTGCTGGATGAGGGCGGGGAAGGAGTAGCGGAAGACGGATTGGCAGGAGCACGCGCGACCGGTTTTTATACCTTATTTCAAATTGAGTGACTCAAACTGATGCCCTGCGCGGATTCGCCGCTGCCCCTCTTCGCCCCTCCTCAGCAAAGTCGCACTCCCTATCAACACACACAAACACATCATCCTCGGGTCACACGATCAGCCTTCCCTCGCACTTCATATCACCTAACGCCTTAGTTCGACTCATCCTTCCGCCGCCCCCAAACGTAACTGCACACGACTCCCAATAATTACCCGCCAGTGACGTGACTTCCCCGCGCCAGCCCCGGCTCCGTATAGTAAAATAACATGAACATGTCCGTGATAACTGTAATTTGAGCACCATCCATATCTAGCCCTCGTCCATTTCATCGTCCTCTTCTTCGTCCTTTACGGCCTCAATGAGCTTCTTGATCTTCCCCACACTTTTCGGTGACATGTCCCGGGCTACTGCGAGCCAATGTGCCGAATTCACTTCATCTCCCATCAATCGATATACCTTTGCCAGCTGGAACACGACGTTTGACTCCTCAGGAGATGAATCGCGCAACTGTCGCAGATCTTCTACCGCCAACTGGCCATGAGATAACGCAATCAATTAGCAAATCAACCGTCCCATGCCATTTCAATAAGGGAATGAACGTACCGAGTACTTTTTCATGCCGATAAGGATTTTTGCTCGTCGATAACGCACAAGCGCGTTATCAGGCGCAATGCGCACCGCCCGGTCGAACAACGACAGTGCTGCTATCTTATCTCCGCGCCGCTCGACCGCCTGAGAACATAACAAAATCAAAATATCAGTAACTGAATAACGCTAATTGATATTGACCCTTTCGGAACAGGTCGGAACCGGGCCATCCGTCCGTGTCCACTCACCATGCCCACACATCCGAGCAATACGGCATTGTTGGGGTGAATGTCGAGAGCCTTGCGATAGTGATACTCTGCGAGCCGAATCTTGCTCATCCTGAGATAACACGTACCGAGGCCGTACCTGCCGTGAGTCATATGGCGTATAGCCAAACCGTAAACCCTAAAACAAAGAACCATCGATCTAATCGAGTAATTACTTACCAGGCATTGTAGTGTCGCGAATCAGCTCGCAAAGCGGCTTGGAAGAAGCTAATCGCGTTATCCAAGTCCTCATCAATAGACTCGTGGCCACTCAGGGTATACGCGTAAGCGCACGTCGAGTCCATCTCCGCCGCGCGCTTGAAACATGTGAGGGCCTGCGTGCGCTCCTTCTGGAGAGAGAAGAGATTGCCAACTGATATCCAGGCTTCCGGAGACCGAGGGTTAATGTTCATCAGCTCTTGCGCCAGATATGAAAGCTGCACATTTTGCTGCAGGTGCCACAGCAATGTTGAATAGACTTCCATATCCGATAGACGGTATTTGTCTAGAGATCGAAGGGCTTTGAATGCCCGCTCTGCCTGTAATACACATGTCAGTGTTCACTATCTTAGATATGCTGTAGAGGAGCATGATTGCGAAACACGCCTAAAGTTTACGTACGGATGCATATTCCAGCCTCTCATAATGGGCACGCCCTACCATGGCCAGCACGAGTGGCGACTGCTGGTGAACCAGAGGCAGCTTCTCCAGCTCCACTAGACATTTGCGACAGTCAAACACGGACAAAGCCCGCGCAGCACTGGCGAATTGCCTCATGAGGTCGTAGACATAATAGTCCGCCATCTCCTGCTCGAAGATTTCCTGCGCCTGTTGTTCTTGTGCGGCCGTCCAACCACTACTAGGCGCAGCGGAGACGTCGGATCGTGGTGAAGTCGACGATGGAACGTCGCCAGACTGGAGCGTGTCGTCGTCAGCCTCGGACTCATTCAGCTTTAGTTCTCGCCGACGCTCCCGCGGAGGTGGATGCTTTGCATGAGAGGTTACGTGAGTTTATCAATTGTGCCCCACGACATGCACATATCGAACTTACCTTGGTTGTTGGCTTAGTCGAAGTCCCGCCCAAAAGCCGCGTGCTCCGCCGCGGGGCAAGAGTCGGGTTCACAGGATGTCGGTCGTTCTTTCGGGCGCCAATGACGGTAGTAGTCGTCCGAGTGGACGGTAAGGGCTGAGACTGACGACCGGGTGATGAGAAGATATTAGCAAACGTCAAGGCCGGGCGTGCGCGTGCCTTTTTCGGAGCGTCTTCCTCTTTGGCTTTGGACTTCAGGGGCTTAAGTGCCTCGACGCTACGTAGTCGCGTTGCAGCACGCAATTTCTTCTGCGCTGGACCAGACTCATCGGCAGATGAAAGGGGTCGCGAAGTAGCTTGCGAACCTGCTGTAGGGCCCGAGTCGGACCGTGAGTTCCGAATGGGAGGCGGGTGTAGAAAAGTGTTCTCGGCGTTAAAGATGGAATCGTTGGCAGCGCTATGGGCAACACGTTTAGACACGTCACATGTATTCGAGCTCATGTCTGCTTACAAAGAGTCTTGGGATTGTTGCAGATGTCCTAAGCGGAATGGTTGAGGTGCATTTCGGCGACCTCGCGCAAGGGTGTTGCTCGGCCCAGCTTCCGGGGTAAAGAAACCACCCCCAGTCACGATTGGTACTGGTATGGCTTTCGAGGGAAGCTGCTCTTCGGGCGGTTGTTGCTTCAGAGGTAGAGGCCGAGCTGGGAAAAGCTCGTTTATCTCAGGGGCGGCACCTGGTGACGAGGTGCCATCAAAACGTTTTCTTTACACGAGTAGTGGCAGCAAGCGCCCACCTAGAGCACACAGCCCTTCAAAAGCCTCCCACAAAAATGGGCTGAGAGCAAGTGCTTGTCGGAAACTTTGACTAGCCTTGTCAGGGAGATTACCTTTAAATGCCATAGTACCAGATCGACATCGAATAGCAGCCTCGTTCGAAAACGCAAATTTGTGTTTAGATCCAGCACCTGAGTCTATAAATAAGATAAATTTAGTACGTTTAGAAGGCAGTGGACTCACAAGACGAGGTATCCGGCAGATCTCGAAGACTAGCCTCCAGGGCTTCCTGGGCCAATCTGTTTCGCCCGAGCGCAGCATAGCATTTAGCACGTATATCCAGGCAGGCGCTACATCTTGAGCTCGCGGGTGTGTTGACTTTACCGAGGGCGGAGTGGGAATGGCCGGCGCGAAGGAGCGCGATGGCATAGAGATGAAGCGAATCGTGGTTGGTAGACTCGAGTGCAAAATATCGTTCTGCATAGAATAAGGCAGACTTGTATAACTCAGCTTCGAGACATGACCAGATCAAGGCCTGGAAACGTTGGGAGATTTGAGGTAGGTATGGCGGTACCGAAGAGGCTTTCGTGTCCTGGTCAGCCTGCTGCATTGATCGCCGACGACTAGATGCAGCACAGTTTCCAAGCTTTCCGGGAAAGTCCTGTTGGCCCCCGCTCGTACGTGCTTGTTGCGCGAATCGGACGACGCGTTAGTGATTGAAGAGTGGACCAGAGTCAAAGGCTTGAATGGTCTCGAAGACCGACAGGCTGCCAAACAAAACCGCGCCCTCGGTCACGTGGGCGCCATGTACATGTGGTGAACAATGACGACAAATACCCCTGAGTAGAGCTGTTGCATGCATAGCGTCTCAGACGTTCATGCACATGACGTAGCTTATTCAAGGTCCTCAGTCTTATCTCCTGAAAGCAAATGCTGCTCCAGTTGGGAACGAATATGCCATTCACGTTTGCGATATATTGTAATTGTAAGCAGTAAAGTAAACCCTTAGTGTCCATGACCATCATCTTGTGTAGGTTCTGCACAATCGTTAGCAATTGTTTTGGGCGAAAAGACATGGCTGTACCTGGTACGCATTGAATAGCATCATCAATCCGGAGCAGCGAGATGGCCGCCTCGTAGGCAGACTTCAGACTCCGGACTTTGCTCATCGTCGGCTCGAGCACACCAGCCGTCACGTTGTCTCGAACATCGCCATTCATGAGGTCAAGCCCATACCGCAGCAGCACCTTCTTTGGATCGCCAGCTGGGGCGTTTTGAGCGGCATTATGGTAGGAGCGTAGCTTAGCAACAAGCTCGGTGGAGTCTTTGGCAGCGTTGACCGCTAGTTGTTTTGGAATGGTCAAGAGGGCAGCAGCAAATTCCGCGATAGCGAGTTGTTCTCGCGACCCCTACAATCTGCGTAAGTGCCACATTATGAAGATTAAACCGAGCGAAGCTCACCAAGGTGGTGGCAAAGTTTTCTAGGTAAATGCTCAAGGCTGACTCTACCGCCCCTCCACCAGGCACGACGGAACCACTCTCAAGGGTACGCTTAATCACTGACAGTACGTCGTGAAGTGCACGCTCCATTTCATCGAGCATATAGTCGTTGGCACCACGAAGAATGACGGAAGCCGAGCTGACGACCTTGGTGCCCTTAATGAGAATGAGTTCGTCGTCTGATACGCGCTCCTGTACAACTTCATCGGCAGTCCCGAGGTAGCTTGCCTCATACGTCTCCTCGCCCTCCAAATTTGCGAGACTGGAAATGAGTGTACCACCAGTAGCCTTGGCGATACGTCTCAAATCCTCTTTCCTACACCGTCTAACGGCCATGGCACCAGCCTCAACGAACTCCTTCAAGCAAAGGTCATCAATGCCTTTTGTCGTCAACACAACATTCGCTCCGGCTGCCAAGATCTTCCGTATGCGCTCAAGGGTGATTTCAGCCTCCCTGTGATAGCCGTGTAAGAACATTGAGTGGTGTCATAGATATCACTGACCGTTTCCGAATTTCTTCCAGCTGGCTAGGGTCGTCGACCAAGATTTGGACACCGAGTTGCATGCGCGCCTTTTGTAGGTTGATATCGAGACATGCGATTTTTGCATTCGTGACTCTCTTCTTCATGGCTAACAACGATGATCTTGATAAGCTATGAAGCAGCCCGGTTGATAGATTACTCGCCTTGGCTTGCGACCGTGCAGTTGAGCGCATAACCCTGAACGAACATCGATTCACGAGCACTCCGGCCGTGGGCCTTCAACACGTTGACGGCCTTAACAGGGTACTTTATGTCCCCACGAAGATTGATAGACTTGACAGCAAGCATCGCATCCACGGCCATGGGGGCGAACAGATCGTCGTCACTGTACCATCACATTATAACTTCCTCTCCAAATGCGATAAGCTACACACCTGCCAATGATTTTGCTAGCCATGCTCGTTTTTGCGGTGTTTATGAGAGCGTCACGGCCGAGCGCATCAACCTTGATGCTCATCTGGTCCTGCATGAACTTGACCGCTTCCCGGCACGCAAGCCTGTAACCAGTGATAATGGTCGTGGGGTGAATCCTGGCCTTGACGAGCTCGTTTGCACGTCGAAGGAGCTCTGCTGCAACGATTACGACAGATGTCGTTCCATCTCCGACCTCCTTGTCTTGCTTTTGCGCAAGATCAACAAAGATCTTCCCGGCAGGATGTTCGACCGAAAGGAGAGACAAGATTGTCGCACCGTCATTGGAGATCGTGACTTCCTATGCCTTGAGATTCGTAACGCACGTTAGATAAAACCATGAATGATGCTTACTCCAATGTTGTCAACCAGCATCTTGTCCAGACCCAAGGGACCTAGCGAGCTTCTGACAATGTTCGCGATGGAGAGCGCCGCCGTTACTGTTCATTGCATCGATTGAGAACGCGTCAGCCTCGAGCGGGTCTGCGGCACCGATCACGTACCATTCTGATCACGGATATCCTGCCCAGATACTCTGTCACCACCGAGGAATGCCCCTGCTCTGGGATCGCGTTGAAACATTGTGCAGTCAAGAGGAGTGTAAGATTTACCGCGCTCCCTTTCAATTGGTCGCTTTCGCGTCTAACTAGATGCTTACCACATCCTTCCACATTAGGACACACCTGAACTTCGCCTCGTAGGCTAGGCTACCATTACTAAAGAAAGCCTTGAAGAAAGGGAAAACTTCGTATTATCCCATGATCAAGCTAAGCCCAATTGCTACTTCTCTGTGTATGGCGTTAACCATGGGGACAATATCACCACCACCACATTATAAAACAAATTATAAACAAAGGAAATAAGGAAAACATATAAATTACGTCGTCAGATGTCATGAAGTCCTGCAAGTTTGAGCAATAAATCGAGCTAGGCATCGATGACTCGGCTGCACCGTACGGAGAAGGCGAGACCAGTATAGGTGCGGCGGGCAGCGGTGGCAATGAATGGGCTCAAAAACATGTGTGCAAGCGGACATAAATTATTAACAGTGTCTCAAATGCGTTAAGTAGATGGGAAGTAGATGGAAGAAAAAGAGAGACAAGAGATAGGTGCTTGTGAAAGGGATGAGATAAGAGATTCGTCGACAAAAATTAATATATAAGTAGAGGAAACAAGCAACATACAGTTGCACGACGGATGAGCACATGCTGGTAATCAAACAAATGCACTTAAGGCGAGCAACATGTCCAGCTATGGCTGCAGTGCAGATTCGAGACTATGCTGAATTTGATGTGATTTGATGTGATTTGATGTGATTTGATGTGATTTGATGTTGAGGGCGAGGGTGATGAGAGCTATGAACGTTTCAACGGGGAAGAGATTTCTGGATGGATGGTTTTGTGATAGGACACATCAGAGCATAAGACGTGATAAACGTTGACGTTCGAGTCGTCGTGCATAGGCGTAAAATTCGATAAATGTGGTGGTTTATATGGGAGAAAACGGCGTTTAGATGTCGACCTGCGGATATTTGCTTAAATAAAGAACTGAGAATGATGGGAAGGATAGATTGTCGCTCAGGATCAATGACGTCGAGATGAGTTGGATGTCAGGAGCACACGCTGGTGCTTGGTAGATTAGTGGTAGTTCATGCGACCAGCGTCGAGGGTGTCAGCACGAGTGAACGGGACACGCGACAGCTTCTTGGCCTTCGAGAGCATAACGCCTTTGTTGGATGGGGGGCATGGACTGTCGCCTATGTCTATCTCATCGTCGGTGGGAATAGTAGTGTTTCCGGCCTCCGGTAAGGTCGCGAGAGAGCTACTACCCGACCCGTTTCGACGAGTACGGGCTAGGGTACTGGCGGTAGTGAACATGCCAGGTGCGGCTGGAGCAGTGTTCCTCTTGAGTTGACCTTGTTGAGAAGAACCCTTCGAACCCAGGCCATCTCCGTAAGCATAAGACTTTGTGCGGCCGAACTTAGACTTGCGGAACTGATCAAGATCTTCCCTGCGAGAATTGGCGTGGTTGGGATCATCCATCGTGACGTAGCCGCGGGGCTCGCAGCGTTGAGAGGAGTGCTTGTAATAAGCGCAGTACCCTCCCTCTAGAACGTAAACCTCGGGATAATGAATCCTAGGGTAGACATGGTTGTTACTAGCACGATCCTTCGACCGAAGATGTTTTGCACTAGATCATGTCAGGCTTACGAATCTATCAACAGCATGACTGGACATACAAGGTGGGTGCGCGTTGCGCACTGAATTCGCAGTGGAAAACCAGCACGGTCTTCTTCGCTACATCGCCGCTAACACACGGAACTGGCTTCTTGTCCGTAAGAAGAAGCTCTTCAACGTCGCTCGTAGTATTGACATTGATGGCACCAGGGATATGGCCGCCACTGTACTCATAGTCGAAGCGACAATCGACAATGCGGTATTCTGCAATCTGTGAGTCAAACTCCCCATCCAGGAGGGCATTAAGCTTTGGATGCGTTAGTTTCGCTCTGGGTCATTCTATGGTGACCACCTACAGTCTGTGCCTTGATCCTCATAAGGCCATCTTCCCTGACGCGATGGCAAGGTAGAATCTTGCCCGCTGCTTCGTTATCGCCAAAGCCAGGCATGCCCACACCACCATGCAAGAACTTCGTAGCAGGGCTTTGTTCGCCATTTGGTCCCGTAACGCCCGTGGCGCCCGTCAAAGGCCGGAAGTCTTCTGTGCCATCGCGGCGGCGTAAAGTCTTAGCTTGCTGACGTTTGGTATATGCTTGAGCAGGTGAGGACATATCCGGACCGTCGAAAGAAATCGATGCATCGGAAGAAGTGGTGTCCGCCGGAGGGAACATAGCAGAAAATGCACGTCTAGCAGCTGGTGGTCTGATATTGTCTTCGTCCTTTGAATCGTCATTGACGCTGTCCATGATCGGATAAGCTGATTGAACAGGGTCTTCAGGGAAACCTGGTCGGCGAGGACGCTTGCTTGAGACAGCACAAAGACTTTGCAAGGCAGGTTTGCCTAACGGCGGAAATAAGGGTCCACTAGAAATGCGATTAAGCTTATGTTGCGAGGGAGAGTTGTCAAAGCCAGGAGACGATGGGAGCTCGAACACATCATGCTTCGGCTTGCGAGCGGATTCTGGAGAGAATGAGCGGCGCTTCTTGAGCATTCGGCCAACTGGGGACTCGAGACGAGGAGGAGATGTTGACCCATAGAAGAGATCGTTAAACCCTCTGATAGTTGGCGCTGCAGATGCGGGAGGTGATGAAGTGAGTAAATCCTGTTCAACAGTGAATGACGAGTTGTCAATATCCATGGCGTCTATGGGCGAGGTCGGGGGCTGGAAAGAACTCAAGTCAGCAGCGATCACACTGTCATCTCTATCAAAACATCTTACCGGGGCGAAGATGTTCTCATCAGTCGTCTTCGTCGGCCGTGAAGTAGAAAGCCACTCCACGGGCAGCGCGCTGCGTTGAGTGCCAGACTTGATGACATGTGAAGGTGTCTCGTTTGCACTAGTGTTGTTGCTCAAGTCGCGTCCGAACAGCCTATTATCATTGATGGTGGCACGAGACCTCAAACTCTTCTCTCCTAGGAGCCGATGTGCGGTTTTGACGGGGGCGGGGGATATATCCATGGGTTCGTCGCGTTCATCATCAAAGCTAAGGTCAGCATTATTGCGACGGGGCGAATTCAATGACATGGTGGAGGCAAATGATAGCTCCAGATCAGAAGACAAGAAATCGTCAACATCGTCATGTGGCTTGACATTCGACTTTGAAGCATGACCGGACGGTGCTTTGAGAAATTGAGACGACGCGGAAGAAACAGCGAAGGGCATTTCGGGTGAGGTGCTGGTGGAGCGCCGTAGTCTCTGGTGGGGATGATAGTCTACGGTGGGAGAAGAGTCCGTCGGGAACGATGACATGCGTTATGTGTGAGGATGCGGATAGAGTGCAGCAAGGTCGAGGACGTGATCAAGGGACAAAAACACCAGTTAGTCAATAATGGAGCACAACTGGGTTGGACTCAGAGGCACTCACCAAAAATGTGACCTCGAGTGCCGAAAGTTGAACGGAACGTGTACGAAAGTTAGTTCGAGGCTGCTGGACGAAATAATGTAAGTACACTGGTACGATGACAGGGGGTGTGAACATGCGGCTGCCATGCTTTTGTTCGACCACAATGGACAGCCCGAAGGCTAATCTCACGGGATTGCCAAGACAACAAGCGAGCAGAGACGGACGAAAGGGGGAGCTAGAGCAGGGAAGGTACTGACCTGAGACTGAATGAGTGTGGTCACGGAGGAGTTCGTGCCTACAGAGCAACAAGGGCATCAGTTTATGTTCTTTTCAAAGGTCGGGCCGCACCCCGAGCTAAAGACAGTCGGCCGCGGGTTGAGCAGAAGAGAATGCATAGATATCGGTCTAAAGCTGGAATGTGAAGAGCGCGCCTCGATCGCTTTGCGGGGTAGCGCGTGGCAGCATACAACATCGATTCCTATACTCACAGAATAGTAGAGTTCTGTGTCTCCTCGCCCAACTTACGCGTTCTTTGTCTGAAAGAAGGCTATCTTGATACTCGGTCTTGATGGACGGTAGAGGACGAAGAGCTGAATAGTTTGTTTGCGCGCAGTTTGCTTCAAGTTGATTTTCGTCACGTGAGGCTGACTTTCTACTTCCTTGCTCCCGCAGGCAACCGGACCGGGAAAGGGCCTGAGCGACCATGACCTCATCCAGAAGCGCGTGAAGGTGGGTTCGCTTCTCCACGGTGCTAGAACTCTGTCATGTATTCCCTTTCCTTGCAACGTCCGTCTTCGCTGACCCGGACCGGACACGCTAAGTCATGACATTTAAACATTCGAATACCACCCTACCAAACCCACATAACTCATTACAACACCGCGGCTCCGAAGGTCTACTGACTACCGATTGACCAATGCATTCCTCTTCTGCAGCGTAATCCGCGGGTCCCCAGACAGGACCTGGTCCCAGCTGGTGTGCCATGAATGTCAACCCTCGGAGTATTGTCGTCATGAAGGCGGTATACGCACGGTATGAACACATTTTGGAGCTTGTCACAGTGGATTTCAGGATAATGCTCAGCGATCGCGTTGATCAACAGTCCATAGATGATCTGTGCCGCGGCGCCGGAACTGAGCCTAGTCCTTAAACTTACTCGCCTCGGTGACGTACCTCGTACCCAGCAGAGTTGAGATGTAACCCATCTGTCAGGAAGTTGGAACACCCTCCCATTGTCCTCCCCGCTGCATCATAAAGTGCAGTCCAAGTGTCAAGCACCGGGAGTTGCGTTTCCTGCGCCACTTCCTTGACTGCCTCGGCATATTCTCTGGTGCGATCAAAGTCACGCGTGTGATTGTTCCACATATCGGTATTAACGGGAGGAGGAGTTATCAAAACGATTCGAGTGTCTGGAGAATACCAAGACGAAGCAGGCGAGCGAATCATGTCGATCATCTGCTTCAGGTTAGACTTGAAGCGGTTCACCGGGACGTGCTGTGAATCGCCATCTACGGCAGCGTCATTGGCGCCATACCATATGGTCAGCAGTTGCACCTTGGGTGCGTGGTGTTGCTCGTGTTGTTTGGCAAAGATCTAGAGCAGTACGCAGCTCGACATCGATGGTTCACTAGGACCCACTCAAGTCTCACCTGCTCCAGGACTTGGATGGCCCAATCTGTCTGATACCCGCCAAAGCCGCGATTGAGAACGTCTAGCTTCCTAATATATGCCTCTATACATCATTTGTATGAGAAACCATCATGCCCCGGCTTCGTAAGAACCTACCAGAAAGCCGCTGAATGAGTCCTCCTTCGGACCAACCCTTCTGAGTCAATGAGTCTCCGAGGCACATTATCACATCCTGAACATTGCCAGCCATTTTTTGCTGGTAGAGGTGATGCTATGGGGACTGGGTGCGCAATCACTACAAATTGTTGTGCTTATTTATGTGATGAAGATAGCGCTGCAAGCTGGAAATAGTGCTTGGCAAGCCCTCAGCAAGATAAAAGTAGTAGAGTGCTATCTTGAGATCCGGAGACTAGTCGGAGATCTTGTGGTGATTCCGAATCCGATGCACACGGGGCGCTCGTGCTTTTTGGGAAACGCTCGTGTTGTCCCGGCGGCAAAGCCTCTACGGATGTCGTAGTGTCTAGGTAGGTCTGAGTTTGCTGGTGGGCCGTACTGTTTGACTGAGCAGCCTTCGTATCTGATCATTTCATCTTCATCACATAACCCCGCGCTCGCCTTGTCGACAGATCTTTGCCGTAATGCCTGAACCAATCCGACTCAGGGTATCCAATGGCGTTGCTTATGTGTGGGATGTCGATGGTAAGTACCGTTCATCCCCTAGTTCTCCGTTCCCTAGATAGACGCCGTCTAAAGTTACTGCCAAACTGATGCACGAGCCTTTTCGCAAGCTCAGATATCGCCGTGCTCCGTTCGCACCATCATATATGCGGCGCTCTGACCGGTACACTCCCGCATCTATCCCAGCAGAACGTGTTCCTGGGCGTGCCCCTCGTGCTCATGCCCGAAGAAGTGGTTCTTCTGCTTGAGAAAAGTGAATGCTTATCCAGTACTCCGTGTCCAATGGCTAAAGCATTTGTGCCTTTCTCAGAGCTGGCAATAATCGTTGATGATCCTAGTGCTCATCACGAACCGACTCTTCCAGCGATCGAGAAATGGAACGAGGAACGTACACAGGACGTGACCACCCAACTCGCTTTTAATGCGGAAAAAGAGGCAAAGGAAACACTATCTGGGCGAGGAACGTCGGAAAAAGCCTTGCAAAAGCGTAGAGAGCGCGAAGAACGAAAGGAAGCTGCAAGAGCGATTGCACATTCAAACGGCGAAGTGGACGAAACCGAACCCGCAGCCGCAGCCGCAGAATCAGGCGCCAAACCCACTCAACCTGTTACTGAAGTCCCACAAAGCTTGACGAAAGTTGTGTTACCCGCACATACAGTCCAAGTCGCCGCTCTTTCCGACAGACTTGATTGGTATACCCCTTCGCCGCATACATATCCATCCCTTGCTCTCGCACACGATGCCGGTATATGGATGTACCCCAGCAACCTCTCAGAACGTGCACGGTGCGGTGTCTTCCGTAGTTTATGGGAGCAGGGCTTCTTTATGGGCGTCGGTGTGAAGTTTGGAGGCGAATATTTAGTGTACCCGGGTGAGCTAGCCAATACCTTCTGGTCTCATGAATTTTCATTAAGGCGACATTGTCACGTTTTTGGTACAACGTTGTAGGTGACCCACTCCGCTACCATTCACACTTCGTCGCCAGCGTGGTAGACTCTCCTGATACTGTTATTAGACCGATGGAGATCGTTGCACATGGACGTCTTGGCACCGGTACCAAGAAAGCTCATCTCATGTGTGAGTGGGACGACGACACTCGGACTGTGAATTACACGTCCATCGAGTGGGCAGGATTTGGCTAAACTTCATGCCTTCATTACTGAAGCTGTGTACTTATGGGCTATCAACCCACCATAATATTGAACTACACTTCCTAAAGCCATGATGCGCCAGGTCATAAATGCCTGAGGAAATTATTAGAGGCGCTGCGGACTAAGCAATATACTTGACACCAAATGTCGAAGGTGTCTGTCCACGAAACAAGCTTAGTCGGCCTTCCGTCGGGCCTGGTTGCCGGTCCTCATCACTCGATAACGACGCCCGTCTGTTGTTCCGGCGCCCATATCCCTCGGTATCCTCGTATCGGCACTCATACCATCCATTTCGATACTGGCTCCTTCTTCCACCTGCTCGGATCCTCCATCGCTGGGCACACGCCGGTGTCCTGAACGAGCAGATGGCGTTCGCGTGCCCACACTAAGCAGGCGTACGACCCAGTCGTTTAGCCATATCACTAATGCAAACACAGGCATGCGAATCGGCAGGTAAGGTGAAGGATATCGGATGGTATCATCTGATTGAGGCAGAGGGTTATAAGGATCTTGAGGTAGAGGCCGTGCATGCATAGCCATGATGATAAACTACACAAAGGCAAGACGGTCATTAATTAGGGAAAGAGCGCTGAGAGCACTAGAGGACCCTACCGCGGGGAAAATTAAAGCGAACAACGCGACATTGGCCAAACTGCTTCCCCATGTGCAGAGTGCAGCTGAGGGTAAGCCAAATGCGAAGTAGTACGCCCATCGCTCCTCAAGATGACGAACGCGCCTTGCCAAGGAGAGGCCTCGCGCTACCCAAATGAACCTGTTTCAGCATTAGTGAGAACCCGCACGTGGGTTATAGGCCATTCAAAACGACTCACTCAAAGCAGTAGTATCTGAATACGAGTAAGAATTGGTTTCAGGATAATACGACTGAAATCACTCACGCATCTACCCAACACATGAATGCAAAACTCACGGGGGAGCCAATGTATGGTATTGACACAAGGGCAAATGACACGACTACTGACGTGAGGACCATGATTCCTCTGTACGCCGAGGTTGCAAGCATAGTCAACAAGCCTGTGTAGGTCATGGGCTGTTGCTGGGACGCTCGACTACCGTGCTGAAGTACGAAGGTACGCTTCGCGATGAGATTACACCAAGAACTCTGTCAAGAAGTTGGTATGAGAGAGATATAGAGAATATTCGGCCTGGACACGTACGTTCAGCCAGAAGGAGACGCCAATAACAGGCATAAGCCAGAGTACGCGGTAGAACCATCCGACATTGCGATGAAACCAGCTCGGATGGTCTCGGACGAGGGGATGCAGGAGGAGGTCGAACACATAAATAGAAGTCAACGAGAGAGAGTTGAGGAGGAGTGATTTCAGGACATTAGACCGGATCTCTGGGTCACTGTCAGGCGGAGGGTTCTTGATGAGCTCATGTTTGGGCTGTAGACATAACTTATATGCGCACCTTGAAGCCGTCCTCACGACAATATCCCAGCGGCAGCCGTCCACAAAACCATTCCATGCCCAGTAGGCCTGGAGCTTGACTGTCTCTGGTAACGTCAGGAACGTGGGGTAGAGAGACCTCGAGGAGTGCTGATATAGTCCAGGCGATCCGGGTGGGTGACTGGGACCTGTAACTCTTCGGGCCATTGTTATAGGTCGTGGTTGGGCTGGCCTTAGAAGACCTCTAGATAGTGGGAGACGATCGTGCCCGGCGGTCGCCTACAGGTCCAAGTCGCGGTCGCGTGCTCGGCGCGGGTGTCGGCAACACTACGAAGGAGTGCCAGGATCGTATCCGGGGTCCCGGATCGCTCCCCGAGTGTGAGACCTACCAGAGGCCCTACCTCACAAACGACAGTCTAGAAGTCACTCGAAAGTGGTCTTCCCAGAAAACTATGGCTGCTTACTATATCCGTGTATATTTCTGTAGGGCAGACTATTACACTGTACAAGCTAAACCTTGTTCTCCTCCTGGCCAACTTTGATGCAAATGTATACTAGTTTCCAGATAGGTAGGTACTAGAAGTGGCGAGAAAGACTCTGTCAAGCCCGGACGTGTTTATCTACTGTCTCCCCAAAACATACAGTCATAATCATGCTGACTGACCTACGACGTCCCTCTAGCTCGAGTAGCTTTCCTGGGGTATTGGGATACTTAAATGGTTGTCGATATCCTTTGTAAACCGCGCTTATATCGAGCTAGGGAGTATTTGTGCAGTTATAAAGGCCTAAGGGTTCAATGCAGCAAGGATATATAGGGTAAGAAAGGAAAAGGCAAGCATAGTCGTAATTCATCTCTGTAATAACTTACAGTAACTACTACATCAGATAGCCGAATAAAAATAGTTGAGATAACTAAGAAATAACACTGGATTTGTGAGGGTAAGACAGCCTATGTGGCACGAAGGAGGAGATCATATATGGATTCATAGTAGCATGTGGATGACCAAGCGAAAAGCATATTATAGTGATGCTAACAGCGCTCACGCCTTCTTCGCAGTCTGTGTATAGGTTAGCATAAATGGCCAACGAAGGATGAGGTAGGGTGCTGACCCTCTTGGTCGTTGATGAAGAGCTAGTCTTAGCCGCAGATTTCTTTGCAGCCGGCTTCTTTGCAGCGGCAGTCTTTACCTTAGTAGCGGAGCTGGCGCCCGTGACAGCCTAAAATTTCAGGGACGGATTTCGGTTCAGGAGTTCAAATAATAGAGAGAGAGATTTTCACACCTTCTTGGCAGTTCCGCGTTTCGACGGCGCGGCCGTCTTCTTGGCTGGAGCAGCCTTCTTACCAGCAAGGGTCTTCTTAGGTGCAGCGGAGACTTTAGGCTTTGAAGTCGAGGTCTCAGCAGAAGCTTTCGCAGCGGGCTTCTTAGTAGTCGCCTTCGTAGTGCCTCCTGAGGTGGTCCTCTTGGTTACGGAAGCCTTCGCTGCCGTAGCGGCCTTAGCAGGCGCCGCCTTGGTGGAGCGGGACTTGGTCGGCGCCTTGCCCTTGGACGCTGGCTTAGCAGGCTTGTTCTACAAAGAAAGTCAGTCTGACATCCGCTCGTAAGATTGGCACGCGTACCTCCTTGGATGCGGAGGCATCAGCAGGCTTTGCAGTCTTAGGAGGAAGCTTGACCTTGCCAGAAGGACCTGAAAAAGCCTCAGTTGGATATTGACTTACACGAAGAGAGGGACCCCACCCTTCGGGAGGACGAAAGTGCCTTTCTCAGCACCCGTGGCGATGGCCTTAGCCAACTGAGTGTTCTGGGCATTGCCAAACTCGAGCTTGTATTGCTCTTCAACAAATCTGTTACGTTGGTTGGTGATTGGTAGAACTTAGATGGGAAAGCGTCTTACTTCTTAATCTGGGGGCGAGACACGCCCTGACGGGAGTCATCCGACTTCACGATACATTCCTGGGCGATTGATTAGATTTGAGCGGTTAGAAATGTTGAAGAAAATGCCAGTAGGATGGGAAAGGCATTCGCATCCATAGATGTGATGCGCTAAGTGTAGAAAGGCAGATGCACACATCACACTATGCCTTGACAACACTGCCTTTTTGGGCCTTCGAGCACCATCTTTCCAAATAATAACATATAGCGGCAGAGAGTTGCAGGAAGGACCCCCAAAGCGTGGTCGAGAGATTGACAGGTGGGTGCTAACCTTAATCATGTCAATCCAGGAAGGATGAGTGGCGGTGGGCTTGCTTGCACCCTTCTTGGTGCCAGATTTAGTCACGGATGTCTTCTTGGTCACAGCCATCGCTTTGTCGACAAAACGGGGGACGTTGTTGGTTAGAAACGAAGCTGAGAATGGTAAACAAGGTTGAGGGGCACCTCGAGAGGGGTTAGAGGCGTTTATCTGGAGATGGTAGTGGTTCGAGAGAGAGAAACGTTAAAACTCCGAGACGCGTTGGACAGGTCAACAAACTCAATTCACGTTAGTCACGTGAGGTGCTATTTGAGATCAACGTTTCTCGCTTGTTTTCCACCTTCATATTAAGCTGAAAGTGACATGGGAATCCTTCGGGACACGACTGAGGCATGAAGGTCGTGTGTTGGTGGGTTATCAGGTAAGACATAACGAAAAGGAAAGACGTTTCGAGATCACCACTTCAAGACACTCAAAAACACATGTCCTACATACTGCATAGAAGCCACAAGAAAGATCATTACCGTATCCTACTTGTTTCACCAATGTTTCACTTCGCACTGTTAACGTTGGAGTAAAATCAGTGGACCCGTCCGACGATGTTGAGTTGTTGTGTACTCATAGAGAGAGGGGCTAATACACAAGAACGCGACACGTCCTTAAAAGGAGCGCGTCTTGCGCCGATCCTGTTTGGACGTCGGCATCTTTAAACATCCCGACAGCTCCGTTTCCGATTCGGTCCACGGCTTCGTTCCGAGCCATGTCCATTACACCGGCGCTAAAGGCATCTGCAAGGTCAGCATACCGTGACCTACTCCGTGCGTCTGCGGTGACGTTCTCTGGTGTGTGCTACCATTCATAGAAGCCTCAATGGAACTAACATTTTCTTCAGGAGATGCTCCAGTTCGCCAAGGTAATTCACGCATTGCCGCTTGTGAATTTCTTCGCTCTAACATTTTGCATTAGCCTTCAAGGTCAAAATGCGCACTCAGGACCTCGCGCTGACCTCGGAACAGGCAAATGCTCCAGCAGAGCTGCAAGGGAAGATTACCCTTGCCAGGGATATTGCCACCATTCTTCGAAAGAACATAGTGCAAGCCAGGAAAGTTGAAGGGCAAGACACATGGAGTACGCTTTCCTCCATTTCAAGCTCCTGCCCCCTCCTCACGACATATATAGGGCTTCAGTTCACCAAGGATACTGAGCTTGGAGATAATGAATCTATCAAAGAACCTCCACCAGTGTCTGACCGCCAGGCCCGCAGGCGAGAGAAAGGTGGACCGAGGTAACTGCTTATCCGCCTGGTACAAAAACTGGTCACAGGCTTTATTGACGTACCAGTTCTCCAGAAACTGCTGCTCCGCCTGACCGCCAAATTCCCCGGAATTACTCTACGTTGAAGAAAGCATCCAAGTCGCGTACTGTACCTGAACTGAAGGAAGAGGATATTGAAGAGTCTTTCGTTCGCGGTAACTCTCACTTGTTCATCTTTATTCTGGTAATACCCATAAGCTGTGTAGGTAGCGGCCCCGGTGGTCAATCTATTAATAAGACCGAGAACAACGTTCAGCTGCTTCATAAACCTACTGGAATTCGTGTGTCGTGCCAAGAGACAAGGTCGCTGCAAACCAACCGAATGTTAGCGCGGCGACGACTTACAGAAAAGGCGTGTTGCGTGCCACTTTTGCTCGTAGCACGGGTGCGCTGACCTCGGAGCGACTTGGTTGTTTCATGTGTAGCTTGATGTGATCGAAAACCCCGGCATCTCGAAGGCTGAAATGGGAGCAGCCAAGCAGAGAGAAAGGGAACGTCGGCGCCGGAAGAAAGCCAAGAAGAGGCAAAAAGCCAAACAAGAGGATTTAGAAGAAGAAGATAGTGAAGATTAAATCCCCAACCATGGTGTGATTCATAACTCAATAATGTCGATGTCTACTCTTTATAAGTGACTAAGTCGTTTAAGTCCTGCCATCGCAATATTAATGATCAGAGCAGCTTGTTGTCAAGTGTATAGAGTGATCCGAATTCCGACGTTGGCTACGCTTCTCGGTTTCCAGCTTGAGCCTGTCGTACTGTGCATCAGTGCACAGCTGTCCTTCGTTCTTCCCTTCACCCGTTTACTACCCAATACACCTTGCTGTACAGATTAGTTCTATCTGCTGATCAAGAATGGCTTCCAACGCGGACAAACAGACTTTACATAACCTCGTCACGGTACTGAAGCGGTACGTACGCGACTCGACACACGATCGCAGCCTAACGATCGCTTTCATGGATTGAATTAACTTCCCATAACCCGCGCCTTCCAGATTGGAAGCAACGACATCGCGTCTTGAGGACATCGCCGAGTTCTCTGAGGGCAAGTTCGGAAAGAGGAGAAATAGTAGCTCATCTGTGAATACTATCACCAATAACCCTGCTGCCTCCGCTGTGCATGCATCGGCGCCTCCACCACCACCACCCGTTGCAGAAACTCCCCGCAGTGTTACAGCATTTGATGAGATTGTCGTAGAGGGGAAGCTTAAGCCATTTGTCGAGTTGACGAAGGGGTTTGCTCCTTCCGTGTTGGTCGAGCAGGTACTTCACACGATTCAGTGGATTATACAATAGTCATTCTAAACAATTTCTAGGTGTTCCTCTTCGCAGAAGAATTGAATGTTTTGCGTACCGTGTTGCTTACTGCAGCGTCGTGCAAGAAACCCGATCAGAAAGCCTTTGGAGAGCTCTTGACCCCTCTTCAAGGCGCGATCGAAGCCGTCACCCGCGCGAAAGAAGCCGCAAGGAAGGAGCGCGACTGGTTCAACCATCTGACTGTCGTGTCCGAGGGGGCACCGTGCGTAGGCTGGGTTACTATCGTAAGTGTTTACGGTCGCCTTTCGCTCGGATCTCTGATTGAAACCCCTTCAGGAGCCCAAGCCTGGCCCATATATCAATGACATGAAAGACTCTACGATGTTCTATGTAAATAGAGTCTTGAAGGAGTTCAAAGAGAAGTACGTGCCAATACATCTTTTTAGCGATGGGTCTCATTGAGTTGACAGAGATGCAAGACATGCTGACTGGGTTCGCGGTTACATTGCCATCCTGGATGAGATGAAGCGATATGTCATGGAGTACCACACAACGGGTCTCACCTGGAATGCCAATGTCAGTTGTGAACGTTGGCCGTCAATCACCCGACTGTGCCACTGATCAATGCCTCAGGGTGTCAGTGTTTCCGAGTTCAAGGCCCAATCATCGGTTTCAAATACTGGCGCTGGCGCCCCGCCTCCACCTCCTCCTCCACCACCACCGCCCATTGGCATAGCACCTGCAGCCGCTGCAGCTCCTGTGCCCAAGGCCGGTGGCGTAGAAGCTGTCTTTGCTGAGATCAACCGCGGGGAGTCAGTGACGAAGGGTCTGCGAAAGGTTGATAAGAATGAGATGACGCACAAGAATCCAGAACTTCGTGCATCTAGTGTGGTCCCTCCCAAATCTCCTTCCCCAGGTGGGTTAACTCTAGCACCTATGTGGTCGGCAATCCTCACTCAGCTCAGGCAAAGCGAAACCTCCTGCCAGACCAGTCAAGCCCCAGGCTTTGAAGGCCCAGAAGCCTCCCAAATGTGCGCTTGAAGGCAACAAGTGGATGATTGTGAGTTGGGCTTTATGACTGAAGGTCATACGGATCTTCAATTTTCTGGCAGGAATATCAAGAAAATGTTCCTAGCCTTGAAATCAGCGATACAGAAATCAGTCACACTGTCAACCTATTCCAGTGCAAGAACACCACTGTGATTGTGAAAGGCAAGGTGAATGCGGTCACTCTTGGTGAGTACCCCTCTGCGCATTTGACAGTCTACTTATGGACGAGAAGTGAACTGTACCAAGACGTCTGTGCTCGTTGAATCGGTGATTTCCTCAATCTCGATCACGAAATCGCCCTCGTTTGCTCTCCAGATCACCGGTGCTGCACCCACAATCCAGGTAGACTCGACAGACTCTGGCCAGGTTTACCTTTCGAAAGCTTGCCTCAACACCGAGATTGTTACTGCAAAGTGCAGCAGTCTGAACATCAGTATACCGGTTGAAGGTGAAGAGGAAGGTATATTCGGGGAGCAGCCGGTGCCTGAGATGTTGAAGACCGTGATCAAGGACGGCAAACTTGTGACGACAGTGGTTGAACATGCTGGATGAGGGCTTTCATGCACTTGCTTTACGCTGCGATTAACCTCGACATGTCTTATCCTGGATTTAACGTTTGTCATGCTGTGAGACCATACATAAATATTGTACTGCTGAGCGTGACGCCTTGCTATAGTCTTTTAAGTTTTGGAAATTGGAGTTACCACGTTGCCAGTTGCATTGACATCCTCCGCCGCAAGATCAAATCTATCTATAGCACTCCGTCGCGTCTGGCTCTTGGTTCCGCTGACCTCCTTCAAGTAAGCAGCCTCTTTGCTGCAGCTAGTTTTTTGTCTGAAGTTTCAGTCGATTCTGGGTAGCGGATGACATCTTAGTAGTATCAATGATGCTGCCAAGCTAAGTACTTTAAGCTGATATGGATGAGCACGTGTCCGCTTGATGATGGCGAGCGCAACATTCAAGTTGACTAGTGCGGCGCCTATTTATTGGCTCCTGCTGTGCACAACAGGTGTGTCGCGGTCTTTAGCTCGGCTCATTGGAGCGCTTTAAAACATCTTTCTCCGTTCATCCGACATCATTCGTCTCGACTAACCATGGACAACGCTGGCTGGCACGCTCATCGACGCGCAGACAAGGTACGCCGCGCAGCAGTTATCTTCTGATGCGACCTGGTGCTCACTCCCGTCGCACTCTTTACAGGAGGCGCGTCACGCGGCCGAAAGAGCCGACTTCGGCGGCAGGTACGACCCGGTCGAAGAGGTTGTCCAGCCCATTCCAGACAGGGCTAACTACGCCGCGGACTACTATGCCCCGCAATACGCAAGGCGCGATGCGTCTCAAGCCTCGGCAGCCACAGATCACTCTGGGTTGAATCTCGCAGAACTAAGCACGCTCTCTGCCGTTCAGCGCTCCAAAGCACAATGTATTCGCCAAATGCATCCCCGTCTCCAGTTTATGGCTGGCCCCCTGTTGCGCTATGACACGGTAGACGCGAATTATGTCTGGCACGGTGCCGCTATGATCGTCAGTACGTGCGTTTCACACAGATCGGCGCTCAGCGCTCAGCCTCGAGCGAGGATCCTGACCATATTATTAGCCTCGGACGCGGGGTCGGATTACGAGCCACATCCTACGCTCACCTACCAAGCTACCCCTGTCGTGCCTTCGCCAAACCCAAACACGCACTTTGCTCACGTCCAGGCCGTCAGCTATGCCCCTCACCCCGCCGATCCCCACGCTACCTCCCAGCCAGTCTCCTACGGACGAGCCAGTATTGATGAGTTCAATGGGAATGGAGTCCAGTCTAATGGGCATGGTCAGTATCCCAGCCCCAGTAGTATTCCACCCCAAAGTGCGGTTGGCCAGGAGATTTATGTTTACACTGGAGACGGCGGGTGCGCGAATCTCATGCAACCAATCCAACGTGGAAACAGACTTACGCCGTTTTCAGCACGTACACGTTCTGGCGGTTCATGATCCAAGTTCAGCTGGGGCCCAACGAGATGCAAGTAAGGTATTCGGTGAATAATGGCATTGAGCTCTCGTTTTTTGTCCCTGCTTGGGATCAGAGCATGCGATGGGCAGCTCATTCTGTAAGCGTGAAACCTCAATCCTAGGCAGCTCGGCATTTCTGAGTCGAGTCACAGTGCAATGGCTTCAGTGCAGGTGTGAACACTGACGAATTCCGAGGACCTGGGTTTAAAAGTGGATACGACCCGATGTGGGTTGACCTACTGCAGAAGCATGTCGAGGAGCCGTTCCATGCCATGGTAGGAGGCGGTGACCAGCTTTACTGTGACGCGTACGAGCATTGATTTACCGCGCGGCTCATTTGTCTGACATTTGGTAAGGCTCATGCGAGAGCCCGAGCTGCAGCACTGGGTCAAGATCAGCAAGTTGGACGAGAAGATGTCTTACCGCCTTACCGGCGAGGTAGCAGCGTGCATAGATCGGTTCTACTTCAACCACTATTGCACAAGTTTCCGTCGAGGAGCATTCGCGCGAGCAAACAGCTCAATGTGAGTGCTGCGTTTTATCATGTTGAGAAGTTGAGAAGTAACCTGTACGCGTTGTATGCGTGTAGACCGATGTTGAATATGTGCGGTAAGCATTTCCTGTTTATCCTCGCGACAATTTAACTGATCAAAGCTTCCTACCTCCACAGATGACCACGGTATGTATGCTGCAGATACACCTTCACTTCTGGCTGACAATCTGGTGGTCCCCCTACAGACATCGTGAGTGTGTGTCAGTTTCACTAAGATGTGGCTATCTCACTTTCACTAGATTGATGGCTTCGGCAGCTATCCTGACAATCTCCAGCGGTCCCCTATGTTCACTGCGTGCGTCTTTACCTGGCTTATTTCGTCAGATCTCAGCTCAACCAACACAAAGTATCGGCTCCCGCGGATACTTCTTTTTCCTCCTATTCCAATGCTTCATCAACCGTAAATCCTGCTTTCGTTAATGACATAATAGCATTCAAACCATTGACCACCAGCGCAAATCGACGGCATCGAAGACCAGAAGCATCCGTTCAAGTCGATGGTCATCGGATCCATGGGGCCCTACGTGGGTCAGCCATCTCATTCGATTCTGACGTATCTCGGTCCGCGAGTACGCATACTTCTGCTTGACTGTCGGTCAGTATGCATTTCTCGCTGTAACAGCGACTCTCGCTGAGCCGGTGTCGTATAGTGCGGAGAGACGTCGAGAACAAGTGTGCAGTCAAGCGCAGTATCGCAGGGTGTTTGAGGCTCTCTCTAGGCTGCCAGCTGGGGTAGAGCACCTTGTGGTTCAAATTGGTTAGTACTCGTGTAGGGAGGGTTTTCTTGAGGACGCGATTAACGGGTTTTGCAGGTATTCCCATCGCGTACCCCCGTATGGTCTTCTTGGAGAACTTTTTAGAGTCGAAACTTAACCCGCTCACGGCACTGGGGCGCTCTGGCGTTATGGGTCTCGGTGGTTTCGTGAACAAGTTCAATGGGCAGGCTGAATTGCTGGATGACCTGGTGAGCATAACGTATGTCCTTTCCTGTTGCGTTGACGCTGACCATTCCCAGAGCGACCACTGGACTGCCAAATCTCACAAGGTGAATTCCATCATGTTCGCTAGCTGGGAAGAGGTTATTAACTGAACAAACAGTCAGAGCGCAACTGGTTCGTTCACCAGCTGCAGCGCTATGCCCACACAAGGCGGACCCGTGTAACGTTCCTCTCCGGAGACGTGCACTGTGCAGCTGTGGGGGTATTCAGAACGCTCGTGCCGAAGGCAGGGAAAAACAAGAGTGAAGGCTTGCCGCCTGCGATGGATCACAGATACATGCTCAACATTGTCACTAGTGAGTAAACATGGGTATTTATCAATGACACTCTATCTCACATGCCTGCCTGTGCAGGCGCTATCGTTAACACGCCGTGAGTAGTATTTCTATATTTCATACTCGAGTCTCATTGTGCATCAGACCGCCTGATGGCGTGCTGACGATGGTCTCGTCACTTGCATCGAAAACACACAGAACGATGCACGAGGTGGAGACGGACGAGGGCATGGTGAGACAGCCTTTGCCTTGATCTATAGTGCACCGTTCATATCCTTCTAGGTTCCTCTTTTTGAGAACGACACAGACGGGAGCCCGCGGAAGCACAAGTACGTGATGGGTCGCCGGAACTGGTGCTCCACGCACTGGGACAACCAGACGGGCGAACTTGTCTTTGACATTCGCGTGGAGAAAGAAAAGGGCCTCGGTATCAGCGTCGGGTGAGTGTGGTCATCATTGGGTGCATTGCAAATCCTGAAGTCTTTCTCTCGTAGTTATGCTGTCAAAGCGGCGCCTCCTCAGTGGAACCCTGCGCCGGTTCAGTAGCAGAGTACAAAGAAAAGGCGTTCATGTCACCACTTCATGCTTTCTCAGTTCCAATCTCGCTCGTTTTTGCTCTATCTACGCTGATACCCATCATTCATTCGCTAACCCAGAATACCCTCTCAACTATAATCTAGAAAATGTAACTACTCTTGAGTACAGGTAATCCTATCCTATCTACAACATCATAGCAGCTCTTCGAGATCCATATCTATGTCAGGCATACGTGTCCGTGGCGAATGATGCGATTTCGGTCTGCCCAAACCAGGGTCGTCGATGTGGGTTTCAAAATCGGTGTCTCCGTCTCCCTCTGTGTAAGGTCCTACCTCGCCAGCCTCAGAACTGTACCCGCCGACGGCATCTTGGAACATGGCATTGACGTCAGAGTCCACCGTCGGAGCGGGCGAGTGAGTCGCACTCGGCAGATCATGCGTGAGCGACACAGAAGACGATGGCCCGAACCGATCGTCGGCAGCCACTAGCGATGCTGCTCGGCTGGCCGAGGCTCTTTGCTCCTCCTGCTCGGCGAGCTTGGCACGCTTGCGCGCCTCGGCCTGCATCTTGCGCTTTTCGCGCTGAGCCTGTTTCTGTGCTTCTGCCTTTGCGCGCTGCTCTTCTTCGGCCGCGCTTGCCTTGGCCACAGCAGCTGCCTCTGCTTCCTCCTTGTCGTCGAGCACCCATTGCTCCTTCATGAAATCGGGATAACGCTCGCATATCGGCCGCCAGGTGCGCTGCGCCGCCGGCTTCTTGTCCTCTTCGTCGTCCTCCCCGGCCAAAATCGCCTCCACGTCGTCGGGCGGTGGAAATTGGAAGTCGGGCCCAGGGTTGATACGCACGCGCGCGTGGTTGAACAGCGAGATGAACGGGTAGTAGCCCAGTGTTCCGTCGTCGTGCGGGTTCTCCTTGTGCTCGCGCGGTGCGCCCTCGCGCGGGCGCTTGCGCGAGTTCTCCTTGCTCTTCTTGCGGTTCGACGGGAGCGGGATGTAGTCGTACACGTCCTGGAACGCGACGCCCTGACACTGGCCATTGACGAAGAAGGCGATGCGCGAGCCGGGCAGGGTGGGCAGGGCGCGGAGCTGGGGTGCGCTGTCGCCCGCACCAGGGGCGCGACCGCGGTCGGGCAGGTTCTTCGTCGCGGCGGATTTTTTGTTTGTGGGTGCGGAGGGGAGGGATGCGGTGCTCGAGGATTTGTTCGTAAAGTCCAGGAGGGAGGTCATTTCCTTGGTTTGCGCGTACTCGAGGCTCTCGAAGTACTCTTGCCCTTTGAATTCGATGGCAATACGTTCGCGCTTGAGGTGGGCCGGGTCATGAGGGTCCTTTGGGTCGGGCTCACGGCGTGGCGGGAGGGATATGTACATGCCGATCACATCGCCAGTGCCGAAGCCGCGACCGTAGGGTCTTGGGCGACTGAGGGTGACCTTGTCTCCAGACTTGTCGCGGAGACCGTACGAGTACCCATCGAGACCTACGGGGCCATTCAGAGGTGCCTCACGGCGCGCCCAGCCGAGTCGGACGTGACCTCCTTCGCGCGCCTTGCCTGTTGGATCGGCCATCTCACCGCCGCCACGTTCGACGACGACCTCCATGTACCAGGCGCCCTCGCGAACGGGGGCATTGCAGCGCGCGCTGCGATAACCCTTGTCGCCGAGAAGACCGAGACCATCGGGAGTGACGCGGACGAACGGGGATCGGTCTTCCCAGCTGACGCGGAAGGAGGTGGGTGTGCTCTCAATCGTGCGGCATGGGAGGGTAGATCCTGGGGGAGCGACACCTGCGGGGACGTAGCGGTAGCCGATGCGGTTTATGGCGAGCTGTTCTGTCTGGTAATAGGTAGGCTGGCCTGAGGAAGAGGAGGGGTCTGGAGGGGGAAAGGTGGGGAAACGGGAGATGGTAAGGCGAGGGCGGGAGAAGAGGTCGAATTTGCCGGGGAGGACGACATTGGCGGCTGGGGCGTTGGGGTCCTGTGGGCCAGGGGAGGCCTCGGGGGCAGGGGAAGCAGTTGCAGCGGTGGCGAGGGGATGCTGCTTGCGCTTCTTTGACGAGGAAGCGCCCGTTGCAGCAGCGGGGGTGGAGCCTCGTGAATTAGAGGGCGACGGGTACGATTGGGCGAGCATAGTAGAGAGACGACCCCCGCCTTCACAAAGTATAACTGCAGCGCGCTTCGCTTCGGGCGCTGTAACGCGTTTGAGGCCACGTGAGAGCATTTCCTATTCCGTTCGGCGCGTCGATTAGATCTCAAAGTCATTAGACGCCCGCCGGCGTGCGGCACGGACGCGGTCATTGTCTCTTACTTACAACCTCAAGCCTTCATCATGACTGCACTACGGTACGCATCTCTTTAAATCTATCGCATAACTTGTTTTCTTGACGCGCTCGATAGACGAATCCAGAAGGTCAGCTGCAGTCTCACGGGCTCCCTTCCATGATGTAACTTGTTCCACAGGAACTCAAGGACATCAACAGCAACCCCATTGACGTAGGTCTCTGAATACTTCAACTCATATTCTTCTCACATATCCAAAGGGTGTCAAAGTCGAGACCGAGGACGACAACATCTTTGTGTGGAACTGCATCGTCACAGGCGCGGTAAGTACATTCAGACATATCATGAAATCAAGCCCCCCGTTTACTCCCTACAGTCTGATAGCCCGTACAAAGGGGGAACATTCAAGTTCAAGCTAGAACTTCCACCAAACTTCCCATTCAAAGCTCCTACAGTAAGTTACGACCCTCATCAGGTCCACCACCTATCCAGTAACACCTTGCCTCAGGTCACTTTCCAGACAAAGATATACCACCCTGGTATCAATGAAGAGGGGCAGATCTGTGTACCAGTTTTACGTGACGAGGTACGGCCATGGCTAAGTGCATTTACGCTGTGCGTGCCTCTGAAATCAGTTCTTCTAGTGGAAGCCATCCGTCACGCTCTCGACAGGTCTGTCTCTTGATCACTGGGCTAAATAACGCGAGTCTAATCGTGCTTTCAGTCTTGGCAGTCATCCAAGAGAAGGTGAACAACCCAAGTCCAGATGATCCGTTTGAGCCACAGATTGCAGCCGTGAGTCTACCGATAATTCTCTCCAAATCATGTCTCAACGAAATCAGCTTCTGAAGGAGGATAAACCAAAGTTCTTGGCAACAGCCAGAGACTACACCAAGAAGTGAGTTGACATGGTCAACTAACGTCGCTGTACTAATTACCAAGCATACTGTAGGTATGCAACTTGAACAAGGATCATGCATCGTCGAATATCTCTACTTCCAGATTCACTGTAATTACATCATTTCGAGGCATACACTAAGTTGACATGAGCACCACTGCGACGCCGAGGCCTGTAACATTGGTGACTTAGTTATCACCGTTGATTGTGGCGAGGTCGGCGATGGCAGGCGAAAGACGAGCGATTAATAACGTGTAGCTTGCGGAAGAGCGTGAGAGTGATTCCGGCGGCTTGACGGACGTGCTGACGCTCAGTAACTGATAGCAAAGTGGCGAGAGGGGTATGTTTTGCCGGATTGGGAACGGAGGCAAATGAAGACGGGGCGGTGAGTTTTGTGCGCCTGTCGCTGCTCCGTTTCGTGCTCGCTTGCAAGGTTACAATTACCGTGCCCTGACTGTCGCCATCATCTCTCCGTGTCGCGCGCCTCGCTCTCTGGCTCTACCATCGTCCGACTCAACGCCTACGACCGAGTTCTATGGAGGCGTCAAGTCCGACTTGCTAGTCCCAATTTGATTCCTTTCGTAAACTACACAACTCGTGTTTAACACGTTGTCTCTCCTTTTCTGAATCTAATCTCACACTCCTTCCTTGTTCTGCCATTCATCCCCTACACTCTGGTGGCTGGAACGTGGTCAAAACGAGGGCACCCAGTATGCATCGTTTCCGGTACGCTGTCTAGCCCCCCTCCCCGCAGATGTCAATGCTCACTCTCATCATCCTACTTTAATCATTCAAAACACCTGGCCTTGGGCGGCACTCCCATATACTTACCGCTTCCGACTCGAACTTCTTCCCTAATTGTTCTTCGCTTCCCATCATTATACATTATACCTACCTCCCCTTCATCCCCGCCCTCCTACAGCAAAAAGTCCGGTTTCTCCAGGCCTGGCCCTGCCTTCGATATCTTCCCTGCCTCATTTGAAGATCAAGGTCAAGACTTCCTCCCCGAGCTTCCGTCAGAAAGCGACTTTCGCACTTCCCTCATCTTACCCGAGTAAGTCTACGCCTCGTTTCTATTCCTACCACCATTCATGACAATGTTGTAGCCTGACACGTCGATTCTCGGTCTTGCGTGCAGCCAACGGCGACCCAATAGCTCTAGACCACCTCAGGGCGCGCTTTGCGGCTCAAAGGGAACAAGGGCTAGCTGACCAAATCACTGAGGAAGAAGAAGACATGTTGATCGACAAGCTCAGTCGGATTCGCTCGAAGAATGCACCTTCATCGACCTCGAGTGCGAACGAACGTAACGCGGACCAGAATCCAAGTTCTGACATCGAACCCGAGCGTAACTCCCATGCCTCCAATACCTCAAATAACACCACCACCTCCGCCTACCCTTCCTCCTTGTCTGACTCTTCTCGGAGTACGCGTTCTCCCAAGAGATATAGTAACAACCTATTCTCATCCGGCCGACTAAGAGATTATAACTACCTACGAGGTGTGACTTCACAACGAAGTAGGGGAAATAGCGCCTCCGGCAATTCGCTCACGCCGACGGATTCCAGTAATAGCCTGAGAGAGAAGTCGTCAAACTACTCCGACAGCACCCGTCCCATGACGCCAGAAAGCAGCGGCCTTGTTTCCTCGGTCCCGTCAAGCCCAAACTCGAACGCGAACGAGAAGACACCGGTTGCACGCTCGGTCTCCCTCCTTTCGTCCTCGGAGGACTCGTCTCTACAACCAGGGTTCTCAGATACCTCGGGTTCGCCACAGGCGTTTGGCCAACTAAACATAAGGCGAACGTCGATATATGCGATGGAGCGTGTTATTAGAGAGATTGAGGAGGAAGCCGAGGATGAGATATTAATGCCCCGGACGCCTCAAATAACACCTCGGCATGCCTTCTCGTCGAGTGAAACGCCTGGCGTGGCAGACACTGACAACCCAGTATGTGGTCACTTTTGTTCTTGTTGCTTAGGTGGACATAGCCGAACCGTGTCACAGCAGATGATTATGTCTCCATCAAGTGAAGTGGAAGCGGGGACTGCTATGACGTCTGACAAACATATGCCTGTCGAACTCGAACCTCATCGCCTTTCACCCGTTTCTCTGGGTAGGTCGGGGGCAGGTTCTCCGAGCCCTCGCCTCCCGGGATATATTCCGGGTATGCCGCGTCCGATGACCCCTCGCGACTCAACACTCGACCAAGACGATCTTTCACGTTCGCACTCCACCACTCCCCGCGCGACGTCACCCTCGATTCCCAGTGTGAATGGTCAACCGCCGCAGCTTGCCATGGCGAGCTTCTCTTCAACGTTGTTGCGGCGTGGGTCAGATGCTTCCCGCAGCACTCCCAGACCTACGTCACCCCCAACCCCGCTCACGGCCACGTACCTGGGGCGCAGCCTCAATGGACGGGTTACTCCAGAGAACGCAAGAACCAACGAGCGGTCAGGGGGAAACGAGACGGAGGACTCACCGGGTTTCAATTCTGGTACGGTGAGGCGCCGTCCTGTCTCACCACTCACTGGTTCTGCTTTCCAGTCTATGTCTGTATCCTCAAGGCCCAATTCAAGGCCTGCAACGCCTTCAAATATTACATGGAATGTACCCCGGTCGTCGCCAAGCCCGATGCACAGCCGCCAGGGTAGTGAGACTAGCCAGACTTCTCGGGCCAACGGGGTGAGGGAAGATCCAGCTCATGGACGCGGCAAATCCCCCAGTGGCTTGGGACGATCGGCCGCTGCTCTAGATTCTTCTGTAGGACATAGCTCTTCTGGCTCTATCTCTTGGAACAGTTCTCAAAGTTCTACTGCATCTGGCGTTCGTTCACCCTCTCGCATCTCGGGCGTCGACGTGAATGCGGCAAACTCGTCCCAACGCTCTGCCCGGTCGCCGACCCCCACTCAGTACCAGACCCCATCGTCTCCCTCGTTCCCTGTGTTTGAAAATAGCTCAAACCCAGGAAACGGCACTCCGTTATATTCTCAATCACATCACAAGAACTCCTCATCTCATTTCTCTAATGGTTTATCGGGCCCAGGCGCCTTCTCACCACTCACGAACTCGTCTCGCTCCTCACTTGAGTCTACCGGATCCAGCTACCACTCCTCAGACGGGAACAAAAAAGGGCTAAACCTTGAGCTGCTTCTGTACAACGGCACCGACCAGCCTGCGTGGCATGACCTTGATCGATCAAATTCGGCCATCTCGGATGGCAATCAGGATGGCAGTGTTGGCGACTTTGAGGAATTCATCAGGCGCTGTGCGGGTTTGACGAAGTCCGACTTCGCCGCGATCCAGGAGAAACTTGTCCATGCCGCTCTAACGAAGTCCAGCCAGCCGGAGACACGGGAGCGCAGCAATTCATTGAGGAGACGAAGGCCTTCAACATCCCAATCAAATTACTCTGTCAGTGGCGGCAGAGACAGGGTGCGTTTGTTGCGATGTTGATGATTTCGTTCGCTGACATCGATGCATTGGTCCCAGGTGGCGAGTCCAGCACCAAATCAGGCATCACCAGGTAGTCGATCTCCAGCCCCAGATCACAATGCCAAGGTCAATGCCCTGCTGAATTCAATGGTGGATAGCATCCATCCGTCTTTGAAGCCATCATGTGCTGAAGCCGACACTGACACGCCCGACGAAACTGGTTCCGCTCAGGTGTCGCCCACAACCAGGCGAAATCGGGACCTGGCACGCGCCCTTGGTTTCAGCAATGATGCGACAGAGGTTCAAGCGCCAGATGAGGAGAACGCTGAAGAGGTGTCGTCACCATCCTCACTTGAGCCGAGGTCGCCGATTGCTGGGACTGCGATAGGGGGGTCCTCTGATGTTGAGGATGTCGCAAGTCTGCGGCCGAGATTGGAGCGCGAGCCCACCGAGACCTTCACGTCGTTTCCCCAGCCTATGCATCGCTCTGCGTCGCTTACTAGCGGCAAGGTGCTCCAGCCGGGAGTTAGGGATTCAGAGCTGGTCAGGGAGGTGCAAAGGAAAGCTGACGCAGCGATGGTCGCACTCAACAAGAGTCCGTCTATCCGCCAGAAGTTTGACACCGTTAACGCCTCCAGTGTTTCGGTTTCCCGTAAACGGATCGACCCCAGCCAGATATCTGGACCCCGCTTTGTGTCTGCAACCGCGAGCGTGGATACCGTTCCCCTACCCCCATCTGGCACGAGCCCCGTGAACCCTACGAACCCACAGACGTCCTTAAGCATCACGCAGAGAATCAGGAGGCTGCGTGGAACACTGAGGGCAAAGCCTTCCCCGAATGGCGAGGAAATAACGCCGTTCCCTGTGGACTTGCATCCCAGTGTGTCGCCAGTTACTCCAACTCCGACTGCATCTGCGAATGTCTATCGCAGACCCACATTGCCGCTTTCACGGCCACCACCTGCCAATGGTGCCTCTGATCTAGGTCGGTCGAACACGTACGCTTCTTCTCCACCTGCCTCCGCCTCCCCCGGGATCAAGGGCTTTATGACGCGTTTCCGGAAGACTCGTGGAGGAGAATCAAGTGATTTTGGGTCGCCAAAGATGACCCCGACCCATTCGCCTCTTCCGAGTACCGACTCAACGCACAATCTGATGAGAAACAGCCCCGTGCCTTCTCAGTTCGCGTCTCCCACCCCACAGCCATTTGAAGAACATTCTGAAGGTTCTCCATCCCGAAGTGACGACGAGGCGGTGAAGCAGCTGTTCGAAGCTGGCTTGCATCTCGGTCTCAAACCGGCAGACATAAATAACTTACTTGCACGCTCAGCCTCTGTGGCTTCCAAACCTGCTGGAAGTTCTCTGTCCCGAAGTCAGTCGACCGTAAGGTCACCCACGCCCGGATTCCTTGATTCCAACGCCCCTGTTGAAGGAAGCGTCTCCAGGGAGCGTCAAAGCATGGATCAAGGTTCCTCGCGTGGCACTCCCAGTTCCAGTCGGCGAGTGGTCATTCGCACCGGGGGCGAAGGCAGCGGAGCCCAGTCTGATGGTGCAGCCGTAGTGAGACGGACGCTCATATTCCCATCCGAGTTTCGGGCATCCAGGGGCGACTTGGCACAGGTCAGCAGAAGGCCTTCTCAGTCTGGAAAGCGTCACCGTAAGACGGGTAGTGTGATCTCTGCTCAGTCTGCGCGGTCGGTTCATGATCGGGCGCCTACCCCACCCCCACCAAAGGCCGCCACCGGCCGGCGCTTCTCGACTGACAAATCACCTCCCTTGCCTGCCATGCCTGGGTCTATTTCATCTCAGGTAGAAACCATGCTGCATGCACCCCCGGCTCAGCAGGTCCGGACCGACATGGTGCGGTCAGCATATGATTCCCTGTGGGTGATGATTTACCCTCTTGTTTCTCGTCACTTATGAATTGTGCTCCCAGGTATGATATGTATGGGAGTGATAGCAAGCATACCAGTGTTGCGTATGACCCCAATTCCGACGCACCGGAAGGGTTTGGTCAGCAAGAGGGCCCGGCGCTTGAAGTCATCGAGAAAGCTAACGGTGAAACTATATGGTAAGGACGATCCTGGCCGGCGACTATTGCAGACTAACGTTAACGCCTACGGCGTCACAGGTCTATTGTTAATGGGTTACGTGATGAAGATACCGAGTCGGTGTATGCAAGCAGAGCAAGCTTCGCCTCCGAGTACTCTACGCGAGACAACACAGAAGGCGTCCAAGTTTTTGTCAAGGGACACGGCAAATCCGCATCAAAAGGCAGCAATTCTTCTTTCCTTTCTCGCAAACGGCTCTCTCAAGGGAAAGACCGCCCAGATACCAAGGTAAGTTCCCCGCGTTTTGTGCATGGGTGCAGCCTCACGCTAAGGGCACATCAGGTTTATTTTAGTTCGTCAGCTCAGATTGGCCGCCTCATCGAGAACCTTTCTCAGGGCATGGACGCCGGCTCTTTCAACTTTGTTCCTAACTTACCTGCCGATCGCGCCACACCTTCCTCATTGCATTCAGATCCCGAGATGCAGTGGACCGTTGAGGAGAAACTTGAACATATGCTCGGAGCGATAAGAAACTCCTAAAATCTGCGTTAACAATATGTTGTTTTCCTTTCCCCTCCTCTTTCACGGAAGTTATGTCTTTGTTTTCGTTGTCAATGCTGTGATATCATAGATAATTTACTCCTCGCTTGATACCATTATTGTACTAATACACAAGGGAATGCCATAGTTAAGCGGACGGTATGCAGTTGAATGATACACAAAAAAGAAGAAATCGGAAACGGCTTAATCAGCCAGAAGCGAGACCGTAAGTGCCGTCGAGCCATCGATTGAGGTTGAGAGCCATGAGAGACTCCAGGAGAAGCATCGGGTCGGTAAAAATGTATTGGAACGTTCCCCAGGATGGACCGACGGGTGTTTCCTGGTCGAACCGTCGAAAAATGCCAATTTGATGTCCCGGAGCTGCTATGAGCTATAGAATACCAATATCAGTTTTTGTCCAATGGATTGCAAGGGCGCAGGTACTTCATATGAATTTGGATCTTCTTGCATTCGGCGCCACGAGTAAATGCGTCCGTCGAAGGAGGTGAACATTCGCGCGCTAGAAGAAAAGGTCACGGTCAGCACAGCAAAACGGCGATCAAGACGGCAGCCACTTGTTTACTTTGGCTGGCCTGTGGGCATGACCAGCTGGGTCATAGGGATCGACCGGTCGTATATGGTGGCGAGGCCGAACTCTCTGCCACCCATCGACCATTCGAAGGTGGCGACCGGCTGCCGGTCGCTCTGGACCTGTGGAAAGATGGGACATTGGGAAGCGGTCAGAAAGCCTGTGGTTAGGACGGCGGGTGGGCGAGGTTGGCACTGACTGTCGTCTTCATGTTGGCGGCGTAGTCGGTGACCTCTGTGTCGAATTCGTAGAAGACGTGGCGGACGTCCTCGCCGATGACAATACAGCCATCGCGGGGGTCGTTTCTGCCTGTGAAAAAGATCTCGTACGGCTCGATGGACATGGCCGGAGAAGGGAGGCGTGTTGTGTGGGCCTGCTAGAGGTTTTTCATGGCTTCATATATGCAGAGGGGATGGAGAGCCAGGTTGACAGGACAAGTTGGATGCCGGGCGCTTTCGTGATAGATTGGGTATGGCGCACAAGAAGCAAACCTTATCGCTGATGGCGGAGAGACCGAGATAGAGGCGAACGATGGATGTGATGTGTGCAGAAAATGTCAAAAAGGTTCCGTAGAGCCGTCGTAAGGACAGGGGCAGCACTAGCGGAGAGCGGCAGGACAGACGTGACCTTGCGCTCGTTCAATCGCGCGGACTATGACAACACCCGTACCTCGCCTCGATCACCCTGTCAAATTCAAAACCTTGGGCAGCTAAAAGTCTAATAATGGAAAGTTCAGAACCTTACATGTCGTCTTCCCAGCATGTCTCATCTGAATATCCGACCAAACCTGCAGAAGACTGGAAGACTGCACAACAACCGCTCACCCGAGCCGTTCGCTCGGTCGACGCTCCGGGGGCGGAATCCGTGCAGTCCATTCGTCATCGATTCATCTTGGGTTCATCTCCCCAATCTGATCTTACCTAAACGATACTATATTTGTAGACGTATATCATCGCACAACAACACACACTACGCATTATACACCCACATTAGCATAACACTATTCGCCACCTGGGCTGCCACTCCCAACCCCCCATCCTCCCGATTCGGCCAACAGAGCACTAGTGACAAATCCCTCACGAGTTCACCTTCCACAGTGGCCGCTTGCGCAGTTTGCGCGTGACGTGCACTGCACTACCTCCCTGTGCCCCTCCAAACGCCAGTACCACTGTCTCCTCGGCCCCGTGCCCTTTTCTGAGTTCAATCGCATCCTTCGCAAACTTGAACCGGGCTTGATCAGTCCCTGTCATTCGGTAATCAGTCAGCGAAACACATGCAACAGTTCATATCACCCTACACACCAATCTGAAACGTTGGCGACTCCACTGCTGCCTTGAACAGATCGAAAGGCACCATGGAGAAGACTCGTAGCAATGTGTCGCGTCCATTTGCCTCTTGTGGTGATTCAGCTTCAGCCACTGGCGCGGTTGCGTTCACGTGTAACGCCACTGGCAGTATAACCACCAAATAGTTGAATACGTCATCGCGTAATCTCTGAGCATACTGCCCGAATATAGAGGTCGACGACATCTCGGATTTGGGCGACCCATTTGACGAAGACGGAGTGTGCTCGGTAAACTCGAGCCATTGTGCGATATTCTCCACGCTGATCGACCGCCGACACGTTTCGAACGCATACGCGCACAAATCATCCATGCCACCCAGCAAACAGCCAGCGGCAAGCACACCCCGCGCATTTTCCGGACGGATCAGACTCAAGGAGATAGGCGAATACAGATACCCAAGGGCTGCGTTGCTTGGTGTCAATACTGCGAGAAGCAAGTCCCTCGGGAAAAAAGGTCAAATACCTATCGCAAAGCCCTAAAAACACCATGGGCGTCAGTCTCGGTAACACAACAAAGGTCCGCCACAGCGGCGTCCGCACAATTGGTCTACGGCACCGGAGCCCGGGCGCCATAGCAAATCCACGGGGAGATCTGCGCATAGCCAAACCATGGTCCGCAAAAGGACGTCTCGCACCCAGGCACACAGTCATGGCCGCTAGGTCCGGAGATGAATGTGACTTACCTCCTGAGTGACCTCGGGTTCATGATCTAGTTGGACGTATATCGCGCGTTGTCCACCTGACTGTGGGGACGTTGACATCAAGTGCGCGAGATACGGAGAGCGTGAAAGCATGATAGCGTGTAAACGATAAGCGCTTTGATGTACATGCTAGTTCAATGAGTGAACAAGTTTGCAAATGACCAGTGAAGTAATTAATGCGAAGCACTCACGAGTATAGTGTCTGAGTAGTTCTGGCAACAACCGGGTCAGATGTGCCTTTCAAGGCGCAAGGATAAAACTCACGCCAGTCTGAAAACCCGCGTGATAGAGGTGGTGTACTATTTGCTCGTTGTGAACATGATAGGGAACTCTGGAGTCAAGGGAGGAGACACACAGGAAAATGGTAATTGCGACTCAGACCGACGTGTTACCGGTAAACATGACAAAAGCTAGCGTACTGTGTGTATCCGTTATGCGCGGAGAAGAGGGCTGATTCATGGCTCGACGAATAGTCGTGGTCGGGGTGAGGTGAGGAAAGGGCTGAGCTACCATTGACCGAGGGCAGTCGACCGTTGAGCGAAAGAGAGGACGAGGGAGCAGAGTTCATGATAGAAGTGGCACTGGAAAGGAGTGGAGAGGATGCAAGCGATTTCGAGCGTGAATGGCCTGTCCTTGAGGTCAGTTTTGAGTGAGATGGCCAAGGCCACTGAGTCTCGTCAGTAGTAACGTACAGGTCAGTCCACCCTCGCGTCACTCGTCGCGCTCACATTTCCTCGGGCCTGCACGCACCTTGTCACACTCTGTCACAATCTCTCACAGCCACAAACCACTCTTCCTTGTCACAGTCACAATCTAGTGGCAATTGTGGTATGAGTTCATATGCGAAGGAAAACCGTGCCGAGTAAACGTAACTTGAGCAAGGTATGGACAAGTTGACTGTGGACTAATCAAATGTAATTAACGGTGTTTCAAGGCACCATCGTACGAATTCGTCTAAGTTCATGACCGTCCCGTACACCCCCAGCGATGGTGCCATCGAGACAAAGTGGCTCATCAAATTATTCACAACCCCACCTTCCACAGCCTTCGGTCCACGCAAAGCTGGGTAGGCAGGAGGGCAGTGGTGATAACAAGGTGGGACTTCCGAGGAGTTCGTCTTTAGCTATAAAACATCCTCAGATCTCAGCTTCGCCGTTCACACGACACGCAGGATCGGGCAGCTCATTCGCTCACCATGTGCGATCTGTCCGAGGCAAAGTGGTCCAAGAAACCCTTTGCAGGAATGACCCTGAACAGGCTATAAAGCAGAGATAGATATCCGTTGAGCGGTCAGATCATCAACAAGAAGAGACAGATCGCTTTCGCGATCTTGTTTTTACAAACCTGTGATATCGCGGCAGAATTGAATCCTCGTCCAGAAACGTCTTGTCAGTGTATTCTAGCAGGCGGCCGCCAGTCTCGCCTTATTCGAGTAGACCATTGGGATATTCTCGCACCTTTCCAAGAACACGGGACATTCAGTAACGTGTCCAAATCATAAACCCAAGTTTGACCATCAAGGTTGGCAGAGCTAGAGATTTTGGTCCGCCGACTTTTCAGGACAAGGACGACGTGGTAGTCCCAGACTATGGGAAGCTCTGGCGATGGGGATACGCGTTGATTCCAGACTGCCACCTGACAGAGAAAATATGTTCGCCATTGAAAGTAGAGCGCTTGTGGCGCGATCACAAGTGTTCAGCACAATACTGACCGTCTGTGTGTGATTGGAAATAAATACGACATAAACATCCCAGGTGAGTGGGACAAGATCCTGCCGAAGAAAATGTTCCGCCAAAAGAAATATGTTCTCTTCGCAGTAGTATGGAGTATATAGCACGTTCGGGAGCAGAGGTGGTTGGATGTCGCGGTCCATGAACAACGTTAGTCGATCGTAGTGAAATACAAGCTCCGATTCCCAAGCGGTACGTAGAGCAATTACATCATAGGTCAACTATATGGATAAGACAAGGGCCAGCCCCCAACCAGTCATTTACTTCTTCCTTTCCTCCACTTTCCTCCACTTTCCTCCCTTCACCTATCGTTCTCCACTGGAAACGCCTCATCAACTCGTCTTGACATCACCCATGACTATCCTTCCATATTCAAGCCTCCCTAGTCTGGCATCGACACTCATCACGTCTTCCTATTGGCTTGGACAGTCCTGACTATACTGTCCCAGTTCTGGATTCGATCCTTTCTCAACACATCTTCCAACTCTGGTGTCACTGTTTCTGGGCGGAACGGCACCCATACCGGTAGGGCGGTCTGATTTTGCGACACCTTGGTAGCTCGCTTCGGCGCAGGCGCTTTCAGAGACGTGGTATTTTTAAACTGGGGATTATGACCATCTGGTGCTGTGCCGCTACTGTGAGTGCTGCCTGCGTGTGTCTGCCTGACCATATGTGGGTACTGTGATGGCTGAGGAGCAGGGGGGAGGACGCCAGAGGTGTTCGTGAAGGGGTGGACCCCGAATGGATCGAATGTTGCCAGTGGTACAGTGCTCATCTGGGAAATAGGTCTTGGGGAAGGATGGTCTACTTGTTGTTCGTTTCCCTTGACGCTCAGTGCAGCCCTAGCTTTATACTCCTGGAGAACATCCCCGAAATTGGCCCGGCATACTCGGTACGGCGGGTCGTCCCGCTGCAAAACTTTACCCGTCTCCTCGCTCTGACCACGCCGTTCGCCAATCAGGTCTCGTTCTCGGCGCATCGCACGACGGAAAGTCGTGTCTCCGATCTTGTGAGGGGTCTTTGCGAGCCTCTTACCCTCTGATGTATGCTTCTGTCACGACGGTGCGACGGTCATTAAGACCACCTGACATGTTCTCGGCGCGTTTTGATCCTTTTGTTCCATCGTTATTACCACGTATGCCAGCTTCCAATCAACACCGTTAGCTTGTCCGCTCGATTCAAGGTGCTTATGCCGTAACGGAAGGACCCACTTTGCCAGCATTTCCTATCTGGCTCCGGCGGTGTACGAACCTTCAGTCAGCCTTTGGTGACTTGTTGCCACTAACGGCTCATACAAGACGAGCAGGTTGAGAATGGGGTATAGCCCTCTCCGTTCGGTTATCTGATACGTATGGTATTGTGGACGGACTGAAAGTCATCGCAATCGATGCTCCGTTGGACAATGCCCGATATTCTACTCAGGATCATTTACCTGAATGGGCGGGGTTACCGAGATGAAAGGTACTGAATATGTCAAAGCACATCTCCGCAAGATCCGTGTCAAGCATCCCGGCGCCAATTAACGGGGTACACAAATACATCTTGAGCCCATGGCAAGCGGAGGGTCTTAAGGGTGTTCTCAAGATCGTCTCGCCTTGATAGGGACCTTCACGTGAATGTAGAGGTATACACACGCCGTAATCATACCACTTTGCCCCCGAAAATCGTGCTCGGCGTTGGTTATCATAACATTGTGCAATCGGTCAGCAGCGGATGATTGGAGCACCAGTCGCTAAACGTTAATCTCCAGTGTGGGGAAGCTACATTCGGGTCAAAATACGGGGTGCAGTGAGAAACGCGAATGTAGTTTATTAATAAAGCTCTAGTGGGAGTGGTCTGAGGTGGACATCAATCACGGAACGTCTACAAAAGGCATGCGGCACTGCCGAGCTGTCGGCGAACATCGTGGAAATCGACATCGTGAGCTGCAAGCAAAGCATGAATGAGAGTCTTGGAAGGCAGACAAAAAGGCGAGTTAAGGAAATGGTAAGATACTCACAATCTTCGACTTCGCCCCATCGTTGAATTTGGCTGGCAACCTCGACTTGTGAGGCAAGAGCAGCTTGTTCAGCTGTTAGGTGCCCCTTGATAAGTGCAAGGGATATGATGAACGACTTAGTCGTATACGTCGCACGCTCCATGACTAAGGGGCCGAGGATATGGTATCAGTGTCCGGAGCCGTTTAGAGAATCTCGGGTGCGGAACGTACCAGCGAGTTCCCAAGGGTCCATCTTGGCAAGGATTTCTCCAAGTTTACGCGCGGTTTCTTCCGATTGTGAACTGAACAGAATGGACGAAGATACTTGAAGGTCTATGTCGAACGTTTTGCGTGCCCAGTCCAGCAATGGGTCCCAGTACTTGGTCTGCAGCTCGACGAGCTGTGGCGGGTCATCATTTTGGAAACTGCAAATCACAGGCTCAGCCACGGGTTTGGCTCAGCACCGAAGGGAAGCATACCAGATGGTATCCGTGTGGAGGTAGTCCAAAAGAGAGGCGCGGAGTTCAGCGCAAGTGTTTTTGTCCGACATGAAGTCGATAGCCCTGGAGGCAATGGACGTCTGTACAATGGTTTAGGTGAGTTGGCCAAACAATGATAAGCAGGATTTGGCATACCATGGGCAATGCATGGGGTTTCAGCACCGTCTCCTGATTCTCCCACTCGAATGCAATGAGCGAGGCGGCGAGTTGTTTGCTCGTAGGAAGAAGCAAAGTGTTCCCAGCCGGGGTCTTGATAGGGCGACTGTCCAATGTCACGGTGAAGCCATCCTGTTGCCTCTTGACGCCAACAGTTTTCCAGAAGCGTTTCAGTGTTGTCTCAGCACCTACCACGGGGTGTTAGTGCCTTAGAGCTTGAACGTGAAGGATACGGCGCACGATTTGTTTCTGTAACCGGAGGGCCATCATGTGTGGGAGGAGCGGTGGTGAAGCGTCTGGCCAGATGAACGCGAAGTGACTCTGTCCCGGCGAGGCGAGCAGGCAAAGCCCTGGAAAGCGTGTTTGCGTATTGTAACCGTGCAGTGAGCAGCATTTCTTTGCTAGCTTTGTCAAGAGACTGGTATTCCGTTCCGGCTTCCGACGCGGTTATTTGCTTCCTGGTCACGTGGGCGCATACCCCATGCCGTCACGCGTCGGCGGTGACTTGCATAATTACGGTCGCGGTGGTTCTGAATTTTCTGAAAACTCCACTGCTTCGTTTTCTTGGTTTCCATGTCCAGTTCTCCATCCCAGTCTCACCCGCAGGCAAAATCCAAGTCACAGTCACACAATGGCGCGCAGCCGAGGATTTCGGCCTTCTTCAGACCAAGCCAGGCATCGAACAAGAAGCATGACCTGACGCGTCTTCCCGCCACCGCTCACGCGCCCATCGATTTGACTGCAGACGACGACGACGCACTGGAAGCCGAGCCGGCACCGAAGAAGAGAAGGGTGGAACGGGCACAGTCTCCAAAGTCACCAGAGCTCACTCATGTCCCACCACCTAGTCACTGGCGCTATGATCCTTCCAGTCCTTCGCGCGAGAAAGACGATTCTAGAACGAGCACTGCCGATCAGGACTCTCGCATGAAGCGGCACGAGAAGTTCAAGCGTGTCCTCCTTGGTGACGACCGTCTGAGATGGAAACAATGCGATAGTGTGGAAGCCAGCCCGGCGCAGACGGAACCTCCAGCAGACCCGGGCCAGTCCAGTGAACCAGATAACGAGGCTCAGGATTCTGACGAATCTGACGAGGCTTTCAAAGAACTCACCGAGCGCTTCTCTCACAAGCAGTCCAAAGGCAGTACCCGGAAGCCCACGAATGGTTCTGGAAGGTCAAAAGGTAAACAGAAATCGGTGGAGCTTGGCCCCTGCGGACAGCCATATACACCGTCTGAGAAGCAGGTGTGCAATTGTCTTTCTGGCGTGTAAGGCGGGAAGGTCGTAAACTTTCTTTAGGTTCTGAAACTTATCAAGGAGAACCCAGATACAGTTCTCATGATTGAGATTGGCTATAAGTTCTACTTTCACGAGAATAGTGCAAAGGTAACCCATCCAGTGCGCGAACTTAAAGGTCATCTCAATTCCCGTCCTCAAATTTCTAGATTGCTAGCAAGGAATTGGGCATTGTAGCTTATCCACGCCGAAATCTTCTCACTGCATCGATTCCAGTCCATCGGCGAGACGTGCACTTAAAGAAGTGAACTTCCGTCTTCAATCTTCCGCTGACAGTGCTCTCATACCCGCAATTAGGCTCCTTTCTCAGGGCCATAAAGTTGGCATTGTGGAGCAAGTTGAGACGGCGGCGCTCAAGAAAGTCAGCGACACGAGGAACGAACTTTTTGATCGGAAACTCACACATTTGTACACTGCTACAACGTAAGTCTGGCTCGTAAGCAAGTCGCCACGATAATCTCAAAGTCCCAGGTTTGTGGATGAACTAGAATCTGTCGATGATGCTAGCAAACATTACGCCCCCTCCCTCCTTTGTCTCGCGGAGAAATCCAGACAGCCAGGTGTCGATGACACTGTCACCATTAGCCTCATCACCATATGTCCGTCCACCGGGGACGTCGTCTGGGACGAATTTGATGGTGGGTTCGCATTGTGCTTTCTGAGTTGTGTCTCACTGGTCCTCCAGACTCTCTCATGCGTATCGAGCTTGAAGTGAGTTGGTACCCGCCGACGAAGCACACCGTTAATTGCCGTCTAGACGCGGCTGACTCACACGAGGCCAGCTGAATTATTGTTCCCTGACAAGGGGATGAGCAAACCGACAGGGAAGCTCCTGAAACACTTCACCGAGTACATACTCTGCTATTCGAAGTATCTTGATCTTGATACTAACTAACACATGTATAGGACCGCGCCATTCCAACAGAGGGTCAGAGTAGAGCGTTTCAAGGAGCTCATGTCTTACACTAACGCCTTCGACCTTGTTACGAACTTCTACTCCGAAGAAACGAAGCGAAACTCGACGGATGTGAATGCAGGTTTGGTCAGCCACCTATGGGAACGAGCTGACGCTCACTGGCGTCCATAGATGAGCTATTGGCTGTCATAGCGGACTTCCCGCCACAAGTCATTATAGCGTTAGCGCATGCGATCAAACATCTCTCGAAATTCAGCATAGCTGATGCTTTCCTCGGCGCGAAGTTCTTCTACAAGTTTACGACCAGAATGCACATGCTCCTCAACAGCAACACATTGACGAATCTGTAAGTATTTTCGCCTACATTGGTTTGATACGTTAACGGGTCTGTCTTAGGGAAATCTATCGAAATGAAACCGACTTGTCAGTGAAAGGGTCGCTAATGGAGATATTGGATAGGACCAACACCAAGTTCGGCGCAAGGTTGCTCAAGACTTGGGTTGGACGCCCACTGGTAGACAAAATGTAAGTTCATCGTACACATGTCTGACGAACTCTTAAACGTCGCTGCCAGAGCATTGCGGGATCGCATGGATGCTGTGGATGAGATTGTCAAAAGCCCTTCGGACAAGCTGGTATCAATAAGACAAGTACTTCGCAAGATGCCAGACCTGGCGAAAGGTCTTTGTCGTATTCAATACGGCACGGTGAGCGTTCTTCCTGTAGATCTATGTCCCATCCGACTGTTATTTACGTCTGATTCGACGTAGTGCACGCCACAAGAGATGGCAGTTCTGCTCAGGACCTTTAACAAGGTCGCCACCATGTTTGATCATCTTCCTGAGGAAGAGAACAAGGAGTTTGACTCGAAGCTTCTGAACGATATCTTAACTGTACTTCCAAAGCTGAAGGACTCGACAAACGTTTTGCTCGCCGCTGTTAATATGAAGGCTGCTGGTCAAGGCAAGAAAGATGAAATGTGGGCCGACCAAGACAAGTTTCCGGCGCTTTACGAGAACAAACTTGTGCGTTGGCATCCCTTAAGTTACAGCCTTTTCTTATCGCATATTAGATGATACAAACCGTGGAGTCAGAGCTGGCTGATGAGCTGAAGTCAAGTGGGTGATTAATTTTCCCTGTGGACCATGCTAATCCCTGAGTTAGTTCGCAAACTCCTGAAGAAGCCCTCTTTAGAATGGACATCGGTATCGGGAGAAGAAGTAAGTATGCCACAACCTCAAGCTGATTTCTATATTAATGAATGCAGTTTTTGGTGGAAATACGGAAGAGCGACAAAACGGAAGTACCTGCTAACTGGACAATTGTCTCAAGGTCAGACCCCATCTTTACCTGACATAGCCCCATGGATACTCATACTCATCCAATAGGACCAAGGTCTTCACGCGATACCACAGCCCGGAAGTGAGACGCAAAATCCAAGAGAGAGCTCGTTATCGAGAGACCTTAGAGGCTGAGGCACACAAAGCATTCAAGTCGTTCCTCGAAGAGATCATTCAAGACCACTATTCCATTCTCCGCCACACGGTCAACACCCTTGCCACTATAGATTGTCTCGTCAGTCTATCTCATGTCGCTCTGCGAGACGGCTACGTGCGGCCCGAGTTCTCGGAGGACGATACTCTGGAGATCGTTGAGGGCCGCCATCCCATGGTGGAGGCCCTCCGTACAGACCCTTTCGTGCCAAACGATGTCTACATGGGTGGAGACGCGGCGAGGAACAAGATCATCACTGGTCCCAACATGGGTGGCAAAAGTTCATCCGTGAGGATGGTTGCTCTCATCGCAATTATGGCCCAGATTGGGTCGTACGTGCCAGCCAAGAGTGTCAAATTGAGCATGTTAGACGGCATTTTGACGCGCATGGGAGGTATGTGAAACGGTTTCTCCTCTCACCTCTAGCCATGATCTTAACATGATTGAAATAGCGTCGGATGAGCTTGCCAGAGGCAGATCGACTTTTATGGTGGAAATGTCTGAGACTGGTGAGATTCTTCAGAGTGCCACCGACAAGAGTTTAGTCATTCTGGATGAGTTGGGTCGAGGCACTTCGACAACGGACGGTGTAAGTCCCGAGGTTGTACACTGATGCTGTGAATACTGACAGGGCTTCTCAGATGTCCATAGCAGACGCTGTGCTGCAACACCTCGTTCAGAAAGTTAGGTGCAAAACGCTTTTTATCACTCACTACCCCATGGTGGCCATGGACCTCGAACGGAAGTTCCCCGCGGAGATCGAGAATTTACACATGGGGTATATGGCGGAAAGTCGTATCGACGGTCGGACGGAAGTGACGTTCTTGTACCGCCTCACGCCTGGTATTGCCACAAACTCCTTTGGAGTTGAGTGCGCTCGCTTGGCTGGCCTCCCCGAAAAGGTGCTTGAAGTTGCAAGACAACAGTCGGATGCGTGCCGGGATAGGATTGAACGCTGCATGAGGCGCAACAAGTGCGTTCCACCCTCGGCTTTTGCATTTCTTTAACTAACACGCATCATAGCATTCGTACATGCGCAAAGCTCGTCAGTCAGTGTATGCAGAAGTCCGAGGTCTCAAAGACCGTCGCCATAGAGGAATTAATAACCAGAGCAGAGGAAATATAGAGCTACATTTATCTACTATGCTTAATTCTTTTGTTTTTTACGCTTGGGTTTCGGACTATTCACGACTTCACTATCGATTGTTTGGTCGACCTTCCGTTTTGCAGGCTTGCCCTCTTCACCATTCACCTGAGCCTTCTTAGCCTTCTTTGATGCCGCCGTCTCTGAAACTTTAGCAGTCTGCTGCATCTGCTTGCACATCGACAGCAAGTTCGTAGAAGTCTTGAAGCGCTCCGAGCTAGCAAGATTTTGGTGGAGTTCTTCCCATAAGCTCGGTTTCCATATTTTTGTACATTTCGAGCTGTCGACCTTGCGGGTTTGACGGATGGCCTGGAGTCCTAATTTCAGGATGTCCTTGATCTGGGCCGCGGTAAAGTCCTTGTCGCTCTTGCAGGCTGCCACTATAGTTTCATAGATAGTGTCTCGGAGAGCTGGCATGAAACTGAGGAACTGTTCCTTCTCGGCCACCTAATGACATAAGTGAGTGGCAAAGGGATTAGCAACTGTGGACCATAACATACCACATATTGCTGAGACAGCAGGGTCTGTAGAAGCTGGAAAGTCTGGCATTTTCGATACGCGTTTACCGCCTTCTCGATGCCACTCAAAAAAGTGCTTCTTGACTGCCAAGCCAGGGAAGCGAAGCGACGAATGTAATCTTGGAAGAAGTTGAAATTGAGACGAGAGGCCTTGCGAGAAGTGAAATCCAGGAGGGATTCTTGATAGAGATCGACGATCGCTTGCTCCTGTCCTCCGTTCTGGAGAACACGAGATATGTATAAGCTACACTGGCTCAGAACGGATAGCGCGTCCGAGCCGGGTACCCTACGGGCCCGCTCGTGAAGTTCTTTGAAGATGGTCGTGGTTTTCTCCGCATCGATGACTGATGGAACGTCTTTAGACTTTGCCAGATGTGACTTCAGCAACCCTGTGGCCTTGTCAGATAGTTGTCGTTCGTCTGAACCGCTTTTAGTCGCAAGCTCGACCAGAGGCAGGACAATGCGAATGTTGTGTGGACTGCTAGGGTTCTTCTTGATGAATGTGTCAACTAGGTCCAACACCCTGTTCTTGAAGTGAGTTGCTTCTCGTTGGAGGTCGACAGCTATACATATTCGAGTCAGTATCACCAGATGAGCGAGCATCATGGGGACCCTAACCTTTCCCAGCCTTCTTGTCGCCAGTTTGCGAGCGGAATATCTCGGCAAGGTGGCCGTCAATGGCCATCATCTGGTCATCATCCATAAGCTCTTCCTCAGATTCGTCCGAGTCGCCCTCTGCGGCTCCTATCCCATTGACCTTCAAAGCCTCTTCAATCTTTCTCCGAAGCTCTTGAGCAGCTTCATCATCGCTTCCTCCTTCGCTGTCGTCTTCATCTTCATCTTCGTCCTCATCACTAACATCAGATTCAGCCTCCTCATCACCCTCGTCTTCATCATCCATATCCTCGTCTACATCCTCGTCCTCGCCCTCATCGGCAGCAAGTTCTTGAGGGTCACGACGCTCAAGTTGCTACACACGTGAGTATAGTCGTAGTATTATTAACAATACTTAGCACTCACTTCAAGGATTAAGTCAATGGTACTTTCCTGGACCGCACCACATAGCGACGCAAAGACTTGGTTAGAGACGCTTCTGAAATAAGCGGTAGACTTCTCCAAGAAACCGATGAGAGTGTCTACGAGAACGTCAATGGGCTCAGGCTGGTTTTCGTCCTCGGCACCCTTTGACTTCCTGGTCTTCTTCTTTTTGGATTCGGGGAACATTCTTGATATTGCATCCAGACACGTCTGCCGAATAGTTCATAAACCGACGACATTAGAGATGGACAACAACGAATAGAGCAAGCGAGCGCACCTGAATGGTATCTGCCTGGGCTTCCTCATCCTCTGAGCAGTAGTGGTCCAGAAGAGAAGCCGACAACAGCAGCTCAGCACCTTTTGCAGTGTCGTCCTCGATCTATAGCATGGCATCAGCACTATAGCTCGAGTTTGCAGTATGGGAAAACAGGCCTTTTGTAACCTCTCTATGGCCTGGAAAGCCTTCTCCCGCAAATTTACGTCCTCCTCATCCACTTCTTGCAAAATGGTAGCATGCTTGCTGTCATTTTGCAGGGTCCGAACGGCACTGACGACTTTGGCAACCCAGAACTCGCCGTCAGACGCAACGCCTGTTCGCTTTTGAGCCTTGTCATCTATCCACAGGTCAACTTCTCAGCTCGTCAATCTGTATCATGACATCCTCACCTGTTTTGATCACAGTGACTTGGTTGGTCAGCTCCGCCAGACAGGTAAGCAAGCGTTGGCGACACGTCTGACGGAGTTCATCTGAAAAGGCAGGGGAAGGCAATGATTGAAGCTGCACTAATGTCAGCACCGTAGCAGCAGTGAAAGCGAGGGAACCGAGCTTACGGCCTTGACAGGACTATGCGACGTCTTCTTCTTGATAGCAAACAAACCATGAACAGTAAACCAGTCGAGCACCAGCTGGACCCAGTCGTCGCTTTTCGGTATAGCTCCATTGCGAATGAGGTTCGCAAACTGGTCACATATCCAGGCTCGTTTGGCGTTGACGACAGTGAAGTCCCTAATTGGACATGAACGACGCAACATATAACAACCAGGAAGACCACGAACTGCTCGTCTGGATCGTTCACTTGGGCAAGCAAGAAATCGATGTATTTCTGGATGCCATCGTTGTCCATGGAGGATAGGATAGACTCCACAGTCTTCGTCCGAGTCAGCTTGTCAAACTGGCGGTTGCCATTGACACCCGTTAGCTGAAGGATGAGCGACATCCCCATTGTTGGATTCTTTTGTACATAGGCCTGAATGTCTTTGGCCTAGTATATCTACAGTCAATGAGATTCTTGAGCCGAGTACAGCAAACCAACGCACGACATCGATGGCAATTTTGTGAAGGTGACGGTCATTATTTGAGAGATGATTTATCCACGTGCGCATGAAGTTGGTGGTGAACAGCATAGGAAGACCTTCTGGTTTGACCCTGGGAAGAGCTTTAGAGAACACTTGAAAGCCGGAATATTTACGCTCGGCGGAAGAGGTGGTGGAAAACAGAGATTCTGGTGGTGATCAACCAAACAGTTCAATAAAAAGGTCGGTTCTCTCACCATCCACGACAACTCTGAAGAATTCTTGTACAGACCCTTGAGGCTCTTGGTCATCTGAAGGTGGAAGAAGGCGATCCAGTATGACATTCCAAACAAAGTGAAGTTGTGGTTTCCACGCCCCAGCACTTGTAGCCTTCTCGCTTGAGTCATCGCCAGCTTCCTGTATACAGGTAGTCTAAGACCAGTCAACAGTAGAGGAAGAAAGTTGCGAACCTTGAGAACACGACCTAGTGCCACAAGGTTACTGGTTGAAAGCAAATCAGGATCCTTGAACTTGGGTGCAAGTCTCTTGTTCCAGCTGTATTGCGGGCGTGCAGACTGGAGCTTGAGAGTGACCGCGACCTTGTCAGGTGTCCAGTCCTGCTCTTCAAACACGGCTTGGATGATGTGATCCAGCGCATCCTCCTTCCACGAAAGGGATGAGGCTCTCAAGACATCGACTGTCAGCCCTAACGTCCACCATGCACTCTCCCTGAGCCAGGATTTCTTCTTTCCGAGGGCGACAAGGAGATCGACGACCTCCTTGCAGCTGTCCAGACTAGAGGCATGCGTAGTCGATGATGGTGATGATGGCAATAATGTGTCGCGCACGAGCAACCCAGACTGAATGACGGTTGTGAGACCAAAGAGTCGCGCAAAGAGGACGTCCCGCTCCTCCTGACCAGTCATTGATCCCTGTGTTTTAGACGCATCCACAATAAGTTTGACGATCTGTGAGCATGTCACAGTATCCAGCATGGATAATAGCTATAGGTTAAGTGGTAGGGATCAGCATTTAGGACCAGGTTTATCTTCATATGATGGCACACCTCGGTCAATGTAACAGCAAAACCCAATCTACTACTTTCACGAGGACTCGCCAAGCCGCGAATAAGCCTCCTTATCGAGTAAGTCACATCCTCTGCGTTTAAGGCATCGAGTTCATTGTTGTTCTGGACGTCTTCGCCGTCTTCATCTTCATCAGAGGCGTCCGACGGTGCCTTGGCGACGTGGGAAGCCTGGAACCGCTCTAGAGAGGAAACGAGCTTGACAGAGGCATCCAGACGATCCTTTTTGGAATTGGAGGACAGATCCCAGAAGAGAGGGAGCGTAGTGGACATTCTTACCCGTCTCCCAAGTCTTCTGCACACAAATTTTGGCCGAGGTATGACTTCCTAAATAGGGGATATTTACACTTGTTTAAAGTCGAAGCCTTTGGACAACAAATATAAACACTCGATTGGGTTTCGTGTTTTCAATGACCAATTGCGAAGCTGTGAAATCGCTGATACACATTAAACAGTGATATGCTAAGTATCAAGTACGTGTTTCCAGATACAAAGTAGTGACTCGGGGCATCCGTAGAAGACATTAAGAGCTGCTCAGATAGTTCCTATGAGTGGTCATGATATTCTATACGAAGTGAATCCAGTGGTCCTTAATTCCTTGTTGGCATTTCAGACAATCCGCACGGGGGCCCATCATGACACGGGGCCTGCGGGTTGAGCTCGTTAAAGAGGCAGTCAATGTACTTGGCGGGGTCTCCGCTGCAGAAGAGGAACGAAGCAAGTTCGGTGGAGTGGGTAACTGAGCAAAAGTCTCGGGTGTTTGGAAGCTTGTGGAGGATATAGAAGAGGAATCTTGTATTTGTTGGCTGTGAGTCATGTTCGGAACAATCTGGGAATCGGAAAGTGACCGTGACATGGGCTGCGGAAGAGGCGTAGATGCCGCTGAGTTAGCCGAAATAGCGGTGGCTTGTAGGGTTGAGTCAAAGGGGTGTATTGTCTGAGGATCTCGAGTAGGAGGGTGAGATGCCAGAATCTCAAACTGCGGGGGTATTGCTTGTTCCATGGGAGCATCTAGTGCCTGAGTAGTCGAGATAGGTGAGTATTGGTAATGGAGTGCTAATGGCCTGAGGAACCCGATACGAAGACAGGTTAACATACCATGGACATGGTACCTCCTTGATGAGTGCCATCATCACCGTCTATCGTCAAGCTACGCGCGCGGTGGACCCAGTCGTCCGAGACTTTGGCTGAAGCTAGGCGTTTCTGACGACATTGGTGTCAATAGTGCTAGGGTATGTGATGGAAGGTGATTTAGCACAAACGCACAGGCTGCCTCTCCGATATGTTCATATTATCGGGGGAGCGTGCCCGCTTAGTTGCCCTATGAGATGATGGGGAAGACATGGATGCATTATTTGGGAGGCGAAAGGAGCTTGAGGGGGATTTCATCTCGACCTCCATCATGGTGGTTAACCGTGGATAGGTGAGAAGGGGGAAAATGCGAATGCAATTATGTGGTAATTTTTTGAGCGTGAGCAGGTTTGTGCTGGGAAAGTGTCCTACAAGAGAAGGTACGCGGATGAAAGGAAAGATTCACGAGCAGCCGAATTTCAAGACGCGTCGCCTGGCTCACCGGCAAACTGACAATGAGCCGGTGACATCCTGTCACATACACCGCCACATAACTGTATGAGGCAAGCTTCCTCGGGGTCCTCCTTCCCTACGCGTTCCACTTTCTCCTACTGCACCGTATTTCTGTAGCACTCGACGCTTTATGCTTTGTGCCGAGTGTGGTCAACAGACGGAATGGGACGACTCAGTATGCTCGCGCATCTGCACCCATTGCGGCACACTCGTGGACGCTCAGCAGGCCCTGTTATCCCACGATGCCTTTGAGAACTCAACAAATACTTCAAGTCGCGCACCCCTCAAGAGCCTGCGGACAGGTTGGTCCCTCCACCAGGACAAAAGTACTCGTGATGCGCGCCATCTTGTAAGTCCTCCCTTATCATTCTCGCTCTACCTCGCTTGCATTGACGTAGATTGACTTGTCTAGCACGCACACAACACATTCATTGCCTCCATTCTCAATCGGCTCTCCCACCCAGGTCATGCAGCCCGCGCCCAAACCCTCTTCTCTCTTGCCATGGAGAAGACGGCGTCCAGATGGGGACGAAAAGCAAAGTTGTTAGCAGGTGCTTCCATCGCTATTGCACTCAGAGAGGCTCACACATCGACCCCATTACATGACCTCGCTCAGATGCTAGACGTCTCCCCGCCTTCTCTTTCGAGAACTTTATCTTCCCTTATCTCCACCCTCAACTTTACGCTTGACCCACTGGATCCTTCCGCCCACTTTCCTCTTCTCATATCCCACCTTCGGTTTCTACTTGAAGCCAACCCACCGCAGCTGCCTGCCGACCTGGTCAAGCGTCTCGCAGGCACAAATTGGATAGAAGTGAGTGCAACAGGATCAGCACTGGCCGCTCTTCCCGCTAGAATTGACCCTGATCATTCACTCTTGAGGCTTCCAACGCCTCCAACTGCATGCGCTCTATTGATACTAGCCCTCGAAGCGGAGGCGCGCACACCTATACCAAGTCTCGAGCCCCTTGAAGGTTCCCTGGCCTCTCGCTATGCCTTATCACAAGTCGTCGTCGGATCTCGCTATCGTGCGCTTTCTGACCTGATCTTGCTCGCGGCTGCACACGTACCGTGGCTTGACTCAGAGGACATACAGGAACCGACCTCGAAGAAACGGAAACGAGCTAAAGTACCCCGCAGACTGCGTATCGCACGCATCATCAAAGATACGCTTCAATTCCATGCATTGCCTCGAGAAGAACCGCACTTCGATATAGACTTGAACAAGTCGAATCAGTGCAGTCTAAGTGAAGACGACGAGACAGAGACCGAGCCTCCGCGCAAGAAACGGCGGAAGCCCGACCTAGATTCCTCAAAATCGTTTCTCCTCAATCCGCTTTCTTCTGATTTACCCCCTTCTCCGCCTTCGTCACCTCCACGTTCACCTACGCGGCCATACCGTCCACCCTCCGGCCTTCTCAGCGCCTGCACGCTGCTCTCCACATCGCCCACTCGCGCACCGACACGTTCCTCTGCACTCTTGCGTCTCCTTAACGCAGATGACGACGCAGAGGTCATACCAGATGACCTCCTTTTCGCGCCGGGTGAGCTAGATTCCGTGTTTCGCTCTCAAGCTGAGCAAGAGGCTCTGGCGCCTCTGTTCCGACTCGAGTGGGGTGAAGACGACCCCGAAAACAGGCATGACACTCGGGGTCCGGGCGCGACGAAAGGTGCGTCCAGGAAGGCAGGCGCTCAGCGGGAGAAGCCGGAGAAAGGACAAGGGTCCAGCAAGATCAACATGGACGCCTTCAACGAGCTCATGGCGACAAACTCTCATGACGATGATGATGATGACGGCAATGACGATATAGACTTTGATTGCCTAGATGATGATGCTGTGGCTCCTGGTGCACCACTCGATACTGGTCTAGAAGATGAAGAGGCCGACGAGTGGTCCAGCGGAGATCGTTGGCTGCCACCTTCCAATAATGTCCGCACACCGCCCCGAAATACTGCGCTGGCAACTACAGATGAAGAAGAGGTTCTGGAGGCTTGGCGTCCCCTCACGCCTTCTCCTACCCGAGGACGTAGCCGTGGTGGAGCGATGGGCTGGGGAAGCGGGGCCGCAGAAAGATACGATGAAGAGTACTGAGACTTGGCTTTTTAGAACATAGACGTACTATACTATACTCTACATATTGAAAGCATACTTTGCATAATCCTATTGCACTAGACCTTCGTGATCATGACGCCCTTCTTCGATTATTGGCAGTCGGAGATCAACGTTTTAACGACACTTGACTGCTGGTTTTGAGCCAACTCGTACTAGAGTCTGGAGTATAGAAGTTCAGGCATATCTCGCGAATAAACCTTCGCTGCGTGTACACTCTTTATCTGAAATGTACAGCGCTTAAAACAGCAAATGAGAGGACCAGGCGTCCATCGTCGCAATCTAAGCTTTCCGCATTCAACAATGCAACTGCGCATTTGCATCTCCCCCGAGGTTCATAAAGAATGGTGAACAGCAGATGCTTTGTGATTAACCGAAAGTCTAAATAGTCTATAGGTGCGGGTAAAACGAAATTCTCATATCAGAGCGAGAAATCTACTCTTGCACGATATCCTCTTTGCGCGGCTTCGACGGCGGCTTGGCCTGCTTGAGCTCGCGCCCCTGACCGATGATGTTCTGAGCCTCGCCGTCCACCTCGAGCTCGAGCCCTACAACCGCACACGTCAGCGACCCACGCCCTATCGCACTCGTAGCGAGAGTCAAAAAGAACGGTGCTCACCAAGACCCTCCTCCCGCACCAACCCGAGCACGTGCTCGAGCTCAACGAACCCGTCGTTGTCGACGTCGAGCTTCTTGATCACACTGCGCCCGACTTCCTCTTCGGGCCGGTGCTTGATGACCGCGAGCGCCTTCTCGAGGTCGGCGACGGAGATGCGCCCCTGCGCGTCGGCCGAGATCATCTGCAGCGAGGAGCCGACGCGCGCGTCGTACGCCTGCAGCTGCGCGTCGACCTTGTCCAGCATCTTGCGGATGCGCTGGGCGAGCGCGCTGTTCGGCGACTTGGAGTCCTGAGCCTGATTAACACAAACGAAGCACGTAGGTGAGATGGTGATCGTGGGATATGCAGGGCAGGGATACGCACCTCCTCGTCGGCGCTCATGTTCTCTTCCATCAACGCACGGAGCTCGTCGCGCTCCTTGAGCACGCTAGACTTGGCCGAGAGAATCGACATCGCCTCGGCAAGCTCCTTGAGCTGCTCCGTCGTCATGCGAGCCTTGGCCTCCTGCTCCTTGGGAGTGGCGGTCTCGGGATGCAGCTCCGAGTCAGGCAAGAGCGACTGGGCGGTGCGCGTCTCGAGCTCGTCGGCCTCGCGCTTCGCACGGCGGGTCGCCTCCTCGCGCTCCTCCTGCTCCTGCTCGTCCTCGATGAGCTCTTCCTGCTGCTGGAGAACGTCGAGCTTCTGTTTGTACGACGCGTTCTCGTCTACCTCGAGCTCAGCCTCGTTCAACTAGAGAGAAAACCGAAGATAGGTATAAGCGATTGAACTTCGGACAGAAAAGGAGCACGGACGAGGTTATCGGGCAAGCCGCTGAGCACAGCTTCAATGCTCTTCAGCATCGCATTCTTACCAGTCTCGTCCACTCCCGGCGTGCGATCAAAGTCAAACGCACGCCCGAGAACAAGCAGCACGCCCGACACACGGTTGTGCAAATGTAGATGGATCCACGTAGATAGCTCGTCCTTGAGCCTGTTGGGCGGGATGCCCCGCGTGCGGATACCACGGCTCTGGCACGCGGCCCTGAGCTCCGCCGCGTTCAGCTGGTCGACGCCCTCGGCAAAGATGGCCTGGTCGTCGCGCCTGAGGTTGCGCAGGCGCGTGCGGAGCGCGCCGCGGAGGAAGTTGTCTGTCCCGAACGCATTCACACCCATGTAGCGGCACATGGAGACGAGCTGGGGCCTGGAGAGGTTGTCGAGCGTGAGGTCGTCATCGAAGAGCTTCGCGACAGAGATGACGTCCGCGGGGGAGGGCGATTCGCCGGTGGAGCGGACTTTGCGGAAGAACTCCTTGAACGCGTCGGAGGACATGATGTGTGCGTTGGCTTTCAAGGGGGACTCGCGCAAGGTGGACTGGAGGAACTTGGCCATCTCGAGACGGACACGGAGTAACTTACGCTCTTTTTCTTCCTATAATGAGATGAGGGAGGGCGACTCGGGCTGTGCAAAGAGTAGACTGACCGCAGAGAACTTGTCCTCAAAGGTGGAAGGAAGCATATTGGGGAAGAGCTTGAGAGCGACAGGAAGCAGCAGCTCCATAAAGGGAACGACGATAAAGACGGCGAAAGGAACAAGTCGAAGGAGATCTTGGGTCGTGCGCCGGAGCTACAGAGGGACAGGTCGACTGGTCAGATGGAACAGAGTGGCTTGGCTGGGCCGACTAACCTGTCTGCTTTCTCTCCGTGTCAAGGCCTCACCGTGGAGAAGCTTCCACTGGAGACGAGAGGAGATTCGGACCTCGGAGACGAGAAGCTTGGTACCGTGCCAGTAGTGCTGGGCTTCATGCTTGACCTTTTTCCATACCCTTGAGATAAGTGGAGCGTCCGTTTTGGGGTCCTTTGGTGCGGGAGGAGTCGGCTTCGGTTCGGATGGAGCAGCAGCAGCAGAATGCGAAGACGCAGTAGAGGATTCGAAACGGGCGGAGGGGCGGAGAAGGGAAGAGGAGGGATAGGCGAGACTGAGAGGGAGGGGGAGTGGTCGTGCGAGGAGGAGAGGCAGCTGGCGACGGACTGCGGTGCTGTTTGTCCTAACGAGGATGCGGGCAGCTCTTGGGAGTGCGTTCTGCGATGTGCGGGGCAGCCATACCGACATCGAGGGGACTGTCACACCGAAATGTGTAGTGACTGCTAATAAATTTAAGTCCTAGTACTGGACGCGTCCGTCATCGGCGTTCGGCACGCAAAAGAATGAATGATTTATTTGACATTGTTTGTCATCTCTCTATTATCTTATCGCGTCATGCCCGACGCGTCCCTCTCAAAGGAGGAGCGCAAGGCCCGCAAGAGACACTTCAAGTCCACAAAGAACAGACCAGCACACATTGACGACACCTGGTCTCCCTTCCGTGCAGCAGAGAAAAAGTACAAGGCACGCTATCCACCACTTGACCTCTCAGACGTTCTCGATCTCTCTTCCGATGCCGAGGCCCACGACTACACATGGCACGGTCGACCAGATGCCGTACATGTCCACGACATCTCTACCACAGACACCAGAATCGTGACCGTGCCGAGTATACCGGGTTGGTGCCTTCCAATCTCTGGCCTTCGTCTCGCTAACGAAAATCCCCAGGCCTTGTAGTCCTACCATCCTTCCTCTCTCCCCAGAAGCAACGCGCTCTAGTCCGCTGGGCTCTTCGGGACCACGCCCGTCCACCAAACGAGACAAATCTCGACACCCACTACGTCCTCCCCTCCGATGGCCTATGGACCGCTCACCTATCCCCTTCACATCCCCTCATCGACCCGCGTCCCCCGCCCCCAGACGCGGAACCCACTCCTGCCGGTCCACGAACGCTCATAGCCAACACACCCGCCACAGTCACCAACGTCTCAGAGATCGCCGCTCTCCCAAAGCCTCCTACTGCGCCAGCGACCACTGCGTCCCCGGCTTCACCAGATGTGCTCTTACCCCGCCTGCGCTGGGCCAACATCGGCTGGTTCTACCATTGGGGAACCAAGCAGTATGACTTTACGCGGGGTAAAGTCGCCGTTGATCCTCGAATAAAACAAGTTTGCCGTCAAGCAGTTGCGTCCGTCGACTGGTCTGCTGTGTTTGGTGCAAGCACAATGGAGAACGATAAAGGCTGGGGCGACGATGACTGGCGACAGTGGGGCGATACGTACGGTGCGCAAGCCGTCTAACTCATAACGAGCAGTGAGCTGACATCTCTGCAGAACCAGACGCAGGCATCGTCAATTTCTATCAGACCAAGGTGCATTTCTCGTTTCCACTCTGTTAACTTCCTGTTCATGATATCCTAACAGGACACCCTCATGGCCCACGTGGACCGCTCCGAAGTATGCGCAACGTCGCCGCTCGTCTCAATCAGCATCGGAAATGCCGCCATCTTCCTCATAGGCGGGCAGACGCGCGACGAGCCCCCTGTACCGATCCTGCTGCACTCGGGCGACGTGGTCATGATGGCGGGCCCTTACTGCAGGCGTGCATACCACGGTGTGCCCCGCATCCTCGCCAACAGTCTTCCGCGACATCTTGTAGATGGACCATGTCCCCAGGATGGAAACATCGACGACGACGAGGTGGAGGAGGAGAACGACTGGGCTCCGTACGCTGCGTATTTACGAAACGCGAGGATCAATGTCAACGTGCGCCAAGTGTTTCCACGTGGATTCGACCCCTCGAAAGAAGACAACCATACCTGCTAATATCTAAGTCTTGGGATAACTTGCTGTATACATTGATCCTATGCAACTTCTTACCTCGGAAGTTCCTGTGAGATGCGTGACATGTACACACCTAGTAAAATGCTGGTCATTGGTTCAGTCTCATCGATGCCGAGGCAAAATAATGGGAATTGAAAATGCAAGAAACAGGACGTATAGATGCAGTGTTGATCGTGAGCGTCGTGAGTGAAAGCAGATATATGCACTGCAGCAGATCAGTAGAATAGGTGACAATAATAACCTCGTCAGTCTCGTTCCGATAATGAAGCCAATAAACTATAAACATCTGACAAAACGTCCTTTCCATCCCCACTCGATTTTGATTGCAGATCCCGCAGACTGACGCGTCGTCGTGCCGTGCCGCTCTCCCGGCCCGGAGAGGCACAAAAGGCCGTCTTCTCTCATTCAAGCGGCTGTCAGATAGATCATGAAACGGGGATCCCCGTCTGCACGCCCGAGGCTGTTGCGACGGGCGATGTGGGCGCGTCGACGGGGCTGCGCTCGCGGGTGGACGTGGCGCCGGCGCCGCCCTCGGCCTCGCTCTCCTCGACGATGTACCACTCGCCGTCGCCGTCGCGCTCCGAGTCCATTGCCCACCACCGGCTGGCCTGGAGGATGAGCACGCCGGTGAGGGCGACGCTGCAGGCGAGGTGGTACGAGGCGAGCTCGATCGTCGGTTTGCGTAGTGCTGCGGGGAATTCGGCTGTGGAGGAGGCTGGGAGGTGGGGGGAGATGAATTTGTCGTTCAGACCTGTGGTGGAGTGGGTTTTAGCTAGGGGTGCTAGATGGAGAGGGTGACGCACGTGGTACGACGGAGTAGAGGTAGACTATGACGGTCGTGCAATACAGGACTGGAAAGTTATGTCAGAGAAGGCAAGCAGAAGAAGAGTAAGTAACGAACATATGCTTCCGCCGTCAAACATGAGGTTGGGTGCCTCGCCATCACGAAGGCTCCAGAGAATGGTGGTGGCGCCGAGGACGACGACAGAGGAGAGGAAGTAGAAGAGGGGTGCTGGGCCTCTAATGAGAATAGCATAATAGCGAGCTGCTGTCCAGAGGTGCTCGTCCGTGATGGGTGTTTTCCAGAGTGTAAGGGAATCAGCTATCCAGTGGGTGAAGAGGCAGCCTACAGCAAGCTAGGTCAGGACGTGCATGGGTAAATGGCGAGAGACGTACCGAGAAGAAATGAGGTGACGCAGAAGACGACGCTGGCTCGGATGCCCATGTTGACCAAGTGCAAAATTGGACAATGGTGGGACGAGGATTTGAGTGACAAGAAGGATGGGGGACGTGTCTAAATTGACATTTGCCGAAACGTCAAAGCGCTCATATGTCCTTCTAAACTAGGAAAATGTGGAAATCACATTCGACTTGACTTGCTTCCTTTCCTTGCCTCATTGGCTCATCCACCATCGAAGCCATGTTCCGTCCCTCCTCTGCCTCATCCGTCGCCTCGGCTTTACGCACTGCATCTCGCGCCCCTCAGACGCGTCTAGCAGCCAACCTCGTTTTCCGAGGCCAACCCCGCCCCTCCAGACGCGCCCCCTTGTCCACCACCTCCGCCGAATCGTCCCCCACCCCATGGTTCATCGACCCCTCCCCTCCAAAACCCCGCCAACCAACACCCCACGCCGCCCAATCCGCCGCCGACCTCCCCGCTGACCTGCCCCACCCACTACGTGAGCTGCACGCCGCCCTCAGCGTCTCCCCGCACCTCGAGCCCGGCACCCTCTTCGTCGGCAGACCCACGCCCATCCCGTTCGGGCCCCCTCTGCCCCTCACCGAGCCCCAGGGACGCCGACGCCGCGGCGGCACGTACTCGGGCGAGGGGCTCCCTGACGACGGTGCCGGCATATGGAGCTGGATGGTCATGGCCGAGGTCAGGCATGGCACCGAGGGCCGCGGCGCCATCGAAGCTGTCGTGCGCACCGTGCGCAAAACGGTCTGTCCCTTGTCGTCGTTACAGCCGTGAGTTGCCCCTGCGTCGGGCTGACACTTGTTTCAGCTGCTTGGGTTGACACCTCCTGTACCCCTCCCGCCAAAGTCGAAACGGCGGATGAACAACGGCTGGGCCATGATCGACGCTGGCAACTTTATCGTGCATGTAGTCGGGAAAGATACCAAGGCAAAGTACTTTTCACATAACCAAGAGTGGTGAAACCATTTGTTCACGCTAGAGTATGTCTATCTTGATCCGCATTTGATAAATGCTCATTTGGTTCAGCTAGATCTATTTGTACTATACTTCTTCAAACTTAATACTGCAGCAGAGAATGTTAGCGTTGGCCAAGTAGGATCCCGTCCCTGCCTATTGAATGGGAATCAATCTGTAACTTGTCCAAAATTGCCGTTGCTAACCTTCTCTAATAGACATCATGCAACTGTTTACTCGCGGCTTCACCGTAGATCAGCCTTGACCAAGTATCTCGTGGCTGCAAAGAAAATCACTGCGAATTGCTGTTCCTTTGATCAATTCCTATTGACCGATGGTAATGACTACATGATGAATTACACTACATCTTTATCATACAGATAACTAACAGAAGTCTTTTGGCCATGCCGACGATTTACTTCTTGCCGAGACCGAGCGCATCCTTGCCCTGCTGCGTGGACGATTGGTCACCAGTCGCAACGCCGTATGCAAGGTTGGACACGCCATCGGCGAAATTCCAAGCCCGGTCCTTAATGCCAGGGGCAGTCGAGGTAGCATTGGCGTTGGCATTGGCCCAACCGTCGTCTATTGCAACGCTCGTTAGCTATCGACCCAGGTCATCAAAGCAGCTAGGGGTGTGTACTGACCTTTATTCGAGCTCTCGTTCAGCGGGTCGATGTTGGTCGACTCAATAATGCCTGGGCGGCCCTCGACGACGCCAGAGTTGGCAGCGAAGTTGCGCTGAGCCTGTTTGTGACCTTCGAAGTTGGATCCAGCACCAGCGCCCGTATCCTCAGTCGCGGGGTCGGTCACCTACAAACACGATAACGGGTACGGCGGTCAACATCCTCTGCAGGGTTATCACAACAGTCGTCGAATGCTCACAAAGTTGGTTTCGAGGGGATTTGAGTTGACAGAGTGAGTGGTGGGGTTGGCAACACCGGGGTGGACGTCGACGCCCATGTTGCTGCCGATGTTCTTGTCGTTGACGGACATGATGGTTTGATTGAGATGAGTTGGTTTAGATTATATGAAGTTTATGTGAGATGAAATTTTTGTGTGAGTTCAAAGGAGAGTGCGCTCCGACTGCAGTATATATGCGCGCTCAGGAGATGACGCAGGTCGGGACTGACGTCATGCGGGGAGCGCACCCCGCACTCCCGCTCCAGTCGTTGGGGTCATCAGCATCTGTCTCACTTAGAAAAATCCACAAGCCCAGGCTGTAGCTTATCACAAGTACCACTTCGGAGTTTCTGGTACTTGTCATTTGGAGACTTTCTGACGCTCTGACATCAAAATTTCCACTCTACGAGCACGCGTCAGTTGTCAGTTGATTGGCCTATCCGTGATTTCAGGTTCTCAGAACCGGAACCAAAATTCAGGATCTAATTGATCTCCAAGTCGGCCTTCTCATTATTCATGTCTAGTCTGAGAGACAGGTTTGCGGTACTGTGCATAATAAGGTAAAAGTGTACACTTCCAAGGTAGGTTGAAGCTCGCATAAAAGGCGACGACGATGCCCAGAGAAACAACATCGACAATAGTGAAATGATGGAAAAGGGTATATAGCAGATAAAAATTCACGGACGGTCCATTGCCTACGCAGAAACCAGAACTACTCGTCGCCGTCGGACTTGGTGAAATCTCGATTGCGGCGGAGCTTCTCGACGTAGATGAACGTGAAGACAATGAGATCAACCATGGTTTTATCCGGATCGGCCCCGTCTATACCATTGACCTTCGTCTCGATGGAGCTCGGAGCGGTCGCCTCAGCGTCGCCATTGTCAGTCGGTGTTGAGGATCGCAAGTCTGTTGGATCTGACCCCGCTTCAAGTTCAGGATCATACGAAGGTGGAAGGTCGATCTCGAGGTATCCGCGTTGCGAGTCGCGCTTCGAGTGGTACTCTGCAACGGGGCGGGGTGTGCCGCTTCTGTCATCATCGCGGTATAGCTGCGTGCAGTCCATAAGTTTCGACGGATAAGGGACACGGCTGATCGAGCTCACAACTGACGACGATCCCGTTTTCCAGCGGTACATATTTCCATCAGGCGCGGGGAACGTTCGCTCTCTGTAGGACAAGGCCATCACAGACGATCAGACCGTGACGGAAAACAGATTACAGATAACATGAGCTTTCAACACTTCTACAAGCACAGAAACAGGGGCACACACCTCTTCCAAAAGTCGCAGCTAGGGATGAACGTCGGCGAGTCACATTTACCACTGTCGAGTGCGCCAGCGACCGGTCCTCCCAGCCAAGCAAACTGGCACGGCCGTATGAAGTGCCACTCGATCTCGGCCATGGCCTCGAAGCCCATCCCGAAGAGCTCGTGCTCCGTTGGCACCTTCCGCCCAGGCAGGCCAGTCTGGGGGGAGACAGGGCTCTCTTTCAAGCTCGATAGAGATGTTCTGGTGCTCGTCTGAGATTCTCTGTCCACCAGGGGGCTCTGGGATGCTGGCGATCTCGGCGCCCGCGCCCTGTATATCCTCGAAGTGTCTGGCCGCTTGGGGTCGCCAGGGGTAATAACATGGTAGAGGACATGTCCGTCCTCATTTGAGATAGAGGCATGGGGAATTCGATCTGTGGAAAAAGTCAACTTCATCTTGTGGGTAGAAGGAGGCCTGGGGCGCAGGTGTTCGGGGATGTATGCGCGAGGTCAGCCCTATTTATGTAGATTGCACTGGACAAGGCGATGGTGGCATCTGTCCGCTTGGACCCTGACAATGGTGTCACGTCACTGTCAGGATTGTGTTTACCGATCCCGGACTCCACTAACATCAGGCCTAGCACGAAGCCCGGACCACGGTGATTTGTCGTGCTGAACGTTCTCCCCAGGATCTGTGCAAAGCGCGCGCCTAACTTACGCGCACAGCCTTTCCTCATACGACATCAGCGTGCACCTTAAGCTTACGAGGTTTCTGGAAAGCTTTGAACGCAAGTTTTAGGCTACAACAATAATCATTCGACAAGCTGTGATTGCATATGCGCTGCTGTGGCTTCAGGCAAAACAAAACAAAAACAAAAAGGAAACACAAAAACGCATGGACCTCTCAGATAGTGGCGTCCAGGTCATGTCGCTGGAAAGATATCTCCGGGTAGTACCGTGCTCGGACCGCCCTGCCACCAAAGAACCGGCCGTCCAGCTCACGGACCGTTTTCCACGCCCCGGAAGGACCAGCAAACAAGACGAAGACTCGCACAGCTTCATCTTCATTTGGAGGTGGCGGGTAGACTGCGTGCATGATAACACGCTCCACCGTACCGTTCTTTGAACATTCCGATCCTTCATAGAACGTAAGCATAGCTCTGGTGGGGGTGCTACTGACGCACATACCGATATCATCCCGGAGGTCGCCGTCCTCCACGTCGTCGATGCTGATCATGTTGGTGAGGACGACAACACGGCTTGGCTCCCCAAACCGAAGTCGGTCCTCCCTAGCACGAGGATCGTCGTTATCGTTTACAATTCGACCCTTTTGACCATGCACGCCTTGACCTCCTCCCTTCTTGCCGGACTTTCCGGACTGGACTTGTTCAACTGTGAGGGCGTTGACAATGCCGGCACCATCTGCGCCAAGACCTTGCCCTTCCTTGTGACCCCACTTCGCCATCAAGCGCGCAGCGAACCCGTGAGGATTAGGCCTGTAACATGTTAGTCAAAGGTGCACAATCAATCGATTACAGCTGCTGACCGCTTTGAGCTCTCGCCCTCGTTCTCGGCTTGAGACAAAGCAAGTTGGGATCCAGGGCCCGGCGAGATACCGCCGTGCATCGGTTGTCCTTGATTAACACCCAAAGCACCAAGGCGCGCGGCGATGCTAGCAGCGGCTTTTATTCTATCTTCAAGTCCCAAAGGAACTGCGACCGTGGATGGGCCTACAGAAGGTGGAGGCGGAACGGACGATGGCGGCGCGAAGGGATTATATGCAAGGGGAGGTGGTGAAGGAGCTCGAGCAGCCTCTGGCTGTGAGAGTGGCGCAACTTGCGACATCGCCAGGCGTCTTGCATATGCTTCGTCTCCTGTCTGAGCAAGATCATGGTACAGAGGAGCTATAGGAGGAACTAGCTCGCGATTGTCCAGGCCCAGGCCAGGGATGGCATCGTCGTCATCGTCGTTTGATTGGACTGGAGGCATAGCCGGGGGATAAGACCCGCTAGACATCGCCATGCGACGTTGGAAAACTTCTTCACCGGACATGTTGCGATCAATCACCGCGGAAGCTGGTGTATGAGAGCCAGACGACATAGCAAGGCGACGCTGATAGACTTCTTCTCCCGAGAAATTTCGGTCAACGGGTGCAGGAGGTGCATCCAGCCCTCTTGGTTGTTCTTCATCGTCGTAATACGGACGTGCCATGTCTTCATCGTACCTCCCTAGAGACATATTAGTAGGGAAGATAAGAGCGACAACAATACGAACCAGTTTTCCTAGGCCTTCCTTCATCGCTTTCCTCGTCAGTATATTCGCTCTCATCACCCTTCTCACGTGCTCTCTTCCTGTCAGCGGCTCGCTCTGCAGCCCTTTCTACACGCTCACGCTGCTTCCACATTTTGTATTCATTGTAATCGTTGGGATGAAGAGGGTCGTATGACTCCAGTGGATCCCAAACGTTAGCCAGTTGAAGGTTCTTGTTCTAAGATGATGTTATGAGCCGCCAATTATTGGGTCACCCGCACGACGCACTTTTTTGCTCTTCTTTCCTCCGCCACCGGCACCTCCTCTACGCTTTCTAGAGTTCTTGAAGCCATTGACATCCTCATCAAGAATCATGGATGGCGGCATCTTCTTGCCCCAGCCCTCTTTCTTCTGCCAACCGCCATCCTTATCCGCTGGTCCATCTTCGCCTTTCGGTTTGTCCGCTCCAGGCTCCGGAACAAGTTCTGGGGGTGCAAACACGACCGCTGTAGTCGAGATGTTGGCACCAGCAGGGATAGGGTTGGATGCAGCGGCGCCTGTAGGTGCGACAGCGGTGGCACCGATAGGTAGACGGATAGCAGCCGCTTTTGCCTTCGGGGGCGCGCGTCGGACGGGCGCGAAGGCAAGCGCGGCAGACCATCCTGTTGAGGCATCGAGGCAAGAAGCACAGATGAGGGTATGAGACGATGCGGTCAATACGGTGCTTCTAGCTGGCAATGCACAGGAATAGGGAGATACCAGCTGTGGCTTTCCCACTCGTTGCTCCCCCTGCTCCGCCCTGGGTTGGTTGCTCTGCTGTCGTTGTGCTGCCTACTCGAGCTACATTCTCCTCAGTAGGTTTGATGGAAGTGGCCTCGGGGCCAAGTGGACTGTCATGAGTGTTGTCATTCCCAGAAGGTTGAGGTGGGGCAGTTTTTGCTGTCGTGGATGGAGACGAGTAGTTAAGAGTATTTCCAGACGAAAACTGGATGCCTCCATAGAGGCCACCCGCTCTGCTTGACATGGTCGTGGTCAGAAAACGTGGGAACAGCGTTGATGACTATGCGCATCCCTATTTGGTACCCGCACCGGAGGCTTTACAACTAGGAGCCATCTCCCTGTACTTTATTGTGTTCACAGAATGTGAGTACATGATCAGACGTAGATTATAGACGCGTAATGAAGCTTTTATTGAAACACCACCAGTACACACAAATATAAATCTAATAAGTACGCTTAAACGGAGGAACAGACTTGCACTCATTCTCATCGAGGGTGGTGTGGATGACTTTCCGGTACGTGATGTCAACTTCAGGCGAGTTGACGTCTTGCTGGCGGGTCAGAGTGTGCTTCATCCAGGTCTCATCATCACGCTGGGATAAACGTGAGCTTGATATGATCAATGAATCAACAAGTGAACTGACCTCAGGGTAGTCTTCACGAGCATGAGCGCCACGAGACTCCTTGCGAGCAGCAGCGGCAGTGATAGTCTGGACAGCGCACTGGAGGAGGTTGCGTAGCTCAAGGGTCTCGACAAGATCACTAAAGAATATCAATGAGCGAATGCCCTTGTGATATATAACCCATAACTCACGAGTTCCAAATCATGCTGCGGTCCTTGATACCAACCTGGTCAAAGGACTTGTAGATCGACTGCACCTTCTGAACACCCTCATCAAGGACATCCTGTGTGCTGTGAGAACGAGTGAGATTTAGGAAAAAATCGGTGACAGCGCAAGTGTACAGACCGGAACACAGCGGCGTTAGACTGCATGGCCTTCTGCATGTCCAGACGGATCTCAGCGGTGGGCTTCGGGCCGTCCGAGTTCCTAATCTTGTCCAAGAACTTCACGCTATCGAGACCAGCCTCCTCTGGGATGGCCTTGTGAGGCTTGCCAGGCGTGTGAGTATCCTTGATATGATGAGCGCAGGCGCGACCGAACACGACAAGATCGAGTAGGGAGTTGGCTCCCAGGCGGTTGGCACCGTGAACGGAGACGCAAGCAGCCTCACCAGCGGCGTAGAGACCAGGGACGACCTTGTCGTTGCCATTCTATTTTTGATGTCAGAGTGCCGAGTGGGATGCAGCTTGATGCATATACGCACCTCGTCAGTAGTTAGAACCTCACCGGTGTACTTAGTAGGGATACCACCCACTATGACGAATAAGCTGGACATTCACATGATGATGAACGATGATAACTTACTATTGTAGTGAACAGTAGGCAGGACAGGGATAGGCTCCTTGGTGACATCGACACCGGAGAAGATAGCAGCAGTCTCAGAGATACCGGGCAACCTCTCGTGAAGGACTTCGGGAGGCAAGTGGCTGAGCTGGAGGTAGATGTGATCCTTCTCCGGTCCAACACCACGGCCCTCGCGAATTTCAATAGTCATGGAACGAGAGACGACGTCACGGGAAGCAAGATCCTTGGCCGTAGGCGCGTAACGCTCCATGAAGCGCTCACCCTCCGAGTTCAAGAGGTATCCACCCTCACCACGAGAACCTAAGAAGCACATAATAAGACAATATGTCAATGTAGCGCGTTGTAGTCTTACCTTCAGTAATAAGACAACCGGCACCATAGATACCAGTAGGGTGGAACTGAACGAACTCAAGATCCTGCAGGGGAAGGCCGGCGCGGGCAACCATGGCGTTACCATCACCAGAGCAGGTGTGCGCACTGGTGCAGCTGAAGTAGGTACGTCCGTAACCGCCAGTTGCTAGGACGGTCTTGTGAGCACGGAAGCGGTGAAGGGTACCGTCCTCCATGTTCATGGCAATCACACCAACACACTCGCCGTCTTGCATGATCAGGTCGAGGGCGAAATATTCAATGAAGAAGTTGGTGTTGTGACGGAGAGACTGGCCGTAAAGGGTGTGCAGAAGGGCATGACCAGTACGATCAGCAGCAGCTGCGCAGCGGTAGGCTTGACCACCCTTGCCGAACTTCAGGGATTGGCCACCAAAAGCGCGTTGGTAGATCTTGCCCTCTTTTGTTCGCGAGAAAGGAACGCCGTAATGCTCAAGCTGCGGAGATGATGAGAATTGCCTTGTTATCAGACTAATGAATCGTGCTCACCTCAATAACGGAGTGAGGAGCTTCACGACACATGTAATGAATGGCGTCCTGGTCACCTAGCCAGTCGGAACCTTTGACCTGAGAGTGATGTCAGATATGAGCAAACACACGGCACAATGAACAAGCCACTTACGGTATCGTACATGTGCCAACGCCAATCATCTTCAGTCATGTTCTATCGGGCGAATGAGAATGCAAAGACATTACATGTACATGGGATCACTTACACCAAGCGCAGCGTTGATACCGCCCTATACAAAGGAACATCAGACGCACGAAGTGGACTAAAGAGTGGACGAAGCATACCTGAGCAGCAACAGTGTGACTCCGAGTTGGGAAGAGCTTAGTGATACACGCGGTGTTGAAGCCTGCTTCAGCGAGACCAAACGCGGCTCTCAGGCCAGCACCTCCAGCGCCGCTATAGAAAGTTGAATAGGCGAATGCAAGTGGCAAGCACATAATACTTACATGACGATAGCATCGTATTCGTGCTCAATGAGAGGATACTTTCCGTTGGACCACGACTTTGGAGCAGGTTAGGAAGGCAAAGGAGCCGTGGCGCGGGTGAGCACTCACGCTGACTTCCTGGGCCTTGACGGGGTTAGTCGCGACGACTCTTCGAGCCGGTGCGGTGGACGAGAAGGCGCGTGTCGAGCGCAGGAGGTTCCTCGACGCCGCTTGGGCGAATGTCTTCCTGAGCATTTGCGAGGAGGACGTTGGAAAGGGGAAAGGAGAGGCTTAGAGCAAGAGTGGGATTCCGATGGCACACGAGAAACTTGGCGGACCATCACCGGCGCGTGATTTCCCTGCAGGACGCCGTATGACACCGGCCCTCCCTGCTTAGGTAAATTCCCTCCGTTCCGCCCATCGCCCGACCAACCTCCGACGAACCTGTCGATCTTATTCCTCCAATCGACGCACCGTGATTACCAATGCAAGAGATTATATATCCAACAGCTACATTCCAGGCAATCAAAGCAAGTAACAGGTATCAAGCAGCACAACACAACGCCCGACGACACCCGACGACTCTTCACCGCAGAACGCCCAGTGGATCCTGCTGAACTTCTAATCGAGACCTCGGAGATTGAGCGCCTCCAACAGTTTGTTTAGTCGGAGGTGGCCCATCGTCTGCGGAAGAACGCGGTGTTGTTTGGGCGGATAACTGTGATGCTATCCCTATTGCGCTGCCCCTTGAACGCGTATTCGCCGAAGACGCATCAGTGACGGACTGGAAGCGTGAGTGACTCCAGGTTGACATGGAATGGCCAGTCGCGTCGGGAGTCAAGAATGGCGAAGACGCTTCTGGAGGAGATAAGGGCGTACTAACCGGACTTTTGGTAGCGGAGGAGGTATTCATGAGCGGATCAGAAGGCAGTCGCTGGAAACCTCGATGTGGATGCGTCGTGGTAGTGGTTGTTTGCGGTCTCATCCCACTTCCCATACTCCTCGCGAAGGCGGTGGCCGTGAGTGGCGAGGATGGTTTGGCACGGGTAAACGATCGGGTCTCCTCCCCTGCCCTCTCCGCTCGTCTCTCTTCGCTGCCCCAAAGGCGTTGTTCATCGATCTCGGACACATCGCCACAAAGGACATCCCGGGCATAGCAAAGCGTAGCCATAGCCTCTTGTCGTTCTGTGGGTTGCTCGGTCTGATCGCCCGAAGAATCTCGACTGAGGATTTCAGCTACCCAGCGGAGAGATTCCCCAAGCTGCCTGTTTAGACTTCGAAGTTCTGTGACTTCTCTTTCTATCTCGAAGCGGCTACGAGACTCCCAAGAGGACCTTTGCTCAATCGGTCTTTCCTCTGATAGCGGATATGAAGTAAGATCTGCTGAAGGACTGCGACTCCACGAGTTCGCTAACTCAGGTAGATTGCGCTTATAGCAGAGTGTCATTGTACAAGCATTCAGCAAGACAAACATTGCTCACCTTGAGCTCAGACACCGCATGCAACACAGTCTTGTTTATTCCCAAGCTTTCTCCCCTATCCAGGAAGTTCCTAGCTATCATCTCCGGCAGGCCTAGCTGCTGTAACGAATATTGGCGAGACTGTTCGGATACATGCACAATAGGAGAACCCGGTGCGTGTGATTCAGAGGCAGAAGCTTGGTGTCCTCTATGCCTAGAACGGGGTCGAGGCGCAGGGCTCTCCGGGACTTCAACAGGAATACTGAGAATGCTCTGGTTTTCCATCGTCAAAGACGCAGCAGTTGCGGGCGAAGGCGAGATCTTGAGAGCCTCGGCTTGCTGCAAGAGAAGCGTGATATGGTGCGAGCCTTGCATACTGGATGGTAGGTGAGGGTAGCGCAAAAGGAACATCAACTGGGTGCTGTAATCTGATGAAATTACTGATAAAATGCACATGTTATTTGTAGCTTTAAACGGCAGAAAGTGTCATTGTGACCCACGTTTACTTCGTATTCGTATGAGCATGGCCACACAGACCCATTGAATGAGAGAGGATAAAGGTCGATCGCTGGTGAACAGTCCATCCCATAGCACCATAGCGTCAGGCATCGAGAACTCTCGCGTAAAGAGGAGTCTCAGCCATCGCCTACCAAAAAGGTCTGTGAGGGGAACGGATCAGTGCGGCGGATAAACATACAATCCATATATCTGAGGCTCAAGTCCTGAGCTCCGCATAGATCCATAGAGGACAGGGTCACAGGCCTTGAGCAGCGTCTCCTGGACGTTCTTACATGTTTTCACGACCGGCGTAACATGAGGTTCCAATTTTGACTGATCACGAGACGGGGGTGGTTCTCGCCATTCGTACCACTGGCCGACATCATTCATGATAGAGCTAAAGAGAGCCCATGAGTCTGCGGCTGCCCACTTTGCTGAACAGAGGTGGGATACAGGTTCGTCAGGTTGTTCTTCCATCGAGTCATAATCTGGGTGTCCAATGAGTGTGACGGGGCAGAACAGAAAGCGCGAGCTTAAGCTTACCTACTGCATAGTAAAGCGGTGCTAACAGCTCGTGCATCCCTTGACGATATCCTTTATCCGTATGAATGGCAGCATATAAAAACAAGATATTGGTGAGATGCTGCTGAACATCTGGGTCACGAAAGTAATCTATGTCCGGAAACCTGTTATGTACCTGAGTGATTGCCAGATCAGTAACGCCAGGTATGCTTACGTTCGCTCCACGTCCTGTTTGATGGTTTTCCGCAGCTCTACCGCTGCAAACCACTGATTCCATGGATTCTGTCGAAGACATGGAGTGAGACCTAATGCGAGAATAGCAAACCATACCTCATTGTCTAGGCTTAAGGGGTTGTTCTTCTGCAGGTTAACGTTAGATCTAGTTGACTGAGGGACTGTTACACCAGGGATGACAAAGCTCTCGTCAAATCCACCGTCGGGAGCCCGCATGTGCTCAAGTAGAAGATCGGAATACTCGGTACGAAGTTTGCGCAACATTTGTGTTGGCGGATTAGGACTACTGTCTATGGGCGATGAGAGGGGTGCATCTTGCAGTAAGAACAACTTTAAAGCAGTGAGACCCGGTAAGTTTCTTGATACCAGATGCGGCTTGCCTTCCAAACAATGCTGCGACCAGGGACACCAATCTCTCCTTCAGAAATCTTCAGAAGCCGTCTTCCCAGGACAGCGTCTCGTATCCTTGGTAAACTCTGTCCAGATGAGAACAGAGCATGATAAACATGCCTGAGCGAGTATAAGTATGTCAATGGTTCAAGGATTGAGGTCGCCGTTTGGGCACGACAGACTTAGTGGAGTCCTGAGATCTAGCAGCGTTACCGTTCATTTTGCTTGCCTGCCTAGAAGATCAACGCTGATTTCAAACAGCGCGTCGATGGACCTTGGTAAACCTTCGGTAGAGGATGGATAGAGCGTCAGATAGTGGAAGGTAAACAATGGTCAACTACGTCACACTCCCTTACTTGCGCCAAGCCGACACCCGCCCCAGGACAGTAATCGTCTCATCAATCTCATTTAACCCGGAGATAGATCCTAAGTGCTATATGTATACTATGACTGCGATGCTCACGCTCACGACGACCGAGTGTTTAGATGTTTGAAAGGGAAATGATCTTTCTAAGATGGATGTAAAATACAAATGCTAGAGTACGAAGTCGTTACTTTTGTAAGGTCAATGCGAGAAGACAATGCAATGCGTAAACGTGATAAAGCAGGCTACACGACTTAGTCAACCTCCTCCACGCTGGGCCCATCCTCGCCGCCAGCGCCGGGGAAGCCGCCAGGAGCAGCACCGCCGGCACCAGGAGGGAATCCACCTCCAGGACCGCCAGGGAAGCCGCCAGGGGCACCACCAGCAGCGCCATACAGCTTTTGCATGATGGGGTTGGCAATGGCTTCGAGTTCCTTCTGCTTGTCATCGTACTCCTCTTTGGAAGCCTCTTGCGAGTTGTCGAGCCAGGAGATTGTCTCGTTGACGGCAGTCTCAAGCTTGGCCTTGTCATCAGCCTCAAACTTGTCCTGCAACTTCTCGTCGGTGATCGAGTTGCGAAGGTTATACGAGTACGACTCGAGAGCGTTCTTCGACTGGATGCGAGCGGCGGCAGCTTCATCCTCAGCTAGACAATTAAAATCAGTAACATATAGCTAACGAGATGATACTAATATCTTACCCTTGTATTGCTCGGCCTCGTTGACCATGCGCTCGATCTCCTCCTTGGACAGACGACCCTTATCGTTGGTGATGGTGATACGGTTCGACTTGCCGGTGGTCTTGTCAGATGCAGAGACGTTGAGGATACCGTTGGCATCAATGTCGAAGGTGACCTCGACCTGAGGAACACCACGAGGAGCGGGGGGGATGCCAGAGAGCTCGAACTTGCCGAGCAGGTTGTTGTCCTTCGTGCGGGCACGCTCGCCCTCGTAGACCTGGATCAAGACGCCGGGTTGGTTGTCGGAGTAAGTCGAGAAAGTCTCGGACTTCTTGGTGGGGACAGTGGTGTTGCGCTTGATGAGAGCAGTCATAACACCGCCAGCAGTCTCAATACCAAGAGAAAGAGGAGCAACATCGAGAAGGAGAAGGTCCTGAGTCTTCTCAGAAGTGTCACCAGAGAGGATGGCAGCCTGGACCGCAGCACCGTACGCGACGGCCTCGTCGGGGTTGATGCTCTTGTTAGGCTCCTTGCCGTTGAAGAAGTCGGACACGAGCTTCACAATACGGGGAATACGAGTAGAACCACCAACGAGGACGATCTCATGGACGTTGCCCTTGTCAATCTTCGAGTCGCGGAGAACCTTCTCGACGGGCTCGAGGGTGCTGCGGAACAAGTCCTGGCACAGCTCCTCGAAGCGCGCACGAGTAAGGGACGTGTAGAAGTCAATACCCTCAAAGAGAGAGTCGATCTCGAGAGTGGTCTGGGTTGCAGACGAGAGCGTGCGCTTGGCACGTTCGCAAGCAGTGCGCAGACGACGGAGAGCACGAGGGTTGGAGGAAAGATCTAGAGAATAGCTAAGTAACTAGGGTAAACACGAAAGGAGGTGCAATTAGACACACCTTTCTTGTTCTTGCGCTTGAACTCCTGGACGAAGTGGTTGACGAGACGGTTGTCAAAATCCTCACCACCCAAGTGAGTGTCGCCGGCGGTGGCCTTAACTTCGAAGATACCCTCTTCAATGGTGAGAAGGGAAACATCAAAGGTTCCACCGCCGAGATCGAAGATGAGAACGTTGCGCTCGCCCGTAACCTTCTTGTCAAGACCGTAGGCGATGGCAGCGGCAGTAGGCTCGTTGATGATACGAAGTACATTCATACCAGCGATGGTGCCGGCATCCTTGGTTGCCTGACGCTGAGAGTCGTTGAAGTATGCCGGGACAGTAACGACCGCGTTATTGCAGTTGGCGCCGAGGTAGGATTCGGCGGTCTCCTTCATCTTCAAGAGGATCATGGAGGAAATTTCCTCAGGGGACTGTAAACCTGTGAGACGATTGCTCTTGATAGACATGATGGGACCAAACTTACAAACTCCTTGGTCTCACCGCGATACTCAATAGAGATGTAGGGCTTGCCACCCTTGTCGATGACCTTGAAGGGGAAGTGCTTGATGTCCGACTGGACCTCAGCATCGGCAAACTTGCGGCCAATGAGACGCTTGGCATCGAAGACACTACACGCCAATGTAAGATTTTGACAAGCAAGAAGTCAAGGTTAATAAAACTCACGTGTTGTGGGGGTTCATGGCGACCTGGTTCTTGGCGGCATCGCCAATGAGACGCTCGCTCTCCGAGAAGGAGACATAGGAAGGGGTAGTCCGGTTACCCTGGTCGTTGGCGATGATCTCGACACGATCGTTTTGCCAGACACCAACGCAACTGAAAAAACGATCATCAGTGGACTGATAAAGGGGCAGATCGGAAGCTCAGCGTACGAGTAGGTGGTGCCGAGATCGATACCGATGGCTTTAGAGGTCGACATTTTTAAGATGGAGTCGCGATGAGAGTGTGAGCGACGATGGAGAGAGAGAGGAAGATGGAGGAAATTGGATCAGTGGAGAGAATGATTTGAGGTGCCATTATCTTGTTCTTATACGACCTAATATTCTGCGTCATTCTAGCACCTTCTTTTACCTTTCTAGAGGCTTCCTTCCTCTGACGCACCCAGTTACGTAATATAACATACTATATCGAGAAACTCTCCTCGATTATCACTCGCTCGGGCATCTTCCGGGGGTTTCCGCCCTCTTCTCGCTGTTTGCATAAAGTTTATGCTTATTATTAACGGTTAAGCCCCTCGCCCTGGGTATCTAGTGCACAACGCAGCAAAAATAAGATGGGTCCGAGTTTACGTTCTAGGAGTAGGTATGTATGTTATCTGTGGTAATGAAAAAGGGAGAAAAGGCATACGTTTGCGGATTTATCGGGAAACTACACTCCAACGAAGAACAAACATAAGATATTGAATGACGGTGGAGGCGGAAGTAAGGACCGGCAGTACATGGGAGGTAGCACAGGGCAAGAACGGTCAAGAATACTAAGTGAAGAACAACAACTCCCATATAAGTGGGTAGATATTGGCAGCTAAGCCCCGTTCGTGTGGGGATTTGGTGCGACCGTGTCATCTAAACTACGATGCGCCTGAAGATCCCGGATAACGGTTGGATCAACTAAGTTAAGTCAGCCACCTTGTTTCAGGAAAGTGCGATCGAACATACCGGGCAGAACGCTCTTTCGTCGCACGTGGGGGCCTTGCCCAATTGGTGAATGTGGCTCACCTCCAATCTGTGCAAGGTTATCAGTTTACCTCCACATAATGGCAGCAGTGCAAGTACCTCAAGTCCAGGATCTGCCATAGGTACCCTCTCAATTCCACTGTCATCCAGGTCGACAGGAACCTCTCCGTCTATTGAGACGGCATTCAGTTCCATCGACAGGTCCATAATGTCCGAGTCGTCAGGCACAGGGGACGGTGGAGGAGGGTGCTCGATTTCTCTGTAACCCGTGGGTAGCTTGCCACTCGCATTCTGCACCGCTCTCTCTCGAACTTTCTGCCAGTGCTCGTAGCGCTCAACAGCATGCTGCTGTTCACTGCGCGTATACAGGTTAGTCATGTGAAAAATAGTACAGGCTGAGTACTTGCTCAATTTTGCGTTGCTTGTATTGTTGCATGACTTCATCGAACAACTCGGGGTTGATCGACATGAACAACTTGAGTGCATTGTATACCATCCCATGTATGGTTCTGTATACTGATAAGAGTGATCCGTAGGTTATGGTGAGGGGCACTCACCGGTTCCAATGAGCCCTCGAGTTATTATACAAAGCCGGAAAGACGATAGGTAGGACGACCGACAAGTTGTCTGTCATCAAGTTGACGACATACTCATTGTTCCAATACAACAGAGCACGCTCGGCAACTTGGAAATGCTGACTGTTAATGCAACGGCCTAGCTGTGTGAACAATTGGACTTGGATCTTCTGGAATTCCACCGGATCCGTGACGTCCAATACTTCTTCGACTTCGTTCAAGAACATAACCTCCTTAGACGAGTTGACCTTGGGCCAGTAGCGGAGCAGTCCGATCATAACATCCTCGGCTAGCAAGGGATCTTTCTCCAAGAACTGCACCACACAGTATGCAAGCTGGGGGTGGTATAACGATAGGCTCTTGACCTTGTGAAGCGGGATCAGAACACGAGTCAAGAACGTCTTATGTTCCTCCTTAAGCGGTAGAGCAAAACCATTGATGATAGAACCAAGGATCTCGAGCAGCTCCGCTACACCATTATGACGTTCGGTCTCATAGACGAACTGATAGAAGACATTGTTGATGGACCGGCGGATGAACGCACGGAGGTTGAGGAATTTGCCATAAATCCGATGAAGGGTAGTCTTCAAGAAGTCGCGCTCTCTTGGGTCCTCAGAATCGAAGAGCTCGAGAAGGCTCAAAACAAACTGTTGGTCAATGTACCGCTTAGCGATGTTGGTGTTGAAATCCGGACTCTCAACGAAACGGAGGAAGAACTCATAGACGATCTGAAGATGCGGCCAAGCCAGCTCCAGAACGGGCTCATCTTCCTCAGGATCGAATGCATCGCCTGTCGGATTCACTGGTGGGGGTATCGAACGGAAGAGGTTGATAGCAAACTAAATATATGGCCTTAACACTCGATGACCCGATATTCTACACTGAGCACGTACCATGTTGACAACTTCAGGGTATATATTCTCGGTAATCACTCCTCTCTGGGAGGTGATATAGTCGAGCATTTCATGAAGTGTAGCTGCCTTGACCTGCTTTCCCTTCATCTCGGCACTGGGATCATTGAAATCAAAGATCACACGGCACTGGTTGAGCTTCTTGATAAAAAGTTGGGATCGCTCGCTTGCGGGTGTGTCTAAGTAAACTGGTAAGCGATCCTCTATCTCTAAACCATGGAGATCATACCAGCAAACGGAGGCAGACGATCAATTTCAACCTTTTCGGTCACCACGAAGCGGCTGCTTCGCTGCTTGCGAGGAGGCTTGCCGACCATGGGAATGGTGTCGCGCGGTCCAGAGCCAGGCCTCAGGCGATTCAAGGCGTTGTTAGGACGGGGAGGCTGACCTGGCGCTCCACCGTCAGAGCCCCTACTAGCGCGGTCTGGGGACCTGCCAGAATCTGCAGAGCCAGGGTCAGGGTTGATGACAACGATAGGGGGGACTGGCGATGAGTTTCCCGAAGCATTGGATCGCCGGTCTGGGCTAGGGTTGGCAGTTGCTGGGGACGATGAGCGACCTGACGACGATGTTTGGTCGTAGGAATGGTTGGTCGATGCATTGTTTGACGATACTGGTTGAGGAAGCGGCTTGGAGGTGTTTGGGGGCGGCGGAGGCGGATTAGAGGAAGAAGAGGAGGAGGATTTGGACTCCTTGTTCTTTGATGAGGCCGAATCCCCAGACTTCCTGAGCTGCTGACGAAAAATGAGATTGATCGGTTCGGTTTGCTGAGGACGCAGAACGACTGACGGATAGTTTCTTGAGTCCCTTCATGTTTGGTGCAGAGCCTGTGTCTGCAGAGTACTCAGATGCGTGTCAGACGTGATGTGCAGATGGTTTCTGTTGAGGAATGGTTAGTGACGGATTTTGCTTGCAACCTGGCGGGATCGATGGCCGCCACCGGCTGGGTGAAGTCGTGACTGTTTGTCACACGTGACGTCTCCGGCTCTGAGAGTGGTTCAGAGTCCAGAATCTCCAAATTCTGCCGCCCTAAGATCTGGGGCTCTCAACTTGGTGGCGCCACTGGCAGGTTCCGCTCGGTACCGGGATGACCTTTTCCCCTTGCATCACAAGCATTAATTGATTTCATTGCACTTGCTCTGGTCAAGTAAAATGGACTCTCAATTGTCCATCGACAACTGCGAAGACACGTATGCAGTGACCGTCGCGGCGTCGCAGTGAGACAACTGATTCCATTTTCCGCGGCTGCATTGCCATATAAAGGACCCGAAGTAAAAGTCACGAGCCCCGTGTAACCCAGGCAGCATCAAGGCGAAAGCAACACCTTGCTTGTTTCCTTGTCCCTCTTTCCGTTCGTGCCCAGCGCTTCCTCCCACCCACTCCTTCCTGCGTACAATGGCCGGTATGACTCCCTGTCTGCAAACCTGGAAGTACTAGCTGACTAGCGATTTAGCCATCTACGCTGTGTATACTTCTCCTACACATCCTCCGATACCCAACCATCTCCCGACACTCATTGTCACCCCTCATGGTACGCTGGCATCTCTTTGTCCCCGCCCGCCTACCTCCCTTAACCTGCATTACCCAGGACAACCCTCCAATATCTTATACTCCTATCTCCACACCAACTTTGTGAGAAATCCTCTTCATCGACGTAACTTGGTCTAAGATCATACTAGAATTCAGAGAACTATCTCTTGACGCCTTCCCCGCAGGGGGATCTGTGCGTTGCTAAGCTATTCCCACCACGCCCGAACGGCGCTGGCAAGTCCACAGCATCTGATCCCGGTCATGCCTCGGGTTCCTCGGCCCGCGTTGTACGCTGCGAGGCCTCGCGTAACCTCAAGTGGTCGATTGCTAACACAGGGGTTATCTCGCCAATCTACAAGCTTTCGCTCCCCTCTCCCGACTCTGCCGACCTCCCGCTCTTTCAGATATCCAAACCCAACCCCAATGCGGCTTTCTGGAGCATGTTCTACTTCGCCTATGCTGGTCATAATATACCCCCTAAGAGAATTGAGTTCGGGAAGATACAGAAAAACCCTCCTGGGCCCAACGGTGGTGGAACGCGAATCAGTATTACGGGTAAGACGCCCGAGGAAAAGGCGGTATGGCAGACACTGGGCGAAGGTAACGAGGACTGCGTGGAATGGGTGGTATTGTGCGCAGCACTAAATTTACTCGAGTGCGTCCGGTTCCCGCACTACTTTTATTCTGATGCACAGTCCTGATAACGGGTTTCTATCTTTGTTCTTGTTACTCACATGCACAGCGATGAGATCATCAAAGCTGCCGAGAAGAATCCTCCGCCACCAGGCGCCATGCCAGCCGGCGCGCCCCCTGTACCAGCGGGAAGATCTGTCCCAGTTGCTCTTCATGACCCCGGTTCAGGCGCCCCACCAGGTGCAGGACGTCCAGGTCCTCAGCAGCCCCCGAGGGGGCCGCCGCATGGCCAACCTTCCCCCGGCCCAGGGCAAATGCCTGGTGGGCGTCCCCCCCAAGGTGTCCCTCCCGGACGCGGCCCCATGCCTCCTGGCGCACCCGGTGGTTTTCCTCCCCAAGGCTTTCCTCCTGGCGCAAGACCCATGGTAGTCCCTCAACGTGGTGGTCCACCTGGACAAGGTCCGCCTATGGGTCGCGGTGCGCCCTTCCCGCAACAAATACCACCTGGCCAGGCAATGCCAAGGCGTTTCTAGTCACTTATTGGTCTACCTCTTCTTCGCGGATTACTTGTTTGTACATGCTTTCGACTGCCCCACATGCATGAATTTCTAGTCATGCTCGTACCGTTGGGACTTTTCGTGTATATTTTCTCCAGACTCTGTATTTGTGGATTAGCTGCCTTTTCTGGGTAGTCGCAGCAGATTTCATTGGATTGCAATAACAGTTGTTGATGGCAGACTCGAGTTTCGAACGTCAGTTGATAGCATGCAACAGCCTGGTAACCGACTTACTACGCTAGAGGCTGGTGAACCTGGAAGTCTCATAGGAGATAGGATTGACTGATGATCTTGCTTTGAGTGAATATGTCTCGGGACCGTATGACAATATTAATGTCATTTAGGGACGATAGTATTGCATGCTTATGTCCACCATGAAATAAACTGAGAAAAAACGAAGTAAAAATCTAAGACATTATAACATGAATATCATTATCCCAATAATACGGCCAGTCCAGGTGTGCTCAGTCGTCCGCCCGTCGTAACCTATGATCTACACGGACGCTTAATCTTTCGAACAAACCTTTCATGTGGATAACATACCTCCGAAGAGCTCAAGAGCAACTAGCTCAGTTTTTGGCGAGCTTCTCCAAAGCGTCGATAGAGAACGCTAAGTCCGATGTTTGTGAACAAAAACCCAAGAGGTAGGAAGAATAATGCTTACACTTGGGACGCTCAATGGGAAGACCCAAAGCGCGGGCCCAGACGAGCTGGGTAGCAGCACCAAGAGCTAGAAGAACGCATTCAGCATAATGAACTTCGACATATTTTAAAGATTCCTTACCTCGGGAGATACCGAAGATAACCGTGTAGTACTTGAACTGGGTGAGGCCGTAGTGGTAAAGAACACAGCCAGAAGCAGCGTCAACGTTGGGGAACGGGTTCTTGGTCTAAAATCATCGCTTTAACGGGCGATCCCAACAAGAGATGTGAGTACTAACCTTGCCGTGCTCCTTGAGAACGTCGGGAGCGACCTCGGCGGTCTGTGCTTGTGTTAGAACAATGCACCAACAATATCCCGTTAAACCCTTACCTCGGCAACGAGCTTCACCATGGGACTGGCCATCAAGTCCTCATGACCCTTGCAGAACGCCTGCAGGGCGACGAAGCGAGGGTCTGGGTTACGAAGAACGCCGTGACCGTAGCTAAAAACCATTTAGTTGTAAGACTAGGCGCAATTGTTCAAACCATACCCAGGGACAACCTGGCCCTTGTTCAAGGTAGCCCAGAGGTACTTCTTGATGTCATCCTTGCTGAAGTTGTTGCCAACTTCGCTCAACATAGAAATCTGCCAGCGGAGCACCTCTTGGTTCGCGAGACTATAATGAAAAGATTAGGATAATATCATTAGCAAGGCTTACATCCACTCACCCGTGAAGAGGACCAGCCAGCGAGTAAAGGCCAGCAGCGTAGGAAATGAACGGATCAGCGAGGGTCGAACCAACGAGGTCTGGAGGCACGTTAGCATATATTAATACGCTTGTAAAGGATAATCACATACGAGCGGTGTGCGCAGAAGCATTACCACCCTCATGGTCAGCATGAAGAGCAATGTAGAGGCGGAGGTATTCGGTGAAGTTCTCGTTGTGGCCGAAGCCGAGCTGGTTGACGTAGTTGCCTGAAAGCATTCTGAGAACATTGCAGGGCAGACTTGCGGCTGATCACTCACCAACAAGATCCTTCGACTTATCGATGGCGGCAATGCTCTTCTTGGGTTGATAGATGTTACGATAAATACGAGCAGCAATGGTAGGGAGCTTGGCAACGAGGTTCATGCAGTCCTCATAAGCGTAGGTCCAGTACTCTGTCTTCTTGATACCGCGCTCGTAAGCGGACTGGAAGGCGCTGTCGTGGTTAAGAGCAGCGACACCCATACCGAGCTGGGTCATGGGGTGCAGAGTGTTCGGGAGCCTAGAGATACGTGAGCAAGATTCCTAATCAAACAGGAGGCAGGACGTACGAGTCAATGAGCTCCTCGACAAACTTGGGAAGCTCGGCGCGCTCCGCAAGCTCAAGCGAGAGCTGCTGAGTCTGTTCAGCGGTGGGGACTTGGCCAGTGAGCAAGAGCCAGAACATGCCCTCAGCGGTCATCTCCTTGCCACCAGGGGCGGGAGGAAGTGCTTTTTGTGCCTCGGGAATGGACATGCCGTGGAAGCGGATACCCTGTAGACGGTTAGTCTTGGCTATTTGCAGCAGCAAATGATCGAACCTCCATGGGGTCCAAGACAGAGGAATCCCAGAGCATGGCCTTGATACCGCGCATGCCACCAATGATGTTTTCGACCTGTGCTAGGACTTAAGCTACCCGTACACATGCTGCAAAAAAAAGGGGCTGCGTACCGTGACCTGACCAACAACGGTCTGCCCATGCTCGGCTTTCTGCAAGGACGTCAGCTGAAGGGCAACGTTTTTGTTGTAAACACCCACAAGTTTCTTAAGCTGTTCCTGCTTGGCGGGGACAATCTCTTGAATAGTCTCTTTTAAAGACTGAAGTTGGAAGCAATTGAGGACGAAAATAGTAAATGATCGAAGACAAGAACGCACCTTGGTGGAGGCGAGACGCCGCGTGTTGACAGAGGAGATGTTCCTCGAGACAGACTTCGCCAGGAAGCGGGAACGGCCAAACATCATGGATCTAGAAAGTGTAATAAGAAAGTGGGAGACAAGTCAACGTTAACGTTGTGAGGAATTGCCGTACCACGCAAAGATTTATATGCTCGGAGCAAACACGGTCTCGGGAAGAGCCGCCGTCGGCCTCTCCCACGCCGGAGCGCGTCTAGTCTGCCCCTGACGGCTTCAAACATGATATCAGAAGAGCGGTCTGTGCATTACGTTCATGCACCCCATATGCATCATGTTGACGTTGCACCTGAATCTTATGCAAGTGTCCGAATCCATAGAGGCACCCCATCACATACGACCTCATGACTTTCCCATCAAAGCTCAAACACCACAACATGACCTCAATGTTGCCTCAATTCGTGATCATGGCCCCTTTAGCCTGCGGCGATAACAGTTTGCGTTCGCCATTTCACCGTCTGAAGCGCTCGTGTATTTCCACGCAGGAAGGACTTTGAGTGGAGACCTGTGGTACTATGCTGACAATCATGCCGTTCTTCAAAGATGTCGCGGCCGGGTCTGGAACGGGGGCCGAAATATGAAACCTACCAAAACGCAAATCTGTGGCTCACGCACGCATGGTTGGAAGGATGCATTGTATCTCGGCTGACTCGTGATTATTATCTTCCGCGCTACTCGGGATTGGTGCTAGTAGTTGAGGCTTTACAGCGTACTGATTGACTTCTCGTGGACCGCCACAGTAGAGTCAGAAGGACTGTGGCCTTCCGCAAACTTTGATCACAACCTCACTGAGGATTCATTGAGACTACCAAGTCAACATGTCAACATCGGCCGAAAAGTAAGCGCTGCAAAATATGAACAAACAGTGACTTGACACGCCGACGCGGCGCTTCCGGGCAAAAGTTAGAGACACGTCGGCAGCGTGCAGTATTAGTGGCAGCATCACTTTCTCTCCGTGTCCCATGGCATCTGTTCTTGTCCCAGTTGTCTATATCGCCATTGTCCTTGGCAGCTTGCTCATTTTCAGTCGCATCTACCGGAAGCGGGCAGCAGGTGCGTTCATGGAACTCGTGCTACCGTTTCAACACGTACTAACATGAAAGCAGGCAGACGACTTGACCCGTACTTCCCTTCACATCCCGAACGCGATCTTTATGTCACTCTCCTTGGAAAATCAGATCCCCCCGCACATGATAGTCTTCTCAAGGCCGCCCTTGTCCGTCGGGCAATGACGGACGTTCAACGTGTCATGCGTCTTCGTGAAGACAAACCTGCGCTCCAGAACTTGTTGCAGAAAGGCTCAATTGGTGATGACCTCTGGAACAGTCTCTTGGCCGCAGAAAAAGAGCTTGAGGCAGAAGTCGTTGAGGTTGTATCGGAGGCAAACACTTTCGTAGAGGGATGGGGCCAAATTATCTTTCAGACGGCAAACGAGATGCTAGCCAACGAGAAGATGCGTGCCGTGTTTGAAGACACCGACACATGCAGACAACGAAAAGGTTTGCCTAATCACACCTTGCAAATAAGCTTGAAAGCTAACGCCGAAGCATCTGCAGAAGAGCAATACGGCAAAGTTGGTGCCAAAGTCGATATCCCTAAGCTCCAGCCTGTTATAATGCCTGGCCCACCTCCTCCCGGTGCGCCAGGTGCGCCAGGTGCACCGGGCCAGGGAATTCAGATTCCCCCAACGCTTCTTAACCCTTCGAAAGGCGCCCTAGCACCCAAGCCCTCTGACACCCCATCATTACCCCCCACTTCGGTAAGTTTTGAGCAATCCTACAGGTTGACGCTTGTGTTGACGATTGATGTAGCCCACCAAGGCCACGTAGACCTTAACATAGATTCGTCCCACCGTCACTTCTGGAAGCTTTCCTGTATTTATCATGTTGCGTGGTGGACAATTGAATAAGCCCGAGTCTCAGAAATAGTACAGTGCAAGAGATTAAAACGACGATACATCAAAACCAGTCCTCTGTCGATCCACGAAACCAAGCCTCAGCCCCTTATCACAATAGCCTTCTCTCCGGTACCTGCCCGGGCCTTGCCTGACTTATCTACGTGGTCCAACCCAAGCACGTCCTCCGGTGCAAACTTGTGATCATAGATTGTGTCATCTGTACAATCATTCGTAAGGTCGTGAAACAATACAATCTATCTCCTTACCATCTTCAATGTACGAGGGCTGCTTGAAGGTGGCCACTTGGATGAGCGCGAAACGGTATTTGGCAAAGTCTTTGTCAGAAACCCCTATTCGTTCTTGCAATCGCTTTTTGGTCTCGATGAACTTCTCGTTCTGTGTTGATAGTCAAGACAAGAAGGACCGACAGTAGAAATAAAGGCCTACGGGTTTCACCACAAAGCGGAAGGGTACGCCATGTGTCCGTGAGACCTCCTTCGAGAAGTGGAAGACGCTGATGATCTTGTCGGCTTCATCTGCTTCGAGCTCTTCTCGCGGAATTTCCTAGACGGAGTTAAGCATCTTTCTCCGTGTCCACAAACGTAGGACGGACCTCTGCGAAAAGTTCCACTGGCTCTGGGATGTTACCTATCATTTCGGAGTTCGTGAACTCCTTCTGCGTCTTTCCATCCTTCGAGACTTCGAACACTCGTATCTTGCCCGAACCACCTGGAGTGAGGGTGACGTGCTTAGCAAGTTGCTCAGAAAGCTCGTGGACCATGCTTGTCTTTGGCAGCAGGAATGGGTGAGTGGCCTCCTCTCGGTTGTGGACGCCCGTCCACACGATCTTGAGACTTCGTTTGGTTTCCAGCTCAACTATACTGACATCAAGCTTCTCATAAAGTATCACGGTAGTCGTTGGGCTGATATAACCCGGCACCATGATCTCCGCTATACTCTGGTTGAGCGACCGCTTTAGGATGGACTTTGGTGTGCCATTTGCGGCGTGAGTGGTTGTGAAGCGCAACATGACTGGGTCGTGCTTCAAGTATTCTCCAGCTTTGGTGGCCATCTAGCCTCGCCCCTCAGCACGAATTAATTTCAACGGATTGAACAAAGGAACAGACCTTCTCGTAGTTGTTCTTCTTACTTAGCACGAGATGGAACTCGGGGTGGTCGTGGTCGGGTTCATCATACTTGGGGCGGAAAATGATCAGGACGCGGTTCTGGAGGAAGTCATAAAACTGAATAGGGTTGGAGTACAAGCCCTGACTCTCGAGGTCTTGAGCCCTGTAAAATGAATGAATATATGTTCGCGGAAAATCAGTAGGCTTTCAATCCGTACTCTTTCTCTGACTGCTCGACCTGAAAGCATATGATGTCACCATCCTGAATCTCGCTTTGTGCAAATGTAGACTTCTGCTTCATCAGCTCGATCATTTGCGGCTTGATTTCCTGTACAGATTATCAGGCTACACGGTACGACGTATATTATTAGATTAGACTAACCTCGTATAGTTTGAGTGGCGTTCCAGGTGCCCACCTCATCCGTTCGTTGATCAAAGGGACAAGGTCCTGCACCTTGCTATTGCGCTGGACATACACCTTACCAACACCGTACAGAGTCTGTTTAGAAGCAACGAAGTGTTTGATGAAGATCATGATAGCGCCGGGTGGGGGGTCAGGCTAGGAGAATTAATGTTAATTGAGTACGTCGAATGTCGTGCTTTGAATTTTACCTTGGCGGGATCAGGAATGACATCCAAGTATAGTCTGAGATCATTTTGTCGAGCGGCCATGTTGTTCCGGATTAGCTCAACAGCTAACTGGATGTCAATGATGCATAATATACGACGACTAGATACACGTACTCAAGTTGGGCTCGTTCTCCGGTATCGGCGTATCTGGTCGGACTGTTTTGTTCTGGCGATTGACTAAGACCCATAATCTGATCTTGTTCTCGGGGTAGTTGAAATGGCTGGCGACGCGCGATTTGAATGTGCTATACGTCTCCTGTTTCAATACACGGAAACTGGGCAAGTCTGACGGGGACCAGTGCTTTTCATCAAAAGTAGCAAGGTCGAAGCCATCATGGTGAGAAAATGTCTCGTCGGTGATGACCTTGGCAGTCAAGAAAAGATGCTGCTCTTCTCGCTCCCTCTTCTTGGCTTCGACTTGGAGCCGTTCCTCATCCAGCCGACGCTCTGTGAATGACGATCAATAAGGTACGTATCACCCGCAATTGAGCACGTACTAAGATGCGGGGGAGTGTCTTCCTCTCGGAACGGCGCAAGCACTTCGTCAACCGCACTCTCGCGAACATAGACTAACATATACGCGTTGGTGAAGCGTTTCATGGCACGAACTTGATTCCGCTGCATCGGTGGTTGAATGCCGTTCAAGGCTTCACCGCCGTAATTCTCTTCAAGGACCTCGCGGTCGGTCACGGGAGTGACCCGGTCGTCATCGAACTTCAACCACCTTGTATCCCTGTCAGGTTTGATGAGGGCAAAGTAGTGGCCACCGTGAAGATCTCCAGAGTGCACTAGTACGCCATGTAGCTTGTAAACCCAACCCACAGACTTGTCGGCACTCTCATCCAAGAACTCGGCTAGGTCGATCTCGAAGGGAAACTCATGCCGATCGTTGATCTAACACCATAAATTTGCCCAATACCTCCAATATTGAGATAAGCACTCACCTTAACCATGGCGTCGCGCTGCACGTCGTACTCGAAACGCTTGAGCTGAAGATGGAGGACAGGAGGGAATGACTGAAATATGATGCCTTTCTTAGCATCTTGAAGGCCGAAGCCCTCGGCATGGTACTTGTTTTCCCCATCCAGAGTTTCTACAGCGACGTAGTCCTGGAATGACTCGTAGAGGTTCTTCATCCCCTTCACATTGAGTTGAATGTCTGAGAAAAGCTATAAGGCGAAGGCACGATATCAAGATGTAGGGCTCACCATTGAACTCCTCGATACGGGTAGAGACGTAGTCGACATTCACACACTTGATATAACTCTTCATCTTGCCCACGAACAATTTCGCTATAGCACCTTCAGCCACAGTCCCCTAACGTCAAGCGGATGTACTTGTTTAGCCACTACACAATGTGAATGGGTGAATGGTAGTACCTTCATCTTCGATTCTAACTTGTCTTGTAATACACGGTTAAACTCCTGGACGTCATGCTGCAGGAAAGAATCCAACGATTTCCATCCAAAAGATTTGGTCAACTCCGTGGTGCCTAGAAAAACACTATTATGAAGAAGCAGTCAGTTAATTAAGGGGACAACTTGCCAACTGGCTGATCTGAAGTCTGTAGGTGGTAAAACACGCGTTGAAGAGCTAAGGCTACACTTTCCGTAGGAAGTTCATCCTCTGTTGGGATTTGATACACAGCCTTCAAGTGACATGACGTCAGCATAGCTCCTGCAAGCGTTGTTCAACTTACCCTGCGGAAATAATTGGTACAAAAGAAGGACTGAAGAAGGGAGTTCATGTAGCACGTTGCGCCTTGGTTCTTCAGACCCACAAACCCAGTCTCCTTCTTCGAATCGTAGCTAGGAACGCTGTCAATTTGGCCGGTGTAAACACACGCGATCAGCACCTACTTGACAAAGTTGTGCCATAGGACGCCTGTGGGGTCCTCAAGTACACGTACATATACCGTAATTTCGGCGGACTCGTCCTCGACTGTCGGTCGTGTGTGGCCCTCTTGCACGCTAAACAGCTTGCGCAGCTCGGAGAAACGGGTAAAACCCCAATCACACTCTTCGGCAATGAATCTATGGTGGGCGTCTACAGCAGTGCGTAAGATTCGTGAGATGAATGACGTGGAGGCAAGTCAATGGCTTACGGCTGACGGTGTAAATGGTAGGATCGTGGATGTTAGATATAACAAGAGCAAATTGAGCACATGCATGCCAGCCTTCTGGCGATTTCTTGGGCTCGGCATAATCAAGATAGACAGAGACAGTATCGTTTGGAGGAGCATTGGAGTTGCCAAAGGGGAACAGTAATATGCGCCTGTAAATGCGTTGAACAGGCAGCAATGGCTAGCTGTGACTGTTGATCACGTACCACCTATGGCCACCACATTCGAACTCTGGACTGGTTAGCTTCTTCTCCAGCTTCTTCCACTGTGTCAGACGCCACGTATAGACCTTGAGGTCTTTGACATCGTGGCCAAGGTCTGGCATGTACTTCGCGGCGAATGCGTCATCTGTGTTGGAACGCGATGAACGGGTGTGAAGATAAGAGAACGAGGGGAACACTGACGATCCCGGACTGAGACTATCTCGTCTATGATCTCCATAGACGGGACGCCGTTGAGCTTTTCGTCAAGGATGTCCATGGGGTCGCTCTGGAATGAGGCGATGATATAAGTATCCGCAAAGTGCTGTCAGGAGACGGATGGGCCCGCACCATTCCACGATGAGCTATTCTGACAGTCAAACGGCGAAACTGATATCAACTAGTGCAGCGGTGTGTGGAGAAGAGGACTGCCAGGGAAAATGCGTCCCTCGCAAGATTAGCCCAGGAGTTGCTTGCTTCAGTCAGGACAAGACAAGCAAGACAGAGTCAATCGGTGGGAATCCCATTCCCTCATCGCTGACATAAGCACATTATTATTACTCACCCGCTGCTGCGTTAACTCCTTCCCTCCTCTTCCTTTCTCTCTAATCGGTCCGCATCAGAAAAGTTCCCGCTGCGTATGTTTGCCGTGTTAAGTATAGCTTGCAGCGGTTTAGTTTTTGAAACATCTGCTTCATCTACCTGACGATCCTTCCGTACTTGCACCCACTCCCCACACGATCCTTAAATTGTCTCGACAGGGCTCCTTCTGCTGCAGAAGTTGCCAAACAGCCTTTCCGCTGCCTACTGTCGGTAATGAGTCAAAATCGTGTAATAGCAGGTCGAATCAAGAGATTTCCTGTGGCAGTCCGTCTTGGGCTGTCATGGACTCGAATCTCTTCGTCGACGTCGCCGCATTAAACCACTATCTCGACGGTTCGTGCTCTCGTAGCTTGTCTTCGTACTGTCGTTCGGTGTACATCGGCATACATACCTATGCATTTACTGCCTTTTTTCTTTATTAGCTAGCAATAGACCTTGCTTTTATCTTCTCAACATACCGTAGCTCGGTGTCCTCACATCGTCAATAATCATTAATCACCGACGATGTCGATAAAACTTAGGATCTAGAGAACGTCGATACAATCTCTTGCATGCACGCGCATCATGATAGACACGATGAACTCAAGCCAGCTGGGATGAATGTGTTATTCTTAAGTCGAACTCGTGCTTTAGGAAGCAACCAACTAGTCCCAATCTCGTCAAAGGCCTTGCCCCCATTCTTATTTGCTTTTCAATGCTCATGTACTGGGGACTGAGCGCGACCGGCGAGCAGCTCCAGTCTCCCGCCCCAATAGGGTCCAGGCTTGTGCGTGAGAGGTGGACGGAACGAGAAGGAAGCCGTTCCCTTGGGCCGAATCAAGGTCTAGTACCCGCCTCATGTTGCCCAGGCGGTAACTCTACTCGTTTTGCCTTTCCATTTCGCGCCCGTGCTTTCGTTGTTGTCTCTTTGCTTTCTAGCTTTCGTTTCCATCGTATACTCACGTTTTCAGCTCACGAATCACATCCTCACCAACGTTGCCGACAACACTGCCCGGCACCACTTGAATGAAACCCAGCTTGTATGAGCACCCGCAGACGAGAAGACCACCGTTTAGGACCCTCCGTCGATCCGAGCAAAACATGGACTTCTTCAGACAGGCAGCAACCACGCCCCTCGGAATATGACGCTACTACCATCCACCGCAGGCAGAGGTCGCATACAACAGATGAATCCAAAGGGCCCTCCGCCCAGGACACGAGACAATATGAAACGAAGCCATCCCAGCACCATTCATCCCGCACGTACCGATCTGCGAAAGATTATCCCCAAGCATATACCGCTGTCCAACCAGTGTCATCTTCACACCCCGTAGCTGCGCCGAGTCGACCTGTTCAGCATGGCAGTCAGACCGTGCGTTACGCGTCGTCCAGCAATCCGTACGCCAGTCAGGGGCACACTACCTCCCAGGCCCAGTCCCATCCTCGTGCGTCTGCGTCTATCAACAATACGCAGTCTCGGTCCTCCAAAGCCCGCGCCGAAGTACATGATTCGACTATACGTAGCCATCGTCGAACCGGTACATCAACCGCACATCACACGCTGCCCGAGCAAAATGTCGCTGCCGACGAATTTGGGAGAACCATCCGAGTCAAGTCATCATCTCGAGCCACAGCTCAAGTTACCTCTCAAGCATTCTGGACTCCGCCCACAGAAGATGAGATAGCTTCGTCTCGCCGACGAAAGGAGAGAGACGGGGACCGAGAACGCGACAAAGATCATGAGAGGACGAAGGGGAAGTCAAAGGTCTCCAATCCACCAACTGAAAGAGACCACTCGAGGTCGGAACGCGATATGGAGAGAGGGAAACGAGAAGGCGAAGGCTCACGAGTACGGGACAGGGAGGACAGGCCGAAGGAACGCGATTGGGAGGAGCGCCTGCGGGAACGTGAACGAGGCATTAGTCGAAGCAAGCGATCCGTGCGACACGCAGTTTCCGACAACGAGGGCGGTGTTTTGCAAGATAACCAGAACACCTTGAAAGCATCTGCGACTAAGCCTAATCATGCGCCGTCGATAAGGGGTGCACCTTCGTCTAGCAGTCATAGGCGTCATCGAACAGAGGACGGAACAGCCGCTACTGCCACGGTATGAGTTTTAGTCGAGATCCTCTGCAGCTAGAGCTAACGCTTGACGTGCAGAACTACTACTCGCGCGAAAACGCTGCTCACTCAGCCTCGAATGCGCCCGTTACAGCTTCACAAGTTGCACCTCCTCTAAATAATACGCGAGAAGGCGAAGTGCCCCCTCCAGCACCCCGGTTTATGCCTGTCTATCTACCCGCGAAGTTGAAGAATGGCCAAAAGGTGCACCATGATAGGTATGTATCACAAGGAGGACAGTCCGGGAGTGAAACTGAACAGGCGTCCATCAAAGTAAGTGATATCCTCCCTGTCATTCACGAACGAAACTCATGGTCGTATAGCATCGTTCTGATAAGACACCGTCAAATCCAACTGGGTATCAATCTGATGGCTATGCTTCGGGGAATACTTCCGGCAAGGAAAAATCGCAGCGGCGGAATGAAACACAGCCTGGAAGTAGGAGCAAACGCGAGGTAAGATATGATTGACCTCCCAGAAAGCTTGACGTTAAGCCGTTGTTTAGTCCAAGTATGTACCAAAACCACAACAAGTGCCCATGTCACCGCCCCTCGTCACGCCTGGCTTCATGTCGGCTTTCCTTCCTTCTGACGGCATAACGGACAGGATGAAGGTGCCACAGCTTGTTAGTATTCGCGCAGGGGAGGGGCCCGCAGACTATCAATCTCACAGTGCACTTCATAAGCTCCAAGCAGCCTTACGACACGAACCACCGTCGGACTACGCGCCAAGGATACTTCCAACACCTGCTCCTACTGGCGCAGTGCGAGGTCAACGTCCTGAAGAAGCGATTCGAGGTCGTGCAGAGCTTCCATCATTTAGCAAGCTTCGGTCGGAATCAGTCAGACCAAGTGCTTCCAACCCACAGGCACCGGCGCCTGTGCGCCATAACACAGACTCGATCCCGTCTCGACCACAAGCTTATAGCGGTCCCAACTTATCGGGCCATACATTGGCTGGCAAAGCTCTGGAGCAACGCGATTCGTCTCCCCGTTCCGCTTCCAACGTGAACCATACTTATAATGTGTACCCTTCTAATGGCGTTCCTGAGCCTGTGATACCCTCAGCGAAGTATACTGATACCCAGAACCTGAATACCCAGCCTGCAAGGCCCCCGTCCCGTGTTGCACATGTGCCTTCCTTTTCTGCGACCCAACCCACCGATCAACACACACCACCAACTTCGACATTCCCTCAACCACATGCCTATGCAAATGGCTATCCTGACCTTTCACCGCATCAACCCAAGCGGACAAACTCTTACGAACCAAACACAAAAGATAATACCGCTCGATCAGGAAATCAATATGTTCCCCAACCTCTTATTTTTCAGTCATCCCGCTCAACTGGTCACTCGTCTCCCCATCAGCAAGGCAATACTTCAGCTAAGGCTTCTTTCCCTGTCGACGGAGGATCTTCTCGACAGACTAGTCCTCATAGCCTCGCTCAGCAACACCTATCCTCTCTGCACTCAACACCTTCGTATGGCACATCGGCTCGTCTGCCTCCGTCTATGTCTCGCAAGGACATGCAGCATACAAATCAGAGTGCCCCTCCGCCATCAGATCCCGACCATTGGTCTCCACACCAGACAGCCGCCGCCACCGACAATCAAAAGACTTCAACTACAAAGGCGCAGGAGGTTCCGATTCAGCCAACATGGGAAGTTCACGCGAAACATAAATTGCCCGGGTCTAATAAAGAGTCCGTTGTCGTGGGCTCCTTGAGCGTTACAAGCAATGTGCAGGAACATGCCACTGTGCCAGGGACTCACCCTCAGCTTCGAGAAATTCTTTCGAACCCGCCTAGCACTTCAGCGTCGCCCAAGAATTATGGTCAAGACGCTCGGTCAAGTCCCTATCAGCCCCCACCCACAGGAGCAGAATCGGTAATTCTCACAGTAAAACGTCTTCGTCATGATCCTGTTAACATGGAACAGCATCAGGCACCGCAAAACCTTCCTCAGATCTCTGTTACTACGGCGACTCCGGGAGCTGCGTCAAAGGATTTGCCACGGGAAACAAATACCTCGTTCTTGCTACCCTCAGTGCCACATATTCCAAGACCGTCAGCCAGGAATGAGTCACAAGGTCAATCAGGTGTATCCACACAAGGGTTAACGTCTCAGCCTATATCTCAGCCTACAATCTCCCAGTCTTCGAGATCTGATGAGAAGAACACTGCAGCCCAATCGACTGGATATCATGGAGGATCACCTTTCCCTCGGGTCAACTCAACATACCCCGATCCAAAAACTACGACCTCTGGGACTGAGGCTGCGCGTCAACGACATGACCGCAGAGGGTCAGAAGTGACTTCTGGCTCCCCTCCACAGGCGGTCAGCGCATCAAAAGCTACTCACAGACCCTCACAGACCCCCCAAGCTAGCCATCTTCTTACCGATATTATCGACGGTGCTAAAGCCAACCGTGCTAGGAAGTCATCCGGGATGAAGGCGTATGTGGAAGAGGTCACTGATGATGAGATGCCAAACTGCCCTCAGAACGCTTCTATCCCAAAACCCAATCCACCCGAGATACGCAATCCAGTGCAGGGTACACGCATTGACACTATGAGCCCACCGCCAACAGAAGCAGCGGCCTATGCTGCGTATATTACACAGGCGTTTGTTACTCAGAAGTCCTCGCTGGAAACACCTGCTCCGCCCACCTTTCGTCCGTCTACTTCTGGGCCTGCGAATGCTCTGGGGCAGGTGCCGCAATCTGCTCCAGCATCGCAGACTGCGTTCCACAGCTACTTGCCTCCCACTCACTCTCAATCTACCGTCCAGGATGCTCAGAAATCAACCACCATCAAAGGGCGCTCTGCTGAGCCGGTTGACCACAGCAAAGCACCAAACACATCCTCTCGGGCTCAGTCATCTAATGCTCAAGCTATAAACCCAGCGGCATACCATGCGACCCGCTCTGTTACTAGCCCACCAGCACTTACAAGTCGTTATGTACCCCAGCCGTCCTCTAAGCACGCTAACACATCTGACAAACCCAAGAAAACTAGCAGTCGTGCTGCCGCAGGAAATACTGTTGCATCCACTTCGATATCGAAATACAACACAAAAAGTCACCCAAATGGTACTACTCCCGAAGAAAGTGGTCGCCATACCAAATGCTCCATTACTAAAAGTCAAGCAGAACCCTTTGAACCTCTTGGCTCTGCACCACTACCTTGCACACGAACTAATGTATCACAAGGACACCCAACGTCTACTCGTCCTGGCATCTCAATGCAACAATCTTCGTATCCTTCTGCGTCCGCCCACCAACGTTCTGTATCCGTACCCATCGTTTCAACTATTCCTCCTAATCTTCCTCGTCCATCGTCGCCCATCAAACAGTCTCAAGTCACTTTCCCTTCTTCGTCGTCTAAGCCCGGGACTTCCTCCAAAGCTCAGGGAGCAAATCAGAGTACCTTACAGACACCTGCTATCGCCACCGATAGCAAACTACAAGTGCCTTCGCAGGTTTTTCGGACAACGTCGAATGAATCCGACCCTCTTCTTACGCCTTCCTCCATCTCGACGCCGACGCCTACCGCCGCTCAGCCTAGCACTCTGCAGCGAACGGTGTCAATGGAGTCGAAAGAGCCGAAGAAGCAGAGCTTCTTTGGCCTGTTCCGTTCTAGATCAAAGTCTCAAGACAAGAGAGCTGAGATGACTGCCCCTGCTGCAACCCATGCGCAGCCCGCTGCCCGTGCCACAGAGAAACTAAAGCCGGGGGCAACAGTCGTTCAAGACTCCAAGAAGGTCTCTGATCCAAAGCAGTCGCTTGACGTTCCAGAGTCCTCTCGTCGGTCCCATCCGCCACGGGAGCGGAAGGAGTCGTTTTCAAACGTGTTCTCCCCGTTCAAGTTCTTGAGCTCCAAGAAAGATCGCACCATGTCCTCCGCATCCTTAGAGGCCTTAGATGGGAACACCAATGCCGTGAGTTCCCCACGTTGCCCCACGATGCTCACCGCTGACGGCTAAATTACAGACCAACACTGTTATCGGCTCTCCGACACACTCTCAAGTAAGCCAGGTGCCCCCAATCACTCTTCCTCCGGCCCGCGACCCTATGGCAGCTACAAATGAATGGAGAGAACGCGAAGAGTACCAGCGCAGCCGTGGCCGTAAAGCAAACCGGGTCTTGAGACCAGGCGTGACTTTTGATGTTGCGGAAGATCCTGCTCCAAAGAAAGAGTCTAAGTCAGCCGAGAAGTCAGCCGAACGATCTTCGTCGAATGGCAAACCGAAGGGCTCAAAACTTGTGCGACGCAACACCGGCCGGGAGAAATCTCGCACAAGCTAGAGGAGCTTAGCATCTTTGAAATTATGGTTTTAATTCTGTTTCTTGGGATCAAGTATTGGTGCATATATGCATATGAAGCTTTATTTATGTATTGTATTTGATTTATCTACTTCATTATATCTCAGTAGAGTACTCGAGATTTACTGTATCATAGTCATCAGAGTATAGCCAGCCAGCTAGTTACATGTGTTCGTGCTATTCTACATGTTTTCGGGCCCTTTTGGCCAGACCTCTTGCCGACCTCTTAGTAACGTGACGCGTTATGAACGCGATGGTACGCGAGGGTACGCGTTTCGTCAATTTCATTTGGTGCGTGTTCGTCACGCGCAGACTGCATTTCTCTCAACCCGTCTCTACCATGTACAAAGGTGGACAACAACCCACCATCAAAGGTGCGCAACCAAAGAAGGAAGCAGATGTTGTCGTGCTTCAGGGTCCTTATCCCTATCGACTAAGCTTGTAAGCGAATCTCTATGTGCAACAAGAAATCTACTCACGTATAATCTAGCTACGATCGGCCACCATTGTACGACGTAACAATCGAGGACTTTGAGACATTTGCTCTAGACCGTTTGCGCATCCTTGCAGAGATTGAGGCTTCCTATGCTCGGAATCGGTCTTGGGATGAACTCAGGACAGTGACTGAAGCCCAGTGCAAGAAGTATGACCTCTGGCTCAGTAGCAACACAGCTCGTTCGCAATTCATAGATCTGGAGCGGAAGAAGGATCACCTCAGTCATTTCGTTCTGAGGCTTGCATTCTGCCGTTCGTATGTGCGCTTCTAGCTTATAGTTTAACACACTGATCGATATGACAGAGAGGAGCTTCGGCGGCGTTTCGTCAAAGCAGAGACCACACTCTTTCGGGTGCGATATGAGAAAGATGACACGAAGGAGCTCACGCAGTTCCTCTCGTCTCAGGACTTTGGTTGGGAGAAGGTGGTCAACGTTCCCTCATCCAAGCCTCGTAGCTGATGGTAATGCAGGTGGACCCACCAGAGAAAGCCACATACGAGAGTGAACTCCGTGCTCTACTTCCAAACGTGGGCGACAAAGAGTTTAAGGACATCGTGTTCTACAAGGTTGGTTTATCCCCTGTGGCCCTTGGGAAGGTCGTTGATGAATATCGAGCAGGTCAAATGGACGAGGGTTCCCGACCTAGTTGCAAAGAGGAGGGTGTTTTTGCGGCGAGGCCAAGCTTTTGTCCCTACCACATTGCAAGCAAGCATTGTTTTCCATGCCTTCGAAACCCAGCTCGAGAAGGCTCTAGAGGTTCGTCGTCTGCTTACTCCTAGTTTATCTACTAACCTCTGTATGAAGCGCACAGCGAAGGGATTGCCGCGTCTAGATGAGGATACACGCATTGTACCTATTCTCAACAACCTCTCGCAAGGCTTTCTGGCAGGAGTGCCATCTGAGTGGACCAACGCAACACCAACAATGGATGGCGAGTTACGTGCTGAGATGGTGGATGGCCTCGCCAAGAAGCACTTCCCTATGTGCATGCGTAACTTGCATGAGTCGCTCATGAGGGATCACCACCTAAAGCACTTCGGAAGACTTCAATATGGTCTCTTTTTAAAGGTATGCGACTCAGTAACAAATAAAATGACTGTCGTACTGACTTGAGTGCCAGGTGCTAGGTCTTTCAATAGAAGAAGCTGTCGCATTTTGGCGCAAGTCGTTCAGTAGCATCACAGACGACAAGTTCAACAAAGAGTATAAGTATAATATCCGCCACTCGTATGGATTAGAGGGTAAACGAGCCAACTATCCCGCAAAGAGGTGGGTCATGCACCTTCCTTCACTGAGCCGCACATCAAATGTGTCTTTTACACAGCTGTCAGCAAATTCTCCTTTCAGACCAACCCGGCCCTTCAGATTGTCACGGATGCCCCTACCGTCACTTTGCCCCCGATAACCTGCAAACGAGCTTGTTGACTTACTACTCGAACCAAGGCCTGACCTCTAGTAACCTTCCGGAGATCATGAAGACTGTGAAGGAGGGCCACTACCACGTCGCATGCACGCGTGTCTTCGAGATCACTCACACGTCGAAAGGAGTAGAGAAGGGTCAAGGAATTGGAAGTGGGGAGAGTGTGACGCATCCTAATCAGTATGCAGCAAGAAGCAGGGAGTTGGAGAAGCCACAGGAAGGTGGCACCAGCAGCGACACTGCTATGGTTGTCGGCTGAGCTGATCAACATCGTCCGTCGCCGTTGTTTTCTATCTCTGTAACACATATTGCTATGTATCTTACCTTCTGCTCCTTGAGACTGTTCCGTTTGGGTCACGTTGGATGTACCAGGGGTGCCAGAGGTCATCCCGGCATTACGTAATGGGTGCCCGAGGGGCCAGAACCTTGGTTGAGGAAGCCGGCGCCAACGGACACCAACGCCGACGTCGTACGCACCTCCCCCTTCTCTCCCTACCACCCATCATAAAAACTAAAAACATGGGTCGAGGAAAGGCCGCCGATGCTAATGGCGCGAATACCACGACAGCTGATGAAGCTGTCCTTTTACAATACGCGAACGCCGATGGGCACTTCTCCCTCGTCCGGTATGATTGCATTTTGGCCAACGGCGACGACAAAACTGACATCTATTTTCATGGATAGCAACTTTCGCCTGGCTGATTTAATCACCATCATGAATGGCGTCTGCGGTTCCCTGTCCATTTTCAGTTCTGGGCACTACCTCCTCACCAAGGATGAGGACTACCTTTGGCTGGCACTCACCCTTCCTCTGGCCGGCCTCATGTTTGACTTTATGGATGGAAAAGTGGCAAGGTGGAGAAAGTCGTCGAGCATGGTGGGACAGGAACTGGACAGTCTTGCGGACCTTGTACGTTGGCTGGAAATACCTCCCAAAATTGTTCTCTAAACCGTCTACTGCAGATCTCTTTTGGTGTGGCTCCGATGGTTCTCGCGTTTGCCGTTGGCTTCCGGACCTACCTTGACACCGTGTGTCTGACTGGCTTCATCTGCTGTGGTCTTGCTCGCCTCGCTCGCTTCAACGTTACTGCGGCCCTCGTGCCCAAGGATTCGTCTGGGAAGGCTCGCTACTTCGAGGGTCTCCCTATCCCATCTTCCCTTGCCCTTGTTGGTGTGCTCGCTTATTGGACGCGCCAAGGTTGGATTGCAGACAAAAGTGGTATCCCGGGCGGTTTGATGACGCTCTGGGGAGAGTCTGGTGGCCGAGGAGATATTCACCCCGTTAGCTTTGTCCTTGCTCTTTGGGCTGCTGCCATGGTGAGCAAGACCTTACGGGTCCCCAAGCCGTAGAGTTGCGTATGCAGCACCATTATTGACGATATATGACGGACCTTTGACAAATTTACGATTCACGATTGTCTGATTAGCCATCTGGGTATCTAGGGCAGCTAGGGTACAATATGGAAGACCTCTCGATAATTACGCCAATTTATGACGTATTGATGACCTTGTCCTACTTGTATAATAACGACTAGTAGTCGTGTGAATGTGCTGTCACGGTGAGACGCGTCGCGTCTCGTCCTCTCAATCAAGACGCGTCTTGGATTGTCACGTCCACCTCCACTTGACCCTCCATTCATCCAGTACTAATCATGGCTCACGTTTCATCAAATGATGTGCAGCGCCTCTTTTTGCAGGCAATCCTATCTCGAGGAATATTATCGTACGCTCATGCGCAAGCACTACGCGAAAAATGCGTGGCCTCAGTCCTGGGTGAATCCTATCCTCCGCTATGGTACCGACCAATATTGACCTTTAGCTGTGCTCAGCCGCCGATGACTCCCTTGATATCGAGTATCAAGATGGAAGGCCTGCTTGGGAGGCGTTTGTCACAAACATCAATCAGGCACTCGACTGTCTTGACTTGGACTTCCGCCAGCTGAGCGATGAGCAGACAGGTAGAGAGATGTACGGCCTCGTAAGTGGCACAACTTACTTTGCGGAAACTTCACTTCATTGTACCTAGGTGAACCGAAAAGGCGACGAGATCGCTCAGATGGCAACAGACTACACGCCCGCCGAAATCACATTCTTCAAAGCGATAGTAAGATTGTCTCCAGCTGTTTCTCATGCCTTCATGCCTTCCATCTGAACGGTTTTATAACAGGTAGAACAAATTATGCTGAGCCCTCGGCACGCCTACTCGATCTCATCGTTAGCCGCTCTACGCGAAGTTAGCCACTTCAAAAGCAACATGACCAAAACTCAGGCCGAGATCGTTCTCGGCAGTTTTGTCGCCAGAGGGTGGCTCGTGAAAAGCGCGTAAGTCACTCTAATCATAAACCGCATGCAAACAAACTCACTGTCCCTTCAGGAGAGGGCGTTACTCGCTGTCCACTCGGACTTTGCTGGAGCTGGGACCCTACTTGAAGTCAACTTACCCTGATGAACACCTTGAGTGTAACATATGTTTTGAAGTAAGCACTAGCGCCGAGTCAAGCACAGCAGTCTGGTTGAACGCCTTCTCATGACAGATGATTACCCGGGGCGTTGCCTGCTACACCCCGAACTGCCAGACCCGAATCCATTATCACTGCTTCCAGAGGCACCGAAGGCGCAGCAGTAAATGCCCCAGCTGCAGCGCCGACTGGCCTCAAGAACAAGGAAAGCCACTTCACGCCGTCGGCGAAGATGCAGTCAAAGAAGGACAGGAAGAAGGTCGGCAAGTGAGAAGGCGGGACACCGAAGAGGCGGAAAGTGGGGATGATGAACAGCTTGAGGAGCCAACTTACATGGAAGACGACGAGCAGACGCCATCGCAGTCCCAAGGAACGCAGAGAAGGCCCGGAGGCGGGTCGATGTCTATGGACGGAGCAGAGGATGAGGCAGGTCCATCCACACAAACCCAACGGAGAGCATCGCGCCGTTCTGGCCGTCATTAACCATGCTATGTCATCTCGTCCCATTCGTGTTACAGTATTCACCAAAACTGTGTAGTCTGCTTAGTCTATAGCAAGTTATTCATGAGATTATTCAGAGGGAGGCGCAACCCGTCCCTCCTCGTGCGTAATGTCTATCTGTTCGTTGAACCCGAACTTCCCTCTACCCCACACCTGCTGCTTGCGTCCCTTTCTACCCTGTCCGAACTCCTCGTTCCACTTCCTCAAGTCGGCGAGACTACCCAGCGCCTCCGAAGATGATGGTGTAATCTCTTTCAAGGCTTTCTCGAAGTGTTTTAGAAGCAATACACGGGGTTGAGAGCCCGAGGACTGTTCCGATGTGGTTTGCTCTTTCGAGGGGCCTTGGCTCTCTGCTTGCGAAGCCGGCTCCCCAGGTGCCACTTTAAGCGCCTGAGGCGCACCCTTCTCTAAAGGAGCGTCTGACGAGGAAGGAGTCGGCTGGACACTCCAGGGAACGGTAACATCTTCCTTGACCGCATCAAGAGCTGCAGAAACACAAAGATCTACAACATCGTTAGTTTAAATACCGTCAATGCACAAACCGAGTAAACTCACGTTTCAGGTCGGATCCTGAGAAACTCTCCGTCCGTTTAGCCAAGGCGTTCATATCAACGCCTACATCGAGAGTCTCGTCACGAAGAAGAATCCGGAGAATTTCTAGCCAAGCGGATCAGTCTTGCAGTGATTCGTTGAGTAACTAACACGGACCTTCACGCTCCTTCTCGCCTGGCAAGTCAACCAGCAGTCTCCGAGGAAGACGACGAAGAACGGCATCGTCTAGGTCAAAGGGCCTGTTCGTGGCTCCAATTACAACTACACGGTCCTCCTTGGAGGTCTTCAGCCCATCCATCTCTTGCATGAACTCCGTGATGACGCCGCGGTGTGCGAAGGCACCTCCGCTTTCCCTCGCGGATGCACGAGCTCCGAAGAGAGCATCGATCTCGTCCAGGAAAACAACGCAAGGGGATAACCGCCTAGCGAGCGAGAACACGGCACGAACAAGCTTTTCGCCTTCGCCAACGTACTATCGTGCATGGTCAGACCAGCCATCTAAGCCACATTGATGGAACGTACCATGTCCATAACATCAGAAGGCGACACCATGAGCATGCGGCAGCCAGCCTCTTTCGCAAGAGCACGGACGACGAGCGTTTTGCCTGTGCCAGGAGGGCCAAACAGAAGACAGCCAGTCATGCCGTGTTCCTTCAAAATACCTTGCTGGAAGGCTGACGGGTAGAGCAGAGGGAGTGAAACGATCGTTCGTACGGCATCAATTGTCTGGGGTGGTAGATGCACCTGGCTGAACGTTGTGGTCATCGAGGCTACAGATAACAGTCAGACGTATGTTTCCTTCCGGGAGAGGATAGCTAACTTACTTGCATTCACGATGCAAGACAACAACCGCTGCTCATGTTGATCGAGGTCAGGATCCGACTTCAACCGTTCAATGGTCTCGTCAGCGGTCTCCTCCCCGGCCTGGTCCTCATCCTCATCCGCTTCTTCCTCTATCTCCTTGAAGTCTTTGGAACGGTGTGTCTTCGAAACGGAGTCTTTGACCCAGGATTTCCGCAACTCATGGGAAGAACGCTGTGCAGCCCAAGCTCGATGAACAGCAGCCCAGGGCACAGGTGTCTGTTCCACATTAGCCAGCGACCGTTTCGGCGGAGGTGCCAACGGCGCCCCAGCAATCACACTCCCGACTGCTCGGTCAGCGATCTGCTTGACAGTAGGCCACACCTCCACCCGATTACTCCAGTCTGCCCACATGCTATCCTCCGTCGTGCGCTCAGTAGACTCCGAAGACGACGATGGCTCGCCTTCACCAGCCTGCTGAGGAGCCTTGGGATCCTCGAGTTTGTCGAGAGCTCCACCAACAGCGCCGATGCCCATCCGCATCGTGAGCTCGTTGATCTCCCTCCGACGCTGCATGCGACAGTCCCGCTCGCGTGCCATCGACCGGATATGAGGCACAAGAACAGACGTCCGGAAGAATTTGGCTTCCATCTCTGGTCCTGCTCCGTTACCGCCGGCAGCGCCCGCCAACGACTCGAGGATGCCTCCTCCGCCTCCGGGACCACCAAGCACAACGATGCCCGGGTTGGACATGGGCGAGCCGTCAGCGTCTTCCGGACGCGTAGACAGCTTTGGGATCTCCTCCACCAAGGAGCCGTCGTTCTTTTCCCATTTCCTTAACCTTTCTCTCAACCGCCGTTCGCGGGCCTTCTCCGCCGGGTCATCTTCTACCCAATCTGAGTGGCCCGGCCGTGAACCTGGGAGCACTGACATGCGTCGAGCTATTGAGTTGACCAAGCTGTGATAGCCTGATGAAGAGGTTGGCGACGAAGACGGTGGGGTAAGCGGTGGGGTGATGCCAAAGATGATGGTCATCGGGTTGCTGACGGGAATGGTGATGCGGGACATTGGTCCAAGGCGCCTCTGGCGAACAGCGGAGAGTAGATGAGGGTACCATGTGGATGAGGAGGAGGCAAGGGTAGGGAAGTCGCGAACGTAGACAATTCGCGGTCGGCGAATGCCCGTCTTGTCGGACGATTCGGAAGACAGAGAGGGCACGTTGACAAGTTCGTCGAAGAAAGCCTTGAACCTGCTTGCCGCACCATTTCCCTTGGGTGATGCAGCTAGCAAAGAAGGACGTCCGCGACCAGAGACCGGTGCCATGACATGAAGGGTCATCTGGGAGGGCATGCCCATCCCCATGGATGGCGACATGGGAAAATCATCTTCGTCATCTATGGGCGAAGAGCGGTCAGCGCGGGCAGGCGAGCCAGTTGGCGAGTAGTGGTGCAGAGGATTCCGTGGCAATGCTAACGAGCTGGCAGCTTCATATAGTGAAAGTTTATTGCTTAGCACAAAACGCACATGAGATTGAAATTAGAGAACGTACCTTTGCCAAATTGTCCCCATTCACCGGCGGCGAGTTGAACAGCGTCCACAACCACAACCTCTGAACCAGTCCGTCTAGCAAGCTCGCGAACGGTCTCATCTATAACATAGTCTCCTCCCTCTATTGGACAGTACAGTGCAAACGTCGGCTCCGAAGGTGGACCAGACGGAGAACGGTAGGCAGCCGAGTGCTGTGTTTGCGGATGGAGAGTGACGTGAAGGCTAGTCAAAGCTTCCTCAAACACCTCCGGTGGCGGGAGGTTCGGATTGCTGGTAAAGTCGGTTTCTGTCGCATCCGAGTCTGGTGTCCATAATATGTCTAGCCCAGCTGGCAGTTCAAGCCGATCCTCCGACTCTTTGGCTGCCGCACTCGCCGACACCCGTGTGCGCCGTGCAGGCTGCTTCTCCGGTTCGGTCTTTTCTGGGTCTTCGGGAGGTTCATCCGAGGGTGCAGCAGGAGAGCCGGTAGGTTCACCAGCCGAGTCTTTGTCGTTGTCCTTTACCTCCGCAGTGGAAGCGGACGCCGAAGATGAAAGCCGTTTGGACTGGCGGGATGCTGAGTGTGCGGGTGGTTGCTCCTTGCGCGAGACACGAGCGAGACGTGCTGACGACGATGACAACAGCGCCGGTAGCTGGCGACTTCTGTGGGCGGCCGAGGCCTTGAGCAGTGAGCGAGACCGTCGCAGGATCGTTTGTGTCCGCATTCAAGAAATAAGTTACCCGCGCCGCACGCGTCTTCATTTTTGCTTTTGCTTTCCAATTGACAGCCACACGCCCTCCGGAATCCGCAACACGCGTCTGATTTATTTGAGCATCAAAATGCTATGGAAAATCAAGCCAGAGAATGCATTATGGTCGGGTAGCGAACGAAAAAAGAAAATACCAACGTATGTAGGAGCGATAGATTTAGTAATTAGGCGGTCACCGTGGCGGCGGGTACGATATACGCTAAATGGCCCCAAGCATGGCGGATAGATACTGTAGTGCCGACAACTGTCCTTCATGCTCTACTGCTTCGACTCCCGCGCGGCCGCCCGCTCCGCAAGATCGACACCCACCAAGATTTTGGAGGCTTTCCACAACTGCACCACATTGATGACGTTCTTGCCAAAGCAGACGGGGAGGGACAGGCTTGCCATCAGCTGCGGCCACGTAAGCTCGGCCAGCCATGGGTGGTAGGGACCAAGGCCGATTGGGGTGTGAACCCATGCCATGAGATAGAGGGAGACGAAGAACAACTCGTTCCCTGCGCAGAAGAAGAACAGGGTCCGCTACGTAGCCTACGTCAGGACTACGATGAAAGCGCGTAGTGCATCATTTACTCACGGAGTCGTTGTAATAATACCACAGAATGCGACTGACATCACTGGTGACCAGCTTGTGACTCCGAGATCCAGTGACGAGGGAGCTACGGCACAGTTGGAGCTGAAGTAACGATAGATTATGGAAGCGACATACCTGTACATGTGCATATAGTGGCTACTGAAGTCGAGAGCGATAAGAAACTGGAAGAAGAGAGCCCAGCTAGGATAGGCTGAGCTAAGATAGCAGAGCAAGCACGACGTCGTGCATCTAAAAGGAAGACATTGAGCGAGTGGTTGCAGGGGAGGAGAGCGCGCATACCTATCGGTGACCATGTCCAACACGGCGCCAAATTTGGAGGTCTGGTTGAGTGCTCGTGCTGCTTGACCGTCTACGGCATCAAGGAGACAGGAGACAACGTAGGCGATAGTGCAGTACTTTGGGTGATAACTCATGAAATGAAGGGAGAGGCCTGCGAGGAGAATGCGAGTGTATCCTGCATAACGAAAGGGGCTTGAGCGGTTTGGGAGGCATGTGTCAGGGCTGTTGAAGCGCACCGATGAGGTTTGGAACGAAAAGAAAGACATTTTCGGAGTAGGTTTGGGCGGTGGCGAGGTCGACGGCGACCTTGGCGTCGACAACGTCGATGGAGGGACGCCTGCGAGAGCCCTTTGAGTTGTTCTTGCCGTCGTGCTTACCCATTGTTTATGGGGGAGGACCGGGGAGAGGGAGAAGCGCTTGTGTTTTGACTGAGAGAACTGGGAAACAGCACTCTCACCCCGCCGCGGCCAACGCGGCACCCCCGGCAACCCACCAAATAGCGAACGTGACATCTCACGTAATCCAGACATCAACAACATCACATCCTTCGGCCCCGCCAGATAAGCCAATGTTCGTCATCCTCCGACCTGACCTCATTAGCGTCCATCCGCACGCCATTCAGCTAACAAATCTTGACCAAGCTCACCCATGAGAGTCACATCCTGCAGTGTTATCTAGTATCATTATCAGCCGGCCACGCGGCTACTCCATAGACGGCCTTGGGTATGCATAACATTAATGGCCACATACTTTCCACCCGCAGCAAGCTCCCCACAGAAATCCTCGAGAATATATTTACCTGTCTAGCGCGTACACAGCTTAGACAAGTTCAACTTGTTAATCGGAGGTTTCAAGACATTTCCTCTCGCTTGCTTTACCGCACTGTTGTTGGACTTTCGCCTGCACGCGCCATACCATTTCTCCGCACTTTGGCACGAAAGGACGCATACACTCCTTTTGTCCGCGAATTCGAGTTCGACTCCACGGCCTACGAGCACCTTACCGGAAATGTCCTCCCGTTACTCAACCGCGTTCTCCGCCGACTCAAGGCACTCAAAGCACTCACTCTCGAGTTTCCACCCCACGAGTGGCAAGACATCGACATAACGCGTCTCTGTTCAGGCTGCACCTTCAAACTTCGCTCATTCACCACCTCACTTCAATGTGACGCGCACCTTGCGTATTTTCTCTCTTCCCAGCCCGGTATCACCGAGCTCGCTTTCGGTGGTCTGCGCATCGAAGAAGGTTCTTCGTTCCAGCTCAGGTCGGACGCACTGCCCGCATTAACGGTGTTTCGCACCGTTCAGTCATCACCCAAAGCACTGCGTGCAGTCATCTCTGGCCGTCCGGTTCGCACTGTATCGGTTTCTATACTCGGCCAGGATACAGAAGAGGCACTGGATGCGCTCACGAAGGGCTCTGTGCCGCTCACGCGAATATCCTTAATGTCATTCGAGGCTCCACCGCCGATGACTCTGCTCTCTACCCTAGCAAAGTACTTTCCATGCGTGGAGGCCTTACATATTATTGCCATGCTGTCCAGCTACAATACGGTGCGTCAGCTGCTGTTTACCATTCAAGGTTTCAGCTTGACATGGCAAGCGTTGATCTTTGTAGGAGCTACTAGTTGAATGCGCTCCCGCACTCTCACAATTCAAAGCCCTCAAGTATCTCACATACATGGCGCCCGGTAACGAGTTCGATGATGACAAGGAACCCGATATTGCGGCTCTATGGCACAAGCACTGTCCTACGCTCTGCACTATCATTCTTCCACGAGGACTAGTGTGGTTCCAGCGCGACTCTGAATGGTCATGCGAGCCGGGAGATTGATTATGCTTCTTGACCTATATCGCATCAAGCCCGCATCATTAGAATTCTCGAGCCACCTCATCCCTATTGAGTCATCTGCCTCTTCCACTCAAGTTCACCCGGCTGCCGCGGGCCCCCCTGGCCGTGTTCTCGAGTGCCCAGGAGCTCTTAATCTTGCAATTCCCGCTTTCCTGGAAACTTGGAGAATACAGTATCTTGACTAGATCGCTACTATACAACTGGCAATGTTACATCCTGCTTTTCCTGTCTTCCCCTGCAAGTCACTCCACGACCTTGAGCGCCTGCTCAAAGTCGGCAATGATATCATTGATATGCTCAATGCCCACGGATACACGGATCAAGTCGGCCGTCACGCCTGATGCGAGCTGCTCCTCGTCCGAGAGCTGCTGGTGCGTTGTCGTTGCCGGGTGGATGACGAGCGTCTTGGCGTCGCCGACGTTGGCGAGGTTGCTCGCGAGCTTGAGGCTGTCTACGAGCTTGCTCGCCCTAAGGGCATCGCCGTGGATGCCGAAGCTGAGCACACCGCCGTGTGCGTTTTTGCGCAGCAGGCGCTGTGCGTTCGCGTGGTACGCGTGGTTGGGCAGGCCGAGGTAAGATACCCAAGCGACCTGTTTGTGGGCCGATAACCACCTGACATCCTCCCGTGAGATCTCAGGGATACTGAAAATAAACCAAGTACTCACTCTGCAAGCGCCAACGCGTTCTCGCAATGCCTCTGCGCACGCAGGCTGAGCGTCTCGAGACCCTGGATGAGCAGGAACGCGCCGAACGGGTTGAGCGCGGGCCCGATGTCGCGCAGAAGCTCGACGCGCAGCTTGACCGCGAACGCGACGGCGCCGAACGTGTCGCTGAACACAAGCCCGTGGTAGCCCTCGGAGGGCTCCGTGAAGCCGGGGAACTTGCCCGAGCGTTTCCAGTCGAACTTGCCCGCGTCGACGATGATGCCACCGATCGTAGTGCCGTGTCCGCCGATCCACTTGGTTGCGCTGTGCACTACGCGATGAATGGGACGTCAGGGGCTGAGAGAAAAGTAGGATGGAAACTAGCTTACAGACGATGTCAGCGCCATGGTCGATGGGACGGACGAGATAGCCACCCATGCCGAAGGTGTTGTCGACAATGAGGGGGATGCCATGGCTATGAGCTACCTTCAGGCGCATCGATGTCAGTCTACGCCCGCGTAGAAGTTGCTTGACAAACATACTTCGGCGAGCTCGGGCAAAGGCGCGACGTTGTATTTGGGGTTGCCAATGCTCTCGACATAGATGGCTTTGGTATTCTCGTCAATAGCAGCAGCAAATAGGGCTGGGTCATCGCCGTTGACGAATTTGACTGTGATACCAAACTTTTTCATGGTTACTGCACAACGTCAACAATCTATCTCAGTCATACAATATAAGAACATACCTTTGAACTGGTTGTAGGTCTGTCATCATGGATGTCAATGTCAGCGCAGGGAATTTTTCGATAGTAGAAAACTCTTACACCACCGTAAAGGTACGATCTATCAACAAGCTCAGAATTCAATTAAAAAAGCATGAAACCGCTCAAGACTCACGTCGACACAATGTTATCCCCCGCGCTAGCAATCGTCGACAGAGCCAAGAACTGTGCAGACTGGCCACTTGCCACCGCAATGGCAGCAGCGCCGCCCTCAAGTGCAGCGACTCTGTTCTCGAGGACATCCTAGAGCAGCGCATGGGACATCGGCGATCGACACTCGCAACGTGCAAAGGCTAAACTCACGCAGGTCGGGTTCCCTATCCGCGAGTAGATGTGGCCAAACGCACTGATAGGTAGCAAGAGGAGTCAGAACTCCCAAACACAGCCTGCGATGATTATCAGACGCGCTCACCGAAGACCAAAGAGATCGGCGCCGTGCTATGGTTGGCCAAAGACATACGGTTAAGGGTCAAGCCTTCAGCATGGCGGCGTATGACGCACTGCAGAGTCGTTAAACACAAAACTCGTCGACGCATAGATGGGGACCGCCCGCGCGTTGGTGGTGGGATCCTGGGTCTGCCCCGCATGGAGCTGGAGGGTCTCGAATTCTAGGGGCCTATCATTGTCCAGGTGAGATCGGTTGAGTGCAGCTTATAATGAATCGCATGCGGAAGCACCTGGTAGACGAATCGGACATGGGTTGGAGAATAGCTTTATGGAGGTGTCGGCCTGAGAGAGTTCCAAGCCATTGCATGAACACCTAGACTTTATAAGTCTCCAAGCAGATAAATAGCGAGCAACTCGATGCGAGCAAGGGTCTTCGAATTACCCAGGGGATGTCACCATAGGCATGATGCAGCATCAGATCTAATCACGCAATCTGGCTCGACGCCATCAGTCGTGTCTTCGACCTAAGCCGCTAGTATTGTATAAGGCAGTATAAGGGTCCACAGGTAAACAGGTAATGAGATTCACGGGAAAATTAGTAGGTGAGTGATAGACAGATATGATCACGAAAGAGTGGATAGCTTGATCAAATGCAAACATGGAGGGTGATGTCAAAAAGGAGGGGTATATGTCAACGTTCATGTGTCGCGATTATAACCAGCTTCACTGGCCGTCCAACTCCGACGGCCACTAAAGTGGTTTAGCTGTAGTTAGTTTACCTTAGCTGCTGGTAGAGTTTCCGCTGCTGCTGCTGCTGCTTTTGCCGGGCGGGTGGTTGCTGAAGTACACGCCCACACCAATACCAATAGCAGCCAGAATGACAATAACGGTGATCCAGAAACAAATCCACTTCTTTCTGCGGGCCGCTCTCGCACTCTTCACAGCAGTTTCGGTGTGCTTCAGCCTAGCGGACCAGTGTGAGGTGTTTGTCTTCCGATATATGGCAATTATCGAACTTACGCTCCGCCAGTCTCGACATCTACTTCCGCGGCCGTGTCATGGATATGGTCAATTTGGATCTCCTGCTGATCCACCAAGACGGCCATCTATAGCAGAAGATATTAGTTACTAGTCTACCACTTTCTCCACTAACTCACATCGTTGAACAACTGTGCTAGCTCAGCGAGCGTTGTTTCAATACGCTTGATATCCTGATGACGTTCCTGAACCTCGCGGTAAGCAGCACGAGACTCTCCATAGCGGTTGGAAGTAGTAAGCTATCTTCAAGTTAGAAAGGAGGCATGTTTGGTTCTGCAAATGGACGTACAGCTTGTGCGAATATCTGTCCTCCTCCGTCTTGATCGTCGTTGACGACGGCCGCAACTTCCTCGGGAGTAGCTTCGGGTTTGACTACGCCCGCATGAGTAATATGCCCAATGTAAAGCACCATTTCACTAACCAATCTTGAACTGACGCTCCACACGCTGCTTATACCGTGCACGGTACTGTCTCTCGACCTCCTGGTACCGCTGCAGAGTCTCGACGAACTTGGCGCGAACGTGCTCAATCTGTGACGTGTAAACTCAGTCGCATCATTGAAATTTGCACTGAGTGAGCGTCATACCTGGTTCTTCCGAATTTGTGCCTCCTGACCACCACCTTTGACGGACGTGCCGAGCGCTTTGATGCGCTTAGAGAGGCTATTGCTCAGTTGTCGGGTATCTTCTGCAAGCTCATCGAGCTGGGCAGAGTTTTGTTGCGACGCGGACTCGTCCAGCGTGTTCAGCGAGCGCGAATGGAGGTCTGAGATTCTGTTGATGTTGCCGTCGAACTGCTGGATGCCATCCTGGATGGAGGCAACCTACAAAGGGGAGAGATTCATGTTTGAGCCTGAGCACCAGTTTCGTTTACAGTCGTAGTTGCAGCAATTACCTCTGACATGAAAGAACCCATGGAGTCTCCGCCGTTGTTCTGGCCTCCACCGTTCGCATACTGCGGCGTGTTCACGCTCTGCATCTCATAGCCGCCAGGACCTGCGGCAGGCGGCTGCTGCTGCCTTTGTGCCTAAAGAACAAGAAGAGTTGAGTTCGATGATGCTACGTATGAGCATGGTGACTGGTGCGTACTCTCAAAGCTGCCAAGCGGTCTTGTGCCATGGTCGCTGATTAGGGGTCTTCCAGGAGTCCGATGGGAGTTGATATACGAGTACGCAGTCGGGCGGGGGCCGTGCAGAGGGGACTGCGCTGCAGGCGTCGGTGGTCAGAGCTGTGTTGCCAAAGAGGCAAGGACTCAAAAGACAGGCTGGACAGCGGACATACGTGGGAAATATCTTCAGTTGTGTGAGCCGAGAAAGGGAATGAGATGAAAGCTTTCGCGAGCAATTCGCGAGCTCGTTACCCGAATTCTAAGGGGCGCACCAAGGGGCTGTGAAACATCGTCATTTTGTAGCATAGCCACCTTATTGTGGTCAGATTCTCTGAATTTTATCTCCCCGAGCTCGTCTTTTCGCCAACAACATGCGCATGACTCAGTGGTCGCCCCCTCCAACTCCTGTTGATTGCCGTGATTTGGAATTATCATGTTTTGACTTGGGCCAACTTGGCCTTGGGCGTTTCAGAAGGTCTTTTCATGCTTGCAGCGCACCGTGTTTCCATAGGATTGGACGCAGGCTACGTAAAATTACCGAACGCGTGGATTTGACGCTCTGATGAATACTCAGGCGGCCTTCAGATAAAATGAACTTTGCGAACTCTTCGCACTTCGATATCGCTCGGTTGACATGGAAAGCGACAGCTCCATGATCCAATCCCTGGTCTGCGACACTTGCTGGGACACCGTGTTCTCCACCGAAGGCTGGCAGACCGTTCTCGCCGGCGAGCAGGTCTCAGGTCACAACGGGTTTTCCAGTGGATTCTCTTACAAGACCAATTGGTCTGCTATTCAGATAGCAGCTGCCAATGGCTGTAACTGGTGTCGCCTCCTCACTAAACCCAAGTCGCGCCAGGGTGGAGAATATGAGGTGGAGGTATGGGCCGCCTGCGATGAAGACTCTGACTGTACCCTGGGCGGAGAAAAGATGCTGAGAATCGTTGTGGATCGCAGCAAATCACCTGATGCCCCGTTCTACTGTCAGACACGAACGGGCGCGAAGACTGTCAGTGGATATGGCTCACACAACCAATACTATATGTATACTAGCCAGGGTATGTTCCGATATTCAGAAACTCACATGTACATGGCCAGATATACTGTTAAACTCCGCGTTCAGAAGATTTGTTGCTGCACGCGAACGTATCACGGACGTGTCATCCCCAGAAAGCTATCAACTGGCCTTGGAATGCCTTAATCACTGCATCCGCACACACCACGGATGTCCTCCACCGCAGGCAGATGTTTTCCTTCCTGACCGGGTCATTGATTGTTTTAACCCGAGAAAGCCAAAGATCGTGTTAACGGGTGGCAAACACCAAGGGCATTATGTCACACTGAGTTATGTATGGGGAGGACCTCAGCCATTGACAACGACACAAAATATCGACAACTACGTCAATGAGGGCATGGACATGTCAAACTTTCCTCAAACTATTCAGGATGCCGTGCTCGTCGCTCATAATCTTGGTCAACAGTACCTTTGGATCGATGCACTGTGTATTCTATAGGACTCGATGAAAGACAAAGAACGTCAACTGGGCCAAATGCGGTATATATATCGTAATGCCTTTCTAACCATCAATGTCGCCTGTGCAAGCAGCAGTCAAGAGGGTTTTCTCGCCCGGGACAGGCCACAAAGATACTCCAACGCCCGAATTCCGTACCGTTGTCCAGACGGAAAAGTTGGATCAGTATGGATCGCCAAAGCCCATGACTTTGATCCGGATAATAATCGTTCATACTGGGAGGAACTGGAGCCCGCGGCGTACCGAGGATGGTGCCTTCAGGAAAAGATGCTTCCGCCTCGAAGTCTAGTATATGCATCCGACACGCTGAAATTTCATTGTCAAACTGAGACAGCGAACATAGGACACGCACTATGTGAACCTAGCACTGGGAGGCGTCTTCCTGGTATCATCTACCAACCACGGGGACCTGGTGGCTCAGACACACCGCTATCCAAAGAAGAGCAGGTTGCCTATCGACAGGCGTGGCTGGCTGTATTGTTCATGTACACCGTCCGCGAGATCTCGGTTCCTTCTGACAAGCTCATCGCTCTCGCTGGTGTCGCCGAGCAATTTCACCTTGTGTACCACGACGAATACCTTGCCGGACTGTGGCGGAGAACTTTGTTGCTCGACCTTCTCTGGGCTACGCAAGTGGCGACTCGCCGTCACCCACGACCAGAGAAGTATCGCGCACCTTCTTGGTCTTGGGCATCGATCAACGGGATTGTGGGAACAAAATACCTAGAGGCGACGCTAGGATCAATGCCATCGATCCGACAGGCAGAAATCCTAGATTGTCGAGTCACACTAGCTAGCGAGGAAGCACCATTCGGTGAAGTGAGGGAAGGCATCCTGAAACTCAAAGGATTCAAGCAGGAGGTTGCCCTCCAGTCAGACACCGTCGGTGCAGTCCACCTTGCGAAACCAGGGACCTATAGACATCGGATCTATGGAAGCTGACGCCAGCGAAGACATCCGAGGTCAAGCTTTTGTTATCCCGCTCCTGTGGGATACAGTCGGTTCTTATTGTCTCGGTCTCGTAGTGGTAAAGGCGGAGGAAAATGAACCCGAATATAGGCGTGTCGGCAGGTTCAAGAATAGGGTCAATCATGCTAACGCACAGTGGCTACAGGGACTGACAGAAGAAGAGATACTTCTTGTATGATCCATAGGTTGATATCAAACTGTGGTTTGATCGAAAATGCAAAAGAACTGCACGAGTTGCCGCCAAGTCCTAACACGTGCTGCAGATTATTGTTGATGTTGTGTGGGTGCAACTGGAAACTAAATTAAAGTGGCACCATGGCGTTGCATCTATACGGTCTCAAGGATGCATCGGCACAAGGCAAGGCGAGCGAACGCTGCCCTTATGATGGTCCTCTGATTAGCCCATTTTATTGGATATAGCATCGGTCAGGCGGATAGCACTGGAACCTTGTGAGCTCACTACGACTCTTCAAAGCTTCAGGTGGCATGCACCTTATGCAAGCCTTGGCGCTCGCTGAGCTTGGTAAGTTATCCAACGAAAACGAAATAATGATATGGTCACTGCTCAGGGCTAGTTGCAGAGTTGTAAGCTGAAAGTCAAAAAAGCTTACGAGTGATGGTCTGATGTCTAAGGATTTTAAGCGGTCAGATTCGGTCGGGCCCAGTTTTATATCGCGGTGTAGACGCGTCATGCTACGGCTGCAACGGCATTCCAGTTGAACGAAAGCGAGACGAGCACGGAACTTAAGAGGAATGAAGCCATTTCGGTGGTTGTAGTACCGAACATGGCGCCTGACGCGTTCACCCGGCGGCGGCAGCGATATCTTGGTATCAGTGTGACGTTCGGCTTGCTTGGCAGGGGCTACCGAAGGCTACCCAGCACCGTCATATAAAAAGCTTATACCGTGAAACACCTTAGCAGCAAGCCTTTATCGTCTCTATACATTGCAACCACCAACAAAATCGTCAAAATGTCTACTACCACTCTCACCACGCCTTCCGGCCCCGTCACGGTCAACAAAGTTGCGGTACGTCATTACCCCCTGAATATCGCGACTCAGGCTGATATTCTGGGACTAGCATGGTCTGATGCTCATGACGTGCGTCCAATCGTTGTCGCTAGCTACACGTCTCTTGTGGTGTTAACTCCTTTGTAGATGGAAAGTGCAACCGAATCCTGACGAGCAGAGCTTTGCGGCCATCAAGGCTGGCATCGATTCGTGCCCTCCTGGCGTCAAGATGTTCTTGAACGGAGGTATGTAACTTTCGTGCTGATTGAACTGACAATATCTAAGGCCACCTTCAGGCGAGTTCTACGGGCCCAACTTCGGCACCGCCAACATCGAGATGATCTCGCGGTTCTTCGAAAAGTACCCCGAGTACGCCGATCGAGCATTCCTATCCGTCAAGGTTTGCATCGTATATCACGAATCGAAGACCCCACGCGTTAACAACCATTGATCCTAGGGTGGCAACAAAGCTAACGACCTCACGCCTGATGGTAGCGAGGAGAACGTAAAGCGCAGCGTCAACGCCGTCCTCGAGAAGCTACGCGGCAAGAAGAAGCTCGACCTCTTCCAGTGCGCCCGTGTTGACCCCAACACGCCTCTGGAGGTCAGCTTGGGTGTCCTCGCAGAGTTTGTCAAGGAGGGCAAGATCGGCAGTATCGGTATGTCAGAAGTCAAGGCTGAGACTCTCCTCCGCGGCCACAAGGTGAGCGCACACAAAAAAGTTATGTGTGGGGATTTTGCTTGATGACAAAAATCAGGTCCACCCTATCACTGCGGTAGAGATCGAGGTCAGCCCTTGGGAGTACGGACCTCAGCAGAAGGCAGTGATCAAAGCAGCTCAAGAGAACAACATTGCTGTAATCGCATACTCGTGAGTGTTTGTTTCCGCTGGAAGTTATCCCTGATCTAACGCATGGCTATAGTCCCATAGGCCGAGGTTTCTTGACTGGTCAAATCAAGAGTCTGGATGATATCCCGGGTGCGTCACCTCATTTTCGCGGGCAAGAACAAATGAGGTATTGATTAATCATTGTCACAGAGGGTGATTTCCGTCGCATGCTGCCACGCTTCCAGCCTGAGGTCAGTCGCTCGAGGTCAACGCCTGGCTGTGACTCTGTCTAATCTTCGATCTTAGAACATGTCAAAGAACTTTGAGATTGTTGAGAAGCTGCAGGCGATCGCTAAGGAGAAGGGTATTACTTCTGCTCAGCTCTCGATCGCATGGGTTTCCTCTCTTGGCCCCCATGTGCTCCCCCTTCCAGGTTCATCGTGAGTGCCAATCACTCACTTTGCAGCGAAGGAGTATACTGATGTGATATACAGCCATGCTGATCGCACGGTGGAAAATGTCGGTGGAGGCAAGGTGCAATTCACCTCGGCAGAACTCGCAAAGGTCAACGAGGTGATCGAGAATGCCGTGCTCTCCGGGTCGAGATACCCTGGCTCTGACGAGACGATGCACCTCTGGTCGTAAATTTCGACTGAGCTCCTGTCCAAAGCTGTATCAATAGAACTTGTATAGTTGACTGCGCAACAATACCAATGAAGTGAATTTGGAACCTTGCCGCAATTGATTGGATTGATTGATTGCAACAGTAAGGAGTGGTAGCAATGAATGTGAGAGTCTGTCAGGGGCTATCTTATCTTATCTTGGCACGACGGGTCGAGTCAGTTGGTCCCTCGAATGAAAACCTTTTAGCGTTGTGAGCTGTACGTGTCCAGGTCATCCGCTTTTTTGTCCTCGCGTGCACCAACATGTGTGGTATCCTCGCAGCTCACGGCATCGACAAGCCATCCGCAGAGCGAGCCAAATTCCTCGCTTGCTCAAAACGCCAGCGTCATCGCGGCCCGGATTGGTCGGGCTGCTACGTCGGAGAAAAGACCGTCCTCGTCCACGAGCGTCTTGCCATCGTCGGTGTCGGTTAGCTACACCCCCTTTGAGTCGCGAATTTTATACTGAACATCTGCTGGTAGACACCGGTGCGCAGCCCCTGGTCAGCGAGGATGGCAAGGTTGTGCTCGCTGTAAACGGCGAGATCTACAACCACGTCGCTCTCCGCGCCAAAGTCGGATCGGGCGTCAAGTTCAGGACGCATTCGGACTGTGAAGTCATCATCCCTCTCGTGAGTCTACCTTTCTTCCATCCGTCGAGGCAGATATTTACGCGTTATATCGTAATATTAGTACAGACAACATGACAAGGAGCTCTGCAACATGCTCGACGGCATGTTCTCCTTCGTCCTCCTCGACGAATCTGTCTCCCCTCCTCGCGTCATTGCAGCACGCGATCCTATCGGTATCACCACGCTCTACCAGGGTCGTAGCTCGCAGAACCCCGGCGCCGTCTACTTCTCGTCCGAACTCAAATCCTTGACCGATGTCTGCGACAACATCATCTCTTTCCCTCCCGGACACGTATACGACAGCAGAGATGACTCGACGGTCAGATACTACGACCCTAAATGGTGGAAAGGGGACGACCCCAGCGCTCCTACCATCCCCAGCACCCCTGCCGATCTCAAGCTTCTCAGGGAGACCCTCGAAGCTGCAGTCCGGAAGCGGCTCATGTCCGAGGTCCCCTATGGTGTCCTGCTCAGCGGCGGTCTCGACAGCAGCTTGATTGCTGCCATCGCAGCTCGCGAAACTGAGAAAGTCGCTCAGGCGCAGTACGAGGCCCGCCAGCGGAAGCTCCAGGAAAGCATCAGCGGGCCTTCCACTCCCCAATGGGATGATCTCACCGAGAAAGGTAAATGCTTTGTGCCCGTCGTGTTGTCGAATGTGGACTGATCGGGACTCGAACAGCATCGCTGGCCACATGGCCGCAGCTGCACTCGTTCTCCATCGGTCTCGAGAACTCGCCTGATCTGCTGGCCGCAAGGAAGGCGGCACACTACCTCGGCACCGTGCATCACGAATACGTCTTTACGGTGCAAGAGGGTCTGGATGCTATTCCGGACGTGATATACCACCTCGAGACGTTCGACGTGACCACCGTTCGCGCTAGCACGCCCATGTACCTCCTGAGCCGCAAGATCAAGGCCATGGGCGTGAAGATGGTCCTGAGTGGGGAGGGCAGCGATGAGATATTTGGAGGCAAGTTTCATTCAATAGTTGTATGACTGAACGTCACTCTAACGACGTACTGCAGGATACCTGTACTTCCATGCCGCACCGGACCGCGAGTCCTTCCACCAGGAATGCGTGCGACGAGTGAAGAACCTGCACACCGCCGACTGTCTCCGCGCCAACAAGTGAGTGTCATATAATCGCTGCTGAGTTTTCTATGTCTGACTCGACTGGCAGATCGACGATGGCCTGGGGCCTTGAGGCCCGTGTACCCTTCCTTGACAAGGCTTTCCTCGAGGTGGCGATGGACGTCGATGCCAAGGAAAAGATGTTCTCGAAAGGGAGCAACCAGGAAGTCGACGAGGACGGCTGCCCCAAGATGGAAAAGGTCCGTCTTGACGCGTATAAACTTACCTGTAAGCATCTGACTTTGTGCAGTACATCATCCGGAAAGCGTTCGACGTGGCACCTGATGGCAAGGTGAGCCAGGATCTGCCCATCGTGAATCAGGAATTTTTTGTTCACCTGGCAATTGTCTAGCCCTACCTTCCCAAATCGATCCTCTGGAGACAGAAGGAGCAGTTCTCCGATGGCGTAGGATATTCCTGGATAGACGGGTAAGTGCAAAGCTCGGGTACTGCTTATGAACTCGAGCCTAACAATTAGCAGCATAAAGGGCCACGCAGCCTCGGTGGTCTCCGACGAGGACTTTGCGAACCGCGCGCAGCGCTTCCCGCTCGAGACGCCGGACACGAAAGAGGCCTACTTCATCCGGGAGATTTTCGACGGTGAGCAAGCTGTCTTCCCTAAGCGGACTAGATATTCATGTAGCTATCTTTCTCAGGACTCTTCCCTCAAGAAACCGCCGCAAAAACCGCCGTCAGGTTAGCACTGCAAAAAGTTCTGAGATGACACTCCAGCTGACACGTGCAACAGGTGGATACCAAGAGGCGACTGGGGCTGCGCCGCCGACCCGAGTGGCCGGAGCGTCAGCATACACAACGCTGCCTACGATGATTAGGAAAGGTCCACACCGCAGGGGAGGAGGCGGAGGCATAAAAGTCGTTGAATTTCAATTAGATCGAAAGCAGTGTCAGCGTAATATGATCCACGGGAAACAGAGATTGCTGCAAGAGAATAAGAAAGAGAGAGTGAACGAGAGGGTGGTGAGGCGAGCGGGGACACAGGGAGGCTGGAAGAGACAAGAAACAAGAGGGGCGAGGGGAGAGAGGAAGAATGGAGACGTGCTTAAAATGAGTGTTAGAGGTATCGTTCCATGGGAGCAACGGTAGTAGGGCAGAACAGTAGGGTGTCGGGTAAATGAGTATAAGGTATCGGTGGTACGGGTCCGTAAGAGGCTAAAGGGCGAGGAAGGAGAGCAGTGATACGAGGGTGGGTAATCGAGTTCTAGGAAGAGAACGGGATATAAGATGGAGGAGCGAGAGGTGAGTAAGTGTAGCAAGGAGAGAGAAAGAGAGGTAGAAAGGATACCAGTAGACGAGCCGGGATCACTGATTGAGCGACGGATCTTGAGCGACAAGCTGGCGGTACAGGCCCACGCCCGAGTCCTCCGACGCGGCGGGCGACACCTGCGGCTTCGCCTCCTTCTCCCGCGACTGCGCGCTCGCGACGACGGCCGGGCGCGCCATCGTGCTCGTCTGCGACGTCTGCCTGGGCCGCTTCGTCGTCGTCGACGCGTTCGCGGGTATAGACGCCGCACGCGTGCTCGTGTCCCACGCCGGCCGCGAGACGGTCGCCTTCATCGATTGCGAGTCGTCGGTAGCAGCAGCAGCAGCAGCGGTGGCAGACGCGGTGGCGGTGGCGGAAGGACGCGAGCGCGCCGAGGGCGTGGCGGTCTGCGTGCGCCGACTGCCGGGGCGGTGTGGCGAGGCGGTGTGGTCTGGCGAGAGGAGGCGGTTGCCGAACTTGGCGTTGGCGGAGGACTCGCGCCCGTACGACGGGCCGCCGGGCGTGCTGCGCCGCGGTACGCTCGCGGGGTTCTTGGGCTTGAGAACGGGCTTTTGGAGCGTGACCTTGTCGGCGCCCCAGTATGAGAAGCTCATCTTGCTCTTCTTGTCCGAGTCGTCCGAGTCACCGTCGTCATCGTCGTCGTCGGGCAGCGGCACGATTCGAGGCTGGGTGGTGATGGAGGAGTGGGCTTCGTTCTTGGACCGAACCACGCTGATACACAAGGTGAGTGCTTGGATATGAATGGATGGAAACAACTCACTCTGCCATTGAAACCACGCCTTCCTTTGGCTTCTGATCCATAACCCACTGCTCAATCTAAGAAACAGTTAGAAAATAAGAGGTAAAAGTAATTAAAGTGCTTACCTTGAGAAACTTGTAGAGGTTCCTCATCTGTTTTGCCTGATTTGTCCTCCGCCCCTGAGACGCGTACTTGGCCTTGCCCTGCAAGTCCGGCATCGAGTTCGTCCTCGAGTTCGTCGACGAAACAAGCGGAAGCGACGTCTGCCCCGTCCGCTGGCACACCAGAATCACATCATTAAACACGACCTCCCACAGGTCCTTCTTCCCGCCAATCCCGTTATTATTGCCCAGCACGTCGCTCAGGCGTCTAAACGACGACTTGCCCTTGACGTTCTTGTTCGTGAGCATCGCAGGCGGCGGCGCCGACGACGATATCTTCGGCGAGCCGTCGCGCGAGCTGGGCAGGCCGGGGCGCGGGCGCTCCTCGAGCAGGAGGCGCGACGGCTTCGGGACGGCGAGCTGGCGGACCTTGTCGAGGCCCTCGATGCGCGCGAACACGTCCCGCGTCCGGTCGCGGTCCTCCTTCTGGATCTTCTCGTCCTCGATCGAGCGCACGATCGTCTCGACCTCGGCGACCATCTGCAGCGTGCTCTCGTACTCGAATGTGCTCGGGTCTGTGTGGTAGAGTAGGTTCTGGAACAGCAGCGGGTACTTGAGCAGCCGCTGGAACGGCTTCGAGAGCGAGATCGCGAGCCCGGTCTCGCCCTTGTCCGACGCGCCTTCCTCGAGCCGCTGCAGGTACTTGCATACGCGCAGCCAGTCGGCCGAGTCCTGGTTCTTGGGCTTCTTCGACGCGCTTGCAGTCGAGAGCGCGTTGTCTACCTGCTCGAGGGCACGTTCAAGATGAAGCACATAGGTAGCGTAGCCTTTAAAGAGAGCAGACTGCATTTCATTCGTTAGGAATTGCAATACACACAAGCAGATGGAACACGCACATTCGAAACGAACACGTCCGCAAGCGAGCGCACCAGCGGATACTGCTCTTCATACCGCTTGCGCAGACCCTCGCTGAGCTTGACATGCCCCTCGAGCACCCCGCTCTCAATGACCTCGAGGCAGATACGCAAGTCCTCTGGCATCTGGTGCGGATACACCGCGCCGTTCGCGAGCGCATCCGCCTGCGTCTGCCCCTGGCTCCGCTTCACCTTGCGCAGCACCCGGCTCGACGGCGTCCCCGCCGCCTTGCGCTCCGGCACACTGTCCATCCGCTCCCTCTCCCGCTCGCGCTCGCGCTCATGAATCGACGCGCGGCCAAGCGACGTCGTCGACGCCGTCGCGCCCTGCGCCCCGCGCGGCGGCGGCGGCAGCGAGTGGTGCGAGCGCGACGGGAACGGCACCGGATCGCGGCCCTTGCTCGTGCGCCCGCCGAACATGCCGCCGCCGAGCGCGCCGCCGCGGTACGGCGAGCGCGGGTGGTTGTGCTTGGCCGCCTGCGCGAACGCGGCCTTGGAGCGGGACGAGTTGTACGTGTGCCCGAGCCGGTCGTTCGTCTCGTCCTCCTCGTCCGAGTCGAGCGAGTCGCCGTCGCCGTGGATCGTCGGCGCGCCTAGCGTGCCCTTCTCCCCTCCCCCTCCCCCTCCTCCGGCGGGTGTGGCTCGCGATTGCGCGTTGGCGGCGGCGCTCGAGGAGGCGCCGTCTGTGCGGAAGCCGGTGGGGGACATGAAGCGCGCGGCGATCGGGAGCTGTTCGACGGACTGCTGCGGGGACTCGAGCCGGTACTCTTCAATCTCCATGTACGGCGTCGTCGACGAGACCGCAGGCGGCGCGAACGGGTGGAGAAGCGGGTCGATGAACGAGTCCTTCATCTTCTGCAGGTCGTTCACGTATCTAGTGCAGTCGGCATGGGAGCAGCGATCGAGCAGCAACAGCGACGACGTACCTTTCTTCGCTCGCCACAATCTCCCAGAGCACCTCCTGCCTCGTCCGCTCGCGCGGGCCGAGATTCGACACGAGATCGTCCTCGGCGCCCTCGCTCCACGACGTGACCGCGAGAATACGGCTGCTCGCGTTCGAGTTCGACATCTGCGAGTACGGCGTGCCCGAGCGCACCGACGCGGGGTACGGCGAGGTGGCGGCGCGCGTGGACGTCGCCTTGATAGACGGTGCGCCCCCTGCTTTGCCAGGCGGGCCGACGACATCGACCCTGGACGACGACGCGGCGGTGGACGTCGACCCGCGTGTGTCCTTGCCCTGGAAGCGCGACGAGGCAATGTTGGATTTGCTTCCGCCCGCAGTGGCGGCTGTTCCGTTGACAGGCCCGGCGGCGGCAGAGGACGATGTGCCTGCATCGGGGAGATGTCGGTCGGCAGACGGACCTGGTGTCGGTGGTGGGGATATGAAGGCGACTTTTTTCTGCACGTCGGCGGCGTCCTTGGCGTTGCCGTTGGTGGTACCAGCGCCGTTGGCTGCCTTGCGGGAGCTGCGTGGTGGTGCGGGCTCGGGCTCGGCGGTGAGATGGGAGCCGGTGATGGTCGACATCGTCGCAGCGGATGGGCGGCCTGAGGTGGGAACGTCGTCCTCGCGCGAGGGGTCGGCTGAGCGGGATTTGTGGGACTGTTTCGAGATGGAGCGGTCTGAGGAGGAGACGGTCGGGGATGGTTCTTCGATGGGAGGGAGAGGGCGGGCTGCGAGGTCGGGGAGGGGCTTGAATGAAGATATGGAATTAGGAGTTGAATTAGGGCGGGGATTGGCAGGGGTGGTCGTGGTTGTGTCGCCTGGAGGCCATTGGGGGAGCGGGGGCAGGCTGAGGACAGGCTTTTCTTTGTCTTTTTGTGCTGGCTCCCTGTCCTTGTCTTTGGCAGCGAGGCCACGGTTGAAGCGGGAGAAAAGAGCCTTCATCTCGCCGTCTGTGACGATGAGGAGGAGGGGAGAGTGAGGAGGGGGGATGTGGGAGAAGGAGGGAGGGGAAAACGTGTGTGGTGACGTCTGGCGTACTATAGCATATGGAGACGCGCATGTTCTATAACAACTACAACAAATGTCACTGCCAGCCCACCACACAAAGCACCTCCCCGTCCTCGCCTATCCTTTTCGCTCCTCCCTCTTCCACCTCGCCCAGCTCGACGACGGCCACAGCAACGGCACCGCCCTCTGGCTCGGCGCACAGTGTCTCTCCCTCTACCTCGCCACCCTCCCCTCCGTCACTCGCGCCCAGCCACGCGCTCACCCTCCCAGGGCCGTGGAACTTGGCAGCGGAATCGGGCTCCTGCCGTGCGTCCTCCTCGTGTCCTGCCCAACCTTAATCGTAATCCACCTCTCCCTCGACTCCCCCTTGCCATACTCGTCCCACAACATAGCCTTGCTCTCGCTTCATTCGGCTGGCATGTCCTCGCCACAGACGTAGCACACGTCCTCCGTTCCGTCCTCCGCACCAACATCGCCAGCAACGCTCGCCATCTCCCAGGCGCGATCCAAGCCCGCGAGCTCGACTGGACCGTGCCCCCCGAGCACTGGGACTGGGCCAATGATCACGCTATCGCGGCCGCCCATCGGGCACAATCAGCCACAGAGTCCGAGACCGCCGGCCGCCTCGCTCCGCCGTTCGACCTCATCGTGTCCTCCGACACGCTCTACAACCCCGCGCTCGTCGAGCCCCTCCTGCGCTCTCTCCGGGCGCTCGCCGTCGCGTCCGTGAGCAGCACCTCCGGGCGTGCACCGCCCGTGTACGTCTGTCTCGAGCGGCGTGATCCTGCTCTTATCGACCACGCGCTCGCCTGCGCGCGCTCCACGTACGATTTCGACACGGAGCGCATTCCGCACAAGAAAGTGTCGCGTGCACTCGAGCGCGGCGGTCTCGCGTGGAGCCGCGAGGCCTGGGAGGGCATCGAGATATGGAAGCTCGTGCTCCGTGTGCCTCTCCCCGCACCGACGTCATGCTGATGAAAAGAGTCGCGCCGTTCTCGCAAGGCAAGGGAATAGTAGGTACATGTTGTGCTGTACAACCAAGATGTAGCAAGTATATTTCCGAATATCCAAAATACAGCACTTTTACGTGCGACGTTCGTGGGAGTGGCAGAGCGTGTATGTTTCGCAAGGGAGGGTCTAGTGAAATCAGAGTTGGTCAGGTGAGGAGAGGGAGAAACATACACGAGGCCTGTGTTTACGCAAGAGTAACATTAAGTTCAGTGGTGAACCTAGGGATGGTTTCCGTGAAGCGGGGGAAAGAGGGTCATGAGAGGATTGCACTGATGCTAGTCGGATCTTCGTCTTCACGACGGGTTGCGACGAGCGTTAGAGTACGGTCAAAGCCGTGACTGGACTGTGAGACAAAGTAAGCGGGTAGCAAGTATGAGCGAGGAAAGACGGACGAGATCACGCCATGTTTCCTCCTCATCGTTTTCTGTCTGGAGCTGATAGATCTGAAGGAAACCCTTGAAGCTGTGTGCCTTTAGCAATCGGGCCAAGGAGAGTTGTGAGGGACGTACGTGAGGCCGCCGTCGTCTGTGACATCGAGATAGTCACGGAGCTCCTGCTTTGTCTCCTCTGAGAAGGGAGCGCCGTTTGTGTCGCGTGCCCAGGCGTCGAGTGCGTCTGAAGAAAAGTACGCGCCAGTAGGGGGCACAAGGAGTAGACGTGCGGACACGGGTGGTTTTGGTGGGCGGGGGAAGCAGTACTTTGCAAAGATGTGCTTTAGACAAGCTTCAAACTGGGATCGGGTCAGGGTAAGGTAGATAAGCGAGGCGATTGTGTACCTTTTGTGAGATTGCGCCGTCGTCATCGAGGAGCTGTGCGTCTGGCTGGAGAAAGTTGCGGCGTCCCTGGCGAGAAGCTGGCTCTGGTGTGTCTGCCCGGGGTGACTGGAATCGTCGCGGATCCATTGCAGGCGCATTCCAACGCAGCGTTCCATCTTTTGCTCGCTTCCTAATCAGGCCTCTCTCCGCTCCGTCATGGCCGCACGCTCAGAACCACTCTCCATAGAGTCCCTCCTCCAGAAACAGAAGCAGGACAAGGAGGCTGCTGCAAAGGTCTGTCTACAATAAACTCAGTGTTATTATCTAACAGTTGTCCAGCCCAAGTTCCTGTCAAAGGAGGAGCGCGCCAAGATTGCCATTGCCAAACGTGCCCAGGAAATCAAGGACCAGCGTGAACGCGACGAACACGCCCGCCAGGACCGCGCTGCTCTCGAGCGAGAGGCTGACTCCATCCGCTCCCAGGAACGCACACACACACAGGCTCGCTATCCCGCATCCACCAGAAACTGTCCGTCATCAGAATACACGCCGCGTCCCATTAACTTACTTTTCACAGATGATGACAATAGAGACCCGCATCCCCGCTCAGACAGAGGCAGAGACCGCCATGGCCGCCGTGACAGAGGCAGAGATGCAGACAGAGAGCGCGACAGGCGGGACGCCGCCTCAAAACCCGCCTACGACAACGTCCCCACCGGCCCTCGCGCAGACCGCGGAAAACCACCTCCCCCCGGCCCCGCATCCTCCTCCATGCCTCCCCCTCCCCTCCCCGCCCACCTCACCGCCGCCACCACAGAACCTTCCTTCACACCCTCCATGACCGACGACGAAATATCCGCCATCCGCTCCCGCTACCTCGGCGCCGACCGCAAAAAGCGCAAGATCCGCAAGATGAACGACCGCAAGTTCGTCTTCGACTGGGACGAGACAGACGACACCTTTGCCGCCGACTCCCCCGCAGCAGCAGGCAGCGCCCGTCAGGGCGCCCAGGTCATGTTTGGCCGCGGCCGCATCGCCGGCATGGACGACGGCGGTGCTACAGCCCCCGTCGCTGTTCCCGGCGCACCCGCTGCCGGTACTCCGCTCAATGCGAACCTCGCAGACCCGCTCGAGCGACGCAGGGCGCTGAAGGCGGGCCTGGACGAGCGCCATTGGAGCGACAAGCCGCTCGACGAGATGAAGGAGCGCGACTGGCGCATTTTCAGAGAGGATTTCAGTATTGCTGCCAGAGGTCAGTTTGTACGCCTTGTTACAGGCGCCCGCTGATATGTGTGCGCTATACAGGTGGATCTATTCCGCACCCGCTTCGCTCGTGGGCAGAGTCGGAAATACCAGAGATCATTCTCGGTGTCATCGAACAAGTCGGCTACAAGGAACCATCGCCCATTCAGCGTCAGGCTATTCCTATCGGTTTGCAAAATCGCGATGTTATTGGTATTGCAGAGACAGGTGTGTAGTATGTGCTCGACCACAGTGGCTATACTGACAATCCCCAGGTTCCGGAAAGACGGCCGCCTTTGTCATCCCCATGCTCACTTTTATCTCGACCATGCCCGCATTTACGGACGACAACAGACACTTGGGCCCGTACGCGCTCATCCTCGCCCCGACGCGTGAGCTGGCCCAGCAGATCGAAGCAGAGGCGCGCAAGTTTGCCACGCCGCTCGGGTTCACCTGCGTGTCGATCGTCGGTGGTGTGCGTACCGTCCACAATAAAATCACGACATGCGTAAATTGACAAACCCTCCACAGCGCGCCGTCGAAGAGCAGCAGTTCAACCTGCGCGAAGGCGCCGAGATCATCATCGCCACACCAGGCCGGCTCAAAGACGTGCTCGAGCGACACGTGCTCGTGCTCTCGCAGTGCCGCTACATCGTCATGGACGAGGCGGACCGGATGGTGCACCTCGGGTTCGAGGCCGACCTGTTGTTTATCCTCGACAAGCTCCCGAGCGACGTGCTGCAGGGCGAGGAGCCCGGTGCGGCTGCGATGATGGACGTGGACGGCGCGGAGACGGCCGCGGCGGTGCGCAAGGGCCGCACGCGCGTGACGACGCTGTTTTCGGCGACGATGCCGCCGGCGGTGGAGAGGCTTGCGAGGAAGTATTTGAGGAAGCCGGCGGTGATTACGATTGGCGAGGCTGGGCGCGCGGTCGATACCGTCGACCAGCGGGTCGAGTTTGTCAATGGAGACGAGAAGAAGAGGTGCGTTGTTGTGTTCGCGCGGTTTTGTAGGATGACGCTGAAAGGCGTTGCAGGCTGCGGATGCTGGAGATCCTCGAGACCGGCGGGTACGCGTCGCCCATCATCGTGTTTGTCAACCAGAAGAAGACGGCAGACATGGTCGCCAAAGACCTGTCTCGCGGGGGCGTGCGTTCTTTTTATATTCTCTGTTTGAAAGGTTACTAACGCCGCGTTCCGCTAGTGGAGCACGTCGACGCTGCACTCGGGCAAGAACCAGGAGCAGCGCGAGGCTGCGCTGCAGGCGCTGCGGACGGGCGAGGCCGATATCCTCGTCGCCACGGATCTCGCTGGGCGCGGTATCGATGTGCAGGACGTCAGTCTGGTCATCAACTACCAGATGGCGGGCACCATCGAGGCGTACGTCCATCGTATCGGTGCGTGTTTTTGCTGCTATTCTGCTCCGACCGCTCACGGTTCTCTGCGTTATTTTTAAAAGGTCGTACCGGGCGTGCTGGTAAGCAGGGAACGGCGATTACGTTCCTTACGAACGACGACGATGAGGTCATGTACGTCTCTTCGCCCTTATCTTATCGCCCCCGCTCCCTCCGTCGATCCCCATATGCTAATCCAATATCTGCTTCTCCCTCGCACAGGTACGATCTCAAGCAAGGTACGGTGTCGTTCCTGATCATGTTGGCCTCTTCCCGATTCGTGGTTCTTTTATTTTTCGTCCTTTCTTTGGGCTCGTGGAGCCTTCTCGGCTTTTCCTTTTTGTGCCCATCGGGGCCGCTGCGCTGGGGCAGCTGACCACCGTGCAGCGCCTCTGGGGTGTCAAAGACGTCCGAGGGGCTTATTGTTGAGCCTGAGACGCCATATACATCCGGGATGTCACCATTTTTTTTGTTCGCGGGTGCTTCTCGCGAGCTCGTCATGAGCTCGCCGGCATCTCTTCATATCTGCATATCTGCCCCGCTTCTTCTCTTCTCTTCTCTTTCAAAGATGTCCCGCAGATAGCTGACGAACGTGGCTTCATTTTGCGCGTTGGCGCTGCAGAAATATCCAAGAGCCCCGTGTCAAAGGTCTCGGCTGAGCTCGCGCGGCACGAGTCGGCGCAGCACAAGGTGTCGCGCGAGATGAAGCGGAAGCGGGATGCCGATGACCAGGGCTGAGGGAACTTGAGGGTGTGCCCTAGGCCCCCTCGGTGTGCGAAGTCGAGGCCGAGGGTGCGCGCTGCTACTGGCCTGTGTATTATAGGTGGGTGTGCACTACGTCCTCGGGCGAGTTTGCGCGATCTCAGTGGTCGAGGCTGACTCGGCTTTCTTCCAGAAAATACGGTGTTCCCTCGGTTTTTCATGGTCTCGTATTATTGGTCCCTTGGTTTCTCCGTCTAGGCGCACGTCGCACGGGAGCATGGGTGTCTGGACTCTGGATCCAGTGCTTGGGACCTCTTGTGTACGTAGGTACCGCGGGTGCGGCGTTGTGTTCCCGCGAACGTTTACAGGGCCAGGGTACAGGGATAGGATAGTAGTGCGCGTGTTCGTATGTTGTTTTTGTCTACACTCGAATCTGCATGTCGATCTGTCTATCTTGACGACTTGGCTCGCGCGCTCTTGGTGCTTGTTGCATGGGTTCGCTTGGGCCGCTCGCGGTGTCCGGCTTGCGCACGATGTTGGTTGTTGCTCCAAGCTGCTGTCCCGGCAAGGAGTCGAGTCCACCTCCGACACAGGGCCGGGATCCGAGACCGGCGATCAGAGGTTATTACTATCTGACTTGAGGCCAGCTGCCTGGCAACACCTGTCGCGCAAAAAAAAACTTGGAGATCTATCATCCTATGATTCCTATCTATTTACGACTACTGGCGAAACGAGGTTGCAGTCGGCATCGCTGCTATGCATTGTGGCATACCAAGATGGTAAATACTGTATGATCTGCGCATTTCGTGCCTGGCATTATCGACTTGCAGGGGCCACAGCGCACCAAGACGTCCGCTGTGGAGAATCATGACATTGCTCAGTCGAGTGCTTGTCAAATCTGCCCTGGTATGTCGCCTTATGTCGCTCGGGTAGATCACCATAGATCACGACACAGCAGCCGGGCCAGGCCAGCGACCGCACTTGACGCGTGACGTTGGAACTTGGCAGCGAGAAAGATCGCGCTCGCTTAGATATGATCAGGGGTCCAGCGATCTGTCCATCTTGATATCCAGAACTGATATCGGGGACCTCTCCAAGTAAGTACTGTCTATCGCTGGCTGCGGCTGGGCCATGTGATGCACGCTACACACGCGTCCTTAACGAGTTAAGGACTGCGAGTACGCGAGTCCGGCACCGCTGTACTGGCTCAGTTAGAACGTAGAACCTTGGTAAGGACTAGTGCGTGTGCGCGTATCAGCGAAAGCTCCATCAGGGGCGAGTGCCGAGGACCACTAGTAGCCGCTAGTGCGAGCACCAGTCGCTGAAGGTGCTATGTATAGGAATTCAAGAGGAGAAGAAGCACCGAATCGCGCTGTCGTGTTTACTAGCAGACAGATGTCCGAGCCCGGTTTGACCTGCTGCGATTAGTAACTTGAAGGTTTGACGCTAGAAGACGCGGGGCCATCGTAGGGCATCATCCATCTTGGTGGGAGGGACGAGAGTGGATAGGGGTGGATGCAGTTAATGTTGATCCAGGAACAGCAGGACGCGACCGACGGCGCGATTCGGTGTCGAACGACAGCACACAACCGTCTGCGCATTGTGTGCGCTCTCTACCCCTGGCAGACAAATTCGTGGGCGCTTCAAATCCCACCACGCAAAACCTCCGTATTGGTCAGTTGTACCTGCTCGATCCAGGAGGGCAGCTTCATGAACTCAATATTGTCTGACGACGAGGCACACGAAGTATGAAATCGGGGTCGGTAATTCGTCCCGTTGGGCCCGGATTGCCATACTGACCCGCTCCGTTGACGGTTAATCTGTACGTACAATTTTTCATCCAACCCATTTTCATCTCCTGGCGCCACAGGCTATTATTATAACGAAGCGTCACCGACATTCAGCCGCCCCGGCGTGTGCGTCTGAAGTTGGTCAAATGTGAACTTGGCCGCAGCAACTACTACCAGTAGTGGTTTGGGCGCGGTGAGCCTCACCGAGACCATTTAGCTACTTTCGTTTACCTGCGATTAACTGGACGGCCGCGTGCTTAATTACGAGCCAACGTCGTCATCATCACCTCGTCGGGTTTGACTTGAACGCCTGCCGAAGGCGCTTGTGCAATGCTCCACTCAGACTGTAGTCAGCATCTGTCTAGATTCGCCCCTGGACACACAAGGTTGATCCGGTGCTTATTTACACACCCTCGAAGAATGGAGGAGGCGTTCGGAGACCGACGGACGAGGAATATGATGACTATCTGCGATGCCTACAGGAGTTCGGCGCACAGGCGGCATGCAGATCAGGGGCTTGATATTGTTCAGCGATTTTTTCTCTTTCGCGAGACGTCTTCGTCATACATCGGGGGGTGCGCGTGAAACAACAGCGATTAAATATAGACAGCCATGTGCTCTTGGATGTCGGCTTGTGCTGCAGTCCTCGACCCATGTGATCCTCGAACAAGTGTGCATTGACGGTGTATTCGCGTGGATCTTTCTCAACGGACAAGCTTGTATCCAAACATACGAAAGCTCGCCGTCCGTGGTACTCCGAGGCTGGCACAGGTGACACAGGGCGTATCATTGACCAACTACTCCAAGAGGTATCAGTGGGCGTTTACACGCACAGGTCACCGGCCGATGCACCACGTTTTGCTACAATTCGGTTGCCCCATTTTTTCCGTCATTCATGGAAAAAGTGTGATGCACAACATGCATCAAAGTGCGCGCGACCCCAGGCATGGGCGAGGCCCGAGTCGCCCCAATGACGACAACGAACTGGTTTTGAATTGCGGGGGAACGGTTACGGCATCCATCGACGTCGGAGGCGTGCAGAGGCGCGCGGGTGATGGGGTGATACCGGCCGGCCGCGCGGGATGGACCAGGACGGGTCCGGGTGTGCTCAAGTCTAAGCGAGCACACAACTGTGTAACATTGTCACAGCAAACCGCGACGAATCGCAGCGTGGAACTGGAACGCCCGTACGCGGTGTGAAATGGGGACGGTATTTCTCAATGCATAAATCTGTTCGTGGGTGGCGCGAAGTTAAATAAGCTTCGAATTCGCGAGAAGCATGTTCTGACCTCGGAGACAACTTTGCCTAATGCCAAGGTCGACCAAGGCAACTTGGAAGTTACAGGAAGGTACACAAGTAACCTTGGGAGCCTTGGACGCGGAATGGTGTCGTCTTGGCCGAGACTAGCGTAAAAGCTGAGGACTAGGAAGAGAAAGGGAGCAATAAACTTATAAAGCAGAGTGGAGAACGGGGCTGGATCTGTGACGGGGGCCATCAGATGGATGATGAAGGAGTCGCGTGGTGTTGCGAGGGGCAAAGCATGCACGTTCAAGATGGGCGGATTTTGGGAGAGTTGAAGGTGTTGGACCGTTTCACGATGATTCGTCAAGGGTGTTAATAGACTGAAGGCGAGGGATGGGTTACGGGATGGGAGAGGCTCGAGCGTGGAGAGTGGGACTGGTCCGATGATTGGTGGGCCGTAGGTAGAGCGGGGGAAGAGGGAGGCCGGCCGGGGGAGATTGGCCTTTTCGGGGTATGCGGACGTCGGCTAAGTGGTCAGCTCTGATGACGACGGTGGTGTGTGCCGATAGATGTGCCGAGATGGGGTGTCGGACCGAGGGGGAGATGACCGGATATGGGAGTGCGCCATATGAACTCCAAGGGCGAATCGACCACCTCTCTCTTTTGATTTCCCCAGCACATCTCTGCCCCCGCCGGACGGTCAAACCCGCGTCGAGTCTCCCCCCTGGCATTGGCAAGTCCAGTCGTCGAATTCGACTAGGAGCAATAGCAGCTAGATTGCTCCGCCGTTAGCTCACAGCATTAGCCACTTTGTACTGCAGTTTAGTAGTACTCCATCCGCCATGCTTTCTGCTCGGCCCATGGAACCCGTCGTCTCCGTCGCTATCGGCGGAACGGCCCCTCCATCCCCTACAACAACCCCTCCACAAGCACCAGACAGGCTTCATCTTACCACAAAATCAGGCAGGACTATCGCAACAGAGAAGGGCTCTCTCTCTAATCTATACATTCACCCCGAGCGATCCCACGACGACCTCGCCTCTACCCAGGCCACCCTCCGCTCCACCGGACACGTTCACCACCCTCAGTCGACAACCAGCACCCCAGCAGCTGCAGCTCCGTCGTCACCCTCAGAGTCGACATCTCCGCTTGCCACGCCCAGCCTCGTCAAGGAGAACGGGAACGGCATGGCCGACCCTGATGTCGATCACGCCGGTCGGCTAGCTGCCACCCCCCGGCCGAACCAGGTCAGTCCGTTCGCCCCTCGCTCCCCCTCGTTTCATCCCACCCTATCCACCTGTCCCTGTTTCCCCGCCCTCTTATATAATGAATATATCCGTCCTCACCATGTTTGCTTCCGTTTCAAACAGTCCTCTTTCGAACACACCCAGGACCCAACTCACGAGAACCAGCTTCACCCTCCAACCTCTGCCTCCCGCTTCCGCTTCCGCCGCAAGCTTTCCTTCAGCCATTCGGGCTCAAACTCCCAGTCCAATTCAAACGCTCCCTCCCGACAACGCTCTCCTACCAGCACAGCTGGCACTCCCCCCACACCCTCTACAACAAGCTCAATGAAGCATGGCCCATTACACGAACTGAAACGCTTCCTCAACCATCACATACCCCACAATCATCATAATCCGCATGCAGGCAGTGCTTCTGCTTCCTCCCAAGGCTCTTCTCCGGGCTCAACAGTGCTCCACACGACTATCCATACTCCTGCCGATCCTCATCTTCTCCCCGTGGACCAGCGTCGCGGCCTCGACTTCGACGCTCCCCCTGTGATTGACCCTGCCGGTTACGGGAGCCAAAATGACACCCTGACCCCGCCCAAGGAGAAGGAGCACCGATTCTCGACTTTCATCAACAAGAGCCTTCACAGGGAGCACAAGGAAAGACCTCGGGTCAACAAGTCCCCTTCGCCATCCTCAACGTCCTCTTCGAAACAACCTTCCCACTCGCCCCCTCGCTCTCACGATGCAGGACTGAACCACCACCCCATAATATCGCTTTCAGAAGCTACTCATGCTCATCTTTCCAAGAAGTATGGCAAGTGGGGTCGTCTCTTGGGCTCTGGCGCCGGCGGGACCGTCCGCCTGATTCGGGGTTCCGCCAAGTCGGGAGGTACTGTTTACGCAGTCAAGGAATTCCGACCTAAGCGTGCGGGCGAGTCGGATAGGGAATACGAGAAGAAGGTCAGGTCAGAGTTCTGCGTCGGTGCATGCTTGAAGCATGTCAACATCATCGAGACAGTCGACATCGTGTGCGATCACGGACATTACTACGAGGTCCGCTCCAGTCTCACTTGATACCTATGACGCAATTTTAGCTGACTCCCCGGCATTTTCTTGTTCACCTAGGTTATGGAGTACGCTCCTTATGACCTATTCTCTGTGGTCATGTCTGGCAAGATGCTGCGGCCGGAAATCTACTGTGTCTTCCGGCAAATATGCAGCGGTGTCGATTACCTGCACAGTTTGGGTCTCGCTCATCGGGACTTGAAGCTCGACAACTGCGTCATGACTCAGGGAAACGTTGTCAAGCTGATCGACTTCGGAACGGCGGTCGTGTTCGCATACCCGGGTACGGGGTCGACACCGTCTCAGAATACCCTCGCTTCCGCCGATTCGCAGTCTCAGGCAGAAAGCCAAGGGGATGCGCAGCAGAAAGCGCCACTGAGTCATACGCACGCTCGGCTGATCATGTCCTCGGGCATTGTTGGCTCAGATCCCTACCTGGCACCCGAAGTACTCAGCAGCAGCGAGAACTACGACCCACGGAAAACGGATGTGTGGAGTGTGGCTGTCATTTTTGTACGTTCTATGTTTTGGTACTTTATGTCTCAGCTGACGGCGATGGAATTAGGTCTGCATGATACTCCGTCGATTCCCTTGGGCGGTTCCCGATAAGGAGCGAGACGCCAGTTTCCGCACCTTCCTCGAAGCAACCGCGGAAGACAACAAAAAAGCGGTTCTCAAGAAAGCGCGGAAGCCGAAGAAGGCTCCTTCACCAATTGCCATTCGGGAGATTAATGGCAGTGACAAGGATAGTGACAAGAAGGTCGAGTCCCCTCAGACCGCCCGCCCGCGTCCGGGACACTCCCCTACGACAGATGATTCCAAGTCGTTTACGACTATGACGAGCACGACACTGTCCATTGACGAATCCGCTTCTAACACTTCTGCTCACTCGGATTCGGATACCGACTGCCCCTCTCCGTCTCACCGGGTTGACCTTCCATCTGGCCCCAAGCCTCATCTCCGGACAAGCACGCTGCCTGTTTACAGCCCGTCCGCCCAACCCAAGGAGCTGCCCTCCGAACGGGATATGGACGAGAGTGTGAGGGTGTTCGGACGCCCTGGTCAGAGCACGGAATCCCTGCCCATTGTATCTCTTTCCCCCGAGGCGACTCGTGATAAGGATGGCAAAATCACTGACAAGCTCGAGGTGCCTCCGCAACCCAAGCGAGGACAATCGTCTGATGCCATTGCAGCAGAGAGGAAGAATTCCGATGGTGCCAGCGTGGCTGCATCTGCCAAGTCGCAGCCAAGACCTTCCCGCCCTCGCACCCGTACTTCGTCCACGAGGGACCCGTCCAATTCGATCTTCCGGCTGCTCCCTCGCGAAACTCGCCCTGCTCTGCGACGCATGCTCCGCATTGACCCCGCTACGCGCACGACGATGAGCGAGCTGCTCTGGGGCCGCTCTGGCGGCAGCGGAGTCCATGCGCTTGCCGAGGGCGAGGAGTGCCAGGCATGCATGCATGCTTCTGGCAATGTGTCCGATGAGGAAGAGGATGAGGACGAGGAGGAAGATGAGGCTGGGGAGGAAGGCGATGTGTGGATAAACGGAATCCAAGCGTGCACTGACAATGAGCCTACACACGTCCATGTGCAGGTCGCTGTCGACGACAAGCCCACGAAACGGAGATTCTTCTAGTGTCTTGTCGCACCGACTTCACCAGGATTCAATCTATGCCTGCTACGCTTTCGGAACGCAATTAAATTAAACTGTACATCATCACCTCCGCTGCACACCTCCGACGCTATCTCATCCGCCGGTAGGCGATGGCCCCCCTCATCGGTTGTCTGGTTATCCTTCCACCTTCGACTCGCTCTCATCTTTATCGTGGTCCTTCGGCTTACCATCTCACTACCCCGAATTTCATCTCCCGTTTTCGCCATCTATGAGAACGTGGTAGATTCTATTTCCTTGACCACGACAACCCGACGAAACCTACCTGCGCTCGGATGATGGGTGCAACGGATTTTGCTTGCCTAACGGTACATACGAATTAAGTTAGCACGGACGCTATCATGGACTGGCTGGGGGGGTGCATCATTTGTCTCCCATCCCGCTATTGGATACGACCTTCGGTGGGGTAGACGACGTTGACGCTGCGATTTTGCTGCGTCACGCTCTCGTCCCCGCCCACGGCTCCCTGCATCCTTCGTCTCCATCATTAATTCACACAATCAAGCGTATATACATCAGACATATTAAGGTATTTATTTCCCCCCTCGCATTGTACATGTGCATTCTTTTGGAGTATACGTACTAGTACTAGCTTGTCTCTGTTGTCGTCCGCCGACGATGATACTCAATCATAATAGAGGCTTTATTAAACATGACAATATCATGCCCTGGCTGACTTCTATCTGCTAAGTGGAAGGGGAAAAAATGGAACGGAACTTGCTGCAGGCTCATGAGCAAAGCCCCGCCTCGACGGGCCAGTAGAAAGCAAGAGCGGCGGGGCCGCTTGCATTACTTATCCAGTCCGAATTCTTCTTGCTCACACACCAGGGAAAACATATGTTCTACCCGAGCTTACGGAGGTTTACCGAGAGCTGCATAGCCTCGGTTAGGACGTTGCTTTCCCCTAACGGACGAGGACGTAAATTAAAGGGTTCGAATTCTAGCGGGACTACGTCACACTTCGACTATCAAGTCAGTGTCTTCTTGCCGTTCTCGGATCACAGGAACAAGCATTCTCGCACCAGTACTGGTAAATACTCCGATTATAATTATTTTCGGGGGGATCGTCGACGAGATTAACATAGTCGAGTCAATGAGGTCCTGCTTGACAACTGGTATCACAGCGTCAGGGTTCGGGATGCCTATGTATCCCTTGATGTATATGAAACAATGGAAGCCTCAGTGCGTAATGCGTTCCACTTTAAAATCAAGACATTGTCTTCGATGGTGACTCCATTTCTTCTATCAGACACCGGTTCGTTAATGTATACATACTACGTTCACAGCACCGACTCCGAGTCACTGGTCCGCTGACATTCGCCTGTTTAGAGCAGTCTCCATGGCACTTGACGTGAATTTCTATCTCTGGTGTTCGCACTCAACTGGAACGACTCAGCCGAACAAGCAAAATATCGCATGTGCACGTATCAGCCGCTTCTCGCATTAACATCCCACAGGCCGGCGAACTCGGAGGCGAACTTGAAGCCACTCAAAACAAATTGCTGGTACGTATTCGAGGGTATATACGGTACTAGTGCACAACTATCACAGGACGATTATCAGTCTAGCTGCAGCCTAAATTCCTTGCTAAATTCGTCCTCGGTGGGAAAAACTTCTGAAAATCCGCATGCTTCTCACTGGGAGTACCCGCCACTGCGCAGGCTGAAATTCTACGACTCAGAGTCAACACAGAGGCCTCCATGGCGAGTCTGTCAATCAGATCTGGATTCCTGTAACTTCCGGCTCGGTATTAAATTTCAAAGACGGCGGACGCCGTTGATGGTTTATTTTTTTGGATTTGAATACACCACAGGTTCTTCAAAACGACGTTGAAACGACGGCGGCAAAATCAAAGTCACAGATCCCTGGGTACACAAGTCCCTTCTGTGTGCCTGGACGGTCCTTGAAAAGGTTCATCAGCAACCAAGCAGAGAAATGGGGTGAAAATGTCTGATGGCTGCTATTTTATGCCGCCTGGAAAATCAGAGTACTCAAAAAATTCGGCGGTCGTTGCGGGGCGACAGGTCTGAGATGGCTGAAAAATCGCTGATACGAGATTGCCTGCATCAGATAGACTCAGGGAACTGTTTTCGAGTGCTCGATGCTATCGTGTGCATGTGCTGACGTTTACGGCCTCCGGGATTCCCTCAGGATTCTATCGTTTGCCCTAGCACTGGCCCCTTATTAAATTCGACTTTGATACCAGTACCCCATTGGATGCTGAGATCCACAGCGGCGGAGGTTTCTTGCCAGTTTACCCAGTCAGAAGCCCTGCCTGCATGTGGCGGGCAACCTGGGCATTCGTAATTGCGGTTTTATAAATGAATTGGATGGCACCATCACACCCACCAGCCTTGCTCTTTAAAGAGCACGAAGCACTGGCAGCGAAGCCCACCACACCTAAAGTTGCACCTCGTGGCCACAGGTACCCTGAGGCCTGAGGCCTGAAGCGAGAAGCTCTGGGCATGCTACCTGCACGACGGCGCCCCTCTTTCAGAAATTTTCTTATTCGGTCGCAAGCCTGCGTTTTCGTGTGCGAGATTTCTGTCAAGCTCAGCGAGTATACAGGAAACTCCGGGGACACGAATGCCAGATCGGCAAAATTTGTTCAAGCTCAACCCGGCCCCAGCTGTGGTAGTTACGAAGATGCAAACTCTCTTGGTTCGAAGTAGACTATTCATACCCACAAGAAGAACGCCCTTTGCACATAAGACAAATATGGTTTTCCGTTACGTGTTTCACCTCTTGATCGTCTAATTGGTCGTGTCCTTTTCGCTCAAAACAAAATCATAAAAATATGATAGCATTCGACTTTGTCGACTTTGCGAGATGAAACACGTTGCACCGTGAAATAAAAAATGGGGGGCCTTTGCCTGGTCTGGATTGATCAGAACTGAGTCTTGTTCTCTGAAGGGACGTCGACGAAGCTAACGTCCATGGACGCTTCTTCTTCCGATGACAGATGTGCGAGCGAGATTCAGTCACACTGCTCACGATGGCCGTAAACTGCTCATTTCGGATTTTCCCTCTCCGATGGATCGCAGTCAAAAGGCATGATGTACAGACATTAACAATGATCCCCATAAAATGAAGGGAAATATCGTTACGTAGTGCTTGATTTTCACTGAGGCCGTAGAGGAATATTGTGCGCAAGTCAAAGAGCGCTCGCATTAGCTAGTATGTCAAATCTAAGTGGTCCGCTATATCTACGGCATTCCAATAAGCCTTTCCCCAACGCAAAGCCTGCTTACAAAGTTGGGCAACTGCACAGGCTAAGAAGGTCTATAACGGTATTATAGCTCATCCCTCATGAAATAGTCGTCGTCCTCGTTTTCCTCGTCATCTTCGTCGCCAGATGTGGGTTCAGTTTGGTGCTTTAGAGCAGCCTGCCGGAGTACTTCAGTGAGAAGGTCCAACTCTTCCTCGTTGACTGCGGGCGCGTCCATGTTCTCATCAAAGCTGTCGTATGGTATCTCCTCCACAATCTCGATGATGAGGTCGCCGTTGTCTCCTTGCTCGATGACGATGCGCGGCTGGTTCTCCATCATGCTCTGCAGTTCACCGTTGGCCAACAGAGACTGGAAGGCCTTCTGAAGCACATTCTCAAGACTTGAATCTTTAAAATTTCCGCCAGCGTCTCTAGCGCTAGCCACAGGAGGAGGCACTGGAAACATGGCCTTTCGACGTCCCATGTGGTGAGGGTGATCAAAATCGACTTCCCGAGCGTTGGAACTGCTGGCTTCCTCGAGATGTGTCGAGTCGGAGGGTGAGCCAGCAACGTAGGGTTTTTCAACGATCTCGCGGCACTGTATCAGCGACTCGTCTTGGGAATCGGTGCGAGACATAAAGCCAGGCTCATCACAGAGACGCGGCGTCTGTACTTCAAGAACATATGAACATGTCCTTGCTTCTCGTACATATGCGATTGAATCTATAAGGCTTGGCGAGCATCGGAACTGAAGTGGACGAACTTAATTAAACGAAATTTCAAACGGAGGGTTGTGACAGAAACTTACCTGCACTTCAACCTCTCTAGGTTTTCCTGTCTTGTCGCATAGCGTACCGTCACTGTAACGTTGGGTCAGGTAGGTGGGCCCTTCGCCGTGAGCGAGTTTTACGTTGATAGGTTGTTCAGCGATCGCTACATCCTTGATTTGTTGAACGGCGGCAGGGGCACGACCAAGGGTAAACGATTCCCACTACAGAATTGCATCAGTACGCCATTGCGACTAGAAGCGCAATAAAACTGATGACAAACAGAAGGATCTTCTCTGGGTTCATGGCCGCCTACAAGGTTATATTGAGCGTCAGTGAGGTGGCCGCATAAATATAAGATAGACCACCTGCGAGGTGAGGGTGAGCCTGGGGAAGCTCACGGAACTGTCGGATTTCCTGATTGTGGCAGTAGGAGTATGTGAACCACATGTGCCGGTACTAGAGCGAATTTCAATTTGGGGCCATAAGTGAAAGAAATGATTGGACAGACATAGAGACATCTTCCGGATAAAGGCTGTAGCAGCGACCAACTATGTGAAAGTGTTGCATGTTCATCAAATTGTAGGGGTGGCGGCGAAGGGGAGACGATCTCCGGCCCTGGAGGTATGAGACAAAGGAAGGAGTTATTTGGGCCCATCTTGATATGCTCCAGATGAAATGGAGAAAGGTCGTCAGCGTCAAACTGCAATATCGTGGGTAAGTGGGTAAGCAAGTCGGGGGGTCAGAGGTGGACGTGACCAACCTCGGGCTGGAGGTCTGAATGCTGCGCGTCACCCGCCGCTATCTTCTTGAAGAGAGTATGAGGTCGCCAAGAGTCTGGCTGCCAATGCTCGCCAAGAAACTCGCGTTCTCCTCCCTGGAGACCTTGGTGAAGCCAGCGGTGTGCAGTTTCATTCTTGACGGGCAAGTCGTTGAGGAATGTCACGCGATGCTTCGGGAAAGCGAAGAGATCCTCGGGTCCTGAATAGAGTGCGCGCGCCGAGACATAGGGAGAGGCATAGGCTGTGCAGAGTGCGAGGGGGAGTAGGGAGTGGTAGTACATGGCCAGATGTCGAATGAGCGTGCCCCTGTCTTGAAGCCTGTGACACGACTGCAGGCTGCAGTGGTCAGAGAGTTTGGGGGGTCCGAGCCCGTACGGAGTGGCCGGGGACACGTCGGTTTGCCACTTGCAGAAGTGTGGCGTGGGTGCAGCGTAGGGATGTATTTATATCGCCGACCGAAGACACGACTCCGCGGCCCAGAGATGAGAGCTGCCTAAACGGGATCGAGCCCTTGAACGGAGGCAAACAGTTCTGGCAGTCGATGACAAGTGCAACTCGCTGTCCGATTAGACCCGTCACGTACCTGGCGGAGGCAGGGCTCACAGAGAGCACAGTTTGTCGTCCAACTTGCCACGACCAGCTGACACTGGCACATACACACACCCATCTCTCAGGGGGACGCCGTTCTTGGCCGGTGGCGCCGTAGTAGGCCCGTGTCTGGCCCGTGCTAACAGACATCGATAGTCGTCACCTATCGGTATTCCGAGTCTGCGCGTGCGCGCTTATGGGCTTTACGACAAGACAACATCTGGCTAGTCAGGATCTGTCGAGTCCGAATCCGATCGTGAATGGGTTTCCCAATACGCGATCACTCCCATCGTTCTGCTCCCCAACGCCCATCACCCTCCTTTTTCCCTCCAGGTCAATCTCAGAGCCCTCCCTTCACAATTCAATTTATCCTGCTTTCTTGCGCTTCAGATTACGTACGTTTCTCCACGAATATCAGGGGCTGATGTCCGAGATGGCTGAACGATAATAATATATCCCTCTTTTGGTTCAGATTGCATGCGAGGGAACAATACATATACACCAACTATATACGGTAGGGGGAATATTCGTTAAAACGGGAGCACGCACCCTTCCCCTGCCTTTCCTCTCTACCTCGACAGAGAGCGTCTCATCATTTACCCCCGCCTCTTTTCGCACCCCTACGTTCGTCCCCCATCGCCACCGTCATGTCGGCCTCCCCCACCGAGGACGTTGTCGACAAGGTCGACGATCTCGAGGACAACGATAATCTTGCCGAAGAGACAGAGGGTGAGCTTGGCGTTTCCCCGTCAGTCTTCCGCCTCAATCTTCCCGTCTTCTTAATCACATTTTCTTCGTCTTGCCCCAGGTCCTGCCAAGCAGACTGAGACCACCAAACGCGGCAGAGGCCGCCCCAAGGGCAGCAAGAATAAGAAATCCGTTCAGTCTGCGGCGGCGTCAGCTGCAGCTGACCCGCCCGTCAAGCGGAAGCGAGGTCGTCCGCCCAAGGTATTCATCAACCCGTCAATCAGTGACTTCCCTCACGCCTTCTCAAATTCTGAAATTCTCAGGAGAAGCCTCAGGAATCGGCACCAGATGGCGAACCACCACTTAAGCGCAAGCGAGGTCGTCCCCCCAAGCCCAAACCTGAACCTACTGCAGAGGACGCAGATGGCGAGACCGCAGGGGAACCTACCACGAAGAAGAAGCGCGGTCGGCCACCGAAGAAAACCTAAACGGTGAGGGTCCACTACGTGTGTGCTCTCTCATGTTTGTCGCGAATCGTATCACGGGTGAGTATCTTTCTTTACCGACGTTTCATTTTCTCCCTCGTACTAAAATTGTTGAACAGAGCTTTTTATGAATTCTGCGTGCTCTCATTTCTTGGATAAATTGTGTCGTCGTTGGAAGGGGCACCTTACGTGGACTATAATGCAAAACCTTGATAGGTGGCTTATTGAGCTGGCCTTTCGCATGCACACTGCTTATTTTTGGCTTGCGAACGACCGTATCTTTCCCGAGTTGAATATTTAAGATACCCTTACACCAATCAGAATTTTTGCCGGCGTTTTCGATCTAGATACGTGTCTAAAGAATTATATGCGTTAATACCAGCCACTGTCTTATACCAAGGCAGTGGCTCATTAATCCACCGAGCGTCCTGTCTAGTGCCTGCATCAGAATCTGGGAAAGCTTCTGCCGACCGTGATCCATTTCAAAGAGATAAATGCTTTATAAAATGCATATAGGGATGCCACTCCCACGACGGTAGTCGCACCTGTACCTAGCCAGGACAGCAACGAAGCTTGTAGCTCTGCCTTCTTCTTGGCCGTAGCATAGCTGATGTCGGGTCGGAAGGTGACCATAGTGTAAAGGGGAAGCCATCCACAGGGTTGGAGAGTGGGGAATGGCTTCCGCGAAAGAGCCTCCTGCGTGATGGGCGGCGCCGCTGACCCACCGGAAGTCAGCCCATAAAGAACGTTGTCAAGGAGCCTCTTTAGTATGTAGGCCGGTGTTGTGACGGAATGTCGCATTTCAGTACTGTTGATTGTTTTTATTTTGGCGCAAAAAGGTGAGAAAAGATGTGGTGAGGTGATTGATGGGCCACTCACTAATTATCCATTGCAAGCTTGCAAATGGCGACGAGGTCGCCATGTCTGCTTTCCGAATACCTCGATAGTGCGGTCGCTAGAGGTTTATCTATCTCTCCGGGCTCTCCCGACCAATTTGCCACACGGTCAGCAAAAACACTGGCGTCCTCTAGGATGGTCTTTAGGACGCGTACGTCCTCGAGGCCACAATTCAGCCCTTGGCCGTAAAATGGAACCATTGAGTGTGCGGCATCCCCGAGAATAATGCAACGGTCTTTGTAATGGTAAGGCTTTGCCTTCAACCAGTGTATGAGCGCCAGCAAATAATGAAGTGAAGGGAACGAGGGCGGAAATGAGCCTACCTTAGTTGAGATAAGCGGACTCCGAGGATTATTCTCGAAATCGGCGAGAATCTTCTCCGCACCAATCAAAGCAAGAGCGTCAGGAAATTGGGTTGCAAACCAGTCCAGGGTAGCTTGACGACTGGTTAGGCGATCAAGGTCGGCACTGGGGGCAAAAAGTGTGCAGGTGAACGTTTTGTCCTTCGAAATTAAATTCAGCGCAGGGAGTGAGAACGGTCCAAATGCTGGTCCTTACTTTGTTAGGGAGCGCGATGAGCATGAATGAATGGCGAGGCCATATGTGGAGGTGATTCGGATCCAAAAGAAAACGCGGCCTGCCGTGCTCGTCCTCGCCGGCCGGCATTTTGAGTTCGACGTACTCATGCGGAATGTACTCCTGCTGGAAATCCATTCTGGCAGATAAAAAAGAGTAAATCAGGACACGTATCCATCAGACGGTGTCTACGATGCTCTAGAAAAACGCCCACCTGACTACTCTCATTAATTGCCGTCGAATGACAGAGTAACTTCCGTCTGCTCCTATACATAAGTGGAAGTCGACCCTTTTATCAATACCCGAGCTTAGATCCTGAACTGTCATGTATCTTTGATCAAAGTCGACAGCTACGACTTTATGTTTAAAGAAAAGGCGAATATTGGACGTGTTCTCAGCATCTTGAAGCAGGCCTTCGTTGAGAAGCGCTCTGTCCATGGAGTTGATACACTATCGATGTTGGTAAGAACATGGCGGGGCTGGCAAAGACATGGCAGTTGCCTACTTGTCCGTGTCTGTCGTAAGATTGGCTCTCTTGCCTTCCGTGGCGGTCATGGATCATGCGACCACGCATAGGAATGGCAGACTGGAGGAGGCCATGAGCCGCTGACGGGCTTACTGCCTGGAGGGCAGCAATTCCCCTAGATGAAATAGCAAGATTGATGGAACGCTGCTGGCTGACTGCCTTTGACGCCGGCAGACGTAGATCTACGAGCGATAAGTGGGAAGTATGTAAGTTCAGCTTGGTGACCAATTGCTGACTGATGGTAAACTGACCTGAGCGCGCTTCGTAGAGATCAACGAGCCAGCCTTTGCGTGCAAAGGCGAGTGCGGCGAGACACCCGACGGGGCCTGCACCGACTATGACGACGCGCTTCGTGCTTTTCTCGGCTAGGGACATGCGTCGTTATTTCGCTTGACTGTCAATGGAAGACGTCGTCGTTCGTTCACGGCGACCAAATTAATGTGAATACCGGAATGGCAACTCGGAAACTTGCCGCCGGCTTCGGGAACAGTGTGCCGAATGCGATCGACGGTTGACCCTGTCGCTAAGATCGAGCCGATCGTACAGTAGTCATTCCTTGGTCATTTTCTTGGTCATTTCTCCGTAGTTTCCTTGGTCATTCCCCTCATTGATCAGGCCTTCCTGTTCTCAGCAATGTCATCCCAGACAACATCCCTTGCTGGTGACGAGTTCACTATCCCAACCTACGAGCAGATCGGAGCCAGCAGTGTTCCTGCAGATCAGGGTACGCTTTCTTTCGATCGCCCCCGCCTCTAAATTGCTAATAAACGTTCTATCCACAATCCCACACTAGCTCAGGAGAGATGTACCTACCTCTGTGGAAATTCTCTGGGCCCACTTCCCATCCGATCCCGAAAGCTTCTTGATGAAGAACTCTCTGCTTGGGCGACGCGGTTCGGCACCCCGTTCTCCCACCTTGTTCGTTTCTGAACTCTAGCTCCATAGAGCCGTCGAAGGTCACTTTGACCATCCTTACGGGAGAAACTGGACCGACATCGCAAGCACAGTAACACCACTTTTCGCCGAGATTGTCGGTACGAACATTGTGCTTCCAAGTAACTAACCTCACCCGTCTGCATATCTTTGCAGGCGCCGAGGAACAAGAAGTCGCATGCATGAGCACCCTGACCGCGAACCTGCATCTCATGCTATCTGCCTTTTACAAGCCAACATCTTCTCGTTATAAGATACTGTGCGAGGCGAAGGCGTTCCCTTCCGATCAGGTTAGCCTCTCGTCAGCCGTGTTGCGCTCGGGCTGAACGGAGGACTACCCTTAGTATGCATTCGCCTCCCAAGTGCGCGTCCATGGATATGATCCAGAAGAAGTTGTTATCGAACTAGCTCCACGGCCAGACGAGTTCACGCTCAGAGAAGAAGATATCCTCAAGGTCATTGCTGAGCAGGGGCAGTCCATCTCCGTCGTCATCTTCAGCGGCGTTCAATACTACACTGGTCAATGGTTCCCCATGCAGAGGATCACCAAAGCTGCCCAAGAGCAGGTAAGGGAACAAGATGCGTCCCGCTCACGCCCACGGTTCCTTTGCTGAATTTGCCTCGTAGGGTTGTATATGTGGGTGGGACCTTGCTCATGCCGTCGGGAACGTGCCGATGTCCCTGAGCGACTGGAACGTTGATTTCGCGGTCTGGTGTACGTACAAATACCTGAACTCCGGGCCTGGCGGTATCGCTGGGCTATTTATTCACAAGAACCACCAGCCCCAACCCCAGTGCGTCTGATTCTCTTGTTTATCGCTTCTCACTTGATGATAATCGATTTGATATAGATATGCAGGTTGGTGGGGCCATGATCCTCAAACTAGGTTTGCCATGCCCCCAGTCTTCTCCGCCATTCCCGGAGCGCAAGGGTTTCAGCAGTCCAATCCAAGCGCATTGACAACAGCTTCTCTACTTGGGGCCCTGCAAGTTTTCAAGAGCGCAGGCATGATGGATCCTATACGCAAGCGATCCCTTGAGCTCACAGCGTACTTGGAGAGCAAGCTCACACAATCGAAGTTCTACATACCTTCCCATAAGGCCGTCCGACTAATGCAAGACTCAACCGCTCAATCGGGGCCCTCCTTCACCATTATCACTCCGTCTGATCCTGAGTCACGGGGAGCTCAGCTATCCCTGCTGTTCTTACCGGCTCACCTCAAGGTCATGCAGCGAGTATCCGCCAGTTTGGCGGCAAACGGCGTAATAGGGGACAAGAGGGAACCAGATGTCATTCGCCTTGCCCCTGCTCCCTTGTACAATACAATCGCAGACTGCGACAGGGCTGCCTTGTGCTTGGAGAACGCTCTCTGCTCTCTGCTGCTGTAGTTTACGAGACACAGATATAGATGTGCTTGAATTGCTTGAAAGCGCTAGAAGTCGGGCACAACAGACTACACAACTCGATGAATGAACTTTTGTATGATGTCGCAATATCTATGGGAATCTAATGCTTCATTGTGGCCTTCCGCAAGATTCTCTACGTGTTTCCGTACGAACTGGTCCGGAACCATACCAAGAGCTTGGTATTGAGTAAGAAGATGCTGGTAAACCAGATTGCTTTGGCTAACATCGATCAATGGATCCGGAGGGTTATGGATGATAAGCCATTGAATATGCTGCGCTGTGGGCCGTAGGCTGGCACGTGTTACCGACACATCGGCATAGGAGGGCCTGGCACCGAACGCCGCCTCTATAAACCAAGATCGGTAGTTGGGAAACACCGCCAGGAGGTGGTCTATGTCGTACATCCCCTGGGACGTGGCGATGCCCCGAACTGCAGAGGCCAAGCTGTCGGAGGGACGAAGTGGGTCGGCCGAGCTGGAAGCATCCATGAAGATGGAGAAAAGCATATGTGCGCTGCAGCTGTGGCCAAGAAGGATCATGTCCTGCTTTGCAGTCCCCGAGGAGCTGCCTGGCGGGCCATTCCATTCATTTAAGAACGTTAGGAAGCGCAGGATGTCAAGAGCGTGTTCTGGATGATGAACGGCGGGGACGTCGGGTGCTGTCTCCCGAGGCGATAGCTTGTAGTTGGGCACGGCCACTGCACATCCTGTAGCACGCACGAGCCGGTCGGCAAGTTCGGCCCAGTCGGACTTGTCCTCACTGAAGCAAACCCATGGTTAGTCGGCACCAAAAGGGAGTGGAGCGGCAAAGCGCTTCGGAGGCTTGGTAGGGTTACCTTCTCCATGCACCGCCGTGGACGAAGCATATGACGGCCCGGTGTGTAGCATCGGAAGACGAAGAGTCGGGCGCCGTTGGCAATGGGACATAGTAATTAAAGAGATGGAATGGACTAGGAGGGCCCGAGGAGGTGCCCAAGGCGCTCCCCGATTGGACGTAGTACGGGATGTCTCTGAAGGCTTTGACGGACATGATGATGCTAACGGTCCGGGATGACTAGCTAGATTGGTGACTGTTGGTGAAGGAATTCGCAAATGGCACATGGCATCCGGGTTTGTGACGTGTTGAGACAGAATGTGCCTAGCACAAACTTGGCGCCGCCTCACACCACACAGGTGATATGACCAGGGCAGAGCGTAATCTTCACAGCCACCTCGCAGTAACCTGCCCTCAGTGACGTCACCCCTCAGCTATATAAGCTGCCTGTTCTCCCTCATATCCCAACACCCATTCTCTCTCACTCCTCCAGAAATGGCTTTCACCGCTTCAGACATCATAAAGGTGAGCATCCCACAACTGTTTATCTTCGCCTACCCCTGATCATCACTCTGCTAGATTATGTGCGTATAAATCCCGCACTACAACAGGCGTTCAAACATCATTGTTTAAAATCGGACTACTAGCTTCGCGTTTATCCTCCCTCCTCTGGGAGTGTTCCTCGAGCGTGGTTGCAATGCCGACTTCGTACGTTAGCCACTAGTGGTAATGTTACAATTTGACTGATCACAATATTAATCACACAGCTTATCAACATTCTCCTCACTATCCTTGGTTGGCTGTAAGTTTGACATTGTCCACATTTGTAGGGAATTAGACTAACTAAGCACACAGCCCAGGGATTATTCACGGTTCGTTCGACGTCTGCTTTGATGTCTACGCAAATCTAACTGCCTTCAACAGCCCTCTATATCATATTGAAGTATTAGCGTCACGTCCATCTACGTTATACCAGCTGGGTTGCGAACCGACTCTACGATACAATTTACCCGCATGCATACAACCTTATGTATCATCACACGGACTTGTTAAATTACAATGATGACTCTAAATGTATCTGGAATCAGTGCATAGTTTTTGAAACGCATACCAAGTCCGCTGGCTAATCCTCCTCATCCTCCTCGTCTTCATCTCCATCAGACTCCTCCGACTCTTGCTCATCAAATTGCTTGATCATATGTGCCCCAACTGTCCAGCACTTCTTGAAATTCTCCTTCAACCCCGCGTCAACGTCGTCTCCCCTTGAGGCTCGTTGCGAGTACCATTCTCGGATGTCGTCTTCCTCGACGATGTCGTCCTGATAGAACGCTGCTAATATTTGGCCAAACAGCGGCAACCGTTCAGACGATGCACAATGTGACTAAAGAGCACTTAGCAACGGAACGGTCAAAACCAAAGTGGCACATACCTGAAGTATCTCCACCGTCTCTACCGCGTCCACGCCGCCGATCCTGTCGACGAGTCCACCCCATCTCCCCACCATAGTCGCAATTTCCTTTCTTTGTTCGGGGCCACCCCCAGGAACAACCTTGATTCGATCGACGATGAAACCAATGACTGCCTCTCGAACGAGCCGTAAAGGGACATTACTGGCCATTCGCAGCGTTTTGAGCTCCACAGAAGCATTATCGACCGAATGCCCCTCTGAGAAGGCTCGCTCCAGGGACTGTATCGCTTCGTGATGAAACTCGGAGATGGCGGCTGAGTCGGCCTTGTCGACTAGGTTCGTGGTAGAGCTCAGGGGGAGAGATGTTGTGGAAGAGGCGGCATTGATTTCAAGGTGGTCGTCGTTCTCGCTGGAGCTGAATTCAGATTCGCTTTCAGAGTCTGTTACGGATCCCAGATCTGAGAGCTCGAGGTCCGACACATCATCGCCTCCAGGAAAGTGTAAGATAGACTGCTGTGGCAGTTCAAGGAAAGGCAACCGACCTATTCGCATGAGGCGCTGATTGATCGGGTTTTCCAGCTCGTCAACTTCTTCGTCTTCATCGACAGTGTCAGCGGGCCAAACGAGTGCGTTTGATTCTGCGCCAAGCTTGATAAGAAGGTCCGAAGGTTGGTCTGTATATTCTCTTGTCAGCACAATCTCACAACAAGGGCACATGACTTACTAGCTTCAACCTCGTCCCACTCCGAGTCTTCGTCCGAGTCCTCATTATCCGAATCATCGCCACTTGGTGGCTTGTGTTGCCTTTTTGTGGACAGTCGCTGGTACGGTCCTAGTCGTGCTTGAGGTCCAATGACGACGCCATCCGTTATCAGACATCCATTCTCAACGTGACTTCCATCTAATATTTTTGCGCCAGCTCCTACAATGCTGTAATTGATGACACAGTTTGCTCCGACCACAGCCCCGTCAAAGAGATATGAGTTGCGGATAGTTGTGCCGGGGCCAATAACGCAGTTCTGTCCAAGTACGGAGGACAGAATGTGAGCATTACCAAGAATTTGTGAGTTTGATCCAATCATGATGTTGTTGCCTAGTTGGCATTCGCTACAAAGTTTATGTCAATAGTAACACGGTCTAGAAGAGAAAGTAGCGTTACCGAGAGAGGACAACTGTGTTATCTTTGGCGATGTACTTGTTGCCACGGAGGTGCTCGTAAGAATGCCCACCCGGATGATTGTCATCCGGGACAAGAGGGAACGTCCAGCGAGACAATATATCCTTGCTTGAGAGCGATCTCAACATATGGAGCACTAGGGACACACATAAAGACTCACCTGATAGAATCATAGCTCCTCGTATCCTTGACGCGCGCTGCGTATCCGTCCTTCTCGATGTAACAATATATGTTCTTCATGAGCAAATCAGACGTAAGCACACCGTGCACAAAGTCACGTCTTATGTCCCCATAGTCAAAGTTATCTTGGAACAATGAAGGGACCTATATGGGGAGAGATCAGTCGACGTTTGAATGCAGGGTCCAGTTGCGCTTACTTCCACAGAGCACACATCGATAGAGCAGTCAATGAGATCATTTCGCACTTCTACTTCGGGGTGTTCGTCAAGTATCTCTCGCGGTATGGATGCATGGGCCTTGGGAGGGTAGCCAGTGACCGCTTCGTAGTGCAAGCACTCCGATGTTTCAGGATCCAGGACGTAAACGGACGCGTCCCCTCGCGACCTGAGTGGAGAGTAAGATCGCACCTCGAAGGGCTGCTGCAGAACGAACCTTGTACGATGCCTCGCGCCGCTCTCCTTCACCACCATGGTCATGATCGCATCCTTGTTGTGCTTTCGCCTTTCCTTGTGCGCACGGATAACTTCGTCGATCCGTACATTGCTTACAAGATCGCCCGTGACAAGTACGAAGTCGGAAGTGATAATCCCATGGGTGTATATGTCGCGCATAGCATCACCGGGGGAGAAGGTCTGCTTCGCGGTAACGATGGGCACAATCTTCAACCCTGTGCTGGGCTTTGACCATTTGGAGTTCCTATTATCACTGAACTGACGTCTGCGCATAGGATGGTAATGGGTACCGACTTGATGGCAGCCTTGACAAGCTCTGCATGCGAACGACATATAACGAAAATCTCTTGAACCCCAGCCAATGCTAGACTTTCAAAAGTCCAGTCAAGCAGCGGAGCATTGCAAACCGGAAGCAAGCACTAGGTTTAGATTAAGCCAAGAAGTCTTGCCGACGTGGGATTTAGCGTACTCGAGGCTTCTGCGTTGTTAAAGGCTTGAATCGTTTGTTGAAACTATCCGCAAGGACAACGGCCTGCAAAACTTCTTCTTCTTCATTGATGAGTCTCTCCTTACCAGAGGAAGGTTTTGGTGCCATGACTGACTCGTCGATCAGCTTGAATCAGTCTACCCGTAGGCATGAACGAATCAATCCCCATTACGTAATTCAATTGAGAAATCCCGACTTTTACCTACTTTTACTCGTCCGTGCATTATGTTTATCCGTTCCACATCATCGTTTCCGTTTATTGCCTGACATTCATTATCATGCCTTTCAATGCCACTTGTTGCAACCTTTTCAACGAGCCAATGTAAGATAGTATTTACCTAAGTTACATGCAAGTTACATGTCACGAAGCGAAATCACTGCCACCGTTCCTGTCAATATACCCACGTTCAGACTTGCGTCCCCTTCCAAGCCACTTCCAAGTTCCAACAGCGCAAGTCATGCACATATTTCTATCGGACAATCAATACATGACAATTGCTCAAAAAACATAGGACTCTCAGTGATCCGACCAAGGGGAATGCAAGGGTATCAATGATCGTATGGATCAACATTAGAGGTAGAGACGAGGATCAGGGTAGTCATGGGAAGAGGATTCGTCAAAGTAAAGCAAGAGGGGAAGACCAGATCCAATGAGTAGAGTAAGAAAGAAGAGGTCCGAAAGCTACCCGAAACAAAAAGGGCAACCTTCTACCGGTCAATCCAAGGAAAATAGCTCATGTCGTTCATAAAAATTAAAAAAAGCTATATGGAACCTCGATGCGAACTTATGCAGCGGCAGCAACAACGGGAGCAGCAGCGGGTGCAGGCTCAGCCGGGGTCTCCGCCTCCTCAGCGGGGGAAACCTCCTCAGCGATAGGTGCAGCGGCGGGAGCCTCCTCAGACGCAGGGTCCTCAAGAGGGCCAACAGGAGCCGGCTCATCGATCTTAGGGGGGTGCTCATCCACCTTGGCGGGGGTCGAGACCTCATGCTTGGGCCTTGATTTGAAGAGATCGCTGACACGAGCGGAAAGGCGACGGCTAACCTTGGCCTTCTTCTCCTTCTCCTTCTTCTCCTCAGCCGCCTGCCATATTTGGTTAGTAAGAAAGTTAAAATAATCCCCCAAAATCGCGAACCTTGTCCTCTTTAGGAGCCTCCGCGGCCGGAGTGGTAGCCTCAGCGGCGGGTTCAGCAGCAGACTGCTCGGGCGCAGGAATAGGCTCCTCAGCGGCGGTCTCGCTAAGAAATGTGTCAAAAGGCGACATCCGACCTCAAGCTTGAACAACTCACGTCTCCTTGACGGGCTCAGCAGGGGTTTCTTCCACCTTAGCGGGCTCTTCAGCAGCCGGAGCGGCGATCTCCTCAGCTTTGGGCTCAGCGGCAGCCTCAGCAGCGGGTTCCTCCTTGGCGGCCTCTTCTGCGGGAGCGGCAGCAGGAGCCTCGACTTCCTCCTTCTTCTTCTCCTTCTTGGGGCTCTTGGGAGCCTTCACCTTCTTCTCGGCCCTGTTCTTGCCGTCTTTGAAGGGAGCCAAAAGTTTGGCGAGAATACCGGGACTCTTAGGCCTGTCCTCCTTCTTAGCACCCTCAGCGGGGGTCTCCTTCGAGAAATGAGATTGCAATGATATAACTGATGGAAAGCAAATACTCACAGCCTTAGCCTCCTCCTTAGCCTCCTCCTTGGCTTCCTCCTTCGTCTCTTCCTTGACCGGCTCTGCGGGAGCAGCCTCGGATTCAGCGGCGGGAGCAGCCTCCTATACATCGTTTTTGAGCACTTCTGAATACAAATCTTTCCAAGTAACCTACTTCAGGCGTAGCTTCCTCTTCCTTGGGAGCCTCCTACGAGAACTATTAAGAGGGGAAGAAGAAAGAAGAAAAAATACGTACAGCAGGAGCAGGAGCTGCCTCCTCAGCTTTGGGCTCCTCGGCGGGGATGGGGGTCTCCTCAGCGGCAGGAGCCGGAGCCTCGGTGGCCTTGACCTCCTCGGCGGGAACAGCGGTAGCAGCGGGGGCCTCGGTAGCCGACATTATTGCAAGAAATGCGAATGTGAGCTAGAGGGGCAGTGGGTCAGGTCGTGGATAGTCGAGAGAAACGAGAGTTCTCACATGTAAAAGCTATGAAACTGTAAGGGAGGGGAGGGCTTGCCACGCAACCTGAAAACCCGTTGGCAGAAGAAAGAGAGAGAGAGAGGAAGAGATACGGTTGCCAACAAATTCCGCCTCTTCTTATCCCTATTTGGCTCCGCTTTACGCGCCAAACAAACCAATAACCTGATTTCATGATTTCAAAAAAAAAAATCCAACACATTGATTTCCTCATAAAGCAAATCACACACTCTCACAGCCGAACACTATTCCCTCCGCCACGCTTCACCCGGGTTGCATGTTCTGAGACGCGAAACGACGCGCCCGACCAGCGGTGCGAACGATCCTGACCGGCATCCATCCTTTGTCGCGTGAAGGTCATTGTGAGTGGCCCGTGCGGTGGCGTCTCATTAGGTCAGATGGTGAGACCTGACCAAAAATGGATATCTGAACAAACGCGCCTTTCCTTACGCGGATCGCACCCCGCCGCTACGCGTTTTAGACGACGATACTTAAGTACCCGAGCCCAATCAGCCAGTTTATCCCTGATCTTATCACCCATAGTCGCTCTGCATGCGCCGGCCACTGATAACATACGTGGCATGCAAAAACTCCTCTACCGGGGCCGCTGAAAGCCGTTCAAGTTGATCAGCTATTGCGGAGTCATAGGAACACGAATGAGCTTCATGTTGGTTTAGACTTCCGTCCGGCCTTGACCAGGCGGCGGCATCAGCAAGGGGGCTAACACATGGGCCGTTCTTCTGCGCCTGCTGGCACAATCCCGCTTTCCTTATTGTTTGGACAGCCAAGATGAATTTCGGACAGATATTCGTGATTTTGCTCTGCCATCACGCAGTATTGACATGCCATGATATTGCTACCGCGGGATGTGACATGCCTGGATAGATTCTTTGGCAGCTTGTTGCTGAATTCTCGTACTGGTGTGCGCCGTCCGACACTTGATCTTCACTTTAGCGCCCAACACCAACTAGGGTTTGCAGGGGCCTTGCGAGCTTTTGCGGTGGTCGCAAAGACTCAAGTTTGTGTCACCTTCCGTTACCTTCTAGGAGTTAGTCGCATCAGAATTTTGATGGGCACGAGATCAGCGTTCCTTTGACGTATTCTATCGATTAAAGGTCTCACGAGCATGAGGTGGGTGTTATAGATACGAGAAGCGAAGCCCGGATCTCTCCCGCCGTAACTTTACTTCTCCCTTCTCACAGGCTCTGGTTCAAGGGACACGATACTTCGTCTTCGACATCTTGTAACTCTCATCACTGCACAATAAATGCGTCGCAAAACTATTGGCACGCCCGTACGCTATGTTGAATTATTGTCTTTTGATTAAATCTAGAGGTTTATACTTGACGCGCTATACGCCCCGCGATGCAACGACGTCAGCGTGGAATGTTTCTCAGACCGCCGACGCGACAGCCTGAGACGAACTTGTCAGGTAAGAAGGCACACAGCGCCCGAGGGTTGCTCGGTGATTCTGTGCCGCATGAGGATAGCTTTTGAGGGCCACAATATCGGGATTGGTTGGTAAAGAATGGAGGGCTTAGTTCCGTCGCACTCTCAGGATCGATGTTTTGCGAGACTGGGTTGTTACCTAGTGACCATCCAGACTCCTTTATGTGTGCTTACAACAAAAATAAAACTTCCAGATCTTCGTATCGCAGCGTGATTTAACAAGGTTCTCAGCATTGTCAGGAAGAAAGCTCGTCCCCGACCGTTCAATAGCCTTTCAATTGTAGCCAGTGAATTGGGGTATTTTGCCATGCCCAGGCCCCTCTAAGAACCTCGCTTCCCACCAGCACGCTTCTACTAGTGTCGCGCCTCTCGCTGCAGGGGTGAAACAACACTTGGTCTTTCGTGTCCATGTCCTCGCCGGCTACTAGTATGTTCTCAATCAAATTCACGCCTTTAGTCAGCCCCAAAGATATACTACGAACTTAGGGCCAAGGACAAGATGACTACAGTAAGGTGGCAGCTAAACGCGAATGATAGATATGCGTCCCAACCGGGATGGATCGACAGATCATACAGATGCAGAAACGTCAGGTTTTTTGCGTGGAGCCACCCGCAAACCTTTCGCCTTCATCTGCTTACGTTTACTCTCTGAAGATATGCATCAGTATCACAACAAGCTTAAGATAGAAACGAGCTCACCTTCTATAAACTCCTGATCCTCATTGTCATTGAAGCGCGTCGGTTCCATGTCCACATCATTGACTGCTGCTTCTTGTTCGGCAATTTCTTTGCTTGTATCAGGCTTGCGACGCTTTTCGACCTTAAACTTTGCAACGTAGAAACCATCCATGTTGTGCACGTGTGGATAGAATCTCCGCGTCAAGCTCACGGACGGATGGAAAACCTTCCCTCGGAACTTCGTGAAACCTTCTCGGCCGAACCCAATACCAGTATCAACAAGTTTGACATTTGGTCGCTTTCGAAGAGCATAGTCAACTACAGCTTCGTTCTCGTCGACTGTCACAGAGCATGTTGAGTAAACGACGACTGCTCCGGTTTTGGAGTCTGGCGAAACACTGTCGATAGCGCATAGAATGAGTTGTTTTTGTAGGTGCGAGAGCAACTGGAAGTCTCGTTCAGACTGCAATTGCCCTGCAATGAGCATATAGGGTAGATATAAGAACCATTTTACTCACCTTATTGACTTTGACGCTCGAGTCTTTGCTGATGACACCAGTACCACTACATGGGGCGTCCAGCAGAACCCGGTCAAAACCACCTATCACCTTGGGAAATTCCCGACCGTCGTACGAGCAGACAGTAACATTTTTGCATCCTAATCGATGTACATTGGCCGTTAGACTTTTTGTTCTTGCCTTGTTGGCATCATTCGCAAAGACAACGCCTGTATTTTGCAGCAAAGCTGCTATGTGTGTTGTTTTGCCACCTGGCGCGGACGCCATATCTAGCACGCGCTCCTCTGGTTGTGGGGCAAGAGCGACGACAGGAAGGAAAGAAGATGCCGCTTGGAGCATGTAATGACCAGCGAGATATTCCGGCGTCGCGCCTATGAACAAACGGGTGAACATGAGTGCATATTTCAAGAGAGAGAGTTACCTACCAATGGGTACGCTACTTTCGAAGACTTGCAGACCAACATTTGTCCACTTGCCAATAGGTTCCAAGTTGACGCCGCGGTTAATTAAAACTTGAGCAAGGTCTCGTCTACGTGTCTTCAATGTATTTGTTCGAATGGTGACCGGTCTTGCGACTTCATTCGCTTCAAAAAATTCGATTGCCTAGGTCACACATCAGCATTGGTCGAAGGGAGAGATCTGAGGGTAATGTGCACCTCTGCAACGGGAAATAGCTGGAAAAGTTTCTGGGCAAGGAAGTCGTTATAGCCGTAGTAGGTAGCTATGTCAGCAACGAGCTGGTCGACATACTCTGACCGTGACCTGCCAGAATATTATATATCAGTTATTGACATCAGGAGTAAACTAACTATGAGAGTCACGAACCGGCCTGACTCTGCTCGTCGGCTGAAGTTACGGAGGACGTGGACACATTGCTTCATCCTTGTTTGCACGACATGAATATCTTCTACCCGATGTTTTGCCTCCTCCCTTTCTTCCGCAGTGGGTAGTTGAAAGAGTGCCTCGCCATCAGCATCAGCGTCGTCCATGTCATCAAGCTCCTCTCCAGCATCGTTTTGTTGGAACTCCTCGAGGTCAAGATCCGCTTCCTCTGCGGCCTTAGCGTCCAAAGCACGGGAACGGGCCTCAATATTCTTCAGCGTAACCGGGCCGTCCTCTTCCTCAGAGGAATCATCAGAGGCACCCCCAGATGGTATAATCTGTGTTGGGCGCGCTTGCTGTTTGGATCTTTTCAGGCTCGACGAGAACAGTTGCAAGTCTTCGCCCTCATCTGAGCTAAGATTTAGTTCTAGCGTTCCAGCCTCTGGCTCTTCATCCCAAGCATCATTCCTGCAATTGTGAGAATATGATTAAATCATGAGGGAAGCAGAGCGGGAATGCTGACTCAAGAGGAAGGTCCATGTTGCTCAAGTCGTCTACGAAAGTATCATCCTCGTCAACATCACTAGCGGCTTCCCAACCATCGCTTTCAAGATCCTCGTCAAGGTCTCTGGTTTTTTGGGCCTTGGTTGTCTTTTTGGAGGGAGCAGCCACTTGTTTCACATTCTTTGCTTTTTTGGCAGGACGGGCGGATGAGCGGAGGTCTTCCTGGTCGACATTATTCGCTTTTCGTTTTTGCAACTTTTTCGATGAAGGGGTATCATTTTGAGCTGGTGAAGAGAGAGGTTTTGGAGGCTGCTGCTTGTTCTTAGCACGTCTTCCCATTGTTATTGAGGTTTGATGGATTGAAGCTCAGAGTATGAAGTGAGGACGGAGGAAGCACAAGTATCACTTGGTATGAACGTTAACCGTCGATCGTTCCGAGCTGTCCGAATGCCGATCCGCAGATAAAATCATGTTCTGAGCAGTATGACATCTCTACATAAACAGGGGCTTCATTTGTCGGTCTTTGACACTTCTCTTTACTCTGTCCTCCTGGTGCTCAGGCAACCTCAAATTTGGATATGCTCTCAATGATAACATGGAACATAGTTGTAAGATACCCGTAACCTAAAGCTTCGTCAGCTAGCCAATGCGGATGCCAAGGGCAAGGCCAGCGACAAAAGACGCTCGAGGCTGAAAGTCCGCCGTCAGAAAGTTCACTAGGCCGTTCCAAATAGAACCGATGGTTGGAGCTCTCTTATGCCCAAGGCTGTCCGTCCTGTAGAAAAGGTTTTCAAAACGAGCCCCTGCTTGCCTCCAATCGATCCGGACAATGGAAGCGGATCCCAGGAACTGCAAGCCGACTGGATTAGATCTTGCAGTAGGATACATGTTACATGGACGGAAGTCACCTGAAGAAGAACGAATACACCACCGAGGCAGAAAGCCACCAGTCTGGCTCCCTTCTTGATGAACACACCGGCGCAAACCCCACATACCGTTCCAAATGTCAACTCGCGCATATTGACCATAGAAGAAGGGGCGGGAGGAGCATTGATCTCGCTGGATAATGGCAGAGGAGGACGAGGAGGGGCTATGACTTGCAATGAGCTTATTGCAAAGCTTCGAGTGGTCGCTGAACTTACCATCGCAGCGCAAGGTAGGGGAAGCAAGTTCATTGACTCCCAAGCCAAAGCAGACTATGCCGACAGTGCTCCAGAGTGCAACATTGTTCTTGCGGGTCGTCAACTGCGACGTTTGAGAAACTAGAGGCGCCCAACGGTGAGAGCTACGAAGATTGAGACAAGCGATGTTTCTATACGCAAGCGAGGTGGAGCTAATGGTTGACTGGCGCAAAGCCATCGACGGGTTAAGACCTAGCGCAAATCGAACTGACATGAAAGACACTTGGTAAAGAGCGTCTTGGAAGCAGCGTTGGTGTTGGCGAAAGCTGGGAGCACGCGCAAATGATCGCCGACAACTCAGAGGGTCTGACTGACGTCACACGAAACTTAACCAACATTTCTTATGGGTCAATCTAGACGCCAGGTCGTACCTTAGGATATAAACATGATATACACAGGCATGAGCAATATTGGGAGTTCGGGATCCAATTGATTGGTTAATAAAGACTACTTTACATTTAAAAATGCAACAAACGTTAAGGTAATTAAACTGATTGACCAAAAAAATGTTCAATGAGGGGTGTTCGTGAGTCAAATATGTGATGGCACGGGCGAGTTCGTTATAAAGAAGTCAAGCAATATACGCGTAAGAACGGTAAGCATGAATGTCCAAAGTGAATCTGCCCCAGACCATGAGTGCTGCTAGAGAGTCCGTAACGATATACATACAATGGAAGAGTCTATAATCGCGTTCCATTAGCCGCATCTGTCACGAGTTTCCGCCATTGATTAATGTCGACGGAACCAGATGAATCCGACCGTGAATGGCTTAACGCAGTTGGAGGCGGGGGTGGCAAAGTCCAGTCTTCCACCATTGGTTCTGAGCTACGTCCCGCGTGGCTCTCCTGCAAGCCATTGGAGAGGATGATTTCATCGAAGTAGGCTTCAGGTTCTTCCAGATTTCCTGTGATAAGAGGACTGGAGTATGACCTTGCTCCCGACAACGAATAGGTTCTGGAGGGCGTGCTTGGTCTCGCGACGCTGGTTTGACGAGAGCCGGGATATATTGGAAACTCATATGCCGCAGTCGCTGAGGGTCCATCAGCGGCTCCTGATATCAAAGAAAGAGGTCTTTCCTCTTGGATGAGAGTTCCCCTAGGTCTGAGAAATGGAGGCGTTGTAGACCGAATGGCTGCGGTATTTATAGGTGTGTATAGCCTGGCCAAAGGTTTGAAGTTTGTTACATCTTCGTGAATCGACGGAGTAGAGTACATTGATTCGCTTGTTGTGAGGCTTTCGATGAGCCTTGAATCATCCGGTTGATGGTGTGCGATTGATGCTGAGACGGAGGATGTTCGCGTGTCCTCGAAAGAGTGAGGATGAGGCTGTTGGGGCAGCTCGGGTGGATGGAGCGAATCTCGTGAAGCCGACGGCACAAGCGTTCGCTTTTCCTCCCGATTGGCGTTTCCGTATTCTTCAGTGACGTTACTGATCGGTTCCTTCGGCTTTGGCACACAAGCCATGACTGGGAGGGCTATTCCGTAGGCGATCACTGAGGTAGGACCAAATTAGACACGACATGGATTGACCAGAAATTGAAGCCCTTACAAAATGCTGTTAATATCCAAGAACCTACTAGCACGGCCAATGACATTTGATGGCAGTGCTCAGAAGATCCTGCTCTATAATCAGCATCGCCTTGTCTGTGAAAGCAAAGTGACTCTTACCAAAGCTATGACAGGGCCAGTGCAACCCATACTTTGTAAAGACAGCCGATGCCGCTACACTCAGTCAGTTTTTGTTAGCTTTGAGTGACGCTATTTATAGACCCAGAGTGGCACACCAGTGTGCAAACCGACTAGCATTACTGCGCGCGCAGCATCCCACCAATAGTCATATTTGACCACAATCCTGACGAATGTCATGAATGATGCTGCGGACGTCAGAAGCGGGCAAATAATCTCACATCAGGTACAGCAGGATCGAGGTAACGAAGTCAAGCCCGGCGAAGCCACATAAAAATCCTCCTATTTGCGAGTTAGGCACATGCATTCTTGCCCTAGACGAAGACAGTAGATGCGACGTACTTTCACCCCTGCTATAACCTTTCCAGTTTTTGGCCAGGAAAACCACGATGACAACAGTCCATGTCAGAGAGATGATAGCAGAAATTGCTGGGAGTGGTGAGTTAGCTCGTTTGTAGGTTACGTCCTTGATATCACTTACAAAGCACGAAGAGACGCAATCTGCGAAACCACAACCAGGTGTCAGAGACAGACATTAAGGGCAGTTCCGACGTGCAGGGAGTAGGGTACAATTAGGGAGACGGGCAGAGAACGAGAACAGAAAAGCGTTGGTTTAAAAGAATGCGCAGCTGAGGGTAGAGGGCCGGCCTAGGCGCCATTATATTCAATAGATCTATAAAACTGGGCCTAAGGCTGAGAACGAGAGGGGGTAAGAATAGCCCTCGAGGTGCTTTTCCTTTCAAGCGCATCGCCGGCATGTGTCCATGGTGGGCGGCGAGCATAGCCGTGCATGGCTGGTGAAATTTTGAAATTGGAGCGAGCCTAACACCATTAGGAAGTCACAGGAATGCTGATGTCTCTTCGTGTGTGATACCAGAGGGTTGCCAGATGTACCAGGAGAACGCGTAGGTACGTCGCACAGCTCTGTAGGATCCAAATGATGGTCGGAGGAGAGGTTTGGGGTGGATCGGTTTATGCGTTATTGAGATGCGTTCTAAATACAGTAGGTAATAACCGAAGCAATCGACACCGCACGCAAATGAAACGTCGATGCTCGCCCCGGCGTTTAATCGCCTTCCTCACGCAACACACCATGTCTGTCTACTCAGAGCAGCAGCCGCTGCTTTCTAACACGGACGACCCAGAGGTGGGGGAAGTTGAACATAGAATTTCGTCTCCGACAACCGCGCGCGAAAAACTAGCACAATTCTTGGAGTCGCCCGGTCTTCACATTCTTGTTCTCGCACTGGTCAGTGCTTCATGAGGCTTCATCTTGAGCGCTCGGACTGAGAATCATGATGTTACTGTACGCCCTGCATATCTGCTTGTAGATCGCACTTGATGCTGTCTGTGTCCTTGTCGACCTCGGTTATTCCTTTCTTTCCGAAGGCTGCTCGCCTCCCGAGGGACCGGATGCTCCTGTGTGGATGAATGTGCTCGCCAACATATCTCTCGCCATTACCACCGTCTTTTTGGTGGAAATACCTCTTGCATTATGGGCCTTCGGATTTCGTTATTATATCCCGTTCAAGGGCATTCCCCATGCTCCTTTGCACCTATTTGATGCTGTCATCATAATTACCACCTTCACTCTTGAGTTTATTCTCAAGGGCCGGGAAAGAGAGCTCGTTGGTTTACTTATCATTCTTCGTCTGTGGCGGCTTGTCAAATTAGTCGGAGGTAACGTTACTGCTGTTGCATCCATTCCACCTATTGCTCACGCGTAACTCAAGGCATTGCCGTGGGTGCAGGGGAGGTCGAGGAAGGCGTAGCTAAAGAACTTGAGGACACCAGGAGGCAACTGGAGGGAGTGACAATTGCCCTGAACAAGGCTCGTGACGAGAACCGTAAGCTACGGTCCAGAATCACCTGGCTAGAGACGGGCGGGTCGGAGGGCGAAGAGCCTAGCGCGACTGAAGCCGATTAGCGTTTGTACCATAGTATTTTATGACCGCCGAGCATGTGAAGCCCTGGACGCGTTATGTGCTAATGGTTATCTGTGGTACCCGGTGTTATGATGGAAAACGTGCGAGGACGTTGATATAAGATAACGCAGATATGCAGGGATGTTCAGAAAGATACTGCTAGTACAGACCATCATGCACTGTCATGGCTGAAACGCTAACTCCCAACGTGCAAACGTCCGCCCAAGTACTGCCGGAATGACTCTTTTCCCGTCAAACTTGGCAAAGTTCCAGGGATTGACGTCGACGGGAAGCAATTCTATGCGGGTCCAGTGAGATCCGATTAGATTCAAGTTGCGTACTGGTTATTCCGAAGTATAAACTTACTAACCCTCGCTTATGCAGAAAAACACTATATAGCCTGGAGCCATCCCGCTGGCAACAAATGCGGATACTCGTGAATCATCTGACTTCAAGGGCCGTGTGTTCAGTATTTTGGACAACAGATCTACGTGATATTTTGCTGAGACTTGCATGAGCATGCACTGCATGAGTAGTTTGTACAGCTGATAACTTGAACGGAATGAAACAACTCACGTTATTGATCGTCAGCCTCTTGCACCACTCTGCTTCGTGGCCTCCAAGTTGTACTGTACGTTCTTGCGATACTTGGTGCTCAATTCAGCCGCGATCTTTACTGACGCATTCGCGCGAAGAATTTCCTACGCGAGCCATTTAGCTTGTATCATTGCATCAGAGTCGATGTCCAAATGCACCAACCTCGACGCAGCTGTTCATCTCCATCATCATCTCAGTGCAAACCGACTACATGAATGTGAATGACAAATTGAGTGAGAAATATCATGACCAACATACCGCGTTTTTCACAATCCGCTCCAGTAAGACAGCTTGCCTTTCGGCGTGAGGGTTCTCCATGGGAGTCGCGAACAAGGTTATTTGAAGCTGACGGAAGAAATAAAGACGCATCGAATCACATGATAAAAAGCCAAGCTTGAAAGCTTCACGCGTTTGGCACGAGCAGCTCGAGCACCGTACCGCTAATATCAAGAACGACTGTCTTCTGATATAGGGTCTGCCTAGGGGAGACTACCGTACCGCTCGTCTCAAATTTCAAGCTCAAGTCTAGCTAACTTGGCAGGTTGCCTATTACTATGTACTCGTAACTTGTAATGTAGAAGTATGGGATGTAGAAAGTGAAAGTAAATAGCTGCTAGATCGAGGGCGATCTAAGGCGATGGCACTACAGTAGTGCACGGCATGACGAGTATGAAGCGCAGCTTCGGTCCTTCCAGACCAGAAACATGGACAAAGCATTTTGCACGTGGCAGGCCTAAGGATAGCCTTTGTTTATACTGCTATGCAGAGCCTCAAGCGCTCGGGACAGATAGGTGAGAGCGTCGTTGGAAGTGTTTCCGTCAAGAGGATGCAGTCCAACGCCCCGTCACTGTGCCTAAAGTGCACGGTCAACCAATAAATAGAGCCGTCGCTCCGTACTCCTTCATGACTCCTGGGCCTCTTCAATACGGTAATGAAGAGTAGGAGGCCTGGAGAATATGTTGAACTCGTGAGTGCGAGCTTCGTTCCTACTCTTCAGTTGCAACGGGGTACCTGCACTTGTCAGTGAGGGCATGAATGAACGAACGTCTTGGCAAGCATCCTTGGAGAGCCTTGTCATCGTTTCCCGCAGCTGAGCAGTGATAGGATTCAACTCCTGCTGCGAGCGGTCTGAAAGGTAATGAGAGGTTGAGTTGACATTGGACGAAAAAGACAATACCGTATAGAACAGCTATTATCCGCGCTACGCCAATGCGTACACCTTCAGTACCATCAGTGGCAAGTCGCCCTAGTGCATCGGAAAGACTAAAACAGTTGTTCAATTCAAGGGTGCTATCTTCGCACTTTGCAAGGATGGTTTGGATGCATTTGAGAAAGCTGGATTAAAAGCATACTTAACTCGGGGACATATCCATTCGCGAAGCACGTACGTCATCCGTTTCTTATGATGCTCAGATAAGGATAACTCCGATATATCTGCTGCTAACTTGTCAAAGAGCTGACCACAAGTCTTGCGGCGGTCCCAAAATGCCGCAATCTGACGGGAAGAAGCTTAGCATGTATGTATGCAAATCAAAATTTGAGCTTACTGTATCAATGGCCGCATCCCGCACACCACCAAAATCGTCTTGTAACGCAATCCTTATCAGTCGATGAACATGCTCAAACTTCTTCGGAGGACTATTGGTCTTCAGAAGCGCGCGAATGATACCGTCCCTTTCTCTCCAATTGCGCAGCCATCCTTCACTCCAGATAATTTCAAGTCCTGTATATATCTCGTCCTGCCCTTCTGGGTCCAGGGAATCCAACAATGATGCCAAACATTCAATGGCCTTCATGCGGATATCACCCTCTTCTTCACACCGCATGGCATCGAGCCAGACACCCTTGAGATCCCTGCGGGCACTGTCCGGCCCTATTATGTTGGCGAGGTCTCCCAGGCTGGCTGCCAGAGTGCGGCGGACCTTGGGTGAGCGATTTTGAGAAAGGGCAACATATAGTGGGCGTAATTCATCCCAACGAGTCCGTCCAAGAGACAACGCCACAGCAGGATAATTGAAAGCGCATGCTAGAGGACGCGCAGGATCCTCATAGAATAGATCAAGAGGCGACTTAGGAGAACCACTTGACGGAAATCGAGATTCGCCTTGTTCAAGTAAGGACTGGGTTGACCGACGTTTATCGTGAGCACGTTTGTCTTCTTCTCGACCGAGAAATAGCCTAAGAAGGTCCTCTGGGGGTCCATCCTCATCCTCGTGAAAAGTATAGACGATCTCGCCCAAGGCTTCGAGAACACCGGTACGCACGGAGGAAGATTCATCGCGTGCTAGTGGTATAATGGTGTTCAGCGCTAAACTGCGCCGAGCAGCTGGGGACAATCGTGACAGGAGAGCGGGCAATGCGAACATGGAAGAATGTCGAACGTGCCATATAGGATCAGCCCGAAGGGACTCAAACAGAGGTATCTGAAATGGTTATGCTCAGAGCTGTATGTGAAGTGCTATGAACTTACCAAAGAGCAGATAACTATTTCTTGGGGTACAACCTTGGCCAAAGCACCCAGAGCGAAAGATGCCTCCCGACGAACCCAAAATACGGGATCTTGAGAGACTCTGGCAACTTCCTTAACGAAAATGCCCTTGATATCCTCATCCAGAGAACCTAAATTCATAATCGTAATGAGGCACGCAGAATTATAATGTCAACCCCAAGTACTTACTCCCAGCTGCTACGGCAGCAATGAGACTCATGCTCGACAACCGCCCAATAGCGGCTTGTTCTTCGTTATCGCCGTTGAAATAATTGTTGTAATTGGCCAACTCGGATGATGGAGACAAAGGCTTCTTTTCACCAAGAGCCCGGTCTTCAGTGTACAGATCATCACCGGGGGGACTTTGCGCAGTTTGTACAGAGTTGTTGCCAGGTTTTATTGAAGGTGCGGCCAAAGGAGGACTTGGAAGGTTTACTATCTCGTTTGAGTTCTTGACGTTTTGCTCTTGTTCAGCTGGTGGAACCACAGGAAAGTAAGGATTTATGTTCCCCAAAGATGCAGCTTTGTTCGCACTGAAAGAAGACCGTCGGGCAGTGTGGACGCCCTGATTCTCCTGAATAGATCCGCTCGAGAGCTCGTCGTCCCGTTCGTCAACAGCTCCATCAAGTTTACCCATCCCGATCACGACCTGGTGCAGAATTTCCCGTTCAAAGATCTTCCTCTCATAAGCTGTGAAGTCCCCGCAATGTTCAACGTCAATTTCATGGGCCCGGCTTAATAGCAACACTACCGCATGCCTTGCCGGGCCGCTAACCATACTGTTGGGGCTTAGAAGCAAAGTTCCCAGGATGGGTGTGAAGGACTGGACCGATATGACAGTGACGTCGTCAGCCACCTCTAACAACTGCTGCTCCTCGTCGACGGCAGTGTCAACAAGTCTACAGTGCTGCGACCAATAGTTAGGTTGTCAATGTTGAATCACCTTGAACGCTACTTACTGTGAGATAGTACCATATGATGTCCGGTAACTCTGCTGCTAGAGCCTCCTTGACGGCCTCTTCTGAGGGCTGGGTCAGTCTCAAGAGCGGTGTAGCAACTCTCGAACGTCACCTTCGTCCATAGCCAAGTTGGGCAACAGGGGTAATACATATTCCACAGCCTCCAGCGGGGTGATTTGCATGAGGAAGTTGGGCAGTGCATGGGAGATGAATACCCTGTCCACAGCGATCAGCGCCCGAATGGCTACAAAAGTGCAGAGCTTACCTGTGATGGGTAGCTCTGCTACGTGAAAATAGGTATATTTTCTCGAGAGTATTTAGCCCTTCGTCTTCAAAAGTGAAGTCTAATGCGAACTCGGGCGTAGCAAGTAGCTCTGGAGAAGGTATGGTTTCTAGCTCAGCAGGTGGTGGTGAGGGGTGCTGAGCGGATGCTGGAGGTTGTGATTCGGCTGCCAGGGGTGGTGGGTGGATGTAGATACCCGCATCTCGTGGGACTGAGGGTGAGGGTACAGCTTCGGTCTGCGGCGAAGCTATGGGGGTGGATGGAGCCGTGTAAAAGACAAGGCCTGGAGAGGAGGGAGGTGTTTCAAAGGGGTTGTCCGCGGCTGGTGATGGAGAGGAGACAGGAGAGATGGAGTGCCTGACCATGGAGGGGGGAGCAAGGTTAATGTACGAGGGCGGTGTCGCCGTCCGAGAGGAGGAGGGCTGAGGATTAGGCTGGGTTGAGGCCTGCTCGACGAGAACATTGGCTTGATTGGTTTGGGAGGGGCGAGGATGAGACACTACGATGCCCATCGTCGACGGGAGAGGATGGAAGGGATCTTGCTTGAGGGAGAAGAGGAAGAGGAAGAATATAGGTGACCTACTAGGAGTAATGATAACCTTCGAAGAAGAGGTTGAACGGATACAATGTGTATGACACGAGGAGCCGGCGCTGGTTTTGGTGTGAAGGAACGAGTCTAGATATGACGCAAAGCAAAGGGACCACTCAGACCAGACAGAACGTCTCTAACATCTCGGAGACCGAAATGTGTGTCTGGAAATCTGGAGGACCAGAATTAACCGGTCAAAAAAGGGGTTTAAACTGGAGAGAGCTGCTGCGTTGGCAGACTGTTGGTCCCAGGTGGCCCGGAGTGGCTAGGTCGGAGGTCGGGGCGATGGACGGGGAGGACGGGCGTGTCGGGAAGAATGGCCAAACTGGTTTGGAAGGATCCAATAATCCAGACGGGCGAAGAAAAGGACGGCGGCCACTCGGATGGAGTTGGCGTCTCCAGCCTGCCAGAATTCCAGCGGAAATGAGGGATGAAATGGGGGAGGGAGCAATTTGGACCACAAAGTGTCCAAGGCCACCCAGGTTCCTAAGGTCCAGAATCGGCATCATATTTTTTCGGTGATGTCATTACCTTCATATGGCCTGAGATGCCACGCGGCTCCTTTCCTTGGGCACATAACGCCAATTCATGCACATGATAAGTATAAGGGCTTAAACGTTACTAGTACTAGTACACCATCAACACCGCCAAATAGTGCCCTATACTAACAGGGCTTCTTCAACCATTGCACGTCGCTCTATTACAACTCCCCTCTTACGACCTTATCAAGGCTTTCCGCTACGTACCGGATGTTGTGAGTATTTAACCCGGCCATCGATATCCTGCCGTTCGTCGTGAGATAAATGTGTGCTTTCTCCGTCATGGATTTGGATTGGTCCGTGTTAATTCCCGTAAAGCTGGAAGTCCGTGAGTGACTCTGACCCCTGTGTCTTCGCTCAAGAATCGTGAACCGACCTGAACATGCCTATTTGGTTGATAATATGGTCCCAGTTTCCAGGCGTGTGCAGCTCCTCCGTCAGCAGGTGGTGCAACTCCTTGCGCATCGTTATGATACGTTCAGCCATGGTCTTGATGTCTTGGTTCCACTCAGCGAACAAAGTCGGATTGTTCAAGATCAACGCAACCTGTGGAGTCATATCATCGTCTGAACAAAAGTCGATAGCTCTTCGCGAGTGCCTACCACGCGAGCACCGTATGAAGGAGGGTTGCTGATCTCGCTCCGCTGCAACACAGAGAGCTGACTTCTCACTCGATCCGCTGCTTCCTTGGTCGGTGACACGAGGTGGAGAGCCCCGACACGCTCGCCATAAAGCCCGGCATTCTTGGCAAAACTCTGCAATTTAATATAAATGAGCCTTCATCCATAGGCCTCAAACTTCTTTGATGATACACACCTGACACACGAGCATCGGCACGCCCCTCTCGACGAAGTGCCTGACGGCCCAGTTGTCCCGGTCCAGGTCGCCGCTAGCGAAGCCTTGGTATGCACAATCAAAGAACATATAATGGTTCTTGGCTACGATTGCTTTGGCAATCTGCTGCCACTGTTCTTGGGTAGGGTCCACTCCAGTGGGGTTGTGGGCACACGCATGAAGTAGGAATACCGATCCAGACGGCGCATCCGAGATCGAGTTCATTAGGCCATCAAAGTCCAGCCCGATAGTCTTTGGGTCATAGTAAGGGTAATCGACAGGCTCGATACCAACATTGCGGAAGATAGCCTGGTGGTTTGCTAAACATACGCCATTGAACGTTACTGTTAAGGCAGAAAATGAATCCGACTTACCCCACGTGGGATTACTCAAGTAGACCTGCTTGCTCCCATTCCAAGTGTAAAACTTGCTCAGGAAGAGAGCGCCGAGGTGGTTTGCGCCTGTACCTGAAATGGTCTGCACACTGACTACGCGCCCATCGCGAAGAGCAGGAGAGTCAGATCCCAAGATAAGTTTCGCCGCAGCACCAGTAAACTCAGGCAGGCCAGTAATTGGCAAGTATTCATGATCGAGATTAGGGTCATTGACCAAGATTTGGGTAGCCTAAACATGATGTTAGCGATGAGCGCAGGTAACGCGAACTAAACTCGCCTTCTTCACAACAGGAAGAACCCATGGCTTGTTGTCGTTGTCCCTGTAGGCACCAACACCAAGATTCACTTTCTGCGGGAAGGTATCGGCCTTGTAGGCAGCAGTCAACTTGAAAATGCTGGGAACATTTCTATTTCAGCCCAAATTCGTGCACATCGACTGAGACGCAGCTGACCTGTCGGGCGGAGCGAGAGGAACATTCTGCCAAATCTCTATCGGGAAGGGTTGTCAAGAATGAGAAGTACGGTGTAGTCTTGAGGCACACCTGCGGACATGTTTCTTGAAGTCGAAAGGTGGTCGCGTACTTGGTGAAGCCTATTCGCCATGAATAGATGTTAGTAGCTGTTTGAGGGATCGGGCTAGTAAACGTGGTAATGCGTGAAGGGGATAGGTGAGAGCGTTATGTATGCATATGTCGGTCTCAGGCAGCAGACCGGCACGGGCAGACACGAAAGCGTACGCATGTGATAGTACGAGCACCGCGATGAATCATGTACATGCAGGGATCAAGCTCACCTGTTTTGTCTGGTCCTAGAGTTGGGTGATGATCAAATAGCGAGGGTTGCGATTCTGGACTAGATGCGGGTTTAAATGAAGCAGGCGAAATGTAAGTTATAAGGGCAAGAACCGTCAACCAGTTGCGGGCAAACGCTCATGATCACAAGATGGGCATGTGAGTTACTAAATAATCTTGATCACTAGATCTTACTTGGTCCACTCTCGATCAAAGCTCCGCGGGACCAGCGGCTTCCCGTTCGTCGTCTCCACCGCTATAGCTCCTCCATAACCGCTAAGAGCGCTGCCAGCGTTTCATAGAGAAGCCAGATATACCCCTGATGATTCGTGAATGCGGCGGACATGGAGCTGATGCGGCGGCGCACCAACTTACTCCATTCTTGCAAGGTCCTCAACTCACTCCCACTCTGGCAAAGTGCAATTGTGTCCGAGCGTGCTAAGCAATATTAAAGAGCAGTCTATTAAACCAAGATACAGCCCAGAAAGGTAGCTCTAGGTGATGTTCGTTGGAAGGGAGAGCCTACGGTACTAGCGTGGTATCATGAAATGAAATGCAAACATAAATACGTGATAGATGTCGGGTCTACCTCAAGGCGCCTAGTGAGAGTTCGCCATGCTGTCTCGATGCGACAGGGTGATGGACACCAATAGTCGTGAATGCTAACGGCTGACCCGTTAAACAGTGGTCATCTTAGAAGCCACCGTGCGCTCGCTCTCTAGCTTTGCCTTGTTGCGCTCGTAAGCTTGTTGACGACAGTCCTCAAGCTTGTTGCAATTGTGGTGCTCTGGGAGACGATGCTAGACATTGGGATAAGCCAAGGCTCGGGGGAGATAGGGAAAGCTCACCGTTCCGCAGAACTCAGCTCGACAATGTGGGCACTGCCCAACTATGCGGAGAGCTGCAGAGTTGCAAGGAGTCTCGTTTTGGAGTTGGCAGCGCTTCTTGGGGGCCATGATAGATGGGTGATGACGGGGTGGTAGCGGTGAGTTGAAGGCAAGTCTGGGCGACGGGCGATTAGAGATAGTAAGAGGGAAACATCTCAAACAGCTTACAGTAGCGAGCAGGAGGTCAGCAGAGGAGATAAAAGGCGGGTCGACGGAGGGAGCAGGAGTAAGTGTCCGAGTAGGAGTGAAAAGCAGTCTTATATAGACCTACACAGCTCGGGACGCGTCAGCCCAGTCTCCACGAGGAGAGTTGCCTTATCGAGCGGACCCTACGGAATGTGGCACTGCCGTCAACTCACAGTCAGGAAGCCCCACAGCGCCTATTCGGGGACGGACCGGGCCATCCTGTCGGCAGGCGCTTCCCGAGGCAGTTGCACCTCTCTACGGAGCCATGCTTATCCCGAATCAGTCCTCGGTGAAATTTTCAGGAAGATCTCCAAGCATGTATAATCATCTACTACACTACATCAGCCGACCTTTTTAAAATGAAACCCTTACTCCTAATCTTTGATCGGGTCTATTTTTCTTCTATCATAGCGTTGGTGAGCGTCTTAATGACGGATCCACGGATAGGGCAAAATAAAGCATCATTCGGCTACATCTGATCTGAGAGCACCCCAAAAATCGTTCCGACGCCGGGAATCGAACCCGGGGCTGCTGTGATCAGATAATATGAAAGACAGCAATGTTAGCCACTACACCACATCGGATGATGAATACGTTAACACAAGCACAAATATATAATGCACTAAAGCGCCGTGATCTAACGCGACTAATCTGCGTCTGAAAGTTTGGCACCTATCTCACTTCATTGCTTTCCTCTTTGTTGTCTGACATTATTTGTGAACTTCGCATATATGGCTTCTCTACCTACTCGCCAAAAGCTATGGGGAGGTAGATTCACCGGGAACACCGATCCTTTGTCAGTGTTTCTCTTCGCGAGTGGAGATTGACACCATTCAACCACTGCCAGGATGCATGAATTCAATCAATCTTTGAGCTATGATCGACGCATGTATGATGCAGACATTCGCGGTTCCAAGGCCTACGCAAAGGCGCTGACTCGCGTTGGCATCCTCACACATCAAGAAGAAAGTTCCATTATTGAGGGGCTGGAGAAAGTTAGGAAGGAATGGGCCTCAGAGGTATCGTGATGTCTCGTCAATGGTCTCCCTCATGTTCTTAAGAGGCTCTCAGGAAGGATTCAAAATTCAGCCTGATGATGAGGATATTCACACCGCAAACGAACGTCGTCTGAGCGAGCTCATCGGCCCAACTGGGGGTAAACTTCACACTGGTCGTTCTCGCAACGATCAGGTAGCTACCGATATGCGACTTTGGCTTCTGGACGAAGTATCCGCAATTGAAGACAGTCTGCGAGGTTTGATACGAGTGATGGTAGAGCGTGCAGATAAGGAGAAGAATTTTCTCCTGCCGGGCTATACCCATCTGCAAGTACGTAACAATGTCGTCCAGTCCAGTTTCCTCCCTGAACCGTCTCCCTTCGCAGCGCGGGCAACCAATCCGATGGGCGCATCTCTTGCTCTCCCATGCCTTTTCTTTCCGCTATGACCTTGAGCGCCTGCAACAGCTTATTCCCAGAATCTCAGTGTTGCCTCTGGGAAGCGGGGCGTTGGCCGGGAACCCTTTCGTGGTTGATCGCGAGTTCCTGGCCAAAGAACTAGGTTTCCTGTCCGTTGCTGAGAACAGCATGTGGGGAGTCGGCGATCGAGACTTTGTCGTCGAGTTCATGATGTGGGCGAGCTTAACTATGACACACATGAGCCGATTGTCCGAGGACTTGATTATCTACTCAACCGCTGAGTTTGGCTTTGTGACTTTGAGTGATGCCTACAGGTAAAGTTATGCTTTTGCCGATGGTATCCAATCCTGACGTATGGTAAAATAAAACATCAGCACTGGCTCCAGTATTATGCCACAAAAGAAGAATCCCGACTCGCTAGAACTCCTCCGTGGTAAATCAGGGCGAATTTTTGGCAATGTAAGTCATTGTGAAGAGACTAGCTTCACCTCTAATACCAAATAGATGGCCGGCTTCGTAATGACTCTTAAAGGCTTACCCTCGACTTACAACAAAGATTTGCAGGAGGATAAGGAACCTTTGTTTGACACTGTCGACAACATTTCCAAGTCGCTGCAGATTGCTGAGGGCGTGATAGCCACAATGAAGGTGCGTGACAATTGCACATTGCGGAAGACTGGCTAATCAGTATGTCTATGACAAGGTGCATAGCGATAAAATGCGACAGGCCCTCACTATGGATGTCCTCGCAACTGATCTCGCTGAATATCTCGTCAGGAAAGGGGTACATACCATTTGATTGGATATATATGCTGTCAGCTAAACAAGAAACCACTCATCAGGTTCCATTCCGCGAAACCCATCACATTTCAGGCCGCGCGGTGGCCTTGGCAGAGTCCCAAAAATGCCAGCTCAATGAGCTAACTGCTGAGGACTTCAAGAAATTGCATGATCGGTTCTCGGAAGATGTCGTACAAGTGTTCGACTTTGAAAGGAGTGTGGAAAGGAGGTCTGCAATAGGTGGTCCGAGCATGAAAACGGTGGAAAGGCAAATCGCTGTTTTGAGAGAGATTGTGCAGTGATGATGAAGTGCGGAGTATATATGCCGGCCTGGTTAACCGATACACACAATGAACACAATGAAACAGCATGCGCAGTCGGCTTGAGCGGCTACCTGCAAAGTCATGTGCGGTGTACGTTTCAACAGTGTCTTTCAAAGTTTCAGCAGGGTCAGTAGGGGAATTGGACAGGAGTTTGCTGTGCGCTGAACACAGCTCGTCAAACCCCTGTTTCTGTTTGTTGTTATGTATGTGCGAGCCGTTGCAATTGCAGTGTCCCTTGCAATTAACCATCAAACGCAGTCGCTTAACATCCCCCCAGTCCTTCCTCTCTCAAGTGCTCGCGCAGGCCCGTCTCGCACTCCATCCGCTTCGTGCACCCCAAGATCTCGCTCTCTTCGTATCTCTTCATCCTTTTGACCACCCGAGTCCAATATGGACAGACTAGCAGCAATGAGGGTATGTCAAAAGTACTTCTGCCCGTCTGCTAAGCAACTCGGTCAATGTGATATGCTCCTTGTCAGGCCCAGCAAGGCGGAAATCCATACGTCCGTCAAAACGATTCATACGAGATGTCGGATGTCAAGGACAGCTCGACGAACCTGACTGCGCCCATGGGTGGGGCTTCGGGCGATGATATGTCTTCGTTCTATTCCGAGGTTGGGAGCATACATTATCGCCCGCTGGCGAGTTGGTTTTTGACTACTCTCACTTTTAGATTTCCTCTATCCAGGATGAGCTAAGAACCTTCAACGCCAATGTTTCCAGAATTGATGAACTCCACTCCCGGTCACTCAACAATACCGACGAGCTCGCCACTCAACGCAACAACGAGATGCTTGAGGAGCTCATAGCTGATACTAGTGCACTAAGCGGAGCTCTCAAGCGCCGTATCAAGGCTCTGGAGAGGCAGGGCGGAGCGGGCCGCGATGGACAAATTCGCAAGCAGCAGGTATGCCTTGTGTCACAATGCGGGACTGTGCTTATATCGCATCAAGACGGCCTTAGTCAAGTCCAAATTTGTCGATGCCATTCAAAGCTACCAGATGGTGGAGCAGCAATATCGTCAGAAGTATAAGCAGCGCATGGAACGGCAATTTAAGATCGGTAAGTATTTAGCCAACCTACACATCATAACTTCACCGTTCCCGTCCAGTTAAGCCCGATGCTACTCCGGACGAGGTTAGGGCCATTGTGAACGACGAGAGCGGTGGTCAGATCTTCAGCCAAGCGGTATGTTGAAAGGTAACTCGATTGATGTTGTCTCACACTTGAACAGCTTATGAACTCAAATCGCTATGGCGATTCGCGGGCAGCATACCAAGAAGTGCAAGAACGGCACCAAGATATCAAGCGCATCGAGCAGACAATCGCCGAATTAGCACAACTCTTCAACGATGTACAAACTTGCTATTTATGTCATGGACATTATACTAATGTCCAATTCCTAGATGAGCGTTCTCGTCGAACAGCAAGACGAGCAAATCAACACCATTGAGGCTACGGCCACGGACGTGGAGAAGGACATGGAAGCCGGGTGCGCCAGATCTTCTCTTTCCGGCTGTGTCGACTAACTCGAATGCCAGTCTGGGCCACACTGTGAAGGCTGTTGATTCGGCCCGTTCGGCGCGCAAGAAGCGATGGATTTGCTTCATATTGACTGTCATTATCCTCATTATCATCGCAATCATCGTGGTAGTTGTCATAAAAAACAATAGCAACAGTGGCAAGTAATCACAGCCTCACCTATGTCATTTACCAGTGATTCTTTCGATATCCCTAGCGTTCATCTAACTTACTTTTCCTCATCTTATACGTGATTTACCCCTTTTCTTTCTATCAACACAATCGTGTTAGATATCTGAATTGTCGAAACACGGACCACACTAGTCATTGATACCGGATTTCTCTTGGTTACTTTTATCTAAGGACAAAATTTAGGTGTCGTTCAGTCGTCAATAAACTCCAAGTCTTAAGGGTATCAGACTATGTCTTCTACACCCTCTTCAACGCATTGATGCCACAGAAGCATACATAGGCGAGGGCAGCAACTGATACATAGATGATAACACGCCCGTTGAAGTCGTTCTCAGTGAGGAAGGGGTAAGGAACTACATTGATGTTGTGAGCGTCTCCCGCCTCGAAGGATAGTATGAATGTGTTCTCACATGAGCCATTGAACATCGCACACCATTCTGCCCAGCTGGCATACCATATAGTAGAAACCAAGACGACCAGAGGTGCCACACCCTTTACCTGTTTCGCAGGGTATCTCTTTTCAAAGGCAAAGAAGTCGATGAGAAGGGAGATCAATGGAGAAGCGTGTAAAGCGAGGTCGACATTAAGTGGAATCCTCAAGAGCTCGGGAACAGCCTCAGACGAGGGCTCCTGTTCCGTAGACATCTTTTGGAGAATGAGCGAAGGGAACAAGAGGAGTAATGTCCAGTATATCGAAGAGATGACAAATGCCAGCTGCAGGCGAGAGCGGTTATCACACCATTGGATGTCGGGATAATAACTTACGGGAAGGGCTATCATTAGCAAGGTCCTCTTGAGGACTCGGGCCCCTGGGCGTGTGGTGTGTTACACGAGCTGTGAATGCTGATAGGAAGCGCGGCGTACCATTGCCCATCGGCAGAACGTCACAAACTAGGCTTACGACCATGGTGAGCCATGCTACCGCAAGTCTGTCGATGCACAGTGAGCACACCGACGGTCTTGAGCTTGTGAGCTTACCCTTGAATCGTCAAGTACTGGAAGTGACCGCCCTTCTGTGTAATGATGAAGTTGTTTACTGGCAGTGAGTGAAGGGCTAGAAAGCCATAGGCCATGATCGCAGCAGCAGATCCGTGTAGCAAGGAGGGTGCCAGTGGAATACTCATTGTTATGCTGCAATGATATCACTGAGGTTAGTGAAAAGCAACTTAAAAGATTTACGGGATGAATCGATGAAGGGTAAGCACGAGGAGGTCCAGCTGATGTCAACAGCGTAAAGTTGATGGTTGTCGACCATTGACATAAAGTCTCCGAGGTGGAGACGCCGGATGCACAATAGTGCATCCGTACACGACGAGCGTAACTGCGCATAGTATTCGAGTTCAAGCATTCAATACAAACGGAGAACGCGTTATAGGGTCACGCATATGAGTACAATGACATTGATAAGAAAACAACTGCAAGTATTCCAATTTCAGGACTGTCTAATTATAATATGTACAAATGCACGAGAGTAACTCTGGAAATCGATTAGGACTAAATAACAGAGCCAATAACATATGATATATCTGACCTACCACCATGGACCTGAGGCTTCCTTGTGTAAAGGCCGACGGTGAAGGGCAATATAAATCAAATCATGCCCTTCCACGTCTTCCAGAGCCTCAGGGTCACGCAAAGCGCGACAACCGCCGCTATGAGGCTCACGAAGAAAGTCAACTGCCAGCACTCCACCCCCTTGCACACGCCATACGACTGATGCTGGCGATCCGCAACGAAGGCATATAAGTATGAGAAACACGGTGTGCCAATGAAAGGCGCGTATGTGAGAACGCCGTAGTTGCGTCCTAGATTCGGCATGCCCCATATCGAAGAAACAAGGCTTGGCCTGACATGAGGTCGGCAAATGAATGCGCGGGAAGAGGGGAAAGGACTCACAACACCGTGAAGGCGCATCCGTAGGCGATGCCAACTCCAGCACTACATGAATGAGTACGTTGACAGTCATAATAATGATGGCCTTACCTCAGAGCCCAGAGTGAAGCCTCAGAGCGAACTCCAAAAACCATCCAGCTGAAGGTCAGAGCAAGGGCGGTGGTCGAGAATGTCAAGAACAAAACACGGCTCATGTGGTGTTTCCTTGCAAAACTTCTTTCACCAGAAGGAAGGAGGGATGCAACAGGTGATATGAAATCCGCCAATGGGCCAACCAAGAGGCGAGAGATCGTGTTTGCAAGGGAGAGAATCCTAACTTGAAGGGAGGTCGTTGCATCGCTCGACGCTTCAAAGGCCTTAACGATAGAAGATGACTGTGCGGGCACAGAGAGAACAATGGTCCCAATATTTGACAACACCATCTCACTCTGGAAAACTCATGAGTGTAAATAGTGAAAAAGCTGGAGTGCAACGCACGGATCCAAGGACAACGAAGGTGACAAATGCTAACAGCCAAAAGTTACCGTCCCTCAGAAGATCAGCAACGGCATCAGCCTCCTCCACTGGAATGACTTGCACTTGAGCTTGAGGCCGCTTCCCAGGGATCAGTGATGTATTCTCATCTGCTACTGCCTCTGGATCATCTTCAGCCTCAGACACGATGTCACTGTCAACTCTGGCGGAGGCCGGTATGGTCAACGCCAAAGCGCCGAGAAGATGGACTGAGCCACATAGAATGCAGAGGAATTGGAGGTAATGTGTCACATCTAGCCCATTTTGAGGGGTTGAGAAGAACGTTGATGCTACCAGAGAGAAAAACATCGGGGATAGCCCGAACAGAGCCATCATGGTTCCAGAAGCCATCCCGATAAAGTCCGGAAAGTTCTTGGACGCAGAAAATACCGATGAGAAATACGAGAAGACTGTGCCCAAGCCCGCAATGAAGAAATAGAGAGTGAGGTGGTGGAATGAGCTAGATGATGGCTGGGAAATATCATCCGGAGTCTTTGCGATTTCCCGAGCGAAAAGCCCAAAGCCGGACGAGAACAGACAGGCGGAAACCAGCGAGCAGGCCCATGGACCGTAGCGGTCAATGACCTTGCCCACGACTGCGGCAAAGGGATATTGTCCCATCATCCCACTTAGCTGAATGTAAGTATACGTCCACGCCGGGCCGCAGAAATGGCAAACTCACGCCAAGGCGATAGTGGTGAGCTGTGGCTGGGTGAGCTTCAGGTGAGCGACAAGTGCAGGGGACATGAGAGGGAACGTGAACACGCCGCCTGCGCATAGCCTAGTGTGTGTACAATGTGAGCACGGGGTAGCTGGATGTGACTGGATTGTACGAACGCATTTGCAGCTGCAGATATGCAAGTAACGAAGAGGTTCAGATGACGGATATGAGACATGTTCGCTAGTGGCCGAGCTCAGCTGTGAGTAGATTAGAGATGATATGGTGGGTATCTAAGGACCATAGGGATGGCTAGTAGAGGAAACAGTAGCCCTTAGTACGTGATGAGAGTATGACTAGGAAAGGAGTGTGTGTAGTAGGAGGGGCTTACCTGTCCTGTAGTCCGAGATCCCGCATTGACTATATATGCCTCCTTCCTTATTGGACTCGGTGTCGCCAGCAGCAGCCAACCAAGTCCCCCGGTCCGACGGAGAAACCGAAGGTCTCAGTTCGCAGTTTGCGATCTCCAAGACATTCTGCCCCCTTGTCCTTCTTCATCGGTCTTCTTCGGTAGGGCGTGTTCTCGAAGAGCTCGTGATTTACGGGTCTGTGACAGAAGCCAATATTAATATGAGGACATAAAAGGTAACAGTCGAATCCGGCACAATAACGTCTTGTCATCCAGCAAGCACACCAAAGACAAACAAAAGAGTCTGTTGTTCTCGACTTCAATAATAACCATTGATTGGTTACTTAAAAGCAACTTTGGATGGCACCCCGCTACCACGTTTCTCTCGTGAAAACGCTCAGCGGAGCTTCGCAATAGGTTTCCACTCCTTCCTCCATCGTCCTCCGGAAGGACTGGGTGTTGGCTAGGCATCGAAGTTTGAGACTCGAAGCTCGAAGACTTTGTCAATCTCGGATTGTACTGGCTACAATTGATCCATCATATTTTCTGCTACTGTACACTCTTGTTCTTTTGGGCTTTTCTCTTGTGCGACACATGCCCCTGCCTGTATTTTACAAGGCGCGTTCGATCTTCTTCGGTATGTTCCTCACTTTCAGCTCTTGCTCTTGGTGGTGACGCCTCCTCCAGCCTGTATCATCATTGTTTGTTTAGTATGGATTGTGCTTTTTTCGGTGGATTTATTTGCAAGATGGGATTCTATCGATGTCTTTGACCGTAAGCAATCAACACTGCGCCGAGATAAAGCCACCTTATGTTGTTGCCCAGGCTCTCTCATCTCCATTTTCATTCTTACCGACACAGTCACTGTCATCATGTTACCTATCTTGTATGTCATTGTCCTCCCTGTTCTGACTCACTTGACCTATCAACTTAGATTAATCTTGCATTTTCGTGTCTGGCTCGATGCTGCACGCCTATTCTTGTTGTTGACCATCCACATAAGTACGTAGTCTCGTTCATCACGTTTCTTTTAATCTGAGTTCGAGTAGGTTCTGCGGGTGTTTTCACATCCCAGCAAATGAGTCCTGTCCAAGGTTGTTTTAGCAAAGGTAACCCTCGAATTCAAGGTTTGTACCAAGTGTTATGCTCACCATACTTAACAAAGAAAACAATGAACTTGCCACATGCAAAGTAATGAACACGTTGACGTTGGTTGCCTGCTGGATGGTGCCTGTGCTTTGTGAGTACCTGTGGCATAAGTGTCGACGGGTAAACTGACAAGGCAATAGTGATACTTTATGCGGGCTTTCTTTCTTGCGTCGTTTGTCTATCCTCCCGCTTGAATGAATCTGATGTCGAGCCCGACACAACACTCGAGAACAAAAAGAAAGATGCATCTCATCATGCATCATTACTTCCGCTTATGGGCCCAATCCCAGACCTTATTATGCCGAACAACGTACAACGAGATACCACGAAACATTGGTCGGTTCCAATAACACCGACGAACCCAAGTATATATTCCATGGACTCCCATCGACCTTCTCGCAGTTTTCTTCCTCAGCCCCCTCCTTTTGTAGCACTTCCCCCACGTCTACAGCACGGTACCAGGGTCGAGATTGCATGAACCTATGACTGTGCTAACAACCTTCGCAGGTTCTTTAACAACCGAAGCCGCGGCATTCGCAGTTGGCCAGCGGTCTCGAGTGTGACGGAAATATTAGCATGGTCATAATCTAAATCAGCTGGAGCTTGTCTTGGACTCATCGTCTTTTTTGTTATAGCCACTAATAATTATAAACGTTGACGCTTGCTTCGGCTAAATGCATCTCATGTTCACGCCCATATATGCATGATGTTTTACTACCTATACGGATCCCGACCGATCCTTTTACGTTGCTTAAAATTTTACGGGGATGCCGTGACTAAAGGTGAAGAGATGTTGGTTGCGTAGGTACAGAAAGGTACGAGACTACTTTAGTTCAGAATTTACCGCCTTTTACCGCGGTAAACCGCGTGCGGTCAAGTAAACCCGCTTTGAGTTTGAGTGCTAGGGGAGAGGGCGTTGGTCAATTCGTTTTCTCGGTTTCTCTACCTACTTCAGCCTTCAAGCTTCATCTCCGTCCTTCCGGACCTACGGTGGCTGACAAGGGTTGCTCTTGACGTCTTGTCTTCGGAACCCTTGTCTCCACCCTCTCGTTTCAATCTTCCGCCATGGCAGGCATGTCAGCCTGGGACTCAACTTCGGTCAAGGTACGCGGACATACAACCTGACTTGCGTGTTTCTCTCAATCACTTGCCTCAGGCGACATTGAGAACCGCCGCGCAGCGCCTGGGTCAACTTCAAAGCCTGAAGGACACTCACGGACGGGCCCTTCGCCGCGAAATCGCAGATTTATTGCAGCAAGGCGATGCCTCCCAAGCACGGGCTAAGGCCCAGAGTCTTCTTCGCGAGGAAGCAGATGCAGATCTCATGGAGATATTGGAAATGCACATAGGTGTTATCCTGGAGCGGTTTCGGGAACTTGAGGAGGGGTGAGTCGAGTGCACACTTGGTCACGATAGTGAACTCAACGCGTCATACTAGAAAAGCGACAACTCCGGTATTTATTGAGGCTGCTGGAAGCATCATTGTAGCCGCGCCTAGTGTGTCACTTCCAGGTGAGTCTGCGACGACTTTCCACGTATCACCTGCTTCACCTCCATAGACTTTAGTGTCGTGCGCAACATCTTGGTTCATCGTTTAGGTCATCAGTTCGCCCGTTTCGCAATTGAACAGCAGAACGGCCATGTATCACCACGAGTGAGGTTCATTGATGGTTTGGGGAGCCCATGCTGACAACGTACAAGGTCTTGCGAATCACCTCCTCGCCTTCTCCGTCAGCCGCTACGATGAACCAGTTCCTCCATGGCATCGCTGCGAGCCATGGTATTTCCTGGGTTTCCGAACCTTTGCGCGAGGACATGTCAGTCCTTGACCTTTTGCGCTATTGAAAACTGCTGAAGTTTGTAGTCGAGATGTTCTTCTTCGAATCTTGGACCCTGTCGGGTCCCACATGGTGGACCTGGGCCAATTGCGACACATGTGCGGGCAAGGTGAAGCCTTTCCTTACTGCCCTGGTTGCTATGTCACATATACTAGACAGGCATCCCCGATAATCCTTCATGGTTACGACCTCGCGTATGGAAGTATGTGTTGACTTCATTCTTCTTTGCTGAGACTACCATGCTTATTCTTATAGGCTCTTTCTGGGAAATTTGCCTGCTTCGAAGGCCTCGTGGTCTAAAGATTCAGAAAGTCAACGAAGGAGTTACTATGTAAGCTACTGTGACCGTAAGACCGCCACTCCCCTCTAACACAAGGGCTTCAGGATCTGGTACAGCGTCTATTACCGGTTGTGGGCACTTCACTTGGGGATCAGCCCTCGACTTCCCACGGCAATCTCTTCACATTTGCCACTCTCTTGCTGAATTTGCCGACCCACCTCTCGAGTGTATTGGTAGACGAACCCATTTGGCTGAAAACAAGCCCCTCAAGCCAAGATACCGATACTGATACGAAGGACAATCGCGCCGGGGCCCTGAATGCTAGATTAATATCCCTCCTTCACAATCAATCTGAGTCCACCGACCAGAAAGTACGCGCTGAAATGAAGCGCTTGGAAAAGATGGACTTGGCCAGGCTCGACGGCAGTTCTTCTGGCAACGACGACATTCACTATGCCCACTTCTCGGCACTCCTGCGCATCCTGTTCGTTCATTCATGCCTCCATCCAATGAAGCCACCTCCGTGCTTGCCTTCTGTATTGGTCCCTCTTTATTGTGTCTTCATGAAAGAGCAGGACCCCGCCGACTTAGCACATACTGAGGCCGATACCTTTTGGGCGTTTCAATCCCTCGTCAGCGAGTTTGGCGAACTGTATGAACAGGAAGGGAGTCGCAAATGGATGAAGACCCTAAGTGAGATGTTGACTGTAGCAGACAAAGAGCTCGCCGAAGACCTAGTAAGTGACGGACCCTGCTTCTTTCTGACCGCCAACCTTTTCCATTAGCACGCGAAAGGGCTAGACCCTGCACTGCCACATTATTCCTAGTGAGTGATACGATTTACATAAAGTTTCCTCTTGTTGATATGTCCGCATGAAGCTCTTGGATCGCTGGTCTCCTGTCCCAGAATCTTCCTTTCTCTTCTGCATGCGCGGTATGGGATGTACTCCTGTCGAAACCCATGAGAAGGCGAGACTCAAGCCCCAAGCTTGATCTCCTTGTTGACATCTGCACCGCTCTCCTTGTCCGAGCAAAGGTTCCTCTTATGTGGTAAGTCTTCCTCAAAAATTCCAACGTTCCTTATCGAGGTCTCATGATATGGCATAGTTTAGGGAAGTCTGAACACCACGTTTCGACTCCATGGGTCGAGGAAGACCTAGCCCGCAGACCACCTTCACCTCTCCGCCCATGGGAGCTTAGCGATGCTTTTTCCGAAGGAATGACTTTGCTTCAGACCTACCCTGTTGAAACAGCAGGAGGAATTGATAGCATCCTTCAAACTGCCCATGACATCTCTCAGAGACGATCTGACGACGGTAAGGCTCAGAATGCGACAACGTTAGGTTTGGGAGGGCGGCTGGCGAACGCCATGTGGAAGGGCTTTACAAACCAAGTCTCCGAGGAAGGCGAGGATTCGTCTCCGGAAGAAGAATCTGAGGACAGCTCAGAAGAGGAGGTCGTTGAAGGTGCCGAAGATGGAAATGAGACAGAGACGCCCGGGCTTACTTCTCGCCTCGCTAACACCGTCTGGAGAGGTATCACTAACCAAAGCTCAATGGATCCTGTCGATTCTCCTCCGAGTCCTCTATCGCCACCACATTCTCCCCTCGCATCCCCTCCACCACAGCTTGAAGCAGCCAAGGAGACTAATCCATCCTTCTCTCCTGGGCTTTGGAATTACGCTGAAAATCTGAAAGATTCTGACGCGGCGGCAACAATAGCCAAGGTAAGCTCGAACTGGCGAGCGAGAGCTTGGGATGTCTGGAGTAGTCGAACCTCAAAAACGTCGATGTCGGAAATATCTTCTCCTATGAGCACAGTTTCTGAGCTCCCTCCTACGACCAAGGCCTCACCTTCTCTCCGTGACCACTTTCCTCATGCTGGCAGGCGAGGCTCGTTGCCAGACATCGTTGACAATGACCTCCCACCACGGCCTGCTTTCTTCCGCCTACCGCGGGATAGCTTCTTGCCTCAACCGCGGAGGGGCAACTCATCGGCGACCGATAATCCTTCCAATTCAGGTGCACACGGAAGTGACTCCCTGTATAACATGTCTTTGGCTTCTTTATCCAGTATTTTAGGCAATCCGAAATCTCCATCTCCATCCGCTGGCCCTACCGCGAATGGAAGCGGACCTCGACCATTGCTACTTACCTCACACTCACCGATCACCCCTCGCACTTTTGCTTCAGCAAACTCATCTTCGCGGTCGACTAGCACAACCTCAATCACGCAGTGGTCCAATATACCGATCGGACATTCGACACAAGCCTCTGTATCCTCTCTGTCATCCCTCTCACCATCTGAAGCTTTCTTCATATCGGCAAGACAGAGCGCAACGTCCCGGTCTGACCGGGAGTCGGATCTTGGAGGAAACCGTAGCAAACGCGTTTTATTAAATCGAAAGTCTGTGTCTCCAATGGCACCTGCTCATCGGGCTTTGCACCTTCAACAAGGATCGAAATTATCTGGTACAACATCAGACACCGGATCTACGGGTCGATTGGGTATCTCAAGTTCAAGGACATCGTCCATTGACTCTGGAAAGCGGTGGAGCCAAGGTACAGAGCAGTGGGATTCTCCGACTTCAGCGTCGTCCCCCATGCGACCAGTAACTCCTCCGAGCAACCCACCCCCAACCATGAATGATCTGGTCGATAACTCACAAGAAACGAGAACTACAATTTCCAAGTCAATGTTTGCTGCATCCAGAGCTTCACTGGATGTAGGGGATGATACATCTGATTCAGAAGCGTCGAAGACACCTTCAAAGGGCACCCAACCTCGGTTCAGACGACCCTCAAAGCCTCCAACGATCCGTACCGGTGATAGTCTGCGATCAGAGTTGACAAAGACAAAGACCATCAGCCCGAGTTCTCTGAATGCTCCCGATGATCACGACCTCGCTGCCCTGACTCCCCGCGCAGAAGAGTTTGACTCTAGTAGACCCACGTCACCTTCGCTCACGCTACCGCAAGAGGCTATTGCTGATACACCATCGGCTGGTGTAAAGAGTAACCAAGAGCATGGCCATGAGCAGCCTGCTCATCCGCGCAAGGCTTTGAATAGTTCTTCTACGCAGCAAAGTGACAGCGCCGCTGAAGATGGCGACGACGAAGGTTATGACGATCTACTCAGTGTTTATGAAAGCGAAGAAGGCGGCGATTAATGGCAGACTAATATCTCCTTGCGGCGGACCCTTCACAGGTACTTAGATGTAACATTTCATATTAATGTTTATGGCTAGATACTGGAACTAAGTAGAGAACCCCCATGCGCCGCTCAGGATTTACGCGACCTAATAGACCATGCTTATGAATCTGACAAGTGTGGGTGGCCGACATCGGATAATTGTTTACGAATTTCATGTCTCGATGGTTCCGAAGTTATCTTGGTCTGCACCCTGTTATAAACTTCGACCAATACAGGAAGATAAGGCAGGATATTCTGCTGAAGCTTCAGCATTGCAGATCTAACGAGATGTCGAGGTAATCATACCCGATATGCCACATGCAAAGTCATGGAACCAGAGCTAGAATGTTTCACGGCCGCTAGATAGTAGCGAATGTCCCATCGTCGCAGACCTTCGTGAATGATGAAGTTGTCCAAGGACGCTAGTGGAACAAAATCCTTGGACACATAAAACGTGCATAGAGATGGGAGACCATGGTGTGACTCTAGCTGAATGCCACGAAGGGGGAAAATAAGAACGGATTCTACTGTTCTGTCAGCCGAAGAAAGATACGATGATCTCAAGACAGACCGTGCAGAACCTGGCTGCACCTATACCTGGCTAAAGCCAATGTAGTGCAAGCTATGACCAGATGCGCCAAGAAACCTCCTCTGAGCTAACCTGTTGCCTTACATCAGACATCTACAAGGTAGAGCTAACCCTCACCTTTTCCCATACGAGCGAAAGGGCTAGAAAGACTACCACATCCCACCACTCCCATGTAGACGTCCCGCGAACAATTCTCCCACTCCCATCACGGGCCAGCCTCCAATTCTCAATGCGGAATTCCTGGTATCCTGGATGTTCTATGACTGTCAGCTCTGGGTGGGTGTGAGGAAGAGGATGAGTGAGTCGCATGCATTGAGATATCGACGTTGGCGTGTCATGGAGGTCCTTTGAACCTTCAGGGTTACTTTGGAGCATTCAGCCACGTGCTTCACGCCCTTGACTGACCGGAGTCAATAGGGCCATTCACTCTACGCCTATTCGTTTTTTTGGGCATGTTTCACGGCAGGCTAGGATATCAACGATTTGCGGACGGTGGGACTCCTATGATCGATGTGTGCCCAGGCATTAGGGCCATTCACTCCCAAAGTCGCGACCGTTTATTTCTGTTTCAGATAAACCGTTTATCTTAGTCAGCATAAACGGCTCCATGAGTCGTTTATCTGACCGTTTATTCTCACGGGCTACGTGAGCGATGTGCGCGGTTCCCCTTCCGTGTTTGGCCAAGCCCCTATTGAGTCCTACGAGGTTTCAGTGGATGTTATACTATCAGCATGGACTTATATACTTCATAAGGAATATTTGGCTCCTTTATGAGGATATTTGCTGGTTTACTGGTGACATACGGTAAGAAGAGCACTTTATTGAGTGTTGAACTGCCTTTGACCAGTAGAAATTGATCAAAAAGCATGCATAAAAGCCATAAGTCCCCGTTGGATCCCCTTTATCAGTATTGGTAATTATCAAACAGCTCTATCATGCTTAAAAGCAGCAAATAAATCAAGGTTCCCTCAAGTAAAACCGTATCTATCCAGGTATCAAGGTCACAAAGTAGGTGCCCCTATACGTGAACACCTTGTTTATTCACACGGTTATCCGTTTATTCCCACAGCGACCAGATAAACGGTTTCAGATACAGTACCGGACAGGCAAAGTCGACAAAAAGTAGTGACCTCTTATATTTCATCCGAAAACTATCAGAATCGACTCGAAATGATATAAGGATCTTGCCACCAAAGTTTGAGCGAGTTTGCACGAGCCATTCGTCCAAAAAAGGCTACCCAACTTGCTTCTGACCTCCGAAAATTTGGCCGACCCCCTATTTTTCGTCCTAAAATCACGAAAAAAATCGCCAATCGACTCCTTTTGGTGTGGTGCGTATGATTCCTGGAAAAATGCTGTGGGAATCACAGAAAATTTTCCGAAGTCAGGTGCGGGGGCACGGGCCGTCCCCTGCCCCTTCCATAAAGGGGTGGGGTTGACCCCTAACTTCTGGTCCTCAGTGCGGCTATACTAGTCGGAGAACCCAATGCCGGATAGAATACTTGGCGAAGGTACGGTGAAGTGCAAAATATGGTGATAAATTCTCGACAAAACAACTAACCCTCGACAGAACTTACCCTTGACAGGATTACTAGTAATCATCAACAGCACTGACTGCAACATTAACTCGTGTCTGGTCCGAGTCATAGGAAACTTGCCAGCAAATCAATCAAAGCTGTTGAGGGCTTACTCTGTGAAGGCTTAAACCTGTTAAGCATGATCTCTGTCAGGAAATAGGTGGGTATGACTGATTGGGTCTGTTGAGGGTGAGCTCGAGGTCTCTTAAATATATATCATGTCAAGGGTTAGTTCATGTCAAGGGTTAGATCAGTCAAGGATTTTGTTGAGGATGAACTAAATTTATTGAGGATTAGACCCTCGTGCTTTGTCAAGGATTACTAGGTGTTCTGTCGAGGGTCAGATGCTCTCCAAGTCCCAGATTTACTTAGTTGTTGAGGATCAGAATTTCTCATCAATCTACCTTATAGATAGTATATAAATTTTCCCAACAGATGGCTCTTTCCATCTCAACGGCATTGCAAAAGTAATAGTGACTACCGACTCTCGACATTAGGGCTTCTCACGGCTAAAAGCTCCGGTTTTTCTGCTCAAAATTTGGCCGACCCCCAAAAACACGTGGGAAAAATTTCGGAGGTGCATTTTCAGGCTCCTTTCGCTGTTCTGACCTCAGATCTACAGTCAGAATTTCGGAAAAATTGTTATATCTTTCCCGGTGGTTTTTGTTGACTTTGCCTGTCCGGTACTGTAAACGACCCAGGTTGGGGGCGTTCATTTCACGCATTCAGATAAACGGTTTATCCAAATAAACGGTTTCAGATAAACGGCCAGATAAACGACGCGATTTTGGTAGATAATGAGGATCAGTCCCCGACAAGTCGTCCAAAAAATCAAGCCAACGTCAGCCAGATTCAATTTCCACCGCTCAGGCAGAAGGAATATCTCAAATGCACGACTATACTTGAGGATCAAATACTTGTACTTGATGTTGGTCGCCTGTTCTCTACTCAAATCTGGGACCTTACATGACTTTCTAGGATTTAATGTCTCCAGATGAATGCAAGCTTTTTGTGAAATTCATCGACAATTTGCCATTAGAGCTTACACCGCCGAAGAAGAAAGGGGAAGCTGAGCGAGTCAATTGTGAGTATGCACCTACCCTGCAGTACCAACTGTTCTCACTCTATGTAGATCGTTTCTCGACAACATCAGAAACATTTGCAGAGAGACTTCACGCATTAATTGCCCCTCACCTGCCATCCTTTCCTTATCCTCAATCATCCAAGCGACGAGAGATCGATGGATTGCTTCGTCTCCCTCACTCGTGTAATTCCAACATTCGCATGTACAAATACACGCCCTCCCAGCACTTTGGACCCCATTATGACGATGCCATCTGCGACACCAAGACAGGCACTCGATCGGAGTGGACGCTTCTCATCTATCTGACAGGAACCGAGGATGGCGTCGAAGGAGGAGAGGTGCGCGTTGTATGCCCACACATTTCAGGCTTTTATAACATTACCTTCAGACGATTTTCTACAAGAATCAGCGAGGGAAAGCTCAAGAGATTATCACTCCACCTCTGAGGCGTGGCACGGCTTTGTTGCACCGGTAAATTTCCCCAGGCGTGTCCCAAGCAGCACTCACTAGCGCTGGTCTGCTGCAGGCACGGACATGAATGTCTTTTGCACGAAGGTTCATTGGTCCGTAAAGGAGTCAAATACATTCTCCGGTCTGACCTCATGTTTTTCTAAGTGGAAGCCAAGTAAGCATCTCACCTCCAGGGAGCTTGCACAGCTTACCATGGGTGATGGCAATAATTAATGCATATTAATGTCTTGCTTTGCCGCGCTTTTTAGGGACACCTCCAGCCTCCACCACGTCATCATCTCGGTCTCGGTCGTCTTTGGAGCCTCGATCTTCACGTCTGCGTTTACGTCCTTCATTGAATCTTGCTTCCTCTTTGAGCTCGTTGATCGCTACACGTCCAGCCTCTTCTACTCGCTCACGGAGTAAAGCAACCTCTTCTTCATCTGTTGGCCACAACTCCATCTTCTTCGCAATGACTGTTTCAATGCGCTGGATGAGCTCGACATCGTATTGGGTGACAATCGTGACCGATTTCCCGGACCTGCCTGCGCGTGCAGTTCGACCGACCCGATGGATATAATCTTTAGAATGGGAAGGAATGTCGAAATTAATCACGACGTCGACCGAAGGTAGATCTAGACCTCTGTAGTGGTGGTCAGTAGGACCCATGAATCCAGAATGAAGTACATGCCGACTCGCAACATCCGTAGCCACCAATATGTTCCGGCCTCCACTTTTGAACTTTCCCAGTGCACCCAATCTCTGACTTTGAGACAATTGTCCATGAAGAGGAACTGCGGGAAAGCCCAGAGTTCTCAGCACGATAGAGAGTCTATACGAATGAGCCACGGAATGAAAGCTAAGATTACGACGACGTACCTCTGCGCGTCGTGTACCGTTCTCGTGAAGAGGATGATGGAGTTTGACGCTAAAGAGTTCACAAGATATACCAAATGTACATCCTTTTGAGCTAATGGTATGAAAAGGTAATACTGCAGAAGGGTCGATACGGTTTGGTATCTATCCAATTACTCTTAGTTGCCGGCGCTCAATGACGAAAATTGGACATACTTTGATGAAACTTCAACACGGACAGGATTTGAGAGACTGGCCCTCTGCAGCTTAGCAACTTTCGTGGTCATTGTCGCCGAAAACAAGTACGTGGTTCGTTCTTTTGGAATGACTTTCAAGATTTGGTCGATATCTGGACCAAAATCCATGTCTAGAAGACGATCCGCTTCATCAAGAACCTAGTATAGATGAGCACAAATGTCAGCATCTAAATTTGAACATACCAGAAATTTGAGGCTTCGCAGGCTGAAACCCTTTGTATTCTGGAGGTGGTCGTTGAGGCGTCCCGGAGTAGCAACGATGATGTGAGGTCGCTTGGCCAGCGCAACGGCTTGAGGCATTCTATCCACACCTCCCACCAAAACCAAACAGCGAACTCCCATGGCCGATCCCAAAGACTCAAACTGCTGCGATATTTGATAGGCCAACTCACGGGTAGGCGCGAGGATGCATGCAAAGAGTCCCTTGGGCTCTTCCCATAATTTTTGAAGAATCGGCAGAGCAAAGGCAGCGGTTTTACCTGACCCGGTCTCCGCCACGCCGATGATGTCTCGCCCAAGAAGAGCAGAAGGAAGGGCTTGAGACTGTATTTCGGTGGGCTGTTTGAAGTTTACTTGATCGAGCGCTTTAAGTAAGGGGTCGATTAAGCCGAGAGATGCGAAGGATGGCGGCGGCGAAGCAGATGAGCTGGCTCCTTCTGAGCTGGGCATTGCGGTAGGAAACGAGCGAGGTGGTCAATCCGGACGAAGGGTTTTGACCGTGGTCTTGGCCGAAAATCCTGTAAGGGTGCTTAGTGTGAGTTTATGTGGTCTATTAGCACCGTACTGTACTAATAGTATTTGCTATCAACATACTTACTTGGATGAACTAGCCAGACTTGGACCCCAGAAACCTCCCGGCGCGATCGTGCCTGACGCGCGACTTCAAGTTATGGTTCACTGAAACCAACGCGAACGGTCAAGCACATCTAATATGTCAGGTGTAATCGTAACGCATGCATCGCCTCCTACCTTTCATTCTACAGAAACATGGAAGCATCTCCATGATGCACTGAATCTCCAGCTCCCTCTGCGAAATATACACTGGAAGTCTCCCGCCCTTCATTCCTCACGGCCCGTAATCAGGACCATTCAAGAGCTCTACATCAACTTCGTCTCCTTGGACACCCTTCGCGATGACCAAACATCCCAGATACCGACGACAGTCTTGGATAAGCCCCTATTGAACCTTTATTTTGTGCAGTGCGAGGTACACAGAATATCGACTCTGTAGAGTCCGCGCGTCGTTGACATACTTTCCCCCATGCACAGGACATCGAGGTATACAGAACAAACGTTAGGAAACAAATAAAAGGCTGGCACAATTCCGTAACTCAGCGACGAAACCAAGAATGGGTTATTGTCTATCTAGTCAGGCCTGATCTCAGGACAGGGGACCGCAAGTTCTTTCAGAAGAGCTCCGTACTGGATAAACTCAAGGCTGATTTCAACTCGGACAAACGTGACAGGCAAGTGCTGCAGCTTGGTTGGTATGCTTCGTCGCTCAATGTGTGCCAGATGCGTGCAGCTTGCTTGGACTGTGCATGAAAGCAATCCTGCTGTATGGGCAGAACTCTTGACGAAAGTCAAGGATGGATTATTGTCTGCCTTTGAATCTTCAATTGCTCATCGTGAAGAAGAGGTGAGAAGGTCAGAAACTCAAATGAGTATGCCAGGATGGAATTTCTGTACCTTTTTCATTCTGAAGGTAAATGTCATCCTCCCTCCGTCGTAAGCCTCTGGAAGTTTAGTCTTTCACAGGAAAGCATAGCTATGTCATTTGAGGGTATGCACCTGTACGAAGATGCTCTTGGTCAGTACAACGAACTTGAGAACATCTTTTTGCAAGTTCTCCGGGAGAAGAACCTTCCATGGTTTGGCAGCTTCATCACCCCAGGTCCCAAAGACGACTCTATGGCCCTCCTATCCCCCGACAAAAAGCCCTATCGTGACCTAATACTTGCAAACACCATTTCAGTGTTCGATTTCCGTATATATCTGCTCCTACGTCAATGCATACTGTTGAACAAGCTGAGCAAATTCGTTGAGATTTGTCGGAAGTCTCTGACTTTCCTTGGGACATTCGGTCGCCGCCTTCGAGATACGGAGGTACGCTAGCATGATGCTCGTTGTCTCCCTATCCTCTCATCTAATGACATCACTTAGGCAACGCTTCCGGAGTACTTCATAGAGTCGTGGATATTTTCTTCCGCCCTCAGTGTAGTGGAACAAATCGAATCTTGGGCTGCAGCGTCTCGTACGGATAGTTTTGATAGCTCAAGACTCTTTGCTGCCAAAGGAGAACTCCTCGAATTGGCCCGAAACCAAGTATACCACTTCGAAGTCATCAGTAACTCTTGCTCATGTATCTCTCCAAGCTCGATGTCCTGGGGGTTGTGGCAGGTCATCTGCCCCACAAACCACCGTTCAACAGTTATGTTCCTCCAAAATCACCTCCAACACGTCCCTCCCATGGACGCACTGCTTCACGGATCAACAAGTACCAGATCATGCTGGCTATAGGCGACAAAGATGCGTTCTATGACTTGTATTGTACAACATCCAATCGGGCCATCGATATGTACGTAAAAGCTGGTCGACGAAAGTTTGCTCTCAAGCTTCACGGTAGCATCGCGGCTATGGATGCGTAAGTTACCTCTATGATGCTAGCGCGTAAAAGTGATTTTCGTCATATGAGCAGCTATCGTGGACGATTAACCAGTGCTCTGACGATATTTGGGTCACTCCCTGCTCATTATGCACCACACATGTGGACTTCCCTGGAATCCTTCATGCTTTGTAGAGCTATAAATGTCCACAAATCCTTGAATAAGCCACACAATCGGGAGTGGATCTACATGCTCCTGGATTTCTTCAAGGCCTACATTCCTGATACAAACCGGGAACTTTCTCCTTTGGATCAAGATGGTTTGAGTTCTTTGTCAACATTGGTCAATCACGTTGTCACTTCAGCCAAAGAGCTAGATTCTGGTAAGTCCATCTTGTGTAGTTGAACCATAAGCCTTATCACCTCCAAGACTTGATCCACTCGGACGACTACATCATCTCCATTCGACCTTTGAAAAACACTAGAACACAGGCGGATGTCTCTTTTCTTGATGTCGTTGTGATCAATCATCTTCCTTGCGTACGCTGCATCTTTTCCCTCGCATCATTGAACTCTAATTCACCATGTTACAGGATATAGATGTCGATCGGGTTAGTGTAACGTTAGTGGGGCAGGGCACTGAGCGTTTGCAATTTGCCTCCGAGGTCCAAAGACTAACTTCGGGCGAAATGAGATTGACCCTTCTGTGTCACGTAAGTTGATTCATGGATGAAGTCATTGGCCATTATGACTTGACGACTTTAAAGACATCTTCCAGTGGGGCATTCTTTGTCGAGAGCAGCGGGATACATATCTCGCGACTTCACCTTCAGCAAAGCTATAAACCTGGAGTTCCAAAAAGAGTGTCAGAAGGTCCTAACATTGTCCACTTTTCCAAAAACACGCAAGCCTTGGATGTGGACATTTGTCAGCCTGCCAAAAGTGAGCTGCATAACCTCTCCCGGGTCGTGAAATTCAAATATAAGCCAAGTATGCATTGGAGCTCCCCCACAATTGGCTTTTACGATCAGAGCTGGCGTTCATGGCGTAGTTCAGGCAACAGTCAGACTATCAGTACCTCAAGGCATTACTTTGCACCACCGCCAAGCTTTTCTGAATTCTGGAGGTGGGACACGTTGCAGGCCTCCCTCTTCTTACAATCACTCTAATGCATTCAAAGCTTGTGCATCTGCAACCATTGATACTAACGAAACTTCGTTTACTGTCCGGGATGTTCCGGAACGAACCCAAGTTCTTGTCACAGTACCTCACTCGGTTGCCTCCCGCCACCATGCCATGGTATCTAGACACTTCTGAAGGTGCTTCAACAACTAAAAGAAATTCATTTTAGAAGGTCGAGGCCCGTGTGACGTATCGGACAAACGAGGACCCCTTGGTGGAACATACATGTTGGAAATCAAAATCAGTTGTCATTTCTCTACCGATCTCTGTGAACGTTGAAGATTTCTTTCGTGGAGCACGGTCGGTCATCGAGGTTGTCAAACCTGTATTATGAACTCATAGCTATTTAGCCATATCTCAAAATTCACAATATCCGCAACCACACACCAGCATATTCGAATCAAGCATGTTGATCTTCAAGGACCGGTTGGAGGACTTGAAGGCGTTACAATAAGTAGCTGCCGACCATGCCTCTCAGCAGCTGTAAGTGATACATGTTGATTGACATGTGTTCTTGTCCTGATATCACTAGACTGTTACTCCCGAGACGTCAGCCAAATACCTCTTCTCGATAACATCAGATAAGGGCCCAGGTAACATAAAGAACACTCGCCTGCAAATCATTGATTGATCTCATGTCCCAAAAGTCACAGAGTCCTTGTACCTCGTGATTAGTTATCAATTGCTGCGTGAAGGTGCGAGAGCCTATAGCCATTGTTCTGCTTTCTGTACTGATACCATCGTAGAGGTGGAAACCTTCATAAAACAATCGGTAAAAAAAGTGGCTTCCGAGTTTGATGTTTGCCTAGAGGACCTTTCACGAAGAATAATCGAGCATCTCGAAAGTGGCGCTGGATGGATTCCCCTTTACCATAGCACTGGCTCACTCTTAATCCCATCTTCACTTGATGTCAACAACAAATTCGGACCATCATTTGACTCGCTTCAAAGAGTGAGTCGGATTTATCTTCTTACTCGGAACTTCCTTGTTTACTTGCTTCCATCCTAGTTACTTTCCGATGGACAGCATCAAGGTTCAGCTTCATGGCGTGAAATTCGACTGCCAGTGGATGTTCCCAAGGTTCAGGCGAGTAATCTCTTGTGCGTCTAATGCCGCTTATAACAAAATATGTTGCGACAGGTTCTGGTAGCAGCTGGAATTGAAATCATGGTTACGCCGGGAGCTAAAAGGCAAGCCAATGGGCTACCTGTTATATTTGCAGGACAGCCCGTGTTTGCGACACTTACCATTAAGATCTCATTACATTGGAATGACGACACCAAATCATCATATCGTATGCGGTTTGATGTGGAGGAGATGGTTTCGGATTGGTTAATTTGCGGAAGGAAACGCGCAGATTTCACAGCATACGTGCGTCTTTTCTATCGTTGTCTTGAGCACTGTTCTCATAGAATGATAGAACGGTCAATTGCTGTCAATGCCGTTGACCCTTATCGCCCTTCGTCATGGTGAATTAACAATGCCGAATGTGATAGTTCACGCCCTTCCGTCAACAACCACTTTGGGCACGGTCGTGCCTAGTGTTGATGTGTGTCAAGTTCACGGTGCCAATAAACTACTCATACTGCCGAGGGGAGGCCGTAATACGTTCATGGTAGGGATGGGTCACGACTGCACATAGGAATTCTCGCCATACGGACACTTTATATTCACAGATGGTGACTACTTTTTGCCTTCCGGATAACCCGTGTATATACCAAGCAGGAGGGCGGAGTTGGCGGCGAGCAATATACTTGACGAAAATGGCGTAGAGGGAAAAATATTCCATGCATATTCTATTGCGCCGATAATGACCAATCTGAATGCTGTTAACAAAATCAATATGAAATCATCGCAGCACTTACTTTGCAAGTCCGGGTAACCTTGTCCTAAGAGTCAGCAGCGGCACTTGTTGCGCGTACCAGGAGTAGAACTGATAATGCAGCGACCTAGCGAAAATAATCCCAACCAGATTTGAAGTCATGAGGACGGTTGTGACGTCTAAAGCGAGCCTCAGGAAGAACTTCAGAATGAGCAAGAAGTAGACTCACAGTCAGGTGTGGTGGAAGCTAACCCTGGGGATTGGGTAGGCCGCTGCAAGGCCCTCCTAAGCAACGGGATCGCACCCCCATCCCTGCGGTACCAACGGAACAGGGCAAAGGCACCAAGAGTGCAGAGCTGACAAAGCAAAAGGCTGAATGCTAACCTCCGGCTCAGAAAGGTAGCTTCATCTAGCATACGCCAGTTGACAGTCCACTTGTACATGAAAACCCGAGAGAGATCAAAGGCACAAGACAAATAAGATTTGGCGTTGTGTTGAAGAAAGGGAAGGCCCAAGAGAACTTGTGAACTTCCCAAGACGAGGAGCTGTCGCAGTAGACCGAGGACGCCATTGCGCTTGAGAAGAACCACGAGAAGTCCAGGTAGGTACAGAAGAACAGACATCTTTACAGATAAAGCAGCACTATCACGCAATCAGGATGGTCCACATAAGCACGAACGCTAACGTACCTAAACATGATCATACCGACCATGTCCCATGCATTTTGAAATGCAAGTATGGCACCTTGAGCCATAACTACAGACCAGCAATCATTGAAGAGACGCAGGGTATAAATAGAGTGCAAGCGTCTGCTAAATATCAGAGGTATTATGGACCAGTTCGGGGCCTCTGCATGGCGATAGATGGCGAAGACAAGCACCTGAGAGAGGAGATACAATACACCATAGATATGCTGGGCAAGTCTGATGTTTCGTCCACCGCTGGTCACGTAATGCAAGAAATTGTGTATATAGACGTGTCCTGCGGGATAACTTGGCAAATTCATTTCAGTACTTCCAAGTTTTCGTGTAGAAACGCACACAAGAGGACCCGTAGGGCCTGTGAGACTAGTATAGTCGCGTTCACCTTTGAGGTAAAGGTCGATGTGAATCATGTATGTCTCCCAATCAATTTCTGTGTCTGTATCAGTGGGTCAATAACTCGGACAGTGCAAACGACTGCGAACACTCACAAGGAACGAAACGAACAATGAGCTGAGTAAAGAGGGCGTCTATAGCAAGAAGTGAAACTGCGACGAGCCAAAAGTATCGACGGTCAAGTAGTAACGTCCGACATAATCGAAGCATGGTTAACGGACGCGGAGGTTGGGTTGGTGATGTGCGACCCACACCAGCTGACGATTGGAGGAATCACGAAGATTCGGACTACAAACGCTTCTGCAAGTCGCAAGTTGCAATCACTAACAGCTGCTGGCCATATAAGCAAATTCTATCCACGTGTCATGTGCCCCGTGGCTGAGTTGGTTACAGCGTCCGACTGTTACATCATAGCATCAATCGGAAGGTCGTGAGTTCGAGCCTCACCGGGGCAGTTATTTTTAATCATCAACTTCGTCGTTTAGCACTTTGGGGTGGTCGTAGTGATACGGCACTTGGTACCAACTTGGTTCACATCCTTTTTAATCTTCAGTCAAGTGCTGTAGCCTTTGGCTAGCATCGTCACAAGTGTTTGCTCGCCCTCCAGTGGACGCCAGACCTATCACCATGTCGCGCTCGTATGAACTTCCGCCAGATTATAAATGGGACCAAGGTTATACGCATATTTCTTGGTCATCGACATTCACTGACGAGCATCAGCCTACGAAGACATAATGAAACGGATTGCAGATGATGACACCGTAGCATCTACGTACGTCCTGATCTCTACTTCGAACTGCAACTTATACCGAGACAGCGTAGATTGGAAGCAACTACGTGACGCCATCGAATACAAGGTCGCAAGGGTGGGTCCAAGGTTCTTGGCCGACGGCAGTACCTTTGTTTGATCTCGCGACTAGAACATCAATGTATACTTAGCAGATCCACCGGCAGAAAGAGCAGGCGTTGAAGAACGGTCGGCGCTGAAGGGCACTCCATCGCCACTCCTCAGTGGCAATCTCAAGCTCCCCCCGTTTCCTCCTCGAAAGGGGGACGAAAATCGTAGCGATGTACCCAAGGTACATATGACTCATGAAGAGGCTCACGAAGTCAAAAACAACTTATATGAAAGGCTCCATGATTTCGAGGAGTGAGCTCGTCCTTCACGTCCCTCACTAATGCCTTAAATAAATAACAATCATGTTACAGTAATCCGCCTTTCACCATACAGCGCATATGTGAACTTTGCATCCGCCCCAAAGACCACTACAAGGCCGTAGGGAAGTATTTGCGCGCAGTGGAGAGAACGCTCCTAGTAACGTCAACCTGGAATTCATTTCCAGTGGATCATGGAGATGCCGGCCCCGTCACCATCCCTATTACATTCGGTGCTACTCTATCGACTGCGCCAGTAACACCGACATTCTCTCCTATACCTTTCCTGCACGATGATGCAAGAAGGTCAAGCTCACGGAGTCCACCCCCTTCTCCATTGACACTCAATGCAATCGATGCCATCAACTCTGTGGAAGCCATCGACGATGTTCAGAACAAAGCCATCGGCCTTGTCGATGAACTAGACGACCCAAGCCCTGGGCATATGAGTGACCATCCTACAGCACTCAGTGCAGTGACTACCGTGGTGTCCCATCCGTTTCTCGAAACACTAGAGACTAGGTTTGTCAAAGCTGAAGGAGATGAAAAAGATTTAAACGCGAAGTCGGACACGGAGATGGAGGAGGTGGACGACAAGGAGAATAGAAACTGAGGCGAGTGGAGAAGAGGACTTACAACAAGTTTCTGCTCAGATTTTATGCAAAGTCTCGTTTGATCTGCTCTAGCATGCGATTCATTCGCTCTCCCATGTTTGGTTGCCCTTGCTTTCGCTTGACCAGAGTACTTATGCTATCCGTCCTGGGTCGAGAGTATCGGCATTGTGTCTTAACTGGGAGATCCTGAAAAGGTGGCGCTTTTTGCTTGCGCTGCGGATTTGTGTTGGAGGAATTCTTTTGCTTATGGTAACCACCACTAGGATCGGATTGGAGAGATCGCTCCGGATGAAAAAAGGGTCTCGTAGGTTGCTCGTCTAAAGTTGGGGAAGACCTGTGGCTCAAATGCTTGTGCGTATTACGTCGCGGAACTTCATTATCGTTATTGGCATCTTCATTTGGCGCGACTCGGTTGGGACCATCGACGGAGTGTATGGATTTGCTGATCAATTCACGCTTTTTTTGAGCTCGCCATTGGGTCTTAATCTTCTGTTTCTCAACCCATTTCTGCTTTAAATGTTTGGCTACAGGTTCGTTAGTCATAAACGCACACTTGTCAGTCCAAAGCGTACCTCTGTTAGCTGGTAAATGCTGGAATGAGGGGGGCTTTTTTGGATGAGATGCTGTCATCACGACTCGAGAAGGAAAAGGAGCGGAACATGCCGTCTGTGCTCGGAACCGTGGCCGGATTATCCTTTTGTGGTATTAGTACTTTATAAGGCCGCGCCTCAGCGGTTGTCTCTCTCTTCTCAGCTTTCATCTTGTCTCCTCATCTCCATACAATCTCCACTCAGTCTCAACCTTTATATATTGCTCACCGTCGCATGAACGTGCAGAACCTCAACTCTTTCGGTTCGTCATCCCATTTCTTGATCCTATGTGACTTACTGATCCTTGCTATGTCAGACCCTTTCGCTGAGGAGGACCCTTTAGGAGGCAACCAGGATGTTGGTTCCCAGCAGAACTATCTTCACATCCGAATTCAGCAGAGGAACGGAAGAAAGACTTTGACCACCTTGCAAGGATTGCCTAAAGGTCAATCATCCGCGTTTCGCGGTAACTGACGTTAGTCTAACTTTGTTTGACTCAGAGTACGATCCGAAGAAGCTACTTAAGGCTTTTAAGAAGGTTGGTCTCCTCGGATCTTTCCCAGTCCCATTTTCATCTTTGCAAAGGAATTCGCTTGCAACGGGACTCTCGTTGAGGACGAGGAAATGGGTCAAGTCATTCAGCTTCAGGGTGATCAGAGGGTTAAGATTGCCAACTTCCTAACTGAAGAGGGAATCCCTAAGAACACTATCAAGCTGCACGGGTTCTAGACATGGTATCGTGAGCATCGCAGAGCACGCTGCTCCTCGAGTTACCAACTGCACGGACGGGCATTCTTTTCACTTGCTTCCTACGATCTGTTGTATACGTCTGTTGTGTAGTTCATCATTGCGCTACTAATGATTGTTTTCTGTATTGTCACATGTCTCTTTCTCAATCCTACCTTTGTGATATTACGCGGCCTTTGCGAATTTAAAACAGACGTCTTGTGTTGTGAAATAGGGCTCCAGAACAATAGCTTCAATTTTAGATGATTAGTCTTTGAACAACCCGCGGTATAGTGTAAAACTCTCGAACATCCTATACCTACTTGATTTTGTCGAGAGGTCTGTAGAGAATGACGTCAGATATCAATCGAGGAGGGGACAAGCAGCATACCGATTGAAACCGCCGCGCCTATTAAAACACGAATGGATAGTCAGAAACAGTCGCTATGCTCAAGGTGTTATATCTGACCTGTTCATGTACTGGCGCCACGTTCTCGTCTTCTTGAGTTGCACCCCGCCCTCTTGATTTCCCTCCACATGCTTGCCCTATTCTCTTTAATGGACCATGATTAATGATTCGTTGTCGAAACTCACTTTCGTAGAGCCAAATCCTGACATTCCCATTGCAACCATCATGGCAGCATCGTCATCGTTGATATCGTCCATAGACTCGCCTTCATTGGAGGTTAAGGGTCCGGAGGATCCAGCATCCTCAAGTCCATTGCTAGAGGCTATCGTCCATTAAGTATTTGAATGGTGGTTCCACATCGCCTGCCTCACCAACCAGGTCCGTTTTGTTGGCCAAGGGCTTTCCCTCGTCTTCTCGTCCGTGGCGAGAACCTCGCGCTTTATCATCATGTCTGTAATCGTTTGCGAGAGAGTCGTGGCGATCATCCAATCTTTCATTTCTTCTGTCATCCCGTCTCTCGCCTCGACGATCCTCGCGAGGGTAGTTTCGGTCTCGTATATCTCTCGAGTCTCTATTCCTATCTCGACCATAGTCGCGGCGGTCTCTATCTTCATAACGAGCCAATGAAAACAAGATGATGAACATGGCGGCTCGCTGAATGATGTACACATACCTCGGCGAGGAGGACTTCGTGAACGACTGTCACGTCTCTTACCTGCGTCGCGGTGCCCACCAGCCCTGCTGGTCCTCGAATACCTCTCACCTCCTCTCTCTCTGAACCGTTCGCGGTCATCTCTTTCCCAGCTCCTGTCCTTGTGCCTGCGGTCATCGTGTCTGGATGACATGTCCTTGAACGCTGCAGAAAGACAGGGAGAATATTATCCCAGGTCTGCTGCCACGCCCCCAAAGTCACGGGTGCTTGCCAAGGCGCTGACGCGCCTCGGAACTTTTGCACATATGGGTAAATAATCTGACTGACCTTGACCATACCGCACATCTTTCAGCTTGACACTACATATGACCGCCTTAAGATCCAGAGCTTCACAGGCAGCTTCAAAGCTAATAAAGTCAAACAACGGTGAGGCCAGCTTCTGATTCATCACAGCATTTTTTCATGCTTAGTTTAGGTGGTATAGATGCCCGTACACATATCCAGCTCCGTAACCTTCCTCGCACAACACTGCCTGCAGACCTGCGGAGAACGGTAATTCGTGACCAGCTCAAGGGTGTTGTTGATGGTAACAGCGACGATAGTCACATCACCAATTTTCTAACTTTGCGCAGTGGCCATAGACTATCATCGCTTCTGCCCCAGCGGCCGGGCATATCTGACATTAAGTCACCCCGAATACCTGGACCATGACCTCAATATCCTCAACCGCTCGTCTATATCGACAATTCCGATTAAAGCATACTCATCTCCTTCACCTGATCAAGCAAGGTCGAACAAGGGAATGAATGGTAATGGACCTCGCGGTGGAGTGTTCTCCCTGGGGACACATGTTGTAATTTGGGGCTTTCCAGGAAAACTCTCGGCGGAGGAGGTAAGGAAGCATATGCACGGGTTTCGGCTAGCAGGGACCGCAGGCGGGAAACGGGAGGTGCTGAAGCTTGACATGTATAGTTTCCCCTTATTCTTGGTCGCCGATGCTCATCCGCCGCAGGGATACGTCAAGCAATGCCTATAGCATGTACTCAAAATTCCTAGTTCGCGCTGCGTCAATGGCGGAGGCACATCGTATCGTCCGGTCCATGCATATGTCTGAGTACGAGGTTGACAAAGGGTCAAAGTGGCAGATTCGAGCTCGAGTGATATACTAAGCAGCACGCACACCTAGGGCTGGGTGTTAACGTTACTGTCTCACTAATATAGAGCCGTAGAATAATCATATCTATTTTACATTCTATCAGTGTCCACATCTTCCAAGCGCGAGCGGTGCATCTGTGTACCGAATATAAGGAACAGTCAGCTAGCAATACTTGAGATATACGTACATTTCGTTCATTGTCGCCTTCGTCTTCCGGTGACCTTCCTCTCTTAAGAGTACTATCGGCACTACTCTCCACTTGTTTCCATTCCTCTCCACCTCCAGCAACGGCACCAGGACCCTCTCTTGCATCCGCATAGCGCTCCTCGACTTCACGGCGTCGCTCAATTTCAAGCCTCTGAGCTTGAGCACCCCAACCGCCGCGTCCTGGGTCATAATCTTGTCGATGTTCGTCGCGCACTTGTCCACCACTTCGGCCACGGCCAAATTGCCTTCCTTCAGCGTACCCCAGGTCTAAGTCACATCGAATTATCCGCTCGTCTAACTTCGTCCCGCTGACGTACTTGAGGCTAGCAAGTGCTTCTGCATGCGTGTAATATTCCACAAAGCAAAAACCGCATGGTGTTCTGTATGCGATGAACTAAAGTGCTTGTTCTGAAAGGAATCACGGTAACACACCTTGTGTTACGATCCAAACCCATGATTATGCGTTTTATTCCGCCGCCATCCTCTGGGCTAGCACATTTTGAGAAGAGTTCGTATATTTGTTCCTCTGTGGTGTAGAAGCTTAAATTACCAATCTTTTGAATGTCAATAGGGTGTGCAGCTAAAGGAGCGACACTCACATATAAGGTTGTTGACTTTGTCAGAAGGTCTTGTTGCGTGGATCTGTCCATTGATCTGTTTTGTGAGTCCTTATAGTTGGACGGTTGGTCCATTCGCTGAACGACATGCGCCATATCAGCAGATGTAGCTTGGGAGGAAGGGACCCTGCTTTATTCACTCCACGAACGCGAAGAGGAATAAAGTGAAGTTCAGGCAATGGGTCCTCCTAACGGGACCATTACTATTGATCCATTTCGGGTAGGTTGTTTCCACGGGCTTTACAGCCCACGAGTCTAAACGCGTAAGCCGCGTCACGGTGTCAACTGAGCACCAAGTACTTTATCCTCAACCATGGACGCAGAGATCGAAATTCAGAAGGAGGTGCGTCCATATACAAATGTGGGGAAGTTTCAATGCAAATGCTAATTGACTTCCAGGAGCCGACCTTTGAGTCAGTTGTTACTGAGAAGGCCGCCTTCTACAAGGAGCTAGAGGAGGAGGATCTGTACACCAAGTACAAGAAGCTCGCGCGCCATCTCGAACTCCTCGATATTCAGGAAAGTTATATCAAAGATGAGCAAGCTAACCTCAAACGAGAGCTCATTCGTGCCCAAGAAGAGGTCAAACGCATAAAATCTGTCCCCCTCGTCATTGGCCAGTTCCTAGAAGCCATAGATCAGCACACGGGTATCGTTGGGTCCACTACCGGCTCAAATTACGTTGTTCGAATTCTCTCTACGCTGGACCGCGAACTGTTGAAGCCTTCCTCCTCTGTGGCACTCCATCGACACTCAAATGCATTGGTCGACATCCTTCCGCCAGAAGCCGACTCTTCAATATCCATGCTAACCAAGGAGGAAAGACCTGACGTCAGCTATTCCGACATCGGTGGCATGGACACACAGAAGCAGGAAATCCGTGAGGCTGTTGAGCTGCCTCTGACCCACTTCGACCTCTACAAGAAGATCGGTATTGACCCTCCTCGCGGCGTGCTACTATATGGCCCACCGGGTAGCGTATTTTCTCCTTTGGCTTGTATGCTCTTTTCTCACGGACCGAAACTGTGGCAGGTACTGGAAAGACCATGCTTGTTAAGGCTGTTGCTCACCATACAACCGCCTCATTTATCCGTGTGGTTGGGAGCGAATTTGTGCAGAAATATCTCGGTGAAGGACCCCGGATGGTTAGAGACGTTTTCCGTCTTGCCCGCGAAAATGCTCCTGCAATCATTTTTATGGATGAAGTGGATGCTATTGCCACAAAACGGTTCGACGCACAAACCGGAGCAGATCGAGAGGTCCAACGCATTCTTCTCGAGTTGTTGAACCAGATGGATGGCTTCGATCAAGGAAGCAACGTCAAGGTGCTTATTTTGAAAGCCTTGTATCCCAGAACAATGCTGATAGACTATGCATAGGTCATCATGGCTACCAACAGAGCAGACACTCTGGATCCCGCCTTACTTCGACCCGGCCGTTTGGACAGGAAGATTGAATTCCCTCTTCCCTCTCGCAGAGAGAAAAGATTGATTTTCCAGACTGTGACAAGCAAGATGAACCTCGGTCCTGATGTTGATCTCGAAGATTGTCTGTTCTGTCCTTCGACTTCTCTGTGCTGTGCTCATTGTCTTGGTCTCAGATGTATCACGACCCGACAGACTCTCCTCAGCCGATATCGCTGCCATCGTTCAGGCAGCCGGCCTCCAAGGTATGTAATGTGCCATGTCGTGCGTCCTATCTGATGCCTTGTTCAGCGGTTCGTAAAAATCGCTACGTAATCCTTCCCGTCGATTTCGAGGAAGCGTGGAAAGTAAGCTATTTGGACATGTTTGTACAAGGTCCTGTTTTAAATCCGAAAATTTTGCGTTTTCTTCCAGCAAACTGTCAAGCGCTCAGACGACACCCACGAGTTCTGTACGTTGCCTCTTCTTTCCCGGATGTCTTCATCAGACTCAATTTCCTTTCGCTCAAAGATCGCTAATTGGGAGTATTCATGTGAGTTTTTGCTTCCGAGTCAAAATGGACTTATCGCTTACTTCGTCACAGCCTTTGTATACTACATTACATGTTATTGTAAATGCCACAAACTACAGCAGAGCGACCGCCTTTTCCAGCATACGCTCTCATTCACTTTAGCGTCACATCGCCTTCCCACGAGGTGACGCTCATTCTCGTGAGCAAGACGAAAGCACTTTACATCTCCTGTGCAATTTTTGCCTCACTGGCCTCTCCCGGAAGGACGTCTAGACGCAGTGTGGTTCACACGCAGGATACATTCTGTGTCAAGGAAGTTAGTGAGTAATCGGAAAGATCAGAAGCTGATGTGCTTCGTCATTCAGAATATATCTGCAATACATCTCTTCTCCATTTCTCCGTCCAGGTGTGCTAGGGTGTGCTCGGATTCGATCTGGTCGTAAGATCGCCAATGCTCCTCAACACTCTGGGCGATGTCCATCACTCAGGCATACGTCCTCATTTTATGGGAGCAATAATAATAACGGCATGGTGTTCAATGGCCAGCCACCCAGGCATTTTACGGATGCTCATGCTTAGTGGAGCGGTCTGAGATGCTATTGGGAAACACTGCTATCTACTTGACTGTATTTCCTCTCTTACTGCAATAGACATGCATTCGTACTGTTGGTACCACGCTGCTCAAAAACTGGTGATTTCCAATGTCGTAGCTTTTATTTTCGAGCAGGCTGCCCAAGTTCGCTGGCTCGCTCAGTTGCAATCTGAATCGCCCTGGCAATTGTCGACCTCACTTTGCCGTCCTCCATAGCCAGTAGTCCAGCAATAGTGCACCCACCGGGTGCTGATGATAGGTGAACATTTGTGGAATGGCTGTGCCTTATGACTTACTTGTGACAGAATCCTTGATCTGGGCAGGATGTGCACCCGCTTGCAATGCCATCCGAGCTGCACCTTGCAGGGCTTCCATTCCGTCAGTACCGTGGCGTTCAAGAATTAACATATAACCCTTACTCTGAGCAGCTAACTCCAGCGCTTCGGCTCGAGGTAGACCCATCATAACGCCGCCATCTGCCATTGCCTCGAGGAAGATGCACGCGAAGGCAGGACCAGATCCTGAGAGCGCAGTACATGCATCGAAATGTTTCTCGTCCAGGAAGCGACAGCGACCTATCGAGGAGAAGATCTTGAGGATAATGTCCCGGTCTAGCTCAATATCGTCCGATTGAGGGAGGCTGCTGACTACTGTCATTCCTTCACGAATCTTTCAAAGGTGAACTCTCCTTCAGGTCATTATGAGTGACATTTACGTACCCGACAAGGTGTATTCGGCATCGCACGGACAACCTTCGTTGTAGGTAGCACCAGTGAAGTGAGTTGAGAAATGGTGACACCAGCTAGAATACTTATAAGGAGCTTGCTCGTTAAAGCATCGCTCATGCCATCTTGACTGAGAATTGAGTAGGCCTGCTGGGGTTTGCAGCTACAACGAGTGTAAGGTTGCCCGGATAAAATATACGGCAACATCTCGTACCACAGTAGGACGACGTCTGCTTCACTCACAGCACGCAGGTTATCGCCGACGACAATATCCACAGACGATCCTAGCCCTCCCAGGGCATCGAGAGTGGCCTGTAACTTGCGGGCGCTTTCGGAGCGTGTCACAGTCGCTATAAATCGTGATGGGAGCGATGGATCGCCTGTATCAATCGCAGGCGTGGTCGTGCCAGGCGTATGTGATTCCCACTTGGGGAAGGATTGCTCGAACGCCCTTGATTGTAAGCTGGCTATAACACCAGAGAGGATAGCAACGCCCATCGTGCCACAACCTGGGCTAGTTTGAGCAATCGCACCGCACAACGATGAGGACAGATACCCAGAACGCAGATAGTATAGCCCATGTCGACGATGCCAATCACCGGTGGTACCAGTTGGTGTCGAGATTACAACTTGCTTGAAATCGAAAACTCGCTGGGTAGAACGGCAAGCCTTGCCTTGGCATTTTCTGTCTAAATATATATTTATGTTATCTGCAGTATGATATAAATCTGTAATATTATATATGGCCTATATATATATAGCGCTAGCTATATATATACTCTCCCAGTATATAGGCAGCGGTTTATAGCTACAAAAGAAGATATATAGCCGTAGGTTTCTCCTCAACACGCGCCTCCCTGGGTTATGGGCTCACTATTAGCGCGCACTAACCACAGCCTAGTCTCCTTTTTGCAGCCGGTTTACACGTGTCGCTGCGCTCTTTTGACGCTGACACAGCCTTAACGTGTTGCACTCAGCACAGAGCACCAGAAGCTGCACTGTCCGGCTCCTTCCGATCTGTCTAATTGACCGACGTCTCTCAGAACGTCCGTTTCCTTTAGACCAAGAGACCATGTCTGTTCTGGTTACAGTCGGGTCAACCCGCTTCGACGAACTTCTTGAAGCAGTTATGTCCGAGGAGGTCTGTAAGGCATTGCGGAAACAAGGATATAAGCATCTTATCCTTCAGTACGGTAATTCAGACGCGAAACCTATCAGGATCTTTGGCGACACTGAGCATTTTCATGCCCACGGCCTCGACATCGAAGCTTGGAAGTTCAAACCTTCTCTCAGATACAATATTGAACAGGCAGATCTTGTCATTAGCCATGCTGGTTTGCCTTCTGCATTTGACTCAAACGCTCAACATTCTGAACCAGCTTTTCAGGGTCAGGGACAATTCTGGAAGTACTCCGGATGGGGAAGCCTCTAGTTGTGGTCCCAAATGCATCATTACTTCACAATCATCAGGAGGAGCTGGCGGTAGCACTAAGCAACCTAGGCCATCTGAAGATGACTACACTTTCGTATGTCCACTCAGCTTCAGTCCCTGTACTACCACAGAATACATTTCTTACCTACTTGGCTAGAGGATTGGCAGATGCTCTCGCGACCTGGAACGCAACTCCTTTGGCTCCTTTTCCTTCATTCGATGGCACGAATTTCAGTAAGCTCCTTGACGAGGAGATGGGTTTATTATGATAAGAACGAAGGCACCATGTCGAATATTGGCTATGCCCTCAAGAGGCGAAAATTACTCAACTGTCACTATTAAATGGAAGGCCATATATTATACCTCAAGTCTGATCTGCATCATTTGTAGTTTTGATTCTCAGCCTCCCCTCGGCAGTCCCGCAGCCAGCAGTTTGACTGACGAACTCTATCTGTTTTTCTGGCCCAATGCTCACGTAGCACTAGCAAGAGCTTGGGCGAGACTGACCACCCGAAGTAGAACAGGGTTTTCCGGAACGAGGTTCCTAAGGTAGAGCTACTACTCTCAGTCTCATCTGTTCAAGGAGTATCCTGCCGCGAACGTTGTAATTTTCCATGTGGCTCTTGGTCCTATGCCTAAAGTCGATTAACACCTACTAAACATTGACAATGATCCCCAACACTACTTACTTACTACGGCTATTCACGATGTTAAACTATGTAAGGAAACTGCACGGTCATATCAAGCAACTTACAGGTACATAAGCCGACCTTCATCGCGTTCGGAGCCTGTCAATCATGCATACTGCTTACACCTGAATTCGATCTTAGTACTGATGGTCAAGATTGCGGTTCCGACGTCGATACAGGGCCGCCCACAAGAGTATGAAGAAGCCCATGTGCATAACGTATACGATCGGATTGCGGATCATTTTTCCTCGACACGCTACAAGGTAAGCCGGGAATCACTCTGCCGTATTTCGAGTTAACTAGTTTCGCTAGCCGTGGCCGATTGTAGCACAATTTCTGTCTGATATACCAACTGGGTGGATAGGACTCGACTCTGGCACAGGCAATGGGAAATACTTGCCAATTCCTACAGAACGGCCTGGAAGTATTTTCACAATAGGTCTCGACAGAAGCCATAACCTCCTCGAGCTGGCAAAATGCGCTGGAGGCTCGCCAACTAGGGATGTTCTACGAGGAGACGTCCTAGGGGATTACTGGCGGCTGGGAGCATTCGTTGGCTATTCCTTCTGAAGTTTTGTGGATTTGTCTCTGACATATTCTATTAGGATTATGCCCTCTCAATCGCTACTGTTCACCACTTGGCTTCGCCTAAACGCCGTAAACAAGCCATTGAGGTACTGTATTACTCTCTTATCTCTAATATGTATCCGATTGATATTGTGGCATAGCGTCTAATTCAGAGCGTGTCTTCAACTCATGGGCGGATACTCATATATGTCTGGGCTACGAAGCAAGACGAGTTGTCGAGGACTTCCTTTCCCAAAAAAGCATGTTGGAGCAACGAAGACGAAACGAGAATTTCTCCGGCTGGTCAAGATGTCTTCGTCCCATGGGTGACTCAAACCAGCACAGACGGCTCTGTGACTGTCGAACCAGAAACCTCGAAATCGATGTATATGGTTTTGAATCGATACTATCACATGTTCAGTGAAGGTGAACTGTCAAGAATGGCAGAGGAAGCAGCGAAGGAGTTAGACTTGAAGATCGGATCTCCAGACGAGTTCTCCGAAAGAGGGGTGAAAGGACTCCACATATCAGAAGAAGGATGGGAGCGGTCGAATTACTATCTCTTGTTGACTCGCTGGGAAAAGTGAACATGTCGCATAACGAGCTCGCTACCATGATCTTTTCCCGTTTCTAATATGATTCTCAAGGTCATGACTTTTCTTTGGTCGAAAGTTCATCACATATGCGATACGGAACTATCTTGGTTGACGCTGGCAGAGGCATGATAATACAATGAAAGGGTGCGATCGTAGAGTTTATTCGCTGGCAGCCATGACTAGAGAACGCATGAGCATCGTTATACAGAGCAATCCTAAAAATGCTTACTGGCATTGATCAGATCACCACCAGTTTCTTTCAGGACGCGAACAGCTTTTGCCCTCGAGCAGTTGACCTGAGCCATAACCAGCTCGATATCTTTTGGATCAACACCTGTTTCGTCAACGGGACTATCGTCTTCAGGAGCTTCGAGATCGGGGATGTCCTCGTCGTCGTCGCCATCGGCGCCCGCGCCCGAGTTCTCCAGGGCTGAAACACCCCCCGGGGCTGCACCGCCAGATGCAAGCTGCTGAGCCGCCGACATCTGAGCCTGCGAGTTCATATCCTCGACCTAATGCCAATATCAATCGCTTCAGCTGCATTTGAGTTTGATTTAGTACGTACACGAGCTTCACCGAAAACGATGTAGGTGTCGCTGTTCGTGGACTTGTACACATCGGGTGCCGAGAGGACGAACAGGAGATTCTTTGGTCGGCGAAGGGTGACGCGAGTGATGCTAGGGACCTTCTTCAATCCAAGACTCAGCAGCGCCTTTCTAGCTTTTCGTTCAGAGCGTGACTGGATTTTATCGAGGGCGGCCTGCGAAGTGGGGTCCTCCTCATGTTCATGTTCATGATCATGTTCATGTTCATGTTCGGAGTGATCAGAAGTAACCTCTTCGATGGTCGCGGACATATCTATGAACCTTTGGGTCAGTGATCTGGTGCATCCAAACGGCGACGGTTGCATCCATCAAAAAACCGTTGTTCCTGGATATTCGCTGCATAGGGATAGAAGATGTGCAATGTCGTACTTACCTAGTCGGCTGATTCAAGAGCTTTAGCGACGACGACTGGGCCTTCGGGTCGATGTTGACAGTGGGCAGGCATTTGGGCGAGCTCGGACATCCCCGAAATTAAGCGCCGAATACTCGATTAAGCGCCTGGCTTTGAGAACATCTCTAGATCTGTTGCATTGATTTGATGAAGCAATATTAATAGTACTCGATAAATTTACACCTCATGATAAAGCTCATATGCATTATACAGATATATATGTCTGTATGAACTATCGATGTTGCAGCACAGTCGGCCTTCCGACGGCTTCCTAGTGCTGTCAGCTAGACCAGTCGCGTACCTGATTTAACTTATGTTTTTTGCCAATACTCAGGATGCACAGATCGTGCTATGCACTACATCTCATTTCTTTCTTTCCTGTGCTCAATATGCCGCTTCGACGTCAGAAACGCTTGTCTGGATCCGTTTTATGATAATGCCGATTGTGAGGAAAGGGATTGACCTGAAAATGGCAAGTGATATGGAATCTTCTGGAAGCGATCGCGCGTGAGATTGGTCTGATCCCTCGAAACTTCGAGAACGAGGAAAATTCAGAGTACATAAAGTTCATGATGCAAACGCGCCTCTTTACTCTTTGACCCTTCTCCTCTTCCTCGTTTCTTTTCTATCCACCAAAAGCCTTTGTGAGCAATTCGCCCTAGTGCGTGTTCAGCATGGAACTTATCTACTTCCTAGATCGATATGGCCACCGAAAGTTTCGGCTTCCAAGCTGAGATCAGCCAGCTCCTCGATCTCATTATCAGTGAGTGCCACTCTTTTTTGTCATTCAATTGATAGCTCATCCTGTGTTAGATACCTTTTACTCTAACAAGGAGATCTTCCTTCGTGAGCTTATCTCCAACGGCTCCGATGCCTTAGACAAAATCCGCTATGCTTCCCTCACCGATCCGACTGTTCTTGACACGGAGAAGGATCTTTATATCCGCATCACCCCTGACAAGGAGAACAAGTTGCTCAGCATCCGTGACACCGGCATTGGTATGACGAAGGCTGATCTCGTTAACAACCTCGGTACGATTGCCAAGTCTGGCACCAAGGTGAGTAACTCGAGTTTCAATTCTCGATCGGACTCGAGCGTCTGGCTTGCAGGGTTTCATGGAGGCATTGAGCTCCGGTGCCGATATCTCGATGATTGGCCAATTCGGTGTTGGCTTCTACTCTGCCTACCTTGTCGCCGAGCGCGTCCAAGTCATCTCAAAACACAACGACGACGAGCAGTACATCTGGGAGTCCGCCGCTGGTGGTACCTTCACGATAACTCCTGACACGGTGAACCCATCTCTCGGTCGTGGTACCGAACTTCGTCTGTACTTGAAAGAAGATCAGCTGGAGTATCTCGAGGAGAAGAAGATCAAGGACATCGTCAAGAAGCATTCCGAGTTTATCTCTTATCCTATTCAGCTTGCCGTGACGAAGGAGGTTGAGAAGGTACGTGAGCGATATTTGAACACGCGGCCAACACTGATTGGGTTACAGGAAGTTGAAGACGACGAGGCGGAAGAAGAAAAAGACGAGAAGGAAGAGTCTAAGATCGAAGAAGTCGAAGACGAGGACGACAAGCCCAAAAAGAAAACGAAGAAGGTGAAGGAGATAGAGACGACCAACGAGGAGCTCAACAAGACGAAGCCTATCTGGACTCGTAACCCATCTGACATCACTGCAGAGGAGTACAGCGCCTTTTACAAGTCATTGACGAACGACTGGGAAGACCACCTGGCTGTCAAGCACTTCTCCGTTGAGGGTCAACTCGAGTTCAAGGCTATTCTTTTCGTGCCCAAGCGGTAGGTTGTCACTGCGGCGCCTGGCACGGTTGACTAACATTCTTTAGGGCCCCTTTCGATCTCTTCGAGACGAAGAAGAAGCGCAATAACATCAAACTCTACGTCCGCCGCGTCTTCATCATGGACGATTGCGAGGATCTCATTCCCGAATACCTCAACTTCGTCAAGGGTATCGTCGATTCCGAGGACCTCCCTCTCAACATCTCCCGTGAGACGTTACAGCAAAACAAGATTCTGAAGGTCATCCGCAAGAATATCGTCAAGAAGTGCATGGATGTCTTCAGCGAGATCGCTGAGGACAAGGACAACTTCAGCAAGTTCTACGAGTCGTTCGGCAAGAATCTCAAGCTTGGTATTCACGAGGATGCCCAGAACCGCAGCAAGCTTGCCGAGTTCCTTCGGTTCTTCTCGACGAAGTCATTGGACGAACAGACGTCGCTTAAGGGTATAATTTCTTATGTCGATTCTAAGCATTACGCTAACCCCGATTACCAGACTACATCACCCGCATGCCTGAGGTCCAGAAGTCCATTTACTTCCTTACTGGAGAGTCTCTCGCTGCCGTCAAGGACTCTCCCTTCTTGGAGGTCCTCAAGCGCAAGGGCTTCGAAGTTCTTCTCCTCGTTGACCCTATTGACGAGTATGCCATCACTCAGCTCAAGGAGTTCGAGGGCAAGAAGCTCGTTTGTGTCTCGAAGGAAGGTCTCGAGCTGGAAGAAAGCGAGGACGAGAAGAAGGCCCGCGAAGAGGAAGCTTCTCAGTTCAATGATCTCTGCACCACGATCAAGGACGCCCTCGGCGACAAGGTGGAGAAGGTCGTGGTTTCGAACCGCATCACCGACTCCCCTTGCGTTCTCGTCACTGGTCAGTTCGGCTGGTCATCGAACATGGTAAGCACCCCTATCGTGATTTGAAGCTCCTGACTCATCATCGCTTTTTCTTAGGAACGCATCATGAAAGCGCAAGCTCTTCGTGATTCTTCTATGTCCTCTTACATGGCTTCGAAAAAGACCCTTGAGCTGAACCCCAAGAACCCGATCGTTAAGGAGCTCAAGCGCAAGGTTGCGGAGGATAAGGCGGACAAATCTGTTCGCGATCTAACGTACCTGCTCTTTGAGACCGCTTTGCTCACCTCTGGCTTCTCGCTGGAGGATCCTACTTCCTTCGCCAAGCGTATCAACCGCATGATCAGTCTGGGTCTTGACGTTGATGAGGAGGAGGAGGCTCCTGTCGCCTCAAGTGACGCTCCCGCGGCTTCGGAAGGCGCTTCGACGTCGGCGATGGAGGAGATTGACTAGATGTACTTGTCACTAACGACTTCCACGATTGCATTTTCACTCTGTATTAAGCATATTCATCATCTTCGGTTGCACGATTCCGTACAGTACGCAAATAAAGCATAGCATCAATCTCAACTAGAATTCATCTTGTGCACAATTTCTTTGGTTTGACATTTATACGTTGAGGATTTCGCGCGTAAGCACTCATCGATAGAGTGTTCGCATCACGACATTTAAGGAAGCGTAGCACCCGCTCAGTATTATGCCATATTAGTCTGATCCACCGTGCCTTCTATTTGACAAGCTTTGCTCTACAGAAGATCTAGATATCATATTTTGTACCAAACGTTGCTAGTCAGTATACATGTACTTAACTCCGACCTGATCAAGCTCTTCTGGTCGCGTGTCAAGTCGTTTACGCGTGGTGGTCTGGCTTATAATATTTCTTATCCAAATCTTATCAAGTACTTTCTGATTTTGCCACTCCGGTTCGACTAGTCATATTTCCACGACTCACCATTTGAATCGCAACGTCACGCTTTCAGCTTTCATCCATAAACACCTCGGCAAGATCGTCATTCACACATAATGGAGGCGGAGAGGGTACTCAATTTTGGGGCAGGACCCTCGGCACTGCCAGCATCTGTCTTACAAGAATCTGCCAAAGGGCTATGGAACTTCGAAGGGACCGGTATAGGGGTGGCCGAAATCTCGCACCGCTCGAAGGAGTTCGTCAGCTACATAACCAGAGTCGAGAGCCGCATCAGGACCCTCCTTGATGTACCTCACACGCACACAATCTTGTTCACTCAAGGCGGTGGAACCGCTCAGTTCTCTGCGGTCGTTTTGAACTTACTGGCAAGACACCGGCTACTTTACCCAAACCTTTCCGATGATGAGCGCATCCTGGACTATGTCGTTACGGGCTCCTGGAGCAAGAAGGCAGTTGAAGAAGCCGCTAGGCTCGGCGGGAGCAGAATCAACATTGTCGTCGATGCACGCCAGCATTCCAAAGACCAGAAGTCTTTCGACAACATCCCCTTCCATGATTCATACACATTCTCCTCCGAACCAGCACTCATCTACTACTGCGAAAACGAAACTGTAGACGGCGTGCAGTTCTCTGATGACCCTGGCTCACCAGCTTCCTTCCCATTCGTTTCACTCAAGAGTGATCACCTTCCTCCACTTGTTGGAGATTACTCTTCCTCGTTTATGTCTCGTCCCATACCTCGTCTGGCCGACCACGCTATCATTTACGCTGGTGCACAGAAAAACGTCGGCCCGGCTGGCCTCACTATACTTATTGTCCGGAACGACTGTATCGTGGACGTGGATGCAGCTGCTAAGCTTGGTGCAGCACCGATTCCCATTAGCATGTCGTACAAAACGCTTGCGGGCCACGGGGCACATGGCTTCGCATGAAATAGCCGCATATGTCACCAGAAAACAGAGACCTGTCACGGCCAAAATGTACACATATCCTTCATGCTCACGGAGTATACACAGGGGGAGTAGCCCAATAAGTTCTCAGAATTTATTGTGGAAATATTGTGGATGCAATATAATGAAATTTTGCCAGGACAGCGAGACTTATTTTGGAACTTACCAAGGACGCATTTTGAATAAATTTTGGCGATTCACACTTGACACGGCCAATTTGGTCACAAAAGATAATTTAATCAGAATATCGCCCCGCTAAGTACCAAATAAGTCTCGCTTTTCCTGCAAAACAAAGTTAAAATACGTCTTCAATATTTCCACCATAAGTCCCGAGAACTTATCGGGCTATTCCCGCTGTGTATAATTCCCACAGTGCCTGCTCCTGAAAAGCACAAAAAATGCGTCACCTGAGCGATTCGAACACTCGCGGGCAAAGCCCAACCGCTGTGCTGAATTAGCAGGCGATCCCGTTAACCACTCCGGCAAAGTGACTTGTTTAGCAATTATCTAATTAAATATAAGATCATTGCGACGTCTTGCATCCACTGGGCAAACAATGTTCTCAAGGATTTGTACATAAAACGAGTGGTATATGTACAGTGAGCAGTACGTAGCTGCAGCGTTATGCTGCCCCATTCTCCTTGATGAATTCCCGCATGTACGTCGCAAGTACGTCCACGTTCGCAACTGTAACAGCATTGTATAATGAAACGCGGATCCCTAGGCAAGAGATTAGCCCTCGCACTGGGTCTTAGAGAAATGACATTACCCCCGACGGACCTGTAACATTAAAAAATATTCAGTTCATACCTTGGAATATGCTCCCTAGCGACTTACCTATGTCCCTTCAGACCTTTCATACCTCTACTCTCCGCACCGCCGATGAACTTCGTTTCCATGCCATCGCCTACGACGTCAAATACGATGTTCATCAAACTCCCCGAGCCTTCTTTGACCTTCTCTCGCAAAATGCCACGGTCTTCGCCCTCACGAAGGGCTTCATATACCTTGGCTGCTTTCTCTTTGGTCATCTTGGCGTACTTGACTAGGCCACCGTTGCGACTGATGTCTTCCATGACAAGGCCAGTGATGTAGATGGAGAGTACTGGGGGCGTATTGTAGAGACTCTTGGAGTTGAGTTGGTTACAGCGTCCGACTGTTACTATCCAATAAATCGGAAGGTCGTGAGTTCGAGCCTCACCGGGGCAGACTTTTTATTTATATATCCTCTTGCTTGAGTGTACCATACATGCGCTGCTGGTGGGTCCTACTTCAGACGCTAAGCTCATCCTTCGCTCGACAACTCTTAGATCCAGAATGTCTGATATGATCAAGATGGTTACCGCTGGTCATCTCTTGTTTACTTTGTGGTCACCCGCTGACTTTTCCCGAGTGTATCTGTTTAAAACCCTGGGTGTGTCCAGGCGTGTTCACCGGTGACTTGTCCTACCCACCAACATACGATTTTTGCGACATTCTGAAGTGAAGTATGCACAAAGTTATTAATTGCTCGAGCTCAGTATCTCCGCACTATTTGGACATTATTACTTGGGGTGCGCTAAATGTCATAGTCAATCTCGACGGAACATATGAAATTTAAAGATTGCATAATTAACATATTTTATCTTTTAATATTTTAATCAGCAAATATATGATCGGGCTGTGCCATATTTTAGAGTTGATGAGAGAATAATGCGGAACAATTTCAATCGAGCACGTGGCAAGAACTGTACAGTTCTGCGTAGAAATATTTCCACGGTCTAAGCGTTAGCGGTTGCACGGTTACGCCAGGAAGCCACAAACATTCAGCTTCGCAATGGAAAACGACCAGGTGAGTCCGAGGTCTAAACAGTGTTTCTGAGTGAAGCTTAATATATCCCAGGGTGTCCTCGTTGATCTCTATGTTCCCCGCAAGTGTGCGGCTACCAGCGAGTCCTCCTTAATATTCATTTAAACGCCAGACTCTAATGTGAACACGTTCAGACCGCCTTATCACATCGAAGGACCATGCGTCGGTCCAGATCAACGTTGCCGATGTTGATTCTAATGGCAGAGCCCTTAACACCTACACGTCGTTTGCTCTGTGCGGTCAGGTTCGGTCGCAGGGTGAGAGTGATGACTCAATAAACCGACTGGCTACCAAGGCTGGATGTGAGTATAATCTTGTCTGTTTGTAGTGCGTTTCTCATGGGCTTTCAGTGCTGCGTAATGTCTGGTCATACCAAAAGTAAAAGCTGCCATGTAGCACAGATGTATCTTCCGTCACTCTTATGTCAATGTGGCATTCATGACGCTCATTACCATCCGTCATCGCCATGTCTTTCAGCAAAAAAAAACTCTGGGATATTAGCTAGAATGTCAGCTGGGACATCCTCTCATGGGGACAAGACTTGCTGTCACTCCCATATGGCTGCTTCGCATGCATGTGCTATCTTCCTGTTCATCTACTTGTTCGTCCCAAGGTGCAGGTGTAATTATATAACGTGCAATGGCACATCCTGCCTGAACTTGCCATTTATTCTTGCTGTATTCGATATTCAGTCGGTCTGGGCCGCCGGGCTTAATGAGATAAATTTTCCTTGGTTTTTCCTTCAACGACACGAATCTCCGTACAAATAAATTCGGCAAAGCGTCGTATAATTTGAGGTGTGGAGGGTGCTTGAAGCGTCTACTATTGGCGAGGATCTTCCCAACCCATCATGTACTAAGGTAAGATCGAAGACCTTGCACGCCGCGGCCGAGGCCTATCACTTAGCCTAGGTGGAAGACATACGCATACTCACACACTAGTGTACATCGCTCCGTCGGACAGTATCTAAAGGAGCTTAGATTTTCTTGAACTTGCCAGTGGCATGTGTCACGTTGAGCTTGATGTTTCCTGGCCCATGCATTCCCGCCGGAATCTTTGGTACTGATCTCAAAACGGTTTCCCCAGCTACCGTTGTGCATTACAGTATCCGTGATTATGTAAGATGATGTAAGAGGGCGCAGATGTGAGTACGGAGCCGCGGCCCTAAGGGGTACGGTACTGCGCTATTGCCTGTGCACAGCGCAGTCACCCTCAGATGAGCAGAGGCAACAACCTACCACACTCCAACAGCCGTTTGTCTACAAGCTCAGTAGGTCGCCTTCTCGCCTTCGACCTTGGATAAACACTTACACTCCTTCCATCGTTCAGTCTGACTCCATGGTAGAAATCATTCATGACCCCCCTGTTCGGACTGACACTGTCAGCCCGACATCCTTTGTTGGATCCGAAGACGACAAGCATCGACTCCTCTATAGCAAATCCAAAGTATACATCAATCCTACGGCATATTCCAAGGACAATATACCGGGGTTCGTAGCGCTTGTGAAACGGGTATGCCTTCCCCTCTCTTAGTTTGTGGTCGCTTGACAGTCAACAGGAGGCGGTTAATCCAACCTATCTACTTGCATGGATCCCTGAGAAGCTGCTCCATGAACGAGGTGTTAATGAATGGGACAAGTTCCTCAAAGCTGAGGAAAAGATAGATATAGATGAAGAAGACGAAGGTGTGTGGGTGTTCTACAGCTGTGACAGGGTGCATCCAATCTACCTTCCTTAGATGCGGTTCTCATTGATTTTCCAACGCGAAGACCGGAATCATACGCATTTTCCGTTTCGTTGACCTCTATCTACTCGTTAGTAGTTCAGCCGCCGACATTGTCATCGTGGTGTACGTCATACATTTACGCTGTGATGCATAGCTAACCCCCTTCCAGACGGAGCAGTCACTGTGAATCTCATCAACGGATCCACACTTCCAACCTTATACTTCCACGATGACGAGTCGCTTTCTGGAACCTTGCCCCCCCGACCCGATCGAACGCAGTCCACTACATCTTACCCGCCTGCATCTCCGCAGTCAAACCGTCCAGTGACCTCCTGGGGAGGCGAGTTACTTCTCTCTCGCTTGCGGTCTTATGCGCATCTTCTGCGCTCGACTTTGCAGCCCTCGCTCTTCATAGTAGATCCTTCCAAAGCAGATATAGACATTCACTCTACACAAATCTATGACGACGACGCCGTGGATGATATTCTCGCGCAGTCATCGTATGTGAATTCTCACTCTCCAGTGCCTGCTCACCGGATGCCCCGCCCGTTATCGAGCGCGCCATCAACGACTCCAAATCCTTATTCCACTCGTTCGTCGGTACTTCATCGCTCGCTCTATCCTCCGTCCATCTCCTCAGAGCAATCTTCGTCGCAAGCACGAATGGCACTTTTACAGTCGTTCACCAATATCACTAGGGCTACTAGGCATGCCGCACAGAACATACTATCTCATCCACTAGCCAAACCCATAGTTCCCCATCTTCCAGACCCTGTCAAGAGTCTTGTCAATGCTAAGGGTGAGTGGGAATGGGGGAGCTGGGTAGAAAAAGGAGGAGTCGGAGAATTTGAGAGCGCCCGCGTATATCTTGCTCGCTGGGCGCGCATTGTTGCAGAAGAAGGAGACAGAGCGCGACGCCGAGAAGCTCAGGCGCTTCCTTCCTCGTCTGACATGGCACTGGAGACCTCACCCCTGGGTGTCTTTGAGCTTCTTCAGACCACAAGAAACCTCCCTGCTCCTAAGATGTCCCGAGATCCTGCTCACCCGGTTGATGAAGAGACTTGGCAGAAGTGGTTTGGGCCGGACGGAAAACCGAAGATTCGCGTCGAGGAGATGAGAAGAGAAGTATTCAGACGCGGCATTTCACCGAAAGGCTTTATACGAAGAAAGATATGGCCTCTCCTACTTGGCGTGCTTGAATGGGACGTTGACGCAGCCGAGCGTGCTCGTCAATGGGATGAAAAACGACAACGCTTTCACGATATCAAAGCAGAGTGGTTTGGAGTGTCCGAGATATTTGACCGTCATGACGTCGTTGAGGTGTGTCCTCTTTCCATGACCCTGACAATAATTAACAACCGTAATAGGAGCGTCATCGCATTGATGTTGACTGTCGAAGAACGGATCGAACCCAGCCTCTTTTCTCCACTACGTACGCAGACTCGTCGACAGCGGCTGAGGACGAGCGCCGAACGCGATTTTCTACCATCTCTCCTCAGATGACGGACATAGGTGCCCAATCCCCTAGCAACGAGCATATAGATCGACTAGCAGGGATCTTGCTGACGTACAACTTCTATGACAAAGAATTGGGTAAGTCATCCTATCACTCCAGGCTATTCTCTGGAACAGGTTACCCACAATATGCGATGAAGGTTACGTTCAGGGCATGTCAGATCTCTGTGCACCCATCTTTGTCGTCATGGGATCGGATGAGGAATTGACCTTTTGGTGTTTTGTGGAGGTTATGAAACGAATGGTGTGCCGTTCACCGCAGGCTTCTACCTCTTTGGCTAACATCCTTTAGAAACAGAACTTTTTGCGAGATCAGAGTGGCATGAAGAGGCAACTTTCGGCACTGCAAGAACTCATTGGCATGATGGATCCAGAGCTATACCGCCATTTTGGTTTGTCTTACCGCTTTTCTGCTCGCCTGCTTTTACAGCTGATGCTACATAATGCGACATTAGAACAAGCAGATGGGCTGAATTTGTTCTTCTGCTTCAGGTGAGCAACGTTTCCGTATTACGGGATTTACCGTTGATACTATGCGTGTTTTATAGATGGGTGCTCATTGCTTTCAAGAGGGAATTTTCCTTCGATGATGTACTGCGCCTCTGGGAGGTATTTTGGACTGACTATTACAGTAACAATTTCGTTCTGTTTGTCGCGCTAGCCATTCTTGAGTCTCATCGGGATATGATCTTGCGATATCTAGTGGAGGTCAGTCATCGAATTCTAAAGTGCACACTCACTTCATATTGAAATCATTCTGGCAGTTCGATGAAATCCTAAAGGTAACACTGTCGTCATTCTGTTGAAACTAACTAATCTCGTTTCAGTACTGCAACGAATTATCAATGACAATCGAGCTGGATTCGACATTAGCTCAGGCGGAAGTGTTGTTCCTATCCTTCGCGCAGCTCGTGGCCGACATAGACAGGCGAAGAGCCGATGAAGCTTCTTCATTAACCACTCTGCAGCGTCGCAAGACGACGAAAGGAGGCGCTCAAGAGGACGAACAGGTTAAAGTCAAGATGCCCGTTCTAAGTGACAATCTTCGGGACCTCTTGAAGGCGGGACGATGAGTTGGATGATTTATAAAGTAACACATGCACAATCTTGGGTCAACGTCGCCACATGCCTTCCTGTACTAAGTAATATTCTGGTATTCAGATTACCAGATTTTTGTACGACTTAACTGTTCGATTAGATTGTATCTTGTATTTGATAAGAGGGCACGTGTATGCCTAGCTACAGGGTCGCATAGTCGTGAGATTTACTTCGTTTCGACTTCACGTCATCCACCACCTCTACAAAGTCTCCTGAAAAGAGGACGTAATGGCTGCACGAACACACTTTCCTCATGTCGACACTCACTATTTTGCGACGTCACGCTCAGAATCCTGATCCCGCCAGTCTTCCGCCCTCCGTGCTCCTTGATTATACCGACTCTTACTTGACCATCTTTGACGCGTATCCGAAGGCTACTTTTCACCTCCTTGTACTTCCCAGACCCAAGGATGGCTCCCTGACGCTTTCCGAACTGTCTGGATTACGTTCTCTCCTCTCATGCCAGAAAAAGGACGCCAAAAAGATTCTGGATGAACTCGCAGCGCAAGCCGAGAAAACGAAAGAGCTTGTCAGAGAAGAAATGGTCCAGCGTTACGGCTACTCTTGGGACATTTGGGTGGGATTCCACGCGGTCCCCAGCATGGAGTGAATCCTTAGTACTTGTGAAATCCTGATTCAGACCTGACAGACGTGGCTGCGGGCTTTTAGGCATATCCACCTTCATGTCATTTCGAGTGACTTATGTTCTCCAAAGTTAAAGAACAAGAAGCATTACAATTCTTTCCATCCAAAGCTGGGGTTCTTTCTTCATTTGGAGGAGGTTTTGTCTTGGTTTGAAGAGGAGCCAAAATACTTTGCTACTGTAGGTGCCGTTTCCAAGTGCTTTCCTGCCATGACGTGCTAAGGATACTGGGTTATTTGAAGAAAAAAAGGTTGAAACCCTCCGAGTATGAACCGCTCTTAAAGGAGAGCCTCGTGTGTTGGCGATGCGACCGCATTCTTCCGAATATGCCTACACTGAAAAACCATTTGCAGGAGGAATGGGATAAGGAAGCTAAAAGAGCTGCAGAGAAAAAGCGAAAGCGCGAGTCAGGTCCAGGACAGGCCGATAGCTTCGCGGGCAACGCGAAGAAGCAGCATGTCGAAGGGGTGGAAGAGATATGAGCGTCCTAGGACGTCCTACTCACTATCTTTGAGACTGTCACGGAATATGACTCCGCGAGCACGTTGCATTGGACCTACGGTACCGGAAGGATGATTAGATCTACTCATAATATATACATGGCAAGTTGGATGCTCTTCACCTCATGATCATTACGGCCTCGCGAGGGCCTCGCCAAATTCCTGGGGGAAATGACGGCCTTCAAAAAGACTACGATAGAACCCGACGAGGACGATGACCCAGGATGACCGTCACATAGCCGCTACTTAACGCGACCACGCGTTCGACGCGTGGTATAAATATAGAAACCTCTCTATCACCTCATGACCATTAATCGAGCGTGCAGACACACTTAATACTGCATGTAGTCGTTTCCTTGAGCATTTCCACTAAGGGCACCGGTACCGGGACAGTATTATAATCTTTGTCACAGCTCAAGTATATCAATCCTACACATCTAGGAGAATCCATCGTCTATTTATATTCCCGCTTTGCGTTTGATTCCAATGTCTTTGGTAAGCCCGCCAACACTTTAAGTAGATTCGACTTTGACGTTGCTTGCAGCGAGCTTCGCCGCGCGGGAGCGCTCACTAGCTTCGCGGATAGCCCAGGTCAGCTCATAAGTCCTACAAGCATCTAAAGTCAAACGGCATTAGTAAATGAGGTTTCAGACTACGATGAACCACCAACCTTCATACGAGCTCAAAATCTGGGCGGCATCTGGATCCTCCTCGATGTCCTCAATAATATCAATCCAGTTGGAAACCTAGCGGCGGTGTCAGATAGCTCGTTATCCAGGTTATGGCTATTTACCTCAGAGAAGAATGGATCGTCGTCGGGGAAGGTCACCATGCGTTCATGGTCATCTCCGGGCTCACGGATATATAGCATGGGCTGTACATATGGATTGACAAGCCTTTGGTGACATGAGTCGGGATGCTAGAAAAGAACACTGGAACAACCCACTTCAGCGAGTAACCATCAGCATGCACCTCAAGCTCGCAGCTGTAGTTGTGGCCCTGCAGGGTTGCGACGTGGGTAAAGCTCCCAATAGCGCCAGAGTCGTATTTCCTGATGAAACGTCAGATACGTTATGGATACTGTTTCAGTGGCCCTACCAAGTTGCTGCAGTGACTCGGGGAATCCTGTTCTCGGGGGCGATTTTGCTTTCATCGATGGACATCTTGGACAAATGACCAGCATTCTCATCCCATTCAAGCGAGTGGGCGGTGACAGAGGAAATGTCAACTTCGCCACCAAAGTAACGGGAGAGATCGCAGAAGTGGGTCCCTTGTTCAATGATAGGACCGGCACTGCGGCGTTGTTAAGGAAGTCTGAACAAAATATATACAGAGTTCGATCACCTCTTTGACTTATCCCACCAATCGGGTTTTGCAATAGCTTCGTATGCGCACGCATAGCGTGCAATGGTAGCCATGACAGTCAGACCGTTATCCTCAATGATCTGTTTCATCATCTGAACTGCCTTCAGATATCTCAGCATATACCTGGCAATAGGGTAAAATGTGCATCCAGAAGTAAATTTCCTTCATGCTCACCCAACAGAGCAGATGGCTCCACTCTCTGTAATGCTCTTGGAGACCTTAAACGCTTCGTCCAACTCGCTCTTGGGGCCTGTGGCCACAGGCTTTTCAATGAACATGGCGACTCCAGGGAAATGTTTCATTATTTGCATTTCGATGTCCCGGCCTGACGTTGTGGTACCACGGAACATGGGAGGGGAGCCGATGAGGAACGCGTTTATCCGCTGGGATGAGTCGCGCTGTTTCAAGAACTCTTCAAAGTTTTTGTAGACCTCCGTGGCCTGGTACGCGGAAACGACAAAGGAGTCGCATTTCTTGCGGAGGACGTCCTTGGCACGCTCGACAGCGGGGTCAACGATGGCGACGACTTTGAGGCGAAGACCCAGTTTGCTGATAAAACATTAGAACGGCAAAACCCTCGGAATCTGCACCCACTGTTCAAAACGGAAAGAGTGATTCCATGGACCTTCATCCGAGCCTGAAGGAATCACAAGTAAACTTGGCAGTATTGAATATCATTATCAGATAGCTTACCAAACATAATATTCCCTGCGCCGATGAAAACGACGTTGAAGTTATCAGTACCGCCAACATGAGTGACCCTAGATGTTTACACGGATCAGACAACCCATACATTGACGGGAATGAGAAGGAAGAGATGCGTGAAGGCAGATACTCAACTTGTCCATCCGCACTAGACGAGATGGGTCGATAGATTGTCTGCGGGACGAGACATTGGATGAACCACGACGCTCAATGGGTTTGTTTGATCCCCTGCGAGGACCACCGCTGGCAGGGGTCATTTCGAGACCGGAGGGTCTGCGTCCAGCCATTTGGAATGAGGAGGAGAGAGCAAGAGAAGGCGTTGAGACGGTGGAGCCAAGCCAGACTAGACGCTCCAGTTTTATCTGCGGCGACTGATCGTACAGGCCCCAGGGCCAGATGTACTATACAGAATAGACCAATCATAACCGGAATCCGCGGCCGCTGATTGCTGAGCGCTGAAATTTGAAACGTTGACGTCGCTCTCAATCGTCACCTTCCTAAACGCGCTATCCACTCCAAGCATGCCATTAAACAATTAATACTTTATCTTATGTTCATCTGAGCGGCTCGCGCTCAGCCACTCAGGAAGTACTGTTCGTCCTACTGTTCGCCTGAGATAATACGTCTACAAGCATATGGCTGCCAGAATGTAAGAGCGTCTAGACGCGCCCTCAACTTAAATAAGGGTTGCGACGATGGGTATAACATTTAGACGGGTTGCACATGGGCATGGACTCTGAACGCAAAGACGCGCGTCAACGCTCAAGCTCAAGACTTGTTCGCGCCTGACTGCTCCGAAGATGACTGTGCGGCTAGCTCCTTCCGCTTCCTCTCCGCAGCCTCGAGGCGGGCAGTCATGGCTTTGAGTTCCTCTTTCAGCTTCTCGTTCTCCTGGGCGAGTTTCATGACGTTGCTCGCTCGTTTCTGTACCTTCTCCGCTCTGCAAAGCAAGCAAAGGTGACTGAACTGGACTTGAACTGGGCCTCGCTTTAACTTACTGAGGATCGGACTGGCTTGTCGAATTATCAGAGGGACCTATGATAGAGTCTAACGAAATAGAAAGGTCCTCTGCGGTAGGGATCTCGGGGAGGGATGGAGAGGAAGAGTTAACGTTGCGGTGGGCCGAGGATTCTGATTCTGGTTGGAGTCTGGGTGGAGATCGGTCAGCTTAGGCATGGGCGGGACGGAGAGGAGAATGACCCGCGAGAGCCTCCAGCATCTGGACCAGGGTGGGATGACATGGCTTTTCGGTGAAAGAGAGGGACTGAGAGATGAGGATAGCACTCGGAAGTATTACTGCCAGGAAACGAAAGGAAAGTTGCAATTGGAGGAAGTAATAACAGTACTTGATTAGGTTCCGGGCTGCTGTGGAGAGAAGCGATGCGACTCTGAATTAGGGAACTACTTCTCACGATAAGATACTGACTTCATTGGATTCCTTGCTTGGCCAGTCAAGGGACCATATACTTACTCCTTCTTTCTCCACCACCACCGTCCCCGACGTCGTCGCTGCCGGCCATGCGCAATCTCCTCGACACATCCCTTCCCTCAGACGACAACATGCTCGAAACACACCACCATATGCTCAACCACAATAGCCATGACACTTCGCACTCAGCTGACGCCCCCAATCACGACCTCGACATCGCTCATTTCCACAACGGCCTCGGTTCAAACATGCCTGTATCAATTAATGGACAACAAAACCTGTATTATAGCCCCTACCAAGACTCTCCTTGCAACGTTTTCTCAGACTCGCTTCCTCTCAGCTACTCGTACCCCTTACAGGACGGCCAGCTAGACTTCCAATATATCCTGGGCCAGGACATGCCATCTCAACAACAACACCATCCTCACCCGCACCATAATGGCAATAATCACAGCATCAACAATTCCCAACTGGACTCGCAAAATATCCCGCATCCAGGCGTTTATCCACCACTCAGACATCCTGACGGTGACAGGACAATCCATTCCTCTCCGTCCTCCTCCTCCTCCCTCGGTCATGCTCCCATCATGGGTAAGCCCTCTACTCCGCGAAGTACGAATCCCAATAATTTTACTCTTCTCTCTGCACCCTCACCATTTCCAAAAGTCGCGCATACGCTTCTCCCTCCAGTCATGGGCTCGTCTTCTCCAACTTCTTCTCCAAGAATTGGAAATATCGTGAGTTTTCTCCTGTTGTCGTGATCCATGACTGAGGTGATTAAACTATGGTTACGCAGAATCGCAATCCCGCCAAGCGCGATAACGAACAGCCTCCTGCCCAAACGGACCCTTATGCCGCTGCCTTTTTGCAAGACCAGCTCGGTAAAGCAAAGTGGGAGACTTTTTCTGCCCGTCTTTTTGAACGCAGGCTGGGTCCGACTAAGTCCAGGGCTAGATCGAAGCTCAAGGGTGCTGATGGAGACTCCTTGAGTTCTGGCGGAGCCACTGCCATTGACTTTCTAGTCAAGGTTGAAGTAGTCAAGGAGGTGCTTCGAACATATGTTCCGTGAGTGCCTCCATGCTTGTGTAGTGTCGCCTTACTAACGTATCTATCCTGCCATTGTTAGGCATCCCTATAACCCTCTTAAATCGCTCACTCACCCTTATGCCTCTGCTCCTTCTGGACTCGTGACTCTCACCCGGTCTACTGTTTTGATGCTCTCTGGCTGGTCGAATACTCAGTTTTCGTACTGGGCACGCCGATCTGAGGGCGTCTCGGTTCTAGGCTCGCACGATGACAGGCTACGCGCGGTTGCAGGCGCCCTTGGCAGGCGCTTGAAGGAAGGAGGCACAATTTCTAGTCTCGACGATCCAGATTCACACTTGCGCAGTACCTCTGCCGACGAGGCTGCAGCGGGCGTCACTGGTAAGGGCCTAGATTTGATAATAGAGGAGGTGAAGAAACGTACCGGCTTGAGTCCATTTATCCGTGGCAAACACTCCAGCCTGGACCCCTTCGGAACAACAACATCTGACAGGGAAATGGCTTCGGGTTCACCTCAAAGTGCTCCCACTACCGTCTACATGCCTACTTTCCAGGCGATGCAGTACTCACACCCTTCCTCACCTGGATCACCTTCGTTGCATCGCGCGGCAAGGAAAGGGCGGCGATCAAGTAATGCCGATTCACTCGTTTCTCTTGACGCTATCAGTGTCAACTCAGATCCGGTCCACCATGATGATGAACAAGCTCCACGATTGGAGTATGTCTTGTCAAAATCCCGCGTGAACTCACCCCTTCCGGGCGGCGCGGCGCCTGAGTTACACCACCCCGCATCTTCAGGCTTTATTCCGGCACCGCCGCCCCACCTTAGGCCTCGTGGCATCGCTGCCATGGACAACGCTCTGAGCGATTCTGCAGCGATGGCTGGACTAATTAGAACATATGATGACGATCCCCGGGAAGCCTTTCCGGTGTCAGATTCTCGGTCTGATTTTGAGGGCATAAACAGAAAGCGTCCTCGTGGGCTTGAGGAACTTGCGGCCGAGAAAAGGTTCAGGGTTGGGAGCAGCTGAACGTAACGCCCTGTGATGTGGATGAAAAAATGTATTGATCTCAAGGACAAAGTCCTTTCCCCCTGTAGCATGGATATTCAACTTTTCAGCAAGAGTTTTCTATCAGACTCGCATACATCACCACTTCTTTTTTGTCATTATGCCCCGTGTTCTTCTAGTACTCCGGCCGATTAATGTAACTTGTATCCCCGCATCATACTGACTTCTTAGCTACTCTCTGACATTTGTTATTGTACCCAGATGCCCAGTACTGTAGTATAGCTATTCCTCAAAATCAATCCATTCACGATGATCTCAGCTACTCTTTCTTAGATCGAGTACGGTACCCCAAAACCGATACAAAATCTGTCATCGAGACGAGGATTGACTAGAATGAGCATATTATCGTAGCGCAGCCCGAGATTGTTCAAAATCTACAGATTCAAAATCTACAGACGAGATCTTAGTGACATATACTTAGCTGGTGGCGACATGTGGGGTTATAACAGCTGGTTACAGCAATCAGGATGTACGTCATAATCATTGCTCCCGATCATGAGAAGACTGGAATAGACTGGAACGAACCGAAATGATGGGTCGCCAACTTGGACAAGAGAGGCGCACGAGACAGTAAGAAACCTACACCAGAATTAGAGCACCAACCAGTACGTAGATATGATAAGCAATTATACGGGCCATCAGAGTCAGCTAACTTCTTCCTTTCTTTCGTTGCAAACGCATAGCCAGTTCTTGGACGCGTCTGCTATGGCATTGTCCGAGTCCTCAGGTTACGGGATAATTGCTGGTTCCGTGCTGTTTTTCCTCCTCGCTAGCTATGCCACTCTCTTTAGCGCGGTGCTGCCATTGACTGGCTTATACGTGAGTGGAAATGCTCCGCTAAGGCTTTCCAAGCGACATACATAACGAATGCTATGTCGTCGACTAGGCCCTGGACGCGATAGCACAGGACAAGCACTACAAGTACTTTATTCTCCTTGCGATACCCACAACCGCGTATTTCATCATCGTGAATTGGGTGGGGTGGCAATACTACCAAAATTCATAATTGCTCATTCGCTGCATTTATGACATGAGATGGACGAATAAGATGTCTAGTTGCACGAGGAGCTACTAGACATCATCACAAGGGTACTACAACCATGAGGAGAGGGTCGGTTGCCTACCATTAGTTGACAAGTGACTTACACCCAATCATAAAGAACGGTGCCGCTCGTTTATGTCAAGTTGGATTAGACATCCCGTTGTACGTACGGTAACGTCGAGGGGCATTGACAGCACTGTGAACTTGATGCACTGCCAGTGGGCTCTACAAAAATTGTCATCATAATGACCCTCATCCCACACTATCCTCGTTGTACATTTTGCTATCTAGGCGATTGAGTCCATGGATACAATATTGGAATAACTGCACAAAACGAGAAACCAGACATCCGTTTGAGTGTATGAGAAATCTACGACTGATCACAGTGAATAACATTAAGAAACGAAATAATAGACCAAATTAGGCTTCCAGAGATGATTATGATTTTTCCGTGGGTGGCTGCGACCTGCGCTGGACCTGTCTCAGCTCTTGCCAGAGCCGACTTCGCTCAGGTTCGCCTGCTGCCGAGCTCGGAACCATCGACGGAGCCGGACTTGGATCTCGTCTTGAGTGGCCAGAGGCCTTGGATCTTGTAGGGCTCAATCGACGTCTGTTGAACAAAACAGGGCGAGGCGACTGCTTTGCCTCCGGCTCCATTGCGGAGACCGTTGACCGGGCCGCAACAGAACGAGCTGGACTTGAGTTGCGTGTTGTTGTCGAGGGCCGCAATGCATCCGTAGGACGAGGCCTTACGAGCATCCTTGTAGTCCCAGGCCGCAAACTTGGAACAGTGGGCCTACGTTGTGGACGAGGTGGTAGTGGAGCATCCGAGTCTTCCGTATCGGTCTCCAAATGTGTATTGCGTCGAGGGAAAGGATTCCGAAGGGATATAAGGGTTGCCGCGCTCGTTGACGGATATGCTGCTCGAGCAGGCGGCTTAGGAGCCGGTAACCGTAAATATCGAGCGCGCCTAAGCATTAAACAGTAGTCGGTGATTAGTGGAAGGTGCATAAGCTTATCACGTACGCTATCTCCTTTAGCTGTCGTTTTGTCCGGTACTGCTCGTCCCACTTTTCCAACGCTCTAGCTAGTGCAAGCTCGAGCAAGCTAATCAAGTAGGAGACAGAAATAGCTTACAAAGAACCATCCTTCGGTGCCATTCGCGAGCTTTGTTGATCAAGGAAACGTCGGGGGTGAGGTTTCGCCAAACTTCCCAATACTTAGCCTTTGTTCGTGTTGCATCGAAACGAATAGCAGGTAAGGACTGCAAATTTATATATGAGAGTGTGTATGTCACAATCGGCGGGGGCTCACTTTAGTTTTGGAGTGCCAGATCCCAAAGGCTCGAAAGACTAAATTCCTCTGACTTTGAACTATCAATTGATATTCCTACGTCGCCTCAGTTATTCAGCCTTTGTTTCAAGTCAGAATATACTCACAATAGGTTTTAGTTTCTGGTCTCTGAAACGATCCTGCCAATTGTCCCAAGCTGCGGTAATCTTTCGCCGTCTCATCTCCTCCTCACTCTTTGCAATGGTCTCCCGTTTACGAAGGCGAGCACGAGAAGCACTCAGCCAACGGTGGAACATGCGACGCATATTTTCTTCTTAAAGTTAGTTGGGCCCGTAGGCAGAGCATTGGCGCTCACCTAATCTCTTTATATCAAGGTGACTCTCCATCAAACTAAGCTCTTCCGAATGCCTTACGCAAATGAACTTCCACTTCTTGAATGTTCGCCTGCGTGGAGGATGATGTGAGCCACCAATGGTGATACAACAAGAATTGTCACTAACATCAACATGGTTACCTCGGTTCGCTGTTTGACATCCAGTTCACGTAGCTTGATGTCTATTACCCGGTTCGTCCATCGCGTTAACGCGTCACTCGTCACCCGCTGCAAAACTAAGTCAGCCGAATGCGAAGCATACAAGGCGAGAACGAACCAGGGAAACACGGCGTGAAACCTGTTGTTCGGCCAGGTTTCTCCATCTCTGTTCGCGTGACCTTTGCAACCACGCTACATGTGTAGTTTAGAAATTGCACAACGCGGGGGAGAAACTGAAGTGTCCTACCGTTGAAAGATGCATGAGATTTTATCCGTTGGAAGTCCTGTACCTTCTTTTCCCTCGTCCGTTGTTGCAGGTGCGCGTACCAGGCTTTCAATGCCCGTCTCTGTAGGAAATACATATCGGCAACTTTGGCCTGTTTGACCAGCTTGAGCCTTGATCGAAGTATAATTCGCCACTTGAAAAGCGCGTCTGATTGTATTCTTGCTGAGTGGCGTTGTACGGCAAAGGCATGACGACTTTGAGATATTTGATATGTCTGCCGCCAGCTTCGCAATGATTCAATGGCGCAAGCTGATGACACACGCATCGAGAATTGAATAGCTTCAGCTAATGAAATAAAGCAAGGGATCAAACATTCAAAGGCCGCAAAAGGGGCGAGCAGCTAACCTTCCAGACCTCGTTGAGCGCTGAGTACATTGATCCACGTTGTCCATGCATACTTGAGTATACGGATTGCTTTGACCCTTTCAAGAAGACTGGCTCGTTCGCGAGCTTTCCACACCCGCATCACAGCGCATTCAAGGATGGTATCTTGTCGACGGGTGTGTTTGTCAGCGCGCCGTTCGAGGTTCTACAACAATGGACATTATCAGTGCTTGCTCTGATAACCGTGACGTAACCTTACACACCTGTATCCGATCTCGGGAGGCTTTCCAGGTCTTCATAGCCCTTTTCATAGTCACCTTATCATAAAAATTGGACGCAAGTCGCCGATTGTGACTTCGAAAATTTAGTTAATCAATGCTTTCAATGCACGGCACTCACTTACAGCTGGTTTCTCCACACATCCACACCCTCTCTCAGGACTCTTAGTTGTGATTTCTTCACTACCAACTGCGATGCTTCCCTGACCGACAGCACTCTTTTCCACTGCTCGAACACCCTGAGTATAACTCTGCCTTCGTGCCTTGCTATCTGATTGTCAGCCATGCTATCAAGAGCGTCCAGCGCTATCATTTTTCCCTGCCAACAACGAAAGAACCGGTGGGCTAGTCGTTCCTGAAAGTGCAATTCATTCAAATGAGACAAATACAGCTGACGCCATCTTGCCCATGCATCTTTCCGTTGCTTTGCTTCCCGTCTGTTGCGTATGTCTTTCATTTTCGCGCGCATGTCTTCTCGCCATGCTGCCTGACGTTTCAGTCTAATCCTCAGCGACCAAACGTGCAGTACTCTTCGTAAACAAGAGGTATCGTAGGTCTTATCCGCTTGGTGTTGTTGGTCCATTACATTAGCGGTAGAATTGCGCCAATTCCGAAGGTATGTTTCCAAGATGAGATTTTTACGGGCTTCGTCTACTTGCTGGTCTCTGGTCTGAGAACAATGATGTTAAGCACAACGTCGTGTTAAGAGCGCTTCTTACATGGATCCACTGCTTCCCCGATCTCCAGACATCCCAACATCGCTCTGCCAGCCTATCCTGATAGAACCTGACAGCGTCCTCTTCGTCTCGCTGCTCCTTGATTTTTCTCCAAGCATCAGCTTCGTTGATGTTGCTGTCACTCCTCCTTGCATAACCCATAGGGCCCTTGCGGGAGCTCGTCTTGGATGGGGAGAGGGAGCGAGTGTCCATTAACGTGGACATCTTGATCTTGCCATCGAGATGGTTGTGCGTAGTTAGCGGAGAACTAGGCTGGTTAACAGCTGTCCGGTACGACGGCGGGGTGGTTGACAATGATGGCGCTGGAGTGATATCTGTTGCATTCGTCTCTTTATCCCAAGGTACAAACAAACGGCCGGTAGCTTGGGCTGTAGTTTGTTCTGACGAAGAGTGCGTTCTATGTTTGCGCGGAGTGGGTGAAGTAACACTAGTATCTGTAGCATTGCGTTAGGTTCGGCTTAATACGACATAATCCTGAACTCTCGCCTTCCCCATCCTCCATTTGAGCTCCATCTTGGTGCGAATGCAAGGTGAAAACATCGTCTTCGTCGCGTGAAAGTGCGGTGAGGCCGGGCGTTCGGCGCGTCATGGAAGGAGGGGGTGACTGCGAGCTGGAGCTCAATGTAGACATATTTTCACTGTAGCCATACTGCGATCTGACAGAGCTCCATTTGTGTGTCCAGCTGGGTCCGCGAAGCTTGCAAAGCTCGAGGAGTCTACCATAATGTACGGTCTCAGTCTGGCTATCCCAGCCGCGCTCGTGCAGTTCGTCATTATACGCTTTGAGACCGGCAAGAAAGGAGGTGGCATTGGGGGGTATACGAGCTATTACGGCATCGAGGAACTGAACATCGCCTGGAGACAGGTTCTGTAGGTCGGATTTGGTGAGGGAAGTCGCGGTAGATCTGGAGGCATCTGCCGTCGTGTTGGTCGTGTTGAAGCGCGAGGGTAGGCCGGAGGTATTTCGAGTGGTAGCAGTTGACTTGGCTGGCGATGAGGTGCTTGTTGGACGGAAGGAGAACATGTTTTCCGTCTTCGTCAGGCCCAGGGCATACTCAAGGAGCGTGTACAAAGCTTTCAACGCGTCGTGCACCGCGACTCGTGCTCAGTGCGGACCGACGGAATCAGTATACCGAAGTGCTCGATCGTACCTACTAGTACTATCCAGCTGCTATCAACTAGAGTAGAAGGCGAAGTACACTACATGACGTCTCGGACGAAACCGAGCGTCCCTATAGAAGAAGCCGTCAACTCGAGAACTCGCTCGCTTTCTCGTCGTTGTACTGCCAGTAATATCTCCATCTCCTCTTCGGTCTCTTCGTTTTCCAATAGCACTTCAGCGTGCATCCGTAAGAATACGTTTAACAGCGCTTGCACCGCCTCAAAATCTCTTCGTGTCTCAAGTCGTTTTCGCATCGCTCGTAAAAACTGGCACAAACTGGATAAGGTGACCAGCGAACGCAATTCCACGTCTATTGCGGCGGGAGAAAGAGTTTTGATGTAATCGAAGAATGAGTCCGCCGCTGCCCTCGATATGAGTCAATAGCATCAACGCATTCGCTACAAAACTCACAATCATCCTTGTCGCTGACAAGATGAGCAAGCCTTCTCTGGAACACACTCTCAGACCTTGTCGCAGCGTCTCTGTCGGATCTGCGCATGTGGTCCTTCCTTTCGACATCTGTCTTCTCAGCAGCAGCAAATCTTCCCTCAACACCAGGAAGTGGTGGCAAGAAGAAAGGAGCTTGTTCTGGCCTTTTCGGAGGTTCCCTTGGCTTGTTGCGAAGCTAAACACAAGGGTCAATGGGCACAGAAACAGACGCCTAGGCAGTATCAAAGGCTCACTTGGATGACATCGAGATTTAGCAGCGTTTGCCACCTCGACCGGGGGAGCAAGGTCAGTGTTACGAGATCACCGTCGAGCTGAGGTGGTGTAGAAAACACATTGGGCGTTTCCTCCGCAATGGTAAGAGCAACAAGACTCCCATTTGCTAAAGAGAAAATTAATACATGCGAGACCGACAACTGGATGTACGCACTTGTGTCTTCGTCTTCGTCTCCTGCCCCTTGCATGACAGGCATATCAACGTCCGCGACATCTTCTTCTCGTATAGAGCGAAGAGAAACTTCGGTATACTGTGCCCGATTTGCCCTGTACAGTAGCGCGTACTTAGCGATCGACGTAGAATGCATTCCCAGCCAGACAAAGTCGTCATCCGCCGCCGCACTTCGCGTAGCGGGCGATCGGATGATGATTTATTAGAAAGGGAGTAGGAGTCAGACCACAGACCATAAATAAATCCCTGGGCTATTTGCATGCGTGGTAGCAAGAAAATCGTTGGTAGGTGAAAATGCTATACTCGGCGCGATGTTCGGGGTACGGAATGCGTCGACGAGTTGTCCTGTAGGGATGTCGAATGTTCGTATTACCGAATCGAAAGATGACACAATGATCCAGCGGCAATCAGGGGAGAAAGACTAATCTACTTTCAGCGACGTGACATTTACCGAAAAGTGCGCCCGTACCATATCAAGGATCCGTCCTCGCGAACCGCAGGAAAGCTCTCTGACGACCCGATGGGTCTCGATGTCAATGATTCTGACATGCATGTCCTCACATGCAGCTGCTAGCAAGCCGCTATCCCTGTGCAGCGATATCAAAAGAATTGACGAAGAAAGGTCCAATGTGTCCTCCAAGTTAGAGGTATGGAAGTTGAAAAACTTTGACAACATCATTACTATCTTTCATGCTCCTCAGCCAGAGGCAAGTAACTTACATTGATTGCCCCAGCCAAAGTGCTGACGATGACGAGGCGGTTGAGTGCATCCGTCGCGATACCAGAGACGCAGGTATCTTCCCGTTTATGATCGTCGCCCTTGTCAAACTTGTTGGCAGGAGATGCAGGCTCAAAGACTCTGCGTTGGATGCCTGACTGCATATTCCACATACATACACCGCCACCCGACGTGCCTGTGATTCCAAAGTTGCCGCATGCTGTGACACAGACAGCCTAATAAAGGTCAGGACATACATGTTACAGCAAGAGATTGAGTACCTTCACTCCTGGGCTCGCGGATTTGCGTTTTGATCCATCGTGCTGCTGGAACTTATGTTTACCCACTTTCTTGTTTTGAATCGACCAAGTCCGTGCGAGTGATTCATCCGTATGTGCCGTAAGAACGTCGTCCCAGTCTTTTGCCCGAGTTGTGGAATATGAAATCGCCGCGATGGAAGGGAACTTGAAAGACTGTAGTGGTTTGGAAAGTGCTGACGATTTTTTGGCCAAAGAGCCTGAAGAAAGTCATACATCAAAGCGTGCGATGTGTCGTATGAGTTTTTACCTTGAGATAGCTCGAAAGACCTCGAGTCTCTCACGACGGAGGTATATCGCAGACTTCGGTCAGAGGAAGCGGATAGGAGCTGCTTGCCGTCCTCGCCATAGTAGCGGATGAGATGAGGAGGGGATTGATGCCCTGACCGATACTTGAGAAGGCGAGGAGCAGCAGTGGGAGAATCAAATAACCATTGCTGTTTCTCCAAGTCAACACACAAGACACCATGAATCTGCAAACATCCAACCTTCACACTATTGTCATCTCCAGAGCTGATCAAAAGAGGCTGCCCTGGAACCCATGCTATTGAGCATACAGCACTTTCATGGGCACCTCGAACAACATGCATGAGACGACCACCGGAGTTGAGGTCCCAAAGTACAATAGACCCAGAGGAAGACGCGGAGCAGAGTACGGGATGACCATCTAAGCAACGATGCTACGCCGTGAGTAAACCTTCAAAGTTTTATACTGGCACAAACCATCTCGGAAAGACAAGGACGTAATCCGGCCACCATCCATATACAACCTCATTAGCCGTTCATCAGTCCGTATATCATATACAGAGATTTCGCCAGAACTGAATGCGATTGCGACAACGTCGATCGCTGGGGACTGGACGAGTGCGGTAATTGGATTCATAGGTGCGCTAGGGGTAGCCAAAGAGGACGCAAGGAGTGATGAGCTTGCGAACTTGTGGATGCATGTTCTGAAGTAACGTCAGAATTCTCTATGAAAGGAGGAACGTGATTACATACTGTGTTCGTGTGTTCCATAGCTGCAGCTCACCCTCGCGACTGGCCACAAGAATCTTATTCAAGTAGGTTGCAGGATGAAGCATCAATGTCGCCGTAAATCCATTGTCAAAGCTCAATGCCGCAGTAAAAGTAGGGCCTGCAGGAGAACTATGTGAGTATATACATTAATAATACGGTGGCTAAGATGACTGACCATCGGCATCAACCCCCCAGATAACAAGTCGACTACCATCCTCTGTCAAGGCTAGGCATTGCGAGCCAAACATTGTGATTGGCCCCAATGGCATTCCCAGGGGATTGGAGAGTCTAAAAACCTGACGAAAATGATAAGATATACTGTGCAAGAAACAACGGATTGTAGCCGACCTCTTTACCCCGAGCGTATTTTATTACTTGAGAACCCGAGGTAGCCCATACTGCATCTCCGTCCATCAACACACAAGAAAGAGGCTCAGAGGCCTCGGGTCCTGACATAAAGAGAAATGAGCCAACTAAACCGCTAATGTCAGAGGCACGAATACATACCGACGAACAGGAGAGACATCTTGCTCCCTTCCCATAGAGCCCATGACCGTCCAAGACATGTAAGGATGTGAACTTTGGGACCATCAGTCGCCCCTTTGTACGAGCGCGCTTGTAGGTGGAAAGGTACATGGTTTGTTACAAGACCGAGGGCACGGAACGGAACGAATAGGTGACGTTCTTGTGACGAGGATGAGGACGCAATAGCGCGAGATTCGATACGTTGTTTTTTGCGTGGTAGGCTAGCTATCCGTGCATCTTCATGAGCAGTCATTAGGCGCGATCAGAAGGTCTTCTTCGACACTACTGTTGATACTGAACAAAAATCTCATCAAGCCGGTATGCGCACCTGAAAGCAAGTCACGTGATCCAGGCACGACACTCGCGTCAAATATCGGAGACTTCGTCGTGATCGTACAACACCTAGCTACTTTACCTTAAGCTTCCTACGTACACATGAACGCTATAGGCGCCGCGACAGCGGCTTGTTCTTATTTGTTTAATGGTATACACATACAAATCTTCTCTAGATCTCTCCCCCCCGTCGTGACCTCCCGCGATCCACCCCTCGGTACCATCCCGTACAAGTTCGGTCATCACATGGACCAGCTTGATCAAACCCTTCATATGGCCCGGGTACTGCTGTGCAGTAGTACCGTACACGACAACAGAAAGGGCCACGAGATTCGCGCTATCATGGCAACTTAATGACATATCACGGAACAGACTGCTTTGAGACTGCCGACGCGTTCGCGTTCGATTATCGCGATGCTGCACTATTGCAGTGCTCTCCAGCTCAGGTATGGTATACTTAGCAGAGTCAGTACAAGTTCCAGCCTCAGATCCTCACTCCGCGGACCAAATCAAATCATTAAAGAACAAGTACAATTATCTGTTTGCAGACGAGGGTTGGTTGCTTTCGCACTTGAAAGTACTCAAGGATGGACTTGGCCTCCGTTCGACCTAGCTAGCTCACGTCGTTGAGTCGCGTTAGTACTTACTACTCACAAACTGTTCAAAGCTTGCTTACCAATTGAAATGACAATCCAGCTGACTGACGTGGGGAGATTGGGCGGGCAAATTGCTAAGAATTCCCTTATTAGACTATGATCAGCCGGTATCCGCAGCGCAACGAGCAGGTCAGTTTCGCATGGGAGTGCGATACGACGACTGGCATCTCGGCACGGACACATACTCTGCATAACACCATGACGCCCCTCCGGACCGCTGAGAGCGCGACTCAACTATTTGTAGCCCAGCCCTACCTCGATGGATCCTTGCCCCTTGACTTTCTACGGCTACCCCAGTCTTCATCATGGCTGACCGTGCGCCTACTCTTACCGTCCCAACTTCCAAAGAGGATCCTGGTTCGTCATGGAAGAAGGATGAAGAACAACATCTTCCAAAGAACAAGATCGGCATAGTCTTCTTTGGTCTGATGTGCTGCACATTCTTAGCTGCATTAGATCAGGTGTGTCATAGTATTTCTTCTAGTTGTGATATAATGGCTTTGAATATTAATGTCTTCCAAGACTATCGTTGCTACAGCGCTCCCAACCATTGTTGGAGAACTAGGTGGCGGTCAGAATTATAGCTGGGTAGGCAGGTATGTGTTTTTCATGGGTGACTTGACATTCACGAGCTATAACATGCTCTAGTGCGTACATGCTGGCGTCTGCTGCGTTAGGACCACTCTACGGCAAACTTTCCAACCTCATAGGTAAGGCTTTCTAACATTTCTTGCTGGACAGCACTTCATACGTCGATTTCAGGGCGAAAACCAATATTGTACAGTTGTATAGTGATATTTTTGGTCAGCGCAGCCAATTCGGTAAAGATTGTATGTACTCACGAATGTTTCAGATTGGGTCTGCGTTATGTGGCGCTGCTCAGAACATGACCTGGCTTATTGTTTGCCGAGCCGTTCAAGGCATTGGTGGTGGAGGCATTATTCAGCTCGTGCAGATTACTATATCAGATATAGTGTCCTTACAAGAGTACGTGCGTGCCACTCATGAGTTCATCCACTTTCATGAACTTCAATAGCCGAGGAAAATATGGAGGATTCATTGGTGCAACATGGGGAATTGCTAGGTTCGTATCGGGGAAACCTTGATTCACTTTGACTGATTGTGACATAGTGTTGTCGGACCTCTTCTCGGAGGTGTACGTTGCCTTTCCCAGACCATAATTTGATCAGAATTCATGGCCCCTATAGGTCTTTACGGATCATGTATCCTGGCGATGGTGAGTGCAACATTCCGCTGTGGTTCTAAGAGCTTGTCGTTGAGAATCTTTGAGGTGTTTCTGGATAAATTTGTAAGCAGACCTGACCGACGAATACATATGATAAGCTAACATAATTATGGATAGGCCGACAGGGGGGCTTGCGGGAGCCCTTCTATTTTTCTTTCTCAACCTCAACCCCACACCGCATCGACCTTTCAAGGAACATATGCGCGAATTTGATTTTATTGGATTGATCGTTATCGTCGCGGGCGTGGTTTGTCTCCTCATCGGATTCAATTCTAGTGAGACGACATGTAGGTCAGCTAATGCTCCGACGCGGTTCTGGCTGCCTATTTGATGCTTTAGGGAAGAGTGCGGAAACCATTGCTTTGCTGGCGATCGGTGTTGTGTTACTCGTTGCTGGTGGCATCAACGAGCTGTTTACGAAACGTTCACCAATCATACCTCCTCGAATCTTCAGGGTATGTATACTTATCTGATTACCAATAAAGACTGCACACCTTTCTACCTTGCAGACTCGAACAACCGGTATTATCCTAATAACAACTTTCCTCCACGCGATGACGTTTTTCGCTGGTAAGCCAGCTTTAAATCATTTCTTTATCGGACCATGACTAATCTGCTGACAGGATCTTAGTATGCTCGTGTTAATAACGGTAGTGATGTATTTGCTGATCTATGTTGTAGTTATCTTCCACTCTACTACCAAGGTCGGATGGTCCACATAATCACTATCAAAAGCTCATAATTCCCATTAGTGCTTGGCGCTTCAGCAACAGGTTCTGGAATTCGGTGAGTTCATTGCGCAAGATTTGATCGTGGTGCAACTGTAACTTTTGGGGTTACAGAATGCTTTCCTACTCCTTGGGAGGAGCCGCACTGTCTGCCTTGTCGGGCCAGATAGTAACGCGTACTGGAACCTATCGCCCTTTGATGTGGTTTGCATGGGGTGTGATGACTCTGGGCTGGGGTCTTATGACGATGCTTGATAATACTTCCAACACGTGCGTTACAATATTCCTTTATCCCTCTCCCAGCCATCTTACGGATTTTACAGCGCTGAGAAAGAAATATACCCCTTAATTACGGCTATCGGCATTGGGTGTCTTTTCCAGGTGCGGTGCAAATGGTCATAGTGTTCAGCGGAATTTTATGTCGGGTTAGACACCACTCATCGCATTGCAAGCTGCGATGCCGATCAAAGACATGGCAACTAGCACCGGGGCGTTTGTGTTTTTGCGGTGCGTGCTACCATGACCTTATGGTTTCTGCGGGTATCTGACCCGCCGAAGAACTCTCGGCGGTACCGTGGGCATCACCGTCGGAGAAGCGATTCTTTCAAGCGTTCTTCAACAGCGTCTAAGCTCAATACCGGGCATTTCATCTATCGACACATCCGCAACAGGACTCAACGACAGCATTAGGACTATTCCGCAGATCAGTGTCAGCCTTCCTTCTCGTCCCTGTGGGACATAGCTTTAACGACTTTATATACAGGACCCCACGCTGCGAAATGAACTCATGCACGCATATACAAAAGCAATCAGCACTATATGGATCGTCAACACGCCACTTGTAGGCGTTGGCTTCATCATGATTATCTTTGTTCGTGCATATTCCCTGAAGCGAAACATTGTCAAGAACGGGGGTGCCAAAGGGGACTTAGAAAAGGCACAACCCACGCAGGAAAGCGATCCACAACCAGAAGAAGCGAAAACACTTCCACCAGATGCCGTGTGTGACGACGCAACAGAGCGTACCCGCACTGGTGAAGACAGCATACAAGAGGAGACACAGAAAGGTGATCAACAGGTATAGTACAGAGTCTGATCATCGAGCTTGCCAAACCCTTCGCATGGTAGATGGCTACATCAGGGACCTCATGGTGAAGCAATGACTCCATTGCAGAGTACATATGCATCCATTCACAATGTACACCGAAGTGCTATTACTGCACAATGACGTTTAAGCTTGAGACATGCATAATGTCAAAGTTATATCAAATAGAGGACTATATATAACAAGATATCGTAACAATATTGAAGTAGGTGGCCACTCGACTACCAATATTTGATATGCCCTCCTCGACGAAACCGTTATGCTAGCAGTACTTTGGACCCGCAAGTGTATCACGATACATAATTTGAATATAGATTTTCTCATTCTCCACCTATGGGTGTAGGAATGGACGATGTTCATACCCTTTCGAAGAGCTATGCTTTGAGGCCACGGAAGAAGATGTTGAAACTAAAGCCAAAGGACATCGACACCAGTCGAACCGAGAACTGACCAGCACAATATTTGGCGTTCAGACGAGGGTACTTAGGTGCAGTGGTTAATTATTTGTGGGGAAAGCTTCGTAGGACACCCATCGCTGACTGCATTCGACTGTTACATGACTTTCATCAAAGCAGCGGGCGAAACTGCATCGTTTCATGACAAGAGGAACAAGTAGTTGGAGTAGGCCCGCGTCGGTGCCGGCCCCAGAAGATTGTAAGCAAGTAAGAAAGTTTGCGAGTAGTTGATGATGAGATGGAATTGCCCAAAAAGGGCCGAGTGGCCAAGGCCCGCTTATCTCATCCGCCACCCTCTTGATTTTCGTCCGTCACGAACGAGCGAGAGTCTGACCAGTGTTGCTTCCAGTCCGGCACCTCCAGTCCCTAATCTCTAGCTTCTTCTATGTCTGAGCAAGCTCAGAACTCGATTCCTACCTTCAAGCTCGTCCTCGGTGCGTCGCTCATCGTCCATCACCCGATTTTCTATACTCACAGCATATACGAACACCACTGATCGATATTGCGCGATCCTTGCCTTGCCATTCCATTCCATGCTCAAATCTACCGCTACTTGTCCTGAATTGACACACTCTAGTTGGCGATGGTGGTACCGGCAAGACTACGTTCGTCAAGGTGAGCTTTACACGTCCCGTATACCCTTCATCAACGATCGTGTTCTGATCATTGTTATCCGTAGCGTCATTTGACTGGTGAATTCGAGAAAAAGTACATTGGTACGCGTCGAAGATTTCGATAATTAGATTGGCTTCATGACTGCCTCTGACGCGGTTGACTTACATTAAATCAGCTACTTTGGGTGTTGAGGTTCATCCTCTGACTTTCTCCACCAACTTCGGCACCATCTGCTTCAACGTCTGGGACACCGCAGGTCAGGAGAAGTTTGGTGGGCTTCGGGATGGCTACTACATTCAGGGCCAGTGCGGTATCATCATGTTTGACGTCACGTCCCGGATCACCTACAAGAATGTCCCCAACTGGCACCGTGACCTTGAGCGCGTTTGTGAAAATATCCCAATCGTCCTGTGCGGAAACAAGGTCGACGTCAAGGTTCGGTATCCGTACTTGTTGCTTTCACTATTCTCATGGTGTTGCATACGCTTTAGGAGCGTAAAGTCAAAACTGGGGCCGTCACGTTCCACCGCAAAAAGAACTTGCAGTACTTTGAAATTTCTGCCAAGTCCAACTACAACTTTGAGAAGCCCTTCCTTTGGCTTGCAAGGAAGCTTGTTGGGTTCGTTCGTGTTCCATCCCACTGTACCCTTCTCACCACATACGTGTAGCAACCCTGGCCTCGAGTTCGTTGCTGCACCCGCCCTTGCTCCTGCGACAGTTGAGGTAGATAAGGCACTGATGGAGCAGTATCAGAGGGAGCTTGCTCAGGTACATAGAGCCATTCTTTTCAGCATGGCAATAGCTAACTGAACGGAATCTTAGGCGGAAGCCGTCCCACTTCCTGAAGAAGACGACGACCTGTAATCTATCCCTTTACCTTCATCCATCTTCACGATACACTCCATAGTCAATGTTCTGACTGTCCGCCCGCTTTCACGGTTCTCTGAAATTACAGTTACATTTGTGTAGAACATATCATGATTCAAATGATGTACCTATCCTCTGGAGACTAAATATTGTCCTCCGAGGAACACCGGGCATGCTAATAACCATTTGGTCGCACTGTCACTTCCCATGTTGAGGCTTATACTAAGTTTGAGGAAGCAAGGCGTATACCTGTTTCCTGATGACGAGAATAAGCAGATCACACTTAAATTGATACAGTGCTTGCATGGTATCTTAAGATCTTAGATCTTAGCGTTAACAATCACGTCGGGCAAATTCATGTACCATCAAAAGAATTCACCCTGTCATTGATTTGAAGCCTATGCTCAGAGCTTGATCCATGGTCATCGAATTAGCAAGACGATCAACAGTCTATCTAGTCAGAGTTCCGCATGAAAATAGGTAACGAAAAGTAAATGCAACTTGATTTCAGAAAACGGTCCAACTGCATATATCTTTGCAATGAAGGTTAGCCATCCAGTGGGGGTAATGTAGAGCGAAACAGAAGAAACATACCCTACCCTCGATGTAAACCTTATGACCAGATGAAATGGATATTATGAGAATGTAGGGAAAGGGTATAACCAAAGTAACGAATGCTAGCAGATCTGGAGATGTCATGAAGGAATGTGTCGATGAAAGCATACAAACAATGTAAGGAGAGGGGGGGGGGGGTTGAAATGCTCAACCACATCGGCAGGTGAGTATCCTCCAGAGAGAGGATTTGGGGTGAAGGTCTTCATCTTGCTCGTGTTGCCCATCACCTTGAGACACGCCGATATCGTTTCCACGAGCCCTCACAGCACTGACGGCAGGCGGCGCGGCGCCAACGCTGGATACCATCGGTGAAGCTCGCCCATATGGCTGTTGGGAGCCATATAGGCCATCGGCACTATCTTGGGTAAGCTCAGGGCCTCCGGGTGCGCCATACGGATTATGAGCGTTGCTGATGTGACTGGCGCGATGCTGAGGAGAAGCAACCGGGACATTGACTTGTGCTGCAGCAGAGAGTGGTGTGACTTGGCCAGGAGTACTTCCTCCGGGAGTCAAAGCATTGGGCACTTTACGTTGCTTGGATCCATTGCGAACGAGAGCCGGTGAAGGTGGAATAACCCCGCCACCGACATTCTGGGATTTCCTCCAATCGTTAGGGCGTTCAGCATCCCTTCTGCGCTCCTGTGGCAGACCGGTGTTTTGTGCCTGTACAAGAACCTGGGATTGACCCTGTTGGCACAAATTGTGAGTAGATCATACTGAACGTGAAGTAAGGAACTAACTGCAGATGCTTCCCATCCCTTACCACCTATTCCAAGTTTGAGCGATGTCCGGTCGTTGCACGTGAAAGCTCACCATTGATCAAGTTCCAGTCGAAGACACCGTCATCCATGTCACCGTTGTTTTTCATCACTTTGGCAAACAAGTCTCTAAGGAAGTCGTAGTCGGGTGTTTCTTCAAACCCTAGTTTGCGGACATAGTTAAGATATATCCCGAATTCCTCTATCAAAAGCAACATAAGCCGATGCATCCTTTGAGGCGAAGATAGTTTACCAGGGTACCCATCGCACAGCTCCTTGATTGGTGTGGTCTGCTTCTTCTCCCCAATCTTCTCGTATTTCTGTTTGTTTGTGGCGGCCTTGAGGCCTTGCCACGGAAGACTACCGCGCAGGAAATACATAAAGACATGACCAAGAGCTTCTAGGTCGTCTCGTCGAGATTGCTCTATTAGTTGTCAGGACCGAGTTGATACTTGTCTGAATAACGAACATACCGCGGCCAAGATGGGTGTTGATACTCATGTAACGTGCGGTACCACTTAAACTCTTTCGCTCGCGATAAGGAATGTGTTGCTTTGTCTTCGGGTCACGATATTGCTTCGCCATTCCAAAGTCAACAACGTGAATGACTGAAACTCGCTTCAGCAGCTTCGGTGGCATATGCGGGGGAATATCGCACCATTAGATGTCTTAGTACCGGGTCGACCAATCAAAAAGTTGTCGGGCTTGATGTCTCGATAAATAAGGTTCTTCTCATGAATTGTTTGCACGCGCAAGATCTGGAGAGGAGGTCAAAGAACGGCATGCTGGAACCACAAGGATGACATTACCATCTGCCGAGCGGCCATGCAGACGGTTTTGATAGAGAACTTGCGCCCGCACATATCGAAGAGGTCCTCGAGACTGGGCCCAAGAAGATCTATGACGAGGATGTTATGGAGTCCTTCCTGCCCAAAATGGTAGATTTGAGGGATGCCGGCTGTAGGAAGGAGTTATGAGCAATGAGCGGGATACCAGAATTGAGACTGAAATGTACTAACAGCAGCCGGCTAGGATACGATAGGAACGACATTCATCGCGCAGCTGAGGCGCCTCTGCCTTCCGTGGTTCCTATAAAGGATGGGTTTTAGAGTGCAGTGCAGACCAGAGTCGTAGGTTGACAACGAACGAATTTGATGGCAACGGTGGTCGAGTTGAGCAAATTCGTCCCTTTGAAGGTCCATAAGGACTGTAGTGGGGAAAGAGGCAGAGGGGAAAAGAGCTACCTTCAAATATGACGCCAAAAGAGCCTTCACCAATTTTCTTGCCAACGCGGTAGTGGACACCAACGAGGTTGCCCGTGCCTGTGTGGTGAGAAGACATGGGGACTGACAGAGGAGTCCAAAGGAAGGCAGGACGGCGCGGAGTGGCGGGCTGAGGGGAGGAGCGCTGAGCGAGCGCGTCGCCAGATGGCCTGAGGATATTATATCCAAGCGTAGAGTGAGTGGTGGGGATGTGCTCTCGGCGTATTCCGAGCCATCGCTTGTCCAAGCCAACGTGCGCTCACCCGGACGGCGCCTGCAATCATCTTCCCGGCTACAATTCCCGTTGACATCACCACAAAAGAATACACGCAAGTACGTAGGTACACACCCTCACTCTACATAGATAAGTAGGCGTTGATCATGTCATCAGTGTCTTAGCCGCCAAGGCACACCACTATCAGTTTCAACACTGCCAGCAGCGCAACCAAAATACCCCTTCCTTTCTTTCCCGACCACTCTTCCGCTCCTATAAAGTCTTCCCATCGAGGTTTTCGAGTAATCCACCAGTACAGACTCGCTAATCCTGGAAATGTAGCAATATTTCGCCCGTTATTACGGTCGTCTCCTCGGTAATAGGAATAACAGTCCAGAAAAATTGTGTTCTCGAGACGTTTCTGAATCCAGACGCCGTATCTGTCCACAGCTTCTGTCTTGACCTCCAAAGTCTTTGTCAGTCCATTGAGAAGCGGTTGGATAAGTTTGGCTATGTATTGCGCCTGACATGTTTGTCTCAACAATTGCTCACTAGCCTTCATGCGTTCGCCCTCGATAACATGCACTCACCTGGACTTCATCCGAGAACAGCAGAGAAGCATGAGCGGTGGCTGTATTCGGACCTATCAAGAATATTCCCCATCAGCCTAGACCTAGAATCTAGCAGCTCTATGGTGCACCTGTGATGGTGAAGTAATTTGGGAAGCCTGGGTAGACCGTGCCCATGTATGCAGTGGGACCATCCTTTGAGGCAAAGTACTCTTCTTGCGTTAGGCCATCAACCCCTTGGATGTCAATGTCCTTGTCCACCTGGCCGTAGGATCCAGCACGTTAGTGGGCACATACACCATGTCGCTAGTACCACTTACTACTTTGAATCCTGTACCAAAGATGAGGATATCCAGAGGTAGTAGTTTCCCTGTACAAAGTTTGACTCCATCTTCAACGATTTCCTCAACAGTGTCCCAGCAAAGTTCGATATTTGGCTGATGCAATGCGGCGAGGTATCCAGGATCAATGATAATCCGCTTACATCCTGGACCTTACTGAAAGTCTAGTCTATCCTACTGACAAGCTTGTCATGAGCTCACTGTATGAAGGTATGAGCTGGTCATGGTACTCCTTGGGAGCGGTCGCTTTCATGTATCTCGTCAACATCTAGGGGCCGAAAGATCTGCAACCCCTCCTTTCGCGTGAGAAATCAGATTTGACTTACTAGTCGTACTAATTTCATAAGTAGAAAATTTTGCTTCTGAAAGATGAACCACACAAGGTCGCTCTTTTATCATGAGGCTGAATTCAGTAGTACTGTGATTCACCGTCAGAATAGACAGACTTTTGTGCAACGCGTGTGGAATATTTTTCCTTCGCCCAACTTGCTTAAATTTAGGTTTGAGATGTCCTTGGTATGCGATCGACCTTACAAAAAATCGCTGAGTGACGAAAGCATAGGGTGCATGTGTAATGCACGAATCAGTGTTTTAGGCCGAATACCGTCAGAATAGACAGTCCGCGCGGGTGGTGATAATCCATATTAGGCAGGCCGTCCACCGTAGCCGGTCTCAAAAAGGAAAGTTTGGGCGTTATCGCTGAGCCGAAATCGCCGTTACAGCGGCTATGAGATTATGGCAAGGCTCGAGAGGACACTCTGTCATCGTTCCGACATATTGAGAGTTGTCGCCTTTTGCAGCGTCCAAAATTGTTTTAACGAAGGGTAAAGATGTCCTTCTAACATATAATAGCTCTATCATCCACACTGTGTCGCATGTTCACAGCTGGTTATCCGCCGAAGCTAAGAATTTTTTTACAACACCCTATTTTTCGTGCTTTGAGGCTTGCAGCTTCACATCCAGACATTCCCTCGCCAATCGCATGTACAGGCGTAAAGTACAGCATATTCTCGTAATTACCATGAATTTAGTTTGAATGATTTGCCAAGGAAACGGGCACAAAAGCGAGTTGTCTATTCTGACGGTGGTGTCTACTCTGACGGTGAATCACAGTAAACTTCGATGAAAAAAAATTGATTTGCTTACCCGAATCATGATCGAACTGCGGTATGCGCGCATGGTTAAAGGTGCATGGGCAAATAGCCATTTAATCCAAGAGGCATATCGATATTGCCCCTGTTGTGTTGGTTAGCAAAACATTCATTGACATATTACAAAGCAAATGCCTTCTCAGCAAACCACTGTCGAGTTCGGCAAAAGTTGACGACATGAACTGATGGGTCAGCAGCAATCTGAGGTATGAACTGGGCTCTGAGTTGGCGTGATTAATCGACTTGGATACTACCAAACGAGTCGTGCGCACGCAGAACAGCCATTGCCAAACACACCGACGCGTTTGCCTGCCAGCTTGACATCGTGTCTCCAGCGTACAGAATGCCACGAAGGGCCCTTGAACCTGTCTAGTTTCCCCACTTTTGCGGGGAAAAGGGGTACAGTAAATGGCCCAACAGCCTGGATTACCACTTCAGCATAGCATTGAGATGAAGCTCCAGTGTTGGTATCCAACAGGGTGAGCTTGTAACAGTTTTGCTTTGACTGCCATTCCACAGCCTTCAGTTGAGTGTTGAAAGCGGCGTAGTTGCTCAAATTGTTCTTCATGAATATTCTCTCCCAGTAAGCTTTGATTTCGGGTTGAGAAATGTAATAAGTGTTCCAGTTCGGGTTGGTTTCCGTCGACAATGAGTACAGATGACCAGGTACGTCCGAACTGCAGCCCTGTGTCAAACTTAGTAAGGCATGCAAGCTCCATTTGCGATGAATCACAATCGAACGGGGTACTCATTATCCTGTCATAATACGTTAGAGCGCGTAAGCCATTATTCTGTACGTTAGGAACCGCTGGAGATTACCCACACGCCATGTGCCACCAACGCTAGACTGTTTCTCGATGGCCTACAGGAAACGCGTAATCGATTTCCGTTAGAAACACGGATTATAATCCACGCACCACAAAGTTGTCGTACTTCAGCTGGTTTTTGAGTACAAGGGCCATATTTATCCCAGCAATGCTGCCCAGAACACCATATAATTATTATTTCTCAGGCAGAACAAGACTATCCAGCTTACCCAAGACCAACAATCACGACTCTTGGTTTACCTTCGTCCAAGTTATATGGCATGATGAGCGCTGAATGCTGAGGATCGGGGAACAATGGAAAGATCAATCCAAGGGAGGGCATATCAACAGCTGCACCCTCGACAGCTTTCCATGCACGAGCCCAATGCCCTGGCAAATCCTTCTCCAAGATCCCCACGAATCATGCACGACAGCTCGGGTGTGATCATAGCACAATTTACACGGCCCTATAAATGGCAGAGTTTAGCGCTCAAAGCATGTATGGATTCAAACAAACTTTTACAAAAACCGGGAATAACGGCAAAACGATTGTACAGGTTCCAACTTGATAGATAATATTGAGGCATGCGCAGGCGAATCAGCACATATGCATTATACACGTGGAGTATTACCATGAAAGGATGCGAAGGAAGGTGAAGGGGGGTAAGAGGTGACAGAAGGACAGCGGCGCAAACTCGCATAAAACGCGCGAAGAATATACGGGAATAGCTCAGATAAACTTTCATCGGAACTCAAAGCTTGAATTGCTGCGCTCCGAAATATGAGACAGCGTCAGTTGCTGATATCTGCATATTATACACAGTTAGAGGCAGTGGATAGGATGGAAAGTCATGACTAACGGTTCTGAATTCTGATGGAAGTAGAACCCGCTCATGGTTGCCACAGGGGGGGAACGGGGTCCACTGGAAGTGCCTCTTCCGTTGCGACGAACGCTGGAATCTCTTCGACGACGCACGGGAGAGTAGGTCTCTGGCTTAGGTGGAGGCATGGCCATCGCTAAATCATGCTCGTCTCCTGACAGGGGTGCAGATTGAGGGACAGGGCACAAAGGCATGGAAGAAGTTTGGTGGTTGAAATCTACACAGACATAGTAGAATCCTATCTCGGCTTTAACAAACCTGATGGTTGCACGAATCAGTTGGAGACGAACCTGCGAAGCTAGCCCCATTGATGTCCTGTACACGATGATCTGGGACTAAAAACTTCTCCTTCCATCGCATAAAGACGGCACCCCGGTCTCTGTCAGGTACGGTGAGATGAGGCTTCCGGAGCTCATTCTTGACGTGTCTGAAAGCGGGAAAGCGTTGCCAATGGACCATGTCCTCCTGTTCGTTCGCGCCCCAGTTTTGAGTTAAAAACCCATAACGACTGCCTATTATTTCAGCATCAAAGTATGTCGTAAGTTCTGGCCAGTCATCTGTTAATCCTCTGATGCAGAGATAGCCGCAAAGGAAGGAAGAGGAGAAGTCAACGTCCTATAATGGTCAGCAAACAATCTTTGCCACGCAAAGACATGACTTACTACGATATTGACAGTTACATCGTAACTATTCCGTCCACTCTTTTGTGTTCCTTGAAATACTGCCCCAGGGTACAAGCAGTGGTGTCTCTGAGAACGCACTCGAATGCGGGTGATATCAGCCAAAGGATCGGGGGAGGAATACTGAATTCGCGAGCGAGGTTGAAAGGAATCATGAGGGACAAGATCATTCTGTTGATGTAGCTTTGCCCTGGAAAGTATCCCGGCATCCTCATCGATGTCAGCAGAGGATGGATACTTAGTAGAGGCAGCGACCGCATTGGTAGATGCGCTATGGGAATGAAGATGTGTGGGTGCTGGCAAAGATGGTGAGAGCAGGAGACTTGAAGCGGGAGATGAATCCATATCAGTATCTTCGTCGAACACGGCGTCAGGGACTGCGAAATGACGGTTGGAATGAAATTGGGGGTGGACATTGCGAGGCAGGTTCCGAGAGAAAGGTGCATCTATATTGGTGAAAAAATCGATGGAGGAATTGGGTGGGGAACAGGGTGCCCTCTCGCGACATGTCACACAGATAATGTTGGCATCCTGGTCGTCAACAAAAACGGAAGGAGTCGAGTCTGTCGAGTCGAGCGACAGCGGGCAGCGACAGCGCGAGCAAACCTTGATGGCCTGGGTTTGGATGTGCTCCGGAAGAGAAGGGGTATTGGCAGTCGAGTAGACTTCTTCTGTGGTGGGCATTTGGGCGGTTGTGAAATCCGGGCTACGAGCTGTGAGCTGGATGGTCGGTTTCTGTGGGGTAAGAGTCAGGGTGGGAGCAGTAGAGGTGTACTACTCCTGCGCCACTGCACCACCCCCGTGAGAAGTCGCCCCGTCCACATCGTTGACAGCGGCTCCTCGGCGCCCCTCTGCACACACTCCCCAATTGCATCTGGTTCCATCTTGCTGAACTCGTCTTTCTAGCTACATCAATTTGTATCGGCAGGGCTGCACAGCATCATGATGACTGGATTGTTTACTCTATGTCTGTCTATCGTACTATCGTAATGGGTATAATAAATCTACGTGTATCGAACATTATACACGAACCGTAAATCCGAACGCCAGGGCAGCAAGTTCTAGATATATGACAAGCCGTCCGAGCAGCGACTTCCATCCGAAGATTATAACAATTTGGAGTCTGTCTCTTAATTCCCCCAAATTACCACCTGAACCACTCGCCGTACATGTTCGGGCGCTCTCCTCGGACGTAGGACTCAAAGGTACGCTTCATTACAGTAGCCCAGTCCAAGTCGCTCTTATCGTCCGACACCAAGTCGTCCCAATCGTCGGGGTCTAGGTCGGGATTTGCGGCAGCGCGCGCCACCATCTCTCCCGCGGTGAATCGTGACCCAAGATCTGGCCAGTTGCGTGCAGGGTCAAATGGCTTCCACCTAAGCGCAAACAATGAACGGAAGATCGGATGGTCACGAAGGTGCTTACCAGAAATTATGGAAATGGTACGAGAAAGCACCCCTAAAGAAGCCTTCAAATCCGAGGGTTAGCGGATGACCGCTGGCATCCGTCGGAGTATCAAAGAACTGGTCAAATCTGAAGATACAACTATCAGCATCAGGGCATGCGCGTTGTAGATTGGATAGTCACCCTTTAAAGAAAGGCTGCGGGGGACGATCACGTTGCAAATCCTCCGTGTTCAGCCATGCCGAGTCGAAGAGTGCGTCGGGAGTTCGGAGTAGAAGAGCATCGAGATGCGCATCCTTGAAGTATCGAGCAATTGTCATGGGATGGAAGTCCATGCCATTCCGAAGCGCGGTGCGGAAGAGGAAAGACCCGATCGCAGACTGCCTATTCATCCGCAGAACTGCCGTATTGTACGCCTCGTGGTATGACCACCGGTATGCAAACGCCCCCGTCCATCCCCATAGCTCTTCCCAGTCTCTGAGAAAGATTGTGTCTGCGTCGACATAGATGCCGCCGAACCGATGGCACACCACAAATCGTGCCATGTCGGAGAGAACGACAGAACCCTTGTCATACGAATCTGCAGAATCAGAGCCAACCTTCTCCTCGTCAACCTTGATGTCAATTATATGCCCGCCCGAGTTGAGAAGCGCTCTCTTGTAGCGGCGCCATTCATGCCTGAGCTCTGGAATAGAGTCAAGCTGCTCGGTGGTGTTCCACAGCTTGAACTGAATCACATCTTTGAAGCGGGGGTGCAAGAAAGGAGCCGACCAAGGGTTAGAATGTAGACTCTCGAGCATGTCATGCATGGCCGACGGGTTTGGCATTGCCCCTGCAGGACCGGGGTTGATCCACAGCCAAAATTGTGGGCGACACACGTTCTCGGATGGTGGCTCGTCATCCGACAAGTATAGGCCCAGGTTCTGAGTGTATAGCCAAGACAGAAGGGAAGAGTAGGGTTTGTCTGTGAACGGGCCAGTCCAAAACATATGGAACAACCGAGGGTTCTCGGGATTGCAAGGTGACTCCAGGTTCGCGTAAGGCGTATATGTAGGAGGGTCTGGCAATCGAAGAGGTCGCTCCCACTCAGCATCCTTCTTCCGTACGAGGCCTGTATTCACAACTCGTGGTTTCAAAGCCGGGACCTCCGCTCGCCTGGCAGAAATATCTTCTTGCTGTTCCTTGTAGATGTATTGCCAGTCTTTTGTCTTCCCACGACGAAGTTGCCGTCCATTATCTAAACCTGCTCCAGAACGGAGCATCTCGAGGCAATCACGAACGTACTGAAGGGTGACTAATTGAGGTAACGTAAAACCAAGGCAGCCTATTACGCACCTTGCCCTGCGAGTAGTCGCAGCGCTCCATGATAATGTCCATGTCAACAACACCTCCCGGCATCGGACGTGGAGGATGGCTCACGCCTGACGTGCTGTCTGGCTGCTCATACACCCGCTGCGGCCCGTTTCCGCGAGTATTCATCATCACCGATTCATACGAGCTGAAACGAGAGAGAACGTCCTTCGTAGGACGTGGCAGAGCCGGATTCATGGGATGTGATCTAAGTCCTATTTGCCGGGGTACTGTTTCATCGTGTCAAAATGGCATAACACCGAGGAAACTAGGCTAAATACCAACCTTTGATGCTACTAGGGTGGTGTCCGCTGGCGATTTCCCATTGCCATATCCGCTGGAGCTCCCTTCTGTCAAAAACAAGCGTTGACTCGTCCGATTCCTCAAAGCCATCCTTCTCGGGAATCTCAGCGAAGTGTTGTGCGAAGGTATCTTCGAAGTCGTCCTTAAGAGTCACCTGGTGGGAGGCACTGTCGATGGGGTTTCGGACTAAGGCTTCTTCAATAAAAACAGGCTTAGGGCCGTAATCCGAGCCAAGACTTGAGCTTGAAACTTGAGGAGAGCGGAGGTCGGATGCTTTGTCAGTGGCGGATGCTTGATAATCCGTCCGAGCATCCGAGGGCCACTCATGAGAGGTCGCACCGCTCCCATCTGATGGCGCTATTGGAGCAACGGTTTCAGGCGAAGAATTTTTCGCCACGTCGCCAACATCGTCAGACGTGAGCGTCGGTGCGGATGACTTGCCGAAGTCATGAGCATAGAGGTCGTCAGGTGGGTGTCTGTGGATGTCATCGTAGAAGGTGTCGTTCGAGCTAGGGTAATATTCAGCTGGTGGGGGAGGCGGAAAGAAGTTGAAGCCAATGAGTGTGGTCACAACTACCAGAACGTAGAAGGTTAATATCCTTTTGGTCCTGTTAGGCATTGAAGTTAGATAAGAGACGCGTGCAAGGTTAGCAGTTTCCTCACCAAGCGTTTGAGGTTGGAGGAGGGGCTTGCGTGAGCGACTCGAGATGCATCTTCTCCCGGACAGCTGAGGGTTGATCTGGGTCATCGGTAACGAGACTGTATGGGGTAGTGTATTGGCGCCGCCCAAACTTGAACGGTGCACTCCAGGACATGCTGCCCGGCAGAACACAGGGAGCAGAGGAAAAGGTGAGATACGTTTCCCTGCGAAGCTCGAATCACTCTTATAAGGGTGGAGATTGGCAATGAGCTTACATCTTGATGTGCCCACTAGGGTACACAGCAATGCTGAGATTCCCATGGGCGGTTAGTTGCTACCGGAGTCGACTGCTGCAAAACCTTGCACAAGCTGACGGCCTGCCACATCAGCGAGCGCTCAGTTACATGAAACTGCGAGCAAACATGAAACTGTGAGCGAGCATGCTCCACTCACTAAGAGTGGCAAACAGGGCACTGAGCAGATAGTCGACTGCAAAGGTCCTAGTGCTTTGTATAACACATGAACCTGTCCTAAGAAAGAAGGAAACACAGCCTCTCGCAGCCTCTAGCTGCTGCGCTCCTGATTGATACCAGTAGTGTACCGCCGAAGCCGTTGCCGTGTATATAGCTGGCATCACTAGCATCGCTGGCATAGGGCCGAACGTTGAACGCCGAGGTCTTCTACGCTTATCAGTGTTTAGTCTGAGTTAGGCGAATGGCGATAGAAAGCCGAAGGTCCCCGGTAGATAGACGCTGGATCAGAGATGATTCGATGATGGGTTAGTGAAGCGTTCCGGGATTAGATCTTAGACGGGACATGGTGCAAGACACTGAAGTGAAGTACCTAGTACTATAGTACTTGGTGAACAGGAAAGAGAACGATCTCGAGCGAGACGCGCGGCCGGAAATGGTTATTGATATGTGGGTGTATGCTAACAACTTTGTGACAATTACGTACGTACTGTGTCCAAACCATGTCACTGAACAATATTCACGAACGTTTGAACACTCTGGCCCGATTGCAATATATACACAAGCACAGCGCTGGCTGTTGGGGCAATATAATAACATTAACAATATTAAGTTGTCCAGCACACATGTGGTCTTGGCAGCTAGTCGAGGTTGTTCAGGGCTTGAAGCTTGAAGCTTGAACGTTTGAACACCGGCTTGTGAGCTGGGGCCTGAGTGTTCTGGGTTTTCTCCCTGGGCCTCGGTCAAAGAAACTGTAGCTAGCTGATAGAAGAGCAAACGAGTCAAGCTTTGGTTGCCTCGGCAATTCGGGCCGCCAGCATCCCCATGCGACACGACGCTTCTAACCAATGCCCGTTACCTTTTAAGGTAACTAGGTCTATGGGACGATTCTTTTCGTCCCTTGGCGGGCGTTTGCAAGACTCGTCGTAAATTCACGTGACCTTCACACGGGCTGCATATCTCGATTGGACTTTTATACGTCATACGTCGAGCTGCCTCTTTGTCTCCTTTTCCCCTACCTTGCCCATATGTCTTTTCTTGATAACATTCCCGTCCGGGTGGTGGTCGACACGACGCTTCTGACCAATATCTTAATGGGACCCTATGGGACCTTCGGTAGCGAGGAGTCCTTGCGACTTATCAATATTGGCTTCGAGTCTTTTGTGAATAGTGTTCCTGTTTGATAACCTCGATTCGGATCGCCAGATATACAGGGTAAGCCTGTGGCTGAATGGTCTCAGTCTAAGATTGGGTGCTAAGGGCTAGGGAAGTGGCTTTGTTACGAGTCTTATAATTCAAGTCAGTAGGATGAGGAAGATTAGGCACTTAGAAGATACTAGTAACGGTTCAGATTCAGTTGTCTAAACGTCAATAAGGTAGCAAAAGAGCGCACCAAAATACAAGAGCTGCGCACAGGTGAGACTTTTTGACGCTCAGGCTGTTACGTCGTAGTACGAATCGACAGTCTATCCAACTGCACACTGTCCTCAACTTGTAGGAGAGTTGCTTTCATCCTGGAGTATTACAAAGTCGCTGTCGCAGACATGGATGGACTGGATAGTATGTACTCCGATATTTACAGGAGTTTATGTGTCTGGTCGATATCTCAATGGTCGCAATCCACGGTACCCGTCAATCCTAAATCAAGATGCGTCTGAGTCTTCCAGATATCCGGATATCTTAGCTCAGTCTATGCATTCTAAAGATACCTCCCTTTCGGAAGGCGAGACATATCGCCTAGGCATTACTGCCGGGGGAAAATCCGTACATAGATCAGCACACAAAAACATGAGCGAGGCGGACGTCCAAACATACAGAGAGGCTGATCTATAGGTCTTTCATGCACTGTCTCCTTAACAATAGGGGTAACTGAAGCCTGGGAAGTCGAACGGGGTGGCGGAGGTGGCGGTGGGCGTCTCTCTGCACTGAGAACTGAGCTCGTCGAGGATCCCATACCAGGATTTGATTGCGTGTCTGAAGAGATGGACCCGTTACTGTTTACATTCCAAGGTCCACCCGTTTGCGTCGCAGTCGAGTTCGTGAGCTTACTGGGATGATGTACAGGCTCTGAGTGCTTGTGGCGGCTTTCTGAACAGGGTAAACTGATTGGTGCACGCCGAGTCAAATCGATGTGCCTTATCCTTACCTGTGGGATGTAGCATTGCTTGACTAGATATGTTCCAAAAGGTGCTTTCCTTCCACGGTCCATGGCCACCTTCATTCACGTTGTGCTGCGTATGCCGAGGAGGTTGGAAGCCTACATAGGGCTTAAACGGGCGGAAACCACGACGAGCCTGAGCTTTTCCTCTCCCTCCTCTTCGTGGTTGTGACGAATTATACGAAGGATAATCATATGGGCGACGTGAACTACCGTTCCGTCGGTTATGTTGGTGTCCATAACCGTTGCGAGGATGTCCAAACCCACTGTCGTAACTTGTGTCCCGAGGCCATTGTGAACGGAGTGCAGGACCACCATGGGACAAATCCGGAAAAGTATTTGGGGTTGAGGTAGCTGCTGATGCAGGAACTAAGCCTGGAGGATAGGTTGAAGAAGTACCAACGCCCCCTTGAGTGTGTTGAGGATTGATGAAGACAGCAACACTTTTCGTTGACAGGCTGGAAGACATTTCAATGCGTATCGAAAGCGGTGACTTATCCCGCATTGATGCATTGTCCAGACTTTCTGGGGCGCTAGCCTGATTTTCTACAGATGCGGTCATGTTCACAGAATCATTGCCAACTGCCTCCAATGGTGCATCCTCTGATACCGTCCGGAGACCATGACTTTGAGCAGGACCTTCCCGAGGACCCTGATTGCTCAACCCTTCTCCTTTGAACTTTGCGGGGGGCATCTGCCATTCCAATGACTGGGTGCTCCATGCAGGTAGCCTGGAGAGTGTGTTGCCTTGAGAACTGCAATCGAGCACTTGAGCAATGTTATGTTGCCGATTTTCAGTTGGAGTCGTGGCCATTCGTCGATCCCATTGACTGTGAGCAGACGCGATCCATCCACGCTGACGTTGGTCAGTCCTCTCAATTTGCTCTGCATCATCGATAGTATGTGTTGAGACTGAATCATTTTCCCAGTCTAAGTGGTCGTTTCTTCTCCCGCTTCGGTCGGCAAGCTCGGGTAACGGTGTATCATCGTCGTCCGACTCGATAACTACCTGTACAAAGACATGATTTTTCATTATAATGAAACATTGTTGAAGAAAAATACCATATCAAGATCATTGTTATAAAGAGTCGTGATCGTGGAGGGGGACCTCTGCTTAGAAACTCTTGAGATCCCTTTAACAAATGGTACCAACACATAGTCGAGCCTTGCTTTTTTCGTGGTGGATTTAGCTGGAAGTTCGTGTAACCTATCCACAAGCCGAGCGGCTTCAATACGAGGTTCATCAGTGTATGAAGAAGCTCCTTGTATAAAGTCACTCTGCGACTCGGCGGGTCGAACCCCCAGCTCGGAGGAGTCTAAATGCTCATCGTGCAAATCTAAGATGGTTGACTTTGAAGTCCCTCAGAAATCATCGTTGTACCACAATAAAGACGTGCGCACCGTCCTCGGCTTGTCGTACCAGCCAGATTTGGTCCTTGGATGCAGTGATTTCGATTCAGGAAAAGTGATTGCAAGGCGGGCCAACATGGCAGACATGTGAGTAATATGTCGTTCACGTCCGCGAATGCGCTCTCCAGCTTTCCTAGTATGATTCGAAAGGTTCGACCAGTCGGGTTCGTTTGTGAGATTTAACATTTCAGACGCGTGCGCCTTCTTTGTGTTTAACATGCGTATTGGGCATGTATCGCGATGACAGCCTCGGCAAGACGGCCCGGCTTTGTTTGCGAAACAAACCTCGGTCTATGTGGTCACTAATGATGGTCTTCGTCGATGAGATAGGCAACTTACTGGGGATGAGGAGGAGCGGAGTGCATGAAGAAGGCACGCTGCTTCAAATAATGCAACGTGCTGGCGCACCGGGATAAATCTATAGCTGTTTAAGCCTGAGTACGATTAACTTGGTGAGATGTTTCTAGTACCTTTGATGAGGGAATAATCTGAGTGGAGTTGAGCTCCTTTCTAGTCCAGATTCCGCGAGAACATCGGCGGCGTTGTTGTAACTTCGAAGTAATTCATCAAACGGGCGGCACTGGACCGGGGACATTCCACCACAGAAGCAAGTGCGTCCTTCAATGTAGCACGAAGGACATATGCAAATACCAGACCCTTGTTCGGAGGTTGCGGAAGAAGTTGAAAGCACATCGACGCATGCGAAACATTCAAAGAAGCTCTGGAAGATGTCTCCACCACAATAGTCGCATAAAATGTCGTATTTGTATGGCGATGTACCTTCGGTGACGTAGGGTAAGTCAGAATTACCTGGACATTGCTCCTCAATGATAATGTCTTGATAAAGTAGCAGCAAGTCTTGGAGAATTTTGGCAAGCGTAACTTGTTCCCGTTGCCTCGGTGAGCGACTCGATGTTTGAGTCAATTGATTTCGTCCTTCCCACTTGATAAACCGAGTACATTCTTGAAGAAGCACTGAATACTGGCGCAGAGCATAATGGATGATCGCTTTCACTTTGTATGTTTCAGCGCGGCAGACGCTATGAGTCAATGGGTCAGCACGAGTTGAACAACTGGCCAACATGCTAACCGTCGATACAAAGGTAGCTCTTCGTAGAGTGAGATCTTTAAGCTTGAGATTGACATCCGTGACCAAGCAACTTTAATGGAGATCCCTCCATAGTTGACAACTTGATGGCCAACTTTAGGAGGCACAATGATCATGTCACCTAATGTCTGCTCTGCTATGTACACAGGGAAAGGGGCGTTCTTGAGTTCTTCAATCGTAGCAACGTAGGTCTCCCAGTCAAGGACATAGCCTAACTCCTGGAAGTACTGGGCGAGTTCAAGCGCATGGGATCCTTCCGTCATAAACCAGAAAGACGATCCACCACTTTCCGTGTAAACCATTATGTTTTGGCCGATAGATCCGCAGGGGTCCTTGTGGAAGGGTGTGAAGGTATCCCCGACGCCTAGATAGCACATTAAAGTCTGAACCTACAGTCGGATCAGTCTTCTATTTCAGTGTCTCAGTACAATCGGTTGTGCCTTCTAAACATACCTGGCCGCTGTCGGGCAAATTTCCCAGCATGTCATCCTTGTTTTTGAAAAGAAGATGATCCGGTATAAAATCATGCTGGCCTAGCTGTGCAGCCCAAACATCTGGGCATTCAATGTCCTTTCCATAAAAACGTTCGTGCTCTAGTACCAGCTTGATGAGTTGTGAATATCAAACATCTACTTCTAGACGTTACCATCAGCCACCGTAAATCGAGGAGTATTGCGAAGTTTTTGTATCAGCTCTGCCTTTCTGAGGTATCCATCCGCGCGATTATGCACATTGCGAACGTTAACGACTAAAAAGTATTAGATTGATAGGGTTAGAGATACTTAAAGCTACACATGTAACTGCTGACCTGGATTTCCGTTTTCAATAAACCCTTCTGGAGAAAACACATCACTGGGCCAGTGCGGATGAGTTTGATAGCCTTCAATTATCAACGGAACGCCCTCGCTCTCGTGTTTCTCCGTAATTTCTTTCAAGTCTGCACACCTTGCGTGGATTCGACGGATTCTTCGAAAATTTGTAGACATTTCCAACAGCTTATCTAAGGTCCAATCCCTGGTCGTCCTTGTGGCCGTTGGATCGAGTTGAACATTAGGGACTAAGTCATCGAATGCACATTTATCTGAGACTGCGCAATCTACCGAGCGCTTCAGCGAAAGGTCGGCTGGGGTTGAGGACGGTGCACGTTGTTCACTTTGTGACTGACTCGCAGAGGCAGCTACGCGGGCGGCAGAGGGGTATGTTGATGGGAGGGCTCCCCAGCTGATTGGTCTAGCCTGTAATTTGCTTCGCCAGCTTTCCATCCTTGAAACCTTGGAAGTGATATGCAAGCGAGTGACTCCAAAACGTCAACGGCGGGAACTTGAAGGTATGTGGTCTTTGGGATTGAGCTTCTTTTGGTCGATAGATAGGTGAGAGAACTGGTTAGACATCGTTCGGAGGACAGCATCGAGACAGGCTGTTAAGGTAGACGCTGGGACTCGGATGTATGCCTCGTGGCGAGATTAGATGAAGGACGTCAATGATGCAGATGGGCTGCTGAATTGGGATGTTATAATAACAGGGCCATGTGTACCCGACATCCGGATCTCACTTGTACTTTTTCTGCACATCTCACCCACTACCTTTTACATCATCGCAAGCTCAAGCGTGTCTTCGAATTGAAGCTTCAGTCAGCTGTTTGTATCATCAAATTGAACTTGCAGTACCTTCAACCATCTCGGGAGTCTTCTTAATCACTTCGCACTTGAATACGAGCAAGATTGCTCCCGTACCCACAAAGACAAAGTTGAGCACGCCGGAGTTCACTGCAAGTTGACTGTAAGTTGACCGCGATCCTGGACCTCTTTGCCCAACTCCTCTCGTTCGCCGCAACGGCAATTCCCTTCTGACTCTGGAGCTGTATAAAGAACTCTCGTCCCTTTGCAAGATACTGGTTTTACTGGCATGTCCAGCATCTCGGGCGCAGCGCACGACGCCTTCGACTTTGACTTCTGGAAGTTCGTCAATTGCTGCGTCTGCCATCTGCGTTTTGCTTCCACCAGCGCCGCCCCTCCTGTGCCGTTCTGGATCACTGAATGCGGACACGTCATTTGTAACAATCATCTAAGTGGGTGTCTATTGACTTCACTTGGCAGGCTCCTTAGTGTAGTTACCCGTCACAGACTCCAATCAGAGATGCCCTCAATGTGGAAGTCATAACATTCAGCTAATGCCCTTGCAGCACGACGTAAGTGCCCAGCCGGTATATTACTGACTTATGCTTAGAGGATGATCATAGATCGAGGAACCTATGTCAGAGTATTTCAGGTCACTACCACACGTTTTGGATGGTGTCGCAAATGCTGTGAAGGTGAGCTCGGGATCACAGCTTCGCCCACATATCCTTCCTCTTTACAAAAGTAGTTTCAACAAGAAAGTGTGGCATCGCTAGTGCGCCATCATAAAGATAGGGCCGCCCATTTCTCGTCCACTTCCGAACGCCTTCGAAATGAACGGAATAACTTGAGAAGGTGCTGTCAATTTCTTCTTTAGAAATGCTCGGCGGTGTTCATACAACACGGACCAACGACAGAGAAAACGAAGAGTTAAAGCATCGCATCACGCTTTTGGAGCAAGGTGGTGACCCTTCAACGGTGATTAACTCCAATGGCAAGCGCTTAAGAAGTGATCCATGCAGGTACGTGAATAAGAGGATTCTCAATATTTGTCGAGGAGGCCGGACTTTTATGGTCGTATCCTCAGCTCAAGCCCAAAGTCCGGTGTCGTTACTGCTCCGGATCGGCTTACTCTCTCTGAGAGAGACTATCCAAATTTTACTTCAGGACAACGCAGGCCAATCCACAGTGATGCACAATCGGATAGACCAGGCACCAGCCGCTTTGCGCAGTATGCGACTCCCGGGAAGTTCTTGATCATTGACTGACCAAACTTAAGACACTTCTCCTTTCACGATAGCAAGCCTACGCGCATATACCCACCAAGGCTATCACACGACCAGTCTGGTTCTCTTCATCCTGAAGGCGGAGACTCTTCTTCGCAACACTTACTTGTAACTAAAATGTCGGAAATCATCACCAGCCCACAAACTAACGCCTGGCTTACCGTCTGGCTTACTGGGCGACAGATCTCCACCTCTCGAACAGGACTACCAATGAAGCCACCAGCTCCGATCAACGGCCGTGTTGCAGGTCCCATGGGACCGCCCCCAACACCTCAGAAGACCTTCAGCTTTCGGACGCCTCAGACACCGTCTCAGAGTCTCAAACCAACTCCAACAAATGCTAATCTAGGCTCGACTAGGTCTGCGCGCGACTTGACATCAAACCGCTTCGAGCCAGCATCCACTCTTAAGGGCTCCGTGTCATCTGACAGATCTGTAATGATGCGTAACAGTGTAGGTCGACAACGAACCGCAAGCGGTTCTCAGCGGAAACCGTTTGTTCCTGGGAAACTTTAGACACGAACCGATGCCATCTCTGCCTCTTTCTTTCAGCCCGTGAGTATAGCGTACTCTCTACGGCGTATGCGCTGGACTTATGTTTGTAAAATCATGACTGTAATAATAAGATATTCAAAGACGGCTTAGCTTGATTACACACACGAGTGTTATAATCCACCAACGTCAATGACGTGAGGTACACGACGTCTTGATATCACACTGAGCGCGATAAATGTAGCTCGGGGCCCAAGCGTATCACCCAGAGGCAAGCTTCTTCTAGCTTATTACCGCTCCCTCCAGCGCATGGGTTTTTTTCCCTTACTTTATTATTAGTTTAATATGAGCTCAACTAACTAAGTCGGAGGGAGTCCAATACTAATACTGTAGGTGATGCACGGTTTTCGCTGGTTTTCGCTGGTTTTCGCTGTGTCGTCATGGCGCTATGTAGTATTTACACCCTTATACTAGTGTGGAAACAAGGGGCCTGCAGCTGTACAGCCACCACACCGCACCGAGGGACTCTCAGGCTCGGAGACGGGGTTGCGCAGCACCATTCCCTTCACCTCCAATCCACCATGTCTTACACAGATCCGTACGCTGAACGCCACGGAAGATATCAGCAGCAATATACCGATGGTCCAACGTTCAATCCTTATAGCTCCTCACGGACGCAACCTCACCAGACCTATGATCAGGGGGGCTATGACACCACAGGGTATGGGCAGGAAGGGAACAGGCCATCGCGCTACTCGGACCCATATTACAATAACAGCTCGGGCAAGGAGAACCCTATATCCTCTTCGGACGATGCTTTCGGGGGCGCTGCTGTTGCATCGGCGAGGTAGGCACTATGTCAAGTGATGCTCCACGGCTGACAGAGGTGGATTCTACGTATAGTCGACGAAAGGATCTGAGTGACTGGAGATATGAGCAACAAAGTGGTTTATGGACGAGGGTATTTGGAAACCCCTTATTGCACGTTCCCTTGCCTAATCAACTCCACAGGGTAGCAGAGGGAGTTGCATTGCTCGGTTCTGCTGCTGTGCGGTGATGATCGTGATTTTCTTCATCGTATCAATACTTCTTGCGCTTGCGCTTGTACGTATTCTGTATCTATCTGGGTTGTACTGGCTTATCTTTTCTCAGTGGATAAGACCACCCAATATTGTTGTAGGGAGTGTGCAGACTAACTCCACAAACACGGTCAGTTTTCTTGCGGTCCGTATAATGCCCTTGGCTCATATCACGTTGCAGGTACAATCAGTCAACGACGGGTTCCAAATAAATCTTGGAGTCAATATTTCGTAAAATCTAACTTAATTGACCTGTACAGCACATCGCTCACCTTCGATCAGTGTGCAGAACCCAAATTATTTCGCGGTGTCCTTCAAGGATATTGATGCCCAGGTGAGGCTTGTGTTTTGACTTTTCGTCTCCCCAATAACCTCTTCAAACCCCGTATCAGATTTTCTACCCTATAAACAATACTCTCGTCGGGGGTGGGACTGAGAATGATATCACCTTTGGATCCCACTCACAAACGAACTTCACCTTCCCCTTTGCGATCAACTACAACAGCAACCTGCCCTCAAGCAACCAAATTCTGCTTGACATGGCTCAAAAGTGTGGTATTCCTTCAGGGTCTCCATCTGACATAACCGTGAACTACGACATTACGGTACGCTTTCCCCCCACAAACGAGGGTTTGATGATTGTGGACTGATCGCAATGGACAGCTGGGCTTGCGTATACTTTTCTTCGTCGTCAGTCCTAAAGTGAGCAACAGCTTGAGCTTCAAATGTCCTCTTACTTCGTCAGATCTTGGGGTGAGACAATAATAATCTGCTTCTGTTCATGCACGTTTAACATCAATTGAACAGGGCTTGCTTAATGGTATTGGTGGCCTGTGATACTTAATACTTGTCCCCCCTTTTTTGGACTTGTGATTCGGACTTAGTGGACCCTATACTAGGCGACTTAATGCGTACACTGTTTTACTTAGCTACTAGTATGACCTCGACATTAGAAAGTTGAAAGCTTTGTGAGATCGGATACCATGTATGTACATAAATGTATCTGAAGTTTCCTGTTGGCAGCTTATGAATGAAAAGTGATAAATTACATAAACACGTGAGTATCTTCTTAACAACGAAGGAACCGTTTATCGACATTGTCTACGTTCAAGCTAACTCGACTTCAACTTTGGCGAGATGTCTAATGGGCTGAGCGATGCAGACCGCGAAATCGTATTTAGCCACATCTTCCGTCACCTTGCGTCCTACCGCAATGTAGCTGAAGTATACATTTTGACGGAACATGACTTACAGCTCGGCCAGAATTGGGATCGCAGAGCAACAGATGAGGCCAATGACGAGCTGAACAAGTGGGCACAAAATTTCCTCCATCAAGCCTGGATCGTATGCAAAGACCAGGAACAAGGTGAGTGAGTCGTGCAACCGCCGATAGTTTGATGACCCTCTGATTGTTCGAGATATCTCTCACATGCCTTTGTCTCCTCAACAGGTTGCCCTATTCTCGACCCTTTAGCGGATACATCGACCCGCCAAATCCCCCCTTTGCCCGACCTAACCAACGTGGGGAGGACGCTTAATACCATCGCAGTCTTGGAAATCACGACCACCAAGTCATATTCCGCCTACACTCGGGTGTTCTTGCATAGTTTCGGTCCTCTTGATGAGTATCTCATAGGCTACACGTTGCGAAATCCGGCGAAGGCGATAGAAGAGGCCAGAAATCTTACGGAAACCACTAGGGATCAACGCGCCAGATCAAACCGGACTCTTCGTATGGCAGGTATGGGTCTCGGTGCCGTTGCTGGTGGGCTCCTTGTTGGTATCACGGGCGGGCTTGCAGCGCCTTTGGTTGGGGCAGGCGTCACCAGTATTCTGGGACTCTTCGGTGCCGGCGGGACAGCCGCGGGATTGTTGGCAAGCAGTTTAGCAAGCTCGTCGGTGGTGTGTGGAGCTCTCTTTGGCGCTTATGGCGCACGGTCTGCCGCAGGCATGGTTAGTCGGCACGCTAGAGAAGTCAGCGACTTTGAGTTCGTCCAGGTCTTGGGCGAGGGTGAGGGAGAAACATTGGGTGTCAGGCTATGCATCAGCGGATGGCTTACATCCGACGAAGATATCACAGCACCGTGGACGATCTTTAGACAAGGAGACGATACACACGCGCTTCAATGGGTATGAGATTCCCCGTCTATTGTCGCAATCCTGACATCACCGGTTAGGAAAAACAGGCACTGAAAGACCTGTCCAGTGCGCTTGTCACACTAGTCAAGTCGCAAGCATGGTCATATGCTAAAGGCGAAATCATCAAGCATACAGCTCTCGCAGGCTTGCTCAGTGCGCTCTCACCCATTTTTTTGCTGAAAATCGGAAAGATCATCGGTACGTCGTGCTTTTCTGCGAAATAGCTAAACTAACGGCCTTAGAAGATAATCCTTGGATGAATGCTAAAGCCCTGGCGCTCAAGACCGGTAGGGTTTTGGGAGAGTTGCTCGCCTTAAGAGTATTTGGCAACAGACCCGTCACCCTAACGGGCTTTTCACTTGGTTCGCTCGTCATCTTTCAGGCACTCCTCCAGCTCTCGGAACTTCCACCCGCTAAAACATGTGGGCTGATCCAAGATGTCTTTCTGTTCGGCACTCCCGTCACTAGCAAGAGTCTTGATTGGGCGACCGTACGCAGAGTTGTCTGCGGCCGAGTCGTCAACGGTTTCTGTCCCAACGACATGGTTTTGGGCATTTTCTCACGGGCATCAAGTGCTAGTTGGAACATCGCAGGGCTACAAGCTGTAGAAGTCCCTGGAGTAGAGAATATAGAATATTCAGATGTGGATGGGCATCTGCAGTGGAGAGGAATGGTGGGAAAATGTTTGCGTGACTGTAAAGTGCCTGGTGTGGCAGACAAAGAGGTTGAAGAGCAGTTAGCTAGCATCCCGAGGATCATGGATATGAAGGTCGAAGGGTCAGAGGCTCGGCTTTTCGACGGAGACCTTTCAGCAATAAGTGATGGCACCCACGCAAGCTCACTAGCGTGATAAGATGTGGTTGACCGATTAGCTAGAAGCGTATTGGCCATGCCAAATACAACGGCTGTCATTCCATGTCACAGCCTCAATCAATTAGATGAATCGTAACCAGAACTAGTACATTGGTCGGACAAAGGACCATTGCATTGGCATTGGTAGCTATAGCTGAAGCTGACTCCGCTCAGTGAACCTAGGACGTGCATTGGGATTTGAAGCGTCCACGCTGAGGTGCCGTAGGTTCGAGGCCATGACCGCAAACCTGCTAGTAGTTACGAGGTCATGGGCTGGCGGTTGGTGTCGGTTTAGACTTCGGTGCGCCAGTCTTCCCTCTGCCCCAACGGACTGAAATACGGTCGCCGTCCATGTCCAACCCGTTTGCCCAGGCCTGCGCCGCGCTCTCGGCCGTTGGCCGATCCTTGAAGTTGACGAATGCGCATCTTAAAGTACTGAGCAACCGATGGCAAGAGTGAATTTATAGCCTTACCTTGATTTCGCTACGTATACTACTGACTTGAGCTGGGACGCGGAAATGTGCGTAAGTGAGTTGACGACATAAGTACGAATACTATCTTCGTTTGCATCCGTAGGCAACGATGATAAAAACAAGGATGTCTATAATGCGTCAGATAGTCTTCGACGGTACCCGTTTGAACTTACAACCGTCTCATCCTCGGGTGGCGTTAATCCTTGATTAGTCGCATGGGTCGACATGATCTTTTTGGCAACTGGGTCGTTATGGCCGTGGTACCGATCTTGAATGTTCTGGTGCGAGAGTTCATTCTCCATTGGTTTCTCATGCCTGCAAAATTACCGTATGATTTGAGAACACCCATAGCTCATGCTTGAACGTCCTCACCTGTATGGGCACTCTGAGCCTCTTTTGCACTCTCCTTTCACATAAAAGGAGCAAATGTGGGGCCTGTTCCGTTTATAATATGGATTAGTCCGAGCCAGCTGTTTGAGCATTTCCTTTCCAGCAGACGACGCCCGGTTCCCGACTTCCATCATTGACTTTGTTCCATCCTCCATCTGTTATATTGTGTAGACAGTCATGAAGCGCGGCACAAACGGAGACGTACCTTGCTTTCCATGTTTTGGGCGTAGTATTCTCTATTGATGTCACTGGTAGGTGCCTCACTTTGGATGGCAAGCGCGGTGTCGCGGACTTGAGTGGGTAGGCCATACTCAAGGTCTAGGAGACAGGTTTGACAGACATTCTTCACTTTTGCGCAAGTCTGGCAAATGACGGTTGCCTTGTAGCGAGCCCCTGATCCTGGGTTCCAACGAAAGACAGTGAAAGGGCGTGCGCAAGTGCCGCACGACCGGCCAAATTCCTGCTTGGACTATGAGGATAGTTGTCAGTAGCTGTACAGAGAATTTGCCAGGTATCCACGGACCATTCGAACGAATGGATTAGGGCCTAAACCTGGTTTCGAACTATGTGTTATGTCAGCGTCAAGTAAAGGGAGTGGAGGAAACGTACATGTCTCGCAAAGAATGGGAAATTCACTTTGCTCCCATCCAGCTTTGTTAATGTCTGCTTTGGGGGGCATAGCGTCTTGTCAGAATTCGATTGAAGAGTCGTCCGTGACACAGCTGCAGGTGCCTTGAGGTACTGAACGAAGACCAAAGCACTGCAATTCACGCAATTCACGCGAGTTGTGCGATAGTTACGTGTACTGTCATCCCCCGTGAGAATGTACACCACCGTCAGGATGTACATACAACTGTCTTTTGTGGCCGTTTCCCCTTCAAAATTCTCAAACTAAATGCATGATAATTATGATCCCATGCCATTCCATATTATCCTGCGTTGGATTAAGGGGATGTCTAGAAATGAAGTAACATGGCTCAATAGACAGAAAATGGGCTCTTTTGAAAATGTTTTGAGCTCGGGTCAATAACCAGCTGCGAAATAACCTCAGGTTGTGTACAAAAGAGTAATCATATATTGAGCTAACACCTTCCGCCCCCACTGAAACAAAACTGGGCGCAACCAGAAGGCACAAGCTCTCAATATTTTGCACCGATGATAGAGTGTCCTCTCGAGGCTCACTATAATCTTATAGCCGCCGTATCGGCGAATCCGGCTCGGCAATGACGCTCTGATTTTCCTTTTATGGCTCGGCTACTGCCAATGCCCTGCCTAATATGGGCTTATTACCAATATCGGCTCCCACGCAGACTGTACAGTCTGACGATGGTTGGTCCTAGGTTCTAAAATCAACTGATGCACGTATATATAGTAGGGAATCCGTCCACTTTGGCGCTTCGTGGATTTTTCAGTATTAGCTTGGGTCTCGGGGATGCTTCAAACCTTATTTTACAGGACGGGCCTGCGAGGAAATTATTCCAGGACTTACGGAAATTTGGCTGTCTCTTCTGGCAGGGGATAACAGTACATAGAGCATTTGCAGACAATATTTATTTGTCTCAAAACTCTGGCCATGTATATTCAATCAACTGGATCAAAGACTCTAGCTATGTGCAGATCAAGTGTAATTAATGATCAAAGACAGGCTGAATGGTAGTGTCGTGCTTGTCACTGTCACCTCCCCTCCCGCTGCAACGAGATCCGACACTTTCTTCTCAAGATTGGGTCGGGTGTTCTTTTCCAGCTGCGGCGGCTGCTGGAAATAGATTGGTTTGAGAGGAGTGGACAGCGAAGGCTTCTTGATTTGACTGTGTCCTTTAAGTTTGGGCAGATTGGTAAAAAGCCTTGACTGCACTTACATATCCTGTTTCTCAGTGAGCATTTCCATCAGCTGCTCGACTGTCCAATCGTGGTTAATTGATATCTCTAGAGCTTCGCCCCCGCAAACCGGGCAGTGTTCTCTCTTCTCATGTTCGAAGGTATAAGAATAGACGCCGTCAGTGCCGATGAGCATAAAGTAGTTATTTAGGTAGGCTGCTGAGCTCGTTGCAATCTTGAAAGCCTCGTTACAACAAGCCGCTGGATCGTCGTTAACATGTCTTGTAGTTGCTTAGCCGCCAACGTAAACGCACCAGCAATAACAGCGTTCGTTGATGCTATGGCAGGTATGACATTTTTGACAACTCCCTGAGTGAGAGACCATGTTACTCCCTCAATGTTGAACTCCTTTGCCCGCTTGAAGGCTACGCCGTAAAGCCAGCTGATGTGTTCGGGATCGTCAGTATCTAGCTTTTGGTCTGCATGCATCCGTAAGTACAAGGCGTCAGTGTCATACGCGAATAGTACCTCCATGAACCTTGGGCCATTCTAAGACAGAGGCCCACTCTATGCAATGCTCGGGAAGACGAGGTGTGTTGGCTATGGTGCAAATTGGGAAAGTCGTAGGCTTGTTCAGCATATCTAGCGAGCATTCATAGCACGACGTAATTGTTGGAAGAATAACCCGAGCTTGTCCCTTAAACCCTATACGAGCGTCATGCATGATGTCTATGAGTGAGGGATTCACATTACCTTCAGTGCCTCCGTCTATTAGAGGTTTGAGGCTTTCCGGGTTGTCAGAGTCTACCATACTCACGAGCGTAGCGTTGATCCATCTGCGCGCCTCCACAGAGTCAAGACCACATATGACTAGGTTGAACTGCATGTAGTATTCGTGATCCTTGTCTTGGATTTTCCCATAATATCTTGAACCACATTTAACAAAGAACGGCGCGTCAGGGAACTTCCTTACGGTGTTACTATTACGCCTGGCACTCGGTTCATGATGAACTCCGCAGCCACGATAGCTTTCGGCTTTCCGACGTCTGCTGGTCTTCATGTGAAGCTGTTAGCAAATTGCAAGTACTTTGGTAATAGCCTAGCACCTGAACAGAAATTGGCGATTAAGGTTGCTGACATCAATAGTATCCATGTCGATAACGTGGATATCCTTGAACCCAGTCAGAGCTAGATTGGCAAGAATCTCACATCCCAGACCGCCAGCACCGATGACCAAGATTTTGCACTTGTCACGTAAAAACTCTTGAACCTCGCCCGATACTTAGTACATCAAAGAGAGCGCGTAATACACACGATACGAACCTCTCGTCCCGCCAAAAAGGAAGGGTCTGTGCGGGGCCCTGGCTTCTCAAGTACCTGGTCTACATGCCAGTAGCGATCCTGCCAATCACTTGGCGAAGTTCCATTAGGCTGAGCTGCAGATAAAGACATTGAGGCTGACAAGGCACTGGCGGATGCCTGTGTTATCTGATGTAGAAAGATTCCGGGTCAAGCGAGGGTGAGCCAAACGGCCTACGAATGTTCTTTGTAAGGGGTGTTTGGTGTCTTGATACTACGAGTAGGTTAGGTCGTAAACACGCGGCGCATCCTTTTGCGGTAAGAGCCTATCATCGTGACATATGGTCATCTTTCTTCCAAACGTCGAACTCACATCTTGCTCTTGATCCTGGATGGCGCAAACGGGCTCTGTGGTGACTTACACTGGTCATTTGTACCTGAGACAGCGTCTTGTACTTGCTATTCTCAGTGGAAAGGCAATTCGTGTAGAGAAGATCAGGTCCGACGATGCTAGTCCTGGCCTAACAGGTAGGTCATTATGGTACTCTTTCCTCTGCCATGAAACTCAATTCTCTTACAGAATATGAGATTAGTCTCCTCAGGCTTATAGAAAAGATAACCAATGGAAGTGTAATAGAGATCTCCGTCACTGGTGCGTCAAGCTTGTTTGCTTGCTTTCTCCAGTATTGAATGGCCCAAGGTACCGCTTTCATGCTCAAGCCGGGTACCATCGTCGGCGGCTCTGTTGTGCACGACTGTCCTTTAATGCGCTCTGTCGGCTACTTCCTCGAGCCGGTCATCATGCTCGCACCGTTTGCCAAGAAACCCTTCCACCTTAATCTGCGAGGCGTTACAACTGATGACAACGACTTGTCCGTGAGTCACTCGTAATGGCCGACAAACTTCGCTGACATGAGTTACAGGTCGACCTGATACGAACTGTAACGTTACCCCATCTCCAGCTATTTGGGATATCTGACGGTCTAGAATTACAAGTAAGCGTAAGCCACATGACACCTTCTTTCGTGGCTGAACACACTGTAGATAAAAAAGCGTGGCGCTCAACCGAATGGCGGCGGTGAGGTACACTTCCTGTGCCCCGTTGTCAGGCAAGCCAAAACCTTGAATTTTATCGATCCTGGAAAAATCAAGCGGATTCGGGGAATCTCGTTGGTAGCCGCTAGTCACAGATGATCACGCCTAACAAGCTCTACTATAGACATGCGGTCCGAGTCAGCCCTCAGTTCTCAAATCGCATGATAGACTCAGCACGCTCGGTCCTCAACCGCTATATACCCGATGTTTATCTTTACTCTGACGTGTATAAAGGCGAAGAGAGTGGCAAGTAAGAATTCATCAGTCTATCTGCGCTCTCGCACTTGATGCTGATCTTTGCAGGTCACCTGGGTATGCTTTGAGCCTTGTAGCAGAATCTACCACGACTGCAATGCATTGCTCGGAAGCCGTGTCCAAACCCGGAGAAACACCGGAGGACGTTGCATTGGGTGCGGCACATGCTTTACTTGCGGAAATCAGGCGGGGCGGTTGCGTCGATAGGAAGCATCAGTCTCTGGTGCTACTGATGATGGTTCTCGGTAGTGAAGATGTTGGTCGCTGTAGAATGGGCGAGCCATCTCCGCGAACGTATGTTCCACAATCAGCTATTTTATTTACTATCTGTTCACAAATCCACAGCGTGCAGTTCCTGCGAGATGTTCGAGATTTCTTTGGGACGACTTTCAAGGTCGTTCCGGCGGATTCGGATGGCGTGCCAAATTCACATCTCATTTTTTCATGTTATGGGACAGGATATATTAACGTTAACCGGACAATCACTTGACCTTCAAGGATACTGGTTAGCCTTACAGTCCCACGCCCTTAGTTGAAAAGTATGATACACATGCTACGGTAGCCTTTGCCTATCGATAAATAATCAAAACTTTGCCAAAGTCTCCATTACCGTCGCCTCCACCTATTACTGTCAGCCATTGTTGGAGCATCGGCCATCCCGCTTCAAATATCGTCGAAAGCTCGTCAGTGTGATGTTCACCATCCAGATACTTGGCCAAGCCCTGAGGTGGCACCAAGGGACCATTCTTAGTATCAGTATGATGGAAAGGGATTGATGGTGTGTACAGCTGGATTGACGGGGTTGACGGAGACCGCGAGAGACGAGGGCGGGAAATGGCAGAAATTTCGGCATGGCCAGCAGGAATGCTTTGTGGACCGGCGGGGGCCAAAGAGGGCGCAACTGCTAAGGGTTTTGACTGCGAATATGAATTGCGCAGTCTCGGTTCCAAAGTCGCATGGCCCCTACGGGGGGATATGTCAGGTGCATCCAGTTCGATTCGAAGTGGCGTAATGGTTGAGCTAGATTGCTGTACAGCTTTATTGTGGAGTCTCTCAAGAACCCTTTCTGCTGCACTCGTACGCCGCGAACTATGTGAAAAATCCAGCTCGTCGATATCTTTCGTGGGTGAGCTAAGCATGGCCTCGGGCATGATGGATATTATGTTTGAAGGGACATCCGATATTCGGCCACTGGCACGATTCGTCTGGGAGATGTTCGCCGAATTGACGGGTGTTGCAGGATTTGGAGAGCTACCACTTAACCTCCTCCTGCGGACCCGGGGCGATGGGGTATCACTTTGTGTGAGCACTGGCCATCTGTGCACCCGCCGAAGAAATCCCTGCACCTTGTTAGGATCAATGTGATATGTAGAATGCGAGTAGGACCGACCTTGATTACGCCAAAACTCACAAATCGCCTTATGTCTATGCCTAATTCAGCAACGTTATATTCTTCCATCCACTCAAATACTGTTTTTCCAGGTTTGAGGCGGGAGTATAAGTGAAGTAGGCGGGGCCAATCAGGCACTTCTCTCCCTGCATCGAACTCAACGAAGGTAAACCCAAGCTAAGTAGTTGACATACCAGATTTTGTGACATAAGCCCCACATTCTTCCTTGACGTGAGGCGCGTCCGCTAGCCATTGTACACTCTTCCTCAACGTGTACATGTTGCAATACTGAAAAATATCGATGACCATAATAACTTGGTAGTACCTGAGAGAGGTTGAAGTAAACGATAATATCTCTCCATTAAGGGTGAAACGCACAAAAGGTGAGAGATGGCCTGTCTCGTCAATTCCAAGCCACAGTCAGCCAGTTGACTTATCCGTTTGACGTGGTTCACGCCGTCAATGTATTGACAAACCTTTCACATTGTGAGACTCCTATGCGATAAATGTCAGAGGACTTGATCACCTTGTTCATGGTAAGATCCCAGTTCTCGTCGACTCGCTTGGACAGGTTGATCAGGGATACCGGAACCATCCAGTCCTTGACAGGAGGTGGATTTGGATAAAACGGGAAGATCTTCAACTCGATGGAATTGAACAAGTCAATTTGAATGGATGTCTCAGAGTACGAGTTGAGGTCCTCATACAGTTGCTCAAGGATAGCGTGCATCGCAGTTGAGCTTTGAGACGAGGACAAAAAGGTAGATTCCTCCTGTATGGTGTTGAAACACAGATCAATGAGATGTAGTATCTGCTCCGAACCTCACATGTAGTTAGGACCCGGCTGACTTTGCGGACGATTGGCTCGTAGCAGCTTAGATCCGCAGTCCGCTCAAAAACAAAGCAGACGTTGTATCTGAAATAATTGCGCTCATAGTTTCCGAGTAGCGCAACAGGAAAGCCGATTATGCGATAATTGCCGGTAGCACAGATAACGAGCCTGCCACAGAGAGCGCTGGGGGGGATTACATATTTAGATATGTCGTCGAAGTGAAAGAGCACCCTATTGTTACGGGAAGGGGAGAGAGAAGGCCGGCCAGTCCTGGACTGGGCAGGAGGTGCAACAAATGATGGGCCGAATATGTAGGAGTCATCGGTGTCGGGAGTGTGGACGGCTGAGGAGAGCTCGGAATGAGCTGGACCTTGACTGGTAGAAATAAGAGCCTCCGGGACCTGGTAAACAACCTTTGGGCCTTGCTTGACATCGAAGATAGCGTAGAACACAGATTGTATCCGGGGGAGAAATGTGTCTCCTTCCGAAGGCATCGCGAGGCGAGTCCTACAGAAGTGGTTGTAAGTAGCCGAGAGGGGACTTAGTCCGGTGTTTTTAACCTAATACGTTCCATAAAGAGCAAGACCTCCGCAGACCTCCCCAAAGAAGTCGGAAGCAGTACTTCCCCGAACAAATATACCACCCAGAGCTGGCATGGCATCTTCTGTCCCTGCCGGTTTTCATGCCCTTCCGTTACCCATCGTTGAGCTTTCTCTAGCTGCTGTCTTGTCATGTGGGCAATCTTTTCGCTGGACGAGTCATCCTTTACCAACGACTTCCTACCAATCTTCTACTCACGAATACCGATTGTGTCTGAGCGATCGTGTTGTATGCCTAAGGCAATCCCCAGAGTTCCTTTTCTACAGGACAGCACTTCCTTCTGGATCGGTGAATCTGCATGAGAAGGAAGCAGAAACGCTAGTGTGGATCAGAGACTATTTTCAACTAGACATCAAGCTAGAGACTCTCTACAACCACTGGAGCGAACGTGATATCATATTCAGCGAGCTAAGATCACGCTTTGCGGGCATACGCATGCTGAGGCAGGATCCTTGGGAGAACCTGGTTTCGTGCGTGAGTGGGATACTGCATGATTTGGTTGTTCTGACCGACCATGGTTCTGACAGTTTTATATGCTCGTCTAACAACAACATTTCTCGCATAACGAAGATGGTCCACTCCCTGTGCAAGAAATACTCTTCTCCTCTCCTCTCTTTGCCTTCACCGGATCCATCATCTGAAAGCGCTTCGACCGCGGACACGTACCATCCATTTCCTCCTCCTTCTGCCCTCGCCGCCCCTCAAGCCTCTGCCACTCTTCGATCGATGGGATTCGGTTACCGTGCCGACTTTATCCAGAAAACGGCCAAGTTACTTGTAGATGCTCATGGAATAGCTTGTGAAAACCATGACATGGAGCCCTCGCATAGGTGGTTACTGTCACTTCGTAGCATATCTACAGCCGAAGCGAGAGTTGAACTCCTCAAGCTCATGGGCGTTGGCCGCAAGGTTGCTGACTGTGTTTTACTCATGAGCTTGGATAAGGTCTGGATCTGTAAGCTAGATATGTGGTCATTCAACGGAGCTGATCAGCCATGCATTTAGAGAGAGGTGGTTCCTGTTGATACCCACGTTCACCAGATAGCTATCAAGCACTACGGACTACGCGTCAGCGGTAAAGCGGGTGCAAAGGCTACACTAACACCGAAGCTCTATGAAGATGTGAACACGAAATTCGTTAACATATGGGGCGAATATGCCGGTTGGGCGCACTCTGTACGTTTCACTGGTCGCAGGCAGACATTTTCTGACGTCTCGCAAGGTTCTATTCACTGCAGATTTGAAATCATTTGCTTCGTATGGCCTAATGCCAACGGAAACTGCCCATGACGAGGCAAGTAAGCTTTCAAAAGCTCTTAGTCAGTATCCAGACGCATCGCCGAAGAAGAACAAGAGAAAAGCATTTGTGGCTTCAAGCGAGCACAAAGAGGAATCTTGTCCAACGACAAGCGAATTGCTAGTTTTGCCTATTACAATCGCAGACCGTGTTAAGCGGAGGCGTACTAAGCATCAAAATACTTGACTAAACTATTGTTCTCGCTGCTTTCGTCCTACCTAGTGTACCTTGAATCTTTTAGAATAATCTCATGTGAGCGAAACAGGAGCGGACGACGTTATGTCAAACAGTTGTCTTGAGTCACTCATCGCTTTCATCGCCTGCCAGAGTAGCAGGTGGTATGCAATGTATTAATGTGTAATGGCAACTCAAATACGTAGGTCGCGTTTCGATAAGCGCCCGTGTACGCAGGCGGCGCCCCAGTTGACAGTGCTACTATATCTTATCATATCTCCGTCCCCCATACCAAGATGTCTTCCTCATCGCAGAAACCACGCATACAAGATATTATTGACGTTGCCGAGAGTTCGGACGCAGAGCACCCATCTTCAGGCTCAGAGTCTGGCGATCCTGATCAGACAAGTCAGCCAACGGAACAAGATGCAACGGGGTCATCCTCGAAGAAGAAGAAGAAAAAGAAGAAATCCAAAGCTGCAAAGGCGCTGAATGCGCTCAAAGGCAAGAAGGAACTTCCTCAGGAACTTGTCGATCGCGTCCTTGAAGGGGTCACTGCCGAGCATGGGGAGAACTCTCCAGCCGCAAACGAAGAGGCCGTCAGGCAGGCACTTGAGCAATTGAAGGTCATGGATATGCTCAAGGGCAAGGCTGGACTTGGAGGGCGAGGAAAGAAGGCCATGGGCGAACATAAGGTATGCTGCTTTCTTCAATTCCTTGGGTTTGACACACTCCAACCGGGGGGCTAGTTCTGGGCTACCCAACCTGTTCCTCAGCTCGGTACGTCCACTACATCACCGAATTGGCTGAAGGCGAATAACTGTTGGTGTACATTAAGGCGAAGGTGCGCCCGAGGAGGATGGCTGCATCGAACCATCTAGGCCTCGCGAAGAAGTTCGTCAGGACCCCTATCCTATTCCTAAAGAATTCGAGTGGTCAGTTTTAGATATCAATGATCCGAAGGAGGTTTGTCAGTCAACTTGGAGGCCATCGCATATGCTCATTAATCTGTAGATCAAAGAAGTTTACGACCTTTTGTCTCTGAATTATGTCGAGGACGACGATGCATCCTTCCGGTTCCAATATAGTGCAGAATTTCTAGAATGGTAGGTCCTACGGTCCGGAAGTGACAGTCAGTTGCTCATGTACACTAAGGGCACTCAAGCCGCCAGGTTATCACAAAGAGTGGCATATTGGTGTTCGTGTTGCCTCGAACAAAAAACTTGTTGCGTTCATCTCAGGGGTGCCTATAACTTTACGTATCCGTGGAAAGTAAGTCCAGCAGATGAGTGAACCTCATACGTCTAACGATCGCCAGTATCGTCAAGGCGAGCGAGATCAACTACCTCTGCATACACAAAAAGCTCCGCGCAAAGCGCCTGGCACCAGTCTTGATCAAAGAGATAACCCGACAATGTCACCTCTTGGGCGTTTTTCAAGCTATTTACACTGCAGGCGCCATCCTACCAACCCCAGTATCGACTTGTCGGTTAGTACCGTTGAATTCTCCTATAAGCCTTGCTAGAACTCATGCAACCATTTCCCTGCAGTTACTATCACCGACTGCTCAATGTCTCTAAGCTCGTTGATGTCAAATTTACCTATGTTCCTAGGAACATGACATTGGCGAGGATGATTCGACTTTATAAGATAGGGCTGTCCCCATCTATCCCCGGTCTACGGGAGATGGAAGAAAAGGACGTCGCCCAAGTGGCAGATTTATTCACTCGCTATATGGAAAGGTTTCCCATGGTCCCAGAGATGACGATAGAGGAAGCTCGCCATCAGTTCCTGAGTGGGCGAGGCGACACGAGCCCGTCCTCGGCAACTTTCCGACGGCCTCGCCAAGTTGTTTGGACTTATGTTGTAGAGGTGAGGGCTCGTCCTACATTCATTTGGGTACTCATCAACTCTGGCTCTAGGATCCCGAGACCCACAAAATAACGGACTTTTTCTCATTTTATTCCCTTCCTTCCACCATCATCGGCAATACCAAGCACAATTTACTTGAAGCTGCATATCTATTCTACTATGCTTCTGATGTTGCCTTTGGCTCCGGAGCAGATGACGATGTCCTCAAGAAGCGTTTGGAAAAGCTGGTTGGCGACGCATTGATCATAGCAAATGAGGCAAAATTCGATGTGTTCAATGCCTTAACATTGATGGACAACGTGAATTTCTTAGAGGATCTCAAGGTATGTTACTTAGCCGCAACAAGCTTGATTATTGACTAATAAAATATCTGGTAAAGTTCGGTGCAGGAGATGGGCTCCTGAACTTCTACCTGTACAACTGGAGGACTGCACCACTCGCTGGCGTCACCGCAATTGATGGGGTCTCTGCTGGTAAAGGCGTTGGTGTTGTTATGTTGTAATATGAATGTGTGGGTGAGTGGGTGAACCGTATGCTCTAGAAGCTGTAAGTACATAGCGGACTATATTGGTACACAACTATGAAACTGAGGTAGCCTCCCTGAGGTCACAGCGTACAAGGTCTAATCGCTATCAATATCAATAATCTCATCATCGTCGACTCCCCAGTCCGGAGTGGGACTCCGACGAGCCTGTGACTTTGGTGTCTGCCTTGCACCTGTTCCTCCAGCGCCTAGCTCACGACCTCGAAAACTTGGAGGAACATGGGACAACTCTGGCTGCGTGCGAAGCGTTTGTCCTTGGCCCGACCATGAGGCTGATGGCTGCTCGGTGGCCTTTTGCTTCCCCTTTGAGTTTTCTGGAGGAATGCTTCGGCCATTAAGCGTATTACCCGACCCAGCAAAAGATGTCTGCAGTGAACTCGAGTTAGATGTTTCGCATTGACCACGGTCTAGACTCACAGCAACCCCTGGCGACGTAGGCGGCGACCCAGGCGGCTTGACTTCAGGTGCTTTGTATTCCACAACGTTAAATCCAAAGAATAGCTTCCCAAAAGGGAGATTCAAAGGTGCCGGAACTTTGCCCTCCGTGTCCATGGAATCAGTGGTGACAACCTTGTGCTTGCTGCCTAAGGGTAAGCCATATGACGAACTTGAGGTAACGATGAACTTACTCAGTCCGAGAAATTTTGCTGCCTTCGGGCACTTGCTCAACCGTCCGATGGCTGATACCTTTGCCTTTGGTTTTCCTGCCAGTAAGAGTTTCGCCTTTACCCTTGAAGCTTTCCCAATGGTCACCGCCTTTGCTGACTGCAGTTGTTTTTCCTGCGGTAAACCCGCCACCTAATGACGATGACGGTCTAGAAGAACCTGGTGTGGAGGAATTGAGATCGATGTTTAGCTTGGAAGCCATGGTTGAAGGGGGCGCCGCCTTTGGCCGCTCAGGTTCGACATATCCTTTCGGTGTCGCGAAATCGACCTCTAAGTCAGTGTCTAGGACGCTAATGCCTCCACCACCAGGGTTCGTTTCCATCACCAGCAATCCAAAGACCATAGAGTTGTAAGATATTTCAACGATGTCACCCTGGGTTAATGCGGAGAAGTTGCGAAGCGCCTGTTCGAGTCTGGAAATTGCGTAAATCACGCTCATGGAACACTATATAGGGCACGTACACCGCCTTGGGGTCTGAAACCTCTACAAACTGCGGCTCCTGTGCTTGCAGCTTGATGAACTTTCCTTTCTGAAGTTCTGTGCCTGTGATGCGAACAGGGTCTCCTTCATTCAGTCGTAGTGTTTTCATCATCCAGTACGGAAGATGGACGACACCCTCCTCGGCGATGAATTCGAGAACACCTGCGTGGGTGGATGCCGCAGGATTCGAAGGGTTGCGCAACTGGAACATCCAAGGCGACTCAAGATCAAGGTTTGTGAGGTTGGCGAGGGCAGAAGGTGGCATGATGACTTTCATGATATATGAGCTCGACAAACGTGCGCATTATGGCACGAGGCTACGCACTTTTGCCTCCATAAGACACATTCTCTCGCTCGCGACCTGGTAGCATTGCTACACTGTACGCTTTGAGGTACTCGTCGTATGAGCGAGGAGGAGGTCTGCCTATGCGATGCGCTGCCCCGCCACCGAGTCCTCTGGTAATCTGTCTTAAACATCTCTCCCCTTAGATGTCAAACCAGAGTGCTTACTGGGCTAGCTGAGCGAACAGTCCTCCAGGGCCGCCACCCATATCATTTGCGTTTCCAAACTGACAGAACTGTGAGTGGATCCGTCAGGGAGACTAGAGTCCTTTTACTCACGAAATCCATAGCTCGGTGTGTGGAACAAGGGCAAGCGCAATGATTCGGTGACGTACGCAAGTAGCAGCCAGCGCCTGCTTGTTTAGGAACCCTAGCTACGAATCGCGCTTTTGCCAATAATCAATATTATATTATGCGTGTGTAGACATAATAAATTTGGACAGACGCGCGCGTGCTGCGACGACCATATCCGAGTTGCTCGAGACACGCATCACATACCTCTGACGGTCATCGCGAACAGTCATGACAGCAAAGGCTCCTGCATCAGCCATCCAGGCTTCAAAATCAGGCGCAAATGCCTCTTTCAATGATAAGGCACGTCTCTCGGGCTCGGACGGCTATCTACACCATCTGATCATGTATGCAGGGAAAGCCCATGGAATTGCGTATGTCTAACATGGTAGCAGCAAAGGGTGTGTTGAACAGGCAAGAACAAATATAACGTCTTTCTGATTCGTGCGATATAGCTATTAGCGATGCCGTTCGTACGTCACTGGGCCCAAGGGGCATGGATAAGATGGTTTGTCTTGTCGTGAAAACTCAAATGTCAGGCGATGTCTACTCATTACATACAGATCAGTACCTCCAAAGGAGAAGTGATCATTACGAATGATGGTGCCACTATTCTTCGAAGTATACAAGCTCTGCATCCGGCTGCTAAGATGGTGAGTGCTCCCTGGTCACAGACAGCTACTTTGCTGATCACTGCCTAGCTCGTGGATCTATCTGCTGCTCAAGACGTAGAGGCTGGTGATGGAACAACTTCAGTAGTTGTCCTTGCCGGAAGCTTTCTCGGAGCTGCCGAGAAACTACTTCAGAAAGGCTTGCATCCGACCATCATCGCCGAAGCGTTCCTCCGAGCATCAGTCAAGGCTGTGGAGTACCTGACTGAGATCTCTCGACCCGTTGATCTCAATGACAAGACAAGTTTACTACGTGCTGCGAGCACATCGCTCAATTCTAAGGTGGTTCTCCTGTAGGGATCCTCTCATTACATGACTGACGGTCAGTCAGATCGTGTCACCGTACGGATCGACGCTAGCCAAGATCGCTGTGGACGCTGTCACAAGACTAGTAACCCCGCAATCATCCTCTGTGGATCTTCGGGACATCCGCATTGTCCGAAAAGTTGGCGGGACGATCGAAGACACCGAGCTGGTCGACGGCGTCGTGCTCAATCAAAACGTCATCGTATCTGCAGGAGGACCCACGCGAATTGAAAAAGCTAAGATTGCCATCATTCAGTTCCAACTTAGCGCACCCAAACCCGACGTGCGTTTCTTAACAGCTCATCATGCCTTACCTAAACTCTGCGCAGATGGATAACACCGTAGTCATCAACGATTACCGGCAAATGGATAAGGTAATCAAGGAAGGCCGGCAATATCTCCTCAATATCTGCAAAAAGATCAAAAAGGCCAACTGCAACGTCCTTTTGATACAAAAATCCATATTGCGCGACGCAGTCGACGATACTTCTCTCAGCTTTTTGAAACGTTTGAACATCATGGCAATCAAGGATGTCGAGCGTGACGAAATTGATTTCCTTTCAAAGAGCATTGGCTGTAAACCCGTCGCTGATATCGAAGCATTCACGGAGGACAAGCTAGGCTATGCGGACTTGGTGGAAGAGACCTCTCAGTCGGGCGTCAAGGTCGTCAAAATAACAGGGGTCAAGAACAGGGGCCGTACGGTCAGCATTCTGGCGATGGGTGCCAACAGCATGGTGGTTGAGGAGTGTGAACGTAGCCTACACGATGCCCTTTGTGTCGTGCGGTGTCTGGTCAAAAAACGGTTCGTGCACAAGACGGTCTTTGACCAAGTCGCTGATCTCGTTCTCTACAGTGCTCTCATCGGAGGCGGCGGTGCTCCAGAAATCCACGTGTCTCGTTTACTTTCACAACATGCCCAATCGCTCAAGGGGATGGAGGCCTATTGCTTCCAGGCGTATGCCGATGCTCTTGAGGTCATTCCTACAACGTTGGCGGAGAATGCTGGTCTAAATCCCATCTCCATCGTCACGGAATTGCGAAACCGCCATGCGCTGGGGGATCGCAATGCCGGTATCAATGTACGAACGGTAAGGATTTCCCTCTTCGTTGACCATGAGCGTGTACTCATCATACACTCACAGGGTCTCATCTCAAATATATTGGAAGAAGATGTGGTCCAGCCGTTGTTGGTATCGACGAGCGCAATAGAGCTTTCCACCGAGACTGTATGCTTATTGCTGAAGATCGACGACTACGTACAAGCCCGCTAATCCTTTCGGTGTGATTCATTGCACATACAAACCAAGATATTGGGCGTTTTAAGCTCCATCGCTCTGGTACACTTTGGATTTGGGCGCAATATGATGAGATGAATCAGCATTCAGGCGACATTCTCCCTGTGTTATCTTAGAATGTCCTTACCAATAGTTTGAGGATCACAATTCTCAGATTCAACAACGGCGACTTGCTTCCAAGTACAATCAATTGTAGTATCAGAAATGAGCGCTGGTAATGTTGAGGTAAACGTTAAGTACGGTGGCTGTGTAAGACACAGCCCCAGTAAAGATCTGACTGTTCAACGTTCATCTAGCGGCTATCTTTGGCAACTTCACGTCTACTACCACTTGTGGGCCCAACCAGTCCTCCAGTCTAATAGGACATTACCTCTACGATGTCCGGTACTGGTCCTCGCGAAAATGTCTTCGCTACGCGCATGGCGTTGACCAACATGAAACTTCGCTTGAAAGGAGCAGAGACAGGCCACTCCCTCCTTGCTAAGAAGCGCGACGCGCTCACAACGAGGTTTAGGGCGATTCTGAAGAAAGTGGACGAGGTATGGTTGTTACTCAGGTCTAACTCAGATATTTATATATTGGGAATGATCAGGCTAAGCGGAAGATGGGTCGGGTGATGCAACTCGCTTCATTCTCAATGGCGGAAGTTACCTATGCCACGGGAGACATATCCTACCTCGTGCAGGAGCAAGCAAAGCTGGCCACGTTTCGTGTCAAAGCTAAGCAGGAGAATGTATCTGGGGTCCTCCTTCCTGCATTTGAGGTCGATCGGGTTTCTGGCTCAGGTGCGTCAACCGTGCCTACATTGAGGTGGATGCTCCATCTAGGCTTCTGCACAGATTTCAATTTGACGGGTCTCGGTCGTGGCGGACAACAAGTATTACGGGCGAGGGAAGTATATGCAAAAGCTATTGAGACTCTCGTCGAGCTTGCATCCCTTCAAACCGCTTTTACCATCCTTGACGAAGTTATAAGAGCCACGAACCGCCGCGTCAATGCCATTGAACATGTCATTATTCCGAAACTCGACAACACAATCAAGTATATCCTCAGCGAACTAGATGAGATGGACAGAGAGGAGTTCTTCAGGCAAGTGGGATATGATATGGGTGCTCATCCCTGGCCATTTGATCACACTTTTACAGGCTGAAGAAGGTGCAAGGCAAGAAGAAGCGAGATGCAGGCGCTGCAGAACAAAGTCGACAAGAGACGGAACAGCCAGTCGAAGATGTAGAGGGTGTCGGCGACTTGCTCAGCAGTAAAGACGACGATGTCATTTTCTGATAGGTCAATTGGGGGTCGCCATGCTTAAATACGTTTGATCGGGAGCTTGTCCTTCCTTACTATAGCCTCAACGATCATTTTCAATGCCACCGTCATGTTGGTAGGTGGAAATCATGGTGCATATCATGACGTAACGAGTGCATGTACATACGCAGGTTTTGGCCCCGTGTTCTCGAAAGAACAGATAAACGAAGAGCGTCAGAAGGCTATTACTATAAAAACAAGATAACCGTTTAGATGCGAGGAATCGAAGAGATTTGGCACAACTCACGTCAACCATCTCAACATCCTGCCCCACCGCCTTCTTTCTGTCCTTCCGGTCAAGGATTGCACGTCTGCCATACATTGTATTTAATCAATGCACTCTTAAAATGTGCGTGAAAGAGCGCACCTGTCCTTGTCCAGCTTAATGGTGGTGATGACCACCTTGCTAGGGTGTACGCCGATGGGTACCGATGCGCCGTTTGACTTGTCGCGTTGCACGCGGTCAACGTGAATAACCCACTTCTTACGGTACACCTGCGTCACTTTCCCTTCCCGACCCTTGTATTTTCCCCGAACGATTCGGACCTCATCATCCTTGCGAATAGGTAACGAACGGGTCTGACAACGGAAAGTGGTGAGGTAGTGGTAGATGTCTCGCTTGTCCGTATCACCTTACATTGTATTTGCCTCGGAGCTCCTTTGTCAGGGGTGACGACATGATTTTGCGGCGGACCGAGGAGGGGGCACCGAAGTGGGCCTTGCGGGCCTTGCGACGCGATGAGGAAACATCTACATCGGAGAGTTGGGTATTAGCATAATGTCACAGACCAGAGGCATCTGCCATGATCCGCTCGAATCCAGCCAGAGGAGTACGATTCTGAGATAGATAGATCTCCAGACTTGATAGGACCACAGTAAAGCATGGATGGAGCGTATACTGACCTTGATTGTACTTCATTTTAGTCTTGAGGGCGTCGGGGACGGCGTTGACGGGCTTCAGTGTCGCTACGCTGGAGTGGGTTATTTGGTCGAAGTTTGAGCTTCGGCTTCGACCGATCTTGATCACGTGATCACGTACCTTGCCTTGACTTTGCCTGCTCACTTACGATCGACAATACTCAAACAATACTTGCATGTCTCTTCCTTCTGAAAAAGTTCGCTCCACAAAGCTCAAATTCAAAGGGGAAAAGTCAAAAAAGAAACGCAAACGCGATTCAGATGCGCCATCAGCGAGCTTCAAGGGCCAGGACGAGGAAGAGGACCCTGATACATGGGTACTACCCGAGGGCGACCTTGAAATACGCGGTCCTACATTCATTATGCATCCCTCTGACCCGACACCAGTTTCCGTTAACTTTGACTCTACGCGAAACCGTATAATTCTTCACTCTCTAGACAGGGACTCTACGTCATCCCAGGAGCTACCGTTACTCCAGCGCACCCCCACCGAGGTTGCTCAAGTTTGGGTCACCACACGCGTCGCCGGCTCGTCCACGATTAACCTTCGTACAGGTACCGGCGAGGGCAAATTTCTATCTTGCGATAAACATGGAATCGTCTCTGCGGACAGAGAAGCACGGGGACCTGAAGAAGAATGGACTCCTGTTTTCATGCCAGGCGGGATGGTGGCATTCATGAACGTGTACGAGAAATACATCAGTATAGACGAGGTGGCCGGCGGAACAATGACCCTTCGCGGAGACAGTGAAGAAGTAGGGTTCAAGGAACGGTTCTGGGTGAAGATACAGAGCAAGTACAAGAAAGAGGCTCATGAAGAGAGGAAGAAGAGAGAAGGCGCAACGAAATCGCCGACCATAGACGAAGCTGGAACCAAGTAAGTCCACATGCACGAATCGTTGCATCTCATGTCAAATTGATTCATGTTTCAGCCGCACGTATCAAGCCTGGGGTGCGGGACGATCGATAGTGTCCCATGATGACACAAGAGATGTCCGTACTCCTCAAATCTCCTTCTACTCTTCTCGCTGAACCCAAGTTCATGACAGCTTAAAAAAGCAAGGAAAGAAGGAAGATTGTCAGAAGCACTGCTGGATCGCCGAGCCAAGTTAAAAAGGTGTGCGCTAGACTGCAAACATGGATTAGCTCTCGATTAACACTCCACCCCAGTGATCGTTTCTGCTAGTTTACTGTCTTGGTACCGATGAGCTCTCTTTTATCTACTACTCTCCTCGAGATTGATCGTAAGGTATCTTCTACAAATTCTTCGAACAGGCAACAAGAATATGTTCAATCGAATCAAGTGTAGGGTAGGACAAATTTCCGAGGACATGTCTGTATTCTACCTACGGAGGAGGAACGCCGGTAAAGGCCACCTATGCATGCGTCTTAGCACCATTTAAAGGTGTATCATGCCCCCAATACGTTGCAGACTTGTGAGTCGATGAAAGCTAAATACACGCAGCCGTTTCACTCTGTCAACACCCTGACTGATTTGTACATTCGTATGTACTGTAACTATTCTAACTTTGATGTGCCTTCCTTCATCCCTGAAAACCTTCTGCGAGACCACAACGCTGTTAGAATCTTAGCGAGCTTGATTTTTCATGATCAAGTTTCTACTTCTCTGTGATGCTTAAAAAGAGGACTGGATGATTCATGCATATATCAGCTGGATCCATATGCATCTTGGACGTCGGAAATATTGATACATTAATGGCAAGCTGTATGTACATGCACATCTCTAAGATCTGTATAGTTAGACACTTGAAAGCGGCTGCGTTAACTTATAATTAGCGTGAGTTAATACGTCCACTTGAGTGCCTGGTGATATATATAGGTCTGACGTCTGACCAGTACCACCACCTTCCTGCAGAGCATCCAATTGACCCATCACAGCTCTGAGAACGGTATGCTCAAAGGTTCAACACTGCAAGGATGTATTGAATCAGTTCCCTCGGCATATCCGCTCACCCTGAAAACCATTATGGTTGCGGTTCTAGCATTACTCCTGGCTTTAGTGGCTTGTGCGTTTATCTGCTAGTCTGTTCTTTCAGTCAGCTCAACGTTTTTAGTGTATGTCATCAGCCGCAAAGCACTCACCACTCGGGGTAACATTTACCTTCTCGTTGGCCTCCCGGATGGCGGTAAAACCACCATATTTTCGGCTGTAAGTCTACTTTGACGAGTTCGCATAGCATAACCAAAATGACAAGCGCTGAAACTAGCTGACGTTCAACCAAGCCCTCCCGTCGCACATGTCATTGCAAGCAAACTCTTCGAACGTGACTGCGTCCTCCGGGAAGACTGTGCGTGTAGTCGATATTCCAGGGCATCCACGCATCAGAGACCAGTTTCGTGAGCACTTGCAAGATCTTCGTGGCATTATGTTCGTCGTGGACTCGAATTCCGTTTCGCGCAATGGCGCTGCAGTAGCAGAGTGGGTACCATATTCTAGTTGTAGCCAAAAACACACTAACATTTTTACGCAGACATTTACATCTCATTTTGGATGCAGTTACTTCTATCCCTCCCTCCCAAACGCCGCCACATGTGCTCATTGTAGCTCATAAAGCTGACATGCTCAAGGCTGCTACATCTTCAACTGCTTCTGAGACCGCTGTCACCCGTGTGCGGGGTGCCCTAGAGCGAGAACTGGAGAAGCGTAGGGTGACACAAGCGCAAGGTGTTGGGATGGATGGTTTGGGGGAGGAAGGCGACCGAGTGGAGATGGGCGGTCTTGAGACGGTGTCTGGCAAAGGGCCTTTCAAGTTTACCGAATGGGAAGGAGGAGATATTACTTTTGTGGGGAGCTTCGTCCGAGCCGGGGAGAAGGACGATGAGAAGCAGCAGAACGGGATAAGCGCTCTTCAAGACTGGATCGCAGAGTCATCATAACGTTTGGTTTCCAACTGTCAACATGACAATTTCCATAATTGCGATTTCGTCTTCCACATCATAATAAACACACATGCACTGAGGGCATTAGTCGATGTTTCCAGGGAAAACATAGGCAACCCTCAAAACATTTTGAATGTTTTCTACCAAAACATGGGCAATTGCCCCCAGTGATGCCGGATTGATCGAAGACAACGTCAGACACACAGGAGCAAACAAAGGCACTATAAATTCGCTGGTGTTCTCAGAGATGATCTTCATGCGCAACCTTTTAGACAGTGCCCATTCCGCCATTGTACGCTAGGGGGGATGTTGGCGATTCGGTGCATGCGCAGAGTAAACTAGGGAAGCATAAGAGCTTAGCCACCCGCCTCGTAGGCCTAATGGTAGTCTAAGCGTCAGAGTCTCCATACATAATGCAGTCTTATACTCCTTTTTTTGCTATGATTTTCGAAGAGAACTTGAAACAAGCGTACTAAGCACTGAGTACAAGTTTGCATGACTCAGCATCATGGAAAATCAAGTTGGATGGGCATGATCTACAGGCTTACTGCGCGTCAGACGCTTAGACCAGTACTTGAATGGCCTGATGGGAACACAAACATGCAAGAGTCAGATCTAGAAGCCACAATTCAACGTACGTATATATGCGCTATTGGACTGATGCATATGATTCTTCAATTGCAAGCCTATATAATATATTCTTGCCGCCTTCGGAGGGTAGTCTCCCGTAGGCAGAACTTTATAGTTTACGGAAGATAGTCGTTCCTCACTATTCGGGGGGCACGGTTGGCACACATTTGTGACATTGTCACTTACACGGGTCACGTCACAGAACACGCCAAGTGGGTTCTCAGCGTCACCGCGACTCTTGTACATCCACGACAGTCATTATGTTCATCATCAATTGGTTCTGGGACGTTCTCGCGCAGCTAGGTAAGTACTCTATTCGCACTTGAGTGGTCTCTAAACATCATGCTTGTATAGGTCTATTGCACAAGAATGCGAAGATTCTGTTCTTGGGTTTGGACAACGCTGGCAAGACCGTAAGTTATTGGATGCTTGTATCATAGTTGTAACAACAGGCTCAATAGACTCCCAGACCCTCTTGCACATGCTGAAAAATGACAGGCTTGCCACTCTTCAGCCTACGCTCCACCCCAGTATGTCGCCCTACTAGAGCTCAGTTTACACGCAAATTCATGTTCATCTAGCGTCGGAGGAGCTTGCTATCGGTAACGTGAAGTTTACAACCTATGACCTTGGTGGACATCAGCAGGGTACGACTCGTTGTCAGTTTCTCAGCCTGTCACCAATACGGTTATGTAGCTCGACGTCTCTGGCGCGATTATTTCCCCGAAGTGGATGGCATTGTTTTCCTCGTGGACTCGGCCGACTTTGAGCGCTTTGCAGAATCCAAGGCAGAGCTGGACGCCTTGCTTTCCATTGAGGAGCTGTCCAAGGTGCCTTTCCTTGTCCTAGGCAACAAGATAGACGCACCGGGAGCCGTAAGCGAGGAGGAACTCAGACACCAGCTTGGACTGTACCAGACGACTGGCAAGGTTTGCACCATGGTCGTTGTCCATCCAGAACTCCCAACTTATTTGTTTCTAGGGCAAGGCCCCCCTGAATGACATTCGTCCCATTGAGATTTTCATGTGCTCCGTCGTGCAGCGACAAGGTTATGGTGAAGGTAACGTGTGTTAGTTTCTTTGTACTGACAGTGCACTTACATTATGGATTCAGGTTTCCGCTGGATTTCTCAATACGTAAGTCCTGTGCTCCATTTACCTGGTACAAATACTAACGTACATGCAGATTTGATGCGCTTTGGACCGGAGGTTGTTTTTTACGGTGTGCACGTGGACCATGCAGTCGATGTTTGACTTTCACTTAGTTTTCTTGCAAATGTTATCTTTGCTACAGTGGTCGGCTGCCACAAACAAATATTAGAAGTAGTAAAGAATGTTTAATATCTACGTGGCATTCCCCGTGTACCCTTCGATAAGCACACCCAAAACCCAGGCGTTTCCCAGCAGGTATATTAATCCCCTCGCCCAGAGAGAGCGGAATACGTTCTCGCCAAGGAATTCAAGTTTATAGGCTTCCATAAGCCACAATGCTTGAGTCAGCACCCACACAACTACGCATGCGCCAGCTGCCCTCGACGACAACTTCAAACGGTAAGCAAAGAACGGAATGAAAACGAGGTACCAGAGAAAGTATTGTGACGTGCAGACTCTATTAAATAGAACAAATGCAAAGGTTTGCACAAACCACGCAAAGGGAAGGTCAACCATTTTTTGTCCGAGCACGAAGCCTGAGCCGAGAGCTAACCCAAGTTGTGGTATGAGGCTGAGAGAAGGAGACCATAGAAACGATGATATGGTTGAGTCTATGGGAGACGAATAGGAAAGGTATATCGAGTAAAAGTACGGCGAGAAGTTGTGCCTGTGGTCGAGCCGGTGGAGGTGATATAAGTATGTTTCGTAGAGGAAGGGGTAACCCCAACTGCAATAGCTCGTCAATGCAAGTCACAAAGGATTATTGATATCTTACATGGAATAACACACACCGCACAATGCGAAGAATGTGCCCGCACTAATTGCAGTGAAACGCAACGTCCGGTGGTTGACAAACCGGCGAAGACAACCCTGCGCCGACGGAACCTGGCCCCCTAGAACACCAACGCAGCTAACGCCATAGATTACAGGGTATATCTTCCAATGCGTACTGAGTCCGAGATAAATAGCGGCGGCGTCCCACCGCGATTCCAAGGCGCTGACAAGGGTTAAGAGAACGAAGGTCGTAAGAACGGATTCAGAAGATCCGCGTGTCGATATACTGAAGACCATAGGGTTGAGAAGATGAATGGCAGCAAATAGTATTGCGCGACGTTTAATGTTAGGTTGGTTATCGTCCACTTGGTTGACCTGGTATGTGGAGGTGTCTGGTACTCGCTGGACAAGGGATGACCGTGATGGATGACCAGACGTTGCTCGGTAGATAAGGAAGCCGTTGAGTATATCACAGGCGGCGAAAAGATATTTTCCAAAAGATTTGTGGATAAACTCGTTGGGTGTAGCAAGCAATGCAAGCAAAGGAGTGTATCGATAGGTGTCCCTGTCATAAGGACTTCAAGCATCTATATGAGCAAAACCAGAACAATCGGGTTCTTAAGCAAATACAGTCGCACCTGCCGAAACGAATACCCAGCCAATGGGCTAGCGGGCCTGCGGCAACAGTGCCACCCATTCCGTATACATAACTGGCTGCATCGCTGAAGACTCGATAGTCTACGTCTGTGTACTTGACATCTGAACGGGCGTCATGCCATTCGCTGTACAGGATCAGTGCAACTCGGAGAGCTGCAGAAAAGACCAAAAGCCCAGGAAGGTCCGGGAGCCATCGGTCAAGTCTCGGCATAGAACAGTCAGCAAGTCCCCAGGGGCGAATGAAATATTGTGCAAAGCACGACGATATGGGTGGATGCGACGAAACCAACTTGAAGACGAAACGCCTCTAAAGTTAATACATGAAATGCTTCTATTGCTCGAGTGCTGAGTTTTCCCACGTGGCTCATAAATTCGGCTGTAATACTTCCTCTAGAACCTATGAGCTTGCCTGTGAGACTGGTTGCAAGTTTGTTGGATATCACCTCATGGCGAGATCATGACAAACAGACATCCATAACATTGTACCATCTTACAGCAACTCCTCGAAGCTTTGTTAAAGACATGACTAGTACTACGAGAGGACCAGACTCAGTCTCAACACCGGGTCAGCACAGGCCAGCGCCCTTGTTACGTCAGATATGCGCAACGATCGTAGTTCCCACCCTGATTGGCTCCCCACCAAGGTGGGAATAGATGAGCTGTTCCTGCCGCACCTTGCACAGCGAACGAGAGGATGAACACCATGACTTGAGTTCCACCGTCGAGGGCTGTCAGGTTTAGGTGAGCTTTACTTTGAAAGGTAGACCTAAGGAAACGAACTATGACTTACCGGCGCCAATGAGGTAGTTGTATTTGACGAACCACCTAGGGTACCTGGTGCGAAGGTAACCTTGCGAAACGAAGGCGATAATATAGTACACCATAACAGAAGAATTGATCCCCACACAGAGATAACCAATGTATGTACTAAACATCAAAGCAGCGTAAGCTTGAAAATAATTTCGTTGCATTGAGATGGTAGACATACCAGATGATTGGGGTGTAAAAGAAATCCATCCGAAGTTTAGGCCAGTACTGATGCGCAATCCAGAAGGGAACGGGGGCAAATAGTCCGACAATGTAGGACCATGGCACCCACTGATAGCGCTTGCCTACAGCAAACAATTCCTGGCTAAGCCCTCCCCAGGCAACAGCTTGAGAGTTGTATTGCTGGGGCTGTTGCCCGGACCAGATGTTCGTCCCTTGGACAGACAACAGAATCTCGAACTCGTTGGTGATGATAGAGTTCATGAGGACTAGTCTCTATTCAGATAAGATAAAAGTGTAAGCGATTGAAAACCAACCATAGTTAAGTACAGCCCCCAGTAATGTCCCGATTATTTGTGCGACAAAAGACGCACGAGGAGGGACCTTCGCATCTAATAATGTCAATCAGCTCAAAAGTCCTTTAAGCATACATATGTGAAAGCTTACATTGTCCGATCTTGAGATCACGTAAGAGTAACTGAGCTTGAGAAACGGTGTCTGTTGGCAATGAGAATGCTAGCCTCTCACAAAGCAGTGGCGATTACTGACTGTAGCTGTACAGGACAAAGTACATATTCGCCATGGGCTTTCCGGGGTGCAAGAAACCTCCTATCATTTGTACAAAGGGCTGGATGGAAAGGCCGATACCAGTGATGGCATATAATGCACCGAAGAAGAGGATGGAAAAGACAGCTAAGATCACTGATATCACAAATCCCCACCTGCGTAATAAAACCGTCAGGATCCAGTCCGAAAACAAAAAGGGGGAACAAAAAAGAAAGAAACGCAAAGCTCTCACCATGGAAGGGTCGAGTCGCTTTTGTATATCACTACGAGAGCTATGATAAAAGATATAAGGAACGTCAAATAGTACCAGCTGTCGGGCGCATCGGGATACTAAAAGGACACATCAGCCGAGTTTCAGACATATCTTGTGGTTCTCGCTTGGACCATACCTTGAGCATTTCAACATAATGGGGGTCTAAGTCCTGAGTGTTCTTCTGATCTCGCATCCCGTCATTCCTCCAGAATTTCCAGTCAAAGTTGGCCCATCGCTCTTGAACTCCTTTGACACTCATCCAACTCCAAGCAGAGCGAAGATCGTCACGATTCCAGAGTATCAAATGTGTGATTGTCGCCGCAAGACCCAGGTTAGTCACTAAAAGCTCTATGACCCAAGTCGATGCATAGTATGGCAGGCCCTGCTCAGCCAACAGTGTTGGGTCGACTTCGTAGTTGGCATTGAGAATCAATGACTGGTTATATATAGTACCATTCTCATAAAACAGCAATTGCGAAAGCTAGAATAGAGAGTGAGGGGTGTTGACTTTGAAGCGATGTAGCACGTACAAATGGGAAGTTCTGAGCCTGCCACACATTCCCGTAGAAGATGCCAATAAATACGACCCTAAAGTGGTGTTAAATCACGAAATGAGACGCTGGTGGAAACATACATGCAAAGGACATAACCGATACATCCAGAGACCTAAATGGCTTTGGTTAGAAAATGTTTATGGTTACAGGAAATGGGTCAACATACCTGGGCATTGAGCGGGATAGACATGGGATTGACACCTCCGGATATATACTAAGGGTGCCCTAAGCCAACCGTAGGTTACCTAAAGAAAAGCTGCTTACCTGCCAATCAAAGCATATTGATAGTAGTCCTAAACCCTCATTGCCATCGCTGCCTCCGAAGACTCGAGAAACAAAAGCGCTATTAGGTGCAGCGAGGCAGACTACTGATAATCCGGTCAACAAAGGGAATATCCACTCGGGTAAGAGCTCCCAGAAGAAGATACTGGATCGAAATCAGCATTCGTACCATTGTTATGCAGCGGGAAATCTCACACAAAGAAGCAAATGTAAAAGACCTTGAGTTTCTTGCGTGCCACCGCGCCGTCAAGATACAGCGCATCAAACATGGAAATCAGCGGCAAAACGGCTGGATACAACATCTTTGATGGATAAAGTAAGGTTGCTAAGTTCAAAGTTAACCTCAAGTCTTTTTTATTATGAAAAGAGTCATACTTCGGAGGATACCACCGATGCCGTACCCTAGCAGCTGGCTTGAGAACAGCAAGAATATTGACGTTCCCGCGTTGGCCTCAATGTTGTAATACAACCTTTGGACAGCAAGCACTTCTGTGGCGAGCGCTGAATTGGCAGCGGCGCTGGCCATAATGATGACAAACGCGTTCTCCTTCTTGTTAAAGGGGCCCTACTTGGATTGTCAATGTCTAACGAGTTCAGAAGGAATTAAGGCTGACAGGGTTCAACCAATGAAAGTAGCCGTGTCGAGGAATGAACGTTTCCATAGCAAAGCCGATAATGTACGAAATGATGGCAAGGAACATCAGCGACACTGAGACCGTTTGCTGAAGCGTTTGATCAGCTCAAGTGCTACTAGACAAGGGTGGGGCATACGGGCTTAAAGTAGTATATCTGAGCTTTTGGGGGAATCAGCAGCCGTTGGTATAAGCAGTAATCATCAATTAGTCTAGCTTACCCAGCGATCCTCCGAAGGCGGATAAGCCAATACCGATGAAGAAGGCCCTGGGTGTCCATGGATTAAGAGACGGGTCGTCTTCAACAGATATGACATGGGTAGCAATGTCTCTCTCGTTTACCAGTACCTTCCCTTCCTCATCCACGTCAGCTATCGGAACAGCGGCTTCAAGCTCGCCCACGATATCGAAAGGCTCGATCTTGGAGACGGAAGCCTTTTCGTCCGTGCTAGGCGCCTTCTCGCTCGAGGGCGAGGGCACGTTGGCAATGTTATGAATGACTTCGTCCGGTGTCGCCATAATGTTGGTGGGGTTGCGGCAGACCAGAGGTGAAAAGTCATCCTAGTTATAAATGATCGCAGCGTCTCTGGCCCGTGGATTCGGACGAGCAGATAAGACACTATTCTCGTGCTCAGCTAAACGAGACGGGAGTTGTGACGCATGACTGGATGACAAGGACGCCGCTGAAATCCCATGGTAGGATGGCTTGTGAAGACATGTGCCGGGGTTTGCACATCGGAGGAACGGTAAGCCAAACATGCCCGGAGGGCGTAGGCCAAGTTTGGTGCATGCCAGCGCCCGACAGCTGCCTTTGTCTATGAGAATACCATCACTTGGATTAAGGCTGTTCGCCTGGCCTGAGACTACTCAAACGCGATGAACTGCAGGATTCTCCGCTTCTGCTCAATACAAGAGCCATCTTTGTACGAAACCTCTGTTCGTATCATGCATCGTAGTTCTCCTGAAAGGGATAAAGATCAGCGTGTAAGAATGACCGGAGTAAGTTAGGCATCAGCACACGACTCAAACCTCAAAAGGAGCTGTCAGAATTAGCAGCACGGTGACATTCTGGTAGGCTCACTCACGAGCCTGCCATCGTCGCATGTGTGCCTGAAGATAAGCTATGGGAGTACTTACTATCCACTAAGCGACTTGTGTCTCAGCAAATAGCGAAATGAGCCGGGCCGCCGAGAAAGAATATCTAGGCCACCACAAGGGTTTGTTTTAGGTGTTTGCGCGGGTGTCTGAGGGGAAAGGATTATCCTCATTATTCGACATTGGACCGAAAGAGCAATCTGAAACCTGTGAGGTAAACCCAAGTGCAAGCAAGCCGACGGCCGGGGCAGAAAGGCATCAGGCGAAGTAAGTAGTAGCCGTAAAAACGAGTTATCAAGTCATCCTGAGCAAGGGTGAGCTCACCAGCTCGGAGCTGGCTATCATGAGAGTTGAAGTGCGGCTTCACATATCGAAGAGAACGTGGAACCAAGCTCTGGTAGACGCCATGCAAGGCTCCAGGAGACCAATTAATTTGAGCTGGGAATTAGTATTCTTGAACATGTTAGTGTAAAATAGATACTTCGCGATCGGATGACCGCATGGACCATACTTGATCAGGAGCTGTTTTTATTCGCGGGCCTATATATATGCAGGACGACCATGCCAATAACCGCAAGGATAGTCACAGAGCATGCATGAGATGGTGGTTTGTCTCAAGTAGTTTTTGTACAGATGATATATTATAACTAAAAAGAGATGTGGACAAGCGAGCAAGCGAACAGCGACGTCGACATCGACATGTATCGTGACATCATGAACGTGTCGAGTCTCGACCACCAGCCTCGTGACTTAGCAGCTACACTTACTCTCAAATGACCATCCCCACTGCTGACGATGGTCGTCTGCTCGTCCAGATAGGCTCATACAACACTAACCTCCAGGGAGGAGCTGGCTTACCTCAGAACCTTGTCGACTGGCTCGCGCCGACGCTACAGGTGTCCAGCTTCCTCGCTCGTGGTACTCATGCTCCCGACATTGTCGCCATCGGCTTTCAGGAGCTCCTGCCCCTTCACCTTGGCCGTAAGCTTCTCTTTCAAGACTACCTTTTCCCGTGCCTACTCGTGGAGGTAGCTAACATGTAACACCAGTGTCGGGGCTCTCTAAATCTATCATCAGCGAGCGAGACAAACACATTCGCTCCCAGATCGAGGCTCATGCGCCAGGCAAGGAGCAGTACTCTCTCGTGGCACGTATTGTCAATGTCGGTGTCGCCCTCCTCGTCTACGCCCGTGATAGCGGGGCTGCTCGCTCCATAACCGACGTTCAGACCCAGTGGACCGGCTGTGGTCCTGGTTTTATGGGCAACAAGGGTGCCGTTGGAATTCGATTTCGCGCCTCAAGGAGTGGCGACGATCCCGGCGAGGTCTTCACGTACGCTCCCAAGCTGCCTCATACTTCCCGGTATCTCTGATCGCACGTGTTCACACATAGGTTTGTTTGTGCCCACCTTAATGCACATGAATACAACCTCGACCGTCGGATAGCGGACTGGAACCACATCGTTGCATCCCTCCTCTTCCCTCCGCTTCCTGGCTCTGCCGAGTCGGCGGGCCCTACGACACTGTATACAACCTCGCATCTCTTCTTCCTCGGCGATCTCAATTTCCGTGTTGTGGTCCCACCGGACCAGCGAGCGCCCGGCGAGTCTCAGCCAGCGTACACACTTCGGATGCTCGATGACGAGCCGGATCGGGAGCGCCTCAAAGAGTACGACCAGCTTCTGAATGCACGGCGCGCAGGCCGTGTTTTCGTCGGCCTTCGTGAGGGCGCATTTTGGACTTTCAAATGCACGTATAAGTACAAGCTCGGTGAAGTGGAAAAATACAGGTGAGCAAATCTGCCCTATGTGAAAATGGGCCCGATAGGAACAAAGGATGTGTATAGCGACAAACGAACTGCATCGTGGACGGACCGTGTACTATATGCGACGTACCTCGACTCACCAGATACGCCCGAGAAATCTGCGATAACCAACGTTCTTTACACCTCTATCCCATCGTATACCACCTCTGATCACGTATGCCCCTTCAACTTTTTTCGGCCTCTCATGGGATGACTGCTGACTTGATTGCCACAGAAGCCCATTGTCTGCCTCCTACTTCTCCCTCCACCTGTCGCCGCCGAATCATCGGCCATTAATGCCACAGTGCCCACCTTGAAGCTACCCACAGAGTATTCGCCATGTCCGGATCCTCACGCCGCCCTCAAGCGGTACACCGGCCGAACGCTAGATCGTATCATTGGTTTCGCCTGGTGGGCACTCACACTCATCGGCGTGGGCAATGCCGCCGTTGGCGTCTTCAACTTTATGCTCGGTCTCGCAGCATGGAAGTGGTGGCCTCGGGCGCCAGTCTCAGCTGTGTCTGCATAGTATCTCCCTAGTGTTCGCTTCCACAATCCTTCCTGTTTGCTTCCTATTTACTTTCTATTTACGTCATTTATTTACCCTTCTCCCATGGAACTGAAGCCAACACCAAGATCTCGAGGTGAAAGTCTGGTCAGGTCGATCTGCATTTCTTGTACATGTGCAAGATGTATCTACAGGCGTGTATTGTTGTATACATTATCCAAAAGATAAGCTATACCATAGAATTGATTGGACAAGTAGGTGATGAATGTAGTGAACTGATCGAGCTTTTCGTCTCGTAAGATGGTACCCTTCTGCATTGCACCCTCTATGCCAACTTACCACGAAGAAGTCCCTGCAACAGCAGTAACGCCTTCCTCAGTGACGACGATCGTCGGCACGTCACCTGTCTCCCCAAGCAGAGGCGCCTCCTCCGCGTCGCGCGACTCGCTCTCGTTTGGTAGGCGCACAAATGCAAGGAAAATCAATGCGCCTACGACAACACCAACAGAAAGGACGAGGATAGTGCGTGGTAAAGTCGCTACCGTCTTTGAGAACACGATACCGTACACCATAGGCCCAAGTATCTGCGCGCTATACGGTCGGAGTCGTACGTCAGCCTCTTCGCCCACGGAATCAGAGAGCACAAGACGCACCCGACGGCCTGGACGACGCTCAGCGCGCCAAACAGTCGGCCCGACTCCGCGCGTCCAGCGGGGTGCTGGCGGGAGTAAACCTCGAGCGCAGCGGCCTGCACAGCTGGCGAAAAACCGGAACCGCATGAGCCAATCAACGTGCCGACGGTGAAGACCGTGGCGTTGCCAGCGAATGCCATGACAGTGAACCCAATAATTTCAATAGCGAGCGAGACACGGCTAAGGGAAAGGTCGAATTGCGCGACATGTGCCTGTGGTTTGGAATTGGAGCTAGGACTGCGTTGGGAAGATTGTGACGGAATGGAGTTTAGTGCGTCCATGGAAGCATTCTCTAGCTGGATCGGAACTGGCTTGGGTTTAAGGAACTTGATCACAACTGCGCACAATTTAGTTCTACCTCGCTTATAATGACAACAATACGACGCGCTCACCAGGGAGGACAGCGGTTAGCAAGGCAGCTCGTACTAAGCCCGTCAATGACACAAAGTAGCTCAGCTAAATACGATATAGTGAACTTCAAATATAGTTATGAACCTCGAGATACGTACAGTCTCAGATGTCCAGCCAAACGTTTTCGATGCGTACTGAAACTTGAACGGCATTGATGCCTTGAATGGTAATAAAGTCAGATGAGTCAATAACGTAGAGCACCTGACTCACAATGATCGATACAGTCAATCCATAGCTAACAGCGAGATAGAGAAGGCTCCAATTACGTTTTGCTCGGCCTTGTTTATCGCTCACTGTTATGGGCCCCAGAACAGCAAGTGGAGTCAAGAACCCCAAGATGCCCGCCAGCACACTCAACAGTCTGACAGAGCGCACTTGAATCTTCGCTGCGGCAGCTTTTTTGAGCGCGGCAGAGCGGTGTGCAGCACGAGCTGCTACCCGTCGGGCGGGTGTGAGCGACTCAGGAACGATGGCATTAATAAAGACGATATAAGCGGCATGAACTGCCGCGGCCAGATAAAACACGGAAAGAGTTTGCCCAGTTGTACTGATAAGGATACCTCCGATAAGTGGACCCAATGCCATGCCTGAGAACATAAGACCAAGATTTAGAGAGAATGCACGCGACCTATAGGCACGGCATGATTGAGCTGCAGACTCTCATTTAGAGGCAATGCAGACAGACCGTGCGCTTGGATCTGTACAATCGGCTATATACCCGTGCAAGGCACCAACGCCGGCGGGTAGTGCTTATGAATGTAGCTCAAGGTAAGCCAGTTGCAAACATTCCAAGATAGTGACAGCGTACCACCCAGAAAGCCTTCCAGGATACTGCCAATGATGAGAAACCAGTAACCTCCAGGAAGATGGTCAGAGAAGAGCGCAGTTATGATGTAAACAATGTCGTTAATTAGGAGGCCAAACATGGACCAGGAGAGGATGGGGGTCCGTCCGATACGATCAGAAAGCTAGCTTGGAATGAGAGGGCGGTGTAGGGGCTGAGGAAGTGGACACACCGAGCCCCACCAAGCACCGGTAATGCAGCTCAAGATACCCATGGTCATTGTGAGCACTAGAGCAAGGTTGAGACCCAATATACAAATGACACAGAGAAACCTTGGTATGAAATTTAAGCACCTGCGGAGAGCTGAGCAACTGCTGCTTGGACAGTCGCATCTTGGGAGCATTGGGCATGCGTAGGGACCTCGCCAAAGAATAGGGACTCGGAGTCGGAAGTATTGCCTGGTGGGTGCGCACGGCAGACAAGGGTGATGTAGAGGTCGACGCGGGGCGCGATAGTCGATGCGAAGCCAATGGACGCGAGAGGCATGCCAATCATCATCCTATGCGGAAGGGAATGTCAGCCTAGGGTCGTGTGGGCGCGAACACGGATGGGCAGACCAAATGATGGAAGGACGCCTCCACCAAGGACGCTTGGCCCACTCTGCGACTTGGCGGAGGTGCTCTGCATCGTCAAGTCCGCTGAGGTCATCGAGGTCCTCGAGAGGCGGTGCAGGGTCCGAAGACGAGTCGGAGGTATGGGGATGTAAGGCGCCATGTATGATCTCAGCGGCCTGCTCGCTGACCTGGCCACCGTCGGCTACGAGACCGTCTATGGGGGGCACGTAGCGTGTGGAGGGCGGGGAGGGCATTGTGGGTGGGGGAGGAAAGGGGCGTGTTTTGTGTGTGCCCGGCCAATATTTAGATGCATCGAATCATGGTTGGAACGAGATCGACGATACCAGTCAGCAATATTCCAAACCCATATCCATATGTGCAGAACAACAACCGAGTTAGTATGCCGAACCCCGACACCCGGGGGATTCTGCTTCCAGGGCATAAGCACGCTGACCACAATGCCTGATCTAAGGAACAGATCTAGAAAGGCCTTGACTAACGTTCTTATCTTATCGCTACTTGTATCCACTCCCGCATCCAAGAGCTAACCATGGTGAGTATAGCCAGTCCCTCTCCACACTCACTAAAGATGCGCGCTCCAGTCCCGTACAGTCGACATACCCGATGCTGTCAAGGCTTCCCTCCGCAAGTTTCGCTTCGCCCGGAGGAACCAGGGCAGCGCTGCCATTGTCATCAAGATTAACAAGACCACTCTTGCAATGGAAGAGGTTGAACAATTCGACAACATCTCCATCGAGGATCTTGCAGAAGGTAACCTCTCCTTCATCATTTTATGGGAACATGTTATACATAGGTGCCTTGTAATCCTCTAGAACTCCCGGAGAATTCTCCTCGCTATGTTGTCCTTTCATACGAATTGAAGCACGACGATGGCCGCACTTCATTCCCCCTCGTTCTGATTAACTGGGCACCTTCATCTTCCGAGATCAGTTTAATGACCTTACACGCAAGTGCATTCCTCGATTTCCAAGCAACAGTCAGTTCATTCCGTTCATTGCCTCACCGCTCCCTGACACGGATCCGTCATCATCCCAGGCCGATGTCAGCAAGGTCATTGAAGTCAGAGATGGTACAGAAGGCCTCACAAAGGACATCATAGATGCCAAACTCCAGGGCAAGTGATTGGCACCCGATGCTGCATCGGGCATGCCACAGCAGGGTACATATATCCGCCTCACGACATCCTCACACCAACATCCAAACGTGTTACACGTTGTAGATCTATCTGTGGACTTGTATTATACTAAATGGCGACAACTTATATGGTAATGAAGTACTCGACCTCGGGAAGCTGCTCGTTGCAAGCAGGACTGTCTATTCCCTTGGAATGAAGGGATTTGTCACACGCCGAGGCGGCGCCTCGACCACAGCTGGCATCGTCTCTGCCATCTCGCGCGTCCCTGCAGGGAACGGCAGATCGCTCACTCCCCGCGGTAGCACCTTCTCGTACTCTCCTCGCGCATGCGCGTGTTTACCGAGCGCGACCTGTTTCTTCTTCGCGTCCCGCACCATCACGTGCGCATCATCCACGCCTGGCACCGCGCCCTTGACGAAAACAAGATCGAGCTCCTTGTCGACGCGGATAACCGCCAGGTTTTGGACAGTTGTGCGCTCGTTACCCAGACGACCTGCCATCTTCTTGCCTGGCCACACACGACCGGGGTCCTGTCCAGATAGCAACACTTAGATGCTAGACAGAGAGGTGGTGTAATGAGATAATAGCGGACCTGGTGTTGACCGGTAGAACCAGCCGAACGATGTGAGACGGAAACACCGTGACTGGCACGGAGACCCTTGAAGTTCCAACGCTTCATTGTACCCTGGAAGCCCTTTCCAATGCTTTGCGCGCCTTTGAGTGAGGGATATTAAGATGGCAGGTAATGACCAGCTTACGAGTTTGCAATGATGTCGACATACTGGCCAGGGACAAAGTGCATTGCTGAGAGGGTTGTTCCTGCGCGTTTTCAGCACCTCAAGTTACAGAACGAAGCGTGTGAGAATGTTTACCGACTGGTACATGCGCGTCGGGCGTGACTGGGAACTCGCGCACGGCGTACTTGCAAGGCACACCCGCAGCAGCAAAGTGACCTTGCATTTGATGCGTCGTCGTTCGGTCGGCACGGTCAGACGCGCCAACTTGCACGGCGTGATACTCGGAGCGGTCGGGACGGACGTGTACGACGTTGCGGGTCACCTGGCAGTTTTCAAGCTAGGATTCGAGCGGGCAAAGATGGGTCAAATGCAAGTCCATAGCAAGTGTCTGAGAATGAGGCGGACCTGGAGAACGGTGACGGGTACGCGAGCACCGTATTCGTCCCATAGGGCGGTCATACCGCGTTTGCGGGCGATGACGCCTGTCCGTATCGAGTTGGGCGTCCATTTTCCAGAAGAGACGGGTACGCCCTCGTCGCGAGAGGCGGGGTCGAATTTGGAGGGGGATGAGGCTTCGGTACGGGCCGCGTTCCTGAGAGAAGAGTGCAAAAAGCGGCGGCAGGCAAAGACGGGGAGGTCTGCGGCTGTGAAACGATGGGGCAGCATCTGTGTTGCGGACAGAGGGGCACCAGGGCACTGGAACAAATGGGCGAGGACTAGTGCCCAGTACTAGGCTAAAAGTATATACTAGGATTGCCTGGAAGACAGCTTCAAGTCGCGACAGAAAAATGTGTCCGCATATGGAAGGCCGCCTACCAAATCCGACAATGACGCGACGGTCCGAAGCCCCTTGGATTTTGGCCAACATCTTGTCCTGGATAGATGGAATGGAACATGCTCACTGGCCCTCGGAGCGTCAATCCGTCCCCATAGCCTCGTCTACAGATGATGTAACTGAGCGCGAGCCCGCCGTTCCTTGGGGAGCACCCGTCCTCGAACATGGCACCTTTGGGGCTGCTACACTTGTCCCATCCGACGGTCGCTTCGTCTGGCGTACCGCGCTCAGTACAACTCAAGGCGAGTGTTTTCTAGTCTGGTAAATCTCTCTTCACGCCCGAAACAGACAAGGTTCTTAGGGTAACATCCACGAACTATGCAACTGTATTTCCCGCCACCCGCTCTCCAGACACTCACCCTCAGACATCGAGACATACCCGTGCTGAGCATGCGGTACGCTCATTCGAACACGGAAACGAGATCATCTCTCATCTCTCCCCCCATGTCAGGCTTACTTTCTTCGCCGCTACCTTCCAGATGTCGATATCCCCGCGGCCCTTCTTCACAAGCAGATGGTAGCAGACGCTGCAGATTCGCGGAGCATCGACGTGTTCGATCCAGACGCAGGCAACCTGATCGAGCTCGCACCATCTCTCGGTACCCGAAAGGCCTTAATCCTTTTCCCAGTGGGCGAGCTTGGCGCGGATCTCAGTCTGTCGCACTGTGGTATTGCATGGTCGAAAGTTGCTAACCAACCATTCAGATGCATCCCTACTCGATTGCAATCCAGTAGATGGCTACCCCACACTCATCGCGTCTTCTAAACCGGCATACAACTTTCCGTCGCCTATCAAGCAGATTGTCCCTCCACCACCAGCTGCAAGGGGCGACAGCGGTATGCACATTTGTATCGTCCCTGTATCATCACGCTGAACTCCTTAGCCAGTTAGCTCTGTCATTGTGCGCACGCACACTGCAATGTCTCTCATGGCCATGTCTGAGCATGAATGTGATCTCACAGGAGTACAGCTGACTCCTCGTGCTGATATACTCCGCGATGACGTGCAAGGGAGACCTATCGTCGACGCGACATTGCTAAATGAAAGTGCGAACCTCCTCACAGTCACGGATAGAGGCCAAGTCTTTCGCGCCAACGTATATCAGGCTGGAAAAGTCGTGTGCGATCGGCGCTTTGTTGTCACGGCCAATATTTCACTGAACATGTCTTCACAGCCAGCCGCTTTTCCCAAATTCTCAACACAGCGAACTTGAAACGCTTAAAGATGGCTTTTGGAGATTTCTGCTTGATGCGGACGGTACTCCGGGTGCATGCAAGCTTGTCTCTCGACACGCAATAAGACACCTTGATCAACGAGTAGGTCGTCTTCCTTGCCTTTCATCATATTCAAACGCTACAATATATGCACAGTCGGCTGCGCCTTCCGTCGCCTTTTCTTTTGCGTCTGACAGATCCCCCATACTCAGTGCCGAAAGTTCTATTGAGGACCGCATGATTCGTTTAGCCACTAGCACAGACATCATATGGCTAGACGAACGGTTCGGACGTCAACCACTACTTCAAATCAAGCATGGGCGCGCTCATGACTACAAGTTGTCGTCGCAAACGATTGTAGTCAACGGCGGTAAGACATGCCACCCATCACACGATCGCCCGTGGTGCGAACTCAGTTTGTAGAGCCATACACTTTCCTCTCATCCCCGCGCAACGGCCTCGTCACCGTTTATGATGTCTCCCGCGATGCCAGTGGCCTCGTTTGCGCCACCTCCTTGCCGCAGATTCTCCCCTGGTTGCCCGGACGCACGCATGTGCCGCACCGCGGCGTCAAGTTCCTCAGCCACCAAAGCCAAGGTAACTCGCATGCATCGGCGTTTCAGCTCGGCTTGCAGTATGACGTACACCGCGTCGACATCAACCTCACGCGCTGGCATGCGGAAGCTGAAAATGAGGTCGAGATGCAAGATGTGTCGGATGGGCGAGCGACACATGTGTGGTCGCAGGCCATGCAGGAGGTGGACGTGCGTGGTCCCGCCCTGAGAGACATAGAACGTGCCACCGATGCAAAAAATTACACACGGCATGATCTTTCGGGCGCGTACGAGCGTAGGTTTGATGGGTGTTCTTCTCTTGTACTTGCTGATGTGTTCCCAGGAATTTTCAAAACTGAGGCTACAGGCCCGGATGCAGACGTGCCACACGCTGAAGACCTTTCAGAGGGGCTCGCTGAAAAGTTTCATCGCCTTGGGACAGCTGAAAGTCACTTGGCTGGTAGGCCTTTTACTTTGTAAGTATCTACGATGTTATGCCAGAGAAGACCTCAACGTCGCCTAGAAGTGACATCGTTCACTCTTCATTCGATGCCAACGGAGACGTATGTGCTCAATCCTTCTGGGAGCCGGGCTCGAAGCGGTCAATCGCTCTAATACGGGCCAAAAGCCTCTCGTGTCAGGCGCTGGAGGAAGGCGCTGCGTGGGGGCTTGACTTGCGGACACACCTGGCACACACGCTCCCTGGCATTGAGAACGACAGGGACTTGGATTATGGCATGCTTGTTGAGCGTCTGGGGAGTCATGATGTTAAGGTCACTTATGACAACGCCCAAGCCCTTCATGCTTGCCGAGAAGAACTGGCCACGGATCTTACCCTGGGGTCACAAGCATTTGCATTACGCGTCGATCCTCCCCCAGACACCCGTGTCAATCCTGCCAATGGAGAACCGCCACATGTGCAGTTCAACATCCTACGTCCTACAAGTACAGCCCACTACCGAACATCACATCTGTCCACCGAAGAGCTTGAAGAAGCCGCGCTGGATACTGATTCTCGTCCGCATATCGGCACACTCGGAACGCGCCTTCTGCTAGCGGACTGGGATATCGGTACATCTGTAGAAGAATACGTCTACGTCGATCCATACGATGAGGATGAGCTCGGGGCAGAGTCGATACCGACGCGAGCGACCGAGAGGTGGTCAACAGCCATGGCAGCCGCCGCTAGCAAGACTCGGCCGATGTCCAAGCCAACGATGCCTGATCATGCACCAAAACATGCGATTCCACCTGTCCTAGCAGCGCCTTCGGTTCCAACTGTTGCTCATGCAGGTGGGATGCCGTCGTTCAGCCAAGTTCCATCCACAGCAGCACGCATAGACGCTCAAAGCCAAGGACTCGTTACAAGCCACAGCCTTGACGCGTCTCAGTTGCAATCGCAGTCGCTGTCACAGCCTCAGTCGCAGCCGGAGATGTTTGCGAGCACGCAGGTTCTGCCTGGACCACATGGAGGACGACCGGGTCATCCAGGGAAGAAGCCTGCCAAGAAACGGATGGGAGGGTTCTGAGAACTGGCTGGTGTATTGAAAGTTGGAACGCGTGGATTGGTGAGTTTAGATGTTAATATGCTAGCACCTCAGCCACAATGCTCTATTTCATCGGGGGTATGGTCATCAAAGGGTAGAAAGCTTGTTAACTTGAGTAGCCGGATATCTCTGTCGATCTGCGCGTGCTAGCTCGGCTAGCAGATACATGGCTTAACCGTCTGAAAGTGTGTGCACTGACCCGAGAGTGTTGCAAGTGTGAATGACTGACGGGGCGATGTTGACCTCGATTTATGCTGGGTCAACAGCCGTGTATTAAGGGCAACTTTGCCTTCCAAAAACATGGACATGAGGCCAAGAATATTAATTCGAAGTCGATGGTCGCCTGCCAAAGTGGTGACTTGGTCATGAGGTCATTTGAGTGCGCGTCGGGGAAGTCGGCGAGGGAGACCAAAGAGGGCAAGTGGCCAAGCCCGCAGAAGCACTCACTCCGTACTACTGACCAGCATCGACCGCGCACTCGGCCAGAACAGCCCATAACACGCTCCCCGGTCAACGCCGTGAGCCTGCTAAAGCTGCAGGCCGACTTGCCAGCAAAGACGGTCACTCTGCACGGCTCCTACGCTCTGTTCTTCACGCCCTTAGCCGTGGCCGTCCCGCCACCGTGGTGGCCGAGATCCGTCCATGGACGGCCCAAGGCGAGCGCCTCTCCTGCCTCATTACGCCCTGCCTGGCTGACCAGACACCTACAGCAAGCCAGCTAGCTGTAGCCCTTGGTTCGATCGTACTTACTATCTCGGCGTCCTCCGAGGTATGGTATTTTCGCTGCAATCGCTCTGGCCTCCTGAGTGACCACATACGAACAGAGAACAAGTCGGTCGCATGTGCTCTTTCTGCTAGTTCCATATCAACCCTCGCGGGCTACCCGGTATCGCTTTTCCTATCAAATCATCCTTCTTCATTCGTGCGCTCATACAGTCCGTTTGCTCTCATGACAGCTAGATTCCCTCAAGTCCAGACTGCAGACAAACAAAACAGGCATTTCCGTTGTCCGCCTCGCATCGCTCGTCTACCGTGAAGAGGGATTCAAAGGATTCTATCGCGGTTTATGGATACCCCTCATTACCATATCTGCTGTCCGTACGTTTGTCCAGCTATTTTCTCCATTTTACCGCCGCCGACACAAACGCGCTCGTAGGCACTGCTTCCTTTACTATATACACAGGCACAAAAGATTTCTGTCGCGACAATGGACTGCTCTTGCGTCCCAGCGTCATCAATGCCGCGCTGGCAGGCGGGATAAGTGGCGCTCTTGCCGGCGCACTCATCTCGTTTGGAAGTGCCCGTGAGTACAGCCGTAGTCTCAAGCCCATGCCCGTTCCACACTGACATGATCTCATAGCCTTCGAGCTTGTCAAGGTGACCTCCCCGGGCTTGCTAGTGCTCGACGTGATCTCTGACGGGGACGGTCTTAGGTTCGCCGTCAACTCGAGTATACCATTGCACAGAGCAGGGGCGTCACTTTCCAGAAGCCACCAAATACGATGGAGGCCGTGCGCGACATTATCCGTCACAATGGAACATTGGGGCTCTATCTGGGTTTCCGGCTGCACTTTTGTCAGTCCTTCTTGGGCCTCTTATGTGTAAACCTGACGTGGTGCCGTTCTAGTACGTGATACGTTAGGCACCGCATTGTACTTTTGCGAGTACGACGCCATGCGACACCTTCTAGGCCGAAAACGCTCGGGTGCTCAGGGCGCCACACCGACATGGTTCCCACTGCCGGTCTCGCTCGTGCCGTTTGTTTGCGGCTCTTTCGCGGGCGTGACGTCTTGGGCACTTATTTACCCACTGGATGTGTCCGTGATCCCATTTGTGATGGCAGACTTCATACTGATGGCATGTTGGCAGCGTCAAGACTAAAGTCCAGCAACGTGCCTTGGCCGGCAATCCGCCACGCGGTGTGTTTGAGACGCTTCGGCGACTTGTGCGCGGTAAGATTCTTCAAGTTTCAGCGCCGCCACAAAAACTTTGATGTTCGCTTGTGCTGACGGTTCGTTGTCAGGTCCGGACGCAAAGGATCCCAAGCCGATATTTGAGGGTCTAGCGCGAATCTATCGAGGTCTCGGCGTCAGTGCTGTTCGCAGTATCACGACACACGGTCTGTTGTGGACGTTCTACGACATGACATCGCAATACATTGACAAACTGAATTGAACTGACACCCATCCCGGCCATGGGCTATATTGGTATTGACGATTTGATCAAGACATGGACAAGCGATTGTGGGGACAAAATATTCAACCAAAGCTAACGCAGCATTAGACACATTGCGCAATTTGTATCATATTACCATATTTGCCATTGCAACTAGTTCATAATAAACTCATACATCGCAGCATTAATAGTCCTCGCTCGACGGTAAACGAATCCAGACACTCAAGCTATGGTGTACTTTCCGTAGTTCTTCTCAGGATCGAATACCTGACGATATATGAGCAGGTGTGCGATATTTGCCAGGGACAAACGTCCTTACCTCCCACCGCGATGCGGGAAAGATATGCTTGTTGCGTTGGTACCAGCTCCGCGCAACAACCTTACCCGCGTGCGACTCGTCCTTCTCTAGTGTTGCATCGGCCAAGATGCGCACATCGTCATGCACGTCAAAATTGAAAAGCGGCCCCGACTTGCCACGGGCTTTGTTTATTATGAAGTCGTAGAACGTGTGATGCTGCCTTTCATCAGTACAAGAACTATGACAAGAACATGAGGACGCATACATGAGGTATAATGAGATCCTCCTGTTCTGAAACAATTAGTGTATAGCATACGGGAGAACTAAGGGTGCACAGACCTTGATGTACATAAGGTTGTCCACAGTGACGTTACGGAGTTCGGGGAACTGCTGGCGACACTTATCCAAGAAGGTGCTGATAGAGTCACCTTTCCTGCACTGCGGGGTGGTCAGGAACGTTCAGGGCTATTTGCTCTATCACTCACATTGACACTCTTGCGATGACCGCTGCCATCCCAGTACGAGTACGTCACTTCGATTTCTTCTTGCTTCAGTTCTTCTTGCTTTCGCAACCACTCCTGACGAAGGCGTTCTCGCTCCTTCCTCTCTGCTTCTTCGCGTTCGCGGTCGGGAAGGAAAGTGGTATCAACGTTCGGATTCTTTCCAAGCTTGGCACGTTTTGTCGAGGGCTCTTTACTAGACCGTTCGTCATCTTTGGCCGAAGAGACGTCACCCTCCTCGTCGTCATCCATGGCAAACGAGAGGGTGGCCTTGGCAGCCTTCTTCCGTTTCTTCATCTTCTTTGTCTCCTCCCTAAGCAGACACTCCACGCCCTATCAGTGACCTGTGCATAGACGGCGGGGAGGCTGGGGTCGGATGGATTGTGACTTACTTGAGCTCGCTGGTCATGGCCGCTTCGCGTGCCTTGAGCTCCTCGAGTTCTCTACGACGCTGCTGAAAATCCTCAAGCTTGACGAGGCCAACGGTGCTGTTCTTGAGAGTCTCCTCCATGGAGTCATTCTGACCGATGAATTTGTTGGAGGAAGGACGCGACTTCTCGGTCTCTGCAATGAGAGACTGCTTTTGACGTTCGTACTCTTCGCGGTTACGAGCACGCTCTTTTGCGAGAACATCCTGACGGAGGCCTTCTGCTTGATTGTTGGCGGACATGGCGGGACGGGTGGGTGTCTATGTGGGCTGCAAGGACTAAACTGAGGGATCGTTCCACGCAGTAGAGTTTAACGCTGTCTATAGGGCGCTAATAGCAACGGATTTCCTGCGAATGCCGCGGAGTTTGAAGTTGGCCAGTCGGTTTCCGCGAACGCGTTTTCGTGAAGAGGCTCTAACTACTGGAGACTAACAATGGTCCACGTCCTCGGCGTCAGTCTTCCAGACCATTATCTTGCAAGGGTAAGACTGCATATAATGCCGCATTTCGCATTGACTCACACTATATGAACCAGCTTGCCCTCACCAACTTCCATGGTATTGGCCAGAAAACCGCCCACCGGCTTTGTGCCCGTCTGCAAATCCACGATCGGTGCAAAGTCCGCAGCTTGTCAGCCAACCAAATAACAGAACTGGCCTCTTTCCTCGCGTCTCCATCCACAGCCGTCCCCCCGCCTCGGCTTCCTCTTGCCTCAACCAACTTGAAACCCTCTCCAGCGTCCACCTCACTTCGTGAAGTTCGCCAGAAGATTGGCTTCGACACTCTCGCGGAGAAGGCAAAGAACTCAGTCGACCCACTTCGCAATCTCAAGATCGAGACAGACCTCAGGAGACAAGTTAGAGAGAACATTGCACATCAGCGCATGATTGGCAGCTACGTCGGCAAGCGGCACGCCATGCGTCTCCCCGTCAGAGGCCAGAACACCCAGACGAACGCAAAGACTGCTCGCAAGCTTAACAAGCTCGACCGTCGATAGACGACATCATACTCGCTACCTTTACACGTGGCATGTATCCTTCCGTATCTTATTTACACAGCTGGACGACGTGACAATAATACACACTATAGAACCACTTGTGTGCTCACAGAACGTGTCATCAGTCGTCCCCTACTGGAACCTCTTCCTCCAGGTATTTGACCAGGCTAACCCGAATCTCCGTGCTTTCATCCCCTCGCAATACGTCCGAGATGAACTCGGCTTGTACTTGCATTTGCACCTAACGCCCTCAGATCAGTATGAAGCACTGATTTACTGTCGTTGGAAAAGTACCATCTCCAATGCACCTCGGAGAACACCACACAGAACGTTGCTGAACCATAGCCCTCCTTCGAGTGCTTCTTCCGGGAGCTCAACAAACTCGGCTAGTGGGTTCTCGTCCAGAGTGAGGATGAATGATGAAGTAGGGACGCTCGATTGTTGGGGAACGCTCCCTGGCCGCGAGCCAGCAGTAGGTGCCGAGTGGGTGACACTTGGCGTGATGTTCAAAAATGATTTAAATCCGACCTGTAGCTTCCTCAGCGATCTAAGGTCAATGGCAGTAGGGTTCGGTCGAGCTTGCCTTTGCGACAACCTCCCCCACTTCTCGGAAGTCAGCACATCGACCGAGTGAGCTCCTTGCAAGGAAGTCCTCGATCAGGCGCGTCCCGATGTTGTATCCCATCTTCTCTAGCTGTTTGTTAACTTCCGCGTAATCCTCATAGTCCTGTATGAGCTGCACGACAAGCGCTCCATAAGTGAGAGCGAAGAGCTCGGCGTTCTATGCTGCCGGATTCAAGCTGGCATCCGAGCAGAGCAAGGGGAAGCAAATACAATTTTCTCGGTGCGGCCTTTCCACAGATCCTCTCCGATGGCCTTGTGTTGCTTGATGGTCGCCATATCGTGACAGAGGGGCGCAAGTAGGAATAGGTTGACGCCTGTTGACGCGATCGCGTTGAGTCGAATCGCTATCAATAGTTGGATGCCACGTGTAATAAGCGCTAACGATCAGGACTTTCTAACTATTCAACAACTTTTCCTTCGACTTTCAAGTCTTCCATTCGCCTCACTGCCTTGGGCTTATCGCAAGTATGTCTCGGCCAGAGTTGATAGCACCTCCTGAAATTGTACAAGACAGTCTGCTCTTACGGCCGGTCTACTAACTCACATCGCACTTACAGTATTATGGCGAAACTGAAGCCGAGAAGTATACGAAAAAGTACGCTGCATCTACGAGCCTGAGTGAAACTACTAACTTCTCCTCAAGCTCACGAAATCAGCAAATTCAGGCTGATATGACGTATCGTGCACTAGAGCTGCTGAGTCTTCCACCAGACGAGCCTGCGTTCCTACTTGACATCGGTTGCGGATCTGGTCTCTCGGGGGAGATCTTAACGGAGGAAGGTTACATCTGGGCTGGCGTAGACATTGCACCTAGTATGCTTGGTAAGTAAATCTTGTTCTGTCTGAGAACGATTGCCCGAGACATGTCTGTGTGTAGGTGTTGCCCTCGAAAGAGAGCTGGAAGGCGATCTTTTCTTACAGGACATCGGTCAGGGGCTCGGTTTCCGGCCAGGCAGCTTTGACGGCGCTATCAGGTAAGTGACATGGCTTATTTGTATGTCTTTCACTTCCTGAACCATCGCTGCTTAGTATATCTGTGTTACAATGGCTACTGAATGCTGAAACTTCCCATCCCACATCATCGCCTCCACATCGTCTCAACCGCTTCTTCACCACCCTTTACTCCACCCTTCGTAATCCTTCGCGAGCCATCTTTCAGTTTTACCCATCATCCGACGACCAAATACAGCTTATAACATCGATCGCGCAGAAGGCTGGCTTTGGCGGAGGTGTCGTCGTCGACTATCCGAATTCCAAAAAAGCGAAGAAAGTCTTCCTTTGTCTGTTCGTGGGTGGTGGTGGAGGTCAGCAGCAAATACCACAAGGGCTGGACGGAGAAGAGGACAAGGCCGTCTTTGAGCGGAGACGAGAACGTGAAAAGAAGAGGAACAAAAGCGGCAAACGATCTTTCAAGGATAAAGACTGGATATTGAAGAAAAAGGAGGTTGGTATATTCTCGACATCAACTTCACTTTCTAATGATGACTTGGTGTAGCTCTATCGCCAACGAGGGAAAGAAGGCGTCCCTCGGGACTCCAAGTACACTGCAAGGAAGCGGAAACCAACATTCTGAGCGTCTACAATGCGTCCCGTCTGTCTACAAACAGTTCTCTACACGTGTCTACCGCCTCTTGTGCACCATACCGTATAAAATGTCCTTGAAGGGCTGCCATACTCGCCCGCCGCCCTTGCTGCATCTCCTCGTTTGTTATTGATCCAAGGACCTCTCCCAATCGCTCCACCCCCTCTTCCGTGAGGCCAGTTACGGCTTCGTCACCTCCGTAGAATCGCGTAAAGAGTGTTTTCGCCTGGGCAGGGGAGGCATCGTCGATGAGGACAGAAAGATCAACACGTCCAGGTCGTATCAGTGCTGGGTCTAGCTTTTCTATATGGTTGGTCGTCATGAATACAATGCGTTCTTCCCCAGATGCGACCCCGTCGAGAGCATTGAGGAAGCCGGAGAATGTTACAGAAGATTGATAGCTGAAGCACACCGTTAACGTTCACAGCGTCGGTAATATTGGAGACAACATACCCATCTTCGCTAGTTTGGACGCGTTTGTTGAATGCTGCGTCTATGTCTTCAATAAGAATGAAACTGCGTTCTGGTGCGTTTGATAGCAGGTGAAAAAGCTTGTCATCGGCCAGTCCTCGTTCTGATAGATTAAGAAGGCATATATCATAAGACAATGCGCCAGCAAGTGCTTGTATGTATGATGTTTTGCCAGATCCTGGAGGCCCATGCAAAAGATAACCTCGGCGGTAGGGTATACCTGAGAAATGTCAGGACCGAGAAAATACACGCATCGAGGGCTCCTAACCTCTGTCAGCGTACCACTGTCGGCGCCGAAGAAATGCCTGAACGTCATGCTCTATCCTTTCGCCGACACCCTTGCCCAAGACAATGCTTCGAAGTGGCCGTTTTCTGCGGGGCTGCCCAAATGGTTTCCATTCTATGCCCCAGGCTGTCCGGACGACGAGCTTTCCTTCCTGGCTCCGCATTGCCAAATCTCTAGCTTCCGCGAGTAGCCTCGGAAATAGGCCTCTATCCCGGGACAATGTCGTGAGTGTCACCGTCTCCCAGGGTGTGCCGGTCATGAGTTGCATGGCCTTAGTCTCGCGCTCTCGTTTCATCTGCACTAGCATAAATTCTACTTCAAGGGAGCATGGCGAGTGTACGTACTTGCATCCAAGCACCGTGGTACTTTAGGTAGTGTACGCCAGGACCAGCGACAAGCCTAAACAGCACGGAGGAGCTGCCGTTACTCCGTTGCTCGACGTTGGTCTCGAGACTGAGTTGGTGGCTTCGGAGCCACTTCACACTTCGGGAGGAACTGGAAGCTACAAGCCTGTTCTGTTCTGCCATCCACGCAAGGAACCACTCGTATGCACGGTCCTTGTTATTTAGCTCGAGCGTGACAAGCATGCGGCGGCGGAGGGCAGTGAGCCCGGCAATAGCACCTTGTCGGAAGAGAGTTGCGGCAAAGCCGAGGCCCTGGCGTCAGTCAGATATTATGATTATAGAGGAACAAGCCATTGCATACCATCAATCCAAAGCCTGCCTGAAAATAAGGACTGTGCTTGACAAAGGTTTAGTCATGGTCAGCTTACTTTTAGTAACGGATTCGGGTGCTTACTTGTCGCCCAATATTGAGCTTAGCAGGGAGTCTGGGGGGGTGCTGGAGGGGGCATCATGTTGAGCTGATGCATGGGCAAATTGGTGAGCGTTATCGTTGGACGGCGGGGAGGCGACTTCTGTCTGGCCTTGCATAGCACTAGTTGGCTGTGCGGCTGGAAACTGGAATACACTTTTGCACGTCACCTCGGCAGCAATAAATTAGAGCCACCGCGATGACATGTGGAATTTGAAATTGGAACGCGGTCTCTACAAAGGACGCGTCTTCTTCGAGCGCGTCTCCTTTTAACCCTCAGCCACCATGGTCAGACAAGCCACCGTCAGTGCAGCGTACGCCACCCTCGGCTTACAACAAGTAAATTAAAAATTCTGCCTATTGTCACTCCTTTGTCTGACATGTCCTAGGGCGCCACTCTTGACAACGTCAAAACAGCGTACAAACAGGCGCGTTGAGTCCGCCCAGGGGCCATCTTAGACAAGTGCTGATCTTCTCTTCAGCTTGCACTCAAGAATCATCCAGATAAGAACCCTGGAAATGAAGATGCTACTGCCCAGTTCCAAAAGCTTAGTGAAGCTTACAACATCCTACTGAAACATCTTGATTCCTCCTCACCTCCCCGTCGTCACTACTATCCATGCGGGCACTCTGTCCACAGCGATGAAGATCTATCTGATGATTATGATGAATACTGGTATGATCCCAGCAATGACGATTATGACGATTATTACGACTCGGATGAAGAGGAAGAAGACATGGCTTTTTACATGCATGTATCAAGTACCTTCATTGCTCTATATCTGCTAATAATGACACAGGTTCCTATTTTCGGAACTCTTGAGAGGTCGTAGCAATCGATACTCAGCGCAAAGTAAGGAAAGCCATCTGGCCAAGCTAGAGACTTACTGATATGCGACTTAGCATTCCGTTCTCGTTACGCCCACCGACCAGCGACACCTGAGACTGAAGAACAATATCAGGCACGCTTGGAGAAGACCAGGCATGCACAGGAAGAAGCGGAGGCGCGTCGTGCAAGAGAAAATGCTGATCGCCGTGCCGCACAGGAAAGAGAGCGGCAACAAGGTGGTTTATCATATTACGTCAGGTACACCATGCCTTATCTCATGCCACGCATTTGCAGAACGAAACGAAGCCGCTCAAAGACAGAAGGAGAAGTCCCGTAGCAAGAAACAAAAAGAAAAGGTATCTCGCGAACAGGCTAAGACTGCTGCGCAGAACCGACAGCAGCGTGCCCAAACATTGCGTTCCGCCGCCTTTACAGCCATCCGCCAAGGAGATGCGGAAAGGGTCAAGAAAGCGGTATGGGAGGACAACGTGGATCCTGCCGGTGGCGAAGTCAAGATAGGATGTGAAACTTACGTTTGTAAGCTTCCAGACGATCCGAAGGAGTCAATGCTGCATATTTCCGCTACGAAGGGTGATGCTAGCTTGATCCAGTGGCTAGATGCCCACAGTAAGCTCGTGTTCGAAGATGGACAATGGCTACCTTGGCTCATCGTTCTCAGGCGCTGACCCAGAAGAACGCAACAGCCAGGGATTCACCGCATTTCACATCGCGTTGCAGTTGGGTCATGTTGTCGTCCTCAAATATTTTTACGAGACTTATGATCCGAAGCTTGAAGAGTCGACCGCTGTATACGATGCACCGCCTTCCAGACCTTTGCTTCACTTGGCTTTAGACTCTGCCGAACCTGAGGTCGTATGGATGGTCCTTGACAAAGGCCTAGCACCTTCGCAGGATATCCGTGATGCTTGGGCACTCTTGTCGTCCAATGTCAAGGAGGCCAACAGTCTGTCGTGCGCCGCACTGCACAAAGACTCGCGTCTCCGCGAGGAGATGAGAAACCTCCTGGCGAGCTTTGGTGGCTTTACCCCTCCACGAACACCTAACGTCACAGTGGGGAGCATTGCCAAGTCCCCATCGCTGACGTCTCCACGCTCTGACATGATTAACCCAAGCTCCAGTCACGATGGTGACACGAATGCTAAACTGGGCAAAGAACATTCTACGATGCGACCCACTGCGCCCAGGGAACCCACTGAACAGGGCGAATCAGGCACAACACAATCTGATAAGCCGTTTGGTGGTCGTGGTCGTGGTCGCGGACGTGGCTACGGCCGTGGATGGGCCCGAGGACGGGGCCGTGGCTAAGGCATAGTTATCAGATACCAGGCTCCGGCGTTGGCCACTAAGTTGGTCACCGGCCACCCATTGTGCTTGCCCTTTCTTGTCCGGAGTCGCAATCCAAAAAATTTGCTCCGCCATACCGTAATGCTCTTTCTGACCTTGTCATTTCACATCTTCACAATTCTGATACTTGTCGCCGGTACCCTTTGTACATGTGCGCTCTTCGAATTCTGATACATGATATACACATCCACAGATAATTGATAGCTGCACCCCTTTGTAATATATTTTATGTGTTTCGTGATATTGACTAATTTGAGTTTCAGAAGCAGCGCTGGCAAGAACACTGGACTGATGAATCTTGTTAGTCTTGAGCGAGGTCCTTCAGCGGCATTGACAGGTAGGTAGTGCGGTGAGAAATTAGAGTTTGGATTAAAAATAGGTTGTCAAAGTGTGGGTTCCCGTGGTTTGCTCTTGTTTGATTTAGAAGCCTTTGCCAAACAGAGTCACACACATTCCGAAATGGCGTAAGCCGAATGGAAGGGAACCGCTGTGGGTTGACTGACAACCGACGCGCGCGGAGCCATCGAGTACTCCACCGCTCACACCGCTACCACTGACACACAAACATGGGTCGTCTCGCAGAAATGCAGCGTAAGCTGCTCGAGGTACGTCTGGTACCTTTTTGTCATGGGCACGAGTTGAGCTTTTCCGCAGCAAATGATGGGTCCCGAAGCTATGGGTGTTGCGAATGCGAACCTAGTTTGGTCCGACGACAAAGTATGCAGGAACTTTCTCTGTGGCACATGTCCGCATGCCCTGTTTACAAACACGGTACGTGCCACTGTTCTCTTATTGTTCTTCTATAGACTGCTTGAACGCTCGTACAGAAAATGGACTTGGGTGCCTGCCCCAAGTCGCATACCGAACGTTTGAAGACGGAGTTCTTGGCTGCTAGGGAGGCGAACCCAACGGACCCTGTCTTCCACCGCTTCCAGATGGAGTACGAGGCCAACATATTTGCATTCGTGGATGAGTGCGATAGGAGGATTCGGGCTGCGCACCGTCGCTTGGAGAAGACGCCCGAAGAGAATGCCAAAACAACCAATTTGATGAGGGAAATCGCCGAAATTGAACTAGCCATTCAGGGCGGCACGGAAAAGATTGAAACCTTGGGTACGTTTCTGCATCTGTCGAGGCTGTTTACGTACTGAAGAAACGCCCACAGGTGAGCAAGGAAAGGTCGATGAATCGATGCGGGAAATGGCCGCGATTGAGGCGCTTAAGAGCGAGAAGTCGGACAAGGAAGTAAGTAGTGACTAAAACACGGGCTCGCGTCTTGGCTGCTGACAGGCACACTTGCAGCGAGAGTTGCAGCAGCTGACGGACACGTCTGGTGCATCCGGCCATCAGAAGCTGCGTGTCTGCGACGTTTGTGGGGCTTATCTCTCTGTGCTCGATTCTGACCGGCGGCTCGCGGATCACTTTGGTGGGAAGGTATGTAATTATCGCACCGTCTGGACGAAAGCGTGTCTTAGATGATCCTAGATGCATCTTGGTTATCACGAACTCCGGAACATGCTCGCGAAGTTCCGAGAGGACCGTGAAAAGCGGAAGCAGGCGCCGCCGTCAGGTGTCCCGGCAGCGACAGGCCCCCCTGGCCGCGGTGGAGAGCGAGGCAGCGAACATCGGCCGTCGCGAGACGATCGCGAGCGTGACAGAGGATTCGAGCGACACTCATCCCGTTATGAGTACGTGCCTACCGTTGTCGTCAAACGTGATGCGTGATATAACTAACGGATTTGGGATTGACAGCGACCGGCGGAGAGATCGTGAACGGTCGCGGTCACCTGGTCGGAGGAGATACTGATCGAGAGGGGACCTGAGAGGTCCTAGACTCGTTCAGACTTCAAGGGGGAAGAGGGGAGAGTCGTGAAGCATGGCAGCAATATGGCAACGTGGAAGCGATTCACCGGGGAGGGATGAAAGTGCTAGTGCAGCGTGTCTTCAGGGAGGCATTTCATTGGAGACTCATGAGATGGAGATGATTGTCTCCGTCGTTGAGAGAGTCGAGACTTTGGGATTACGGCGGCTATCGCTAATAGCAGTCAACCCGGACAGGGCTAACCATTTCCGCGCTTGAAAAGCCGAGTGTATGTCCAAAAGAGGAGTATTGCGACTAAAATCCATGGATACATAGACCTCTGATGGACGTGACAGTTAAATTTTGTGAGATTAGGCTGTGAATTTGCAACATCATGGATGCAGGCAGCCCGGGGTGAGGGATTTGGATTTATGCGAGACAAGAGCCGAGTGCTGTTGCACAAGCAACCAGCACATCCACCTTCTGTTCTACGCCTCACACCAACCTCCAAAGCCCAGATCGCCTCAACCACTCGCAAATTTCTGTTGCTGCGCGGACATCGTGAGGGGCACTAGCTCGAGCGACCTCCGGCGTGGGCGCTCACCGGCTGAGTTAAGCGGCTGGTTCAGTAACGCGGAGACGTGCTGAAAGCTAAAATCCGGAAGCTGTACCTACCATTTCGGCAGAATTATCGCAATCGCACCTCCAATTCGAATTCTCTGTCCTCCCAGTTCCAGTTCGAGCGCGAGTTCTAGTTCCTGGTCCCAGTTCGTGCTCTCGTCCTCGTGCCAGTACTGTCAGTGCCAGTCATTCCACACAGTGCGAGTACGAATACGAATACGAGTACGAGAACCGTCGACTCCTGCCAACACTCCCTCCCCCTCCCTCCTTCCACCACCCCGCGTCCCATTGGTCATCGTCTTCAGTCTCCGTTACTGTCCCTGTTCCTGACCTATTCTCCCGTCTCTTCTGTCATCCCGCCTTCCCTCCGCCCCGCCTCTTCTTCTGCCAACGTCCCCGCCCTCCTGCTCTAGTTCATCTCCAGCAAAGCCGAGGCTTTCGCTGAACACCCCGGTTATTCTGCGCTTTCTTCTTGGTCTGACTCTTGTGCATGCTGTCCATGATGGATAATCAGGCTTTGCCTGTACCAATGGATATGACTTCCCATCACTCTTCACAGGACGGTGTATCCTCCGGCTTTCCTTCTCTCATACCCGACGAATCGCTCGCCCAGAACGCGATGGGTCACCCCTCCCATGAGTCCATGTCAATGTATTCCATCCAAGTTGACCCGTCCCAGTCGATTACCCCGTCCATGCAAATATCCATGCAAGATACCTCTTCGAATCCTCAGTCCCTGACCGCGATGGACGTCATGCAGCCAACTGCATCTACTCGTGCTCCCCCTCCCGGCTATCTCACAGACTTTCCCGTTCACCCTCCCCCTTCTTTTGGCGTTCTTGGTACGCTTGACAGTCATCTCACATTGGCATCGCCCCCAACAACAGATTCCGTAGCCGTATCCGCCAATCCTTCACCCGCTGTTCAGGGTATGGCCTCTAGTTTCTCCATGAGCGGAGTGGCGCCTTCCAGTGCCGGTATTCCTCACACCATGCCTCACCTTGAGTCATCTGCGTCGTCAGGAACGATGGCAAGTTCAGGATCTGAACTTGGCTTTTCTCCTCTGAGCAGCGGCCCGCCGACATCTGGCCAAGATCCCGGTTTTGTTTTCCCGCCGCCTGATCTTGGAGACAGTCGTGTTAACCGAGAACAGGGCTCCCCTGAAGGGCCAGCAGACTCCCACCTGATGGTTGTTGGTTCCATTCTGAAAAAGTGAGCTACTTCGTCTTTATGCTGAAATTCGTCTGACATCCAACTTCTTCTCAGCATCGCGAGTCAGGCGCAATCGGCGAGTAACGCGTGCTCCCTCGGGCAAGGGGTTGAAGCTGGTAATCGGATTGAGGACATCAAGAAGACTATCACCCTTGTATCAGATCTTATCTCTGCCATCCGCGTCTCAGACGCCCCTCAAGCATCTCGCCACCCGTCCCCGCGAAGTCTCTCTGCGAACAACAGCGTGTCACCGCCTTCTCTCACCGGAAACGTTGGTTCTATCAATGAGCTGCAATATCCTGTCCCCCAGTATTCGCCTAGTCCTAGTGATCACACTTCTACTGACGGGCAAGCCGGCTTGGAAGCGCCTGATGGGTCACGCAAGCGCTGTGCTTCCTCTATGGCTGGCGACCGCGCGAATAAGTCACTCAAACGCGAACCTCAAGACGACCATATTGGTCGGTTCCCGACGCCCCCCACAGTCCGGTCATCGTGGTCCGATGGTCCAGCAACTTTTCCGCAACGTCATCAACACTCGCTGTCGGGAGGATCGCTTCCTCAGGCAGCGAACTTTCATCCTCTTTCGAACGCGTCTTTGCCCCAGCTACCGTTCAATACTGGTACATCTGTTTCATCCGAAAATCAGCCACGTTTGAGTATGGGAGGAATTAATCCCCCTCTAGGCCGCGTTGCCCGGTCGGGCTCCCTGAATACCGGAAGCACCTTCAGCTTCAACATGAGCGTACCTGAGGTACCATCTGCACCAATGTCTGCGCCAGTCACTGCAGATTACATGTCTGCACAACCTGCTCATGCCCCATACCCATTGTCTTATAGTCCTGTATCCTCGCCCGATAGTGAAGGAGACAACGATTCGGAAGCTGGCGATCATTCGCACTCGCTCAGTCCCGATCCATCGGACGCCAATTACAGGGGTGCCTCTGGGAACTCGCAAACCTCATCACGGCAGGGAAATTCACTTGTAGGCCGGCAATCGATGGAAAACCTGTCGGGATCCACAGCGGCTCATAGCAATGACGTGCCTCAGGAGTACAGACAAGAAGTCGATCGGATCTTCTTCGAGTTTCTCATCAAGACTTGTTCAAACCGTATGTCGTTTTCTAGCAATGATTGATTCCGGTACTGATAAAACTGCAGTGGATGCTACTGATGCAAAGGGTGAGCCTATACACCAGACTCTAATGGCGAAGAAGATGCAGCGACTGGATGAATCCCCCGACTTCCGCCCCTTCAAGTTTAGGATTCAGGCATTCACGAATGCGTTTTTGGAAGAGGTGAGAGCTCTTACTCCTTTCCGTTTTCCTCTGCTGACTGCTATTCAGTTAGCTAGACAAGGTTATCCAGAGGAGAAGATTCCAATGAAGAAGGTACATTGTCCTGATAGCTGGGGTGAATGGATGTACTCATCGGCTTTCGCAGATCAGGAACTATCTGTGGTGTCAACCGTACATATCACGTTTCAACGAGGATGGAAAGAAAACGAAGTCGAAAGGTAACCATATTTGGAACATTGACGCGAAGAAAGCTACGGACGGTGGCTGGACGTTCCGTCCGTTCCACCGCAGGGTTGCTGGCCAGCCCCCTGGCGTGGCTTACGTTGGCCTTCGCTGGTCTTGGACACCCCGCATCTGGGATCCACAAGCATCAAGATCAAACTTAGTCGTCCAGTATAGCTCTCCTTCTCTCCCGCCATGGCTTTCCTGGGAGGACGATACGCTTTCCGGCACTCCCCCACCAGACGCGGAGAGCTGTGATATAACTGTCGAGGCTCGCGTATGCACGCACGCCACCTTCTCAGATCGAACATTGCTGATTTCACATCTCTAGTTTGAACAAGACGGGCAAGAAGAGCTGCTCTCAGAAACGTTCCGCCTAAACATTGCCCCGGTGTCAACCCTTGACTCTGCACCGTCAGGATCCCGCCGTGGTTCTATGAATGGCGACATTCATAGGCCACGTAGAGTAGTCAGTGATTCGACTGTCCCTTTGGCACATTCGACGTCATCTCGGTATGTCTTGAGTATTAAACGAATGGCGGAGCATCACGCTCACCCGGCCAGGTCGTTACGTGGTCAAAATGGATCGGGTTTGTCATCTGCAAGCCATGAGGCACAAGTTGTGCAGGTATTGACAACAGCCGCACAACGTGTTGCCCAAGAAGCACAATCCCAAGTTATAGCTTCGGTTCCCAACGAACCTGGACCGGGCTTCCAGTCACTGGCAAAGCAGCAACACGTGTTGACCGTGACAGCGCAAGTTATGGGTCAGGAATATAGCAGCTCAGAAGGCCCTTCACAGCCCTCTGTCCTTGTTGCTGCTGCGCAGAACCTGGTGGTCCAGGCGGCTCGACAAGTTGCTGTGGACCATGCTGTAAACCCTGCCACCAGCGGCCTGCCACCATCCTCAGTCACTGTCAACGAGGTTTCGGTTGCGACTCAGAATGCTGTCGCTCAGGCTGTGGACATGATCGGCCCCCTTTCAAGTGAAGTGGAGATAGTCATCACTGCCAGTAAGCTTCTGCAGCAAGGTTCTCCCGTTTCCATGATGGATACCACTCGTCCTCTGATGTCCATGGATGCCTTGAGATCTCACTCAACCGGTGCGATTCCAACTTTGTCCGGAGGAATGCCGGGTGCACCTCCCGTACTTTTCCCGCCAGCCGTTGTTCCTGCAGGCGTGCAGGACTTTGGCCGGTTCTCATAGCTTGCCGAGATCTTTGCGATTGTGCTATAGCGGTTTTGGGGACTCTAGCGTCACTGTTCTTCGTTTTTCAAAGTGCTCATTTATTCCCTTACTTTGGTGATTTCGTGTCTTCGTATCTGATCTCGCTAGACAACTCTTACATTTGAGCACCAACTGACTGTAAAAAACTAAACATTATCTGTAGTACTATGCCAATGTCAATAAAGTGGACTGTGGTAAATTCGTGACAAGGTATCGTCGCCATCACAGCTGATTACCGCAGACCTGGCACTGTGCTAAATGTAGGGAGTTTATGAAGGTACACTGCGAACATGCGCTCCCCCCGAGGTGCTCCTCAGAACTTGCGCTAGCGCTCCTCTCAGTCGTTTGAGACGACCCTGGCAAAGAACTGCCTAAGAGTGTGCCACCAAAGCCCCTCTCTTTGGGGCGCTTCCTGCCCCCTCCATCATCTGAGCTATCGGAAAGGTCCCCGCTTTCTTTCTCTTCTCTTAGGTCCATACAGTCATTGATCTCGACGCCTAATGCCACCATGGTAGTCGTACTGTCTTCAAGCTCTAAGTCATGGAAGAATAGCTTCTGGCAAATGGTAGGAATTTTGAGGTCGTCCTGAATCTAAAGACAGTTCAGTGATGCATAAGTTATTAAGAAGCACCTTCGTCACCATGACTTTGATGTCTTTTACAGTCGTGGCTTTCGACACCATGACGTGAGTCTTACCGCTCCGCTGTCTCACTTGGCGTATCCGGCGGGACTGTCGTGTATTCGAATTCGACAGGTTCTTTGTCGAAGTGTCTTTAGCCGAGTCTTTCGAATGTAGTAATCGAATGGTTAACTCGGTGTACTCAAAGTCGGTCTTTCTGTATAACAATGAACAAAACCTTGCGATATGAAAAGCGTCAACTTACCTCCTTAAGCGACATTCCTGACATACAGGTATGTCGTGGACAAACTTTGTTTCGAACACCCCTTCAGGTTCTTCGACTACTTGCTTCGTCAGAGCAATCTCAGGACCACATTTATATCTGTGTGCGGGTGAGCGAGGCAGTACTGAGGTGCGACATTATGCTCACAATGACGAAAGAATCCTCCAATCACTTTCCTGTATAACTGCAACGTAGTTGTCCATATCTCCAGGTGAGTTGGGATCGAAGTTAAGTTTGTCATGCTTGCATAGAAACATGGCATTGTCAACGTTGTCCGGACGATGAGAATCGCCTGGCCGGCTGAGCCATTGCTTCCACATGCGTACAAACAGTGTAGGGATCACAGCGCACGCAACGTTCTCCAGGAGTAGCAGATTCCCGGCGAGCGCGTTTTCGCTCATGTGTCTCAGTTGGGTCTGACAAACGGGTGTGAGGACAGTGCTGGTATGTCCTGCAGGAGAAATATTTACCTTCTCTTCTTCAGCTGCTTTCCGTGCTTCCTTCTTGTCTTCTATGTTATTTGAATGCGCTGCCTCACAGATGGGACAGGGCCCAGTCGCGGAAGGAAGGGGCTGCCAGCTTGGAAATAGCGTCTTGAGAAGCTTAGTCGCCTAACCAGACCTGCTTAGCCATATGGATGATGACTTGTACATCGAAACAACTCACCTTGGCGGATATCAGCCTTCGCGTAGATGCATGCAGAGATAGCTCCCCATGTTCGCATAGGACATGGTAGCGGAACGGCGTTGCATCAGGGGGCACATCTACATGTAATGAATGCATCTTCGGTTTTTGCAGCCTCCAGTCTATTGGAAGGTCATGAAGGAGTTTCACAAACGTCCTGTTCTCATACCTTTCACCCAACTTTTTGAGATCCAATAACCGTCTTCCTCAAGATCATCGTCACAACAGTCATCGAGTTGGCTGACCATTCGAGGGTGCTCAACCTGGTACAATTTCTCTGGGATCCGTGAAATAGGGTCTTGGCCGAGTGCTAGCATGACTTACCGAGGAAGAGATCGTGGACGCAAGTCTCACATACAGATTCTGGGGATTGTGCTGGTGATATCTTGTCACTGAATTCATCGGCGATCCGTCTGTATGATTGCTGGGTGGTTGTGAGCACACATCGGAAGGTCGCGGAGGGTTTCAACCTACAGCATTGATTCGTTTCATATTTCCCGCTTTGCGAGGATCTAGCCCCTCGTGAGCGCAAAGTATGTCCGATACCTCTTCGACTTCGGTCTCAATGCTTAGTGGCTCTTTATCGATCTGAGGGTTTTTGGATTTGGCGAAAGGTTTGGCAACCCATGTCTCTAGCGATTGTCGACTGACAACAAAGCTTTCCTGTCTTAATGAGTGAGGACCTAGGAGGAGTACAAAAAATGATGTACGGTACCTCATCGCTTGAGGAGGTCTGCCATGATGCAAAGATATCCCGCATTGCGCTGCGTTGTTGTACAAAACGAGCCACTGCTTCATCCTCCCTGCACTACTGTCAGTATGTAGCATCCCATGGACTGATAACGTCTGACTTTTGCTTATACGAGGCCAAGGTCACCATGTGGCATTCATTTCCCTCTCGAATGTGAGCCATGGCCTTTTCCGGAGGGGAGGGTCCAGTCGACCCCACGGAAAGGCTGGTCGTATCAGATTCCTTACGCGCATATATAAGCATATATGCGTCTTTCGAGGAGTAAACATCCCTGTTTGAAGTTGACGTCAGGATCTACTAGAGGCATCACCTACGTACTCCTGGTCCCCAGATTCATGCTGATTCCTGTGCAGGGATAAATGCCTCATAGATTAAGACTGACGACCTTTATACGACGTACTTTGGCTTCAAATTCTCCCTTTCACTTTCCTCAAGCCGTGGCCGTTTGCTGGGGCGTCCTCGGGCCGCTGACAGCCTTTTACGCCTTAGCTCCACTCAAATTTCAGCTTAGTAAAAGAAACCGCTTACTTTCTATCTTCGTTCCCATTCAAGATGTCGACCATATCTTTGCCTGTATATTTCTTTTCTCCAAGCGACTGTATGCTCACAACGTCCTCATCATCAAACTGAAACCAAGTTCGGGAGCTTCCGAGAATAAGTCAAATGGCGTGTCAAATGTCTACCCACGTACCTGGTGTCGAAGACCTGTGCTTCATAATGTCCATGATAGGCACTAGACCCTCGATGCAGGAGAACACCCCTCAGCTCGTAAATGTCATGCCCTTGCGGGGTGGGCTCTCCATCTTTCGTAGCTTTCAAGAATTGTCCCATATCCAGGACAGTTGGGAAAAGGACGTTATGTTTGGACTTTTTGCGCTCCATGGAAGAGAAATCATACACAAATCGAAGGAGAGAAAAGTGCAAGACGGGCGGCAATCTTCGCAGTTCAGTGTACCGAATAGCGTCATGAAGACTGAGGCAGTTTGAGCACGAATACCTTGGGATTGACGATAAGATATCAAATCAAACAGGCAAGTACATAATGCCCTTACTTATTATCTCCAGTTAATTTCTCGTCCTGAAGTAAGGCTGCTACGCGCGCCTCTAGTCTGACATTGTTCTGACAGTGTGAGATTTGAAGATGGTATGTTGTGATATCCTATCCTCCTACCTGAATGTTCACCTCGAGCTCGAGAAAATCAGTGGCTCTTTCAGATGATTTCTTGCAATGGCAGCATCGAGTCCCATATATCAGCTGACCTTGGAACTAGCAAAAATCCGTGAGCACGGGGTGCAATCTCTCACATTCCGCGTACCTGACTAGATACCAGACTTTTCAGCGATGGGATAGTTTGTTTCTGGAACTCGTGATCAAGGAGAGACATAAAGAGCTTTGAAAACCTTGCCCAGGATCAGACTACGAGACGGGTAGGACGCTGACCGTAAGCTTACTCTTGCGCATCCTGCTGCTCAGAGGTAGATAACTTGAGGCTTTCTACAAGTTTCGTGGGATTATAGACGTTTTGCGTGCTTTTTTGTAGAGCGGCAAATGTCACTTGAAGCTGGAAAATAGGAGATTCCTAAAAGGTGTGAATACTCGTAGATGGGACATCAAAAGTAGATATTTACCTCTATCTTTTTGTCTTTATCCTCTGACAGCTGACACTGGTAGACCCCTTCGCGAAACGCTAAATCCCGGAACCAGACCTGATGACAATCGGTTACTCAGACACAATGGGCAAGGATTAACATACTTGAAGGAACGCATTCGCGTAGCAAGTTGCCCCGAGATTCTGTACTGGCCAATGAACACATTAAATTTGAGGAGAAATGTGTAAGTTGACTCGACCTTGAGGCCAACGGGAATGTGGGGATCACGAGAATAGACAGCAGGGTTTTCCCCGAGCTCTAACGCTTGGATATAAGTTCTTTTGGCCTTCTCTATGATAAGAAATGTCATAAACATGCCATGAATATCCATGGTTATATATAACCAAATGAGTGGGCGTACCTTCGTCTTCCCATTTATCTTGGCCTAGATGATTGAGGCAGTTGGGATTATTTCGACAGGCCTTCTTCGTGCAGTTGTTCGTTTCGTTTTCAGAGACCACGACAACATCATCGAGGTCGTCCTCAGCTGTCGACATAGCTGTTGACTTCTCGATGGTATGGGTATGGACACCATTAGGAGATTTCACTGGCGGAATATATCTATTAGGACAGAAGGGCTTCGTGTTTCTTTTGGACAAATAACAGGTCATGAGCCGATGTTCCAGCGTGATCTGGGAGGCCTCTGAAATCTCGGTGCCAACCCATGTCCAGGCGGAAGATGCATCACCAGAGAGTCTGGTCCGCTTAAGGAGCTGACCAGCAGGGAGGCCCTTAGGAACAGGGGAGGCGCGTCTTTTACGCTTAGGAGCCATAGTAAGTCAGAACAGACCTGTAAGTGAAGGCGCCCAAGCTAAAGAATGCTTGGTAGTGCTCAGCGGTGTTGAGTCTGTCCTATCTCTTTGTTCGCACTCACAAGGTCAATATAAATACGTCCGCAAGTCGCCCCAAGCGCGCGTAGACGGGGTTCACGTTTACGCACGTGAGCTGCGGGTTTATTACGTAGCATATCGAAACACAGGCCCGGACCGTTATCACGACTCGTCACGTCGACCCAGTCCTCTGTACTTACACCAGTACTGTTGTGTTGGTCGCGCTGGTGGGCACTTTGCACACCTTCCACTTGGCTTCGGATGTTGAACCGGGACGGCGCTTCAAACCACCCACAGCAGGTACACTTGTTGCAATTTGGCACAGAAGTTAATGCGATGGAACGCGTAAGAGCCTTATTGCACCGACCGAACAGAGGTGTGGGGGCCAGTGCAACGCGCCTTCGTCGGCGCAAGCTGCTCACCGCCAATATATATTACAACCTGAATCGATTCGTGTGCGTGAGCTGTGATATTAACCGAAAATATTGCTCATCCAACGCGTACTCTTCATAGTACAACTCTTTTTGTGGTGGGATATGCATGGATGCTACTTATCCCGCATCCAGCATTATCCCAGCGAACATATATCGATGAGAATGCTTTGCAACCTGCGCAGGTTCGTGTTGATCTATACGTTATGTCTTTCTTGACTGTTCATTCAAATCTGGTTCTAGGTGAACACATACTGGAATTGGGGGGAAGTCAACAAAGCAGACGTGTATTTGAACCACATCGAAGGGCTTTACGCTTCGAATGCATCTAGCCACCTGTAAGCTTCCTGATTTTCGCTGAAGGTCATGCCCTGATTGACACTACAGGCGAGCAGAGTTTATCAAAGACGAGTTTGCGAAGCTTGGCCTTTCGTCCTCACTGCAGAACTATTCATACATCACAAGCAGCGGGGTACGCTACCTTTCTCGTATGTTAGCATTTTTAACCGCCGGTTAGGATGTTCAAGGAGTGAACGCATATGCGGTGTTGTCGTCACCTCGCACAGCGAGCACGGAAGCCATAGTTGTCAGTGCAGCATGGTCCAGTGGCATACAAGATGGTCAAACACCTAACATGCGGGGCGTGGCTACTGTCCTGGCCCTCGCCGGGTATTTGAAAGGTGAGCAAAATCCTACTCACACAATCGTTAACTTTATTCACACCATACAGGTTATTCTTTATGGGCCAAGGATCTTGTGTTCGTCGTCAGTGATGGTTACTTGGATGGAATGTATGCATGGCTCAATGCATATCATGGAACAGTGCCAGCTAGTACGTTTGTCGACGCATTGTTTCTACTGAGGCAATTCACCTCCGCTAGATCTACAGTCAGGACCACTCGAGTATCCTTCAGGAACCATATGGACGGCCTTAAACATAGATTACCCTGGGCATTCGTTTTCTCATCTGGGGGTATTTTACGGTGTGTAGCCTGACTTTGAATGATGTCGGGACCTAAGCTTGGAATATAGAGGGGTTAAATGGCCGCTTACCGAACCAAGATCTCATTAACTCGTTGGCATTAATATCAGCGTACACAGGGGGTGTCCCAGTAACTGTTTACGATCACATAGAACCCCGGGAAAACTTGGAATTATGGGATCAAACTACCATCATCCCACACTGGGTTCCTGCTGCGCTACGACATCATCCTGCTTTGGTAGAGTATGCATACAGGGCACGTAACATAATTCGTCATGTCAGCTTTCAAGCTCGTGGCAGAGCTAGTGGTGTCCATGGCCTTTTCCACAAGTTCGTTGAGCAGCCCATGTCAAGATTACTGAAGCTCATAGAGTGCTAGATTTCGTATTGACGCTATAACACTTTTTGCTATACCTGCCATAGGACCGCATGGCTTTCACGCTTTGGGAAGGTGAAATATTATCTTGCGACTGGTCTTCAATTGGCTAAAGGTGCACTTCTAGAATTCTCGAGTCAACCCTTAGAACGGCTAACAATCTTCTCGAGCGACTTCATGCTTCATTCTTCTTCTACATCTTGACGACCCCTGGAGAGTTCATGAAAATAGGAAAGTTCTTACCGAGTCCAATACTCATTGGCATCGGCTTGATGTTAGGTGGACTGGGAGCATGGGTCAACGCCGGGTGTCTTCAAACATTGGCTGAGAACGGTGGAATAACATGGCTACGAAGACGACGGAGAGTGGCGGACACTCTCGTGGTGATGGCGGCAATGCACGTAATGGGTGCAATTGCCTTCATCACCACTTCCTCACGAATAGGTTCGACCCAACCGGTATGTATAATTGACCCTCTCCCATCATCGCCCCGCTCCTGACGGATGTTTGAGGCTATTTCATGGGCCATTTTTGCGAGTGTGTACACTGTCCCTCTGACGCTGAAGCCATACATGTCGAGGGGTCATGGGAACAAGGTTGCACCCTTTTCCTTGGTGCTGAAATCCTTTAACCTCTACCTTTCGTCGGCTGTTATCTCGATCGTTTCTTTGCTTAACTTTTCATTGGCTGCTATGCTTGCAGTGTTTTTAGGCATCCCCCTGATCACATCGAGCAGCTCACCAAACTTTACGTTGTCCATTATGCGTTATACAGGCTACTCTATCTTGGCATGTTGGTGGATGCTCTTGTGCCCTTCCCAGGTCAGTTCTGCTGTGAGCAATTGGGATGTCCTTGGAGTGTGGTTTGCACCATTTATGTTCCTAGTATACGTTCCGCTAGTGATGCAAGCAGCATTCGTTACCCTTCAGATAGAATGATATAGATGCTATTAATGTTACCAATATTTGGGATATAACTATAGTTCATCCTACTTCCATTGCATCCTCGCCGTCTACACCAAACAAGTCGTCACCGACCTCATGGGAACTAGGCTTCGTACCTACACCTTCAGCATCCGTATCAGGATCGCCCCCGCTTTCCTTCTTCCGTTGCTGCCGCTCTTTCATCTCTTCTCTCTGAAGGAGCTTCATGTCTAGGTCGGCTTGTAGTTTCTTCAGCGCGTCCTCAAAACGTTTCTAGAAGCCGCCATCAGGAAATATGGCCTAAGTGAGAAGATGAGGTCCCTTACTTTGATAAGCGGATTAGCTGAGCTTGCTATCTCACTCCCCTTCTTGGCCACAGCTGCTTGTAAGTCTCGGATCTCCTCGTTGAGCAGCTTTCTCGATTGGACAGCCTCATCGTCATCGTCCTCGCCTTCTTCTTCTTCTTCACTTTCGTCCTCGTCGTCCTCTTCTTCCTCGTCCCCACTCTCGTTTTCATCATCTCCCAGTGCCAAGTCAAGCTCAGCTGCAAGATCTTCGTCTATCTCACCGTCCCCTTCATCCTCCTCGCCTTCGTCAGCATCTCCGTCGCCAGCATCAGGCCCGGGTGTTGGTGCGTCTCCTGCATCAGAACCAGCGATACCCGGATCTCCTGCCCTTTCGTCACGGTCGATAAACTCAGAGTCCGATAGGTCTGGGTTCACATTCTCAAGAACGTCTAAAAAGACATTAAGATGCATGTCATCGTCCCAAAATCGAACCCACCGTACTGAACCTCGGCAGCTAAACCATCCTCTGCTAGTAGCCGCTCGACTTCTTCCTCGACACTTTCTATAGTCTTGGTGTGCTAGTCAGCCTCACAGCCACTGCAAATTGAGTCATCACTCACTCTCTTGTTCACTCTCTTCCGAAATCGCCGTTTTCTTGCATGATGTAAAGGGGGTGTAATTCCGTGTGGCCAAATGAACTCATCCACATTGATGTTCTTACTCAAATTGAACGTATCCTCGCCACCTATTCGATATTCTACGACCATCATCTGTATAGGCATATAGTTAGTATGTGTTCACAAGACAAGGCGGAAAGATAACCTGACAGATGTCTGCGACCTTAAACATCTGTTTACTGTCTAGTGTCTTCTGGGCTTCGATGATACAGGGGAGGTCGACCAGCTTGAACGAGTAGTAAGAATTTCCAATGTGGAAGATCCCACGTCGAGAATCTGACTACGGTGAATCCACAAATCTGAGGGAAGTCGTGTTGGTCACCTTTGAACTTGAACCAAACACTGTCCGCCACCTCTCTCGAAGCGACCATTTTTCGGAGCTTTTCGCAGTCTTCCCCAGGAGGCATCCGTATAATGAACTGTTCTTCGAAGGCGAGGTCCTCGTCATCAGAGTCAAGCTCCCGGTCGTAAGGTCCAAGGAAGGAGGAGCATGGCGCTTGTGATGCAGCCTTGTCGCTCAGTTTGAACTTGAGCTTGGGTTGCGGACGAAACTTTGCAGCTGCAGAGCGGGTTGTCCTTTCTGATTCCAGCCCGGGTGTGCCTTGGATTCTCGATGTGTTGACCATGGCTTGTTCAGCAGCAGCTCGCATAGGACGAGTTCTGTGTGGATTAACAGGTGTATGGAGAGACGCTTCACTGACGGAGGAAGGTCCCAACTCGTCGTCGACGACAATTACGTCTTCATCCATTCCTGCGCTGTCCTATTGGTTCGAGAAATCAGGTAACGCGCTTCGACTCGGAGACCTGCAGCGTGTCGCGGTATGTAAACAAGAATCAGTGCGGTATATTTACGACGAAGCTTCGCCCAGAACGGCAAGTTCCCTATTTTCTTAAGTCATCTTCACATTATGTAGTTGACTCAGTAACTATCAATGGTGTTTCGTGGTACCTGGTTTTATGTACGGATATGTAGGTTTGAAAATATGCTAGCGTGTAGGTGGTTCCTTGCGAGGGCATACGAGCTGTTACAATTATGCAGTTACTCGTCATCTGTCTCTAACTCGAGAGGGCCCTCCTCATCGCCTTCAGCTTCCCAAGTTTCATCCACGTCTTCATCGTCCGTGGCTTTAAATTTCAGCTTCATCGCACTCGAAAATAAGTGAATGGCAAGACTGGCCAATGCAAGACTGCCCCAGAGCCATCTCATTTTGCGATAGTGTACATCCTCTTCATTTTCCTTTGGCTTTTGCTGATCTTTGCTAACTTGACTGAAGCTATGCGCGAAGGGCGTTAAGGATGACAGCGTGTTCCGTTGAGGGGATGCTACCTTGAAATGGCCGTGACTGGCCTTCAACTGCACAGACTGTGCATGTTCAATGAGCTCGGGAAAAGACTGTTTCAGAACCGTTTGAATTAGCGGGTCCGGAAAGGGTGGCTCCAGAAGCAACAGAGTGTGGGCGGCCAGATAAACGTCCAACGTCGTAAGTCTGCCAATTCATTGAAACACTGGCCTACAAGGAAGATGAGAACTAACCGATCCCCGAAGCAATGTGGGCCTTGTATCACGGACTTATAGAGAGAGAAGAAGGATCGTGCTTTCTCGCCCACCTGTATAATGTAATTAGAGGCGCTCTACCATAGCCACTCAAACTTGCCTTGTCACGTTCAAAAGCACGAACAAACACTTCTTTTGAAGCTTCTTTCTCATCTTTCTTTTCCGTCTTCGCAAATTTACTTGTATGCTCTTGTTCGATATCCGGAAGGGGATTCCAAAGCTCAGATGCTTCAAGCCGGAGCTTATACGATTCTCGTATACGTGCTGGAACAAAGTACTTGTAGGGAACAGGCAGAAACGACCCAAGAGTTGGATTAGTGAGACCCCAGTAATTTGCATCCGATGAGTAGAACATATGTGACTGATGGTTTGGTTTGTGATTGTGTGAGAGCTGAGCTACCAAGGAACGTACCACTAAATCACCATAGTGCGACTCGATATGTGATATCCATGCAACCTTCTTCGACTTCAACTCCGGACCGAGCCATGCGTCGAGGTCCACAGCTGGAACCGTTCCAGACTTGGCTAATGACAACACATACGAAACAATTGCTGGAAATGAAGCCACCGAGGTATGACCGTGTGTTAGATAAGGAAGCTGACCTGGCATACAAGGATTAGAAGTAAATTTTAATCCTATGTGCATAGAGTTGAACTAACCGGAGGGGGATGCGTCAGGATTGCTACATTCTGCGACTTCAAAGTAGCCTGGAATCGTCAACTGCAAAAGAAGGACGGCTGCCAGACATGATGGTTCAACAGACGATAATTCCCACTTCCCAGGCCATACGTAAAGCACGCAGGTCGTTGAAGTTGAATCTGAAGCCATATAGCTCTTCCGCTTTTTTGCAGGACCGCCGCGACGGTAGTAAGTGCGAGCTCTGGGCCGGCGTTTAGCATATTTAAATGTACCGAGGAGCACGTGGGGCGCGCAATGTGATTATGATTTCTGGCAATAACTCCGAGACGTCGAGATCTGTCGAGAACTGCTGAGATAGCTACATATTAACATCCGCTTGGCTTCAGCGAGAGCTTTCTAAGGATGGATAGTCATCTACATGAAATAGACGCATTTCTACTGGTACTGAGTCAGACTACCTTACACCAACACCTAGCCGCTACTTAACGTGACCACGCGTTTGACGCGGGGTATAAATATAGAAATATCTCTCTCTCACAAGTACTAAGTCAAACAATACATCATATAGCAGCGAGACGACAGCGAAGAAAGCGAAGTCAATGGGTATGTCAGGAAAGCGGAGTCAAAATACTAAGTATACAGTAAAAGATAGTATCATCTCGAAGGCAAAAGCAAAGGCGGGACTATAGTACCACAAATGGCTCATGTAACTTCGTTCTTGTCAGGGTTATTTGCGACCGTTGAAGACATGATATCCGTTTCTATTAAACGTGTAGATCCCGATTCCGTTCTTAACGGGAGAGCAAAATCGAATCCTAGTATCCCTTGTCCAGGAAAACGATCACCACTGCGCTCAGGCTCCTTCGTGCTAACTGATCTTTGCTTTTGAGGCTTTTGTCTAGAGATTCCCGGATGCAGCGCCGGTTTGAGGGACGAGCTCTGCAATACGCACGCCAATTAGTTCTTCGGCGAATCCTCAATTTGCAGCGAGACTTTTACCACTCGATCAGAAACGTTGCGTTCCGAAGAGCCAGGGCCAGGGCCAGGAGTGGAACAGGGAGTCGCAAGAGGTCCTACTGAGCTCGGTGCGCTCACCACCCTAAGTCGGGTGGACGATGCACACCAAGTAGTCTGGTCCCCCGCTTCACTTGATATGATGCCCTGGGAGAACAGAAAATCTAGACGAACATTGGGTAAGCTTTGCGGATTCAAAAAAAGAAATGGGGTGCAAAGCCTACCCCTAGACCTATATCGAAAAACAAATGTGACATAACTATGAGGCTCTGATGGGCTAAGGGGTTCCACTCTCCATGTAGTGGGTGACTGCTCGGACGTGCTCCTCTCGCCACCAAACCTACAGACCTCAGAATGCTAGGAAAGAAAGAGTAGAGTGGATACTTACCCTACGCAGTGACCACCAAGCGGACCTCTTGCACCGAACTCATCGGGAATATTCTGAAGTGAATTGGCACGTTTGGCCCCAGAGAGTCGAACACGTCTTATCTTGACAACAATAGTTCCAAGGTCGTTACCAGCAACTAAGTGACGAAGTAGATCATCAAGGTGAGATAATTTTCTTGTTATCCACTAAACGTCTAACCTATTTTCCGATTTTCGGCAAAGGCGAAGGGGCGCTCCGAATGTGTACCTGTGCGGATACCTTCTCTGGAAGCACTCCCTTCTCCAAATAAGAATCTGCCTGGTATGACGAAACCGTCTAGAGTTATGAACGTGCACGTATGCGTTTTACTTCCATGATCTGTCCAATGGACCGAGAAACTCTAATTGTAGTATAGATATCAGCTGGTGTCAGGAATCGTCAAAAGGGAACAAATACTTCGCCAGCTTGGCTAGGGATCCAGCACGAGGCTCTGGACCCAGAAGGGTCGATGGCAGTAAGGTACTCTGGTAGTTCTATCCCATTTGACGCTACACAAGCTGAGAATTCGCGAAGTTTGACCATTTATTGCTCGAGTGGCAAGAATGCTGATGGGCTTGAGGGATTAGAAGGAACAAAGATTTTAAGACTACAAGCTACAGGTAGCAAAACATTGAGAACTGCTACATTTCAGGATGGAAAACCGGAATCGGAGACTGACATACCTGTACAGAGGTAAACACAACATACCAGGTTCTGGACTATAGATAGATTGTGACCAAAGCATGCTCGGTACTGGTACGCGTTTGGTCAAGGTCGTACTTATGTGTCCATGTTTGACCACGATAGACCCCGCGCGCGAACTAAGTTGGAACGCGTCCTGATTGGCCAACGCTTCCCACTTGTCAGACACGTCTGGCGCATCACAACTTATTCGTACGCGTCTCGCTCGGCCCCATTCCTCCCATAGACCATGCCGCCTAACCGCACCGCATCGAACGGACGCAAACCATCTGTTGACACAGATGACGAGTCTCAGGCAACTAGGCCGATAGCCAAAAAGGCCAAGGTTTCAAGCAGCATGGCGAAGCAAACCGAAAACAGTCTCACTTTGGCTCCCAATGGGCAACCAACTAACAAAGTGCTACCTGTCAAGATATCATTCCCTCAAAAAAGAGAGGGAGCGCTCCGAATAGCAACATGGAACATCTGCGGACTGAATACGAGTATGAAGAAAGCGAGTTGGTCATTCACTTCCATACTTTGCGACTTAACCTGGATGCAAGCAGGGATTTAGACACTACATTGAGGCAGAGGACCCGGACATACTTGTCCTCACAGAAACCAAGGTTTTTTTTTCTTGAATATTTGTGTCGACAGCTAGTTCACCTGATGTAGGTTAACGACGCGCCCATAGACCCGTTACTCACGTCCCGTTTTCCTCATCGAGCATGGTCTATAGCTGAGAAGAAGAGCTACTGTAGGTTGAAACCCCAGCGGTGAGAGCCTCTGCTAAAGTCTAGCCACACCAGCCGGGACTGCCATTTTATCCAAGCACAAGCCCCTATCCGTTACTACTGTTCTCCCCAACCATCCCGATCCTAGTTCTGTCAAAGGGCGGCTAGTGGCACTGGAATTTGCGGGCTGTTTTGTCGTCGGCACTTACGTTGTGAATGCTGGCCAGGGGCTCAAAGTAAGTATGTCCTTTGACTAGGGACACGGGCCGACAATGAAACGACTGGTGCAGACGTTGGACGCCAAAAACACTTGGAACACACATTTTACGAAATATATTCGTGAGCTTGATGGAAGGAAGCCTGTCATCTGGGTGGGTGACCTTAACGTTGCGCCCACTGACATTGGTGTGTCCTTTCTAGGCATAGTAAGTTATAAGAATTAATGGTGGGCTAAATCAGATCTCGCGAAACCCAAGCCAAATTGGAATAAAACTCCGGGCTATACCAAAGATGAGACTGACGCCTTCAAGGAGATTTTGAACACCGAGGGAAAGTCTGCCAAGTTCGTGGACGTCTGGCGAAGGCTACATCCGAAGGATCGTCACTACACGTACTTTTCGTATCGTTTCAATTGTAGGGAGAAGGGCTTAGGCTGGAGACTGGATATGTGTAGGTCTCTGCGTGAGTGTACCAGGTACACACGCTAACCAAGACTTCTTCGCAGTCGTTCTTAGCGAACGTCTAGAACCCCATGTCAAGATGTGCGAAATAAGGAGCGAGATATACGGCGCTTCGGACCACGTCCCTGTGGTACTTGAAATTGACGAGGTTGTTGTGCTTGGTTCGAGCTAGTTCCAGAGTCACATAATTATAGACTCGCTGGAGTACTGACGGGGCCAAAACGCCTTTCCATGAAATATAATCCACTGATACAATTAGTATTCGCCGAATCTCACATGCCCTGTTTCTTGTGCGTGAGCTCGAGCATCCTTTTCACCCTTCAAACCTTGGCCACATTGCTGAAACCAGACGTCAAATATCTGTAACGAAGCACTGAGCACGGAGGTAGTGCGTACCTCGCACTTGAGGTCAAATGTAGCCGTGTTAGTGAATGCCTTCTTCCCTCGTAGGATGGTGGCGAGTCTCTGAGCTGCGTCCAACACAGGATCTTCATCGTTCGCGAAGACCTAGTGGATGGTAAGCTATCAAGCCGGTGACCTCAAAGAAAGGGTAGTCACAATAGGAAAGACCGTCTGGTGCCATTCTGCAGGTGCATCAGGTGTTGGTGCCATTGAAGCAACATCGTAATGGATTCCAGAGTAAATCAAGACGCATCTGAACAGCAATGGCTCATTAGAGGGAACAGACACAAAGTAGATGACGACAAACCTGTTCCCCGTAGCTTGATTAGGTGGCGGCACAAACTGATCTATTCTCCCAGTTTCTACATCAATTGACGCGATTTCGGTGTTATAATGCTTCGCCAGGACCGCGAGTTCAATAGCTCCGCCCCATGTTAAAGGTTTCAGGATATTAGAAATATACTGTTCACGGGTCTGGCTAGATCAATCTGTCTATCAGACAATGCGTAATATTCAAGGACCGGTCGACACCCACCCCAGTATAGCTTCGTTGTAGGTTTCCATATCATCTCTGATACCATCGGCAACAACTGTTTGGAGCAGGATGTCTTAATTTTCCGGCGCAAGCCTAATCCCACCATTGCTCACCTTCCCTGATTCTCTGGGCGCGACTAATATCCTGCTCGAAAACAAGGGCAACAGAGGAGAAAAGGCAGGAATTATCATCTGGAACGATCTAGAACAAGATAAGCGTCGTCCAGCGTTGTGGCCTGAGCTTACGCGATGAACGAAGAAACCGTTAGGGGTTTCAATGTTATCTGGCCCCGCACTACGTGGAACAATAGGAGGCGCCTGTAGTTTTGGCGGCGCCGTATAATTACTTGAGGTACTGCTTCCAACGAGATTAGACGTAGCGGGGCTTTGCTGAGACGAAGTTGCCTGGGAAAGTTTCTGATTCACAATTATCTGCTCGCCAGCCTTGATGCCAAGACTTGACAGATGGAGCTCGGGGACGAGTGTCAAAGGTTGGGGGGGATACCCAGATCTGACTGCAACAAACAGTGTACACGCTTTGGAGAGACAAAAACGTTGATTAACTTACGTTCTTGCCGAGAAGGGGGAATCTCCGATACTCCAAATATCTGCTGCTGCAGATCTTGCACCGTGGACGAGTCGATATCGACCTGCAGTGTCGACACGCCCTTTGGATGTCTCAGCCGCAGAGGGGTCATGTGCGGGTACGAGCGTGAATGCGATATCTGTTTAAGTTACTTGCAATTGCTCGTATTAATACTCTAGTGTAACAACAACAACCCATATACTTGTGTCATCGCCGAATCAGGTACTCAGTAAGGCACTGCCACTGCTCGAACCTTGATTTCTTTGGCCGATTCCGGAGGGGCAGTAGGTACACCTCGTTCCAGTGCCTGCAGGACCGTCTTTTCCCTTTCAATCTCCCTCTCGTGCTCCGCGTCTTTCACCAGCGCGTTGAGCTCGGCTTCGATATCAGCGTCCGCTATGTCGTAACCCTCTGTAACTATGTCTTCTCCCATTCGGATGGCATCATCCACTTCTCGTGCTTCTGCGTTCGAAGCAGCAAGGGCATCCATCGTCTCATCAATCTTTTCCCGTTCGAGAGAAGGATGGCTTAAGATCTCTTGAAGCGTCTTCGTGGATGACTCGTACAGTTTCATGATCTGCGGTTCAAATCAGCTCACATCGTAGCTGGATTCCTTTGGTATAAACTATACCTCTATGTCACCCGCAGCTCCTTCAACACGCACGAGTGTCGACTCTAGGTTTTCAAGGGCCCCTAATCGCTTCAACAACAGATCGTGGAGATGTTTCTTATGCTTTAATTGCGCAAGTGCGAAAGGTTTACGCTGGAGACGGAGAGCAGCTGAAGCTTTCTCAGCAGCCCTAAGATCGTGTGTATTAGTAGTATGTTCCGATAGCTTTGTCTTCACATACCCATCAACTTGCACTTGAATACTATCAACTTGTGCATGCAAACGTCCAACAGCTGCCTTGAGTTCCAATATTCCTTTGTCCACCGGTGATATAGTAGCCTTTTCGCCTGCTGAAAGGAACTTGACAAGCTAGAAAGATAGATTAGGTGACCCGTTAAGAGGTTGAAAATCAAAAGACTGACGTCGTTGTCCACCACGACCTGTCGACGTTCGCGTTCCAGGAAGCGTAAGAGCACGCGAATATCTTGATCGCTAAGCTGTACGCCAGGCAAGGCTCTTGATGCAAACTGTGTCCGGAATGATTCAGTAGTATATAGCCTGTCTCCAAGAGAAGCCTCTCGAGACTTCTGGAGTTGTAGAACAGCATCGGCAACTTCTTCAGCCAGGTGAAGTAGCACGTAGTCGCCCTCTATCCTCTTCCAAACTTCAGCCTCGGAGTAGGAGTCTTCTGAGCGCACAATATCCAGCTGTTCAAGAGCCCACCATAACGGCTTTCCGATCACGAAAGACGCAAGCCGCCATGGAAGCCACCCCGCGTCGTATATAGACTGTTGGGAGGTCAGAAAGTGTGAACAAGGGATAAGCGCCTTCTGTCGGCAAAGCTCAACCTTTACTAGTGGAGGTACGATGAGCTTTATGGATGTGAGGAATGAGGTGCACTGGACGTACTATAGTAGAGCCAAGGCCCAATGGCTTTCCTATTCCTTCCACTCTCAATTTGTCGACGAGTGACCTCTGGACTGTCAAGATGAGTTTGCTGCTCTGTGACGACGCCGTTGGGTGTATGTCAGCTGGCGATGTTTCTATCCATCCATGGGACGAAAGCAGTTCAAGTGTGTTTTGCCACCAGTCGACGTGTGCTCCGTATGAAGATGGGTTGGAACGTTTCTGACGAGATACGTCAGAATAGAGAGATGACAAGCGACTCTTAGATATTGATGCATAGGGTGGCAAGGCTGTGAGGGCTGAGGTGTTCGTCATGTTTGCAACGTTGCAGGACGTGAGGCAGGCCCAGGATCAATGTTTGCAAAAGATTCAAGACCGTGAAATGACAACTCCTGAGGCCTGATCCGGGACGAGCACTTTCCCACCAGTGACCAGCGTGTCGAAACAAAGAACAGTACTAGCAGTACTTGCCAGGGTTACTGGAAAGTATGCCAAAGTATCCACGAAGCATTCACGAATCCGAGTAGACTAATATTAGGCCGCGGAGGAGGCCGATGTATAGTGCGGCCGGCCCTAAAGCAGGGACAAAAATTTGGCGATTATCCACATCCCGCCTTCCTCATCTTTTAACAACTACCCAGGCGTTGGCTTACCACATGCTTGGCTGGCCATCCTATGGCTCTTCAAGCATCTCCGGGCGCCTCAGATTGAACACTACGTTGCATTCTTTGGCTAAGTATTCTGGGATACAAGTGAATAAGTTAGTCACCTAATGTACCGACACCTCTTCACCCACATGCACGTTATCACTGTACCCCTGCCTAGCCTGCTTCTAAAGAAATTAATATCCCTGGAGCTCCTTCCCGTGTAGTCTCCCTTATGTGGTGAAACGATTAATGAGTCTGCAGAGAGGTCAGAGGATGTATTGTCCATGCCAGGGCTATATATTGAAATCGAACTAAATATTACCCCTTATGTTCTACCATATCTATGTCGTTTTCAAGTTTCTTCACATGGTTGTGCTTATTTCCGGTGCGCCAGTGTACTGGCCAGGCCGACTGACACTTGTGGCATGGGCAGTATCTTCAATGTGAGGGAATGGGAAAGTGTTGGGGTCCGACGGATCCTGTGTCGAGGACAGGCATATAAATGAACTGCATTCGAGCACGAGATTAATGATGGGCACTCAACGTATAACTTATGTTGCACTATACCCTGCTGCCACTGTGAAACTTGAGATGAATCTGTCCTGCTACAGGCTTGCTCAGATCGTAAGATTTGACACTAGTGTTTGCGAAGGATCAAACATAGGACGCCTGTGATGGCAGCCAAGCCTACTGCTCCACCGACTACAGCTCCGACGGGCGTACCTCTTAGAGGGAATTGCTGATGGCGTCCCAGAGGTTTCTAAGCAAATTCATACTGAATGAAAAAGTGTGTTTGTGATGGTTGATCATCCGATTTACCTGTAGCGGCTTGAGCAGCCGTCACGTTAAAAGAGTCCTGTTCATGCGAATAAGATGAAGCTTAAGAAAGGAGCGTGATGTTACAAAACACCGACGGATGCATTTAGGTAAGCCCATTGAGGTAAAGATATGTTCGATGGTAAGTTTGAGAGGCTTGAGAATGAAGATCATATAGATCAGTAGGAATGAAGAAAGGGCTATAAGTACCACTTGGCCCACCCATCACTAATCAATTCTGCGCCGCAATTATTGGGCCCATGCAGCCCAACTTCCGCATAACACTGGTTAATACTTACCACGGACTGTAGCAACGGAAGGGAAAGCACCTCAATTTGTCCAGTTGAGACTCTGGCACCGCGCGCACGCACTCAATAATGAATACGTTACACGGCTACATTGGCATGGATTACTGAGATCTGCCGTGGGACCGCTGTATTTCCTACCAGAACCAGGGGACCAGATGGTAACACCTTAAATTGACGCGTATAAGCATAGTGCATGGCCTGGTTATGTGTTGTACTCAGAATCACCAGCAGGATGGCACACTTGTAGCAAGGAGGCAGCTACCACACATGGGCTATAACGGTCAACGTTGTTCATCTAAAAGGCGTGGTATTAAGATAGCCATGCGACAAGTTCATCATGAAGATATAAGCAATCAGCAACTCACCCAGTCAAATTGTGACGGGCAGGAGACATTGCTATTTTGGGCGTTGCAGGAAAGCAGCAGCAACAAATACGAGCAGAAGGTAAAGCATAGCAAGAGTCACGTTGAATTTAGGTGAAGGTGGAAAACGAACAGTTGGGCTTTTCTTATAGGTAAAAACTCAGTTACGTCAATTTGCAGGGGCCATCAGATGGTAGTGAAGAATTGTGATGATCTTGCACTCGGAAGGGCGTGTTTTGGATCCGGAATGGCGCATAAATTTTTGGGCGGCTGAGTTGATACTAAGGCCATACGTTGTACAAGGTTTGGCTAAGCACCAAGGTAACCCGTGAAGGAACGGGTTGGAGTTCGCCAGAGTCTAATTTGTTTGCACCAGTCTGAACGTTTGAACACCGGTGCTACAGCAGTAGCTATTTTCGGTTGATGGTTGTACTTCATCTGAGGTATCCAAACCAAGGCATCGCCTGAGATCTCGGATATTTGTGAACTGTATACCTTTTGTTTTTGGCACGTCACCGTTAATAATGCATTGCGATGGACTAAATAGTACATAGGGAGCACACCAAAAAGTAGCAAGCTTTGGCGCTTCTTCTAGCACAGGACTTTACCATTGTAGATGCCAACTAAATCTCTGGAGCGCCACTATACTGACCGGGCCTCGTAGGCGAGTAGGGATGGTTCGATTGAAAATTGGAATTGGTGGTGTGAATAGTAGGTGTCGGGGCTGTTGGCGGGAAAGTACTTGGGTCCGAGGGGTCCTACAGATAATCAGCTGGCGTTCTAGTAGCACCCAATGTACGCTCACGTAAAACTTGGGTTGAGTCATGGAAGCCTGCTGTTGAGATTGTTGATTGGAGTACATGCTATTCGTATATCCAGGTCCGCCTCCGCCTCGACCCTCATTGAAGGAAGCTGACGGGGGCGTTCGAGCGCGACGTCGACGAAGGGTAAAGAAGGTGATGGCCCCGACGACTGCGGCCAAGCCGACCACACCACCGACAACGCCTCCGGCTATCGCGCCGGTATGAGACGTGCGTGAGGATGATGTAGGAGAGCCCGACGCCGCTGTTGAACTGGACAATACGGTTGCAGTAGTCTGGGTCGGGACGGCTGTGGATTCGGGAGAATCTGAGAACAAGTGAGTATTGAGTTCTCCTGAAGGGAGGGGTATGCTCACCACCGTTAGCCTGTGCAGCCGTCACATTGAATGTATCGGAAGCCTAAACAACTTCATGAGTTATTTACGAAATTTGACACGTGCTAAAGTCAATACCGTAACATCCAAGTATGCCCAAGCCGGAACCGTTGTACCAGTAGGGATGTTGTCGGGAAATCTAGCAGATGTGAGATAGTACGTTGTATGTGAGGTTAAAAATATTACACTTTGGGATAGATCGTTGAGCAATTGGTATCCCACGAGCTCCAGCTATTAGGCCAAGGTTTATTTGAGTGAAGCCGACGCAGAATCAAGCGGGCCTACTGACTCAATATAAGTGCGGTTTTGGCAGATTGCACAGGCACTAATCAATGAATATGTGACGCTACTGCACTGACAGGAATTGGTCTGAGCCTGAGTGGGACCGGTATAGTGGGTGTTTGGCTGCAAGGCTTGCACCGTAAAATCTAGCAGGAAATGGGGATGAGGGCTACTGCATAGATGATACAATACTTACCCCCGCCATTGCAAGCTCCTTGCAAGTATGCTGCCACCAAGCATGGATTTTGTTGGCGGCTGTTACTCATCTAACAACGAAGATAAGGGCTGTACAATCGACGAAATGATTTGGATAAGTACCCAATTGAACTGGTCTAAGCAGGTGGCGTTAGAGGACTGGGCTTCTGTCCTGTCGGTTGTGGAAAGAACGACGAGTGCAACAGCGACAAGAGACATCTTCATCGAGCCAGACATGGTGGTTGAGGGAAGAGAGTCGGAACCGTTGGGAGTGAATGGGGTCGAAGTAGCCCTGACAGGCTGACATTCAAGCTGTTCAAACCTTGCACCTGATGGCAGAGGTATAATTAATGCATCCGAACGTTTCATGCCCTTTTGCGCGCTTGTGTGCAGTTGAAGTTGTAAAACCTTCTCGAGAGTCGATAATTGGTGGCGGAGTGTGTAGTCGTCTAACAAGGTCCTCGTTGGCTAGCTCCTTGATAGAATCACTTTGTTAGTAGCAAGGGGCTGACGCGAAAGTGGGCCATGTTAGGAGAGCACAAGGTCTATGAGGGGGCGTTTCAGGAGCATGTACGAACATCAACAACATGTTACTTGGCGAGCCGGGGATGTCTACTACGCATTGGGCAAGTGCCTGCAAGGGCGATGGCACAGCCTCTCACAGCCTGGCACAGCATCACTTCCGTACTCAGGGGCGCACAACGCGCTGCACAGCCATCAAGTACACCGCGGAGCTTGCTGACTAATACTGTATAGCTCCAAGCCACCGAAGCGAGTGCGAGTAGCTGCCATTAGTGGCGTTTAGAGCTCATCGTCCTCAAGATTCGCGATGGCCCCCTCAACTACGTGCGTGCGTCCCTTGTATCGTCTAAACCCTGCATCTGACTGCTACGTTACTACATAGCGTTCCCTCCGTCACGGTGCGTTGATTTTGGAGTACACACTGACCAGATCTCATCAAACGTTGTCCAGGACATTGAAGTCCCGGAGACGCTCCTCAAAAAACGCAAGCAAACTGAGAAGGCTCGGGAAGAGCGTCTTTCTGCTGCAACTGCTGCACGCAAGGTGAGAAGACTGTTTTTATGCACCACCTTTCACTTGCGCGTTACTGTGATGCATACCTTCATGAATGGCTAGTCATACAATGTTGCCTTCAATTAACCATCTTTCGGGACTGAAACTTTCCTCATCCTTGCTCTCCCTTGACTCTCATCGATGACATACTGACTGACGATTAGGCTGCCAAAGCGCGCCGGGGGGTAATCTTCAAGCGCGCGGAGAGCTATGTGAAGGAATATCTCTCCAAGGAGAAGGAGGAGATTCGGCTGAAGCGGGCGGCACGCTCCACAGGTGACTTCTATGTCCCTGCTGAGCCAAAAGTTTACTTTGTCATCCGTATTCGTGGGTTCGTATGAAATATCCTCGTGGAAATTCGCCAATTGACATATACTATTCAGTATCAACGAGATAGCCCCCAAACCCCGCAAAATCCTCCAGCTTCTTCGTCTCCTTCAGATTAACAATGGTGTGTTTGTCAAGGTGACCAAGGCCACTCAGCAAATGCTCCGTCTTGTTGAGCCATATGTTACGTATGGGTACGTGTTGTTTATTGGTTAAATGACTCGCCTTCGATTGGTTTCCCTTCCATAGTGAACCTAACATCAAGTCCATCCGTGAACTCATCTACAAGCGTGGTTATGGCAAAGTCAACAAACAGCGCATCCCTTTGACCAACAACAGCATCATAGAGGAGACCCTCGGAAAATACGATATTTTGTCAGTGGAAGATCTCGTTCACGAGATTGCCATTACTGGCCCCAACTTCAAGCAGGTGCGCATCGATTTATTCTTCATCCGCCTGTTGGCACTAATGCTTATATGTAGGCATCGAACTTCTTGTGGCCGTTTAAACTCTCCAACCCCACTGGCGGCTGGAGAACGCGGAAGTTCAAACACTTCGTTCAGGGAGGCGACTTCGGCGACCGCGAGACAAACATCAACAAGCTCATCCGGCAAATGAACTGATGCGTCTCTGTTGGCTGTCTGGACGGGGGGATGATCGGGTGCATGGGGAGGGATGCCAGCTTGTAATGCCATATGTCGATATGCTTTGCCAGAAGAGTAACATCTTAACGTCATGTCATATGGTCCTATGAAATGGGGATTCGTTTGTAAAACTCTCCTAAGCTCAAGGCAGCGTACTTGGTGTCATTGAGTCCTGATACTAAGTACTTATATATCCAATTGCGAAGGGCATGATTTTCGGGGGAATGCGTGACCTTTAAAATTGTACTATTAGCATGAGGCTTGGTCATCCCAAATCGCCACCATTACAATGTCAAGAGATGAATTATCTGAATCCCGTCGAGTAAACGAGATATTGCGAAACCTCAGGTTCGTTGCAATGTAATCATACATCCAACACCTCCCATTGATTAATGTATCAGAGGAGAACAGTACCGTCATCATCGCAACATAAATCGTGCACGAACGGACATTCTTCCGTCCTCACTCACACACAATACCCCATCTCTCCCGACGAATCTCGTTTACTCTGTATCTCAAGGTACTGAACGGCCAGATCGACTTGCAGGACCTGACCCTCCGAGGAGTTGGGCGACAAACCCTCTGCAGACCAATGTGGAAGATCGAATCAAACCTGGTAGCTCAGGCCACGGGGAACAGAACTCAGCCGAGTTCCGGGCAGATGCTCTATCTCTAGTCATACCGGGCTCAACGTCACTCGTTAATGGCGCCTTGATATTGCCTCTTACTACGTATTGCCTCGACGCCATCCTCCGGACGTGTAGCCAGCGCGACATGGCGCAAATAGCGGAATACATTCCAGCTCATCTACGGCGATATCTAGTTCGTCTAGCAGCTATACGATCGCCACTATCCGATATGGTACTAAATGCTTTGCGCGACGAGGGGGAGTACGTTGATGGTGAGTGCGTCATTGTCGGTCCGCACGGTGTCTTGCAAGTCCCTCAAGACGACCACCCGAGAATCGATCGAAACCTAGGCAAAATGCCTTTACAACATCATGGTGCTCGGGGAGATTCCTGGGAATCGAGCCTCGAAGCCCCGGGCCCGACTGCGCCACATACGTTTGCTATCATTTCATTGCCGTTGACCACGAGCAAATTTTTGTCTCTCCCGCCCACAATAACTCGACTAGCGCTTATCGATGTCTCGACCTCTCTCCCCATACGCCGGCTTCATCTGATATGCCCATTGCTCGCTGTGCTCGATCTATCTTACAACGTCTGGTTGAGCACACCGGAAGCTGGATCACGATTGGTTAAAGAGGTTGACTGGAGCAAACTACGCAATTTAGAGATTCTTGGTTTGCGGGACTGCTATATCGCTCCTGATTTACGTGCTGTAATCAACAGAGGATCGTGGCGCGATGTGCAAATTGTCGTATAACATACCACCCAGAAGAACTTGCCCTTTGAACGTGGAGCGTCATTCAAGCTCAAGAGTGGAGGTGCGCAAGAAATTGTAATGGGAATAAGACACTGCGACCGAATATTACACCCAAGACAATGCATGAAGCACATGAGACGCCAGATGAATAGTATCTTAAAGGACAATATACAGCAGAAAGGTATGTAGGTTTTTGCCATCGTTGGAATGCAATACTAAATACGTGCGATAATATCAAACTACACCTTAGAATCTAGGAAACTTCGTTGATCAAAAGCCCTCAGATACTGTGAAAATATGATCAGACACACTCCAAGACTTATGCAGGAAGCTTGCCTCCGAAATGTCCCTATCGCTGCCACTTGATCCCGAACTCGTGACTGCGGCTAAAGTTGCACCAGAAATACCTGGTGGTCTGTTGCTCTTGGACGGGACTTTGACATGAAGGTGTTGTAATGAGGCAAATATGGCGCTGTTATATCGAGCAGCAAGCTCCAGGAGGGATACTGCGGGAAGATCACAGCGATCTGTACAAAGAATCAAGTCAAACATAGACACGGGTGCGATGTTGGAGAATACCGACAGAGAATAGCGCTATTGATCTGATCAGCCACTTTGTCACGACGCTCCTGGGAAAGGTATTTGGACACTGGGCTCTCTTCTGGAACCGGGTATACAAGCAAGCTGCTGACATTCTCGAGTTCTTCCATAAACAATTTTCTATCACCTGGCTTTGTAAGCGATACAACGCTGCGGTGCATCTTCTGGGCTCGAGCTAGTAGTTGCGCTGCACTTTCGTCATCCGCTGATGCGCTGGAGGGTCCAGGGACGGGTGGCTCAGCATTCTCATACATGGATGACGAATGGTAGGGCAGAGACTTTGTGCGGCAGCCTTCAATGAAGGCTTGTATCTTCAAATTCAGGGAAAGATGCGCGGGCTCCACTGTCGTAGATGAGATGTAATCCACCTTGTGAGAAGAACTGGAAGCGTCGCCCTGCTTATGTGGTGGGATTTCCGAAAGGACGGAAGGGAAGTGTTGGTTTAGTAGCTCTGTTGCCTCATCTATCCTACCTGAGAGGATCTTCAGACGTATGCCTAAGGCGTGAGATGACTGAGAGTGTATAACATGTAAAGCTGGGCGCACGTACGGTTACGGAGATGTATTTTGCTCATTCGTTCCTCCGTCAAGATCTTAGCGACATAATCCCCCGCATCGCCTTCGGAAGGCATGATCTCGTCACCATCAGCGTCCAGATGGTGCACGGAGCTTTCCTTCGCAAAAGTCTGGGCGGCTTTTGTGTATGAACTGTGACAGAGATAGTCCAACACCAAAGCCCGCTAACAAGATCACGGCGGAAGAATAGGTACAGTACTTGCACATCGCTCAACTGAGGCTCACCAGATGATCGGGACGCGGGTCGTCGAAGGAGGAGTTCGTGCCAGCCGTTTCAGAATGCTGCGTAGCCCCAGTGTACGGAGGCATTTGTTGATGAGAGTGACAGTCAAGGGTGGTCTCAGCTTAACGTACATGATTGGCCATGACCATGGCGGATCCCCGTTGAAATGCTCACGTGCGGGTCAACACAACCTGATCCGACTGTGATCAGAGAATCAAAGATCTTGTTGCTCAATCTGCTGTTCAAAGTTCACTACGTAGAGGCAGCTCATTTCAGGTCGTAGTAGAATCCAAGTAATTATAGTGACAAAGATATAAAGTATCATGCCGTTATACCTCGATGTTTGCCTGATGACCAGAAGTCCTGCTTCTTGTTGGACGGTTCTCTTCTATTTGGGAGTTTGCAAGAGCATCCCCTGACAATAGTCCAGATTCCTCCTCTGATATCGTTCGATGCCGTGCGGAGTTACTACGCCCTCGTTGACGTGGTTTACGCACGCGATAAACGGCGAACTGAGAAACGATTGTGACGTCGAACACAAAAGTGCCCCCACTGCCTAGCAAGTAACTAGTATGATCGTGAGCTTCGTTAGTGAAAGTGACATAACATGAAACTCACGGGATGCTCTCTTTGAAGAAATCCGTGGATATTGGTGGAGGCGCATGCGCTGGGGGTGATGAGAGGAGGGAACATACGTAAAAGAAGTTGCCCAAGAAAGCAAACACAAAAAGGTATAATGAGAGTCCTTTAACTGATTTTCTGACATACTGTGCACATTTCGTCACTATAACGCAAGCAAGCATCAGAATACCACCTACGTTTTTCCATATTTGTGGTAATCTTGAGGTCAGGTATAATGTAGTACACAGCCAGGCGAAGAAACGCCCGACAATACGCTCCGTTGAGGGAGGGTTCTCCTCGATATCCAGCCGCACATGATCCTCTGCATCTGGTACCGCGGGAAGCTCAACTATCACGGAGCTATTTTCCAAAGCCCAAGTTTCAAGTATGTTGACTTCTTCGCCTCCACTACGACGTGTAGGCGTACTTTTGTCAACTTCGGTAGATAGGCCCCTTCCAAGGACCCGGCTGCGTAGAGAAATGGCCCCATCATTACGTGTCACCGTGCCAAAGCTGAAGAGGGCCCAAACCCCAAGGAAGACCATGGCAGCGCCTCGTCGACTGGCTCTAGAGCTCGTTCTCCGAGAACTTGAGGGCTGTCTGCTGGAAGGCTCAATATCGTCGTACGTGTCCCCCTCCCCGTCGATGTCTCGCTGCAGTGCACGTCCGCGCGTCCCTGTCGGCGAGACGGAAGGCAGTTCACGACTTGATGTGATCCGAAGGGAAGGTGGAAGCACAGGAGATAACTGCCGATGCGTTGAGCCGCCATGCACATCCAAACGCTCTTGGCTCCAGGACACCCGTTTTCTTCCGCTACCGTGTCCATTATCCGAATGAAAGCTATCAGATACGGCGGAGAACACGGCATCGTCTACTTCATCAACACGTTCTGATGGTATCGTTGACTTGGGGATCGATTCGTGTCCAGTTAAGTCGCGCTCTTGATGCTTGCGTGCATGCCTTGCTTCTACTTCAGCGTCATGCTGAGCCGCGAGAGCAGCTGATGCAGCAACGTTACTGGCAACTGCCGACAGAGTGCGGTAGTGGGAAGTATTCCTTTCGAATGATAATGCTCGCCTGGAGACAGTTCGTGAACGTGACGAGACACTGACTCGTGAGGTCGTTAAAGTCCCTCCACCGTAATAGAAATATTGAATGAGTAGCGAGAAGTCGACTAAGCAAAAGTATGTTGCGAGCCATGTCTATGTAAAGTAAGTTGATGGTCACGACTGGACTGATCAATGTACTAACCTGGAACGGGAGTTGGTGGGTAAGGATGCATCCGATCAGGTTGGAAAGATCGCCTATTGGAATCGTAAATATGAGCCCTGGAGCTTGAAGTAAGGCGACCAGTGATAGACTGACCAAGGAGCCAGTTGAAGAGGAAAGGGAGCGATAGGCCTTCACAAGACTTCCTCTGGAAGTTCTCCACCACTTGGCTACCGAAGGGAAAAGTGAGTCCGACATGATGGATTCGGAGGAGACAGGACAAACGGAAACTGTGCGCCGAGCCAACAAGCTATAGAAGTGAAACCAAGAAGCTCGCTAAACGAATAGGTTGACATGGATGAAATGAGGGAGCCTCAGAAGAGGATTGGGGCGGGTAAGTGGCTGGTAGCTTATCGAGCGAGTGCAGCACGAAAGCACCACTCAGTAGAGCGAGATAACAAGTGAGCCGGCAAGTCGATGACAATTACAAGGAATGTCACCAAGTCCAGTAGTGGTACCACTGGATCTGGTGGGCTGTGGTAATGAAGGTAAGGACGAGTGCAAACAACTCAAGCTCAAGTCTCTCCCCGCAACGCCGCACTATTCGGCTAGCCGGTACTTGACCCGATTAATTGTTAGGACCCTCCGGAACCTTTCCGGGGGCTCCGTCCTAACACGATTGGCAGATAAGGTGAGACAGCAAGCAACAGCAAGTACAACTTATAAGTTACTGGCATTGGCAAGCTTTATTAATTTATTCTTGTACGCGCTTAGGTTATTTGTTTGGTCAACAAGGCACTTTGAGTTCTGTGATCTTCAAAATCACCTGTCGAAAACACAACCTATATCTGTCTAGTCTCCCCCTATATCAGAAGACAGTCGTTCTTGATATCAATCTACCTCATAGTACTTCATGACTATAAACTCTTGTTTTCGAAATAGCTATGTAAGCCTAACCTACCCTAGCCCACAAAGGTCCGCAAACTATTGTTCAGCTACCAGCGTCACCGTGGCGTCATTCACAACCAGCCCCTGCAGTTCTGAGAACCACACAAGCACGCTTGTACTTGAGACATATTTCTCTTCTCCACATCACCACTAGATGACCCCAAGTAGTCAATGGTCAGCTCGGTTCCTGCAGGAATGACATCCTTCGCAGCAAATGCCAGGTATGGAACATTAAGCTGGTACCGCCTCAGCCATATGCTGAATTCATAACTACAGTTCTTCGCTCTCACCTCAGGTATAGTGTCATAAACTACTGAGTATACCACGAGATTTGGGTCACATGAATGGCTTGTAGAAATGGAGCCTTGTCAGGCTCAGTGTCGCATCAACTCGGCGAGGAAACTCACTTGATAAACCGTGTCCAGTTCCCTGTGTTAGACGCAGCGCGATTACAGATGGTTGCGATGGAAGGTCCTGTGAACTCACCATGATTGTAACTGTCGACAGAGAAACGCCCATCAACTGACACATCGCCCCCATCATCATCTTCTTTGCCATCCAGATCGAAGACATAGTCTAAATGATTAGCGTCCAAACTGGCAACATCTCCTCGTCGTCTAAGGGCATTCAGGACCCTTCATAGCGCACAGTACAAGGAAAGCATGGCTCACATGACTTTGCTGGCGTGCGAAGCCAACTGTTAGAAAGGTTATGACAACCCAACTGTACTCACCCTGTATATATGCCAAGAACTTTTCCTACCTCGAGATCATGAGTTGCTCGCGCCGCCCATCCACGCTGCAAGGTCTTGAAGATCTCAATCCCTACATCTCGTGGTTTCTGGGCAACGCGGTTGCTACAAGCGATCTCACATCTGCAGCACTTCATCATAAAAAATCAGTTAGCGTCAAGGATGACGAAGGAGAACATGACAGTAAGACCTTGTTGCATTCCAGGACTTCCACACCTCCTGGCACATGGAACAAGAATAAGCCCTGAATACGAGCTATCAACATCGGAAGAAGTGTTGAAGAATTGAAGTCCTACATCATCAGAATATGCACTGATCTTCTGACCATGGTCATCCTTAAGCTCGGATGGAACTTGACAATCGCACTTTGAGGGGTCATGGCAGATTGTACAATCACACGCTGTGAATAATGCATCATCAACACTCATATGAGGATCCAGGTCTGGTTCCCTGCAAACGAGCCAGATGAGAAGAGGCAGGCATTATGGTTGGGAGGGCAGCTGGTCACGACTTACCAACAATAATTATTTTCCAAATATTCGAAGGTCTCTGAACCTGGGGGCACTTCCTCATCATCAATTTCGTTTACAATGAGCACAGGCGCAGGAGCTTTTTCTATGGCTTTCTTCCACCGATATTTTTCTGTAGCTTTATTCCACATTTCCTGCACTACCTGACGTCTTGGCCAGAGGTGAGGTCATGTACAGTGACAAAAAGACAATAATGAAACATACCGGCTTTTCGGGGAGGAAGTCAATCCAGGCGATACAGCAGGTATGGAACTACTATTGCTGGGGCTGTGTACAGATGACTCGCGGCAAGGAGTTGAGCTAGACTCATGGTGAGATGCAGCTAGGTCATCTTTTGATCGAGGTTTGTGGCTAGAAGACTGTCTGGCAGGCGATGAATATGGGCGAGAGCGAGGGCGAAGCGCCCGATTTTCCATCTTTAGGGGTAGTTGCTGAGCCAGTTCAACTTCCTCATCCCACCCTGCTGCACTGCGTTCACTGGGAGATGTTGGCACTTTACTCATCCTTTCATCGAAGGCATGAGCACGCAGCTCGGTTCGCCAAAGATGAACCGACAGAGTGTCAGGCAACGGTATAGCTGAGTCCACTTTTGCGAGATCCTTCCTCATTTGCTTCTGCTTCCTGTCCCACGTCTGTACGAGATCCTCTCGGCCAGGAATTGATGACATCCAAGTAGTGTTGGTTCCGTCAGGACGACTCCATCCACCTCCCCATTGCACCTGGCAACACTGTGAGCATGGTGAGAGATTGAGGTGGGTTGGACCTACTTCATATCTTTGAAACAGTCAGCATCGGCGGGACACGCCATGCTGTAGCTTGTGCTCACCTCTTGGTTCCATCCAAGTCAACTTCCTCTGCAACGATCCCTTCGACCAACCATTCTCCATCTTCGTTGGCACCTTCATCGCTCCAAGACTCCTCCGGAGTTGCAGCACGCTCCAGTGATTTATCAGTCATTGGCTGAGCAAAGCTTTGTTCCAGGCAAGATCAAGGTCGGTATGAGCAGCCGCTCAGGGGTACAACAGGGGGAATAACAGAATGCGAAGGGGAAGACCCAAAATGGACTTACGAGACGCGATATCGTGACCGCGTGACTTTGATTTCTCAGCGCGACGCGTGACGCGTCGTTGACGCGCTTGCATTTCAATTAAGCCCTCTTTGCCTCCTCTTTGTGCCTTTCTCTCGCTGACTGACGGTTCCATTTCCACACAACCAGTTTATGCTTCGCCGCACACCCACCACATCAGATGGTAAAGCCGTCGACAGACTCCAGGAGAGTGCACGAGTCAATAAACCGTTCAAGCCACCAACCCTGGTCACCGCTCGCGACCAGCCAACAAGGAAGCGAAAACGCGTCTCATACAAAGGTGCCCAGGCAGAAGAGAATGACTCGGACTCAGACTCAGGGCGTACGTCAAAACGTAAGAAAACGGACAAGGATGGCACCTGGACAGAAGAAGAAATTCGCGCAGCCATCAAGACCTATCCCGTTTACAAGCCTAAACCACTTGATACATCGCGCAGATTTTCAATGCCTTCAATGAGAAATTCCAGCGGTGTCGAAGTGCTACTCACTCCTAGCAACATCTCCTTGGGTATTCGTCCTCAGGCCAAGCTTATACCTCGACCGTTGCATAATCCCATGCAAGACCATGCTATCGTTTTGTATGATCCCACCATAGACGATCGCGAAACCGATGAGGATCGACAAGAGCGTATCAAAGAAGAGGCAAGAGCGAAGGCAGAACAAGAAAATCAGATGAAAGCGGCTGGCCTTTACAATCCGCACAAGAGCTTGAGAGCGATACTTGGTGAGGATAAGCCCAGGGAAACGGTCCCCAAGGTCCCCGTGGTAATCGATCCTATCCTGTCCAAGGTCCTTCGTCCGCATCAGGTGGAGGGCGTGAAAGTATGCATTAGTTTCAATTCTATCGGCGTTTCTCACTCGGGGTTGCCAGTTCTTATACAAATGCACTACTGGCATGGTGGTCGAGAACCAATACGGTTGCATCATGGCGGATGAAATGGGACTGGGGAAAACTCTGCAATGTATAGCTCTCTTGTGGACTCTTGTTAAGCAGTCACCCCGTCCTGGAAAACCGACCATCGAGAAATGTATCATCGCTTGCCCTTCCAGTTTAGTCAAGAATTGGGCCAACGAACTCTGTGAATAACTTTCACTCCGTATATGCATGGGCGCTAATGGCGCACCGCTAGCTAAGTGGCTGGGCAAAGATACGATCTCAGCATTAGCGGTTGACGGTAAAGGTGGGAAGGGTGAGCTTTTAGAAAAAGTTGCGCGTTGGGTTGCTGCTAGTGGCCGCAATGTTACACAACCCGGTGGGTGGCTGGCCGCTCTTTGTGCATGGATAACTACTAACTGGTCCTTTCAGTAATGATTGTATCGTATGAAACTCTCCGCACCCTCACGGCACACCTCGCAAGTTGTAGCATTGGCTTGTTGCTATGTGACGAAGGACATAGATTGAAGAACTCGGGTCAGCTCCATCTTTGCGCTTTGGCACACTAATCTCACGCAGTGTCGTCTAGAGTCGCTTACTTTTCAAGCTCTTAACTCGCTCGACGTGAGGCGGCGAGTGATCCTGACTGGAACGCCTATTCAAGTGCGGTTTATATCCTGATTACAACACTGTCTTAACCCTGAACTTGCAGAATGACCTCTCTGAGTATTTTTCTTTACTGAATTTCGCAAACCCCAACTTTCTTGGAAGCAAAGTCGATTTCAGGAAAAACTTTGAGAATGCTATCATTCGAGGGCGAGACGCCAATGCAAGCGATGCCTTTCAGGCTGAATGCGAGAAAAAGCTTAAAGAACTTGGAAATCTCGTCACCAAGTTCATTATTCGCAGAACGAATGACCTCTTATCCAAGTATTGTAGGTTAAATGTTCATCTCTATCGATATATGGCTGACCGTTTTTAGTGCCCGTCAAGTACGAGCACGTCGTATTCTGCGGCCTTTCGGAATTCCAGCTATCGCTGTATCGCCTCTTCATTTCGTCTCCGGAAATCAAGGCCCTTCTTCGTGGCACCGAGTCTCAGCCATTGAAAGCGATCAACATGTTGAAGAAGCTTTGCAATCATCCACAACTACTCAACTTGCCTGATGATCTGCGTGGTTCTGACCATCTTATTCCTGACGATTTCTCCGGTTCCAATTCGTCTGGACGAGGCAAAACTCAAAACTTAAGATGTGATTGGGGCGGGAAATTCATTGTCCTCGAGAGGTAGTCATACAATCTATCGCCGATGTGAATAACTGCATTAACTTGGCTACGCAGGTTCTTGCACCAGATGCGTACGACAACCAACGACAAAATCGTGCTCATAAGCAATTACACTCAGACTCTGGATCTATTTGAGAAACTCTGTAGAAGTAAAAAGTAAGTCACACCATCCGTTGATGAATGAGGTAGGCTTAATGAAGCCGACATAGATACGGCTATTTCCGCCTCGATGGTACAATGTCCATTACCAAGCGACAAAAACTTGTCGACCAATTCAACAATCCTGAAGGGAAAGAGTTCATCTTCTTATTGAGCAGCAAAGCAGGAGGGTGTGGCATCAACCTGATTGGCGCCAATCGTCTGATCTTGTTTGACCCTGGTGAATGCATGCTCCGACCTGAGAGTCTGTGCATAGCTAATACCACCCATAGATTGGAACCCTGCCGCTGATCAACAGGCTCTCGCCCGTGTCTGGCGTGACGGCCAGAAGAAAGAATGTGAGTGCAACTCTACCCCAAGACGGTCGCAGAAGCTCATCTACTTGCAGGTTTCGTATACCGTTTCATCTCGACGGGGACGATAGAAGAGAAAATCTTCCAACGTCAAGCTTCTAAGCAAGCGCTCTCCTCTGCTGTTGTCGACGAAAAGGAAGATGCAGAGCGTCACTTTTCTCTAGAAGCGCTGCGTCAACTTTTCTTGTTCAAAGAGAACACCTTGAGTGAGACTCATGAGACATTCAAATGCAAACGATGCAAGGATGGGCGTCAGGTTCTGAAGTCGCCTGCGCTGCTGTACGGTGATGCCAGCACGTAAGACTGTATCATTTCACTATCAAGATACGACTGACTTGCCTGCCGTTAGATGGAATCATTTCACTAACAAGGAGTTGGAGAACATCCATGACGATCTTTTGCGTGCCGAAACAGGATTGCCAGATATCTCATTCGTGTTCCAATACATCAGCCACTGAACGACGTAAGTCCGTCTACTACTAAGCGTGCCATTGATTAATGAAAACGTACATAAGGACGCAGCACTTTCTACTACACAAATCACGTCACTATCTCATTCCAGCTGCCCCATGGGCCTCCAACTTTCCTCACAAGTACCTTCTCGCCACCGTCACCAAAATATGCCGCTCCGAACCAGCTCGTCATGTCCTCTTCACTGAAGGGGCCAAATACCTGCTCTGTTTGGCTGGGGACGTTCCACTTGTACTCATATTTAACATCGGCGGAGGGAGGCATCCAATCTGGCGATACTTGGCCACTCGCACGAACGGACCGCACCAATTCTTCATATGTCTTGGAGTAGATATCTGCGTCGCCAAGAGACATAGCAGTGGAAGCCAAGTGGGTGATATGATCGATATCTGTAGTTACTTGAGGCTGTTTCCCTATGGCAAGTGTCGATTCTGCACCATTGCTATTAGCTTTTGGCTGCTTCCTACGCGAGTATGACAGTCAGTCACCCTTAGTATAGGGGCTAATGAGTGCAGACATACTTCAGCTTCTTCGCCTGGTTTCCGAGACGCTGGAGAGCCTCGAGCACAGTTTCGCCTTTCTTGAGCAGCTTGAGGAGCTGCATCTCGAGATTAAGCTTCCCTCCGCTCTGTTCGAACTCCCTCTCCTCAGTTTTAATCTTCTCTCGCTGCTGACGCTCTTGCTGTCGTTTGCGTCGACGGGCCATTTTCATCTCCTTTTCGTCGACGCCATCCATCCACCGGTCATGCATAGCATGAGGATCGTATGTTCGGACATAAGTTCCATCAGACGAGAACTTGCCCTCCTCCATCTCTTCACGCATGTTGAACGAGGATAGCTCGTACCCCATACCAGTCTTCTGCCTCCTCTCGGCGTCATCCTCGTCTTCGGGCTCCTCATCGCCCTGAGAGTCGCTTTCATCCTCTTCATCGTTGAACTCCTGACCCTCGATGTCCCCCAGCCTCAGAAACTCTTCCTTCTTCTTTCCTCCCGTCGCGTCCTCCTTTTTCTCACCCATCGCAAACATATCATCCTCGGCATCCTCTTCATCAGCCGCCTTTCGTCGGCTCAGTACAACACCTTCTCCGTCATCGCTAGAGTCTGAGTCGTATCCCTCGTTCTTGACGCGTCCTTTCCGTTTATTGGGGTCTTCAAGGGATGAGTCGACCTGTTCAGCGAAGTTAACGGGATCTTCATTGGGTTCGATAAAGCGGGTCTTTTTAGATGCGTGCGAGGGACCCGCTCTCGCTGCATCTGGTGTGGAGTTTGCAGTGCGTTTTTGACCTCCCCGGTGTTCTGTCATGCTGAGTGTCTCGATGTACTCTTGGTCTTACCGATGTTTACGTGTGTTGATACTCCGACAGCCGCCAATTAAGTAAATATTATATAGATAAAAGCCTATTTTTCCTGGTTGCAACGGGGGTCAATAATTGCCAAAAACAAGTACTTATGATTCCAACCGATTGAGAGAGGGCCAAAGTCTTTTCTCATAGGGTTGTAAAACATAGAATGCATTCGTTCGTGTACGTTGCAGTTACGTGGAATGATCACAGCAGATTTACGAACTTCCCAGCATTTTCTTCTGAATCAGTGTCTTGAAAAGTGCCATATGCTTGACGAGAATATTAATCGTGCCCAAACAGACAGAGCATATAAGTATGTTGATGATAGTGAGACAGGTACTGGTAATGATAGAGAATGACTGAGTAATATGAATATAGAGTATACTAATCGGCCGAATGAACTATTAAGTAAATCAGCCTATGCGTTGCAAGAGGTTTGCGTAGCCAGCAGGATCTTCAAGCGTGACAAGTGCCAAAAGGACCGTGTTTGCAAGCCCGACGAGGGCTGACGGAATACCCAAACGCTCAGCAACAAACCGATTGCTCGATGAAAAGAACATGAACGAGGATTTCCCTGCTGATTTGAGGCGCTGAAGTTATCAAAGTAAGGATAGAGTATCTCAAGTTGGAGGAGGCTACTTACAACAATCCCAGAATCTACGCGTCGACAGAAAATATTAAATTGGCTCTTTTGGTAGTCATCAGCGGAGTGGTCGGGGACGACACAAGCAATGGAGCCTTCATATCTCATCGTAGAGAGGAGATCTGGGACCAGCTCTGTCCCAAAATCTGAGCCTGACCCCGAAGCCTTGGCTTGTGCTGCCATGGTAGATGCGGATATTCGGTTTTCAGCGGGGGAATCATTGAGGATAACAGGAACAGTTGTAGAACCGACGTAGAAATCAAATGCCGCGGGTAATGACAAGCTGCAGACATCCTTGTTAAAGTGCAATCTCTGTAAGGGACTTTTTTGAACGCACCTCGCTGAGCTAGATTCAACGGTTGCGCTTGATGCATCATACCTAGAATTGATGGAATTGTTAACGTTTTGAATATGTAACTACAATCCAAGATGGGCCACTCATACATAGGTCCAAAAATCGTCCAAGAAGTCGAAGTCATACCAGGAATAGCTGACGGAGGGTTCTGTGATTGCTTATTGCCGGGGGTAAGACTGTTATTGGATGAGTTATTGTGAGAATGCAGGCCTTCGAAGTGGTTACCTTTGTTGCACTGAAGTAGTCGCAGTGCTATGCTCCGGTTGAGTTTCCTGCGGGGTTACAATATCGTTCATTTGATCATTAACCTCCTCAAAGTCTGGAAGATAGTCGGGATTTATGACAGGAACGGCAAGAGACTGGACTGGGGAGCCTGAAACGTTGCCACCGCTGTCTCCTCGAGCTGCCTCACTATCAGTCTCACCAATGGCATCCTCATCTGTCAAAGAAGTGTTAAGAACTGGTGTCTCTTTGTTTCTTGAAGCTGATGGCCCCGCTGCTGACTCCACAGCTTCGTAGGACTCGATGGGGCTGTTTCCACGATGGTACCTCCCTTTCACGGACCTGAGCCTGCCTTTCTGGAAAGTCAGAAGTGAGCTTTTGTTCTTCGTTATTCCGCTGTCCTGCCGGCTGGGATCGCGCCTTGGATGAGGTATAGAGGTCCGCGGAGCATCGTTTGTTTTATCGGCTCGCTTAGGGTCCTCCTTGCCCGAAGTGTCACGAGGATTGGTGGGAGCCAGTTCAGTGATACGGTTGATTAGACGTGCTTTGGCGGGGATGGCCATCCCACTAGATCCAGACCCTTGTGTCCACTGGGGATCATCGATTAACTTCATTCGTGCGCTAGTCACATGGAACCGGCCTGCTTTGGTAGTTGTTCCCGCTGGCGGTGTCCTTGACTCACGGACTGGCTCGGGAGATGGTGATGAGCTGAATAATGAGTCTTTATCAGAAACATTAGCAGGCTCGCCTGCATCAGTGGAGGTGAGAGATCTCTGGAGCAAACTCCCATCACGATAAGAAGGCAAGATTTGGGTAGGAACGGTGTCCCTGGAAGCGCTGGCATCAGTAACAATGGGTTCAGATTTGCCTGTACCACTCGAAGCTCCATCCGGAGCGTATGTAAGATGTCCATTATTTGCTTCTTTGTCACTTTCATCTTCTGAATCCTCTATGACGATCTTCCTGCGCTTCATAGAACCTTTACCGCCTCGAGCATTCGTCCTACGAGTAGGGGCGGGGGCGGGGGAAGACTGTCTGCTGCCTTTCCTAGTAGAGGATGGAGGACTCCCGCGAGGGTGAGATGGTCCATTTCTCAACTTCCTGGAAGAAGTCCGTTTGACAACGGCGGCGCCGGATCCTTCCCCAGCGTCGGAGGATGAAGCGTATCTTTTGCGAGAGGGAGGAGCCTTTCCTTCGGCCTTGGAAGAGGTTGTCTGTGTGAGAGGTGGCCTTTCGACAGAGACTTTTAGTCCTTGATGCAAATGGAGTCACTTCAAGAAGCAAAGAAGCTGTACTTTTGCAACATACCCGGAGGGCCCGTAGCATAGACATGTTCTCCTTTCTTGAACAGTGCCCCATCGGTCCGATCTCTCCCCTGAGTGTCTACTTGGAGCCAGAAGGATTCAAGGATATGTTCAGAACCTTCGGTGAAAGACTCTGCCGGCTCCCAACTGCCATGTACGAGGGTCAAAAAGAGGATCAAGCGTGTGTGGTCGTTCGCTTACGTGTTTTCATCCAGTGAGTACCCTTTCCACTGTAATCTCTCGTGTTTGACTCTGAGAATGCGTAGGGTGTGCGGCAGCTCACCTTCACGAAGTATTTCTGAGCATTTAGCCATCAATATATGATAAACGTAGAGCTTAGTGTGTCTGCAGCCTTACCCATCGAATATTGTGGCCCTTCTTGTAGTCTATGCGTGCCTCTGTGACGGACTCTGCGGTGATTGTTGAAGGGTTTTATATGTAAGTCTTGACATATGCACGTACCGACTTCATATTCTTCTTCATCAGACGACATGACGGAACTGGAACTGGGCGCCTGTTGCTAATAGCGCCAATTTAATGGGCATCATGCCGCGAAGCTCGTCATAAATGTGACAGAACGTGTGACTAAATGTTAATATTACTGTGATAAATATTTATTGGTCATATCGATATTGAGTCATTTTATGAGGTGTCAATATGATTCTGACAATCAATCACGGATAGTTTCTGATCACAGGCAATAAGACCTTTTTATGTACTTTACAGTAACATAACAAGCAAACTAAATGAGCTATTATGAGGGTTATACACACTTACAACATGAAGCAAGGAAAGAGTAGTAAGCAAGTGCGTGAGATATGCAAATGAAATCTGCTGCCCGTGACTTGGTGCATGCTTCGTTACTTCGAGATAGGCACTATTCTCCCGGTAATTAGACAGTCCTTGACCCATGGCACATCGACAACTTTGAAACCTCCTTGTCGATCGCTGAGGCCAATTCGAGAAGTTTCCAAGTCCTTCAAAATTATGTAGTCATACTTCAGATCACCTTTGGGGACCTGGCGCATGTCGGGCGCAGTCTCAACACGCTTCGCACCCATCGCGAGCACTATCCACGGAACGCTCCGGCTTGCCTCCAGGCTCTTCTCTGCATCCTGGTTACGCTGAGGCAGCTTGTAAGCGTGTAGAGACAGACAACAACAAAGAACCGCTACCTTTCTACCTTTGTTCGAGACGAAGGCTGGGTCCAGACAAAGTATCTCCATGCCTTTGAAGACTTTAGCAGCTACCTTGTTCGACATGACGTCCCGCAGATATTCCGGACTATTCCCCCAATCTAAATCAATCAATTGGGACACACGGGCTTCTAAAGCATCTGAAAAGCCAGCAGGGAGTAGGTATGGCTGCCAGTCCTGATGAAGGGTGTTAATGCGAAGATGCCATAAAAGGTTCTAGTAGGCTCACAGTCGGTAGACTCTCCCCCAACAACCATTCGAAGGAAATACATGGTATGCCAAGTGCGAGTGCTAGGAGGTACTTGGATTTTTGGCTTGCATCATCTGAAAGCAAGAAGACGCGCTCGATATCAAGGTCTCCTGGGCCCTTCCATTGAAGATGTTCCTGAGTTGCGAACCAGCGTTTGCTTGCCGCATCATGAGAACCTTCCATAGTGAAAAGATTAGGCCATTCATCAATAAGCATGCCGCCATGGCGCTTGATAGCACGGATGATATGCTCCTTGTCGCGGTCTGGATTTTTGCTAACCCTTGATGTGGTAATCACAAACCCAGTTTTCGCTAGCAGTCGACTACTCTTGGTCGAGGTTGTACTGTAGACGGAGAGCTTTGACGGTGAAGGACTAGCCGCCAAGGAGTTGGTGGGACGAACGGCTACGACGACGTCTGAAGGGCGCAGAACGCGATCTTTCCAGTGGCAAGATATACTTCGTCCTGCTATCATGATCTCTGACAACCTGACATCCATGATCTCGCCCTGAGACAGCGTCCCCTCTTGAGTTCTGACCTGTATCAGACCTGTAGAGGATAACCGATCGACATTTTCGACCTTTCCCCTGCTTGAGTTTTTTGAAGCGAAAATGACGTCATCGCCGACTCGCAGTTCGCATCGGCGCATCTTGGAGATAACGATGGTGTCATCGGTTTCATCGTCAAACTTTACCACGTATTTGCCAGCGCCAGCCGTGTCGTGCACGTAGCCAGAATAGTAGTGTCCGTCCTGTCTCCAGAGTGCGAATACTCGGGTAACATCATCCACATGAGCGCGACTAGAAGAGACAAAACTTTGCATTCGCTTCTTCGATGAAGACACGACTCCAGGAGTAGATGACTGTTTAATGCACCGAGTCGATGGACGAGATATTTTCCGCGTTGATCTGGTCTCAGTGACTCGAGAGCGTTTGCGCGGAGGTTCCAGCGACTCGATATCCACATTCATCCTATCTTCCGCACTTTCGATGCCTTCTTCGTCTTCTCTAATCGGGACAAATACGCTTCCAATTTCATCATCTGGTTTCCCGGGATCTGAAGGATCTGGACGCTTGCGTCCGGTCGTCTTTCGCTTTGGCACGTTACCGGAAGTTTGACGACATTGGGGCTTTCGCTTTGCTGCTTTAGTTTTATCCAAGGAGGATTGACCTTGAAGCTGGGCGGTTTAGTCGACAACAGCTATGTAGATCATGAAGCTTACTGGCGTAGTACGGGCCCTCTCGTTAGCGGAGTAGAAGGTATCCGCTTTATTTAGCGGCGGCTCATCATCTCCGTCGGAGGTTTGCTCAAGGTCGGTCTCAGCAGCTGAGGATTGTGGGCGATCCTCGAGTAAAGGGGTGAGAGCACGTTTATTGGGAGACTGTGCATTACGGGGAGATGGAGATTCCAAGCCAGCTTGTGGTGGTTCAGAATCTGGAACAACGTCGTCATCGACATTTAGATCACAATCGCGATATGAAGATTGAGTCAGAAGATGACGAGAGTCACTTTCCGTCATGAGGTTGCCGACATTCGAACCTCTTGTCTTCTGCGCAGTGGGTGATATGGATGCTTGTGTATCCACTAGTGGTTTATCACCGGAGGCTTGGGTGTTGAATGGGCGAGGGCTGAAAGTAATGTTATTCTCCCTTATTTCTCGTTGTAAGTACTCGATCTTTCGTTTCTTGTGAGGATTTGCATTGGCCAATAATCCACGGCCTGGATTGCGGCTTCGGCTAGTGGAGTTCTCAGCATTGACAAAAGCGAGACTAGGGTTGTGAGGGATTTTATGGATGGTACGGGCCTGCTCTGGCCCTTCATCCGCGGACTGAGATTCATTGAGCTGCGTGGGGGCATCTGATTGAGTAGACTCCAGCTCTGGCGGTATAGTTGGGTACTCCGACTTCTTTTCAGCTTGGTCCGCAGCGATTCGGTCGAGAGACCTCTCGAGGGAAGACGTCCCTTGATCGAGGTCAAAGGGCTGAGTAGACTCCTGACTAGAATCAAGATCACCGAAAGGAACGGTGCCATTGGACGCTGTTGCTTGACCAGAATACTGTGGATGGTCAGAGAGTTGCGATTGGCTATGATAACTTCCGCCGTAGCTAGGAGTAGCTGCCACGAGAACGGTTGGGTCAGATTTGTCGTCCAAAGCCTCTTCGACTTTTCGTTCGGCATACGCATGCATTGCAGCGTGAATAAACGAAAATCCCCCCTTGTCATGACCCCCACTTTCTCCAGTAGATTCTTCGACGCTCTGGGTTGTGTCTTCGCCGACCTCAGATAAAGGTGTGTGGAATTGCTTATTTGACGCAAGAAATTGTTGTACAGGATCCTGCGAAGCGACATCGCCGAATGAATCCTGAGAGAAAGGGGGGCTATCGGTATTTCTATTCATTTGCGAAGACATGGCATGGACTTGAGAAGACGCAGATTTGCGGGGGAAAGCTTGCGCTGGGATGCAGTAGACTGTCAGAGTGAGAGTGGGGGAAAGAAAGATGCTTTCCACTCACCTGGCAACAGGCCGATATTTGCTGCACAGTTATTACGGCATGCTGAGAGATCATTACGCGAACTTGCATTCTTGGAATCAGGTTTAACGGAAGAGGTTGCCGAACATGACGATATGTGGCAATGGTGTTGCCGCATTTGCGCCCTATGTTCGCTCGAGGTGGGTGTGTTCTCCCTCTGGGAACCAGAGTCAGTAGGCATGGTTTCTTGGAGATCTTGGGTTTGAGCGGCCAAGCCGTGGTGCTGATACCGATAAGCAGAGCTCCCGGCAGGAGGAATATAGGAGTCTGAGGAAAAGTCATCCGAGCCTATGCTTCCATCTGATGCATGATGAGCGTTCCCCGGAATCGTACTCCTGTTTTCTTCATTGCTTTGTGTATCCAGTCCCAAAACGCCTCGAATGAGTTGGGTCGATTGCGATTCATCGCACTCGCCGCTGCAAGGGCGCAAAGGGACACGGTTTCAGGGCAGAAGCGTGCACGAGGGTATAAGTACGTACTCAGTATCACGAAAGATATCCATAGCAACTATATCAGCCTATTTCCATGCTCTGGGCGCGTTTCCGTGAACAGCTTGGCTTGACAGAGCAGTGAGTGCTTGGACAACCTGCGGATGACGACACGACGCAACGCAACAGTTTCAAGTAGAGAGCTGTAGAGGGCTAAGGGGTGGTCGACGCGTCAAAGATTTATGATGTGGTAGCGGACTATCAAGGAGACGGCGAACTAACAAAGGGAGGAGAGAATGGTAGGTGCGTTGGCAGACGCGTAAGGACAGTACTTACTAGTCGTCGCGTCTTTAATCAATTTGCTGTCTGGCGTTTAGTACCCGGATCGTCGGTCACAGTGCCGCCACCAGCTCCGCCACTCCAGAGGGTCGGTCCGGAGTGTCCGTTAGACGCCGGGCCGCCATTAGCATTACGTAACACGCGACCATAATATGTCGGTTTGTTTCTTGTTCGTCTATGCATCTCCGTGCGCATTCCGTTCTGTAGCTCGCCGCCGCCGACGTTCATTTATTTTGTTCATGCGCTGGTCGCATCTCCATTTAACCACCTAAGCTTTTTAGTATGACATTCTCAAGTGCGGAGAAACCAACTTCGTCGACTACTGGCTCGAGGTCCCAGGACACACGCGGTCGAGCGATCCACAGTCGTCAGCATACGCGGATGAGCAAGCCCAAGGCGCCAGTATCAACATCGGCTAACCCGAAATCCTTCAATAACTATCAGGCAAATAAAGAGGCGACCGACGTCCCGAATCCCGTCCCAGATACGGGACTACGACACACTGGTCATCAAAAGGTCTTGACTTCAGCGGCTTCCATACAGACTTCACCTACTTCAACTGGCCTTGGTGTGTTAGAAGCTTCCCGCTCTCTACTGGAGGCTGCAACGATCACTACCACCGACGACTCGTATCCTAGTGCACCTCTTGAAAGTCAATCCCCATCGCAAACCGACACGAATCAGGTTTGGAGAGGCGGTTCTGCGAAAAGCTACTCCGCACAGCAGACCACACAAGCTATTTCCTCGGCTGGCGCTCCCACTCGTCTGTCTACAGTCGCCGTCGTTTTCTTGTCTATTGCTGCTGGTGCTATTCTAATTGGTCTCTTCGTGGTCGTAAGGCTAGCAAAGCGTTCTAGCCGGGGCAACCTCAAACCTTCGCTACCGACCTCGGAAAGTATCTCTTACTTCGAGAAAGACGAGCCAGAGGGTTCGCCGATTTTTGGTGGTAAGGAGCGGGCGTCACTTTCTATTCATGGCAGTAGCTCGGCCATTTGGGCGTGGACCCCGTATCAATCCGGGATACCTAAGCCTGCTCCTGCTCTTACGGCCAAATCCTTAAGGTCCGGTGAAACCCATTCTTTAGCTCGTGACGAGTCGAGAGCTGAGACGGGATACCTATCTTCTGTCGAGGCCGACGTCTTGAACCACGTCCCAGCCAATGTCGATCCCTTCTCAGATAAGCATCTCTGCTCGCAGCCGGCCCCAATTGCAGTCACCCGGGCCGTCTCTAGGCTCTCCACGGTCTCAGCTTCTTTGTACCCAAACTCACGATGCAATTCTCGCTTGGCAACTAACATTGGTGTTGCATTGGAAGGCACCTCTCCGCTTACCGGTGATGACCATTGGACCATGAAAAGACAACGAGATCAAAAGACGTCACGGAGCAGGAATAGCATGGGATCACCCAACATTTCCAGGTGCTCCACAAATATGCGCAGGTCACAAAGTTTCGCATATGGCGGAGTTTGCCTCGACTCTCCCGCTTTGCTTCCAGGCTCCAGCGCTACTAGACCTGGAAGCGGTCGTGCTCGCATCAGATCCACATATTTTGCATCTGGACCCTATCCTCGTATCTCTGCTACTCGTCCACCGTCTCGAGGCGCTGAGATAGCTGCGCCGTTGACAAGTCCCTACGCAGGGTTCAACGAAGTTGACACACGAGCTGTTACGTCGGCCTCGGGTCTGACATCACCTATACTGGCGACCTCTCAGCCCTCTCTGGACAGCAACTCGACGAATGTGATAAGCGAATCCAAACTGAGATCAGTCTCAGGGAGAAGCCTGAAAAAGCCTGTTCCCAAAGCCATTATTGACGATGACGCCACAGTTCCTGTACGGTCTTCTGGGGCAACCGCACTTGGAAGTTTGATGATGGACGATTTGACCGATTCGACGTCATTTGGTTCGCTGATTCACACTCGGGCTTCGGAAGCAGCTCGAGAAGTCAAAGTAACTGACGAAAGAGCACCCCGGGTCCCGTCACCGCCACCAATGCCCTCGTTGGAGCAGATGGGAATGTGCAACGCGAACCCTCAAGCCTATGCAGACTATCACAGCCCAACATACAGCATCTATGGGTTGTACAACGGAGATCGGAAGAGCCGAACAGCTTCTCGGGTCGAGAGTAAATACTAAACATTAGCTATGATTCTGTACTGGGCGCAGTGTTTGTCACGAATTCGATTTATGGTTGGATTATGTCTGGGAAACATGAGCCGAAGGGCTCCAAGTGAAGCTAGTGAAGCTTGGGACTTGCACGAATCCGATCACAAGGCGGAGGGGTGCTCGTGAGAGGGGATCAGAGAGGAGTGCTGCGGACGAGTGATTACCCCCTCAGAGAGCTGCGGACTGCCCTAACCGTGGACAGGTCGCGTATTCAGTTCAGCAGGCAGCGCGCTCCTTTTCAGCTCAGACTCAGGCTCAAACCCAAACACCCTTTCACTCTTACCACCGTTCGATACCCTCATGGCCGCTACTTCCACAAGTCAGTCTCCCGTCGCTCTCGTTGCAAATTATGATGAGGCAGACGAAGAACTTGACTTGGAGCTGGAGTACGAGGAAATGGGTTTGTTGCAGGACGACGTTCCCACTGTCCCTTCGCTGTGCGGAGTGCCCCTCAAATACATCTCGTATGTCTCTTTGTAGTCATCTCACATTTCTTGTCGGGCTAATCATCCGCTCGGCACGCACCTATGACTCGCTTTTTGCAACAGTCTAATAACCCTTGCCCTTCAAAACTCCCTCCTGACGATAATAATGCACTATTCCCGTGTCTCTATCCCACCATCTGAGTCCTACTCTGCGCCTACTGCCGTGCTCCTAAACGAACTACTGAAAGGGTTCATATCCCTTGCCATCGCATTCGTCCGCATAGACCGTACCACATCTCATTCCTCCGACACGGTATCTCCAAGCTTCACCTCAAGCGCATTCTGGCACCCCGATAAGGTTTTGACTCGTGTCCGGAGGCTCGCCCGTGAAGTTTTCAGCCCTGACTGCTGGAAGTTGTCGATACCTGCCATCCTATATGGTTTGTCATATCTCACCACGCAGGAACATGATGCTTACTCCTCGGTTCTAGTCATTCAAAATAATCTACAATATGTTGCGGCGACAAACTTGGAAGCGGCCACCTTCCAAGTGAGCTATCAAATGAAGATCCTTACAACTGCTGCTTTTTCTGTCTTGCTCTTGCGCAAACAGCTGAGCGCTAGCCAGTGGTTGGCCCTACTTTGCCTCGCCATTGGCGTCGGAATCGTTCAGATACAGACTACCACCGACGAACCAGCCAAGGTCGCATCATCTCTTCTGTTCAATGGGACGTCGATGAATGCGCTGAAGGGTTTCCTCGCGGTCATGGCCGCTTGCTTCACTTCTGGGCTAGCAGGTGTGTACTTCGAGATGGTCCTAAAGAATTCGCAAGCAGACCTATGGATACGGAACGTACAACTTTCCTTCTTCTCCCTACTCCCGGCGCTCGTCCCTATCGTCGTGTCTAGGTCGTCTGATGCTGGGGTCATGCAGTCTTTGTTCGCAAACTTCGGTGTTTGGGCCTGGGGAACGGTCGCCATCCAAGTCTTTGGTGGACTGGTCACTGCATTGGTGATCAAATACTCCGACAATATCCTCAAAGGGTTTGCGACTAGCCTCAGTATTGTGATATCGTTCCTGGCATCCGTCGCACTTTTCGACTTCCAAGTCACGTTTACCTTTATTCTGGGGTCCGTCGTCGTTCTGATTGCTACATGGCTGTACAATCAACCGGGGCGCAGCCCCGCTGCAGCTCGATTCAGTTTCTCAGTCAAAAACTGATCGCGCCCGCCATAGTTCCGCGCCTTGCGTGCCACAGGGATCCTCTTTTGAACCTTCTACCCTACAGTCATGTCAGCAAAGCACACAGCTAATATTATGGTTCGTAACGGACGTTTGGGACATTTAATTATCTTACTTTAGAATTCACGTATATATGTTAAGGACCAAGATTGTGAAATGTGGATAAGTACTAAATAAACGTACTAAACTTAAATGGAAATACCCCGTACGGCTACATTAATATAGAGAAGTGGTTTTATTGGTATCACACAGTCATTAATGGTTATTGATAGGCCTACGCAAGTGGAGTCTTCCTAGAATGAACAAGCGTCTTCCTTCCGAAAGATCTGGCTAGGGGAAAGACTAGGATAGAATACTGATAGAATATGTGTAGGAGTCTGAGGTTGTCGGGCTAAATATGGCAAGTGTCTGACGTTGCCACCGACCGACGTCAGTGACGTAGGAGACCCCCTGCAACGCCTGAAAGGCACCACGGACTTTGGAGAAGGCCGTAGACAACCAAAGCTAAAAGCGTCATACGATTTCTACATCTCTCCTTCATTCCTTCCACCCCCTCCCATTGCCATGGAGTCTCTTCTTCAAAGTCAGGGAACGAAACTCTTCCGCAAACATCTTCAACAGTATGCTCCCGAGGACCCCATGTACGAGATGTACACAGACTCGCGCGGGAGACAGAAACGGAGAAGAGTGAGCCCTTTCTCCATCTGCAGGGTTACAAGCTCATCTCGGATTTTCACAGCGTCAAATCCCTCCCGGTCTCTCCGCGCGCGATGCCAAGATACTGAAGTCCGTGCAGAGGCGCGCCCATTACCTTGACAAGGGATTCTCTGTTTGCGGCTTTAAATTTGGATGGACCGCAATTATAGGTATAATTCCTGGTGCTGGTGATGTTGCAGATGTCGGCCTCAACTATTTTCTGGTGGTCCGCAAAGCCCGCCAAGCAGAGTTCGTCCCCGCTTCTGTGGATCCACATATCTCGACTAACTGCGTGCCTTTTTGTTAGCTTGCCTTGGTGGCTCGTCCGCCAGATGCTTCTTAATAATGCAGTGTCTGCTTGCGTGGGGCTGATTCCGATCGGCGGTGACCTCGTCCTCGCGATGTACAAGGCAAACTCACGCAACGCTGCTCTCCTTGAGGAGTTTCTGCGCATCCGTGGTGAAGAGTTCCTCAAAGTGCAAGCGAAAGAGCAAGAAGGAGGGCAGAGGCCGACAGCCGATGCGCCACCCCAGAACGACATCGAACAGGTGAACCCCGGACACGGCATGCCGGGAGGTTTGGCGGCGGCAAGTAGCGCTGATGTGCCGCCCAAAGGTGCATCAAGGAACATTTCCTTTACGTCTTGGCGGAACGGTATGAAAGACAAGAAGAAGGGGAAAGCACCTGATACCCCTCCTGTGGGCGACCGGGGTAAATTTGTGGAAGACGTAGGGCCAAATGCGAGCCCAGATAACCCGACTGTAGAGAAGAAGACTCAGTGAAGATTTAGATGGCCTGCAATAGTTGTGTCACGATAGCTTAGGATCGTTGGACTAGCATGTGTCAACGCATCTGTTTGGACTTCTGTTTGTTTCCCTCATTGATCAATCGATCATGATGCTTCTTGAGGACATTGCATACACGTTACGTATATTTGGACACGAGGGATTGAACGTGTAATGTGTAACGCTGGTATTTTGCTCAGTGTATGGGCCACCCTGGACTCGACCAAGGTTGAGAAACTTGATATTTGAAACATTACTCGGACACCCCTCAATTTGCATGCTATATAGAATACAACGTAGCTGTTACAGATATTTACATTAGTCCAGTCAAAAGAACGTGCTCTTAATTCCTTGACTCCAGCCCTCTTTTCAAGGCTAGAAGTATGCGCTCGTCAGACAAAAAATTAAATGAGGATATAAGCCAAACATACCATCGCAAGTGTCCTTTGCATCGCCGAACAACATCTTCGTATTGGGCATGTAGAACATCGGGTTGGGTACATCAGCTGCGTGAGTAGGTCAGCAAAATGGTGGAGTCAAATATCAAGTAAAACCACATGCCATAGCCACTAGACATTCCACGCTTCATCACGACTACCTGCTTACTCTTCCAGGCGTGGAGGACGGGCATGCCAGCAATCGGGGAGCCAGGCTCCAGAGAAATGGGGTTGACGGTGTCGTTGGCACCAATGACTAGGGTAACATCAGTCTCGCCGAAATCATCATTGATCTCGTCCATCTCGAGAACGACTACGATGTGACGTTAGCGATTACTTTGATAAGCATCGACTTGACTTACTATCGTAAGGGACAGAGGCCTCGGCGAGCAACACGTTGCACTGACCGGGCATGCGTCCAGCCACAGGGTGAATGGCGAAGCGGACGGTTATACCCTTAGCTCTCAACGTTGATACAATCTCTGCGATAGCATACTGAGCTTTCGCTACTGCCATGCCATATCCCACAACCTGCAGAAGTTTTAATGCACTGACTTGACTGTCAAAGGAGGAAAGCGTACCAATATGACACTATCAGCATTTGTTAATGCTTCAACAGTCTCGTCAACCGAAGTCTTCGTGATCTGACCCTCAATTTGCGTTGTCTCCGTCGGTGCAACAGTACCAATACCACCAAAGAGAACATTCGTTAGGGACCTGTTCATGGCAACGCACTGGACATTGGTGGTCAGAGCGTCTCATTAGTTCGATTCTACCTTTTGCTCACCATAATGTACGACAGGATCGAACCACTAACGCCAATCAAGGAGCCGATAGTGGTCAAGAGTGGATTATCAAGCATGAAGCCTGTACCATGTCAGTCTCCGACCCCAACAGGTAAAAAGGCTTCGATATCACCTTCAGCAACGAGTGCAAAACCCGAGTATGCATTCAAAACAGTGATGACCACCGCTATGGTGATTCGTTAGATACTTTGTAGGGCGTATAAAAAGAACGGGTCTTACGCATGTCTGCGCCTCCGATGGCGGCTGTCGTCGTGTAACCCTTGATGAAACTCAGCAGAGCACTTGCACCAAGATATCCGGCAGCGACGAGAGGAACGGTAGGGGCAGCTTTGATGAAGGCAGCCATGGTGAGCACGTTCATGCCCAAAAGAGACGAGTTGATGATATGTCTGCCCGGAAGCATCAATGGCCTCGAGCTCATACGACCTGCCAACTTGAAGAACGCAACAATCGAGCCCGTGAAGGTGATACCTCCTATAGCATGGTCAGCTATCTACACAAGCATCCGAGAAGAAATGAGAATTTTCTACCGATGACAACACCCAAGTATGCCGTAATCTGATGGAGCATAGAAATGTGTGATGGGTCGGAGATGACGCTAGCTATGCTAGTGAAGACAGCAGCGAGCCCGACAACAGAGTGCAGAGCAGCAACCATCTGTGGGAGCTCAGTCGGGGTGATTCTTCGGCCGATTATCGAACCAATGAGACCACCCATGGCGGAAACTCCTGCAAACTGTGCAAGGACTTCTGGCGGGAATCCTACAGCAGCTAAAGATGCAAGTATACCAGAGCCTACACCAAGCATTCCCAGTACATTGCCTTGACGAGCTGTGGCTTGAGAAGCAAGCCCCGACAGCGAGCCTGGAATTATGAACTCAGTACATGGAATGTAGCTCGGGAAAATCTCACGAACCTATACAGAGGACACTGCTAGCCAAATAACCAGCTTGAACCAAGCCGGCCATTCCAGTGCTTGCAGCAGCAAGGAATCCACCTGTGAAAACTACAGCCGGGACACCGTATAACCACGAATACTCTGGCGGATCCGTAGGTCCTAACGAGACGTCAGCGATCTTCTCGGGTTAACATACGGAGACTTACTCTTGAACATGTCGAGCATGCGCTTAGTGATAGCAAAACCACCTGCTACGTTCACAGCTGCCAAAAGTACAGAAGCAGCGCCGAGCATTTGGGGCACAGTTTGAGGTAAATAACCTCCGCCCATAACGAACAGACCTCCAATGCCCACCATCCCTAAGAAAATCGTTTGGTTTCAGCCAGTCGTTGTGCCATTGTATGTAGTAAATAAACATACCGGAGATTGCGTTGGTTACTGACATCAATGGAGAGTGCAGCGCAGGAGCAACACCCCAGACCACACGATATCCAACGAGGCCGGCGAGACCAAAGGTGAAGAAGTTCGACATGAAAGCGATGCCAGTCGCTTTACCCAAAGCAATCACTGTGCCCATACCCGCTGTAACAAAACCAACTTCACGCGTTGCCTTCTGCCAGGGTGTTATCGCAGTGACCTCCTTTTCCTCCACTTTCGGCGTTGGCGGTGGTGTCGGAGCTGGGGGAGCAGCTCGAGGAACGGGAGGAAGTATTTCACCGTTTTGCACGACGATTGAGCCTCGGACCACTTCGTCGCTGAGGTTGATGCCAAAGTTCTTATCTTCACCAATGGACAGCAGGAATTTGGTGATGTTGTTTGAGTACAACGTTGACGACTGGGTAGGAAGTCGTGAAGGTAGATCCGTGTAGCCTATTTCATGATCAGCAGGCCCTGAGGCGTGGTTGATATGCTACGCACCAATGACGGTAACACCATTGTGGACATGAAGTTGGCCGGGTTTTGTGACTGCACAGTTGCCACCACTCTCCGCTGCCATCTTGTCAGACGGAATCAGAGATGTATGTTAATCAAGGAGTGATGTTATGCTCACATCTACGATAACTGAACCCCGCTTCATAACCTCAACCATCTGGTCATAGGCTTATGAGCAAACTAGCATACTCCAGTATTGTTTAGCTCTTACGTCCTTAAGAATGAGTTTCGGTGCCGGTTTTCCTGGGATAAGAGCCTTGTACAGACGTAATAAGGGCAGGCATGAGACAAGGAAGATTAAGTTCGTACCGTAGTGATGACAATGTCAACATCCCTGCACTGTTCCATGAAGAGTGCCATTTCTGCTTCAATGAACTCTTTGGACATTTCCTTTGCGTAGCCTCCGCCGCCACTACCGTCCTCTTGAATAGAAACTTCAAGGAATTCTGCTCCTAAAGATTGGACTTGTTCCCGAGCAGCCGATCTAGTGTCGAACCCGCGCACAATTGCACCAAGTCGACGAGCCTGGAGTCCAGTCAGTCAGTGTGAATCTGGAACGACGGTGACTCTTACAGTTGCGATAGCACTAAGACCAGCAACACCAGCACCAATGACCAAAACCTTCCCAGGGGGTATCTATAGGATGCATGAGCGATATACATATTGCACGTAAACGCGTCCTATACCTTGCTGTGCACGTCTTTAAGTACTGAGGTAGTAATCCCGAGATAAACGCGCACTCACCCAGCTGCAGTAACTTGACCAGTCAAGTACCTGCCGAACTGATTGGAGGCCTCCAAAACCGCTTTGTACCCTGCAATATTAGCCATAGAGCTACCCGCCAAGAAGCATGAACAACCAGGGGCTAGAGGGAAGTGGAAGCAGGCGCACCTTAGCGCATCGAACGTTTGAGCGCGCGATATGCGTGGAATCATGTCCATGGCAAATGCGTTAACCTTCTGTGATGCTAAAGCATCTACAACGCCCTTGTTCTGTGCGGGATACAGAAAAGATATAACTGTGCTCCCTTCCTTCAGGTTCTTGATTTCTTGCTCCACAGTAGGTGGTCTAACTTTGAGCATAATGTCGGTGCGACTGTAAAGCTCCTGCTGCGAGACCATTGTTGCCCCAGCAGCGGCATACTCCTGGTCAGGAAATTGCGCCTCTGCGCCAGCGTTGTTCTCAACGAGGACTTGACCAAAGCCTTTCTTCTTTAGTAGAGTAACATTCTGAGGGGTTAGCGCGACCCGACGCTCGCCGGGGAAGAGTTCTCGTGGAGCGCCGACGATTAAGGACTCATAAGGCGTACCTTGAACGTATTTCAGCATCAGCGGAACGCTCACAAACTGATAATTGGAAGCATACCAGTCGGTTTAGCAGCCTCAGGATTGACTGGACCATTCCCCCATCGGAGAGACGAATGAAACGCGCGTATGCGTGTTCCGAAGGGAAGCTCGGTGGGAAGGCTGAGGGTACGACGCGTCGAAGTTGGATACGCGCCAGGTGCAATGAGCCGAGGAGTACGCTTGGAATGAAACCTAGACCTGCAGCTGAGCCTGCTTAGTGCAGGTGCTGGGTAGGCCAACATGGTGATAGTTGCAGTTCAAGGAGAGGCGTGAGCTGGCGGCTAGAGGGTATACGATTGGGGCCCGCCAGAGTTGTGCCCAGTTGATTCTGATCGTGTACAATTATAATTACATAAAATTCCTGTCCTCTTCGGATCCTGTCTCCAGTTTCCCCGCGCCTCCCCGCATTCAATTCAAGTATATTATCTAGCCGACGTACGTCTAACTCCCCCCGCACGCGCGCGTCAAACATATATATCATCTGGGGGGTCCCGTCGGCTCTTTGCTGCTGCAGCGCACTCATGTTCGTCAGCCATAGCTCAGTGACCGCTCCCTTCATCTAAGAGCATCCCATTCTACTTTTGAGGCTCAGAACGGGGCATCGCGTGCGAGCGCGGTCCAACTTGTGTGGAAGGCGGCGAGCCGCGAATTAGTACGACGTGGGTAAACCCCGGTGCCAGTACTACACCGTTCCTAGGCGGTGAGCAGGAGGCACCAAGGAGGCACTCGCACCGTGCGCACACGATGCACGGTCATGGTCATGATCCCACCATCACACGCCGGCGGAAGCATGGGTAAATGCGTCTGCAGAACCATGAGCCCCTACTATCGCTATGGGAAACATTCGTTACATAGCGCATGCGCAAGCGGCCGCCCAACGGCACTCCTTCAGTTGCAAGTCGATGCAGTGTTTTACTGACTTGAGCAGGCGATATATATGTTTACTGGCCGCCGTGACCTAATTTCTACTCCGGCCGGCCCGTGCTAAAGATCACATTAATAGAATTATGCCTTAGGCTGAGCTTGTGAACTGTACGAGTTCGTTGTCAGAATTAGTGACGGCGGGCCGTAGGATTTCGCCGCGCCCACGATCCACGATCCAAAGTCCGACACGCACCGCCCACGCACCAGCGCACCGCTGTCCAACTTCACCATAAAGAACAGCAACTATATGTTTGACCAAAATTATACCGACAGGGGTGTGATGAGGCTACTGACACTTCAAAAAAATCAAAATAGCTACAGGCTACACTGTCCATACTCATTATACTTATGCACTGGTGAAGCACACTGAACACTTCTTTCATTCCAGGATGTTGGCTGCAGTTTGGCACTGTTCCGGCCCAATTTTGTAGAAAAATTAGTAGTACACAATCCTGTACCTTGTCTACTATAGGGCTAGGCCCCAGAGGACAAGAAACGAAGATTACAAATGAATGAAGTTTTCTTTCATAATGTACTTTGAGGTAAGTATAAAATTTACATGTGCCCAACATAAATCTCCATGGTCGCTTTAAACCATCCCTCTAAGTTACCTGGCTAGAAGTGGACCCACTAGTGTAATCACCATGCAGTTCTGAGACCCTAGAGTACAAGCACTTGAACTCAACCAAAGCCACAAACTGCAATAGGCTTCAAGCTTCAAGCCTCGACCCACGCTCCAATTCAAACTCAGCCCACGACCCACGCTCCATTTCAAACTCAGTCCACGATCCACGCTCCAGCTACAGGGGAACCTATGCAATTGGGATTAGTGAACTTCAATCAATCCTTGACCCACGCTCCATTTTAAACTCAGACCATGATCCACGCTCCAATTCAATCTCCGGAGATACGTTCTACACTCCAACTACAGAGGAACTTTGCAATTGAAAATAGTAAACTTCAGTGAAGCCTCGACCCACGCTCCATTTCAAACTCAGCCCACGATCCACGCTCCAATTTAAACTCCGCCCAATCCACGCTCCACCTACTACAGCCTATGCAATTGAAAATAGTGAGCTTCCTGGACCTAGCATCCGTGCCCCGACTATACCATCAGTCAATTTATCGATTATCATAAATTGCGGTAATAAATTGCGGTATTAGGTCTGCCAAGGGAGAGTAGCCCCAACTGATGCCTGCCAACTGCCAAATGCTTGCAAGTGCAGTGGCATTTAGTAGGGATTGGTTTGTGATCATTACACTGTACACTCAAATTTTCCTACTCGGTATCCAATGCTAAAATTAATTCTCATTTCTTTTTCGATGACCATGCCTCCTGGCGAGGCAATGTGTCCGAGTCTGCCCTCGCCACGGCGGAGCGTGGGTCGGAGCGTGGGTGCGGGTGCGTGGGTGCGGCGAAATCCTATAGTCCAGTGACGGCCACCTCTTCGCCAGCTTGACGCATTTAATCTGATAGCGGCTGATATGATGTCACCGGCACGCAATCTTATTAAGTTGACCCACGATGAGGCATGCGACGCCAACTCGGACTCTGAGAGGCTTCGCTTGAACATGCATGCATGTCCAAGGAAGTTATTATAAGTAGTTAGAGTTTCCATAGGCTTCGTCCAGCTCGAGCCTGTGCAGCACTAAAACTGTAACCTGCAATGGGGCATGCATCATGATACTTAGTCGCAGAGCGGATATCATCTCGCTCTATCGACCTCAGAATCGCTATCTTGTCTAACTGCCACGGCTGTCGGTGCTATTGCTCGTCGCTGTGGTTCCTAGATTGACCCTTGTCCTGCTATTTGGCGTCGGTGCTTGATTTGCGCGGCATCGACGACTATGATTCAGACTTCGACAAGTCTCAACTTCAATGAAACATTGATGAAACGCCTTCGGCTCGTTTCGCGCCATCTTTTGGCACATGACCGGGACCTCCTAGCGCTTAACTTCTCGGTGACAGCACCAACTTGAGGACTAGGAGGCGTTTCATCAAAATTCTTTCTCACCTTCGCAAACTTTGGCTCGCCCCCGTTTGCCAAATGGAAAACAGATTGAGACTCTCGCCAGCAACGCAGCTGACTCGAGATGAACTCCAAGTTCAAGCTCTGGAGCGCATAGCATGGAGGAAAATGGATAGATGGGTATTACCAATCTGCACGGTGTTTTATCTTCTCTCTTTCTTGGTGTGTATGCTTTGCGCCCCGGTCTCTCGTAGTAGTTTCTTATCTGATTCTCGAACTATCAGGACCGCAGTAATGTTGCGAACGCACGGGTTGCTGGCCTTCAGCGTGGCTTGAACATGTCCAATACCCAGGTAATCAGATCCACCACCGAATCCGAGTCTTCCGCATTTAACTTGGCTCCATAGTACAGCATAGCACTCACGGTAACATATGTGTTCGTGTTGCGCTCATAATCGAATGTCTTTATTCATCACGTCACATCACTGCAGACCCTACATCATAGCAGAGTTTCCCTCCAACATACTTCTGAAGGTTTGTGGTGTTTCATTGAGCCTACCTTGAGCCGGCATATTAAAGGTTGATATTCAATAAGCGTGTCGGACCTAACATTATGCTGCCGTCAATGGTGGCCATCTGGGGCGTTGTGACTACACTTCAGGGTGAGTAAATAAATACTGTGTTGCTTGTATGTTATAACGTAGTCCGACAGGCACTGTCACAACATATGGAGGCTTGTTGGCCTGTCGATTCTTCTTGGGTCTGGTAGAAGGTGACGGTTGCACGCTTGTTTCGCTGTTCTCTCTTTGTCAACTGTTTTCAGGAGGACTTTTCCCGGTCTAGTACTCTATCTCTCATTCTTCTATCCCCGTGATAGACTCCAGATCAGGTACTAGGCTCGCATTATTATGACCATCCTATGCGTTGACATCAAGCTTAGAGTCTCTACGTTTTTTGCGTCTGCTTCCCTAGCGGGGGCGTTCTCCGGTCTTCTTGCTGCTGCCATTATTAAAATGGATGGTATTGGTGGAAGACCAGGTTGGGCCTGGATATTCATCTTGGTTAGCATTTGCTCGGGACGTCCTATGGGTTTTGCTCTACAACTCTTTGGCAGGAAGGACTGTTCACGTTTCTGTTTGGATTTGTATCCCTTTCCATCATGCCTGGCTCGCCGGACACTGCGCATTTCCTATCTAAAGAGGAATGATCGCACATTGTTTTCAGATTAAAGCAAGATGGCGCAATTGCTGTGGATGAAGAGCATGACGGTTTTGGATGGAACGATGTGGTCAAATCTTTCAAGTCACCCCATGTGCTCTTGGTTGCTGCTGCCTTTTTCTTCAATGGTATGATCATGCATTCTGAGTAACGCACGTTTTGATTTCTTGGCAGGCACCACGCTTTATGGCCTTGCATAGTATGTCATTCCTCAGAACACTGCTTGTTCTGATCTTCTCATTATGCCGACTCACAGTTTTGAGCCAAGCATCGTAGCTGGCTTCGGCTATAGTGGTGCTCGTGCGCAGCTCATGAGCGTGCCTCCTTTTTGCTGTGACATACCTGCGTGAGTGGACCAGATCTGTTCAACCTAACAAGGATATTCCATCACTCACTATCACTACCAGTTTCCTTAATCTCCGCGGTGTTGTCGGATAGATATCACTGTCGCGGATTGGTGGCTACGATGTTCTCATTGCTTTGCTTGATTGGTCTTGCAATGTTTTTGGGTAAATCTTCTCTAAAGAACTATCTGATACGAGTTTATCGAACACTATAACAGGATTCAAATCAAACGACGTACGTTACGGCTCGCTCTTTCTATCGGTGCCTGGAACGTACTGCGTCGCCCCTGCCTTGTCTACGTGGATGGCGAACAACAGCGCCCCGTATGTTCGACGAGCAACGTCGATTGCAATTGGCTTCATCATGACGAATTCCGGCGGAATACTAGCAACTTGGCTGCTTGGATCGCTGTCTCCAGCCCCAGATTACCGAAAGGCGACCACGACTTTCGTGATTATGTCCGCGCTCATGGCTATCTTGTCTGCTTTGAACATCGTTTATCTGAGTCGTCAGAATCGGACTAAGGCTGAGAAGCGGAGGATATTCACACTGGAGCAGGACGAGGACCACGCTGGAGATCGCAGTGCCTGGTTTGAGTACAGCCTTTAACGACTGCATCAAATCTGCTTGCATACCTAGAGAAACACGTACTCGACCATTGCAACATTTGTTGATTACATTATCAACGATGTTCGACAGCGATGTTCGAACTTAAATTGTGTTTGTCGGCAACACCCAAATCGCTTAGCCATGGAGCAAGTTATGATGGCTACTGCGGCTGCTCACAACACCATTCGCCCGGCTAGAATCCAAGATTATCACTAGTACCGTTGTTCCTTCTACTGTATTACCCTGTCCGCCCTGCTGGGGTACTTTGAATGGATCCAGCTTAATCCAGCTTAATAACGTAATTTGATATTGACAGCCGATTCCTGATCTTCGTACCTCTTATCTTCCCCTCTTCCCATGGCCTGCTTCGGGTCTTGGTCAATATCATTCATTTTTATGCACATGCATCATGTGTATCTGTGCAACCGCACGCCGTGACTCATAAGACCTTGCGTCGAGACCGCTGGCTGTTAGCCATCACCAACCTCTGGTCCCGCATACTGGCTAACCTCGAAGTACTGGCAATGAACTCTTGGACTCTGGATCCATCTTCGATCTCTGTCGGCACTCGTACATATCGTCGCCCTCTTGGAAACACGGAGATAGGGTTTCATTGGGATGCAGCCTTCAATGGCACGGCCGACAGTGCTACACGCCTCCACATACGTTCCCTAAGTCTCCATGATAAAGACATTTTCGCTCGGGATAACTTTGTCAGGGCTTGGATCTCGCTCAAGAAACGTTTTCCGCTATTAGTCGCTCGCATTGAGTCGTCCGACTCGGGCGCCAACTTCGTCGTCTTGGAGAGGCGGACTGAAGCCCTGATGGACCCGGATGAATTGACGTTTGGTGAGGTTTCCTCAGAAGAAGAAACTGAAAAATTTGCCAACGACCTCATGAACGGCGCGCGTCCACTGTCTGAGGAATTGCTTGCCCGCGTCTATGTCCTCAGGCGGACGGATTGCACAGATCAATACCACATCATTTTCCTCGTTGCTCATTGCATCACCGATGGCGCGGCAAACCACTGCCTTGCGAGGACTTTCCTCGACACTCTTTCAAGGTCTGAAGATTTGGACTTTGACCCATTGGAGGAAAGGCTAGCCATGGTACCCTCCGCGGAAGAACTGCAGCCCAACCAACGTATGACGTCTGCGAAACGCAGGTGGAGGCTAGCGATTGGACATGCGATTTCCACTGTGCGTACAGCAAAGATTCAGGTATACGTTTCGCACGATACAACTTTCTATCTGTGTTGATGGACACCTAGGGAGGACATGCCTTGCCTCGAAAATTTACGACCGCTACCCATCGGACCCCGGCTCATTCACGCGTCCTTGCAACGTCCTTCTCTCAAGAGTTGTCATTGGCCGTGTTGGCAACTTGCCGTGCAGAAAACATAACGTTTGGCAATGCATTACTGGTACTCAGCCAGGTTGCGATGACGCGCATTCTATATCGGCGTTATCTTCGAGGAGACATCAGTGATGAAGAATGGGAATACAGAAAGATACAGCCAATGCACTACGGAGGACCGATGAATTTACGGCCGTTTCTCGATTCCAACTGGTACGGTCAAGGCGGAGGTGCAGAGGTGTTCCTAGCCATCACTTTTTTCTTCTACACTCTCCCTTGTATGGCTCTTGGGATGTTCTCTCGCACTCGGCCGACCCGACGTGATCTATCAAATGGGGCTCCTCACTTCAGCTCCCTGTTATCATATCCTCGTTTCATCCATCGTTCGCGGCTAGTGAAACAGCAGGCGAAAAAATTCCTGAGCAACCCATGCTTTGTCGAGGTTGCTATGGCAGCGCATGAAGCAAGAAATGAACGAACGAGGGTTGGGGCGCTTGAATGGGCGAGCAAAACACTTGTGCCCAGTCATAGCGAGGAGATTGCTCCCATGAACATGCAAGGCCCCGTCTTTTCTAGCGGCGGATCCAGCATGGGTAATGTGCGTCTCACTGCATCGATTTCCCCGGCTTCTCTTTAAACCAATCTGGCTTTATTAACGTTGCTACAGGTTGATGCCATATCACCCCTCGTATACCCATTGCCAGTTAGTCATTCTTTATCGTTGCGCTCTGACGTCGTCAATTCGTCCCGGGCGGGAAAGCGTCCTCAGCATGGTAATCAAAGACACCAGCAGTTAGCCCCGAGGCTGTCGCTTGAATCTTCTACTACGCATCTTCATTGCCGCCCGTCAGAACTGTATCTCGGTGCTGCCACTTCGCGACAGCAGTTACACATATCTGTATTTTGGGATGAAAATGTCTACGACCAATCCACGATAGACGAGTGGCTCGATGAAGTCAAGGAGGGCGTGTATTGGTATCTCGCCCGGCCAAAGCAAATAGAGGCAGCAAATATAGCAAGACTATAGATTGTCCGACTCTCTTACTGTTTATACATTGCTTTAGCGATCGCGTCGAGACTCCATTCGCCCCCACATATGCAACGCGTTTGCCACTTCTTTTCCCATGAACCCCATCGAAGAGACCTATGAGAACCCATGATTCCATTCCCGTTCGCGAGTGACCTACCCCCACAGCGGATACATGTCATAGCTGGCTCGTCGGTGATTAGGACGGAATTTGTCACTACGTCTCGCTCGCGGACTGGAGCCTTGGTAAGCGATAGTTGAGTGAGTCCATCTACTAAGTCACTCGGTTTAATGAATAAACGTGACTTGTCGGCAACAGAGGAAGCTGCGAGCTTTTGTATCATTTGGTAGAGCTGATCATGCAACTTGGGCAACGTGCGGCCTTCTGCCAGCATTTGCGTCCCCTCTCCAGCTGAGAAAGCTCAGTGTCTGGCATAGCAATATCAGAGACGACCAACCTGGCTGTTTGTTGATTTCAGTCAGACACTCCGAAAATAAAAAATGTAACAATTTGAGGTCAATTCCGGAGCACTGGACTGCGTCAACTAGAACGTCGCGAGCGATCTGTGCATCCTCTGCCTTCGCAGTGAGGTTTACGACATGGTTGTAAAACCCGATCACATGGGCCAGAGTCGTGCACATGTTGGAAAGTGCGAGGGGGTGTACAAGATGAAGCCATATGGGTTCATTGAGCAGATGTGAAATCTTGGTCACTGCAATCATTTGTTAGTAAGGACGAGTTTTACCAACCGCCGAGTGGGTACTCACGTTTTTCGGATGCAGCTTCCGATATAGACAAATGATCGGCTGACTCTTTCTTTACCATAGAATCCTCGGGTTCGTTGAGTTCCACAGCTTGAACCACAAGCAAGCATTCTTTCATCAAGTTTTCTAGAAATTCCACCACCCAACTGCTGAGATTGGTGAGCTGCCAGACCGCCTCTGTAGCCCATATGAGACACCTATTTTGAGCGAGAGAGAGAGAGAGAGAAAAGAAAGAAAGAAAAAAGGGTTAAGCTTACCCAGGTCGTATGATCCATCATCTTGGCATCCCTCGAAGGAACTTCGAACGGCCGCCATGGAGCACAACTCGACCATAACCCGCCGCAGTCTGGTGAACAACTCTTTCTCTCGAAGGTTTTTGCAAAATTCGAGTTGCATTCTGGGGAATTTCAGCCTATGACATTAAGATTAAAGAGAACAGTCTTACCCGTACAGCTCAACACTAGCTTGGACCAATCCCATCGCCTCAGCCTCGGTAACCCCTCTCTGCGAGCCAGCGACAAGAATGCCTAGTGTTTTGCAGAGGAGGTTTGCAGTGTCCGAGCGAGACATAGAAAGATGGCGCAATACATGAGAAATGTCATTTATTGGCTTCTTAGACTTGATGGCCACAGCGAGTGGTAGAGATAAGGCTGACGTGGAAAGTTAGATGCAATAACCTGCTATATCTACTTAACCGCACCATTCGAGACGTCTTGCGATGATTTTCGTCTCGGGAGGGATTGCACAGCAATGTGCTGTGAATAAGACAGACAGGCTAGCACACCGTTTGGAGAAACAGCCGCATCAAGTGAAACTGAGAAGATAGTCAAGGTCACCGTCGCAGCAGAATGAGTAGAATGACAGTGCGTACAATCGGTGCCAGCATCCGCAGCAGAAATATATATAGTTGATGAATCCCACTCTGGGTCATCTGAGAGGTCGACTCTGCTCAAGTTTGAGCTTCAAACCTAGGTGAGGATGAATAGATTGAATGTACCTACAGATTCAGCGCAGATATTGATCCCATAGCTGTCTGCTTATGTTTGGGTTTGGACGCGATACCTTCGCGATTGTACAGCACAGCATATAGGCAAGGCTTGAGGGCAGTCTCAAGAGGAGCATGTGCGATTATGGACGTCAGTGTTCGAGAGGGGAAATCTCGAGTGGCCAGTTTTTGAATTGTCTAGAGAACCGTTGGTAAATGGTCTGCTAGCCTCACAAAAAAGAAAAAGAGAAAAGGAAGGAAAAGAACTGACCCACGGGCTTTGCCCTGCCCGCACCGGCTGAGAACTGCGTGTCAAGGAAATGGCAAGTAAATCAGATTTGCCCATGCTGCTATCTTAGAAACGCTGATTAACGCTCGATCATGCTGCGTATGGAAGGGACGTACATTCCGTAAAATCCAGAAAGGCTGCGGCCACATAGGCGGAAAATGATTTCCCAGCAGGTTTAGATCCATCCTTATGAGGAGATGACCCTGTAATGGGCGCTGCAAGTCTCGCTTCCAGCTGTGTATCAACGAAGTCGAGGCTGATAAGGTGGGAAGATGGATGGTGGATAGAGCCCATGGGGAGGGTGAAGAGGTCTATGCTGAAACTTGAGACATCATCGAATCGGAAATGAAGGCACATACGTAACACAGCACCATCATATTTGAGGTTCACCTCACAAAAGTCAATCATCGATTCCTCAGACCAGAACTCCCAGTCAGTTCGACCTCCTGAGCTTACAGCAAAGAGGTGATGCTCGTTGGCATCAGTTGGAGCAGTGAAGTCCAGAGAAGAATTAGCAGTGGCTTTGGTTGAATCGCTAGGATAGGTCCGGCATCTCGTTGCAACAATGACAGTGCTTTCTGGAAAGCACAATTAGACCTTTTTCGCCACCAAGAAACCGCAACAATACCCATACCATTTGGAAAGGACCCAATAGCGGCCCGAACACACATTCTGGAGTGTCCTGAGATAAGAGGAAGGCTTCGGGCTTCAGACGCATGACCTTCGTGGGTCATGTTTGGTTGGGTAAGCGTACAGGACATAACCTTGAATCCTGCTGAAAACGGTCGAAGGTAGTATACATTGACTTGCATCGCTTCGGTCACGACAAGGAGAGAGGGATTCAAGGCCGGCGTTATAGGTCCACTAGGAGGAAAGCGATCCAGAGTTCCATTGGAGTTCAGCTTCCACTAAAATCCATATGAGCACACGAGGAGTGAGAAGCGAGATCAGATATACTCACAGGACGACCTGCAACCCCCAGCCAAGCTGTCCCGACAGCACCGGCGCCTCGGGGGAAGGGCCAGTGCTCTCGCAAGTTCCAAGCTTCAATTGTTGCGCCTCGTTTCCAAATACAGCCGATGCCATCGTCGTCATTGCTAGGAAAGTAGGCGAAGAGCCACGACCCATCAGGGGATGTAGTTATCACTGTCGGAGGTTGGTACCCAGAAGCTAACGATGTTGCTATTAGAAACTGGCGGCCGGTAGAAAGGATTCGGCAAATGACAAGCGGTAAAGATGGGTGAGCAAAGAAAACTGCGCAACCATGTGCCCAGGCAATTGGCCTAGGAAGGCATCGAGGTAAGGCATATATGTAAGAGCTCGGACGCCTCGCTTACCTCTTGGCCTGTTCGGTCAAAGGATAAACGTCCCACCAGTCGGCACGCCAGACGCTCTCGTCTTTTACCTTGCCTTTGATAGGGGATGGACGTGCACTTTCGGCTTGTTGGCCGCCACTCATTTTGCTGCTGAGTAGACTAAAACAGGGATGAGACCAGCGGACTGTCCGTCCGCGCCTATAGCGCGACAATGCAGCACCGAAACGACTCGATGTCGGCGGTCACATGCAACAACGCGACGCGACAGGGGAGAAATTACGTAACCAGCTCCGACTGGCTGCGCGCACGTATTTCTTCCAAGTAGCTTTCCGTTGGCTTTCCGATTAGATTGACACGAGACGTCGACAGTACCTATACTGATACCTCTACCATGCTGGCTTCTGGTCAAATAGCTGCACAAGTCAACGGCACTTACACCGAAATATCCTTGCAAACCTTTGCCGATCGCGTCATCGTCCTTATCACTCAGCTAGGGAAAGTGGGCAATTTGGTGCTTTGGGCTTCAGTCATTAGCAGCGTCCGTATTGCTAACCAAGCGCTGTATGCACCCGACCAGACCCAGGCATCCATTCCACAAACAACACCACTACCATCCGTCGAGATTTTTGTTCAGACAACGTCTGAAGGCGAAGCCCAGCTTCCGACACCCCCCGCAGCTATCCAACTCACACCTTTGCTTGGTTATCCACCTTCTAACCATCTGCAAACGTTACATGCACTCTACGTATCTCATGTGGCTACCTTGGTGTGGATGGTTGAAGTAACAGGCGCACTGTCGTCTAATCGAAGGAGTGTGATTGTCGGTGTTGCCCTTCAACCCCAGGCAAACCCAAGTGAAAATGGACTAAGCTCACAGGAGAGGGAAACTTTCCTGGGGATCATGGATTTGTTCCAAACCACTTTGAGCTCTACGCTCCAGAAGTAAGGGATGAAGACGCTTGTAAACGACATATCATTCGCCACTGGATGTTAACTAGGTCAGTAACATCCATTTGTTTGTTGCATTGCTGGGCTCACCGAGCAGACGCGACCGCTTTAACTCCCTTCAGAGTCCCAACTAGTGCCCTCCACTGCGCCTTTTTGCATTTTCCATCTGACAAGCTCCACTAGCCGTTGCTCCGGAGGACGTTCTGTTCGAGGGTTTGTCTCATACAGGTAGTAAGCGAAACAACCCGTGAATATGCCTAATATCGGGTCAAGTGTTCTAGGAGATGAGGCCATTAGAAGGGGAATATATAATGATTTTGCGCGTAAACAAACCCCACCGGGATAAAAGGGCTTGGGGCATCGTAACGTTAATGGCTAGTCAAGGTGAAGACAACGAAGTCGGAGGAACGGGGAAGTGCGCAGGGTGGTAACTTGGCAAGTGGGGTTATCGGACAAAACGGAACATTTCGAATAAATTCAGTATACTTATGTATTAGCCTATATACATGCGTCTGCCGGGCCCGCATCCAAAATTTACATCCACTCTGCCTACTGCTCCTGCGCCGATTCAGAGGTGTACCGTCTTTCTTTCGTTCGATCACATATCCAAGCTCAAGCGCTCCAGCTTCATTCTACATGTCGGCTCTCGATCGCCAACTGCGTCCCATCTATGGTCGGTACATGTACACTATGTATCACAGACTCCAACTTATTCATCACGCGTAGATGCACTCGACATGGGCTCACATAAATCAGCGGTGGTGTCTTGTAACAAGCTTATCAAGAGGTACCCAAACAACCTCTTACTCAAGGTTTGCAAACCTGACGTATGACGTTTACTCTATATGCTAAGTACGCTTGCAGGCGCTCAAGTCTTTAGGCTTGGTACGATCTCAGAAAATTGAGGAGGCACTGCCGCTGCTTGAAGAAGTACTCGCAGCCAAGACAACAGATGACGCCACGTTAACGGCATTGATGCATGTCCTGCGATTGCTCGGCAGAAGTGAGTGTCTGCTTGCACTGGGTCGATCTCAGTCTAACATAAGCTGTCAGACCAGGACATCGTGTCGATGTTTGAGAATGCATATAAACAGCAGCCCCAAAATGAAGACTTGGGTGTGCAAACATTCTTTGCGTATGCGCGCACGGGGAACTGGAAGGTTGCGCAACAAGTAATTCCACTGCCGATCTTCCAGGAACTACGATTAACGTCAGATTCCAGATTGCAACCAGAATGCACAAACAGTTTCAGGAGGACCGATATCTGTACTGGAGTGTTGTCGGAGCCCTCCTTCAGGTTTGTCTACGCAGGTATGGTAGACTATCTCCTAATCAGATCCTAGGCAAACGATCTTGCAACACCCCCCGAGATGCGGACGCTGCTGTATAAACTTGCGCATCGTCAAGTTGCTTCATCTCCGTCTCCTTCGTATCTAAGCGCCGAGCGTTTCTATCTTCATTTATCAATCCTTCAAGAACTACAGCTTTACGATGAAGCCAACAAGCTGCTCGAGAGTGAGATCGGCAAAAGCATATGCTCAACCAGCTTGCCATGCAATTACCTCCGACGCCAGATCTGGCGTGCACGCGGGCTTTATAAAGAAGAAGCTGAACGAGCAAAGGATTTAATTCTTGAAAAGAAGTACGCACGCTACTAAAACATTCATGTTAAAGACTAATATGTATCACCAGTGACCGGAACTGGCTTGAGTTCTTGTCTATTATAGATGCTGCGTTTCCTCCCAAGGAAAGCGGGCAAGAGCCTGTCACGGATGCTATTCCAGAGACTCGAGACTTCTTCAACAAGATCGCCGAGACCGATGGCGTCAAAGATCGCTCTGGCTTGTTGGCACTAATCGAATTGGAGCATCGCGCTAGGGTAGCAGGCGGTACATCAGGTAGCTTCATCATCCATACCAACTGCTTAACGCTCATGTGCTCTGCTTAGATATCACAGTCCTAAAGGCTCTCTTGCAAAAGTACTTCGTACTGCACAGCGAGAAAGCCTGCTGCTTTGAGGATTTGAAGCCATACCTGGACTTGAGCGACGCTGACCGTGATGAGTGGACAACTTTCCTGGACTCCCAGAGATCCACATTGGTGAATCAAAGGCGTTATGTCCCGTAGCTGGCGCTGATTACTTTCCAGGAGTCAGCAACGGACTTGCGTTGTCTCATCAATGTACACAAACTCCAAAGGTTCTCGTTACCAGCCTCTAAGCTCACGGCGGAATTGGAATCTGGTCGTGCAGCATCGTACATTCGCGACTACAAGGAGGGACTCAGGCTGGGTTTAGAACTTCCTGAAACTGAACTACAGCTCGCCGACGACTTGGCCATCCTGGCCGGCCAGGCACTGGTTAATGCATGGTATCTCTCAAAAGAACAGGCTTATTTATTGCAGGCTGTTGCGTTGCTGGAATTCACCCTCAGCAAAAGCAAAGTTGCTTACTCAGTACGGCTCATGCTGATACGGTTGTACCGATTGTTAGGTACAAGATTGCCTTTTCCCCGTTTGCGGTTCGTAGGCTGATCAAATGTGGAAGGCGCACCTACTTTGGCCCTAAATCATTACCGTGCCCTCAACATCAAACATGTTCAGAATGACACTCTCTCACATTTTGCCCTTTCCCGAGCCACTACGTTCTCTTTGGCCTCCACTGGGGACATTACATACTCTTCTGAATGTTTAGAGACCAGCCAAGTGTATCTTAGCAATAGTAACGAGGTATGCTTGTCCGTGGTATTCGGTACGCAACCTCACATACACGCCTTTAGACTTCAGAATTCATCACGCGAGCTTTTCATGGAGAGCGTTACTCACAGGTATGATGCGAGTTTCTTGTTGTAGTTTTTGACCCACCTCTTTGCAGATACCCAACTTCATTGAGTTCGAAGAACGACTGGAGAACTCTCTTCAAAGGGACCTTGTGAAGATGGAGCATGTTCGAATGCGCATGATTCACGAGCCTATAGTGTCGGACCTGATTGATATGGAGTTCATTGAACTAAAGATCATTCTCGACCGATGTAAGTGGGAACCTCAGATTGCTTATTGGGCTAACATCTTTTTAGACCACTTTGACAACAGAGATTTTGATATCATGCCAAATTACCAGCCCAACGGACAGCCATCCTTCGAAGTACAGACCAGGCTATTTGGCAGAAATGCTGGTGTAAGGATTAAAATTGACTTTTTACATGCAGCACTGGTGGATGACCATCTCTACAGCTGGGCTGGTTACGGGTATACCTCAAAATGTTCATTCGTGCATTTCAACATGCAAGCGATTTGGACGATGCTACCGAAGACAAGCTCCTTATTGGCGACCGTCCGAAGAAAAGCTCGGACCCCGAAAATCAACTTCCTCTTGTTGAACGCCTGAACAAAAGAAACCTTGAGGAGGAGAGCGAGGTATGAAGGTGCATTATTGCCCAATCAAAGTGCTAAATTGTGCAATCCAGCTGACCGAGCAAGAGCTGAAACTGTTCGAATGGGCACTAACTCTTGCGGATTGGCTTGAGCCATACCATAATGTAGCGCGCCCCCCTCCAACTGTAGATGGACAGAAGACTAGCAACGGAGAAACCGGCAGCTCTGCCAGGAAGGACGATGCCCCTCCTGTCCGTAGCACTCCCGATCTTGTAGTTAGGTTTTTTGATGGTGAGATTTCTCCGAAGAAGTCGTGTCTGCATGCTAAATCTGTCCAGATGTACAAAGCGAGTTCGAGGCTTCAGTCGGACGTGATTGCCTGCCGTCTGAGTTACTTCATATTGTCACAATCATTCAAGAGGCAAGCATAATCTGTTACCTCTGAGAGTTTAGACTGTTTGGCTGACTGCCTGCAACCAGGCTGTTACCCTGCTGGTCGCCGAGACGGTCCGCTTCAAGAGTACTTCCGTCGTTAAAATCCACAAACTCAGTCAAGTGAGTTTGTAACTTGTGTACGTTTTGGTGGGCGAGGTTGACGATAGAACCATCAGCTGGTCCAATCTCTCAAAGAAGTTCGTACCAAAGCATGCGTTTCATTGAAAGAAACTTCGGAATCGTTGGTGAAGTCTGGCGAGAATTACGGAACGGCAGATAGTCGCAAGGCGTTTGTCGATGCCTGTAGTCCGATTATTGACGATGATTTGGTTGGTCGTACCAACGTCATATTCCATCGTGTTCATGCTGATTTGATCTGATCCAGGTACACCATGATTTCGTTCTCAACATCGCAAAAAATGTTTGTGACTCTCGCAAGAAGACCCTAGAAGGAGTAGGAAAGGGTGGATTGAAGATCAGCAGCGCTTATGACAAAGCATAATTCCCTACTCTCAAGTTAAACAACCAACTGTAGACTATTACCTACATTACCACAACTCATCTCCATTATACATCAGAAATACAGCCTTATTGATTACCACTTACCGCGATCGGGAGGTTCCCCCTGGTTTCCCACGGTCCTATAGCGCAGCACTGTGACACATATAGTGACATCCGCGTGGGCTTCAGCACGTGAAGTGTAGTCGCGTCCATGTCACGCGATTGTCACGCGTCATCTAACCTCCTCGTCGTTCACTAGCACTCTTTGAGGGTCCTAAGCCGGCTTTCAACCATCACCATTAGTAGGTGCGATATATTACTTCAAGCTTTCAATACTCGATGAGTCAACGTAAGACCCTTATCTTTTCCTCTGAGTGAAATTCTGACTAATGTATGTCTAGCGAACGAATACGGCGGAGGTTACCTGACAGGAGGTTCGCCCTACGGCAGCGCTGCGGGAAGCCCTGGTGGGGCTGGGCGCGTGTGTGCTTAATCTCATCTACTGCCATTCTTGCTGATTTTGCTTAAGAGGAGTGACGTCTCTCATTCCCTTCGACCGCTTACTATCTTCCAGCTCTTGAATGCAACCCAAGCCCATTCTGACGCAGAATGGATGCTGGAAGACACGGAAATAGGACATGTGCGCTACCGTCTCCTGGTCTACGAGTATGCTCTTATCAGTGTTTTGACTAGGTGACTTGTGTCGCACATGTTGTATCCGTCCAGAACCAGGCAACTAATAATGTGTACGGGCTTGATGATGGAACGGGTCACATAGAGGCGCGTCATTGGACTGATTCTTCCCTAGAAGAAGATGTCGATAAAGGGGCGGGTATAAAGCAAGTAAATATCATTTACACTTGCGCCCTTGTCTGACCTGAAAACTTAGAGAAGGGACCTATGTTCGTGTGCTAGGCAACTTGAAGATGTTCGGTAGCAAGCGTTACATCAACGTAAACCACATTCGGCCCGCAAAATCTGCAGATGAGATCTATTTTCATCTCCTCGAGGTGATGACGGTCACCCTGATGTGGGAACGAGGATCAGTCAGTGATGGTCCATATAGACTGCTATGGCTTTTGCATGATCCTAACTACTCCTTTAGCCCCTCCGCCCAGGGCAGCAGGCATCGGAGACTGTAGGATCTCATTCTGTTGCCCAATCCGACTACACCGCCCAATCCCATGGTGGAGCGATTAACAGTCAATGGGCCCATCTTCCCGAGTTAAATCGAAATATCCTTCAGTTCATAATAAATCAGCCAGCAACAGAGGAAGGCGTCAACTCGGCAGCAATCCTTAGAGCATTGAAGGCCACTGCTCTGGCATTAGAGTGAGATTCAGTGGAAGCCTGCATATGTTGACTTTGCTGACTGGCCAATCTAGCCAAGCGATAGAACAATTGATGGATGACGGGCTGATTTACACTACCATCGACGAGTCGCACTTCCGACTTGTACAGGTCTGAATAGGACTGTCATAAGTAGTTTCTGGCCGATGGTCTTTGCCTTGAAAAGGGAACTATGCTTGGAACTATGAGGACCGGAACTGCCAGCTTGTTTGCAATAGGGGCTAGTCACGGGCCTAAGATGGGTGTCTATGCGGTAGTACTGTAATAATAATCATTTATGTAAGCTAATGGGGTGGGGTATCCAGCGCGGCTGCTTGCAGCAAACGGTAGCAAGGACTAAACCCATTGCGTCAAGTCGAGTGTGTACTCCCTGGTTCCAGCTACGTTCCCTCTTGCCATGCTCCCCCAAGCTTAAGCGTTTCTTGAATCCTAAACCTCGCGAATTGACCGTCGCCTCGCTGGAGATCGCGTTGGCCAGCCATGTCATCCTGGTATCCCTCCTGGCTACCGCGCCTTTCGTCATTTGACTTCACCCTGCCCTCTGCCATACAACGTCGTTTCTTGTCATTCATCCTCAAGCAGACCCTTGGCCACTTTCTCAAGCCAGGTCAACTGGATCTCCATCAGATTGATTCTCAGATTGGTTCGGGCTACGTCCAAGTTAAAGACCTTGAGCTAGACAACAACGTACGTGCATCTTCTGAACCTTCTTCCGCATAACTCGTGACAATGAATGAAAGGCCATAAATACTCTCCTATCAGGCTTGCCACTTCAGCTTCACAATGGTTTCATAACCTCTGCAATCGTCCGTGTTCCACTACCCAACCCTTTGACATCGAATGTCGGCCTGTCCATCCGTTCATTACACCTCACCTTTCACGTCGCACCTCATTCGCCGCTCTATGCTTTCGAACCTGATCTGACGCTTGCCAAATCGGTGGTTTCTGTCGCTGAGACTTTCGTACACAATGAGCTCTCCACGCAGGAAGAGGAAGACCTCCTAGAGTCTCTCCCACCCGAAGTGACTATTTCCCAGAATTTGCCTGGTGGTTTGGAGCCCGTCACCACAGGAGAGCAGATTAACGATACAGATCCTGCCGGTGTTTCCCTCTTTGCGACGCTCATAGAGTCACTTATGGCTAGGTTTGAGTTCAAAGTCGAAGATACTAAGATAACAATTATTTATCCTGGCCGCGGAAGCTTCACCCTTGCTGTGGCAGAGCTGACGTATGGCGCCACAAACTCTGAACCTCCTCGTTCAGATAGTAGCCTTGCCGACAGTATCGAACAACCTGTTAGGTCGCAGAAGTTGTCTCGAAGAATCAACATTTCGGGCATCAATATAACATACCGCAACTTACAACCGTCAGAACATCTATCAGCTAGTAATTCAGGGAAGGATGGATGTCAGATTGATACGAGGTTCCCAGCTCGCACGGAGCTCGACACGGATTCCGGCGAGGAAATAGACACCCCAACGTCTGATATTGACGAAGAGACACAGATGATGATGAGCCAATCCATCATAGGACTGCCGGAGTTTAATCAACCTCCATCCGAATCTTCTTGCTCACCCAGTGGTAGCATGTATGAAAGCGCCATAACCCATCATCCAGAAGTCAACCAATCGTCGGGCTCTCTAAGGGCAGCTCCAGCTGCTGAAGACGAACTCGTATTGTCGTTCGGAGATCAGCCTCTGGTTATATCTATCCAAACACCAGCCATTTTGGATCGTTTCATCAACTCTTCCACCGCCTCAAGTCAGGCGACCAAGCCAGGACATGCGGGAGAAAATCTGGTAGCTGATCTGAAGGTTGGACCCATAGCGTGCGCCTTATGCCCTCATCATGTTCTTTTAATCTGTGGAATATTGGAGCTGTCGGGATCAAGCAATCCTTCACCCTCGAAGCCCAAGGGCATACCGCCGTCCGGCGGACCAGGTATTGGTTTCGAGGTGAATGCCAGGCTTGGGGGATTGTCTATCTTCCTCTTGGGAAATACGGCATCTCGATACCTGAGTTCCGGAAGTCAGATCTTCAGGACACCATTCAAATCGCCCCAGCTACCAGTTGCATCAATGCAGCTTAAGATAGAACGAGTGTCGTGTTCATTCCATCGTTCTTTCTTGCATCCACAGCCCGGCAAATCACCCAGCCCTGCACGACAACCAGGCAGCGCCAAGACAATTTTCCGCTCTTCGCTACGCGTTGATATTGATGATGTCTCGATTTATGCTTTCCCTGCAATATCCCCTACGACCACTACCCGGGAAGATTGTCTTGCGTATCCCATTTTGACCATGGATCACGCGCTGGTGTCAAAATCAACACCACAACCTTCGCGGCCCCGCACTGGTAGCATTGGCGATGCATCTGCCATTCCAAAGTTTGCCACTGCAAATTGGGACCAATACGGCAAACAGCATATGGCAAGCAGCGTCGGCGGACCCAAGGGCGGAGAACACAAGGATACTGCAGTGCTTGTTGAGGTTGAGAGCCACTTGGAGCCTTCTCAGGCAATAGCCCGCGCAAGGATAGCGCCGGTACATGTATTCTGTGACCTAGATGTCCTCCTGAATCGCGAAGGGTGCAACTTGATTTCGCTAATCGAGGAAATTCAGCATGCTTTTGAACCCGCAAACCTGAACGATAGTTTCCGGTCCTCAGACTCAGAATCTACTGCCACAATCGACAGTCCTATATTACATTCTCAGAATTTGCGCAATCTAAGTCCACGTCGATCGACCCATGAACATGGTTCTGGGAATCATGATGCTCTAAACCTCCAGTTTAGTTCCGCCAAGTCTCCCAATTACGATCATCAGGTACGCCCACCTTGACGAGCCTTCCAAAAGCATCCGTTTAACATTTGGTAGGACAACGTTGGCGTGGTTGATGCAGTGCAATATAATGTAACTTGTCCTGTGCTGCGATTCGATCTTCGTTGTGGACCTCCTCCCAACCGAAGTCCTCGCTCTGGCTCTCTAGTGGCTACCGTCTTCGACTTTGGCCTTACGAATATCCCTTCGACCGTCCCCGACAACACATCCGCTTTCCATGGCTATGTTCCTGACACTCATCAGCGTAACAATGAAGGCGAATTCCATATATGGTGTCAGCGAGCTTTTCTAGCGTACTCGTTGATGGGAGAATCTCAGGCTCCAATATTCTGCTCTTTGGGCTCTCTGGTGCCCTCTGGGGGCGTAACAAACACACTGAACAGGCACGGAATCTCCTTGTCCATCTCTTTGCCTTTGACGCTCAGGTTTTCCCGATCATCTTCCATGACGGAAGTTGCTCCTTTGAAGTCACACATCAGTATCCATGTACCCGCCACCGATATAATCCTAACCAAGCCAGCTCTGGATGGACTACAGGAACTAGCCGATGATCTGTCCCAGGCTACTGGTCGTGTCGCGTCCAGCCTTGACCAAAGAGCTGGGGCATCAGGGGGACCATCTCAAGGATCGTCAAGGATCGTCAGCCCAATTATGGCTGAGAACGGAGTGACGAGGACCACCGCTAGCGCTACATGCGGAGAAGGTGAGTGATACACTGGCTTGGGCTAGCATCTCCCGACAGCCCATAGTGTTCGTGAGGCTCCTTGTGCCCAGACAGGATAATGCCATTCAACCATTGGATGTCACGATGTCTGATGTGGTCGTCGATGTCGAGCTGGGGCGTGATGGAAGGGTTCGAGATTAACTCTTGAAAGATACGGCCATTCCCTGACGATCACCTAGGACGATAGTCGATTCTCGCTAGCAATCGTAGATGCGCAGGTGGAAAATCACTCACTCTCCCAAGAAACTTCTCACCTCATAACGCGCACACCCCCTGTGTTCTTGGTTAGTTTTGCGCCCATGTTACACACGCGCCATTAATTGTTCTGTGCAGGGGGGTCAGCAAAGGGCAATGATCAACGTCGACTTTCGATCTACCGTTGTATCCTCAACGCGGGGGAAATTGTCCACCATTAGCCTCGACTTATGGGAATTCACCTTGGTTGTACCTCCTGAGCTGGAATGGGTGTCAAGTATCACGCTTTTTGCCAAAGCTCCCCCAGGTGTCAGCTCACTTTCCAACACTATAATCCTGCGTTTTCATCTTCATACCTTTTCCAGGTTTTCGAATCCGTTGTCCCAGCTGAACGCACCACTCTCCTGGTGAACATCAACGATGGCTATATCAAGATTCTAGCACCCTCGCACCCGGGAGCTTGTGTATATCTCATTGACGACCTCACCATTTCTGCGAAACTGTTTGGAAGTTCGAAGAAAATGGCTTTGAGCGCTTCACTGGCGTCTTCGTCCCTGTTCTTTACTGACGCTTTGGCTGACATATCGGAAGTCCAAGAAGACCAGCAGTCTATGTCACATCTTACTAAGCTTAAGGTAGGGCATCATCTTTGCCCGGCGAACCCGATTGATGTTGTTCAGCGAGCAGGGTATGCCCTGATGGGCGAGGCGAACCAGCTTCAAGTGGTGTATCATACAAATCCGGGTCAGATACCTTCATCAAAGGTCAGAATATATATTGTTATTTCGACTCATACTAAAATCTTAAATAGGTCGACATCGAACGGTGTGATCTCCGAATTCATATCTGCGCAGACACGATTGCCGCATTTGGGAGCTTCATGATGAATGTTACGAGTGCTTTTACTCCAAGTCCTTCCAAGGAATCAACGTTCGTCAGAAGCTGCTAGTAACATTTTTGGTAAATTTAACTTTGCCTATAGCGTCTCTACAAACGACAGTCACCGAACTCAGCAGGCTAAGCAAGATCTTAGAGGTGATGCATATTCGTGTGTCGGGATGGGGTCTCTAACTAGTGTCATAAATCCCAGTTTCATTTGATGAAGAGGCATTCCGCACCGCCCCAGAACTCGGGACGGCGCCAGACATGATTCGCGATGACCTACCAACGAATTTGGATTACTTGGATGCTTCCTTTGGCGCCGCTGCCGGCTTGCGCGAGCTAACTGAAGGCGACTTGGCCGACTTCACGGATACCCAAACATTCCCACCCTCTAACCAAGCGCCAGGAGTAGTCTCCAACGTTGGAGGAGAGACTGTACGGATCTTGAAGCCATTTCAATTTGTAGACGACTATCACCAATCGCTGCCGCCGGATATGTCGGATGGAGCACCAGGGTATGTTTTCTGTTTTAAATCTTGAATGTCAATAAAGGGGGTCTGTAGTGGCTCTGAGGACATCGACGTGGACATCCAGCTTTCGCACTGCAATATTGCTCTACTCTTGTATGATGGTTATGACTGGGTTCGCACCCGCAAAGTCATCGAACAAGAGGTCAGAGAAATGCGCCATCGACTCGCCAAGATACGACAACTGGTAGCGTCTGGTCAGACCGATCATGGCGTAGGGGACACAAGCACGCTGGTTTTTAATTCTATCCACATAGGTTTGGAGCAAGACCTTGACGTACTGGAACCTGGGGCCATCATATCTGCAATCGACGAAGAGCTTAATGGAGCAGAGAACGAGTCACAAAGTTCTTGGCAAACTCTGCAACAGCCTGTCCACTCTCCCAACAGTTCGACCAAGAGCACTTTTGGGAGGCGTCTCGTGCGATCCAGAGGGCCTGTTATCGAGATCCGTCTGTCAAATGCAAGTGCCCGAGTTCAGCAATTTTTACCCAGCAAAGAGACCGTGTCTCGCACCCTCATCGTGGTCGAGAACTTGGAGATACTTGATCATGTGAAGACATCAACTTGGCGGACGTTCTTGACGTCTTTGCGTGCAGATACACGGGGCAACGTTCGGGAAACGGATTCCAATATGGCGCGCATTGAGCTTTTGACAGTGAAACCAACGCCTTCTGAGTCTTCGGTCGAAGTTAGACTTCGTGTGCGTTTGTCCTAAATTGCTCGTCCTTCCATACTTACTCGTCATGATGAAGGCTAAGATACTCCCTCTGCGACTCTATGTCGATCAAGATGCGCTAGACTTCTTAAAGAAGTTCTTCAGCTTCAAGGATCCTGATGCTGTCGTCGAACCCACAAAGTCGGACGACGAGATATACATTCGTAAGTATTCATGATGCAATTGAGCAAGGTCGCTGATTCACTGCATGCAGAGTCTGCTGAAATTTTTCCCATAGGCATCAAGCTTGACTACAAACCTCGTCGGGTGGATTATAGAGCTCTCCGCGAGGGCCGGACGATTGAGCTAATGAATTTCTTCCACTTCGATGGGGCAGAAATGACACTCCGCCATTTGACACTGAAAGGAGTAGGTGACCTCACCAAGGCCTATCAAGGGAGAAACTAATTGGCGCAAAGATTACAGGATGGCCAAAATTATTCGACCTTCTGAATGATTTATGGACTCCAGATGTGAAGGCAACACAACTTGTGGATGTCATTTCTGGTGTTTCGCCGATACGCTCGGTCGTAAATGTTGGCTCAGGCGTTGCTGATCTGGTCCTTCTTCCTATCGCGCAATACAAGAAGGATGGGCGTGTTGTACGTGGACTACAGAAGGGCACGAAGGCTTTCGTCCAGTCCACGGCGATGGAGGCCATCAAACTTGGCGCACACTTGGCAACTGGGACCCAGGTCATCCTCGAGCAGGCTGAGAACGTGCTCGGGGGACAGTGGCAAGATCAAATAACAGCTGAAACGCTCGCACCATTTAACGAGGAGCAGCTTACAGAAGCTTCACCCGAGGAGATCAGAAACACCATCAGCAAGTATGCTGAGCAACCCGCTGGCATGACGGAGGGGATGCAACTCGCCTATAAGAGTTTGCAGCAAAACTTCCGCTCTGCCGCGCAGACCATCCTGGCTGTGCCAATGGAAGTATATGAGAACTCTGGGCAGGGGGTATGTTTGCGGTCAAAGTTACGCTTCATATTCTAACCAGACAATTATAGGGAGCCATGAAAGCCGTGGTACGGGCGGTGCCCATTGCCGTTCTCAAGCCTATGATCGGTGCCTCCGAAGCAGTCAGCAAGACCTTGATGGGTCTTCACAACACCTTGGATCCCAGTGTACAACTAGACAATGATGCCAAGTACAAGCATCGGTAACCAGTCTCACGAATTCTCCAACGCCATGCATGCATATGAATCACCCACATTTGTAATTTTTGGGTTCAGTAGCAATATTTCCATGTAGACTAGGCCAGCAATATTCCATTCACAGTTCACAAGTGCGATGATACATGGTTCATGCATGCAATTGGTGAATAATGCCTATAAGATAAAAGTACTAGGTGTGTACACGTGGTGAGTAGAAGTACGCATACTTGGCAAACACTCAGTCTATCTCCATTCCCATCGAACGACCCTCTCCCTGAACAAGCGCGCTCCGTTTGACAGGAACTTTGATCTTTTCTCGTGTCTTCTCTTCGACACTGACTGAAGGCTCTACAAGGCTGAGAGCTTCTGTCTTTGCAGCCAACTTCTTGAGCTTGTGAGCTCTTTGCTTCTCGCGAGCAACTGCCATTCTGATTCGACAAGTTAGCACGGGAGCAGAGCGTTTTATTGGCCAACGCACCTGTGTTTCCAGAACGCATGCTCTCTTCGCTGCTTGATCTCGCCAATACGCTTCATAGCCTTCAAAGTCGTCTTTACGAGCTCGCGGTCGTAGCGAACAGGAACATTTCTGCGTTTCTCGAAATCGATTGTCGAGTCCTGAGAAAGAAAGATATTTGTAAGCGGAAATGGACTCGGGGGAGCATTGCGCACGATGGTCATCTCCTTCCCGGCAGCCTTCCTGAACGCCTTCGTCCATCTCACTTTACGAGGATTGCGCTTCATCCTGATAGGAGATCAGTCAGTGAATCAAGGACGTTATAAGCCACATACTTAAAGTTTTTGTGGCATCTAATAAGCTTGTTAAAGAGAGCACTGGGAAAGGTGGAAGCACTCACTTTGAGGTGCAGAATCGAAAGACTTTGGCATCGTTGCGGACAAAGGCCGAGCCTGCATCGCTGATAGTAAGTCATACGTTCCATAGATATTCAGTGCACTTACCATGTCCTGGATAGACGTTCGTAGAGCAGAAGTAGCACTTTTCAATCCTCATGGCTTATGACGGCTGAGTCTAAACTACATACTTTTGTAATACCAAGGGAAGGAGTTGCTCGGCGCCGGCACTTGCCGCGCTACACTTCCAGCCCGAGCCTCTTGCTGCATATCCCTGTCATATCGACTTGATATCGACCTACAAGTTGTTTGCATCTTAGATTTGTAGTTGACACTGCAGCGGAAGCAGCCGCTATTCGGACTCCCCGTTCGAATGTCGGGTTTTTCTACTGCTATAAACAGTATTTTGTCAATCTTTCGGTGTCGCAAGGTACGCACACCATGGGTTACATTCTATTCCTATGGTCAGCAATAATCCTACTACGCCGTTTCTGTGCCTGTATCGTCTGCATCAGACTGGTACTTACGCTGGTGCGTCCTTCACAAATAATTTAACAGATTCAAGTGACTTGGGCTTCAGCGAATCGCGCTGCCCGAGTTTTGCCCATGCATGACTGGTACCGGACTGTTGTTCCGTCTCAGTTGGCGACTATTATCATGCTCCTCTGGGCTACCAATAACATCTCGTCGTTTATGAATCCTTCAGCTTCCATGACTATTCCAGTGAGTTGATTCGTCATACTCTAAAACAGATACCAGGTAATACAACGACGAGATACCCTGGTTTTGATGTAAATAAATAAATAAAATAGTCCACCATGCATACGTAGACTAAGCGGCATACAGATCATCGACCACTTCCCCAGCACGTACCCCGACTACACTTAATAGCGTGTCACTGAGGCCATGTGTTTCCTCCTCACAACCTTGCAAGTATATCCGCCCCTTGAACGGACTCGCGCCGTCCGCGATAGCTTCCGCATCTCGTGGAAGGAGGAGACGGTAACCGCGAGAGATATAGAGGGTCTTTTCATACCGCGACTCGTCTGGTGGAAGAGAGCAGAATGCCGGAGACGGGAGATCGCTAGAGGCGCTTGTGGAGGTTGGCGAAGAGCTATCCGTGTCTTGGTCTCCAGAGCGAGTCAAGCCGCCCTCTAGCATTTTCAACGCCAATTTCTCAGCGACATTATTTGTTGTGATTGAAGGCTGGCCGTCATGCTGCTCCGCCTCCGACTTCAGGCGTATTGAGTCATGCAAGGTGCTATCAATACCGAAACGCTTGCCGACGTTCGACGATGTGAGGAGTTTGGCCCATGAGCGGCGTTCGTAGCCGGTGGCGCAAACGATAGCATCGTAAGTGGTTTCATGGATGTCGCCGGAAAGGACGTTCTGGATTATGACAGCCAGACCCCCTTCTGAATGTTCGGCAGATGACAAAGTATCGGCTGATAGGATGTTGGAATATGTTCGAATTGTCAACTGGGGGTGAGGAGATGCGTTGGGGCGTCCCTTGCGCCGAGCTACGTCCTCATCAAGTTTCTGATCGTATATCACGTCGTAAAGCTAGAGGTTGAAGCGCATAAACAGAGCGATCCCTGGTTCGAACAAGCAAACTCACTGTGTCAATTGTCCTCGGGTTGACCACGCTGTAGTTAGTGTTGTGATACTCGGAGCGGACGATACGCCGAGTGCCCATGTCGGCGAAGCCAAAGACCATATCAGTCCCTGGACAGCATGAGATTTCAGGTATCTGTAACATAAGGAAAGTGCTTACTGTCGGGGTTAAAGATTTCATTGGTAAAAGGAGAGTCGTCGCTGGGTTTTAGAGAGCCCGTTCGAATGATCATATCCAACTGATGTCTCTCCTGTCCCGGCTTGCTACTTAACCGAGAGTGAAGGTCGAGGAGAACCTCGGCAGCTGATTGACCACCGCCTACAACGGCAATGCGGAGAGGATTACCGTCGCCTTTTTGCTGTCTGACACCGTCCAGCAAAGAACCTACGCGGTGCAGATACGCCGAGCTGTGGATGACGAATGGATGCGATCTAGCCCCTGAGATCGCCTGGGGGAACCTAGCATAGCCACCTGGAGAGATGACGATGTTTCCTACCATGAAAGGTCAGTGGTAAGACTCGAACGGCGTAGGACCTGACGAACTGCAGCGACGGATGATGTGTTCACCAGTCGAGAGCTTGGTGCTGTGGACCTCGATCGTGCCTGATGAGTCCTCGTTGATTGCTACAACGTCTTCGCCGAAGGCAACGTTGACACCCCGCGATTGGACGTAGTCGGCTGCCCATGCAAGGTAGTCGGCGTATTCCTTTCGAGTCGGGATAGTGGTTCCTTTGTTGATGAAATCAATAAGGCGATTCTGGGACTTGAGGTAGGCTATAAAAGTGATGGGAGACTGGGGAGAGCGGAGAGTAGCAAGGTCTTTGAGGAAGCTGTATCGAACAGGGGCTAATTGAAGGCACAGTTTGAGTTTGGTGAGGACAAACTTGCCTGATCTGCATGCGTGCGTCTGGAAGAAGCATTCCAGGATGCCACTTGAATTCGTCATAACGCTCGATGAATAGGACTTTGTCAAGGGAGATGTCGCCGGCCTGCACGTGGAAATCGAAGTGAGCAGTTGTCCTCGGAGGAAAGAGGATGTGAACTTACGGCGGTACTTTTCTCAAGGAGTGCGCCGGCAATAGCAAGGTTGGATGGGCCAAATCCGAGGCCCAAGACATCGTACGTCTGCTGAGCGGAAACCATAACGGTGATGTCGAGGAAAGGGAAGAAGGGATACGGACTGGGCACCACGGAGGTGGATAATTAGTCTTTATACGTCTGAGGCAGGATCGGTCGGTAGAAATGGATGGGGTATGAGTCGTTGGGACAAGCGACCAACGAGACGGAAGGTATGACCGAGGGGGGATAGATCAGGACAAGCATCTCGGGCTATTCCTGGCCTGCGATTGGGGCGTAGAGGGGCGTAGACCAATGACGAGAATGAGTTTTGTCAATTGAGAGTGGATGATGATCATGCCGCGCGTGGATTAGTTATAATCCACTGTGCATTGGTGATAGAGACCAAGGGTGTGGATAGGAGCAAAGTAGGCAAGTGCAATCAAGCTCACCTTCCTCTCTGCTCTCTTGTTGCCTGAATAGATAATCGGCCCAGACCACCTGCTTCTTGCGGAATGCTAGCGGAGACGGGCGGCTGCTGGCGGGTCAATGCCGGGTAAAAAAGGTACGTGGTTATGATATACGCCAGCTGCGATTCGTAGTACGTCAAAGTACGTTGCGGCCCCCACGCATCAGGGAAGGAGAGATCGTCAGATTTGGTTCCGCAGTGTTTTGCAACCAAGGCAGATGGACATGGCGTCAGTCGCGCGCGAGCCTAATCTCACTTCAGCCCGGTCCAGTAGTGCTGCCCCCAGCCCCGAACCAAATCAGCCAACTTGGCTGGTGTCGTCGGGGCCCTGCTCCTTCACAACCCAGTCTGCTTCTCCTTATAAGCACTCCTTGAGCTGTCCCGCTCAATCCCTCCACCTTCGTTCTATCTCCCCTGTCGCTAATGTCTGTCGTCACAGACGCGTCTGCCTCGGAGGCGCATCGGCCCGGTGAACACCTCTCTGATTACTCTCCCCGCCATCTCCCAGACCTCCCCTTCGTCCGCCGCATAGGTGACGCCGACGACCATTCAGCATGCGTTACTCAACCTCTTGGCAAGCAACTACTGGCTGACCAATCCCTCGACCTCCACGCTGTTACCCTTGCAGCCCTGTGCCGCATCCTTGCACTCTACTGCGGCGTCTCAGACGTCCTTCTCGCCCTCGACTTCGACAAAGAATCTGATACCTTCTACCCCATTCGTGTCAAATGGAATGATGACACCCCATGGAGCACTCTTGTCTCCGACGTACATGCTTCTATATCCAGCCGCACCCTTCCTCGTCTATCCGTGTTCACCGCTCGCGACACACTTGGTCTCGACGCGAAGCAGTGGCCATTCATTTCTTCCATCCACCTCCATGCATCCCAGAGTGACTGTGCTGCCCCTAGTCCATGTCCGCATTTCTGCATTAATCTTCCGCGGGAATACATCTCGTTCCACTACCTACCCAACCATGTTCACCAATCTGTCGCGTCACAGCTCGTGTCCCAGGTCATCGCTACCGCGGTAGATAGAGTTCAGCATCCTCAGTCCAAGTTTAGCTCGGTCCCATCGCTTCCGCGCCACCTGCTTTCTTCGGTTGAGCGCCTATCTCCAGAGGAGTGTGCGTCGCATTACAAGCACATTCCTCCAGTCCGTATTGTCACGGACTTCATACTACCACACGTCACCGAACGGCCCAATGCCACCGCAGTGCAGTGGTACGAGACCCTTGATGAGGGCGACGAACCTGCTGAAGAGCTAACTTATTCGGAGCTGCATTATGGTTCAAACAAGATTGCGCGTTGGCTAGTATCGCTGGGCGTACGGCCGGGCGATCGAGTTGCAGTATCTATGTATCGTGACGTCAGGTTCCACCAGATGCTCTTCGGTGTCCTCAAGGCTGGAGCTTGCTACGTTCCGGTAGGCATTTGTCTTTCTGCTCCTAACTAAATGACCCTCACTGTCAACAGATTGATCCTGAACTCCCTTACGAGAGGAAGTCGTTCCTTGCGAGCGATTCTGAGGCTCGCGTGGTACTGACTACAGATCACTTTGAGATATTCTCAGACAGCGCTGTGGATACGTCAAGCGCGGACGTTCGGCACGCCATCGACTTGATGAGCGACTCCGACTTGGATATTGCCACTCCAGAGGGATTGGCTTACATGCTCTATACTTCTGGTCCGTCACTCCAGACATCGCTTCATGCTGGTCATTCAATTCATTCTTGAATCGTTGATAGGGACAACTGGGAAACCAAAGGGCTGCCTCCTGACCCATGAGGGATTCGTTCAGGCGATATGGGCTTTGAGCTCGCTTTCTGCCGATGTTCGCATGGACGATGTTAGAAAAGGGAAATACTTAGGCGTTGCTTGTAAGGTTCACATGCATTGGTTGTGAATGGTACTCACACTATGTATACCAGCGGTCGCTTTTGATGTCCATCTTTCGGAGACCATGGTGTCCTTCTCTCTCGGTATGACTATCGCTTGTGCTCCGAGATCGGTTCTTCTAGAGGACCTCCCATCTTTCATAAGCGAATTGAAGGTCACACATGTCGGCATTGTGCCGAGCCTTATCGACGCAACAATGGGTACCGTAGAAGACACGGACGACATGGCTTTGAGGTTTATTGCGAGCGGTGGGGAGAAGATGAGCGATACGGTACGTTTTCCCCTTGTCGCCATGTAGTTGCACTAAAGTTTGCTGGGATTAGATCCTTGACAAGTGGGCAAATCATACTGTTGTTAGGTTAGCCAACTTTTATGGGTAAGGACTGGTTCTTCTTGAAAGTGATGGGACCCTGACCATTGCAGTCCGAGTGAGGTCACCATAGGTTGCGCCGCGCGCGTCATGGATCCAGCTGTCCCAAAGTCAAATATAGGACCAACCTTTGCGAACGTCTCTTCCTATGTCGTGGACGAAGATCTCAATATACTTCCACGCGGCTGTGTTGGGGAACTCGTGGTGGAGGGACCTCTTGTTGGCAGAGGCTATCACGGGCGACCCGACCTGGCTTCTAGAGTTTTCCTAGAGTGGCCGTCTCCAGGGCAAAGGTCGTATCGGACTGGTGACCTAGTGCGAATGATGCCGGATGGTACTCTCGAGATTATGGGAAGAAAGGACACTCAGGTGAAGCTGCGTGGAGTACGTATAGAAGTCGACGAGATCTCTTCTGTGTTGAGGCGTGCAGCCACAACGGTTGTCCCATCTGCCAGTGATACAGAGACTGTTCTCTCCTCGCATCCGAAGATAGGTGGCGGAAGCGTCCCTCAGCTCGTGTCATTCGTTGCGTTGGATCCATCGGTGCCCGTCCAAACGAGACGCAACACTCGTCCTAAAGTTGTGCAGCCGCCTAAGGGTCTCCTGGCTACTTCCCGAGAGGCATTCGAGAAGCAGCTTGCCAACTACATGCGCCCGTCGCATGTCATTCCAGTCGACTTCTTGCCTCTTAACCCGAATGGCAAGACTGATGCTAAGGTGCTTGCTACCATGTTCCAGGAACTAGACTTCGATACCCTCATCGACCTCTCCCGCGAACCTTCGACCGCATCCGAACTGACGACCGTGCAACCACCGTCGCATCCGTCCACCCCCACTGAGGAGGCGCTGGTATCGATTGTGAAGGCACACACTGGCCTCACATCGCTCTCTGTCGACTCGAATTTCTTCGCATGTGGTCTAGACTCGCTTTCTCTCGTCCGCGTCGCAGCAGACATCACGCGCGAATTTGGCAAGCGCGTGTCGATGTCAGAGCTGATGGCAAATCCTACTATCTCCGGCATAGCATCGTATGTGGATGAGTCTGGCCAGCCGAGGATCCGAGTAACAGACGGGAGCGTACTACGGCAGTTCAGGGAACGTTGGTTGGAGGAGATTGAAGACGCCTATTCCAGGGATAAGGTCGAGGAGATTTTGCCTGCGTTTCCTGTGCAGGAGGGGGTGCTCTCTAGTTTGGATGAATCCCCGAACATGTTCGTTCAGCATGTAGTTATCAAGCTTCTGGACGCGAGCAAGGCCCCTCAACTGCGTGGCGCTCTGCAGGCCGTCATGAACGATGCGCAGATCTTACGGTATGTAGAATTGCTCCGGTTCATGAGTGTCCCTCATTTTTCCTGTTTGGACTACAGGACGGTCTTTCACTTTGGCGCAGAACTTGTCCAAGTCGTGTTGCGTCCCAGTGCCGTCCGACTTTCTTGGCGAGAGCGGTCGGTTCCCGACATTGAGGAATCTGCTTTCAGCGACTGGTTTTTTGCTAAGGAGGCGGAGCACATTTCCGAGGGGGTCAACAACGATATATCCACGCAACCACCGTTCGTAGTGCATCTCTACTCTGCTCCGACGTATACGTGCATCGTCCTTTCCATACAGCACGCGCTTTTTGACGGTATATCCCTACCACTTCTTCTCAAGCGGATAGACGACGAGGCTGCTGGGCGACCTTCTTCAAAGGCTGGCGAGCTTCGCCCAGCTCTTGAGGAGATTTCGCGCGTCAACCCTGCTGACACGCAACGTTATTGGTCTACGTACTTTAAAGGCTTCGAATGGCTCTCTGCGTCCGAGCCTTTGCCTTTTACCGAGTCTCCTAAACGCAAGCATATCTCGTTCAAGCAGTCCTTATCATATTTCAAGGAGAAGATGGCCAAGCACGAAGTTACCTTACAGGCGTTGCTTTCCTCTGCCTTTGCCTATCTGCTAGCGTCGAGGCTATTCCACAAGAACGATGTGGCATTCGGGGTGAGTTAAACCGTGTTGTAAGACGCCATCGTTACTCATCCAACTTAGGTCATTCGCTCTGGTCGGCTGTTGCCCGTCGATAAAATCGATGAGTTACTGTGTCCAACGATTTGCATACTGCCCATGCGCTTCGACTTCAATCACAGTGATAACATCCTGCGGCAGGCACAGCAAGATATCTCCGCTTCTGTCCCGTACGAAAACGTCCCTCTCGGAAAGGTCCAGCGGTGGATTGGTGCCGGCTCAGGTTCCCTGGAGGCCTTATTCTCTGTGTCAGCGAAGGATGAGACCATCTATGATTCATGGGAGGTTTTACACAGCGAGTTACCTCAACCTGACGTACGTGTCAAGTTCTAATCGCGACATGTCGTTTCTTAACTATTCGCAGTTCCCCTTGTCCGTCGAGATTGTTATGGATCAGAAGGCAGATGCCTTGACTCTGGAGGCTGCTTACTATGACAGCTCCCTGTCCTGTGATATCGATTCGCTGCTGGAAGACTTCGAAGAGACAGTGATGCACCTGCTCGCTCGAGGGGGATCCGTGGTTCCTACCAAAGACACAGGCTTCGTTACATTCAAGGCCACGTCGAACGGGCGACAGCTTACTGTCAATACCTCGTCGGAGAAGTCACTCGATACGCCTCCCCTCACAAACGGAGGTTCTGTATCCAGTTCACCTCCGTCAACTCCCGTCGACCGACCTCAAATCAACAGCCCTGACACGCTGAACGGCAAAGCAGAGGGTTCCATACCCGTAGACGATGAGATCCAACGTTTACAAGGCATTATTGCGAACTTCTTCAACACGGAAATGTCGTTCTTGACGGAGGAGACCTCCTTTATCTCTCTTGGACTCGATTCCATACGCTCAGTCGGTTTGTCTCGCCGGCTCAAGAAGGAAGGATTCCAGATTCCTGGAGGCGAGATCATCAGAAATCCGACGATATCGTCCATCAGGGCGTATCTAGCTAAGTCTGCGTCCCATCGTACAAAGCAGAGAGAGTCGGAAGCAGCTGCAGCATATCGCAAGCGCTGCGCTGAACTCAGCAAGAGCCTCGAAATTTCTTCCATAAAGCTGAAGCCTGACGACAAAGCGTCGGTTCATCCTGTCACTATTTTGCAGGCTGGTATGCTGTCCCAGGTGAGCCATTTATTGTATTTTACCAATACGGCATGCTGATACCTTCGCAAGACGGTTGGCTCTGATGGATCCCTCTACGTTCATGCATTCCCTATGCGACTCTCGGAAGAAGTCGACACCGAGCGACTTAAAAACTCTTGGCAGCAAGCCACACAGTCTATTGATACACTTCGTACTTCCTTCCACTTCCTTGCTGATGAGGGGGTATGGACTCAAGTGGTGCACTCTCGCTGGGAGCTCAACTGGCGCGAAGAGGAATACGATCTGGAGAAGTCACTGCTCTCGATGCTCTCTGAGCAGGTATCCTCGGTCAAGTTCGCAGATGAGAATGCCTTCCGCGTCCCTCCTGTGTTCCTCCGTTTGCTGCAGTCGAAGGATAAGTCATCACGTCTGCTAGTTCTGATCCTACACCACGCTCTTTACGACGGCACTTCCATTGCTATGCTTTCTGACGAGGTTCAGAAGATCTACCGGGACTCCCAGCTACAGCGCACGCCATCTTTGGTAGACTTCCTTCCACGGATCATGCACGAGGAGCAGGAGGGGACTCCGTTCTGGACTGAGCGTCTGCAGGGATATTCGGTACCTCGTCTTGCCTCTATTGCTGAAACCGCCAAGTCTCAGAACGCTGTCCATCACGTTGAATTACCGTCCGGGAGTTTGGACAAGCTAGTTCGCTACGCTGCGGTCACACCTCAGACTGTTGCCCAAGCTGCATGGGCGAGATTCCTGTCCATAGCTTATGGCACAGAAGACGTCCTCTTCGGACACGTAGTCTCAGGCCGCTCGATGGAAGGGTCAGAAGATGTCATCGGTCCCATGCTGGTAATTGTTATTGCATTTCGCAGTGAAGTATGTTTGGCTTATGTTTCATCAGAACACTATCCCCTGCCGAGTCAAGTTGGAACAGCAGATATCGAATCGCGATCTTGTTCGTCAGATTCACGAGAACAACACTCTCAACATGCAGTGGCAACATGCGTCGCTACGCGCAGTTCAGAACAAGCTGCAGGTGGCAAGATTATGGGACAGTCTTTTCCTGTTCCAGCCCAATAACGAAGAGACCGGCTCCTCTCTCTGGGAGTTTGTCGAGGCGGAGCTGAGCGATTTGGAGTACGATGCCCACGTTCAGGTAAGGCTAATGTGATGCCATATGAGTATATTATTTATCTTGACCGTTTCAGTATCCCATGAACGTCGAGTTCTACCAAACCGACACTGGCTTCGTGCTGAAAGCTGTATCCTTGTCTTCCTTCATGAGCGCTCAAAATCTCGGCGATGCTTTACGACTGGTTGGGTCACTCTTGCAACATATCGTACAAGAACCAGACCACCCCCACACGACCTTCGAAGCTCCTACACGAACGTTCATCACTGCCATCAACCCGGATTCCAACGTGTCGTCTCCATCTCCTCAGGATGAGTCGCAAACGAGCGATCAGCCATTGCCCGAGTTCTTGGATATCCTCTCGTCCATGGCGAACGTTCCTGTTTCGAGGCTCAACCTCGACAGATCTCCAGTTACTCTCGGGATCGACTCAATCACGGCCATACGCCTGAGGTCGACGTGCAGAAAGGCGGGGCTTGTTCTAAGCATCGGTGACATTGTTAATAGCAAGACGCTGCTCGAGATGACGAAGAAAGTCAAGAAAAAGCCTACCACCTCATTACCCACCAGCGCGTCTTCGACACCTTCTCCTTCAACGCCGCTTACTCCAGGCTCTTTGAAAGCATATGACGTGTCTGAGAAGGATATACCTTCCGTGTCTCAAAGATTCCCTCGCTCGCAGGCTCGCGACATCGAGTTCATCAGTGCCCCAACATCTGGTATGAAGTGGTTCATCTCAGCATGGCAGGCCAGTCAGAGGACCAGATTCCAAGCCGTCTTTGCCTGGCGCCTCGGGGATCACGTTGAGACAGAACGTCTACGGAGCGCATGGAATACGCTTCTTAAACACCATCCTATCCTGAGGTCGACGTTTGCAAGCCCGAAGTCGGGAGGTGACCCTCACATCGTCACTTTCAAGGCCTCAGATGCGGTCTTACGTGGGCAGTGGCACGAAGATTCCGTCAACAGCGACTACACCGAAGGGATGCTGACGGCCAGGATGGGAGACATTTTGGCAAACTCGCTTCCTCTGCACTTGCCACAGGCCAAAGCGTTCCTCTACCAGACGAAGACTGACCGCCACCTCTTGATACGTCTGCATCATTTCCAGTACGACGCGTGGAGCATGCGTATGCTTTACGACGATCTCGTCCGTATATACCATGGGTCGGCACCCTCGTCGTTTGCAGACCTACCCACTTTCCTGCAGGAATACAAGGCGACAGACGATCAAGCGGATCAGCAGAAGGAGTATTGGAAGAGACTGTTCGGATCGTTGAAGCAGCCAAATTACTTTCCTTGCCTAGCCGGCGAGAGGACTACCTCTCCGCGTCGAACCATTATCAATCCTGTCTCCACTACATCGCGAACATCTACCCTAGTTAAACAAGCGCAGTCACTCGAGCTCTCAGTGCAGGCAATCTTGTTGGCATGCTGGGCACAGGTGCAGTCATCATTGACACTCACACACTCGGCTACGTTCGGACTATGGGATGCTGGCCGCACGGTTGCTATCGACGACATCGAGAACTACGCCCTCCCATGTGTCAATGTCCTTCCGCTCCATGTCGTGACTGGAAAGGACGGAATCCTTACGGTCGCAGAACGGGTACAGAACGAACTCCGCAGACGAAGTGCCACCATCCAACAAACGGATCTGCAAGACGTCCACATGTGGGCGGGGCGGAGCGACTCTCCTCTGTGTAACGTTTTCGTAAACGTCATCAAGATTGCGAAAAACAGCACAACTCTTGCTGTCGAGGATGACACTCTTCGACACGTTAGGGTAAGATCATGTTATTCCTCATGTAAAACGCCCAGCTAACGAGTCCCAGGTGCCTTACGGTTTACCTCCAGAAGTGACCACGCCTGACGAAAGGGTCTTGGACAAACTGCGCCTGACAAATTTGATCAGAGTAAGTCTTCCATCTACCGAGTCCTACGTGTACGCATTGACCCTCGCCTCAGGATGACATTACCGTCGACATAATCATTGATGAAGACAGCGACCGTGCAAGCATATCTGTTGACTGCGCTGACTATATCATGAACGAAGAACAGGCTACAGAACTTGTGAATCAATGGTCTCGAGCAGTAGAGGAGTGGTGTGAGGAGTTACCAAAGCCAGGATTTACTTGTAGAATTATCTGATAGAATTTATTTGGACGCATGTATACGACATCTTATAACATCTCGCGGAAGTCTTTGTATCAATAATCATCTCCCCGTTTGTGTTCAACGACCTTTGCGAGCCTCCTCTAAGCATCGAGTTTCCAAGCCCCGCAGCCAAATGACTTCTACATGGCCCTTTCGGAGATACTCGACACCTTTGCATTCAACAAAGTCGGAAGGTTCTCCTACTCCAATGATACAACGTCGGACTTTTGCTTCCACGAGCGCATCTGCGCAGGGAGCAAGTCCAGACGTTCTGACAGAGCACGGTTCCAGAGTAGTATACACGTCCGTGCATTGAAGGATCTTATCGACATTGACATCCGTAACATCGGGAAACAGAATGTGAAGGTCTGACTGGGATAGGGAGCGCGCTTTCGCGAGAGCGTTGGCTTCGGCGTGGGTGTTGCCTGGCAGTTCCCTGGAGAAGCCAGTCGAGAGCACGACTGGTTGTGCGCCGGGGCGAAGACCACGGGCCACAAGGATGCAGCCCACACAAAATGCGGTAGCAACTGGCTGGCATTTGGCTGCTTCCCGCAGGGCCATCTCCATGTAAACCGTGTGGTCATCGGTGGTCGATTCCGCCATGTTTCCGACTTGATCCCGGTAGCTAAGTAATCAGGCCCAGGAGTCGAGCTCGAGGGTCATATTGGCACCGCCACAGGCAGGTGGTGACTAAGCGGCAAAGTCCGGCGGTGTGCCAAGAGGGTTGTGCGGGTTTGTGCAAGAAGGTGAAAGTACGAGTCTCGACAGCTTCGTAGCTTGACTCCCCCTTCTTTCCTTCCCTCATGTCCTCCCCCGTCCCAGACACAGCAGATCGTCACGTTGACGAGGACGAGCCAATGGCCTCAATCAACGGCGGCGATGCCCACGAAGAAGGCGAGACTAACATGCGAGACCCCGAAGTCCCCTCAGACGACAGTTCCGAGGAACAAGAGGATGACGAGGAAGAGGAGCGGAGGATACGCGACGGATTCATAGTGGACGAGGAAGAAGAAGAGGAGGAGGAAGATGACGAAGAGGAAAGGAGGAGGAGGCGCAAGCGGCGAAAGAGAAAACATCGCCGCCGAGGTATGTTTCGATTAGTGGCAGTTCGCCTTACGTGTCTTAATATCATTTCCACCCAATAGAAGAGGGGGAGGAAGATGCTCTGGAGGAAGACGACCTTGAGCTTCTTGAAGAGAACACAGGAACCTCCTTCAGAAATCGTCTTACGCGTCTCCGTCGCGGTGGCGAGTCAAGCTCTCATTCTAAACGGAAGGCTGTCGTTGAATCGTCCGACGACGACTTGGACAACGATGACCTTGAGCTCCCTCAGGTCCAAGACATCCAGCGGATCTGGGACGACGACCGTGGTGGGGGGCGTGATGAGGAGGAGGACATGGATGACTTCATCGACTACGAAGACGATGTAGAAGGCGCTGACGAGCAAGAACGTGAAGCGCGTCGACTGGAGAGAAAGAAACGCGAGCGCGAACGACGGAAAGCGTTGGGCCCGAATCAACTCGCCGGAATTGAAGCAGAGTAAGTAGAGTCTCTGTGGGATGTTAGCGAACTAACGAAGTGTGGTGAAGCGCTTGGGATGAAATCCATGACATCTTCGGTGATGGTCATGAGTACGACTGGGCGCTGGCAGGCGACGACGCGTTGGAGCTGGACGAAGATCACTTGAAAAACGAGACGAGATATCAAGACGTACGTCTTTCCCGTTCGACTCAGGATGTCGCTTACGCTACTCCAGGTTTTTGAACCATCTGAGTTGCGCGCACGTATGCTGACAGAGGACGACGATCTAATCAGAGCTCGGGACATCCCTGAGCGTATGCAGCTTGCTACCTCGTCTATGTCTGATTCGGCTACTCTCGCTCTAACCTCAACGCTGACCGAAGCGGATATCGATGATGCCGCAATGTGGGTGACCGTGCGCCTTTCTCCCCACAAAACCCGCGACTTCTTCAGTCCGGATGGGCCATACCATCAGTATATGCAGCATCTCGTCATGGCTGTGTCCTACGCCCTCCGATACCTCTTCGTCCACGAGTATGAGGTTCCCTACATCTGGACCCACAAGCGCGACTACATCTCGTACTTTGAGAAAACAGACATGAGGACACGGATCGAACTTATCAGTCTTCCCGAGCTATGGCGCATCTATGCTCTTGGTCAGAAGTACCGCTCTATGGTGGAGAGGAAGCAGGCGCTCAGCGTGGCGTACCAGCGGCTTGGTGTCCAGGATGACTACTTTGAGCAGAACATCACTCCAAAGGTGGACAGTGTGGAGGTCGTGGCTGACGCTACGGAATGGTTGTCCATGCGGTACAAGGTGCAGAAGAAAGACGCACTGGAACTTCACTTCCACGACGATGACGAACAACCAGAGGGTCGTAAACGCAAAGCTCCCAGTAGGCTATCCGCTTATGAAGTTGCAAAGAAGACCATCGCTTCCAAGCTTGCAGAGGTATAGTATAGTTAGCAATGTTAATACTTGTTCCCTTACTGAGCATGAGCAGGGTTTTGGTATAAAAGCTCACGAAGTCGTGCTCAACTTCGTGTCCAGCAACCAAACACACTTCGTCGAGGATCAGGACCTCAACCCCATCGCGTTTGCGGAACGTTTCACTGAACCAGAGCAAGGCATTGCTTACGCTGGTCCTGAGGAGCTATTGCGACGCGCGCGCATGATCCTATCGACGGAGTTGGGGAAGGACCCAATACTTCGTCAAGAGATACGAGAGCTCTTCAAGCACGAGGCCGAGATATCGGTTCTACCAACAGAACGCGGACTTAGTAAGGTCGACGAGCACCATACATACTTTGTGCGTACTGGTGTAAGTGTGATCGGCCTTTGCTGACTGTTATCAAAACCAGAACTTCAAATACCTTAGCCACAAGAGCATCGGCCTTATGCTCGACAGTCCGCAGTTTTTAAACATCTTGGCGGCTGAAGCAGAACTCCTTGTAAACGTCTCTATCGTCTTACCCAACGATGTCAAGGCTCGTTTCGAGCGACGCCTCATGGATGCCTTTTCCTCCGATAGTTACAGTGACACAGCCAAGGCATGGAACGCTGAGCGCTCGCGTGTAGTAACCGAGGCCATGGAGCAGCACCTTCTTCCTGTGGGTGCTAAGTGGGCTCGCGAATGGCTTAGAGAGGAAGTCGAGGATGCCCTGGCGCTTCATTGTGGTAACGAACTGAAATCAGTAAGTTTCTCAAAATACCTTCATGGTCTATCGTTCATCTATTTGGCCACAGCGCATCGATATCGCACCGTTCTGCACGGCAGACATGCAACCAGGAGATACGTGCTCTGTTCTTGCCATGTCTTGGGGTAAGGGTGACCCTCAAAAGGACGCCATCACTATGGTGTTTTTGGACGAGGCCGGTCGCCTGCGTGAGCACACCAAGATTGATAACCTGGTTGACGAAGACTATCGAGACGAGTTCCTCGATATCCTCAAGCGGAGGCGACCTGATGTCATTGTCATTGGCGGCTTCAGCATGGCTACAACGAAACTATCTTCACGTGTTAAAGATATCGTGCATGGACGACGTCAACAAGAAGGCCCCCCTACAGATGCATGGAGCCAACCACAGGCCCCCGCGCCGCCAAATGAGCAGGCTTTCAACATCCCAGTCATCTATGTAAATGACGAAGTTGCTCGCATCTATCAACATAGTCGTCGAGCTGCCGAGGAGTTCAGTGCTCTATCCTCCATAGCGAAGTACTGCATTGGACTTTCACGGTATGTTCAAAACCCGCTGAACGAATACGCTGCCATGGGATCGGATATCACTGCCATTGCACTTGAAGAAGAACATCAAAATCTGGTATGTCCATGAAGAGTTTTGTTCTTCTACCCGCTAATGATTTCCCAGGTGCCTAAGGAGAAGCTTCTGTTCGCATTGGAGCGTGCTATAGTCGATATCACGAACAAAGTTGGCGTAGACATCAACCGAGCTGTCAACGAGTCATACTACCAGCACTTGCTCCCCTTTGTTTGCGGTCTTGGACCCAGGAAGGCTCAAGTTTTAGTCAAGAAAATTGCAGCTATGGTTGGTCTGGAGCTTAATTACTGTCGCCACCACTCACAGCCTTGCAGGGAGGCAACCTAGTCAATCGAGAACAGTTCATCAAAGCGTCACTACTTACCACGAAGATTTTCCTCAATGCCGCTGGTTTCCTCCGCATCACCAATGACCCAGACATGAAACCCGCCAAGGGTCGTCTCGCCGATGACGATGTCCAGGATCCATTGGACGACACTCGGATTCACCCAGAGGACTACGAGTTGGCTCGTAAGATGGCCACCGACGCCTTGGAACTTGATGAGGAGGATATACACGATGAACACCCCTCGCACGTCGTTTCATTGATCATGCGCGACGAAGACAACGAAAAGAAGCTGAACGATCTTAACCTGGACGAATTTGCTGTCAACATGTATGAAGCAAACGAGGATAGGAAACGGCATACTCTCAACGTCATTCGCCAAGAGCTTCTCAGGTCATTCGCCGAACAACGAGGACCTTTCCCGCTCATGAAGGAATGGGATGTTCTGACCATGTTGAGCGGTGAAACCCAGCGTACGCTGAGGATGGGTTTCATCATCTCTGTTCTGGTTGTGCGGCTGACTGCCAACTTTGTCTCCGTCCGCTTGGACTCCGGCATAGAGGGTGTCATCAACATCGAATATGTCACGGAGGAGGGCAATATTCACCCGGACAAAGTGCTGAAGAAGGGTCAAACCATCGCTGGTGTTGTTGTTGATGTCAAGTTGAACCTCGACGCTGACCAATTCTACGTTGAGCTCTCTGCGCGAAAGTCAGACCTCAACTCCGGAGATGCCATCTTCCGCCGTGTCAAACACGATGAAGACTGGAACAAAACACAGTATGAACGCGATGTGGAAATGCAAGTTCGTAAGAAACGCGCGGAGGTGGATCGTACCAGACGGGTCATCAAACATCCTAATTTCCATAATTTCAATGCTAGTCAGGCGGAAGTGTACCTGGACAAGCAACAGCGTGGGGATGTCGTCATCAGACCATCCTCGAAGGGTATAGACCATTTGGCTGTTACGTGGAAAGTCGAAGACAAGCTGTATCAGCACATTGGTAGGTCGTTCAATAGACCTTGTCGTTATATGCTAATCATGTGTTAGATGTTACGGAGATCAACCCCGATCCCAGTGGGCAAGGGCTTGGCACTCTCCTTGTCGTCGACGAGAGGCACCAATATGCTGATTTGGATGAATTGATCGTAAACCATGTGCAAGCCACTGCGCGCAAAGTTGAAGAGCTAATGGCACACGAGAAATTCAAGCATGGCCCTGAGGATGAACTTCGTGAGTGCACGCGTCGTTGCGTCAGAATTTGCCCTGAAACTGTCTTAGATCATTTCCTCAAGAATTTTGTCGCGGCCAATCCATCAAAAAGTATCTACGGCTTTACGCTCAACCGGCGCAAACCAGGGCATTTCAACCTTTGCTTCTTGGCTAACAAAAACGCATCGGTTCAAATTTGGGTAGGTTCAGTGTCCCTTCGAGTGAAGACCCAAACTCATCCTCTCATAGCCTGTTCGAGTTACGCCCGAGGCTTATTGTTTATTTGAAGCTGAAGTCGCTGGAGTTCCGGAGCTCTGCGATGCTTTCAAAGTCAGGTGCGATATCTATGGCAAAGTCTCTGTTCGGCCACATCTGACGAATGCTCAGGCATCTCCATCAATCTCAAAACCTTGCCGCCGCCGCCGCTGGGGGCAAAACTCCTTATGGAGCTGGTGCCCGTACGCCAGCTCGGACACCTGGCCATGCAACTCCCGGACGCATGTCCGTCCGTCAGCCTGCACCTGCCCGGACTCCTAATCCTCATGGATCTTACAATGTGCCTCCCGGTCCTCAAAACGCCCCTCCCATTCCTCCTTACGGGGGTATGCCTCCACCACAAACAAATTATGGCTACCAGACACAGCCCGCTCCGTTCTCTCGACCACCACCACCGTACCCACAACAACCATCCGTTCCCCCAGGCATGAATCCCGAACGTGCTGCCATGATTCAGAATTCGGGAGGCTGGGCTCAGGGTGGGTGGTAACGCATTGTAGTATTTTCTTGTCTTTCGCACATTTTACGTAGATTGCTATCCTATAATACATAGTGTTGTTATACATGCATGACAAAGAAGTCTGAAGCTTGAAGATTGGCACATAGGGGCTGATGACGGATGACGTCATGCGTTCTACGTACCATGCCCGCACCGCCAGGATAATTGCGGGACTTGCACACAAATCTCACTGTGACATTCATGTTGGAGACGCAAGATATCGAACTGGAAAATATCCAAAGGCCCCGTCCTGAAGGAAATGCCGAGGGCGATTGTCGTGACAACCCAAGCGGCAAGCAGCCAGTTCAAGTTGAAGACGCAACAATTTCCTCTTGGGCATGGACGGCAGCAGCCAGGTAGGCTTTTGTCTTGTCATGCACCCAACCTTGGCTGAACGTTATGGATGTTCTTCGACAGCTTAGGCGCTCTGTCCGCTTGCCTTGTACTCTTCCCTCGTGCTATGTTGATGTTCTCTGACGAATCCACACCAAGAACGATGTTCACTCCGTTAGAGAGGTATCTTGCTCTGCAACTTGGCATTCTTCTGGCGGCGGCGGCGGCCACACTAATCACCACTGTATGTGTGAGTCTTTACTTCATATGTGCACCTACTGAGGTTGTTCCGATGGACGCGCTAGATACCCAGCAATAACCCAGTCGTGCCATGGCCACAGGGATCGCGAGCCGACCTTGCTTACCACCCCCTTTTGGTGCCCGTCACCTCTGCATCTCTCCTGATGGGTTTTACGTCTTATAACACGAGCTCTGCCGGAGGCCTACCATCACTCGTAGCCCTCGGATCTTCTGTCGTTGGCCTTTACGGTTTATGGGCGGTATGTCTTCTCCAAATATCGTAATGTCACGACCTCACCTCGCGCTTTCAAGATTATGTTTGCTGGATCAGTATCAGTATCCAAGAAGACAGGGGCCGACAAACACACATCTGCCTTCATATTTGGAAACAAAAGTGCCGCTTCCGTTAAGAAGAAACATTGGAGGCAGCAGCGCACATAAATGGTGCCGCAAACTCGTTTGCGTATTAATTGTCATACACGTATTTTTATTGTCGGTTCGAAGGGGATGCATCGTGATCAATTAGTAGTACCTCCTTATAGTTATTCAGTGCATCGTATAATTGGATATTGTGAGGTTTATAATGCCATAATACAGTTGGATGCATGGTTTCGAGTCCAACGCCATTGTGATTATCTTCCACCACCGCCCATACCCATCATATTCATCATATCTCCGATATTTGGCATGCCACCTCCTCTCCCCATGCCGGGCAGACCACCGAGTCCTCCAAGACCACCGAGGCCACCCATCTGGCCCATCATTCCTATAAAACAACCGTTATGATTAATAAACTCAAAGAAAGTTAGAGACGCACTCTGCATCTCTTCCATGTCGAACTGGTCTCCGCCTTGACCCTGCATCATGGTTCGCATCATATCCTGTAAACCATTTCCACTTCGGAGCTGTCGTTGCATTTGCTGCATCATCCCAGGAGGCATAGCACGCTAAAGACGAATAAAGTGAGGATATAATGAGAGGTACATGGGCACGGACCTGCATAGCTTGTATCTGAGCTGGTGTTGGCATACCATTAGCGCCACGCCCACGACCACCACCAGCTTGCTGCATTTTCTGCACGGCTTGCAGCCTATCCTCGACATCAGCATGTCATGCAAGTTAGTTATTTGAGGCCAACGTACCATCCGTTTTTACCACCCGCTTGCTTCGCCATGTTTGCCATCATGCGATACTGACACAGCAGCTCTTCAACTTCCCGTACACTCGTCCCGCTTCCTCGTGCTACCCTCGTGACACGCCATGTCAGCCCAATAGGCTTTCCATCCTTGGCCATCTCCATAAACATGGACCCATCTGAGTCCAGTTCTTCAGCGGTCATACTATCGGTGATATAGATCATGCGCTTCATGCGAAGGGAGCCTTCCTCATCCGAGCCGGCCAGGAGTTCCTGTGGCAACCCAGGAATCATAGAGGCAATTTTGCTGATGGGACCCCTGTTCAAGCGTATGTCAGCCCTTTCTGACAAGGCTGGATGAAACTACGCCAAACTGACATGTTCATGACGTTTTGAATTTGTTCGCGCCAGTCGCGTATGCTGAGCTTTCCTTCCTCGAGCTTCTTCGCCATGTCCTTCTGCTTATCTGGATTTTGCATTGCGAGGTCATGCATATGCTCCATGAGTCCCTGCATGTCCCCAAGCCCGAGAAGTTTCGAGATGAATGGCTGGGGAGAGAATTTATCGAGATCGTAAAGGTGTTCGCCGACACCCAAGAATATGATTGGCGTTTGCGTTGCTGCTACACTATGGACAGTCATAAGCTCCAGTTAGTGACTAATAAAAGCAGGGAACGCACGCAGATATTGCACCACCACCCTTGGCATGACCATCCATTTTCGTGACGATGATTGCTCCAAAGTCAGCACTCTCCTTGAAGGCCTGACTTTGTGCCTCGGCCGCCTGGCCTGCATTGCTCAATCTGACTGACGATAACTAGAGCATGTCATAGAACACTCACCGATGCTCGCATCGAGCACTAGCACCGTCATGTTAGGATTGACGGCCTCACTAATCTGTACCATCTCCTGAAACAACTCGGATTCCTGTTTGTGTCGTCCGGATGTGTCGACGATGATGACATCAAATCGTTCTTTCTTAAATTTCGTAACACCCTGAGCAGCAATTGCAACTGGGTCGGTCTCGGTGTACGATCCAAAGTAAGCGACTTTGGCCTTTGTAGCGGATTGTCGAGTCTGATCGAAGGCACCAGCACGGAATGTATCCGCGCAGACAATACATGACTTGAAACCTCGCTTTTGATAGTACACGGCTAATTTCGTGCAGGTGGTTGTCTTTCCGTTACCCTGTACGCGTGCGTTTTGTGAGGCGCTGATACCGTGACAAGTATTAGAAGTTTGCTTGCCTGGAGACCGACAGCCATGATAACATTGGTTTGCCCCTTCTTTGGCTTGTAAGGTTCTACTCCAGGGTCGACGAGGTGGACGAGTTCGTCGAAGACTGCCTGCGTATGATTCGATCGGGTTACTTGTTATACAAATGATAGGTCCCTGCGAACCCACTTTCTGGATAATATTCTTGCGAGCCACATCCTTGGCTTTGTCTGCTGATTCTAGGGAAGCTTTGACCTTGACCTTGACCTTGGAGCGCAAGGATGCAACAAGTTTGACGTTAACGTCGGACTCGAGCAAGGCTGCAGTGATCTCTTTGAGGGTGGCATCTAGAACCTATCTCCTGAGTCAATAAAAACCGGTGTAATGCGAGGAGTAGCAACCTTTTCGTCGACAACAGGAGCCCTGTTGAGTGAGGAGAGAGCGGCATTGAGTTTGCGACCTAGATCTGCGAGGACCATCTTGCAATTGGCTCGTGGTGTGGTATTGCAGTAGTGCCAATGTATTATATTATGGCCTGAAGTGCGATCTAACGTGCATTAACTGTGGGAATTCGGGACATCCTGCCTGTCTGTGTTTGTTATCGCAGACGTCACGCGTCATGCCTCCCAGCGACTCAGATAACGACGACCTTGAGTTTGAACTTCGGACAAGCGACGTTGAAGCAGACGACGACAATCAAGATGACCTAGACGACGCAATATTCGCTGCAACACCTCAACCAGATGCAGCCGACGACGTCACGGACGCGGACGAGGTTGGTCTTATCCTTTCCTCTTCCTCGAAAGCTACACCTCACTTCGTATCGTACTAGGACTCCCCCTCGGAAGATTCTGACGAGGAGGATGAAGAGGAGGAGGAGGAGGACTCCTACAGGCCCTCTCCTCATCATGTGCCTATGAATGTTCGCCAGGAGAGCACAGAAGCCGTCTCAACACTTCCTCCTGAGGTTCAAAGCATAAAACATGAACAGTCTTCATCTCAGCGAACTAGTCCCTCCCCAGGTAAGCCACACCATAGGTAACAATACGCCTATGGTTTGACGCGTCTTCAGCCGCGTCTTCCCCAAAAACTAGACAGCGTTCCCCCTCTCCTGCCGAGGTTCGCAAGCGCATGCTTCTTCATCCACCCGGGGCTGGCCCTATTGTGTCACCACGGTCGTACACGGTCGAAGCTATTTGCGCCATCCCCCACCCCAGTCCTACACATTCCTTGGCATCGTCCTTTTGCATGACCCATCTGATCACCGGCTCGGACGATGGCTATATTCGTGACTACGACGTGTTCTCGTCTGTGAATGGAAAAATCACTTTAACAGCACCGCAACGACACCACTGCAACGTTGTCGAAGGCAATATGAAGGCGGGTCAGCTGCGCTATTGGTGGGAGAATCCAGATATGATCAGCAGGCATCCTCCATTTCCGTCAGCGGATGAGCCATCACTCTCGCCAGTGTATAGTCTTGCCATACATTCGGATGCACTCTGGGCATTGGCAGGCACCAAGGTGTGCCCCACCTTGCACAACTCTGAGTTAAGTTTGTCCTGACATTCTTGGGGTAGCGCGGTCATATAAATCTCTTCACGGTCCGGCATGAACCTGGCCGTCTGGCACATGTTCTATCTGGAGCGCATCGCGGAGCCATATCCGCTCTAGCTCTTGATCATCATGAGAAGGGTTTCTTTAGTGCAGGCTGGGACGGAGATGCGACAGTGAGTAACTTAAGTTTTTGTCAGTCGCAACAATTCAATAGGGTGATGGCAAGCAATGGGACCTGAACACGGGTCAAGTGGTTCGGAAGCTCACTTCACATGGTGCGCAGCTTGTGGCGATCGCGATGAGGCCACTGAATTCGCACTATTCGCCGCGAAGCCCTGCGTCATTCACGGACTTGACTTCTGACGGACGCCTAAGACACAATGTGCGGTCTGGTTCCCATGCTATGTCTGATGCACACAAGGAGCAACCAGCCTCTGCCGGCAATAGCCTGGAAGGTGCTCAGTCCCCAGTAGAGGAGACGCGGATCCCCCAGACCAACCATAACAGCAATTTAGCGACCCAGAACTCTGTATCTTCCCCTCGTAACCAAGATTCGGATGCGAAATCTGATGCATCTTTCGACCCCTTGTTTGACGACGAAATGGACGCTGATGGGGAGCCTGATCACGACCCTTCGACCGTAGACGCCACTGGTCAAACCCCAGGTCAGAGTGTTCCAACTGCCAATAGCATGCATTCCAAACTTGCAATACCAGGTTCAGCCCGAGCACACGATGTCAATTCCGCGCCAGCCGGCCGAAACACGCAGCCATCTGTTCCTCTTCCTAAAAATGCACCGCCGCTACTTGATTCTTCCACGAGCGCGTTGTTTTCCCCAGACATTTTAATGATCGCGGCTATTGATGGGCAAGTTATGCTTTGGGATAAACGCATCAATGACCCCGGGAAAGGGGTAGGACGACTTTGGTTGAGCGAGAAGACGCCGCCGTGGTGTCTGTCTGTAAGCAACTACAGTCCATATTGTGGGTCGGACGACAATTGAATGTATTTTTATTATAGGCCTGTTGGTCTGCAGATGGCGGGCAAATCTATGCGGGAAGACGTAATGGGACAGTAGACGTGTGGGATGTTCGACTGCTTGGCCGTTCTGGGCCTAATAGCACCCCACGGCTCCTCAAAAGCTTGCGAAACCCGGTGAGCTCAGGCGTTGTCTCTTGCGTGGTCCCGTTCCCGGATGGACGGCACATAGCTTGGTAAGGCATTCAATTGCAAGGTTGAGTTCACGCGAGCCATATGACCGTCTCCAACAGCGCTTCGACAGACAACATCCGACTTTGGAATGCGGCTGACAGCGGCGAGGCTGATGGAAGCGCTCGATCCAGGGGCGGTGTCCAGTTTAAAATCATACCTGGACATCATGGAGGCTACGTCTCTCAGATGCGTATGTGGCAATGTGATTGCATACATGGGTAGTCAACTGACCAGACTGCGGCGTACAGTTGTGGATCCGTGTGGACGATTCCTGGTGAGTGCAAGTAGTAACCGGGGCTGGCATGGGGAGTCTACGCGGACTGTGTTCGTGCACGACATCAAAGCGGTCATGTAAGAATGTATTGTGCGCAATGCGCATGCTGTAATTATAACGCGGGGGAGGAGGAAAATGTATTGGAACCCTGAATTAGATTGTGTTTGGGATTTTGAAATGTGTTGTTGATGAAGCGGGCGGTGAAAGGGTCCCGCGGTAAGCCCGCAACCAAATTCTCAAGAGACGATCGAATTCGATTGAATAGTACTTTCCTCACTTACGAACACGAATATAAGACTACTCTCTCTTTCCCTGAGTCCTTGTTATGAATCCAGCTCACACCCGAACAGCACATGCGCCTCAACTACCCTGTCGTCTTTCCCCTCAACCAGCTCTCTTTCGTCGGTGAAGACGACTCTCAGTTCTTCTGTCAGATCCATGGCAGACGTTTCAATGTCCTCAATGACCGGTATATGCTACCCTCCGACGAGGAGGAAGTCAGGGTGCGTGCCCGCTTCCTGTCCGTTCCCCCGGACGCTATCGCGACCCCTGTCCCTAATGCAGCTGGTGTAATCTTGCAGCGCTCTGAGCTCCAGCACAGGATGCTTCAGTTCTTGTTCTCAGGCAAGAACTACGTGGGACCCGTCGACACCCTTCTGTCAACACCGAGGGAAGACCAAAGCCGCCCTCGCGTCCTTGACCTCGGTACGGGCGGCGGGTTCTGGCAAGTCCATATCCTCACCTTGACCCGGAGACGCTGTCAGGTATTGATATTTCTTGTTCGTTGACAGGGCAGTAGACTTGGCGGACGAGTTCCCCGGGGCAGAGATTATTGGCGTGGATCTTGCACCCATTCAGCCACGGTGAGCGCCTGGCGTCCGTGATCTGTTGAGAGGCGTTGCTGAGAAAGTCGAACACAGAGATGTGCCGGCAAACTGCACGTACGTGAGCGGACCATGTGGCTGCCGCGATGATCTAACTCGTTTTGTGATTACAGTTTCGAACTTTGCGACTTGGATCAATGGTACCTCCCGTACCCGACCGGGCACTTTGAGGTTGTGCATGCCCGCTTCATGCATACAGGGGTAGGTGCACGTCCGCTCCGAGTGACATGGACATGTATGGATGAAGGAGCGCTCGTCTGCCATAGATAGGCAACTATGCTCGATTCCTGCACGAAATTGCGCGGATGCTCCGCCCGGGTGGACTGGTCATTCTGATCGAGCCCGACACTGAACCTCTGGCGGACGGCAAGTCAGCGTCCGAACTAAGGCGCACCGGGCAACCGTCCGGGATGCGGGGGTGGTTCACACTGTGGGAGGAGTACCGACAGTGCCTGCGCGAGAAGGGGATAGACGTTGACGTGCCACCCCAATTGGCCAATCTCCTCGCTTCAACGGGCGCATTTGAACAAATCGTCTCCCAAGAAGGCAACATCCCCATCGGCTTCTGGCCCAAAGGTGAGCACTTGTGACGACATGCCCTTACTCTAAGTATGACATAGACCCAACCTAATTATGATTGCGTTCCAGACCCGGTCGCTCTAAGCATTGGCCAACTCGCCTGGATGAACTATGACATGATGCTCCCTGCCATGAAGCCGCTCCTCATCTCAGCAGGAAAGCGCGAATGGGAGGCCAAAAAACTTATCGAGGAGGCTCATCAAGATCTCTACTATCCTCTTGTCCGTGCCTCCACGAGACTCCATATCGTCTACGCTGTCAAAAAATAGGCCTCCCTATCATGGTAGGAAAAGTAGCATACCGCACCTTGTCTATAACATGTAATATCTGTCTGGTAATAACCGCTGTACTCGGTACAATCTTACAGTGCAAAGCGTTGCATCAACCTCTGTTCCTTCTAAGTACACAAAGGAGCGACCACCCAGTATATAGTAGCAAGCATCGCAGAACAGCAGGCGGAAGCGAGCAAAGGATGACCAACCAACAATAACCAGCAAAGACAGGACGAGCTCGTATTAGCTCAACGTATCATCATCCACCAACCCCGCAATCGTACAAATCGTTGCATCGAAAAGCTTGACCCCTCTTAGGCTACAGGGGCGCCAGCAACTTCGTCCTTCGAGAAATCATGCAGAACGGCAAGTGCCTCGTTGACCTTCGCTGCCATAGCGTCGGGTGTTTCCAAGAGATGGAGTAGTTCTGGGTTCTCCATCTCAAGAAGCATACCAGTAATTTTACCCGCGAGTTCCGGTTGCGTACTAGATCCTAATTATTAGCCTGACGCAATAAAATGAACGAAAAACAACGTACGCAACGATGTTCATGTAAATGACTTCACCCAACATCTGTTTCTGCTCCATGGGGGGCAAACCAGCAAGTGCAGTTGCACTGATAACAGGAACCTCAGACTGAGCAGCGGCCGAAGTAGGAGCTGCTTGTCCGGCGGAAGCGGCACCACCGGCGTTACGAGTCTGAGGATTGAGCTTGTAAGTCTGCGGAGGACGACTGCCAGAGGTGGCACCAACGGCAGGAGCCCTAGCAGGCGAACCCTGCTGAGGACCAGGGCGAGGAGCAGGACCGTTGGCCGGAGATGTGCCATTCGCGCGGGGCATGGGCGTGTTGGAGTTAGTAGGTGAAGAGCCAGGACCTCCACGGCCCCCAGGGGGCCTGGGACCACCGCGAGGGTAATTGGGCATGCCTCCGCCATATTGGGGATGAGGCCCGCCATAGGGTGGCATAGGCATACCCGGCACCTGCCCGCCTGGAGGATAGCGGGGACGAGGCGGGAGCATTCCGGGTTGTCCATAACCCATCATGTTGCGTCCTTGAGGGGGGAAACCGCCAGGCCCAGGAGGATAGTAGAGGGCGCCATTGAGGTATGCACCAGGGATTCCAGCAGCAGCGGCTTGCTGCATACGAATCTGGTTACGCTGGGCAATCTGGCTCTCCAGCTGCTGCCTGCGAACTTCACGACGCTGAGCCAGAGAGACGTAAAGGGGCTTTGAACCGATCATCTTGTTGTTCATCTCCGCTATGGCCTTGGTAGCCTCATCAGGAGAGGAGAAGCAGACAAAACCGAATCCTTTCGAAGACCCCTTCTCGTCGCTCATAACCTTGCAGCTTGTGATGGTTCCAAAAGGCTCAAACTCGGCGCGCAATTTGTCGTCGTCTACATCATCCTCGAGGTTTTTGACATACAGGTTGACTCCTTGATATTTGCTAAGCTTCTCCATCTTGGCCTGCTCGTACGAACGACGCAGCTCCTCCTCGCGCTCAGCTTTCTTCTGTGCACGAGTGACGTACAACTTCTTGCCCTTGAGGTCAGTGTCATGAAGGTTGTCAACAGCAGCTTGAGCCTCCTCGTGGGACTCATAGTTGACAAAGCCAAAACCTTTACTCCTGCCCTCATCATCAACTTGAACAATGGCAGAAGTGACACTTCCGTATCTGTTGAAGAGCTCTTCAAACTCCTCCTGGGTTACCTCTGTGTCCAGGTTCTTGATGTACAGATTCGTGAACTGCGCCTTCATCTCGTCAAGCTTAGATTGACGTTCCTGGTTAATGGAGTCAGTCTCGATGCGTGGATGTTGGCTCAATTTGGCTCGAATATCACCTTGCGAGGAATGTGGGGTCCTACGTAAACCTTTTTGTCGTTCAGGAGCATACCATTGACCGCCTTGATGGCAGTCTCAGCAGCTTCAGCAGTCTCATAATGCACGAAACCATAGCCTTTGGATCGACCTTGCTCGTCCGTGGCAACCTTACACGATAAGACGTTACCGAACGCGACAAAGGTGTCATGGAGGGCCTACAGGTGCAAAAGAGTCACAATTAAGGTCGGAGATGTGCATCAATCTATCGCACCTTGTTGTCGATTTGCTCATCAAGGTTCTTGATAAAGATGTTTCCCTGGCCAGTTTTACGCAAGGCAGGGTCACGTTGGGACCACATAATGCGGCTAATACGGGATAAATAAAACGGCAACAAAGCATGCTAAGCTAACTCACCAAGGGCGACCCTTGATGAGCGAATAGTTCAGTTGCTCGAGAGCACGTTCACCTGGACAATGATCCAGCACAATTGGCGGTGATTTGTAATTCGAAGTACAAATAACATACCATCGGCCGTGTTGAGGTAGTTTACGTAGGCATAACCCAGGGAGCGACGAGTAACCGCATCGCGGCAGACACGGATGCTGAGCGTGCATATAAGGACGGTCTCAGAGAGGTGATTTATAGGACGTACCTCGCAACCGGACCAATCATATTGAAGATCTCGAAGATCATGGCCTCGGTTACGGTGGGATCGAGTTCACCAACATAAAGGGAAGCTGAAGGGGCAGAGGAGATTGAAGTCTGCGGAGGAAGGTTGTAGGAGGGAGTGGGGGCGGGGGCAGAAGAAGGAACAGAGGCAGCCTCAGGCTGAACAGCGGGGGCAGCATCCGGAGCAGAAGGGGAAGACATTTGGATTTTACTGGATTTTAAGGTCGTTACTGCTTTGCGACTTTTCTACGACTGACACAAGCGTTAGTGAAGCTGGTCCAATGTTGTCAATATATACGACGTACAACAGGAGGCAACGAGGCAAACGCTTTTTCTGAAAATTTTATATAAATTTTTAAGACTTTTGGCTTTAGGAAAGACTGGAAAAGCATGATCAGCAACGCAGGATTGCAAAAGGGCAGGGCGAAGTACATACCGAAGATGATGGTTGTAGAAAACGAGCAATGCTGCCGCCATCCAGATAGATGATAATTTCCAAACTCCGCTGTACATATGTGCCACAACTTCGAAACCTTCATTCGCCTCATTGACTTAAGACTAATATTCAATGCACAAGCGTACAATGTGGAATCGGCTAAGGCTTGTTTCGCCAAAATTTCAGAGTCTTCACGACCCAACTGTCTATAGGAACAAGATCGCATCGATGACATACAACAATCCACCTACATACGCCCAGTGATAAAGGTATAGTAGGGTGTCAGGTAAGTAAGTAAAAGTCCATCAGCCTCGCGTGAAGTATGCCTTCGCTCCGTGCGTGGCCAGCTCAGTTTTAGCCTAGAGAAATTTTTGTTAATCTAAAGGTCTGATAATCAACACTGATCTTGCCTTGTCCATCGTATGTCCGACAGCTGTATGGTGAGACCAAATCTATACAGCAATCATAACGTTGTCAATGTCTCCTGTTGTTATAGTAGATGAGTGTCTCACCTGGCGAAAGTAGAAGGCGTTTCCCACGCCCTGAATGATCCAACCGACTGTGGCGATGGTGCCCAGGACAGCAGCTGCCCAATGGCTAGCACTGTACATTTGGATGGTTTGTATCAATCCTGCAGAACCAGTGCTCGGAATCCCAATGATCCTGGGGAAATACCGAGTAAATGCACTTGGAAGACAGGGGCAAGACAGAAGGGACAAACATGTAGATACTGAAAACGAGGTGAAATCCTCCGAAGAAGAAGTAGAAATCTAAGGTGTCCCAAACGCGTCAGCTGGAAGCAGAACAGCCGATATGCCAGGATCATACAATAGTACAGTGCTTGTTCCTAAACACCGATCAGCAACAGACATACGCGTGCAAGAGAGTTTGCACGTTACCTTCATATAGCCATTGTATATAGGCCTTGCGGATGTTAGGTGAGCGAAGTCAAGCAGACTGACGTACAACAGCGCACCTATACCACAGCAAGAACGAGAGGGGTCCGATAAATATCAAGTAACTAGATCGCCGATCGTTTTAGACAAGCTCAGAAGTATTATTTTGCGTCCTTACCCTATGCTTCCACCAAGGTCCCCGCCCCCGTTGCTGGTGCCCGCTGCCAGGAGGAATATACATGCCACCACGTTGATGATGAGCGTCGCAAAAAGTACGAGCCAGAGCTGGTAAAGGCGAGTGATTAGTGGCCGCGATGCCTCTGGGATTTCTTCTGATATTTCATGATAGATGAGAGGATAGACTGGAACAGGGGTCAGGACTTAAAGACGATAGTGCGGGGGACGATCTACATGGTGGCCAGTTTTTCCTGCCATGACGCTTTATGTGGTCGGCTCTCGCATTGAGATCCTGTTCGCGCCGCTCGAGATCTCTTTCACGTCTGCTGAGCTCATCCAGTTGTGCATTGGCATTGGGCTGAGGGGGTTGCGGATCCTCGAACGGGTTCGCGTCCAACGAATGAGAAGACGCAAAGGGGTTTTCACTTGGTGCATAATTACCTATGCGACGGAGGGTGAAGATTGAGAATGACGAGGATTAAGGGGCACGATAGGGCACGCACTCATGTTTGGACGGCTTTGAGATTGATTACAATGGTTACAGAAAGCTCATAGGCATAAGGCAGGTCCCCAAGCTTAGGCCAGCCAAGTCCGCAGTTGACGGTCAGGAACAGTCACTGCATTCCAATGGTCCCTCTGATTGGTTGTTCGGAGATTGCCTGGCGGCATGCGCCGGCAAGCCCGAACCTGGTTCAACGGTTACTCAACTCTGCATCGTACTTCATACAGTTTTTGTATTGTCTTTGTCTGGCAGACCACAACAAAGCTATAGGCGTTCCTGAATCAGTGCCTTCATCCTTGTTTTGGTGCAAGTCTTCCGTTTGTCTATAGGCATTTACATGAACATCAATGGTGCGCGCTGAACTGTGAATAACACATATGGTTGGCCTCGGACTAGAGCAAGTAGTATTTGGCTAAACATTCAGCAATGCGACGATGTGCTGATGACAACCAGTGAGCCGCTGCCACCTGGCTAGGTCTAATCGGTGGACCGTAGGAGACCGTAGGATGGTCTGGTGAATCTATTCTTGTCCCAAGGATTGCCTAATGGTGGTACTGTATGCACTTGCTCGAAAAAAATTACTCTGGTCGCGGACTGCGGTGATGGATGACCGTATGCTCTCGGGCCAGGGCTTTGACCGTTGGTTGTCGAGGTGACTGACAACAAGCCTGCGAGGAACAATACCGGTGCTTGCGGTCTCGGTCAGAAGCTTTGATTGTTACGAAGAGCCGTATATGGCAATGGACCTTGCGATGGTGGCGTGGAACCCGAAACCCGACCGCAGATAAAGACCGCCCATTTGCCTGTCGTAGGCCACCCTCTTTTTCCTCCTCCATCCCTTTACCTGCCCTCCTTCACTTCCGGTCAGTCCCCGTTGTTTCAAGCCCTTTGGAAAGCGTCCTGACTGTCCCTTTTTTCTGAATAAATAGCTGGACTTTGGTCCTCACACTCGCTTGACAAGCACTGTTTGACTAACCAGTCAATCCCACTCTCTCTACATATCAACCCCCCCAGTCATTTAAGAACCATGTTCAGCACCTTGGTCGTCGCTCTGTCTGCTCTTTCTGTTGTATCTGCTCGCGCAGTGTACCCCCGCGCCACACCTCCCGCCGGGTGGGCTACTGACTACCTTGAGGTATGGGCTAAATTACCCGTTTACCTTGTTTTTTTGCGGTCTAAATTTGGAACGATCTCAGCCTTATGACAACTACCACTGCCGTTACCTGGCTATTCAGTGCCAGTACCAGCACAACACCCAGTTCTTCACGGACTGCTGCCACCCTCTGTTGGTACGTCATCTTCATGGGGAGTATCTCGGTATTATCTAATCGCTCCATAGGCTACCCAAGACATTAGCTCGCGCCCGGCTCAGTGCCAGTTGCCTGCCAATGTAACCTGCGAAGATGGCAGGCCCAGCTCTTCTGGCTCTTCTTCTGCTCCGGTTCCCTCTCCGACTTCCTCGGACGACGATGGTTGTGGTGATGATGAGCCCACTTCTACCCCGGTTCCCTCTGCCACTTCTGCTGCTTCCGACCCGCAGAACTTCGGCGGCGTTCCTACTGCCTCGTCCTCTTCTGCTCCCGCTCCTACGACGAGCTCTGTGTGGACCCCCCCTCCTTCGTCCTCGTCGAGCCCTGCGTGGACTCCTGCTCCTTCGTCTACCTCGTCGAGCCCTGCATGGACCCCCGCTCCTTCGTCCACTTCGTCTGCTCAGCCCTCCCCTACCTCTGGTGGCGGTGACAGCGGTACCAACTCGGGTGGATTGTCAGTGTCATGCGTACTTTCGCTGGTCTTTGACTAACCCTCCCTACAGTGCCACGTACTTCTACCAGAACGGTGACGCAGGTGCCTGCGGTACTGTCCACTCCGACTCTGACTTCATTGCTGCCATCGGTGTGTACATATTGCGGTAAACAGTGATTGTCATTTAGTTTGTGTTTTACAGACCAGGACAGGTACGGTAACTCCGGCGCCACCTCTTCGCTTTGCGGCCAGCAGGTTCAGATCACCAACACCGACAATGGCAATCAAGTCACCGTGACCATTGCTGACGATTGCCCGACATGCACTAACGGCAACTCCATTGATTTGTCTGTGGGCGCCTTCCAGGCACTCGATGCTCTGAGCGTCGGAGAGGTTCCCAGTAAGTTGTCGACCCTTCATCCTGCCACGAGTCGAAACTTACATACTAATGTCCCCCAGTCACCTGGACGTTCCTCAACTAAGTGCCTTGCCAATTCACTTGCCCTGCTTTCTGCTTTTATATGGTTGTTTTTTCTGGCTTTCTTTTGTTCTTCTTGATGCGTGCGTTGATCTGCCGCATTTTCTTGGTGCGGGCCAGTCCCGTGCTGGAGTATCGTTATCTGATGTCGGCGAGTTACTGTGCTTCACCACCCTGGCGGCGTATACCACTGACACGACGCGTCTATATCTGAGGATACGATACCCTCCACTGGCAAGATTCTTCTGCATATTATTACTAGCTCGCTCTGCGAGTTATAAATTTATCACTTTTATGGGTTTTCGTCAAGGACTGTTGACATAGAGTTGAGCAGCATGTTTCGTGTTCCCCTGTGACGGATGACCTGCTCTTGGTGATAGTAGTGAGGGGTAGAAAACGTGTCTTGCTGTACATACTTGTAATGTCGCAGGCGCAGATACTCCGGTAATTATGCTTGACTAAATTGAAAGAGGAAGTCATGGATCTCCGATCAAGTGCAGCCAAGCTTGGTTATGACAAGTTTATGTAAAGGCGATTGGTGTGGTGACGTGTGGTGACCGCGGCGCACGTAAAACGCGACTCGAACGCAACTCAGATTGAATAACGCACTTCAGTGAATTCGTCTGTCTACTCTTTTCCCAGTACTATTAGCAAGCTTGACGAACGGTGACGGCACTTATCAGCATGTCGGCAGCAGCCCAAAAGGTTTTGGTGGTAGGAGGGAATGGTTTTCTGGGTACGTGAGCATTTGGCGATAACATGATTCGAGCTAGAGGTTGTTAGGTTCGGCCGTTTGCAAGGCTGCTCTTGCTCGCGGAATGGATGTCACCAGTATCAGGTTGGTTGACCTTTTTGTCAACGCATTGGCAGGAGCGTGCATTTACCTTCGCGAAGTTCGTCGGGAAGACCATATCGTACTCCCAGAGGGCATAGCCCTGCATGGACATCAAAAGTACATTCAACTTATTGAAGCTTGCGTCTTGATTGACTCGCTTGATGGACAGGTGAACTGGAGAAAAGCTGATGCCCTACTCCCGGAAACGTACCGCGACCTTTTGTCCGGTGTTAGTGCTGTTGTACACACACTAGGAACGCTTCTCGAAGACCCGAAATATAAAGACGCGCTCGCCAGGAATGATTTGCTCAGTCTACTTGGAAACTTTGTGAGCACGGCCACTGGACATAGATATGATCCGTTGGAGGGAAGTCGGTGGAAAGAAGGGTATGAAACTATCAATCGGGATACTGGTAAGCAATGTTCTTCGCTGGAGTTGTGGTTGAGTCGAAGCATCTTACTACGCACGCCTATAAAGCATTGATGGTGTGCAAGACGTTCCTGGAAAGCGAGGGACCCTCATTAGCCCGTTCACCAGCCTTCGTCTATGTGTCTGCTGAAGATGTCTTTCGGCCGATTGTGCCAGCTCGCTACATTGAGACTAAGCGCGAGGCCGAGCAGGGAATACAGGCTCTTGTGGCAAAGAGCCCCAGCTTACGAAGCATTTACATAAGACCAAGTACGTGCTCCCTCCATCTTTCATGTTCCGCCAGACTTAATCGTCTTGCCAGGCTTGATTTACCACCCCCACTATCGACCGCTAACGTCACCTCTTGCTGCTCTGTTGGACTTCTCTGCAAATGTGCACGCTGCCGTTCCAAAAAGCGTACCGACACCTTCCAGCATTTTACGCGCCCTTGATGCGCTCGCCCCAGCTTCACCTGACTCCTCATTATCAACGTCATCGTTGCGCTCCATGTCTAATGCCCTCATTGTCCCCCCCATCCATGTTGAGCACGTTGCGGGAGCCATCTGCCGTGTCATCGATCCCGCCAGTGATATCAAAGGTGTTGTGGGTGTCGGGAAGATGAGGGAACTAGTAGGGTGGTCCAACAAACAAGAGTCGCGACCTGTTTTTCACCCTTAGACCCTTCGCTAATGTTGAAAGTCAACGTTATAGAAGGGTCCTGAATGGGGCGCACTGTTTCATCTCTTAGAGCAAAATACTCTAATTTTGTAACCAGCCAACCAACAATCGTGTACCAAAAAAATAAAAATAAAATGGCAAAGCCTGTCTTGACGTCAAGTCTCACCCAACGCGAGCAAACGGAGAAAGGAGGCCTAACATGAGGAAGCGTGTTATCTGCAACGGACATGTATACATCGCGTATGCATCCGAGTCTCGACTTAAGGAGAACCATGCACACATGGATCATATTTCGTGTTGTCAAAGACTGAGAAAATGTATGCGGGGTAATAGGGGGGAACGCGTCAGTGACACCCGAGGCCAGGAACAGAGTCCGCCAAAGGTCAATATGTATTACGAATCACTTTCGTCGCCCCTTGCATTGATTGATGGCGTGTAATTGACACTAACAGTATTTGGTAGCGGGTGCAAGTGTTGCGGTGTTATAACGTTACTTCCCTCTCCTTCCAGTGCTCCCGCTTGCCACCTCCTGGTCCAGCCATACCTGTACCCTTTCTGCAGGAGTTTCTAACGCCTACAGCAGCTACGGTTGGCACCTTGCGAGCCTTGGCGCGGATAGCATCTCCCATTCGCCCCAACCCCAAACATTTCCAAGCGGCACTTCCAAGCGACATCGAACCATTCGCCGTTTGGTCGGTCAACCCGGCGGCGGTAGCCCATAGATAAATTCATTCCCTCTTTCCTTCGTTACCCGCCGCCTTTCCTCATGATCTCTTTCCGAGCTGCTCGCCTTCCACCGTCTGTATCTATGACAGGTCCTACGCGCTCATTGCGCTGCATCTCCAGTTCAGCTTCCGTGTTCAAAGCCCTGCCTTTCTTTTTGAATAACTTGCGCTCTGGCACGGACGAACAAGGACCTGGGAAGCATCTCCGAATGCTCATGTTTGGCAAACCGGGAGCAGGGAAAGGTACACTCTCTGGTCGACTCGTTCAGAAATACGACATTTTGTCCCTTTCTACCGGTGATCTTCTCAGGCAACATATAGCCGAAAAGTAAGTTTCCGCAATTCATATCAACCCTGTAGCTGACCCCAGGCTCAGAACAGAGATTGGGCGTCAAGCAGAAGAAATTGTCGCTCAGGGGCTTTTACTTCCCGATGAACTCATGCTTAAAGTCGTCACTAGCAGGCTCAGCCTCGTACAGAACAGGGTTGGTCATGTTTCTCGTCTGTTGTGTACTCATTGAAACCTCTGATTGCATCTAGCATTGGATATTGGATGGATTTCCCCGCACGCTTGGACAAGGAAAGCTTTTGGACGAACATCTGCTGTAAGCTTCAGTGAACTATCATGGCTCTGCAGACCTTAAACGAGTATTTCCCCAGCTCGCAGAATACCCCGCTGAGTTTGGTGGTTAACCTTGAGGTACCAGACGATGTCATCCTAGGTCGCATTACCGACCGGTGGATACATCTGCCTTCAGGTCGTGTTTACAACTTGTCGTATAATAGACCCAAGGTAGACGGTTTCGACGATGAAACTGGTGAACCATTATCCAAGAGGCCGGATGATAATGAGGTCAGTCGACCGCTCATCGACATCGCACCCCGCCCTGATTCTCATACGTTCCTGTAGGAGGTCTTCTCACGAAGGCTGAAGCAATTCTATGACTCTACTTCTCCTCTCCTCTCTTATTACTCATCCCACACCAATTCGACACGGCTTATGACGTTGAAGGGACATACCTCTGACGAGATCTGGCCCAGACTGGAAGCTACTGTCCTTGGTGCGGCCCCTGGCCTTCGAGAGCGACCAGCATGGAAGAAGCATAGCCTGAGCGAAGCTGTTCTGGAACGCAAGGTCATGGTCGCGGGCAAACCCAATTGAGTTTATGATATAATGTTGATATTAGACCGACCTTTAGATGATGTAGGGTGCCAATAGCCTCTTTCTGCCTCTTTCATACATGCATATGGTATAAGCGCAGCCATGTCACGTTGTTATTTTCTGTTACGGTGTACTTGTATGTACGTAGTAGGATTAGTATAGTTTGATTTGTAATTACCGCTGCTTCCTTTCAATTCAATAGCCTATTTAAAGTTCGATGTAATAATGTTCAATCACCGTAAAGCAAACCTTGTCAATGTAAGAAACGTTAACCATATTTCAGCGCTCAGTCAATGAAATACATAGGAAGTTTGTTGGGCGCACATTTTTACTGGGTAAATGCCATCTGGGAGCCCCTTCTGTACCAGTTCTCGGACTATAGTCAAGTCGGCATCGCGGAATAGCTTTTTGAAAGCAAGATCGGATCTGTGCCCGTGACACACGAAATCTGAAGGTTAACTGACTGCGACACCATCTGCGTAAGTTCACAAACCGGGTGAGGCTAGAATCATCGTCATCGAAGACAGTCCGTGGAGTACCATCCTTTTCGGAACAGAGGTTTTCTTTCACGATAATCAAGGCATCTTTGTTGCGTAGCGCTTTCTTGCTTCTCCGCAAGAAGTCAATTAGATCTGTATCGTTCAGATGGCCCAAGCACCACTGACACCAGATCACGTCGAATCCAGAATCCCCATCGTCCTCTTGAGGTGAAAATCCAACTCGCCCCAAGAACTTAGCGTTCAGAGAGTGAGGGTGGGATGGATCGAAGATCTGCAGTGGACACTGGAAAAGGGAGACACTTTTGGACTTGGTCGAGATCCCTGGCCATCCAGTGGGATAACCATCCTCGTCACGAGACCTTGCAAGCTTCTCGCTTGCCTGACCACGGGAGAACGCCTCGCCTATGAAGTTCTCTACGGGCTCTTGCAGCACCACATCAGCGAACAGAGGCAGCAAGACGTCTGCAGTGACGCGTCCGATACCAGCGCCAACGTCAAGTGCGCGTGATCTGTAAGCATGGGATCCATCGACGGGTGAAGACGTTTTAAGAGCAGAAGGGACAGTGCACAAGTCCGGACGTATGCTCATCAGGAACTGACGGGAGCCAAAGGCATCTACCCTGGGCAAAGACTTTCATCCTCAGATGAGTAAAACGGGCCTCCACAGAAGTCAACGTACTCCGTTACCGAATCCACCTACGAAAGCGCTAGATCAGATTGGCATGATAGACAGACCAGAGAGGGGGGATGGTGTAACATACCCAATACGCCGTTGTAGCTTGCTTCTTGTGTCGTCCAATAATCGATCCCAGTCTTTAGATCAGGTTCTTGCGGGGGACCCATCATTGCGATATCACGTCCAGCGACCGTGCTGAGAGACTGAAAGTGTATGGACAATATTGTGCTGAATTCGAACGCACTGGGTTCAACGTTTGGCCTGTTTGAAGGGGGAAAATGTTGCGCTGAAGAAGGCAATTAGCCCCTGTCGATTTGATACAGTCCAATTGCAACAATCATAGGTTGCAATTATAGAATCTACTCAAAGATACATGTCGTCCCAGTCTGCATCATTCGTCCCTGTAACTTCTACTATTCGATTGGACATGCCTGTCTCACCCTCTTTAGAGCGGGTAAGTACCGTGGTGGGTTCCAGAACCTCTGGCTCTGTCGAAACTTCTAACTCGTGGACGATGTCCCACATTTCTTCATCTCCTTGCTCTTGCTGCTTGTCAGACGCAGGCTTTGAAGACCCGGCCTTCTCCTCGAAGGGATCCGCAAAGCCATCAAGCTCGGCCCACATGTCAGCATCATCAACGTCCATAACATGATCAACTGCCTTGGAGGTGGAAGGCTGATGAGAAGGTTTAGCAGGGGGCTCGCGAATGGTTTTCAGCCGCTCCTCCTCTTGTCGGATGACTTCATCAATATCGAAGTCGTTATCAGCGTGAATTGAAGATGGTGGTGAGGTCGGGTTGGAAGAGCGTCGATCCTCAGCTGGAGTCTGCACAACTTCGTCACCATCCTCTTCGGGTATTTCCAGTGGCTCATCGTCCGGTCGTTTCCCATTGACAAGACCCTTGGCCTCATCACGCCACACGCTCAGCGCAACCTCAATAGGTTCAGTCAAACGTTCGAAGAACATTATGTTGACTTACTTGCATGCGCTTAGAATGACACACTTTTTCGACCTTTTCCACATTATCCTTGAATGATCCTTTTGGGTGCATTTTATGTGTCCAGAACTGATATATTCGAAGGAGCCTCCCCAGGTCCGACATCTGGGGCAACTTCAGTACAAGGTTGATATCAGGGATCCAGAAAGGCTTGATCGGACCTCATGCCCCTTGCCTCTGGCCTGGAAGTGCTTGGTATCGCGAATTAGCTGGGGAAACCCATCGGGGCCCAAAAGGCGTCCTTCATCAAGCTTTGCGAGTTTTCTCTTGGATTTCTTGCCATCTGTTTCCTTTTCCTTGTCAACGCGTTGGTTCCCGTTTTCGTTATCTGTGAGGTCATTGCCACGGGCAGGAGAACTGCTGGGTAAAATCTGGCGCTGGCTCGAGCCTGACTGTGTGTTCATTGACCTCTTAGAGTGCTTTGCGGCAGCCGCTTGCTTGAGAGCGTTCATATCTAGCGAAGGGGCCAAAGGCTCCAATGTCGTACCGCCGCCTTCATCGTCGAGGTCATCGAACATGGCGTCGATTTCCGACCGCGGCGCGACGGCTTGTTTCGAGGCGCGTTTTGCTACCGAGGGCGTTTCATCTTCAGAATCACTCAGAAACAGTGATGGTCGTTTAATTGAGCCTGGATTGTGGTGTGTAGTACTTTGTGGACTGGGAGATACTGGCGCATCCCAGATATCATCGAGAGCGACAGACATGAGAGCTAATGAGGACGCGTTGTTTACATTTGTTTGTAACAACGCGTCTTGTTCACGTCAGGCTGATAGGGGCTTGCCAAACATAACGTGGTCACTAGGTTGTTCCAAAGTTGTAGGCAAACAACAACATTAAAATAAACGCTCAAATACCAGGAACCGCACCGGCAACAACTTTACAAAAACATCAACGCGTACTAGTAATATAAAGGTCTGTGTTAAATTAAGGATCTGGGGGTGCCCAAAGTACGCATCTACCACTAGCATTCCCTGTGGCAACACGTTCGACAACTTCTGGATGGGAGCAGGTCACAGCTTGCGTAGCCGTTACTCTTCAAAGTTGGTTAGCATTACGACAACATAGATCTCACAAGCGAGCATTTACTTGGTGCTGTCTGCCAGTTTTGCTAGCAAGTCGCCCTAGAATTGAATCAATATCATCTCTTCTGGCGACGAGTTGCTTTAGCTTACTTTGCATGAATATACGTAAACTGCATGGTCCCGGATGCCCGCGATCTCAAGGGACAATTCAGTGAAAGAGTTACAGCAAAATAGAGTTGATCCTACAGTGAAGTGAGGATACACATCTGGATTAGGTGACCAGACCGCTCTGAGGATTGTTAGCCATTTGCCCTGTCCAGAAGTGTCAATAGATGGATGAGTAGTGGAAAGTGATATGGACAGTTTGACAATTGTGTCTGATTCGACAGAAAGGCGTAAATGAAGGGAAACTAGTTGAGGAGCCGAGTTTAGCAGAATCTAGTTCCCATACTGACAGGTTTTCGTGAGTGCAAGGTTGGTTTCAGGATAGCCACTCGCTTACATCTGATTGTATCGTCATAGCTTGTGCTAACGATACTTCTTCCCCGAGGATCCCAAAAGGCTGAGCTTACGGACTTGCCATGACCGAACTCTCCACGCAAGAATCCTTGGCCGCGTTTCGACTCGATAAAATTCTGCATCGTATCATAGTCAAATCTGTATGGTTCCGAGGATGTGTTCAGACTTTTGCCACTTTGCAAGGTCCGCAGCATCCTGATATCCCAAACTCTGAGCGCTCTATTAGTCGCTGAGCTTCCTAAGTATCTTAACGGCTTACTTGAGTGTCCGGTTATTAGACGCTGTTAATAGATAATGTGGGTTTGTCGGATTGACGCTAATGGATCCTATCTTCTGGTCCTGGAGATCATACCATCGTGCTTTGGATTTATCTTGTCGTAAATCTAAGTTAATTATGGTTCCGTTGGCCGTAGATATCCACATCTCATGTTGATTGGGAGCCAAATCGATGTTTGAGACAAGAGTATCTTCAGACGAGAATAGTTCTTCCGAAATCCCGGAGATAAAAGATAGGCGGCGAATAGTACAGTCATAAGAAGCAGTTATCACCTACGATAGAGGGTCAGCGTATCCGCAACTCTTTTGCCAGTAAACTCACACTATGGGCATCTGTGGGGTCGAACTTAATCGAGGATATCGAAGACTTCGGGGAAGCGGGCCAGTGGTTTTGAAGCTGCCAGTACTTTCCGCCTTCCGTTGCATCATTAGCAGTTACATCGCCATCCTCGTCTGCACCCTCTTCAGTAGGTGCGCGAGCATCCCATATGCCTAATTGACCGTGCTTATCTGTTGAAATGTATATTTCTGGTGGTAGGACATCATGAATGTGAACAGCGTACCTCCAAAAAACACGAGATCCTTGGTCTTGTCTGGATGATATGCTGCGCTATATACCCGGTTTCCCGTAACTTTAGCTCGAGAGACAATCTTCAGTTTATGTAAACGATCTCTCAAGTCCTTCACCTCGGCAGCGTTCCCTTTGTCTGTATCGAAAACAAACGCGTCAAGATCGCTCACGCGCTTTGCGTGTACATCTTTCGTAGCAGACCCCAAAGCTGTCCTGAGGGTGGCAATATCGGTCCCATTCTGCTCTCCTAATGTAGTGAACAGGTCGAGGTCTTGGTGCCGTGGGCGCTTAGCAATGCGCTCGCGTTCTTCGGCTTCAAGTCGTTCTTGTTCCGCTTGCTTCGCAATTCTTTCTCGTTCTGCCTTTTGTACCTCAGATCACAAAAGTCGAGGCACATTGATGGAGGCCGTACCTCTCGCTTTTGCTTCGTCACAGGGCTCTCATTTAGGTCTATTACCTCTTTCATTAGGCGCGCACTCTGACGCCTCGGTGCGACAGGCTCAGATTCCTGCCTGGGTCGCTTCTTAGGTTGAACAGGTTTCGCTTTCGGCTTTGTTTGGGACTTGCTCTTGGCTGGAACTCCTAGCTGAGATGCCGCATCTTTGAGGTCCAACTGCTCAAGGATTGCACGGTTGCGAGCTATATTCGCCTCTCTCTCCTTCTCACTGTGCATGTCTGTTAGCAAAACATTTATGACTGTCTTGCAGGAACGTACTAAGCCGACATGATTGTGCACTGATGAACACTGTCTAGTAGGGACCCATATACAACACTCTAGCAGTCACAGTCGCGATTCATTGTCGCGTCGCGTAACGTCACCGTCACGCGTCGTGGTGTGTCACGTTAAGTACAACGGGTCCCGGGACCGATAGTCGAACCAAGCCTAAGCTATGTCTGCCCTATGCAAGCCCTAAACATATCCAACATTTGTAAGTACTAGCTACAAAAACCAAATGAACATATGCAGATAGATCACGATTGATATATCATGTGGAGAGCAAATAAACAGCAATAAGTGATTAGCTATCTGCAAAACCGAATGGATCAAATGATGATGGCAAGAGGCTATCGAGAAACCCACTCCAAACCCACTTAGTCGGAGCAGAGTCAAAAAGCTTGAGAGTCAGCGATACTGCACGGAGAAAGATTTCATGTAAGTTCCAATATGCTTGTCTCTAAAACGCGAAACTGTGTTGTATCCTTTGAATTCTCCGACCAGCCGACCACTTCCCTCCAGTTGACGGTGTTTGCCTCCTTTTCTCCAGCTCCGGAGAAAATACCCATGTCATCATCCGATAGACCGCGGAAGCAGAGAAAAAGGCGGGTGGTCACGCATTCTGTGGAAACGCCCAAATCAATAGCGGCAGCGACCTGTGATGAACGAAGGAAGCGATAGGCAATATTCTTGTGAGCTGAAAAAGCGGACATGTTATTGCTGGATGAGAAGGGCATCAGAAAGAGGCCATGGACGTTTTGTGCTACCTACGTGATGAAACTGGTTCGGGCGTGGATAGACATGCCCAGTTGGTCCAAAACCACCATGAGATGCTGTATGAAGTCACGGAACGACATGGCATAGCTATTTCGCGGAGCAATGAATTCTTCTGGGTTCAGCATGTTCGAGTCAGGACTTTCAAGCGCGTATGAGTGACGAATTTCTACTGATCAAGATTTAAAAACTCACGCTGCTTCATAATAAAGAGATGTGCAAACCATCTCGTTCTCAAAGTGCTCGAGTGCACCGCCTGGATGCACTCTCAGGAAATATTTGTACTTGTTGTCCGCAATTTCCTCTGCAGGAGGCCATGACATGGAAAGTTTCCAGAATGGCGACAGCGATAAAATCAAATCGCAGTATTGGACTGCAGGAGCGAGAATGCTGAGATGACACTTAGCGGCAGTGGGCTTTGCTGCTGCTGTGAATTTCGCCATAACGCGACTGTCCATCAAGAAATCTTGAGGGATGTCAGGATTGTTTGACTTGGTCCCAGTAAAGTCCACTTTGTGCGTGTCCCCGTCGTGGACAATATCCAGTTTTCCCCAGAAAATTCCGGAAACAGTCGTGCCATCCTCCATTCGAGACATGTCCATATCATCTGCTGACGATACCGTTGTTTCCAAAGCAACTAGCTGTCCTGGGATCAGCTCAAGATTGAAGGTGGCAGGCATTTCTGTGACAGGGGGAGGGCTAGCGAGCGTTAAATGTAACTTCACGCGCCTGCTGGGGTACTCACGGTGGGGAGCTGCTCGGGAGCGTTAGCAAGCATCCTCCAGCGATGATTATTTTAACTCACGGAGGTTCATCAGGTGGCGGGGGAGCGTCGCTGACAATCTCTACTCTGAGTCCTTGAACGCCACTAATCGCAATCTGATACGAGTCTTCCCCTGTTAGCTGGTATCATGAGCGAGTCATGAATAAGTGCCAAGTAGGATCAAAATGTTGGATCCTTACGTAGATATATGGCCCAGACACTAAGCGCTGAACACTCGCTGAGATCATTAACGCAGGCTGCTAGAACGCAGTAACTCACGGATGCATGAAGTGAGGCGTATTCTACTGGTACTCGTAGGGTGAACATGGCATCAGGAGGTGGCTTCGTCCAGTCTTTGGCGATTGCCTCAAGTTCCTAGCGATGCTGTTAAATACAACGGATCTAGAAGACAAGAGAGTGTTTGCATACTGGAAAACTTTGCGGAAGCTGCAGGATACTTGCATTCACAAAGAGGCACTAACTTAGGTTAGCAGGATCACGTACAACGCAGACTGTTTCCATGTCGTCATAGGCGAGAGTGAGTAGTCGCTGCCTGGCCAGTGCCATGTGTGCTTGCTTCTCCCGTAACTCGTTTTCCTTGTCACCTTTCCTAGGCTTCATCCTCCCCCAAAAGGATGAAGACGGTAGACTGGCGTTTGAAGTTCTAGCAGATAGTGTTAGCTACGCCGTTATAAGACATACACACCACATACGCTGGGGAAAGGAGCATGTTTGAGGAATGTATATTTGGGAAAGGGTCTCGGAGAGGGTGAAGTTGCACACTGGCATAAAAGCGCTATAGATTACAGCAAAGCACGCGACGGGAGCACGAGGCAGACGAAAGCGGACATGGTACTTCCTCACAGCATCTTCTTTAGAAATCCAATGATCTCGATTGTTCCACGATTTGTGTTTCAGTGCAGTTATCTAGAGGACCATACACACCTCGCCTGGCGCGTCCATATCCGAGTCGTACCGACCACAATTGTTCGCTCCATCACTAACTCGGGGAAATGCCGCTGTAGCGGCGGAAACCTTGCTTGACGCTGGGATCTGCGCTTCGAACAATTCACAAAACCTTGTCCATTCGTCATGAAGCCAACATGTAGACCCTAAAGAATTACCGGAGACATTAAAGTAAGAAGTAATAGCCAGTCTAATGTAGTATGTGTACATCCATAGTACTAGTAGGGTATACTAGTCTGCTTGCAGCGGCATCAGAGTTTTAGCTTCTTACTTGGGGATGCAGCAAGATTGATGGAGCGCTCGATCTTGCGCTTCTCGGAGAAGAGTAACCGGTGAGTGGTGGAACGACAGCCTTCATCATCTCGATGTTTGCAACATACACATCCGATGCAGGCTTGTTGTCTTTAGCAGAAAATGACCAATGACTCATTGAGAAATGCAACTCGACCATAGCACCATCAAGTGCCTGACGGCGATATTGCCCGGGCTTGATGAGGTTGCCCTGGAGGTCATAGGCCGGAACCGGGATGACGTGATGAGTTTTGGCCATAGCTTCCAAGGCGTCCTTGGCACCATCACTTTGAGTTGACCAGTTCTCGATGGCAAACTCATCTGAATGGGCGGTGCTTATCAGTGAGATTGACCACACTAGTGGGATAATAAATCCACTTACCTCATATGTACTCGTGGATATTGCAACGCCTCCGACGGGTGGTCTCAATTTGTTTAACCTATACGTAACCTTGTCTCGAAGCTCCGGCAGATCAACGATTTGACTGTTGCGCGACTTTGATGATACCGTGCTCCAAGCGTCACATTCGCCCGAGTTGATGGCGGAAGACGACAGATTAGCAGAGCTGGATCAGATTACGGAGCGGTGGCGGAAAGAGTTGGGACGTGGACAACATCGTGAATCGTGCGCGTAAGTCACAGGAAGGATGTATTCCCTACGCTTCTGCGCCATAGTAGGACTTTGCTTACTTACTTCACTAATGCCGTTTGGCTATAATTTACTTACCAACCAGAGTAGCGAACGCTGTTTGTACTTATGTGGCAGGCGCGACGTTCCCACGCAATAAAGGGGGTGACAGAAACCTTGTCAAGCAAGGTAATTAATCTGATAAACGGCCGCGATTCACACGGGTTTAGGCTCTGCTTTGGTGGCAGTGCTATTTTTCCTCCCTGTAACTTCCAGCCATGCTCCGGACGGCATTGCCCACTCGTCTTCTTGCACGGACTGCTAGAGCAGTAGCTGCGCACCCTCCAAGAAGGACGTTCGTCTCTACTGTTCTTCTCTCAAAGGCATGGGAAAACGACACCGTGGTAGACCTGCGAAAGGAGGCTAGGAGTCGTGGGCTGTCTACGTACGATTTCCACTCCTTTTCCCTCCACAAGTCGGCTCAAGAGTTTTACAGGTCAGGGAATAAATCTGCTCTTGTCTCCCGCATTCGATCGCACGAGGAGAGCAAGGTTGCTGAAGCCGTCCGTTCTATTGAGACTGTTCGCCATGCGTCTACGGATACTGCTGTACCAGGTAAACCTGACATACCTGCCTCCGCTCCCGCCATCGAGTATCTTTCCGTGAAAATCCCCGATTTGTCCATACCACCTGCGGAAACTCCTGTTCAGATTGTGCGCCTCACAACAGTCCTGTCATCTACTACTGAGCTGAAAGTGACCACCTAGCCTTTCGTGCCTGATTACTGGGATTCAGCTTCATCCAAGTCCCCTAAGCCTATGGCTCAGGGACCTACGCCACCACGAATGCATGTGGTGGCCGGTCCCGAAACCCACCGGGACGGAGGTCCTATGCACCATCTTGAAAAACAGGAGGACGCTCAACTGAAGTCTGTGGACGAACACCCCGAAACAGTACCTGTTAATGCCTCTCTATCAACACCCGGCGGCTTGATTCGTGATATTGCGGATGATCTAGGGTTGCCTAGGTCTCTCGGTCTCGGTCAACAAACAGAGCAGACCACTGATAATTCGGAACAAACCGGAAAATCGAGACCCTTGCAAGGAGAGGAGAGGAGAGGAATCTGGGTTCTTCTGGGCATTATTGCAGGATCTTGGTTCGTTGGTGGAGCGGTCAATGCTGCTCCGAAACAGGTTGTAGAAACTGAGGAGGTTAAACAGTAGCTGAACATTCACTGAGCACTCGGACGCTGCCTTAGCGCACATCTTACAATCGTTTGGCAGAATTCTAACTAGAGTAGGATGCTGACATTAAGTTTGTTCGTAGACTATCGTCTTGAATCATTCATGCATATGCAGATGCTGTCATATGTATGTAGACTCATATATAGGGTCAATATAAGTAGAATAGCTTGCAACCCTTCGATCGGCCTGCAGGCCCAGGGCTTGAGCTTGATACCTGATTACCTATTACAATATCACAGACGCATTGGGCCGGACCCTTCCGATAAGCGGGCGTCAATTTGGCGCGTCAACGCGCAAAGGTGCATGACACAGCGTACCCGTCTCTCACCCGTTAAGTCTGCTCAATGATGAACACAATCTCTCGTCGCCTGCTGCATGCGTCAGCTATACGATCAAACCTGGTCGGGCCTCCTGATCCCATCTCCCACATACGGCCTGTTCTCTATACGAAGTCGACGCCGGTGCAGCCGGACGGGGTGCGGCATCCATATCTGCTCAACGAGTTCACGGAAGGCGAGACCGACGAAGAAGTCCAGTGGGCCTTGTATCAGCAGCAGCTAGACAAATTTAATCACGACTACTGGTTTGATGTAAGCCTTTCTCTGAGTAGTAGCATATAGCAACTAAGTGTTTCGAAACAGAGCAACACCCGGTTTGAATCTGCAAAACAGAGCGTCTTGTCATCACTACCCGACTCAGTCACAGGACTGCAGCGCGAACAGGCATTATCCGAGTTTTACAAAAAGTGGATGGTACAGGAAAGCGAGCGGCAAAATGAGTACTCTTCGGAGTGGAGGAGACGAAATATAGAAAGTATCAGCCTAGCCACTCGTCTTGAATGGCAGAATGTTAGGCGGCGCCTCTTTGACCTCTTCTGAATGCAGAAGTAAACATCTGTTCTGTACAAGCTATTTTTCTATTCTACGTTATAGTTCACATTGATATCCGTCAAGGGGTATGAACCTCTTGTCCATCCGAAAGGTCTTGCTTAGCCAACTCCCGTACACGATGGTACACGTCCTCCAATTTCATCGACGCCACTAGATTGCTTTCCGCTCTGTAATCCCGCTCAAGCGCTTCCACTTGCTCTTGAGGCATTCCCGGCCATCGTGAAGCAAGTTCAGCAACGTCCGGGGTGACGAGTGCTTCAGACGGGTCGAGGTCGTAACCAGGAGAGTGATGAGGGGCCCGGAGAATTATTGAAAGAGTATTATATAGAGCAGTTCCGCGCAAACGCATCATAAGCTGAGAGTCTGTGACATTTGCTGTTTGTCTGATTTGGTCCCAGCTATAGAATTCATTAGCGTCGTCTTGAAGTCACAACCGATCAATAACATACTTGTCGTGGCTGTAAATTCGGCACCATACTCGGCGGAACGAGGAAGCTTTGCGAGCATCGGGCAAATCCTAGAGAATTCATGAAATTCGAGACATGAGTTTGGGGCATTGTTCGTACCTGGACTCGACTGAGAAGCTGTAGAGCCGTAGCATAGTCCTCTATAGTTTCGCTGTTGTCTTTTAGCGTCAGCACGTCTACTGCATCTTCCACGGACAACGCATGGTTCTGCAGCATCAACCGAATGAGAGCTTTGAAGACCTGCAAGCTACGTTACTTGACGATTATTACCCAGGAGGCTGATAGGTACTTACACCGAGAAGGGCTCTCCGATCCCTAATTGTGGACGCCTTGGCCTTTACTATGGCATCCACCTGGTTCTCGATACTTTGTTTACCGCGAAGGGTGGACAACACGGTCCTCATTTCCTCTAGTAAGTTTTGCTGAACGCTGACGAAGTCAAGACCGTCGTGGAAGGCTGAAAGGCACATTTTAGCTAGCGTTTGCATGTGGCGCTCTTCACTAACTTACCGTCAAAAGACGTCTCGTCCAAGGCAACGCCATCTTGGATTTGGGCAAGGTGAGCAAGCTTTCCAACGCTCAGTGCGAACTGCAGGAATTTCAATCCTCTGGGAGACATGAAAACATGAATCAGCTCACGTGTTTGACAGCCAAGCTGTCCGTCGTTTTAGACTCTGCTACGAGCGCAGCGGACGCCGCCCCATATCGCTCCTGGCCGAGATCATATATCCAAGAAATCGAAGAGCGAGCTTGCGCAGCGAAGAAAACGTCCATATATGACTTTTGCGAGTCCTCGAGTGTAAAAAGACCGCGAAGCTCGCCTACATTTTCTTAGAACGTCTATCGAGTTGAGGCCAAGGCAAACGCGCAGCATACCGTGTTCAATATACCACTGATAAAGTTCGGCCGTGAACTCATCTCGGAACTTCTGGATGTAGTTCTCGATCCTCGACATATGAGGATTTTCCTGTGGCGGCCACACCTTGTCCTTGTGGCAGAGTGAAGCAAGGGAGCGGAAATCCTTGCAGGCCTCTGCGAGAGAGAAGGCATGCTCCAAGTGGCCATGAATTCCTGTCCAAAAGTATCAGCCATGAAAGCCTGTCAGTCTTTAAGATAACATACGCAAAGTCTCGAAGATTTCCGGCCGAAGCTGAGCAAAACGGTCGCTAAGCTCCTTCCTGTCGACTTCTGTCCCTGCCTCCCCAGCTGCTACAATGCTATGAAGCACGTTCAGAGATTCTGTACAAGGTCTGATTGGCCACTCTACACACCTACGCAGCCATTCAAGGCGTTCATTGATGCAAGTGAACAAGACAGAGGCCAAAGCCGGTAGCTGTTTTCGTGGCTCCGTTTTGGCTCCAGAGTTCTCAGCATCGGATGGTCCATCAAGAAATTTCGTTGCCACGTCAAACATTCCTAAGACGGTGTCGATGATTCCCGGCCTGCTTGTCCAGGGCTTGATCATAGGAAGAGTGACTCCATATACGCCTAGGTTGTACGCACGATAGTCCAGTGCTGAGCTGAGGATAGTCTAAATTTTCACTAGTCAGCATCTTTCGCACAAAGTTATGCAGTAAAATGCATACTAAAATGCAGCTGATAGACTCAGGCAACGAGGCTGCGAGGCTTCGACCGACATCTTTCGACAGGCGGTTCACGGATTCCATTACGAATGGGAAGAGTTTTCCCACATCACCAACCCGATATTTGAAAAAAGCACGAACAACGTCTTCGTGTGCCGTATTCCCAACAGAATGCATGTAGTCATATACAGCTTCTGTAAGGATGCTATGCGTAGCTCCATGGCTGAATGATGTTAGGTCTTTCATCAATAGCAGCTGTTACGACTTACTCAAGATGGTCATTCAAAGCAGTCCACAGTTGATGACATGCGTAAAGCTTCTCAGCATCGGTAGCTAACCTTTGCCGACTACTTTGAGATAGCTATATATAATCACTTAGCTTTTTGTGGTGGAGATATTGTAGGACAATCCCTACCTTGGTCAGCACACCGTTGTCGTTGATGAAGTGGATGAGCCAGCTGAGTCGTTCCTTCCGGCTGGTCAACTGTGATGTGAGGTCGTGGTCGGGCCGTATAATTTCAGGATCTGTAGAATTGCATTAGTCGGTGCGAAGGCCTTCTGGTCTAATGCTCCTACCTGATTCAATGACCGCTTTACTCAGCTGTTCAGCGCCATTCATCAGACCATCCTCGTCGACGTCCGGTGGGAAACTGAAGTGAAGAGGATTCTGATGAATAGGTAAATCAATTGCATGCACACTGATCGATTTACTAACTTCTGGTATTGAGCCGTACAGGATTGCCTGCGTCAGTATAGACTTGATCAAGTGGGCACGTCCACTCCTGAATGATGATTAGATCGTGTATGAAACCGACCATGATACTCACTCGGGGTCAAAGTCTGCTATTTGGCTGAGAGATAACGATGCTTTCATGATAGTACCTGCTGAGAGGACAAGCAGCGAGCTTTGATCTGAGTCTGTGAATTCCATGACACCAAGGCCGAGCATCTGGTCTTTGTACGGGTATTTCAAGGTGAGTCGATCCTCCCATACCGAGTCTGACATGGATGGTCAGTGGTGCGTCGTCTCAGTTGTTGTCAACCGAGCACCTACAGCGAGAGCATAATGCCACTACGTCTCCGAAATGAACAGCTATCAGTTCTGCACCAGACAGCAAGTGGATGCGAGGGTGGATTGGTGCCCCTGAGCTGGTCGTCTACAAGATAATAAGCATCTCAAGTGGTAATGTGCTGGTGCACTCACGCTTTGGTATGGCACCCGTCTAACGCCTTCGACTTTAATGGTATCTGTCGTATTGGGCTGAGACATGTGGACGAGGGCATATCTGCGACGCGGTCCTTGCGCTCCAAAAGGTCCATGATCTGCCATCATACTGTTTTCATCTTCCACCGCAGAAAAAGAGATAAGGAGCAGCAAGTTTCTCGCACTAAAGCCAAGGGTGAGTGTATAGAGACGGTTTAATATTATCAATACGCACCTCTTCACCTGCAGATCCACTAACTCAAGATCCAGTCTTTCATCGTCCGTAGTCCAAGCCCCTAGCTGTTCCCTCAAAGCCTTATGTAAGGAAGGGAGCAGATCTTCATCTAGCGTAGGCTCTTCCCATCCCTCTGCAATGTGGATGTTCCACTTTTGTAAGCGACTGTCCACCAAAGCCCAAAGCTGCCGTGAGTCCACAGCGATACCGACAGTGTCAACAGGCTCTATCGCTATTGAGCTGATGTTGCCAGCTTTGGGCTGTAAGCCAGCCGAGGCCAAGGTCCACCGGCTTGGAAGGAGTCGTGTAAGCGAGAGGGAAGATGAACTGGGTTGCGAGAAAGCACGAGCGGCGAGATGGTACTTTCCGCCTGTTGACGACAGGGTGAAGCGGAAAAGGTGGCCTATAGACGTCGATGCAACATATGTTTGGGGCTGCGCATGCAAAGATGAGCTCCCTCAATCGAAATGGATGCTGTTAATACTCACATCAACTCGAGTGAGGTTTGTGATGTACTCGTCTACTTCCAGGCTAAGCTGAGATGTTGAGAAATGATCACCACCAGCAAGTCCATTGCTTATGCTTTCCCAGAAACGGAGTTCGCCATGAGGAGCGAGGAGAACCAGGCCAGGCTCGCGTGTGGCGCCGAAAGGTACAAGAGCGTGGAAGGGACAGCTGTTCGACCCCTCTCCAGGACTCGAAAAGATGTAACACGTTGGAGATCCCTTTGGAGACTTCGCGATGTAAGAGCATGTTCCAAATAATAAATATCAGTTGTGAGTGCATACCTGGGCATATTGCCAGACAAAACAAGCTCGCTGGGAAGCCACCAATGCATAACCAGTTTCTGTATCGATTCCCCCGGAATATGACTCCCCATAAAAGTCTTTGAGATAGTCAGTAATGTACCATATAAAGGGGTTGATGCCGCACCTGCACCCTTGAGGATTTGCTTAACTTCGGTGGGGAGGTTGGCGTAGAAAGAAACTGACAGTTCTTCAGATTTAGCGAAGATTGTCTCTGGAACGGTCTTTTGTGCAGACACATGTTGAGCCTCGTCGATATCCATACTTGAGGTTATGGATGCCATGGAAGCCTCCTCTGCCATGACGGGTGTAGGGGTTGCTCGAGGTGTCAGTCGACCACCGCCTACGAGAAGACCACGTTTTGGGGGAGTATGAGATGGGCGAGCGCTTGCATGTCTATGTGTTTTGCGTGGCGCAGGAGATGCAAAGGTGGCCATCTTGTCTAGGCGTATGACAATGGACACTGGCACTACAGACGTGAGTCGAGGACGCGCTGGTTCGAAGGGGTGCGCGTCGGCTTCGGGAACCGGAATGTCAAACGCGAAAGGTATGACCTAATTAGGAAGTCGTAGTGCTTGCACACAACCCTCCACTACCCTCCACTACTATCCCTAAAGATTGTTCTAGACTCGCAACATGCTCGGTATTGAAGACTATGGCAGCGACGTCGACTCAGATAACGAGCAGCAACAGACAACTGCGCCGCCGTCGGCCTCGAAGCCACCGCAACCAGCCGCCAAACCAGCCGCCAGGTCCATAGGTCTCTCTCTTCCCCCTCCCTCAGCTTCGTCCTCGAAATCTAACGGCCCTTCTCTGCCACCCCCCAAGGGCAAGCGTGGCCCGAAGAAGATAACCATAGGTCTACCTGACCTTCCTTCGGAACTTGATCGTACTGTGGACGAGGATGACCGGCCCCCGCCAGCCAAGAAGGCCCGCACAGGTGCAGGAGCTGGATCGTCTGGTTTGCTCTCCATGCTTCCAGCGCCAAAAGTCAAAAACCCGGAGCGCAGCGTGCCTATCCAGGAAAGAGTGCTTGGTGCTGGAGGAAGGCCTGGTCTCGCATTTAGAACCGCCGCACAAACTAACTTTTCCGGTCAAACACCCAATTCGCACCTTCCAGCACCATCCGATAGCAACTTCCAAAGTGCCGACCAAGATTATGAAACATTCAAAGCTCCGCCGACATTGCTGCCACCATCTCTACAGAAGAAGCGGGCAAACATATCACTAGAGGATGAGCGACCATCGAAAGCCCCGCCAAAAGCTGATTCCACCCCAGCTGTTGATTTCTTCTCTTTGGGCAGTGCATCTTCCAGGAGTGACGCAAGCCAACCAACCGCGTCCACCTCTGTCGCCTTGGTTTCCTCCGCTCCTAAGGTCGAGGAGTTTACGCCCCCAGAACCCACTCCCACAGATCCTTATCCAGGCTATTACATGCTTCCATCTGGCTCATGGGCCGCCTATGACAATGCCTATTACCTCAGATTCCGTGCAAAATGGCAGAAAGATTACGACGACTATGTTCGTAAACTTGAGAAAGGTGCAACCACGGTCGAGACCGCTGATGCTCAAGAGGTCGACTTGCAACAAGAAATGGAAAAATCAAAGAAGGAGCTTAAAGAGAGAGAAGATCGGAAAGCTATCACTAAGGATAAGGACGGTGAGCCTGATAAACCAAGGATGAATGTCAAGGTAAGGTCTAATCGACTTGCAACGATCTCATGTACTGAAAATATGGCAAGGGCGCAAAGCTGGGATCAGTTGCTCGTTCGCGGCACCAGCTTACTACCCTTCTCTCGGAAGCTTATTTCAACAGAGAGGCTCTGGAGGAGAAGATCGCAGAAGGTCGGAGAAACAGAAAAGAGGCAGGGAACAAGTACGGTTTCTGAGCTTGTTCCCCCATACTTATGTGCTTTGGGCGCAATTCACTTGTCATATCACGTAGGCTCGTTGCACAGGGTATGTATTGAATACTATGGACCAGATATCCATGATATGCTTGATCAGTAGACCAGGAGGATGGACAAAAGCGTTACTCTCCACGAGGCTTTCGGGAATATACTGCAGACGAAAAGACTGAAAGCGAGATGTCAAAATGTTTCTCTTACGGAGGACGAAAGCGACTTACGTGTAACACTCTTATTTGCTTCAGAAAGCGCATGTCGCCCCAGTTCACCCGGCAGGAGAAGCTTGGCACTTGTTTGAATTTCACGATGAGAAATGGTCGATCTCTTTGAAAGAATAGCCAGCCCTATGCGCGATGAATAATCCAACCATGAACAACTAGGATGACTTACTGGAAGCCTCATTGGCCAGCCTATCGAACACATCGTTGACAAACGAATTCATGATCGCCATCGCACGGTTCGTAATACCGGAGTTGGGATGAACTTGTTTGAGGACTAGCAGAATATCTGGCTCCATGAACACAAATGTCGGCTTGAGGGCAACTTACCTCGGTAGATATGAACGTTGTAGGTTTCGCGCCTAGTTCTTCTCCTCTTCGGCTTGTGGCGAACTAACTGGCCAGGTCCGAACACCTTTCCACCCCCTCCTCCCTTGCCGCCGTGGCGGAGTGCCCTTGTGGCGTCGTTCGTCATAAATTCGATGGCAGTGCCTACAAACACGTCCTAAGTTGTAGGTACATGTTCTCCGCTTGAACTCACTGGCTCGTTCGCTTGATGATCAAGAAAGTCAGGGATCGCTCTAGCTAATGTGAATGAGCAAAGAGAGCGTTGGGGATGGTGACTGACGCGACGCGTTTATTAGGTCAAGAAGTCCGTAGTCTCCGTCAATTCACGCTAATTTTAGCCCAACAGTACGTACCAATTACAAGCGCTGAGAGCGCTAAGACTCGGAAATCGACACCGATGCAGCAACTTTGGCTATACTCCTGATTTATAATAGCCAGATTCACGACACAGAATCATGATGCTCATGCGAAAGCATCATTGGCAAGCAAAGAAAATAATTGAAATGAGTCCATAGCTTTCATGACATGTTGAGTTCTAGTGGTTAGCTTGCTTCAAGTTCAACTTTGAACTCCAAGCTTAACGTAAGTACTGTTCAACCTGCCAAGACCCCGCCTCCTGTCGATCGTTCTCATATAACGGATTATCACTCGTTCCGAAGTTCCGAATATGCACAGCGAAAACTCGGCTATTTGCATTGCCAGAATGTCTGCCTACCTAGCTATGACACTACATTTTCTACCTCGAGCAGGGCGAGATATGTCAGAGCGAGGAAGCGTGACGATTACCTTGTAAGCAGCTACTTAACTGACAATCGTTATCCGTACGTGATGTACCCAGTCATGCCTACAGTCCCATCATCGTCCGCGCACCATAGGTCGAGTCTGGACTGTGATGTCCATGCGCCATAGAAGGTCATGGGCCGGTCGACAATGACGGGATTCCTTGCACGATACTCGAAAAACTCCGGCTCCCGCGCAGGATTGTGGAAGTTCGCTACCTCTAGTAACATGAGAGCGGTGAGAGGGCCATGCACCAGACGTTCTGAAGACTCGAGGTCAGCGGTGGGTGGTGGCTCCTTCTTCAAGATCATATGCCGTACCTGGGTAACCTTCGTACTTTTGCGCGTAGTCCTTGTCAAGGTGAATATGGTGCCCATTAAATGTCAACGCAGAGAACCGGAATAGCGTAGTCAACGTCGGCGTGAAACCAAAAGAAAAGTTAGGTTTAGGTAGCCCAGAAACTGACAAGCGTCATTTAGCACGGTTTCGTGAAGCAGGCTTAAAGTGTACTACCTCCCCTATTGGCCCGCTTACTACCAGCTGAGGCTAGATAAACGTGGGACCGTTCCTCGGTCAACGAAGGGGTGGTCTGGTCAGCCATGGTTACCTCAATCTTCTGCTTCACAAACACCATAGGAGTGCCCTGGTCGAACCCTTTCTTGTCGATAGCTTCGGTTGTGGATATGGAAGAGGCTTTCTCCCCTACGAGTAGAGGGTTTGATTTATTCCAGCGCATAGAACCACCAGCCCACATTCTACGCGTGAACGGTTCGGGAGGACAGAAGTCAGCATCTGTCCCGTCTGGCCGCAAGGCTGCTTCGGGATTGCGCGGATGGAAGAATGCTAGGTGATGGCCAGGGAGAAGCAAATCCCCACTCCTTGGCAGAGTGGATGGCTTCCTGGTCCCGTCGCGGGTGGGCAGTGTGATGAAAAGGTCTGAGAGGTGCTCCGTCCTGAATGTGTCCTGTAGCTGCAATTTTATGGAGTCTTTTGACCCTATCCATTTGTCCAGAGCCGTCACATCAAAAGAAGAGAAGGACCTCTTGTGGCTCACAAGAGGCCTCAAAGAGTTGGCAGTATGCCGAAGAGTAGACATGGGATAGTGACAACTTCAATACTTCGAGCTCGCTTCCAAGTGTCAGCCGCAAGGACCCGTACAAGATATGTGGCACTCACCTTTGATACAGGTGTGATTGTTCCTGTTGCGGTGAGAAGGACTGTGGCGACGGAACCTGGTAGAGAGTCTCATCGAGCCTGCTTTGACACTCAAGTTAAGCATGCATTCAAGACATCTCGTTGTCCGACAGTCGTCCGATCATAACATACAGTTGCAAGGTATATATAATTGGTTCCCCCTAATCATGACGCACTGTCTTTGCTTAAGTGCTTAACGCCGACAGGACCCCGAAAGAGCCTTCGGATCTATTCGGCCCTGCAGGCATACACCAAGCTACGTCTAGCTCTAGTCCTTCTTTCTACAAACCGCCAAGTAGGTTTTGTACGGATACTCAAAGATGCCCTTCTCTTCATCTATCCATTTCTTATCGTTCCCTCTGTTTAATATGGCCACGATATCGTCCACCACACGCTGCTTCTCGTCGGGAGGAAGCACAGCGATGTAGCTCTTGCTCTGCGCACGGTTCGTGCAGATATCAAGCGAGCCCTCGAGGTGGTATTCCCATTGCTTCTCCTCCGGCGGCTGAAACGAGGCTCCATAAGATGGCGTATCAAAGAGCTTCCGCCAGAGGCCCAGGCGGAACTGCGGCGACCCGGCTTCGTGTTGCTCGATGCGCTCACGCAACTGGGCGCACCAGCGAGCACCATCCCTGTGGCAAGAACCGTCCGTTATGTAGTCAGAGAAAGGCCAAGAGACTTGTCCTAGCATATACACGCACCTATCCTCCAAGTTCCAGATCATGCATGCTGCACCGCCCTTCTTGAGGATACGAGCAAATTCAGCAGCGGCCTTGTCGTAGTCCGGACACCAGTGAAATGCCTATGCACGATCCATATACGTGAGATGATGATATACCGAGGAAAACAGCTTCGAGAGTCCACACCTGGGCAATGACAATGAGGTCGGCCCAGCTATCTTCGACCCCGGTCGTATCAAACGTGCCGTTCTGCACGATAACCCGAGAGTCGGTCACTGTCTTTGAAAATACCTCGCGCATGCCATCGCTCGGTTCAATAGCACGGAGCTCTGATATGCTTGTGGTCCAGCTCGGGTGGGCGAGCAGAGCACGGGTGAAGATGCCTGTGCCAGACCCGATCCTGATGTCCGCAACATTGCGATAACACGTTAACTACGCGGCCTGACGCTGTAGACATCGGAGGTACTTGCTCGACTATGTTGATAGAGGGTGCATTGCTTACGCCTCTGATGTGGGTAAGACTTTCCAAAGGATATGAGGGGCGGGCACTGATGTGGCGACATGTCAATGACGGCGTTAGGCGCAAGGACGCGCCAAGCAAACTGACCGATCGTAGAGTTCATTGGTGCCTTTGCCGAAACCCGTCTGGGCGAGTTGATGAACAGTGATAGATCCTTTCGAAGACATGCCTCGGTACGATAGCGGCGCCCTGTAGACAAAGTGTTGGAGAAACGAGGGACGAGCAAACAAGTATGCGCGAATCTGCATGGCCAGGGCCATTTGCGTAGTAGGCCTCTTGAGTCTAAAGAAGTCCGGGAAAACGACCAACCTGACTCGGACGCGGGGCCACGGAACCCCGGTAAACGCGCTAGCGCTAGACAAAGATAGAATATCTCGACACACATCAGATTCGAAGGGTATTAAAGCTACTGAGCAAATGAACAATGGGATGGGGTGATGAGGCGTAAAAGGTCGTAAAGGTCGTCAACGAAGTAAGTACGGGAGACCAGGGTATACTACACAACGCGCGCTGGGACTGAGCAAGTGTCCCAAGCGGCCCTAAAGATACAGCAGCGATGCAAATGCAGAGTCCGATATGATTGCTTGAAATTGTCCTCCACACACACCTCACTTACACGTCAATAACATCACCAGGAGCAATCCCGAGAGATAGAAGGGTTTCTTCTCCAAGAGCTGACCGCGGCCACGCCGTCTGGTTGAGCTGAGCTTTTGCCTCTGATAGGGTCAGAATGTTCATATGTTCGGGAGTTTCGCCACCGTTCTGAGTTGTTATTAGTGAGCCATCAACAAACTTTTTAGAATCCAATGCGACTCACCACTTGGTCCTCGACCAGTCCACGCGCCATGAAAGCAGCGAGCAGATCACGGGGGAATAGCGTCGGTGCCACTAGCACATGGACCGGCGGCAGGAACGGGCGAGCGTGTTCGACGCGCGCAGAGAGCGCCTAGAGAATTACGGGTTAGTCGGCCCGTGTCATCAACCAAGACGGACGCAGATATCGTAACAAATGGACGCACCTCTGCGGCCTTTACCGCTCGACTGATCCTCTCCCTCTCGCCCCGAGCATCTCGGCCGACGACGACGAATACCTCCCATATGCAATCGAGCACCAACACCACAGTAGCCAACCCCGCCTCCACGTCTCCATCCACGTCTCCATCGTGCGCGTGGCCATTTGTCCGACCGTTGGTGCTGACAGAAGAAACACCAACGGACGACCCATTCCTCGAGTGCCCGCCTGTTGCCTTCCGCTGCAGCACGCGACCAGCAGGCCCACGGACAAACTCGACAAGAGACACTTCCTCCATGTTCGCATAAACATCTTTCGGGACAACCCACGCGCGCGCTTCGACCTCGACGTGGCCCGCAGAGAGCTCGCCGCGCCACCTCCAGTGCGCCGCGTTCGCGTGTTCGCCAAGGCCGAGCACCATCCAGAACAACTCCGCCTCGCCGCCTTCGCGATCGTCGTTAACGCCTTCCTCAATCTCAATCACGTTTGCGCCGAGTCCTGGGATGTCTGAGCTCGCCAGCGACTGCGCGTACGCGAGACCGGCAGTTCGTTCAAGCGCAGGCGAGCCCCGACCCGCCCAGACAAAGACCGAGTCGAGCACGCGCAGAACGGAGGTGTACGCAGAGCAGAGCGATCGCACACCCTAGGTAGAGGTAGACAGGCGCATATATCAGTCAGGAAATATCAAAGTGGAAGCAAAAGAACATACAAGCTCAACCTCGTCAATCACCACAGAGCCGTCCTTTGTCTGCCTCACGACATGCATCGCCGTATCCTCCGCAGACCAATGCGCCCGTGTCCCCTGGCGCACTGCAATGCTTCCACCCAGAACGCCCAAGAACTCGGAGGTCTCTGCACCCTGGCGCATGACTTGCAGAGCAGTGCCGTAACGCCGAGCCATCTCGTTCAGCCGCTTGCCGGCACGGGGTCCACCTGGTGCGCGGTGGCCGACCCAGGCGTACACGGCAGTGCGCACAAGACCCGCAGAGGCAGAGCGCGCTCTATGCACAACCGCCAGCAACTCGGTGTCATAAAAGACCGTAGCGCTCCTTGTCTGCTTCATGCGCACGCCCGTTGGAGAGGATGGAGGAGTATCAGGCAAAGGAATACTAGCAGGCGCGGAGGAACCGTCGCCGATCGAAAGAACCTCGACCGAAACCGTGGTCAAGTCCGTATCGGGAGTGTAAGGCATGTATTCAGTCAGAGGAGAGACGTCTGGAGTTGGGATAGCATCCACATCTATCGGCATAATGTCTTTCAGAAGTCGGAGATTGCTTAACGTTGGATGGCATAGAGATAGTGAACCTGACTCACCGAGCTGGACAATCTCATCCACCGCCTGCTTCAGCGTAGCATCCGCATCCTCTTTCTCAACGCCCTCAGCACCGTCGTCACCCGCCTCCTCGGGCGCACCTCTGCTACCAGACAAAAATCGCTCTGCATCCAGTTCCACGCTCGACATAGCCATCGTCCCCGGCGGCGAGTACCCATCCGTCTCACTATCGCTTTCAGGCAAGGGCGGCATCATAATTGCCGAGTACCGATCATAGCTAGACCTCCGTCGCTCCACTTGCTGTGGCGACATTGGTCTCGACGCGCGCGGTCGCGGGACGGCGCCAGTCGTGCCTGCAGGTACGATATTCGACGTGAGGATGCTCGATGTCGGAGTGGGCAGGCCAGACGGAGTAACAGTGAGTGTCGAGGCGGTGTGCCCAGAGATGGACGAGGCAGAGGCAAGCGTCTCCGGCGGAGTGAGCAGTGGCGAGCGAGGTACAACTGGAGAACTTGGCTGAGATAACGCCAGAGGAGAAGTTGACCGCGGCGCATATGCGTAAGGTGCCGTCAGCAAAGCTGAAGGGGAAGGCGGGGTCCGTGGTGCTGTCAACACGGGTGAAGGAGGCGCTAGAGCCTGCGCCGATCCAGCTGACGCAGCGGAAAGTGAGCTTGCTGCAGACACCGATGCAGAGCTGAGTGCTGATACGGGCGTACTTCTACCCGAAGCTTCGGCCTCCTCCTTCTCAGCTACCTCATTAAACGCTTTAGCGATGTCCATGACAAGCGCACGACTTCCAGTACTTGGTATTCTCGAATGCCGGGCACGCGAAGGGGACGGGGGAATGGTCTCGCGGGATGATTTCTCGCTCTTTGGTGTCGAGGGCCTCTCTGGTGCAGACGGGAACGGGACCGCCCCTTGCGCCGGCGCTGGAGGCGCAGCGGGAGGAGGAATCGCCAACTCAGGGAGCGCCTGCCGATCTGGAGTCGCGGTCGGACGCGGGCGCGCGCCTAGGCCGATGGACGCCTGCCCCGCTCGGCGCTTCGACTTCGCATCTCTTGCATTGCTGGCATCGTCGGGTCTTTTCGCGACCTCCTTCAGCTCATCGAGCTCCTTGGCCTGGGGTGCAGGCGACGTCTGTGTTTGTTGATCGTCGAGGGCAGCCGCCCTGTCCGACTTGTCTGATGTGGGCTCGGGAGTTGCTTCTGCTGCCTCTGCCGTTTCTGTTGCCAACGTCGATCCCGATCGTGATCCTTGGTTGTCTGCATCGGGGCCGTTTGATTCGATGGGCAGTACTGCGGATATTTCTGATTTGCCTTTCCGTGGAGGCTTGCGAGCGCGTTCGCGTGTGGGCTAGAGCGACAAAATCGAATGGATACGGGGGAAGGGCGGGAATGGAAAACACGCCGTAAACGCGTGGCCAGAGCGAAGATCAACGTGTGTGTGAATGATCCATTGTGAGCGCCAGTATTGCGGAGGCAACAGCAAGTCCAAGAAGAGAAATGTGAGATTTGGTGCGACAGGCATAACCACAAAAAAGCAAAGCAAAACAACGGGCACGGAAGAGAGGGGTGAAACCCATCAACCACAGTTTCAAAAACTACTAAAAAGGACGCACATGACTGAGCGGCTGTTTCTCGGGAGTCTTCCTCCCTGCGATGGCCCTCGGCGTTTGCACAGGCGCGTTCGCGTTCCGTACACCCATCTCATCCACGTGCGGTGCAGCTTCAGCTTCAGCTTCTACAGGAGGTGTCGGAGCTTCGACGGAGACGACGGAGGCAGACTCGTCACCAGTCTTTACAGGCTTAATGTACGAAATCAGTGTTTGGGCCGAACCAATTTCGCCATCATCATCGTCCTTTAACTGCGACGTTGTGCTCCTCGCGGATCGGCCAGTGTCGTGCTTCTTGACCTTCTGGGGTTGCCCTTGCCATTGTGCCTGTTTCTGCACCTGCTGCTGCTGCTTTGGCGATGACGGGGTTGAACTGTCGTTAGTCGTGGATGCCCGACTCCTACCCATAGGTTTCGGCGATGCCGCTTCTAGTTTAACGCCGTTCTGGTGCTGGCTGTCATCGGCCGTGTTGCTGCGCGAGCGGCTGATGAGCGCAATTGGTTTAGGTGGCGCAGCTGGTGGGGCGACTTTCTTTTCTGTTACACTGTGAGGCTGCCAACGATCGAGGACAGCGTTGCGTTTCGAAGGCTTTTCCTTGCCCGGCGAGGCAGGAGTGAACGCGGCTGTCTTGGCGGGTGCCGGACTCTTTGTCTTCTGACGTCCTGGCATGCCCTGTCCTTGGCCTTGAAAGAAAGCTTGGATGCCAGCAGGCTGCTTCTGTGAAACGGCCTCGAGTTTGCCGCTTTGCTGGACGATGCTTGCGACGAAACCGCGCCCCTGCAACCTACTTAATGAAGGGGTAGGGTTCTTCTCGGATGAAGCAGCAGGCGGCTTCAAAAAGGCGGGGGAGAGGCCGCGCTGCGGTTGTGGAGAGAACGGCTTAGATGAGCTTGAGTTGGCGTTGGCATTGGTGGGCGAAGATGTGCTCTGCCCGAGGCTAGATGTCGGAGATATGGACGCAGGAGCGGTATGTTCAGGAGACTTGGGTGGGGGAGTCGGAGCAGAAGTGAGCGAGGGCTTGGTCCTAGTAGGTCCGGAGACAGAAGAAGCTGCATGCTTCTGGCGTGACCATGGACGGGGAGGTGGGGTACCTGGTGCCGGTGAGGAAGCAGGCGGGAGCATAGATGCGGGTCGCGATGCTTTGGCTGGCGAAGGGAACGATGCTGACGATTGTGAGAGTGAAGGAGATGCAAGGCTTCCAGCGGGAGTGCTGATCCTGCGCTCGCGCTTTGAGCCAAGAGGTGAGCCAGGTTTGTGAGACTGCGCCTGTCCTTCGAGGCGCTCAACATAGCGTTGCGCGACCGACGATGTACTCTGTGTGCGTTGTCTCGTTGGTGTCTTACTTGCTAGTGCTTCGACTCTTGAATTGGCTGCACGAATCACAGGTGTTCCGCCCCGAGAGGAAGGTGTCTCGGTTGGTGAATCAGTATCTGTGGATGCGGGAACACCACGGCCATTCATTCCAGGCATGGCAATGCCTCCTTTGCCGAAGACGGGATGGATGGCATCTTCTGAGCTGCGCCCATCGTGCATCGCGCTTGGATCAGCTTGTGGAGCATGCTTATTGAGACGTGGTCCGGTGGCGTTGCCTCCCACGAATGCTGCAAGAGATAATGGAGGTTTGCTAGATGATGGCGACGTTGAAGCAGTCCGACTGGGAGGCCTCCACGATGGCCTGGGTGCAGATGGAGAGGGTGGAGTGGGTCTGGACCGGGAAGCAGGTCTGGCGATGGGATCAGGAGTGGTTACCCTCCCATTGCTGATGATGGGTGGGGGTTTGGGACTGTCGGTTAGTCGTGGACTGGCCTCGGGGGTTGCGGCCTTGGATGCGTGGTCGTGGTCCGGGTCATCTGCGCCAATGATGTGAGCAGGGTTGTTCGATAGCCTGTGAACAAAAGATGTACCGAGATTGCTATCGTGCACGCCGACCCCAAAGTCGCCGCTCTGGCCTGTGCGGCTCCTGCGCATGCGTGCGAGTCTGGCGCGGGCGATCTCGTCCTCGAGACGACGCTGCTCTGCTTCGTCATCGGCGTCGACCTGGGCCTGCATGGCCCTTATGCGTGTTGTCCACTCTGCGAGACCTGAGTCGTTGATTGTGGATGGATGCGTGGATGGGGAGGGGAGGTCGAAGCGGGAGGGGCGGGTTGGGTGAGTCCCTGGGTGTGACATCGTCCACGGGTCGTGCACAGACATTCATCGATCCAAGGACGGTCCCAGTTGGCGGATGCTGGTCGAGTGACCTCACCACCTTATCACAACCCCAAGCCTCCGAGTGTGGGAACTGTCCCGTGTGCTTGGCCGGTGATTGGCCTCTACATCCCGGAATCTCGGCACAGCCCTTCCACTCCCTCCGCCGCCATGTCCAAACAAGGCTCACTCTACTAACTAACTAACCCATATTGACCGTCCGTTTACCTCGCTCGCATTTGCCTACGTCCATCTCTCTTTCGCCCAATTTCGATCCTTTCTTCAGTGCAGATGCAGTCGGCTGCCCCTCGCGAAATCAATGTCCTAGCCAATCACTCAGTCCTCAATCTCAGCTTCGACGACGACTCGTTATGCGTCCAGCCTAGTCCACTCGACCATGCTCCGGAAGTGGGCTGCTGCTCTGCATTCTTCTCCAGGAAGCCACGCATAACACACACTCGGGTCCCAATACGACAAGTCATCGACGCTCACTGCTCTGAACGCACTCTGCATTTGACCTATGTCGACCGAAACCATCCGAAAACGCCGATGGAACTGCGGCACCTCACTAGCACGGTCATTGAGGAGGAACAATCATCGCTCATGAGCTGGTCTGAAGCGCTGATGGAACTTGCATATGCCGGTCCGTTTTGTTTCTTGTCTGTCAAAAGTAGCAGCTCACAGCGTGACGCTTTCAGGTGTACACCGTAACCGATACCTGCGTGTCATCATCAATCCCTTTGGCGGACCTGTACGTCCAGGAATTATAATCGCTTTCGTCCACTTTGTAACACTGTCCTGTAGGGTAAAGCTAAATCTATATATACCAAGAAAGTCGAGCCCATACTCGCCGCTGGCGGCTGCTCCCTCGATGTAACTTGTGAGCGCCTCTGTTAGTAGCGCCAGCAAACTGCATCTCACTCGGCTCAGATACCACGCACCGGTATCATGCTCAAGAACTCGCCCGAGACATAAGTCTCAAGTATGACGCAGTGATCGTCGTCTCCGGAGATGGCGTCGTTCACGAAGTCATCAATGGCCTCGCTCAACACAACAATCCAGAGAAGGCATTCTGTATTCCCGTTGTACCAATACCCGCTGGGTCGGCTAATGCACTATCACTGAATATCCTGGGCCTCAAGGTTGGTCATCACGACATTCTATGGCGAGCGATCCACATGTTTTCTCTTAGGACGGGCTTGACCCATGTGCTGCCGCATTGAACGCGCTCAAGGGTGAGCGCAGCCTTGCTCGTGGCTCGATGGTGCTGACCATTGGATGTGTACTTTCGTAAGGCAAACAGATGAAGCTTGACCTCTTCTCTCTGAATATGCACGATGAGAAGAGATTCGCTTTCCTGTCGCATGCACTTGGCCTCATGGCCGAACTGGACAGAAACACGGAGCCACTTCGTTGGATGGGCGACATTCGGTTCATGCTAGGGTTCCTGTACGAAGGTAGTCATTTGATCTCGGTCAACGTGCGGTCCGTCTAAGCGTGGTATATGGTACAGTGGCTCGTTTGAAGACATGTCCCATCCAATTGTCCATCAAGGTCGTCGATGATGACAAGCAGAGGATGGTCGACGCAGCGAACGCTAGGAATTCTTTGACGCAGCAGTGGTCACCCGAGCCCATTGATGACAAGGGCGTCTCGGCCGATGAAGGGAAATGGGTTGATTTTCAGAATCCTATCATCTATATGTATGCTGGCAAGGGTCCTTTCATGAGTCGGTGAGTGATCATTAACACACGCTAAGCTATATAATATGCACTGACATGCATGGATAGGACGCTTATGCAGTTCCCTGCTTCAATGCCGGACGACGGTCTCATTGACATTGTCCTACAGGAAGTGGTCAGTTTTATGAAGTTATGCAAAGTATTAAGCTCTCGAAACTAACGATATTAGATTCCACGCAAGTCTCTCATTGACGCCATAGACATAGCGGAAGAGGGTGGGCTGTTCTGGACGAAAGAGGTGTGCCCGTTTTGTTAAAGTTACATCTCCACATGCTCACTCGGGTGCAGACCCACTATGTCAAAGCTTCGGCCTATAGAGTCAAGGCATTGGAACCGAGTTACTTCCTGATGGTTGATGGGGAGGAGGTTATCTTTGACGAGTTTACCGTCGAAGTTCACCCACGGATGGCCACAGTGCTCAGCCCATATGGGTGTTATCCACGGGAATTTAAGCTTCCGAATCCTGAAGATAAGTCTCATTAACAAGTAGCCTGTCAACTTTTATATCTTTACTGTAGCCACCCCCTCCGCGTGCTGTGATATAATGTACTTGGAAACTTTTCCTAGTCCCTTTTTACCACCTTTCTAAATATTAGATCGCTCGGAGGCTTTAGGCTCCATTTTGACGCTGGAACGCGTTTTGACATCTGTCTTAATCACGTGAGAGTAATTAAACGCGGGTGCGTCAGTGCACGTGCCTTCGTTGAATGGGATCGGACATTGAATTTAACTTGTACCCTTCATAAAGCCAAGCGCACGAATGAAAGTCGTGCACCGTCTCTTTCACTTGCCCTCCCATCCCTCGGCCCTCTCGCCTCATTTCACTACCAGATTAACCAGGTGCGTGGACTACACATGCTTGCTTGTAAAAGGTTGTTCAAGTAACGCGTAATTCAGGCTTTAACACCACACTCTACCAATGGCTCCCAAAGTACGCTTATTTGCCTAATAAGCTTGGTCCTGTGCTTAACTGTCGCTTTTTAGCCTGCTTCTACTGCTGGCAAGGCCCCTGCTTCCACTGCCTCCAAGGCCCCCGCTCAGGACAAGGCTGCTAAGAAGACCGCATCTAAGTCGCAAGCTGCTGACGGCGACAAGAAGAAGCAGCGCCGGAAGACTCGCAAGGAGACGTACAGCTCTTACATCTACAAGGGTATGTCTCTGTAGTCTTCGTAGTGTCGGCCATGACTGAGTATGGTGGCATTATAGTGTTGAAGCAGGTCCACCCTGACACGGGTATCTCCAACAAAGCCATGGCCATCCTCAACTCCTTTGTCAACGATATCTTCGAGCGTATAGCTTCCGAGGCATCGAGTGAGTCCCTCGCTATGACTTTGAAATTTCCCTCATAGGTCCTGACCATACGCTCAGAACTCGCTGCTTACTCGAAGAAGTCGACCATCTCGTCGCGTGAGATCCAAACATCCGTGCGACTGATTCTTCCTGGTGAACTCGCCAAGCACGCTATCTCGGAGGGCACCAAATCTGTTACTAGTGCGTGTCTTTATATTCTTGCTCATGCCAGGCATAGTCTGACATGTATTTGCAGAGTTTTCTGCCGGGTCCAAATAGATAATTCTACTTGTATTGTATCTCTTTACTGTATTGTTCTGGTTACCCCTCGTATTCAGCCTATTCCCTCAGACCTTTATCATGCTGAGTCAATTGACTATTGAGCCGATCAGTTGCACAACCTGTAGATCAGTTGTACAACTGGTAAGCTGTCTGGAGTAGTGAGGTCGAAAGACTTGATGAAAATGCCGACACGACTGGGAGCTGTCAAAGAAAGCCCAGGTTGATCAGAGCGCGAAAGCCAAGAAATCGCGTCCAGGTGGCGGAAGCATAGTCCTGAGCTCGATTCTCAGCGTGGTGGGGTATTGGTTGAAGTTTGCTTATTGATTACGATGGTTCAGCTCTTATTGCAGTCTGCTATAGCTTGGTGATCAGAAGGTAGGGCCGCCTGGAAGAATAGACGCGTTAAACGCTGAGACCCACGCGCTGCGTCACTGCAATGACATCGCGGTTTGACTGGAGGGTGCCCGACGCTATGCAATCAATAAGGACGCCACTTGTCCCTTAACAGCGCCGTAGATGACTGTTTGCAGCAAACTGGATGAAGGCGCCCGAGCTCCTCGGGAGGCTATGTCATACAGTAGTAGCTGTGATCTGCTGTGATGTCTCGGCGGGTGTTTCGTCGGATCGAAAAGTGATTTGGCATGCAAATGTATGGGATCAAAAGTTTATGAGCGGCGGGCGGCCTGTGGAGCTGGAAGGTCAGGCCTGGTCGGGCCTTCAGGCACCTCGCGCGTGGCTTTGTGTCCACTCGTGCCGCTACTTTGTCGTCGCCGAATTCCTACGTGTTCTTTTGGCGCCATTAACGGATATTGGGTGATGTGAGAAGAAGCGGTGAGCTTCCTATTCATTCGCGGACATTGCTGCCTTGTGCTGCGAACGGTCGAGCATACGAGTGCTGGCTGTCGATACGAATGAGCAAGCGAAGATGGCGTCGGCTAAGCGTCCCCGGAAGTGGTAGGGGCTGGTATAAGGACGTGCGGCTATCGCGGGCGAATTTCGAAAAGCTGGACCCTGCAGATCATCGAGTGTCTCCGATTAGTCAGCACCTGATTGAGCGGCAGAAACGGTCGGTCGGGCTGTGTGTGTTCTTGCCGCCGACTGCCTCTGGCACGCAGCCTCCTACCTCCCCTTCTTCCCTCCGCCCACGACACCCGCCCCGCGATACCTGCTGCTATTTACCTGCTTGCTGTACGTCCAGCCATTCTCTTTTCTTTGTCATCGCCGCCGAAACCAGCATCTCAGGGACACTATCGCCGTCACAATTCGTTCCCAAGACGCGTCCTCCAGCTCGGCATTTCTCTTCCACTAGCTTTGGTATCGTCTGCACGCTCGCAAGTGTCTCTGTATCTTCACCGAGTCGTTATTCGCCGCCCTCTGGCCTCCCTGTAAACGGCCGTCTCTCTGTCTTTGTCCTCGGACGCCGTTTTAACACGCTCGGCCGATTCCATCATTGATGGCAGCAGCTACTATCTCCTCACTGAATCCACAATCGCTCGACTCACTCGCCTCTAAATCGTCATCACCCACGTCGTCTACCACAGAGACCACTCCCGCAGACCAAACCCTCTCGTCCTCTCGTTCGTTCATCAACTTGAGCTCTCCTCCCCGCTCACATTACCCTTTCCCCACCGCCTCCATGTCCAGCACTGGTTCCACCATCCTCGACCCCCCTCATGGTCAACCCTTTGCAGACTACCTGCGAACATGGTCGGACTCGCATGTCGCGCGATGGCTCACCGAAATCAAGTGCAGCGCCCATACGAACAAATTTAGAGACAACGATATCCGCGGCGATGTTTTGCTCGAGATCGATCAGGATACCCTCAAGGAGATGGGCATACATAGTGTTGGGGATCGACTCAGGATAGTGAATGGTGTCAAGGCTCTCAGGCAGAGATGCTCGTCGAGAAGTACCCTCGCTGACCCCTTCCGAGCTCGCCTTCTTTCCGACTCGGGTCGCGATGTTCCTGGAGTCAATGGGGTCGATGGATCTCATTCGCGCAGCAGCTCTAGGGATGACTCGCGTGATTCGTCGCCCAATTCTCGGGTTAATGCTCGCAGGTTAGAGAGCGTCAGGCCGGCTCCTCTGGTGTTGTCATCCAACACGGCCCGTAACGACCTTCCTCGGCTCATACGAGAGCCTGGCTCGGGAGACTCTCGTGAATCGTCACGAACTACGCCGCCTCCCATCCGCCCACTGCCCCAGCCCGCGCCCAGTAGCTTCAGCAATTTCTCCAGTGGCTCCACGTCGCGACCTCAGCTTCCTCCCCTACCCCCTGCGCCTCGGGGTCAACCACCTCAGCCACCGACTGGACGTGCCAATACCCGTTTCCATCCTCTCTCAGGGCCGCGTGCGCGAACGCCAAACCAAGCGGATGCTACTCCGTTCGCAAATTCACCTCTTCCTCCCGCTCCGAGTCAGGGCATACTGACGCCTCAGTCTAGCACTCCACAGACTGGAGGATGGGCAGCATATGGCTTGCCATCTGACCCTCGCGCGGGTATGAAGCAGCCACAAGTGCGTTCTCCCTCTCCACTTGGTTCTGGCGCTCCAGCTCGATCCAATGCTGCTCATAATCGGAACATCTCGTTTGGCGGTGTGAGCTCGCCGTTGTCTAGCACGCCGACCGGGAAGTTACCGCCCCGGCCATCGACGACTGGTAACAACAGCCACCCATACGCATCAGCTCAGCCTTCACCTCAGCTTCAACCACAGCCTTCAACTTCCCAGACACTCCATCCCGGTTCCAATCAGAACCAGCCTATTTTATCTCCCATCGCCGAATCATTCGCGTCCACCAACAGCTCGTCCCCTGGTTCCTCTTCGCCCCCTACTGGATTCTCTGTTCGGCGTGGCCCCTTCAACCCCGCCTCTCATATCAATAACCCCTCTGATGCGCGCCACAAGCTCATCAAATTCGTGCTACCTGACGAAGGGCGGTCCGCTGTTGTTGATGTTGCAGACTGTTTCGGAGGTGTTGAGGTGATGGAGAAAGTTCTGCGCAAGTTCGATAAGCTCTCTTCTAGAAAGAATGACTCGAATATCATGAGCCGTGTTGAGACCGATGAGGGTGGTTTGAGTGTGGACGGATGGAGCGTATGCCTGGAGTACGAAGATAATCATGATAGTGAGTGGTGCCCTTCTCTAACTCTTGTTGGGTAGCTGACGGCTGGTTTCTAGTTCAAGCCCTGTCCGAAGCTGAGCTGCTTGCTATCTGTCACAGTCCGATTGACGAGATTATGAAAGACCACGGCCTCTATCTACGTAAGACAGGTCGTGGAAAGCGTTCAAAGGCGCTTGCGCGCATATTTGGAGAGGAAGTGCCAGCACCCATACCAAGGAATGTCAGCCCGACGTCTCCAGCCGTTCCATCTAGACCATCGCCGTCGGCTGACGATGATGATACACCCCTGTCTGCATTCAACTTGCCAGACAGTATGGGCCGGTCGAAAGCAATCAAGCGCGCAAGCACGATCAGCATTCTCAGTGGTCTGGGTGTTCGCGATCCGGAGAAGGCGCTTGAGTCTCCGCCGTCCCCGTCGATACCAGCGTCGGCGACACTCACTACGCCCGTAGCGGCGAAGAAGCCATCTAAGCTCCGGAACTTCTTTGGACAACGGCCACCGAGCGAGCTCATCACGAACCATCTCACCGAGTACTTCCCCCTCGCCGAGAAGAAGGCCCTGCGCACGGCGCGGCATAGCATGATGCTTCGTTCGTCGAGTGTCCATGGCAAGCGAGATAGTACGATATCCATGAATCCGCCTCTTCCTTCGAGATTCAGCATCAGTACCCAAGGCTCGGGGTCTCAGCGACGGTCTTCGTCTCCTACTAGAACTAACAGGAACTCTATGGCTTCGAGTACTTCGATTTTTCCCGACAGATCCATCAGAGACAGCCAGGAGCACGTACTTGACGAGCCACCACGACTGTCTGTGTCCAACGAGGACGGCCGCTCGGTGATCTTGACCGGTGACGACGTCGACAAGTTGTCGACGACAGACAAGCAACCGCAGCTACCTCCTGTCGCGTTCCCGACGGAGTCGCTTTCCGAGTCCATGGAGGATCTCACCGCGCCCGACCCGTCGAAAGCGGTCTCCCGCACGAGCTCGAACGCGTCTCGGCGAACGAGCCACCTGTCTGAGCTGCGCAGCAAGCGGGATAAGTCTGACACTGCTAGCTTGCTTACCGTCGATGAGATCACTGCGGAGGTTGAGAACCGGCGGCAGAGCATGGCGGTGGATATGGGAGTGGAAGGTGCTGAGGACTGGACTAAGGTGGAGCCGGATATTGACGAGATGTCGGAGTATATGGAGGCCGAGCTGGAAGAGGAGGATGAGGAGGAAGAGGAGGAGGAAGAGGAGGGAGAGGAAGAGGAGGAGGAGGTGGGACAGACTATGACGTCTGAGACTGGTAAGTTACGTGCGCATGTGCGCTCACTTTTCTTGATCTTGATTTTCTTGAAGGCACGAAGTGGATCAAAGGAGCACTCATTGGCGCTGGCTCGTTTGGCAAAGTTTATCTGGGAATGGACGCCGAAAACGGCTTGCTGATGGCTGTGAAGCAAGTAGAGCTTCCGAAGGGAACTGCACCGAACGAGGCACGAAAAAAGAGCATGCTCGATGCTTTGGAGCGAGAAATCGACCTTTTGAAGGAACTGCAGCACCCAAATATCGTGCAGTATCTTTGTGAGTTCAAAGGGTAGCCGTGCCATCGTTGAAGGGCCTCAATGCTGCTCTTACAGACTCTTCAAACGACGACGACTATCTGAATATCTTCCTCGAATACGTGCCTGGAGGGTCCGTGGCGGCGTTGTTGCGCAGCTATGGTGCTTTTGAGGAGCCCCTGGTCAAGAACTTCGTTCGTCAAATTCTCCAAGGCCTCAACTACCTTCACGAGCGGGACATTGTCCATCGGGACATCAAGGGTGCCAACATCCTCGTTGACAACAAGGGCGGTGTCAAGATCTCCGACTTTGGCATCTCAAAGAAAGTCGTCGAAGGCAGTACGTGCATTTGTGTGTTGGCTCTACTGGCGCATTGCTCATGGAGTTGTTCATTAGATCTCCTCACTACCAAGCGGAATCGCACCTCGCTCCAAGGTTCCGTGTTCTGGATGGCTCCAGAGGTGGTCAAGCAGACCGCGCATACTAATAAGGCAGATATATGGAGTGTTGGATGCCTTGTCGTTGAGATGTTGACTGGCGAACATCCTTGGTCTCAGCTCACACAAATGCAGGCCATCTTTAAGGCATGTTTTTCTTTGGATCAGCTGTCCCTCTTTCAGCGTAACTAACAAGCAAATAGATCGGTCAATCTATCAAACCCACAATCCCTTCTGACATTAGCGCTGATGCGCAAGACTTCCTGGCGAAGGCATTCGATTTGGACCATACAGCCCGTCCCAGCGCTACCGAATTCCTTCAGCACCCATGGCTGGCTGCCAAGAAGTCCAAAGCGCCAGCACGGGTCTGATGGCTGACGTTACCCTCATCATTGTGGCCGAGGTCACTGCAGAGATACCCAGAGTACTTTTGGTTGCGTATCTATTCGGACTCCCATTCTCGTCACTCCTCTGCATCACTGTACGATCATTGCACTGCAAACACCGTCACTATCTCCACGCAATACTAGTTATTTTCATCACGCTTCCTTTTGACGCCTTTCTGTGCTTTTGAACCAGGACCCCAGTTTGCAGTCGGATTCTCTTGATACCGCACTAGTTTTACTGCTGAGGCCCTTGTCATTGAGTCGGGATGTCGGGTAAAGTTTGCCTCGGCCCTAGGATAGATCAGTCAATTTGCGCCCTCGCGAACAACGACAAGTGTCATACCTGGGCTCCTTGTTCAGCAAACGACGAGCAGGGGACTGGTCACTGATCTTGTCCATTTTCACCGGATGCGTTTTCACCCAGGATCTGAAGACGTCGTGCACATCTTCACGTGTGGCCGAGGTTTTCAGAGAGCCTGCACATGCATGCGACCTTGACACCTGGTGGCCGGCATGAAGTAGCGCAGACCTGGGAAAGTTCAGAGTGAGCTCGAAAGCACTCAGCCGACAATGTCAAACAACGCACGCGACATCGTCAAGCGGTGGGCAAACACAGTGGAAGAAACTCGAAACACGGGACGGCGTGAAATAGAAAGGGTCATTCAACTCCTATAAGCGTAACGATCAGCTTGTGTTCACAATTTCCCTCTTTTGTGTTCCCATACCTCACTTGCCACGGTCAGCATGCCTTTCATACGTGTTGATGTACCATAGTTTTCAGGGTTTTGATCGACATGCTCGATCACCGATTTGACGAAGTCAGTTTCATGGATCGGGCCTGACCACAAGGGACCTGCAATCTGTAAACGTTCATGAGCTAGCTACAGAGCAGGGCCGGCCACCGAACGCACGTGAAGCGCAGATCCACATTCAGAGCACCGGGACGAAGTCGGCGGACCACTGTGCGTCTTGAACAAGTAATTTGTGTTGCCTGCTGTTGACGTCTGTTCGATCATGCGACCAAGAGGCTGCTCGTACGGAGTCTGACATCCCACACATACGTAGTACATGGCGGTTTTACTAGATGCTTTTTTGACTTCGATAGGCGCGGACTTTATCCGTATGAAAAGGCGGACGTAGAAATCGATGGAGAGAGATAGGAGAGGCTCGATGTAGCGACCGTACCGGCCAGCAGCAGTCGAGACGGAGTGCAGCACTAGACGTAAGGCCTGGCTGAGGACTAAGGCACCCGGAAGGCGACGTTGTAGACAGGACTCACAGCTTCGTGACAGTACTCAGCCTTGACAGGGATACCACCATAGTTCGAATAGCTTCAAAATAGGTGAGTCAATGGCCCACTTATGTCTGGGCTGACTTTACCATTTCTCGGGGTAATTTGTAGTAGCCAAAACCGCAAGATCGGTGCAGGTGACGCACATCAGGCCTATGAACGGGAGTCAAGCCGAATGTTTAGCACCAAGATACCATTGTTAGCTCACCGCCATCCTCTATGCACTGAACCGCTCCATCAATGAAAGGTGCAGCGGTGCCGTACGGGTCCAGGTCTACCACGTCAACCCTGCTTTTCTCGGCACGGTGGTTATACATGAGCGCACTGGACGAAACGCGTCAGTCAAATGTCACACCGTCAGTCGCGCAAGCTCATACCAAGCATCCCCTTCGTTTATTTTGATCTTGCCGTAAGGTGACGATGACGGGATAGGGTCAGGTTTTGTAGCCGAAGCACCGTTCGAGTGCGCAACTTCTTCGATCCCATTGACCTGTATATTCCGCCTGATGGCTGCTGTAGCCGTCTCGGAGAGATCATTCGCGATGACATGTCTTTGGTCAATGTTAGCATTGGTCGATAGGTCCCAACGACTGCGATGCACGTACTTGACCAGCGGGATCTCCTTTGCGTAGCGGATGGATCTCAAGCCGGTTGCAGAGAGCGCCTCAAGGAGAGTAAACCTATACGGCCGATACTACACAGAACGTCAGGACGCAACGCACATGTAGTCTTAACGCAATACCTGCCTCTCTTGGTGAAGCCTCCTGCGGCAAAGAAGGACCGGTCTGTAGCTGCTCGTTCTCGCCGTGTTCCGGCGTGCCAGCGGCGTCGACTGCAGCAGAATAGGGTCAAAGCGGTCTGAGGAAACGCGACCGAGCGCATATGACCAGCCTACTCACTTCTCGCCTTCTTCGTTTCCCCTTTGCGCGCCCTCTTCTCCTGTGCGCGCCTCCACACCTCTTCTTTCTCTTTGTCGAGACGTTCGCTCCAGGTCCTGATGCACGCGATGCTGAGGTCGCGGTTGAACTCCTGCACGGGGTTGAGGAAGGCCTCTTCCTTGGACGCGATGAGGATATGGGCCGTGTTTTCCGTGTGCAGTGAATACCCCTCGGGTACCGTGACTTGAGGTTCGGCGGGGCTTGCCATGCTGGACAAACTCCTAAACCGGGACGAGTAGTAATGTGTCTTTCTGACTTGGGTGTGAACGAGGGCAAGGCAGCGAAGCCTGCTCGAACAGAAGCGGATTGCAGATGACAGGTTGTGAGCGAAGACTCGCGCGTGACTCGACGCGCGATACTCGAAGCTTGGTGGAGTTCAGTTGTTCAGTACGTTCAGTTACCGTAGCAGTAGCAAGATATATTAGCCGCGTCGGGCGCATGTTCGCGCCATGGCCAGGGTCGATATCTTCCACTATATGACAGACCCAACCAAAAGTGCAAAGAGGGATTCTCAGACAGTGGAATTTAAGGCGGTATCCGCGAATGTCTAGCTGCAAAGTGAGTGGTGGGGGAAAGTTACACATGTAGATCGATGTCTGGCAGCTGCGACGAATATACTAAGAAAAGTTGTCGATTACAGTACGTGCTGTCCTCCAAATAAAAAGGGTATATACACCAGCCCGAATATGCAAAAAATGCTACAGTACGTATCGGATCGAGCATCGTGTATTAATACTCAAACTCCTCTGACACAAGGGCGACTGATCCCCGCAGGTCGCCCTTCCTAATCCGAGCTGGGTCTATCTGGCTAGCGATGGTTTTCCGCACCATGGCGTTCAGTGAGGTCGGCCCGCAGCCTAATTCCAGACATAAGTAAGCAAGCTCGACCAATGCTCAACTGGCGGTCACTTACAGGCAACAACAACTTGCCCTCGAGACTGTTCGACCTCATCTGCCAAAATGCGATTCAACTTCGGCTTTCCTGGTCGCGCATGTTCAGAGACGATGTTGAGGTCCATGGCTTCCGAGCTGTCTATCGAAAAGCGTTTGGCATTGATCGGAGAGATCGAGTCGTCGGAGGGCTGCCCAAGATGCCTTGTCTCGGAGTTCGATGAATGAGGCGAGGGAGAGAGGGGCGACAACTTCATGGGGGGAGTCGCGGACTGGAGATGTGCATCGGACGGCGCCAGTGTTGACAAAACAGACCTCCTTGATTTCCGCCAAGGGTTTTCAGAGGCTGCAGGAGTCACCAGTGTTTCCATTGGTGAAGTCAAGTCTATTTCTGAGGCTGTCGACTTGTGCGCGTCCGCGAGAGGATGGTCAGGTAATGGAAGTGGCGGGACAGGTGGGACAGTTTCATTGTTGGTCCATGATGAGACGGCCGACAAAGCAGAAAGTCGTTTCGCATGGCGCACCGGGTAGTTGGCTTGAGCTTCGTCGGTTGCACCACGTCTATCACCTCGAGGTTTTCGTCCAGATCTCCCAATAGTAGCACGTCGAGAGTTGGCTCTTCGCAACTTGCCCTCCTTGCGCAACTTTTGACTGAGGTCTTTTTCGACGTGAGTCACGATGTCGTGGTCACCATCGAACTCAGTGAGCTCAAGGATGTTATCCTCGTGCGCAAGGGCTGGATCTTCAGTTTGCCAAGGCTCTGGTTCGTCCTCGTATTGGCCACTATAGTAGCTAAGATCGACATCACTTTCCCCAGATTCGTCGTGACTCTCGAATGAATCTACGGAATGACTGCGCGAACGACTGCCGCCGCGCCTGAATCCGGGTTTGGGAGGCGCAAGTTCCGCCACATTAGAGTCATTAGAGAAACGGATGTGGGGCACCTGGGATGGGTCCGGTTTAGGCGCAATGGGCCTAAAGTTAGTTACGTAAATATCGATCTGTATTGCTTCTGGGGGCAGCATGTTCAAGCAGGTCCTGATCACGGATGCTCCCCATTGTATGTGCGCTAGGATCAAACATGAGCAGTGAACGCTCGTCATAACGAGGTAACACTTACCAAACTCGCGAACTAACCAGACAAACCGAATCCGCTGAGTGACAGCTACTTTCTTCCCCCATCCACCCGCGTGACTACCCAAAGTCGTTCCATCACGTCCTGAGAGACATAGGCAGACGTACTGAAGAACAGCTAGTCCGAAGCTAACCCCAGATCCACCTACTACCACTAACACTGTTGAGTAGTTTCCCCACCGGGCCCTTATGGAACTGCCAAATGGACCATCCACGTTAGCCTTGAGCAGGACGCCACGAGGGGGACGATCTTGTCCGTGCATAGGCGGATGCTCGCCGGGTGGGTGCACAGCACCTCGATCTACCATACTTGTCACAGCATTGAAGAGATCCAAAGTCCACCCTCCCTTGGCACGGATCAATAAGACAATTACGCGACCTGAATCGCAGCTTGACGATTCGTCACAGATGGAGGCAGTCGTGAACGGATGGGAAGTAAACTTAGATATATGAGGTATATGAATGAGGAAATGTTGACCCGGCGCCCACGGTAGGTAGCCAGGAGTGATGAGTCGAAGGCGTACGGTCCGACCAGCTAAAAGCTCAGCTTGTGCGTAGCCTGGAGGCGGAAGATACGGTGCGCTAACGTGATCGAGGTTAAAGGTCGATGCAGTAGGGCTGTAGGCATGCCGCGGGAGCGTTCCTATCGACGCCCGAGAACCCGCGGTGAAGTCTCCTGAGCCTGGGCGAGCCGTGTATGGCGATTCGTAATACTGCCCAAGTGGACTACCTGATCGCAAAGACTGGGTGTCAAGTTGTAGACGAGGAGGAGGGAGAACCTCCGCGTTATTGAGGTGCTTCATTTCCAAAGAATTCTGCCCTTGGTGCTCAGGCAAGAGGGTCTTTGGAGGCTGCGAAGCCAGTCGAGGAGCTGAGGAGCTGAGGCCCGGGACGTAGCCATTACTGTAGACCCACCGGGTTGCGCGCCACAACCGTTCACCCATCCATAAGGCGAGTGCAGCCCAGCACCAATACCATAACGTAGGATGATGCAACGCAGCAAAAACGAGCGTGGAAGGAACGAGCAAGAGGTGAAGAGCATAAAACACCTCGTAATATCTTCTACGAATGGGATGAATTGACAAGGCAATGAGGACAGTCAACAAGCCAAAGGCCTACGAGGAGGACGAGCTTTAGGTCATGAAAATTCATGCGAATCAGAGACTTACTGTCCATCCAAGAATGAACGGTTCGTATAACCATGCATACACATACACTATGGAACCGTGGGTGGATCTATGGTCCAACGCGAGCTGAACACTCCATAAGGCGACATGGAGGAACGTGAGCAACCAGATGAGCCTGCCCGACCATCTGTGTAGCCATGCTAATTTGTCGAAAAAGAGCTGTATCATGAAAGGAATGGCAAATATTGCGAACGGAGGTGCCTTGAGGGCAAAGAGTACGCAGAGTGGAAAGAGGGCGAATGCGATCTGGCCTGAGCGTGCAGCTGAGGTCCACCATGCCTTGTCGATCTGATACGTTGCTTGGTACTGCTCAAAAGTCGAGGCATCATAAAGAGCGGACAAACGACGAGAGACGGCTGAATCTGTGGCATCATGGTAGACCTGCCAGACCTTCTCGTGGGGATCGACGTAGTCGGGACCGACATAAGCCAACGCACAAGACGCAACGAAGAGGATGGCGAGGGAGAGCAGCTGTGCGTTGGAAGGGAGGGATACGGGCTGACGATGCGGTTCGTTGCGTTTGCGGGCGACCGCGGCATTGTGCTTCTTGCGCCATGTCCGACGCCGGAGAGACCATTTGGTCCATGACGCGCCAACAAACCCACCACGGGAACCAGTCCAGTGGAGGACGGCGAATACACAGAAGATGAAGACAACGGCGATCCAGAGAAGGAAGGAGTAGCGTTTACTAGGAGGGCTGAGGGAGTGGATGGTGAGGTAAGCGGTGATCCATTCGCGATCATTAGAGATTGGAGGTGTAGTAGGATTGACGGGGTGCGCGGTGGAAGAGGAAGATGTAGGCATGTTGGTCACTCATGCGATGCAGCCACTGCGGGCCCTACTACGACTACAGGAGGGGTAGAAGGCGGATTGAATCGGGGACCGCGCAGGTTAGAACCTTGGGGAATGGGAAGGCTGAGCTCCTTGCGGCTAGACAAATGCTTGTTTCTGAGGGACCGACACCGGCGGCCATGGCAAGACCGCAGCGGAAATATCCTTCACGTTGGCACGTCGCAAGAATTTGGAGCGTCGGGCCATCTCAGACTTCCTCGGCTTCCGACTTGCCGTCACCAAGCCGTTGCAGATCCCTACAGTATTGATAGATATGCAAGGCTCATCACATTGTCACATCCGGTCGTTACCGGCCCATAACGGCACCATTATGACACATCTATGGTAATGATAATATTCAATATTGATATCCTTCCAGTCAGTACAAAACTCGGTACAAAATACGACAGCCTGCTACTATGTATCCAACATCAACAATATGCGTATAGCTCATTCGACCGTTTGGCCAGAGAGGACCTGTCAATTGCAACAGTGCATCAGCCCTGCGATCAACCCGGATAATCGTCGCAATCGGCAACGGCCTATGTACACCGTTGTCTTACTCACCTCCTTGCCCGTCTTCTTAATCTTCTCAAGCACCGCGTCGTACGGTGCAGTTCCTTTCACGATCACCTCCTGCTTTTCCAAGCTGACATCAAACGAGGTCACCCCTGCGAGTAGCTCAGATTCAGTGCCCCATTCAGCTCTTCTGTCCCCGGCAGCTTACCGTCCATCTTGCTCAACACTCGCGTGACAGCACCAGAGCACCCTCCGCACGTCATCTATGCTCCACGTTATCAAACCTGACCCATCACACACGGACCACTACTCACCTTGACGTTGAATTGATACGTGTGTTCATCAGCCTGCGAGAGGATCAGCCAAGTATCCCCCCACAACCAGAGAGACTCAGCTCACCATTGTTTCAAGAGGATATTACTAGGGACCGTCTTGTGGGGAAAGTTCCGTGCTGCAGCTCACTTTATGTATCGACGGCCGATCGCGCAATCAATTAGGCTCGTCAGCACAACCAAGCTCAAACTCAACTGCTGACAAACTATATGCCGAACCCCGCTTTAGTGGCTGTGCTCCCATGCATGTCCATCGGCAGAGGTTCGGTTTCAAGGTTCTTGTCCCTTCAATGTCTCACCGATTCTTGACCGTGACCCACAATACTGGTCACCAATTTGCCATGGATTCCCCAGATTCTATAAGATGGTGCCAAACTTTACCGCAACGCGGTACAAGTGTACTGTATAGGTCTATCGCACGAAGCGTAAATGCTAGATCGAACGTCTTCCTTTACCGTCTGGAGTGAGAAGTGCGAGTCTCATCCATTTCCACCTCATCGCCCTCGGTTGCCACGGCCACCCACCCTTCCTCTGCAGGAGAGCTTCTGCGAAACCTATCCACCCAAGGACCTGGACCGTGTCAGTATTCTCAGCATACGGAATTTGTGCAAGGTACTCACGCAAGAAGCTTGGGAGAGGCAAATCGGAGTCTCTGTGGGTAATGTAATACACAGGTACACCAGCGAGTACAAACACTAGTGGCGCAATTAGCAATCGCGGCACGAATTTGATCGGTAAGCAGTACGTACCGAGCACAGCAATGGCTTCAAGAGGTGCAGCGATGATTGGCATACATAATAAGAACAAGGCCACCTAGAAGGCTTAATTTATGGTCCAATAGCAAAGAAATCACTCACCGCACAGAATGTCAGGGGAGTGATAATCCAGGTTTTATATGGCCTTGAGATAATATTAACCTTCGGATCTATCCTTTTCGCAAGCCCGTGTAGGACTTACCGCTCGAGTAAAGGCTCCTTAACTCGCAGGATGATCAAGCCGAGCACCTACACAGAAAGAAAGAAGATGTAGCATTGGACCATTTTCGCTCTGTGTATCTCACATACCGTCAAAAAGTAAAAAGACCACGATGCAACTACAATGAAGTTAACGAGGGTCCGAAAACCACCTCCAATGAGGATGAATATGACGGTCAGCCCGGTCTGCAGGGCGATAGCATTGATAGGCGTATTCCGTGTCTGGTGCATGTGGCCAAAGAACTTGGGCAAATAGCCATCCTTGCCTGCTGCACAGATCAGGCGGGAGCCGGTGAACGTTGATCCTAAATTCAGGGGCTCAGTGGCCCAAGGTTTACTCCCACAGAGATAAATTTTGGCTAACCGTTCAAAGCTCCAAAGCATGAGATTGCAACCATCACTGCGAAAAGGGTGCCTCCAAAAGAACCAAAAACAGCGCGTCCTAGGTCAAGCGCAACAGTGTTACTTAGTCCAACAGTGTCTTTGTCGAGAACGGCAAAGTATGATACGTTCGCTAGCACAAAGAGGGTCTGTCGTTTACGTATCAGCTCTGAAGGCAACGCATCCGTTGTCGAGACACTCACAATGACGATGGCCATGCTAGAATGGATAGCTCTTGGGATGTCCCTCCCAGGATTCTTCATCTCACCACTGACATAATTCGACTGATCCCACCCATCGTAGGACCAGAGTCCTGAGTACAACGCAAGCGAGTACGCTGACGGACTATGACTCGCACCAGTCCATACATCTGCGGTCAAAGAGGTCGACAGCCTGCCTCGGATAAGCTGCATAAGACCTATAGCGATGACAAGCAGCTACTCTGTATGTTAGCATCAGCCTACACCAGCCATTTGAGTACTTACCAAGGCAATGATCTATCATAAACGTCAGTGCATCAGGTTATATCGTTCATGTATGAGATAAAGGCGCTCACCTTGAGCATCGTAAACACGACAGATGCGCGTGCGCCCAAGTTCTTTGTAGCCGAACAAATCATCGCCACCATAAGAACTGCGATGATAGCCGTGAGCTTAATAGCCCACTGTGGAATAGCGTCGGGGGAGATCTCATCGCTTGCAATATGCCAAAAGATTCGGTTGATGTACTCTGCGCAAATTAAGCTGATAACCGCGTTGCCACCTGCGAGTCCACAAGTCTATATGAGAGGATGATACAGGAATAACAAAGATTTGTACCAGGTTTAAGGGCTGAAATGGCTGTCCATGCAAAAAGAAAGGAAACTAGGGGCCCAAAAGCGTATGCCAGATACGCCTGGGCGCCGCCATTAAGAGGTATGGATGTTCTTCCAAGGGTTAGGTTTGGGCTACGAGAAATTCAAAGTCATTTGCGCTCACCCAAGTTCCGCAAAGCTGCTGGCCCCCGTCCATGCGAGAAGCCCTGATGCTATCCAACACAACAAGCTTGCACCAACGCTCTGCGTGTTGGCGACAACTACACCAGGAGAGGAGCTACGTTGCACGATTGGAACAGGCTGTTTGAGCAAGTCGTGTACACTCACAAAATGCCAGAACCTATCTGGAATGAACATTCAGGATGTCTTTACAAGACGTGAGCAACGGTGGTATCTGACCTGTAAGCCGACAATGAGGCCGATACCTGAAAAGTCTGAGTAAGGGGACTCTGTCAGGAAAGGAGCGACTCATACCATGAATTACATTGATGTTCTTCTCTGAACCATGCTCTCGCGTGTAGTCCGCTTCGTTCAATGTCGCACTCAACGGCAGCAGATCACGCTGAAAGTCGAACCCAGAGAATGACAGGCCCTCCTCCTGGCGTCCCGCTCCCGCAGGCCCTGGCGTAAGCTCTAGGTCGCGTAGCGAGTCGGTCGAGTCGTCCGAATGGTGCCTAGCTGCTAGAGCATATTCGTTGCGGTCTGGCGAGGATTTGGAAGCATTACTCCGGTTTGCGGTTCGTGGCATGTCATAAACTGAGTGTGATAGCGGAATGTGGGCCTGATGGACGCCAGACGCTGGTATGGTTTTTTGGCGTGCTTGAGGTCGCTGGGCGTCCAGGCAGAGGTCAATTGGTTCCGGTAAATGACAGGAGCGCTAAAACACATCTGTTACTGCTCCCGAAGCCCCTATCTCTCGAGAGTCTCCGTTCCGTATTGCCGAGGCCGAGGCCCCCGAATGGCACATTTGCGCGGAAAGCTCATTCACAGTAGTATTTTATGGGCAAGATGCATGCAAATCATGGTTTATGACTATCCAACAGGGATTGTGCAACTATCGTATGGATGTCTTTACACCGTAGTTGACATTGCTCCATGCACTGGAATCAGAAAACGTCAACCAAAACAAACTGGTTCTACGTGCACAATATTGACTCACCCGAATGGCCATCGAGACGTCCATCTGCCCTGACTGGAACACAGTGGTTACGCGATCGAGAGCTGGCAGATACGCCAACGAGACTGAACCGGTGGCTTGTTTTGATTCGGCTTCGGTGGGATCTAGCCAAATTTCTTCCCCTATGATAGCCTTTGTTGGGAGTTCAGCACAGAGCGTCACAGATCCAAGGAAGGTATTCACCGCTGAGCATGCAGTGACAAGACCGAGTATCTCAATCCCCGCGTCTGCTAATGCAGCACTTGCTGCAGTCGATGCCGTCGCAGTGCACCCCTCGATGCCATCGCTTTCAAGGATAGTGATAAAGACGTCGATCGTTGACTTCGGCAAAAGCTCCAGTCGTACTGACGAAGCCAGTGCTTGATGTATCGTTTCCGCAATTGTTCGATCCTCCGCATCCTGTGCCCTTGCTTCCGTCAGAAACTAGTGCAGTCAAGCCAAGAAACCGACATACGCGCAATGGCGCTTTGCGACGCGGGTACGAAAACGGAGCGAATTTCACCTCCACGTTCAAGCGACCATGCTCACTGTATGCTGCGCTTGCTTTGTTTTGTCGCGGACCATATCTATAATTACGCATCAGAGCTCAGTGCATGAGTCAGTGCATGAGGTGTCTTGAAGATACAGACATTGCGCAAGCAAGCTTGGTTTTGGCGGTCTCCACGTAAGCAGATCCATTAGCCTGGCTGATGAACCCCGTTTGCAAAACTTGGGGTAAACCGATGGTCAGGAGCGCGAAGGCGTCACGATGTTAAGTGCGTACATATAGGTCTGATGTCGGAGGCGGCACGGTCTTGTCTAGGTTGGCCTAGAGTCCAAGACGGCTCTTCTGTATCCTCATACTGAGGCGGAAACGACTCCTCAGGGCCATTGATGCGTCGGCGGTCGAAGCCAGCTTGAGCCATTGCAGTGAGATGTACCGCGATCGAGACGAGCAAGCTATGTCGCGCGTAGGACCCCGCAATCTCCGAGGTCCCGTGCATCCGTCTGGAGGTTTCCGAGGTCCCAGCCTCCTGTGCCTCTGGTCACGAATCTCATGAAGCTCTCCTTCTCTCTCGGCAAGCCCACCAAGCCCGCAGGCGCCGCTCCTCCTCTCAAACGACCCGCGGCATTCGCATCACTTGATGATGAAGACACTCAAGACGTCGCAGCCAGCACCTCGGATAACAAGAATGCCGCCGCTAACAAGAAGCTGCTTGCACAGAATGTGGAGACATCAAGAGCCTCCAAGAAGCGGATGGACGAAGAGATGAAGGTGGATTCCACTGTCTATCAGTATGACGAAGTTTGGGAGAGAATGCAAGTGGCCAAGCTTCGTCAGAAGGAAACTAAGGAGGCGGATACAAAGTCTCGCAAGGTGCGCCGCCATCGCCTTCTACCACTTCTTCCTCGAAAGCTGACAATGTCTTGCCTTCGTATGCGTAATAGCCTAAATATATCGCAGGTCTACTAAACTCTGCTGCGACACGACGGTTAGACCATCTCCGAGCTGAAGAGAAGATGCTTCAGCGGGAACGTGAACTCGAAGGAGACGAGTTCAAGGACAAGGAAGCATTTGTAACGCAGGCCTACAAGGACCAAATGGAGGAAGTGAGAAAGGCAGAAGAAGAGGAGCGTGAAAGAGATGGTACGTTTGCACATTGACTGTTTATAACTGCAGTAGCTAAACTAGTGTGCTAGAGGCTGAGAAGAAGAAACGGAAAGGCGCTGCCGCTCCTGGTCTTGCTCACTTCTACCGCCAAATGCTGCAAGAGTCTGAAGAGCAGCACAATGAAGCCGTCGCCGCAGCCGCTAAACCAACTATTGGCCCACAAGGACCCAATCCCAACTTGACGATTACGAAGCCGCCAGATTTTACACCAAAGTCTGACCTAGAGCTTGCGCAAGAGGCACGCGGGAAAGGGAGAGAGGTTGAGCTTAACGATGACAACCAAATTGTTGACAAACGCGACCTTCTCTCCGCCGGACTCAACATCGCCGCACCAAATACCCGTCGCTTGGGATTGCAGAAGCCTTCAGAAACACCGACAAAAGAGGAAGAGGCTCTTGCACACCGCGCCGTTGGAAGTGCTGCCAGTCGAAAGGAGATCAACGAACGGCGTAGGCGGGAGGTCCAGCGGCAGATGGCCGAGGAACAGGAGCTTATGGAGAAGCAGAAGCAGAAGGAAGCGGCGGATGGTTTGAAGCAAGCGGTGGGTCGACACAATGACGAAGGAGATGTACAAAGCGCACGGGAGCGGTACCTGCAGAGAAAACGACGAAAGCTGGAAGAAACTACAGCCGAAACATCTGCCGATGGATCTATGGATGTTTCATAGGGATTGTACCGGGCAGACACTGCCGCCATGTTTTGTGTATTCACCATGGTCGTTCCTCCTTCCTGCGCAATCACCCTCAGTGGGATTTGGGGCACCGGATTGGTGGGTTTTCGTTGATCTTAGCCTTGAGCCTTCGCACTTCTTGCAACACCATCCATGCGGATGGACGGTTGGCGGGATTGCTATGTAACATTGGTCTCGTCAAATACGACAGTTCAGGCGCATTTGTGCGTGTATGCTGAGGTACTTTCAGACCCACAAATAGCTTGCGTCGGACTCGATGGCTCACCTGAGAACCTCTGAGTAGAAGGACACCGAGTGACCATACATCGGCTTTGAATGGGTCGACTTTTTCGCCACGCTCCTTCTCCGGGGGGACTTCCGTTCCCCTTGGGCATATGTCCGTCGAGGGTCCAGAGTCCTCGACTCTTTGACTAATTTCGTAATCTATGAACGCAAAATTGCCGTGATAATCGGCTAGGACGTTGTGCAAAGATATGTCCGCATGGATTATGTTATGCTGGTGCATGAACGCGACGTGCTGTGTTCGTTCAAAGCTCTCACTCAGGAGATGGTTCGATGAGTATATGTTTGACTTTACCTCGACGACCTGTTCTACGAAATCCCAGTATTGGCGTAAACAGCACGGTGGGTTAAGCAGAAAACACGATGTCCATTCCTCCATGACGATGAATGCAATATCATCGTCTTCAATTTCAATCACATCTAAGATAGCTGAACTGGAGTGAGATACGCTGAAAACACTGAGTGACGAAACAGTACAGACGGATGCAGCGGTTCAGCGAGTTCCTTCTCAAGGGCGGCGAGTCAAGGTATCGGACGACTCCAAGTTCACGACTTTGCATGTGGACAGCTTTCAACACGACCTTTGTTCCATCCCGAGCAGTGCCTCTAAAGAGGTTGTCATTCTGGTTGTCACAGGTTAGTTCTGTGCAACGCATTCTTGTGCCACATATTTACCAAACCAGGATCCTTACAGAGGGCATCCTCGTCCTTGATAGCACAAGCACGGCCATAACCACAGAGTAGATCACAATCTAGTTGGTCGGGAGGAATATTCTGCTGATAATGCTCTTTAACGTCCCGGACAGTGTCGAGGCGAAAGCCTCTCTGAGTGATAAGACAGCGGTAGCTGTTCCAGTCCGGAAAGACACGAGAATTGCATTCATCGTCATGATCCGATATACTAGATGTATCGGATATGTCGGAATGTGCAGAGTCCATGTCCCAGTCTGCGGAAAGGGCCATGTGAGGAGGGACAGAAGCTGCCTGAGAGAAGCAATAAGGTGGACAAGAGATTCCGGGGAAGTTCTGGCTTTTAGAGTAAGTCTTTACTTCTGGGAAAGGGTGACAGAAGCGCGACGTGTGCAATCCGGGCGGGGCACCGCGGCCCCAGCGAACTTTCGTCGGTATTTTCGCATGGCACTGTCAGGAATGCGAGCGCGGTGAGGCCAGGTAGCCGGAAAGGATTGCCTGGTGAGGCGAGGCGATGCCATAACGGACGGCAATTAGGTTGTACATGACAGAATCATTGAAATGAGCCGGAAGACAGGATGACGACGTTCGAGAGCAGCATGCTGGCTGCTCAAGAGATATAGACCATTGAAGGCATTCGTTCTCAGGCTGTTGTTCAAGGGCATGTCATTCTGTGAATATGTTTCTTGTTAGGGATGGTAAATACGCCAATGGCATCGGCTACTCTAGATTGGACCGACGGAATCTTTCCACAGACCTTGGCAAGTCCGCATGTCGATGCGGGCAGGCTGGGGGTACCTGGAAATACTGACCTGGCACTGGAACAGACGTTAATGGCACTGGCCTGGGAGTCGCAGCAGCTGGAACTTGGAAACCGAACGACACTTGCATTAATGGATTTGCCAACCTTGAAAAGGAAGGGAAATTATGGATGATTGTGTGGCTGTGCAAAGCACCTTCGGAACCGACGGCTCGCTCAAGACAAGTTGGAAGTCGCCCGTGACTTCCAAACGGCCACATGGAGGAAGGCACCAAGAGCAAGAAGACAATCTTCATCGGTGGCATAGGCGATGACATAGACGAAAACGCGCTCTATGAGACATTCTCCCCTTTCGGTTCGCCCATCTTGTCCATGTCAAGACTAGTCACTTCACAAACAATCCTCCAAAGGTGATATCATCGAGGTTCAGCTGCCCTCTGCGGCTACCAACCCCAACCAACAAACTGGTCAGCGCTTGTGCTGCTCATACATAACACCATTTGACTGGTTACGATACAGAGGCCAAACACAGAGGCTTTGGTTTTGTTACATTTGGCTCCCCTGCGGATGCTCAGGATGCAATCGACAACATGGACCTCAACGAGTTACGGGGGCGCGTGCTCAAAGTCAATTTAGCCCGTCCCATGAAAGGCGTGCTGCAAGCCGGAGCTGGCAACAGAGCCAGTGAGTGCAATACCTGTTTTTTCTCAGATTCAGTCTTTAAGTAGCCTGCAGTTTGGGAAACGGAAGAATGGCTTCAACGCTACGCCAAACCTTTGGCTGAAAGTGGAGGTGGGTTAACTTCTTATGAGCCCCAGAACTCTGAAGTAATACTTTTTAGGTGTTCAAGGCAGGAAGAATGGTAGAATATCGGAAGATGGTCAGGATGACGAGGAAGCAGGCGACGCAATGGAAGAGTAGTAGACCCCCCAACTTCGAGTCGCCTTCAATCCCCTCGTCGCATCCCACCAATGGGCTGTCAATGACCCCTTAGCCAGTCAAGTACAGGAGGACGCTTCTGGGATAAATTGTGACAGAATGCATGTGCACCTCAACTTGACGTCCATTACCATGCATTATACGCGTTACAGGTGAATTATGTGCTCAGCTTTATACTAAACATGTATCATACAAAAATATCAGAACTCTTTGGGATTATTGATATCTGACTCCTCGAACTGTGCACGAGCGCGCTTGATGTCTTCCTGCATGAATAGCAGCTCCTCCATACGAGCTAGCTTCTTGGCGTCTGCCGGCCGAGACAGCGCTTTCCTCAGGTCTTCAATTGAAAGACGCGTCTTTTTGCCAGGGCCACCAGCTGTCAGACACTAACACAAACGCGAATTGAGATGGAACCACGCGGATGTTACAATGAACACTTACCACATCCGCGATAAACTCGACTAGCATTTCCTCCATAACATTTACAGTGTCACTGGCAGGGTTCCTGTCGTCTCCGAAGCCGTACATAAGGTTTTTGACTGGCACTCAAAAGTTTAGCATACTGGAAGAGCAAATTTGCCTCAACGTACGCTCTTTCGTGAAAAGACCCCTGTAGTTCGCTGGTTTACGACCGCGAACCGCCGTTGAAGTGGTGGTGGTGTTGGTGTTGGCTTGGGAGCTATCCCGAGCATAAGCTGGCGTATATGATGTAAAGGTAGTCGTTCGCGGAGTAGTAGTAGCTGGTGTTGTAGATGTTGTAGGGATGGTGGCTTGTGTCACAGGTCGAGGAACAGTGGCGGCAGGATGTTGAGCTATGTATGTATAAGGGTATGGCCAAGCGCCATAACCAGTCACTCCAGTTGCATATGGGTTCTGATATGCTGTGTAAACGCCAGGCGTTTGAGGATGGTGGTAAGCTCCTGGTGTTCCTGGGTGATATGATGCGTAGGGATAAGTGCTGGTCGATGGCTGAGCTGGCTGGTAATGAGAGTAGGACATGATGAGTAAGAAAGGTGAATGGTTGAGGGCGTGAACGTTGCCAACGGCGGGATCTGGTTGGGTTTTGAGCTTAGCACGGAGACCCACGACTACTTCGGCTTCAGGATTCAAAGTGTCAAGAGCGCCAGAGGTTCAGCGCATGCTGCACTGAAAGTGTTCATACTATTTAAGGGGAATACCCCCTATCCTAGTCACCTCCGCAGCGTTGATCTCACCTATAGTACACTCGTACATATATACCTTCATAAATACTAGAATATTAATGCATATTCACAATGCATGTTCTCTAGCGCTCGCTAGCTGCTGACAGCGCTGACTACGTACACAAAGTAGAAAGAGCTGCGTCACTGGCTACAGTACCTCAGATACAATTCCGTAACTCTCGCGAGCATTCGCGTTCACACTTCTGGACATAATATTGGAAGTTGCTGACGTCATTGCAGACTCCCCACTATAAAACGTATGCTAGTCTATGGTGTTCTTTTTCAAGCTCACACGGAAGAAGATTTGGCCATTAGCGAACTACCCAATATTCAAAAAATTACAAACTATCGACAGCACAATAGGAATTCCTTGACAACTATCCCCCCAACAGTACATTTAACCGTTGGGTTAGACAATGAAGAGAACCGAAGCGCAAGTATGCTAGAACAGAGCTTTAGCAGTCGCCAAGTACAATAAGTTCCTCAAACGTTAATTAAGCCTAGTCTGCGTCTTCGCCTTTCTTTGATCTTACTTCCAGGTTTCTTGCACGGTCCATCATTCCTCGAACGAGCTGCCACTGAATGTCGATAACATTGCGTTGATCGAGCCATTCCATCACAGCATCTCCATCTTGTACATCCTCTGGGGGCCGTACGCCTCCAGCAAATGCCACCTTGACAAAGCCTAAGCCGGTGTTGCGTAGGTTATCGACTTCAAAGAGCAGTGCCTGGTATAATCGATGCTAGCAGGAAATTGGTAATAAGACATTGGAAATGAATGTATTCGTACCTCCCAATGGTTAAAATCATGGAAAACTTCTGTGCGCGCAGCACAAAATCTCCCCAAGTTAAATTCCTTCTTGACCTCAGACTCGCTCTCACTGTCCGAGTCCGAATCAGAACTAGACTCAGGCTTGACATGTTATCGTCAGCTTTTGTAGCATCACTGATGCATTATTAGGCTCATGACGTACCTCAAAATCAAGTTTGTTGTAAGCAAGGCCGGTCACCCTTCCTAGTAATGTCGATTTCCGACCACCCAGCTGACACGCATCGCATCCTGGCACCACGTAGTGTAGCTGCAGTTTCTCAAAGCCTGGATAAGTTTCCAGAGGTTGTTTAAACTCGGGTTTCCAGACAGATGAGGTGACGAGTGAATCACGAAGTCCTGATAACTTCCTACGAGTGACCTGAAGTGGGACAGAGAAGTATTCATTTGCTAGAGCGTGAGCCCGTTAGCACTACTCTGAAAAGGCGCAGGAACTAAGTACTTCGCATCATTTGTTCCATAAAGGTACGGCGTTCATGCACAGGTCGCACGGCCATGTGAACGAATAGTTGGCAAATGATCTTGAAGTGATGTGCAAGATCTTGGTAGGTGTTCATGCTGAACATCGCTGGTAGGTAGGTTGGGCCTCCCTGATCGTCATCCTCTACTATAAAATTGTCCTCATCTTCCAAGGAAGCGGAGCTAGCTGACTCAGAGCGAACAAAAGTGCTAGGTTTAGCGCCTTTAAATGGGGCGACTTTGTCATCGCTGGTCGCTTCGCTCGCAGCCGACTCGTCACTTAAGGTGTCATGTTCCGGCGAGGATTTTTGCCTTTTCCTCCCTTACTTACCAATCTTAGTTTCACGTGGCAAGTTCTAGTAAACGCTCACTAAGTCTATCCAGATTTCGTTGAAAGGGTGTCTTTTTGCCACGCGATCTTAGACGCGTGTCGAGAATATCTAAACAGTGTGATGGAATGGAGATCATATTTCATGCTGGTCTACTTACCTTTCTCGTCTACTTCATTATCCAAGTCTTCGTCTTCCTGAGATTCAGGTCTTTGGCCCTTGACCAACTTCGACCTACGAGGTTGCTCGTCATCCGATTCGTCCAGAACTCGCGACGCGCGTGCTTTTTGTTTTCCTTTCCAGTGGACAGGGACACCGACAGCACTCTCATCGGATGATGAAACACCCCGTTCGGGCTCATGATCATCGTCAATGACCTGAGAGCGTCTTAAACGCTTTCTGGTTGATGGTCGTTTCGGAGACTCATCCTCGTCACGGATTTTTCTGGATTTTTCAAATCGGACGGTTGCCACATCACTATCAGTGCACAAGATGTCGCCATCATGATTTGAGCTTGAAGATGGAGAAGGGCGTCTACGCTTCTGAATGAGAGCTGACCGAGGTAAAGGTTTATGTGGAGAGCTCGATGGTGATGAATTGAAACCCCCTGTAAGCGTCGTCTGCTTTAGCTTTGTGCCTACTACTTGAGGCTTTCGGCGTGAAGACATAGATATCTATAGCAGAAAAAGACAAAACTGAAGGAGCTTGATCAGATGGTGGAAAGCTGCAAGGATGAATGCGCCAAACATGGACGCGTTGGAAACTGAGGCCTGAGGACAGGGGCTGTGGCGCATGATGACTAATACGCGTCAAGTCAGATTACTGTTGGTTAACGTTAGTTCTAGCTAACCTTGTTCAGTGCTCACAACAGGTATCTCTCGGATCACTTACGCAGACTTGCGCACGCCCCCTCTAGGCTGCTTTTCTGGGTCTATTTTACTTACAGTGCATGCTGTCACACTAACACGATTAGTATTGATCTCGACATGGACGGATGGTCCCCAGCGGACTCATCTCTTGCTAAAGCGAAGCTGGCACCGCATTTGAGGTTGGAAATACAAGAGCCAGAAACCGGGTATGGTCGCACCAGCACGGAAAAGATATCACCAGATTCTTTGTCGCCCTTTGATTCCTCTGGCCCTCCCGTACCTGCTACCCCATCCAGTCCGCATGACAAATCCTCACCAACCGCCCACTTGGCAAAGGCTATATCCTCTCATATACCCCATCATGCCATAGAAGAATCTAGGAAGTTACTTGCACTAGTTTTACAAGAGCTTGATGCTCGACCGCGACCACCGACAGTGTTTGAGACTTCTGGTTACTTACCAACTGAAGTGTCCCAGAAGACGTTCGCCAAGGTTATTAAAACTTTCAAGGGCACCCCGCCTGTAGGCTACTCTGCTTCACAGAGTTCAAAAATAAAGGAATACAGTGACGATGAAGAAGATGATGACTCTATCTTCTCATCGGAAGCCACCTTCGACTTGATGCATAGACTTCGGGAAATCTTGTATTTCGCTGCTGCTCAGGGTTGGAAGATACTTGAAGAGTAAGCACTCAATTTATGGCACATTGGCATAAAAATCCGAGGCTTTATTAGGACGCTTTCACTTGGGGACCGCCATGGGTCGCTCAACAGAGGCTCATCTTCTCCCTTCCGGTTTCGCAGTTCCAGTCGAAGGAGCAGTTTTACCGGCGAGCGAAATCGCTCTCAGTCTCCGGAATCTCGAGTACAGCATTCTCAGCTGTTCACTCATTGCATGTCCATCTTATCATCAATAGTACTGGAGGACTGTCGATTCAAGATTGCTTCTCCCCGACCTTCCAAGCCCCCCTTTGCTCTACAGTTAGTTACCTTGGATGTCACAAGATATATGATCCTTTTGCACAGCGGTGAACACGACACAATAACTCGTATAGCCTCCGCGGTACTTCCCGCCTTTTCTACATTCCCTCGTGAAATGCGACCAAGCCTGGTGGCTTTTTTTGAGCAGATTGTTGTCAGAACGGTGTTCGAAGGGCTTGAGGCTACCGCCAGTGAAGCTAGATCTAAAGAGGTACTACTTCGATCTTCTACTTTTGACGTCAAGATAATAAAATCCCTTACAGCAACAACACGAAAACGCTCCGCACCAATCGTTGGTTCCTTCAGTTTCTATTCATATTGACGAGGCACCGGGCGACACCTTCGGCGCGTTGGGCAGTGATTGGCAACCATGGCACTTGCCAGACACTGACCGATCGCCATTGGGTTCGTTTGCTGCACCTTTTCATTCTTATCCGGTATACGTTATATCATCCTTTGCTGCTCCCTTGCTTGCAGCCTTGCTTGACACAGTGGATCTCGAGTCCGCGGATGCACTAACATTGTATCGTGTCAATCGTCTGATCAGGGCAATAATCGACAAGAAGAGGGATGCCTACCTCGATCTTCTTGAAGTGGTGGCTTACCACAGCTCAAGGAGTAGGTACACGGCGTTGGCTTTGCTATCAACATTCTGGCCACGAGCCTTGGGTCACAACACGGTTTCACAAGCTCTCCCTACGTTGGCTGGGGCGAGATTAGAAATGGAGAACGCGAGTACCGTTCGGGGCTGCCATTACGCGCATGAATTTGTCATATGGCGATACCAAAGGAGTACTCCTACGACTTTCGAGGACCATGGCTTGCATATCTGTCACATGTGCTCTACCGCTATTGACAATATGGGGCTCTTCTGCATTGGATGCATGTGTGCTGTACATTTTGACTGCTACGAATATCCTCAGGGCAACGCTGTTTGCGAGTACATGTCGGACAAGGCATCCGACACTCAAAAGGTTGCGGTCTACCGATTCTGTCTAGTGCCATCGTTCTTGCGGACTTCAGTCCCTGAACCTCAGAGCCGACAAGATCATTTGATGGAGCTCGTGAACATCTTTACCCTCACCCTCTGCTCTGTTTGTCGGATGCCTATCTGGGGCGTTCAAGCCCTCCATTGCGGCCGTTGTCAATTCTTTATACACATGTCTTGTCGCTCGTCAACTAGCCACCCTCTCCCCCCCTGCGATTCTTTCAAACGTGATGCATCTCACATGGTAACTCAGCTATCTACTGTGCGACAATCTTTCGCGGACTTCTATGGCGACATTTTCTTGTCTTCCGAGGACCTTGGTCGAAGGACATACGAAGAAATCTCAGTATCGTTCGGAGTGCTCTGGATGCAGTTGCAGATACTTAACAACGGTTTGGCGTTGGGATCCATCATCATTGAGGCGGATAAGCACGATAGTGCCAACGACACCTCCGGATTTGAACTGCAATATCTTGTTGAGCTATACGAGGCATATCTCTCCTCTGGAAAACTCCCTGTATCCGCTACTTTGGGGGAGTTCCTTCAAGAGTCTAAGCTACAACCTTCCAAGCATGCGATAATGTTCGATTGGCCGACACTCACCTATATGGCGTCATGTATCAAATCACCTTTCGAAGCCCAGGCACCTTCCTTCGGCTCCCCAGGAGGGTACCTCAGCCCTTCGGGAGTAATCGCCGGCAACGAGGGAAACCCTTCTGACAGCCGCGAGACTTTCAACGTCATAACACTCTCTCATGCACGTAATGTGCTAGGGTACGAGCTCAATCTCTTCTCAGACTCGGCAGCTGGATACTGTCTGTCATGGCTCAGTTCTCTTGGAATGTTCATGTCGAACGACACAGACCAGCTAGAAACGCCGATTTTTAGTCAGCAGAGAGTGTGCGAACTTGAGTTCCCGCTGCCCCTTGGTTTTGACTTATCGATACACGTGGAAACCCTAGTATGCAGCATAGAAGCGTCCCTATCCGACCTGAACTTGTCTGTGAATGAAATCGGCTTTCTGCTGCTGAGAAGATTCTGGCCAAGTGGGATGGCATCCGAGTATGCCCTTCTCAGATTAGCACAAGCCATCCTGAAGTGGGTATTAGCAGAGGTATGGTTTACATGGCTCAATGAAGTAAGTCTTACTGATAGCTTTTGGAGGACGACAATTTGGCCACTATCTTACGTGAATACGTCCCCCGTCGGCGAAATCTGCCAGGCGTGCGTTCCCCCGCGGACCCACAGTCTTGGCCTTATGATCGTGGCACCCGTCGTGTGGCCGTATCTTCGGCCAACAATGGGGGAGACTATGTCGCGTCAAGACGGTCGCTTCTTACCAAATATGCCGCTCCTTGGTTACTTGCTCTCCATAACCAAGACGCGAGACTTTATGCTTCCATGGTGTATGACGCCTTGGCCAGCATCGCAAAAGACGCTTCACAAGCAGATGTTCGGGTACGATTTCATCGGCAGATGACTGTTATGTACTTCATGTTTTTCACCGCCTGATGTCTCTTCTGTAGACGCCTGCTGTTTTAGCAGAAACTTTTACAAGGGCTTTGGTCAAATTGACCTCCACACCGGTCCTATTTAGCGCCCTCGATGATGTATTCTTTTCGTTGCTAGAGCGCGCTAATCCAGAACTATATTCTCATGCAGTAAGAACACGGATTTCCATGATGTTCTATCGACTTAGCCATCGCCCCACAGACTGTTCCTTCCCTTCCGCGGCTTTTTACTCGCGACGCTGAATCAGGGTCACGGTTCACTACTGCTGATCTACTACAGAGCACTAAACCCAATACTTCCCCGGACTTCTGGCCCGGAATCCTCAGAGCTGCAGCTTCCAAAGAAACATATCAACGTACTTTAATGTGGCTCCAGCTACTTGCACTGTCAGGAGTTGATATCAGCACTTCTATGTTCGGCAACTTCGTAGATTTCGCTCAGAAACATAATGCCCCCATGACTGATTGTCTTGCTCTCGTTGAAGCGATGTTCACGACCACTTGGATAAGGTCACTCGGACGGCAGGACCTCCAATCAAAAGTCTCCGCCCTGCACGTCTATGTGGCACAGAAGTTGCTCCCTTGTTTGCATTTACCAGAAGAGATAGCGGAGTGCGTCTCTTCTTCTACGGGAGAAATGAGTTAGAGTTTTAAAACTAAGCCAGTGTTGCAGATTTTGCACGTTTGTCCGCAAGTCGCTAGCTACTTGCTTACTACTCTATGGCTGTGACCGGGTTGAGCTGAGTACGCTCGGCCTTCTTGACGAGGCTGACCTCAAAGATTTCCCTTCAAGGTGAGTAGATGAATAATGTATAAACATCACATCCCTTATGTAATAATTCTTAGACGCAAACTGAACACGCGGATATCTAGTGCACATGATCCAATCATCATGGACGCAGAGCTTTTGCATGTGCTGGAGAACTATGTCTCCACCGGAGTTCCAGAAGTAGCTGCATCGATTGCCAAGTTCATTCATGGCTTTTTTGCACATGCCTCTTTACTAGAGCCGTATGAGATCGATAACTTCATTTTGCGGAATGGACACGCGTTGCGCTCATGGTATGTCAGCCACTCTAGAAGCAAATTGTGACTAACCACTCGTGTTAGTGTGTGGGGTTTTTACGATATCCGAGATCACAACATTAGTAGCATCAGACTGTCAATATTGGTCCGACTTTTGGCGGTGGACCCGTTGCCCTTCCAGCAACTACTGATAGATACTCTCGACATTAGGGACTATTGGCAAAAACGGTAAGACGTATGTTCTTTGTTTTCCAACTGTTGCTGATTTCGGGGCAGATTTCTTGCCATGAATAGACTTTTCCGAATGGTTCTGGATATGTCCAGCCCTCTAGAAGTTGAAGATCGACAGTGGAGATCCAGCACTTTAGAGATATTCTATCATTGTTTTGGAGCCCTGTGGGCGAATGATAATGTATGTGACTCCCTACCCCCAAAGTCAAGTCCAGGTGTCAACATTGATGAGCAGGAAGAGATTCGTGCGGCTGCCAGCAGTTGGGCACAAACCTTACTACCAGCTCACCTTGAAGCAGTTTCGCGGTGTTGGGACGAAGCCTTCTCATCCATACCCATCACAGAACGCTCGACACTCGTCTCTTTTCTTATCCACCTTCAGCCGCATTTTCCCACCTGGCGAGGTAGTATTCACATATGTCGCGCTTAGCCCGCAAACTGACGTTGACACAGTTTTGTCATGGGAAACAATCATTGAGGCCCTCCGCGAAGATGACTACTCGCAGAGCGACCGCGCGAATGACGATGGTCCTGCTCATGCTCATTTTGTAATAACCCTCGTTACTTTGTGGGCCTGTATTGACAACCAATATAGGATATGTATGGCCTGTCATCAAGAACAGCTTCGCAGCTTCGTGATAAGGATCAGGACACAGCCAATGTACAGGTACGTAGTTCATGAACAAACCCGCGCGTGTAACCTTAACTCCAAAACGACCTTCAACAGAATTTACTACTGGTTCTCGCTTTCCGAATGTTAAGTAGTGGCGTCAGCATTGATCTCTTTTCTATGTTCACCCTCAAGTTTTATTTGGTGAAGTTTGTCGGCTTTCTAGACGTCAGCTCAACCCAAGCTGCGAATGGGCGAGCTCTCTCTGTCCGATTCGACTCTTTCTCTCAGCTTCCCGAGTACGCCTTTCCTTGCATCCATGAGATCCCTCGACTTCTGGACTCGGCTTATCCATATGATTTACCTCCCTCTGTTATGGGAGGCTCGTTGCTTGAAGATGATGCGCCATCGCCAGCCCTCATTGGCACGGCTTTTGTGGATGTCGCCTTGACTTTGTTCTGCTCTTTGGAGGATATGCAATCGATACCTATTATAGTTCAGAAATCTCTGCTGGAATCGATGCTCATCATTGTCTACAAACAAGATTTCCAAAAACCGACTCTAATACCCCACGACACAATGTTACGAAAAGTCATACGAAAGGCTTTGGACACCATACATGGCGATCTCAGTTACGAACTTCGACAAACCTCGCTGTCCATTGTACAAATCTATTTCCAAAGATGGCCTAGTGCTTTGATGATGTGCGTGCCATACGGTTTCTTTCTCTTGAATTGCTCATCCGTTCGTGACATAATAGCGACGCTATAGAGCATTCGGCTGCTGTGATAATATCGCTGGACAGCCACAACGAAGACGCATTGGTAGCGCAAACTCGAGGTTTTCTAGCAGGCGTCTTGACGAAGTGAGTACGTCGAAACCCTTTAGGCAGGTCAAATAATTGAAGGACATTACTTATTCAGCTTCCTCCCGAATGGCATATTCTGCAGTTTGTGCAAGGTTTGTTCCCGTCATACTCTGATGCATGGCCTTTTCACCGATCTTCTTCCTAGCGAGATCTTCAGAACGACATCTTCAATGTCCTCAAATATGTCACGGATTCAGAAGCAAGGCGTGCTACACCATCAAATATGTCTTTAAAGGAAGCATTGCTTCGTAGCGTGCTATCTCAACCACCCGACGCAGACTGGAAGATTAATAACTTTACTGCCAAGAATATATGCCAGTACGTTCAAGTCGTGTTCTACGATGGTTATGATGACGCCTTATTGAGAGGTGAGAGCGTTATTGCGAATTGTTTCACCGAGTGCTAACGGTAAATAGAGATTGGCGATTGGCTGGCTCTCATGGCTCGCCGTTCGTCCGGTCGTGGATTCGATATAAATATTCTGCTTGACATAGCGTCGGTCTTGCTCAGGCACCACGCCCTCCCTTGTCAAGTAAGCCTCCCATACTGCTTTGGCTGGCTGTGGAGTTCTCAGTCAGTTTAAACAGGAGTTCGTTCAGTCAGTAGCGATCATCATGCGGATCGCGTTGTCGAGATTTGAAGTGCAGAAGGACATCCTTCTAGAGTTCCTTCCTGTGACTGGCAAGAACGTTTCGTCGGCTCACCATCGGAGGCATGCACACTCTAGAGAAGTAGCTGAAGTGATTTTGGAGGTATTTGACGAAGTCCTCCGCATGAAGTCGAGAGTCTCGCCCGTAACCCTGAATGCAATGGCCGAGGTGAATCGCATCAAAGTTGATTACGCATGATTACTAAGTCTTTATGTGCTAGGCTGTTCTTGCGATTGACCCTGCTTCTCTGGAGCGTGTCGATTGGCAATATATGCTGTCTATCACAAGCCTCACTGTCCCAGGGGCCTTGTTCCTCCTCCAGCATGCGTGGTCACCTTCAGACTCGGAGAAAGAATTTGGTGCTGCCATGGGAATTGCACGCCTCATACTACGGAGCCAAGAACTGAAAGAAAAGGCATTGCCAGCATTGTCAGGAAATGGAGAAGTTAGTACATTGCATTCTAATCCTTTCTAGCAAATCTCTGATGCTACTGCTGGTAGGGCCTTGTTCATCCAGGTCTCTGCGTCCGAACATGGAATATTCTAGTACTCGCCGCAACTTCAGAGCCCCCAGGATGCGGACAGCTCCTCCTGTCTCACTTCAAGAGGTTTGCACCTATGTACTACAGATCCTTAGATGCCTTCGCCCGAGCGGGAGCTACCCCTCGTGAATCTGCTCTCGCCGAATTCGAACATGCATGCGTAGCACTGAAGCTTTGGTTATTGCTTGCCCATTCTGCAATAACTCCGAGTGACGGTTCCGATCAGCAGATTACTGACATAACCCATATGATTTGGAATGAGTTGTGGCCTGTCATCGAGACACTCCTAGATACCTACGGCGCAAGCGGCAATGGCGAAGATGATTTTGTGAGTACCAGTGCCACGGAATGTCTTACGAGCTCATCACAGATATGTGCCAGCCATTCATCAACTTGATTTCCTCCTCTGCGGCGAATTTACTTATCTTCGTCCATCAATATCATCTGGTAGTAAATGTGGACCTTTTGCCCCACATTAGCTTGGTCCAACGGCAGCGCGATTCGATCCGGAAAAGCACAGTGGTGAACAAGGTAAACCACCTTGACTGAGGATGTGAGCGGCGTTAGCTCATTCAATCACAGTTGTCGCGCATTTTGGATGGAGAAACTTTTTCAGACGTCCAATTCGATGCCTTAACATCGCAGGTGGCAAAGGACATTATAAGTGCGGAGAAATTACGCACTCTCGACAGAGAGCCACAGAAAGCTGCTGGTGACCGGAAAAGGGACAGAGAAATGCGAGGGGGGCTTTCATAAATAGGAATATGTATACGAGGTATAGGTAAAGACCAAGCCGAATTACGAGTGCAAATAGTGAAATTATGCTGCTCGAAGCTTGGCCTTTTGAGCCTTTTTCCGGTTTTCCTTGACGATAGTTGACCCTATGAAGAAGCCAATGCCCGTCAATCCTACTACCAATAGGAAAGCTGGCAGACGAACTGCCCATTCGCGGGTTGGAAAGTAGGCGTGTATCGAACTAGATGAATCAAAAAATGGCTTCGAGAGGATCAGATGAGGGCATAAATGCATCATGTGGTACGCACTAGGAGGAGGGCCCATACAGTGTAGTACACAAACACGAAGGCGGCCACGAAGAGCATCGCGCCTCCGAGAGCTTTGTCGCTGGCAGCCTGGTGAGACAAAACTGAGTACGCGTTTCAGTACAAGATTAGGTAAATTACCATTCTCCGTCTCTTGTATTGCTGGCAAGTGACAAAATCAGATACAAGGTGCAGCGAGGAACGTCAATAGAATGGTAGAACGGGACGTCTGTAGTGATGTCGTGTCGTGGTTGCCAAAATAGGGCGAGCCCCTCACTCACTTTGCGAGACGCGATTGCACCGGCGGCTGTCCGCCCTACGTAGCGAGGACAATCGCGCCCATGCGCATGCGCGAAATCCACCCAAACCCAGACTCATAATCTGTTAGGGCGTCGGTCATGGAACCTCATGCATTCGCGTCTCTTGCCCACCTTCGACTGCTCGTCCTACCCGTGGGCACCATCTCCAAGTCTGCGTTTGAAGAATACGCGTCCGAGATACGTTGCTTCGACACAATCAAACTCAGTGACATACCAGCGAGTGTCAAAGACGAAAGAGGTCCGCCCTCTACTTCTCTCAACGCGTGCAAACTTCAATACTTTCAGCAGCTCGCTTTCTACCCAATCCTCTCTCCTCTGGCTCCCTTCACCTTCGCTTCTCGTCTTATGTCGGTCCCTCTGTGCGCGCCCCTTTGTCGCTCATCAGACCGTCACAATCAACTCTTGGCATTGTGGGCGTGGGTGTCTGTTCCTCTAAGCAGACACCTACAACACTGCAGCGACAGTTTAACAAGCTGGCATCCAGTTTAGCATTGACGAACTCTTTCCCTACGTCTAAGGTGTGTTTCGCCTTCGAGGAGTCTGAGGAAGTTGCAGGTGCAGCAATGAGCGAAGCCGTTCCTGGAGTGACTGTCATCCCGCACCTGATGGGAAATAAGAAACTTTACATCGGCACTTTGCTTGCAGATCTCTGTTCTCAGATACTGGGAGAGTTTGGACGTCTGGTATAGATTTCATCAATAAACATTGCTGTTCCAGAGCTCATGTGTTCAGGTAGATGAGCCTGCTTGAAACGCCCATAGGCAACGAACATCTCAATGCCACCATGTTTCCAATCTTCCCACCATCATCCGATTCTCCCTCTGTATTCGAAGACCCTATGTCGTTCACATCTTCGACCATGAGCCAACCAGAGCTGACCTCTGCTGGATTCTCGTCACCTCCAGGTGATCTCAAACGTAACTTATCTGCCGGGCCGGGTATAAATCCCATCACCAACACCCCTATATCACGACAATCAAGCCTCGGTTTTCCGGCGAGAAAGCGCTCAAGTACCCTAGCCTCGTCACATGGGAGGCTGTACAAAGTGCTTGGAGATATGTTCTTACTGGCTGGAAGAATCGCTGATGCTACTCTTTGGTAAACCTACCAACCTGTGTCTTCAAAACTCAAAATAACTGCTTCTAGGTACACCGAGGCGCTCGTTTTATTCAGGTCGTCACAAGATCCTGCATGGCATGCCTCTGCTGTAGAGGGGACGGCTGTGATCTCATTCTTGGATAGTTGGTCTGCCGGACAAGTGAGTATTAGGTGATCCTCCTTTTCCCTTCAGTAGACATTGAACTATCGAAGCAAGCTTCTATAAGCTATAGCAAGGACGGATGGTACAGCATAATGGAAAAGCTTTCCCAAGCTGCCTTGTTATATCCCAAAACCCCAATCATGCTGGACAATCCCCAGGAAAATGCAGTCTTGACGTCCTTGTACGTGGATTCCATCCTACGGCAAACGACGCTTCTACTTGCGGTGTGGGTATCGAGAGGCTGGGGCCCTCCAGCGTTTGCATCTATGTTGCAACCTGCCGGCAGTGCATGCGCGCGAGAGGACACTTCGGCCGCAGCATGGAGCCATCTTGAAAGCCTCTCCGTCGCTTCCGGTATCTCGCGGATGCAAATCTCAACAACGGTCACTCAAGCACATGGTCCTTGGCTTCTCCATCTAGATCCATACGAGCGTCTCCGTGCTCTGCAGACTGTGGCAATTATTTTCAGTAGCATTGGCTACAAGCGCAAGGAGGTATACATTCTTAGAGAAGTGCTCAGCTGCTTAATGGACCTAGTCGTATGTGGACGCGAGGAGAGTGAAACGGCTTACCGCAGCGACAGCGGGAGTTCAGGAAGTGTCACTTTCCCAAATGGTGACGACGGTAACCACAGCCCTGATCTCGCCACAGGGGCCATCGGAATTCGCCTGAACGAAACGCAGGAAGGCAATGAAAGCATCTTACAAGTGTTACGATACTCGTGTAGCATCATGGGAATTGACCTCGCCTCTGTCAAGCTCGTCAATTCAAGCGAGCGGACACCTAGCCAGGGCGAGGAAAGTAGTAATAACTCCCTTCCCCCACTAAATGAGCCGTTTGGATGGCCCGAGCTTCAGGTTGGGATGGTCCGGGAATCCATAGCTGTAGCTGAGGCCCTGCCTGGTGAGTCTTAGTTGATCGCATATGAGTTATGTACGTTTTAATTATAGTATAGATCATCTTGCTGTGGCGTCTTTCTCCCTCTCAGCACTGAGAGCTCTCCACTCCGTGTTCACCGTTGGCGACCAATATCACCTGAACCAAACTGCCTCGAGGGCTCTTGCAGTGGCCTGTCGTCGAGGTGCGACCAAAACCGTAGAATATTGGGGCGATTCTCCCATTGTCAATATTGAAGTCATGTCGTAAGTGTCGCTTGAAAGCTTAATCATTGAGGTTCTGATGGGTACATATAAAGACTGCCCTTTGGGCGTTTGCCTGTTGAGAAGCCCATGTCACTCTTAAGCCAGGAAGTCCAGGCAGATCCTATCGGTACTGGAGGTACTAATCCATTCTTGTACAATCCCAGAAAGGCAGGAAATAGCCAGGTCAGTTCTAGCTCTTATACGTAGACAGACCCCTTCTAAGCTGTTGGTCCAGGGGAAAGTTATCTTGGTGCAGAACGAACCAGCTGAACTACTTGTCACGTTGTACAACCCCTATGTATTCGAATTGGAGCTGCAGAGTCTTTCTCTCAGGTCAGTATACATTCCACTTTACTGAATACTCTCTGACCTTGTTTCCAGCACGTCCGGGCCGTCATTTGACTGCCAAGCATTGACTACGATCTACATCCCACCCCAGTCCTACTATCATGCTTCATTTACTGGCAAGGCAACTCAAACCGGTACACTGATTATTCGTGGCTGTATCGTTCAAGCTATGGGTGGCGCACCACAGGAATTTACGCTTCCCCTGCCAATTGAGGGAGTTAGCGAACAGTTCTCACGAAAAAGGACCTATTTGACGAGTGAAATTGGACGCATAAAATCACCTGGTCTACAAGCAAGGAGCACAGCTAAAAATACTAAGCGTGTTAGTACAACAACATCAGGACCGAACGAGCAAGTACGGTACTTGGAGTGTAATGTGCTTCCAGAGCAACCTTTGTTGCGAATGAGGTGGACATCGCTAACTCACGATGCGGTCATGCTTTATGAAGGCGAAAAGTCAGTGCATGGTTTCGCCAAAAGTTGGATGGATGAATTAACTGTTCTTAGATCAGTAATTCACCTCACACTAGAAAATATATCCTCCCTGCCAATCGACTTCCTCAAGCTTTCCTTCGATGACTCCACTATTGCGCCCGCCCAAGAGGCCTTGGCGGAGGGAGAGCTGACTGTTTTCGAGACTTACGAGACGGAATACCAACTCATCAATCGTCAAGCCTTCTCATGCGGTGAAGACTCGACAACTCAGGGCATCAGACCTGGAGAGAAAGCGACCTTGCCAATAACTTGCCTAGGCAAGGTTGGTTGGTAAGTCTCTCATTTCTGCCTATGCTGAAATCTAAGTCCACTTAACTGCATGATTCAGTACGCGTGGATGCATTAACATTGCCTATGCATATGCACAACGATCTCATGAGTCGGACAAGGCGTCGAACACCTTCCACACCCGACAGTTGTCATGGCCAGTGAACATGACAGTGTATCAAATGTTGGAGTGCAGCAATATGACCATTCTACCGGTCGATAGCGATTATCACTCTGAAGACAGCCTCGGGCAAGACATGACGGATCTCTGCATGTTCTCAATAGAAGTCCGAAATACGTATGGACTACCCTTTGAAGTGATCTTCGAGAGTGCTCAAGAGGGTAAGTGAGTGTTCATTGCCTCGTTATCATCCATCTGACACCTTCCCGGACGCAGGCGTAGAACCGACAGCAACCTCCACCATCGTCGCCCCCGGATCCTCCTCAAGGTATGTTGGTAATTTTTTCGAAACCATCATAATGACACTTCTTTTAAAGGGTAGTTCTGCTTCTCAAGAGGTTCATGCTACCGGATCCTGTCGTTTCTCAGACTATTCCAACCCTGTCAGAAAGACAGTTCGTCGTCGCCAAAACGGCATTGTCCGCCGAGGAAGAACGCCGACAACGAGAGTTGTTCTGGTATCGAGAAAAATTGCTTGAAGTTGTCAAAGGTTCATGGAAGGAACTCAACGGTATCCGGAGAGGAGACCTTTCTTTGCGACAGCAGCGGTTAACTTTACCGATGCTAAAGTCCCTCAAGACTGACATTGTCAAACTACAAATGTCGCTTGCTTACGATGATGGCAAGCCTCTTTCCCGGAGGGCAGGGAAGTTCTTGCCTCCACCCAACGAGTTGTTCTATGTCAACATTGTAGTTTCAAACACATCAGGTAAGGATACCAAGTAGCAAGGATGCGTCACTGTGTATGACTCATTCTATACCACCAGAAACAGCCCTCGTCCTTTTCTTGAAAGTACTTGCTGATCCCAGTGATTATGTGCTCTCGGACACCATATCATCCGATATACCTCTAGGTCGACTCAAGGGCGGCGAGTCACAAACGTTGGATATCCCCGTCTACTTCATTAGTTCTGGGCACTTCGAGTTGTGCGCAGAAGCTTATGCGTCAGAACACCCAGGCTCAGAGTCGAGATTGGGTACGAGAAAACTGAGAGCGTATGTGAAGCCGGAGGGAGATGTTTGTTATTCAGGATTTATTTAATGTCAGAGATTCCAACTACTTCCTGCACAGTTGAGGGATGGCTGTGTCGGTATTTCAACCATAATTGAGTCAAAAGAATTAGTCCCACCGAGGATTGAACTCGGGACCCTTGCATGGACTGTAACCTCATAAGTACAACGCTCTGACCACTGAGCTATGGGACTATCGCTATAGACACCGCTACGTTTTATCATAATACCATTTGGTTTGGGCATCTTATCTACCTCTCGCCATGCTACTTGAGAAGTTAGGGGATAGTTTGCCTGGTGGAACATACATGACAGTGAGTAGATCAGCCGACAGAAGAACCTAGTGTGCCCCCGCATGATCGTCGCTTCAATGTCAGGTGCATCTAAAGCGAGGCTCTACCAGGCAGAAGACGCATTGAAAGCGGTTCGCCAACCACCCGGACGAGTTGCGTCATACGTCGGCGGATGCACCTACTAGTAGTCTCCCGTAGGCATATCTGCATAGATTCATGCATCTCTGGGTACTGTTGGTGTAGTCCCAAACAAGTCTTATAAGCCGTAAATGATTTTCAAGCTTGCTGGTCCAGCCCATGCTCGTCGTCCAGTAACTATTTTCATGCGTAAGAGTAGGGGAATGTCTGATTATACTATATGCAATATATGGTTCTAGCAATAGAAATCTAATGGTGTTTCACTATACGGGGACTTGAGGAGGCATGCCCATCTCCTCAGGGGTGAGCGTAGAGCTCTCAATCATCACACCGACGCCAACCTTGGCGGCGTTCTGTACACGCGTCAGCGAGCATGCATGAATATTTGGGAAGAAACTTACCTTGAAGTGGTCAAGCTCTCCCGACACTAAGAATGAGAATGTTGGCGCGAAACGCTGCTCAAGCAAAGCGGAAACTTTGCCGGTCGAATCAAGCTGCGCCCTGAATGTAGCCATGCGCAAGTCATACTTGGCGCCGACGGTGGCGATAGCGTCTCTCCGCTGAGGAGCGGCAATACACTGTAGGTCAGCGGCGACCTCGACCTTCTCGCCGAACTTCTGCCAGTACGAGGCCTGCAGGATGCCGGCTGGTTGTAACTGTGCGGTGGCAATCCAGTCCCGGTTCGTGCCGGTGTACTTGGCGAGGTAGGAGGTCGTCATCTCCGCCATCTCCGGTGTGGGGCGCTGGTATAATGTCTCAAAACCCACAGCAAGGTTCTTGGTTAACGACTGGAAGTAGCTTCCAATGTAAATACCCGAGAGATCTGCGGGTGAGGGATTGACCGCCTTGGCGTTCAAAGAGAAATCCTTGCCCTGGTAATCCTGCTCAACCTGGATCATGTTCTGGCCAGCTCGTGACGATAGCTAGGGTACGTGTAAGCGACTGAAATTCTCGTAGGCGCGTGTGAGCGACTTACCTGAGCCTGCATTCGCGTCACATTGTTCTCCGTCCATCCCTGGTTCATCCGACCATTAACATTTCCATCATGGTCGATGCTGCCTTGGAGGAGAGTCTGGGGGAGAATGTCAGTTTTCTTGCCAGGTTCGGAACATGAGAAGCTGACGTTGTTGTTTGCGAACACAGCACCAAGGTTGTATGATGGAGCAACTGTCTGGGAGCCCAACGCAAACGAATGCGTCAGCTGGAACGCGGGGTTCATGGACAGGCTCTTGGTCAAGTCGGCACGCGCGCCATCGAAGATGAAGTTAGTCAAGTGGGTGGCTAGTGGTCAAACACGTCAGTTTGGCCCTAAAGAGAAACGTGAAAACACTAACACTTGACTTCTTTCTGCAAATTCTCGGCTGTGCCGGGATTGGGGAGGCCGAGAGAGTCCCTCCATGCGGAGAAGCGAGAGTAAATGCTGGTCAAGGGGGAGAATGCTGACTTCGATGGCTGCACTACAGGAGGAACAATGGGCGTTGGCGGCGAGGCCACGTCTGCGAGGCCATTTACAGGAGGAAACGCAGATTGAGGAGACGCCATACGAGAGCTGGACCAGAACGCGCGAGAGAAACAGGTCAAGTCAAGTGCTCAAAAAAATGACGGCAACAAACACCACCAAATTCGGCTTTCCAGCCCTGCTCCTCTCACGCGTATCTAGCCTTATACCTGGGTTAAGGTCAACAACTTCAGGCTACTGATTCAACAATCAAAGTGGTCAATCATGTTCATCCAGTGTTTAACGTTGTCATTCGATTGCTTGAACTAGGATGATGGAGTTGAGCTGCAGGGTATGACTGTACGTGACTTCCCTAGCTGTTTTTATTTTGATAATTCTGTGTATGATAGATAGTATTAATCCTCCGACTCCTCGAGCTCGTACTGTAGCTCATCTGCTCATCCACTTAGACATGGCCGAACTCTGTTGAAGACCGGCTATCTCTTTCTTCACGGAAAGTTACCCCTCGTTTACCACGGCCCATTGTCAAACCTCATGACATATGGGCACGCTTGAGCCTCACGCCGACTTCGGGGGGGTTTTGTGACTCGGTGTCGTATTTTAAGCCACGTCTTGTAGCCTTCGAATCAGAAGATGCACAGAGACCGAGTGCTGGACGTCGGCCTCATGCCTTACCTGTATATAGAGGGGAAGCTACTCTGGCTGCGGAAATCACGCTCTGACTGCGGTCTTAAGTCCTACTAGGTCCAACTGACCGTGGATCACTGGTTGCTATCGCTGAATGGGTAGGTAAGACTTGCTGGAGGGAGACGATTGGCGGAGAAACGAGGGTTGCATCGCGAACGCACATGACACCTTTATGGAGTGGAAAAGTGGTCATCTGCAAAACTTCGGTAAGACAGTAGCGGCCCCGACGAATGTCTGGTACGTATGTTCTTCCCTATGGTTGTTTTTTGCTCACAGGTGAGCGGCAGCCACGTCGCTATTTTCCCATCTGTGAAGCTCTCTGGCGAACTTTTGATTGTTGGCCGAGTACTAGCAATTCACTTGCATCTTTACCCTCTGATTGAGCGCCCGTTTGTCTTGATCTGCCATGCCAGTACGAATCGCCTGAACCGGTAGGCGGCTGTCGGTGCAGAGGTCACGTCAACGTCCCTGGTACTTATGCTCAGGGGCTGGGACCGAGGACTTCAAATACCCATGATGAAAACTCAATCATCCACTTTATTTTTAGATCGTCAAGACGTCACCGCCACTCACGGTGCCACACCTCAGTTCTTCCCCCAATCCAATGACCGTACATCCGGGTGCCTAGAATAAAAAGTGGTTGAAGTCTAGGCGAAAAACCTCAAGTGCGATACTACCGCCTGGGGTCTCCGGTCTTAGTTTCGGCGGTGGCATCGCAACGCTGTCCCAGGATGCGGAACAAGGAAATACCTCTGGCGACTGGATGCTTATCATGGTACGTGCTCCGGACATCGGGGTGCTGCGCAGCTCCAACTCGACGGTGACAAATACGGAGTGGCCTCCTGCACATCCCTTCTTGAGATAGTTTCAAAAATGCTTCATGCTTTAATTTGCTCTCATCGCTTCCCGGTCTCCTGCTATCGCATATAAGCTACGCGTGTGCCCACAGCTCCACAACTTCATTTTCCCCTCCTACTCTTTGGTTTCTCTCAGCTAACACCGTCGAACTTGGCTTTTAAGGGGCTGACTTCCCCGGTGTCGCCCTATGTCTGTGATTTCTTTGACAAACGCGTATCGTCGTTCGGTTCTACTAGCTCTCGCAATCTTGGTATGTGGTCATCGTGGCTGTTTTTGTGCAAATCATGACTGTCGAGTCTATCCATGCAGATTGGGATTATATATCTAATAAGTGCCCACCATGAAGAGAGCATAAGTCGGCTAACGACGTCTTGGAAATTTTCGAAGAACACAACCGCCATAGTCGATATTCCTCAAGTCGACTATAACGCGGACGCCCACCTAGTTACTAAGCCGACACCTCAGCAATCGTCTAACCCAGAGATTGAGCCGCAGCCCGAGGCACGGCGCGCGAACGCCACACTCTTCATGCTCGCCCGTAACAGCGACCTAAACGCCGTCATTCAGAGCGTAGAACAGATGGAAATGAAATTTAATCGCAAATATAAGTATCCCTGGGTCCTGCTCAATGACGAGCCGTTTACGGCGGAGTTCAAGAGGTTTGTCGTTTCGTCCAATCGTTACATCGCCGCCCGTTGTCTAACGTGACTGCATAGGCGTGTATCCGTCCTAACCGATGCGCCTGTTTCGTTCGGCGAGATCCCACACGACCACTGGCACCAGCCGGACTGGATAGACGAGGAGAAAGCGCAAGAAGGCCGCAACCGGTTGGTCAGGCAGGGCATTATTTATGGCGGTAGGTGCTTCACGCCACCGATCGCATTGTGCTTTGCCTGATTGAGACTAGGAAGCGTTTCGTGCGTAGGCGTTTGGTACTAGCCTAGCAGGCACAGCTAAACAGATTTATATAGGTACAGGAACATGTGTCGCTTTAACTCGGGCGTAAGTTTAGTCACTAGTCTCTCCCGGGGACCTCAGACTCATCAGGCTGCAACAGTTCTTCTATCATCACGAGTTGCTACAATCATACAAATGGTATTGGCGGGTTGAGTGAGCAATTATTCTGTTGCCAGCCATCTCGCATGGGTTCTGACTGCTGCAGGCCTGACATTCGCTACTTTTGTGACCTTGACTACGATCCTTTCTTGTTTATGGAGGATAACAACAAGTTGTATGGTAAAGAATGCTATTGGAGCGCGGGTCATATCGCGTACTGACAGATGCCTTGCGGCAGGCTTCACCATATCAATGCCGGAATGGGAGCCGACTATTCCAACATTGTGGGGAGAGACTAAACGTAAGTAGTTTCGGCTGCGCATACGAACTATGCTCGAGTTTACTGACACATAACCGCAGAGTTCGTCGAACAGAACCCGCATTATCTACACGCGGATAACTCGATGGATTTCCTATCAGACAATGCTGGAGATACATATAACCTCTGCCACTGTGAGGATGCACTCTGAATGCTGTAGCTCGCATCGTTGATAACACATTCAGTCTGGAGCAACTTCGAGATAGCCAACATGGATTTCTGGCGGAGCGAAGCTTACAGCAGCTACTTTCAACATTTGGAATCCACTGGCGGCTTTTACTACGAGGTGAGACTCTAGTATGATGGTCAAGTTTATTAACAAACAAACATAAATTAGCGGTGGGGAGATGCTCCTATCCACAGCATAGCAGTGTCTCTGTTCGCAGGAAGAGATCAGGTCCATTTCTTCAAGGATATCGGATACAGACATAGTCCATTTCAACATTGCCCGCAAGGTCGAGACTGGAGCAATGGACACTGCTCATGTGATCCAAATGATAACTTTGGTGGGCTTTTTGCAAGATGGTGTGCCTCGCAACATACTGACGGTACCTTGCTAGACTTTGCGCAGAACTCATGTCTGAAGCAATTCATGCGGCTGTTCTAGATGGATAGGTGTAGACACAACCGTGACTACATCCGTACTAGTTGGCAATATACCTGCGAAGTTGGGGGCCATTTTGGGCTTCAAGATGCTGTATTTTTAGGGAGTTAGTTTTTTGTCATCTACCTAGGCACATTGAATGTAAACACGGTAAACGACTGCGCAGTGCGCAGCTTGAGATATTCACGCGTTGGGTCGCGTCGAGCGCGTTGCGGAGTCCGTTTGGGACCATTGAGATGTGCCTGTGCCCCTGGATGACATTCTTGGCACGGAGTTAAATTTAGATTTGGCGGTGAGCTGTCGTCGGAGCGGCCACGCGGGAGCCGATATCCGACAAGGCTGCGGAGAGGAGTTGGCGCGCATCTGTACGTCGTCGGCTATGTACGCAGACTGGACAGTTGCTGGATACCTGTCACACTCTTACTCTCCTCCACATCATCCCCTTTCCTCCCTATCCTCGCCCGTCCCAGGGCGCATACATCAGCCAAGATGATGACCCCAATGCGTTATATCGTATTGGTTCTTGTCATAATCGTCAGCCCGTCCTCTCTGGCCGTTCAATCATGTTCGCTCACCCATAATATGCCACGCAGCTTAGCTTGCACTACATCATGAGCTTCTCGCATGAAGAGTATGGCAAAGCCACCTCATTGGACCGCATCAAGCAATCCTGGTCTGGCCCTAATCCCCCGTACAAAGGCGGAATTCCGGATGAATACTATAAGCCGTCCGCTCCAGTGGACCTCCCCGATCGCAAAGCCAACGCGACCTTTGTCATGCTCGTGCGCAACAGCGACCTCACGGGTATCTTGGGAAGCATGAAGCAGATTGAGGACCGCTTCAACAGGAAATTCCAATACCCCTACGTCTTCCTCAATGAGGAACCGTTTACGGACGAGTTCAAGAAGTCAGCCCTTTGCGATTGGATTCATTATCCGCTGCGTCTTCATGCTGACCCGTGGTCTATAGGCATATTACTTCACTCACTGATGCCCCTGTCGAGTTTGGTCTAATTCCGAATGAAGACTGGGTGCAGCCACCCCATATCGACGAGGAGCGTGCAACTAAGGCGAGGCAAGAGATGGTTGACCAGGGTGTCATTTACGGAGGTGCGTCTCGTATTCCCTGAGTATCTTTTCGAGATTGATCTGACGTGGCGTATCAGGGAGCGTGCCGTAAGTCACAGGCGCTTTCCAGCTGGTTTAAGGTGCTTATTTGCTCAGATACCGCAACATGTGTCGCTTCAATTCGGGAGTGAGTTGTCATCTCGATTCTTTACTGGGCAGCCCTCTGAACTATCATCAACAGCTTTTCTTCAAGCAAGAACTCCTGCAGAAGTACAAGTACTACTGGAGAGTCGAGTATGTCTCTAGTCTGACATTCCGAAAAGGGGTGGCCACTTAATATCCCCCAGGCCAGACATCAAAATCTTCTGTGACGTCGACTATGATCCTTTCCTTGTCATGCAGGATCAAGACAAAGTTTATGGTCAGTAACACTTTCGTCCCCATACAACTTACTGTAAATCAGATTCTATAGGTTTCACCATCTCGCTTTACGAGTATCCTGCCACCATTCCAACATTATGGGATACCACAAGAAGTACGTACTTCCATGGTCGACAGACGTAAGACGTACTCACAGCACCCCAAGAATTCATCAAAGAGAACCCTGGTCTCATGGCTCCCGATAACGCCATGGGTTTCATCTCTGACGACGGCGGTGAAACTTACAACCGCTGCCATTGTAAGTGAACAAACTACTTCTTGTCTCGTTTACTTCACGTTCATATCATGCGACCAGTCTGGAGCAACTTCGAGATAGGCAGCCTTGACTTCTGGAGGGGTGAAGGTTACACGAAATACTTTGACTACTTGGACAAGGAGGGGGGCTTCTATTACGAGGTCAGTGTATAGCCTGGTTTTCCTGTATGCTGTGGTGTACTGAGTTCTGATTTGTGGTTATTGTAGCGCTGGGGTGATGCGCCAGTCCACAGCATTGGTGCCGCCTTGTTCGCCAACAAGAGTCAGATCCACTTCTTTAACGATATAGGGTATCGGCACGAGCCCTTCCAACACTGTCCACAAGGCGACGTGCACGCTGCCGGCAGATGCTGGTGCAACCCATCAGAGAACTTCGGTGAGCACTCATCCGCCCGGGTTAATTACTGCTCAGAGTTTTTAACATTTTCACTTCTATAGATTACGAGTGGTATTCGTGTCTGAATCGATACGACCAGATGTTCTAAAGCATGAGCGCTTCGTGCCTTTGAGCCTGTGGAATAGTGGGAGATGATATATGTCGCATCTTGAATTTGTATGGCGCTTAGATGAAGCATCTGTCTACGTAAAACCGAGATGACATGCCTCGGAGGGCAGGTGCCGCCGTGCGTTTCTGTAGGGGGGGCGTTGCCTAGCTAGTCTCGGCTTATAGTATAGACTGCGAGTAGTATTGATACTGGAATAATACAGCATCCTGTAAACATTTGTATATGGGGTGAAGGTCGGCGTGCACGTACCGAATCGTAGAGACGCGTCCAGTTGGATCCTAGGGAGCTATCAATGAGTCTGTCTACGTGCTCGCCTACGAGCGAGTGTGTCAGGGCGGGTTGGAACCGATCTCGAAGTTGGTTCGCGGTTTGCTCGCCAAAGGCGGCAAAACATGGCATTGAGGAATCTGCGATCGAAGTCAGATCATTGAAGCTGATGCCCTCTTGCAAGCACAACTTACCCTTCTGCATCAATTCCACGAGAGCTAAAGTGAAGTAACGGTGAGTTGATGAGCATCACCTCAAGAGAAACAGCCACTCACTGATGATCCGATCGCAGTGTTTCCGCGCAGCTTCGAAACCCTCCCGAAAAAGACGCTTAAACTCGGCGAACGGTTCACCGTCAATCCCTCCGAGCACCTCCACGTATTCAGGAGGTAACTTGAAAGGAGCCGCCTCGAAGCCAATGTTCCCTGGAGAGTTCGAAAGCATGAAGCCGAAGTCGATGTGGACAACATGCCCTTCTCGGTCTAGCAGGATGTTGCCGTTGTGACGATCCTTGATCTGGAGCAGATATGTGATAACTGAATAACCTATCGCAACCAACTTTTGTTCAGGACCTTTGAAAGAGCAGCATCTTTGGGAGGCACTCACCGGCCATGGACTTGGCAAAGTTCCGTTGCGCGCGCACAAACTTAGCCGAGTTGGCGTCGCCGTATGCCTGCCGCCGCAAAAATACTGAGCTATGAAGCACTGAGGTCCGTTTGCTACATGGGGAGAACTCACGGTCTTGAAGTGGTCCAGCAGCGTCACATAGCCGAACCGGCCTTCGGCCAACCGCCGGGCGTACTCAGCCTTCTTGATCGAATGTATCGAGACGGCGTCCGTGATAGTCTCGACCAGGCCCGAGGAGGCACCGGTAATGAGTATACGGAAACTGGAAACGGCGTAGGTTGAGATGCTGCTTTCCTACACGCGCTGTACTGTCGCCGTCACGAACTTACTATCGCACCCAGCACTGACAGTTTTCTTCGCGCCAGATGTTATCAAACTCTTGGATGAGCTGAACGGCAAGTTGCTCTTGGCGTAGGTCAGCTCCGGTTTTGACGATGACGGAGACACAGTCCCAGTTCGCTGTCGGAGAACATCAGTCAAGTAGATCCATTAGTTTGGGAGTGGCCCTACCTAGATGGCCGTAAGGCGAGCCATGCCGGACGCGGCTCTGGATAAGTTATTCATGACATGACCAGCTGTGATCGGGAGGAATTGTACCTTCTTTGCTGCCCATGACTCACTGAAGACAACAGCGGATGGGTCATCTCTGTTCAGCTCGCGCTTCACAATGTCCTCGTCCTCTGCGGTCTTCATGCTCCCTCTCAGATCGCCTATGCGCATCAATCCTTCCCCCTCCCTGTGCTCTTTCATGCGGGACATCCGCTCCTCCTCTAGCGACATCATCTCCTTCATAATCCGGTCGCGGATGGCAGCCGCTTCCGCATGCTGCACTCTCATGCGCATTGGGGCGGACGCGTCTGCGCCTCGACCGCCTAACGAAGGATGGATAGGTCCATTGGTCGAAGTATCCCCCGAGGATCCAAAAAGGCTCGACCCGGGTATCCAGCTCCGCGAGATCGAGGTAGACGGTGACTCCGACACGGGAGTGGCTAGCGAAGGACTGCCGGACAGCTGCAGGGAAGTCACCGGTTCTCGAACAAGGCTGGCGTTCAGCTGCGCGAGCATGACAGCAGCCGTACGCATCCTCTCCGAGTACTCGTCTAACGAAAGCAGTATTTGTTCGCTGATATCGGCTCCTGACTCAGTGATCACGGGTGTCGTCGATGGTGTGTCAAACCTCCAACCTCTGTTCGACCGTAGTTCTGGCGTGGTTTGTGAGAAAGTCGCCATTTGCTCTAGCCGAGGTGTTACAGGCATGGACGGAGTCCGCGACCAAGCAGCCATGTCAAGTTCCTTGTTTTTGGGTGCGGGAGGAAGGACAATGGATTCCGACAGGTCAATGGGTTTTCGGAGGGATTCACCAACTCCTATGACTTGGTCCACCAGGTCCATTTCCTCATCATCGAGTGAAGTCTGGCTGTTCGGTGCAGTAGATTCTACCTGGATTTCCGGGACATCGTTGTTTTCAGCGTCGAGGATTGCTTCAGCAGTGCTTTTCCCGCCCGATAAGCTCCTTTGCGACACCAGTGGAGGCGCGGTGAAGTTGATGAGGTCTTTAGACGCTCCCTTTTTCTGGCTTTCTTTGGCAACGATGCGTTTGAGTACCTCTTTATTACTCCGTTTCGTCGGGTCAAAGTCCAGATCATCATTAAGAATTTCAATGAGCAAGAGATAGGGTGCACGCTCGGCTGAATTGAGGACCACGCTTTCGCCCGGAGGTATCCGCACAATCTTGTGATGTGGTTGTGTTCCAGGCGGACGAGGTGTATCCGACGAAGAGCACCACATGGGCATACAAACCTTGAAACAATTGTGATAAAACGTATAATTCCATGATACATTAAAGCTCATACCTCTGCTGGGAGCTTGTGATTCAGTGCAGTAAGCTCTGCTCGCAAAGCACTCACACGGGCGGGTTTGGGAACAACAAGTAATCGATTCGATATATTTTCCAACGTCAGTAGGAATTGAACCTTGAATTTGCAATTAGTGCTTATTGGTAACAGATCGGTCAATAGCCATACTTCTGAACGACAGTATTGACTGCGGAGTAAGTATGATTGTGCTGGCAAGTCGTACTGCCGCAGTAGAGCATCCGCCGCGTTTATTTGAGAGGGCCGAAGAGGTTGACGAGTGTGGGATATCGAGGGTGTAGACTGGTATGGTGCGTCGCTGCGATCATTCTGGCCGAGAGGATCGTCTGACATCCGCGGAGGATGTACATTACGAAGTAGAACAAGCGCTGGGCTCGTTTGGGCCGCTGCTATCGTTTTCCTCCGCTTTGGTGTATCAGCTGTACTATGATGTGTGTGGTCTTCTGCCATAGATTTCTCGGTCTTGTTTTCGCTTCCGTCGTCGGAGTTCTCGTCATCGTCGTCGTCAAGATCGTCATCGGCAGTTTCCTTGCGTGGAGACAATGAACCTCCTACACTACCGTCGTCCTCAGCCTTGAGGCTTTTTGAGCTCTCATCCTCAGCACGACCCTGTTCGATCGCTACCTCTCCCATGACACTGGTGAGCCGAGGCATCGCAGGGGCTCCAGCCAAAACGAGAGCGATCCCTACAAGAGCAGGCTCGGAGAGAGGTTTGACCTTCTTACGCGAGGAGAACGGGGAGAAAGTGATGCTCATGCCGGAATAAGGACCGGAGTTTGGGGTAGGGAGATCACCAAAGATGATTTCGTGGCACTGATGTAGAGTCCGCTGACATACTTTGAAAGATGGTGTATTTGGAGATGAGCTAAGGTCCTGCAGGGATGACTGCATGAACCAGAGCGTCTGTAGTGGTGAGGCGCGCGTCAGGCGCGAGATCCGGCGATGGTGTTCCTCGCGTCACGCACCAGCATGGCAATGTGAGTGGACTTGCGGGAGATGTCCACCACGAAGCATTCTAAAGCGCGAGACTTGGACGGTCGCGTTATGAGAAGGTGACTGAGACCAAGAGGGATTATTGAGAACAGATTGCGGGGTGTTTGTGAGATGAGATTACCAGATGAATCCCCAGACCTCGCGTAGCTCGTGCGTGTCATACTCCCGTAGCCTGCGGGTGAGATAGTAGGTGATACCTATGTTATCTGCATAGAGCATGAGGTAGCGAAGAGCGACATGGACAGAGAAGAAGGAGGGGGAGAGAAAGAGACGGAGGAGGAGGGCATGGGACATGGCTTGGGTGACTCGCAGGCAGCCTGTCCAGTGTCGACTCTGTCCTCCGCCGCCGGGTCGTCCGGGGACACGGTGCCTATGTATATATCATTCCCACGGTCGACACGTTCACACTAGAATGCTATTATTCGATCACTACACTTTTAGTTACTCTCTTGTACTGGTCACTTGCGCTTGTCGTCACTCCTCTCGACACGTCGCCAATATGCTTTGGCCCCTCCTCGCACTTTTTCTCGTCCCTCTTGGCGTTGCAGCCAGAAAGTCTCCCCACCAGGAGCTCGTCGACCTTGCAGCTGCCGGCAATGGCCACATCAGGCTCGACGAGCGCACCTTCGACCTCTTGACTGCGCCAAGCCGTAACTGGTCTGCCGCAGTCCAGTTCACGGCAATGGACGCCAGGCGCAGGTGTACTCCTTGCAAGCAAGTCCTCCTTCTCGCGTTCTCCAACTGTGTCTGACCGCTGCCCCCAGGGAATTTGATCCTTCTTTCGTTGCCGTTGCACAGGCATGGCATACCGCTCCCCAAGCCGACCGCGACTCGCACTTCTTCGGGACGGTCGATTTTGACGAGGCATCCGCAGTGTTCCAGAAGGTATGTGTTCTCCTCAGGGCCTTGACATCGTGCACTTAACATGGGTATAGCTTGCCATGGCCTCTGCCCCTGTCGTCCATGTCTATCCTCCTACCGATGGACCCCGCCGCCCGGCCAACGGCAAGACCGCCGCGTCTAAATACGACTTCTCCAAGTAAGCACACGCACTTTATCCCTCCTCCTCCGGGAACCCCGTCTCAACTCGCATACACCCATAGCGGCTTCGAGGCTGGCCCTCTTGCAGAGCAGCTCTCGCGTCACACACCCATCCCCATCCCTTACAAGGCGCCCTTCAACTGGGGCCGCCTCGGCGCGTTCGCGGCCCTCATCCCCATCCTCGCGCTCGTCTTCCGGTTCATCGCTCCCCTTGCGAACAACCGCTGGGTCTGGGCGGCCGGCACCGTCGTTCTTTCTATCGTCATGACCTCGGGCTACATGTTCACTCAGATTCGCGGCGTGCCGTGGTCCGGTCCTAACGGAGCATGGATTGCGCAGGGCTACTCCAACCAGTTTGGCCAGGAAGTGCAAGTCGTATCGGTAGTCTGTATGTATTTCTCACTTCACGAATTCTCAGCCAACCAAAGCTTACATTATCATAGACGGCGTACTCGCAATCTCTTTCTTGATGTTGACCATCGTCGCCCCTTATCAGCAGTCGCCAGGACGCCAGCGCACTCAAATCTATCTCTGGACTGCGGTCAATTTCATTGTCTTCTCGATCCTTGTCTCCTTGTTCCGCGTCAAGAACAGAGGTAAGAGTCCTCTGTACTACAGTTTTCGCACAGTACGCTTATGAATTATAACCAGGGTACCCCTTCAAGCTCTTCTTTTAAATTGTTTGCGCTACTTAGGTATCAACAGATGTTGCTGTAAAATCCGTGAAATTCTAATCATAACTAGAACGTCGGCAACATATACAAAGCGTGTGCGAGCGACATGAATAAATGATGCGTTATAATAAGTGTCAATGTCGTTAACGGCGTGCATACTACCTAAGGGGATTAACCTATGCACCACCGCCTTCTTGTTGGAAAACGTCAACGTAACGATTCCGTACGCTCCGCTTCGCTGCCTGCGAGCGAGGTCGTCCCATCGGCGGTGGGGGCGTGCCGCTTGCATCTGGCAACGGCGTGGGGGGTAAAGAAGCCACGTCGCTCGGAACCAGGTTCGAGCGAGTGCGAGCCATTGGCTTGGCCTGGAAGCCCTGACCAAGATCAATGGCGGAAGCAGGCCGAGATGGCGGAGGTGCTGAGGGGGGAGGTAGAGGACTTCGTGGTGGAGGTGCACCGCCCATGGCCCTAGCAGGAGATGCAGTTTGTGCCCTTGATGGTGGCGGTGGGGTTGCCGCTGGTTTTGCCTCTTCAGCTCCAGCCTATACCAAGTTAGCTTCACCCTACGGCGCAAAATTGTGTTAACTGACCGTCTTGTTCACCCACTTCTTGAGATCCTTGTCATAATAGAAGGTTACCTCTTGTCCGAGGTTGGCCTTGACAGGTGCTGGGGAGTCTGCCTTCTTACCTCCCCATAAGCGGCCAAGCCAAGACCCACTCGAAGCGCCGGCTGGTGCAGCAGGTGGCTTCTCTGAAAAAAGTGTCAGTACATACTATCACCACTGAGTAGCTGTCCATACCAGGTTTTGCCTCAGCCTTCTTAGGTTCCTCGACCGGGGTAGGTTTATCGCCATTCTCCGCGCCCTGGACAGGGGTTGACCGCTTTGATGAACTGTTCCCAAGACCGAGGTCATCTTCGTCATCTACGATGTTGTCGCGTCGCGCGACGTAGTTCTGGGGGATGGGTGGACTGGGCGTCACAGATAATGCGGGATCATCCATCAGGGAGATGAACCCGTTGGAGGATTCATGAGCATCGTCCAATTGGTGGAATGTGTTTGCAGTTGGCGTATTGGCACTGTCAGCGTTTCCAAGCGAATTCCACCAGCCCGACTCCTGCGCGGGTTCCTGCGAAGTTTCCTCAGCGGCACCGCTGTTCTCCTCCTCCATGACCTCAAGGGAAGGTTTCCTTGACAGTGAATCCCCGCTAGCTTGTGAAGAGGCGTACCCATTGCCGTAATAGCCATGCGGTGCTGAAGGCATTGACGTTGTTGAAGGCAAAGATGACGGGTAGGCAGGAACCTTGTTCGGCGCTGGAGACGTCCTCCTATTTGGTCGGTGCATGTCCATGGCCGAGGAAGCACGGTTGCCCGGAGCGTACGGGTTGGGCGCAGACCGGGTTGACAAAGCAGATCCTGTGCGTTGCGGTGGCGGAGTAGGAGCACCGTTATGCAGGTTACTGTACGAAGGAGGGGGAGGCGTTGAACTTGCAGAAGGCACCGCAGAGGATATTGTGCTATATTGAGAAAACGGCCCCGAGAAGTTTGGCTGGGGGTGAACCGGCTCCTTGTTGGGGTGCGCAGTCTCTTCTCCCTCGCCGGCAATGAATTTGGTGAGCCTTCCTTCCAACCAGCTTCCCAGGCTATCCAAGCTAGGCTTGGTTACCTTGCCCCCGATCCATGAGCCAGCCTTGTCCACTTGAGGTGCGCCAGTCAGCCGATCTGCAAGGACCTTCAGCCGCTCGACCATAATTACGTTAAGATACTGTGATGGACGACCGAGAGAGGCAGTAATGGACTCGCAATACCTTGATCAAAGTCAGCTGAGAATCAAATGTTACAGATTTCTACACACTTGCTAGCGGATTGCACATAACCCAATTCGGCAAGGGCGTAAGCTCGAACCAGCTTGTATGCCTGTAGATGAGGAAGGCCACCAAACGTCTCCTGTCCCTTCACAGCTGGCTTCAGAGAGAGCGCGAACTCCAGTATCTCAGACAAGACAATGGAGTCTTGCTCCTTGCTGAAAGTTGGTAAGTAACCGGGACTCTGCGAGCCTAGCAATATAATCCGAGAGGAGGGCGTTCCAACGCCACCCAGAGGCGATGTTGCGGGAGCCAGCAAGTAACTACAACCAATGTCAGATGTTGTTGAGGGGAGATACATAAACACATACCAGCAATGTGCGCCTTCTACCATTTGATGGGACAAAAGGTGATCTCCCAGTGCTGTCAGCATTGCTGAAGTTTCTGGACCCATAGGACTGCTAATGACTGAAGCAACAATCTCCGGCCACTTGCCTAATGATTCTGAAGGGATCTGAGCAGTTGTCACTGCTGAAGGGAAGTTAGGGGACATTGGTGTGATGTGGGCGAGCGAAGGAGCAGGCAGTTGCAAGCCACTGTCTTGCTTGGCGAGGTTGTTGGTAGGAATCATCTCCTGAACTAAAACAAACATCAAACAAAGGAAACAAGACGAAGGCTCGGCAAACATACCAGCAGAAACTCCCTGGCCAGAGAATAGACTGTATACAACTCTCAGCCATTCTCGGCTAGAGCCAGGCGATCCAGCTGCTTCGGTGGGCACACCAAGTTCACATTTGAGGAATTCACTAACGACTTCTTTCCATGCTTCTTTATCAATGCCACTCGCGATCACCATTGCATGAGCCCAAAGTTTCTGGTCCAGTGCGTAGTGATAAGCCTTACGCCGCTCCCCTCTAACGAGGAACTCCTGAATTTTATCCAGCGCCGAAGCAGTGAGAGTAGTCGTGGAAATCGGTGGTTCGTTGATGACCGGAGCTACAGTAGAACTGAAACCGTATGCATTGCTCAAAGGTGAAGCAAAAGATGGCGTCATGAGCTCAGACCCCACTTCGGCAGGATCACCTGAAGCAAGGTGTGGGAATAGTGCAGACCGTATGGCTGAGTCGTTACTTGGGCTGTGTGGGAGTTGGGTCAGTATTCAGATAAGATTGTAAAGGTACACACCTTCCGGACAACAGTCCATCGTTATCCACCATGATCTTGAGTAACTTCAGCAACGCCAACTTCCCTCGTGTACTGCGATCCTCTGGGCTATCCGACGAGAGGTAAGGAACTCCTTTGGATAGCTCTTCCATACGATCTTCGAGGTATTTGGCGACGCGGGCTTTCCTGGTCTTGGCCTGAGCTGCACCCGTCCGAACCAAACTTGTGACAGGAGACCCAGGGTCGCCAAAGAGCGGGCCAGGGAACGTTCCAAATGATGAATCCAAAGCAGACTCGGGTATAATCTCCTTTAACGTTCGGATCTGAACGTCCATCGACTTACGAGACGACAGGGCCACGTCAAAGCCAGTGCTCAGGCCACCAGCACCATGGAAACAGGTTAGAAACTTGCCACCAAAGCCGAAGCTGAACACCGGAATGCGCGCTGAAGTCCGGCCAAGAGGATCGTTCGAGCCTAGAAGGGAAGGCGAAGGCGCATAGAGCCCACGAGCTGGAGGGGAAACATACAGGTCTTGCCCCAAAGACGCGTTGTTAGCCGGAGCGGCGGGAGGCGCGTACGCGTTGTTGATACTTGTCGGAAGAGCGGAAACGTCCACTGGCGACACAGAGGAAAATCCACTGTCTGATCGGGGACGCAGCTTTGACGGTGACGTTTGGGTCTTTGGCGTATACGGGTCGTACGGGGAGTGTTGTGCCGGCGGAGCTGGGGCAGAGGTTGCATTCCCTGCATACGCAGGAGCATTCGAGGGTTTAGGTGGTCCATACGGAACGTAAGGGGAGTATGCGGGCGAGCGATGTGATGCAACTGAATGGCGGCTACCGGTGGATCGAGTGGAAATAGGTGAGCTTGGAGATTCAGGTCCCGGAACTGGAGGGGTATAATCTTGTCCTGAGCCATAGCGCGTGTCAAGACTATCTACTATCTCGGACCGCAGGGGCGAGGACACCCTTTGAAGTGGACTCGACCTAGGGGAAGAATGTCCCGCTGAACCATGAGAGCCTCGCTTGAAATGGGCCGTTGGCTTAGGAGATCCATGTCCCTGGCGAACAGCTTGTGGTGAAGAGGGAACGCTGGAATGAACCGGGCTGAAAACCGCCTCCGGATCATGCTCCTCGATAGAGGTCGGTGCTCCGACGTTTGCGAACGTACCCATCTCACTGGTAACGCCGTCTGCACCCTGTCCCACGGGGTTCTCCCCGGCAAGTCCAGCCTCGCCGACCTTCGCATCCCAACCACCATGGTCTTCCCCGTCGACAACACCTCCTTCAAAGCCATAGCTCTCACTTGGTTGTTCTGGATTATAGGCGGGGATGTCTTCACCGAATGGTTTCTCGAACGTTTGACGAGGTGTAGGCGCCTCTTCTGCCAGATCTACCTCCGAGGTCTGTGGGGCGTATGGATCGGGACTGGACCGAGCCTTCATCTCAGGCATTGACAAATCTTCAGTAGCAGAAGTACCGAAGTAGTCATCTGCCGGTGGTGGCTCCGTGTTTCCGTGCTCAAAAAGAGCATATCCTTCGGCTGAAGGAGCACGAGCTGGAGGCGGGGGAAGCTGGGCGTCGGCCCCATGCTGGCCGTAGCTATGGCCAGTCGCAAGGCCCTCAGAGTTGAGTGGGACCTGAGGGTTATATTGAACTACCGGAGGGGTGGCTCGAGCATTAGCGCCAGAGTAAGGGCTGTACGGGTTAGCGAGTGGAGCTTGGGTACTTGTGGGTGGGAGAGGGCTATACCGATCGCTGGCTAGAGGAGCAGCCTGGGTACCCGCGACTGGGCGAGGGCTGTATCGGTCATTGGCAGGGGGTGGGTGGCTAACCGCGACAGGACGAGGGCTGTACCGATCGCTAGCAGGAGGACGTGGAGACCCGACTGAGTAAGGATCATAAACACTGTTGTTTGAAGTAATATGCGCTGAATGACCCATCGGCTCATGACCAACACATCCACCGTATGCATGCCCACCTTGCGGAGGTTGAAACGCGTCGCGTGAGGGTGCACGGGGTGGAGCCGCTCTCGGGGGAGGAGGCGTTGCCCTGGGAGGTGGAGGAGAAAGCATGCTAGAACCTCTGTTAGGCGGAGGCGGCGGAGTGGACACCGGTGAAGGCGTGTAGGTGTTCATTGCTGGAGTATATGCAGGGCTGCGTCCGCTCGTTGCACGCTTCGGTTTTGGCGGCGGGATCGGCGGATCGTATGCATTGGATACTTTTGGACGGAAGGCATCCGCAGACGCAGGGGTCGGAGGAGGCATCGTGGCAGGTACCATAGGAGATCGCATTGGCTGGGACACAGGAGGGGTGTAGGACGCGTACTGCGATTGTTGGGGTTTCTGTGCCGTCGCAAATGGCTTGTAAGGGTCTACGGCAGCTTGTGCAGAGGATAAAGGTGCTTGAGTGGGAGCAAGGGTTGAATTTGCAGATGGTCGATACGAATCGTACGCATAGCTGGAAGCACCATATTGCCCACTAGAGTAGGGATTACTCTGCTGCCCATAGCTACTTGCCACCGGAGCTGCAGGCGCATAGGGGTTCGCTGGAGGAGCGGCAGTAGCATGTTGCTCTGATATACACGCAAGTCAGCGAAAAAGGATTCTATTCGCGGCAAGGTTCTGAGAACGTACGATACGTGCTGTATCCAGTGTTCTGCGGTAATCCATTATAGATACTTTGAGAGCTGGAATCCGACGGTAAGCCACTGTAAGCACTCTGCGTATATTGAGTGCCAGTGCTCTGGGGTGACGCTGCATAACTGTCTACCTGTGAGCCCTGTCCAGCGGGACTCAACCAGTTTCCAGACCCAAACGTCTCGGATTGGGATGTATCGGCAGAACCAAACAGACTGGATGCATCCTGACTCGCATGCGTTGAGTTGGTATCGAACGGGGACGCTCCGTGTTCTTGACCTGGCGGTGTTGCACCGTGAGCCGGAGATGTCGTGTCCCGTTCTTCGTCGCTTCCTATGACAGCAAACGGATCAGAAGCCGCGCTGGAATCGCCCCCAAACAACGAGGCGGCAGCTTCGACCGAGCTCATGACGGGACAGTCGGAGTTGGAGGAGGAAGGAGGAGGAGGAGCGTGCGCCGTACGGGACTACTTCAGTTGGGCGCTCCAAGCGGCTTGAATTACTTCGTAACGATGTTTACCAAAGTTTGTTGAATTCCCCGAAAGCCCAGCCGAGACCGACACTCGGGCGATCCTCCGACTCGTCCACGTTAGCCACGTTGACATTTCGCAAGCTTTCCCCAGAACCTCGCTCACTATACTCTAAAGTCCTCGTGATCACTCTTAAGTCATAATTTCTGACCAGGTATTGCTCCCTAGGTAATGATCACACATTCTCGGAAGGAAACAGCAATTCCAGAATATTATTACCGCCAGAAAAGTGGGTATGCGAGTGTATGATATACGAGTGCTAGTATGTGCTATGTAACGACAAGCACTGCGGAATTGGGAGTCCATTTGAATGTCTATTTGCGAGTTGCTAGAAGAAGCCAAGAGCTAGGTATTGGACACCAGAAGCAGATTGATCAATGCGACAGCTGGAAAGAGAAAGCAAGGAAGGTTATATCCAGGATATTGAAAAGAACGACTAAACAGATTGTGCGATTAAACAAGCAGTTGTGTGCAGACACTGTAAGCAAGAGCAGATTCGAGAGATTATACCATAGCATTACGACGATGGATTGATGATGGATGCGAAGACTCATGCTATTATATGGTTTACTGAGATATTGAGGGGTAGTCTGTGGGTTTGTCCGATGCGAGAGACCGTTCTAAAGCACGTTCGACTGGGGGAAATAGATTAGATTGGGTGCTAATAATACTGGAACGACTCCTCACTTGAAATAAGGTGTTTGCTGTAGGCGCTAGAGTACCGTCGCATGGCGGTAAGTTGAGGGCGTATTTTATTAGCAAGAATTTCTTTCTGCTCGCCCTCGGCAACAGTCAGAGCACGTTGTAGCACATAGTCTTCAACGAACGTTATTAAATGTCCTTGCATGATATGGGATAAAATATTGCTTACTGGCATACTGATCCTTCATCATGGACACGATGGGGCTGACACCATCGGCCTTGGGAGTAATGATCTCGTCAATGAGAGTACGACGCTCGTCGTAATTAGCGGTGACAAGAGCCTTCTCGCAGACGTTCGACGCGAATTTGTGCCGAGCCATATTCAAGAGCTGACCACGGAGTTTCGTTATGACGAGGGAGCGATCATGCGGCTGACATTTCTCGAGCACGAATTGGACGACATAGTTCTACACGGTGTGATTAGCGACCGAAATGACTCGATGACAAATGTGACGTACCCCGAATTGATCTTGCATAAGGTTAATTACATACTTGTGCAGCTCGTCCATAAGAGAACGAGTCATGTCATCAGGAAGGTGCTCCAGACATCTTTGGAGAACGCGACAGCCGTAAGGATGAGTGGAGAGATCATACACGTTCCCGCGGAAACTATGGACAAAACCAAGCTTATCGGCAGCAACACGCTCGATGAGTTTCTGAATGACCTGAAGGACAATCAGCTTTGCTGTGACCACGTCATAAGTTCGATGTACGTACATGATTGCCATTGGCGTCCTTTACGCATCTGGCGAGGTGCGGTTCAAGCTCCCTTACAAATTTGCCTTGTTGCTCGGGAAGAATGAACTCGATCGCCTAAACCATCAACACGTAAGTAAGTTGAACGCAAGTAAACAACCGGGAGGCTAAACCTTTTGGATGACGCGACAGCCATACATCTGCAGAGATAATGGCAGTACATGTCCCTCCAACGTGTTTGCCAACGCGGACTTCTGGATCTGAGTGCCATGCTCAAAGAGTTTTTGGATGACCTGCCGACAGATAAGCAAAATCGCCGATTTTCTCGGCAATGAGGACGTACGTAATTGCCAAAGACATCCTGAGAAAGAGCAAGTGTGTGGCTGGGGACGATTTCATCGAATATTCTTTGTTTCTCGTCGCTAGATGCGCTCTCGAGCTTCTGCTGAATGAAACGCGAGCCATGTTGATCGCCACTGAACTCAACGACATAGCCATAAATGTCCTAAAACAAAAGTTGGAGAGTCCATTGCGGGTGCAAACGTAAATAGCTTACACGAAGCTCCCATTTCCTAGTCTTGTTCGCTCGGAACTCTTCGAGGAGGGGGCTCCGTAAACTTGGGTCATTGCGATCACGGCGACCTGCCCTTGCATTCTGCGCATAGAAGGGTACTGCAGGTACGCCCGATTGCGCATATAAACCTCCATTTGGCATCATGAATGGAACTTGACCACCGAAGTCGCCAAAGCCCTGAACGCCAAGAAACTGTCAGAGCCGAAACGAGAGACCATTTATGGCTATCAATTACCTGAGGATGCATCCCGAACTAACGTCCGAATAATCAGCATGGATCCAGTTGTATGCACAATAAACACTCACTTGTTTCTTGCCCGGCATGGACGCCGGCACAGCGGCGCTGAGCTGAGGAGTTGGCATCGGAGAGTGCGATGGAAGAGCGGCAAACATCATAGCTTGATGGTGAGGATAGTAGAAACCAGGAGCAGTGCGTGCAGAGAGAGAGAAGTCGTAGTACATGCCAGCCTGCTGACCGGCCGCAACAGGATGAGCACCAGAGGGAATATTAGCGGGGTACAGATTATTGGAGGAAGGGTTAGTTACACCAGCAGCATGGTATACGGAAGCATCCTGTCCATTATTATAGCCGTATGAATAGTCGGCGTAAGGGTCGCGTACCGCGCCGTTTGCGTAATATTGGGAATAATCGCCGGGGGTTCCCGCTGGAAAATTCCCATAAGGTGCGCGTGGTTGGGTCATCTGGGGTGGAGGTCGTGTTTGAGGGAGAGTAGAGCGGCCAGTGGGGTTAGTGTTCGAGGGAGCCACCGCTGGAGATCGGTACTGGTTGCCGGTGGTATGCTCTTCTTCGACGGCCATCCCGCGGAGGCCCATAGAGAGCTCGTTCTCAACGACTGCAGACAAAGGAAGAGATTCATAACTGCCGGCTTGAGCACCAAACGCGGTGGTGGAGTGTGCTGAGGACGAGGCAGGATACCGGTGCTGTGCGGACTCGTTCCCTGACGCATTGTCGAAGCGCTGAGGCGAATACTGCCCGGACTTTGCCGAGGCCCGATCATCCTTTTGAAATTGAATACAGGAAACACCCAACCAAAAAAGGCAACCTTACCGCAGCGCGAGGATGAGGCAGAGTTTGTTGCGTTCTCGCTCTCGCCTGTTGCAACGACAACGCCGAGCTCGAATCCTGCCTCAACGTTTCAGAACAGCTCGCTCCATCTTAGAGCAACGTGAAACGTACTAGGATATACTCCGGTTGCTGTTGCGCACTCTCCACCATCTCATCCCAGCTACTTCCTGATGGACGCGTCGCGTTCCAGTTGTCGCCGATACCGCCTCGAAAGCCGTTGTCCATCTGACGCGGTGATAGTTCGTTACTCGTAAGTCCCGACGCAGAATTCTTAGACGGAGTCGACCAAACCTATGCGCGAACGTGTTTTTACAACAAGCTTCCACGTGTTGAATCAAGACAAGCTTACCTGCCAGCCAGCGCTCAAAGGTTTTAATCCTTGTCCACTAGTCATGCCAACTCCAAACATGGCGTTGGCTGCTTGTCCGCTGAGAGCTTTTTGAGACTGCTCAAAAGAAGGGTTTCAACGTGCCGAACGGACGTTCATACGCCACAAAATACGTACATGACCAGGCGAGGGAGAGGGAGTGTGGCGCGAGGAGCGAGTTGACGAACCAGATGGTTTGCGCGAAGTATCTCCTGGGCGAGCTGACATTAAGGTATAATGACCAAAATTTGTGCACTGACGCACGAGATGAGTACGGTTCCAGTCAACGAGGGAAAGAAGAGAACTGACAGATGAAAGATATTATTATATATGGACGAGCTATGTTGCGAGAAGGTAACTGGAAGAAACAAACAGTGACTGTCAGTATGGACGCGTGTTTAAATGAGGAGCGGGTGGAGACCCGGCTAGAAAGACGCGTCCAGAGAGAGGTAAAGGAAAGAGTGACGGGGAAAGCGTGTTGTTTCTTGGTTCGAGGGCGCGTGCAGGGTCGGAGGGATAACTGACCAATGAATGACTATCTAGGAGCGCGCTTGCGGAGCCGAGGTCTCCGGCGTTGGTTGCAAGAAGTTAGGAGAGTCAATCAACGCGACGAGTCGAACGCGTGGCCGGCAAGAGAGGAGTGGATGGGTGAAAATGAGTGGTAAGGAGAGGGTATGTAATGGAGGGAGCGGAATTATTAGGCCAACCATGTTCGCATTTGCTTCCGTTGACCCGTACGGTACGCGAATGCATCGGCTTTAGGCCAGGCGCCCAACATATCCTGTGACGTCTCAGCTTGGCCAGGTCCCCGTCAAATCAGCTTAGTTCGCCTAAGAAATAAATTTTCAGGAAGTCCCATTAATTTTGGTGCGTGCCCTCCCCCAATTTTGTTCCGACTTTGATGCCGCCGTCTTTCCATCTGCCTTCTGTTCACAGAAGCCGATCGCTCGCTTATCCAAAACGGGCTGCCCGACGCCAACCTTATTCCTGCTCCGGCTCCGTTGACGCGTTCCGCTCATCGCAACTGGCTTGATGCGCGTGCTTCGTATCCCAACTCCCGTCTTCCATCGACCCAGAGTTTCCATTCCATGTCTTCTTGTCTTCTTTGAAGCTTCTGCATGTTGGACAGCCGACGCCGGCTTTCCTCACCATGCGCCCCACCGCAGGCCCGCCAATCTCCACGAATAAATGAAAAACACAACGTTCAAAGGCTCTCTTTCTCCGACCGGATCTGGACACGCGATGACGTCCTCTCATCCATAAATGGTAAAAATGGCTTAGTATACAATCTCAGATAGTACTGACAAGCTCCCCGCAGTGTGTCTGAAGGGCTTGCATTAAGGAAACGATGGATATTAAATGCCAACGATGACGGTGTAGGGACAGGGGAGGGTATCAGAGCAGAGCAGTCGCAAATCCTGTCTGTGTCTATCGAGAAGTGAAGAACCACGACGCCCGCTTTGCTGTGTGAACCGGTTAGTATGTCCGACGGAAGACTCACGTAAATCTCAAACTCACCACCACTGTGGTCCGACGCGTACACGATCACGACATCCAAGCATCAGTACACGACCTCAAGGCAGCAACATGTCACTTACCCTCCGTCTTCGTTCTGCAGTCTGGCCAATGGGTTCGCCGACGAGGCGCCTCCTGCTACAGGGCCACCACTGACACCAGAAGCTGCCGCAGACCCTCCTCCACCTCGCAAGGGTTTGGCAATTCGTCCAAAGCCCAACGTTGTGGTGGACGCCTTCTGGGCTGTTGAAAATTCAATGTTATTAGCACATCGTTTGAATGAAGGATATCGGTCCGGTCTACCTCGTGCTTGATCCAGTCTGTCTTTAACCGACTGCAACTGGGCTTCAAACTTCTGATTCTGGACGGCTAGACGACGGTCAGCATCTTGCAAGAGTGTCTCAAGGTTCTGTATCCGCTCGTTGCGTGCAAGCAGCTTCCGCTCCGCAATGCCGGCCTCCTTTTTCAAGGCAGAGTTCTGGTCCACGAGCTATGATAGATGTTCAGGGTCGGCGGACGAAGCAGACAACTTATGACCCGTGCAACTCACCTGCTTCTGCACAAGAGTCAGCTGCTCTAGATTACGTTCGAGGAACGCCATCTTCTTCTGCTGGGCCTTGCTGTTGCTGTTGCGAATGACATTGTTGTACTGCTCCTTAATCTCATCTAATTGGATCTCAAGCTCAACGACCTGTAGAAAAAATTAAGTGACTTGTAGCTCGATTGTAGCTTGAACAGGCGCCTTCTCACCTTCTCGCATCGGTTCTGCAAGTCACGCATGAGGCTCTTCTTAACTCCATCAAACTCGGCCAATTGAACATTGATGGCTTTGCGTGTCCGCTCGAGATCCTGAGCGCTCTCGGCCAGGTTCTTGCCGCCCTCAATACCGGCAGACGTCACTGCAAATGCGCGCTGAAATGGGTGTTAGCTTTGTCCCACTCAGTCACTGCATTGAAGTACCTTGAGTTCCTCGTTCACGCTTTTGAGGCTGTCGATCGTGGCATTTAGCGAGCGGATCTCGTTGCTCTTGATCTCCATCTGCTGCTTCAGGTCTGCGACTTCGGCAATGCTGGCGTCCCTCTTAGCCGCATATTGAGTCTCAAGTTTGCTCTGTCATACACATCGCGAAGAAGATTAAAGAGCTCGAAAGATAGATTACTAAGACAAACCTTGAACTCAGCCATCGTGTCACCGGCGTCAACATTGCTCGTTTCCTCGTCGTGAATAGTCTTCTCTGCTCAAGAGGTTAGCATGGTGTAGAGATCGACTGTGTCACAAATACCTAGCAGCTCCTCGTACTCAGCTTCCAAAGAATTGAGGCGAGTCTCAAGTTCGTCACGCCGGCGGGCAATCATCTCAGCCTCTTCCTGACTCTGTTGCAAACGATCAACGGTCTCGCGGACTAATGACTGGTTCTCGGTAAGCGAGCGGCGAGCAGCTACCACGTCGTCCACGCTGAGGTTTGCCACAGCGTCCTGGGAGTCAATGGCATCAAGCTTGGCCAGCAGCTGACGAAGCTGTTCGTCTTTCTCAGAGAATGCGCCTTGCTGGAGACCATATAACATCAGTTCCGAACGTGTTGGCCAGGATGTTGGGCTTACAGCGTCAAACTTAGCCATCATCAAAGCCATCTTCTCCTGCTTGCGCCTTTCCTTGTCTTCGGCAGAAGCATCCTTCTGAGAGGTGCGAAGCTCAGTGATAACCCTCTTAAGCTCGTCGAGCTCATTCTTGCCATCCTGGTTCTGCTCCTTCAGGATGTCGATGGTAATGCTGCTCTCCTTGTTGTCATAGTCAAGACGTTCAACTTGAAGACGGAGCTCGTTGAGGTTAGCAGACATTAATTTGTTCTCCTGCAAAGCTTCTCAGTAATGTTACCCTGACAAAAGCGACTGCACACACGTTTGACAAAGAAGTCTCTTGCTCCTTGAGGAAAGTCAATTCCTCCCGGAGCTCCTTGACAAGCTTGTCGGCGCCAGTCAAAGCGCTCTCCCTCTCAGCCAACTGATCGCTGAGCTCATTCTCTCTCCGTAAGAAGTCCTCCCTCTCATCTTTGTCGAGGCCAACTACAGTCGGCGTCTGAGGGCGGCTGTCAGCTTCATTCTTGATGCCCTCAACAAGTGGGTTGACAGGGGTCATGCTGCGAGTAGAAGGAGGTGTAGGCGAGGCTGCCGCCGATTTCTTGGGCGCAATCGGCTTATCAGCGGTTGTCCAGTCTGCCTGGTCGACCTGTCCACCAGAACGCCATATAGCAAGCTCGGCCTCGAGGGCTTGGATATACGTCTGGTGCTTGGTGTTTGCAATGTTTGCTTTCGAAAGCAGACCCTTGAGTTCCAGTGGGGAAAGCTCGGCATTGACACGGGCAGTGTTCTTGATAGACTTTGCACGGATACCGAACCGGAGAGTGCCCAACGTCTCAGATTCGTTATACACCGACGGTGAGCAGTTGATGATGAGAGTTGTCCGTGAGTTACCACCAAGAGATTCTTGCAGAATACGCGTAAGCTTCGAGTCACGATAAGGGATATGTTTGGCCTGAAGGAAGGTATCAGTGCGAGGTCAAAAGATCATGTCATTTCAGACGTACTTTGCTGTCAGTAAGTGCATTGATGACCATACCAAGCGCAGACAAAGACTTGTTGATCTTCTTCGCTTCCTCGAGGGTCTGACCCGACGCGCCAGTTTTACCGACTTTCTCGGAACCAGCCAGATCGACGAGATAGAGGTTACCGGTCTTCAGAGCACCAGACTCAGTATTTCGTTGCTGGATCGTAATGAGGAAGATGGAATGTGATCGTGAACTCTCGGCGTTCATATCTGCACCACAAAAATAAGGCATTGGAAGGCTTTCAGAGGATAGATGAATGCTTACTAGTCGACGTGACAACACGAGCAGCACCACCTTGACGCATGATTTCGTACACCTCTCGCGCACTGCTCACGTAGTAATCTGACAGGTTCTTGACATAGACGCCCTTTGATTTCTCCTCATGCACTTGCAGGTTATCGTTTTGGGCTTCAAAAGTTGTGAGATTGGGCATGCAATAGACTTTTAGCAAAAGCAGCACTTACGTGCGAGAAGATCGCGAATGCGCTCGAGATAGATCTCCATGTAGGACACCTTGACAACGTATTCGAGATGTGACTCTGACTCTACAATGGACTGGAAGATTTGCTCCGTTATGCGTGGTATGATTCCCTTCAAATCTTCCGAGTCGATGTCGGCACCCTGACAATAGTGAGCACGCGTGATTTGTTGGTGGAGGGAGGAAGTGCGTACCATCATCGTGAATGTCTTTCCACTACCAGTTTGACCATACGCGAAGACAGTGCCATTGTATCCGTCCAAGACATCTATCGGCACACGTCAACCGAGATCGAAAGGATATGGGCGATGGGAAGAGTGTGCGACGCCGTAATGACGCGATTTAAGTTAGAGAAACATACCCTTTACGATGCTGAAAAGGTGTTGCCACGTTAGCGTCATGCGCGACGCGACACGTGAAATGGGATAGCTCACTCTTTCACGCCATAGTCAAAGACTTCGTGCTGCTGGGTGCCCATAGGGAAGACCCTGTCGAACGTGAAACCAGCCTTCTCCGGGCCTGAGATTGCCTGGGAGTTCTTCATCTGTACGGTTGTGAAGGAATCATCGAAGGCGACGACAATATCGCCGCCCTCTCTCAGTTCGAGAGCATTGGGAGGTCGAAACCTGGCATGGTATTAGATATGGAGGAAGAGAGCGAAGTGTCGGAAGGAGATATGTGAGCTGGAAGTAGTTGATTGCTTGCTTACCTGCAGACAACCTTGATGTTGGTCGAAGACATGATCGCCGATCCGTCTGCTGGAGAGATGAGAGCCTAGCGAGAGCCTGACGGCAGTAGGAGGGCCTCAAGCGTAGCAGAAGGTACGGGGCCTGCGACCGACAAAGGAGAGAGGTGATCGCGACAGGAACTGCTGGCTGCTGCTACCAAAATGAGTGTCGCGGTGGAAGGCAGCACGGCGCGCCAGCCTGCCCTTCCAATTCAGTCTCAGTACTAGTGGCTGCTGACACTTGTAGCTTACGATAGCTTACGACAGTTCTTGCCTACACTTTGCTCTGCGCAATGTTCTGAGAAAGAAAATCAGACAAGGGCTACAAAATTAACATTGTACGGCTCAATGCTAAGCGCTAGAGTATTACATGCAACTTGATATGCAAAATGGGCTGTATACTTAGGGTACGAAAATATGCAACTTGGCCCCGTACGCCAGTACATATGTGCTGCAAAAGCATTACTCGTCGTCGCTTCCGATCGACGGAGGAGCTGGCACGCGTCGACTCGAAGATGCAACAGTCCGCCGAGCCGTCTCTTGCTCCTTCTGGGCGGCGTCTGCAGCATCTATCCACTCCGAATATATATCAATGGGCTCCGTCAAATCTTGTCAAACGACCAACATAAGCACCAGACAACAGGGGTCAGGAGCTAAGGAATCGAGACGTACGGTTGACTTTGCTCTGATACCGCTGATCGCATATCCTGCATGCCAGCTGCGCTATGCCCTCCTTGCGGTCTATTCTAACAGTCACAGAATTATCATGGTGGCAGAACAAACACGTGAAGGTGGTGTCTGGGTGGAATTAGAATCGTATGAGCAGGTGCTTGCACAGTGAAATACATACCAAGCGGTTGTTTTCTCCTCGCCGCTGCAGCGGCGGGCTTTCTCGACGACTTTTTTCGTTTGCCCATGGTGGTAGCACTAGGGCAACCCTAATAGACAAGCGCAAGGCAGCTGCAGTAAATGCAAGCGCCAATTGGACTTGTTCTATCCACAAGCCGAGCCGGCGGCGTGCTCATTGATTTCCCACGGATACTCGTGACGAGAACGCGTCAAGCGTATTTTGCTTTGTTGATTCAGTCGCGCTCACTGTTTCGGCCAACGACCAACGGCTCCCCACCACATACCCGCCGTCGCCGACAATGGCATCCCGCAGACCCCCTTCGTCACGTTCGCGCGCAACTCCAACATCTCTACCTACCTCAAGGTCTCGCATTGCCACCTCGAACGCCAATGCCCAGCGAGCTCCTACACCAGCGTCCGAAGTCCGGACAGACAGCTCTACAGCCACAGCTGGATCATCATCATCCTCGCGCCTCGTCAAGTCCAGTCCACAAGGCGAAAGTGAAACCAACATACAAGTTGTCATACGCTGCAGGCGCAGGAACGATCGCGAGATTCAAGAGAACTCGCCCATAATCGCAACCTCCGCTGGGGCGAAGAGTCAAGACGTTACCATTGAGACCGCCATCCCCGTCTCGAGTCTCGGAGTCGTTACCCTCGCCCCCACGCGAACATATCCATTTGATCTTGTTTTTGGACCGGAAGCGGACCAGGCAATGATCTACCACGATGTCGTGAGTCCTATGCTTAACGAGGTGCTCATGGGGTACAATTGCACACTCTTCGCATATGGTCAAACCGGCACTGGTAAAACGTAGGCTACAGTATCATTGTACCCGGCTCACTCTGATGCTGCACTCTAGCTACACTATGCAAGGCGATCTCACGCCGACGCCTATGGGTAACCCATCTGCAAATGCCGGAATGATTCCTCGCGTCCTCTTCAGGCTATTCCACCAACTCGAGACTTCAGCAGCGGACTACAGTGTCAAGATCTCCTTTGTTGAACTGTACAACGAAGAACTTCGTGACCTTCTCGCGAATGAGCTCGCACCGCCTGCGGGCTCTGCTCAGCCTATGGGCAAGGGAGGCGCTCCAGATAACGGTCAAGGAGGCCTGAAAATCTTCGATGACTCAGGGAAAAAGGGCGTCTTCATTCAGGGTCTAGAAGAAATTCCTGTCAAGGACTCTAAAGACGCCCTTGCTCTTTTGACTAAGGGCAGCCACCGGAGGCAGATCGCAGCCACGAAGTTCAACGACCATTCAAGTCGTTCTCATTCCGTTTTCTCTATCACCGTGCACATAAAGGAGAAGTCAACCATGGGCGATGACCTGCTTAAAGTGGGCAAACTCAACTTGGTTGACTTGGCCGGTTCAGAGAACATTGGCCGGTCGGGAGCTGAGAATAAGCGAGCGAGAGAGGCTGGCATGATCAACCAGAGTCTTTTGACACTCGGTCGAGTGATAAACGCCCTTGTGGACAAATCGTCGCATATACCCTATCGGTAAGCCGTGTCTTGAATAACATGCTTAAGTGTTCTAAAGGGGTCAATACATCTTCGACGTCGTAGAGAATCGAAGCTCACTCGCTTGCTTCAAGACTCCCTTGGTGGGCGGACCAAGACTTGCATCATTGCGACGATATCCCCTGCGCGCTCAAATATGGAGGAAACACTCTCGACCCTTGATTATGCCCTACGAGCCAAGTCCATCCGCAACAAACCCGAGGTGAACCAACGCATGAACCGAAATTCCCTCCTCAAGGAGTACATCGCCGAGATCGAACGCCTGAAGGCTGACGTCCTCGCCGCACGCGAGAAGAACGGCATATTCTTTTCCGAGGAAACATGGAACCAGCTTAGCGCTGAGCAAGAGCTGCGGCAGACGGAGATGCATGAGGCAAAGAAGCAGGTGGAGATCGTGGAAAGCCACCTGAGGAACGTGAGGGAGGAGTTTGAGCAGAGTATTGGGCTGCTGATGAAGAGGGACGGAGAACTGAAGGAGGCAAAGGAACAGCTGAAGGAGACAAGGGGTGAGCTGGCGGTCCGTGATGGGCTACTGAAAGCAGCGAAAGGTGCACTGGAGGAGGAGATTGTTATTCGTCAAGCCTACCAAACGAACGAAGAAACCCTGGACGGTGTCGCGTCAGGGCTGAAGCTCGTTGCAGGGGAGAGTGTCACTGATCTAAGCAGCCTTTTCGACAAAATTCGTAAGTTGTGTAACTTGATCGATATGTATAATGCTCACCATTGCAGAGCGCAAGACCAGCCAGTTTAACTCAAATGCGAAAGCCGTGTCTACATATGGGAGATCCATAGGTTCGGATGTCCAGAGGCTGACCTCTGCACTAGAGGCCTTCAACAAGACGTTCAGCAGCCATGCGGAAAAACTGCGAAGTGAGATTAAGCAATTTCAAACGAAGGAACTTGAATCCATGTCAAGTCATTCTGAGCGCATCGATCACCAACTTAAACGCGTCCAGGACTCGCTCAAAGTCATCCAGACCAAGGACGAGGTCTCTGCCGATGCTCTCGTGGTCATGCAGAACGCTGTACAGGAGTCACAGACTACACTCAAGAGTGGCTTCGTCGCTTGGTCCGAGTCTCTGCGTTCTACCTGCAAGACTGTTTCCAAAGAGAGCTTTGATTCGAATTTGGCAAACTTGACCGCTGTGAGTTCGGCTTGTACGACCCACCATAGCGCACTAACATGACGCTCGGTAGATTGAAAACGCCTTCATGAACATGGATCAACTCATGAGCTCAATGTTGTCCGATGCCATGACCAACATACAAGAAGACGAGCAGATATCATCGCAAGCGTCGACCACCGCTGAGAAGATGTCGCAAATCGAGATTGCCCGTCTGCAAGCCCAGAACACCCAGCTAACCAAGCTTCTCGAAGCGGAGCGCGCCAAGTCCCAGAAAGCCAAGGACGAGCTGGTCAAGCAGATATCCGATCTGCTCGCCGGTTTCGTAGCAAGCCGCGACTCTGACATGTGTTCGACCTTTGGCTTTGTGGCTCACGACAATGCCAAGGGCGAGGAAGAGATGAAAAAGCATGCGCAGCAGCACAGGGAGTTGATGGCAGAGCTCTCAACGAGACACGCTGAAGCGGCTTCTCAGTATCGCGAGAGAGGTGTGGAAGCCAAGCGTACCAGAGATGGGGCTTTGAAGGTCTGTCATATCCACCCCTTACGGTTCATGATGCTGACGGGTGACGGGAACAGTCTCTCGGAACTGCCAAGACTTCTCTTGAAGACAGTTTTGCTGGAGTACAGACCGTTGTTACGACTGCCACAAGTACATACTCCGGCGAATTGCAACGGAACGCGCAGAGCCTCAATGCGTCGTTCATGGGAGGTTAGTGCATATCCTCCAGGAAACATCTTGTCACCTGTTAATCACCTATTATAGGTCTCGACCGCCATAATAGAGCGAAGAGAGCGCGAATTGATGCCACAAGTGCAATGTCGCTGGATGTCGATGCAGATCTGCGACAATTGCAGCACGGGCTGTCGTCTAGCTCGCGCCATGTCGAAAGCCATGTTGGAAAAGTCAATTCAGAGGTAGCAATCTTACCTTCCTCTTGGCGCTCAAGACTGACCCTCTCCTCAGACTGGCGCTTTGACACAGGTGGCGGACCAGTATCACCGCGAAGCTGGTAGTAAACTCGGCACGTTGAAGGAGAGCACGAAGTTGTTGATTGACAACGGTACGAAAGAGGATGTGTCCACTGGCTTGACGCCACGGAAGAGGGAGTGGGAATACGTCGATCATTGGGAGCTCACCGGCAGCCGCGATGCTATCCTCAAGTCTTGGAAGGGGGGAGATTCGTCTAAGATCCCAAGCCTTGAAAGATCATTATCAGCTTTGTCGAGAGCTTCCTCTCGTGGAACGAATAGCCCTGTGGATATGGAAGACGAGCGAACACCATCTCCAGAGTCCGTTTGCGAACCAGAACCAGAACCGGAATTACAACAGCCTAACCCAACACCGCCCATCTCGTTGTCGTCCTCGGCCTCTTCGACCACGACATTAGCCATGCCACCGCCTCCAGCACTTGCGCCCGCGCCTGCATCTGCACCACCACCACCACTGAAGAAGGCCGCGTCAACAAAGTCCGGTCTGCCCGGAGTGGGTACGCTGGCGGAGAAGCCAACGAACACGCTGCCGACGCGGCAGCTGAGGAGGATTCGATGATCTTCTGTTGTTTCCCATACCCATCTATAGGACTAGCATTGATTAATGTCTTTATTTTTGTTCATGTACTTATCTTATCGGACGCATTACGGCACCAGACACACGAGGGAAAGAGCTGACAGTCGTTCGACGTCGTTCCGGTCCCCACATGACCCCGCACGGACAATTCTAGCACCAGCCTCGACTCCCCTTTTCCCTCGCTGCCCACCTACTCACCTCCACTCTCGTTCGCTGGTCCTTTTCCTTTTAATCCACCTTCACTTCCACCTTTTCTTCCCTTGCGGATAATACACACATCCTACCTGTCACCCGCGGTAGCAGGCAACACCACTAAATGATTGCACCGAATTTTTCGGAGTTAACCAGCGGCTGTGTCGAGCAGGCCTGTCGCTCTAGCCTCTTCGACCTGCCCTCCGAGCTCATCATTGAAGTCCTCCGGAATGTAGATCATTGCACAATACTCAGGTGCTGCTCGGTGCGCTTGCTCCACCGCGTGTGTACACTGTGTTCTTGTGCTGACCCTGTTGAAGGTTTGTCACCGGCTCAAGCACATTATAGACGATGCTCTCGAGCTGCAATACATCATCGAGCTCGCCCTCGACGGCATGGTCGACGGCCCGCCCAGCACGCTCTCCCCGGGCGAGCGCCTGCTGCTTCTCCGGCGACGAAGACGCGCGTGGCACTTTCTCGAGTGGAGCAAGCAGCACATCGTGCCCATGCCCGGCTCATGCCAGGCGTACGAGCTCGTCGGTGGCGTCTTCGCCAAGACGGCCAGCACGGACTTCATCGTCGCGGGCTCGCGCCATTTCATGGCGACGTGGCTGCCCAGCACCGGCACGGGCGTCGCGGCCGGCGACGAGGGCCCAAGGACGCTCACGAGGGACGACATCGGCATCACGACGCGGGACTTTGCCATTGATCCGTCGCAGGACCTGATCGTGTTCGTGAAATCCGATGAGTGAGTGCGTGTGTGCGGTTGATTCAGTTTAGGCGGCTGACCGACATTTACGCGGCTGGGCGGGCAGGCTCAACTTTGGGATGCCAGACACGCTTACGCTTGTGCTGCGTGCGATATCTACGAACGAGCCGCACCCCGAAGCGCGTCTGCCGACGCTGACGTGCTCTGTCCAGTTTCCGCTCAATAGCGCGTTTATTCAGATCGTCGATGATGTGGTCGGCATGCTCTTTTACTCCGAGTTTGAGCGTGGACCACGCATTGTGATATGGAACTGGCATGACGGAAGCATACTCGTTGTGCGTGGCCCTTGTCATTCATTTACAGGCTCAAAAGGTGTTCATTAATCTTCATTGTTAGGACCGAAGCCACTACGACCTTCCACATCTTACATGGGACTTTTCCTTCCTCTCTTCACGCGCCTACATCATCACCTGCGCAGCCGGCCCAGGATCGATCGAGATATTCACATTCGACGCACCAAACCCATCACGCGTGCCCGTTCATGTCGCAAAGCTCCAGCTTCCACCACTACAGCCTCGTGTGCAAGTCGTCGGCGTAACAGCGCACACCGGTCCATTTGTCGCGCGTGTTCCTGCCGGCGTGCCATTCGCCCCGAACAACGATGAGCGGCTACATGTCGTCTCGATGCAGTACCGCACTCAGCCGCAGGACATGCCGGGGTCGATGCCACGATTCTGTGTGGTATTCAAGAATAGTCTGCCGATGGAGTACATTCGGAAGTACCGCGAAGAGAAACTTCAGGAATGCGCCACTGTGCTGTGGCACAGCTGGGGGCCGATGAAGACGCGGTTCCTCCCGCAGCTGGCACCGTTCCAGTGGCTGCGGTACGTGCACGGCATGCGCTGGGTCGTGCCCATCTTGCCGGTGGCGGAACGAGGACACCGCGTGCAGGTGCTGGACTTTAACGTGAGGAACACGCGCCGGCAGGACTTTTTCGCGACGTCGTCCGCAAGTGGGGACGGAGAGTCCGGTTCGAGGTCAGCGCCTGCGTACAGCTCGCATGTTGCACCGGCGTCTCCGTCCGATTGTGGTAGTCCGTCGAGCTGCCATGGGCCTCCGGCCATGTCGCCGTCAGAGCTCGACAACGGGGTGCGGTCGGCGGGGGGAGCCCGGGTGACGGTCCACACGAACGTAGACCGGGTCGCGGAGAGCATCTTTGTGACCCCCGTCGTCAGTTTCCTACCGTACAGACTAGCCGAGCCGACCGGGATGGGGCCGTACTCTGGCGTGATGATTGACGAAGAGCGTCTGATCGGGCTCGAGGTGCGTTTTCTCTTTATTTCTTGCATATGGTCTGTGCTGACATCGGGCTAGCATCCCGCGTTTTCGAACGGGGACATGAAGCACATCCACGTGTTCACGATGTAGGCGGACTGTGGGCTTTGTTTCGTCTGGGACTTGCGGTACGATAGGGATTTGGAAGACTGAGGCTATTAATCAGTGTACATACATCAATTGTACTACACAAACTCTGCTTGAACTACTAGGATTTGCTGAGAGTTCGTGGTGTTACGTAAGCGACTGCGAGCTGGAAGGCGGGTCGCAAATGGCCCTGGGCAATCGAAAGCTGTGTCGTCACTTGCCTCTCCTCGTCTACAGTTGTACGACATAACACACGATGGCAGCCGGACTGAAGAGTATGTTCTAATTTATTCAATATTGAGTTCAAGATGTTTATATCGTGTATTGTGCAGCTGTCATCCTCCTCTCCTTCGTCCTCGCAGTCGGCTTCCTGCTCATCATCCTCTCCTGTGCTCTCTGGGCCAACTGGCTCCCCCTTCTCGTTGGTGCGCACCTCACACCATCCTCCGTGCTCAAGCGTCATACTCACACCCATATCGTGATCTCCCCTCAGCACTAACTTTTGTCCTCGCCCCGCTCCCCAACGCGCTCTTCGCCCACTGCGGCGCAGACGACTTCTCATCGTACGGCGAGACCTCCGCCCCCGTCGACCTCGGCCGCTTCCTCACAGCCGTCGTCGTCGTCACCGGCTTCGCCCTCCCCATCGTGCTTGCCCACTCCGAGGTCATCCGCCCCGCGGCATGCGCCATGTCCATCATCGGCGGAGCGTACGTCCCGCTTCCCGCCTATCCTGTGCTCACTTGTTGACCGTGTTGTGTCACCGCAGCCTTGTGTATGGCACGATTCAGGCGTACGCAGCCGCTTTCAGGCAGGACGACGAGTACGAGTAAGAAGGTCGCGTGTCGATCGCTTGGCGCTTATTTATTGCACGGTGGCCCCGACGACTCGTCAGAGACTCCACCGCCTTGTTCATCCTGTCATCATCAGCCCTGAGGATGCGTAGCAATATGCTGTTGTAAATGGTGCAGGCTTTAATGTACGGTAATAGCGAATATCTCGATATGAAGCCCATTCATAAGTTGGCGCCATGTACCCATCCGTTCCTCGTCACGTCGGCGCTCACGTCTTCGGAGGTCCATTCGAAGGAGGAAGCCCTCCAGTGCGTGAACCCCCCGCAGCACCACGCTGCTTCTCCAGCACCGCCAGCGCCTGCGAGACGAGCTGAATCTTGGGCCAGATCGAACCAAACAGCCGCTCGTTCTCCGCCGTAAGTGTCCGCGCGACGTCCTCCTGGAACTCTTCGAGCAGCGGTGTCATCTGCTCGAGAAGGGAATCGCGAAGCGGCTCGCGCAGCTCTTCGATCAGGTAGTCGACCGTCGGCACGAACACGGGCGGCGGCGGAGGGGGCGTGGGCGGGCGGGCGAGCGCCGCTTCTGTCGCTTCCATCAGTACCTCGATCTCCCTCTGCATCTCCGCCTGCTCCTTTTTATGCGCCTCGATCGTGTCAGCCAGCTGGGCAAAGACTTGATTGTTAGTTGGTAGTGTCAGCAGGACGTAAGGCGAACGCACCTGCTGCTCATATCGCTCCAGCTGTTCTGTAAGGCGCCGGACCTCCCCCTCCGCCTCGGCATCCTTGTACATCAAACTGGCCACCTCCTCCGCTATAGTGCCAATCTGATCCTCGTGGTCAGCGATACGCGCATAGCTGGCCGCCGCGTGCGTCGCGATGGCCGCCTCGATCTTGGGGTCGCTCTTGGGGTCGCTCGCCGATTCATCAAGTGTGAGTTCCTCCAGGCGCGCTTCGAGCGTGTCCATAAAGTTTGCATCGCGCTGTGCAACGTCGTTCTTGAGCTCGCTGAGGGTATACTCCAGGCCTGAAAACCCGCTGCGCAGCTTCCCCAGTTCCCGCAGCGCCGACGCAACGACTTTCGAACGCGCGTCAGCCTTGTGAGAGCCAGCCGCGTCCTCATCCTTTGCCAGCTCCGTCCGCTTGCGCTTGCGAGGGCGCTCCGAGTCCAGCTCATCCGTGTCGGACTCGTCGTCCGTCTTGCCCTTCACGTGATTGTCGAGTGCAGTGTACAGCTTCGTCGTCTGCTCAGCGAGCTCCGTAAACGTCGATCTGACCTCCTCGAACTTGCTCTCGACGCGTTTCACATCCGGCTGGCGCACCGCCGGCCAGAAGTTCAGCGCGACCAGACGCGTCGTCGTCTCCGCGATCGTCCTCTTGAGCCTGTCGGCGTCTTCCTCGAGGGCGGCGAGCCGTGCCCTCTGTGCTGCCTGTTTGGCAGGGGGTAACGCCGCAAAGGGCTCGGACTGCACGACCTGCCGGTGCACGAGGATGTTCTTCTCGACGGCGTCGTATTCTGTGCGGGCTTTGATGCCTGAAGCAATGACACTGTGGACGCAAAAGTCAGATAATAAAAGGGTAGAGGAGTCAGCAACGCACTTGAGTCTCTCCTCCCAGACCTTGGACTGGTCTTCGTCCGAGAGGGCCATGGCGGGTTTATTGGATCTAGGGAGTTGAATTGACGTAAACGCGGGTGCCTTGGGGGGTGGCGGAGCTTCCTTGGATGGCTGCAACGTCTGAGGGGGTGGGGGACCGTCGGATGGAGGCGGGCGAGACTGCGATAGCGACCTGGCTTGGGGTGGTGGAGGATAAGGTGGCGTTCGGGGCCGAGCAGCGGTGGTTGGCGACGCGACGGGCTGGGTTGCACGTTGCGTGCTGGTTGCTGGAGGAGGCGGAGGAGGCATGGACGGTGCGGACTTGGATGGGGGTGGTTTGCGCGGATCTGCGGTGGTAGGGGGTAGAGGTGGTGGGGCTGCTCTTGGGGAGAGTGGTCTGCGTGTGTCGAACGTGGTAGATTTAGGGGACGAGGGTCTTCGTGCGCTGAGGGGCCTGGGGGAGGAGGGGCGGCCTCTGTCGCGGTCGCGGTCGCGTTCACGTTCACGCTCACGTTCGCGGTCACGGTCACGATCACGATCACGATCACGGTCCGACGGCATGGGTTCCGATATTCTGTTGGCAAGAGAAGGAGCGCTTGGGGTGGATTCGCCTCCGGAATGGTGGTGCAAATTAGGCGCGTGACTGTCTCGCCTCAGCCTCTCAAACCTATCCGAATCGGCGGACCGGACGGAAGAGGGGGAGCGGGACTGGCGAGACGGACCCGATTTGAAGGGGCGCTGGCGAGGCGGCGAGTATGGCGGAGAAAGCGAGCGTCGGCGGCTGGGAAACCCCTTGGCATAGTAAAAATCTTCATCGTCGTCGAGCACCTTGGAGGGGTGAGGGGGCGCGCCGAGTTTGGCGGTGTCCCATTCTGGGTCGTCTGGATGCGCAAAATGACAATCGTACTTTGGGCGCACACAACCAAGTCTGTCGTTACAGTTCCGTCGCGGCTTGCCGTTGTCGTCCCAAAACTAAGAGGAAATGAAGCAGCCCGCCACATATGCGCATGGTCGGAGAAGCACTTACATTGCATCGTATCCCCTTCGGCTTCCCGTACATGTGCGGATTTTTATACATCCTGGCTGGCTACTTTGTCTTGACTAGACCGATGGAGAAAGAAGGAGAATCCGGGGAGCTGGGAAGCTGGGGTGTTGAAGCTAAGTATGCTGCTAGTATGAGCTGCTTATAGGGGAGCTTCTTTGAGTGGCATGTCCCGGGGTCAATCGGATACAACAACAGTCGCGCCTTGTACTCGGGCCCCAGTCGACGTCAACAATCTATCAGAGCATCCTCCATTGTACCTTCAATGATGCTAACAGACAAAAAAGTAGACACAACTTCCCATTAAATGGAAACTATCATTAGTTGATCAAGTACGCGTAAAAGCAGCCCGAAAGCAAGAAGATAGCTACAAAGCAAGCCGAATGCACTGAGATCGTCCATGCATACATTGCGATTATACTGTATATCAAGATCTAAAACTCACTTACGTCCTCACGCCGTTTGCCTGGTCCCCGCTGCAGCCTCCGGCACATAGCTGGAGAACCGCACCAGCTTATCCCACACATACGCCAGGATCAGCTCGTTCTTCTTTCGCGTATCGACGTGATACCAATTTAACTGCTCTTGTAGCACCGCGCTCACATGCTTCTCCACCAGGTCCTTCACCGTCGCCTCGAGCAACGGCTTCAAGCCCGAGGCGAGCTCGGTATGGAGCTGTTCGACCTGCGGCACACGCTGCATTTCCTCTGGACGCTGCGAAGCCCTTGTCTGCGCCGCATCTAACTTCCTGTTGATTTCTTCAAGCTGTTCCTTCGCTTTCACCTGTTGCCTCTGAGAATCGGCGCGCTGAGTGAGAAATGTCAGCGGAGAGGAAAAACGCAGAACAGGACGGTCCCTACCCAGTCTTCGCACTGTTTGAGTATCGCTCTGCTCCGAGTCTCAAGCACTCTTTGATCCGCTTCGATCTTGCCGACAGAAGTGTGTAAACCCGCAATGGTATCTCGTGTCTCCGCCTGCTGCATGTGTGCTTCATCCAGACGCGTAGAGACGCCAGCGAGCGTCATCTGAGCCACAGGTGGAAGCACAATTGGTGCCTCCGCCGACTCTGCTCGGCGTTGCTTCTTCTCGGCCTCGTAAGTTTTGATCTTTGTCTCGATCTCTTCCCAGACGTTCTTTTGGGAGGAGTATTCTAATTCAGCTTTGAGCTCCTCAACGCTCTCAGCCAAGACTTTGAGACGTTTTGAAAGAATAGTGACGTCCTCAAGCTGCGGCGGCTGACTGAGGTCCAAGGGAGGGAGCGGTTTGTCCTCGTCTGCATCAGCAGAACTCGCCGGTTGCTCAGGCGGCTGGGTTATATCTTTGATCTGAGGATCAACCAGCTGCATCCATCTTTTCAGTTGGTTGAGATAACCGTCCACGTCGGCGGGGATATTAAAGCCAGCCAGCTCCTGAAGCCGCACGTCGACGAGGTCCGTGTTGAAAGTGAGCTGCTCGATCGCAGCATGGCGTTTCTTGCTCAGGATCTGCATCGTCTGTTCAATGCTCATGCGCTCTGCGTCGAGCATGTTCTGTGCGGCCGGACTGGATCGGCTGTAATACCCAGAGTGCTGCGAGTGTTTCAGGCGGATTTTCTGCTTCTCGGCCAGCTCGTAGCGGTGTCGCGCGTCAATCGCTTGACAAAGTAGCCTGAGGGATGCATATCAGTGGAGGCGCAGTAAGCGGCCAATCGAACGACTTACCTGACCGGGTCTTTCCATTTCTCCATGTCAGCTTCTTTCGGTTTCTGTGACGATACCTGGCGCTTCGACTGGGGAATCGCGCTGGTTGGCTCGGGAGGGGGCAGTGGAGTAGAGGGGGGAACGTCGCTCATCGTGACGTCCGCTACGTCCGTGTTGACCTGAACGCTTGGCCGTCGTCGAGGGTCAGCGATAGTTGATGCTGCGTTAGGTACGTTGGAGGTGCTCCAATCGCCTGACACAGGGGGCGCGCTGCTAGGCGGCACTGTGCTAGCAGGACTAGCAGAAGGCGCCATCGTGCTGGCGCTCGATGACCATGTTGATGCGGCCGACAAGGGTTCCGCGCCCCAGGAAGAGCCCGCACCGCCGGTAGATGGGGTAGTCGTTGAGCCCCAGCCACTGGACCACGCTGAGGAGCTCTCCTTCTCTTTACCCTTGGTCGAGGCAGCGTTCTTATTAGAAGTGTCTGTGCTTCCCCAGCCGCTGTCTCCCCATCCCCCAGACGAACTGCCCCATCCACTGTCATTAGCTGTGTTTTTATCTTTGTCGGTGCTGGAGGAGCCCCAGCCACTGGACGAACCCCAAGCGGACGTCGCAGGCGCCGAGCCCCAGGGATCAGAAGCCGCCACGCCGCCCGACTGCGAAGACGCGCCCCAGCCGCTGGTACTGGGCTCCGAGGTCTCTGATGGTTTGGAAGCGGCAGGGTGTGGGGACTCCCAGCCGCCGCCGCCACCACCACGGCCAGCTGGGGATGCTCCACCGAACGCGTCGCCAGATGTGCGCCTGCGTGCGGCCCAACCGGTGTCAGCTGAGCGACCAGGGATATCGCGACCCGGTCCACCAGGCAAGCCTCGTCCGCGTCCTCTGCTGCCACGCTGTAGACCCATATGAGAGGAGGGTTAGTGGGTAGGGAACATGCACCGGAGGGACGCCACGATCACGCACATTGGACTTCACCGACGTAGACCACGCTGGATTTTCAGGATGTACGAAGCCACAGGTTGCACCATGGGGGCATCCGTTGCCGACAGGTCGACCCTCTTCATCGAAATTCTAAATGAGCAGTACTGTTAGTCCTTTGTGCGGTAGAGAGTTGGCCAGTGTGCCGCACCCTGCATCGGACCAAATGAGACATGGTGAAAGTTGTGAAAAAAAAGAAAAGGAGAGAGATGCAATGGTGATTTTGGTGTATGTGTCAATGGCAAAGGGGAGTGAGAGGAGGTGTACCGTGACAGACCAGTTATCACGACGTTATATCAGGCAGTTATCGGGCGCGTCACGGTACAAAGGCAAGATATGTCGTGAATTAAGACGCGTCACAGTACGCATATGCGCGTCGTTACACTCGGAGTCAACTCAGTGCTCTGACTAGGTCCCATGCCTCGACTCCAGAGCCGACAAACACGTCTATTATGATTTCCTAGCGACAAGGACATCAAGAGTACAAGCGACAACCTCAAGCTACCAGCCCCACTCCGCAAGCACCTTCCCAGCCCACACCTCCAACGCAGCCCCCAACGTCTGCACCCCACCCGCATCGCCAGACCACAGCACAAACCACACGCTAGCAGCCAAGACACCCCACGCAAAGCCGCCCGCGACCTGCGCCCACGTATGGTGGCCGAGCGTCACCCGCGAGTACATGATCGCGCCCATCCACGGCACGACCACCGCCGGCGCGACGAGGCCCGCCCACAGCGGCAGGGAGCGGTGCACCTCGAGGTACATGCACGCGAGGGGCACGTAGGTCATGTAGAACGTCGCGCCCGATGCGTGCGTGCTCGGCATGCTGAGTTTATTCGAGCGCACGGCGAGAAGCAGGAGTGAGGGTACGTGGATCAGTCAGTGGATCTGAAGTGCGCCGAAGCAATGACACTTGTGCACTCACCCATAACTGATTTTCTTTCTATGTCCGCCTACGGGCCTCTGCTGCCTAATCGCTTTCTTGATGGCTTTGGCGCCGAGAGTGCATGCAAGGGCACCTGCTCCAAAGTATGCGATGCCAACTGAGCGAGTGTAGAGGATGGTTATAGCGGTCACTCCTGTAAGGACCTTCGAGGTCTGCAGCACTTTGTTAGCATAGTAGAGACATGACCAAGACATGACAAGAATGAGCATGCCTCATCTAGAAACTTTAACCAGGGAGGAAGGGTGCCTTCATGGTGTCCGGTCATCCGAATCAACGAGCGTAAGTAAGTCAAGTTGCAAGCGTTCACCGGACCTCTCCAATGACATCAAAGCCAAATTGTCATACCACGTCCCCATTTCCACAAAGGAGTACTACTCACGCCCTTTTCGTTCACATCTCTATGTAGCGTGTATTATTCCCAACCTAATCAATATAATTGCAAGAGCAGCCCAAAAAGCGGATATATTTACAGTTATATCCAAAGCCCTCTGCCGTCGCGAACGGCAATGAGCAAAGGACGAAAGTACGGTTAGTATCATCCTAACTATCTACCTACGCTACAAAAAACACAAGGCATCACATGAGTCGTCAAAGATTTCTGTAAGCATTCAAGAGTTCGTAAGAGGGAGTTCCACCGCAAAAGATCAACTTCCGTGCAAGGCAGTAAATAAAAGCAGGAGTCCAAGTATCGCAGTCGTCGTCGGTCGTGGGCCATGAGAGTCGGAATAAAAAGTCAGAAGAAGAGGGTGTCGCATAGGGAGGTGATTGAACAGGAGAAGTTGCTTGGCGAGCTGGTCATTCATTTACCACATCCACCCGCCGTTCTGTTGAGTTCTGGAGCCTGAAGGCCCTCGCGGAGGACCTCCACGAGCAACCTTCGGAGGCGGCGGAGGCGGTTTTACAACAACTGGCTCCTCATACTCCTCATACTCTTCATACTCCTCGTACTCTTCTTCAACCTCGTATTCTTCTTCTTCTTCTTCTTCCTCTACCTCTATGTATTCTTCACGAGGAGGCTCCACGACGACTTCTTCATAGACCGCAGTCGTCCGGGGAATATAGGACGACTTGGTAGTAGAGACGACATTAGGCGTAGGGAACGCCGCCCGACGCGTGTTAGCGGGCGGAGGGACGGTCATTGTTGGGAACTGGTTCTCATATTGGATGATGGTCCTCGTTTCTATTTCGAGTGTCGGCTCCGGAGGCGGAGGCGGAGGTGGTGGTGGCGGAGGAGGAGCTGCCTGAGGAGGTGGTGACTATATGAAGGAGAAACAAATTGTCAGCATTCAGTTCGATCACGAGCAGAGAAACCAAAGAGCCGGCGGCAGTACCCAGTTTCACGGAAGTAGAAACCCCCGCGAAACATTAAAAATGATGAAATGCGCGAAGCACCTCGGGTTGGGGTTTGGATTTAACCCTTTGATCGCCTTGAGCGATCACGTGCCAAGCGACGCGACGCGTCGCGGTTGGCATATGAATAGGGGTACTGCCGTCAGATCTGAGGCTCTGCCACAAAAGACAAGGGGGACAAGAGGAAATAAAAAACCGTTGTCCCCCAAGCCTGGACGAAGGAGGGGAAAGGAGACGGACTCTACGCGGGGTGCTTTTTGCCGATTTTACCATACAATAAAGGAGGAAAAAGGAAAGAGAAGAAAAGGTGGATGGGGAATGGGGTGTTAAATAGGTTGGAAATGGGGTTAAAGTCCCTCCTTCGTCTCAGAGCTCAGGACGGCGCGGATTGATGGGCGGAGGTACCTTGAGTTTACGCTTCATAGGAGGGGGAGGCGGCGGCGGTGGGGCTTCCTCGTAAATCATTTCTTCCTCAACGACATTGTCGTTGTTGATAAGTCTGCAGAGATATTGTCAGTCCCTTGATAATCGCTGTGGAAATCGTTACTTACACAAGTTGCTCCATAATCCATCCTTCTCGACGTGAAGCATCGTGCTCACGACGGTTAACGCTCTCCTCGCGGCGGCTAATATCGCGCTCGCGCTCGCCAACACGGAGCTCGCGGTCCAGAAGCTCTTCGGCACGAGCGCCGGCCTCCTTCCACCAACCAGGAGGAGCAAGATCGACCTCCTTGACAACTTCCTTGACGACAGTTTGAGCAGGAAGAGGTTCGACAATGGTGACGGTGGCGGGCGGCGGGCACATGGGGCACTCGGGCATGGGGGGAGGCATGGGCATGACACCGCCAGGGGCACCGATGAGAAGCTCAGCTTCGCGGCGAGCTACTTCGGCCTCGCGACTTGCGACGGCGCTCTCGCGAGCGATAAGCGCATGAGAACGCTTTGGGGTGAGAATGCCCCAGATGCTGTTTTGGACCCCGTCGTCGTTGGCCTCTTCGCCTCCAACTGCACCTACACTGGGGGAAGGAATGGGAACTGCTGGAGATGGAGTGCTGTTGCGGGAGGTGTTGGGCAGAGTGAGCATCACTGCAAGTACGGCAAGGATGAGGGACAGAACGAGGAGAAGGGTAGTGGAAGAGATGGTGCGGTGGTGGTGGTGCCTGCTGCTACTGCTGGTGGTGTGGTGCCTCTCGCGGTCGCGTTCACGATCACTCCGGTCGCGGTCGCGGTCATGATGAGATGAAGAAGGGTTTGCCATCCTCGCCGCCGTAACGTTCCGAGCGCTGATGGAATTCGAAGGCGACAAGGACGTTGCTGTTGGGGCGCGCAGATTGGCCGTAGTGGAAGAGGGACGGGGTTCAAAAGGTTACGTTGCCGTCGTCACTGCTGTCGACGGCGAGTCGTATCGTGAGCGGAGGAAAGATGAAGGAGGATGAAGGGATGAAGAAAAAAAAGCGGAGGCGAAGAAGATATACAGTTGGTTCGAAGTTGAACTTGGGAGGGCAATTGTTCGAATTTGGGGGGAATTTTGCTGTAGTTTTTATTACACCCATTTTATTTGCACTCCGAATTGAAGCCAAATAATGTGCACCAACAAGTGCAAAGTTACGCGACTCCCACAGCGTGGCTCCCCTATTGTGTTGCCATTGTTCTCCGGTTTGCCCGGTCTGGCCATTGCTTTATCGCTGGATCAGGCGGATGCTTTGCCCCCCTCGGGACGATTATCATCAAGCCTCGAGGCGTGTCGTGTCGCCGGGCTCTCCGAAATCATCAAACGTGTTTTCTGCGTGTTCTGGACGACCGAGGATCTCAGAATATCGGCAAAAACTTGTAGTGAAGGATACTAAAAATTGGTTTAAAAGCGCTGGGTTATCATGCAATTTGCAGCTTCTCTTGCCTATTCAAAAGAGCCGTCAATCAAGTAGATCGCCTTGGACAAAGTTGTAATCACCCTAATAGGCTCAAAGCACCCTGCCTGCACAGGCCGAATACCACATCTGGTTTTCATTGCCTGGTGAACAGTTTATCGTTCTAGCCTTGTAAGCTAGTATCCGTCCACTAACCAAGCGATAAATTAACCGAGCAAATGATCATACATGAAAAAGCATAAGTAGGATATCTGGACGAGAACGCGCCCATAATAAAAGAGATTTTAATCACGAGCATAGTCTATTAAACGATTTCAGTTTACCTCAATAATACTGTCCTCCCTCGCACTGCGAACCTTTCCCAATGAGCTAGTTGCACATCTTGCTCCGAATGGGCAATTGACCCTGCCTAACCCTCAAAATTCGTGGTTGAAGACATCTTCTTCATTGCCAGCGGCATGCCCATTACCGGCAGCACCGCCAGCCTGAGCTTGAGGGCGACTCCCACCGTGAGCGCTATATGCATTACCCGTCGGATCCTCGGGACCGTCAAGGTCAGCAGTGCTCTCACTGCGCCTGGAATAGGTCGAGTTCCAGTCGCCACCGGCATCACCCACAGTTGACGTGTTCTTGGACTTCTTCTTCTTCTTTTTGCGGGAGCCCTGGTCGGGATTCGCATGCGCCTCCTCTGTGCGAGACCACCGGTCACGGTTGTCCTTGCCGCTCTTTTTCTTCTTCTGACTGCCTGAGCTGACGAGTTCCGGGAGCGCGTTGTCAAAGTTGGCGGGATATTGCCAGCGGCCGCCGCCGCTTGAGCCGGCGTTGGCGGAGCCGTTGCCCCCATTGCCGTTGCTGTAGTAGGACTCGTCATCGGTGTTCCAGAGGCGGTTGTCGCTGGGGCGTGACGGCTGGCGCGAGAGCGTGCTGTCGGATCGGTGGTAGGGATCCGGACTATTCTCACCGGCTTCGAGGGGTTGGTCCTCAAGAGTAGAGTGCGGGTTACGGTCATTGTATCTGTGCGCCCACTGGGAACGTTGTTCATGGCGTTTAATGGTCGACGTATCAACGAGACCGTAGCGCTGAGCCCACTTGGGAGTGCGGCGGTGGTTCTTGTTGTTTCGGACGTTCTGAATGTAGAAGTTGTGGCAATGTCCTACATCGTTTCATGGGAGGCCGATTGCGCAGTGAGTGATGAAGAGGAGGGAAACAAGAGAATGATAGACTCACCGGGTATGTAGCCACAGATCGTGAGGAGAAGATTCAGCCAGAAGTCAGAGCCTATGCCGAATCGAGCTGCGACGGCTTGGGTAGAATGAGCGGGAGCAGGAGTCAAAAGGCGGGGGAGAACAGACCGAGCGGAGGAAAGAGGGTTCCAAGAATGAAGAGTAAGACGTTGAAGCCATGATGCCTCTTGATCTGAGGCCTCATCGGCTTGGATGATTTGGCGGGCATTGTGATGGGAGAGACTCAAGATGTAGGTCGCATAGGCCTTGCTGCTGCTGATGGGGCTGCGTCGTCGAGACCGCTGCGTCTGCTGGATGCCGAGGCGGGACAGGCACGGATTTATGTCGTAACCGTCTGTCTATATCAGGTAACGTTGCACGTGACTATAACCAAATGCGGTAAAGTGGCCAGCCATGCCCACTCGCTGTCAGAGCGAATGAGCCGCGAGCTCATTGGGCGTGCAAGGGGCTGTCATTCATTTTGCCCTACTCGCTGCAGTGCCCAGCTCTTGTCTCGCCGCTCGTCCCGGTCCACACGCGTATTTCGACCTCTGTTTCTGTGTAAGCACAGATCACTTCAACTCCCATAGTCTCTTGACGCGACGGTCCGCGCCAGAACGGGATCTCTAGATCATTCCCTCGTCATGGATGACGGGCTTGAGCCTGTGCTCGACCTCTCCGATGTCGTTCATGACGATCCTCTCGGCTCGGACGACGAAGCGCTCAGTCATTCCTCGCCTCCCACTTCAGTCACCATGCACGACCACATACCCTTCCCCGACCCCCACACCGAGGACTGCCTCTCATTGCAGCACCTATTAGCTCAATCCGACTCCACTTTAGAGCTCCTCGAGCGTGAGCTCACCAACCTCTTTCAACAGAATGCCTCTGCTGCATCCGTAGCCCTCCTCAGCGCCACTGCTCAACAACGCCAGTCCCTCCTTGACTTGGGCATTCACAACACCACAGAGTCTGCCGTACGCAATGACACCATCCTCACCCCGGACTCTGTTCATGGACATGGTGATAGCGCAGATGAGCTGTCCTCGATTGGGGGCTTGAACATCCCAGAGCTCGCCGCAATGCTCCAGGCCGCTCATGCTCAGGAGCAGGAGCGTCAGGCCGCCGAAAGCAAGGACAGACAATCCACCATGTCTCACGAACACCAGAGGCAGCCGACCCGCAATGCTCCTGCTTTTCACTCCCTCACCGCCAGTGACGATGCAGAAGATGCATATTCGCATGTCCCGCCCCCAAGGAGAGACAGTACATCTACCCCTGACCTCGACCTGCTCTATCCCAGAGAGCATCTCTCCGAGGACGGGAACACACCGTCATCGTCTCACTCACACGAACCGGATCTGCATGCACAGCGAAGTACGGATGCACCAGACGGATTTGGCGACATCAATGACATGCTCCTCAAGCATCTCTCCAGCCAATTCGAAGAGGATGACGTTCTTGCCACCCATTCCCATCATCACCCGCAATCATCCTCGAGTGATCCTGCTACCGCCCTATCACCCATCGAGACCTCCCACTCATCACCCATTCAACCACACTCTTCGCCTCCGCCCTCTAGCTCTCCTATTCCAGAACAGCCACTGGAGCCCATCGCTTCCACCTCCCGCCTCCCCATACCGACTGTACCACCGCCTCCTTACCGTCCACCAGGGCTCGCCCGAACCTTTCGTCGCCCAGTAACTTCCGATGAAGATAGCGCGCCTCCTGTAATCGAGGTTCTGCCCTTTGACAAAGACGCGCCACCGGAAAAGGAGAAAGAGAAGCCCGCAAATGTGCATACATGCCCGGAGACTGGGTGCGGCAAATCATTCACTCGTCGGAGCGACCTTGGGCGACATATGCGCATACATACGGGCGAACGGCCGTTCATGTGCGGACACAGTGGGTGCGGGAAGACGTTTATTCAGGTGAGTTCCTATGCATTTGGTGCAATATATACGTGCTTTTACATGGTACTGTGTAGCGTTCGGCACTGCATGTTCATCAGCGAGTGCACACCGGCGAGAAACCGCACAGCTGCGAATATCCCGCGTGTGGCAAAACGTTCGGTGACTCGAGCAGTCTCGCGAGACACCGACGGACGCATACCGGCAAGAGGCCCTACAAATGCGAAGATCCGGAGTGCGAGAAGACGTTTACCAGGCGGACCACGCTCACGCAGCACATGCGGACGCATGATCCGGGCTGGGAGCCCGATCCTAGCCTGTAAGTTTACTCTGTCTATATTTCATGCTCTTGGGTACCATTTACCCACTGACTGTGTATTACGGTTGTGCTGACTCGCGTTCAACTAGAAAATACAACTTCCGAGCGAAGAAGGCCAGGCTCGCAGCAGGAGACGACATCGATGTTGACCTCGAAGCTTCGGTGCGGACGATATCCGCCCTCTTTTCTGCATCCTCGCCGTCGGATTACCGAACCTGTCACTCGCACGCTCAGCGGGCGAATGGTGGAGTGCCCTTACAGCCGCGATATTCCGTCCGCGACCGCCACGAGGAGGATCCGGTGCTCGAGGCGCGCGTGGCGAGTATCAGCGCCGAGATCGCGGCTGCGATCGCACAAGCGTCAGCGCGGGTCGTGCATGAGCATTCAGACGACGAGGACGACGAGGACGGGGACGGGGACGGAAGTGGGGTTGAAGGGAGTGAAAACGAAGATATGGATAGTTGGGACGAAGGGCTTCGACAGGTGCGGGCAAAGGTGCAGACGAGTGGTATCCGGGGCGAGGTGGGCCAGAGGCTCGGTGACCGGGGAGTTGTCTCTGGTGGGGGCTCGCGCAGCGTGAATGCTGTCGGAGATGGGGGCGGTGATGACGAGGACGAGGACGACGAAGACGAGGATGAGGACAGCGATACTTTTCCTATTCCTCTTCGCACTCGGAAAGGGAAGGAGCCAAGTGACGTACCGGGAGGCGTGTTGGCTGGGGTGAAGCGGAAGCGATGACGCTGGACCAATTTGTGGTTTGCTGGTCATTTCGCATTGGGATTTTTGGACTGTTATTACTCGCTACTCATACGCATCACGAACATATGTACTACGTTACGTTACTGGATATTTTCACCGCCTGTATTCTATCATATCAACTAATCCAATGCATTGCTGAAGATTCTGACATGAAGAGACGGATGCGTATTCACATGCATTTAATCTGCACGGAGCGGGGAGGCGGGGCGGACCGCGGACCGAGTAATCAAGTGAGAGAATGATGTCAAGACCAGGCTGAGATAACTGGGGCAGACGACTCCCAAGACATCCCGTTCGTCTTCCGGCTCTGTCCTACACCTGGGTCACTCGCCACTACAAGACCTATATAACTCACCCGCTTCCACCCTGACAGTCATCCCGATTATCCACCATGGCCTCCGAGGAACTCCCCAGCACCGACATCATCACCCTCACAAGGTCTGCATCTCCCACTTATCGTGTGTTCGCGCTTACTCACTGCCCCTGTCTCCTCCGCATACCCTCCACCCGGCGCCTCATACACACAGACATGTTCTCCATGACCAGTTCCGACTTGGAGTCGCTGTAACCGGTGACCTCACCCTCCTTCTCATAGCCATCCAGACCACCTCCAAATTCATCGCAACCAACGTCCGCAAGGCTCGCCTGATCAATCTGTGAGCGCTGTCTCCCGATCACCCCCCTGAACACGGCCCCCGCAGCCTCGTATCGCTCCCAGGGTACTGATTGGCGCTCGCATCGTGTCCGCAGCGTCGGTCTCGCAGGCGAGACAAACGTCCAGGGGGAGGAGCAGAAGAAGCTGGATGTCCTCGCCAACGACATCATGATCAACGCCCTGCGCGCGTCGGGCAAGACCGCGGTGCTCGTCTCGGAGGAGAACGAGGAGGCGATCATCATCGACGAGCGCAACCGCGGCAAGTACTGCGTCGTGTTCGACCCCCTGGACGGATCTTCCAACATCGACGCCGGTGTCAATATTGGCACGATCTTTGGTATCTACCAGATAGTGAGTTCCGGGTCTTCTCGTCAATCCGTTGTGCGCTTGTGCATGCGCTTCGTTGTTGCTGCTTGCTTCTCCGCCGGCTTGGCCATCTGCGGTGCATGCAGACTTTTGCGGTTATCGCGGTCGCCCCACTTTTCTTCTTTGTGTTCCCAGACTTCCCCGTGTTGACCGACTGACGAATGCGGGGATGCTTTTTACGATGTTTCGACGTCACGTCCATAGCTTGTCTCGCTTATCGTTCTCCTCGATCACGATACTAACGTGCGGCGCCTAATTTAGAAACCGGGATCGACAGGGACGATCCACGACGTGCTGAGGGCTGGAAGTGAGATGGTCGCCGCCGGCTACACGATGTAAGAGACGCACCCACCCTAGAAATCAATCATGGTCTTAACGATGATGTTGCCACCAGGTACGGGTCCTCTGCGAACCTGGTGCTCTCCACCGGATCGGGCGTCAATGGCTATACGCTTGATGCAGCACTCGGAGAGTTCATACTGACGCATCCAGATGTAAGTGGATCCTATTCATTCATGAGTACCGCCCGCTCAGACCGGGGCTGTGTTCGCCATCGCGCCCGCGCGATTAGATCAAGGTTCCTTCCCGGGGAAAGATCTACTCGTTCAACGAAGGCAACTCGGTCTACTTCCACGAGCCCGTCGTCGAGTACCTCAAGTCCATCAAGTACCCCACCGCAGGCGCGCCCTACTCGGCGCGGTACATCGGGTCCATGGTCGCGGACGTGCATCGCACGCTGCTCTACGGCGGTATTTTCGGCTACCCCGACGACAAGAAGAGCAAGAGCGGAAAGTTGCGCCTCCTCTATGAGGCCTTCCCGATGGCGTTCCTGACAGAACAGGTGCGTTTCACGAAACCCGCTCTCACACCCGCTGCACGCCGTCCGTTGTTAGCGGAGAATTCAATAAAGGCAAAGGCACGGACAATGCTGCTGCTGCTGCTGACAATCTGATCCATCCTTGTTTGTTTGGGCGTTCGACCATGACTGATCCGCTGTTCTTCCCCTGCTACCGTAGGCTGGCGGCGTTGCAACGACCGGGCGCGTGCGCATCCTCGACATTGTGCCAAAGTCGATACATGAGCGCTGCTCCGTTTTTCTCGGGAGCAAAGAAGACGTCCAGGACCTCATTAAATTCTACGAGTAGTGGCTCAGCTGTGTATAGCGAGGGGCAAAGCAGCGGATAATAGCTACATAGTAGCGTCCATGCGCCATGAGGAAGTTTATCAGACATCATGTATTTTTACCAGGAACGTGTACATGTAATGCTGTGGTGTTGTCTCGCCGTGATGCATTGCAATGTTTATACATAGAAGGTATGATCCTCTGAAAGTCTATCTACATGCAGGTGATGAAATGAAAGAGGGACTCTTGTGATTGACGCGCCACGACCCCGTAACATTAATGTACAATGGTACACGCGCTGACTGATGCGGTAGCAGACTCGTAAGGATGAGCGTTGATAAGCCAGACAGTACAAAGGAAGGTAAGTAAAAGCATACAGAAACTAGTCATATAAATGTGCATGGCGTTATAACTTTATAGATAAGCGTATAGTGAGTAGTGAGTGGCCCATCAATGATAAAATATGTGCGACAAGGCCATTATGCCCACGCAGCGAGCCACGCGCCGAGAGTTGTATGGTGTGGACCCTACAGCGCCTGCCACGAAGCCGGCTTTTCCCCCCAAATCCCTCGCATCGCAACCGCGATACCTTCCGTCCGTCGCCTGCTCCAGCCTCGACGACAGTCGGTGGTCCTTCCCGCGGCGCGCCGAGGGGTCAACCTCCCAGAAACCCAGATCTGCATCAATCAGATTCGGCAACTGGTCGGCGTTATTTCGCTACTGTGACACCTTGAGCTTGGGCCTGAGCCTGGTGGGCAGCACCAGCGCCCGTCACGCCGACGACGAGACCCTTGAGCCAGCCATTCTCGCGGCGGAGACCCTCGCACTCGCGCTCGAGTTCTGCGACCCGCTCTTCAAGCTCCTTCGCACGTCGCTCGAGAGCGACCTCACGTTCCTTTTTCTTGAGACGGAAACGGGCGGATGCGGCGGTGTTACGACGGCGCTTGTCCTCCGTACCGACGACGCCATCGCTGCTACCTGGGCTGTCAGCCGCAGATGGAGATGCTGGCGACGAAGCAATGGGAGAGGCAGCTTGGTCGTTGGAGATCGTGTTTTTACGTTGACGCTTAGGCGCCGGTGCGGGGGCAGACGGAGTAGGTGATAGGCGATGAGAAGTAGGAGGGGATGAATGAGTGGTATGGGTGGTAAGGGGGGCAGGCTGTTGGGGCGGCATCATGGCCTGCGGGGGCTGGACCTGGGACTGGGCGGCATGGAGTGCAAGCAATTGAGCGAGCGAGGGCATAGGCAAAGGTGTCTGGGGGGCAGAGACGGGCGCTTGCTGCTGGGGCGGCTGAAGCTGCTGTTGTTGCGGTTGCGATGTGGATTGGTTTTGGTTCGAAGGCATGGTCATCGAAGGAGGGAGTAGATAAGGGTCTATGCCAAAACTGGAGAGGATGCTGTGGAGATCGACGTCTGAGGACGGGAGGTGGATAGGCTGTTGCTGATGGTGAAGGTGCTGGTGCTGGGCAAAGTTATCATGCTGATGGGGAAGAGCGGAACGACTCGGCTCGTCAGCGGACTGGAAGGCAAGATTTGTCCAGAGGTCGAGGTGAGCGGAGAAGTCTGGGAGGTTGGGTGTTGCGAGCGGGTCGCCCGAGAGCGAATCCGAAGAGGAGGCAACGGGCTGTACGACGTTAAGACCGTGGAGGGCGTGAGGAGACATGTATGACGATGCAGAGTCGATACTGTATAGGATGTATGTCGTCTAGCGCCGCTTCTTGCTGGTGGAAGGGAGTATACGGCACTGGGCAGCTATTCCTGGAATGCGATGGCGTAGTCAAAGAGCCAGATGGTGTGCGGCGGCTACAGCTGCGATGGCGGGGGAGGGGCTGGGCGTGGGCAGCTAATACGATGCGATAAAGATGCAAAGTGGCGAATCCATCCCAACGCCATATCCCTATTTAATTCGTCCCTCCCAGTCACACTCGTCACACATGCTCACCAATCCAGGCGTCTAACAACCTCGGCCCGTCACATCAATCACCACTCACAAGCCCGCAGTTACCCGACCCGGAGCCGTTCACTCGAAGCGAGGCCACGACCCTGTCCGACCGATATCATTGCCCATCCCCATTCGCTTTCCTATCATTCTGCCATCTTGCAACCGTCCACATCAAAACCACACGCAACATAAAACGTCGTCCCACGACTTGCTCCCACCTATCTACAATTCCAAATACCACTTCCAGATCACCGCTATTCCAAATACCTACTTCCAGCTCACCATCTCATTTTCATGCGTCATCACAGCCACATCTCTGCGAATCGGATTCACCCTCGGGTATACAAACTGCAAAACCATCAGTCAGCATCGCGCCTACTCCGCCAACGGCAGGGACAATACACCAGGAGATAACTCACCCCTTCATTGTATTCATACATCACTTCTCCAGCAAGGATCTCTCGGTCTCGTACCACCCCCTCGTATCCTTCCACGAGCCCCCAAATAAGCACACTCACAGCCGCCATAATCGCGAAGATCCAGACCCAGTTGCCGTTTCCAGCTGATCCAGCCCCCATATACAGAAGACCATGAACAGGTGAGTAGATCCATATCAGAACACGCTCCAGTTCCCCCGGAGTCCATATGTTCAGTTGCTGCACCTCTCCACGACCCGGGGGCGTGTTTAGAGACTTGCTCGCCGCTCCGGCCGAGTCTATTCCAAGAAGGAACCTGATCGACCCGGTGACGCCTCGCCATGAGATCGACAGAACGTAAAGCACCGTGTTAGCAGGTCCCTGCCCGCCAGCTCGATGCGGAGATGGAGGTGAGTGGGCGCGTTCTGGTGCGTGAACAAACGACGTTCTGGGTGATTGAACCGCGTCGGCCCGTGTTCGTCGGTGGAGCTGATAAGTTCGCCGCCTGGTAAACAAGGAAAAGACGTTCACCGCCGATGCAGCCATGAGGAGTACCGTCATCGGAACGGTCTGATGTTTTTGTTAGCGATTGACAAATGAAACCCAAAAGCTTCCCTACCCAGTCGAACCAGCCTTTGTCATCGTCCTTTTCCCAATACATATCTTCCCATCCTATTTCCGCCTCTACCGCAGCTTGAAGTTGTGCTATTCGGACGAAGAGGTGTATAACGTGCAAGCCGGCACCGATGATAATAGCCGAGGTGCGGGGTGCAGGGAGTGGCACGTTGTGCGGGAAGAGCGCTATTTCGAATGCAATTCGCGACGGCACAGCACGAATTCTAGTGAAACATATGAGCCGTGACCACTGATTTTTTCAGTCAACTTACCTTTCTACGAAACCTTTCTTTCTAACGACGCTCTTCCGCGGTGTTTTTGGCTCGTTCCCGTTTTGCGTGCCATGCGAACCGGGGCGACGCGGGGTTGCGTATGGAGGTGGGCGGCGGGCGCGCGCAGCATCCCAGTCAAATGGTGTAGAGTGTGTTATAGAAGGAGTGGCAGACGGCGAGTTTATGTACTGGACATTGGAGCGTCGTGGCGGCGTGTATGGTGTGCTTGGGGTGTTGGCATGTCCGTTTGGGCTACCAACGCTGGAAGACGAGTTTTGGGTGGAGGTGCCGATACTAGTTCGAGATCGGTGTTCAGAAGAGACAGAGGGAGAACCAGGGGTCGAGGTGCCTTTATTGAAGTGCGCGAAGCGACGGAGAGACATGGCTATCGCAGAATCGACCTTCCTTGAGCAACCTTGGAGTGCTGTGCCTGCAAGTGGCTTGACTCTGACTCGAGCAGAATGCACAAGTCGAAAGCGACTTGGTGAACCTACCGTAACCGCTTAAGCTCAAGTGTGAGTTGTTGTTCTGACCACCTACAGGCAAAGGCAAGCCAAAGGGAACGCGTCCAGCTTCCCACCGTCACGCTGCGCGTTACGCGTGCTTCGGCGGCAGTTCCGGGTGTGCCCGCCTTTCTTCGTTGAATGGAAAGGTTTCTCACGGTCTCGACTTTAACATTTATAGAAACATCTCTTCAGACAAACAGTTTCTGACATTGCGGCATAGTGACTCTCTTGCATATGGTTCTCCTCCCTTTTCATGATGCATTGCTTGTCCGAGCATCAATGCATCACACTCTATTTCAGCCTCTTATCTCCCCTCACTTCGACCTTTGCGGGGCTGAGAACGCCCATACTCACACGATGACACTCTGCATCTCAGTTTGGTTGACAATGAACTCAGACCACTACAGAACCTCATCTCCGCTCCTCCGAGGCTGTGTCAGAGGTATTCGTTATTAGGACCTGCTCAGCATGGTTCACACTCGCATCTGGAAGGACTACGTACCTCTTGCGCCCTGTTCTGACGGGCGCTGACCTTGGCACTCACCAACTCCCCGCATGGAGGGAATTCGCGGCTACCTCGGTTTCGATTCTGTTAGCTTCATGCCCCGATATACCAGGATATGTAGACCGTCACAGCCCTCGTGTTTCAATCTGCATTGCTATGAGTCCTGGATGCCGAACGACTCTTCTTCCCGACAGCACCAATCATTGCCATGGCCACGGAATCTGTTCCCGTCCATGTCAATCAACCATCTCACGAGTATCTCGCGTGCATTGCTCGGTGGTCCAGGGTGGTCCCTCCCAAGGAACTCGACTTTCTGTGATGCTCCAGCAATCGCCCATCAACCGCCACCATACAGTCTGTGCGGCCACGATCCCCGCCTCTGCTTATTTAAAAATAAAGGCACTACATAGCTCTCTTTCTATAAGGCTCACCTTCATATGCGCCCTGCTTTCATACCTTGCGTCATGCCGCTGCTGCTACAGGCTGCCGAGAATGGGTTCGAACAATAAATCTCAGTACGATCGCGCCCGACGTCATACACACGTTATGGCAGCCGCAAAGAGTCAATTGGCGAGGGATATCCGAGGCCGAGGCAATCAAAGGCGCCTCCCCGCCGGCGCGCGCCAGCGGCACCTTGTGGCATCAGGTTCTCTATCGTGACATCGATTGCTTGACAAAGAACGAGAAGGCGTCGCGAGCACAATCAATTGTGATGGAGAAGCCGAGTGCTGAGGAGGTGGAGCAGGCACATGGGCGTCGACCAAGTTTTCGAACCCCAACTTCCGTTGTGAAAAAGCCTGCTAGTTCAGGCCTCTGAAACGATGATCGTTGCATCGTAACGCTACCTACTATGCGGCAAAGCCTACATCATAAGGGAACTCTCAGTGGCAGCCTACCACAGCTCCGACACGGGCAGTGACATCCGTTATAACCTCAGCTTCAAGTCTTCAACCATCGTCTGCACCTCTTAAGACGGGAGAATGCCCTGGTTCAAGTGTCACAGTAGTGTATGCAAGACCTTCCTTTTGTTGCTGTAGGCAGCCAGCCATCCTACAGGCTCTGTGAGCGGCCCATGCTATCTTCAGATGAACATAAGAAACGAGAGATTCATCAATATTATATTGTTATTTACCCGCCGTCTGTTTAATGCATCGTTACTTCCACCATCCGATGTCAGCGGAACTACGACGATCAATTGCAAGTCAACATACGCCTAAGTCCTCTCGAATACAGTAGCAATAATTAACAAAACAATCTCGCAGCTGGCAGTTAGCTGACACAGCCCGTTGAGATCAGCCGTACGGCAAAGGTTATCCGTCTCTAGCCTGAGAGATGAGACTTATCGCAACATGTTTGCAGGAGCCTCTGAATTCCGAATTAGTAGTAGCAACTGTGCTGAACGGATCCAAAGGCCAACAAGCAAGTGGCAACAAGGATCCGAAGGAACTCAGTTAATGGGCATACATACATTGGGACGCACTAGTAGTTTTGAGATACTTAGTTCGGCACTTGGTTCAATGGTGAGTTTGGTCAAAACTTCTGACATTCTAAACCACCACGCACTGTTTAGTAGGGTCGGTTTCCTTGAGCTTGAAGCTTGACGCCTCTTGACGCAGTACTTAGCGATCTGTAGTGATCCGGCTATGTGAACGCCGATGTGCCTCGTTTCTGCGATCTAAATACAGTTACAAACCTTCAGTCCTTGTTCACTGATGTCAAGCGCTGACACTGACAGGGCGCCTACGTCGTTTCCCCATTTGATTCTGCTTCAACCTTTCTCGCTTCTTGTCGAACACCGAGCCGCATAGATACCATTCTTTGACAGCTTGCAGAATATCCCGCAGATTTGGTCGCGACCGGGATGCAACGGCTCAGAAAGGCTCTGGCTTAAGCTGATCACCGCGAACAAAAGATTCGGAGAATTGAAGCCTAAGAGCAACCACCTATCGGACCGGACCGAGAAGATCAAAAATCTAGACGGTGCCAGCCATTGCTTCCGCGGTAATCAAAGCATGTTGCCAGGGTTTAGGAACGACGCTGTCACGAACCGTCACGGACGCTGATTGGGGGCGCCATCTGGTCCCATCCTTGACGTCGTAGTGGTCTACTGTCGCGTTCACCGCACCATCAGAGGCCCAAATGTTCTGCACGCCTTTCTGACCTTTCCCATGGTCTGGCAGGATATCCGAGGGGAATTTGGAATACTAGAGAACACGCACATGCTGTTCAACCTTGTTTCAACCATGGCATTGCGTGAAACAGAGCGTTTGCGCTGAATTAAAAGACCACAGCCTGTTTCAAGGAAGACCCATGGAGGCCCCAGCAAAACCTGAATTAAAAGACGATCAGCTTTCTTACCCAAAATAAGGACGCCCCACCCGGGGATACATAGTTTCTGTTAAGGGTCCGTTTGACGTAAGATGAAAGCAAAGTTGACGCGGTAAGGAACGATTAAAAAGTTGAGTTTTGCAGCAATCAACCCGGAGCGCGCGGAACAGTCCAGCTAAGCTTCTTAATCCTTCTAATTGACTGAAATAAATGTCCATCGATCAACGCACTGTCAGTTAGCTTGTCATTGACGGGTAAAGCGAATTCGGAATTGCGGTGCATTTGCGTACATACGCCTCGGACAACGAGGTCAAGATACGAGTTGTCACATAAGTCATCTGATTTATGCCATCCCTGTTTAGCGAGGGTGTGCAAAGAAACAGATGGAACAAAGCTGTACGGCCAGTGCTATCCAGATGCATCAATGTCACTGAAAGTGATGCAGGGATAGAATACTGATCCTCAGACGAGACATCAACGTACTTCGAAGCAGGTACGTGCCATCCATACAGTAATTTCTAGAGAAATTACGTGGAAAGTGACTGATTGTTAACACCCGGTGAAGGAAGTGGCAACTATTAGCAAAGGAGTGAGATTACTCGTCTCACCTACAAACATAACCTATTTCTGGGGGAAAGCTGAACCTTGCAAGACAGGTTATTCGAACCGATGTTGACGACGATGTTACCGTAAACACCTAAAGCGCGCTTTACATATTTGCAAGTCGAGGCCAAAATTTGCGGTAATCAGCTCGATATGGCGAAGCACGGGACAATGGTAAGTTTAGAGTGCGTGGAACGATGCGCGACAACGTTTCAAAACGCACCGATTGTGATGGGCCGCAACGTTTTGTGACAGCAATATGACAGAAAGAAGCGCATCCCAAGTGTGCGAGGGCAAGATAAGGTATCTGCGTAAAGCTCGACACTCACCAACCATAGGGCTTGGGCGCCTGGGCCCCAGAGGGCAAAGAACCGAGACCAACAATGATAATAACATCCTGGACATTCCCAGCCTCCATGTGCGTATCACACCGTGGCCTCGTATGGCCTCGCGGGCTATCATGTTGCTGGTATAGATTTGTTGTGAGAAGACAGGATGTGCCAGAGTAGGTGTGTTTCTTTACGCAAAGCTATTGCTTAAGCCTAGACGTATGAGTCTGTCATCGTGACAGCGTTGGCCTTGCGCGGCATCTTTGGGGTGGATATTGCTCGAGATTATTGGCAGCCATAAGAATCAAGGTACCGCGGGCGGAAAACATGCTGAATTCCTTGTTCAGAGGTTTCAGAGAACACGAAGCCCATATAGATCCGTGGGACACTTTTCCAGCATGCACATGGATGGGACTGAGTAACATGTGGTTGACTGCAAGTCTGAGGAGGGCTTATCAATAGTGTAAGGCACGGGAGTGAGCTTGAGACTGGACTGGCAAGCACGAGATATAGATGCAGCAAGCACGCGGAGATTCTTCGCGATCTGAGGAAATGTCCGCCACAATTTCTGGGAAGCCCTTGAACATAGAGAAGCCATAAGCCAAAGAGGACCGCCAGGCCAACCTTGAATGAAAAGACATGCAGTAACAACAGTAAACGTGATATAGTCGAGATCAGCAGCTTGATTGTCGCATTTTCATGACGAATTATTAGTATGCGACAAGGTCAGTGGACTACGTACTGGCCCTAAACGCAGGATACCGAGCCGTTGACCAATGGGGACAAGACGGCAAATAGCACGCGATAGCTTGATGATCGCGACGCGTCTGCGTCGAGCTCTAGTTTTCGACTAGCAGTGGACACGGATCGCGTTGAGTCCCACTGCGAGAGATGGTAGACATCATCATCCATAGCAAATGCTATGGGCTGCAGTACAGCACAGCACATGTTCGATGGCGGCGGACCGTCGAGGGAAAACAAATGGGCACGGGCGAGCAGGGATAACTCGAGAACCTGATCGCGTTCACATGGGCGAATCTGTTAACCCACCCTGACGCTCACTTTGACTTTTATTACGAGCTCATTATCGCTCGTCCGTCTCCTTTGTACCGTCGCCCCTCTTCCCAGGACCATCCATGCTACCCCAGCGCACCTTCCCCCTCTTTGCGGGCCTCCTAGGCCTTGCGTCGGCTCAGGTCCTTTATGATTTCCAGGTCGCGGAGCCAGCTCCTGTTCCCACGGGTGATGCTCAGACGTGCACCGTGAAGATCCTCGAGTCAGTACCTTTCTCTAAGTCGTTGTAAGCTGGCAGGAAGGCCAATGGCTACGGTGCAAACCGCTGCTTTTCATTAGGCGCACGTTCGGTGACTCTTATGGAGAGTAAGTCACGAGCACGTCCAGTTCCCGTTGTGGACAAGCACTTAACCATACTCTTATCGCCATGAAGCCCGGAAATTGTCCAGTACACGTACGCACACTCGGAGCACCTCCAAGTCGATATATGCGTTGACAACTCACATACTTTCAGGCCTCCGACGGATTGCGGTGATGCTGGTTCATGGGCAGGCATCACTCTCAATCTCACTGTCACCTCCAATGGTACCCAGTACGACCGTCTGGGCATTTTCACGTTCCAGAACACCGAAAGTAAGCACGTTTGCAGCCATGGTCTCGCGATAACGGGCTCACCAACTAACTTATCAGTCTGGCGTACCTCGACGCCTGAGCCTACTCCCGACGGTATATTCTGGACGTACACGAAGGATGTCACGCGTTATACACCACTCTTCAAGGAACCTGGCACCTTTATTCTTGAACTGGACAATGAGTTGAGCACGGGTCTGACCGGGCAATATGCTAGTACGCACCCGCACCCACCGATATCCTCGTCGCACATGCTCACCACAGGTAATGCTAGCCACTGTGTATGCTACGTTCTATGCGGCCACAGCCCAGTATACAACAGCCCCCCAGTCCAATTTGATTGTTCCCATCTCTACGTTGAGCAACACGTCCGCGGATGACGCATCTGTGCCTCCTGTGTTCTCGACCAACATCACGCTCCCGAAGAACACCGTGGAGATCTATGCTGAGCTGTACGCGTCTGGGAACGGAAACGAGGAGTTCTGGGTAAGCGGTATTCTCGGTGCTGCAGGCCCTCACGGCTGACGGTGCACAGTACACCAACACTGCGAATGCGTATTTGGGCGATCTCCCTGCTGACACCACATACGGCGATGGGCCGTTCCGCGAAGTTCGTCTTCTCGTCGACGGTCAAGTTGCTGGAGTGGCGTTCCCTTACGCTGTCATCTTTACTGGAGGCATCAACCCTTCGTGCTGGCAGTAAGCTGTCCTATTTTCGTCGTGGAAGATCCTCGGTATTGAGCACCGTACTCTCACAGACCCATCACATCGTACGGCGCGATCGATCTGCCCACATACTTCCTCGACCTGACGCCCTTCGTCCCCGTCTTCGCCGACGGGCTCCCGCACAACGTCTCGCTCGACGTCGCGTCTGCCGAATCGAACCACACGATCAATGCCAACTGGTACGTATCCGGTCTCCTGCAGGTCGTGACGGACCCGTCGGGCCAGCCGACGACGGGCAACATTACGGCGTACGACGTGCAGCCGTACGCGGTCGCGCACACGGACGGGAGCGTCGGCGCGAACGGCGACGTGACCGTGACGGTGGCCGCGACGCGGTCGGTCAGGATCGAGTCGACGATCGTGAGCGGGAGCGGGGACACGACGGCGGTGGTGTGGGCGCAGGACCTCGAGTTCTCGAACACGCAGTATTACCTCGACAATGCGACTACGCAGGTCGGTTCTCCGGTTTGCACGCAGTGGATGGGATTCGCTCGCTGACGCCCTGAGACAGAACATCGTGCAGACCGGCCAGGGCACCGTGCTGTCGACGCACAACGGCAAGACGGTCGTGTCGGACAAGTTTGAGTACCCGCTCGCTATCAACGTCACGTACTTCAACATCACGAACACCTCCGAGTCCTGTGCGTATTCTAGTTAACCTGTCTGTATACCTTCAAGTTGCTAAACCAGCCTAAAATTTGCAGTCTACTCTGCCTTCGACCACTCATACAACCGCCAGGTCTCCCCGGCCCCATTCATCCTCGGGTCGACCATCAACAACCACCAGACGGCCAGTAAGCATCTCCTTCCTCCCCACTTTCTCCAAATTCTGGCTCACGGCATTCGTCATTTACAGCGGGCTACTTCACCATCGCCGCGAACGGCAACTCGGGAAATGGCACGAACAACAACACCTTTAGCTACGCCGACACCGCCGGAAACACGTACGACCGCACCGTCGACGCCGCCTACCTCAACATCACGTACGACCAGCAGGGCGGTTCGCTCGCTCCGGGCGCGGTGGCCCTCCTGGACTCCGTCGGCGGCATCGCGCCCGTGGTGCAGAATGTCCCGATGCCCAGGCTGCCGCTCGTAAAGGCCAAAGCCGCGGGGTTGGGCCTCTGAGAGGTGGACGCGCCTGTTACGTCTGACTTTTTGTTTTAAACTGCCATATGGCAGAGTTTCTTATTACTTATTGGTTATCACGGACACGCTCATTCTGCTATAAGGACAATGTTGTTTATAGATATTATTGCTTGGTGTAACGATAGTAAATCTCATCAGCCCCTATACAAACGAGCGACAGCGTCCTGGAGGCACACACTACTAAGACGCAACTACCTACTTTCATCGACATCGTAGGCAGCTGCCCGGCGCCTCTAGTCCGCGCTTCACAAGGCGGAGCTGACGAACGGACGACTCATACATACGGAAAACAACTCCACGCCCCACCGTGTGAGACGCAAAAGAGCCGCTGTTGAACGGCACAGTTTCTTTTCCGTGTTGAGACGGTGTTCAGATTTTGCCTCTGGTAAAGCAGAGGTAAAAAAGCCAATGGCATATAAAAAGCGGGGGCCATGGTCACGTCGCGCGAGCGTTGAGCACGCGACGGGCCGCGCCGCCACGCCACGGTGCCGGCTCAGAACAAGCCGACGACGCGGCCCGACTCGGGGTCGACTCCGACTTCCCAGAAACCTGGACACGGATAGCGTTCGCATGAGGCCCTCCAAAGACTATGCAGCAGGGAGTAAACGCACCAGGACGTGTACCCAGACCGGGCATAGTCTGCATGTCGCCGAGGATGGGGTACAAAAAGCCCGCGCCGGCCGAGAGCCGCACCTCGCGGATGGGCACCGTAAAGCCCGTCGGCGCGTTCTTCAACGACGGATCGTGCGAGAACGAATACTGCGTCTTCGCCATGCAAACTACATCAACGCAATAACAGCGCCGCCGTCATCATTAATCAAACACCACTCTACACCAAAAACAAAAGGAAAGAACGAACTGGGGAGATGGCCGTATCCCTGGCGCGTATACGTCTCAATCTGCTTCTGCGCAAGCTCGCTGAGCTCGACACCGTCCCCGCGGTAGATCTCGCGGCAGATCGCGCCGATCTTGTCCGCGATGGGCAGCTCGAGGTCGTACAGAAACTTGAACGCGGACTCGCCCTCGCAGATCGCGATCACCGCCTCCGCGAGCGCCTTGGCGCCCTCGCCGCCCTTGGCCCAGTGGTTGCTGACGACAGCGCCGTCGGCGCCACCAGCGAGCGCCTCCTGGCGGACGAGCTCGAGCTCGGCAGGTGTGTCCGTGCTGTGCGACATGGTCAGCCATGCAACCAAGACTCCAGCAAAACTTGCACGCACGCAAACTGGTTAATAGCAACAATAACCTTGACGCCAAATTTCTTCGAGTTCTCAATATGCCTCACAAGGTTCTTGCACCCCTCCTTGAGCGTGCCCAAGTCCTCCTTGGTGTACGTGTCGTGGAGCGGCTTGCCGGGCGTCACCTCGGGCCCGCCTCCGTGCATCTTGAGCGCGCGCGTCGTCGCGACGATGACCGTCGCATCAGGCGCAAGCCCGCTAACCCTGCACTTGATATTGCAGAACTTCTCCATGCCCATATCGGCACCGAACCCGCCCTCGGTGAGAACATAGCCGACGCGGTCCTCGCCCTCGCCGGGCTCAGTGCCAGCAAGCTTGAGCGCGACGCGGTCGGCGAGGATGGACGAGTTGCCGTGCGCAATATTCGCAAAGGGGCCCGCGTGCACGAAGACCGGCGTGCCCTCGAGCGTCTGCATCAGGTTCGGCTTCACCGTGTCCTTCATGAGCACCGCCAGGGCGCCGCCGACACCGAGGTCGTCCGCGGTCACGGGCTCTCCCGACTTGCTCGTCGCGACGACCATAGCACCGAGGCGCTCGCGCATGTCGTTCAAGCCGGTAGTGAGGGCAAGCACGGCCATACACTCGCTCGCGACGGCGATGTCGAAGCCAGCCTCGCGCTCGTGGCCCTTTTCAGTGGGGTTGCGGCCGAGAGTGATCTTGCGGAGGAAGCGGTCGTTCGTGTCGAGCACACGGTTCCAGGTGATGGTGCTCTGGTCGATATCGAGACGAGCAAAGCGAGTGATCTCCTCGGGCGTAAGATCGTTAGGATTCGTCTTGTCGATACCGAGCTTCTGCAAGCGCTTGAACATCAGAGGCGCAAACTCACGCTTGCCCTTCTTGGTGGGCACGAGACGACTGTAAAGAGCCTGCAAAAGCTGTAAGCGACATTCCAGTGAAGACATGGGCAAGACACACCTTGTCAGACTGGGTGGCCTCGTGGAACATACGGGCGTCCAAAGCAGCGGCTGAGATCATATTAGATGACATTACAGAGGAGTGTGACGAAGTTACCAAGCAAGTTGTTCGCGGCAGTGACGGCATGAATATCACCGGTCAAGTGAAGGTTGAACTGACACAGCGATGAGACCAGAAAACTACCACAATGGAATAGAGTACTCACCTCATCCATAGGAATAACCTGACTGTAGCCTCCACCGGCAGCACCACCCTTGATACCAAAGGTCGGGCCCTGACTCGGCTGACGAACACAGGCAAACGACGGACGACCAAGGTGAATACCGAGAGCCTGAGCAAGACCGATCGTAGTCGTCGATTTACCCTCACCGAGAGGCGTAGGCGTGATACTACAGCACAGTCAGCATTCACAGCCTACAAAATTCACATCTGCGACATTGACATACCCAGAAATGACAATGTACTTTCCATCCTTCCTGTGAGCGAGACGCTCCAACACGCTCAGCTCAACCTTGGCCTTGTAGCGCCCATAGCTCTCCAGCTCATCCGGAAGGAGACCCATCTCAGCCGCAAGCTGGGTGACGGGCTTGGGCGTCTGCGCCATGGCGATCTCGATGTCGCTGGGGACCTTTTCCTTGATCTCGAGGGGGAGAGCAGTGACCTTGCGCTCGCGGGCCTTTTCCAAGATTCTCTCTGCAGAAATGAGTACGTTCTCCATCAAGAGGGCGACAGTCATCGGGCCGACACCGCCGGGGACAGGGGTGATGTGGGAGGCGACGGTCGCAGCGGGAACGTAGTCGACGTCACCGACGAGGCGTTGGCCAGACTTCTTGGTCGCGTCGGGGATATAGTTGATGCCGACATCAATAACGACGGCACCAGGCTTGATCCAATCACCCTTGATGAACTCGGGTTGACCAATAGCTGCTACGACAATGTCGGCCTGCTTAACCTGTTGACACGAGAAGAGCTGAGAAGAAGGCAAGGAAGCGGATGTGAGAAAAGGCTCACGATGGACTCCATGTTCTTGGTACGGCTGTGGCATTGGGTGACAGTCGCGTCGCGGTTACGGAGAAGGGATGTGACGGGGTTTCCGACAATATCACTGCGCCCGAGAACGACAGCATTAGCGCCTGCGATCTGGGTACCGGTAGACTCGAGGAGACGAATGACAGCGGCGGGAGTGCAAGGAGTGAAGAGCGGGGTACTAGCGCGAGAAGACAAGTGACCGATGTTGTACGCGTGGAATCTGTCCGAGGCGGGCGCGAGACATTGCATTAGGACTGTGGAGGTTATTCACACGAAGATCAGAGAACATACCCATCGACGTCCTTTTCGGGAGATACGGCTTCTGTGACTGCGCGGACGCCATCAGCAGAGACGTGGGGACCGAGGGGGAGCTGGACGAGGATGCCGCTGACGGAGGGGTCTGCGTTGAGAGAGCGGACGACCTGGACGACCTGGTCTGCGGTGGCCTCTGCAGGGAGGGGCACGTGCTTGTACTGAATGCCAACCTCGCCGCAAGCCTTTGCCTTCATGCGGACATAGGTGGCAGAGTCTGGGCGTGCACCTGCCTGGACGATGGCGAGCTGTGGTTTGAAGGAGGGAGACACGGATTGGAGAGCGGAAATACGCTGAGCGACTGATTCGCGGATGGATCTGTCCGGGGGTGTTTTTAGTAGATTTACTCAGTTGATAAAAAGAAAGAGGTACTTTGCTACTGCAGTGCCGTCGATGACATGGGCAGTGCGGGGAGTATCAGCCATAGTGGAAAAGGGAAGATGGGGGAGAGAGGAAAGAAGGGATATGGGATGGGAGCGATAAGATGAGAATGTTTTGAAGATTGGGCGGTTGAGTGCAGCGAGTGCTCTGAATCCGAAGCCGGGACGCATCATGCCTCCGCTCCGTCCGCGCCCTGCCGTTTATGGTGTCCAGTCCCCTTTCTGGTGATTGGGGACAGAGAAACCGCTGCCCGCTGTCGAGTCAAGCTGGGTGAGTGGGAAGAAAACAAGAGAGAGCCCTCGATTGCATGCCAGTGAATTCCTCACAGCGTCCATTGGGTGTCCAGTCACCGAACACCTTATTCCCGAACACCCCGAAATAGCATCTTAGGTAATACGCCGGACATTCCCACGCGTCGTTCCGAGCCGGTGTCGTAGAATGCCAAAATTTGCGGAACGTCACTCACAGCCAGCCATGAACGCAGCCCGCCAACTTCTCCGTGCCTCTACCCGCTCCCTCTCCTCCGCCTCTGCTTCCTATGCCCGCCCCGCTCTCCACGTGAGCACGCGCCAGTACTCGGACAAGGCTCCCCCACCCGCGGAGGAACAAAAAGCGGACGAGCAAAAGTCTGACAAAGACACGCCCCAAGTATCCCTCGAGGAGCTCCAGACCAAGCTCAAGGCAAAAGAAGACGAGGTCGTTGACCTTACCGTAAGCAATCCAAGCCCATAATTCTACAAATGGCTCACGTGTCATCCCGCAGAGCCGCCTCCGCTACCTCCAGGCTGACTTTCTCAATCTCCAGCGCAACGCCGCCCGCGAAAAAGAGCAGCAGCGCGACTTTGCCATCTCCCGCTTCGCCGCCGACCTCCTTGAGACCGTCGACGTCCTCTCCCTCGCCCTCAAATCCGTCCCCGACTCCGCTCTCTCCTCACAACCAGCAGCGGACTCGTCAGCACCAGAAAAGACGCCCCAGGAGTACCTCATCGAACTGCACCACGGCGTCGAGATGACCCACCGCCTCCTCCTCTCTACGCTCTTCAAGTACCACGTCAAGCCCTTCGACCCCACCGGCGACGTCTTCGACCCCAACCTCCACGAGGCCCTCTACCAGGCTCCCATACCCGGCAAGGAGCCCGGCACCGTCCTCGAGTGCCAGAAGACCGGGTACAAGATCAAGGACAGAGTTCTCCGCGCCGCCCAGGTCGGCGTCGTCCAGGACACTTCATGAGCTCGCTAGTACACACATATGGAGCGGGCCTTGTGCGGGCTTCAAGTGCTAATAGGGGCGCGCTGTTCGCGTCGGGCGCGCGCGTTGGGTATTTATGCGGTTGGCTGGCTGGCGGTCCGCCTGAGCATGGGCCGCGATCACGACTTAGATAGATAGAGACTGCACTACCATCTCATGCATGCTTTTGGTCTTTGGGGTGGGTGCACGGGATGGTATGCCACGACATGGACATACGATAGACTTAATGTAGTACGCGACGCCTAATTTGATCTCACCTCTCCGTCACGAAAGAGTAGCGAGTGTGTTCGAATTGCGTGCAAGGTAAGTAAATTGTCACTCTAATGTGCAAGTAATAAAATTAAGCGGTGGCCGGGACGCGCGTCGAGCGGCACCCGTCACCGAATCTCGGCGCCGAACTGGTTCTTCAGCTCCGATACGACCTTGGCGTGAAGCGCGTTCGTCTCGTCGTTCGACAGGGACCTGCAAAGAGACGGGTCAGATTGAAGACGTGCTAGCGGCGCGACGTGTGCGTACCTGTCCATGGACCGGTAGTTGATGCGGTAGCACACCGACTGGCGCTTCGTCGTGGGGTGCTCGAACTCGTCCGTCTACATCAGACAGTTAGAATTCGACATGCACTTGTCAAATAGACACCACCCACCAGCGTCACATCCTCGACAAGGTCACCCGCGACGTCGCGCACGAGATCGCAAAAGTCGTTCTCGTGCATCGCGCGCGTGCCGCCCGCGACGTCGGGCCGCCAGAACGACACGTCCTTGTAGCACGCGGGGTAGCGCGAGTACGGGCGGAACGCGCTGATCTCGCCCTGCGCGAACTGCGCCGCGAAGCGCGGGTCGTCCGACCAGAACAGGCGGATGTCCGGGATCGAGTACAGGATCATCGCGATGCGCTCCAGCCCGAGCCCGAATGCCCACGCGAGCTTGTCGGGCACGTCTTGGGCGTGTTGGTTAGCGCCGAGAAGAGGGACTTTGGAGCGGGCAGGGGAGGGGGGGCTTACTGGCGTTCTCGAGCGTCTTTTGGCGGACGACGCCGCACCCGAGGATCTCGAGCCACTCGCCGCGGAAGAGCACCTCGGCCTCGAACGACGGCGCCGTCCACGGGAACGTCGTCTCGACCCAGCGCACCCTCAGCGGCTCCCCTCCCTCCGCGTCCCCGCCCAGATTCGCGCGCCCCCCAAACAGCTTGAGCAGCAGCCCGTTCAGCGAGAGCTTGAGGTTCTCCGCGAGCGCGACCGCATGCGCCGGATCGTGCTCGGGCTGGTGCGGATTCGTGCGCGCGTCAAAGTGCGGGATATCATCGATGACGATAGGACTGCGCGCGAGCTCCGCGCGGAGACGCGCGTTGTCCGCCGTGAGCTCGGCCATGCCCGTGGAGTCGGCGGACACGACGCGCGCGCCCTCCATCTGGTGGAAGACGGGGTAGTGCGACGCGTCGATCTCGTCGCGCCGGTAGACGTCGGCGGTGAGGAGGTAGCGCGCGGTGCCGCGCGCGAAGACCTCGACTTCGTGTGCGGAGGTGTGCGTGCGCAGCATGGTGTGTTTGTTGATGTAGTATGAGTCGGTCGGGGAGCGGCCGGGGTGGTCCGCCGGGAAGGAGAGGCCGTCGAAGTTCTGCGCGGGGGAGACGATGGGCGAGACGGAGGAGAGGTGGGCGTAGTCGGCGAAGTGGGACTCGATGAGCGCGCGGAGGGTGCTCAGTGGGTGGCCGGGCTGGTTGTACAGCTTGCGGGAGAGCTTGGAGATGATGGTCGGGGTGATGTTGGTGAGGTGGTCGCGGGTGTAGTCTTTGCCCATGACGTTGACGACGCCAGAGGTGCCCGTCGAGTAGAGGCGAGCAAGACGCACTCGACAGCGCAGAGGCGCGACGTTGGACAGCAGACGCATTGTTTTGGACGTCGATGGGCGCGTCAACGAGAGTTGGATTTTTGACCGCGTCGGGATCGAAAAAGGAACAGCCAATTGCGTCCGAGTCTCTCATGTCTGAACCCATCCGCATCAGAATCCCGAAGCAGGGACACACCGCCCACATCGCCGACAACGACGAGCATGACATCCACAAGCTCAGCCAGCATCAGCCATCCAGCTCAGCCAAACGCACCAAGCGCCGCCTCGTCACATCCGACAGCGAGGACGACATTCCTTCCAGCGACCTCAATGCACTTTCCAACGCCCACGACCTCTCCTCCCCCAACGCTCCTCCCCGCCTGAAGCGCGCCCGTACTTCCACAGTCACCAACTCCAGCACTACCAATGTCATCGCCAGTACTAAAGCGAACTTGCATGCCCCTACCGCCGCTGGTGACACCGCCTACCACGCCATGATGAACATGTCCCCGCTCACAGAGCCCGACGTGGACGCTATGGACCTCGACGTCGACATACTAGACAGCGAAGACGAGCCCGTAACGCAGTCTCTGCCTCCCCCTCTGCGCAGCGCCGCACACAAGGCTAGAGCCGCTGCTGTTGCTGCGCTGCGGAGCCCCGAGGACACGCGGTTTCTCGCTGCCCACGACGACGACGACGACGACGTTAACGACAACGGCGACGACGGCGCCGACAACGACTACGCGGGCGACAGCCACGCCCCGCCAAAGTTCAAGCAGAAGAAGGAACGCGCGGGCTCGTATCGTGCTCACGCCGGCGAGGCGCGCAAGAAGCGCCACGTCGTGTACTCGTCTGACGAGGAGGCAGATGCGGATCTGGATGTTGTCGTCGATGACGACGACGAAGTGTTCGACCTCGGCAGGGCGTTGGGGGACGATGACGGCGAGGACGACGCGTTCGATCTCGACGAGCACGAGCCGCGGAAGCGCGGTGCCGCGAGGGGCCGGCGCGGGGCAGCGGGCGGCAAGGGCCTAGGGAAGGGGAAGATGGTGTTGGGGATTGGCAAGGACAAGGGCAGGAAGGAGAGGAAGGAGGAGCGCGAGATTCTCGCGCGGGATAAGCGCAACTTTGCTGCTCCCCAAGCCGCGCTGGCGATATCCTCTGCGTCGGTGGCTGCCTCGACTACGGCTGACTCGGGCAGGGACAGGGACAGCGGGGGCGCAGACGCGCTGTTTGATAATCCAGCAGCCGGCGCCAGCGCCGCGGCGGATGCGGATGCTGCAGATGGGCCCGCGAGGCAGGAGAGCGGCGCCGCGTCCGTGGCGACGTCGACGCCCACGCCTACGTCCACCCAGCCGAAGAAGAAGCTCCCGACGATCAGGAAGACAAAAGCCGCGAACGCGGGGGGCTCGTCTGCGGGCTCGACGCCGTCGCGGCCCGGGACTGCCGCACAGGCGGCGGGGTCGTCAGGCGCAGCTGCTGCGCCGCCGCCTGGCGGGGGCGACGAGCTCGCGAAGCTCACGGCGCCGAGCGCGGCGGCGCGCAAGCCTGCTGCGTTTGCGGGGATCTCGGACGTCGATCTGAGCAACAAGGATATATACGCGGAGCTGTTTAGAGGGGTGCGTTGTCTGCTAATTGGGAGTGCTGCATTACGCTGATGCCGACGCTCGCCAGGGCGGGGGCAAGAGTTCCTCTGCGGGGCTCAGCAGGCAGGAAAAGGAGCGGCAGCGGCGAGCTGAGCTCGATCGTATGCGCGACGAGGCGCGGGCGAAGCGAGTCGCCGACGCTGTAAGACCTGTGCGCTCGCCGTCCTTTGTTTCATCCTAACATATCATATCAGACAAAGCCGTTCGACTTGCAAGAACAGGCAGACAAGATCGCGCGGTACGAAGAGCGCTTCAAGCGCGAACAGAGCTTCGTGCTGTACCCAAACTTCCTCGCGGCCAAGTTCCGCTCCGAATGGGACAACGCGCGCACACGTCGGCGAGAGCAGCAGCCCGAGGCGCAGGACGCTCGGGCGGCATAGATATTGATCTGCATACCACGTTCGCATCATCCACTCTATACATGTAGCATACATAGCATCTGTAATTTACAGCTTTTGTTGACCGGCTTATCCGACCTCGAGTTCTTGTTGGAGCGAACTTCGAAACTCGTCGGCTCGCTTGAACAAGTCTGAGAACCGCGTTTCAAAGTCCTTGCGCGCAGATTCGCGGTCCTTGCGTTGTGCATCGTCCGAGACCTGCATCTCGCCGAGCTTCTGGGCGAGATCGTCGGCGGATGGCGTAGGGGCGACGAACGGCTGCAGGCGGGTCTGCAGTGTCCGCACGACGGACGTGAACTCGTCCAGCTGCGTGAGCATGGCGGGGGGCTGGTGGGGGGCGTAGAGCGTGCTGGCGAGATCGTCGGACGCGACGAGGAGCGCGTCCGAGGACGGGTAGAGCGCGTCGAGTGCCGAGTTGGGCGGGCGCGGGCGTGGTGATTTGGAGCTTGTCGGGACGGACGAGGGAGGGAGGATGAGGAAGCGGGAGAGGACCTGTTCGTGGATGGAGACGGAGGAGCGGAGGATATCGCGGACCTACGAGAGCGTGAGGTGTATGCGCGGTGCGGATAGGTGAGGACGTACGTTGGTGGCGCGGTGGACTCCCTGGTCGTCTAGTTTGCTATCTGACATGTCGAGGTCGCCCATGACTTCGTCCCAGCCATCGTCAAAGTCCTCGTCATCATCCTCGCCCGCGTCTCGTCTGTCTGATTTGCTGATCATACCCTCCACCTCCTCGACGCAATCTTTGAGGGATTCGTGGTCATCTCTCCAAGCTGTTCTGACAGCTGCGAGGTTGGTGCGCTGGATGCCCGACTTGGCACGTGCGATCTCGACGAGACCGTGGAGAGTGTCTGTCTGGATAAGGTAGCTCTGGGCTGGTGTGCGGCCCGCGGCGTGGTCGAGGAAGATGTGGAGGAGCTGGCGGAGGGCGTCGATGACGTTCTTGATGTGGCGGGCAAAGTGGAGGCGGAGGGTGCTGCCGTGCTGCTCTGGGCGGACGAGGGTGATGCAGTGGAGGAGGGCGGAGGTGTGTTTGGCGATGTCGTGGAGGAGCGGGAGAGATGCTTTGTAGGCTGGTTTGGAGGGGTTGAGAACGAGTGCGAGCTTGTTTGCGGCTGCGTCGAGGAGGAGGAGGAGGGAGGAGGCGTCGTTGAGGATCGTGGACAGTTTGGGCTGGCTCGACTCTGGTTCGTCTGGCGGTGGCTCGTCCATGTGCTCGAGTGCGGTCGTGCAGGTTGTCGCAGCAAATGTCAGCGCAATCAGGGCTATTATATTTTATTATGCATGTCACAGAAAATAAAGAAAAGCTGACCGTTTTGTTTGTGGTCTGGCATGTTGTTGCCAAGGTTGAAATTTGAGATGTCAGATATCAGTCAGGGGATGATTAGCCCGGAAAGGAAACGGGGAGTGGGCCGAAGTCCGACGTCTGTCCGAGTGCGGCTTTTCAGCTTTGTGCGGTCTCCGTCACAGGCCAAGCTGCTCATGAACCTGCACCTCCTCGTAAGTCGATAATAAACAAAGCTTACAATTTACTTATATGAAAACAAGTGCTCGAGTGCGCGGTGCACTCCAGGCCGAGTCGTCCTCAGGCCACACGCACGCGCCGCCCTCTCCCGCTCCTTCGCATCCCTTCCCCGTCCCGCTTCCTCGTCCCCCGCCCTCTCTGCACGTCGATCCACCGTTCTTTCCCTCGTCCCCTCCAACGCATTCACCTCTCCGCACTCATGTCCCCGTCGCCAACTCTCCCTGTCCTCCTTCCTCCCATGGGGGAGTCGTACACCGACGCCTTCCCCCGCGGTCATCGCAAACATGTCCAAGATGGAGGCAGACGCGAACGCAAACCCCAACGACATTGACAAGCAGCTTGCCCTCTTCCAAGCTCTTGTCGACACCAACGTCAAGGCTGGTCGCGACATTGTCATTTCCCGCTGGGAGCGCATGTGCCAATTCGTAAGCCCCAAGTCCTCTAACCATCTGTACTCACCTTATATGCGCGTGCCACTTCTAGGATCCAAATTCACCGCTTCTCAAGTCTGACAAAGCATTCGAGCTCTACCTGACTTCACTCATACAGAACGGCATGCAAAGCTCCGTCGACCCCGCTGTCCGCCGCAGAGAATCCCTATTGGCTGCCCAAGTTGGTGCTGCAACGACCGACCCTGCTCCCGCCACCTCCGCTTCTGCCCTCGACTCGGTTGCCCCTGCCACCCCCTCGGAATCTGCACCTGCATCGTCACCGGCCTCCTCGACCGCCTACTCTGCCTCGGCCCCGCTCCCCCCGCCTTCGTCCCCGTCCGAATCCCCTGCTGCTGCTACCTCGGCCAGTCAGGCGATTGCTCAGCGGGTATTGTCCAACAATGCCTCGGCGAGCGCGTCGCCGGCTGCTCAGGCGGCTGGTGCTTCATCGTCGGCTAATCCGGACATGGCTAAACTTGCGGCTTCGCTTGGTGCTGGCTCGGGCGTCAGTGGTAATCCGATACATGTGACGTTGAGCGAACGTGAGTTTCCCGCCTTGATATGAGAATTCGACTGACAGGGTTATAGCCAAGGGCTCTTTGGTTATGCGATTGGTCAGGTTCTTTACGTTTACCGCCCTCAGTGCTTTCTGTGAGTACAATTCATCACAGATGTGCACACATGCTAATGCAACGCAGTCGTCCTCATCGTCCTCTCTGTCCTCATGGAGAACTCGGGTATGCTCAAGTCCGTCCCGCGCAAGACCGAGTACGAGCCGAACCAGCAAAAGACCGTCCGCTTCTCGGACGTGCACGGCGTCGACGAGGTCAAGGAAGAGCTCAAGGACATCGTCCAGTTCCTCAAGGACCCCGCCTCCTTCGCGAGCCTGGGCGGCCGCCTGCCCAAGGGCGTCCTCCTTACCGGCCCGCCCGGGACGGGCAAGACGATGCTCGCGCGCGCCGTCGCGGGCGAGGCCGGCGTCCCGTTCTTCTTCGCGTCCGGGAGCGAGTTCGAGGAGATGTTTGTCGGTGTGGGCGCGAAGCGCGTGCGGGAGCTGTTTGCGACGGCGCGCAAGCGCGAGCCGGCGATTATCTTCATTGACGAGCTCGATGCGGTCGGCGGGAAGCGCAGCCAGCGCGAGCAGCATTATATGAAGCAGACGCTGAACCAGCTGTTGGTGGAGATGGACGGGTTTTTGCAGAGCGAGGGGGTTATTGTTATTGCGGCGACGAACTTCCCCGAGAGTCTTGATCCTGCGCTTACCCGGCCTGGACGCTTTGACCGACACGTCGCTGTCCCTCTTCCTGACATCCGTGGCCGCGTGCAGCTCTTGCAGCATTTCATGAAGGAGATCGTTACCGGCAGCGGTGAGTCGGTCTTTTCTCGTTGCTTCATTGGTGGCTGACTACTGTGGTATAGCTGTCGACCCGATGATTCTCGCTCGTGGGACTCCGGGATTCTCGGGTGCTGAGCTCGAGAACATGGTCAAGTGAGTCACTTTGCGACTACATCCTATAATATGCGTGCTAATATCTACACCAGCCAAGCTGCGATCCAGGCATCCAAGGAAGGCTCCCGTGAAGTCGCACTCAACCACTTTGAATGGGCAAAGGTCTGTGGACCAGCTCTGTCCGCGTTACCGATCAAGTTGACCCAACATTTTCTGCAGGACCGCATTCTCCTGGGCGCGGAGCGCAAGACCGCGTTCATCACAGAGGACGCGAAGCTGCTGACGGCCTACCACGAGGGCGGACACGTGCTCGCGGCGCTGTACACGGAGGGCGCGATGCCGCTGCACAAGGTGACGTGTGTCCCGCGCGGGCACGCGCTCGGTGTGGTGCGTATCTCATTGTATTAATGCCTTTCACATGTCGCTGATGCATTCATCTGTGCAGACTTCGCAGCTGCCGGAGAACGACCGCTTCTCGGTGACGCAGACGGAGTACAAGGCGACGCTGGATGTCTGCATGGGCGGGCGTGTTGCCGAGGGCCTGAGTATGCATTCTTTTATACTTGGACGGACAGTGTTGGCTGACGGACAACGATACAGTCTACGGTGTCGGCGGCATGACCAGCGGTGCGTCCTCGGATCTGCAGAAGGCGACGTCAACGGCCACGGCCATGGTTAAGGTGCGCTTTGCTTACGTGCTGTTTCCCTAAACGTCATCGGTTCGCTCATCGTTGATGGTCTAGCAATGGGGCTTCTCTGAGAAAGTCGGGCCTGTGTTCTACCCGGAGCGCGACGAGTCGATAAGCCCTGCGACGCGGGAGCTGATCGACGGCGAGATCATCAAGTGAGCACTTCTTCCCATGGCCAAACACGAGAGCTGACGGATTATCGCATCGCACGCACCGCACCGCAACGCAGGCTGCTCTCGGACAGCGAAACGCGCGTGGCGAAGCTGCTTGCGGAGCGCAAGGATGAGCTGCACCGGCTCGCGCGCGCGCTCGTCGAGCACGAGACGCTCACCGCGGACGAGGTGCGCAAGGTGATCCAGGGCGAGCCGATACGGGATATCAAGGAGAAGCTCGCGGAGGAGGTGCAGCCCTCGCCGGCGCCGGCGGGTAGCTTTGGGGGCATGGTGCAGCCCACGGCGCAGTCGCAGTCGCAGCCGCAGGCGAGTTTGCAGTCGACGGTGCAGACGCCGACGGCGCCGTCGTCGTCATCACCCGCTGCTGAGTCGCAATCGGACTCGTGATCTTGCCATTTGCTTGATGGTATGGTGCGTACGACGGCGACCGTACGGATGTGTCGTCGAGATGACGTCGACTAATAGATGAATGTGTGAACGAGTGGAGGAGAAAGCGCTCCGCTCAGCACAACCGAATAACTACTTACATATAATACGTGTCTCGACCCTCTATTGCATTGGAGCGTTATCGCATAGACTGACTCAGACATACTTATAGACCTGCATCTGCATCTTGAAATCTAACCCTGCTTTGAACCAAGTCGCCGTTGTTCCGAGAGGCAATGTGGCGCCTGTCTGACGAGATTTCATAAGCGAGATATCAGAACATTGATATTCCGAGTCTTGATTGTCACTTGCCGGTGGAAAAATAAAATATCAGTCGACATACGTGGTACGTGCTTGCACGTTTCAGGGTTTGTCGCAGCTCGACTTGTCATATATGTCACAGTTTTAGGGACTGTGTTTCGTGTTTTTTCGCGCGTGTTGATCGGGGTTTCCATGGTCTCGCAAGTTAAGTACTAGATTATATGATCGTATACATAACTCGACCAAACCTGTTTGTTCGATTCCATCGTGCGTCGTGCGTCTGTCACGGCGATCGTTGTGAGGCCTCGCTCAGTTCGCCGTCTGTCCAATAATATTTTTTGGTCCTTGGCGTTTATCAACGGCGAGATGGACTGCCGCAGCACGCTGGTACCTGTCAAGTTGGGTGGCTGAACTGCGAAATAAGCGGAGTAATGTACTGTGCAGACTCCCTTCATAATTAAATCCAAGGGACAGTACGAGTCAAGAGGTAAGGTCTTGAGGTCCACTGGAGCCTATCCTTGCCTTATCGTTACAGTTAACCAACATAGACGGAGAGGGAATTAAATTAGAAATATGGTGTGAATGCAGTCCAAGCAATTAACCTCTTTGAACTTGTACCACTCTAGTACTGCGGCGTATTTATTGGAAGAGATCTCGGTCATTCGAGAGCCACTGAGGTCATCTACGTAACCTTAGCCTATTCCCGGCTCTGTAACTGCATCGCGACAAAGTTCCACCCGATGACCCAATGCATGCCTCCGTTTGTTTTGCTAATTTAATGTGCGGCTGTCGAGGCTGTACCGATATAGTTGGTTCCTGGTGGTTTCAGACGCTCACAAACCACACAAAACGGAGCCACCTGGGTGATTTGGTGGGCTCAAAAGAGTCAGAATTTATTCCAGACATGATGTCCGTCTGCTTGTCCTCTGGGACGTGGCCTCATGGCCGATGGGTTCTACCCTATGTGGATGTATGGCCTAAGTTCAACAGGCGTTCAAGCCTGGGAGCATTTGGACCCACGAAACACGCGGACGGTTTACCGGAGCCAGATTTTTACGTAGCATGGCTTATGGCCCACGGCGGCCAACCTGGCTCGTCTACCAAGCGAACTAGCCTGTGAAGTTCTCGTTTCCGACGGCTGGGTCCAAGCTGCTCGAAGAAAAAAATCCAGAGCGGGTTGCTTATTGAGCAACTGTCATTAACCCATTTATCCGCCACAGTCATGGCCAGATAGGGAGGCATACATAGTGTTAATTCCCGGGACATCGGTTTCTATCAACCGTATCTTCATATTCGCGTTTAAGAATACTTTGAAGCCGTCGCCTACCAACGCCAGCCAGCGGCGACCAGAGCCCGAGGTTTCCGGAGGTGGTGAGCTTCACCAGGCGGATTCGCAAAGCTTTACTCGAGCCCGTCAGGTGCGAGATGCACCATGCGATAGAGTCGCAAAGTTGCCACGAAAAAAACGGCTACAGCATAGTTAATCAGATCAGTAATATAGCGGCCTGCATGCCGGTCGGTGCGCCAGTAGCACAGCAACTGGAGAAAATTTAAGTAAAATGATTTCAGGCCAGTGACAGAATGTCTCCGTGTGTTGGGGTGGCCACGACCTGCCACTAACTTGCGAGGTCATATTAAGTTTTGTAGGAGCGCATTGCTCGCGCTGGATCATTGTTGCCACACTTGGTGCAGAATGAGTACCTTTCCTACCAAATTGACCGACCCAACTGGCGCCGTTACATAACGCCAGCTTGAAGGGCATGCAGAGAATCAGCGTCTAGAGGTAAATCAATGACGCAGGACGGACAGATGCATATCTAGGTTTATGGATAAGTTACCACTTTACCTAACTGATTCATTTTTTCTCAAGGCAGGAAGGCCGATAGATACACCATGCACAAGAAGGAGGCTGTAAGGATGATGTACTTGGTACATCGCGGGAGTCCTTTTTTCGCTTAATTCGTCACTTGACAGCATGTCACGCACAACGTGTGTCAGTCGGAGGCACGTGTACGGGACAATTTTCTAGAAACCTTGTATATCATGGTCGCCGAGATAAGATGGATATGTTTAAGAAAGGTGTGCCACAGGATGAAGCGCTGAGACGCAAAAGACGAAGCTTAAGCAGGCCAGTGTGGGCAAATGTGGACACGATTCAGGCGCTGGATTTACTTCCGAGGGGCGATCCTCCTCCGACACGGCATGCGCCTTGTTCCCGATATGACGTCTCATCGATCTGAATCAATCGGCCACCTCCTTGCAGATTCTTGCGTCGAGGTTTGGTGAGAACTTTTGGTCGGTCTTCCCAAACAACCGTGGGTCGGCAACACCCCCAGGGACAAGAACTCGAGAAGGAGATCACACGTTGCAGAACACCACTTGTCAACTTGCAGCAGTTCAACGGGATGATGTTCTACTCCAGCCTTTTATTCGCATGGAGTCGAGATCTGCATATAAGGGAAGAGTGAATCGATCGCGATTCGCTACGTCACGCATCACCAACTCGAGTCGTCGACATGTCATCAGACAGAGCCAGTCCCCGTATATGTGAGCTGTCAAGACTAATTAGAATCGTCAACTCTTTCATCAAACCAATCCAGGCGGTCCAGCTGACAGAGGACGGGAGGCTCGAGGGCGACGCTGCGCAAGGGCGAAGAAAGGGTCGTCCATAGGTGGACTATGGACTTAGCCGGAGAAGATCTGGGTCTGGAGATCTGAGACGCGAAGGCAGATAAGCCGGGCTTCGGCGAGAGTTAGATTAATCTTGTGCCTTGTTACATAGCTGCATCTTTCTCTACAGTATGTGCGCGCACTTGGTCTGACCACGACGGAGGGAAGGTCTTGCCACATTGACAAGCTGGCTGGCGTCGCCTAGTAGCCACAGGCGTTTGTTCCATATGCAACCTTGTCCAACCTTGTCGATCTGATATGAATGTGGACCCCGCTCGCCCATGGACGCGGACGGACGTGTCCTTCTTCTTGTCATACGTCTTCTCGCTTTGGCTTGTCCCCGTTTGAGCTGGTTTCCCTGGGTTCGTGCCCATCCCTTTGATGCAAAATTGTCCGCCCACGGGACTCTGAGCGGAGCTGAATCGTAATAATTCATTAGGTATGCGTATTTTCAGTTTAAATTCAACCTGGCTCTGTCCCCGTCGTCGTCCAACTTGAACATACTCTGATTCAGCGACAGAGCAGCGTCGGCCCCGCCAGAGTCTGGCATCCCGCATCCTCGGTGAGCACGTTCAGCTGATTCCGTCCCGCCGGCATGCCCTAAATCTCACGAGCCGATGCAGTGCAGTCAATCAACCGAACTCAAAACGTTGTTTCTTTCCAGGTGGCTATAAACCGTCCTCCTACCTCCGCCGACGACTCGTACGCACCCTTCGCTGAGCTGTATCGCTCTATTAACAGCTCGCTTAGCTTCCCCGCAGACCCCTATCCACATTCAAATACACATGTGTCATCGCGTCCTCAACTTCACCAAGTTCGCCTCATGCGGCCATCTCTCCTTCCACGGAGACCACTATATTGACTGCAACTCCCCCACTTGCTACCTCAGCGATGCTCACCCGCCACATTGCTCCTCCAACGGCAGGCCCTGCAATTGTCGAAGATATTATGGGTACCCTCATTCATCCACTCCACCCCGATCCTGCTTGCTAACAATTTTCTGCTAGGCAACCCCGCCGCGTCATAACTGAAGAGGTGGGTCTCCCCCATCTTTTTTTACATTATACTAGCTGACCCAATTCTCAGGTTGCTGGCGTGTGCCCACAGTGTCGCCATTGACAGTCTCCTCGCGTCTCTATTTACCTTGCTCATTCTTGCATCAGATACCACGTCCATTTACCATGTGTACATCACGCTTTTCACGTTCCACACAGCTCTATTTGATACTCAGAGTCAACGGCAACGTCTTGCCTAGATTGAGACACTAAACCGTCTGGTAGCCATATTCGACCTCAGAGGTCCAGGTCGACCAACATCTCATCCTCAATCCCGTCGTCACCGAACTCCTCTTCGTCGCCGTCCTCAGCAGCAGCGGCCAGCGCAAGTTCTTTCTGCTTGGCCTGAGCCTTTTCAATGTCTTCGACCGTCCAAAGAGACACGCCGGCCTGATTCTCGTGAGGATTCTGAGATATCGTCCGCATGAAGAGCTTCGACAGCGTTATGGCCATATCGGTCGACAGATTGGACGCCACCTCCGTAATGTATTGATTGATCCACCGAGGCAGCTTTGCGCGCTTGTCCGCGCGGGCGAACCGCTGAATGAAGCAATGCGCGAGCGGTCAAATCACTATGCGTCGAGGGCGGCATCGGGTTGAGTTACCTTGTCGGCAAACACCATGAGACCCCAGTCCGTCTTTCCGCGGAGAACACGCCCTACGCACTGCGCCGCGTTGCGCATCGCGTCGAACCCCAGAAACTCGGATTCGCGTATCCGATACGCGTCGCGCAGGTATTCCAGGCGTGCTTTTAGTATACGGCTCTCCGTATACTGGTAAGGCACTCTGTAGAGTGTGTCAATATGGATGAACCTGACCGAACCTCAAACGACATACCCAAACATAATCACGGCACGCCCGTAATTATGATCGAAATCGATTCCTTCCGAAACCTTTCCTCGGGCGACGGAGAGAAGGACAGCTCCTCGGCCATTGTCACAAGCCTACACATTACGGTTCGTGAAGTTTCCCCTGACTGAACAAGAAAGGACATACTCGTCTGTAATTTTCCAGGGCTATACTGGTTTCATTGGCGTCCGGGGTCTCCACAAATATCAGCTTGTTCTTCCACACTTCGGTCAATATACCCTAAACAAGGGTAGTTAGCATCGCGGCTCATAACCGTAGTCCCCAAAATACCATGTCATTCCAGGCCGCCACGATGGATTCCATGTATAGGTAACTTGGGAAGAACGCGACAATGCCGTCAGGCACGATCTTGCTGTATTCAATGAGAATGCTGCCAAAGTTCCGCACCACCGCTGGGTCGTTTCGGACTTCAAACCGTGAGCTAATCGCCACTTGATCGCTTCCTCTCGTGATGACCTATTGCCTCTCAGCATGCAAATACTAATTCGGCTCGGAAACATACTACTGACCAGTGGCAAGAATGTATTGCGTGCGAGGGTCATTGAATATGATTCCTGTACCACAGGTGTGAACTGCAGCATCTTGGGGTACATATCAAGAGGTGATATTGTCCCGGACGTGATGACAACGCTACTGAACCGCTCGAAGACTGGTTTAATGGCCAACGATGGGTCAAGGCACCTGCGACAAATAATCACTTTTGTCAGCACGGTGAAAGACACTATAAAACTCACGTAAAGTGGAACATAGGGTTAGGGACGGTGGCCGAGTCAGTTTCGAAAGGTTCCAAAATTAGCAGAAATCCTAGAAAGGCGCTGAGTCCGCCGTCATGCGCTGATTCGTCACTCGCGGACTAACCTTTCTCATACGTTGCGACCAATGTCGCGAAGCTCGCGACTTTCTGAAGCGATGAGTACTCGTCCAACCGACTGAGCTCCAAGGTTCGGATCATTGACTGAAGCCTCTCTGCGCAGAAGCTAAAATCATCTCGTTGAATTAGGACACAAAGCAAGAGCCAGGAAACTCACCGAAGCGGACGTCGTTCAATGTATGTTATATCTTTCAAATGCTGTAGGAACGACAACGGTGTCTCGGCTACGACATGGAGTACACGCATTCGAGTCTGGCAAAGTTAGGTGTCAGTTCAGCTGACGCCAAGCTGAAAATTCGGTCGCAGCATACCTTGAGGTATTCAACGAAACGCTTCAAGAAAGCCACAAAGTGCTCTGCCTTCCTGATGTTTCCAGGAATGGCTTCTGACAACAAGTCTTCCGGAAGTACTAAACACTATGTGTCAATCTTTGCCCAAGAGGAAGGTGAATCGAGTACATACCAGGATTTGACATGAAAGAGTCCTCTTCGGGAGCCGCTGGCTCCTGCAATCCTTCGACTAGCCTAGCATATTCGTCTTGTAGCTTGGCTGCATCGGTTCTCTTGATTCTACGCTCTGTAATCAGCACAAAGACGCGGCTACAGCCTCTCTTTCAACTTACTCCTCAATCTTGTCCCCGAGTTTAACGACACTACGGGCCGCCGAGTCAAGCATTGGCCGTGTGAGATCGATACTGAGTGACTCGATACAAACATTGTCTACGCAGATATGAGTTGATCCTGTCAGGACCTCGACGAGGCGGACCCACCAATGTTGTGGGCTTCGTCGAAAACCACTATGGCATCCTTGGACATCTCTTTGGACACCTGTTCGGCGACTTTTGGGTCCAGCAGGTAATGGAAAGAGTAGATAACAACGTCGACGAATGGCATCTATTACAGGCATGAATTGCGAGATAAGTGTTTTATGGCAGAGGCTAACCATTCTCCGAACTGTGAAGTAGGGACATGTTCCATTCGCCCGACCGTGCTCAAGAACATCAGCGAGAGTGTGGACGCCTGGGCTGATGAGAGAGCCTGGCTCGAGTTTCCCAAGGTTCTATACCACAGATGTTTAGACGACTTGGCTTTCGCAATAAAGCGTTGCACTTACTTCGTGCCATTCACAGAGCTCCACAGATCCCGGGTCCTCTCGCCCCTTGGCGCAAACCGCGCTGTTGGTCAAGTCTCGACACCGCGCATCCACCACCTTGCCTTTCTTCTCCTTCGCGACCTATGTAAAGGAAGGGTAAGGACTGGCACCAACAAGTGCTCATGCACGTACCTCCGGATGTATGCAGAGGTTCTTCCGACTCGTCAAGCCCAGGCCCCTAAAGTTCTCTTCCTTCTCTTTCTGCTCTGTAGTTTCCGCGCATTTTATTCGATACTCCATAAGCCTCTTCAACTCCGCCAGAGCCTTCTCAATCTCAGGTACCGTCCGTGAGCAATAAATGAGCTTCCGTTTGTTTGGATAGAACTACGCAAAGCAAGATCAGCACCAGAAGAATGACATCACCAACGAAATCTGACCTGCTGATAAGAGACAATCAACGACAGAAGGGAAACCGTCTTCCCCGTCCCCGAGGGCATTTCCAGAACGCAGTGCCCCTAAACAGCATAGCTTCAGCACTCGCGCTTGTCCTGGGGGAAGCATAGACAGACCGTCGCATCTAGGGTACGCTTGAGATCGCACATGTATGCATACTGCTCTGCGCGATACGTGAGCCGCCTGCTTCCTTTGCCTCAGACGAGCAAGCTGGATACATACCAGGATATATTCGGTCATAAGGGAAAATTATCTGTAAGCCGTGACCATGAGTTACACCTGGACATTCAGAGCATTTTCAAGTTTGCGCACAGGTAGATTGTCAATGAAGAACTTCATAACGCCAGCCTTCCAGTGCACAAGAGAGTGGGTCCTTGGCGGCTTGTGGTGGTCTGAGGCGGATTACTCGATCCGCGACCCGACCGTGGCGCGCGACAAATAATATTGACAGCGTTACGCGCTCACGTGAAGTCCGAAGCCGCCCAATAATCCGAGTTTCCTGCGATTTGTTTTTCAGAATTCTTTTTTCGTTGATTTTGAGTCACTGAAGAAGATACTTCGAAGCCAAAAATCGGCTTCCTAAGCAATCATAGGATTGACCCATCAAAGGAGCAAAACACCGACGTAGCTAAGCAATCGTACTAGGCGTGGTCCATTACACGGATCCTATATAAGTGAACAGTAATACGTCAGAGAAATGTCCAAAGTCTATCATACAAATGTCATTCAGTGAGCGGAGATAATGTTGTCTTGAGGGAGGCGTAAGCATCAATTTTTGTGATAGTAGCGTAAAATCTAATCGTCCATGACGGTCACCATACCAGTGACCTTATACAAGAAATCAATTAATCATTGTCTGTCCATATCAGAAACCCCGTAGCCATTAATGCAGTCAAAAGAAGAAAATAATTGTTTAGTTGTCCGCGGCGATGCCCTGCGCGGCATTTTGCAAGACCGTCTGGACACCATCGTTGGACGAACTGGAATAACCGTCGTTGGGTGTTTGGACGTTGCTTTGACCCCACTGATACTGCATGATGCCATTCACACCCTGAGCGACGCCGGCTGTGAAGAACAAAGTCAGTGTCTGCATGTCGGTGAATAAGGCAGTAACTTACTATTGACCCATGTAGTATATGCAGAATCCTGTTGATCGTTCGAGACGCCGTCGGAGGAGGCATTTGACGAGGCATCTGTCGAACTCGAACTATTGAAGGGTACAAAGTTCGGTGCATTGCCTTGGGTGACCAAACCAAAGCCAGTGATGATCGTCGGCTTTCCAACACTAAAGATTCACAGCGTGAGCCGCCACAGCGTATTAAGCTAACTCCATCCACTTACGCTCCACCAAGCTGCGCCTGGTTGTTGATCCAATCGACGCCGGTGTTTACGGTGTTCGCAAACGAGTCGGAACTTGAGGTAGACGTAGTATCATCAGCAGCGTAGTTGTTCTGGTCAGGGAAAAGCTGGAAGCTGCCGAAACCGACATCGGGGATGTTCATGATGTCTTGGCTGTCGACGCCAGTAGAACCATCGAACTGTTGACCGACTTCCGGACTGGACTGACGCTTCGCAGCTAAAGGCGGTGTCAGTTTTGTCACAGCTACATCACAAACAGCAATAGTGCTGACCAGTTGATACCCAACGGCCTCTGATCTGCACACCGTCCTTTGCCAAAGTACCTTCTTCGATGGCCCTCTTGCGATTGTTACGGCGCGCCTCAGATCTGTCCTTGAGGAGCTGCTTCTTGGTGAGCTGTTTGACATTTCTCCTCTTCACAGAAGGTGACGGCTGTGGCGACGGCGCGCTGAGAGGGAAAAGTTTTGTGCACTGGAGACATTGACCGCCCGAGGTTCTGTAACGATAACGGTGAGCTGTAGCACACAAAAACGCATCGCCGTATCACATACCCAGCTGAGACGAGATGGTTAGGGTCTACGGACTTGATGTGAGACGCCATGGTGGCGTGCCACTTCGTAACAGTCGTGGTCTGGCAAGATCCGCTTGACGGAAGCGTGGAATTGCAGCTGGGAAATATTGAGCATCGGAAGGTCCAAAAGACAATGGTAGAACCCTACCTGGGCCCGTTGGCAATCTCCCAGCTGAACACCGAGGGCTTGTCGGCGTAGCGAGAGACGATGTGCGAGGTATAATTTTGGAATGCGCTGATAATCTTCTCCTCGGTGAAGAAGTCATCGTGATGCTTCGCACCAAACTCGCGGACGTAAAGATCCATACCGCCTGCGAGAGATATCAGTGTGCTATCGGCAAGGTAAATGCGTGGATAACTTACCATAGTCATTCGAGAGGTAGTTGCGGGGAAGGGATTGACTTTCGCCACGTTTAGTAGAAGTCTTGGCAACATTAGGGAAGAAGTTGTTGGTCAGCGAGAGCAACACGTAGAGCCCCTGCTGCTCGGCCAACTCGATCACTTTGTCGAGCCTTTGGAGACCGTTCGGTCCTTCGTTGATTGATGTCTTCCCATCCTGGATGACCTGGAAATATGTACCATTACTAGGGACGGCGTCGACGTCTACAACAGGCGTAAGAATCTAGTGAACTGATGCAAGATGAGATTCACCATTGAACGCCCATAATCTGACGACTTTGATGCCGGTAGCGGCCATCTTCGCCAGCGTGGTCGAGATCTCATCATCTTGGAGGGTAGGAAGCCAGTAGGCATTCGTCCCTATGTACTTGAAGTTCCTTTAAAGACGTCAGTGTTCTGTATGAAGTCATAATGTCACGATGACTCACGTGCCGTTGACCACAAACTCTGAACCCTCCGAGGATACGAAGGGGCTCGAAGTCCTCTTCGTGGTCGTGGTCGGGACGATGGCAGCATGAGCAGCAATAGCGCCAAGGAGGGCGGCCCATATACGAGAAACCTTCATCGTTAGAGTAAAGAATGGGGCGGGGCACCAGAGGATGGAGGAAGGGCGAGGAGTAAACTGGCCGCACAGAGGGCCCTTTTTATGCTAGAAGCCTCGAGCTTCCACCTGTTTCCACACGTGTCCGACGGCGTCGTGATTTTTCGTACATATGGATGGACAGCGGTCCATTGAGATTATTCCTGTATCGCCGAATGGGAGCTGGGCCCTGGCCGCCCAAGGCACTGCTACGGATCGATCGGTCCCGGATACTGGCGTTCGCCGTCTAGAGAGCGCTTATCTCGGGCGTCGAACAAGCATGCATCGAGACGGTGCACTGGTTCGGACGCTCTCTCATTGGTAGTGCATCCTTTTGAAAAAAGTTTCGGCGCAGCGGCGGTCAAGGAAGGAAGTGAAGGGCGTAAAATGTCTTTACCCGACGTCAGACTTGCAGCATTCACCAGCCCAGAGCGGTCAGGATCATTGCCTCGGGGGCAAAAACCTTGTTCCTCCAGGATGGATTATCTGAAGATGTGCCTGTTTCGAGTTTGCACGCAGGTCCCTGTCACTGCACGTCAAGACATGTGGCGGTGGCGAGGCGCTGGTTCGACGCGGCCGTGACATGGCAGCGGAAGACGGTGCCCAGAAACCGCGAGTGTCCCACCGACGGAGAACTAAGTCCGTTTGATGAGGAGGTTTGGACGGTATAATGCAGGACGAGCAATAATGGAATGTGCCCACGAGTACATGCACATGGTACGCGGCGAGGCTGAGGCTGATTAGCGCTGAGGCCGGGGTGGAAGGTGAGGCAAGAGTCTGGGGAACAGGAACGAGGCCACTGAATTGGGCAACGTAGCTCTTTGCCAAGGAAGTCGTATTGCGACATCTTAGAACGGAAGAATTGCACCGATATCATATCACAATCAGGCTGCATCAGGTTGCATCCATCCGCGCCCTGACTTTGGTTAGGCTAGCCTGTACTGGCACATATGTCTGGCTTGATAGTTCCTGACGAGCATGCGAAGAAAATCCGACAAGACCGGTCCGTGAAAAGACTTGAACTAATGGGTTGAAATGTTTGAGTGAGCGGAGAAATGGGTGTAACAGATGGTGTAATACATGAGGTCAGACCTCGAGGCTATTATTGATTTGAAGGTTTGAAGTTTAGAAGCAAACATGTCAAGTGCCGCACTTCCCAAGTCCGAATTCCCACGCGTGATGGAAAAGAGGCTCGGTCGGTGACCTCATCGACTGCTGCCTCGAGCTCTGTCACTGGCCGTTCGTGCTCTTCTATTGGCAGTTTTCAGAGAGCACACCCGGCATAACGACTTTCAATTGCAGGCAACATGCTGAAACACAATCCTTTGCTCGCGCGACGAGTTCTTCGCACTGTGCCCTCACGACTTCCTGCTTCAACTAATCGCTACCTGAGCTCGAAGAACACCAACAAGTCTCCGCCCTTCCGAGATGAGCCTCTCCGAGACCAGCCCTCCGTGCTCATTGAGGATCACTTTGCCGCCTCGGCCATGTTCGGATTAAACTTCTTCAAGCGGTTCTTTCAGTACACTTTCGTCGGCTTCGTGGCTCTTGGCATTACTGGCTGGACCGCGTTCGAGGGTGCGCATATGTGGGTCGAGCACGTTGGAATGGCGCCGGACAGGGACGAGCAGGTACACCGCTGGGAGTGGGACCGCGACGCCGAGAAGTGGTCAGGAGGCGACGCCGTGGGCGGTACAAACCAGTCGCTCGGGTATAAAGCCAGGCATGCCATTCGGAGCGCTTGGATGGCGCAGAACTGGGGGACAGGCTCGAGCTCGAGCGTGGTCAGCTCCAAGTCTGGCCGTAACGGACAGGACTCGGGGCTCAATCTTGTGGATGCGCGGCTTGAGTACGCGCAGAGCTTCCTGCGTGCAGCCCTCCGCATTGCCGAGGAGAGGGTGGCTTCTGGATCTCTTCGCCCGCAGACGTTGGGGGACCTTCTCGCGCGTCATGCATCCATCATGGAGCGCATCGGCACGCGGGAGGCCCTCTTTGAATCCCGTTCTGAATTCGAGCGAGTGTGGGCTGGGCTGCCCGGAAAGGGGCCCGATTCTGCACGAGTCGCATTGAAACTCGGCGACCTGAACTACAGATTGGGGGACACAGAAGACGCCGTCTCATGGTGGACCCGGTCTCTGCAGCTCACGCAGGGTGACAGCACAGAGAGCCCGTCTTCACTTCCGGCAGTGGCCAGCACCATCCCTTCGTCACCCTCCGCACAACGCACACTCATCTCTACACTAGTGTCCTTGTCCGCCTTCTACTCTACCTCTGGCCAGCTCAAGCAAGCGAAATCCCTCCAAGAAGCATCGCTAGACCTGATGCGGTCTGTGCCCTCTCCTCCTAACCTCGCTTCCGCCTCACCACCTCAAGCACTTCACTCCCTATATGTCCTCCACCGCTCCTCGTTGCTCTCCATCCACCTCGCCGAAGTGATGTACGCCCTCCACCTGCCCAAAGACTCGTCCGTGCAGTACCTCACGCAAGCCGCCGAGTCCTCGGAGCGCGTCGCGCTCGCGCTCGCGGGTCTGCCATTCACGCGGCAGCCAAACACCGCCACCCCTTCCCTTCCTCAGCCCCCAGCATCGGGAGCCGGCCTCGTCCCCGTATACGCAAAGTCGACAGCTATGAGCAAGCCGGCCAAGAGCCTCTTGCGTGACGCGCGCCGGAGCGCCGCGGAGGCGTGGAACCTGATAGGGATTCTGAAGGAGGGGTCGAAGAAGCCTGACATGGAAGGTGCTCTGGATTGTTACGAGCGGGCGCTCGGCTGGGCGGGCGTCGCTAAAGAGCGCGCTGGCGGAGTGGGCGAAGCTGGTGAAGGGACCTTGGAGGCAGAGTGGAAGGTGCTTTGGGCCAACTACACCCGTGCGAGGGAGGCGGTCAGGAAGCAGACTGAAGGGCGCTGATTGAGTGATGTGAGTTTGGATTTAGGTCGCTGCCCAGTTAGCTTATCCTGTGGTGTAGATTGAGCAGTGTTTAGATTGTGAGGGTACGTATAATACATTGGTCGTAACAATGCAAGAATGAAAGAGACTATGGACGATGAACTGAAAGTAACTATATAGGTATATGCTAACTAGTGTCCATTAGTACAGACTGCACTCATCTCCTGCCCAAGCCGCTAAGATTCCAAGCAATCTTCGACTGCACGAAGCTGGACTTGACTACTAGCCACAACAACCAATCTCGCACCGTCGCTTTGCTGATAGGCAGCCACCAGCAGATGCTCTCGCTATAATGAGACCCCGAGTAAGCTAGCAGGTTCTTGGTCAGACCGATGATTTCGAGCGCCCGCGCTCGACGAGAGTCAGCGAACTCCCGCAGCATGCGGTCTGTCTCATGCGTCGGCCGGCTGGCTTCGGTGGCCCGAATGTGCTTCGCGAGCACCTCTCCGAGGAAGATGGAGTCACGGATACCCAGGTTCATGCCCTGGCCGCCAGCGGGCGAGTGGATGTGGGCGGCGTCGCCGACTAGCAGGATCGCGCCGCCCTCGGAGAGAGCTTCGGGGTCGCTGGGCTGGGCATGCGGGTCTGCGCCGAAGCGGGTGAAGGTGCGGTCGGCGACTGCAGAGTGGGTGCGGAAGCGGGAAGACCAGATGACTTCCTTTATGGTGGTGCCGTGGGGGTTGACGGTGGGGTCGGAGGAGAGGAACAGGGGGCCGAAGCGGTCCGCGAGCTGCTGCATGTACGCTTCGTTTGGTCCGGATGGGATTTCCCCCTCGGAGGAGGGTACACCGCAGATGACGCGGTAGATGCGTTCGTCGGTGGACCGGCCGAGCAGCTCGTTCAGGGGCTTCGGGAGAGGCATGAAGATGAAGATGGAGCCTGGGGAGGCGGTACCGCGGAATTCGGCGGGGACCTTGGCGTCGTTGTTGATGATGATATCTGCGAGCGCCATCTGGTTTGTCTGTCCCTCGAGCAGCGCGATGTCCTGACCGTCTGGGTCCGCAAAACCGATGCCAGCTGTACTACGAACCTGGATGAAGGGTGAGGACGTGCATGAATGACAATGCAAACATGATACGGACCACTGAGCGAGCGCCATCCGCGCCGATGACATACTTGGCTTTGATGACTTGCCCGTTGTTGAAGGAGACATCGGTGTATATGTTGTCCTGCGCATTACGCCCAAGCCCTGCCACTCGCATGGGCCTGTAAACCTCGATTCCATCACTCTTCAGTTTCTTCCTAAGCTCGAGCTCGGTCAGAGTCTGGGGAATGATCAAGGCAAAGGGGAATTTAGTGAGGCCGTCGAGGCTAGCGCCGAAGTCGACATGGGCAAGTCGTGTGGAGCGGTTGTGAATGTTGAGCTGCCTGTTGGGCACTCCTTGTGCGACAATATCGTCTGCAAGCGCAGGATCGATTGTGTCGAGGGCCTGTGATTGTTTCACCTGATAAGAGAGATGAAAGTACGATTGCGATATGCCACACACCTCGAGCGTGGCAGCGTGAACGACAATGGCACGAGAAGTATTGCTTATGTCGGCTTGCCCGTCAACGACGACTACATCATGGATGCCTTGCTTGTGGAGAGACAAGGCTGTGGCCATACCGGCCGGACCTGCGCCCACGATAAGCACAGTAATAGATTCTGGAAGAGACATCAGTAGGTAGAGAAGAACTGGAGCGGTGTTCGGGATGAAGTGGAATGAGCTTGGGTAGGTTGTTTATATACTACACATAGTAGTGGGTAAACGTAGCTAGCTCTTGCGAAGAGCAGGTGATCACGACGTTGAAGCCTTTGGAGACGCGGCATCTCTCCGAGACTCGGATCCGCGTCGTCGTGTCGTAGTCGGCAATGGTTGAAGGCTTTGCGTTTCCTTGTGGATGCGACGTCATTTGACGGCGTAATCGTTATTACCCGACGACCCACTTTTCGACAAGTCTGCTGCCGATCCCAGCCAATTCCGGAGGATTTCCATCAAGCCGCATCATGTCGCCATCTCAAGCCGTCCGGCCATGTCGGACTACGCAAGTGTCGACGAGTCGGACACTGGACTGACTCGCGGCTATGCTACGTAACTTTTGCTTATCCTTCCTTTGTAATTTACGTACTGCGTACGTACACCTTTTGTAGTAGCTGAGGGCGCAGTACTATGTAACACAAGATATGAGTCTACTTGGATTATCGAGTATTCTCCAAACCACAATATTATTGATTGCGTTTCAAATGCTGTATGTAACATGATTCCGAGTCAGCGTGAACTTCGGTCACCTTGCGCTCCTTGTCCCAGCGACTTGAACGTGAAGTAGATATTAGACAAACTAACTACCAAGCACGTCCAGGCGGGAGCTGGCGGACCGATTCAGGGGCTAAGAGTTTTGCGACTGCAAGCGCGCGACACGAGTATACCGCGTCTTGTGACTGACCGGCGCTCCCGAACTGAACAACGTGAATGCTCCGAACCGGCCTGCGATGTGTCCGAGGCCTCCACTCGAGATCTTATCGAACTCCATCGCTGGTTGCCACCAGCTACAAGCCATTCAGACCATTCGCGTTTCTTAGGACCATGGCCACTTCTGCCTCAGAGCGATACCTCGCGGACCACGAGCCACCCTATTGCGGCCTCGATGTCGCAACATCCTTTGCTCAGCTCACGTACGCCGTATATCAGTGTGCGTTGCATTGACATCTGACAGTCCGTTTCCTCAAGTTCCAAGGAGAAGAAGTATGCCCATTACATTGGACAGGCTTCGTGGGCCGGCGCACGCATCATCCAAGGCCAATGGACCCCGCACGCCGCGAGGCTCTATGACCTTCTCATCTTGACGTTCAGCGAGAACGGCAAGCTCGCCAACATTGACAATCTCAAGGCTGCTTCCGGACTCAGCTCAGAAGAGTTCAATGGCGTCTTGCAGTACAGTTCCCAGGTTCGTCTCGATTTATCTCCCTCAGTATCAGGCTGTTAACACGTTGCTTCTCGTCGACAGGTCCTGCACAACCTCGTCAACTACAAGAGCTTTGGCTTCACCAAGATTGTCCCTCGCGTCCCCGAGGCTACGTTCGCCGCAGTCGTTGAAAAATCTGCCAACGCTAGGAATGCTGTACCTCTTTTCAATGAGGTCTGTAATTTCGCTGTGCATCTTGGCGACACTGACTGAGAACTCCACAGCTGAAAGAACACATTTACTCCCTTTCTCCGGAGTCGTCACTGTTTATTGGCAAGCGAAGCGAAGGTCACGTATCCAACTACTACCTTGGCGAAGTCATCACCGACGAGGAGGTCAACGACGTGCAGGCCGCGGCCGAGAAGCTCGGTGTCGATGTATTGAACACCCGGTGCGTATGCCAACCATGTGCTTTCCTATCTTGCTGAAGTTGTCGCAGCGTTCGCAAAAACGGAGCAGGTGACTATACGCTTCTTGTTGCGTCGGCGAATGCCCCTGCACCGAAGCAGCACGATATTACTGTAAAGTCTGGTACTGCGAAGCTCACGGTCGAGTACGGCGACTTCTCGGAAGCCTTGAAGAAAGCTTCTGTTGCGCTGACGGAGGTATGCTCTTCTTATATGGTAGTGGCAGCCCTGAGACTCAGCACGTTGTCAGGCCAAGAAGTATGCGGCAAATGACAACCAGGTGGCAATGTTGGATGGATACATCGAGTCGTGCGTCCGCATTCTTCCTCTTTTCGTCGCCATGGCTGATCACCCAAAGGCTTGACACTGGCTCTATCGAAGCTCACAAGCGAGGATCAAAACATTGGGTCAAGGATATTGGTCCAGTCGTTGAAAGCTACCTTGGGTTCATTGAAACCTACGTCGACCCATATGGCGGACGCGCCGAGTGGGAAGGTGCGTGCAGTGGTGTTGAACATTCCCGGTTACTGATCAATCATTTTGTAGGCTTCACGGCCATCGTCAACAAGCAGCTCAGTGCGAAATACGATGTCCTCGTGAATGGTGCTCCGGATTTGATCAAGGCGCTGCCTTGGGGCAAGGACTATGAGGTTGACGTCTTCCGAAAGCCTGACTTTACTGCTTTGGAGATTGTTTCGTTTGCAACGGGCGGTATGTGCCTCCATACTTATCTACAAAAACCCGTTCATCATACATTGATTGGCTTTAGGTATCCCTGCTGGTATCAACGTGAGTGAAATGTTCATGTAATTCATCCCTTTTCTGATTCCTCTGTAGATTCCTGTGAGTGCCGGTGGCTTTGAGATGATGCGTTGCTCACGTGGCTTTCAAGAATTACTATGATATCCGAGAATCGACTGGGTTCAAGAATGTTTCTCTTGCTGTAAGTTTTGTTCTCGCCTATATCATCAAGCTACGGGTCGCTAATATGTTTTTTATAGAACATCCTTGCTGCCAAAGCTCCGAGTACGCAGTCTATCAAGTTTCGTTACAGACGGCCTGCTTACGTTACGACAGATGAAGAGGTGACGTTCATCCACCCCGACGACCTTGACCTTTACAATGCCTGGGATTCCCGAGCGTTTGAGGTTCAAGTCGCCAACCATGAGCTGCTCGGTCATGGATCCGGAAAGTTATTCCAGGAAAATACTGATGGCTCGCGGAACTTCGATCCTGAGAAGGTTAGTTGGACCTTGCTCGCTGTTATTTGCTGCTCAATTCATGACTGCCCATAGATTATCAACCCCCTCACAGGAAAAGCGATGTACGCGATTCACTAAGGGAAAGGTACTTCCTTCACTAAACTGCCTTATAGAACGTCCTGGTACAAGCCTGGACAAACGCCTGATTCTGTTCTGGGTGAGGTCTCGTCCTCGATGGAGGAGTGCCGTGCAGAGACGGTCGCCTTGTTCCGTAAGATATCTCTTTATCTGTTGGTCTGATCAATCTAACGGCGCACAGTCGTTGGAAACACTACTATTCTGAACATCTTTGGTGTACGTGCTCCTTTTGGTGCGAACGCCGACGAGGTTACTGACAGCTATATTCATCACAGTATAAGGATCCCAAAGAAATCGAAGATATCCAATATATCACTTTCTTGCTCATGGCGCGTGCCGGATTGCGGGCTCTGGAATACTATGACCCTGTCACCAAAAAGCACGGACAAGCTCACATGCAAGCTCGGTATGATTGCGAACGACATACCGTTAGGGTTCAATGAGCTCACTGGTGCCTTTGCAGCCTTGGTATAACACAACACCTCATCAAAGAGGGCATTGCTTACTTGGAGGAGATTCGTGATGCTGATGGTAAACTGCAAAACCTCTACATTCGGGTATGACTTATGGGTTTTTTTTTGGAAGCTGGGAGACTAATTATGATGTTCCCAGGTCGATCGCCAAAAAGTGCTGTCGGAAGGACATAAGGCTGCCGCAAAACTCTTGATCGACCTGCAAGTACGCAAGAGCACGGCTGACGGTCCTGGTGCTCGCGAATTCTACCGCACATTGACCACTCCGGTTGCGGGGTGGGAGAGTGACATCCGGGAGGTTGTGCTCAAGAAGAAGCTGGTAAGTTTGATGCATTTATTCAAGACCAACGGCTGACATGATGTTTTTTTATAGCCTCGCAAGGTCTTCGTGCAACCCAACACGTTCGTCGTCAACGACGAGGTGGTGTTCAAGGACTATCCTTTGACGGCAGCCGGTCTCATCGAGAGCTGCATTGAACGTCAGATATGACTTGGACCATTAGACAAAGATCTGTATTGTATTTCCTCGACGAGTAGCCGGCTCTAGCGTACTGAAGCCATGGTTCATTGAATTTCCTCGTAACGACTTGGCACGACACTTGAGATTGAAAGTTTGATCCATGGTTATGCCTTATGACGTTGATACTTGCTAACCTAACAATGGGGTTATTATCGAGGCTCGATCATCAGGAAGGCCGGAAAGCGCGAGCCGAAAGTACGGCCCACTTGGGTTTGACAGGTTCAAGCGTATTTCGAATCCCTTGTCTTCACCCATCTATGCTCCTTTCCACAACCACCAGCCCGTCGCCACTACTTCGTCTTCTCGCTCGTGAGACCCAATGTTCTTCATATATCTGTCGAGGACACCCACCAATATGCCTCCGCGGGGCACACAGCTCCGCCAGACGTATATCGACACAACAGCGTCCGTACACATTTCACCTTGGCGTTAGCTGGGCCGGGAAGTCGCCAGACGCCAGAACGGCTCGTCTTCGCCGCCCGATTCCTGCAAACACCCCCGTAGGCAAATGGAGAGACGAGATGCTGTCGCGACCGCGCAGCCTCAGTGGGAAGGACGCGGGAGAGGACTTTTTCTACGTGACGCCAGTGCGTTCCCATCTTATTCTCGTGTAAACCGCTTTGCTGAGCTGAGCTTGACGCGACTTTACCGCGCGTTTTATCGCGCCAACGCAGATGCGCAATAATTCTGTAAGTGTGGTAATGTTCATTTGCGGCCAGTGATAGTAGTTCATTCTCACTCTCGGCACCGGCGTTTCTCAGGGTATCTCGTTTGGCGTCGCCGACGGCGTAGGGGGGTGGACAGACTCGGGCGTGGATCCGTCGCTGTTTGCGCAGTGTCTGATGTACCATTCATACCGGTATGCGCGATTGGCCTGGGCAGGTGAACCGGAGATCGACCCCACGCAGGAGTACGAGGAGCGCGAAGAGGTCGAGGGATGGGAGATGGCGCCTCGGGATTGTTTGGAAGCTGCGTATCATGGTGTCCTGCGAGAAAAGCTTGTACGAGCTGGTCCGTCCTTCTCGTGATTTATCTTCTAGGCCCTACGTCGCTGAGCAGTGCTCCTTTCAGGTTCTAGCACTGCGTGCCTATTAAATATTAACTCGCTATCTGGGCTGCTACGAGCCGCCAAGTAAGTTACTTTTCGAGGATTCTTCTGTGTCAAGGCTTAGCTTATGAGCACTTTCAAGCCTGGGAGATAGCGGCTTCGCCATCATTCGGTCATCATCCATCATCTACCGGCAACAAGCCCAGACGCATTTCTTCAACTGTCCATTGTAAGAACTAACGTTCTAAAAGGAAAACGTTGTGCAACACTAACTCTCCCCATTAGCCAACTGACAAAGTTTCCTAGCGACACCGAGCGGTATAATCAGTCATACATCGATTATCCTAGCGCCGCAGACACCTATGAAACAAAGCTTCGAGACGGCGACATTGTCATATGCTACGTGCGTGTTCCTCTACATCCGAACAACAGTTTGACCGACTACTCATTCACGCTTTGCAGACCGACGGATTGTCAGACAATGTTTTCCCAGCGGACATGAGCGCCATTTGCTCGTTGGTCGGCAGGTCAGGTGGATCAGACGACCAACAAGTGCAGACCATAGCCGACCGGATCGTCCACTACGCCCAGACATGTATGCATGACCGGAAGAAAGTCAGCCCTTTTGAACGTATGCATATCCCACGAGTCCCCTTGAGACCTGTCTATAACACATTCTTGACAGGCGAGGCTGCCAGGGAGGGGATGAGCTATCGAGGCGGGGTACGCGCTTTCAATCTTATCCCTTGCGTTCATGCTGACGATGATCTCAATGCCAATAGAAAGTAGACGAGTGAGTTCTCCATCCTTTTCGTTGGCTTCTTCAGCTGTTGACGACACATCAGCGTCACCGTGGTTGTTGCATTGGTTCGGGAGAATTAGTGTCTTGCGATGGAACAGCCTCTTTGTTTTTCATCCTTTCCTTGTTTATTCTACGGACATCTATTGGCGCATAATGATTGGTTCAACATACAACATGATACCGCTCATCCACATTACTAACCACATGTTAAGCAATCGTACAATGCATTGTTAATCTTTACGTCACTTCTCGCCTGGATGGTCGTTTGTCTTCACTGTAGGTGCTGCGATAGTCTCCCTTGGCAGACTTAATACCGCTAAATATGATAGTCGATAAACTGACTGATGGTATAGTGCTGCGACACCGTGAGTGAAGGCGGAAGATCTGTACTAAGCGCACCATACGTGCTATACAGAGCCCCACCCAGATACATGACTCGGCGTTAGAAGGCCAGGTGGACTGGGCTACATACATGGACTGTTCATATAGTCGATTTGTGTCCTCAAGAGGCCTTAAACTTCGCGGGCACAGCGTGCATGTCACCACAAAGTATGCAATGTCTAAGTAAGAAAGTTTGTTCCGGTTTAGTATTCCTCTAATTATGTTACACCAAGTATATTACGACGAAGACAATATACAAAAGTACCACAATGGACGTCCAAAGTGTTGATGGAGGTAGGCCAGAGTAGCGAAAATGGTGCCAGCACGATGGGGCCTTAAGAAAAGTGTACGAGTTTCCAGTCCATTAGTCCGATCCTAGTCCAACCCATTAGATGTTCTGACATAAGGTGCAGTGGAATGTGATCTCGTTCCTGAAGACGGCAGCTATTGAAAATGGTTGAGCTCACAGTGAATGCAAGAAAAAGCAAGTACGTACGAAGGACGATCAGGGCGGCAAGACCAGCTACGACGATTACATAGAGTAGGAAATATTTGACAATCTGACGATAAAATGTTAGCCGGACTTCTCGTCAAGTAGTTAGAATGTGCTCACAATCCACCGTCTCTGCCTCTTCTGTTTCGTCGAGTAAAGGGGAGCCCGAATCTGCTTCGAGGGGCGTAGCCAAACTAGTGATACATTATGAGTTTGGGCACATTTCGTGGCAACTCTGATGGAAACTTACATAACATGGTGGAATGCAACTTGTCGACGAAGGGAATGAGGGCGGGACCAGTGAGTATCACCAGCAAGATGTGGCCCATGAGGAAGTCAGAGCTCCAGAGCGACATCTCCACGATCTTGACGATGAACTCGCGAGCAGGCTGCGACATTGCAGAATGTCCGAGGCCGCGGCCGTACCATTGGCCTGACCACCAAGCCCTGTTAGTCTCATCGTGTTTAAATTCGCGAGACAGGAACACAGCGATGAGAATCTTCTGGATGGTCCGCTGCACCGCAACGATGCAGATAACACCAAGAACAGCGTGAGACGAATCCCAAAGCTCCAAGAACCACTGCAAAACCATACGTTAGTAACGAGATAGATATGCTTGAAGATGCTTACGAAGAACTCGAAGAAGGCGATCAATCCCAGGAGCGAAAGGAAATGGGCGATCGCTGCAACGACGGACGCAAACTTCTGCCATTTGCTGAACATAGGACCAAGGAACAAGGAGATGAAAAAGAGGGCAATCAAAACTGCAGCGTTCCACACCATGGGGCCGATGGAGATGACAGCGATACGAATGAGGGGACTGGGACTGGGGTCACCGTTGCGGTCGGGGAAGGACTTGACGAACATGTAGGCCACGATGAATATGATTGCTTGACAGATTGGCCAGACAACTTCAGCGATGAAGACGGCACGCCAAGAAGCACGAGGTACGTCGCCCGAGAGCTTCTCAGATGGATGGCCGAGCTTTTTCTTCTTGTACCCAGTAATCATCGTTCGCGACAGACGGCAGTAACCGTACCAGCTGCTGGCCTTCGTCCTCGAGTTACCACGGGACATCCAGCGCAAGAACTCGCGATAGTCGATGATAAAGTCGGTGAAGGAGAACTGATGCGGGTTGAACACGAAAGGCGCAATGCAAAGGGATAGGACGGAGAACCAGAAGTAGATTAAGTGCGGGATCCAAATGGTCAAGGAAGCGTAGAGCAACAGCAGCAAGTTTCTCATGCCCATGTAGATGCTAGGACCTGCGAAGCGAGAATACAAGATGCTGAAGGAGATACGCGTTGTCGCGAAACCACGTCCAGTTGCGATGTACCGGGCACCACCAAACGTCAGATTGCTAACAACGGCCTGTGAATAGATCCGAGTGGAGAACACTTCGAAAATCGGAGAAAGAGACAAGAAATGCTTGCCCAGACGCAGCAGAGCCTTTCCTGTGCCTCGCTCGACAAGTTCTGAAATATACGCATGAGCAACCAGCCTATGATGCACTACCCAGGCTCACCTTGTAAGAACAACGGAAGGAAGGCGATGAAGAACACCAAGAAGATGGAGATAATGCAACGCTTAATCCATTCAAACGCAGGAATGAGGTTGTAGCAACCAGTGCCTTGTTGACCACCAAGCACGTTTCCTTGTGAGTCAACTGCACAGATAGCCAACTGCTTGTTCAAGGTCCCGATGTATGTCACTAGCGAGTAGCTTCAGTCAAGGTCTCAAACCTATGAAACTAGAACTGGATGCTTACAGGTTACCATGAAAACTTGGATCGAGAGAATGACCAGAATGTTATTGATGTGGAATCCCGGATGACCATAGTAGAAAGTCAAGAACCGATCCATTGGAAGCTGGGTTCCCAGGTAATAGTACTCGCGACTGAGCAATTGTTCACCCATACCAGTACCAATCTTGGTCTGGAAGTTGAGAATGGTACCAAAGCCAAGATCACGACCCTTTCCGCACTGGTAATACTCGGAGTGCTTGATGCGACCGCCACGGCCAAACGCGTTCATACCGGCGAAGATATCCTCATTGAGATGGAGACCTTTCTGAGCTTTGGAGACACCGCCACGAGTAGTCATGAACAACGCGTTGAGGAAATCGGGGTGTCCGTAATGGAGCTTGCCACCAATCCAAGCCAAAGCACGAGCTGTCATCGTACCGAAAGTCTGTTCCTTTCCTGCAGCAATATCACCGAGGACACCAATATTCTCCGAAAAGATGTACTCTCGGGTACCAACGATGGCGACCGGGGCCTTCTTGAATTCCTTATGGCCCCACTGAGCGTATGGACTCTGGCCTGAAACCTGGTACTCTTCAAACTCCCCAAGGACGTTCCTAATCTTGAGACATTCCTCTAGGTAATTGTCCTGGTTTGCATCGATAAGCTGCAGGTATTCGCCGCGGTAGAAAATGATAGCGTGGTTCTGGTTGTCGGACTTGCCATCACCCAAGATTGGGTTACCAGGGAGCTGTATACGGAACTTCGGCTTCCTCTTGCCAGTCGCTTCATCAATTTCAGAGTGGCCATCAATGAGAATAGAGTACAGTGTGGGGTCGCTGCCCTTGGGACCGGCCTCTTCATCCAGGTATGCAATTTGCAGGTCTGGGTAAGCGCGCAACAAGAACTCTGCATTCTCAAGCTCCTCCTTGTTGAACTTGGAGTATCTCTGCATAGAGACCATGAACTTGAACTTGCGACGAGACATGCGTTCCAGCTCCCGCTCAAGTTTATCCGTGTTACCACCCAGCATATGGACAATGTCCGGGTTCTCTACACGATACAAGAGCTTGATGGCCTTGGCATAGTTCATCATGCCAGAAACCGTACGATAGAGTGTTTGTGCGCGGAGGGAAGCCCATATACGCGTACGAAGAGTGTACTCCGGGGAAGAAGTCTTGAAACCGACGCAGTAGAATGGCAAGTCATCTGCTTTGCTTGATTGTTTCTCGTTGACCGAGGCCGTACCGTCCGTGCCTTCATGTTCAGCCGCCAAAATCTTGGTGTCCTTGACAAAATTATCCCACTCGACGGGATGCAGTTGTTTGAGATACTCGAGCAGTGTGACGCGAGTGTTCTGGTCTTCTTCACGAATAATTTCACGGAGGGAAAGAAGGATTTTCTCAGAGTAGTGAGGGACAATGACGGTGAAGGTGGGCATAGCATCGACCGGAAGGGGATCAGGCAAAGCGGTGGTCAGAGAAGAAGCAAAGAACGAGATACGACGTTCAGCTTCGCCATCGGCCGGGAAAAAGGTACCCTTAAAGTTGCTGGTCTGGCTCGTGAAGAATGGAGGAGCACGGAGGACCCGTCGCCCGTCAGGAGCATCGACCTGGTGATATAGCAACCGCTGCACATGTTCGATGGAGAGGAGATGCTCTCTGTACATGGAAATGATGACGGCATTCCAGATCTGAGAAACTAGGACCTTCGGCTTGTACTTAACTTCCATTTCCGCGGTAGCAAGCAGCTTAGCGTAGATACGCTTCGGCATGCGGGTATAGACATCCTTCCACGGCGTCCAGATGGATAGGCCAAGAGCGAAAGACCGACCAATGCTGAACACGACATTCCAGATGATGTACCATAGATAGGTATCCAGGAAGAACAGGACCAAGTCCATGATATACATGATGCCAAGCGTGAATGAGATTTGGTTCGAACAGAGAGCTGCACCAAAGTATTTGTCGTTGCAATTGTGAACCTCCGTTCGAGCCATAACAGCAATGGGCGAACTGAATGAGTTGGTCAAGAAAAAGTAGGACTCGACAAACTTGCAAGCGAAGACAAGCGCCCAGAGTGCGATACTTGCAAGTCGTGCAGACCGTTCAAGGGCGGGATAAGAGGCAGTAAAGGTCTGCGATGCCATGTATTTGCGGTTCTTGCCAGCCACGCGATCACCGAACATCCTCCCAGACGGTATTATGCCGAAGGCAATGGTGGCTACCACTGAGATGAAAAATTGCACAATACTGATAATCAGCGGGACCTGGGAGTTACTGGGATTTACACCAGTCTCCATCAAAGCGACGTAGATGGTCGGGCCAGCTGTGAGCGCAAGAATCACCAGTAAGAATATGAATCGGGTCGTCAGGTGTGAGGCGTTGTTCCATGTCGTGGGGATATACGTGAACTCGGCGAGGGTAGCAATGATCATGATTAAAGTAGCAACCGCACCACCGAGGGCCGTGGCAGACCAATACATTGCCGGTGCAGGAAACTGCTTATTCTCGGGAGCGTACACGCGAGGAGAGTTGAATGCAGTGTAGAACCAGTACATGGAAATGTGAAGGATCCATATGCGGTTGAAGTTGACAATCAAGTGGGCCGTTGAACGTTTTTCGAAGTAGGTCTTGAAGAACACACGGTCCCAAACCACTCGACGAAGGTTCATAAAACGCTTTGCAGGAGCAATATCAACAAGCCTCGTCTGTGGTAGATGGATCAATCATTGTAGTTGTGAAAAACAATCACTCAGAATTGCTTACCCCGTTCTCGAGGACGATACGTGCTAAACCTTCAGGATACCAGAAGAGTTGGTTGATGTCATCGTACCCAATGATCTGATCGTGGTCCCTCTCTCTTCTCACGAACTTCCCTTCGACAACTTCGTACCCTTGGTCACGCATGAACTTGTATAGCGGTTTAATGATCGTGTTGAGGTACAAGCCCTCGGGAACGGGGTCCATGTTGTTCTGGCATTCCGAGCTTCGGTAGTAGTCGTCGGCACACTTGAAGATGAAGCAAAGGCACTCAGGGACAAAGCGTACATTGCCTGCTTCACCCCAACACAAGAGGTAGAGTGCGATCTGTCGCAGACGGTCATACTGACTCATGTTGTTCATGGCATTGCGCCAGCGATTGATGGCGCTGTCAAGATGCTTGGAGCCAGCGGTCTTGGCATTACCTTTGACACTACGAAGTCGCTGCAAACCGGGATTCTGGGACTGGCCAACAGCATCGTCGAGATTCAGCTGAGCAGCGAAGTACCACTTGCGATAATTGGCGTGCTGCCCTCCGATGTAGTCCGCATGAAGAGTTAGGAGAGCCTGATTGGGGCTCATGCGAGAAGCTCTGGAGTCAAGAGCATGCATCAGGAAGTCAAACTTGACAATGGATCAGCAATCAACATAATAACTGGGAAAACCTGTGGCCTACCATGTTGCGCATGGAATCATGCTGGAAACCAAACTTCTGAGTGAGGTCGAGGAATATATCTTCTATCTCTTCACTTGAGATGGGAATCTGCCGCTCTGGTGACCAAGCGGGATATGGCCGGGAGCCTTGGCCAGGGTCGGTAAAGGGAGAAGCGTAGGGCTGACTTGCCTGCGAGGCAATAGAAGGTGCATAGGATCGAGAACCATGGCCGGCATCTGAGGCCGAATCCCTCACTGCAGCGGTAGGTAAGCAAAGAGGGAGTGGGATGTTTTATTATGTAAAGACAGTTTACCTCCGTAAGCACCTGTAGGCTGATCATAGTAGGGCTGGGCGGCTGCGAGCCGAGTTGTGCTGGTATAAGGACTACCTGCGTCTGAGTCGTTGTCATATTCATGCCTAATGGGCTGTCGTTGCTGAGGTTGCTGAGGATAAGGACCGGTGGGGATTGCGAAAGGATTATTGGGTTGCTGTGGGTAGTTTGGATTCGCCATGTCGGAGTACGACAGAGGGTAAAAGAGTGAACGTGCTGCAAGGAGGCAGCTGCGAATATCAGTAGCTAGACCAGAGGACGAGGGGACGAGAGGGAGTCAGCGCCAGCGGTGAGGAAGAGAAAGAATGGAGTCTCAGAAACGAGGGCGACCAGCCGAGATACAATGGCCACTTTAACCGTGGGAACTCGGTTACCTTGCCTCCAGAAAATAACCTCGATTTTCTCACTGCGTTCCCCGTCGGTACGCGCCAAGCTTAGCCAACAGCTAGTGCCGACCGGCGACTTCCCAGTACGCCCGAGTTTGCGAAGAGGCCTCCAGGACAGCCTTTCTACGATCCTCCCGCCAGTCATTACTGTACGATAAACCGTGACAGGTCACTCCACCTCCCATATTGTAGAGCGCCAAGTTCCATTGAGAACCTGTACAAACACCCTGAGAGCTCGACCACAACGGCGATGACGTCCTCGGTCGCCAAACCGAGTGGAGATGTCCACACGTCCTTCTTCGCGCGGAGCAAAGCGAGCACGTGAGCTGAATTGCGAGTAATACAAGGAGTAATAACCCGACGCGTCCGCACACCGATCTTTCCCTGTCGCGTCCAAGTCGCGTGGAGTGAGGCAGCCATGATCCTCTGGGATCCCCGTAGGCACACTGCTTCAGCTCGTGCTATCAATGAAGATGGCCAACCGATAAAAACCGCTACTACCACATTTCCCTCACTGTCTACCTTACCGGCCGCCTCGTATACTCGCGTCAAATTCCTTGTCCCTAAAGTTCTCCCGCCCCTTGCATATTTCTGCATACGGGCTCTCTCGTGCTGCCCCGAACAGCTCCATGTTCTTGGCGGCCGATATGTCCCTTTCAGCGAGCGAGTCGTACGGGCCCTCCTAACCTTACGCGAACCCTGCCAAAACAGCGACCAGCCTTCTAGTGAATATGACCTCTCCGGTATTGATCCCAAGCTTTGGGCAACTCTGGTTCAAGTTATGGCCCCGCTTCCTAAACAATTGCGCGAGTATGCCGTTCCTCTCTCCGATCCTAATGTGCCTCTACTCCAACAGATACCCACCACTGCACACTTTACGATGATCACGATTCTAGACTTACGTCGCTGTCTCGAAGTCACCGACGACACAGTATCAACACTTCATAGACTCTCTTTTTTAGTCGCTCTGGATATCAGTGAAACCCTCATCAGTAGTCATGGTATAGAGAGACTGGGAAGGCCGATATATGCTTTCAGAGATGAATCCATTATAGACCATCCTGGCCTTCGCGGCCTTCGGATGTTGAGGCTTTACAGCTGCAGGGCCATCAACGACATGGTCTTCAAGTCTTTCCTTTCCTTTCCCTTCCTCTCCGTTATAGGTGAGAGAAGCGAGCGACGAAAGTAGTCAAAGCTGAACTCGGGCTAGATTTGCGACATACAGGTTGTAGCTTCCGAAGGGCACCAGAACTAGCTGGCTTCGCTCAGTCAGCTAATCATGGCTTGTTCGTCCCAACCCCTCTCGCGACCTCATATTCCATGCTTGAAGAGTTGACGAAATCGCCACTTTATCCCTGTCCCATAGCGTCAAGCTATAGGCTTGATATATCGAGGCTGTACCATCACGCCTCAGCCAATAATTCTCACGTCCTTGGGAATGATACAAAGTTAGCCTTGAACCCGCACTCAGGGGGTGTCACGCCATCTCTGTTTTACCGCAGAAACATGAAGCAAGAACCAATCCTAACTCGTTCAACGCTTCCGGATCCGCTAGCATTGGAGAGGACGCCCCCACCGTGGAATACCTCATTGCTTGAACCACCGCAGAAACTGAATGTACTTGATGGAGGAAGGCCGGATACTGACATAGCGCAGCTGAACAAATCACGTCTCCCTCACGCCGGATCGTCCATGGCGCCGGAAGCTTGGTTTAAACGGAGGAAAGTGCCAACGGGAAGCAATTCTTTGGATGTACCTGCAGACTCTGTTGTGCACCGGAAAACAAATCCGTTCGCGAAATTTGGTCCGAGCTCGTCATCGTCCCAAAATTCGAAGAGAAACATAGACACGATATCGCCGTCATTGTCAACTACGCGCAGTAGTTCGGCTTTGCGCACAAGCCCACGGCGTTCAACAGAGAGACCATCCGAGAAATCGTTGAAACCTATTACGTCCTTAAAAATCCCTATCCTTCCGCCCACCATGAGATCACAACAAACCACAGAAAGGAAAGGCCAACGCGGCGATGCTGTAACGCCAATACCTCAGAAACGGATACAGAGTACTTTATCGTTTGCTCGAACCTCAAGTACTTCAAAATCTTCCATCGCGCATAAATCTGACAAAGGATGATGAAATTCAACGTAGACCGTTTCGTTTATTAGATATAAAAGTTTATTTTCGGACTCTTTGTCGTCAGGATCAGTTAAGCCACTGTTAGCTTAACATGGAAACGATTGACATAGTTGTTCTGCGCAAGTGAATCCTTTGCCCATGAAGATTCGTCGAGATAGGGGCATACCCAGTTTTGAGATGATCTTCCACGTGGGAGCGAGTCCTTGAAGTCCTATCATTGCGCCTTAATTTCTAGACTGGTAGCAACAAACATTGCATCGCAACAGCTATTCATGCGATGGACTACTTCTCTAGGTTTCTGCGAACAAATACTCCGTCCCCGGTGAAGCCCGTCCAGGACAGAGCGGCAGAGTTTAACAAGTCATGGAATCTGGTCAAGGTATGCTCCAGCTGCCCACGTTCGCCAGTCATCAACCTCGACAGCTGTGTTATGCTATGTCATAGAACACGCTGCAATATCCTGATGAGCGACAGCTGCTCAAGGGCATCAGGTCCACTGATGTCCCGGCACATCTCCAGATGATGGTGGACTCGCTCGTTTGGGAATCGTCACGAACTGAAGAAGGGTAATGCAAGCCGCGTATCTGCATTGACAGAGTTGCTCATTGTTTTACAGTGCAACTGGCGCTTGCCTCGAGTACCTGCTGAAGAATGGTATGCACTAAGTGGCGCTGATTCGTGTGCTTGTAGTTGTGCTTATCACACATCGTAGATGTTCTTGGAACACTTGTCAAGCTCAGTGAATCCGACAGACCATCAGGGATCCAAGCTGAAGTTCTCCAAGCCGTACAGAACATGGTTGTCTTGATGGACGAACAGTTCTTGGTTCACTCCGCCGTGCACAGGGCAGTGCTCAGGCTGCTCCGAAACTGCGTTGGTGACGATATCCAGGAGCAACTCGATGGCCGCACTAGAGTCATGGGTGCAGCAAAGAACACTGCGCGGAGCCAGCCGTCAGAATACGAGCTTGACCGTGAGTTATAAAAGCCCATACACACGCGGACCTTACCGACCTTGATTTGTAGTGGTCAATCTGTTGTGCATCCTCTGTAGTCGTATACGGACTTACCGGGAACTTCTCATGATCTTCTTCCATGATAAGCACTGGTATAGGTCGGAGCCACTTTTCTCGGTCGAAGAAGAGGACGAAGAGGACGAGGAGGAAGAGGAGGACGACCAAATCAAGGACAAGGTGGAACAAGGCGAAGACAAATCATCCGTGGAAACTTCAGAGAAGGCCCTTGACTCTCAACAAACATCATCTCGATCTGGTTCCCCTACTCCCTCGCAGAATACCATTACATCAGCCCCAACATCTCAACGTAAGACGGAGTACGAATTTCTACTATTTAACTACCTCCTTCGGTTTGTGCACCGGGAGGGTCAAATTGGTGACTTTGCTCGCGCCGGTTTACTCTTCCTCATGGATGTGGCGATGTCACCTGGCGAACCCGTTCATCGGCTCACCGGCGACACCTCCTCCGTCTCGCAGTCCGCTTCCGCTTCAGAAACTGTTGTTAACGATCCTATTGCGGATGCTGCTATCGCTCTTGCAGAATACATCATTGATGGTGACTTCAGTGAGGTGCTTGGTGCTGGTCTAGGAGCTGTTTACTCTCTGCTACCCTCGAAACTCGAAGTAAGGAGCGCTACGTATCCAAATGAAAACGCTGGGAGTGGCATGGTTCTTGGAAGCACAGGACCTTTGAACGAAGAGGAGATTGAAAAACGGGAGGCTGCATCGGAAACGAACCGAGGCATTGGTCTGGAAGATTCCTCCAGTCCTGACTTCAAATACCGTCTTGATCATTTCTTGAAACTTCTGGAATTCCTACAAGATATCTTTCGGCGCAATGTCATTCATGATTCTGCTGAGTGTAGTCTCAGCACTTCCACATTCCTCGGCACTTCAATTGTGCACTCAATCTTGGATGCTGTGCGGCGGATTTACCTTCAGAATGTTCTATATCCCACCATTCTTGAATGCTCAGATTCGGATGGCAGCGCAGTAGCAGTCATGTCTTATATCGATATTATCATCAGGACACTGGAAGATGGGCAACTTTTGGATCTTTTCGTCAGATTCCTTATGAGTGAGGACAACGACGAAGTTTCGCGCCCAATCCATCGGCAACAGGGTCTACTCAACCTTTCAAATAATGCTCCTCCTCAAACTGGCGTTGACAGAAAGACGAAACATGCTCGGCGAAAGAGCAGTGCCATGACTCTTCTCGAGATGGAGGCACCTGATTCCCGGAAGGAATCCGAGTACTTCACATCTATGGGTCGATTTACCTTGAAGGATCTTTTGCTGTCGAACCTCCGCTCTTCCAACCAAGCTACTGCCACCGCTACGTTCCAATTACTTCAATCGGTTGTCACAATATGTTGTCGTCACTCGGTTGATGGCCTACTTCTTGTGATACGTGATGAACGCGCAACAAGCTTCCCTCAGCCTATCATGCTAACACCTCCTGCTACACCGTCCGGGGGAAAGCGATTGCTGGGCGATGATGACAGCGATGAAGAGTTTATTTACCCCAGTGGAGAAGACAAAATGCACTCCGTTCCTGCAGGACCTTTTTTCGCCCAACCCACTGTTACCATCTCAACGCATGAGCGCGAGATGGGCTTGTATCTTACACTTGTTTCCCGCGTCGACCCAGCTCACCATGAAGACGCCTTCAGCACTGGCTACGACCATTACCTACGAGACGCGATGCTTTCGATTCAGAGCCATAGCTGCTTCTTCAATGATATCAGTATGGATTTACGGAGACAACACAAGCACCGTCTCAACGTTACCGACCCTATTTTGTCGCTCTTGCTCGAGTCAATGCGGAAGTTCTTTGCAAATAGCCCAAAGCTTAACATTTCTCTGACGGCGGCGCTTGCTGCGCTTGCGGTTTGTCCAGACCGATCGCTAAGCGGTTGGCTCACGTTTGCGGTTGATGAAACTTCACGGATGGATATCACCTCTCCCGTTTTTGCGGTGGGAAATGATGGAGATGATCGTTCCATGGATTGGGAGATTGAAGATAAGTTGGTGACTGAGACCAACATCCTCCCTGCATCGAAGATGGACGACCGGTCGCGGCCTATAGTACATGCCATCATACAGGGCTTGGTTGGCCAACTAGAGCGTTACCGCCAGGTTGTCGAAGACTTTGACAAATACCTGCTGGAACGGCGTCAGGGGCTTCTGTTTTCGGAGAATCTTACAGATGCAATGACGCTGGCTCTTGAGCCCGCAGAATCTCTTCCCATTCCTTCTCTCGTATCGCCACCAGGAACGCCAGCACCCAAGCCCAAGCCCAAGGCGTCCTCGCTTGTCTCATTCTTGACACCGCGCAAGAGCAAAACAATGCCAGCAAAGGTGGCTAACAGCGATGAACCTTCGACGCCTCCCAAGGCGACTGGTCGATCATCCGTCTCAACGCCGTTTAGCACGCACTACGAACAAACGCGTCATATCACTGTTGAGCCCTTCTTGGCGCCTGTGCCATCGTCAGCCAACTGGATGTCCAAGAAGTCTGCCAGGCGGAATACAAATGATGACGACCTTTTCGCTGCTTCTCGCCAATGGGGTGACGGCCCACCCGAGACCTCAGTCGATGAGGAAGACGAAGAGGACCAGGAGGTTACTCATGTTTCACTCTCGCACTTGCTCGACAACGTAGTGATTTTGGAGGAGTGTATCAAGGAACTTGTTGCTATCATCCATGCCCGGCGGAGTCTAGGGATTGATTCAGTCCGATACGTGTAGTCATAGTCAAGGTTTATGTGCGTAGCTACGGTTACAGAGAATCACTAATACAACCTGCTAGCAGGAAAAGAGAGCAAAGTAGAAAGCTGTAATAGACATTTACGAGGATGCTACTGAGTCTTCCTGGCCCTTCCTGACCTCCTGCCTGCTGACGGAGGTTTACTTGCTGCAGTCTTCGCCTGGCCACCGGTCAACGACTGCTGGAGCTTCTCAAATTCAGCGTCGTCAATTTCTGGAGGGATAGCGGCTTTCGTTCTCTTCTTTGGGGATTCATGTTCCCCGCTGGAAGGGTTGCTCCGATCTCGTTTTCTCCCTTTCTTAGTCGTCGACTCCTCGTCTAGGTTGGCGTACTTCGCCTCCAGGTTATCGAAGAATGACCCGCGGTCCTTCTGACGCTTGAGAATAAGGGCCTGCAAGGCGGACGTATCGCCATCTTCTTGAGTATCCTGTTGCTTCTTCCCCTTACCCTTCCTCTGTCCGACCTTCCCACTTCCATAAAACTCGTCCCAGACACCGAGTTCCTTCGCCAGCTCCTCTGCCTCCTTTGCTTCTTTCTGCGATTGCTTCTTTCGCACCAATTTCGCCTTTTCGTCCTTCGAACTCGACTCCCATAGAGGAAGCGCATCTAGCTCGCCTTCAGAAATGAGCTTCGATAGGAGCACGATAAAACGTGGCTCGTCGTCCACGGTCGAGTGAGGGATGTGCTTCATAATATCGTCCAGTGAGCCGCTACTCTCGATGTATGCAGCCTTAAGGTCCTCGACTTCCTCAGATGAACCTGAGGTGGAAAACTCAGAACACGTAGATAGACTACCAGAGATTTGCTCACCTTGATACTCTTTCTTCATCTCATCTAGCTTTTCACGGGTAACACGATCGAAAAGGTCTTCAAAGTATGCTTCCCAACCTCCGTCCTCGTCCGCTTCAATACCGAGACCTTCGTCTGTACGCCCTGTGCTATCATATCGTTTCCTGCGTTTCTCGTCGCTGAGGACAGCGTATGCGAAGCTGACTTGCTGAAATTTCGTAGATGCGCGCTTGCGCTCCTCCTCGCTTGAATTGGAATGTTTGTCGGGGTGATACACGAGGGCAAGCTTGCGGTATGACTTCCTGATAGTCTCTGCGTCGGCACTGGACTGCAGGGTAAGAACGGCATATAGGTCGACATTCTCCTCCCCAAGGAAGAAGTTGGAAATGGGATCTTCGCCGTCCATGGTTGTGTAAATGGTCTGGTAAAGAGAGCACGCGTGAGTAAACTAGCAAGTGTCAGACGCGTTATTTAGACGCGTCGCGATTGCGGGCCTCGTATTACCATAACTGGTTGAAGGAACAAATCCGATGTAGTCACCACTTCAGCCAAACGTCACCTGCATTGAAACCCAACAACACAACTACTATATCAACTACATGGGTAACCTTGCCTGCGACAAAAAGACACAACATTCGTTGTCCGTCGAATAATTGATAGTAGGTATGTTAGTCTGCAACTATCGCCATAAACTCGCACAATCACAGGAAACAAGCTAATGGAATCATATGTAACCTCGTAAATTACTCGTAAGAGGAGTGGTCACCGTCACATGCACGCTTGGTGGAAAAAGTTAGAGCAGGATGATTTCTTACTCAATCGAGATGGTCGGAGCCAAAGGTGCTCCACCAGTAAAATATGAGGACTGTCGTTCGCCCATGCCAGCTGGTGATTTAGGGGACGATAAGTTTTGGTTGCCATTAATATCTGAGGAGGAGAAATGTTAATCACCAGGTCCAAAAGCATCTATTTCCTGAAGCTTGACAGGGGCGTACGACTGACCATGAACCTTGGATCCGTGAAGGCCTTTACCAAAGTCGTACATACACTTGATCCCAACGACAAAGCTCGCGAAGAGGATAAGAAGGGCAACAACGGCTGAGAAACGTTAGTAAAAAGCGACCAATACGCACGTACGTGAAACTTACTGAAGGTAGTAAGGGTAGCCCGAGTGGTGACGTACTGAGCCTGCGAAGCGGGAGCATAAAATCGGTATAGCTTGAAAACTGGCCAAAGTCAACGACACATTCTGTAGTCATGTCTAAATTGATGCAAACCAACTGAAATCCTTATGTTAGCATTGAAATAGTGCGATATAGTCGGAAACGCTCACAATACGACATCGCTGCAACCATCAACACAAGAGAGGCACTCATCATCCTACGGAACTTGAGAATTTAAATGCCATTTATTATGAAGCGAACATACCACTTAATCTCGCGTTGTACCGCGTAAGCGCAAGCAGCTAGAAGCACAATGACCACTGGAATGGCAGCAATTGTAAGACCGAACTCGGCAGAGTTGGTCGACAGGACGACAATGATCATCTTGGAAAGGATACGTTAGACCAGGTATAGAACATCGCATGAGCCACTATTACCTGCATGGTCACTCCAACAAAACAGAAGAAATCAAACTTGAGCAGACATATGAGGACCTGATAGTATTGATACATTGCTGAACGGTTATTAGATATGTTCATTCATACTGCAGCGCCATCAGCTTACATTTCAGCTTGGGGTTGGCCCCGACGACGTGGAAGATAACCCATCTATCTCAAGTAAGACTTAGCTGAAACGTTAAGAAGGACAGTCTCACCCGAATTCAATGTAGAGCTCCTTAATGAACCACATCATAACGAACCAAGAAGCAGCGATAATACACGGTGCGACGATGAGGAACGGTTCCACCGTCTTGAACAAGCCCTGCGAAAGACTTTTTGAGAACAATACGAGATTCCAAGGCCGCCAAACTCACGTCATCGGGCTCAACTGCGTCTCTGGTTTCGTGCACTTGCAACGCTGAAAAAACGATAAGAGCTAGGTGGAAGACTAGGGTGGCAAGTCAGTGGTTTCAGTCGCAAAGCATTCAAGCCATAGACGCACGTATTATCCCAAAAAACTGGATGATATTTCGTAATCTTAAGGCATCGAAGGCCATAGCAAGCTCGAATATCCTGGTATAACCATGGTTAATCGTTGGACTCTCGGTTAGGGTGAAAGACGGGTCATACTCTGCAAGAATGTACAGAGCTAGGTAACATGGGAGGGTCTGGTGTAGTGTACTTGAGCACTGAGAGGGACATTAGAACTAATTGGCATAGATACCTTGTAACCTGAGTGATCGAACTCTTCTCCAAGTCGATTCCGACACTAAGGATTATATGAGAACCTCCTAATTGTCGCTAAGGAAGATATGCTCACAATACCGAAGGTCAAGCCGACCATTGTTATCACGATTACACCCTCTGCAGGTGGGAACGTTATATAGAGTCGAAGGAAAGTATTGAAAATACCGCACGAATCAAAACTACATGGCATCGAGCAATGGTCAGAGTGGGGATGCGCGGACGTAAGGGATGGAGCTGCGTACTGGTGATCATGATACCCTTCTGGGCTCTAGTGCTCAATAGCGGTTCGACTGCCATTGCAGCAAAGTAAAAGGGCTTGCAAGGTCGCGAGCCGAATGGGACGATGAAGATGGTGATAAAAGGCGACGAGCGCGCACAGCGATGAGGGCGGGTAATTCAGTCGGGCCCGGGCCTCACGGCCTCATAGCTGTACAAGCTACGAGCGCTCATAGTGGCGGTGCTAATACCCTCCAAGCCGATGCACGGGGAACAAGCATGGGCATAAGCAAAGCTTGTTTCGTCGCTGGTGTTCATCCGTTTACACCCCCTGACTGTTCAAAGTTTCCGCGATCATACCAGTCCACAATCAAGACCCAGGGTAGGGCCAAAAAATCAGTTTGATCACACAAACCTCCTAGCTACAATGGGAACAGATCATGTCAGGAAAGAAACTGTCCATTTTTCCTAGAGCATATCACCACTCAGAATGCTCCCCTTCACAAGCGTGGCGACATAAGATTCTTCGTGCCATAATGCCTTGACATTATCCTCCACCCACTGACACCGCTGCTCAGAGGACATCACAATACGAAGGCACTCTCCGTATTCCCGCATGCGCGCTTCAGACCTCTGGACGACCTCGTCGCATATTCGTACCGCTAAGATCCTCCATTTTTCTTCATTCTCCGCGCTGATCACATCACGTTTGCCTGCTATGACCTCTTGCCAAGCGTCAATAATGTCTGCCTCTGTCGCTTGGTTTGGCGCCAGTGCAGATGCAGCCAGTCGCATAACCGTGATAAACCGATACGATGGATGAGCTGGGTGCGGCGCCGAATGCAACGTCCAGTCTCTAAAACATTCGTTCATACAAAGCTCTTGTCCGCAAATCATTCTGGAGCCAGACGTACCCCCAGTAGCCAGCTTCTTGTAAGTGACGCTGCAGAAGATCAGTTTGGCGCGTCAAATTTGACTTCATCAATTCCTCGACAACATCTTGCACGTCAACTTCACCTCCGAATGTTTCGACCGGTGGCGAGTCATCTTCGCTGTTCTCCTCGAATCTGTTGATAAAACCATACTCTGTAAAAAGTGTCCGGTTCGAATGGTGTCCATACATCAAGAAAAGTTCGCTGCCGGCATCGATTGCACCATCATCAACAGCAACAAATTTAAAGTCGTCGCCAAGTTTCTTCGTTGGCGCAACATCCCACATATCTGCGTCAGTTGGCGCAGGGACGAAGTTTTGGCGATGCGGGTGGTGATTGGCGAAATCCAGAATGGGGCACATGGTAACGTTATCAGGATCCGATTTGGAGGATTTGAGACGACGATAGATACACCGTGTGTTGACTGCTTCCAAAGATTGGCCATTTACGAGAATGAAAAGAAGAGAAAGTACTTGCCATTTAACCACGCGAGCAGATATCCTGAAGTTTCACTGTTTTTCGCTTTGGCTTCGTAATTGACAGAATTTGCAACCATTCCAGGCAGTTCGTGCTGCTATGAAAAGACCGCCCTTGCCATTGAGGAGAAGGCAACAAGGCAACAAAGACTGAACAGACCATATAGGCACGAACGGCCGTCCAGTCCTGAAGAAAGCGTTCATGCAAACCACGGAGAGCAGTCAAAACACTAGGGGGTAGGCTGTTCAGCAATGCACGATGGTAGTCAGAACTTGATTGCACCAGCCACGTCAGCGGATGGCTGTCAAAGTTTCGAGGCAGAATCGAGATGTAAGGTCCAAAATGAGGATCTGATGAATCCTCGACTTCTCCGCAGGGTTGGTGAAGAAATAAGTGCAAAGATATGAGTTGTATCGCAGTCAAAGTATTGCCAGGGTAGATCGGACGGAGAGTCTTGACGTTGATCAGAGCAGTTGCTGGTATTTTAAACAACACAGAAGATGGCTAGAATCACAGAGGTTCCAGAGAGGGTCAGAGTTGGAAACCAAGTTTGCATGCAGCAACGACTTGGAGCCAGCGTTTGAACCCACTTTGCATCCTTTGACCGTAAAGAGCCCAATGCCAGCTCCTAAAACGTTGAAGTTGGTTTTGACGCTGCATGCCGATGGATTACCACCGTTACCGCACCTGGGGTTTCCCTGCATTCTACAGGCAGATCATTCGGACCCGTCTTCATGCCTTTCTGGGCCAGCCATCGGACGAGGTTGTTCCACCGGTATTGTGAGAATTGGGAAGACATGACAGCGGTTGGCTAGCAGCGTGGTAGCCGACTTGGAGTCTGGATGTCATGAGACAGGCCCGGGTGAATGGGATGGCGGCAGCCCGTCGATCCACCTCCGAAGTCACAACAAACAGCTGCCACTGGCGGAATGTTCGGGGGAAGAATTGCTGTCTGCCTAAGTCTAACTCTGGGTAGGTCTGCCCATCTCCCATCCGATAGCCATCTCTACCGCAAGCTACGCCTCTCCAATCAAGTCCCAGTCCTCCGTCGCACCATGTCCGTTTTCAACGCCTCTCGCCTCCTCGGCAAGACTGTCCTCATCACAGGTGCAAGCTCTGGTATCGGAGCTGTAAGTCGTTGCTTTACGATAACAACGAATGGTAAACATATTCATTTCCGCGTACTATTGATGTTAGGCAACCGCCATCCTCTTTGCTAAGGTCAGTACTGTAATGTAGGTGATACAATCATTAGCACACAAGCTCACAATCCGCAGGGAGGTGCTAACCTCATTCTCACTGCGCGTCGCGCAGACGTTCTCAAGACCGTCGCCGATGCTTGCACCTCGGCTCACAAAGAGTCAGGAGTCCAGCAAGGCGGTAGAATTGCCACCATCCAGTTAGACGTATCCGACAAGACGCAAATAGGCGCCTTTCTCGACAAGATTCCCTCAGATCTCCGCAATGTCGATGTCCTCGGTATGCTTCATTTCCATTACCCTCGGCCACCGTGTAAATGAGCCTTACGTTGGTTCCTCAGTGAATAACGCTGGGTTTGTCCTCGGTGTTGAGCGCGTGGGCGACATCGCCGCTGCTGACTATGAATCGATGTTTGCCACGAACGTATTCGGCCTCATCGCTATGACACAACTCTTCATCAAAGGTTGGCGCATAGAACGTACCCTTATGACTCTCCTCTAATAGCTCGACCAAGACTTCAAGACTAGAAAGACTGGGCACGTCATCAACATCGGATCCATTGCCGGCCGCGAGCCCTACGCTGGAGGTAGCATCTACTGTGCCACAAAACACGCCGTTAATGCATTCACGGCGGCCATGATGAGAGAACTCGTCGATACGCCCATCAGGGTCACCGAGATCCAGCCAGGTACGCTGAAGGTTCATGTGTTCATAAGCTGATTAATTGAATCCATCCAAATCTTAAGGCATGGTGGAGACAGAATTCTCTGTTATTCGTTTCCGTGGTGATAAGTCAGCAGCCGATAAGGTCTATGATGGACTTCAGCCTTGTCTGTGTCTACCTGCGCTTGGCTGAGTGAACTACGAACTAATCTCTACTTTGAACAGTGGTTGCGGAAGACATCGCCGAGGAAATCGTCTGGGCTGCTTCTCGCCCACCCCACGTCAATCTTGCCGAAGTTTTCGTTCTGCCAGTGAACCAAGCATCGGCGACTATCAATTTCAGAGGAAACCGCCTGTGAATGGATCAGCCTAAATTCATGTATTATAGATCAGTACTGCAATACACTACATGTACGAAATAGATGCCAAATCTGTGCGAGGAAAGCTTCGAAAGCAAATAATACAATAGATAGTCCCTGTCCAAGACATGTCCTCAACTCTTGGCCTTCTTGCTCCTTGACCTTGTCTTTGGAGGCGGTGGAGGGGGGGTAGGTTCAGGTTCGGCTTCGAGGTCATTATCATATACGAACTTCTTGACGACAACGTTCACGGGTTCCAAGTCGGTCAATGGGGTATTTTCCGCGTCCATGAGGTTGCCCATGGTATCCAGACGTCGATTCTGAAAGTATCTAAGCTGAAATAACAATGCACAACTATGAAGCCACAAACCTTGGACTCGGAAGCTAGGCACCCTTTGCTGATAGTGAATTCTTTGGGACGTGATTTAGGATTAGGAACTATATCATCCAGATATATAGTCGTCGAGAGACCGCGGTCCCACTTGACCTGCCTCTGCATTCGTTCCGCCACTTCTTCCCTTTCCAGGGCAAATTTAAGCCTCTTGAGGGGACGAGGTATCTTCTCGGGGGTTTCATAATCCTCCTCATCCCCAGGTCCTCGGCGGTGCTTAGGCAAATCCTTGGAACGTGATTGGCCCGGGTCCTCTGTGACCTGCACAAAGCCATCTTCTGTATCGCTGCTGTTGGCTATATCGCTCGCCACTGAGCCCTCCTCGCTGCGCCGCGCCCTTCGCTCTGCCCTTTCACTCCGCCGACGATCTTGCTCCTCCTGCTGTTTCTGTACGATAGTACGCATTTTCACCGTCGGACTCTCTGGTCTGAGACCATCCTTGCGTATCGTCTCCATCTCGAGCGTCGCCGTTATAAGTCTCTGGTTCTTCTCCGTGTTGGAGTTTGTTAAGGCTTTGAGAGCTATTGCGCTCAGTCCCATAAACCCGTCACCTTCGGAGCGAAGTGCCCTCTTGCGAGGTGCTGGAGCCCGCGTTGTACCACTGCTAAAGACGTCGGCAGTCGGAGGAAGTACAGGTTTCCGTGCGCGGGATGTGCGTCGAATGCCTGCTGGTGCATCGTTTGACTGCATGTCTGACGTTTGGTCAGGTTGACCATCTTTGCCATCCGAGTTCGAGGTTTCAGGAGGTATGTCTGGAGGGACATCTGCTGCGTTGATTGGTGATGGAGCAGTATCCAGTTCCATGCGCGCTTCGACCTCAGATGATTCCGTCGGAGGTATCGATTTCCCCGAAGTCGGCAGCTGAGATGAAGGCGTTTGCGCCGGCCGTTCCTTGACAACCTTTTCTGTCCCCGAGCCCCTTACGAACATGCCGTCAACGACTTTGCGCATGCGAAGGGGACCCGCAGGCTTTGACGGGCTAGGCTTTGATGGCCGTGGCGCCTGCATCTCAGTTTGAGCTGCAGACTGCTGAGGTTTGGCTGCATACTTGCCCCCAAACATACCAGGGACGACCTGGCGCATCCGAAGCGGCTGAGTATCTGGTGCAGATGGTAGTGTTTCCCTCTTCCTCTTGAGCGTTGTCAAAGTAGAGGACTTTGCTGTCCCATTAGTGGATGGCGGACGACCTGAATCAGAGCTGCTGCCGCTACCGCTGCTGCCTGGTGTACCGATTCGCGAGGGTTGCGATACCTGCTGTGAAACGAGGGTCAACGAAACTCGCGGAGATAATAAGTAGCTCGTACGGGTGTGGTTCCCTTGGACTTAATAAAACTGCTGCCTTCGGCCATGAGGACCTTGGCCTTTGGTTTAGCGTAAGGTTTTATGTCCATCCTAGGGATTCGACTGGATACAGTTGGTTGCTTCAAGGACGATTTCGCAGGCGAAGATAACCTCGTGGGCTTGCTCGAGCTTGCTAAATCTTCCGGTAGCGTCTGGTCCGATGTCTCAACCTCCTCCGGGATCGGAGGATGTAAACCGTTTGGAAGTGATGCAATGAGCGGAAACGGTAACTTGGAATCTCTTCGTGTAGTTGAGCAGATCAGCATTTTGTCCTTCTTCCTGTTCGTAAGTGGTGAGGGCTCTACAGAACGACTTCTGGGGTGACCCTGATCAGATGGTTTAGGCTCGACCGAAGCACTTCTGGCTCTCGCAGGCGTTTTGTCGTGAAAGCTTGGGGCATCAGGTGATGGATCGAGGTCTATTATCGGAATTCTCTTTGCAGGAGTACGTGATGGGTCATCTAGTGCAGTTCGCGAAAACAGTTTCGTGGGCTTCTGCACTGAAGGCATGCCTTGCGCGAGAGCTTCCTGGATAGGTACTCGGCGTGCCGGGGTCCGTGTCACATCATCCCGGGTGAACGAAAACTTCAAAGGAGAAGGAGGAAGCCGCGAAGGCGTGCTCAAACGCTGTGGGCTGGTTGGCGGGCGGAAGACCGGAGTAAGTCGAGAAAGGGGAGACTGTGGTGGCTGAGCTTTGGGGTCTGGTTGATCCGGAGCTGCGGTGGGTGGCAAAGGGCGTATATCTGTGTCTTGATGCGACAGCGATGGTCCATTGGAGGACGCCGAAGGTAAGAGGCTAGCCAGCAAACTTTGGGACGTTGGAGACAATGAACCAAGCTCGCGCTGGAAATTCGTCACTGGGGTGGAGGTGCCTTTTGGTCGATGATCACTTTCGCTGACTATGTTCTTCACCTGTAGCCCTGTCACTCGCGTTGGTTCCGAATCGGATGGTATCAGCATTTTGTCATCAGTAGGACTCCCTTCTCGAGAAGGTGCGTTAGCCGTAGATGGTGTGTTAGACTCGTCCAGAAGGGGTCTCTTCAGGGGACTGGTGCTCTTGCGAGACGAACGTCGAGGCAGAGCATGAGGATCAGGAGAAGGCGCACCCTCATTTGCTACGGATGTCACGAATCGACTTAATGGTGCGAGGAAACCGTCAAGTTGTGTAGCTGAGGAACTCGATTCGCACTGGTGGGAACGTGCAGGAATTGCTGGGGGTGTTTTGGGAATGTCACCTTCTGTAAACGTGTTGGGACTCGGGGGAAGGACGGTCGGAGAGCCAAGCAGAAGATCATCAATAGTTTCGGTAGAAGCTTGAGGAGGTTGTGTTCTTGACACTAAGCTTTTATCGTCGTCCATGGGTGGGCCTGGTATTGGCGTTGAGCATGAGTCAAAAGATATTAGGTCTGGTTGGGACACGTTGCATGGGGATGACTCAAGCTCTTTAGAGGTCTCAGCAGGGCCATCCCCCTCTGCTTGAGGCAAGGTATGTAGAAGATCGATTCCCTGGAATGGCTTCACGGGATCAGGAGATGCTGACAGGGCTCGAAGCGGGGAGCGCACGTTATCCGGAAGAAGGTGGGGTGGAGGCGACGGATTATCATGCGCCCGCAATATTCTGCGAGCTAACGATGAAGAGGGTTCTGTTCAGGTATTACTTCAGCACATATTGCAAGGGTGTTGTCCATATGACAACGCACCGTCTTGACGGAGAGGGTCGAGGTCGGGTGTTGCGTCTCGAGAAATATGTACAGCAACGTTGGCCATCTCAATATGTGAGTCTTCAACGGCGTTGTCTATGTCTTCATTGGGATCGGTTGTCTGCTGAGGAGTAGATGGTGGAACTCCGGAGAACCTGGGGGAGCGTCTAAGTGGAGACGGAGAAAGGGGAACTTGGAGGGATTGACGTGCTTCCTCCTGAGCAAGGAACTTCTTCTCCGGGGATTGCATAGGTCCAAAATAGACGCGAGCGGAGGACGAGTTGTCTTCATTAGAATCAGACGAGGAGCCTGACGGGGAAACTGGACGGCGTGCGAGGGTGTCCATGGTGTAAACGACGATGGGGGTTAGGACATAAGACACATTCAACAATATCTAGTTGACCGTAGTGAGGAGCTGGGGAGATTTGAGAGATAGCGACAGTGCCGAGGAGGCGTGTTGTGCAGATGAACACAGTTACACGAAAACAAACATGCACTCATTATGCGCGGCGTGCATGCTTGATCGCGTTGCACACACGTGACACGTCCACCTTGCTTTGAGCCACCTCCTTAAGCTTTCGACCAGTTTCGATCAGCTCCATTTGACCAGTTTACTGACAAGATCCACTACATAACCTCCTTCATAACACGATGAATGAAGTAGCATATCTCTATGATGGGGGCACACTTTCCAAATCTCGTAGCTCCTCCTGGCACTGCTCTTTCAGACGCTGCAGTAAGGTTTTCATGGTGGCAACTCGAGTGTCTGCCGAACCCCTTCGCCTAGTATCACCTTCATCGCTTTTGTGTCGATTCTCTGTGTGATATTTGGCATATGGCCCTGATGCATGTTCGAATTCCGACTCGGAGTCAAAAGGCAGTACAGGGCAGTACCTCATCTCTGGTTGATCTAAACGTTTTTGCCGAAACATCTACACTGTTGCAGTGGCCTGAGTTTCCCTTCTCTTTAGCCTCTAGATGATATCCACGAAGGAGACTATTGGCCCTGGCGCCCATATGCTCCTCTGCGACGCTAGACAAGCTGTGGACTCCCGCTCGTACGTCGGTGATTTTGGTGAACTCGACCTTGATCAACGTGAAAAGCTTTTCCCATGCTTGACTTAACACTGCCAGATCAGAACCAGTCGCTCTGGCAAGCGCAGGTAATATCGCGCCAGCTACCCCTGGCGCAGCCTGGTACAGCTCATTTGACAGCTGCGTGAAAGCCCGGAGGGCCCGCACATATTGATATAAGCAGGGTCGGTTCGATCGACGGGTCCACAAGCTGGAATCATCAAGACAAGTCGCTAAGGCTTGCAGGCAACGACATGGGCTAGCCTACCTTCTCTATGCTCGAATACCTCGTATCGGTGCTTTCGTCTTTGGTGATTTTGGGAGCGCTACCTTGTAAAGAGTCAGCTTCGTTGGGGTATCGCGCGTGATCTTGGCGAGATTTTGGCGTTGAGCACACACTCTCATTTTCCCGCTTGAACAAGGCTGATAGAGGCAGAAGAGGGAAGGATTGTGGCTGTCGTGAAGAACTGCGGGAGGTCATCCTGGCTCGTCCCTCGCTCTTGGTATTTGCGTTCTGGCTCTCTCTTTAGCTCGAATATATAATGTGCCTTCTAGGCTTGATGCTATCCCACTGGCAATCGCTTAGATGGATGAACCTTGGTTTCAAAAATTAAATCATGCAGTCAGTTCCCTTCGAAATCCCCCACCGGCAACGACTTCTCAAGTTGCAATAAGGCCTTATTCCTCTCCCATCTTCATCAAAATACTAGTAAACACTCTGAGGGTGTCAGATGCGTGTAACTTCATTGTATGTGGGGCATACTCGGCAGCGGACCGTCTTGAGTAGTGAAGATCTTCTGTTGCATATCTCCCCAGCTGCGTCGAGCGCAGGAGAGTATGTATGATCTAAACCACAGATGGAATTTTGAAGTTTCCAATCATGCACATGCGAGGTATATGGTACTTGGTGCAATATTGCTCTGCATATTCGAATTCCTTCCGAGTCGTAGCAGCTCCAAAGATAGTCCGGATAGATTACTCCTTCTGAATGCAAGTGGCTATAAATCTGCGCGCAATTTCCGTTGGATACAATCTTATCGCAGCCAGGTTGACGTCAGGGCACGAATCTGAGTGCCGTCTCAGTTTTCGAAAATTTCGATACTCAAGTACTCAAGCTCAAGTGGTAAAACCTGCTCATAGAACTAGTGCAGACATGCAAGTACGATATAGGAAAGGGAAATTCCCACCCGTTACAGACCTGTTCTGAATCATCTTACTCTGTGCATCTCTTCATGATCAGTATTAATGCTTGTACTTGGCTTGTACCATGCCTGTGCTACTTATCACATGTCATTGTGTCACCGACAACGCCACGCGTTTGCATGGGACGGAAATTGACGCGACGACGGAGAGCTTGGGATTGGCTCGGATTGGCTCGGATCACGACCACCGCCGCTGATATTTCTAGGCGTCGAGTGAACCTGGTTGCTATTCCCGGTTGACAAGAGTTGCCGGCTTCCAACGGTCTCATAATTACATCTTAGATCGAGAATGTGGCCTTTACGCGCCTTTGTTCCTCGTCGACTATCCTTCCCGGCCCATCCGTAGCAGCTCTCAAGATCTCAAAGCTGAGTATCATCCTGCATCTTCCTTCCACTGGTACCTCGTCTCCATGGGCTTTCAATCCGACTTCTGGAAGTCGATGCGTCGAACTGTCGTCCACGCACCGCCGAAGCCTGTCACTGTAGCGTATAAGGCAAGTGCATCCGAGGAGTCTGTCTCCATCTCCGAGTTTGTCCAACGCCGCTGTCCGAGTCTGGCAAGAGACTTTGTGCCCGCCTGGTGGCTTTTCAAGTGAGCAACCATCTTCTGTTCGCAGGCCTCTAATAACATTGATGATCCAGCGGTCATCTTCAGACTCTTTACAGCGTTTTGGGCGACTTTACGAAAACAGACAATGTCATTTACCAGCGGTAAGCTGTCTTGGCCTCGTTTTACCCAAGACTAATATCTGTGGGTAGCACATACCTACGTCTGCAAGACGGCGGTACTTTGTGAGACCCCAGCTTCTTTGGTATGCTGTTTCTAGACTGATCTAATATATCAGAGGTTTGGACTTCACAGGTCCTGACGATACCCAGTGTGAAGCAGACGCGCCCATGATAGTGGTCTTGCATGGCTTGACTGGAGGTGAGATGCTTGCCTGGGTTCAATTTTCCAGGAAAACTCAACTCCTTGAAGGCTCTTACGAATCATACGTGAGAGCAATCTTAGCGCCAGCCTGCTCACCCCTCAGTGAACAAGGTCTAGGCTATCGGGCAGTTGTAGTGAACTTCCGAGGATGTATGTCACCATTAAAACTTCTCAATGGCACATGTTGACATTCCATATTGACGAAGGCGCTGGAGTCCCACTAACGAGCCCCCAGCTTTACTCGGCGGGACATACAGACGACATCCGTCAGGCGTTGTTCTACATCTCTCAGCGGTATCCAACCGCTCCTTTGGTTGGCGTTGGGTTCTCTTTAGGTGCCAATGTCATGACGAGATACGTCGCAGAGGAGGGTGAGCTCAGTCGACTAAGGTCCCTATGTATCTTAGGTTGTGTAAGTAATCATTGTCTTTTATATGCGCGCATTGCGACTGATTTGGTCTCACTTAAGCCTTGGGACTTACAAGCAAATACTGACAAGTAAGAGACCTCTTGCTCAATCTAAACTCAAATTTACCCGGAGCTCTAGACTCACATCAACTTACCTCGGACATCATGTGTACTCAAAGGGCATGGGACGGAACCTCGTGAACCTTTTACGCCGCCATGTGGATACGTTGTCCACTTACTCTGATCGTGGAGTAGCGGAGGCAGCCGCCGCAACTATGAATATGGTCAGGCCGACCATAGAAGCGTTTGATAGTCATTTCACGCGGATTGCGGGAGGCTCGTCGCCACCCTGGCCATTCGCTACCGCGGGCGACTACTATGCATACGCATCCAGCCACAAAGTCCTTGGCAATGTTCAGATACCATTCTTAGCGATCAACTCCGTCGACGACCCAGTGGTCCGTGAAATACCTGTGGGTTCCGAGAGGAGCGGATGGGTGACTATCGCCGTTACTCCCCAAGGCGGCCATCTTGGCTGGTTTGAAGCCAATGACAAGTGGTTTGAGGTGAAGAGATGGATTCGGACACCAGTAATGGAGTGGCTCAAGGCAACCGCAGAAGACCTTATCTGCGTGACACCGTCGTGGCGGCCACTATATACCGACAAAGATGGATATATCAGAGAGGTCAACGGCAATGCAGGTCTCGGTTGCAAGGAGGTAGAAGGAGGTGGTATCATCGTTGGAGCGGAGCCACAGCGTGATGTACTCGCTGGCCTTTAACCTATAGATCGTCTACCTATACCTCTAGAACGTACACCTCGCTAGCCTTGAAATGCCTACTAATCGCTGTCGCTGAAGTGCACCCTATCTTCCTCTTCCTCTTCACGCTCAGCCTGTGATCTATCGTATTGACTGAAATCGACCGATACAGTCCCTTCTTCCAAGAGGCTCTCATCGTCGTCCATGTTGCGATTCTTCTCGAACAACTGACGGCCTACAGACGAACTTATCAATTTATCATGGTAAGATGAACAAAAAGGGGCATGTTCGTTACCTGATAATCTGGTTGCGAACTTTTTGGTCTCATCTCTCTCTTTCGCAGTCAGGGCCCGAAGCCTTTCTTCCTCCTCTCGAAGCTTTTTTTGGGCCACCTCTTTATCAAATTTGGCTTTCCATGCTTTGAATGACTCGACGGTCACAGGTGTACCGCGAGTTCGAGCCTCTTCTGCCTATATTCAAGGTCTCAGACAGAAAGAAAAAAGGAAGGGCGAAATCTATCTATCTACCTCAATGACCAATCGTTCCTTCTCCCTTTCAACCTGTATCTGGGATTCAAGCCTGTTCTTCGATAGACTTGAAAGCTCCTCTCGTAGGTGAGAAACGACTGTGAAAGTCATAGCCATTCCCAAGTTTTCCTTTCCCTGTGGACCTGGCATTCGCATATCAAAGCGCTGAGCAATCTTTACCACTTACAACACTCCTCAAGCTTTCGATGAGGTTGTCGCACTCCTGATCCGCCAACTCGCCCTCTATAGGCTCCAAGGAGAACTCTGGGAGAGCCTCAGGGTAGTCATCGCCATATTGAACTGACAATTTCAGCTTGACTGAAGAACGTGTTGAGCCAGTGGTGACGATCAACCCCGATGAACATACTTACAAGGATCAGCACCGTCGACGATATCCTCGGGTTCGACTTCTAGTTCTATATGGCGCTCGGATACAACTTGACACACAGCTCAGCGACCTGACCAGAGAGGGTGCTTCTTTACGAACTAGTGAGCTCCGTAGGGTAGATAGATTCGAGTACCTGCCGCGGAGATGATTGTCAGTTTCAAGCTGCACTTGAGAGATCAAGCAAGAAGACTTGCCTCGAATTCCTCTGTGAGAACGCCCTCAGACATGTTCCTTGGTGATAATAGGTTGCGTATGTGATAGTGGTGAAGATGAAGTTGCGATGCCACAGCGAGATCAATCCCTAAGTCATATAGTGGCAATATGTCGAAGTATCATCAGCTGGTTGGCGAATGCGTACCGGTGCCGCGCCGTGAAGGATTGTCATTTTCTATTTTTAGTACCGCGTCCTGTCAGAATATCCTCTTTTCCTGTTCCGCGACTCTCCTTCAGTCTTCCAACATGCTCGGGTTGGCCAAGCATGCGTTTCCCTCATGCTTTCTTCGTCAAATTGTTGCTTCACGCACCCTTGGGCCTGTCATGACGTCGACCGCTATCCCTGCTCTCAGCCAACTACGCTACTCAACTTTCTCGCACCATAATTCATCGACATTTACAACCTGGTCTCGTATTGAGCAGACGGTAATATCAACACCGCCCGTGCCTGAATCCTCTGCAGAAGATCGTTGGCGAAAGAAGAGCGAGGACAACATGAGTACCATGCCGGCCCCCTCAGACGCATTTACAGGTGAGTACAGACAAGTGGGGGCATTAATATCCGAGTTTAGTTCACTAACAGAAAACGCCTAGGTCGTCGGGTTACTGTCCCGCGCGGTGACCTTGGCCTCGCTTTCAACAGGCTCAACCAGCGGCTTCGTCGGAACAGAGTCTGGTATGAACTCCGACGGACTGCTCGCCACGAGAAGAAAGGGTATAAGAGAAGACGGTTGGAAAGTGAGCGATGGAGGAAGCAGTTCGCTCACGAGGTGAGTGGTCTCATGACGCGAGCAAGAGCCCAGCCTTACTCGAATACACAGGTCCGAAAGAAAGTCAAGCTTGTGGACACGATCCGGAGGCGAGGAGCATGACATACCATGCTCCGCTTTTAGTTGCCACGATCTTAGAACCCAGGTAGCAAGAACCTTGTACTTGCCGGCCGTAATTGAGAGTGCCTATTAATCTATCATGCGGTCTGTCCATCATTAACAAGGCGTAATACACGGCTGGTGCCCCACGCCCTTGAGTTGGTACGGAGTTCTAAATGTGCTTCTCTCCCCCTTCCCCGAATCCACCATCGACCGTGCTTGGTAAATCAAAGTCCAATTCAAACCTCGCTTGCAACTTCTCGACACATTGGAGGAATTCTGGAAGGTCATCATACCCCGGCTAGTGGCGTTCTTTTCCCCGCTTTCCTCTTCCTAGGTCACTTTGACTGATCTGAGTACTCTTGGCAAACACGACGCTGCCCTTTGGAGGGTCCTCAGGGACCAGAACTATTATTGAAAGCGTATCACCTTCGGAGGAGACCTCGTTGTTTAGGGCGAGCCCGAAACGCGGCTGACATGCGGAGATGTGACGCAACGTCCCCGTCCGTTTTAAAAGCTACTTGCACCCGTACCATGGAACGAAGCCTCCTTCCAGCTCTTTCTTCTTTGCCAATCCCAGAGACGAGAACATGTGCCGAAATGTACGTCCGAGTTTCTCTGATCGACGCGGTCTCGATGCTCACCGTTGGTAGATCATGGATGGCAGATACTTTTCAACATGCGGGCACTTCACGTCGATGGCAACAAGGCTTCAAGACTGCTTCTCACCCACGTGCGTCTTTAGTGGGAGACACCCATTAGGTTTGTTTTGTAAATGTTGCGACGTGAAGTTATTATAATCTCCACTATCAGGTTGCAAGGACCGCCGATGTTGTAACATGATGACCCCTCCAGCCCAAAACCCCATCCGTATCAGCCCAGGGAAGTGCGCCGCTTGTTTGGAGACGCCAATATTTGGCATGCAGAAAATTTGAAGTTCTTCCACCCAATTATGAGCCGTCATTCAAATCACCAGAAACATCTTGCACTAAGTTATAGACTCGGACTGTAGAAACCATTTTTGTAAATTGTAATCCCGATACGACGGGTACTTTTGTATACATGATATCCACTGCAGTTGCCCCCCAAGGACCACCGGAAGATGTTCTCGAATGATCCTAGGTTTTTAGCCTGTTTTCGAGCGAATACGAACTGGACACCAGCCTCAAGAGGGACGCGTGTACATGTTTCATTCAAAGTAAGTATTAGTACCAGAGGTCCAAGAATTCGCACGCCTCAGGAAAAGAGTTGGACCTAGTTGGACCCACCCGGAAAGCTTAATGATAACGTTTGCTGATCACTAATACGTATGATCTTGAGTCAAAGTTCGGAGGTACATCATGATTCTTGGTCCGAGTCATCCACCCATACTTTTGGACGTCTTGAACCCGCGAATGTGGTACCGTGTATAGAGCGGAATGCTTAGCGGCAAGGAGTAGCGACCCACATGTCCATGATGCAGCTGATCCTTGGTACAAATCCCATGCTTCATTTGCTACCCGGTCTTGGATTAAAAGCACGGGGCCTCGTTGAAAAGTGGTTATCGCTATGACTGAACGTTGTTTTGCAGCGGATCACCCCGTTCAAGCTCAAGCTCCGAGTCCGATCTATGACACAGCTTCGAAGCGGAAGGACTACGGAGTGAGTCACTCGGACCTCCTCCTTTGTGGCACCCGGTGAAGAACTTCGCAAAGTGCCCGAGACACACGGATACGGAGACAAACTTCGGCCCGTAATACCAAAGTAGTTTCCAATCGGACATCTTGTCTGTGGACATCTTGTCATTCCGGTCGGTCTCGACCTGCCTCGGGACAGATCCGATGCGGCACCAAAAGGGCCCATATGCCAACAGATGTCGGGCAGATAGGTCATATTCAAGTTACGGAGATGCCCCGGTACAAGTTGTTCGGCGTCCACATCCCGATTATCTCGACAGACCTGGGCTGCTAGAATCAGCTAGGTATCCAACGATAGCTTCCGTAGTCAAAGTTGTGGGTGCAGGTCTGCACACACTCATGTGTCGTACATAGAATTTCCTCGCAAGCATAGCTGACTCCCTCCCACGATCTAACCTACATAGTGTGGTCAATCCTTCGTTCTGATCTCCTACGTAGGCTCGTGACTTCAAAACATGTACATCTGGTCCGGTCTGTAGCATAGCTATGGAGTGGATCGTATGAAGTAGTTTATGTTGGCCTCGGGAACTCGTTCAAGAAGTATAGTGGAACAAAACCAGCATCTGCCATGGATTCAGGGTTTACCTGGTGTTCATGGAGCTAAGATCCGGGCAGGCCATCTTGGTTCCACTTGGGCTGAGCTCGTTCTGGAACAACAGGCGCGCTCACCTTCACCGTTCGACTGAGGCGCAAGAGCGGATCGTCCAACTTCAGGCCAGGGTTGGTACAGCGTAGTATAATGCGGTCTAGAAGGCGGAGGTATCTGGGGGAAATTGATAAGAAGGCGGACAGTGGACTACACAAAACTTACAGCCGCTAATGGGCCAACGTGACCCGAGCTACTCTCTAAATCTTGTGCAGAATAGAAATCTAGCAGGATCTGGAGGGCATCTGATGACGGGTTAGAGAGCCCAATGCTATCTCGGATGCTAAGGGGTACTTGCGTGCTAGGTGATATAACTCGCTTTCTGAGAAGCTGAAATACTCGATGACAAAGCGTGTAGCATCTGGAGAAGCAGGTTTGTGCGATGGAGGGGTAGGAAGGGAGTCGGATGGTGAAGAAACTGATATGCGAGCGTCCAGCGATGCCGAATGTGGCCCATCAGACATTCGTTGTGCTAAGACATAACAGGCACCTGCGATGATGCGAGTGGGAAATAGAACACAGAGTGGCGTTCGGTACCTGAGGAAGAGACTCAGCTCTCCGTGGAAGGAAGCTTGCAGACAGGGAGACAACTGACGAGTCGTGAGCTATACTCCAAGCATAGTCTTGAACAGTAGTGTCCGCTTGATGAGCACTGAAAAGATCGACAAGTTCTGCATGGGGGCTGGATGTAACAAAATCAAAACAGAGTGCCTCCAGCAGTACTTCCTCTGTAAGAAGGATAGCGGTCTGCTGTTGTTCTACCTCCTGTAAAAAAGATGGTGAGCTGTGGAATATGACAACTACAATTCTGTTGCGCACTGGGCTGTCGCTGGCTATATGCGAAACTTCAATGTTCTTGATCTTCGACTGGCACACTCTAGCAACATCACGCAGCTTTCTTCCACATTCTTCTGTTTTGGTAGCGAGGAAAATGCAGGATGCGGCAACGTCCTAGTTCAGACCGGCCTGTGGGTTACGCGTCGGTCAACGAGGATCTGGCTTACCTGGCGATGGTAGTCCTCCAGGGAGTAACGCATGTAGAAACGGTGGAACCATGTCGCCGCAGTGAAGTTGGCTGAGGATGGTCTGAATATTTATGCGCACGAAGACATGAGCCTGATGTGTGAGGTAGAAAAAAGCGACTAGTCTGACAATCCAAGAGAAGTACCCAGGCGAAAGAGGAACTCTACACCTCTCGCTCGGTCATAAAGCTCTTTGGCCAAGGGTATGTTGGAGGTGGAGACGCTGGGCGTGCTGCGAAGAGCGTCGAGGGGAAAGAGCCATTGTGAGTCATTTTCCATAGGTAATGGCTGCTTAGTGTGCCGTCAACAGTGTCAAGCAGTGTCAAGCTTGCTCCGAAGGCAGGGAGTTCCGAAAGAAGGGAGATCGCGTGGATTTGATCAAACTTGAGTTTGGTGAAGAAGACCGGTCGCGTGGTTCTTCGGAGCCACATCACTTAACGTAACCCGTATGTAAGTGGCTGTAAATGGTAACATCCGCGCGTCACTTCCACTTCCGCTAGGAACTACAGTACTTCGTTCCTTGACGCCCTGAACGGGCCATCGCTCATCGATGCTCATCTCGCCCATTCTCGAACTGAAATTCGGCTCCTGCTCTTCTCGACGTATTGCTGTCTCTCAGACTTACCCGCTTTTCCTCGGAGCTCCGCGTTTTTTAGAGACAAGCTAGTCTACTCGGAGCGGTCCCAGGGGCCGGCCCTCTTATCCACTAGCCGCTCTGTCACTTCGCGCCACACACTGCAACCATTCCATCTCCTTGGGCCTTGGTTACCTTCTGGCTGTGGGAATCTTTAACAACAGATAAATGAGCATCTGGTACCAGACCCGCGGACATATCCGTTCTTGCCTCAATACCAGATTTCAGGCCCTTGTCTTGCCTCGTGCTTTCACGTTGTCCGCGCCGTGCAGATTTTTTTAGAGCTCCAAACCATGGCCAGACTCTGCGTCAGCGGTCAATGTTCTCATATTTATACATTCGTTCCCCCTGACTCTCAGCTTGGTCTGATTTTTAAAATTCTCGCTTGCGCAAATGTTGACGTTGGAGCAAATTCGATGAGATGCATTTCTCGCGGCGGTGTTGACCCCCTTCTTTCCGGCGCAGGAGGCTGCAAGAGGTTTGGCAGGCGACCTCATGTACGTATGCCTATTTCGGCATGCGTTTATTACTCGCTCAGCAGCGGCCTCTCCCATCTCGCTATCTGTCCGGAGTGTCACCGACTTCTACAATCAAGGATCCCTTGCAATATTCTGGGTGGGCGATACATAGCTTCCTTCTGCCGTAGGCTCGTACCTCGGCCATCATGCTTACGGAGTGGCTGATATCTGTTGGTTCCTCTGAACCAGCCGTAAGTGGAATAATGGTAAGCATGGTAAGCGGCGACGTTACGTTCGCGTATCGATTAATTTCTGTGTTAACTATCCTACAAACCATCCACGTCATCGCATATCACTATTCTTGTATTGGATAGTATGACGCATCTTCCCCATCGTCTACGCACCCCTGCCCTGCGCAGCACACGTTGGGCAAACGGAATCGATTTGAGGATCTGGCAGCCGTCTCGGATGATCAACGTTCGTCTCTCAGAGCTACCTGCCAAACTTACTATACTGCTCAGGAAACTGACGACTGATTCCCCCGTGCGTAACGGTGTTAGCTTCGCAGATCATGACTAGATGTGTGGGATCCTCACTATTGCCAGCAGGTTTGAGTGCACGTCGGAGGCACACAATCCGATGGATGCGTGGTGCTAAACTTGCAGAAGCGATCATCGCATTGTATCTATTTCCAGTAAGCACCTTCGTTCCGAGAATCGTGCTCCTAGCTGTGCTCACCATCGCGTCGGGCTAACGAAGTAAACTGTCAATAAATTACAGAAAGCAAGCCAAGCAGGCACCACGTACCACATCATAGGCATGACCACAGCGTCTGTAAGTGTTGCGGACTCTGTGGAGGGTACTGCATTTAGACAGGTAGAGCAACACTAGTCGTCAAGCGACAGACCTTCGCCAGTGACACATCTTGGGTAGTTATCGAGGAGGGGTGGAGGGCTTTGAGACGAACGCTGGGCTTTATATGCAGCGGCGCAGGCCTATAAGTAAATTTACCGGGTCACCCATGCGTTGGGCTAACCAGCGATCAGATATCGGTCCGTTCGGAGGATGCAGATGTTGTGCATACGGTGGACCACTTCGCGAGGACCAATCGCTGCTCCTCGGGCCACTGTATTTGGCACCGCTAGCTGCAGCCGTGTTCCGTCGCCCTGGGCATGTCGGCCACACGTCACCATGAGGAAGTCCTTCTCTCTAAGCGAGCAGCCAAAACGTTAAAAAGCCAAAGTGACTGCACACACGCGGTGGCCGAACTCTATGTGGCCATCGTCCCGAACCTCGGAACGATGACGAATGTCTGACAGCATAGTCCGAGAGATTCAGTTACGGCCAGCAAGCGACTGATTTCCGTCTCCGTCAACACAAACTCCGGAACGTGATCCCGAAAATCAGCTTGATGGCTATCGCGCTTGGTCCAATATCAGGTAACATGATGGTGCCGGATGCCACATAACTCCGAGTGTGGTTGGCCAGCAGGGTCTAGCACAACCTAGTACAGCTTGTGAGGAGGGACGAGTGATGCAATAAGGTCCAACCATCATAGTCGCAAACAAATTAGTGTTCATATCCGTGCTCTTCGCGAAGGTTCAGGTTACTGCTGTAAGCGCCTTGCATTTGAAAGGAAACCGGGCATGCTTCCGAACATCATTTCGCTGGCAGATGAGCGTCGCATCGAAGCATGGGTCTCTCCACAAGAAGACGCGTGTTTTGCATATTTTGACAGCATGACGAAAGGTCGAGATAAAGTAACGTTTGGTCCGACAAGTCGAGAGACGGAAGATGAAAAGATCCGCGCAACGCGCAAAAATTGTAACGGATCTCCTATTGCACAAGTTATCGTAACTCTATCGTGTAGAATAAGACCTTCGGACTCAAGCCCAGCTCGTTGTCGGGCGCTCGCTTATCCCGCGAACATGCCAACGAGGTACTGACTCACTCCGTCGGGTGTTAAGCTACCAACGTCGGAAAATACTAGCGAAATGAGATCGGGCCTGGATATTAAATATATGAGCCGGGAATTTGTATGGGAATTCGTAGAGTTGGACTCTTGAACGTACCTAGTGTAGTCTACGTTGGGATTGCAGGCAATCTGTTCAGTTGTCATAGTTCGTGTATGTTTTGGGATCGTAATCTTTTCAGCGTCTTGATCAGCTGAGTTTTGCCCGGGTCCTTTCGCGTCAGGTGTGACAGCGGACGGGAAAGATAGGATTTTCGGGGTGTGCGTCGGAAGATCGTATTGCGATAGCGGAAATAAGCGATGGAATTTGTAACTGTACGTGATGACGGCACGCCGTTTTTCCATGAGTACTCCCGCAAAGACGCTGCGGGACCCACCTTTCGGCCAGGGCATAGAACGGTATATTTGCGGCCTTCGCTATGATTGCTATTTGGTTGCTGCCGACTGCATTGATGAGGCCACCACTTTCAACCACTGCTTCGGAGCCCACTAGGACGAAGTCCACCTGGTCCATGACGTAGGAAACAGCTGAGTCGAGAACGACAGTGCATGGTATTCCAGCTTTGGTCAACTCCTCGTATGTTCGTAGTCTAGCCCAGAAATTTAGTCGAGCGGTTATAGGATCTCGCGATTTTAATGATATTTAATAGAGACCTACCCCAGTCCACGCGGCCTGGCTTCTGTAACATACACCGATATTCTCTTCCTCTCATGAGCGCGTAGCAATGCTCTCATTACCACTCGAGAATATGAGTGGGTCAATATCTATGGCAAAATGTTATTCCGAGGCGACGAAAGGCTAAGCTTTACTTACTACTGAACCATCTTTGATGAACCCTAAAGCGAGGTTTGCTATTTTTTCGCGATATTCTTGAGCTTCACGAGCATAAGCCCGGCCTTGCTTAACCAACTCTGTCTTCAAATTGGAGAAACTCTACGAAATCGAGTGCGATAGCAATCAGCGTTGAGAAGAGTGAACGTTGATCTACACGCACATCGGAATCATGAGGGAAAAGCGTGACAAATGCAATGAAAAGTTCACAACCAGCATTAAGGCCAATGGGGTTGGGAGTGCGTTCACGGAGAACTTTGGCGCCGTCGTTCAGTGCCTTGACAAGCTCAAACATCGTGCCCGCTGATCGAGGGGTAAACATAGATCGGCGTCGTATTGAATGTTGACTTCATACCGCTAGACTGCTGTATGAGCTCCGTTAGAGCAAGGATGGCGGCTAGGGGTGTCGAGATCTTGTGGCGGCTAGCGTTTAGTCGCCTGCTGAGAGGGCGGAAGACATGAGGACTGACGCACGTCTTCGTTAGCGAGGATAGCCTGATATGTGGCATCTATGTCAAAAGAAGAATCATTGGATGCACTTGTTTCTGGTACGCTTTGATGATTTGACATCGTCTACACCGACTCAGATTGAAGATGGCCTGTCAAGTTAGCGAGTGTCGACGTCGACTGCAAGCTTGTCGGTGCGCCTAAGCGTGGGGTCCGATCCATCGGACTCAATAGCCGGAATGACCATATAGTACCCACGTGGCTTTGCATCTGTTCCTTCGGCTCCCTATGGACAGACTGGGACAACTTGGGTGGTATACCGGCCGTGTAAACTCTGCCGAGAACTTGAGCGGTTTCTGTTCCGAGAGTTACATGAACAGCGCCGTAGAGTACATGCATTCATATACATTTGTTTAATGTTCGCACCTCTGACTTGATGCCTCCTGCTCTCCGGCCCTTTGGCGTCACTGGCGGGGTCCAACTGACATCATATATCACCGTGCATGGTCGACCCTAAAGAGCTACAGGCTACTACAGGACCCTACAGGACCCCACTCACGGCCCACGACTGATATTGCATGGCGGCTAGATTGGCCTACATTGGTACATCTGTACGTACTCTGTCGCCAACAAAGATTAGCCAGAACAAACATAGCTAGCGCACCGATCGCAATGCCGACACAATCGCCTTCATGTCGCCAGCGCCGAGCTCAGAATCCAAAGGTTCGCGGTCGCGAGCGGTTGCCAATGAGATATATGAGAGCCGAACAAGGCGCTTGCAATGATACGGTCGGTTCCCTGTACTTGAAATAGACTGATGTTTCGACGGGCCCGGACCCAACTGGAAGATACAAGGAATACTTTATATGCATATGGGGGCAGGACATCGATTCAAAGCTAGAAGAACCTTAGTCTATGATCGGTTTGGCTTTACAAGGGCTAATTCTAAGTCGACTTTTCAGGGAGATCTTGCTTTGAGATTGAGCAAGATCTTACCGCATACGGATGAATTACGACACAAAGAGACCAAAATCGATCGTTTTCCCAGGAGAATTTGGATGAATTGAAGGGTCGCTTTGTCGTCGAAACACGTTCCACGTCTGGCGGGCTTGAAAACTCCTTTTATGTCTTCCAATTGGTCGCGATCGCTAGGGCCAATTATAGTGGCGGGACCCACGCCCGCCGACGCCCGTCCCTCAAAAGGCCCGCTGTAGCCCATGTGCTAGCCTGCTGTCTGTCGTCTCCCCTCCCAGCCAACCTCATCGACATCCCCGGCTCTTATCATCCCCTCTAGCCTACGCAGCGCGGCCTGTGGCCTGGCGTGCCTCGTTTACTCGTTTACGTCTGCCACCCTAATTTCTGCCGGTTCAACGCACGTTTAGTCGGTCCGTGCTCTTTTCTACTCCGCGATATAACGCGAACACGCTCTAACCAACAGCACTCCCTCGCCCAGGCCACTGCTCTCAACATGCAGAGCCCTACTTCGTCCTCCCCTCAAGTCCATTTTTCTAGCGACGTCCAGAATATGGACAGCTGGGCTAAACGCACAGGGATCCCGCTCACGACAGCGGATGCGTTGGGCACGACATATGCGCGTGCCCACAAAATGCTGCTCTCGTTGAAGATGCAGCTTGTCCAACAACATGGTTGGACGGACGTTTCCTCGTCAATTTCCAGGATGCTTTTTACTATTGAAGCACCCTCTCCGTGGCGCTCGTCTAGCGGGGTCCCACTCAGTCCTAAGCTCAAGCTTGAGCTTCCTTCGAATGCGTCCTCTTTCTTCTCGCCGGAGAGGAGGGTGCAATGGCAGATGGTTTTTCACAGCGACGTCTTTGCTACGCAAAGAGTCATCATCCCCCAAATTGCCGACATCCTCAATCTGCTTCAGTGCCTCCTGACAGGTGTCCTAACGCTCGTCCACGAAGAGTCTTTACCAGACGGCGTATACAAAACCACAAGGGGTCTCCCTTCCGTCCAATGGATCAATGCAAACCAAGCCGCCCTCGTCGAAATCTTTGGTCGCAGTCACTTCAAGCAATTGTGGAAGGCATGCAATGATCGCGCTACGTCGTTCAAAGTCGACGTTGAACCTCGTCGGTCATGATCATCCTCTCTTCCCTCTAGCAATTCCTCTCAGCCAATCCCTGGCATCACCTTCGCATCAAGGGCTCGCATGCCCTAAACCCTTGCCATCGATTGGCAAGGCCTTCTGCAAGAACTGTATCGTGATCGTTTCGCATTGTTGTGATATACTGCTGTTTTACGCATTGCTCACTTAATGATTTGGTTAATACTAGACGCCACTAATACCTGCATTACCCCATCTCATACCCGACATCATGCACGTTAATTCCGCTATCCTACGCATACTCCTTTAAATCACCTATTTCTGCTCTTTAGTTACATCACATTTCTTTGAGGGTTTTTCCTATGCTCGACTTAGTTTCAGGTCACGTTTGGGGACAAACGCAATAAGTTGCGCAGCTGCGTGCCCTATAGGTCTTACAATTGTACGATCTTCGTGATCGCTAGACGAAATTACATCCTTGCTTGTGCAGCATGCCTGCCCCAGCGTGAGTTTGATCAATACCTTGGCATGCCAGAGGATAAGTCAAGCATCGCGGCGAGCACATTTTTTGCACTGTGAAAAGACTAGATAAGCCTTGACAATAATTAACTTTTGCAGCTCGCGGGACTTTATCGCGGGAAGCGGAGTATTTTTCTGACGGGAAGTCTTAACAGTCGTTGGGGGCGCGTCGCATGTGGGAAACTAGACCGTGACCAATGCCCGGTGGCTGTACTGGAGCACAGCACTTCATACGAGCCAAAGATACCTGGCGTTTTGCCCAAGTTTTGCCCATACGCGTCTGCTAGTTCAAAATCAATCTGCTGACATGAACTCAACGACGACCGTCCATTGTCAAAGCAAGATCTGCGTCAACGACCGACCACCATCGCAACTGGAATGTCCTACTTGCAAGAAGTATGCCAACATCTATGATGCTCCCCTACCACCGCTCAGATAATTTTCTGTAATCGCAGATTAGGCATCCGAGGCTCTTTTTTCTGTGGCCAAGAGTGCTTCAAGGCAGACTGTGAGTCTGCCACTGGTAATATGTTTGACATTTGTTAATAGGAGCAACAGGGGTGAGCTGTCCAGATGACAGACCATAGTACTTCATTGAGCTCACGACTCTGGGTTAGAAAAGTCACAAAATCATTCATGATCTGGCTCGCGGGACTGCTGGAGGTGGGGATAATGTTTGTTTGCTCTCTACTCACTCACGAGACTTCTAGATGGAACCTTCAACCCGTGGGCTAACTTCCGTTACACTGGTTCTATGCGTCCGGTATACCCACTTTCGCCCAAGCGGGAAATCCCTTCACATATTAACCGACCAGATTATGCCAACGATGGTACGAGCTTGGGACTCCGCCACCAGCAAATGGCACTTCCGTGGAAGCACATGTTAACATTCTTTTCTTCCTCTCACTCTCAGCCTCGGGAATACCTCATGGCGAACTCAGACGGGCTGGTCAACCGCCGAGGATACTAAGCCCGGAGGAGATAACGAAGATGCGGACGGTCTGTCGGGTACGTTGCTTTTCATCCCGCAATCAAATGTCAGGAGGAGCTATGCTTCTTAACGTTTATCGTTGCTCATGTTATAGCAGTCTATCGAACTTCTGTGCTGATGCTGTCCAATAGTATGGTCGAGAAGTTTTGGATCTTGCAGCCGCAGCTATCCGACCAGGCATTACTACTGATGCAATTGACGAGATTGTCCACAAAGCAATCATCGAGAGAAACGCCTATCCCTCTCCACTCAATTATCGTAACTTCCCAAAATCCGTTTGCACGTGAGCCACATTTTGTCAGACCGAGAGGGATAGCACTAAAGGCACTGAACGGTGACGTCAAAATAGGTCTATTAACGAGGTCATCTGTCATGGTATCCCGGATCAGCGAAAGCTGCGCGAGGGAGACATCGTCAACCTTGGTATGTGTGTTGGACTAGAAAGCTATTGATGTCGTTGATGCTTCTTCTCAGATATCTCTGTATACTACGATGGTGGGTTTTACACTGGTCAACCCAAGTGTAAGGCTGAAAACTTGTGATAGGGTTCCACAGCGACCTGAATGCAACCTATCCGGTTGGAGAAATTGACGAGGCTTCGAAAAAGCTTATTCGTACTACGCGTGAATGTCTGGACGAGGCGATCAAAATGTGCAAACCTGGCGCATTGTTCCGTGACCTAGGTAAAGTGATGTGGGTGATTTCGCGGTGCGGTATCATATTTCACCTTAACGACATTTTTCAGCGAACCGATAGCACGAGCTAATGGATGCTCTGTTGTTCGCCAATACACCGGTCATGGCACAAACGACTTGTTCCACACCGCGCCTAATATACCACATTACTCAAAGAATAAAGCAGTTGGGACAATGAAGCCAGGAATGGTAAGCCTTGGATTGGCTCTTCAACACAACACATGGGCTGACGAATAACAACCTTAGACGTTTACCATCGAGCCTGTATGGGACTAGTTTCTATCACAAGTGAAGGGCCACTGAATACGTGTTCTCAGATGATCAACCTTGGCTCGAATGGGGAGCCTGTCCACTGGAATGACAACTGGACAGCCACGACTGTTGATGGCAAACGAAGCGCTCAGTTCGAGGAAACCCTCCTGTAAGTGTGCTATGTGATATCAGGGATGATACTTACGGGTGTTCTACAGTATTACTGAGACGGGCGTTGAAATCCTGACGCAGTGATTCCCGTGAGCGTAGCAAGCACTTGGGAAGGTACGATACCGTGGGATAAGTTGATAGGCGTCCAACTACTCATGTGGGCGGAGATCGATGTGGCGAAGAGGATCGACTGCCAGCGATTACGGAACGGCATATCTATAGCATGATATATTAGCTGGCCCGAAATACGTATTGCTTCCTTGAACGGTGATCGACTTCATCCTGTCATGTCTTTATCTTGGAACCTTAGGAACTCGGCGACGTAAGAGCAAAGCATGGTGTCTTCATCACGTGGCTGGCTTATCAGCCCTAGTTCCACGCCCCCTATACACACCATCAGGCTCCTTGTTGTTGACCATGAAGCCGGTATTTAGAGTCCATTGTAGTCCACTCTGCACGCTAGTCCTTGCCCGCTTGGCACCTCTCATCTTGTTCCCCCCTTAACCTTCAGAGGTATCCTGATGTCTTCCGACGCCCCAGAGCCATATCTGTTAGTCGAGAAATGTGGTTCCAACCGGGGCAACCCCATCTATATTATTACCAAGTTTATCCCGTCAGTCATAAATCTCCTTTAGGCTGACTGGTATAATTGAGCTTATGCTCTTCGCAGCGCCGAATCGAGAAGTGTACGTGCTTTCTTTTCTAATGGCGTCTTCATCAAAGCATCTTGAGTATCACTTGAACACATGTGACCAACCCCTTCTCCAGCGTGAAATCCGATGCATGGACCTTGGAGAAGAAGCTCTTGGAAGTTACAGACAACGCCAACAAGCAGGCTGTACTCAAATCCAGGTGAGTTCAATGCTCAAATCCTGTAAAGTTTGCTGAAGTGATGCCTGTTGTCAGTTCTTCAATGAAAGAGAAAATCTAAGGTCCAACCGTGGTTTAGTTACTCAACTGAAGCTTGCCCGCTCATGAAGCTGTCACAGGTGTACAAATTGTGCTCTCGAGTTCCCCAAGAATCTGCTAAAACAAAGTGCTTACATCGATGTCAGGGGCTTGCCAGCATGACACACGAGGTATTACACTACTACAGAGTATGATAAATGTCGTGATGTATACCATAACTTACAAAAAATGACAGTCCCTGGTCCTCTGATACACAAAATCTCGCTATGAACTACTGTTGGCGTCCTTGTTAAGATCCATAGTAACCTCTCCAAAGGGCTCCTTCTTGTCAGCATCTCCAATCCGCTCAACGGGGATCAGGTCGGAAAGACTCTTCTTGCGCTGCCGTGGTGATTGGCGAGCTACCGCCGAAGATCGTGATTCAACACCCGTAGAAGCTGAGGCGGACATTCGCAACTTTTGCAAATCGGCATACGAGCCTGGGCGACTACGAATCCTGTGCCGTGGAGGAGCTTCATATGCATGTAGCAAATTCACGACGTGATCATAGTCTCCGTGGTCCTCGTCGTCAGATATATCTGGTGTCTCCGGTCTGCTACTCATTTGACTAGGCGTGGCTCCGCCCCAGGCGCTGGTTCCGCGTTTCGAGCTGTGACTCCAACCAAACAGACGTTCGTCTAACCAAGTCTAGGTTGAATGTTAATAAATAAGTCCGAAAGTGGGGTTCGGAGAAGCCGCACCATAGGGTGAATAAGCAAATTCCCTTGAGCATCGACACCTCCCACACTACTCTTCCGGCGCCATACGCCTTGCTCGCCGGTGGAAGGTGGAGCACTGGCGGGCACCAAAATCCGGAACTATCAAGAGGATAGGGGTAAGCATGGTGTAGATGCCTTGGAACATAAGGACTTGCTTGGTCAAAATCATCATAAAGTTTTGGTCCAAATTCGTTAATGACATCGGCGACTTCATTCGAGAGTTTCAATCGCATAGCTCTGAGGTTGTCGAATAAGCGCTGTTGTCCTGGGACCACTGCAACGACGAGAGGTCGTAGGGATCTATGCGGTGTCAGAGTTGGACTTCAACCACGAGGTATTACGCACTTAAGAACATCCATCCCAGCTTCACCAAACTTCAAGGCGGCGTAATTCATGAAGGGCAGCGCGAAGATCACCAAGAAAGGTGTCAATATCTTTACACGAGTTGATGCGCCAGCTTTGGTGGCAATAATGGTTGCAAGGATAGCATATGTGAAGTAGAGGACGGGTGCAACTCCAAGCGATATTAGAATTTTCCATGTGGCGAGCACATCCCTGCCTGCAATCTTGACTGTCGATGCGGCAAGAGCCTCTGAGAGGGGTTCAGAATAGGTCAACTGCAAGGTGGAGTGTTCATACCTTTTGCTTTCTTCTTGGAGAGAATGGAAGCTAATATGAACATGGGGCTGTTCAAAATGGTCCCAGGCAGAGCGAGCAAGCTCCAAGCCAAAAGGAGACCAACACGGTAAAGCAAAAGGCCTAAGGTCTTGTAACTTGCTTTCTTGGCTACTGGTACCTGAGGACGGAGTAAGCTTCGAATGTTTGAGTGATATATTCAATCATACTTGATGATCACGGAGCCCAAGGTCTCGCAAAAGTCTGTTATATTTGATCACGTCCTCCCGAAGCCTTTGAACCCGTGGCTCATCTTTGAAGTGATTGTATCCTTCCAAAAAGCGTCTATTCAGTTCGACCACTTGGCCGAGAGTGAGGTGCTGTCCAGGCGTTTTGTAGAGCCTGCGGACTGCTTGAACAAGCTGTGCTTGATGGATCAGTTATTGACTCGAAGGGCAGGGAGAAACCGTTACCATCAATGTATCATAATCGGGTGCTCGAACTGTGACCGTCTTCAAACCGTCATAGATTAGATCAAGGAATTTAGCAACAGCTTCTCGCTTCTTTGCACCTCCTTGCTTGAACATCTCTACGAGCTCAGCGGGAACATCCAATGCGGAGCCGAACTCTACCACCGCCCTCGATCGGAACCGGTGAGCATGGAAATAGTACAGTCCAACCGGTACTATCTTGACTTGGACATTAGGATTATTGGCCATAGCTCCCAGAGCCATGATGGACACGCCGGCCTTCAGTGGAAGGAGGTCAGTACGGTCGTGACTGCCACCTACGACAGAGTGAGTTCCCGAATGGACTCCGAACTATCATGCACACCTTCAGGAAAGATGCCTATGCAGCCGCCTTCTTTCAAACGAGTATAGACATGGCCATACATTTTCTGTTGGTCAACATAAGGAAGCCTCTTAAACTCGAGCCCATTCTTGCCCTCTGCTTGACATTCAGCTACTCGTTCACGGAAACGAGAAGTCCCTTTGCCCGTCTCTCCTCCAAATTCGCGCTTAATGCGTAACTCGGTATCAGAGATCACTTCGAGGACTTCGGCGACAGCAGAGTTGATGGCTTTGGGTAGCAATACCTGCATTCTGGGCTCAAATTCTGAAGTGAACTTTGTCCCTTGTCCTAATACAAGGCATGGGTCGTCCTCAGACAAGCGGATGAGCCCCGTGGCTGGTTTAACATCGTCTGCTGCACGGGCAACCGGAACTAGATACACTGCTTAGAAGGTGGCTCTCGAATGAAGGAGACTACCACTACTCACTACTGTCCATGAGTCTAGCAAAGAAGCCGACGGTTCTCCTTTTCATGCTTTTTGCTGCAGTGAGGAAGGAAACGCGACGACCTGTTTCACGAAACACTTCCGAGCTTAAGAGCAAAGGGTCAAGGAACTAGGCGCAGAGTGAGCATAGTGTTCTTGCTTTCAAAGGCCCAGTGTAGCATACCTGGTTGTGATGCGGAGCGCCAACAAAAATGACGGGGCCTTCCTTCGGAATGTTGAAGGCCCCACGAGGACGGACCTCCCGAAAGAAAACTTGGATGATTGTCCGCCAGAACATGAGGTTGGCGTCATACCCCAATGCCGTGGTGATGGGCATGCTCGATTGAGACATGTCCGTAGTTGCACGAAAACGACAAAGCGGAGGGTAAGCTCTTGAGGCCGAGATAAAGGAAGTCGACCAGGCTGAAGCTGAAGCTTGAAGGCTGCTCGGGTAGACCTATGTATGAAGGGCAGGGCGGTGCACGCACGGATGACGGCACAACGTAGGCGATGTCCTTCTTGCGCTCGGTGACACGCGGTCATAGGCACAAACAGCATTAAACCGCGTCTGTACTTATCTCCGACTTAGCCGGGTCGCTGCAGCTCACAATCAATGCATGCGCCATTAGTGCCATTAGCTAGTGCATAAGTAGTTTACAGTTTTCCACAGTTACTTAGATTACATATACAGTGCAAGGAGACTGTGCCGAGTATACACATTAATGCAAAATGATACTAGCCGCCAGATACACCTCAACTTCACACCTCGGACATTCGCCGTCCTTGAGATGACGAACCATTGCTTGTCACGCTCGTTCGCTTGTAGTGAAATAGATCATGTAGCTCGTGCAGCCTTGCACTGTCGCTTGGCCCACCTTGCGTCGGTGATCGAAGAGTCGCCTCTGTTTTCACAGGTGAACTCGGTACGGTGTTCGAACCGTTGGCCTCCAGCTCTGCGAAAATGCGTGCATTAGTATCGGAAATAGAGAACCCATGCTTTGAGGCTGGCTCACTAGACAATGTGCTCGCAACGGCAGCAGTTCGTTCCATATCCTCGGCAGCCCTACTCGCCAAAGCACGGTTGATGTACTTGCGGAATGCTGGACCAGTGGACTCTAACAGCTTTTCTACACGTGGCCGCTTCTGGGGATAGTTCTTCAGGAACTGATGCAACTCAGTGATGCCCTCTTTGTGCATGGCACCCGTAGTCTCGCTGGAGATGTGGTTAATGATAGTTAGCAGCTGGGCATCTGGATCGGGCTCTTCAACGGGAGGAGAGAAACCGCCACCGTTCTGAGAAGAGACACTCGGAGATGAGCGTTGATGAGTGCCTGAGGTCGCCGAAGATGTAGTTTGTTGGGGCGAGATAGGCCGACTGGATGCAGCCGAATATGGCCTGCTGAGAGCTTCCGTGTCTTGTTGATGTTGTTGAGCCTCTGCAGCCCGATGAGATGAGTTGAGGATACGGTAAACGTAGGGATAAACAATGGTAGCCGAGGGATCATCGAAAGAAGCGGACAAGCTATCGTACACCTCGTCACCGTAATGGGCTGTTGGGCTACCTTAGCGCATGACCACGGTTTCAAACATCGCTGTCACATACCTACTACATGCTGAATGATGACTTTGATGGTTCGCAGCGGCATGTCTCCGCATGGAACATGGTTCGTCGCACGAGCACGCCATTCATTAGGAGGTATGGATTGCAAGAAGTGTTCGATGGAGGGGAGAAGCTCTGCAGGATCCAGCTTGCCGTCTTTCAAATCTTGCGGAATATTCCTAGCCAACTTCCACACGCACTTGAGCACTAGCTCGGCTACTCTCGCCTCCTTAGAGTCGGGTGGAGTACCGTTGGCCGGGAACGGCTTCACAATTTGAAGTAGCAATGCAAACAAGGCTCTGTAAATCGTTGAGAATCTGTTTGACACAAAATTGGTGGAACTTGCCGGAATATTGACATCCTTCGTCCAGTAGCAAAGAGGCGGAGAACAATCATATTGATGAAGCGCGACAAATCCTTGACCTTGCTAACCCGACTATCGTCCGTCTCAAGCAACCGCATCGTGAGTTCATCGAGCAACGAGGTAACAATTTCAACAGTCAACGACTCTGCAAGGACAGCGTGATCACAAAACGTATTGAGCGTCTGGATCAGATGTTTCGCGAGCCTGAAATTGTCGTCGAAAACAAGGTCGTCCGGACGTTCGAATACGTGCGTCATCTGGAGAGTAATCGTCTCTATTAGACCTTCTGTATGTTCTGCGAGGTCCTGGTACTCTGCAGAGTGGTTGCCATTTTCAGTCTTGGTCACAAGAATCTTCTGAACTTTCTTGAGTGCATCAACGCTCCGATGAGGGTCACTACTGAGGATGGAGGATATCGTGATGGTGATGTCGTCTGTGGCATCAGCGGGCGGCGGTGCGTCCACAAGGGTGTCGACATCATCATGGGTGTCGAATGAAGAGTGAGGAGGTGGGTGATGTCCATTGGCACGAAGTGGAGGCTCTTCTGCTTGCGCTTCAGGATGACTCCGAATCTCTTGCGTAACAATATGAGGTCGTGATCGTGGAGGCCCAAGTCGAGAAGGAAGCAAAGTCTTTGGACGCGCTATGCCTGAAGGAGAAGAAGGAGGATGCAAACCGCTGGCGGCGCTGCTTGGACCTTGCAATTTTAAGCCACGTGCAGGGGATCCTGGCCGAGCAGGGGCACTGTTGATGGGGGAAACCGCTCTTGAAGGTGATGCCGACCGATCTTGACCACCTTGGCGGGCGAAGGAGGCAGGGGAGGATGGTCGCGGGACCCCTCTACCAACCTTGCTTGGCTGAGATGAGACTGAGGGTACCTCAACCTTCCCAGCGGTGCTGGGGCCCGCCACGCGTCGCAGGCGTTCTTCTAGTTGGGTTTTGTCCTTAGGTGACAAGCGCCCGACAAGAGACCATACTTTCTCTCCGACCAATGTGTACGCCTCACTAAGATCTTTATCAGACCTGATAACTCACGGTACTCCAGAAGGCTCACCTAATTGTCGTAAGTGCAGACTTTCTGACAGCCGAGTCTTTGTCCGCGATTGCCGCCGCAATCTGAGGGAAGGCCTTGCTTGGTTGATTGCATGCCGCCATACCATTGCGCTTCAAGAGGAGACCGAGTTCATCCAACGTACCTTGTCGGGTCTTGGCCACTTTAGATTTAAGGCCGTGTTCGAGCAACATGTCAAAGACTCTGCTGTAAGCGAACACTTTGGGAAGCGTCTGAACAATGGCCTGGACTCGTTGTCGCACAGGTTCCCGGGCATCACCGAGCTAAGTGGTGTGTTAGCTTCGTATTAGTTAAAACTTGCAAGAAGCTGACCTTGTACACAATTGTAGGTACGAAGCAGAGAGCTTCTGCGTCTTCAAGTTGAGCATCAATTGCTCTATAGAACGCCAGCACCGCATCAGCAACATCTAAGCATCGTGTTACAAGGTTCGATTGTGGCTCATGAACCCGCAGTGAAACATATTTGAAGGCAAAATCGGAATTTGCTAGTCCAACGGCGTGAAGGTCATCAGCCGGCACACCGAACCGTTCGTCACCCGATTCCGCGCAAGTGTAAAACTCGTAAAGCGTCGACAATCCCGCGATGTGATCATTGACCGCATTGTGATCGTGGCTGAACAGTTGGGCTGAGAGGTCTTTGGAGGCGGCGAAGTGGTCCATTTGGTGCTGTAAAAGCTCCGCGAGATCCTTTCGAGCACCGCCCGACTCGTTCACCCATTTCTGACCATCCTTAGATAGACGCGCTCGTTTTGACTCCATATTCATGCTTGTCAATGGGAGCGCAGCAACGATTGGAGACGGTGCGGAGGAAGCCGTGGGGGTTTTCATGCTCATCGATGCTGGTACGCCAAGCTTCTTGACGTTTGGCCGGGGAAGAGGAACATGCGCATCCTCAGTAGCGGACTCTGCCCGGGAATCTGGTCTTGAGGACGTGCCTTGGGGCAGTTTGCGACGGACAGTATTGAGTTTTGACGATGGCCCGGCAGATACTCCGGAAGATGTGGAGGCTTGCACAGGCGGAGCAGGAGGGTCCTCTCGAAGTGAAGCTGCGGATGGCTTGACAATCGCGGACTTTGGCCCCACTGGTGCAGGCTTGGGAGGCGGCGGCGCTTCCGCTATCGGTTGCGGGCCAGCAGCATCTCGAGCAGCCTGTATCGCGGGCATGGCTGACTTCCTTGAAGCGGGCTTGAGGTTGTTAGTGGCGTGCATGACGCGGTCGAACCCAACCGAAGTGATAAGTAAGGGCAAGGCAGCCTGAGCGCCTTTGCGGACATCAGCATTTCGATCATCCAGGCAATTAACCACCGGGGATACCCAGTCCCCAAGATCCAACGGCGAGGCGGGAGGGTGATCCTTCAGATAATCTGCGACCCAGTTCAGCAAAGAGCCCTTTTGCGTGGGATTGGTGGTCTCTAAAGCGCCGCCCAAACCGTGAACCATCGATTCCAACCCTTCGCATGCTGTCGCCATCGCGCTCAATGTTGTTATCGCAGCTGCTCGTATAGGAGCCTTTTGGTCAGACAAGACGGTAGCCACAGGGACAACGAAAAGACGTGTGTGTTTGTCGAACGGTCTCCCCATGCCCGTCGCGATGCGGGCCACAATATCGAGAGCAAGACTTTGGACGGCCTTGTTGGTGTCAATGACCCGCGCCTTAAGCACTTGTCCAATTTCACCTAGAAGCCATGCGTGTCAAGGTTTAGATTGCTTCAGAATCAAACATTACTTACCCATGTTAGGCTTCAGCCGCTTGTTAGCTCCCTGGTCGAGGGTTGCTTGAAGAGTCTCCAATGCCTCTTTCTTCGTCTTCCATGCATCGCTCTTCGCATCTCCAAGTATTGTCGTACCCTTCAGTAGTCCATCAAGCTCCACTCTTGGGTAAAGGTCATCCAATGGGTCAGCTACGGCACTACCTTTGCCTGGTGCTGATGAAACAACAGCCGTGCTTGCAACGTCGGCTGAGGTTCGAGTGGGCTCCGGCGCTGGCGTGCCTTCGACCTTGTCAAACTCGCTTTGAATTGTTGCAAGCAACTGAGGATTGAGGTCTTCAAGAAGATCTTTGATACCTGTCAAGGATATGTCAGAAGTCAGATAATCCAGTACATGGCAGATTTACTGACCAGCTCCAGCATATAGCTTGACGGTCACTAAGGTCTTCGTTGCATTGGTACGTACCGCTGCGTTGGCGTTCTTGAGTGCGTTCTTTAGAAATTCAATAAGACCACGTAAAGAAACGCCAGCAACACCAAACTCGACAACAGCATTGTCCACCCAAACCAGAGAGTCAGCTAGCACTTTAGGCGCTTTCTGTTTCCCCAATGGCTCATACGCTAAGTGAAACGGGTCAAGAATCATTATGAATCGCATAACCGATGATAAGCTGACCTTGATTGAGTACAAACTGCAGGGAAGTCTTCTCGGCGAATACGATGAGAGTATCGCCCGCTGGTTTCTTGAGCTTGGCATCACCCAACTTCTCGCTCAAGTGACCAGTAGATAACGCAACGCAGGACCGGCCAAAAGAGGGACACTGTTCCGCTAGAATCGTAAGGACATTGTAGATCTTTGCAGAGACCTAAAGAGATGATAAGCGATCTGTGTTCTTTTGATCGGCTCGCAACTCACCTGGAAGTTCTTCTCTGACCATCCTTTCTTGGCAATTGCACGAATGACGACTTCGGCGTCAACTGTTTCAACGACATCCTCAATCCATGTTGTTAGCTCATCACAAGCAACTAATCTAGTCTTCCAGTTCCCATCTCCGAGCCCAGCCATGATGCTGCCCGGTATCAATTCCGCCGCCATGGCCTCTGCATCTTCGGGCGTGTGCTTGTATTTGAAAGTGTCCAAAGTGCCTGGTGGGGGTGGTGCTGCTACTTTTGCGGGTTTGGCAGCGGCCGCTGCTGCAGGCTTCTTTACGGGAGCAGCAGATGCAGAAGGTTTGCTGCCGCCAGCTGAGGAGGGCCCAGCATCAGTGTCGCCGGCTGCTGACTTCTTAGTCTATAACCCCCTGAGTAAGCGCTCATGACGGTGATTTACAAGTGACCTACCATCAATCTTGCAGGAGGCTTCGCTATAGGTTTCTTGAGTGGTTCTGGCTCCGTGTTCAATTCATCGGCCATGCTGCTAGCTTTCATAGATGCTTCCCCCTTGCCAGAGGCTGCCCCTTTTGCCGGTGGCGCTTTCTTTGCAGTGGCAGCTGGAGGCTTAGCGGCTGGAGCCTTGGGTGGACCACCAGCCTTGCACTTCACGGTAGCCTTCTCGTAAGCCTCCTTGATTTTTGCTTTCCGGACATCCGCCAGCCCATCCATCAAGGCATTCAAGGGGCGTTCACCAATCATCTTCATGAGCGTGCCCAAGCAATTAGCTGCTTCATTTCTGGCACCTTCAAAGCCGTCCTCTAGGAGAACGGCCAAAGGGTCGGTCAAAGTCTTGATCTGTGCCGGCGGCACGGGAGTAGTGGCTGTGGACAGAGATCGACCTAAGAACTTGAGTGTTCCTTCTTTGACCTGGGGATTCTTGTTGCCTAATGCGGGGAGTATATCGGGAATGATATCTGGGAGCGTAGTCTAAACCACATTCAACGACTTCTCATTGACCATATCATTAACATGATGCTCACTGTGGAGAAAACAGCGTCTAAGGCTGCTCCGATGGCATCGGTGACGTTAGCTTTCCGCTCTTTAAGCCGTTCAAGCATGAGCGGAACTACCGTTTCCTTTACCTTGGAGAATGGCGCCATGATTCCTTTGGCAAGGCCTTCCATACAGCTAGCAGCTGTGATGACACAATTGACGTTGGCGTCCTTATGAATGCAAGTCGCCAGCTGTTTGGCAATGTCATTGAGCTCGCCTGCTTCCTTGATACGAGGGGCAGCATTGATAACGGTGAACAGGTCGTCCAATGCCTCTTTACGCTCTTTCCACTTGGAAGAGGTTAGGTTCGTTTGGAAGTTAGAAGGGATCTTGGGAACAATATCGGCAGGCTCTGCCATCGTCCGAGGATCTGGAAGAGCTAGTTCCTCTAACACCCTCTTATCAACAATAAGGAGGAGAAGAAACCGCAGGTCACATACCTTCATTCCCTGCGCTAGGTGCATCGTCGCCATCTCCATTCACTTCAGCTGTTTCTGCCTCTCGCGCTTGCTGTCTGGTTAGACGCTCCGGCCTAAGTGAACCCTTTCCTTTCCCTTCTGCATCCATGGTCTGAAAAGCTTCTTGCAACTCCTTCACCTGCACGGGCTTAAGATCCGCTAGCCATGGTTCTATCGCGGGGCCAATGTACTGGTAAAGGGTGTGCGCAAGCAGAGTGCCCTCAGCACGTACATTCTTGTCGGCATGAGAGAACATCTTTGGAAGTGCCTTAAGGACCGGGGCTGGGGGAGTAACCTGTGGCCCGAATGATCTGTGGAAGGCGAGAGTGGTTGAAGACACGACGCGCAGTATGCTACAATCGCCGACTAACCTGATGATCTCCTTAAGGACTGAAACAGTCGACGCCACCGCTTTTGGTTGTTTCGCAGAGAGGCCTGGCAGTACATCGGTCTGCATGTGAGAAGTCGGATAGTGGGTGGACCGGTGATGAGGATAAAGATTTCAAGACTCACGACAACGCCGGTTCCCGTGTTTTCTACCTCGACATACTGCAGGGCCAACTCAAGAGCATGGTTCTTCGTACCCGCTCTCGATGAGCCAAAGCATTTGTCTACGAGAGCTGGAACGACTGCCTCCCTGGTCTTAGCGGCTGTCTCGCCGGCGTACTTGACTAGTGCCACGAGGCATTCGACCGCTCGTTCCTGCGCGACAGCGTTTGAGTCTGTGGCGAGCTTCTTGAGCAGATCTGAGTTGTTGATGTAGGGCTTAAAAGCTGGGTCCGAGTCGGAAGCGGTTGTTTGGAAGGTCTTGATGAGAGAGTCGTATGCACTGACGCGAGCCTTCCAGTTCTTGTGTGCGAGTCTGTCGGATATGGGGAGAGAAGAGAAGTCCTCTTCTGGAGGAGGAGGACCGTCCATGGTCGGACACTCGATCGCGAGGATATGGGCTTTGAAGGCGAGAAAAAAGTGAGTGACCGCACCGTTGATTCCTCACCTCCGTCACTCGAGCTTAGTCTAGTCGAACAACCCTGACCCGATCACACCACGCCGTGACTTCTTCATCACGTGCTGCACGCGACTTGTTTTCCACATGATATTTTAGGTACTACGTCATCAACATCGTCAAATACTAGTGAGGATCACTAGACTGACCAGCAATGCTAATGCCGACCCGCGACACTATCTCCCATATCCTAGACACCTCCTCATCTACGAGAACCTCTCCGTGTTTTTGCATCAGCGCGTTTGTCTCCAGATGGCGCTCCCCTGTCTGCTCTGACTCTGACGTCTCCCCCAGATTGTGATACACCACAGACATCAGGAATTGCACATCCGCTAAGGATTCGGCGAGTTCGAGTCTCTTGTAGTCTTCCTCTGCCATCTTCAGATACACCAGCGCTTCGCGCAGACCTTCCCCTGAACCAGACGGAGAGCATGCAACTAGACACCTTGCATACGTGAAGTATGCAAGTGCGCGATGTTCAACGTCGTCTCCCTTTCGCATCTACGTAACGAGGAGTTGATCAAAATGTTGCACCTTTGGAACGATATCGTCTACCTGAGGCAGCACCTCTTCCAACAAGCGGCGGCAGTACTCTGTCAAACCAAACTCGAGGCCGACATCGGCAAGCAGAATCACACCAAGTCGATACAGAGGGAAACGGCACTGAAATTCAGACAGCCACAGCGCTTGTAGGAGTGGTTGAATAGCAGCAACAGCCTGTCCGTGATGCTAAATTTGTTAGACATTCTTCACGCTCACATACCGCGTTTGTACGCGACTCACTCGCGCTCGAATGACTTCGTGTAGCTCGGCACGTATACTACCTAGCTTCGGTGCGGAGACGTCATCAAAGATATACTCTGAAACGTTAGTTGAAGAAGGTCTCCTTGGCTTGAGATAGTTGTTGAACAGCTGGTGTTGGCCGCTAATGATTGCACCAATTTATATGCCAAGCAAGTACAAGCAAACTTGCACTTACCGGCGAATGGCTCTGATAGCCAGCACATGCCACACCTGCTCGGCCCATTCGACATACTGTGTGTGATTTAGAGTCATCCATGTATCGGTGTGCAGTATCGATGCCAGGGCCTCTTCATAGGCGCCGTTTCTTGCAAGCTGAAAGTCGTTAGTAACCATCCAGTTTCTCCGTTTAATTGTACGCACCCTGCGCACTCGATTGAGAGTCACGCTCTTCCGATTGACATCAGGAATACGTTCCACGAATGCAGATACCATGTCTTCCTCGACCTCGGCGAGTCCAACGCAACCTGATCCCATCACATCGTCTCTTCAAGAGATCGTCGCACTGGTGCCACACTTACCGACGCTCTCCCAAAGTACTGCTTGCATGGAGTGCAGACTTCTTGATTCCCAGTCTTGGACCATGTTTCTGCGGCTTTCAAACCAGTAATCATAGAGCCCAGCTGCCTGGAAAAGTTTCTCAAAGGCACTCATGAGGGGTTGTCCCTATGGTATCGTCAGTCGAATGGTGCTTCCCTCATAGGTTCAAAAACATACGTTTTCGGGATTCATAAGCTTAGCGACATCATGTAAGACATCAGCAGGATGGACGTCAGGTTGTATTTCGGTAAGGACTGGGGTCGGCGACGGTAGGCGGTTGATTAAACTGAAGGGTTGCATGGATCGTTAGGCTTGTTATCGAATTATCGTCACTTTGCGTCACCTTGTGCACTGCTGCAGTGTGTACCTGTCACCCACGCCCCGCGCAACAGAAATCGCTTCTTGCAGTAGCTGTCGATCCATTCAGTGTACTTTCATCGCGGCAAAAGACGGCACCAAACGTTTCTGACGGAGGCGGTTTCGCCCCGTGCAAAATGCATGCGTGCAAGATACAACAATGCATGTTGCCTCACACCCCTTTCGTAGCAGGGTGAATGGTTATTAGATGGCATAGACTAGAGACGCACGAATCTGGGTGATCGTGGAAATGCTGTTCAAAATAGCGACGCAGATTTTCGGGACCTAAAATGCTGTCACCTGAGGCAAGGCCTTTGCCTGCCCTTTATCGAACCTTCAGATAACGATGGCTGCTTGTAAGTGATTACACTCACGCAGCCAAAGGTTCTGGCCGGGCCCACGATTTGATGTCGAAGCCCGTTTTGAATATCCAGATATCTGATTGGGAATATTCAGCTAAAGGTCTCTGGAGGCCATGGACAGAATTAACCACACCTTGTGTCAAATAATCTTTTTCGAACGGACCGTAACCAGACTCGTATTGACCTAGAGTATAGGACTGGTAGTCGGCATGAAGATGGCAAACACTGTACCATGAAAGTTTGAGGAAACTAATAAAACATCTGCGGCAAAAGAATCCAAACAGGGAACGTCGAGACTACACCCATCACGTTCAGAATTAGGCCAAATCGGAGTGGATCACCAACATACTATTGGCGCAGGCTACTTGATTCATCAACACCTTTGACGTGAACCAAACATAATGTGCAAACCTACTTCGTCTTCACTCTTATCAACAAACATGACTGGCATGCCTGCAAACAACTGTCAAAATTTGAGGCGGGGATGAAGAACCAGCGTCATTACTATGAAAGAAATTGTTCAGCTTATCAGCTGAATCCAACTGACTAGGCTTGCAACAGGGTTAGGTGAGGGCCTCATGAGGCCAGGAGTGGTCAGCGTACCAATGTTTCTAGCGCAGTTATTAGGTTTCGTGCCTGATCCTCGTCTGCCTCTGGCGTTTGTTTGAGTTCATTCAGGAGCTCAGGGCGTAACTTGTGAGTCGCGACCTGACAATGGGCGGTTCGACGCGCGCAACAGTGAAACAATGAAAGACATGGATTACCTCCGAAACTTCCTCTAGCAGAAGTCTATAAACTTGTAGCAAAAACGACGAGGGTAGTTTCTTCTGGAACTCCTTGAACACAAGCAGGAACAAAGCAATGAGGTCAATGTGATGAGGCCGAAGAACATGCTGGATTGGAGGTGGAGTATTGGCGCCAGTTCTATCCATGTTTTTGAAGCAACGCAGAGGGTTGGTTTGGTATGGTTGTTAACAGGAGTTGGGTCACTTGTCAAATGCCTGGGACAAGTACTAGAAAGCACAGGGGGCACGACGTGACCAAGATGGTTCATGGAGCGCGTGTTTGATCGACGCGGTCGTGGGAGCATTTGAAAGTAATAATGGCGACATTTTGGTGGTTAGCCTCCTAAATTTCCGATTCCTAGTGACCCAAGGCGACACATTCTGCGTTCTCAGCTAACAATCATAGACATGGGAATTAAGCCGAAAAAGAGATCTCTGCAATCAACCAATGTAAGCCCTCTCACTGGGCCTTTGGTTGCACTTATCATGCTATTCGTATAGGTTTCGTCCAAAAAACGCAAAATTGAATCTAGTGGCAAGTCATCAGGACATCCCAAGAAGCAGAGCAAAGGAAAAGAACGTGCTTTTGAAAAACCGTTTATCCCCATACCCAACGCAAATGACCCTGACTCTGACGACTCCATACTTTCTAATGAGGACGCTGCACTGCTAGAAGAGTTTGGTGAAAGTGCCCGTTTCCTAAATGTTCTCGATCATAAAGGCATATCAAGGTACGAAGGCACGTTCTCCTACTGTTGCCTCATTGTGAATAGCATCGAAGGAGCAAAAAAGAGGAGGAGCGCATTCGTCAGATGAACAAGCCCATCAGGAAGCCCGCGAACATTGACGATCTCCCTTCTATCGACTCCCATGATGAGGAATCCGATTCTTGGAACTCAGAAGTGAGTGACATGGATGATGTGCCATTGTCGGACGAAGATTTTGGTAGTGACGAGGTCGACTTCTCCGATTCTGACGATGAAATGCCGTACGAGAAAGCTCCCCGTACTCAACGCTCAGCTAAGGAGCAACCACATACGGCTCATATCAAGGGATTGCCCGTCAAACTCGCAGACGGCAGAGTTCAAGACACAGGCAAACGTACCACCGCTGCCTCAAACAATGAGGCCGAAGACAAGTCCGACTCGGCTCATTCGGAGTCAGAGCCAGAAGTCTCCAACGCAGTGGAGGATGTTGCCACAGGCGCACGATTCGGCCGCCCAGCAGTTGTGGATGTCCTTACGCAAAAGTCGAGGTCGGCGCGGATACAAGCCGCCAAGGAGCAAATAGCTGGCCTATGTTCCGATATACTGGCGGATCCAGAGAATAGCGTACGCACGTTAACTTTCCTTGTCGGCAGCCTCTCAAACTATATTCGTTAGTTGGGCCTTCTGCGACGTCTACATACGTTTGCACTTTCTGAGGTAGTCTCGCCAAGCCGGTCCAAACCCGTACCGAACGATTTCATCATCCGCAAACTTGCCATTCTATCGCAACTCGCCGTTTTCAAAGACCTCGTTCCAGGTTACCGTATCCGCGCATTGACAGACAAAGAAAAGGCGGAAAAGGTCAGCCAGATGGTCGCCCGTACCCGTGAATGGGAGCAGGGTCTGGTTACTGTGTATCAATCATACCTCAAACTGCTAGAGACGGAACTCAAGGGTAGGTGCACCAGTTTTACTACACACTAACTATCGCGTTTGAAACTCAACGTCCGTTAAGCCAAAAATGACCTGTCTGAGGTTGCACTGCGATGCATGTGTACTCTGGCAGAGCAGGTCACCCATTTCAACTTCAGAGTAAACTTGTTGAAATCCATTATCTCGCAATTAAGTAAGAAATCGTGGAATGCAGTGAGTATGTCCCGCTTTGCGAGCTCAACTCCGACACTGATTATTTTGACTGTAGTCCTCCGACCTCTGTTTGAATACCCTTATCAGCATTTTTCGGGACGACCTCACTGGCACTCCTTCTCTCGAGATAGTCCAACTGCTCAACCGGATGATTACAGAACGTGGGTATAATGTGCATCCGGAAGTCTTGACCTGCCTTCTTCATCTCCGCCTCAAGACTGAGTTGTCTGTGCGAGCGTCTGATTCGAAGGTTGACAAGGCGGAGGGTGGAGAAACCCGAGCTAAGAAGCCAAAGCCCGGCAGTCGAGGTAAGAAGGCAGGTATCGAGAACGGGTACCTCAGCAAGAAGGCAAAGAAGGCTCTGAGGGAAAAGAAGGAGATCTCTCGCGAGCTTCGGGAAGCAGAGGCGGAAGTTGATAGGGAAGAACGAGCAACCACAGTAAGGATGGCCCAATTCGTTTTTGACTCAATTCACATGCCATACGCAGCAAACAGAAACGCTCAAACTTCTGTTTGTGCTTTATTTCCGTATCCTGAAGAACCCGCGTCCTACACGGCTGCTACCATCAGCACTGCGTGGCATCGCGAAGTTTGCCCACTTGATTAACGTTGACTTCTTCAGAGATCTGTTGCAAGTTCTCCGAGGTCTCATTGAGCGTGACAGCTCAGACGACGACGAAAGTGGGGCTCCAGGGACGGACCTCGTCAATAGCATCCAACACCGCCTCCTTTGCATCATGACTGCGTTTGAACTCCTGTCAGGCCAAGGTTTGTGATCGGCGCTCTTCGCGAAGTTTACGATTTGTTGATATTTCTGTTTTCAGGCGAAGCGCTCAATCTCGATCTTTCGGAATTTGTCAACCATCTTTATGCCATCATCCCAGCAGTGAGCTTGCTGCCGGACATAGATGTCGCGCCATCATCCTCTTTTGAATCAACCTTTCATGTGGCACGACCAATGTCGATTGCTGATATGTTGTTCCGAGCGCTTAACGTTGTATTCTCTCCGAAGATGAGCGGCAAAAGCGTGTTGGTCTGGCGCTCCGCGGCTTTTGCAAAGCGCCTCCTTACTGCATCTCTAAACTGGCCACCCTCTGTTTCTCTCAAAACGCTCCAGTTTATCGAGCAACTTCTAGGAAAAGATCCACAATTGGACGCGTTGCTGTCAACAGAAGATCGACCTGCAGACGGGATTTATCGACCAGACATTGATGACCCACAGTTGTGCAATCCTCTCAGCGCCACGTTTTGGGAACTTTTCTTACTTCAAAGCAATCATTATGACACCCGTGTGTCTGAGGCGGCTTCTGCATTGTTGCATTATAGTAGAGTGTAATACCATTTTACCAATGATGTACTAAAAAGACCCAAGTGATATCTACTTGTGGGGAGTATTGTAAAGCAGTGAATTAGATGATACAGATAGCAAAATGATTGAAAACATGACTAAAGTTCAAGACTACTTAAGAAGTCTTACTCGTTTAAACGGTCCATAAGCCGTACGCAGGCGTAATAGTGTTGCTACAGTATAGACTCAAGCACTGTGGAACGAAGTAGAGTCAGGTCATGAAAGGGCATAAGAGGGGTAATAATAAGGGTCATGTGGGGATGAGTTCGAGCTGACTGTCGATAATGCGCATGGCTGTATTGACTGAGCTGAATAAACGGCGCGAGGTATGCATGATGCTGGTTGAGCCTGTGGGTAGTGGCCAGGGTGAGAGTCGTAGACGTAAGCGGTGCGAGAGGACACGTTTTCAGTGCGGTGATTTTGCCAGCCGATAAACTCCGCTGAAGGCATGTTTTCGCACTGGCCTCTGTCCAAGTCATACACAACTGTTGCTATCTCTTCGCCATCGACGGCAATCTTCTGCATGATGATTGTCGGCACAGCTACAAGTTGGTCAGTACCATTAAGGCGAAACGATGATTAAATCAGGCGTACAGGCTTCCAACCACCGGCATCGGCTTAAGGATGACTCCGGCAACTGTGCAGTGACCTGCTCGGTCATCGACGCCTCGTTGACACTTTCCACTGCAGTCACTGAGCAACTTTCCATCTCCCGAGAAACGCACTGATTCCGCACGAACACCATCGTTGAGCACCTTGCCGAGGAGGAGTGCATAGCAGCATAGCTTACAGACCCCTGGAACCCGTGCAGTGTCGGAGAGTACAGGGTATCAAGTGCCGGTAAGTGCAGCTTCACTCTCATCACGACAGCGGACCCAAAGCCGGCGTTTAACGGGACGACAAAGGGTTGCATGCCTTCGGCTGCTAGCACAAGCCGAAGAAAGGCACTCCCGGGGTACTGCATCGGAGGACTGTCGTTCCCGACAAAGGGGAGCGCAGAGCCAAACGGATCGGGAGAGTCTGACAACGGCGATTCTGCTTTGACACGCGGCGATACATCCGAATGAAGGCCGGAGCTTGTGGTGGAGCCATAGCTCTCACCAAAGCCGGTCTGGATAGGGTACAGTGAATCCGCTGAGGGAAAGTTTTCTGACGGCTGAAAATTGGCAGAAAAATTTCCAAGAGTCGCCGATATCGGGGACAGTCGCCGAGTATTGTGTGTGGCAGTCATATCTGAGGTAGGCGCAGAGTGCATGCGACGGTCGTTGCTGAAGAGCGACCTGGAGTCTGAATGCGTCAACGGATCGGAATGTGGAGTGGATCCCGAAAATGCTTGGGCTGTCGCAGGCGACCGGAGAGGCGCAACGCCTGGTATCGGTAACACCGCATGCGTTGGACTTCCGTCCATGGAAATAAGGGTATTGGTGTCCGGTTGATCTTCAGGCTTGGGAGTGGGATATTGGAGACCTGCTTCAAGGAAAAGCTCTTCGCCGCCTGCTACTAAATGAAATTCTAGGACGCCAGTCGATCTCAGTCGGTTGCTTGTAAACGAGATTGTGACCACGCTTACCTGGTTCGCCCTTCCACATGTTGCGAAGGACCTGTATGTGGCTGGCAACCTGTTTCTTAGAACGATCCACACCATTGCGGCGGAGATAATCTACTAGAAATTGATTGCGCCAACGGCTGCGACCCCTGGAATAAGTAGCCCAAGGGGAGTCCCAATATTGGCGAAGACCTGCCCGGGAGAATTGAGTGGGGGCAAGGGGAATAATCAGAGGGGTGACGCACCTTCAACAAATACTTTCTCAACTTCCTCAGGCCATACCTCGCTCGAGCCATCCTTGAGGAGTTTACGATGCTTTCTCTGAGGAGTGAGGCTCTTTGTGGAGGAGCTTTCTGGGTCTGGGATGACCTTGTTGGACCTCATCGTGACGAAAGTGAGGTGTAGAGGTAAGCAGGAGAGCCCTAGCGGGGACGGGAGGTCGTTCGGTAAGACGGAAGGAGAGACGGGGATTTGGGACAGCACCTTTTTATACCTGTGAGTCAACGGGACGGAGGAAGTGGTCAGCCTAGCACAGTCTCGAAGACCAAGGCTATTTTCCGGATCGGGCATAAGGGGCCCATCTGCTTGGACACAGTCTAATTGAAATAGCCCAATTGAGGCAGCCGGGTCGGAACCTTCCACATGGAAGCATCCTCCCTTTTTGGGTTTCACTTCACCTGTCGCAAATGGAATTCTTCCGCCGTGCCAGTGGAGTCAGCAACCTCGCAGACTTCCCAAACCGGCGGTCCAGATCTGGCTCACGCTTATTGTCCCTCAGAAACGCTCTCCGTTCGTCTCAGCAAGGTTTGAGGGTCGTGCCACCGCAATTCTTCAGTGAACGCATCCTCCTAGGCCCTTGGGCCCCTGTGTCTCGAACGACCGCCCAAGACGGATGAAGAAACCAAACCCGTGTCACGCCGCGCTCTTTCCGGACACCGGGCCCACCCTTTCAGCATGCCATATTTGCTCTGTGCGCAACTTACAGGCCGGCCTGGTCGCCGTACGTACACCTCTCAACCATCGCTGGCGCCATGATCATCAGCGCCTGATTCGTGTCTGCAATCTGCGGTTCAGCTAGATCCAGCTCTCGTTGCAACCCGCTGGCCACACGTCGACCGCCCGGGCCCGAGGCGCGCGAATCTGAATATGCGGAGCAGTTCTTAATATTCTTAGCTTGATTTGTACGAGAGACGGTCGGGTGGTTGGGTGTATACAATGCCGGTGACGTCTCCTCGGCGAGCGGAAGTATCCCGCGGTAGATTCGAGCACCGATGATGATCGGAAGGTGAAATTTGCTACTCCGAGACAAGTCTCACCATCAGCGGGTTCTCAGTACGCTCAGCCAAACGTGAAATGAGCAGCGAGTCACTGACACAGAAATGGCTTCGGCAGAACGTCGCCCCCTATCCTCACAAGGATAGAGTCTATGTCGACATCGATGCCGCGCTCAGCCGCTTCACCACCCTTCGGCCAAAGTCTGACGTCTACAGTTCAGTGTCCACTCGTTTGACATCACCTCCGAATCACTCATAGCTCATATCGACATCGGTCAGCTTACGACGATGGCCGTTCTCAACTCCTCCTTTGTCTTCATGGAACTCTTCCCATCACATTCCGCGGAACGACATACAACATCCCGATCGCCGTCTGGATAGCTCGAGAATATCCTCGCCGCCCTCCGATCGCGTATGTCGTCCCCACGCAAGACATGCTCGTCAGATCCAGCAAACACGTCGATGTTAGTGGCCGATGCCTCACTGGCTACATCCAAGATTGGGAAAGAAAGAGCGAGGTCTGTTACGATGAAATCTAATCAGTATGAGTATGTCTTGAACTTTCGCTTGTAGTCATGCAACTTGTCTGCCTTGCTCGAGTCCATGCAGGCAGAGTTTTCTCGTGGCCCCCCAGTTTACGCGAAGCCAAAGCAGACCTCTTCGTTGACACAACAAGTGTCCCCCGCCCCCAGTCCTATTCATTCGACGCGACCAGCAGGCGTTGAATCAGCTTTGGATTCCAGTCCCTCAAGTAACCGCCCTACACTACCCCCTAAACCGGTGTCCTCAAGTTCGCCGCCTGTGCCTCCGCGGCCCGCCAGCGAGCACTACGACGCCGCCTCTCCAACGGTATTTCAGTTGCTTTCCCGCTCTGATCCGGAGCTCAAACGTAGCAGGCGAATTTGCTCTCGCGCCCCCCTCCGCCACCGCCTCCTCTTCCGCCCACGGACACTCAAACCCCTCCGCCGGTGTTTCGCTCACCCGACGGCTATGCCTACAGCACACGCATGCATCATCAGGCATCAAGCTATGCTTGGCCCTCATACTTGCCTGCGAGCGCTACCCAGTCTCCTGCACCGGCACCAACGGCTTTACCTCAGACCGGCCCGGCTACACGGTCCGCACCCGCACCTCCGCCGGTGCCCCCGCAATACTCCACATCTGGGACTGGGTTGGCCCTTCAGCCACCCAATTTATTGGAAGAGGAGGAAGTCATGGGGACTGAGTCTCAAGTCGTGGGACAAATAGCGGCACCGCCACGACCGCCCAATCCTGAGTTACTTCACTTGCATACGCAGGTTCAAGGCAGAATAAACTCAGAACTGGCGTCACTCTCCCACGCGATGATCGTAGATGCCGAGCGCCTACGGGCGCAGCAAGCGGATCTACTTGCCGGGGAGCCCGCGATTCGGGACGAGATGGCAAGGTTGGAGGCGGTACGTGATGTTTGTCGCGGAGTTTCATCACGGCTGCGGGCCGTGGTCGACCGTGGGGAATCCAACGTATCCGAACTTCGGAGGAAGGGTGACCCCGAAGTGGACGAACTCGTCTGCTCGACGAGTATTGTGCACAACCAGTACGTAAATATCCACTGGCCATATGGACACGACACGGAGAGCTGATCGTTTCACGCGCATCACAAGGCTCATCAATCTGGTGGCTGAGGACAATGCAATAGAAGACACGATTTACCACCTCCACCGCGCGTTGAACTCTGGGCGAATAGATTTGGAGAGATTCCTTAGGGTGAGCTTCGCTTCCGACGACCGCATCTTCACATGAGCTTGAAATTAGTGTTCACCATGATCGTCCTATAGACTACACGGATCATGGCTGAAGAACAGTTCTTGAAGAGGGCGTTGATAGAGAAGATTAAAGCGGGCCTTCCAATGGGAATGTCGTATTCCTAAAACATCGTAGCGCTCAATCTAGGGTGGTGGCAACCGGAGGCGTGGACAAGATTCTTTGACGAGGCCGTCTACTAAGGTGCCTCGATGAAAAAGTTACCAAATGCGAGTGGTTCTAGATCATGACCCGAACTTTGAAGAAGATGTAATTTTGGCACCACGGTACCGCTGAATGCCCGAGGTCCCCTCTTTGAACAGGACGCCACGGCAGGCCACGGGCTGTTCCTGAATGTGACATCGGAACCCAGCGGTACCTTTACCCCAATGAGGCTCCGTCCAGCTCTCCCCGATTCGTGCATCCACTAAGGAAGACAGTAGAGCCGGTTGGACAGACTGTGCCCTCAACGACAGCTGTATTGATATCAGGCGACCTACTTATTGTGTGGACAGACGATGCCACACTATCGCGTACAAACGACGAAATATATTAACTGCAAGCAAGTACATCCTGTGACAGATCTTTCGAGCCAGTCCGAATAGGTGCTAAAGTGCGTACCTAAGATTCGCGTATCTGTGGCCTTCCCGTAGTACCTATCCACGTCCATACGCGCAGCTCGTCGCCCCCTCGAACCTCCGCGAGGCTAGCTCTCACGTTCGCATTCTCTTCGACCTTCTTCTCCACATCCGTCCACAACTTCTCTCTAGTGGAGATACCCCGATCCTGGAGGAGGAGATCACGCATCTGTAGTGACGGCAAATATGGCTGCGGAGCTGTCACCGGGTCGGTATGGTGGGCCAGTTCTTGGTTCCGCAAGGTGTCCAAGACAACTGACGCTAGCTCAGCCACGCGAGCTTTGTGTGACTTCTTCCGATTGTATCGAATATAGACTGTGAAGAGAGCTGCTATTCCTAGAGAGTAACCTGACAACCAAGGCCTGAGTGGTGACTTGAATGACAAGTTGTTGACTGATCGTACCGATGACATGGGACCGCCATGCTTCCCAAGCTTCTCGCAACTTCACAGTGACTTTGCAATTCCATGTCAAAGTAGGGATTGTGTGAGCAAGATATCGCTTCCCACTGTGAATGATGTTCAACGTGTCAAAATGGGGTGGCAGCAAATTGATACCGTCACGTACCTCGAATCTTCCCCGAGAATTACACCACCCCATTGCACCAACTGTTGTACGGCGTTGTCGAACATTTCGTCGTAAGTGTTGAGGAGCTTCGGCTATTCATTAATTGAGCCACTCCATCGTACGAATCTTGCTATAAGGAGAAGTTACGTACGGGCAATTTACGCTTCATCTCTTCCTGAAGTCTTCCCTCCTCAAAGCCCCACTTTCTTGCTTCACCACCCTCTTTGTCGCTCACGTTGTCCCGAAGTACCTTCTGGCCCGCGCAGAGGCGCCGACCTCTCTCACGAGCAAGATGTGATTCGATAGCTTTGCCCAGTGCACCGATATTCCTCTTTCGTTTGGGGTCCTCGATGCATTGAGGGGGAAATGCAACAGGGCCTAGACCTGGCAGACCATCCGCAACGTGGCCTACTCGATCAACCAGAGTAGGAAGGCCGGAACCAAAGGGTGAAAAAAACCGCAGGACAGGGTGGGGACGAAGTAAATATCCCGAATCACAGATGACGGAGTGTTGAGTGCATTTAGCGTGCAGCGGGCAAGGAGTGCATGCCATAGGTTGAGGAAGCAGCGATAAGGGTGGGCAAGGGGTGTCGCCTTCTGTGGCAGAGCGATCACTGTGTAGATGCGTTCTATTCTCTCTGTTGCATGCTTCAATGGCGGCAAGCCGAGCTTGAAATTCCATGACTGCGCTATTTGTTTGTGATCCCGTGTCACAGAAGCCGAAAGCTGCGGACTGAGAGCTATATTCTCGCATGCACCAAAGAGCGAGGGCGAGGCCTAGCCAATAAACAGACATGAGAATCTTGGAAGAGGGTTTGGAACGAATGGGTGGAGCAGAGCGACGCCGGACTATGGCGTGGTCACTCTCGCGTGTCGACTGTATAGAAGTTGAAGATTGCGCATCCTGGTTCTCGACGGAGACGATATCATCAAGCTCTATTTCACCTTGAACGGGGTGTTCGTCCAAGATGCTCTCTTCCAAGGTGGGTTTCAAGAGCTCCGCTTGGTTAGCATTGTCTTCAACCTGGGGTTGAAATGTTATTAGTGGTTCGCCAAAATTGGGTTTGGGGAGGCGAGGCGACAGTTGCGGTTCGAAACGTGCAGCTACTGGGGGTCGCGCGAGGGAATCGTGGGCTTTATGTGGTGACTTTACAGGTGACTGAGGTGGAGCAGACATGCTATAACGAGATGTCCTTGGAGCAGAACTACGTCGCACGGGAGGGGGTTTGGTTGGGGAATCCTCTGCTCCTGATTGGAAGATGTTGTTATCTTCCCAGCCACTATCTTCAGCCAGCTGTAAGCTAGTGTTTAGCTTTTCAGCTATCAGCAAGACCAGCACAAGTACGCACGGAGATACGACGCTCTGAAGAGCCTTCGACCTTAGACTGCTGCGTGTCAGTAGCAAGGTAACTTGGTTTTCTCTTTACTCACAGTCTTTTTACTCCTGGCAACTTTACGAACGGGCATTTCCTCATCAGCATCGCTCTCTTCCATTATTGGAGCCTTCTCTGAAATGCCTTTCGTTCTCGAGGGGCCGCCCAGGCTAGGCTGCGCGGACGAGCGCCGCCTCTTTGGCTACAAAATGGGATGAAGCGCCGGGCATTGCACTTTCAACAAAGGAAACATACAGGTTCTGGTCGAGCTAACTGTAGTCCTTTGTCCTCCACAGCACTTCTGGATGACCGTCTAGACGTGCGACGAGGCTAGAGAAGCATTGTCAGTTTTGGGACAATTTTCAGAATCTATAGCACAATTCTCGCCTTGGGTGCCCCATTGATTGGCATTCCAGTGATGCCATCTGTGATTCCATCGTCGCTTGGCGCACTGTTTTCTTGCTTTATACGCTGTTTTCTGAGTCTTGCGGCGTTAGGGGCAATGTCGTCGAGAAAGGCTTGAACAAGCTTGGGTTTCGTGTAGGGAGTAGGATACTTGACGTTGTGATATCCAAGAATACCTAGTAGCTGAGAAACTGTGAGAGACGAAGGGTCAAACCCAGGATTGAGGTATTCTCCAAGTGCAATAATCTGAGCCGAGGTCAGCGCTCTCGACATCGTGACGGAGCGTGTCCAAGGTGAGGTCACTGCTCCGTCAACTGACGCGGCCCGGTAAATGAGCAAGCACGTGCCAGACGCGACCCATGTAAACAAGGTGCACTAGTGGGCTTCTAGTCATCAAACTTACAACTTCGAGATCCTCGACGCCCACAACAGTATGACGGCTAGCGGATGCACCACAGAATAGAGACGCGCTTGAGATGTAATACCATTCATTATTCAGCTCCCCCCAAGTTATTCCTCCGAAGTATAATTCCTCCGAAGTATAATTCCACTAGTAGGAATTGTTTTCTGCAGCCCATGTTCATAGCGGGCCAATACGCACCAACGATTGATCGGTATACGTCGTGTAGCTATCTTTCTAAATAGTTGTATCCTGCAACCTCATAAAATCCATCTATGGGCTTGCAGTGTACATACATCTGAGTCGCAAGTTTTGAGGCCGACAGTGCAAGGTATAGTAGTAATATGTCTCCTCACGAAAAGGTCGGACGGATCGGACCGGTGGGACCATACCAGGTTCCCTTGATCTAAACACACCAGGTGAGTAATGTTGGTGGCGTGCATTTCGAAGCCACATACCATCCCGTTCCAGTAGGCCCAAGGAAAGACATCCTACGCGCGCAAATCAGCGATGAATAGACTTTGGAAAAAGCGGACCGAGATAGAATACCTTCTTCAGATGATAGAAAATCCTGTACAATCAACGGCGTTAGACCAAGACGACAGGGGAAGCGTCACAATAAACTGACCTTCGGCGCTGTCTTTGATCTCCGAGATAACTCGCAAAGCTCTCCTTGGGTTCTAAACCATACTTGAACTCGGCGAGCATCAGTTCACCGTATCCGGTTAGGAGCTGCGAGATGTTAGCGTCTACACAATAGCACGAGAAGAATGCAGGCAACCCACCGGACAGCTGGTATACCCATCATATTTGGCAGAACTGACTTCACCACTGTCCACAACCGAAAATAAATTCTCGGTCAACACGGGTGCCTGTGATGTTATTGCAGCCGCGGTCTTGCTAGTAGGAAGGGAAGAGCAGTCTCCCAAAGCGAAGATGTTCCCATACTCCGGCTTCACATGTCTCAAAGTTGCCGGGTCTACTTCAACCCAACCGGTAGCATCAACAATAGGGGAGCTCTTGATGAAATCCAGCGGACCCATCGGGGGTGAGACATGGAGAAGTGTATAATCCTCTTCGGTCTTGGATCCGTCAGTCTTCTGGAATGTCGCTTTACGATTTCCGACGTCTACTGAAACCAGATTGTGCTGAAATTCAGCGCCCACGCCACGCTCAATTCGAAGTTCGTTCAACGCATCCGAATATTTCTTCACACTGAACATCGATGGCATGCCTGTGCGAAAATCAACCTGGACATTCTTGCCACGTCCGGTCTTCTGATACCTGTCCCAAGCCATCCACATTATTTTCTGAGGAGCTTTTGGGTGGGGTAAGTTGGAAGTCCTTCATGATGTCGCAAAGCAACACATACCGCCGGCACATTTGATGACACCTGCGGGCTGGGTGAAGATCGCCCGACCAGATCTCAACCCGTCGATGTCGTTCCAGACCTTGTCGCATGTATCGTAAGAGTAGATGGAGGAGACGCCCGAAGAGGGATCCGCAAGTGCATTAGAAAGTCCAGAGATAGAGTCCCAGTTTGTCTTGAGACCCGCAGCTACGACTAGGACGTCGTAGGACAGCGTTCGGCCACTTGTAGTCTTCACAGATGATTTGTCGGGAGAGAATGATTGAACGTTTTCGGAGATACGCGTGATGTGACCCGGGATCAAGGATTGGAGCGGTCTTCTGAACTCTGTCTTTTGACGAAGCCCGGAGCCAACTAGTGTCCTATGCAAAACTCAATGAATGCTTTGTTCTTACCATTTATGACACGTCTTACCATCCAGGCTATGCACCAAGGGTGGGTGTTAGTCTGACAGCGAATACTCCACATTTGAAGAGCGCACCTGGTAGTAGTGAAATTCGGCAGCGTCCACGACTGCAATGTCATCACTGTTCAACGCCTTTCCGCCAGCTTTGAAGCGGTTGTAAATCTGATTGGCTACCGTCAAGCCCGCTGATCCTGGTTTGTAACATTATGAGGATTGTTCTTGTGGTCCTATCTGCGAGCTAACCTCCTCCTACAACGACCACCTTATACTTGTCCTTGTTCTCATGCGTAGCAAAGAACCGCGTGGCCTTGATGCTTCTTCTCGCGCTTGAAGGCAAGCCACGTCGGGAGAGGGGCAGCATAACAAGTTCAGGTGAAAGATTCGGGACAAATCGCTACAAAAACAAGACCTGGATTGGGTGTCAGAACAGCTGTAGCACGCTTGGTGAGAACGAAATTGCGTGCGTTCAGTAAGCCATCCACGTGATGCGAATGATGTCAGAAAGGCAAAGTATTCAAAACATCATGCTGACTCGGGGAAATGCCGCTGTAGCGGCGGAAACCTTGCTTGACGCTGGGATCTGCGCTTCGAACAATTCGCAAAACCTTGTCCATTCATCATGAAGCCAACATGTAGACCCTAAAGAATTACCAGAGACATCAAAGTAAGAAGTAATAGCCAGTCTAATGTAGTATGTGTACATCCATAGTACTAGTAGGGTATATTAGTCTGCTTGCAGCGGCATCAGACTTTTGGCTTCTTACTTGGGGATGCAGCGAGATTGATGGAGCGCTCGATCTTGTGCTTCTTTGGAGAAGAGTTACCGGTGAGTGGTGGAACGACAGCCTTCATCATCTCGATGTTTGCAACATACACATCCGATGCATGCTTGTTGTCTTTAGCAGAAAATGACCAATGACTCATTGAGAAATGTAACTCAACCATAGCACCATCAAGTGCCTGACGATATTGCCTGGGCTTGAAGAGGTTTCCCTGGAGGTCATAGGCCGGAACCGGGATGACGTGATGAGTTTTGACCATAGCTTCCAAGGCGTCCTTGGCACCATCACTGTGAGTTGGCCAGTTATCTATGGCAAACTCATCTGAATGGGTGGTGCTTATCAGTGAGATTGACCACACTAGTGGGATAAAAAATCCACTTACTACCTTGGTCAAGATACCTGAGTTATCCTCTGCCTCATGAGCACCTTCAGGGTCTTGTTCATCGCGCGGCTATCAGACAAGGGAGGTTAGAGAGTTGTCTATTTCACCAATAGTAGGTTGAGCTGAAACACTTACCTGTATATGTTATTGTCAAGCTGAGCAGGACCCGAGCATCACTCTGATTCACGCCTTGACGGCCTTAAAGATTCTGTGACACCTGTCGAAACAGCTAACAGGAGTTTTCAGATTAAAGTGACGGGCACTGAAGGAGAAGACATCAAAAGAAACATACGAAGACAGCGTTTCCCTATGATTGCTGCATATGCCTTCACCAATTATCGTTCGCAAGGCCAAACAATCCCATATGTACTCGTGGATAATGCAACGCCTCCAACGGGTGGTCTCAATTTGTTCAACCTATACGTAGCCTTGTCTCGAAGCTCCGGCAGATCAACGATTTGACTGTTGCGCGACTTTGATGATGCCGTGTTCCGAGCGTCACATTCGCCCGAGTTGATGGCGGAAGATGACAGATTGGCAGAGCTGGATCAGATTACAGAGTGGTGGTGGAAAGAGTTGGGACGTGGACAGCATCGTGAATCGTGCGCGTAAGTCACAGGAAGGATGCATTCCCTACGCTTCTGGAACGCGCCATAGTAGGACTTTGCTTACTTACTTCACTAATACCGTTTGGCTATAATTTACTTACCAACCAGAGTAGCGAACGCTGTTTGTACTTATGTGGCAGGCGCGACGTTCCCACGCAATAAAGGGGGTGACAGAAACCTTGTCAAGCAAGGTAATGGTAGATCTACCTAAAGGCCGGACCATCAACGCCTTTGGTCAGTAGTGTGACAGGACACGGACTGATCACAGCTATGAACCTACTTTCGTTGTCCTGGATCGTAGGGCTTTTTGAACGCGTATGACTCGAACTCCTGCATGGTGACGATTGTTACTTTTTGCTTTGCCCTTGAGCCAGTTGTCATTGCGAGCTAAGACGTTTCAGCCGTTTCATCATACTCCGATGTCTGCAGGGCATGACTATAGTTTATCTGGATCCTCTGGCGTTGCATGCCCAGTAGCGGGGTATATGGCACCCCACACGACACATGAATGCTTCACATGTAAGTGCTATCACTGGACAACTTGAGCATGTTAGACATGTAGCGAGACCTGCGCTGGTGCTAGGTACAACCGTTAACGCGTTAGCGTGAGGCCAACAGGACGTGACGCCCATTGAAGAAGTTTGTGGATATACGTTTGATTATTACAGTGCTCTGCAAGTACGTCACTAAGAGCATGTTGAAGCAGGTGGCTGATCGATGATCGATGACCAATTTAATGATTAATGATTCGCGGCAATTGGCAAGCTTAATGCTTTATAGTACAAAGTTGGCAAGTGAGCTTCCTTGAAATGCGCGCTTCCGTAAGTCAAATTTCCAGCGCGTAATGTCACTTAGAGAACTCTGGCGGCGGCGTCAATACGGCAGCGTCGCAGTTTCGGTATCGGCCTTCGAATGCACCGTCTCGATACTACTACCAGTCTCATACCTACGCACGAACTTAAAGCTTGCATGGTCAAAGTACTAGGTTCCCGCCTCACAAGTGGAAACATTTCACAGGAGCTACTGCCACTTGGCCATCGCTCTCAACGTTCACTAACACTGGCAGGTCGCAACGCTCAACTTGAAAGCTTGAACCTCGACGACCTTGCCGACGGTAGTCGTACAGCGTCGTCTTTCTCACGGTATCTTCAAGGTTGTCTCACCATCATTGGTGCTTGGTTATGAGTAATCTCTTGTTGGAGGTTCTTGACTCACTTGATTGATTATCGACTCCTTACCGATCCAATCAAGTTCCGAGTTGATTCAACTTGGTCGACGGAAGCAACGTTACGCTTCGCCTCAGTAAGGCCACACAGTTTGTAATTGGGTGAACAAGGCCGAGATGACCGCCAACGTATGCCTCCTTCGCTACGGTTCACAGGTCTACTCAAGCTTGAGAATCCGCCAGCCTCTTGTTGGCGCACAGATGGCCCACCAGTAGTCCTCTGAGGGTCTGTTTTGACACGCCCAGAATATCTCCTATGATACCAGGGCCGTATCTGTGCAATACTCAAGTTCACACAAGCAAGGGCTCGCAGCTTCTCATGGCGCTATGGAACTAGGATACTCCTAGACGTACTTAAGGGCATCATCCTCACGGTAGGCCTCTGTTGGCTGTCCCTTTACATTCCGCGTTCTTTCTTCGATTCACTTCTTCGTCGAGTTGACTCTCGATCTTTTATTCACAGGTGAGTTTGGCTACATTGATGTCTGGGATGAAAATGGCGATACTGAGTAGAATTAGTTCTCTTTGATAGAGAAATATTGCGCAGACTCCTTGAGGGAGAGACTGTTCGAGACCCATCTTTTAGCATCTTCGCCGCAGAACATCATCTCTCGCAACACTCTTTATACACAACTTCCAACCGAACGCGATGTTGTTTACCTTGTTCGTCAGTTTGGCAGCCTTCACTGGAGCCGTGCGGGCGGCCCCTGTCATGCCTTCAATGAACAGCTGGACTAGGTGAGTATAGCAAGGAATGCCGCTTGTCCATTACTCAATATACGCCAGTCCTTCAGTGTCTTCGCCTTCTTGGTCTTCTTCTTCTGCCCCTGCCATGATGACTGGCGGCTCGTGGGACGGCTCGTCTGGATCGTCGGCCTCTTCTGAGGGATCTTGGGATGCCAGCTCTTCTGTAAATTCGTGGGGTTCTTCAACAGATACTTGGACTTCTGCTGCACCTACCTATGTCGCATCATCTACTTCTTCTGCTGCGGCAACTTATTCGACTCCGTCCTATGGCTCTGGAAGCTGGAACTGGGGCAACGAGTCTCCTTATGACAGCTGTGTACAAAGCCAGTAGTCTGCGCTTCCTGATTCTGATTGAAAGCTAACTTCGAAGCAGGTTGTTTGGCATCTTACGGCACCCCCACCGCGACATATATGCCGCCCAGCTCGACGATGACTGGCACAGCAAGTTCCGGCAGCACTGGTACGGGCACTACACATACTATTATTGTGGCTCCTACGCAAGGCGTTTTACGCTATGTTCCATTTGCCGTGAACGCCTCTGCTGGTGACATGGTCGAGTTCGTTTGGAATGCCAACGAGCACACCGTCACAAAATCGTCGCAGTTAACGGTTCGTGATTACCAGTAAATCTCACTACATTCAGCGACCTACTAATGTAACTGGCAGATCTGTAATGAGACCACCAGCGAACCATTCAACTCTGGAGAACAAAACCAGACTTCTACTTGTATGTCACTAACTTCATTGATGGGACTATCCGATTGACTAGCTCTACCTACAGTCACCCAGATGGTCAACAGTACCGATTCAATCTTCTTCTATTGCGCCACACCAGGTCACTGTGAGAAGGGGATGTTTGGCATTCTGTAGGTACCTTTCTCTGGGTAACTGAGCTAACTGCTCACATACGTGTTGTAGCAACCCGCCTAATGCAGACACGTCAAGTAACATGACTGTGGCCAGCATGATGCCCTCTATGGTTGCCAACGTGAGTCCCTGTTCCTAATTCGCCTCTATACCTTTTTGGTGCTTAGCTTCTGTTTTGTAGAATTCTGTGATGTCCGCGATGTGGTCGTATACACAAATGATGACTGCGAACAACTCACTCGCAGCTGCATGGGGAAGCACCATGGATTTGTCTAACATGCCGGACTGGTCATGGCAATATGTCATGGAGAATGTGATGTATACTCGCACCTTCCTGGCCGCTAATCCGTCTGTCATGAGCCCCGATGGCACTGTCAATCTTAGCAATGCAAGCATGCCTTTCGCCATCCCAATGGATGTCACTGCTACGATGATGTCTAACGGAACAATGTCCTCTGGCTCGGGTACCGCGGCAGCGTCATCGTCGACTATGTTCCCCACTTCTAATGGGGCGCGTGGATTTACGGCCTCCAACAGCCTGGTTGCGCTCGCAACGATAGCTGCCATCTTCTTCATTATTTGATGCATTTGAATCGAGTATTGCCTCAGTGAAGCCCGGACACTGTATATACGTTAAATGTCGTGTTTGAATCTCCCAACCTTTGCTTGAATATCGTTTCACGGTGGACTTTTTTCTGGTTTAACTTTCGTTCTTCGATTTCGAGACTTTGTCATTTACACAACTACACCTCATGATTGTACTCCTTATTAGGTCGAACTCAAACCTACTTTACTACTTGCAACCTACTTCATAAAAGAGATTATCGCCAAATGAACTTGAGGGTAACTCAATGGATTTGCGGTATAGGTGTAGGCGGGCATTAACGCTAAATGTTACGTTGCAGCAATTCCACTAAAACCCGAAGATTGCATCAATCTCATCACTTCGCATCTTTTTCTCTTTACGGCTGGCTCTTGGTCGTGCTTGTTTGCTTTGAGCATTGGGCTTCTGTGGAGAAGCCGATGCTTTATTTTTCTTCTGAAAATCTTTCCGGTTGACTGCAAGACAGTATGAAGCTCTTCGCATAAATACAGTGACGGGGCCCTATACCTTGTCCTACTCCATTATCCGGTCCGCGTTCGCCTTCTTCAGTGGGAGGCACGGCGAGGCGGCGGAGTATTCCCTCGCTGTCCTTGATGGTAGTAGGGCAACCTTGTGTTGTCCGATCGCGTTGTGCCCCAGTGCAAGTAGAAGGGTCGGGTTCATTATCACTTGGGTGTAGGACACCTGGGACACAGACATGTGGTTGCCCCATAGAACTCAACTAAACCATAGGTGAGATATAAGATAAATTAGCGATCCAATGACATACCTCGAACGCGTTTATCATCCGACCGCAAAGGGATTGACCTGCAGTCACCGATTCGTGCAAGCTTGGCATTAGAGCTGCCATCCTAGATGTCATTCCAACAAGTAACAACACAAGTTGGACAAATGCGCCAGACTGCATCGCCAACGCCAAGTGTCTGAAAAAAGAGCTCAGCAGACGACGGCGGACCGCAAGACCTGCTTACCGATACGCGCTGTCTATACGTTCTTTCATCTTCATAATTTATCACCAAGTGAAGAGTGAATGTGCCAATGACACTCACATGATTTAGCAGTTTGACAGAAGCATCCAATCTCAAGGCGATGTGCTTCACGAAAGAAACGTCAGGACATTGGTTCCAGGCTCCTTTCAGCAGCTTCTTGGAACTGTGAGTAATGTCAAGACGAACGAAGATAATTTGTAGCAAGGACATACTTGGTCCCAAAGAATGCAGCACGCAACTCTGCCACAAGTTCGGGTAGCTGCAAACCAGACAGTCGGTATCCATAACGTCTCACATCGGAGACGCGTTTGAAAAACATTGATGATCGATGCTGGTTCTTGCTCTTATAATACACCCTTTCTAGGAGATGAAGTTCGTCTGCAAAGGTCGACATAGAGGCCCGTAGACGTGTAGAGCAAGTTTTGAGACCTTTGAGGATGGCGTCCACATCTGACTGTTTTTCCTGCGGGATGTTGCTTCTGGGAGATGGATTTGGTATTCTTAGAGAGTGTACGACCGTGAGTAAAGGCATAGGATGGATCTAAGGTCCAACGGCAGGCAGTTGCAGATTAACACATGGCAACTAGGGTCGAGAATCCTGACTACTGCACATACATATGGAGTGACTAGTGGTAGAGTGATTGGTACCGAAGCTGTTTGACGCGCTTGAGCACTTGAGCGACAGCCAGCCAGTGACCCGCGACTTCTCGTCCAGTCACTACTTCAAGCTAGGCTCGACATTTACGCCTTCAACTAGTCCGAGTATCTCTTCTCTAGACGATACTCTTTCTCTCCGCTTGCCTTCTTAATTATTGAATGCACGTACAATGAGCACGCAACAGGGCCAAGATGCCAAGTTCTTCACGCGCGGTAAGATCGAGGTCAGTCAGCTTCTCCTCATGAACGTATGGCCCAATCGACTCCATCGACCTACAGGAGTTTCGCGCAGAACTTGCAGCCGCAGAAGCAAAGGACAAGAAGTTCCAGAAGCGAAAGACTGTTCTCAAAAAGATTGTGGCCAATATTACTATGGGGAACGACAGTACGTGCTTCACATGCATATTGCCCAAAGACATGGCCTACTCAATTCACCAATGTAGTGTCGCCGCTCTTTCCTGATGTAGCTCAATCCATCGGGTGCCCACTGCTGGAGATCAAGAAGAGTGCGCAACGTTATAATTGCTACGCGTTGTCCTAATCCATTCCTCAGTGGTGTACTTGTATATGCTGAGTTACGGACGGTCGAAACCAGATCAAATCCACCTCGTCATTCCAAGTTTCCTCCAGGTAAGCAAACACGTTCGCCATTCTGAGCGCTGCTTTACACCTTGTAAGGATTGCAACGACCGGAATCCCCTCATACGCGCTCTCGCGATCCGCACAATGTCATACATACCCATTCCAACCGTCACAGAAGCTCTCAGTGACCAACTGCGCCACTGCCTGAAAGACAGGGATCCATATGTTCGAAAGACTGCTGCGATCTGCGTTGCAAAACTGTACGCGGCTGATCCTCGGCGAGCAGAGCGAGGAGGGTTTGTGGAGATGCTCAGGGATTTGATGCTGGACACGAACGCTACTGTCGTAGCAAACGCGGTCGCCTCACTATCTGAAATTGGGGATCGACATGACGGCGTGATCTTCCGACTGAACTTGACAATAGCAAACAAGCTCCTGACCGCTCTGGGAGAAAGTTCAGAGTAAGTAGACTGCCTTGTTCCTGTGGACCTTATGGGATAACCTATGTGTTAATAGGTGGGGCCAGATTTACATCCTGGATTCACTACTGCGCTACGTGCCAGAAACACACGCTGACGCAGAGATGATGGGCGAACGCGTGATAGTACAGCTCCAGCATGCCAACTCAGCGGTCGTTTTGACAGCCATCAAAGTTTTGCTCTACCTTATGAACTATATGGACAATCGCCGTCTCATTGAACACATATGCAGGAAGATGGGCCCTCCACTCGGTCAGTCAGCGTCCTCGGCGAATGTCTGCTCTAAACTCAATGAGCACCAACTTAGTGGCCTTGCTGTCTTCCGGACCTGAAGTACAGTATGTCGCGTTGCGAAATATCCTCTTGATTATACAGCGACGACCAACGGTCCTGAAGAATGACGTAAAGGTGTTTTTCTGCAAGTACAACGACCCAATATATGTCAAGCTTGCAAAGTTAGAAATCATGTACCGGTTGGCTCGGGATGAGAACTTCAGAGAGGTATTAGCGGAACTGGAGGAGTGCGAACCACCCCCCTTTACATCTCTCCTTTTGCTGATCTTATGAACAGATACTCAACAGAAGTCGACCTTGATTTCGTCCGCAAATCTGTGCGGTCCATAGGTCGCCTTGCAATCAAAGTCGAGGCCGCTGCGGACAGCTGCATTAAATCACTCCTCAGTCTCATCGACACGAAGGTTACATATGTTGTACAGGAGGCTGTCATTGTTACCCGGGATATCTTTCGAAGGTACCCAGGACGATACGAGGGTATCATACCGACGCTGTGCGAGCATATGGATGCACTTGACGAGCCCGAAGCCCGGGCAGCAATGGTCTGGATATTGGGCCAATTTGCGGACAAGATTGAGAACGCCGATGAGCTTCTAGATGACCTCACATACACCTTTTTGGACGAGCCAACCGAGGTCGGTAATGATCGTTCGTATCCCTGAGATATGACTTTTTGACATTGTGCAGGTTCAGCTAGCCCTTTTAACAGCAACGGTGAAACTATTCATCTACAAATCTCAATCCAACACTACCAAAGCCCTGGTGCACAAAGTATTGAAGTGGGCCACAGAAGAAGTTGACAACCCCGACTTACGCGACAGAGGATTTATGTATTGGCGTATGCTTGCAATCAACCCATCCGTTGCTGGGGAGATAGTGCTGTCTGAGAAGCCAGCGATAACAACTGATTCTGACAGGATGGATCGTGGTGCACTGGATCAATTGCTGCTACACACTGGGACACTGGGAAGCATCTATCACAAAAACCCGGAAGTTCGTCCACATCCTTGGCGCTCAAGCGTGTAAACTTACCTGTTTATAGACCTTCATTCGCAATGCTGCTGGAAGAGCGCTGACAGATAGTCCTGCGTTGAACGCGAATTCTCGTGCGACCATCGTACCTCTGGCTCGACCACACTTGCCTCCAGCGGCAGTCAAAGTATCGGGTCCGGGCCCAAATGAACCTAGCAGCGGCTCGACTCAAGCCCAGAATAATGAGGTTACTGTAGGGTCACCTGCTGCAGCTCCAACAGAGCAGCCTTCGGCAGGTGATGTAGATCTTCTAGATATGGACGATTCGACTGTGGGCAAAAGCCATGCTGTACAGGAGGAGGCTACCGTGGACCCCGTGGATGGGCCAACTGGCGCCCCAGACCCATACGCAGGTCTTGGAGGAGCGTTTGGGGGTTATCTTGCTGACCAGCCACAACCTATGGCCGGCAACCGGGTAGGAAACGGTAACGGGAATGATCTTGGTGATCTTGTATTTTAGCATATTACAGCTGCAGGACGCTGCCGCATATTACTGCCATCGACATGTATATTTTCACTGCGAATATTATGAGGATGGATCATTGTTCGAACAAGTTTATCGCAAGATAGAAGAAATTTTATCTGTAACAGCTGTTAAACTTGACCTAGGTCGCAAAGAGTTGTAGTGCTGTATATTTGGGTTAGTCACATTTTTACACATCTTACTATGTCCGCTCACCTCTCCTAGCCCGTACATTCGCCTATGGTAGCTTATGCGAACGGCTTTCGCGGTCGCGTCAGGTTCCTGAGATTCTCCAGTTGGTGTATGCACGACAACAGGAGGCGTTCCACCCTGCACAACATGGATTGGGATATTGTAAGCCCTGCTTAGGGCAAGAATCTCAGGTTCTCCGCCCCATACAGCAGTATCCCGTATTGATGCACAATATCGCTCGAACTGAGCAGGAGTCATGAGGCCTGTGTCATCTGTAGAGCCTGCACCGTCTTCGCCAACCGAGGAAGGAAGAAAAGGAATGAAGTTATCGGGGTGGGCGAACATGTATCTTGCGGCTACGTCTCTAACGCTAGCGTAATTTGCTTGACTTTCCGGAATTAACTGTAAAAGAGCAAGCTGGTCTGCGACAGCAGAGAACATACAGTGCCCGTCTGGATTGATCTGATGCGAGATGAGAGCGCAAGGGAGGTAAAGGTTACGTATACTCACATCGTAAATATGGAGGTTTAGCTGATCGCATGTGCTCTTGATCATTTCTTCCTCCTGCTTTGCTTCCCGTTCTAAACGTGCTGCGACATTCGGGTCAGATTCGGGATAGCTTTCAGCAAATGCTGCAGCTCTCCTGGCCTGAGATGAAGATGGTTGAGGAGTTTGACACGATCCTAGTGGATGATCCTACCTGGCGGGCTTGATGGCGGTTCTTCGGGTCTTGTTTCCTAGGGGGTGGTGAAGTCGACTGCTCTGCCACTTGCTTTGCTTGAATATCATGAATTATTGTAGCTGATTCGCCCTTGACAGCACTAGTTTGCTCTCTTGAGTCGAGCTGGGCAAAGAGATCGTCCATGAGTTCTTCGTCATTGGCATCACTGACTGGAGCCTGTTCAGCCGCTGACTTGGGGCTGAAGGCTTTCTTGATCTTGTTTCGCTTTGAACCGGCCATGAGAAAGAAGTGGGGTCTTACGTTTGAAGAAGAGTGTGTGCTTGAAACCAGCGTCTGGCTTAACTAGTGACTGCGGTTGCTGCGTGCGCCGTGTGGGGTGCAGCTGTTAAACCGAGGGGTTATATTCTAGATCTCAATTGCATCTTATCTTATCTCAATGCTGATATCGAACGACCAGTCATTTACGGACGAAAGAGCGCTGTAGTAAACAATGTGCGATAGGCTCGCTGTAGCTATAGCTAGAATACATGCAAGGACTAGAAGCTCAACTAGGGTCTCAGTGCTCGTGCTCGTGCTCAGTGCCTAACTTTGAAAGTCAATGTACATGGTTGACGTAGCTCCATGACCTTGTGCACTACAAGGACTACACTCAAGAAGAGAAATGTCACTTTGGTGCATCGCCACCGTTTGCAGGTCGGGCCACAATCTGTTTACCGGCGCCTAACACGGCGGAGGATCAGGGGAGTGGATTCTGACTTTCAATCTCGGACTGATTAGCTTGCTCTTCTCCTCGGTATAACCTTGCAGCTATCCATTGCATCTCTCAACAAACTTCTGTGAAGGATCCTACTCCTCCATGGATCAGACAACCTCTTCTTGCTTGGATGTCGCGCATAAACTAAACGATCAACTTGTCCAGTTAACCTCCAACAAAGATCCTCAAACGTGGACTGATGTCGCTTCAACCGCCCAGCTACTAGCAAACAGCCTTAGAGTGAGAAATGGTCCAGGTGCGTCTTCAGAGCCAGTTCTCTGCGCTCATCCCATGATAACTTTCCGACCTCATGTAGAAGACATCCATACGGTTTTGGGCAAATCCCCCCTTCCTCAAACTATCACTGCCTTGCTCAAGACCGCTCTTGAGAACTCGCAAATACCAGATAATGAACACAGCGCTGCTGTTCTAGAGCTTCTTCGCGTAGGTGCAAACCTCTGCGTAGAGCATGGTACGCTCCATTTGGGCAATAATACTTGTTCGACCTGACCCAGGCTTCAAGACCAGAATAGAGGTCAGCTCCTGGAAGCTGGTCTCCCTCAAGCTATTGTCTCGCTCCTTGAAGGATATTCCGACAGTATACCATCTGGAATACCAACGGCACCCCTTGCCATGTCTATCTCAAACCTGAAAGTAGTCAAGACAGCCATAGGAGTCTTGCTAAACGCCAGTGTTGACTATGGTGTCGTATTCTCTCTATTCGGCGACCTTAAGCTGACTGACATCTATAGAGCCCGTCAAGAGCCGCCTTACATCACTTGAGGCGGCAATGACGCTTGTACGCCTATCATTTGCCCTATACCCCCCAGGCTCCTGGATGACGAGCACATCTTCTCTTGTCATCCCTGACCCAGGTGACACCCGGGCAGAGAACGAGATTACGGAGGATTCGTGGACTCTGAGAAGTGGCCTATCAAATTGGGCTTGGAGGTTGATATCAGAGCTCCGAGACGAAGGTCGGTTGCCTGCCCTCCCCGTGGATAAATGGGTTCAAGCTTTGTATTTCAGCACGTCCAGTCTTTGAACCAAGCGTCCTTCCCTACCTTGTTTCGTCGCTCATCAGTCACACTCCTCCGACCTTAACTGTCGAACTTGTACCAGCCTTCACGCAACCCTCAGATCTTCGCACGTTGCTTCTGCAGGCTGATTTCGACTTGTTCTCGGAATCGTGCTCTTTGATAGAGTCGCTATCTCTTGACGTTGAGGATGTCAGACTCTCACTTGCTCGAGGTTTCCAGTTCCCAGCCGAGCACGACGGCATCCCATGCCTCACTGCAATGTTGGACTTCATTCAACTCGGGTATTACCCACCACTCTGGTACAAGGCTGATACCTTCGAGGGTCATGAATTGAGGAGCAAAGAGAAAGCGTTCGATGACTGCAAAGGCGCTGTGATAAAGTCAATTGTAGAGCTATCTGGCGAAGATAAGAACGTCGACGTACTGTGGGACGACTCGGAGGAGGACAAGCCGGGTGGGAGCTTCGTCGCCCGCATGGTGCAATGGGTCATAAATTTCGCTGCCAGTGGACCGCACGGAAATGCCCGGGATGACCTAGTCATCTGCGCGACCTTAACTTTGGGAAATCTCACTCGGAGAGGTCTGTTCGTTCACTCTACAGTGCAAACGATTGCTGACGGTTAAGAACCAGAGTCGCACTCTAAAATTCTTCTCTCGGAGCCCTATAATTTAGCGTCTCTCCTTGCTTCCGACACTTTCCTGTCAACAAGGACAGACATCAAAGTCAAACACGGTGTAGTCGGTCTGTTGAAACACCTGTCACAGACTTCTGCACAGTCTCCAGCCAATCGGGCAGTTTTAAGCCGAGCAGGAGTCATACAGAAGCTCGTCGCGAGTGGCATATGGGACGAGCGCAGCGACGTAATGGCCGACATCGTACAAGTGAACGCCATTGGCGCTGTCAAACATCTATGCAATGGGAATGGTGTGTTGAATCAAAAGATGGTCGTGGATTGGGCGGCTTATTTTTGCTATAGTCGACAATTGCTTTTTACTTACTCTTCCAGAAGGAGAAGGCCACGCGACAGGCCTCGAACAGCTCCTGGAGCTCATCCGGCGGTCGGATACAGTGGCTATAAAGAGCGAAGGTACTCGTGTCATCGTCAACATCGTCAAGTCGCTGTGGGCAAGTGATGTATCTGAGAGTCAAATCCCCATAGAAGAGAGGCAGAAAAAGCGAGAGCAGTCAATCGATGCGTTGCTTACTCCAAAATGCGCGCAAGCCATTGCTGCGCTGATTGCACGAAGCGTCAAATACCCTGTATTGATCAACGAGGGTATCGTCGCGCTCAGTCTACTGAGCACTCATGCGAAAGGAGGTTCGTGGCTGTCTCGTGATTCTGTAGACAAACTGACACTTTCCCTAGGCCCTCTCGTAGTACAGTCTCTAGTGGCGATTCTTCCTGCAGAAAACAACCAAGCGCTCGCAAGCAATGCTGCGGCTAATGGCCTTATCACTGTAGGAAATGATACGGACTCGCCGTTGACGGCAGCCCCAAAAAGCAGACTACCTTCCGCAAAGCGTGCCATCGATCAGGTTGTCGCAGTTCTGCGCAACAATGCGAACGATGGTGCCTCTACCCCTCAGCGTGCAGCCCTGCCCTCATATCCGGTCGAAGTTCGCACAAACACCTGTGCACTCCTAGCGCAAGTCTCTAAGACCGGCTCCGGCGAGGATCTAGACAAGGTCAAGGAGGCGACACGGTCTGTGCTGGAAGATCTCGCAAGCAAGAACCCCGGACATGGGCGAGAGAGCATGCTTTATGCGGCCGCCAAGCGTGTCGTCGACGCTTGGACTTAGTACCTGCTGCAAATTGAGGGTTTGAGATCAAGTAACGTTGTAAACTCGATGTTTTCCTAGCGGTTGGTCATGATCTTTTAGATGTAACTTTGTGTTTAAGTAATGTTTTCTTACAAATGTAGCGACTGAAACGCCTGGTTATATAATGTACATCACTTTTTCACGCAAGAACCCGCGGGTAGTGGATGTAATAACCGGCAACTTCGGCTTCTTCCCGACCGGCCAGCGGGGTTTGTGTGCATATGGGTACATATACATGAGCACAATCGGCTCCCGGTCTGACTTACCCCGCACTTGTCGAACAGGCAAGTTGCCCAACCATGAGCACTGTTACCGTCGATATCTCGCAAGGAATTGCGACCATCACATTGAATGCGCCCAAGCGACTCAACGCATTGTCACGGGACGGTCAGTTTCGCGAGACGCGTCCATTGGCATTACTTAGTGCAAGCATTGACGCGTTCACGCTCTAAACATTTCAATCCAGACTACGATGTCTTCGCAAAGGCTCTCAGAGAAATAGACAAGAGAGACGATGTCGTCGCCACCGTGTGGCAAGGCAAGCTGGCGTTCTTTGGCTCGCGTTCATGAAATAGTCAATAATACAAGAGCAGCCACTGGCAGGTGGTTCTGTGCGTGAGTCTCTTACATGCCCTCAAGCGTCCGCATCTCACGTTGTATACGTTCACGCAGCGGAACGGACGTCAGTGTCCAGCGGGATGACGTGGGGCCCAATGTCCGGGAACAGTTCCTTCACAGAGTTGCTGCGACCAATACGGAATGTAGCCATGCAGTGAGTTGTATCCGTGAATATTGGGAACGTTGGGCCAAGAAATGCTGACCAACATTCAGTTGTCTTCGCACAGCAAAATCCTGGTCGCTGCTCTGAACGGGCCTGTGATGGGTATGATGGTCCTCACACATTGTGCTCTCGCCGGACATAACTAACATTCTATCTAGGCATTGCTGCTGGTATAATCCACATAGTAGTCTTGCAGTCTTTTGCTTGACCATAAGTTTGCAGCGTTACTAGGAAACTTTGACTTCATCTACTCTGTCCCTGAAGCATGGCTTTACGTTGGATTTGCCTTCCTTGGTAAGAGATTAGACCACTGTTAATTACTTGGTTTTCTTGACTGTGCCAACAGGAATCAGTGTCGAAGGTGGGGCTAGCGTCGGCTTTGTGAATAAGAGTACGCGTGATTTTTCTAGGCGTCGTCAGAGATCACCGCTCACATCTCCTCAGTGGGCCTTGCCAGAGCCAACGAGGTTCTGATTTTCAACAAGAAGAAAACTGCTCAAGAACTTGAGTCCTGTGGCTTCATCAAGTGAGCCATCCCTTCACGGCAATCTTAGTTGGTTTCACTGAGCTTTGCCCAGCAAAATCTTCCCTTCCCAGTCGACGGAGTCGTTTCACGCGTCTGTAAGGCAACACTTACTGGATGAGCTGGACGGACTCGACGCAGCCGCAGTCCTCTCTATTCGCAACCGTATTCGGGAAGGACTCAAGCAGAGAAATGACCCTGATTCCGTGACCTTGAGAGAGAGTTATGGGCAGGCAGAGAGGTTTGCGACCGGTATCCCGGCGGTTCGATTTGGTAAAGTCTCCAGGAAGGAGATTCGACATAAACTTTAGAACTGCTGTATGTATCCTCGACTTAATACCCAGGTATACCTGAAGAATATAGGCACCAAACACGGAAGTATTTGGGGTGATCATGTTCGAAGCCTTGGAGTATCTTCTCCTTTTGTAGCGAAGGCGACATAGCAAGACTCGATTGCACTACCCGGTGATTACCCGCGCTTGCTCAGGTGAGAAAACATGATGCTCTCGCCATACACCTGTATAAATATGTCCTTTCAGCCGCACGCTCCTAATGTGCCCCGAGCGCTTGTCAGGCTATCTTCCTTTTCCCACTGACGCTCTCAGGCGCCTTGCACATTTGCAAACCTGAGATGCCCATATTAGCATCGGACCAGAAGCTCGAGGAAGCCTATGATGTACATATTACAGATGATCGACAGGACAGCGCACATGGGAATGAGTTCCCAGCGTCTGAACCGCTGCATCGGGCTCTTAGTGCTCGACACACGTCCATGCTTGCTGTACGTAAAACCTAGTCACTTCTGCAATGCAATTCCCGTCTCACCAGTCAGCTCGCGTTTTCAGCTTGGCGGTACGATTGGCACGGGTCTTATCATAGGGTCAGGCACTGGGCTCGTGCGCGGCGGTCCGCTCGGGCTCGTACTGTCGTTTGCCATAGTGGGCGCGATATGCTTTGCGTCTATGGCAGCATTGTGCGAGATGGCTGCTTATCTGCCTCACAGCACAGGATTTCCGGGGTATGCACGGCGCTTCGTCGATCCGGCGCTAGGCTTCGCGCTAGGGTGGAATTATGCTTTCAAGTACCTCATTGCGCCAGCGAGCAACCTGAATGCTGCATGCATTGCCATGCAATATTGGACGCTGGCCGTTCCTATAGCCGGCTGGGACGGTAAGCTTTTCTGGGTATGAGATTAATACCACTGCAGAGTTCTGATATTCACGGTATCAGCGTTGTACATTATGATCGGTTAGTGGTCTAGGGTGTCTTATTCTGGGACCCTCAGTGGTCGCTCATAGCTTTTGCACAGTCCTGTGCATCACTTTGATGGGTGTCCGCGTTTTTGGAGAGCTCGAATTCTGGCTTGGATCGCTCAAAGTCCTGTCTTTGGTTGCGTTCATCCTCCTCGGCATCATTGTCGATCTAGGAGGCAACCCTCAGCATGATAGAATAGGCTTCCGCTACTGGCGGGCTCCGAATGGACCCATGGGGACCTACCTGACCAAATATACGGACAACGCATCGCTTTCTGCTTTCCTTGGATTCTGGAGCACCCTAACAACTGCGCTGTATGCGTACATTGGATCTGAACTCGTGGGTGTCACGGTCGGCGAGACGCGTGATCCTCGTAGAAACGTCCCAAGAGCGATCAAGAGGACGTTCTTTCGGATCGCTGTGTTTTACGTCGGGAACGTATTCGCTATTAGCTTGATTGTTCCCAGTACAAGCCATGTCAGTATCAATCTTGCTTGGGCCACTCGTATTGTAGCTGATGGCACCCCAAAATGACAGGAATTGTTCGTCGCGAACGGCTCTCCTGCTGGCGCAGCAGCTTCTCCTTTTGTTGTCGGTGAGTCTTCCGCCTAATATTGGCGCTGAAAGGATGTGACGGATGAAATTTGCAGGGGTCCAATTAGCCGGCATCAGGATACTGAATAGCGTTATCAACGCCATAGTACTCGTCTTCACACTGAGCGCTGCCAACGCGGACGTGTACATCGGTTCGCGCACGCTTTACGGCATGGCAGTCCAGGGAGATGCGCCTCGGGTGCTTGCAAGAGTAGACAGGCGCGGTGTGCCATGGACAGCACTGCTAGTCGTTATAGCCTTCACCTGCCTCACTTTCACAAACGTTAGCACCTCTAGCGCCAAAGGTAATTGTAAATTCATCGCCATTGCATGTGTGACTGACCAACACGCCGTAGTGTTCGCATACTTTGTGAACCTCCTCTCGGCATTCGGTGCCATCACATGGATGTGTATCCTTTACACCCACATGTAAGTTTTCCCCATACTTTAACCAGCCAAGCATCAGCCACAGGCAAACGTTTGGTTAATGTCCCTGATCGAAGTTATTTGAATTTAACGGACTGTGACTTTGTTATTACTACGTACTCGTCTCACTTCCGCATGCCATAGCGCGTTCATGCGCGCCTGTCACGTACAGGGGATTTCTCGGGCTTCTCTACCGTACGCCGCGCCAGGCCAACCATACGCATCATGGATCGCGCTCGGCGCAACAGCTGTCATCACTGTGTTCAAAGGCAAGTTCGCTAGTCTTTTTCCCGCTGCCACCGGCGTACTTTGCGAGCCTCCAGGAGCTCCAAGCGCTCATTAACGCCTGTGTACTGCTGCGGCTAGTCACAGCGGTTCCTCGCCCCAGGGCCACTTCCAGCGCATACCCCCTGAAGATGAAAGCATGTCTGGCTGACGTCTAATCTGACAGGTTTTGATACGTTCCTGCCTTGGTCCCCCGCTCTGTTTGTGACGTGAGTACATAGTCATTTCGCGTGAGTGACAATTTGGAGTAACAAGCTCTTGATCTGCAACCTTCCGCAACCGTTTACGACACCGTTCCTCTGGCATCTCATTCTCACATCACCATCGGAATCCGATAACCGTCGTGACCGCCCTCGGCCTCCGATTGAATACACTCTCCGCACTCGATCGCTGTTGCATGCGCCGGTACCGTCACGGACGTGCCATGGGGGCGCTGTTAGTGCGTATCTCCCCGTAGCGCTTTTTCTCGTCCTGTGGGCAGGTTACAAGATTAGATTTCGTTCTTTCGTCATACCCCCTGAACGTGTCGATCTGGCAGAGAAGCAGGGCATGGCGGCAGAGGAACGAAACGACAAAGAACCAGAGCTTGCAGGTTCTTCGTGGTGGCGGAGGTTCGTAGATAGGTTGTAGTCATAGTGTCAATGTGGGTCAACAACCCCTTGACCATTGATGCTTCCCATGTGCTATCGTCATCATGATCTTATCGCCCCCTGGTCTGATGCGGAGAGTCCGTGGCATAATAGAAAGGGGCAATTGCGTCACAGTGTGATGCTTAGTCGGCATAACCATCAAGATTGTGAAGAACACAGCATAGTAAGGCCAACATTGCATTGATGTAAAGTTCCGAAGCCGCACATTCGAATATGTTGTATATACAGGAAATTGACAAGAAACGCAAAGGTATAAGTTATCGCTAAAGGTACAAAATTATAACAGCGCATGCGCAGGGCTTAACCTATGTTTTCTTTGATGTTTGATGGTGTGCTGCAGTGGATAGTGGTACAAGTGCTGAGTGTTGAATGAAGGTCTCGGACGACTGATAGCCGAGGTGATAGGAAGAAGTTGGAGACATGGAGTCGGGAATCAGCCATTTATGCCTTGGCTGTGGGACGCGTGAAACGACTATTCGATTCCTGCCGAGCACGCTGAGGCGAGTGCATTGCAAGAAGGGCAGCAGTGTTGTCATTTTGGTTCAGCACATTCCGAATTGATTGCTCAGCAAGGTGACAAGCCTGGATAAACAGTTTGTCAGCTAGTGACTCATCGTAGAGGCAGAAAAATGGGTGGACTTACACGACTGTAGCCACCACGCTCAAGGGTCGAACGCGAGCGAGCGATAGAATTATGGATGGAGTCATACGAGTATCTACGCCTGCAAACAAAGGTTAGCGTCGATTGGAAGAGTGGAGTGGGGGAAGCACATACAGGACGCCTTCAAGCTCGGAGCGCGAGCGGGGGAAGATGAAAATGTCTGAGCCAGAGAGATAGCGGCTGAACGCTTGGTAAGAGGCACAGCCTGCGATGAGCGTCTCGTTGAAGGAGGAATGGTCTGTATCCCAGTTGAACCAGTTCTCGCTGTGAAGGGCGGGTGATGTGAGTGAGAAGGACGGGAGGAGGGAGGGACACGATGAGGACGTACGAGAGATGGTTGAAGGCCATGGCCTCAGTGGTATTGGGGGCAAAGAAACGATCCATTGCAACTGGAGAGTGGCTAGTTGGGGATTGGGACAGGAGAGGAGTTGGGTGACTGGAAGGACTGGAAGGGGTCGACTGTATATATTTATATATGTCGGCTTGCTGAGGCAATGGGCGCCTTGTGTGGTGAGAGAGGAGGGAATGTGTGACACAGCCGCTTCTTAACTCGAAGTGTCCAAGACAAGAGATGAAGCGGCCGACAAACGTTGGACTCTCTTATGAGGAATCCTCCGTTTCCATACCAGGAAATCGCACGGCCGCTTCGCACACGTTCGCCAACTTTTTAATATGACTCGTACCATGCAACGCCCGTCACATTGTCACATCCCCACAACCATGCCAAGTTGCCAACTCTCACTGTCAACCCTGCCCAACCCCTGCCTCGCTGTGACTCCTTAACCCCGCACCCATCACGCCTCGGTCGGCTTGAATGACCCTTTTTCCTGTGAACATGGCTATCCTAGCTTGCATGGTCTATTTGCCGCCCCAAAGTTAGGGATGGGCTAGTCTTACTAGATAAATCCGAAGCGCCGAAGGCGGTCCGAGGGAGAGCGTGACAAGGCTTGGTGTCACAAGGGGTTGATCTCTCATTGATCACATCTCATCTCCGAGATCTGCTGTTAATCCGGCGGCAGATCTGAATCTGAGAAAGAGCGGATCAGTTGAAGGATTGCTTATTTATTTTTATTTTCCTTGGCTACGGCCATAGCGATTGGCTTGTCATTGGCTGGCAGCAGCCTTTCTTGGCACCTTCGACGGTGCTTATCTCTCCGAGATCTCATTGACCCTGCTCGCCTCTGCTCACGCCTTTGCAGTTGCTCGACATCGTACGACAGCATCCATGATTCGATGGCATTCTTCGCGCTTGGCTCCCTTCTCATACCGTAACGCTTGTCACGCACTCACAGGAAAAGGCGCCCGCCAGCGTCAGCGAATATCCCGGGCCCCGCGATTTCTTTCTTTGTAAGGTCTTTTCTCTCATTGGCAGACACGCTCACACGCCGCTCGATGGCGCGAATCCCGGCGACTTATCTTACTCCTCCGGGAGACACGCAGCAGGTACTGTTTAGTAAGTGTCTGACTGTTACTGTTTCTGCGTGACAGCTGAAAGGGGTGTGCTGACTTGGCTCTCTGACCCTGCAACGTTGCGGATCCTCGGGTCGGCGCGATCCTTGCTGTGACTGAACACTAATTTCTTGTGCTGTACATAGCTATGCTCCTTGGACATGAAACGTGTACAGCTCCATCTCTTGGAAGCTTGCTATTTTCATTGTCATCCCAGGTGCAGCACCTAAGTGGTATTGGCATGCGCTTGGCACTCGGCCGTCCCGGGATACACACAACCTCTGTACATAGAGGCCATGAAATGGGTTTCGTACGCGGTAACTCTTTGGCTTTTAGCGACACCAATAGCAGGCCATGGCACCTCGGTTTTTGCTCACTTCCCCAACGTTACTACTTCCCCAGTTTGATCGTCCCATAGATAAGGACCCCTTTTAGCTTTTGAGTGCAAAGCTTGTGAGGATGCCACTGTCGTCATCACACACGACAGCATTCACAGCGTCATGGCATTGAAGAAGGGGTGGCGGTCTGGCGAGTAGGACGCGTGGATTGGCTTGCCAAGGCTTGGTTCATCTAAGACGCCGGGCAATGCAGCGGGGGAAATTCGCTGCTCGATATGGTAGCCGGGTCTGCGCTCGCTGACAGACGGTGAGCGTATTGTCCTGCATTGGGATGGAGGCCCATGAAAACATTTCCTTGCTCGTCGTCTGCGTTGGTAAGGCCCTGTCGACGCTGAGTAAGACATCTATCAGTCTCCGAGCATAAATATCGCCAGCCCGTCCAGCGATTGCACAACCAGCAGTCGCATTCTTCACTTCATAACACAGCACACAGAACTCGATTCGGACTCGTCCATTCATCTCGCTGATTACATCGCCCGTAGCCCTATCCAGCCTCCAACATACAGATAGATAACCCAACCAATGGCAGCCGCGAACGTTTCTCGCAAAGTCGTCCAGAAGGTTCTCGCGATTGAAACCGCCGAGGTGTGTCATTCATTCAACTCCCCCGCGCGCCCCTAGCCACGTCTCTGGTTGGACCTTTGGACTCACGTTCGTTGCTTACAGGGAGCAGGCGCCCGTGTTCGCCGTTCCATCGGCAGTGCCGGTCTCAGAAACCTGACCCCTTTCCTCATGCTAGACCACTTCCATGTCTCCAAGGGTGCTGTCAGTCATTCTGCAATCCCTCCTTAGGTATCACATCATAACTTTGTTCCTAAACAGGGGTTCCCTGATCACCCACACCGTGGGCAGGCTACCGTGACATACATGTTGGAAGGGTACGCGATAGCTCTAGAACGGTCATCTGGTAACGCGTCCTGACGCCATGCGTACGTGCATGTTAGATCCAGTCGACATGAGGATTCTGCTGGTCACGCGGGAACCATCGAGACCGGAGGAGTTCAGTGGATGTGCGCTGTACGTTCTTTCCCTTCCTATCTAATCTTCTTGCAAAGAGAAGCTGAATGATGTCAGGGCAAAGGCATCATCCACGCGGAGATGCCTGTCCACGCACCTGGTGTGCCAGAACCCCGCGGGCTCCAGCTCTGGGTCGACCTCCCAAAACAAGTGAGCAGTGCTTTCTCGAATTTGGAATGGTTTCTGATGTTCTAATATTCTTTACTAGTACAAGCTAGTGGTGCGTATTCTTGTGATGGACGCTGGCCTAAAGACAGGGCTGACGCGACTATGCAGGAACCGTCATACCAGGAACTCGCTCCTGAGGGGTACGTTCTCTTGTCATTGTATATCAACTATCAATAATCAAATCCCGGATGATAGTGTTCCAACTGCGTACCCAGATGGACCCGACGGACCGGTCAGCGTCCGTGTCATCAGCGGCAAGAGTCACGGCGTCGAATCACCAGTCCGGCCCCTTGGTGGCTGCTGGTTTTTCCACGTCCGCATGGCGAAGGCCGGCTCGACGTTTTCCCAAGAGATTCGTGAGTCGCCATTTTGCTTCTTTGCTTGGCCTCTCGGGTTAATAGCGATCACGAAGCTGCCGGGTGGACGTCGTTCATTTACAGTAAGTAACAGGCACGCAGATGTGATAATCTCTTTATGCTGACGCATTGCATTTCACAGTATGGAAGGGCGCCGTGAACGTCGGTGAGGGAGGCTCGCGGTGTGAGGCCTTTAACACGCTTGTGCTTTCGGCCGACCAGGCACAGAGTGGAGTGGACGTCCAGGCCGCCGAGGACGGCGTCGAGTTCGTTTTGGTACGTGCCCAAAGCTGAAACCCGTCGGCCGGCTGAAACTGATTTGCTCCGCTCGTCAGGTCGCTGGAGAGCCGCTGGACCAATCTGTCGTGCAGTATGGCCCATTTGTGATGACGACTCATGAGGAGATAGAGAAGACGATTTCGGACTGTACGTGTGCTTTGCTCATCCGCGCGAGTACTCCTGATGATTCATGTGTCTATGACCGCACAGATCGAAGAGGGCAAAACGGCTTCGAGAAGGCGCACTCGTGGAAGAGCAAGATCGGCAATTGAGCGCTCAAGGTTGTGGTGTAAATCATCGATCGGCGACCACGCTGTTCTCTCGCCGAATTTGCCAAGAGGATCACAGGAAGTCAGACTGGATTTCAGGGTAGAAGTATTTTTGTCATAGTGATCTTATCTGTATTACTGTAATCGTCAAGGACATGATTCCGTGAATGTACTTTTGGTTCCCTTCGAGCCGAAGGATAGACAACAATCTCCCATAGCCGAAAATACTACCGCCTCTTTGGCACCTTTGAGCCTTTCTTTCCTTTCATGTCTTCGTCGTTCTCGTCTTCTACAACCTGCATGCCTTCCAGAACTGCATCAACGTCCCCGCCGTCTTCTACATCCTCCTCTTCCTCATCATCACCGACTTCGCCATCGCCCTCCTTGACACGCTTAGCAGGCGTGGATGGGGGGATGTAAGAGCTGTCCCATGCTACAGCGGTCGGTACAGTCGTCATGAATGCACGCTCGAGCACGGTACCACGAACAGGCTGTGCTTGACCCGCTGTCGCTGGCGGAGCGGCGGTGCTGTGTATACGCACATATCGATCGAGAGCGGCAGAAGCAAGGTGTCCCGATGCTGCCGGGGCGAGACTGCACACAGCGCCAGCGATTCCTGCTCGCGAGTCAGTTCCATCGTAGTAAGAACATGAGCGAGCGAAAAGTACTGTACCTTTGTACCCGTACAGCACACCGCCCGTACGCAGATCGAGGGCGAAGACGTTTGTCCCTTGGTCTGACATGAACACCTCGCTGGTTTCAGTGGTCAGCGTCTTGTGTAGAGTAGCAGCGGCGTGCGGGCGAGGATGCACTCACTGTTCTGCGAAGCCCGGCTCGACGGTGCGCACACCGCCGACCTTGGCTGCGCTGGCGAAGTCGGCGACGGGCCGCCGCCCTGCACGCGTGTCGTACCGGCGCAGCGCGCCCATGCGTGTCCCGGCGAGGAGATGCGCGTGGTTCCCCGCGTTTGGCGGGGAAGCTGTCGGGGGGTCAAGGTAGGTCAGGCATGTGTTGTGCACGGGTTGACGGAGCCCCAGGTGATCGTGTGGGACCTGGAGGTGTAGATACGTGGATTCAGCAAATTGAGGGATAGACGTTAGGCGGTCGTTCAAAGTAGCGAGAGACGCACATTTTTGGCACGCCATATTTCGCCAGGGAACAGCGTGTCGGCAGCGCGCTTGCGCTTCTTGGAGGACGGCTCGGAGGCAGAGGCATCGTTTCCAGTTTCAGCCGCAGGCGCAGCAAAGGCGCGCTCGGTATCCCACAGAGAGACCTCGACATCGTCGCCGCCATATGCGAACGTGCGCTGGTCAGCGGCCAAGCGGAACTCGGACAGGCGCATGGGCAGGGATGCGAGCTGCTTCGAGAGCGCGGCGCCGTCCTCCGAGCTGGACAGAGCAACGGTCGTGCGCCGAAGGGCACCGTTCGATGTGCACGAGTAGACGGATCTAGATGCGAGGGCGCCGCGCTTAGCACAACATGCTGGGCGATGAAGATGAGAAAGGCATGTCGACGCACTGCCCAGCGAGCTCGAGTCCGACAAAACTCTGCTCGGCCTTCATCCGCGTCTCCTTCCACTCGTGCGCGACGGCGAGTTTTGATCGAGTTTCGTCCTCCCATCGGAAGAGCGAGAGCGCACCATTGGCATGGGCAGAGGCTACCTAACAGTTTGTGCTTTGCTCAGATATGAACGTTTTTCTCCGGAGATGATCAAGAGCATACCAGCTGGGAGTCTCCTGAGTCGGCCTGCGATATGCACAACTTTTGGATGGCCCTGCTCCGGCCTGTCGCGGTGCCATCGTAGAGGATGTCGACGGTGGTTTTGGATTCAGCGGTGGGCGCGTAGGTGACCGCTTTAATGCTGCCCAGCTCGTCGGCGGCGAGGAAGCGAGCCATGACGCGCTGATAACTTTCTTGCGGTCGTATTCCCATGCTCCCATCAATCGCACACAATAGCAGCGTGCTTAACATTTCTAATAGCACATCGTTGTACACTACAGCCATGATGAATAATTATTGGTCTACACGGTGTGTAAATAATCTACTGATCTAAGCGTCGTCCTCCCAGTCATTGGGGACGTCTTCTGCAGGAACCGGCGGTGGAGCAGGTGTCGGGGCTGACACCGGTTCTGTCACGGGTGTCCTTTGGCGCGAAGGCGGCCCGCTCGTAACCAAAGCACTAGCACTCGTGCGAGCAGCGGCTGCATGTCTACTAGCAGCCACCACATCAAGTCTTCCAGTGACAGGCGCCGGTGAGCTAGACCGGGGTGTCGTCCACCCACTGGCTACCGGAGGGGTGGAGCTGCTGGCGGGTCGAGAAACGACGCTCGTCCACGCATTCGGTCTAGTAGACGTGAGCGGAGTGCTTGACCCGCTCGCAGAGACACCATACGCGACAGGCAGCTTCCCGCCCCGTAGATCGGTCAGCCTCCCGAGCCCCTTCTTCTCCCCGCTGTCGGCGCCGAACACGACCTGGGAGAGGAGAGGAACGGGCACGCGGCAGTCGATGCGTCTCCCGAGCTGCACGCTCCGGTGCGGCTCCGCGTCGACCATAGTTGCATCGAGGCGGTAAACACTTGCGAGGCCCTGCACGAGCCCGCGGCGCTCCGGCGGCATGTGCGGGAGAACCTGCGTCGAGCGGTCGCCGTTGACAAAATCCGCGAGCGCCTTCTCAGCGAGCGCGACGAACTTAGGGCCCTCCCGGCGTGCCGACACAAGCAGCTCGTCGGAGTAGGTGATCGCGCGGCCTTGGCCCAGCGCAGGCGGGGACCCCCGTTTATCGGGTGCGATGCCGAGAGCCTCAGCCAGCTGTGCGCGACGCTTCGCGGCGGCGCAGTCTGGTGTACATTTCAGCGCACCCTCACGTATATCCGGATCGGCCGAAGCGCGCCCGCCAGCGTTGTTGGACGGTGTGGCACGCATGCATGGTACAACACTGCGCATCCGTCCGCAGGCGCAGGTGAGTGTGACGGGCGCTAGACATGGCTCGTCCTCGGGACAAGAGGCCGGTGCGTGACATGGGGCTGTACAAGGATGGTGAGCAGGCAAGCAGGACCGGCGTGGCTTGCCACATGGCGCTGCACATGCTCCACACGGTGGAGGATGGCAGGTTGATGAGCAGCTATGATATCCGCAGGCGAGCAGACTGCAAAGTAATGGTCAGCCGCGAGCTAACATGTACAGCACGAACACGTACCGGCCACAAACAGTACCACAGCTGACCCTACTCCGGTCTTGTGCACAGCGGACGTTGTCGACTTCCTTTTTTCCGCAAGCGCATTGTTTTCGGACCAGGAATGGACAAGGCGGGCAAGGCGAGGGCTGCCATTCCAGCTCTCTATTTCCACCCTCAGTCTGTTCGACGTTCTCATCGTCAGGCTCTTGCTGGGGGTTATCGCTTTCCGCCCAAGGTACCTCCGCGCCCGCAACGATCCATTCTTCTTGTCCAGTTGAAGCCCTGATGCGCGAAGCTGCGTGGCATGCGTGTGGAACGACAGGATGTCCACACGCTTGAGGGCGATTACAGGAGTAACTGCACTCTAAGCGGGTTCCGCACGGTATTGGCGGGTCTAGAATGGTGCGACTACAAGGACATATCATCTATAAAAATTGCAAAGCGTTAGTTTATGGTGTATACAGCATAACACCATGTACGCACCTCGGTAAACTCACTTCTCAAACAATTACCGCACACACCTCGGTGGTCTCGGCGCTCGCATGTGTGATTTCCACAGCCAAGTACCTTTCCGCATATCAACTCGCAGGTGTGCAAACCACCATCCTGGTCATCGTCCAGCTCCAAGGCTCCGGCCGCAGCCTTGCGCTTCCCCGCCGCTGCAGCGGAAAGCGACGCAAGTGGACAGCAAGCACGAGTGCAGCGGTGTCTGCGGCAATTCAACATGCCGTTGCAGACGCGACCACACGCCCAATCGCGGCCCTCGCCTTCCTCGCCGCAGACGACCTCGCGAACGTGGCTGCCACAGCGACAGGCACGCCGGAGGCGTACCGCGCAGGGTGGACATTGTCCCGGGTGACAGCGAGCTTCGCACGGATGACCGCAAGCTGCGTGTGGGCGTGTACATAGGGAAAGACAGGTTGGGACGGGTGTAGTACAAGATGTACGTGGAAGATAGCCGGGCGGTGGATGTTTGTGGTCACGGGGAAGGGACGGGTCTTTGGGATCATTTGGTGTGGCTGAGATGACCAGTAAATACTCATTGCCACTTCCAAGTGATATTCTGCCGCATGGACAATTGGTCATCAATACTGGATCGAACGGGCAAGTCGGAGGGCGAGAAGATGGGGGATGACAGGAGAGTGAGCATGTATGCGTTCCACAGGCGAAAGGTCTGTACAAAGCCAGAAGAAGTCAGTGCTAAACGATAATCGTCGGATTTAAACAACTGGCCGTTCGCAAGCTCCGTCGCACATGAATCTTCCTTCCCAATTCTCTCCTTCGACGCTACATGAAACAGCACGCTGCCTGTCTTCTCCGCACTTGACACGCTTGGTCTGCTTGCCACAGAAACAGAGAACCTGTTCTTCCTCCTCGCAAGGAGTGCAGGGACCTGGATGACATAACATGGCGCAGCGGTGCTCGGGATTGCCGCAACTGAGAGGTTTATCACAAACCTGAGCGCAGGAAACGCCGCTCTGGTCTGAGATGGCGTCAAGAGAGCGATGAGAGCGAGAGATCTCTGAGCACCGCCAAGCGCGCTCTTCCTTCTTGCACCAGCACTGTTGGCGGACGGTGATATTGCAAGGCGGACAAGGGCCGGGATGGCATGGAAGAGGGCATGAATGGGTGCAAAGCCGGCGGGGACGGGCACACGGCGCTGCGCAGGAGTGCGCCATGTTACGAGATCCGCTTGGGGTCAAAGTAGACTGGCCACAGAAACATTTGTACTCGGAGGGGACTTGCATCCTCCTTGCCTGGCATCCTGGACACCTCCACTCTCCCGGTCGCTCCTCACCGCGTGCACGCCAGGCTGCTTCCAAGTCTTTGACACTCTTGGAGGCCCAAGACTTGATGCACTTGAGATGAAAGGTGGTCCAGCAACAGTCATCCTTGCTGTCAGTGTCCGGTTTCTCGTCTGTCTGGTCGGCCCGGCCAAGAGTGGGTGGAGCGCATGACCAGGTTGGGGCAGCTGGATGTATAGAGTTGAAGCAGATAGGGCAATCTGCATAAGGGGGGGTCTGGAGAGCATGGGCGAGTCTGCCTGCGAGGGTGTCGGGCTCGGCTGCTCTGCGGGGCGGGTGTGTTTTGCCGGCAGGTTTCTTGTGCGTCGATGCATCGGGGGCGTCGTCCGTTGCGGTGGTGAGAGATCCTTTGAACTTTGCAGCGCGTCTCCCATGTGGCTTCTTGTCTTGGGTAGGCAGAGTACCTGGGCGATCTGTCTGCGAATCCCCGGCGGTCGGAGCGGGGGTGCGATGGCTCTTTTCCTTTGGGCGGTTCCCTGGCTGCTGCCCCTCTGGCTGGGGATTGGCCCTGTTCCCGGGCTGGCCGCCTCTGCCTCGGCCGCGCGCTCTGCTTGGACCACCGCGGGCACCTTGGCCTTGACCCCGTCCGCGGGCAGAGGGCTGGTCCTGAGCTTGATCTAGATGTGACTGGCTGTGATCATGTGGGCGGGGATTTCGTTTGCTGCGGGTTCCGCGGGAATTGCTCGAAGATGCTTCTGGGGCCGTCGAGGACACCGGTGCTTCCATGCAACCACGGAATGGACGAGGACAGTAACGAGTGAAGCCAAAAAGCAGATCTGCATGAAATACATCTGTCGGTGTGGCTGTGCTCTGATGACTCATCCGGCGTGCGGGGACGGCCCCGCAGACAGCAGGCGAGTCCGGGTGACTGTCGATTGCCATGGACGGTCCACTCAAGGAACTCGCAAAGATCGAGAAACTCGCAGACAGGGACGCGTCCGGAAAGCTCCCCGCCATACAGACATCCCTCGACGCCCTCCTCCACTCCCTCAACGACGCAAAGGACCGCATACAGGCCAACAACGTCTCCCCCGATACTTATGCCCTCCTCGTCCAGTCCGTCGACGCCAGGAAGAAGGATATCGATGACAAGCAGAAGGAGCTCTACAACGCCATCGCAAAGCTAGGAAAGGCCCTTGACAAGGTCTGTCTCTGTTCCTTCGCGGGCGTCTATCACCAGCGAGCTCACGCCCACAAACCAGAAATTCCCCACTGCGCTCCCTTCCTATGACCCCCTCTTCGCGTCGGACAACTCTCGCCACGCCCTCGAGCATACCATCGCCCTCCACTTCCTGCGCACTGGACAGTTTTCTACTGCAGAGACATTCATACAGGTCCCTTCTTACTTTGCGTCACATTAACCCTTTGAAACTCATTGTCCTTTACTAGGAATGCGGCTTGGACATAGCCCCTGAGCGCCGCTCCCACTTCCTTCAACTCCATCATATCCTCACTGCCCTTCGCAACCATGACATCTCCTCCGCTCTCGAGTATGCCCGTGCCTCTTCTCATGTTGCACACCGTTCTTATCTATCCACCAACAGATGGTGCAGCCATAACCGTCCTTTCCTCCACGCCCGCTCATCCCCCCTCGAGTTTCACCTCCACCGCTCTCAGTTCGTCCGACTTCTTCTCGCCAACCACCCACCAGACCCAGACATCGCCCTCGGCTATGCAAAAACGGCCATGCAGGCCTTCTTTGTCGAGCACGCGTCCGAGTTCCAGCGCCTCATGGGTGCCCTCCTCTACCTGCCCATCGACCACCTCCAGCGCTCTCCGTATGCGGACCTCGCCTCCCCCACTCTCCATCTCGACCTTATCCCCCTCTTTGCAAAAGAGTACTGCGCGAGTCTCGGTATGAGCAGGCAGCTTCCCCTCAGCACCATTGGCGACATCGGCGGGGGTGGAGCTCTCGCCCGCATCGAGAAAGCCAAGAGCGTCATGCGCGAGCGCAAGAGCGAGTGGAGCCAGTCTAATGAACTTCCGGTACGTTACAGTGTTCCACGTCTTATGATGATTGCTGATAATCTACCATAGATCGAGATACCACTTCCACCAGAGAACAGATACCACTCCATCTTTGCTTGTCCAGTCTCCAAGGAACAATCGACGGAAGCAAATCCTCCAATGATGATGGCTTGTGGGCACGTCATCAGCAAGGAGTCGCTGGGCAAGTTAAACAAGTCGAGCGGGTATGTTTATTAGTTGCTAGCCCATTCACGCCAGGACTCACTAGACCCCAGACGAGTCAAGTGCCCGTATTGTCCCATGGAGTCAGCGCATACCTCGGCCATAAGAGTGCATTTTTGAGCTGACCGCCCTTATTACATGTAGCTGTACTGTATTTCTATCTTCCATAGCATTCATGATCGTTAGCACCTTGAACAATGAACCAAATCACGATTTCACCATTCCCGTCCTCCCCAGCGGCAGAATTCCGTACGCGCTTGCTCGTTCCTATGCTCGCGCAGGTTCCACCCACCGAGCCTAGAATGTGGATGAGGCGGAATGTCAATTGAACTAGTGGGATAACACACACCTCCATGGTCACTTCTTCCTCCCCGTTCTCGAGCGCAACGCGCTTGACCGTCGCCTCGTCCGCGCTCGGCGTGTTCACGCGTCGCGCCAGCACGCGCAGGGTCTCCGGGCTGAGGCCCGCGCGCTCGGCGCGCGCATCGACGCCGTCAGCACCACCAGCACTCGAGTCCTTGCGCGCGTCCAGCAGCTCCGCGAGCGTGCTCGCCAGCACGCGGTTCCGCCGCTGGCCTTGGCTCTGGCTCTGGCTTGCCGTCCCGAAGTTCGACGCGGACGCGGACGCAGCGTCGAGCTCGGACTGCGTGCGCGCGCGGTACATGTTGCTCACTTGGTCGTCTGCGGCCTGTCGATAGCTCCGTGTTTGTGCCGGAACGCATTAGAGGAGGAAGGAAAAGCACGCACGGTTCGCCGGTTCTGCATGTGGTGGTCGACGCGCACGGGCCCGAGGCGGCTCAGGTTCGCGTTTAGATGCGGGTCCTTGGCATCTTCCTCGATGGCTAGCGGTTTGTATCAGTAATTCGTCAGAGAAATATGCCAGTGTGTCTTGCGGAAATGTCATACCTGCAGACCTGGTCTCGCTCGCCATGACTCTCGGAGGCCGCCCGGCCCTCGGGGCTCCTGACGATGGGGCGCCGTCGTATGGACCCGGTGTTCTTGCTCCAGACCAACTTGGCTTGTCCTTTGGAAACCGTCGCGCAGCTTTCGACGATGCGCTACCCATGTTGTAACTGACAGGGTTGGATGAAACGGTGACCGAGGCGAGCGGAATGACCCTATCGTGCACATACCGACGTCACTTTCCGACATTTCCGCGCCGACCAAGCCGAATCGCCGAAGCTCAAACAGGCCCACACCAAACGGCCAAGGCAATGATATATATTGGAAAGAAATGTCTATAGGCGACCAGCATATTGTACAGCCATCCGTACGCAAGTACTATACACCAACATAGGATTCTCGTTCAGATAACAAGCAATACGCAAGTAAAATGGGGATTGTACAGTGGCACTCCACATCGGCGCTACCTGCACTCGCCTTTCGGTGGCGGAAGGTCGTGGGTCCAATGCGTGCAACAGATAAGTCTACCATTGATTTGGGTATCAAAAATGAGTGATGATGGGGCCGGAGCAGGAAATCAGATTTTGAGCGACGTTATGTCGGTGTTGATAGCCTAAACAGCTGAACAAGCGGAGAAACTGTAAAGAGGGAAGAAATGAAAATGAAGAAAATGAGATTGTCTCGTTTCGTAACAGCGTTTCATATGTTCATGTGCATGGCAGGTTCGTTACGTTGCTTAACTGTAGGGACCCATATTCGGCGGGTTCTGTTGGTATACTTGATGATGATACATATATGGCTGATAGAGTTGCGGCTGAACCGGTTGATGGTTGTATTGATGTTGGCCCATGCCCATAATATTGGCGGGAGGGCCGAGATTGGGAGACTGCGCTCCGTAAGGAATGGCAGAGACAGGAGTGTGAGCGATCGGGCCAGGAATAGGTCCAGCTGAGGCATGACCACCTCCATTCCGGCCAGTCGTAATGCGGGGACTACTAATATCCGGTGAACGAAGCGCGAACGGGTTGAAAGGGTCAGAAGAAGGCGAGAAGGCAGAGCTGGGACCGGAGATGCGCCCTGGACGGGGTGGGTTTTGGCTATAGGCAGGGTCAATATGCAACTGGGGGGGACCGGACTGAGGGTTCTGGCCGCCCATCTGCAGCGCAGCCATCATAGACGCCAATCCTTGGTCGTTGGACGGGTAGCCCGAAGGGAGACCGGGCATGCCAGAGTTACTACTCGTCGTAATCTTCTTGCCACTAGGCGGACCCGTGTTGGTGTACGTTGGCTGGTAGTTCGGAATCGGCAAACCAACTTCCTCAATAAGACGACGATATGCCTGTGTAGCAATGACCTTGAGTTCAATGAGCACACGTTTTGTGGCATCAATGTATATCGGCTTCTCCGTAACATCGAGGAAGGGGCTCGTGAGAATCTTGTGAACAACAGCGACACCGTTGACTTGGTCACCAAGGACATCGGTTAGGACGTGATCGCCAGGAGAGGAGAACAGCGCCTGAACGATCTGGCGAGAGGCATCAGGCTCAACCTTCTGGTTAACGATCCGCAGCACGGTGAGCGACGCCAGCTTGTGTGTGCACAAGTGTGACAGGTGAGGAGTGAACCGTGGGGCAAGGAGGTTGTACCGCGAAGGGAAGTTGGAAGTGTCAAGGAGCCAGGTCAGCAACAGCGCACCGTTGGGGTTGGTAGCGAGTGGGATGGAATTGAGGATGACAGCCGTGGCGATGCGCCGTTGCTGGCTCAGGCTGATATGAGGGCTCTCAAGACAGGCCCTCATACTCCTGGCGCCAAACCTTCCTTGGGCAATCTCCCACATACGATCGACCATGGCGTCGAAGATAAAATCATTGTGGGGAGGACCAAACCGCAGGCAGCACCTGAATAAGTCAGAATAGATTTGAGGGAAGAGTTGCATCAAAATAGACACTCACTGTACGACATAGTTGCCGAACTGGTCCAGCAAAAGGGGAGGGGCATATGCCCGCAGGTTTTGCACGATAAGGCCAGTCTCTTCGCCACTCTGCACGCATTCAATGATCTTCTGTGCCGCCCATGTACCATTCTTGTGGATACCAATCATAGCCAAGTGAGGAGCGATCCTTTCTAGCATCATGAACCTGGGTTGAGAAGAGCATTTCTCGAAGAGTTTTTGCACAACCTAAATAATAATAATGAATACTCCATGTAAGTGCCGATCGAATGAACGCACCGTGTTGCCGAGCCAGTCCGACGCCAGGTCAACTATCTCGCCGTCCAGGAAGTCTTCAGCAACTTGATCCGTCTCCTCCGTTGTCATGGTACCAGAGTCAAGCCTCTTGCGCAGTTCTCGCAATTTGGAGGCATCCCAGCGCCTGTTGTTCGGTCGCTCAGATACGAGAGGGATCGTAGTATAGTACATAGTGGGTGGACGGAATTCTGAACCAACGTCAAGAAAGAAACGAGTTCAATACGATAGAACACACCGGAGAGGGCCTGGATATCTGCATCGGCGTCGGTGCTGCCCTTTGTGAGCTCCTTCATGATCATCTGCTGCTCCGTCACGGAAGGCGTCCATCCTGCGGGCTTAGACAAGCCGTCGGAGACATACGCAAGGGTGTGCATTCCAGACCCAATCATGCTAAGGAGGAGGTTGGAACGGTAGTTCTCGACTGCACCTCCAAGGACTTGCTGATCAGCGGGGATTGTAGAAGCTCCTTTCACACTGCGAAGAGCATGAATCGTAGCACCAACGCTAAGATCGCCGATGCCTTGAACAGCAACGCTAGGGCTTTCGTCCTGTCCCGATGCACTGTCTTGTCCGTTCTTGACAGGGACTTTAGCAAAGCCAATGCGAATAGCTCCCACATCACTCCCGAGCACGTCACGACCATTCAATGCTTTTCGGGCTCTAACGGCATCGTCAAGACGCTCAAAGTTAACTAAAACCCGACAATCAGATCACTTATCAGGCGGCCAGGTCCGCGTACTTACTAAAACCACAGTTTTTGTGAGTGAGCACCCTCGCAGATTCGATCGGGCCGTAGGGACTGAAGACGCTAAGGATGGTGGCGGGTGTGGTTGTGCTCGGGATAGAACCAATCCAGAGAGCACGTGTGGGCGATGACTGAAGCTGGGCATCCATGCCGGCCGCGATACCAGGGCTAGAAGCTTTCGTGGTAGCACCACTAGGAGACGTAGCACCGGATGCATTGACCGTCGAGCCTTTAGCAGGCGCAACAGGAGCACTGTCTGCCTTGCCAAACCCGATGCGCACAGTCTGACCATTGGGCATGCCAATATTACCACCTAGACGGTTCAAAACATCGTCTTTGGCACGGATAGCATCAGCCTGATCGACGAAGTTGACGAAACCGCACTCCTGCCATCATCATGAGGTAGTGCATACGCTAAACACACGGATGACATACCTTCTCAGGAAGCAACCTCAAACTTTCAATGGCACCGTAAGGGGCAAACACGTGAATGAGCTGTTCACTGGTCACAGCACTATCAAGATTGCCGATCCACAAAGAACGCGTGGGTGTCTGAAGCTGAGAATTGTTGTTGTTATTGTTTCCCTCGGTCTTAGGTGATATCGCTCTGCCTTGCGGGTTTGGTGCTACAAGATACGATGACGCCCGACTAACTACTTAGAAGGTGAGCACGGCACTTGAGATTAAGGTCGAACCACTCACTAGACTCCGGCTTAGGAATTCCACCAAGATTTCCCATGCCCGTCAGATTACCTGTACTCGGTCCAAGGTCAGGGAGGTACGGCGTGGTCATGTCGGGGTTCCTATATTGAAGTGATCGGGTAGGGTCATCAAGGGTCCCAACTGAGATAGCCCGAGGACGAGATCCAAGACCGCTGGTAGGGTTGAGGAGATCGGACTGTTTAAACCCCTTTGCAACATAAGATGTACGAAGGAGGTTTGCATCATTCATTGATCCATCGTATCCGCTCATGCGTTGTCTCTCATAAAGATCCTGAGGAGAGTCGTAAGTGTTGTACATTGAGTCGTCATCTTCGACACTGGGCGTTGGGAGAAGCGATCCCGGAGCATTTCGCGTGGGATATGGGTTTGAGACTGTTGTTGCACGCATACGCGGAGGGTTCGCGAGATTGCCGGCTATGGCAGCTTGAGCCTGAGAGCGCAACTCAGAGATGGTCGCCGCCGGAGGAGCGCGATGACTATCATCTAGTCCCAGGTAATCGATAGTGCGCACATCATCGGTGGAGTCAGCTGAAGTCACCGAACGAAGCTCATCCAACACAGGATAATGAGAACCAGTCCCGTTGGATGATAGCCAGGAGGAAGAAAAGAATGAATTGCCAAATGGGTTGTTGTTCAAACCAGACGCGGGTAACGTGAGGGAACCAGATCTAAGACGACTATGGCGCTCTGAACCAATAGACGTTGCAGTGGCAGTGGTAGCTGAGTGGCGAAGGTTGGGGCGGGGGGGTGCCACCATGCTTGGTGTATTATTAGCGCTCTGGCGCTGCTGCAACTGTTCAGCAAACGATTCCGTTGACCCAGGAGTGCTGCCGAGCGTGTCCGAAGCGGCAGCATAACGTTGAGCAGCGAGCTGCACGTTGGAAGGAAGCGTGCCGGCTCTTGCTCTCCTAAAGCCTGGAGGATAGCTGGACAAAGGAGAAACGCCTGCACTATCTCCAGCAGAGGTGGGAAGGTCATTGGGTTGGGTCTCGTTGGGTGCGCGCAGCGCAGGAGGCCTGTACCTGGCTCCTCCTAACCCTTCCACTTGCATCTCTCTTGCCCTGCGAAAGCTGAGCTGAAGTCAACAAGAAGATGTCGGAGGTAGCTCACCTCTTAGCGTAGGCGGCAGAAGGAGCAGGCGGGGGCGTCTTGCCGGAAGGACCTCTGGAATAGGAGCCATTGTTATCGGAAGCGGATAGAGACATTATAGTGTTTCTTTCGTTTGACAAATTATGAATTATCGAAAATGATGATTAACGGGTGGCCTATCCGTTATGACGATGCTGGGGACTGGGAATAGGACTGAGCCTTGCTGCGACCAGTTTTTTGGGTGTCGTGATGAGATGCAAAAGGTCCTTGAGGAAAATTAGTGTTGGCGACAGCAAGAACAAGCCAAAAACTGTAGAAAAAAGCAAGGACGTGGGGAGGCTATGACCCACAGACTAGTACAGTAGTAAGCCTGGTGGATGCCCACCAGAAATATGGGATACTACGAGTAGTTGGAGTATATGGTGGTTGGGAGCAAACCGCACAAGATTCTGCACGTAGCGTTACCCGCTTTTCACACTCCGCCGTTTCTTACATATACCACCCCCATCTTCTATTCCCAAGCAGCTCTTTGGCCGACGAACGCCTCGGTCTCCAGGTCTATTCAATAATCGATTCCCATTCTCACTCAAATATTGGCGGAGAGCGGCCAACCAGCTGAGAATCAGATCTCTTTATCGTGGAGCGACGACAACATCGCAGACGACGGCAGCCTGAATTCGCCTCCCCATGATGCAGCGTGCCGCGATTTCCCCAGAGCATGTAATTTTATCACTCACTGTCTGATGATCCATCGCCCATGCGCACGGTCTTCCCCTTACATAGCCGCCATATAATCGCGCATTCGCAGGGATCAGCTCACGTTCTGGGGCTCAACAGTATCGGCTACAGCTGGAGCCGCTGGCGGACCCGTCCGAAGATCAAAGAGTATCGAGGCGTATTTATCAGGAGACACCACCAGTCTGATACAAAACATGTGCTGATCATGATACGCTGTAAACAACGTGTCTCTACTGCCCGCGGTAGTAATCAACGGCGCGGGTCGGATAGGTTCATCAGAGATGGCATAAGCACCCAAGTGCTGAGAACAGGCGGGAGTAGTTCTTTGCCACAGCGCACATGACAGTGCCACAACGCAGAGTTAGGAGGTGGTTTGTATTGTGGCGGGACTCCTCAAACGAGTCGCTTCATATCAAAATGAAGGCGTTGCCATCCAACGTTCAGAGCGTCGGAAGGAGTCAATTGTTTGTGGGGTGATCAATCATAGCGACCATCGCAGGCGCCTATGCCTCATAATTATGTACCGCTGGAACGAATAGAGACTGTTGCACCAGGGTGAATACGCGAAGGATTCGTCAAGCCGGTATCATCGAGAATATGAACGTTTGAACACTCATCAGTGTAAGTACACTACTAGTTGTGCGGGCTCGCGCGGCTGAGGTGTCTACTGCTGCATGTTCGATACCCCACTAATACATGCACGCAGGCCACAAGGATCTAGATCGAAGCTTAGACCGGCGCTCATCGAAGCGCTCATCACTCTAGCAGGGCATTTCAGAACGTTCAGATAGACGGCAGACGAGGTGAACAGATGATATTTCAGAGCCTGAAACCACAAGGAGACTAAATATGTTAATTGATAAAAGTACAGAGTAATGTATATGTCCGGAAGATACACAGTATAGCTAATGGCACACCAAGAGATCAGAGCAGAAAGGAAGTCTAGTGAAGGGAGGTATCGTGCATAAATCATGCTGTTGTAGCCTTCTTCGACCTCGAAGCTGGCTTAGAGGCGGGCTTTGCCTTCGATGCAGGCTTTGCCTTTGCCTTCGTTGCAGCAGTCTTAGCAGCAGCCTATGTAATGTCGTCAAAACAATGTAAGCAAGTGTGGCCATACTAACATACCTTCTTCTTTTCTGTGGTCTTTGCACTCGGCACCTTCTTGGTTGCCGTTGCCGATTTGGCCGCAGGCTTCTTAGCAGATGCGCCCGTAGTGGCTTTCTTAGGAGCGGCGGTAGACTTAGCCTTCTTGGGAGCGGCATCAACCTTCTTGGTAGTAGTGGGCTTCTTGGTGGTAGCGGCGGGCTTCTTCGCGGCGGCAACCTTTTTAGGAGGAGCTTCAGCCTTTTTCACAGGCTTCGCCGCCTTCTTCACGGGGGCGGCTTTCTTTGCGGCGGCAGGCGTATCGTTCTATCAGACGGGACATTAGCTACTGCGACCAGACTAGTGAATTGTTATAGAACTCACCTCCTTTCCACTCTCAGCCGCTGGCTTCGCCTTGGGAGCGAGCTTAACCTTGCCAGAAGGGCCCTTGGGCAAGGCAAAGACACCCTGCTCGGCACCAGTGGTGATGGCACGGTTCAGCTGGTAAAGTGTGTTGCCGGTGACCTCGATCTTGTACGTCTCCTCGGCGAACTGCGAAAATCATGAGATAAACCTGGTTTTGTTTACAGGCCAGTCAGGAGAATACATACCTTCTTGATGGTGCTACGGGAGACACCACTACGAGAATCTTCCTTGTGAGCAACAATACATTCCTAATAGATCACAGTTATTGTTGTTATAAAATGGCAGTAAAGGAGCAATAAACCTTGATGATATCCTTCCAAGAAGGATGACCAGAGGTGTTGACAACCTTTGCGGCCTTAGTAGAGGACTTCTTGGTGGTAGACTTGGAAGCCGGCTTCTTAGCCTTGGCTTTGGTCACAGAGGGCTCGACGGTGACCTCGACAGGGGGTGGCGAAACAGAGGTGTTGGAAGACATGGCGATAAGAGTTAGAACAGTGGGAGTTGACGTCCAAGCTATGAGAGGTTTGATTTCTGTGAGGGGAACTTGCGGATGAAACGTGGGATCGGGCAGTGCTGGCTGGGGGCAAGGTCTGGGGACGGGGAGGAGAAGGGTTGCACAAGCCAGGTGCTATCCGGAGCTTTATACCGTCATAGCGCGCGCATCACGTGTATGCGCGTTTGTTGATTGCTCTAGGTCTGAACCTTATTTCTTGAGGTAAATGGGCACCGCCACTCCACGTGGCCACATAACCTCGTCGCGTCATTTGTCTGCACGCTCCTGGTCTCCTCCCGATTATTATTATGGTTTGGGATCTGGTTTGATCTGTTGCAAAGTTGTGGGACACTTTTAGTAGGCTTCCCCTGAATCAAGTCTTCGGTGCAGGACACGATCGAAATCAGGAGTTCAGGCAGTCAGATCCTTCTCAGCAGGCCGACAGGCAATCTACGAGGTACTGATAATGTACATAATATCTGGCTCAAAAGTCCTAATCTTTGCAGGTCCGCAATCACTAGCTATAGCCCTCCCATCTTCCCTTCGAGCACGCAATATACGGGACCTTCTGACTACGTAGCATGATCTACGTAAGACAACGCTAGCATCCGGTGTTCAAAAGCGTATCGCGTTGTTTGCTTGGAAAACAATGTAACAATTTTTATTGGTCACCAAGCCAAGTGTCGGAAAGTTCAATGCAAATCGATACCAGTCACAAGAGTTCAAGATCGACGGTCGCTTCATTCCAATTGTCGAAAATCAAACACATCTCCAGTCCAGTGCTTTCAACGGCGAAGCATCACAAACCAAGCTGTGCGACGGCACTTGACAAGCAGAGCAGTCGTCTTGAACTTGGCAACGGTATACCCCCGTCCCTATCCATTCCGTAGCAATGGTTAGATAGAAATCACATTTTAGTCATGCCCAAAAGGTCCACACCAGAGACACATCGCGTGTACTGCGAACAAACGCACGAAATGCGTTATACATGCTGGACAATCGTGTTGACAGTGAAAGACTACGATTGAAGACGAGTGTCAGGTCCGTACAAAATAACATATCCAGCTTCAATTTAGAGGCAACGCGTGAGTGGCCAGGAGGCGAAACATCTCTTCCAAAATATCACTAGAGGTAGGAGTCGGCAGGCTTCCAGGCGGTGGAAGTTAAGCCGGGTTATGAGCAAGCAATGAGTTTGACCACAAATACACTGTACCGAGGAAGAGAATCGGGCTTGTTGACTAAACCACGATGACACAAGGGGCCGCGGGAGACGCGGCAGCGAGCGGCCGTCAAGCGTTAACTGTCTGACCGAAACTGCCTCCGCTGACGTTGCGTTCGTACTTATTCCGAGCGCTTCTAGACGGCCAACTCCTTCAACACACCACCTACCATGTCTGTGAAAGAGCTCCTTGTCACTGACGACCTGACTGTCCTTCTTGGACTCGTCTCTGTCACCGTCTTTCTTCTCCAAAACCTCTATAAGCCCCAACCTCTGGTTCACCCTATCTTGCTCGGTCGCCAAAGTGAGGCGGGCAAGGTACGCAACCCGGGAGAGAGTACGGTGTATAGGAACTATGGCACTGGTCTGCTAGGCAGGGCAAGCTTCCTATCTTTCGCCAGTCAACCCCACGCACTGACATATTGTTTTAGTTCCCTGTCCGGCCTGACGCCAACGCCAATTTGGTGACCGATCTATTGAAACTGGACAGTTCTGCCCCTCGCACTCTTTGGAATACAAAGGTATCTTCTCATGGCGCGATCAACATGAACACCTCTGACCTAGCATAACCAAGGTCACGAATGCTATTGTCAAAGACCGTGTAGATGCGTTTGGCACTGGGCTCATCCGAGCTGCTGGTTTGGTGCCGAAGGAATCTAATGTTTTAATCCTCCTCAATGACGGTTTGGGTAAGCATCCAACAAAGACGTTCATCACCTTAGATTTACTGGCTCTTATAGAGTTCCTTGTCGCTGACCTTGCGCTCGCCAAACACTCCATTGCTTCATTTACGCTCAGCTCTCCCAAGTTGCTATCACAAGTGCTCGAGTCTCACCCTCCGTCTGCCATCATCACGGATTCTTCCTTCCTTCCTCACGTTCTGGAGCTTATATATGACTCGAACGAGCACCAACACCATACCGTCATCGTCACTGGAGAGCTGACTAGTGCTGTCGCCAAGTCAGCACGATCTGCCAGAATCATTGCGTGGACCGAGGTCGAAGCGGCTGGCTCAAAAGACAAGGTGGACACTGCTCCTCCAGGCAAGCTGATTATTGGATCTTCATTTCTTATATCTGACCCTTTCACAATATGACAGCTCCTAGCGACGTGTTCACAGTGTCATTCTCTGAGACTGCCTCGGGCTCACTCGAGGGCATCCAATTTACTCACGAGAATTTCACCGCAGCTGTAGCCGCTGTCCGTACCCTCTTCCCTCCTTCCAACAGTCTGTCCCCGTTGGATACTATTTGCTCGGCGCATTCCCTCAGCACTCCTTTCGGGCGCTCAATCGCCTACACCGCCCTATACGAGAGCACAAGTTTCGCGACGTTAAGCTCTACCAAGCTCTTCCAGATAGAAGGTGACTGGTCTCTCTTCGATCTCTGATTTATATTAATGGTTGCCGGTGCAGGTGCGCCAAAGCTCGATGTTGCTGACATCATGTCTGCCACCAAGTTACCTATTCCTTCCCCTACTATCGCATTCTTGAAGCCAGAGCACGTGAAGGCGCTTTCTTCCGACATCTCGGCGCAGGCTAAAAAGTCTTCCTTCTTATACTCCGTCGGATGGCGGCACAAGCTTTCGGGCCTGACAGAAGGCTTTTTGACGAAAGACAGCCTTTGGGATCGCGCAGTCTTTGATGGTGCCCGGGAAAAAGTTGCGGGTGACTTTGGTCGAACTATTCGTCAGGTCATCGTCAGCGGTGGTAAGAACGATATTGCTGTTGGACAACTCTCATAAACTGACTCTGCTGATTTTGTTCCCCAGGTCCTGTCCCTACTTCTGATTTGACGCCAACGCGCATCGCGCTCTCTGTCCCGATCGTCAACGCTCATGTGCACCCTGTTAGTGCAGGGCCCGTCTTTTCCACTCAACCCCTTGATTTGCAAATGCTGCCCGCGGGATCATCAAGCGATCCCTTCTCTGGCATAGCTCATGTTGGGGCGCCAAGCGTTAATGTGCAAGTGAAGCTTGTTGGTGTGGACGATGCCGAGATCGAAGCTGGCGGTGATCCCACTGGTGATATCCATGTTGGAGGACCTCCAGTTGGTATACCCTTGGGTCTCGGCAGTGAAGATAGCGAGACTGCATGGCGAAAGACGGGAGAACGGGGGCGTGTTCTGACAAATGGAGCATTCAAAGTCCTTGGCTAGCTGTAAAGTAGAATCTATGTTACTGTTCCCTTACTTGCTGGAAGTTAGACCCTGATATTCGTGCGAAGTTTGCAGGCTATGTTACCCAGCTTTTGCTTACAGTATCAGTCACTGTAGTTATGAAACCATTTTCTTACCGTTCACTACGATTCCAGTAGCTAGCTCTGATGGAGATTGTCTCGCGTTCGGACCTAATAACACTTGTTACCTCCTATTACTCTGCTTGCTCCCCATCTTCAAGCCCTGCTCCGGATCCACGGCATGGCAGCGAACGAACAGGAAGCACAGATCAAGGATGTAATCAACAGGCTCCAAGAACCTGTCCCTGATCTTCCAACATTACTCGACTTGCTATGTGGGCCCTTGGACGCTCTCCACTTGCTCCCTCCCCCGTTCAGAATATATTGCGTTCATGCAATCTCGAACGATGTCCCTGCTGTCGTGAAGCACCTACCTGCCCTTCAAAGGGCCATCCTGCAAGTCGTTTTTCCTACGTGGGATCAAGTCTTACTCGACGAAAATGCTGTTTTGCTAGCTATGCAGTACTTTTGCCCCGATGCGTTCTTCTTTGCCTTGGATACGGCTGGCGCAGTGGCCTTGCATGCTTTCTCGACCATCTTGTCGTGCCCCATTGATAAGTTCTCCGTCCGCATACTCTCCAGGCTGGCAAAGGAGTATCCAATCGACAGGTTACATGCAGCCGTGTTTGCTAAGCCTGGTGCATCCTGTGGACCATCCAGGTACTCCATCGACTGGGATGACTGCCTTAAAAACTACTTTGCTATTCCTAGCAAAGTCGCCAACGCGCTCGAGGGACACGGCTTGCCCCAGGAGCTGGAATTCACGACATACATGATTCAAGCATGCGTACGAACTGAGGTATTAATTTATTCATTGTCGAAAACTTCGCAAGGAGGTTAGTCCTTGGTAATTGTAATGATTCATGGATGTTCAATGCTGATCTTAGACGAATCGCCTGACCTAACGTCTCTCTTCATCAAGCTGGCCAACAATGGCTTATTTCCGTCTCTAGCTTCTTCAACACCCGTGTCATTTTTTGACGCTACTCTAACTCAGATACGTGGGCGACTGATAGAGGACAGTAGTGGGCGCTACTCTTCAAAGTGGAGTAGCGTACTACATTCTATTCCTTCAGCATTGACCCAAAACAACGTATTCACGTCCTTGTTCCTTGCCCTATCTGAACCACAACAGCTTCTAGACGACTCATCTTTCAGCCGAGGTGCCGTGCACAGAGAAGCTGTTTTGCTTTGCCAGCTATGTGGGCCTCTAGTGCCTTCCGAAAATATGTGGGAAACCGTTATTGCAGTGATTACATCTCGCAATTGGACAGAAGGCCATGCGAGGATCTTTGTTTGCTGGGCCGCTATCTCACAAAAGCAAAGCAAGGGAGGAGAAGGTCATGCTGCCAGCCTTGTAATTGAGGAATGGTTTGCTGACTTTTCTCAGGTCTATCGCAGTTCATGATGCGAATACTTGAAGTTTGGTCGACTTCAAATCACATCAAGCATTCACTACTTTCTCGACACCAATGTACGTTACTTGTGATTATGGGCACTAGCATTACCAAAACCCTACAGATTACACAGCGTTGCTGGCCTTAGCTGTTTCGTACTTTCCAGCTGGATCAACAGAAGTGACTTCGGTAGCAATGTCGCCTGCATTCATCTCTGCTATTGGCAAGTATATCAGTCACCTTGACCAAAACGTACGCCGGTGTGGAATGCTTGTAGCCGAGATTGTTGCAGCTCAAGCTGGCAAAAAACTGGACTTTGGAGACTGGGATGGGGAACTAGACGGACGCTCCTGGGCTCGGCAACTTAGAACACTGTGCGCACGTCGCGATGTTGATGTAGATCCTCTTGTTCCCGAGTTGAGAAGCGGCTTGGATGAGACCATACCCCATGGTCTGGAGGCTGAACACGATCCACGGTCTCGGGCTGCGACGGAATCACTGGTGGCTTCGTCCCACAGGGAGCCGAGCATAATCGTAACGCAGTCGGGTTACGATTCAGATGATTCTCTTACAGGATACCAATCATCAAATTCTTCGCGCTCACCTTCCCCTACGCAGTCTGAACTAGATGAACTCGAGCGAGATCCAACCCTTCGCATCGGAGAAAAGAAAATTCTCCGTCCTGTATATCTTGCGCAGCTAGCCGAAATGGTTCGCAGCCCTGGCGGAACGAAGCCCCCGGAACCTGCTGAGGAAGTTAATAAACTGAGGATGGCCCTCGATACTGGGGAAGAGCTTATAAGAAAGAAGAGAAATTATGGGACTGAGCTAAGTATGTTTTATGACCGCTTATGCGTAGTCACAAATCCTAACCACACATCTAGAGGAGAATGCGGTCAGTCTTGTCTATGGGTTTGTTGGCCTGCAAGACAACTACGATCTACCCGAGTTCGAGATCAAGAGGCAGCGGATAGCGAATGCCTTGGTTGCTTGTTGTCCACAAGTCGTCGCACCGTAAGTTTGCTCTCGAATACTGTGAATATTTCTCAGTATGGATGTCGCAGATGCGTGATCGAGGAGTTTTTCAAGAACCAGTACTCAGTGCAACAACGTTATGTTATGTTGAATGCCCTGGCTATGGGGGCACGAGAGCTTGCTTCTTTACCGATTACTTCGAAAGAGCTGCAGCCTTTATCAGACCCGAAGATGTCCTTTCCTAGCAAGATGCTCCCTCCGGCTGCCCATCAAAAGTATATATCTGCCTCTCGGAATGGTGGAACAATGCAGGACCTTGTAGAGAGCATCACATCTTTGGCTGTTGGAAAAACCCAGGATTCCTCTCAAGCTATTCCTGCAACCGTTATGCGCGAAAGACAACTAAGGACACGTAAGCCTGCAGCTGTAGCCCAGGTCTTATCATCAAGTACAGGACGACAAACAGGCTCAGACTCCTCCAAGGCGACCACATTCACGGACGTTGCTTCTGAGTACTTCATCATGCCCTTCATCAACCGTTTCTGGTTGTTCCTTCAGACTGAAAGAACGAGGGAGGAACGAACGGCACATCGTGAAACATTGCATCAATACCGCGGTGCGGGGACTGGACTCGTGCTGAGTCCTGCCGTGTTGACCCACTTCTTGCGCTCCCTGACCATTCTCATACATGCTGCCCAGAATGCGCCTCAATGGTTGTCCATAATTACTCCAAATGCGTTGGAACTTGCATTAGCGCTCAGTGCTCGCTCAATACTGACGCCTTCTGATGTTGCTAAAGACGAGGACGGAGAGAACGGCGAAGAAGACGAGGCCTCTGTATTGACCTCGGCGTTGGAGCTGGTGCTCATCGTTCTGGACGGGAGCTTGGATCTTGATCGGGGGAGATCACTGAGCCTTGAGAATACAACCCTGCTGCTGGGCGTCAATGACTGGGCCGAGAAAGTCTTTGCCATCTTGGATAAAGGAGTATTGCTGAAAGGTGGAGGTGGGGCGCAGGAAATAAAGTTACGGCGGGCACTATCTGGAGTCTTGTTAAAGATCAACGAGATTACTTCGACCTGGGGGAGGTCTATGGTAGATATTCGATAGATTCGATGGTGTAAGGACCTGCATGCTTGTGCAATAAGATGCTCGAGATGTAACATAAAACTCTACATGCAATCTACATGCGAGTTGAAATTCTCGACTGTAGCTGACTCAGGGGTTATCCTAGTAAGGTAACTTGCTAGGTTGGGTGAGGGAACAAACCTTTCTCCAAGCTCCCAGCGTGTTTGAAACCCTCGGCCTAGCAGTGGTCCAACAGTACTTTCTCAGCGCTTCGCTCCGTCACTTGCGTACTCAATCAGAACGCTTTCTCCCGTCCGACATGATTATTGCCTTTGCTTTTGTGCTGTAAACTTCTAACCTGATACCGCTCTGCTCCATTGTTTCTCTTCCACTGGCATGCCTGAAGAGTGGCCCCATGCTTTGTTCCAGGACCCGATGCGGCTGTATCGCGCGAAGCGAGACAGCGCACACCGTAGTGTTGCGTCAAAGTACACCATTCTAGGATTCATCTCTTCGGGAACCTATGGTCGTGTGTATAAGGCCCAGAGCAACGAGCCCGACAGGACCGTACATGCCATCAAGAAATTCAAACCCGATAAAGAGGGCGACGTCGTCACCTACACTGGCATCAGCCAAAGCGCCATTAGAGAAATAGCCGTGGGTGCCAGATGTCATCAGTAATATGCTCTTGCGTTCAGTGTCCACCAGTTAAACAGAGAGATCTCCCATGAAAACATCGTGGCGTTGAAGGAAGTTATACTGGAAGACAAGTCCATCTATATGGTCTTTGAATATGCCGAACATGATTTTCTTGCAAGTGACTCTCGGATTCATGGCTACCTCACGCACTCATCTTGATGGTAGCAAGTCATACATCATCATTCCCAAACTCTGCGTGGCGCGATAAATATACAGGTCTTGAAGTCTATGACTTATCAACTTCTCAATGGGCTCCTCTACCTGCACTCAACGCACGTCCTTCATCGAGATCTCAAGCCGGCCAACATTCTGATTACATCAGGAGGTGTTGTCAAAATTGGGGACCTAGGTCTCGCCCGCCTAATCTATCAGCCCCTACAACCATTATTCGCTGGGGACAAAGTTGTTGTGACAATATGGTACCGTGCTCCAGAGCTCCTAATGGGAGCTAAACATTATAACAAAGCCGTGGACTGCTGGGCTGTTGGCTGCGTTCTCGCTGAATTAGCCAGTCTACGACCAATTTTCAAAGGCGAGGAAGCGAAGCTGGACTCGAAGAAGAATGTGCCGTTTCAAAAGGACCAGCTTCTGAAGATATTCGAAGTGTTAGGAACTCCTGATGGTAATGCACGTAATTCTCCCTGATCTCCCATTTCTCATGCATTGTAGAGCGGGAATGGCCCGGAATCCGAGATATGCCAGAATATCAGAACATGCGAAGATTAGACACGTACGTTTGTGATCTTGTAATCCCCGGATAAGCTCTGCTCTCTCAACACTCCTAATAGCTACCAGAATCATCTATCAGATTGGTGTAGTTCCCGTCTACGGGCTCCTAGAGGCTACGATCTACTATGCCAGCTATTTGCTTATGACCCAGATAAACGACTGACGGCCAAGGAGGCGCTATCACATAAGTGGTTTTACGAAGATCCACTACCGACGCCGAAGTAGGCATTTACAACCCTCAAACGTTTTCCTTTCCGACCTGTTTTTAGTGTCTTTGCTGGAGTTCCAAGTCACCACATGCCGCCTCCACGTCGTATTACGCACGATGATGCACCGTCTATGATGGCCGTTCCGGCTCCCACTGCCCCAACCCAGTCGCAAATAGTTCAACAACATGCGCATGCTCAGCACCTCTCGCAACAATCTCAAGCAAACTTGTCGCAGTCAAAGCCAGGCAGTGCCAGCAGCTTTGCTAGCGTAAGTGGTGGGGGACAGCAGTACCAAAGTAGTCAGGGAGGCTCCGTGAGGAAAAAACAAAGAATCGGATGATGTGGTCATTGTATATTGGACACCGAGCCTGTCTTGCCGCTACCTAAATATTGCATCATAGCCATACAATAGTCATTCACATCCACGACCGCAAGTTTAAGTCATAGTTTCAAATGGATATGTCACACCGACCCTGCCATGTAAGTAATGCAATCACTCTTACTCGCGAGTCGCGACAAGCCGGAGTTACCGAGTGTGGGAGTTTGGCGTGCGTTGTCCGAATCCTCCGTTCACCCATACCTAAGCTAAGTAACAACCTACCGGGTCGCGTCTGTCTGTGGTCCGTGATGCTTGCTCTACGGCGTTCCATTGCTCTGCGCTCCATTGCTAGAAGAGGGCTCTCCTCTTCGTCTGTCAAACGCTCAGATGCACTGTTCGTGGTGAGTAGTGCACTTCGTCCAAGAACCATCCCGCGATTCTAACCTTCGCTCAGCATCGGGACACGAAATACAACAACCCTTCTGTACGGCCTTTCGTTCGTGCCAAAAGTCAAGTCCTTAGACTAATCCACGCGGCCCTAGATTCCTTTCGAGTTCAGCAAGGAGAACCTGACCAAGGCTGAGGAAATCATCGCCCACTACCCTCCCCAGTACAGGAAGGCTGCTGTCATTCCTCTTCTTGACCTTGGTCAACGCCAGAACAAGGGATGGACAAGTATTAGTGTCATGAACTACGTTGCGAAGCTACTCGGGATGCCGCCTATGCGTGTTTACGAGGTGGCCACCTTTTACACCATGTTCAACCGGTACGCGTTTGTATTCATGCACTCATGTCAGGGAACTTAAGGGGCGTCCAGCGAGCCCATCGGTGACAACTTCGTTCAAGTTTGCACCACCACACCTTGCATGCTTCGTGGCTCAACCGAAATACTGGACACGGTTTGCAGTCATCTCGGCGACATTAAGCCGGGTGAAACTACGAAGGATGGCAAATTCACCGTTATTGAAGTGGAATGTCAGGGAGCTTGCAGTAATGCTCCCATGATGGTCGTCAACGATGATTTCTATGTAGGTCACACAAGATATCGTCTCGGCTTAGCTAGCTAACTATTCATCTAGGAGGACTTGACCGCCGCCTCTACCAAGAAGGTTCTGGATGCATTTGCGCAAGGACAAAAGCCAAAGCCTGGCCCTCAAAGTGGCAGACATACTAGTGAAAATTCTGCAGGTCTAACGGCTCTAACATCAAAAGTAAGTAGCCATTGGTCTAGTTCTCAGCTTTGGCTCACGAATTCGCGTACTAGCCGTATGGTCCTGGGGAATTCTGCACGCCCGAGTTCCAATAGACTAGACAGACTGTATCTCATCACTACTCTATAGGGACTTTTTCTAGAGAACCTACAGAGTTCGTTAATCGTCGCCTTCTCCATCATCATAACTTTGGACGCCGTGACCACCTTCCGGTAGTTTCTCGATCATATATCTAACGCAGCTGAGGATCAACTGAAGACACAAGGAGAACTTACTTACGCAATTTCCTCCCTTAGATCGTCGCAGTAAGTATCTAAGCAACTGCTTAGGTCCAAATCGCGCGAAGAGGCATCTCTACTCACCTAGAGGGAGATCGTGCTTGTCGTGACCTGTTGATGGAACCATGTATAAACTAAACACATAAACTAACACAAGAAGAACACTCACCAAAAGGCATCTCGATCTGGTCCGCGATGCCCTCAATACCCATGAGAGTGAACGCTACCACTGTTATAATTGGCACAATGGCCCATCCAAGGTCGTTGATAAGTGTAAATGGGAGAGCGAAAAGATACAAAGTGACACATTGCTTGAGGTGGATGGCGTCTGTGGCCCTGATTAGTCTATCGACTTGGAGAGAAATTGGTGTTGCGTACAGGAAACTGGTATTGGGGTATTTGCTACCCTCTCCATGGCAGTCATTTGATCGACCATTGATGAAACCCTACTTAGCGTTAGCATAGATAACGTCGATGAGCCGGGACATCACTTACATGCCACTCATGGCGTTCGCGCCTGAAGAAAAAAACAATGAATCTCATTGATTCATTCAGACCCCGCATCTCGCTCACCTGCCGGGCCAACCGTCTCCAGCAAACTATCTCGGCGAAACCTGAATATTGCGCTGGAGAGCTCGTGAGCAATCCTGAAATATGGCAGGTGAGTGCGCGTTGTAGTTAAGCAAAGGAAAGCCCAACATTAGTGGTAGGGGCATTGTCAAATCTTCTGCAGGACGGCAAAATTCGATGCTCTGGTAGGGTCCATTCAGCAGCGGAGTATTTGAGCCAGAGACCTGAGGCGTATTTAAAACCAAGTTCCTCTTGCTGCGCTTGGGTTTGACCCGTTTGGTTGCACCGGCCAAGAAACTGCTGCTGGATTTCCCCTCCTCGGATCCTCCGCCGGACAATGACCCGTAGTCCGGAGAGTGTCGTCGACTCCCTTCAACATTGATCCGGCTAGCAAATGATAGTGGGAGAACACCGCTGAAATCTTCGTGATGAATGCCGTCCTCTCCTCTTACATAGTGCTTCACTGCGTATGCGAATGCGAGGCAATACTGAAGTGCTTCAATCTTCTGTACCCGTACTTGGGCAGCAGTAAGCTCAGACGTTACAGCTTTCCCTTTCGCCACCAAAGAGATTTCCCCGTCCGGTGGAGGGAGCGCAACTTGGACCCAAATCACCCGAGATAAACTCCGTATCTGTAGAGGCGATGAGCATTGGGCAGACATGAAATAGCTGGGCTTACATTGGAAGTTAAAGTTGCGAAGCTCTTTCGACCTTCCCAGTAACGATCGTAGGAGGTCCTAAGGGGGTTGAAATGATAGTATCATATGGGCCGTTTGAAGCTCACCCATTTCTGTCATAGACATTATGAGCTCAAAAGTCACATTCAAACGCAAGAGATGTAGCCTCACCGAAACACCAAGATCAGACCAACCTAGTTGATACCTTCGGTGAGACTCGCAGCAGACCTCTCGACATTAGCAACGCCTACCACGACAGATAAAAGCGGAAGAACCGAGTTCGTTAGCCGGAGCGCATACCCTTTGGACCACAAGAAAGCGACCACGGCAGCGAAGACGGTCACCGTCAGCACCGGGCCAATGATATGTCCGATGACCTATGATGGCTCTTAGTCTGGATAAGAAAGATAGCAGCACGTAGTACTTACGCTCCCTTTCAGTCGCAGAACATCAGGTAACCAAGAGTACTACATGTTCTTATTTCAGCGCCAGTTTGAGGTAATATGCAGATCGGAGAGCAAACCTTGCGCAGGTGCCGCCTCCGTATGGGACGAAGCTAAGATGTAGAATGAGCCAAATTCGCACGCAAACTGTTTGTTCACACCTTGAGAGTGGATAAACTAAACGTTGGGGTCTTGGTTGGCGGCATGAGGAGGACTGCAGTATTGGTCCAAGGAACGTGCAGCAACTGATGGAGTAGACCTTGCAACTGAAAAGGAAAAACCCCTAGCTAGGCAGCGCTGACGACATCAACCTGAGTAACCAAAGTTGCCGAACAGGTAACTGAAGACCTGTCACTACAGTCTTCGGGGCACTGCGATTGCGTACATCTGCCATTACTTAGAACTCGGGATGGGATACTTAGGATTATTAGCTGCCAATCCCTTGTCATTTCACAGGATGCCTCAATTTTCAGGCCGCTCTTTGCTATTAATGTTGTTAAAGCCTCGCTCTAATAAAACAATACATAGAATGCTGTCTATCTACGGCACATCGGGCCGCATTAAAAGTCAAAACATGGTGAATGAATGTCCTTGAACAACGAGACCCAGATGATTAGGGGTCCGAGCATCAAGCTTGTTTAGGCGTTTCGGAGATAGAGATACAGGGAGTGTCATTTAAAAGGCTGCGCCGGAGCACGAGGACAACGGCATGTCAGCACCAGAGTGAACATAGGATTCAGGGTAAATTGGAGTCGGCTTGAGGACTGATGTCCCATAGGGATCGTAACCATCTGGAGAGCCTGAGTTAAGTCGCCACAGTTTTTCATCAGAAGACCATGAGTATTCTGTAGAGGTGTTCGGACTAGTAGACTCAGAAGAATACCCTGACTCAGGATAAGTAAGATCGTAAGGGCCACGGACAGAGGATGCACCAGCGTCGCTAGGGATCCCAAAGGTACCATACCGGCCCCAGCGCATAATGTGATTTTTGAGTTCCGAGAGAGCATGAGTGGGGAGCGAGCTGTAGTCGGACCATTGACCGTAATCGGGCGCAGAATAACAAGTTTTTGTCGTAGGATGCGGAGAGCACAGGTTGTTGCGATAGTCAGTGTCATTGTAGTCCTTATCGTATTGCGTCGTCGTATGAGAGAACAAGGAATTCTGGAAGCAACTCTCTGGCTGACTGATGAGGCCGGTGGCGCTACCGAGCGTATTGGCAAACTCAGCGGTGTCGCAGATATCTTGGTAACTTGGGGAGGGAAGCTCCATCTGTCGCTGCAGAGCTGGAAGGCCAGCAGCCAATCTCCGGAGAGACATAGAGTTGCATGGATGTAACGCAGATTTATCCGACATAGAGCTGTAAGACCTTTCGATACTTGGGTTCTGAATTACCAGTGGCTGTAGCGCCGGATGAGGGTCTAGGAAGGCGCCTTCGTAAGCCTCATGAGGCTCTTGAGCGTCGCAGTACGAGGAGTCTAGAGTTTCATTCTTTATCTTCCAACAATTATGAGCGTGCTCGATGTTGGTCGATGCTGGCAAGTGAACATCTAGATGCATAGTACGAGAGTGCTCTGAGTCTTTGTTCCCGGACGCAGCGCTGCTCTGGAACGATGAGGGCAGAGCGACGAGCTTAGCACCGCCAGACGTGCCAATAACTTCGGGTCCCGGGACTGGTTCAGCGCAAGAGCTACCCAGACTAGACTCCTTCGGTTCCAGACGAGAAAGGACTAGAAAATGTTCAAGCAAGTACGTTTGTGGAAGGAAACGACGCACATTCAGGGTTCTTCCTATGCATCTTCTTCAGTCGCTGCAGATGACTAGAGACCTGCTTCCTTGTACGACTCTGGCCTGTTTTTTCCAATATGTAGAGTTGTATAAGCTGACACCGACCAAATGCTTTGACTCTTGAAGAGTCATGAAAGTCCACGCTCTTTTTGTCTTCCCCTTTCTTGAGCAAGTAATACTTGATGCGTCGCTTACCCATCGGTGGATATAGGGAGAGTGCTGTCAAAGAGAAGCCGTCAAGATATTGGCTCTCTCATTTGGATAGCATGTTCACCTTCCATAAATGCGGCATGCACCTCATCGGGCCAGATGTCCTCATACTTTGAGAACTTGAGAGTCATCGGGTGCACAGAAGGAGTCGAGTTAGGAGCGGAGATGGAGTCCATTAAGAGCTACTGGAGGATTGAAACAATAAGACAGCGAGAATGAAGATGAATTACGATTATAGAGAAAATGTACAGAGGGAACGATGCATGCGATGTTGAAAGCCGAGTTGAAGTGGCAGTTGAAATCTGTTTAAATACTCTTAGCTACCGAGGAGCAGGAGACATTCAAGCTCCGCGCGCTTCGACTTCTGAATCACCTGATAGAAATAAATATGCACGTGACCCTAGAATTCTCATCATAGTGTTCGCCCTTGGCGCGTCGGCTTTAGATTCTTCCCAAGTACATCGAAAGTGTATGGTCAGACGTCCTCTCTTGCCCTGTTATCCTCCCTTATGAGTCTACAAACGTCTTCTAAAAAGCTCATTTCTGAACTCAAATCCTTATGCGCTGACAAGAAAGCTATAGAGTCTGCCGAATCTATCGTTTCTTGCCTCGTCCTCCTGGTAATACTAGCTTCCGAAACGCTCATCATGGGTTTATATCTCTGTTTTCGTCCAGAAATCTACCTCCCCATCGCGAAGTACTTTCCAGAAGCTATGCTCTATCTTGCGCAAACCCTTGTCGCGACTGTATGCGATCGCTTCAACGGCTTCCTTGGAATTTAGCTCTTCAGCCTTCCGCCTCATACTCTCCGACAAGATAAATAGTCATAATTCGAGCAATTACGTGAGGCAAGGCTGGGAGGAAGTCGCCAACGCCATATTATCTGGATTATTGGTTTGTGCAATTCCACTGCCGTCTAACCAGTGTTCGTTCTACTAACGGCTGACCAGGACTCGCTAGATGAAGTTGACAATGGTCCGAAACAATAATTTTCTTATTTCTTTTTTGGCTTACCTCGAGAATGCTCTGTAGTATCCTTCAAAGAAGAAGTCGCTTCATCTTTCTACCCAATGCTCTGCGAAAATTTCTTTTGTAGCCCGACTGCAGATCAAATCGGTGCAACTCTGAGGATAACGGTACTCAGCCATGGATATATGCGCCATGAAACGACATCGCTAACCTCAAGAATAGGTACATATGGTATTATCTGAAACCCTTGGCTCTTGCAGCAAAAATCAAGCGAAACTTCGAGATAGCGACACACTGGGAGGGTGAGATGCTCACAGTGTTCGACGAGCTTCTTCAGACACGGCTAATATCCATAACTTCTAAAGAGAACGGATTGGCATGATCATATCGCGAGCTAAAAGTCTGCGTGCCAATGCCAAAAATTTCGTTAACTAACGACTTGTCAACGGCAGGTTTCTTTCTCGTTGACTCATTGTTAACCCTCATTGCCTGGCTGCTACCGCCCACGCTCAACACGGCCGCCGGCAGATCCAAACGTGCACGTTTTGTGAAATCAGTCTTTTCATCGAAGTACTTTAATTGCAGTCAGGAGCTCATCTCAGTTTTCGAAAATATCCCGTCATCGGCATGGGAGGACACCGCGATACGCATTGTGGATGTCTTGGCCAGAGCTGATAGGTCCTTGTGAGTGCCCTCCGGTAATCATGGCCTCTTTACGCCCACACTGATAACTCATTAGCCCGCAACATTTTCGAGTACACACAATAAATGCATGCGGGCGAACTTATACACAACCTGGCGAGGCTGATAGGTTTTATGTTGACCCACACGCATTCGTTGCAACCGTCTATGAGCAGGCGAGTTTCTCTATTCACCTTCGTGGCTGTGACGAGAATTCAATATTAGGAAGATGCGTTCGAAAGCCTTGACATCTCTTTCTTGCAGATCCACTCCATTACCATCAGCACACTCATTGGGAGTTCATCGGGTGCTCGGATTGAGGTGACGATACAGCTCACTTCACCGCCCCGCGTGGGTGGTTTGACCATGAAAGTCGCTGAGGGACAATCGCTCTCTGTGCTGTTTACACTTGGAGCCGAGGACCTCGATCGGTTCACGGAGGCACTGCAAGAAAGAGGAATGGTTGGCGCTTACCTTAAAGTCCGATGACTCTGAAGCTGACATGATTGTTTGTAGCAGACGAAGATCCACTTTGATGACCATAACAGCTCAAGAGTTCAAGCTCGGCTCAAATCACACCATGCCACTTCTCTTGCATATGGGCTGCGTTTGCCTGATGGCAGCTCTACACCCCTTCGCCCAGTGACACCTTTTGAAGTCTGAGCAATCTATATATAAAGACAATTTTATGTACACTAATAATGATTACAGGACAAAGTCAAACATGTCTCCCAAGGTAGGAGACGTTCATACCAGAAATCATTCCCTAATATTATCAAGTTTATGAAGCAGCTTCACGTGCCGCAACAGTCGAACCCTCACGTCATATCAGCAATGCGAGCTCTCAGAGACCTTCCTCTGCTCGAGGCGAGGGCAGGGAGCATACATGCGCTAGTCCCATCTTAAAGATAATATCTCTAGGAGCCCGAAGTCCGTCCACTCAATTAAGTCGTTCACTCTCGCCATCACCGATCGCGCGGCTCGTGCGCCACGACTCTAAGGCTGAAAAAAACAATCTGATCAAAACCGCTCTCTTCGGCGGAAGCAACGATAGCCTATCTGTTCTGTCAGACGATGAGTCAGCGGGTGTTTTGGCTGTCGGGATGCCTGTTCGCCAGGCAGCGTCTTGCGCCACATCCGATCACATTAGGGAGGGTCGTCCGAGAGTCAACACCACATCAGCCAATCCCAAAGGCCAGCCTAGATCGTTGCCTGCTGCCTTCAAATCTCCATCACCAGGGCGCAATCGTGACTTTGCCAATCAGTCCGAGCCACGAAATGACAGCGCCTCAGAATACCAGCCATCTTTCCCTGTCCAGGAGCCCGTCAGGCCAGGCGGTGACGTGCGCGCTAAGAAGACCCGAAAAGAAGAATACCGGGCTGGTCAAACGAAGGCAGGCAAGGTGTCAAAACCTGAAGCAACCATTCTGTCCATGCAGCCAGACTCTAGCCGCCAGAGCAAACGCAAACGTGGTGACCTTGCTATCAATGATGAGGCAGTGCAGACAAGCAGGCAGCCACCAAAGAAGAAGAAGCGCCAAGGTCAGGACAACACTACGGATCTCCGCAACCAGTCCCTCGTAGTTTCGACTTCAGGTACCTTCAAGTCTTCCGGTGCTCAACCTCGAACAGTCAGGACCTATCGAAGGAAGGGGAGGACATCCTCTCCTGTGTCTGCGGAACGGAATGGGGTGGACTTTGATGAAATTCCTGCAGAGAGTGAACCTGTGGTCAGACGTAGTGCCCGCAATGGAAAACCATCTCAACTAGCGTGTAAAGCTACACCTGTGAGGGAAAGGCAGACTCGTAACACGACCGTGCGCAATCGCACCGGAAAACGTCAGCCACACGATGGGAACCATACTCCAACGAGGGTCGTCGGCGAAGCCAAGTCCCAGCCTAGATCGGGAGGAAGTGGGATTCGCCCCAGTCTCCCTGTGGTAGATGCGGTCAACGTTGATCAACCGTCTACCGCGGCTTCACCTCATAAAAAAAGCCGGGCTACGGTCAAGGTGCGACAAATACGGCACTCAAGTTTTCAAATCAGTTCTAAAGCATCGTTGAAGGAGGCGCCAGTCGCCTCGGGCGGTTTCAAAGATGCGAAAGCCCGAGCTAACGCGACAAGTAACAAAGTCAGTCACGTATAGTGTTCTTGGGCTACGCATTGACCATTTACTTTTCCTCAGGTGGCACACGAAGACAAAGGTTATTCCGCATCGAAGATTCTGGAAGCTGTAGACAAGTCATTACCAGACGCGAGTGATGTCGTACTTCAGAAAGCCGCATCCACCAAGTCAGCTGAAGACCATTTCACCGTCACTAATCCAATACCACTTGGTGACAGCGTGAGTGAGGATAATGACCAGCATATCTCTCCAGGAGAGCTCGCAAAGGAAGACCATGTGGAATACTCCGTTTCCTTGAAAGGAAGCGAAAGCTCCGTGAGTAGGATAGATCACATCAGGCTCATTGACTTCTTCATGCTCGACCTAGGGCACTCCTATTGTAACCCCAGCCCGCCAACCTGCCAGCCACAGCGATGTCGTTATGATTGATCTTACCCAAGAAGATTCTCCGAAGGGCCCCCAAGAGTCGAAAGATGACCTAAGATACCAGCCAACAAACCTACGACCACGCACATCCTGGGATTCAAAGATGATTACTTCAGACAAGGCATATGTTGCTCCACGTCGTTTAGAAGAACAAGAAGTGGCGGCTAAAGTCTCCCAGCCGGTCAGGCCAATAGCTGACCGTGTCGCAACATCCGATAACGTTATGCAACCGTTGGACACGGGAGTTTCGACCGACGATTCAAGGGCTACTTTTGATTCAACAACACTCGTGGATAGCTCCCAATTCCCTGCGGGTTTGAATGCATCTGGCTACGTTGCGAGGCTCCGTTTAACGCATCAAGTACCAACTGTCGGTTCACCGCGAGAACAAGATGTCGGCAAGGATGGAACACCTAGTAGTCATCAAGCATATGCTGTTGACGACAAACGCAAAGGCCCAGGTATCGGCATGAAGATGCTTAAGCAAAGTCGCTACAACGAGGAAGACAAAAGACAGACGAGTCGAATACGCCCTTCGCATGATGCTCATTCTAAGCGTGAATTGTAGTGTTTCTTCCTTTCAATGACCTGATAGTAGCCTGTTTCTAGATGCGGTTGCTTTGGAAGCGCAAACCGTGCTGAACCCGCCAAAGAATACGACCTTCATTCGTGATGCGCAGAAGGCGTCTCAAGAAGGTAAAATGCAAGGGATCTCTGAAGTGAGGAGTTGTACATCTTTGAAAGACCGTTTTTGATCCTGTTCTAGGTTCTCGGAGAGATACACCAGGTGATGACAAAGGCACTGGGGAAGATGATCGCTAATCGTTGTTAGGTCATCCTTGATGGAATCTCGAGCAAGTTCAAGGACGCAAAGAAGGATGTTATCCGTGGGCGACAACGTATAGTCGAAGAAGCCGGGGGAGACATTAGGACCATGGCGCTTGACAGGTGGGTATGCACCAGTTCGGAGGATCTCGGAAGCCAATTATGTTCTCCAGCGCACACCATTTCAACTCGATGATACCTCTCGAATTGGATTACACAAAATTCCAAGGGAGATTGTCACAGGTCTTGGAAGAGGCAAGTAGGACGAACCGCGCGTTTGCAAAGACGCTACGAGAGGGCGTTGAGGGACACGACCGAAGAGTATTGTCGGCTAAGTTTGCTAAAACGATAGTTCCGAGGAGGCGCGTAGCATAGGCGCGTAGATAGAGCCAGAAAGACATTCAACGCAGCCATTCTTTGCCCTTCTCTGAGGTATTGGATCGAGTAAGCATCTCGGGAGGAAGGGTCCGGGTCAACCGGGTCGAGGGATGAGGTGACGAGGATTTTGAGTTGAAATTGTTTACGTAAGGGGATTGCAAGTCGCGTGTGCCACAAGCTGGAAGGAGAGTCATTCAGAGAGTGAGCGCCCCGGACGACCATTATTTGCCTCGTCATCAGTAGCAGTACTCACCCTTGGGCAACGACAAGAAGACACCATCAGCTCGCCCCAGCTCTTCGCTCTCTCGCTCTCACTTACTCACACAGCGCACGTACACGCTGGTGACAACAACCTTCTGACCCTGCAGCGCGATGAGGGCATTTGATCCTGTACGAGATGCCGTGTTGAATTCCCCAGTCACCCCGTCGCAAGGGCTTCCCTACGCACATGCTTCCGGAGAAAACCATACACACCTTGACGGACATAGCGACCGGCTAGGAGCATCTGACTTCCCTTCTCCGTCCATCTCTCGGCCTTCCTCCTCTCGCACAACTTCAAGCCCCTCACTACAACGACGGGCTACTGACATATCAGTCCTCCTCAACTCAGACTCACACGAACCCAAGACGCCACAGATGAATAGATCATCTAGCTTGTCCCGTTTGCTGCGTGATAATAACGATGAAGATGGGAAACTGGCTGCCGCCCCGGCAATCCAGCGCAAAATGCCACCTGCACTCGATATCCCCCATGATGATTCTCATTTTCCAAGACAGCCCGTCTCTGGGCCCTCTCGGCCTGCCCCATCACCTATGAAGTCCCAGCTCACGGCTTCTCCAGACCAGACCGCGCCCCGTGCACACCCAGCCACGCCTGTATCGCGTTCACCAGTCACCATCACCACGCCAAGGCCTCTCTCTTCTTCTTCCTCAAATCCTTCTTCAGCAACTTTGGCAACCACCCGCAACACATCTCCAGTCATGCCTCCACCTCCCTCGGTGCCCACAATACCCTATAATCCACGACGAGTCACTCCTGCAGCGTCTGTTCTTGTTCCCATGACGCCCCGAGAAATGGAAATGTATAAGAGCTATCGGGGAGTAGGGAGTCAGCGCTTGCTCGGTAAACGGAAGAGAGAGCGTAGCAGCGAGGCTGAAGAGGTGATAGGTCGACCCACCAAGCGCCACGCAGGCGATGTAGAACTCGTCGTGGGACACTGTGAGTACCGAAGAACTTTCACCATAATTTCATATAAACGTTTTGTCACAGACAACGCCCGACCAGAAGTGGGTGTGAAGCAGCGACTGGATTCACCGATTATTGGATTAAAGGCATTCAACAATTGGGTGAAGTCTGTGCTTATCACCCGCTTTGCTCATCCAGCGCTGGCCGCAAGTCGTACCAAAGGTCCACGGGGTAACTCCGGAAAGGTTTTAGATATGGGTTGCGGCAAGGGTGGTGATCTCACTAAATGGGCAAAGGCACGAATACGGGAGTATATAGGGGTCGGTATGTATGCTTGTCTACAAGAAGCCTTCAGCGTGATGCTAAATGACTTATGGTAGATATCGCCGAGGTATCTGTCCAGCATGCACGGCATCGCTGGGAAACCTTGCGAAGCCGGCCGTTCGATGCCTCTTTTGCTGCCCTTGACTGCTACGAGGAGCCGCTGTCAACAGCATTTCCTCCGGAACAGCTAACAACGCCTTTCGATGTTATTTCCATGCAGTTTTGTATGCATTACGCGTTTGAAACTTCTCAGAAAGCGCGGCGTATGCTCGACAATGTCAGCCGATGGCTGAGGCCTGGTGGAATATTTCTTGGAACAATACCAAACGCTGATCAGTTACTGTATGTTATTTCGCTTCTCGAACCTTCTGTTTCATTATATCGGGCAATGGTGCTGAGTCAGGATATTTGTACTCGTAGAGAGCAACTGGACTCTCTACCACCAAACGCTGAAGATCTGTCGTTTGGCAACGACGTCTATAAAATCCGCTTTGAAGACCGACACTCGCGACCATTATTTGGCCATCGCTATCACTTCTACTTGAAGGATGCTGTTGACGACGTTCCTGAATACATAGTGCAGTGGGACAATTTCGTACAGTAGGTCATGATCCCCTTTCAGTCCTTCTTGACAGTGGCTAAATATTATGTTCTATTCGTGTTTCTACAATGCTGACATGTTGACTTCCAGGATGGCGCTAGAATATGGGCTATCCGTCGTATACAAGGAGGAGTTCCATGGCGTGTTCGAGGAGCACCAGGACGACCCGGAATTCGGACCACTGATGGTGCGCATGAAAGTGGTTGACTCCAATGGTGAAAGTGCGATGGATGAAAACCAGTGGGAAGCTGCTAGTAAGCAAATACGTAACTCTGGCACAGATATTGAGGTTAACTAAACTTTCGTAGACATCTACATCGCCTTTGCACTCAAGAAAATGGGCTAAACCCAAGCTTAGCAAAGTGATATCCGTAGGTGTGACCTGGTTTGGTCTCTTCGTCACTATGTTTTTGGGCATTATTGTACTCGTGCTTTACTTTAATTGTTATGAATGCTCAATGCATCCGCAATCTTTGACTTGTAGTAGGGATCTCCTGGTTACATACATACTCAGCACGCATGACACATGTGCCCCAAGTTGACCGGTGCGGTATGCCGGCACGCGCTTGTTTGCTGATGTGATGAATGAGCACTGCAAACAACTTTCCTCGTTTTGCTCCCTTCACGTACTTTCTTGTAGACGCAAGGTGCAGCTAGAAGATGTCGACCTCGGGCTACAATTATCAGTCGCCGTCTGTTTCGATGGAGAAGGGCACGTATCGCATGCGCCCACCCCGGAGTAGTCGTCCGACTGTACCTACATCTGCCATCCGGGAAGGGTTCATCGACATCAACACTCGACAACGAAGCAATTCAGACGTCACTTCAAAGGACAAGAGACTTATCACCCTCATTTTCCTGCTCGCTGGCGCCACCATCATTAGCTTTGGGACGGCCTACTATCTATTCGCGACGAGGTACCCTTTCACGCTCGTCTCGCCCACTGATCCGACTCCTGACAATATCGCACATGAAGCCGTCCCGTATGAATTTCCTGATTCGCGGCTGCTCCAGCAGCTGTATGACGACCCTCAGGCCAAATTCTTATCATATTTCCCTCACAGCGGTTTTCATAACCAGCGCATCTCGTTCGAGAACGCCCTCGTTTTGTCTAGCATTCTTAATCGCACACTACTTGTACCCCCCATTCGCTTGGGCAACAAACCAATACGATACGTCCAGTTTGACAAGTTGCGTCGTTTTATCACGCTAGGCTATAAAGAGGGCCTGCATCACTGTTTAAGTGTCCCTCAGAATGTCCATTCTCCGGACGAATGCGTCGACTACTCCGACTACACCTTTGTGCCTTGGCAATGGCTCGTCGACCTCAGCCCGTTGAAGTCTCGCGTCTCACTTGTGCCCTATTGGAACGTCACGGAGATGTGGTTGGCAGAAAACCTCAACGTGTCAAAGGAGGACACGCTCACTTTGCGCGACGCCAGTCCTTACGACTTCAGGTTTGTGGACTACTCAAACGACAGGCATCTGGCAAGCGGAAAGTATCACCAATCCGTTGAAATCTCAGGTCTACAAGGGGCTTCGCAACGGCTCATACGGCTTGGCAGTCTCTTCGGGTCGTCTCGGGTCCATCTGCGATCGAAACAAAACGCGATGCTCCGGCGAGACGTGAGGAAGTCTATGGCCTTTGCTAGTCCTGCCTTGATCAAGACCGCCGATCTGATACGAGACCAACTTGGCGGGGTCTTCCTGGGTGCTCATGTTCGCGTGGGCGACGGTCGCTTCCTTCAGGACGCAGAAGAGACGACGCGACAGATCTGGTGGCGGCTCGTGCACCTGGCTCTCGGCTACTCGGTGCACGATACTCAGTACTTGGAGTGTCGACAAGAGAAGCTCTACAGGGAAAGCTGCAAACTGCTCGACCCCCCGCTTCTCCTGATGGATGGCCCTTCTCTTCGGACTCCTCACCCTCCTCTGGACGACCTTCCGAAGGTCTTTCGACCTCAAGTGCCCTGTCGAAGGAGGCTACACACCTCGCCTTTCTTACAGCCGCTTAATGTACCCCTTTTTATTTCCACGGATGCCAAGTTCCCCACCGACGACTCGCACCTTGCGCCTTTCATCGACACATTTCCGTGTGCTTTCTTTCTTTCTGATTTCGCTCATGAAGTCGCACAGCTAGATGTCCTAGTCAACGAATACGACGGCCTCCAGATGAAGCCGTTCGTACTTCCGTTCTTAGATGCTATGGTCGCTGCCCGTGCGCGCGACGTCGCGATCACCAACGGAAGTACGTTTAGTTTCTTCATTCAAGATGTTCTTTGGCGCTCCCACCATGGCTGGGAAATAGTTCAAAGGGGCTGACTCTTGATGTCATCACCAATTCATATTCCAGATGCAGCAAAAGGTTACGGTAGTAACACGAAAAGAAAGTCTACGTAAACCAGGTGTATGTATTATCAGTAATTGTACAAAGATGTGTATAAAAAAAATTCAGCAGCGTAGAGCCTACCTGCCGACAAATATCCAGGGTAGAAAAGAGGGGGAAAACACAGTCTGATATATAAAAGGTTTGAACTACACAAGAAACGGAATGTAAGCAAGCATATAAACCACAGCCTTCCATTACTCTTGTCCGAACCCAACAGTCTCCCTGGAGAAAGGCAATGGTTTAGTCCGTTTCTTGTCAAAAGCCGAGAAACGACGTACTCCACAGCCAACGTCAACTTATTCTCAAGACTGGCATAATCCTTGTACGGAGGCAAATCAATGCGGTTGAAACACGTATGACTCTTTGGCAACTGTGAAGGATCGCCCGACTTCTCGATCGTGAAGCGTCTTGGCCCGTCAGATCCTTGCAAATCTTTGAAGCCATTGACAGGTATCCGTGATGTGCCGGTGGCGAACTGGAGTAACCGGGACTTGCGTTCGGGAGGCCAGCTGCGCACACACTTCCAGAACCACTGGATGACCTCGTCTTCGAGAGAATAACCACGGTAGTCCGTGAACTTCGACCAATCATCACTGTTACACAGGGAAATTAGTTGACGATCATGTCGTATGAGTAGTGCTCTTACACGTCAATTTCGGACATGCCGCCGATCAAGAGCTCAAGCTCTCGCTCATCGAATACAGTGATGAGGTCCTGAGGGATGAGTTCACTAAAGCCGGACATGAAAGCATCGAACTGCTCCTTGACACGCTTGGAGATACGATACTCGACCACGGCATCAACATAATCTTTCTTGTTATCCTGCGTCACGGGCATATCCGCTCCGCCAGGCTTCAAGTCAATGGTCACCATTTCACCGAAGCGTTCTTCGGTGGTGGTGAACGTCTCGTCAATGACATCTGTGATGTCGTTCTCGCTGTGTAATGGTAAATTATGGTGATCATGCATGATGGTGATGAAACGCACAGCATCCAAGTGAGGCCACGGTGCAACTCAGCATCCACAGACTCCAAATCGGAAAGCGTGACTTTCTTCTTCAAGATCATTTTATAGAAGCTAACAATGAAGTATGCGTCCAAGAAACGACGATGGAAGATGCCAAGACCGAGGCAGCGGCCGATGAACTTGAAGTAGTTGAGATGTTCGGGGTTGACACCGGAGGCGGGGTTTATCTGCAGTGTGTAGTTGTCGTGGGCCGAGTACTCGAACAAGCAATAGAAGGGGTTGAACATCTCGTGTGAGAGAAGGAAAAAGAATTCTCTGCTCGATGTCAGGATCGATCCTTGTGCCGTTATATTAAGCAACATACCTCGAGAGACCACCATAATCGAGGCCGTCCTCTCCATCGAACTTGATCATCAACCGTTTCTTGAGGTCATTCGACGTTTGCCTCATAATTTCGGCATAACTGTCCTCAAAGATATGGTTACGGCGAACTTTAATCTGACAATTGCCGGGTTGAGCACGCATTGCAGGCTGACTGCGGAAGTAGATGAGTTTCCTGCGGAAGTCGCGCTTATATTGAGGTACATTGGCGTCAAGAGTCGAGGGCAACCGAGGATCGTCCCATGTGGTTGTCTTCGTGTTATGGTCAACGAAGTACACACGCGCAGTGGAGGTGAGACGCATTTCCCACCCCGAGGGCAAGGGACCAAGCTGTGAAACAGTCTGGGGCTGCAGCGAGGTGTTCTGACCGTTGGGTCCCATGACCCGAATAATGGTTTGACGCCGAGGGTCCACCCATGTGGTCGTGCGAGTGTTGTGATCAACGTAGTAGGGACGACCTTCTGGTGTGTACCTCTCTTCCCATCCAGCTGGAAGGCTTCCCGAACCAGCTGTTGTGGTGTTGTTGCCAGTGGCAACAGCATTTGCGGCACCAGTACCACCAGCTGCAGGCGCCGGGGGAGAGGCAGAGCTAGCACGGAAGGACGAGTTCCCTTGAGTGTCTACCATATCGTCGGCAAGAAGACGACGCGAGTGTTGATCCCGGGCAGCGTTGGTTTCACCTTCCTGAGCACTATTATTGACATTCTGGTTGGCTGAGGGCCTGTTCCAGGTAGTACTGCGAGTGTTGTGATCGACATAGTAGGTCCGACCAAGAGGATCGATGCGTCGTTCCCAGCCAGCCGGAAGGGGGCCGTATTGATCCACGTTCGGGTTGAAATTGCGAGTCTGCTGCGAACTGGCTTGGGAGCCAGCAGATGTGACCAAATTGGAAGCGGCGGCCGCCTGCGAGGGCTGATGTGGGCCAGCACCTCCACTGCCACTGGTTGGCCGCGCTGAGGCCGAACTGTGGTGAGACAATGAGTCCGGTTCTCCTGGCGGTGGTTGGATTGGTATATGGGGAGTAGGCATAGCCATCTGAGGAGAGGATGCCTCGGCATGAGCCTGAGCGCTAGGCGTGCGAGAGAGTGAATTGCCGCTGGTGGAAGTGTTCGGGTTGAGGGAAAGGTTTGACTCGTTCATCCCCATGTCAGCCAGGGCGGATGTGACACCCTGCACCTGGGATGGACCAGGGTTATTCATCGGTTGATTGACATTAGTGGACAAATAAATGATGAGTTTGCCATGAACGACAAGATTATCATTCGATTTTTTGAGGTCAAGAGTCAACATCTCTGGGGAACACCATGAGTTTGCCTCCACAGCATGACAAAGTGACGGGGACGCACCATGCCCCCCTAGCTCGAGGTCCAGTACGTCGCTCACTCGCACATTCACCACGCCCAAAAAACCTTGATCACGTCGTTTGAATTTGCGCTGGTCGAAGATCTGGACTGCGACGACTGAGGAATCCTTGACCGTGCTGCGGAATGCTGTTCGTTAGAGAAGACCAAATCGGAGGGCTGAATGGGCACAAACATGTCGAAGCTCTCGTTCCAGTAGGGATTCAAGGTCTTCTTGATGACACTAGTTGTATGTGTCTGCTCAGCATCGACGGTTATGACGGCAAACGGGTCCGGGAGACGAAAGACATCGCGTTTCGATAATCCGTCGGCAGCGACGACTGTGAGATAAGAAACGAGAGGTCGGGGGTGGGATAATCAAAGATAGCAGCTACTTCACATACCAGTGATCCTGATTTTCTTCCTCCTGAGGAGAAGGTGGTCAGCGCTAGTCAAGGGGGGTAAGGAGTAGGTTAGGGTGGTGTGTGCTCACAGAGCATGATTGGTGCCCGTCATAGTTTTCGAAACGGGAGATCGCGGAGGGGCGGGAAGATCCCTGGTGCCGGGTGAAGATGGGAACGAGGTCGTCGACGAGGATGGCGGCGGCGACGGCGGCGGCGGAGGCAGGAGAGAGGGAACTCAGTCCGATTTTCAGACACCGCCCTGGGAGGTCACAGGTCGGCAAGGCGGCGGCACCGACTTCTGTTTATGTAAGCCCCTGACACCGCCATCGCCATCGATTCCATGTGTTCGCTGACCACTGCAGTCTCTGTTTATCGCACCACGCACATTTGCTTCATGCTCGCTTACTCCTCCGCCTCATCTCTTTCCATCGTACAACTCTCTTCATTCGTTATAGCTAAGTAATTACAGTGAACGCTATGGAACCTTTCATTCAGGGACCGCTGTGCTCTCCAGCTCCATTGCGGCTACCGGTGGAGTCGCTCCGCCCCGGCAACCCCGAATCGAACGTGATGTGTGGAATATCCACCTCCAGATAGTCCACCCCGATGGGACCATCTCCTCCTCTGAAATTCGGCCTTGTTGTCGCTGATCGGTGCAGCACCTCTGTCTCCTTCATCTCTGGCACGCTTTGCGGCACTTGCATGACTGTCGCTCTCCTCTTGACGTCCTTTTTCAGGAAAAAGTCTTTCGCTTGAGAAAATGTTCCTCGTGGCCTTGCTTTTCCGAATGGGCTCCTGTATGGATATCTTGCTTCTGGATCCACGAACTCTGCTCTCTCAGAACATGCCATATATGTTTCAGTCGCTGATGACACAGTCGGCTTCTGCTCCGCATTGAGGCTCTGTATACCCTTGAGGACTTCTTCCAACGGATTTCGGTCAGGTGTGGCGATAGGTGTATGACCCGAAGGCTCGGCATTGGAGAAAAGGTTGAGGGACAGCCCGCTACTCGAAGGTCCCCCTCTCGGAGGTCCCTTGTTTCTCTCGCGAAAGATTGACGCCAGGGAGGCTTGCGTTAACAGTAACCTCGAAGGTCGTTTCTGGGTACAGGGTCAGCACATTTCACGTAACAAACACTGTGCTGTCGTGACTTGCTTCAACTCTGTGCGGACGCTTGGGGAACTCTGGGGGCGAATCCGACTCGTTTGGTCGTCAATACAGTGATGCTGCTGAAAAGCGCAAACAGACTCACGCAGATCCTGTTGGATGCGTCCTGATATAACAGTCAACTTTAATGAGACAACCTGACAAAACGGATTCTGACCGAGGATGGACCTGGTCGACTGATGGATTCCGGAGATGACGATAATGACATATTGCCGCTCGCGCTCTAGTAAACCTCTTGATCAGCGTTGGTACGATATCTCGATTCTTGACTCACCTGATTGTGTGCTTTGGGCGGGAGGCTTTCAACGAGGTTCGTCATCGAAGTCAAGAGGCCGCTGGGGACGCAGCACCAGTTCCGTGTATTGAATATATGACTAGTACATCATTATTATTCAAGTTTGGACGGAATGTGTGGAATCCGTCTGCTCTGAAATCCTTGTACCTTATGCAAAGAGTCTACTCACGACTACTACTGTACTACTAGTACAATCACACACGCGGGGAAGGCCCAGTTTGCCAGATGTGCGGACGCCACGCTCTGTTTCATGTCAGCGATGTAATAACACATCATTATTATTCAAGTTCTATTCAGGAATACAGCAGGTATGGTGCGAGTTTATCGATAGTAGCCATGAAGCTCGAAGTCCGAGGCTAGAGTACTTGAGTACCGCGCAAGTGGACAGCAGAGCGTTTGAAGGACGCTATGGGCATGTGGGACTCGGTCTACGTCGACGCCTGCCCGAGTCCGCTCGAAGTGGGCCTTTCAGGGTTTCAGCCGTTCTATTACATACACAACCTGCATATCAATTTTGAATCGCAAGCTGGAGGCTGTTTACTCCTTCGCACATCCGTTCTCGTCCCGAGCACCTAACTTCTGCCCGTCGTCTACTGTGAAAGATGTCGGCGAACACTCTACCTTTGCACACTGTTAGCCTTCTTCTTCGAACGGCCTATCGAATCACACGCTAAACGCTCCTATGTCTAGGCGCATCAGCATGCTGCTAATGCTGAAGACTTTCTTGGCCAAGGTCTATTCATACCAGCAGCGGAAGAGCACTTTAAAGCAGCAGAAGCCTTCCTGACCTGTGTCGAGAAGTCTGACAATGACAATGTTAGCCGTATGTTTTTCACGGTACGATGTCTACTGAAGAGCACATCAACTTAGCAGACCAAGCGCACTCTTCGGATGCTCCATAACGACCACCTAAAAGCTGGGAAGGACCTTGAACGACGCATTGCCCAACTGAGGGAGGAAAAACAGGATCCATCCCTACCTCAGAAACTATCCCCTCTAAGCAAAGCGCAACCACGCAGCGCAATGCCGTTAGGTTCCACACCTTCTACATCGCAACTGAACCATGCCACACCAATCCATGCGTCCACTCGCATGGGAGAGTCACATAATAATGTCGATGAGTCGTTTATGATGCTGGGGCAGCAGGTAGTTTCACCTGTTTCAACCTGTTTGTGGGATCGCTCATCAAGATTACCTCTCATGCTTCCAATAGTCAGATCCCGGCGATGCGTTCAACAACTTTTGGCGAACTATGGAGGGAATGCTGGACAACTTATCCCAGCCTGTTGCCTTCGCTACAGCGCCGCTCGGAACTGAGCCTCATGCCCCATGTCGTGAAGAGAGCGCCAGCAGTGACACGGATGGTGAGGCGCTCCCAAACCGTCTCCCATGGAAAGTTCCAAGGAACTCCAAACCTCGAACAAGTAAAGCAATCAACTCAGGCTATGCTTTGGGTGCTCACGCTGAGACAGCGTGGCAAGAACACGGACGATCTCACGAGGGAACAGACGACGAAGACGTTTTCGCAGACGACGGTGCGTTTTTGCCCTCAGAGAGTCCGTGGATCACGTATTGATAGTTGTCCAAAGGCAATGAATCATCAGAGTCCTTCTGTTTGATCCCTTCTGGCTCCGAGGCCTCATCCTCCCTGAAGGCAGAGAATATTGCGCTCAAGAGGGAACTGGAAGCCGTGCGAAAGCGACTTGATGTAGCGAGCCGTGTAATTCAGCTGCGCAAGGATCAAGATCAGCAGCTCCGAGACAGCATCGTATTGGCCCGAAATCAGGTTTGTGGTTTATTGGTTGAGAAGAGTCCAAAGTATTGATAGTTTTGCGCCATACAGGCACAACGTGCCATGGGGGCGTCTTTGATGTTGTCGAGACCAACGCCCGGCCCTCCGGCAGATCTAAGTGCCCTGAATCTTAACTTAACTACTATCCCGACGCCGATAACGCCGGGCAATGCCGGACGTGATCGCGAGGCACAGCTCCTTCGGCGGATCCGTGAACTCGAGGAAGAAGTCAGAGCGGTTCGCACGGAGAATGAGAAGCAGGTAAGCCACGGTGTTCGTTGCTCATCTGATTTGCCGAGGCCAATCTGCCGCTTCTAGAAAGTGATGATTGCGCGTTTCCGCGAGAAATGGGAAAAACTCAAGGAATCTGCGAAGCGCAAGAAAGATGCCAAAGCAGCGTCGGAGGCACCCAGAATGGCAGTCCGTGATCGCATAGACGAAGAGCCCGAGGCTGAGCAACAGCTCGATGAAGCGTTCAACGCGAGATAGGTGATACAAGACCGCTTTGTGTACGTGTTAGCGAACTCACCATCTGTATACTGCAACGAACCTGTAACGCTGCACTGGCGATGCAATTCTTGCTATGCTGCGGATGATTGCGGCCCTGCCTCATGACACTAAAGGTGAGTATACAGAAGCAACGTGGAATTTTTGGAGACTGAACATGTCATGTCCCCAGAAAATGATCTTTGTTTTCAAGTCTTGGATAAAGACCTGAGCAAGTGACAACTTGCAGAAGTAATATGATAAGCGCCACCAGGCGCCCGACACGGTGGCGGTTGCAGCAGTGTCACAAAATTAGAGTACTTTGGTGAAGGATGTACCATGCTTCAATCTATTTTACAACATTACACCACATTTTATGTCATACCGCGTTCAAGATAACAGATCGAGTTCGCTTGGGTGGTGGGGCAGATGCCTTCTGTCTATAGCGATTCCTAAGCCAAGTTCAGTCAACGATGGCAAGATGCCAATCTATTCACGCAAAAAGACCATAGTCCATAATGCGCAAAGATCGTATCATGATGTCAAAGTCTGGCTCAATATCACCCTCTGGTACATTGGCGGTGACAAGCAGGTCCACGTTTTTTCCCTGGACACGGAAGAGACCCATGAAGATGGTGACTTCGGTGGGCTGAGGTTGGTTAAATTTGACAGCAGACTGCTTTCCTCGGAGAACGACCGGGGACGGCGTATCGTCCATCCTATCATTGACGATAAGTCGGGTATCAAGGACTCGAGGCTTATCATCTCCGTTTGCCTGAGCGATGTCTGTGAAATGATATCTATTTTATGCACGTGTGGGTGTGTGTTCACTGGGCGGGTGATGGATAGCGACCTACTTTATTGCTTCGGTAACATCGGTGGGGGGTGCATGTTCGAGAACTTCGATGATGAAGCTTGCGTCCGAGTCAGGGTAGACGAAGACTTCTTGGCTATCGGGCACCTGGCGAAGTTTCCTTGTTTCGTCTGAGGCTCATGGCTGTCCCGCTGGGAAACAAGGATTGACGTACGAAACGTCGACCAGTCGGGTTGGGAGGGTGCACTGGATCGCGCCGCCGAAGAGCTCTCGAATAGATGACATCAGGTGTGCTGCTGTTTAATGTTCATATCAGATAGACCAATGGCAGTGATTTCCGTCCGTACCTTGCTGCTTGGGTGAGACTGCTGAAGGACCCTACTAACGTTGAAGAGTGTCTGGTCTCAGGGGTTGTAATTAATCTAGCCATGGTCACATGACCGTCGCGTACCGCGTGCGTTTGTCGCTCCGGATCTGGATCCTGTCATTTGCCACCTTCACGTCCTCGGGCCCAGCTGGCTGCTGCTCCGGCCCGTCAACAAAGGTCCTCTTAGTTGCGCACCATGTCCGACATCCTTCGTAGATCAACTTTGCACAACTCAGTAGATCCTTATGCGGGTGCCCGCTCAGGCATCCCAATGCCCTCCACAATCAAGAAACCAGCACATCAGTCTTCAATGAGAATGTCTCTTGCCGGCGGTGGCATGCGGCCTCCTTTATATCCCCCTTCCGGAGCTGTGCCCAGCTCAAATCCTCGACAGTCAATGCTTCGCTCTCAAAACGCAAATCCCCTGCTCCAGAGTTCGACCAAGCAAAACTATGGTAGGACTCCAATGAGCAAGTGCGTCCGTTTACCGCCGTCAACTGTTCATGGCTTTGAACAAGGAAAGAGCTCACGACAAACCTAGCAGTGTACGCAGAGGCTCGGTGTGGGGAGGCAATGCCCTTGTTGCCGGTCCTTCTGGCAGCCAGACCATGAAGGATCCTCGACCAATTCGAGAACGCTCCTTCCAAGCTAAGATGCGGTCAGAAATATTTACTTGGCTGCAGGCTACCGAATACGATATAGCACCGTCGACACTCACTAACATCACTGGAAAGGACTACCGGGCAATATTCCACCACCTAGTCCAAATGTTAGACCCCTTTTACCCGTTCGACCAGAGATTACGTTTCGAGGATGAGTTTCAGCCATGTCTTAGAGCTATCAAGTATCCGTTTGCGTCGTCAATAGACAACAAATGGCTAGCTGCTCCTGGAAGCATGCACTCATGGCCCGCCCTTCTTGCGGTTCTGTACTGGTTGGTCGAGATGGGGAAGGTAAGCCGCTCACTACCATCTACTTGAACATGGGGATGTTAATCAACTTTCCAGGCAAGACTGCATTACCTGGAAAGCGACGATCCTACCCTTCAAATACCGGAGAAAGTGCCAGAAGAGTTCACCGATCCCATCCACCACCAGACCTTAGCGTTTGAGTACTTCTCCGAGGCATACGTGGCCTTCTTTCATGGAGCAGACGTCTTCGAGGACCAAGAGAGGACACTGGAGGAGCACTATGGTATGGGTACCCGCTATATATTATCATCCTCAAGCTCTGACACCTACTTCAGGTAGGAAGAACGAGACGACAGTGACGGAACTGGCCAAAGAAAATGCCCTGCTGGAGCAGTTGCGATCAGAATATGAAGCCTTGCAATCGGCAGCGGTATGTAGTCATATATTGAGATCTACGGTTCTTCTAACATCACACAGGCACCGTTGGAAAAAGTTCAGAAAGACCACGGATTTTTGATTAGCGACAGAGCCAAGTTTCAAGATTGTTTACAGCGGTTTGAGGCGCGGAAGAGTCACCTCATCGACACCATAGCTTACGAGAAAGCAGAGCTAGAGAGCCGCTGTATGTGTCGCTTAGCCCAGCTCCGTAGATTCTAGGCTGACGTTCTCCAGCGTCTACCCTGGAGCAGTTAAAAGCAGAGCAACAAAGGCTATCCGACGTCGTAAAGGAGCAGAACCTATCTCCCGAGGAGGTCATACGCATGAACACAGACCACGAGACGCTAACTCGTAGCCTTGAAGATTTGAGGCACAAGATATCCGAAACGCATAAAACGGTAATGTCCCTTGAAGTCTCGATGACAAACCGCGCCGCTGCCGCTGAAGAAACTCTGGACGCCTACATCAACCTCTTGAATAATTTAGGCTTGCTGCCTCACGTAAACACTCCCCAAGGCGACATTGACCTAGTGCTCCAACTCAACACCGCCACAACGAACCCTCATCAAATGCTCGTGGGCGCAGATATTCGGAAAATCATCAAGCCTACGTTGAGCACCATAGCCGAGTCGAAACGCTCGGAACGTGCCGACGTTGAAAGCGAGCGAATCAAAGTGGATAACGAACTTGATCAGTTGACCTTGGAATGCGAAAACGTGGATGAGGAGGTGGGGGAGACCGAAAAAAAAGTGGCGGGCTTGAACGAACAAGCGGATGATCTCCGAGATGTGTGTTTGATCTGGATTACCTCCTTCTGACCATTCCATGATTAACACTGTCACTCTCAGGCTGCCCAACAAGAATCAGGTCTAAGCAATGCCGAAGCATCCCGACTGGAAAAAGAACTTGCTCATGCGCGCACGGCGGCATTATCAAGCGGCATGGGAGCCAAGTCTCGCTTGCAAGCTCTCCAATTCAGGTCTGTTTACTCCCTGTCAACGGCGCCGTCAATGTTCTTAAAAATAATGCCAGTTACCGAGAGCAAGTGACTAAAGTTGCGAAAGTCAAAGACGAAACTATCAGAGCGATTGCAAAGAACAGTCACGACATCGCGCTTTTCAAAGAGGAGGTTTCAGCCCAATTGAGACATCTGAAGGAATTTGTGGAAGAGGGGAGTTGATTTCGCCATGCTATGCTCCGTTCTATGGCTGCTTTTTCTGTTGATTTCTATGGAGTGTATGTATTATTGGTTCTATATCATTGAGGCTAATCATCTTCGGAAAGCTTCTCTTGAGAGGAATAGGATCCACCTCATCCCCTGCGTCGGTAGACCATCGGGTGTTTAACTTGTCACGAGCGAGGTAGTAGCGGCATATTCCTACCTTCGCCGAGCGTTTCTCTCGACTGCAGGGTAGAAAACCCATTGGGGCCGGTGGTGTCCACGCGAAAAGATCGTGAAACAAACGACAAATAAGCCTCCATCCCCACCCCTGCGGCTTAATTTCTCCCTTCAGAGTATTGAAATCTGCGGTTGCGTGCCGGAAAGTATCGCTTTCCTGGCTATATATGGCAGCAAGGTCTCTGGATCACATCCACGTGTGGCCAATTCTCAGTCCGTAAACAAGTCAAACGCCAGATATTCCAGCATCAAACTGCTCTCACCCGCCCAATGTTGGACAAATGTCACTGCCTGGCAGGCTGATGCGATCGTCCCGCTCAAGGCGCTTAGACTTTGCCGCGGAATACCCCGTTCTTGATCTGGATACTACTGCAACCCTCGGTTACTCGTGGCGAAGCTCGGAACGCCGGGGCTATTTTTAAGGTTCATCTCAACGATCTCAATGCGTCATGTTCTCTCGGAGGCGGTTCTCAAGCTACCAGACCAACGTTCTCATCTGAGGCACCGAGTATACTTGGACCTTGTTTCCCAAGTGTCTACGTCGGACGTACGCACGGTCCTAAGAATGCATTACAACCTATCATGGCGGACCGATATCAAAGAGACATCTCAGATCCAAGCAGGCCAAAACACTGTCTCGTGTTCCACTCCTACGGGAACTCGGGATCTCTAGAACCCTATCGGAACCGTGACCATGCTCAGTTCGTAAGAAAACATCCCTCTACACAACAATTACAGTGAAAGCAGGCGCGCTACCTCTTGGAAGCCGTTGGAGGTAATTAATGTCTTGAGGATTCGAGCTGTCATCAGGCTCCATGTCCGTCGGACAATCCGATGGGAGGTGATCGCGACGGGTCCCGACCAGAACAGTCGATCGTCTTTCCTCGTTTCTCCCTGGACCAGCAACTATGGCTCAAGGAACCGGACAAATCGCCTAGTTGCCGGACACTTCTGGGAAGCTCTGCGAGTTTGTTCCACGCGAGCCATACTATTGGTGCCTCGTTTTCCGCAGGCCATGGTAGTCTATCCTCGTCGTGGGTGGGCGAGCGGCTGTGGATCTGGGTACGTCCCACAGGGACGTTGACAAGTTTAGAACCTCTGGAATAAATAAATAGAGACAAGGGATCGTGGTCAGAGACACTGCCAACTCAGCTTTCCTCCTCCTTGAACTCGCAATGGCTACCAAGCATACGCAGGTTTATGGCGATGCAGAGAAGGGGACGCTGGAGGTTCACTCTCCCCAAGTCGCTGCAACCCATGAGAAGAGCGAAAAGAAGCCCATAGACATCACTGTCTTTCCCGTCCCGGCGTTGAAGAAAGATGCACCCACAACACCTCCTGCAAAGCCGGCAGCGAAGCCGAAGCCGAAGAGGAAGGTTTCTAGATGGATCCTCTGGGTCATTTGGTACAATACCTACAGGTCGGTGGAAGGTCCCGTATGCCTTGCTCGGTGTCTCATTTTCCGCCTACAGGAAGTTCTTCACCTTCGTGCTCTCGATAAACTTGATCGGGATCGGGCTGGCAGCGTCTGGCCACTTCCCCTACGCGATGGGGTACCCTGGTGCATTCGTCATCGGCAATTTGAACTTTTCTGTCCTGATGCGTAACGAAATCTTTGGTCGTTGTCTCTACGGCTTCGTCAACACGTTCTTCGCCAAGGTAAGTCTCCAATAAATAGCATGCAACGACAACAAGACTTACATTCACTTAGTGGACTCCTCTCTGGTGGCGTCTTGGCTGCACCTCAGTACTTCAGGTTCGCTTCAAGTCTCTTGTCAATCTGTATACATTGACTGAGCCTTGATCAGCATCTCGGCGGTATTCACAGCGGATGTGCATCGTCTGGTATCGCTTGGCTGATCCTGATGATCGTGTTCCAATGGAAGGAGTTCTATATGTTCAACGATTCCATTCTCGCGTTCGGTATCATCACGGTTGTGGTCCTCTGCATCACACTTGTAGCAGGCTTGCCTATCGTCAGAAACACGCATCACAAGTGAGTTGAGCGAAGTAGTATCAACGACGACCCCCTTATCCCATTGCGCCCTTTCAGTGTCTTCGAGAGAAACCATCGTTTCTTCGGATGGAGTTCTCTCTTCTTGAGTTGTGAGTCAGACCATAGGTTCACTGACACCGTTCAATGGCTAACAACATCAAGGGGTTTACGTTATCCTCACCAATACATATGACTCGTCGACAAAAACTTGGAACACAAGTGGCGTTCATGTCGTACGCCAACAGGCTTTCTGGTACGTCGTGGGAATGACCACCTTGTAAGTTTGATCGCGCACTTCAATAAAGTATTCATGCTGACATGTGCTTTAAGCATCGTTTTGCCCTGGATCTGCACACGCAAGGTTAAGGTTGACATTGAGCTGGTAGGCTGTTTTCGTGACGCTGCTCAACCTGCAAGACTAAGTTGCGCTGTAGCCCTCTCCGAAGGTCGCTGTCCTCCGCTTCGAGCGAGGTATGCAGCAAGGTCTCCTTGCGCGCGTTAGCCGCTACGCGGTTTGGGAGTACCACGCCTTTGGTATCATTTCGTCAGTAGTGCTCCATTCAAAAGTGCCCGATTAAGACTGAAACATTTACAGGGAAGGAACTCATGCAAAGTACCACTACCTGATTTGCGGTGTGCAAGGTACAAGGTTTCGCATTTTCTATCGCGGCAAACATAACTCATACCTGCGCCTGGCAGGCGACTTTACCAAGAGCCTGGTCAACGATCCACCCAGAAAGATTTGGACGAGAGAGCTCAAGGTAAACCAGCTTCTATGATGACCCGAGTCGACGGTTCTGACGGTGTTTCCAGCTCGCTGGTGTCTCCAACACGTCCACGCTCTATCGTCGTGGGATCCGTATCTGCACCGGAACCGGTCTCGGCGCGGCTCTGTCGACGTGCATTCAGTCTCCCTATTGGTGGGTCATTTTAGCCCATGGAGGTTATATATTCCCTAACGCGTACTTTCAACTTACAAAGGTACCTAATATGGATAGGTAAATCTCACCGAATGTTGAGGCCTCGCACCGGCACTAATCCCTTGTCAGGATCCGACCAGGAAAAGACTTTCGGTCCCACAATTAGTGGTCTTATCCATAGGCATCTCGGCCCGGAGCGGTATCTCCTGTGGGATAGCAAGGAGAGAGGTGGCCGTCCGGATACGATGAAAATTCTCAAGGAAGTGTACGACTACTGGCAAGCCGAAGGTGAGGAGGACTCGATGGTGCTATCATCACCTGGCTGATTCACATATGTGCCAGTCGTCTTCATCACGTCCAACTTCATAGGTAACGCTGAGATTCAGCAAGGATGTAAGGCTGCTGGTATTCCTGCTTTCGGGACGCTGTGGGATTTCGTAAGTTTTTCAGTATCGTTTACGGCAGCTCGGAGGATTGACGTGTCCGGCAGTAATCCACGAGGGAAATCTGGGCTCACACACCCATGGTGGTGTGAGATTTGGCTGGCCGTTGTTATCCACGCGTCTTGGACTCCCAGCATCTATGCGGTCATGTCGGGCTTCTCAGTGCATTATGGAATATATAGAAGCCTCAGAAGAGATTGACGTAGGCATGTTTCACGATCTACATTGAGATGATGATAGCCCTTCGGACGGATGGCGCCGGAGGCTCTGTGGGCGACCAAGGGGCCTCATCATACATATTTCTGATAATGTCATGGCTCTTGCCCTGGCAAACCATTTGTACTTATTTAACCCATCTCCATTTCATAGCAATTTATGTAGATATCTTGTACCACCTAACGTAATGAAACCCAGTTCTTTTGAGATTAGTGGTATCATATGCAGGATGGTAAGGCAAGGCGCTCGCCAAGGTGTCTAGTCTAGGTGAGCTTCCAATACTTGTCCGGGTTTTCCCATCCATGGCCAGCGCTTCCGGGGATTGATGTGTGTGTTCGGTTCTAAACGAATGTCTCGTCGGGCGAGTTCGGCAATTATCCGCGCAAGGTTCCGAGAATCCTAGAATCATCCGTGGTCATCCGACATTCAACGATGGGTCAAGTCGGAATGAAACTTACATCAATCCCACTGTGGAGGCGGCCCTGAAATGCTGGTAGTCCGAGAACTCGAAGCTGTTGTGAGATGTTAAAAGGAAAGTAGTTCACGTTTGCTGAGTGCTGAGTGTATTGATGAGGCTCATTCAATCACTCGGAAATCATCTGAGCAAGTACACGAACCCTTGTATTTCTTTTGTAGGATCCTTCATGCGGTTGTGCGACCATCGACACCACACGTCTTACATCCATAACATCTCCTTTCAACCAGATCGGCATCGGTATCTGCCAGGGATGAAAATAATGAACGGGGGAGCCTAGCCTCCTGACTAACCTTGGAAATGAAACATTGCTTCACTACAAAGTCACGGATGTCAAATGGTCCGTCCGAGCACCAGCAGAATCGCGCAACCGGTCTTCCATTTTTAGGGTCGATCAGACCGTGTTCTGCGAGGAATTTAGAGAAATGCTTGAGAACGCGAGGGAACGTTGGTGCATCTTTAATTTGATCCTAGGATGCCCAACATAGACCAAAATTTAGTGGTTCGGGCTTGAGGGGAACCACGCAAAATTAGACGAACCTGTGTGATGCCCGTAAGATCGGTGCAGAATTGAGATAACTGGGGTCTCCATGTGGGTTGGACGAAGCTGCGGAACTCATCTACAACGGAGAGTTCCCTCGCCTTTCCGCTGGGAGATTTGTCTTTCCACTTCATTACGCACACGGGCCATTCCTGTCACGTTGGAGAACGTTGATGTCGGATGCCATGGCTCCTCGACAAGAAAAGATAGAACGGACTATGATTTCATTGGGCCATTCAAAGTTTGAGCCCTGCTTGCATGTTGCTTCAACGTCAAGGACCAGAAAGACGTCATAGGGCTGCTTCACACGAGAGTCGATTGCGGGGTTTGTCTTGGGAAGAGGTAAGTGGTGATTTACACGGCAGAGGCATAATGTGGGTAACGCACCGAGGTTGTTTCCTCTTTATCTGGCTGAGGCGTTGATTGCACTGAGGGTGTGTGAGAAACGGTGGGAGCAGTCTGAACCCAGGACGAGAGAAATCGATAGGTTAGAGTGAGAAAGAGTAAAAGGGCGCCGGCCTGCCAATAGAGATCGATAGGGGCAGTATCGCTGGAAAGCCAGTCGTAATAGAGAGACGGCATGGGCATGGTTTTGGTAGAGGTTCGCTACGCGCTGCCAGTAGCTTACTGGCGTGAATGAAGCCTATCCGACGGTGTCAAAGTCGCCTGCAAGTTGTCGTTGGCAATGAGCGGATCGGGCGTCTGCTGCCTCATGGCCTTGTCAGTGCTATGCAGGACTAGTAGCGCTCAATTATTGCTTCCGGTCGACGTCTGGTTGTCCGAGAGGGTACCTTCGCGGACTTTGAAATGATACCAGGGGCAAAATATTTATCACTTTCTACCGGAATCAGCGCAGACCGGCTCAAGCTAACTTTCAGGCCCCCGTGTATCTCTCCCCGACACTTACTCTTCTACTCGTTCTGATGATTGCACAGCACGGCGATGACCTTGAGGATGACTTCGTCCCAGACGACCTCGTCGCCCTCTCTGGGGAGGATGACGACCAAGACGACGCTCAACCGAGGGGAGACGACATCAAGGACTTGCTGAGCGCAGAGGAGGACAACGATCTGGATGCGGCGCGGCAAGAGGAGGCTGCCAAAGAGAAAAAGCGAAAGAGAAGGGCAAAGGAGAAAGAGCGAAAGCTCAAGGTATGACGCTCTTTCCCTTCGTACCTCGCATGTTCTCTTACGGGTACTTTCTCGATACAGAAGCGCAAGGTCGCCGCACCAGAGGATACCTCTCAACCGACCTCCTCTGCCGCTCAATCTCCACAAGCTCTGGCAGATTACATGTCATCTCTGCAAGCCAAGGCCCTACCATCGTTATCCACCATGGAGCTTGACGATATTCGGATTCCCGGTGAGTGCTAGTCATGTATTGTGCGAATGGTATTTTACTTGACATCTAGACAGAAACCTCGATAGTGGACACGACTCAATGGACGGGATCGAGGTCATTGGATAAGCTCCCAGACTTCATTATACAAGGTAAAACAGCCCATACTCATGCCTACCGCTCTGCACGGCCTTACTGTCATCGCTTGTCACCAGTCCTGCCCACGCTTGTCACCAGACTGTCGCAACGGTCCAAGTCTGAAGGCTCACCCACCCTTCTGTTCATCTGCGGTGCTGCCCTTCGCGTTGCAGACGCTGTACGGGTTTTGAGGGACAAAAAGCTCAGAGGCGAAAAGGGCGGAGATGTCGCAAAACTGTTTGCGAAACATTTCAAGCTCGAGGATCACGTCTCATATTTGAAACGGACCAAGATTGGTTCTGCTGCTGGTACTCCTGGGAGAGTAGGCAAGCTACTCTGCGACACAGGCAAGTCTCTCTGTTCACAATTCTGCAGTTGAGGTTGACATATTCTCTTTGGCAGACGCTCTGTCGTTGTCGCAGCTGACACATATCATTCTCGATGCCTCGTTCCGCGATGCAAAGGAACGCAGTTTGCTGGATAATCCAGAAACTCGAGATGAAGTGATGAGGACTATCCTAGGAGCACCCAAAGTGATGGACAAACTTAAAGAGGGTAGAATTCAACTTGTGCTCTTTTGAAACCTCGCGGCTGCCCAGCTTTCATGAGGTAAAAAGTATGGATTAAAAATACGCATACAAATACTGTTCTAATGAAACCTATAAATTAGAAGCCCAATGGGTTGACGCGATTGGTGGTCTGCAAACATTGTGCTCGTGTTAGTAGCGATGTCGTAGTTGCGTACGCTGTGACCACGTACCCGCGTCCACTTGGGCACCTTATGTATGCCCTTGCGGTAACCCCGATGGTGTCTGCTGTAGACGGTGTACTTGTCTCTTGGATCCATCTCATGTTCCTTGGGGAGCAGAAGAGCAGTGTTCTGTGCATGCTTAGAGGCGTATACCAGAAACTATATGAAATCCACTCACAAGAGCGGCACATTGAACACCACTTGCGCGGACTGCTTCTATGACAGAGTCGACTTTCTTCAGGCGCGCTCTGGCGTTGGCTTTACGCGTCGGCGAGAGTTTCCATGGCGTTTTCCTGCTTGAGTGAGCTACGCTAGCATATAGGCGGAAGACTGGAACGTACCACAACAACCCAACCTGATTTACTAAGGACGGACGAAACGCACCAAACATGACAGGAATGTCAAAAGACAAAGGACAAGCAAGACGGGACACTGCGTCCGAGGGCCGACAGGTTTCAAACTCCGAATTTCGGGCGGACAGACGCGCGCGTCTTTGGACAACCAACTCGACTTTGACGTCGAAGCAGCGCGGCCAACCCAACTGAAGCACACGACGCTCGCCTCAACCATGGCTGTCGAAATACAAGCAGCACCCATCGAGAATGGTCTCGGCTCAACAGACGATGTCGTTATGCAGAATGGCACCAAGGAGAGCTCGCTCAGGTTTGCTAGTGGGCTTATCCTCCCACCTCCGGAAATCAAATGTGCGTCTTCAATCTTCACCCTCCTTCTGTCGGTACATCCTCTCATCCAGTACGCATAATGCAGCTGTCATTGACCGCACGGCTCTCTTCGTCGCTCGTTCTGCCAATCCGCCCCAGTTCGAGGACAAAATCCGCGAGAACCAGCGTCAGGATCCCAAGTTCTCGTTCCTCAACCCTATGGACCCTTATCATGCTTATTACAGGCATAGAATGGACAGGATAGCCGCAGGAGAAGAGGTTGATGAGGGAGGCTCAGAGAAGGCAAAACCAGCTACCATCGTTGAGCAGGCTCCCGTTGTGCAGGAGGATCTTGGCCTGGAGCCGCCGCAACCACAGTTTGTCATTGACTTGCCCAGTATCAGTCCTGTTGACTTGTGAGCGTTCTCGGTGTACAGTCTCTTTCAGACACCCTGACTAATATTGCTTTTAGGGACACCATGAAGCTGACCGCTCTTTTCACTGCCCGGAGGGGCCGTACGTTCCTTGCCACTCTTTCTCAGCGAGAGGGTCGAAATTACCAATTCGATTTTCTGAGACCAAACCACTCTCTTTTCGGCTATTTCAACCGACTTGTTGAACAGTATACAAAAGTCCTTTACCCTTCGAAGGACCTTCTGGACGACGTCAAGGAAAGGACACGGAACGACGCGAAGTGGAAGATTCTTGAACATTCACGACAACATGCGCGGTGGGAACGGTTGAAGCGGGAAAAGGACAAGAAGAGACAGGATGATCAGGAGGCAGAGAAGCGTATGTTGGTTGTGCTCTTAAGTCTCTTGCGTACTCACATCATATGCAGGTGCATTTGCAGAGATTGATTGGCACGACTATGCGATTGTCCAAACCATTGAATTCACGGCTGCGGACTCTAACTCTGAACTTCCACCTCCGATGACCGTGTTGGAGATGGAGAACATGACGCTAGCTCAGAAGAGGATGGCTGCCATGGTCATGGAGACAACAGCGGATGACGTTGAAGCCCACCGTGCGCGTCAAGCAGCTGCTGAGGCTGATGCTGCTGCCGCTGTTGGCGGGGCGGGCCTCAATGGAGAGGATGGCGGAGACACTGCCATGGAACAGAGTGACGATGAAGAGGATGGAGAAGAAAGGAAGAAGAAAGAGGAAGAAGACCGAGCTAGAGAAATTGAGCGTGCGCGGGCCATTCAGGCCAGTGCGAGCGCCGCAGGACCAATGAAGATCAGGGCAGACTATGTACCTAAATGTGCGTCAAACTCTCATAGTCTTTGGTCAAATCTGATTCCCGTGCCATGTCACAGTGGGCGCCAAAAAGGGCGTGGCTCACACTACCTGTACCATTTGCGGTCAACAAATCCCTGTTGATGAGCTGGATGAACATATGCGTATCGAACTTCTTGATCCTAAGTGGAAGTCGCAGCGTGACGCTCTGGAAGCGCGCCGGGTTCAGGCTTCGGAGTTGCTTCGTGGCGCGGATGTCGTTTCGTCACTCAAAAACCTTGCCCGTACTCGTGTTGATATCTTCGGTGCGGAAGCGGACGAGGAGCGGAGGAAGAAAGAAGAAGAGGAAGAAAGGAATCGGCGCAGAGAACGTGAGAAGGTTGTCTGGGATGGGCACACTGCCAGCAAAGTCTCGACAATGGACAAGTACTCGACGAATGTCAACTTTGATGAACAAATTGCTGCCATCCACAGGTCGAAGGGTTTGGGACCGTGCGTCTATTCAACTTTTGCACTGTCTGATTGTTACTGACCACCGAATAGGCAAGAAATCAATGCAATTGGGCCTGGCATAGGACCAGCTTCAGCACCACCGCCGGCGGTCAACAGCCTCCCCCCGGCGCCATCATCTCTACCAGCACCACCGCAAGGTGCTGGAGCCTCGAATCCCGCTTACTCTGCCGCCACCGTATCATCTGGGCCTCAACCAGCCTCTGCCTACCCCCCACAGCAGCCCCCTGTTATGCTCCCTCCTCTTCACTATCAAGGTCTAGATGCTGCTCAGCCTTTCGGCTACCAGCCTCCCCCTGCTGGCCTGGCACAGCGTCCGCCAGGGCCACCCGCAGCTGCCTCGCCTGCGCAAACAGGTACAGTGCGCAGTGCCGAGGAAATGGACGATGGCCAAGAACAGCCGGCCCCTAAACGGCAAAAAATCGCCAAGTTGCCTGGCGGTGCGGTCTACCCAGAAGCAGACTGGATCGCGATGCATCCCGTGAGTCATTTGTAACTAGACCTTATGTCTCAAACGGACCTAACCCTTTGTGTGCAGTATACGATCTCGCTACACGTCCAACTCCCCAGCGATCCGTCTAAGCCCGAGTGGAAATTGGACGGGAAGGTTGTGACCGTATCCGACTTGCCGCTCAACCTGCTCGTATCGACTCTGCGGGAACGGATTACGCAGGCCAGTGGTAGCCAAATGCCTGTATCCAGGATCCGACTGTCGTACGCTGGGAAGATGCTGACGAACTCGAGCACCATCGCTAATTACAACCTGGAAGATGATGATCAGCTGGTGTTGAGTTTGACTGCGTCGCGCAGATGAGGTGATAACACTCGTATGCATTTTAGCGCAGGTAGTTTTTCTTTTGTTCTATATTATATACAAACAGCTTCAGTATATTCCATGTAAGGACACTATATTGAAATGCGTGATAATGACGGTTTGAACGCGATAATGTAGGACGAAATGCAAAACGGAAACAATGATGAACAATGATATCAGAGCAATGCATGCAGACGAACATGATGGTGAACAAGTGCAAAGTAAGTATAGTGGTCGCGTCGGATGTGCCTAGTCAAAAAAGATGAAGATGGAATATGCCCGTGTGTAACCCATATATGCCCAAGGAAAAGAAGATTATGAAAAAATTGCTCCAAGTGATTTATCGCCGGTCATAGTCATCGTTGGGGGACGCTGCGCAAAGGATGGTGGGAGGGAAGGAGGAGGCGAACGGCGGTGATGACCAAGGCCGGACGACTGGGGAAGGGAAGGTGGTGGTGTAAACGGCACCGTCTGTTTGAGGAGAGATGTTGGACGACAGGACGGATCGAGATGAAAGAGTGCCCTTACTGTCTGCCCGGGGCTTAGTGCGGGCCATGGCGGAGTCCATGCGCCATACGAGGGGCACGGTGTCTCCGAGCCATTCCTCCTCCTGCTGGGAAGGAAACTTGTGGAGAGGCGTGTCGCGATTGAAGACGCTGTCTGGGCTGAGGAGGAAGGGCGACTTTGCGAGGGACGGGGGCACGGGTGCGGATGCTGGCTGCTTTGGAGCGCAGAAGGAGACAGCGCGTGCCTTGCGAAGGTCTGCGCGGGAAATGTCTGAGGACGAGGGAGCCATGCAGAGGACGGAAACGGTATGGAATGCTGAGCCTCTGTACGGAGCGGCGGGGACAAGGAGCGTGGCAGGGAGCGTATGGTTAAGGATATGTCCCAAGACCAGGAGCGATTTTGTGCAGCTGCGAGGGCGTCCGTGTGTGCTTCCGGCAGCAGAGCCGTCGCTGTGTTATACCCCCGCTCAGTGTCCTCCAGAAACCCGGGGCCGATCGCATTTCAGAGTTCAGATTTCCAGAGCAGTGCTTCCGCCGCCGATTCTGCCCCTCGATCACATAAGCATCGGCCTTCCATTCCGTTTCAGCCTTTCAAATTTCAGTCCCCGGACCTTACAGTAATGCGGCCGCCTCTTTGCCGTCCTTACAGCAACATACAGTAACATTAGATATCGCGATAGTCTCACTTATCGACGCAGCCCATGAGGTATTATACATAATTCTAGATACACACGCATGTCTAAATAGGGGGAAAGAGACATATCCAAAGTCCTTCCAATCCTAGTCAGAGCATCCTTCGGCACACAAGTCCGAGAACGAGAGCCAGCAGGACACATATCGCTGTGTCAAGCAGCAGGGTGGGCCGCGATGAACCTCTATCCGCAGCACGGACGACTCCTCCCCGGATGGCATTCTCTACCAACATCGGGGCGGAACTTCCATCCACCTGCGATTGATTGCTCTCTTTCCGATCTTCCGCTGTCTCCACTTCCCCGACAGGTACAAGATTGTCTCTGTCCGCCACCGTTCCGATCGCCGAATTGGTTATTGTTCTCGGCGCGTCGGAAGCCTCAGGGGCAGTCCCCGCACGCCCGGGTGCCTCCTCGTTGACAGCGACGTTGTCTTCAGTAGACTGGATCGCATCCCCAGTTTTGTCCGTCGGAGCGGTGTGAGGGTCGGGCAGACATTCCAAATTGGTCTGTTGACACTTGGGACACTTCCAATCCCGCGATCTACACCAGTTTCATGAGGTTCAGCATTTTAGGCAGTCACAGAAAGGAAAGCGTTGGTTCCTCACAATTGAGCCAAGCGTTTCCGTTCGGACATGGGGTATTCAACTGAACCCACGCCAGCCGCTGCTTGGCCTTTGAGAGGGAAAAAACCTTGTAGACCAATGATTGCTGTTCTAACGCCCCAAGCCGGCTGCCACTCTTCTTCGTGATCTAGACGCTGTGTTCATATGACCTGAGAGCAAGCTCATTGCATAGACTTACAACTTGTGAAGCTGATGCATATCTACGTGACAGAAAATGCGTTAGCTCTGGATACCTTATTCCATTTTTCCAGAAAGCTACCTTGGTGTTCAGTTCAAAGCGGCCATTGGGGGTGAGGAGCATGATTGAGGGCGGTCGAAAGGGGTATTCTGCAGGGAGCATGATACGGAAGTGGTAGATTCCGCCCTCGAATTCAGTGCCGGCTGGTCCGCGAAGGGTACAGTGCCACTCCTATGTGCGAGTTGAGATAGCGAACTTGCTGACAAAAAGGAGTGACGCACGAAGATATCGTCCTAACATGCATGAGCGCTCGTGAGTTCTTCGGCAAGTCAGATGTGCGCGGCGATGCAGAGGCGCACCTCGAGAGGTGCTGCAGAATAGTCTGTACATGGATCATTGGCGAGCTCTTTGGCTTCTTGCATGATTCGCTTGACGGCTGTGTGAGTAGAATACGACGCTGAGTGAGCTCGATGATGACATGTTTGGCGCATGCACGAACCGGCGTTGTTCTTGTTGAGTGTTGGCATCTTGCGTGGCAGAGGAGAGATGAATCGGCTGATAGAGGTGGCTGGAGTGAAAGGAAAGGGATCAGCAAGATGAGCTGGAGAAGTGCAAGTGGAGAGTGTATTGTCTGTGTCTGCAACTGTGCTAACGTGGACGAGCCAGTCTCCGTCAACGTGTGACACCAGACTTGCCGCTTCTGGACAGGCGCTAATTATGTCAGGACCGGTGCGTCTGGGCCGGAGACTTTTCTGTCTGTCCCAGTCCGACTGCAAGGTCACCTCGTCCCGACCAGCTCACCATGCCTGTCCACATCGCAAATGTCCGGGTAAGGCCCAAGAAAGGTGACTGACGCGTACTTTTGTCATGTCTAGCTTGCGTGCTCACACCACGTCTACAGCGCCGCCAACAAACTTGTGTGCAGGCCAACTGTCAGCCATGCTTGGATGCTGGGCGGCGACTAAAGACCTCCACAACACGGGCACCTGTGCACAGGCTGCACAGGACCTTTTCCACTGCATGCGAGTCACCGTGCGTCGACCCTCACTATCCCGTTCGCGTTGTTCACTGACCCCTTCCCCCGTCTGCTTCCTTTGGCATAGCCCAAGACAGGGAAAGTCGCAAGACCAAGTATCAACTACCATCTGGCGAAGCTCAAGAAGATCACCAAGTAGACACGCGTTCACACCATATCAAATGGCCGCCCACAGAGACGGGCAGCTTGCCTTGGAAGCATTCGATCACACGCAGCGGACTGGACACGCGTGTATCTCACTCCGGACGCCAGATGCGCTGCATGAGTCCTTCTAGAATGGTAGACATCTGCTTGCTGTGCGTGTAAATATATGGTATCTACAGCAAGTTTCCTCTTTGCTTCACCCGATTTAGGTCTCATTGTGAGGGTTGGCCATGGGCGGTGTCCTTCTTCAGCTATTGTACTCGGACATTGAGAGGGATAATGTGTGAGAAGCAAGTGCAAGCAGTTGTAAGCAGTGCTTGGACGCCGAATGCTCTTGTGCAGGACAAACGGGGCTCAGTTTGCAGTGAGACGGCGGTCCTGAAAAGGCAGGTCGTGCCCCTGGACAAGGTTTGAAAGAGTAAGGATCGAGCGCGCATAGAAGAAGTTATACTTACACCCGTTTCAAGCCTAGTCATCCTACTATATATCGTATTTAAACCGTAGGACTGGCAGGATCCGTCTCCTGTCTTTCCCTTCATGCCCCCTTCACACTCTGTTGCCATCTTCTGGGATTATGGTGCGTACTACCCCGCGTTGCGGTACTGACCTTGGCTTATTCCTTGCGTAGAGAACTGCAGCCCACCGGCTAACGCGCCAGGCAATGACCTAGTGCACAGAATACGCCGGATGGCTCATGTCTTTGGTGGCGTCACGACCTTCAAAGCATACACTGGTCTGTCAGACCCTTGCAGTTCCAAGACCTCCAAGATGCGCTCCGAGCTCCAGTCCTCAGGGGTGTCCCTCATAGACTGTCCACACAACAACAGAAAGGACGTTGTGGACAAGATGATTCTTGGTACGTACTCGAACGACTGTCGCCAGCATTGTTTGAACGTGACTTCTGTTACTGCAGTCGACATGCTGGCGTTCGCCATTGATAACTCACCAGAGGACGCCACTATTGTGCTCATTTCGGGGGATAGGGACTATGCATACGCCGTCTCTACGCTTAGACTCCGGCAGTACAGGGTCGTGCTCATCGCACCTCCGATATCCTCGCCGAGCCTGTGCCAGCAAGCGTCTATCATCATCGATTGGGACGTGGCGGTCCTAGCTAAGCGCTCGCCAGCCTCGTTTGAAGAACCTGTGCGGCAGCGGTATATGGACGAAGACAGAGAGCGCGTGTCGAACCTGTCGAACTTGGCACGTAACTTTGCAGGCGATTCCAGTGCCCGTCCTGCGAGCAATCCTGTGACACCTCCATCGAAGCCTCGTCGTCTGAGCGCTAGAGAGCTTTTGCGTCCATGCTTCGGGACCACCCCTAGTGCCCCTGCACAGACATTGACGACTCGTGGGGCTGATGACGTCTCCAGTCAGCCCCAACAACACCCTCCGCCGAAGCCGCCTGCGCCTACACCTCACCGATGTCGAAGTGCCAGTCAGCCAGGTGAGTGATGTGAGCTTATTTGAAGGCGTTTCGTCACTCACTACATTGGTAACCACGAAGGCCAGCGTCCTGTCGTTTCCCCAGGTGTGCAAGTCAATTCACAGGAGATGACACCTACATCCGAAGCCCTTAACAGAGGGTACCCATCACCTATACGGATACAACCCGACTCGGAGGTGCTTAAGAGTTCTTCTACCCCGCCAGAGGGTGCCCGAGTATCCACGGATCCACGTTCTGAACACCCTACATTTGCAGTGGCAAAACCAATTACTTTGGCAGCTGACCAAGCTCTTTCGTCCTTCGACTTTACTATGGGGAAGGACTCCGTAGAAAGATGGTCTCAGCTTTTACCTGATGCGTCGCTACCCCAAGGGTGCAGAACAGCTGACGAGGAGGTCACAGACCAGCATTTATCCGCGTCTGTTGAGACCGATATTGCGACGCCACCCAGAAACGCGACACCCCCCGCGGATCCGACGCCACTTTCGTTTAACAGTTGCCGATCTGAACTATACTACATGGCCAGAGAGTTCGAACCCACCTCGAGCACCGCCCAGCCATTCCAAAGCAGTGTTCATGTCGAACACGAAGCTCCCGAGGTGGTTGTTACCGAAGGTCACGGCAACTCAGCACCGTCCTCCTTTGATGCTTCGGTACAGTCGACGCCAGCCGCGTACGGTGTTAGAGAGCTACCCGACGCATCCCATTTTGACATCCTGTTAAAGCACCTACGCCTTAAGCTTCGCGAAGGGCAAGTGCGCGTCTTGCGGTCTTACCTTGCGGCGTGCATGGCTGTGCACAGACCGGTGCTCGAAGCGGCTGGAGTACCGGACCTGAAGTTCAGCAAGTATGTCAAGCTGGCGGCTCAACTTAGTTTGGTGAATATCGGAGGCGAGAATATGGAGTCATGGGTGTCGTTGCATCCGTCTCAGATGACGGATGAAGACCTGGAGCTCGCTGCTGCTGAGAACATTGCTGCCAAATACCAGGCCCGTTTGGCGGCCACACATTCTCCTTTCGCAGCGCTCCATTCCGCTCCGATGCGCAAGTCAAGGATGCAAGTTCCGAAACAGCTCCTTCCTTTGTACGATATCCTCAGTCGTGCGCATGAGAGTGGGATGGAACAGCCGTCTCGCACGGACGTCGCTGTCCAGCTCATGAAGCTGAAGCCGACCGCGTACACCGATGCTGGTGTTACCAGTTTCAAGGATTATGCTGCACTTGCAGAGAAGGCAAACCTCGTCGTACTCGGCCTTCAGAAGACGCATGCCTGGATGTGTTTGCAGCCACAGTGGAGAGGACTGGGTACTGACCATGGCGGTTCTCCAGCTCCAGCGGTGACATGGCCCATCAACCAGGCCGGCATGTCTTCCTTCTCTAATCGGGCATATTCTACGGGTCCGCTATCGACGAATTCGCCCATGTCGACGCATTCGTCGCTCTCCACTAGCCAGGCGTGTTCGTCAAGCGATGGCGTATCGCCACCGTTCGCGCCTAGAATACCCGCCGCGTTCGAGCCGCTGGTTGTCTGCCTCAGACAACTTCGTGCTAACGGGGAGCTGCAGCCTCTCCGTTCCAGGATTGGAGCTTTGTTGACTCCGAATGTCTACACCAACGCTGGTACCGCTGGGTTTAAAGAATATATCAGCTCTGCCGAAGCGGCAAGCATGGTGCAACTGGGTGGATATGGCGGTACCGCATGGGTTGCGCTACATCCTAGTAGGATCTAAGGGATATATATCAGGATCTACAGATAGATTTAACCAGTGAGCTATATAGTAGCTACGAACGCTTGTATGTATTGTATAAACCTCTAGTCGCTATAGCCAGCGTGTACAAACGTGTAGCATAGTACATGCACTCATTCACTCCTTGGGACTGTGGTCCATACCCGTACGACATCAGCGTCCTCTTCCAGAGACTCTACGAATTCAAAGAGTTCTTGCCGCGATTCTGGCGTGGTCTCGACTTCGTCTATCGGTGCATATTCTATTTCGTTCGCTATGATTTCGCCTTGGCCAATTCGTTGGATAGCAGAGGTCACATCTGCCAGTTGATTTGGCGGGCATATTAACTGAATGATTTATGAGCCTTTCAAGTTGTGGAGCGAACGTGTAGCTGAACCCACCTCAAGCCCATTGATTGCCAAGTCGTCTTCCACCAACTCACTAAAATCCTCGACTCCAGCTTCAAGGACTTCACCAAGCAAGGCTTCATGGTGCTCTTTGTCGAGCCGTATTCTCACAACACCCCGATGCTGGAAGAGGAACTTCACGGGACCTGGTCTAGCTCTGAATACATTTGTTACTTAGCGTTTAGGTTGTAACTTTGAACCCTGTTATACGCACCCGTGCGAGTTCCAGATTTCACGCAGATTTCCAATGGTTCTGTTGGTATTATCTGTGTGGCAGTCTCTGCAATATAAGCCGAGGGTCAATGTGATTAGGGAATAGTAACTTACACTATGATGCCGACGCTTCCGTTATAAATGAGCTCGTATTGAACGAACTGATGCCCTGCATCCTTTCCACGCCTGGCCTAAAGAACGATAAATGGAATAGAACTATGAACATTATAATAGAAAGAACGTACTTTGGCCAACGACGTTTCTATATTATCCCTTGGTACCCCGTTATCCTTCGCCTTACGTATGGCATTGGCTAACGCTGTGTTCGTCTCAGGATTCGGAGAGCCTCCAGCTGTAGGTCCGTCAGCGTACTGTGATGCGTTACTCGAATGTGCAACCTACCTCTTGCAGCCGTAAGAATATCCTTCGAGGAAAGGTCAATGAAAACGGGAAAAGGTAGCCATGTCAGAGACTCACTCTGGCCGCTTTGCCGTACAATGCAGACTTCTTTGCATCCTCCACGCCTTTCTTACCCTTTATTTTTGACCACTGTCAGTAGGACGGGAGAGAGCAATCGTATGAGGGGTGTGAGCGGTCAAAGTTACAGAACGTACGCACCTTGTTGTGTCCCGAGAACACGACGGACGTTGAGGATAGGAAACGTTTGTCCGTCTGGTACAAACAGCGTCTAGCGAGGGCGGGTATGGTACGGAGGCGTAACGTTAACATTGGCGTAAATATTCTGCGCGCGCCAGTCGCAACTTTCGCGATCGAAAGTGTCAAACTGGGACGCGACGGAATCTTATTGCTTCGGGCCGGCGGCGCGCACAGATATATCCAACGAACATCCTGAGCGCTTGAGCCACGCGTTTATGGCAGCGTCTTTCACTCACTGGAAAGACACCGTTGATTCTAGGTCTGAAGAAGGCTTCATCTAATTTTGGAGAAGTATAGTCTAGTCCTGTGTATCGTACAGCAACTCATGATTTACAATAATAAAGTCCGCCGCGGTTGTATAGGTATGTGTGGCAATCAGCTGTGCTAGGTGTCAAGCTCACGCTTCCTCTCCTGAGGTCGTGACTTTCACAAGGGAATTGGAAGGCGTGTCAGGGCGCGAAAGGGACTTGCCGATACCACTCTCTGCAGCCCGTACTGCCGAAGCGAGGTCGAAGTGGAAGAATGGTGTCTCCATGGATATCAGAGGAGCGGTTTCCGTACTGCGTCTTTCTTCGACGACAGTGTTTGCAGCGCGGGCTTCAATATCGTCATAGCGAGGAGTTTGTGAGTCGTCCTCGTCGTCCCATTTGCCTCTCCGGCCGTCGCGATATGGCACCACTGGCGCAACTTCATTGCAGGCATCGGCCAGTGAGATGCCAACACCGAAGCTGCCAGCAAGCAAGGCACGGCGGATCCAAGGAGAGAGAATGGTGGCAAAATGGAACTGGTGCGAATAGATGTTATTGATTGGTCGGTCAAGTCTAGGAAGGTGCCTTACCTCTACTGGATGGTCCGCCCATGCTTGCACCTCATTCCGAGTATCAATTAAACTTTGAACGGAGGTAGTGTCGATATGCGACCTTTGTGATCCGTCAGCACAGCGACGGAGGCGGGTACTATTGATGCTTACACAGAGGAGAAGTCCAGTACGATAGCGTGCAAATCGGGCTTGGCATTGTTTATTTTCCGTGCCTCCTCCGCTGATCCCGAAGGAGGACCGGGATCATTCCATGGTCGGTCTCGAAGACTAATACTGCTCATGTCCTTTCCGCGCTTCAGGTTGGCCTTGACATAATCCACAATAGCAGCGTTGACCGACGAGCAGTTTGGGTACAAGTAACTCTCTTCCAGGCGATAGATTATGACCCCAGGAGTCGGAGGGTTCACCTTAATGTCGTCGCGAGTGACGCCATCGCGGTTCATTGGCACGAAGACTTCGCGGGAGTCATCCTTGGATGAACCAGAACCATCGGACAAGGACACTTTGCCAAGGAAGTAGCCGCGAGGATGCGCTATTCTAACCAGCAAGAGCGCAAGCGACGAGCATATCGAGGTATAAATACCATTCTCTATCGTAGAAAAGACGGCAACGAGTACCGCTGCAGACCATATAATGAACTCGAGTGGTGAGACACGCCAGTAGGAGTACACCTGTGCCGGGGAAGCGACGAGGTCTGCTACGGCGTGGATGATTATAGCGGAGAGACCGGCACTTGGGATCCAGAAGAAGGCAGGCGTCAGACCGTAGAGAGCGACAATGACAACAATGGCGGTGAAAATCCCTCCTAGCGGGGTGCGCACGCCGGACTTGGATTTCAGCGCTGAGCGAGAGAAAGAGCCCGTGGCGGGGTACGCATGGAAAACGCTTCCGACGGTATTGGTGACACCAATGGCAACTAGCTCTTGGTTGGGATTAATCTTATAGCCGTTCACTCTCCCAAAGGCTGCGGCAATATATTGTCAGGATAGCTGTACTTGGTGAAGAAAGAACATCTCTCGTACATTTTGCGATTGCGATGTGCTCGAGCAACAGGATGATAGTTGCAACAGGGAGTTCGGGGGCGAGGGCGCTTAGGAGGTTGGTATCGATGTGAACAAGGCCAACGTCTTGGAAGCCACGAGGAACGTTCTGTAATATTTTGATGGGATACTTGCCAGAAGCACTTTTGTTATGACGGCAGTAAAGGTAGGCGGCAATGGTTAGGAACACAATCACAAATGCGTTTCTGGCCACCGAGACGAAGAAAAACCAACGGGCTGAAATGCGATCAGCACGGAAGACCATTGGTAATGGCTTTGTGCTCACCTCGATGAGGGTAGCGTTTCGATAACCTTTCGCAACCATATCGAATAGCATACAGAGCAACGAGCCCAGGCAACCCGAAGGCGGCATCAATGGTGGTGCTAGGCAGACCTTTCAAGGTCTCTATGATTACTGTGTATGCCGCCGCTCGGGTGCTAAAATGCTATGCGTCAGATAGAGCGGCTATTGCGTCAGCATTTCACATACTTGACGCCAGATATGCCCATCAAGGCGGGCACTTGGCCAGCGGCAATACTGATAGCAGAGCCCGTCATGAAACCGCTGACAGCTGGCCCTGGAATGAATTCAAGGATCCATCCTAGGCGCAAAAGCCCGATACCGAGGACAATGAAGCCACAGATAAACGCCACCGTTGTGGCAATTTCTGGGCCGCTCCATTGGTTTGGGTATTTTGCGTCGACATGGGCAATGATATGCGAGACCGTCAAGGACATGACAGCAACAGGTCCGATCGAGACGTCTTTGGATGTGGCAAAGAACTGGCGAACCCGTTATTGCCAGTAAATCACTCAAAGAATTAGGATACTCACGCAGTAGACAAGTACTCCGACGAACGAAGAATATAAACCGTACTGGGGCGGGAGCGTTGCCAGCTGTATATGTGGCAGAACAATGGTCAGAAACTTGCTTTGGGTTCAAACAAATAGAAAATATCACGGATATACCTGGGCGTAAGACATCCCTTGAGGGACTAGCACAATTCCCACAGTGATTCCGGCGACGAGGTCACCAGAAAGCCAACCAACATCTGTGAAACAGTCAGGGCTGTTCTTCGCCAAACGACGAAATTAGCCTACTGTATCGAGTGATCCAACCCAAGATTGGGAACAAACTTGTCAGGTAATTCAAGACCTGAGAAGCATGATAAGTGCGCGCTTGCATGCATGAAGGGTATATGAATGTACCTGGTTTCTTGGACTTGGAACCTCTTCTCGAATGTAAGTTTCAATTGAGACAGATGATGGACTGTTGTCAGGATGTCCGACGACATCTTTGACTGCCCGTCGGATGTTGGGAGACATGACAGGGAGCAAAGAGTAAGGTAGCGCTCAGAGGGACCGTCGTGACAAGGGGCCGAGTTTATGTACGAGCACGGTTTTGCCGAAGAGGTACGGAGAAGAGCCCGAAGAACCAGAAAGAGAGAATGACGCCTTGCGCTGGATGATGGATGATTAATTGATCAGGGGCCTCCGGATGACATGAGAACTTGGTTTGATCACCTACCGAGCAGAACCGACACAAGAGGTACGCAGTGTAGTTAGAGACCCAGGTATGCTGGTGGTAGTAGCTTCGTAGAAAATGCCCGTGTCGTGGGTGAGAGCAGCGCAGACTTAAAAGCTGATCTGTGTGAGGGCCCGAGAGAACAGATCGAGCTGAACGCCAGATTTCGAAGCCGATGCTGAGCGCTGAGGAAGCATCAGAAATTACCTGACGAGATACATAGAACCTCCAGAATTTCGCATGAGCACGCCATCTCCAGGTTGTGCTGACGATGTTTGCCGTAACTGGAAACACGTCCCCTGTCGCGTCAAAAGCACAGTCGCGGACTTGCAATTTATTTCCACTTGTCGTTGGTGCCTGGTGGGCTCGTGAGCTTTAGGTGAGCTTCCGGCGGAAGTATTGTTGACGTCAATATATGTACCAGAGGGGAGCTGCGCCCCACAGATAATCTCTCCGAAGCAGTTTGGTTTAGGTCCAGCGGCATATGAATGAATCTGTCCTCAGATTCAAACCTTCGTTTGGTCCTCCGTTCGTGATCAAACTATAAGTAAGCAGCTGCAGAATTCAGAATTAGCACACCATAAACAGGGGCGTAACGTGAGTACGCAACAGTTTAGACATGTGCCTTGTTCAATATATTGCCGTGCGCATCGGCAGTGCTGGTGAGAAATTGGTAGGTTGGATGGCTACGATGTTTGTAGGTTTGTAGGAAGCTGGTATAGGAAGTGATAGCAAACGCTCGGAACATATCGTGATCGGCCTTTTCGAAGTTATGTAGCGGAACGGATACATCAACCTGGTTCGATCAGTTCCGCCCCATTCCACCCCATGGGACAAAGTCAGCTTCCGCAAGCTTCCGCCACTGAGTATTGAATATTGAATATTGAATGTCTGACATGGCCTGCCGATCCGAGGCTGTCTCGGCAGCTTGACAGACTCGAGGCTTGCGTTTCCTGAACATTATGATCTATAATCTAACCTAGATGAAATCCTGTGCCATCGCATTCCCGCTGCTACATTAATGGATTAGTGGCATCGATGCTTGGACCTACTTGGACGCGTCCGAGCGGGACCAAACGCGCCGGCGGCAATTTCTCCCCCCTAAACCCCTGCCCCAAGATGTCTTCCCGCCTGGTGCATGGTTGCTGCGAAATTTAGCTGAGTAGTCCGCGAGTGCAACTCGTTCCTTGGCGCATGTAGAGATACAAAGGCATCCTTCTCGTGAACACGGGGTTTGTGTCCGTAGCTGGCGGGCCGATTTGTGTTTATGTTAACAAGCATACTGCTCATGAACGAATGGATGCAATAGCTAAGGACATGTTGACACTGCGAAAAAGGTTATCGATACTTGGTGTTCTCTTCGTCCACCTTAAGGCCTTAGGTCCGGTCCAATCCTATTTTAAGTGAGACACTGGGAAAAACTAGCCTCAAGCGGGGCCTTCACACAAAGTATATTGATGGTCAAGAGCATCGAGAAAATATGATTTTTGCAGCCAGGAAAGTTGTGTACCCACCAATCAAAGCCAGAATTTCAAGCCTTCAATGTCGCGGAGCCAGCGCGTCAAAAAGTTGACATTTTTGTTCCCTTCATATGGGTCAAGGCGGGCGGCAGAGCGAAATTCCCCTATCGTGAACCTGAGATTCAGGGCGACACGCAAGAAGTCAGTTACGCGTAAGCAAGTAAGAATATGAGAGAAGTTGGAACAAATCCGCCGCCGTTGTCATGCTTGGTTCGGGTGCCGGGAGATGCCGACGTCCAGAAGCGACTGCCGCACGTTGCTTGGTTGGGTGGTCTTTGTCCTTCTGACCAGAGCGCGGCGCGCCTCTGTAACGTGTAACGACTCTAATTCCTTTATTTTTTTCTCATTTCTCTTGTAACGATTCATGTCTTTCCCTCCAAAAGCAATCCCCCTAGTCGCTCCAGGACATACCCGTCCGGTCACTCACCTTTCATTCTCCCCTCTTCTTGACGACGGAGCGTATCTTCTCGTATCAAGCTGCAAGGATGGCAACCCCATGCTTAGAGAGTGGACTGGAGATTGGATTGGGACTTTTCTAGGTCACAAAGGTGCTGTCTGGAGCACGAAACTCTCCCTCGATGGCTCCAGAGCCGCAACAGGTAGTGCAGACTTCACCGCGTGAGTCACCTTGGAATATTCGGAGAAAGTGGCTTGTTTATACCGTGTCATGTCGCGTGTTCTGTGCAGTAAAGTATGGGACACATACTCTGGCAGCCCTCTGCACTCTTTCCCTCATAATCACATCGTTCGGACGGTCGCGATGTCGCCGTCATCGTCTCATCTTCTGACTGGCGGTCAAGAAAAGAAGGTTCGAAAATTCGACCTTACGAGGCCAGACGCCGACGCGGACTTCCTCAGCGAACATGGGACTAGCGCGCACGAGGGAACGGTGAAAAGCGTAGTCTGGGTCGGGGAGCATACTGGAGTTTCGGCAGGAGAAGATGGTCTCCTCAAGTAAGTGCTGTGTCTGGTGGCACTTGGATGACACTGAGCCATACCTTCTGCATTCAAGGTGGTGGGATTTACGCTCACACCAACTTACCACCTCTGTCACGTTCCCTAACCCAATCACCTCCATGGAGCTATCCGCACAGACACGTCGTCTAGTCGTCACCTCGGGCAAGACGGTGGCGTTCATCCCTGCCTTGCCTACCGGGGCACCTGCGCATACTTTGAGCTTACCATACTCCCCGTCGTCCGCGTCTGTGCATCCAACACTGCAAGACCGATTTGTGACGGGAAACCTTGCAGACGAGTGGGTTCGCGTACATGACATGAATGGCGAAGAGAAAGATGTCCTCAAGGGTCACCACGGTCCCGTACACTGTGTTGAGTTCAGTCCGGATGGCGAAGTCTTTGCTAGTGGAAGTGGTACGTATCTTTCTCCTCACGCGCACTATTCACTAATGATGTAACTTTTTGTGGCTGCTGCTTAGAGGACGGTAAGCACCAGAAGTCAGCTTCCTTAAGTTAATGCTGACCCATCTATCACGACTTTAGGCACGATCCGACTATGGCAAACAACACCAGGAAAGCCGTATGGTCTCTGGCAAGGGCATGTGAATGGGGGCTAGACTTAGCTGCTTCATATGTTTTTCGATCTTATTCTGGAGGTTCACCCATGTGTCAAGAGACGCTCTGATTGTATTGGCACTCTAAGGAAAGTGTTTGATAAACCATATATACAGAGGGGTTCTCGTGGAAGCACGTCCTTTTAATAACCAGCCAGTCACTGGGTATCTAAATGGCGATAGCCATTGATACCAATGAATGCGCGTTCGACCATCTTATCGCGCCGCGGACGTGATCATGCCGTACACGGACCACCGCACCCTGAAAGTTGATGCTTTCCTCCAGTGATTTCGTCTGGGCATTCCTTGACGTGGTTCTAGTGGTCAATCAAACAAAAGTCAATAAAGCCGTAAGCCATCCGAAAGCTCTTTAAAACCGACTGATGTTTATGATCCGGAGCGATGTGCTGCGCAAATGAAGCTGCTTCACTGTCATCGCTTCGTGTCGACCCAGTCAGGGTTATGACCATGCTCCGTTGGTGTTGATGCATGATGCCTTGTCCTCCGGATAAAAGTTCGGAGACTGATTGGTTGGTGAATGGGTTGTGTTAAACGGGGTTGACTTTCGACAGGCTGGGCCCAGCACAAGGAGGCGATAGGGTGTGTGTATGTTCACTGTGATCTCAGGCGGTCGCCCAGCCCTTGATACGCGCGCTCACGCGCTACAGGTATGCATCAGTTTTCTTGTGATGTTGTTACCTCCCCCCGTCCGGAACATGTACGGACATGGCTAAGAAGCCCGCTCCGTTGCTCATGTGCCCTGATGTACTCCTAATGCGCCTTCAGTTCTGAAGGAACTTCGGTACGGAGTCGGCACGAGTAGGTCAGCTGAGGGCAATCGTGGCAAGCGAGGCGTAGAGCCGTGGGGTTACGGTCAACAGAGTGACCAGGGTTGCTCGCCTAGCCTTCGAGCGCTGGGCGCGGCTGGACAATTTAAGACAGGCCCATAACACCCCGCATTCCTCACCCAGCCTCCCCTTCCCCGTAATCTTCCCATTACAGTACTCCTCCACCCACACCACTATGCTTTCCGCAGCAGCCAAAGCGTCAGCTAGGTCCATCGTAGCCCGGAACGCGGCCCGGAGGGCAGCCGTCACGCCCATACGCGCCTTCGGCGTAACTTCGCGTAGGCTAGGGGGCGCGAAAGTAGACTTGTCCGCGTCTCCTATCGCTCCTCTCGGTATCGAGGCTGCCATTGAAGCTGAGAAGGATCCAAACTTCAAGCCTACACCTAAGATCTTTGACGAGTTCGCGCTCAACGACCGCGTTGCTGTCGTTAGCGGAGGCAATCGCGGACTTGGACTAGAGATGGGCCTTGCTCTTGCAGAGGCCGGTGCTCGCGCGGTCTATTGCTTGGACCTTGCCAAGGAGGCCAGTGAGGAGTTCCAGGCTTGTAAGGACTACGTCGCGAAACTCGGGAATGGATCGCGACTCGAGTACGTTAGCGCGGATGTGCGTGACCAGAAGAGTATGTGGGAAAAGGTCGAGAAGATTGCAGACAAGGAGGGCCGGATGGATATCGGCGTTGCCGCCGCTGGTATTCTCAAGAACCACACAGACTGTTTGACATATCCTGCGGAGCAGTTCCAGGAGGTGCGTAATTCACGTTGTGCAAGTTGAAGGACTTGTGTTGACACTTGCTCCAGGTGATGGACGTCAACACCAACGGGGTTCTGTACACTGCTCAGGCCATCGGCAGGCAAATTGAACGCTTTGGCAACGCTGGCAGTCTCGTCCTCGTCGCTTCAATGAGCGGGAGCATCACGAACAGGGTGAGTTCTGACATGTGAAACTGCACTATTGAATGCTTCTAATTGACGCTTTGATACATTAGGATCACGCTTGGGTATCTTACAACACGAGCAAGTCGGCGGTCCTACAGATGGCACGCAGCATGGCCTGCGAGCTCGGACCGAAGAACATCCGTGTGAATACGCTCTCCCCTGGACACATTTACACCACGTACGTGACTGAGCGCGTGTGTGTTAAGGGGTGAGATTGGAGGCTAAATGTATTTTTGGTGTCTAGTATGACGGCAGCGTACCTGGACAAGCAGCCACACCTGCGGGAAAAGTGGTCGAGCTCGAACCCGCTTGGACGGCTTGGAAGGCCGAACGAGCTGCGTGGTGTGGTGACCTGGCTCGCGTCTGACGCGTCGAGTTTCTGCACGGGAAGCGAGTAAGTGCTTGTTTGTGCTGAGCTGGCATGTGTCTTTGCAGGGCTGACGCGGTGCTTTGCGCAGCATTCTTGTGAGTGGAGGACATCACGCCTGGTAAACTGGAGGAAGCGTCTTTTTTCTTGATTTTGGGGGTTTAAATGATGTTATTATGTGTGCGCAATGATTTCCTCTGTTTTCAAACGGTGTATAAGTAGAGATTGCATCTTTGGTGTACATAGAACATGCAAATGTGGCATAGGGGCTATATGGGTGATGAAATGGAGTGGCGTGACGGGGAGTGACATGGCCTGATATGGGAATGCTCGATCGGCGCAGCAGCGACTGCGGAGAAGCGTCCGCAGTGCAGTCCAGACGAGGTCAAGCTTAAGCTGAAGCGGAGGGAGCAGCAGCGCATACAGCCAGCGCGCCTCTCTCTGCCTTTTCCACCACCCACCATGGTCCTCGAGAACTCACCGGACCAGCCACGGGGCCCTCGTCGTCCGAGAGAGCGCGACCCTGCCCAGCCGACAGACCTCGCAGAACGCCTGATCGCGCTCCAGCGAAGAAATGCTGCGTACGTAGCTGACCTATACCGCCCCGCGCAGTCATCTAACCGAAATCACTCCCGCCTGCCCTCTCCCTTATTAACCACAGCACAAACAGACCGAGAGAAAAACCAGACAGACCCGATCCATCCCCTTCCTCGTCCTCCCGCCCCGCACCCCAGCCAAATTCCCTCTCCCCAATGCCTGCCCGCACATCACCCGTCGTGTCCTCCCCACGCAAGAACCAGGCAAGCCCCCATCTCAACACACCCCGTCCAGAGGCAGATGCAGACGAATTCTCCCGTCTCAAAATATCAAATCCCCCTCGGCAGCTGCACGGCAAGGCGCCCCAGTCCACCAAGCTTTTCAACCCCAACTCCGACCCTATCCCCATGCGCCGGCATGCAGAACCAGAGCTAGCTCCCGAGGCGAACAGCAGCCTGCATGTCCCCCGCAACGCAGCACAGAGGCGGGATCCCTCCCAAAATCAGCGCCTTTACGATCACCGCAAGGACGACCCTGTTCGATTCTCGGTTCTCGCCCGCCCATCGTCCAATAATATGCGCCAGCAAGCAGCCTCGAAACCCTCGGGCGACTACGTCTCCGCCTCCTCCACCTCTTCCTATGCCCACTCGATGGCCTCTTCGAGTTTCACTTTGTCATCAGGCACTACCGATAATTCGTCAGCATCCTCCGCAGTCTTTGACGTCCATGGGAAACCCAAGGATGACGCCGGCAACAATGCTTTTGCCGTCCAACTGAAGAAGCTGTACAGGAACATATCAGCCTTGGAGTCGAAGATCCTGAACGAAGATGCCGACGACCATGCCGACGAAGGACGAGTGCTCCTTCAGAGCCGCAGTCGAGGTGTGTCGGAAGATGAAGCTGAGCAGACGAAGTGGGTTAGGATCATATCAGATCATAAACAGTCAGTTCTCGTGTCATTCCCATCGTCTGCACTAACACTATCCTTATCAGACTTGCGGAGCTCATGCACACTCTGATGGAGATCTCGCTATCACCAAGCGTTCCGGCCTCACTGCGGGTCATTCCCACCAAGTACAACATCATCATCCGACTTTGGACCCACGGGTTTCACAAAGTATTGGAGAGTCTCCGCCGTGCTTCCTTCTCGTCACCCATAGCTCTGGAACATCTCCAGGACTTCATCTACTTTGCTTACACCTTCTACACCGGCCTCCTCGAGGAACCGGCCCTCCGTTCGTTCCGGGGAGGCTGGTTAGAGGCACTCGGGGATCTCGCCCGCTACCGAATGGCCGTTGCGGCCATGGTCAACAACAATCAGATCGCCGGCGCCGCACTTACTACCGATGCTGTCTCGCAAGCAGCAGCAAATACTGTTGACGATACGCTCAAAGGCCCGAAGTCTCATACCAGTGCTAAATCTAGTGGAAACCGCCCCGCTGCTCGCATCGATGACTCCCCGACACCCAGTGTGGGCATTGTCGCTGCACGAAACATGGTGGTCGAGCCTGAGAAGGAGCGGTGGAGGTGTATCGCCCGCGATTGGTTCGCTCAGGGCCTTGCTGATACGCCTGGCGCTGGCAAGCTGCACCATCATCTTGGTTTGCTGAGTCGCGAGGTGGAGGCCGAAGAACTGCGTGCCGTCTATCATTTTGTAAAGAGGTGAGTTCTTCAATGAACATCGGAGTCGAATCTCATTTCGATACAACAGTATGACGACACTGCATCCCTTTTCGACATCCCGCGAGTCTATCCTTCCAATATGGTCGTTAGCGGCACAAACACGTCGATCGCAGCCAGACGCTCGTGCCCCCGAGCTATTTGTTCTTCTACATGGCATGCTCTTTACCAACATCCAGCTCGATGATTTCCAACCAACACTCGCTCGCTTCCTTGAACGCTTGGAGATCGAGGGCGCCGAAGAACGTGAATGGATCATGATGGCCGTCATCAACATCAGCTCGCTTCTCGAGTATGGCCGCCCAAGTGGCCTGCTTCGGAAGCTTGGTGCATCCGGCACCCGAGACATCGGGTCCAGCAACGTTCGTGTGGCCAAACGACCCGCTCAGCAGGATGGGATGGATGTCGACGAAGATGGCGATGAAGACATGAAGCCCTCTCCTGCAATGTCGGAACCCTCGGTTGGAGCAGAGGCACCGCTGCAACTCAAACTTGCTATGCAGCTCGCATTCACCATGCTGTCGTTTGTCCTCAAGAACCCACTGCGCAAGAACTCGCAGTTCTCCCGGCCTTCCGTCAACTCCTATATCCCTGTTATTCTCACCTTCCTTGCCACAGTCTTGAAACAGTCCGACATCCTATCGACCTTGGAGCGATCCGTGCCTTGGGAAGAACTTGCGAATTTCTTCTCTTCTCTCCCTCAAAACGTGATGATCAACCAGGGTTTGCTCGCCCCAAGTCTTGGTCACGAACGATGGGCCATGCTCACGAGTGGATGCGCGCCTCCACTTCCAGAGGACTGGTGCCTACGCGGCATGGAATGGGTTGGCCGGAAGGTCTTCGAGCGAGGCTATTGGAAGGGCGGTGAGGAGCAACGTGCAGAGGTGGAGATTTTGGATGTGGTGGAGGATCAGGTAGTCGATGATGGCGTGATTGAAGACGACGAGGAAGACGGTGTCTCACGGAAGTCCAAGGTTAGCGACAGCACTCGCCGCTGGACACGTATTGCACGGTGCGCTGTCACCATTTCGCAAGTCGTCGACGGCTTCAACTGGGTCGAGGGGACGAGGGCATGGAAAGTCGAAGGCGCTCTCGAATCCAAGGCTCAGCAGTGGTCAGTGGAGGACAAGCGCGAGCGTGAGGAAGAAGAACGTCGCCGTTCGCGCAGATGGGTTGACGATTCGATGGATGTCGATGACGAGGCAGGTCTCGACGAGGAGTCGGAAGAGAGTGATGGCGGCGAGGATTCTGAGGCTGTTAGAGAGCTCAAGGTAATTAATACGCTTCTCACTCATCTATTACTAACTCATGAAATCTTAGGCGCGCCGACAATATTTGCGCTCGATGTTGGCCTCGTCTGGACGGACAGGTTCTGGCATTCGCCACGACCGCGTTCGTAGAAACCGCACCATCAAGCCTCAACACAACCTCAAGATTGTTCCAGGCTACACTAATCTCGTCCTCGACACCAACATCCTTCTCTCGTCGCTCTCCATTATTTCATCGATTGTCCAAAGTCTCACTTGGACTATCGTTCTTCCGGTGCCGGTGATTATGGAACTCGATGGGCTCAAGTCCAATGATTCTCAGCTCGGGCAAGCTGCCAAAGCCGCGCTTGCCTTCGTCACATCACACATACACTCGCACTCGACATCATTGAAGGTGCAGACCTCGAAAGGCAACTACCTCACCTCCCTCGTCATCCGCACTGAGCAAATCGACTTTGACGGTCAAGATTCCTGGGATCGTTCCATGGATGACTTGATCCTTAAGGCGGCTATCTGGCAAGACGAGCACTGGGTTGACAGGTCCGCACTTCTCAAGGCACCCACCCACCCCGTGGATCCTACCGGTGCCGTCAAGGTCGTTCTTCTTAGCTTTGACAGGAACCGTGAGTTATCTTCTCATATCTTTGTCTGTATTTTTGCTGATAAAAGCGTCTCTCCAGTTCGTCTCAAAGCTCGGTCACGAGAGCTCCCCGCCGCAGGCGAGAGCGATCTTGCGGCCATCCTGGCCATGGAGTCGTGATAGAGTCTGGCGTCATTTCGCTGCTGCCATCTTGAGCCAAGCTGCTCTTCGCCCCGCGCCGCCATCCATTGACTCTGCTCTAGAGCTTTGGTGCTCTTTTAGGAGTCGTGCTTAGTATATGTGTTCTGCAAGTGCGTGCGCCATTTCAATGGACTGATGAATAGCACGCCGTGTTGTGGTTGTTGCCTTCACTCTCGTTCTATCATAGTATTATCAGTATTATCATTATTTTTGCATGTGTCCCCTGTCACCATACCCTCTCGCTGCATACATATCTTTGTACCCACTCTTTCGTCTCTGTTTCAATAAACATCGTTTACTCGTTTCGTCTCATCAACATCAAGCGCAATCAAGTGTGATCATCAGATACAACTGATATTGTCAAGATCTACTGTACAACATATTGTCACATGTCGTTCTCCATTAACATCCAACTGCCGACATAAATCTACTCAAAGATCATGGTCTCCTGGAGGAGAGTATACTGGGCAAAGCCCTCAGGGAACCAGCTATAAGTGCATTAAAGATGGTGGCTCCCGTTTGATAATAATGAGACACTTACAGGCCGATCTCCTTGTTGGCACTCTCAACGGAGTCAGAGCCGTGGCAGATGTTACGGCCAACAGCAAGGGCATAGTCACCGCGGATGGTGCCTGGGTATACCGTCAGCAAGCGCCAATCATATATGCCAGAGTATACTGACCAGGAGCAGACGCGAGAGGGTTGGTGGCGCCGAGCATGACCCGACCGGTCTTGACGGCATCGAGACCCTCCCAGACCATGGCGACGACGGGACCCGAGAGCATGTACTGGATGAGACCAGGGAAGAAGGCCTTGTCGCTGAGGTCGGCGTAGTCTATAGTGGCGCGTAGAAATCAGATCTCGGTGGTGGTGCGATCAATGCGATCGGAGGTGACGAACGCTTCTCAAGGTGCTCCTTGGAGGGAGTGGCGAGCTTGAGGGCGACGAGCTTGAAGCCGCGCTTCTCGAAGCGAGAGAGGATCTCGCCGACGAGGCCACGCTGGACCCCGTCGGGCTAATAAACGACGTGGGCGAGGTCAGGGCGGCCCGACATGAGAAATCGGTGGGTATGCTGACCTTGACCATGATGTAGGTCTGCTCTTTGTTGTTGGGTGCCATTGTTTTTTGTTTGCAGAGGAGTGAAGATGGGGACGAAGAGAGACGTGCAGACAGACCAAGCGCGTTTTTTGGTTTTATTGAGTGATTTATCTTATCTGCATCTAAGATTATCCCAAGTTGACATTGCGTTTATAACAAGAAATTGCAAAACGCGCCTTGCAAACAGAGCCAAACAGGGAGCGAGTCCGAGTGGACCCGGAATTTGGGTCAGGCGCAGACACAAGAAACAAGAAACTACGTTAGACTGAAGAGAAGATGAACGCCCTCGGTCCCTCGCTCGCGTCCTACGTGCGCTCCTCTCGTACCCTCAAAAAGTGGGCCCAGCCCGTTGCCGCCTGGTACACCGACCTTATGGGCTACAGAAAGCTTGGCCTCAAGGCTGACGACCTTCGTTCGTGCTTCTTCTTTCGCCATCTTCTCTCTCCCTTACCCTGCTACTCACAGAGATCGAGGAGTTCCCTGAAGTGCAGCGCGTGAGTTGCCACACCTTCGTTCTGTTTCCCCGGCGCGTCTCATGCCATTGAACCAGGCCTTGGCTCGTCTATCGCCGCGCGAGTACTATGACCGGGCCTACCGTTTCAAGGTCGCCTCTCAGCAATCTGTTCTCCACAAGGCTTTGCCCAAGGAAAAATGGACACCCGTCAGCGAGGTTTGTGCTTGTTGAGTCTTGGTTGGCGCTGCCCTTCTCATATGTTCTCTCAGGACAAGCGATACCTTAAGCCCCACGTTGAAGCCGTCATCACTGAAGAGAGCGAGAGAGCAGCTTGGGATAACTTGGAAGTGAAGCGCAAGTAGACATATTATTCGCATATAGAAGACTGGTGATACACTACCGCCATTTACATATTCCGTGCAACACCATCAGCCATCCACTCGGAAATGAGGGCGGAGTCCATCTAGCAAGAAGTTACAGGATAGTACACGACATTGTGTGTTTGTTTGCTCAAGAGGTGCTTCTAAATAGATCATCATTCGTCCCTTCAAAGTGCCTTGACCAAAGGCGAGACCACCTCTCCACCCTTCTTCCTGTAGAAGTCAATGACCTTCTTACCGACCACAGCGATGTCTACAAAATCATCTTCAGCGACATATCAGGCCTACCCACGTAAACAACTTACTGCTACCAGTGATACCGAACTTCTCATATACCTTCTGGTAAGGAGCAGAAGCACCCCAGCCTGGCAGACCGTACTGCTCGTGGCTGTACTTTTGCCAGCCAGTGGTCTGATAGGCGTATGAGTCAAGCTTATTGCGTCAAATCCCGATATCGCGTACCGTTAGGGCCTCCAATGAGAGGATGGGTGCACCGCTCCGAAGCACGCTCAAACGATACTCCTGGTCCTGCTGGTCGAAGATTGACCAACACGGCAAGCTGACAATGCGGACTTTCAGCCCTTCCCCTTGTAGCTTGCTGGCAGCCTCAAGGGCGATCGGGACCTCGCTACCGCAGCTGACGATGGTGAGGTCTTCGTTTTGAACCTCATGAAGGACATAGCCACCCCGAGATGCGCGCTCAATCGACGAGCCCTCCAAGTTGGGCAGGTTCTGACGTGACAAGGACAGCACAGAAGGTGTTCTCTTGCGGCTGAGGGCCACATAGTAAGCAGCAGAGGTTTCGTTACCGTCCGCGGGGCGCCAGAAGTCCAGATTCGGGATGGCACGCAGATGTACAGCAGTTTCGACAGGCTGATGCGTAGGACCATCCTCGCCAAGACCGATGGAGTCGTGAGTCGCTATGAGCGAGTAAGTCGGCGTCATTACATCTTTGTCGTTGTTCAACACTCACCGACCCATATGACTTGGTGCTTGCTGAGAGCAGACAACCGAACGGCACCAGCTGCGTATGAGACAAAATTCTATTGGACGCATGCAGTGAGTGAATTTGCTCAAGTCGTGTCGATGAATGAGACACATACCATGAAGGTAGCCACGAAGGGCACGATCGCACCATACGCAGCCATACCATTGGCGATGGCGCCCATACCATGTTCGCGCACACCAAAGCGGATGTAAGTGCCAGCGTACGTTCCCAACTTGGTGCTCGGATGCTGGAAATCAACAGAGCTCTTGACCTTCGTCAAGTTACTGCCGGTTAAGTCGGCCGATCCGCCCATGAGTTCAGGAAGAATGGGGATGACAGAGGTCAAGACAATCTCGGACAATTTACGTGAGGCTTGCGCAGCGTCGGCGGGTTTGTAAACTGGGAGTGACTTTTCCCAGCCGTCTGGGAGCTTGCCCTCGATACGACGGACGAGTTCTGCATGCTCTTTGTGGTAGCTTTGCTTGTACTTCTGCAGAAGGCTGTTCCAATCGCCCTCGAGCTTGGCGCCCTTTTGAGCGACGGCATGATAAGTTGCGTACGTTTGTTCGGGGACATGGAAAGTCTGGTCGGACGGGAAATTGAATTTTTCTTTCAATGCTTTCAGGTCATCTGCCTTCAAAGCTGTTATAAAGCTGTTATCAGCGGGCAAAATTTGTGCTGTTAAACATTACGCACGGGAGCCATGGATGCCATGAGTACCCTGTTGCTTGGAGCCGAAACCGATGGTAGTCCTGAGTCGAATGATTGTAGGCTTGTTCTTCTCGGCGCGGCCCGCGGCAATTGCGTTGTAGATGCCAGCAAGATCACTTACAGCATGTCAGTCCTCACTTGGTCACTGGGGGTTACGGGAAGGTGCCCTTACCTGTCTCCATCGTTTACGTGAAGGGCTTGCCAGCCATACGCCAAAAATCGCTGCTCAACGTTTTCGGTAAAAGCAACAGCGGTATCGCCATCGATGGAGATATCTGATGAAAGTCCTTTAATCCCAGGAAACAGTCGAGAGCAACGTATCACGCACGATTATCATCGTACACCTATCAGTGAAGGTATAAAGTGAGTGTTTAATTTGTGATGGCGTGAAGTCACCTACAACGATGAGGTTACCAAGCTGCAGGTGTCCCGCAAGCGAAGCAGCCTCGCTAGCCACACCCTCCATAAGACAGCCATCGCCAGTGAAGACTGAGTAATTGGATTCAGATAAAAAAGCCACATTGTATTAGGGGATTTGCCTCACCGTAAGTATAGTTGTTGACAAGGTCGAAGTTATCGCGGTTGTAGACTGCACCAAGGTGTGCTTGTGCTATGGCCAGTCCGACACCGTTGGCAAAACCTTGCCCGAGTGGACCAGTGGTGACCTCGATACCTAAGAGACGGGTGAGTTTTATCATCCTACGAGGGTCTTAGCCACTAACCGTCCGTATGATTGGCTTCAGGATGACCAGGGGTCAGGGAGTCCAACTGACGGAAAGCCTTGAGATCATCCATAGACAGCTTGTAGCCGAGGAGATGGAGAAGTATGTACTGCAAGGCACAGCTGGGTTCGAGGGTGAGAAAATGAGATATTCGTGTAGATGATTTGAGCTTACGCATGTCTGGTGAAAACGAGCAATGAGCCAGTGCATAAACCAGAGGAGGACGCGATAGCTTACCCATTCGACAAAACGAACCGATCACGATTAAACCACTTGGAGTTCTTCGGGTTGGCGTTAAAAAATCTAGAGAAATATCGATGAATGTGTCAGAAAAAGTAATGAAGGAGCCAACCTAGTGAAGAGGACATGGGCGGCGGGGGCCATGCCCATGGGTGCCCCTATCGGAGAGCATGGTGAGTGATAAAGACGATTAGATTTAGCGGAGACAGGGACGTACCTGGGTGGCCCGAGTTTGCTTTCGTGACGACGTCCGCGGCAAGGGTGCGGATAGTCGCGATGCAGACGTTGTCTGTGGGCTCTGGGGTGAAGGTCGACATGGCTGGTGAGAGAAGAGACAGATTGCTCGAGCGGCCACCCGTAATCTCGACCTACTATTAATACTAAGTACTAGCTAAGTAGTCGGAACACTACTTACGCGTAACTTACTAAATTACAAGCCCTCATTCTCGCGTGCTTCTCACACCTCGCCGGAACGCGGCACGCGTACCCGCGTACTCCCTGCCTTACTCTCTCAAGTCTCTCTCATAGGCAGGTCCGTGCGTGTCTCACCAGACCTGCTCGCTGTCAACAGTACCGACCGGAGTCGGCTCATTTGATTCACCATGCATCCCCAACTATCTGACAAGAGGCTTGGTGTGTACTCCCAGCTTTGCGTAATAGATTATCCCTTGTTGAACTTTGCCCAAGCGTGCAGGGAATTCATACAAGCCCTTGATGCTTGTCATGCCAGCAACTGGGCTCGACTGACCGGGGGGTGCAACAAGGAAAAACTCAGGCTGAACGAATGTCTGCATAAGGAGGTGAGTCGCAGTATTCAGAAACGTCTTCCGGTCAAGTACTTGTGAGAGTTACCTTAACAGAGTCTCGCACGTTCCTCAAGAAACCGTGAACATGCTAAGGAACAGCGACTCAAAACCGAGCAATCGTGGAAAGAATTACACGAAAACGACTAACTTACCCGCCGCTATCCCATGTCAGTTCTAACACGATTGCTACCGAGCCGATGACCACTCGCTGTCACTATTGTCAGCTTTGGGAAGCGGGTCCTCAATTGGCTAGCCTGTTGTTGGCTTGCCTGCACATGTAGTAGTGCATTCAAGGACACGGGAATAATAACAACAACGTGTATTTACTGGTATTACTTCTGCTAATGCTGCCAAGGATTCAAAGGATTTATGCACTGCTCAACATGCAGTGATCTGGACTTCTGGTCAAGATCTTTCCATCCATCCCCTTCCAACAAAGGTACTCACCAACGCTCATGACATTAGGGTCAGGATTGCCCCACCATATAGGGAAGTTTGCTTCATTTCCGCCAGCACCGAAAACCGCAAAATTCAGGACAAAGTATATGATGGAGGTTCCTCCATCCAGAGCCGCCGAGGTCAGGTCTTTAATCAAGCGTGAGCGTCGAGGGACAAAGTCAAGAACGATCAAACTGACAGTTATATTTCCTGTACCAGTGTGGCTTCCGTGTGCGTACCCACCACTGGGTGAACAGGCCTATCAGGAACCCTGGCCACCACATGCCTATATGTTTCTGAGTAATAAAGCAAGAAATCAGGACAAATATCCTCACCGTTTACGGAATACGGCAGCCAGCCCATATACGTGAAGATAATTGGCATATTCAGGTATGACCAGATCCTTTGTCTGATACACCATGATTGGATGAGTGCCGGGCGGTGCATTGTGAGCTACATACTTTGGGAACAAGCGATGCAGGAAGTAAAAAGGAAATGGTGCCAAGAATCCGTAAAGGAGTCCCATTGGTATCTTTGCAGCATTCAAGTCAGTCGCTAAGGAGACTAACAGAAAGGCAACCTAAGCAATTCACCTGGAAGTATGTCTTTCCCGGGCTGTACAACTCTGCCGACAGTGCACCCCAAGTGATGGCTGCGGAGTTGATCTCTTGCGAATTCCAGCCAGACCATATGCGCGTCCCAATTGCTGCCAGGCCTCACACATTATTATCGTTGTCGGAAGTGCCAACTGCAAGACGTACGATTGATGAGGTCCTGCCGGTGTTGGTCGACAATGGACATGTACAGAATGTAATTGAAGACTAGGAATGGACTATATGCAAGTGCTCTTCAGCATCAATCCTGATCACTCACTTGCGCCAATGATAGTACCGCTTAGTTGAGCAATAAATGTTGCGCGCGGTGGTACTTTGGCGTATTGTCCTAGAAAATCCTCAGCCAAACAACTACTTACAAGTTCAAAGGCTGATTCATACCTAGCTTGAGGTCGGAGAGCATGTACAAGGTCTGATACCCCGTACTATAGCCATACAGTTTTGCATACATGTTCTGGACGGGCTGCTGAGGATGAACATAGGCCTGGAAGCAATCAGAAAAACCGACACTCATTACGATTGTCCGCTTACAGCAATAACTTGGACAATACCATCTGTCGGAAGTAAAAAGCCTGTCACAGCGTCGATAAACCCTAGGATGACGGCAAGGATGAAAGCTAGCGACGTTGATCAGTAAATACGACATATGTGCAAGTGAGAGATCTTAACCAATGATGGTGAATACAATGACCGACCACCACGGCAGAGTGTGAACGTCGGAGTATGCCAATCCGATGGCTAGTGCCAGTGAGACTGCAAAAAGGGCGCAGTACCATGACTGCGGTACTTCGGGGTAAACCTTCATCTTCTGAAAGTGTACACTCAAAAGATATCAAGAGCTGTTGAGAACCGGGACTGGAACACATCTTACTCGTCAAAATCCTGCTTCGATCGGAGGAAGTTGAAGCCCCGAAAAGCCTCCCACAACTGCCGCCAATGCCAGAGCATGATATGGGAGAAGGCAGCGCCAGTGGAGCCATAGCTCACAAGGAGCGAGATTGCATACGTCGCGCTCATATATCTTGAATTCATGCAGAAATGAGACCCATTGTCATTGGAAGCAGTTGGATGAGCTCTTACGGTGGTCCTATCTGTGCGTACTTCTCGGGATCGAGCTGATTTTCGGAATTGAGAATGGCGCTTTGGTCATACGAAGAACCGTTTCCACTGAAAAGTGCCGTCGACATGAAGGGAATCCCTCGTGAGTACCCCTCGAAGACGTCGTTGTAATAGCATCCCGCTGACAAGCTAGAATTAATTTCCTTAAAGAAGTGAATAAAACGAGAACTCACTCATTAAAGCATAGCATATGGCTATTCCGATCCAGGATGAAACCTGAGTCTGCAGCGGCCAGTACAATGGATAAGCTTGCGTGATCAAGGACCAATCAAAGCCAAATGAAAGCAAGCCTAGCCCTTCGTTGGAAGACCCAGCGCCAAAAAGGTTACGAACAAAAGGTGATCGACCATTATCGGCTAGACAAATGACAGAGAATGCAGTTAAGAGCGGAAACATCCATGTTGGCACGATTTCCTAGTGTTATACGGATGCATGAGCACTGAGCTTAATACATGAGACATCGGGGCTACTGGCTGCACGAACCCAGCAGAATATTGCTGTGAAAACTGCAAGGTCATCAGATATTACCATCAACCTCGTGAAGAGTGGAAGGATATTCTACCTATCCAGAAATACTTCATCTTCTTCCGATTCAGCATCCCACCAAAATGCATAGATTGCAAGAGAGAGATCGATGGAAGAGCGCTGGGGTATAGTGCATAAGTCGGCCATACAAGTAGGTTTCTCAGTATTCCAGCGAATCCGTATCCGATTAGCTAGGGATGAGTTAGACTTCATCCTGAGCCACGAGAAATCAAGCGGAGTTTACCTGCGAGGCAAACGTCTGGAACATAGCTGTACCGGGATTTAACTGAACATTATAGAAGAGATTCAGCGTCGCAATTATGCCGACCGCATTCGCAGTCGTGGACGCAGTAGATGCCATGATGGTAATGCACGTATGCTCCTTGATGTTAAAAGGACCTGGATTTAGATAGCTCCAGAACCCTCTAGATCTGTATGGTATAACCCAATGCATCTAGATGCGCTGTGTGAGTCTAAATGAATGCTTGTGGAGAACTTTCAGACTTACTGCAACACCTAGAACATACGCAATGATGAGAACGAAGAGAGCTGAAACTGTTGTATTTTGCGGCTTCCAGAAATAAATCTCTGATAAGACTGAACCTAACGATGGAGGTTAGCAGACGGGGGGACTCGGGTTGTCGTATTGTGACGAACCAAAGGTTGATAGCCCAATACCTAGAAACCAGAACCGAAAAGTTAACGCTGGTAATGAAGGGTCGTCCTCTGCTGAAATGATCTGATCAAGCCCCAACAGTCAATAGGGCTGATTCAGAACGTCATGAGTCAAGACTGACTTGTACAGCAATGTCCTCAGCACCATGAATGACATTGGCGGTGTCTTGCAACGCGACCCCGGCTTCACATGGCAAACTGTCATGCGACTTCCCATCATATGAGCACTCCTTTGTCGGTGTGAGGAAAGCATCTTCTTTGATCGGCGCAGGCGAAGAGGTTGATAGGTCTTCCATGGTGGGAATACAACCAACGTTCAAGGCCATGAAAGACGGACATTTAAGCATTGATACTACCCTCCAAATATATCTTAAAGGGACGCCCACGAACAGCTGCAGACAGATAAGCGTGAAGATCACATATGCGACTAGGGAGAACTGAATTAGACTGACCGATAAGCATTACAGATTCAGAGCAAGGGACCTGTAACTGTGACCGGGCTTCTTGATGCAGATGACCAGTTATCTGGCAAAGCAGATAAGGAGAATTTGAGGAAAGATAGCTTCTCTCAAGATGAGTTGGCCGCCACCATGATTCTGAGCTCCCCCTAAGCAGTAGTCCAGCTCCCAAGGTAGAAACCCAGCAAAAGCGCTCAGAGCTAATTTAAGGTTGAACCAATGCCAACAGCAGTTCTCTAGTCTGCACATTGCCAAAAATTAGGTCACGTAGAGGTATGATTTTGAGCGTTCGAGATTTCAATACTAGTAGCCATCCGTTGCAGAGACCGACAAGGGAATCTCTATCAGTTTTTGACCCAGATGTTAGACTCGGGTCAGGACCCTGTCCCCAAGCCCATTGTAAAAGCGTAAACCTGGCATCGTTTTCGTGTATAGTGACATCGAAGATACGAGTCACGATAGTTGCTGAACCAAACTGGTTGTGTTCAGTTTGACGCGTCTCGAGGCGGGAGTGTTTGCGGATTTGTATGTTAGGATTTCGGGCCGTCTGCCGTTTGGCGTCCGCGTCGCCCGTCCGACGGGCGGGTGCCATATGCTCTCCTGCGCCGTTTATAGGATCTTCTCGAATTAGCTGCAGATGGCGCCCAGCTTGTTCCAGTCGCCCCTTTCGAGGCTTCAGCTCGTTATCGGCTATGTCTGGTCAGGAAAGAGCACCGTACGGCACATGGAAGTCTGACATTAACGCGGAGACTGTTGCTCAGAGCGTACGCATTCTTTTCAACTTGAACTAGACCTCTGTCATTCACCGCTGAGTGTCTCCCAGAGCAAAGCCATCCTCGATGTGATCGTCGATCCAATCAAGTCAACCGTATACCACGTCGAGCTCAGGCCAGCGGAAAAGGGACGCTATGTCATTGTCAACACCAAGACCAATGATGATGTGATCAACTCTCCGTGGAGTGCTCGTACCGCTGTTCACGAGTACGGAGGAGCGTCCGCCATCGTTCATGACGATACGTTATACTTCTCCAACTTCTCGGACAACAGATTATACCATAAAAGCTTGAAGAGTGATAGCGCCTCAGAACCTGAACCTGTCACTCCGGGTGAGCTGGGTTGACCGGGCAAACAAGTTGATCGCTAATTCATGATCGCCGATGCAGAAAATCCATTCCACCGCTTCGCGAACTTTGCTGTGACTCCGACCCACCCCCATTTACTGGTCTCCATCCTTGAGGATCATACCGAGCCTGGTCATGCAGCTCCGCAAGACGTGGTCAACACACTCTGCGTTATCAATACCGCCTCCAAAACTGTAACTCACTTGGTCTCTGGCGCTGATTTTTACACCTCCCCGTGCTTCTCTCCAAACGGCAGGAAGCTGGCTTGGGAGCAATGGAATCATCCTGATATGCCTTGGGAAGGATCACAAATCTGGGTTGCCGACGTCTCAGTTGAGAAAGACACTATCGTTCTCAGCAACAGCACCGTCGTTGCTGGCAAAGACTACAGCGACAGGGATGCCGAAGACATTAGTGTCTCATACCCAACTTGGGCATCCAATGAGAAGCTCATCTTCACTTCTGACAAATCCGGTTTCCAGAATCCTTGGGTGTTCTCTGTTAAGACAAAGACCGCTGGAGCAGTGTTCCCGAAACCCGTCGACGAGGACTTCGGTGCTCCTGCATGGTCGCTTAGCTACAAGCCTTACGCGCTCCTGGACCAAGACGGGTCAACTGCATTGTTTGCAGCAATGCGAGATGGCCGGAACATACTTTACTCTGTCAACCTCGCGTCTGCCTCGCCCAAGCCACCCATAGAGCTCACTGGTTCGCCATTCACTGTTGTTGATATGGTCCATGCTGTTGCCCCACAAGTCATCGTTTTCTCTGGCAAGCGCGCCGACGCGGACGGTGGTGTTGTTCTTTGCACGCTTACTCCAGCTGCGAGTTCTGGAGGCTCTGTGGGTGAGCCAACTTTCGAGATCATCTCTAAGGCTAAGGAGGGCGGAACAAGTCTTAGCTCCGAGTACATCTCGTTGCCTAAGCCCAAGGCGCTCTACAGCCAGGGTTCAAACGACCCAGTATACGCGGTATATTACGGTCCTAAGAACCCGCGGTACAGTGGGTCAAGCATCGAGGGAGAGAAACCTCCTTGCATTGTTAACCTTCACGGCGGACCCACGTCAGCAACGTACCAGACACTGAGCTGGATGACGCAGTACTGGACCAGTAGAGGATATGCTTGGTAGGTTGGACTTCAATCGTCTCAGTGGATGAATGATTGAAGCCACGTTTGCTTAGGCTGGATGTTAACTACGGTGGATCCTCTGGCTACGGGCGGAAATATATGTAGGCATCCTCAGTGTGCGGAAGAGTTCTGATGCTAATTATCGTTCAGTCAACGCCTGGCGGGAAGGTGGGGTATTGTCGACGTCCGTGACTCGATTGCTGCTCCGCGGGCGTTGGCTGATGCTCCTCACTCCCTCATTGACGGAAGACGCGTCGCTGTCCGTGGTGGATCGGCCGGAGGGTATACAGTACTAGCGGCGATGTCGCTCAACTTTGACAAGACCGCCCACGATCCGACAGCATTCACCACCGGCGTGTCGTCGTATGGCATATCTGATTTTGTGGAGCTTGCTCAAGACACCCACAAGTTTGAGCTGAGATACATGGAGAAACTCCTCGGAGGTACTTCGGAAGAGCTATACAAATCGCGCTCGCCGGTTGAGGAGGCGAAGAACATCGTGAAGCCTCTTTTGGTGCGTACCGCCTATCACATATGAACTAAGGCAGCTAATGTGTGCCATAGATACTGCAAGGCAAAGACGACAAAGTCGTACCCCCCAAGCAGTCGCAAGCCATCAAGCAGGCCATCAAAGATCAGACTAAAGTCAAGCTCGTTGAGTACGAGGGCGAGGGACATGGTTGGCGCCAAGCAAGGACCATCGTGGATGCGCTTGTCGAGGAGCAAAGGTGGTATGAGGAGTGGCTATTGTCTCCTAAGCCATAATTTGGGCGTATATCTTGCAAGATGTATCAGGAAGTTACTACCTTGAAGGCTTAACAGAGTGCGTGGGGATGGTCAAGGATGCGCACAAAGATTTCTACCGTATTCGGTGACTAGAGTTCATCACAGCGAAACCAAATTCCCGTGATCCATGCCTTTCCTCCAGTTCGATAGTATCCTGAGACGGTACGGGAGATGGGATGTGCAACGCCTCTCCCACCTTACCTTAATTGCAGTACAAAGCAAGCATATGATAGACATTCACTATCATTGTGCATTATGCATCGTCATCCTTCTACATAGCTCCAAACGGCCGATGATTGCAACATATGTAGATCACTAAAAAGCGGGAATGTCGACTGAACAAATTTATACGATGGACCTATGCTATTCATTCGACGTGATGGCTTGTTCAATGTCTTCCTCTTCAGGCTTGATCTTGGGCTTAGACGACCTCATGTCAGGCCCCCCAAATTGCACGCATCGGACGGCCAAGGACCGCAAGTTCACAAGCACCAGGACACCAGTTTCGAGGAAGCTGGGCACTAAGACGACTCTGCAAGGGCGATCTTCGGTTGTCCGGCCTTCGGTTTTGTCCCCTGCGTAGACCAGCGTCGTACCAAACTGGGGCATATTGCCAATGATATATACGTCTGGGGTCTGCCGCAGTACAAAAGGATCCTTTTCCCGGAAAGGGTGACACCACAGTGTGTCTGGAGCAGTAGGAGCCATATGTCGCCATTTCAAAGTAGAGGCGGCCATTGTAACCAGAGTCGAGGGGGGTGTAGGAAGATACTTGTACATATCCAGGATGGGCTGGCCCGATGACACGAGGAAACTGCGCACCGTGTTACCCGCAACTTTTGATGTCGATGGTTCATCATCATCATGCTCTGGAGGATCGAGACCGCTCCCAACACGTAGCCATACGGGATTAGTCTCACACCGGAAGGTATCGAAACCGGCTGCCTCGCCAAACATAGCACGCGGGAACGGCTGTTGAGGGAGAATGCTTCCTGAAGGATCGTCTGGTCCAGGAAGGATATGCACGGGGAGGAAAGTCGTCAGATCTGCAAGATGCTCGGAAAGTAGGTGATTGGGGTGTGGAGTAAAAGTCGCTTCTGCAGGAGCACCATATCGCCGCTGTTGACAATATTGTTTTAGAAATATGCCACGGAAGGAGAGTGTAGTAGTGGCCGGCAAACCTTCGGTTTAAGCTCCTCTTCGTCGTCGTCCTCAGATTCAGTTAACCTTATTAGGGAGTTCCCCGCAACAACCAGGCGCGATATGCTCGACGCTAGCTCTTGGTCTTCTGGTTCGCCCGCCTCTCCGGATAAGAATTCGACAAGCATTTGTATCTGGGAGTCTGCAGAAACGGGGGAGCCGAAAGACAGTCCTGATATGGCTGCCACATACTCATCAGGTTGTGACGAGTCTAACAGATATTAGTTTTAGATAATCAGCGGGTGTACAAGGACCTACCATCCACATCCATAGTTTCATCGTTTGAGGGTGCTTCTTCAGCGAATGGTGCCAAATCAGCAAAGCATAGATCGACGACTTCAAAATCTCCTTTGTCAGTTTCCATGCCCAGTGCAGCCACAATGACTCCCGTCACCAGACGACTTTTAGTGACTGCTGCGCCGACGAGCTTAATGCGACCGGATGAGTCCTCTATCATCACGCTGTCATTCGAAGAATAGAACTTTTCCCTTGGGTTAGGGGCGGGAATAGAATGCTATGAGGAATATTGAGCAGACAGATTTGTGCGGGATAAAGAAGACGAACGTTGCGGCTAAGGTCTTCGAGAACATTCGGTTTTAGTGGCATGTCAATGTAAACGGTCCCAATTATCCAGCATAGTTGAGACTTGACAACATCTAGGACGCGTTCGACGAACAGAGGGCTGCCTTCGATGGCCATGAGATTGTCAAGATGCAAGTGGCATGCGAGTATGGGCAGGCAAACTCACCATCCACGTCCTTCCATTTATTTTTTGCACGTTCCTCCACCGCACCTCGAAGCATTGCGAGACGCGTAAAGTAAATATTGGAGTACTGATGCCTGTATGACTTGTCTTTGGCATCTATAGTATATATCGGCGTGGAAGGGGTTGGCGCAAGGAGGTGAGATGGCGATCGACTCAGCGTGCTATTGGCCATCTATGCTGGATTTGGGTGCTTATTGCAGGCAAGGTTGCGTCAGGGCTATGAAACCGTTAGAATAGAGTATTACCAACTTATAGATTACACAAATAATGAGAACTAGCGCTTGTGTGCTGTTACGCTCAGGGCGTGCGCATGAGGTTCAAACGCGTCAAAGACGCGACCGAGAAATTTGCGTGTGTTTGTCATTTGAGCGGGCTGAATTGCCGAGTACTTTACTGGTACATACGACTCCGAGTCATCTTCTTTTGCTTCCTTTCTAAGCACCATCGATCGATGGGTACTTATAATATACTTGCAATGATATCTCTTCGAGTCATATATGCCTTATCTATTAGTCCTGATCTGCTCATTATACTGACCAGGAGATGGAGGTGCTAAGTGAAACAACGTGGTCCGCAGCACTCGCATACACTGCAGGCAAAACGGGATTTTCCCGTCACAAATAATGACACGAAGAGGCGTAGAATTGTTATAATGTTTCGATCACTATTAGTTGGGAAAAGAGCGGTGGAAAAGTTTACATTTTCGATACCTTTTTGCATGACACCTGTCCAGAAACAGAGTGTGCATTGCCACTCAAACACAGAAAAACAGGAGTTTAAATTTTTTTAGAGGTCAAAAAGTTATACTTTTTGCTGACAGGTGTCATTTTCCATGCAAAAAGGCATAAAAATGTAACCCTTTTCACCGCCTTTTTCCCGACTAAGTGGTGATCGAAACATTTTAACAATCCTACACCCCTTCCAGTCATTATTTGTGACGGGAAAATCCCGCGTTGCCTGCAGTGACATCTGATAGTGGCTACACTGGTACTTAGTGTGGCTACGTTGCATGGATTCTGACAGCTTCCTGGTGGATTCGTTTCTAGAAAACCGGTCATTGTCTGCTGGTTGCCTCCGGTTGCCTTCTCTAGCTGGAAACACACTGCTGCAACGAGGTAGCGTGGGCAAATTCATGTCATGGTGAGGGGCCTCTGAATACATTCAGACAAGAGCTGATGTCCTATGACGATTGTCCGCGCGCACGATCGAGCACCAACCGCTTGATCCCAGCTGCGGACAAAGGAGCTAATAATAAGATGGCAACAATTCGTACTCCACGTCTATTCCTGACAAGAGACAACAGGGTACGTTGTATTTTTATCAGGGATCCAGCTGCGGTAGCTCTGAGCTCGGGATGGACACATGTGCACGTCGAAGCCTTGTATTAAATGAGTTCAGTTCTAGTCTGTCCAAGCATAGCCCACGCCGCTGCTTCCATCATGCATCACGGCCTATCACGACTCAGGCCGGGGCCCACAGAAAAGGCGATCTTTAAGGAACGTATTTACGTAACGCATCTATTCTTAGCACTCCACCTACGGTCCCGACGTCATTGAAGGTCATCGAGCATGTAATGGCACCCCCTGTTTCTCCGTATTTAACCATTCAGAATCTAAAGCATCCCTTCAAATCATCTTTCACTAGACACTTTTCTCGCTTCCATCGCTCTGCAGTATGGCTTTGTCAAAGGTGACCAATCCTTTAAGGCCTCCTCTCAGGCATAACACTCACACACATATCAGCATATCAACCCCGACACACTCATCAAAGAGTCTAAGGTCAGTCTACACGCTGAAGCTATCTGGCCCCTATCGAAAACTCAAGGATGTGTCTAGGACAAGAAGAATCATCACCACCAACTTACCAAGTCTGATCCTAACAAAATCCACCATCCTTACGGTGCTCGCTATGGCACAGCCTCTATTCCCAAATACCACCTCCCTTCCACGGGCACCGACGCTGAGGACGCTTATCAGCTCATCCATGATGAGCTTTCCCTCGATGGTAACCCCAGCTTAAAGTAAGTACGTTGACTGCGTAGTAACGTCGTTGCTTACTCTCAGCATAGCCTAGCTTCTTTTGTTCATACTTGGATGCCCGAGCCTGGTACAAAGCTCATGGTGGAGAACATGTCCAAGAACTTGATCGATCAGGATGAGTATCCAATGACCCGTAAGTGAATAAAAACCTGTCTTTTGAGCGATGTTCACAAAAAATGCTAGAAATGATTCACACTCGCTGCGTCTCCATTCTGGCCGATCTTTGGCACGCCCCATCTACTCAGCAGGCTATTGGGTCCGCCACGACTGGTTCCTCCGAAGCTATCCAGCTCGGTGGTCTTGCGATGAAACGTCGCTGGCAAGAACGTCGCAAGGCCGAGGGAAAATCTATCCACGAACCGGGCCCCAACATCATCATGGGTGCCAATGCTCAAGTTGCTCTCGAGAAGTTTGCCCGCTACTTTGAGGTTGAGTGTCGTTTGGTGCCCGTGAGCGAGGAAAGTAAATACCGTCTGGATACCAAAAAAGCTATGGAGGTGGTTGACGAAAACACGATCGGTGTCTTCGTTATCCTCGGCAGTACTTACACCGGCCACTATGAACCGGTCAAGGAAATGTCCGACCTCCTCGACGAGTATGAAGCCAAGACAGGGCTCAATATTCCCATTCACGGTTCGTCTTTTAATCTAGTTATCTGCCATCTAGGCTTACCCAATGGTAATTCAGTGGATGGTGCCTCGGGTGCTTTCATTGCGCCGTTCGCGCATCCCAAGTTATTATGGGACTTCAAGCTCCCGCGTGTTGTATCTATCAACGCTTCTGGCCACAAGTTTGGCCTTTCGTATGTTGGCGTTGGCTGGGTCGTCTGGCGCTCTAAAGATCACCTCCCGAAAGACCTCATCTTTGAATTGCACTACCTTGGCTCAGTCGAGTACTCGTTCTCACTCAACTTCTCCCGTCCGGCTGCACCTATTATCGCCCAGTATTTCAATTTCCTCCACCTCGGCTTTGAGGGTTACCGTGCTGTTGCCCTCGATGATCTGAGAAATGCGCGAGTGCTCTCGCGCGCTTTGGAGCGGACGGGGTGGTATCAAGTCCTAAGTGACATTCACAGGCTCAAGAGTACGGCGCTTGTCCAAGGAACTCAAGTGACTTTGGGACTTGACGAGGAAAATGTTGAGGTAATCGTTAACCCCATCGCAACAGCATTCCATTCTTGACATTTTTCTTCTTAGAATTACACAGAGGGGTTGCCAGTTGTTTCCTTCCGCTTCAAAGACGATTTCAAACAGCAATACCCTGAGGTCCAGCAGAAATGGGTCCAGACTTTGCTTCGCGTGAAGGGCTGGTACGTCATTGTGACTGTAATTCAGTTACATTTTTGAATAATATTTTCTCATAGGATTGTGCCTAATTACGAACTCGCCCCTGATCTGGAACATGTCGAGATTTTGCGGGTGGTGGTTCGCGAGAATATGACCGAAGCTGTACGTATCGATTGATGTCCTGCAGTTTTCTTCTGCTGACATCATATCAGCTCATTGACCAGCTTGTATCCGACATTGTAAGCTTCGGATGTGCTAAGGGTTCATACATGTGTCTTACTAATGGTTTGATAGGTGCAAATCACTCAAGATTTGGTGGACAAATCTTCGTCGACTCATGCACTCGATATGCTTGGGGCGCAGAATCATCATCGCTCATCCCATCACACCTCTGGCAAGCTGGACGAAGGCTCTGGATCCAAGTCGTCTGGCACATACGCGAAGCAGTGCTAAGTGGAGCTAAATGTAACAAAGTAAACCACAAGCGTTCGGCGGAGTTAGACATAACGTCGATGTAATTGTAAAATTGTACACGTTCGAATATTGTACTATATTCAGCCTGATCGTATATGGTCTCCAATTTACTCCGTATCAATTATGGTTTCCTATCAGATAGAGCATGTAAGTGTAGTATGAGAGGGTCGGCGTTTGCAAGTCAATCGCAAGTTCACTATCTTCTATATTAATTATTTGATAAATATGATACGCAAAATTATTAGGGTCACGTGTAACTCACGTGGCTCAGGATATAACGCCTTGCCACGGTTATGCAATTAAGTTTATTAGAGACTTCAAACAGCTTCAGCTCTTTCACTGGTGAGACTAGCGGTCTAGCACCAATTGTCTTCCATCTGGTGGAGTCTGCAGAAATGGCAGGACCCAACCTAGAGATATTTAAGTTCTCGCTTTACTTGTTTGTTCCCGTTGTTGCACTGCTGCATTTTGGAGATCCAGAGTGGTACCATAACCACGTTCTTCCTGTAGGTTCAAACCCGTCTTGTAAGCTGAACACCACTCATAACCTCTGTTTAGTACAAGGACCACCTCTTCCCGTCCTCAGATCGCTTTCATAGTGTAAGTCTTTTCAACACGACTGGCTTATTGTGTTCGTTGTGGGCTGACATAAAATCAAGCGATTACCGACAGAGTCGAGCGCTGTGCGAGAAGAGCTGGAAAGAATCAAAGCGGAGAAGCTTATCCGTCGCCAGCAAAGGGAGCGTGTCGAACAAATGAGGGAAACTCAGAGCGATTCGTCAGCGTCTTCGTCAGTCGGATGGTTCAAGTGGTGGTGAGGAGAGTATTGGTTCCTGTACGTTCAGTACACCCCTCAAGGCCGCATTGACGATCGGTCCGTTGCTTTGATTAGTCTTTCTCCCCACTTGCATTATAAATGATTGCCGTAAGCAGGCTTTCCTTCTAGATTTACTGTCCTCGACTCTACTTTGGCGTGTTTAAGTCCCGCCCGTTACACGTAACTTTCCACTCAGGTTCTTTCTTTGCAGCCGCCTTCATCTGCAAGTTCCAAGTCACCATCTCATCCACAGATACCTTGATGCCTCCGCATACGACGAAAACAATATTTTGATCTCTACCGTCGGTGTCGGGCAGAATGAAGTCAAACACTGCCTTATTATAAGCGGGTGCGAGGGTAGCTGCACAGGATAACTCCGCCATGATCTTGTGGTCGTCTAAGTCACGCGTTAGCACACACGATGAGGGACATGGTACCCTGACTTGCCTGCAAAGGACTTGGAAGCCCACATTGTCATGTCATCCGCGATCGTAACGCACTTAACACGACCGTTCCCAGTCCGATCCAGTGCCAAGCGTACTATTCCGGCTGCTGGCGAAGTGGCTCCTAGAGATGCGACACATGAGTTGATGTTGTGAAGGTGGGCCAGGTTGAGATTGTATGTTTCATCTCTTATCACGTCGTATGGGGCATCCTCTGCCTTCGGGAGGTTCCCAAGACCGAAATTATCTGTGTTCACAGCCATCGTTTGATAGAAGCAGTTTGAGCCATGAGTCTCAATGGCAACAATGGGTACTGGCAGAGAAGGTCAGTGTCGTGTCCGTCCTGCGGCAGCGTCGCTTACTATCGTCCCACCCGGCGTTCCTGCACCCAGTCAGCACGCCTCCTAGGAGACCACCGCCACCTACACTACAGAATATAACATCGGGCTTTGCAACAAGCTGTTCTCGAATTTCTTGGATCATGGACGCATGCCCTTCCCAGATCAATGGGTCGTCGTAGGCTGGGACAGTGACGCTGCCTTCATTACATCAGAGAACGATTCACTCAGCCATGCACACCTACGCATGTGGGTCTTTCTTCATATCGTTCCGCATGGCTTGCAAAGAGTCCAGGTAAACCTTGCCAACAATTATAACTTCCGCTTTTTGGCGGCGCAATGCTGCCTGCGTTTCTTCAGACACGCCTTCATGAAGGTACACGGTACATCGCAATCCCAGATCCTTGGCGGTCATCGCGGCAGCTAGCCCTGCATTTCCACTCGAGGCAATGACAAAGTGAGCGGACGGTCCATGAATCTCTTTCATCTTCTGCCCGAAGTGAGAGATGCCACGATATTTGAACGATTGAGAGGGTTGGAACATCTGCCGATGACGTATTCAGCTGAAGATTCCCGGAAGATGGATCGATCATACGTCAAGTTTCAAATACGCCGAACGATTCAGGATCTCCGAGATGTGATGGGATGGCACAAGCGGCGTCTCACGCCATAATCGGTTTGGTGCAGTGGAATCCGTCATTTGAGAGTGAAGCTGAAGCGATTTACTAGGTGAACCGTCCGTGAAACAAGTGAGTGACTGAAGTGGTTGTCGAGTCGGAACGTATATATGTCTAACAAATATGTGGCTTGGTCAGCCAATGGACAGCCCCATCAAAGCGTTGCTAATCAGTAGTCTGCTGTATCGGCGCTATCGGATTCACTTTGACCCGACTCAACGTTTATCGATCATCGGTAACCATATTATTTATTCATGAGTGCGGGGTATAAAATCATTTCACGTGACAAAACAGGACGCGACGTTGTTGGACCTAGAGTCCTGCATGTACAAGGCAACCACTGGCACAATAGACAAGGATCGAGCGAGAACGTGTCCGGTAGGTGGTTCAGCTGTATAGTACCTTGTTCTCGGCTGCATCAAGCCTTGCTTCCCGTTTCTCCCCCTGCCAGTTGCTGGCGGATCTATTTCGGCCCGACTCAGCGGTCCGTCAGCGAGCCGACAAGGGTCATGTTATCGCAAACCTACCTGCTGGGTACAATTTAAAGCGCAAGCAGCAACCTGTTACCTGCTTTAAACTACAACCCTTTTTTTGCACATTGGGATGAAGTTCAACGACGGTTTTTGGCTTCTGAAAAGCGGCGTCAAAGCCTCTTATGGGCTCCAGGTCACTGACATTACACAGGACCAAACGGGTTATAGTTTGCATGTGTCAACAAAACCTATTCGACACCGTGGAGACACGTTAGGAGGTATAATAATATCTCTCCAATTTGCATAGTCTGATGCGGTATCTTCTAGGACCACTGCTTTCCGTCAAGGTCCATTCTCCTACTGAAGGCGTGATTGGAATCAGAATTGACCACTTCAAACATGCTGAGAAAAACCCCTCCATTCCATTGTTTCCTGACGTCCCTGCTACGCCCAACTTCTCCACAAGTAAAGCTAAAGGATGTTCGGCGATAAGCACCGGTGGCTTGACGGCAACGATCACGGAAAATCCATACACAATCACTTTCAAGGACACCAGTCGCACACTCACCTTTGTCGGACCAAAGCACCAAGCAATCTACGACGTCCCGAGCAGATGGACACTGGGAACTGCTGCCAACAGCTCCTGCCTAACGCTGGACCCAAGTTCTAACCCTAGTCCAGTTACACTCTCCGAAACAGTCCGTTACGTCCACTCAGAACTGAACTTGTCTCCTGGAGAGCTCATATATGGTCTCGGTGAACAATTTGGAGCATTCGTTAAGAACGGTAAGCCATATCTGGCTTTTCATACATTTTAGTAATGCAGAGTTCAGGTCAGTCTGTCAGTCTCTGGAATCAAGACGGTGGGACCTCTAGTGAGCAGGCGTATAAATGTGTGCCTTTCTACATCACAAATCGCAACTACGGTATATTTATCAACCATCCGGGCGAAGTCGAGGTCGAGGTTGGAAGTGAGAAGGTCAGCCGCGTTGGTGTTAGTGTGGCCGGAGAGAGTCTAGAGTATTTTGTGATCTACGGTGAAACACCCCTTCAAGTGAGTGACGTGTTTGTTTTCCTACCCTTTGCTGATGCCAGTCAGATTCTTGAGCGATATACACGGATGACTGGGAGACCGGCGTAAGAGTCATTGGAAATATCATGGCCAATACTAACGGCTTCTCAGTCTTCTCCCCGCTTGGTCTTTCGGACTTTGGTTGACCACGTCCTTCTTGACGTCGTACTCAAACACGACTGTCTCTGGCTTTCTCCAAGGTATGAAAGATCGCGATTGTAACGTTCGCGTATTCCACTTGGACTGTTTTTGGATGAAACAATATGAGTGGTCAGTATATTTGTTTGTTGCTAAATACATAATCCTTCAAATAATCTGATGCCACAAACTAGGTGCTCATTTACATTTGACCCTGAAAACTTCCCTGACCCAAAGGCATACCTAGCCGAGATCAAGGAGAAATACAACGTCAAAGTTTGTTTGTGGAGTACGTCCAACGAAGGTATCACTGAACATTCGTTGACTTTCTCCAACAGTAAACCCGTACATCTCCCAACTTTCTCCTGTCTTTCAGGAGGGAGTGGAAGGTGGTTATCTTATCAAGCGGTCCGATGGTACACCGTGGCAATGGGATTTATGGCAGCCAGGACTCGCTGTTGTAGATATCACCAACCCCGCAGCTCGCAAGTGGTACTGTGATAAACTATCAGCGCTTGTTGAGCTGGGTGTTGACACATTCAAGGTTGGTCAAACTAGATTACGGTTTTCCACTATGATCTAATATTGAGCGCGTATAGACCGATTTTGGCGAACGCATTCCTCATGCAAACATCAAATACTTCGATGAGTCGGATCCCATGAGAATGCACAACACATATGCGGTGCTTTATAACCAGATGGTATTCGAGCTTCTTCAAAACCATTTTGGCAAGGGTGAAGCTCTTGTATTCGCAAGAGCGTCTGCAGCTGGGGGCCAGAGGTGCGCTGAATCTAACCCCTATTAGGCGTGTTCTGATGGAGTCCCTGTAGATTCCCGGTGGTACGTTCTCCGCTGTAGTACCCGGCATCTACATCTGACCTACGTTAGCACTGGGGTGGAGACTGCGAGTCTACGTTCGAGGCTATGGCAGAAGCTTTGCGGGGCGCTCTCAGTCTTACTGTGTCAGGCTTCGGATTTGCCTCGCATGATATTGGGGGTTTCGAGGTAATCGGGCATAATCATTTGGAAAGGATGGGATATAACGAAAAAATCTTCAGGGACACCCCCCTCCTGAGATTTATCAGCGATGGGTGGCTTTCGGACTTTTCTCAACCCATTCACGTCTTCATGGCTCGTCATCCTATCGGGTTCCTTGGAACTATGGCGAAGATGCTGCGAAGACCATGGCTAAGTTCGTCGATGCAAAGCATAGGTTAATGCCTTACATCTACACGGAGGTGATTAGATAATGCTATCTCAAGGCATTGCTGACCATCTTTGCGTGCAAGGCGATCCAAACTCATGATACTGGGCATCCCTTGATGCGAGCGATGTTCCTGGAGTTTTCTGAAGACCGGACGACGCACTACCTGGATAGGCAATACATGCTTGGGCCATCGTTGCTTGTGGCACCTGTTTTCGTACCCATAGGAGAAGAAACAGAGTACTACCTACCTGCCGGCAGATGGACCTCTTATTTCCATCCGGAGCGCACTCTGCAAGGCCCTACCTGGGTCAGAGAAGTCGTTCCTTTGGATGAAATCCCGGTATGGGTGAGAGAAGGATCAATCGTTTGTCTCGGACCCACCGGCATGAAGCAGCCAGATTACCGCCTGAACGTGAACCTAGAAGTTCATTTGTTTGGTCCCAAAAGCGCGACAGTGTATCTCCCAGACGGGAATGGGAAGACAGCTCAAGGATTGGAGGTAGAGGCATCTGAAGGCGCCATCAACGTCTTGATAGCAAATGAATCTGTCACTGTGTCCTCTATCGTTATATACAAGGAAGGCATGCGTGGTCTCCAGGTGAGCGGTGGATCAACCACCCATCTGGACGGTGGCATTGGGGTGAAAGTCGATGTTGAAGGAGGAGCCAAGGAGGTGAATATCCGTTACTAAGTACCAACCGTTGCTCCATGCTATGGTCGAAGTTGAACGTGTATAATTCTGCTGTAGTATTACTAGTAAATATTGCGTCTAAACCTCGTTGTGCCAGTGCTCTTGAGCGTGGCGGGTTGTTCACCACTTGTTCGCGGCCCTTTGGGAGAGCTTCGGACCGCGGAGTTGACGACCAGTGGCTGTGCTCTGCAAGAGCTATGTTGATTGCTTCGATTTGTCTTGGCTTGTAATACATGGTCAGTGCGTCTGGCTTTAGACTCTGAGCCGTTCAACAAATTGGAATAGAGTTGCCTGTCAACAGATCTACATCTCTCCCCAGCTTGCATCTCCGTTTGCTGTGCAGACGCATTCATCGTCTCACACTCGCCCTTCACTATGTTTGCCAAATTTCCGCAGAAGCTCACTGCGCCGTTCGGACTCTTGTCGGATGAGGCCAAGTTAGCATTTCGAAGTAAACCAGACGGGATATCCAAGCTTTTCAGCACAAGGGTACGTCAATAGCTTCGTAGATACCCAAACTCTCTTACACGCTCCAGAATATATCTGAAACAGACGCTTATTGGGATCAAGTACGTTCCCCTTCGCAATCCAGGGGCTTAAATGCATGACCTATCTCAACAGTATTTCACGCTGTTTGATACACCTTCAGATGTATTCTCATTGATTACGTCTCAAGACGGTCAGCGAAACTCATACAACGACCTTGAGGCGCATGCTTACTGTCACTGTGCCCTTGCAGTACGCCGGGCATTGCTCGAAGCACCTGAGAACGTAGCAATGCTCATTCGCGTCACGACATCTCGGTTGTTCAATCTTGTGTCCGACCATACATTTCCCACTTCCAATCCTACCTTAACTTCGTATGCATCCTCCTTCATGAAAGTTGGCACATCGGAACGGAACACAACCAAGGAAGTGCTCAACAGTCTCCGCGTTCTGCAGAGAGTACTGCCTGCGGTGTTTGAAGTTCAAGGGGAATCGAACGCTTTCGAGCTCGAGATCCTGTGGAAAAAGGTGGAGGTCAACGAAGACCAGAACAACCTAGCACCGGATGACGCTGCACAATTTGTCATTGAGGATGATGATGATAGTGACAATGGCGACGATCCAGCCCATACAGCGCTGGCTTCCCCTTCCCCTTCGAAAGGTACCTCCAAGCTGAAGAAGACCCTACCTTCGTTGGGAGAGAAACTCTTCGGGTGCATCATGGACCTTCTGTTCTGCTGCGGATTTACCCTACCGTCGAAGATACAAGTCGACCATTATAAGATCAACTATGTAATTTGGTAAGCATTTCTTACGCATAACCCAGGTTTTATAATCAGGGCTATACTAAACGTGTATTCAAAAGGGAGAAGGGTGTGGGATCTACCACTGACCAAGGTCCTAACGCACAATACGATTCAAACAAGGTCGAGGTTTTAAGGCTGTTACTCGTGCTCTTGTCTCGGCAGATTTATGTCCCCCCGTCCGCACTGTTTAACAAGCCATCCTTTTATAGCCTTCATATCGTCAGAAAGATGCGTCGGCGGGACGTTCTGACGCTCCTTTGCTCGTTGATGAATACTGCGTTGAACACTACATCGGAGCAGAACATATCAATAGGAAACGTGGCCGGCAAGCTACCCTACAATCATCTTGTTTTCAAAGGCGAAGACTCCAGGATGATTCTTATTAGCATGTGCTTAGAGACGTTGTGCGCCTTACTGGACTTCCAGAGCGGACCAGCGAGAGACATTGTCACTGGTACCGACGAAGCTGCACCCACGGCTCAAACCAATGCGTTCCGATACTTCTTGGCCAAGCTCGTAGGTTATGTGTGACCGTTGACAACATTCGCTAACGTTCCTGTCAGCACCGTTCTCAAGACTTCGTTTTCATCTTAAACGGCCTCACTACTATATGGGCACAACAACTTGGGATTGTCAACAACTTACTTCCTGGATCCAGGAAATCGCTGCCATATGTCCCTGACACTGGTGCGGTGTCATACTGAAATATGCCCACCTATTTGCACTGACGGTTATCAGTTATCTTGTTCTGGAAACTCATTGAGCTGAACAAGGTCAGTCGCCTTTAACCCGAACAGACCATTCATTGACCTTTGGTAGAAATTCCGAGCATTTGTATTGGATTCCGATCATGCCAACGATATCCTGGGATACCTTCTTTGCTATTCGCTCGACATCAAGGACAAACCTCGTGAGTTAGATGTATCTATCAGTCATCATGCAGCAACTGAAGGGTCACATTAGAGCAACACGGAATGTGCAGAGCGATATCATACATCATCCAAACTTTGTCTGCTGAGCCTGCATTTGGCTCGAGGCTGAGTTCAGCCATGAAGATACAGGTGCCATCCAAATGGGCAACACCTGGAACCACAGCCGATTTCATGATAATTGTCAGCGCGTTTCTCCTTTCTCGAGCTTCCCTTTAATAAAAAATTCGCAGGCTATCTACTCCATAGTGGCAACCACTTCCGGTACTCTCAACTCACTGTATCCAGCCTTGATCATTTCTCTATCGAACGCGGCACCGTATTTTAAAAATCTATCGGTCATCTCTTCTACGAGGCTTATGCAACTCTTTGCATCCTTCTCTAATCCTCACTTCCTTCTTTCAGACGAAAGCCACCCACGACTGCTGTTTTTCCTGTAAGCCGTTTTCTTTGTCATCAGGGTCACCAATAACGTTTTCCATGCAGGCTAGAGATGTTTAACTCAATCATATCTCATCATCTTACCGAAAACCCCCATCTACTATATGCTATCCTCTCGGCTCACAAGACATTTGAGGACCTCGGAACATTTACGTTAGCACGTGGTCTACGTGACATCCAGCGCAGTCGGACCCTCAAAGAAGAGCAAACTCACAGAGATGAACAGCAATCACAGGGAGGCAAAGGGTTGGGCCAGGTTGAGGGTGCGCACGAAGAGAAGGCAAGGCTTCTTCGAACAGAAAGCGATCAAGCGCTTGGCAGCGCCGCTGAGACCGTCTTTGCTGTGGATGACGAAGAAGACCAGGAAGACGAGGCAACTGGGACTACTGGCGCAGCAGAGGTAACTCGACCATTGATGTCCCCCACTTCAGAGATATCTCCACCAACGACAGGTCCTTCAGAAAAAGTCAAAGGAAAAATGAGAGCGAGAAGATCTATATCAGTGGATGAGGCAGGCACAGCGGTGTCTGCGGCGAGTGTTGGAAGAAATGGCTTCGTCCCCACTCAGGAATGGGTATGATGCATGGTCTCCATCAATCACTTATTCTAACGGTATCCTTTCAGGTGACATCATGGCAGCAAGGGTAGGTTCATCCTGGGCGATTTTGACGTGCTCAATTGACCGGCTTTCTAAAGATTGCCACTGGATGTCGTCATGCTAGTGATATCTGAGCTACTCCACAAAGTCCAAAACCTGCAAGCAGGGCGTCAAAAGGCTGCTACTACGGGGGCTATCACCGACTTCTTAAGGACCGTCGATCTGTCAAATGTTCTACCGGCCACGCCTCCTCTTTACCCTAGGCACTTTGTCGTAAGTTATAATCATCTGAATCCGGGGCAGGTCTCATTACACTATTGACAGTGGTCGGATGCGTCGGTGATATGGCTAACGTCCCTGATTTGGGGAGACATCTACGTTCGCGGGATGTCGCCACTTGGAATATGGAACGCGACCAACGTCCGGTTGTTCTATGTGAAACACGCACAGGCCCAGCAGCGACCAATTTCTGAAGCCATGACGAGCGTGGTAGGCTTCCTAACACCTAGGGGTCAACGGCCAGAGAGAACTTGATGGTCACGGACTACACATATCGAGTGATGTCCCTCCTCGTTTCTATTCATTAGTGTCAATATAAGGAGTTGGATTAGGATGGGACTATTTGTTGTTTTCGATTCCCGCAATGGAGCTTCAAAAACGTCGCACCCTCTTTGCCTCCCCGATATTACATATGGTAAAGTATGCTAAAAAAGTGTAGATTACAAGGGCATTGATGAAGAGAGGTCTTCAAGGCGGGTGAAGATGTGGGCGTAGCGGATAGGTCCGCCTTCTTGAAACGTCGATCTTAACGCGGGCAGGCGGCCGAGGAATGTGCTTGTTGCCGCTAGGGATATCGGGCAAAACCAGATCTTCTTCGTCTTCTTCCATGATTTGACCAACAAGTGTTCTCTGCTTCTGCTTTGCTATTTCTTCAAATTCATTGTCATGACTTGGATGATGAGAAGGGAAGGCAGTCAAATTAATGGCATGAAGCGAGACGGCAGCCTTTTCAGCCAGTTGCGACAAAGGGACCGGGGCTGGGACAGCTGGTCTGGTTGGTAGACACACAGTCTTCACTTGATAACCATCGGGATGGGTTTCATTGAGATGTCTTTGAATATCTCTTGCAAGGAACATGTACTCACACCCTACACAACCATTGTGAGCGTGCAGGATGCAGTGTAGCATGCAAGGCAAGAATGACCTTGTGCAGGGCATGGGAGAGGTTGTCGCTCCAAGTGGCTGGTGTTGACATGCTCCTTCAAACTCTGGGTAGTTCGCTGAGATCGTGCAGTACACTTAGACATATAGCACTGGTATCCGCCCTGAACCCTATACATAACTTGGCCAACCCAAGGAGGAAAATGGGGAAGCTTACCCAAGTCTGTTCGGCTCGGGCCACATGCCTATGAAGATGCTGCGAGAGATCAATCAAGAATTCTTAAGGCAAACGGGGAAAGAGAGATAAGGACTTGAGGAGTGGAAATAGCTCGTAGTCTTAGACTGTACCTGCGAGCTGTGAGGGAGGTGGCTTGCACTTCAACTAGTGCATGGAGCCTCGTATGTACGCGAATGAATCTAAAGGTAGACATTCACCTTTTGCAGTCTGTCGAGAGAATTCAGTGTGCTTGTACATTTTCCCCATTCACATTTGATGGGATAAACAATGGACCTCGAGAGCGACACAACGTCAACATCGGAGTGGGGGGGTCTAGGCATGTAACTTTGAAGCTCATCATCTACTTTGTTCAACCAGGACACTAGTTGTAAATAGGAGCAAACAACTATTAGGTCTGCACAGTCTGCTCGCTCATGAGCTTAGCCCAGATCCTGGTTGACCCTCACCGGCCTCACCAAGGGCATTTTGTGACTATTGCATCCTATCCTTACATGCTCAGTGAATGAGCAAGAATCAAAGACATCAAGATGAAATATAATCAGCTTTCCACCCTTACAACACTTTCCAAGGAGCAGAAGGCTGCACTCGCAAAAGGTCTAGCCCTTTCAAGCGTGATCTCTCCAAGTCAATGACCTCGGAGAGTCAGGCAAAATAGGCGATGTCTCCCAGCTCCTGCTATCATCACCCGAAGATTTATCTAGGGCATGCAAGCTTGCACCCAGAGATATGGAGACCATCATCGAGCTTGTCTGCAAAGCCCATCGGCATACTCTATCCACGTTGCAAGACCTTTCTCTAGGCGAATGCGAAACCTTTACAACTGGTGATATGGAGCTGGACAAGCTGCTTGGCGGGGGAGTACGCACTGGAATGATGTGGGAGATAGTTGGAGAGAGGTAAACCTGTCACTTTGCTCACAATGCGTTCCATCATGTTCAAATGTGTTCAGCGCCGCGGGTAAGACACAAATCGCTCTGCAGCTGTCCTTGACAGTTCAGCTTCCTAAGGAAAAGGGTGGCTTGGCGGGCTCTACATGCTACTTGCCGATAGCTTCAAAACTTGCGACCTCTCGCATGCAACAAATTCTCGAAAACCATCCTCTCCTGGCTTCATCCTCTTGTAGTCTGTCCTCAGTCCACACGATCCCTACCCCCACCCTTGAAAGACTCCTTTACGTGCTGGAGGATATCTTCCCCCAGTTTGCGGAACAAGGCCTCCACAGTGCAAGTCCAGTGAAGCTGCTGATAATTGATGCGCTTGCCGAACTATTCCACACCTCAAGTAAGACGAGCACATGCACTCTTGTCGAACGTTCAAAAGGTATCGCAGAGATAGCACATCGTCTCCATGCTGCAGCGAACAAGTACAGCATCGCAGTGGTAGTCCTGAACGAAGTTGTTGACGTCATCGAAAGAGGGATGTCGCATGAGCCGGGGGAACTCAGTTACAGCGAACAGTCTCGCTGGTTTAGTAGAGCAGACACTCTGCCTGGCGAGAATTTGAAGGAGGCCACCTTGGGGCTTACATGGGCTAATCAGATCAATGCACGTATATTTCTGACTCGGACTGGTCGACGCCGATATCTGGAAGGGCTCCCAGGTCAAACTTCTGGTGGCATCATGAAATCCTCTACCACAGCTGAAGATGAACCCACCCTCATTCGCCGTTTATCTGTCGTATTTAGCTCTGTTTCCCTACAGGCATCCTGCGATTACCTGGTCACTATTGCGGGTGTTTCCGTTGTCCCTGGTTCTTTCCAGGCTCTGAAGCCGCCTTTAAACGGCATACCTTCCCCAAAGGCCTTGACATCAGAGCAAACCACATTGCGGGCCGACATTGGTCCTCATCTACCCCAGCAGCAGGAACTTGCTCCCTTAGATGTAGGTTTAATGACAGCCAACGAAGACAATCTGGAGGCGTCAGCCGGGCAAGCCAATGACTCTGATGAGTGGGATGAATATTTAGGAGAGTGGGAGTTTCATGATTTACCGCCATCTTTGTACGAAGGTTCTTGAAGTTTTTAAATGGGTTTGGTATTGCCCTTGACCCACCAAACATGTATATTCACCATTGTAGCGCGGACCGTCTCACGAAACTATGCAGTTTGGCAAGGAGTATAAGAGCCTGGGTACGTCAAATAGATACGGTAGATGTCAAGCTCCAGGCCGACCTTCAAAGCAATGTACATTGAGGTATACAACCGCTATACAGGAACAGTCGTCCAGTGATTATAGGTGGTGTGGTTTATTGGAAGCTCTCCAGCAGACTTTTCCGGACCAAAAGCCGCCTTCTGGTATTGAATTGGTTTATCCGATAGCCTCAGCTCTGCAGCCTTCTTGCAATCATACAGGATGTCGCAGTCCCAACGGAGGTCAATAGGAACTTGAGGTGGATATGCAGAGCTAGGTGCTTTGTTTGGAGGAAATCGAGGGGTGACTTTGACCGCTCCAGAATGTTTGTCAGCATAAGCCGAAATCATTCCAAAGAATGCTAATTGAAAATTAACACAGAGGAGCGCACAAACACAGTCTTTCCCACCGAAAAAAATTGACACCCAATCCAGAATCTCCATGGCCAGTCCTAGGGAACATGCACCGGATGAGAGGCTGAAATCCAAACAAAAGGCCTGCCCATCCACTTGTGCCGAGCGGATGGTTAAGATAGTTCCGGAAGCTGCACAGGCGGCCTGAGCACACTTGACGAGTTGTGCAAACAATCATATTTACCAGCGCCCAAGAACCAGAGGATGCTGAATGTGATCAAACTGCGAAGGCTAGACTCGCCATCGCACAGCCATCTATGCAGTACGCTGTACGAGGCAAATCCTTCAGTGATTCCGACCTGTTTACTTGGAACAGGAATTGCTTACAAAGACAGTAGCGTCAACAAAGCAAGGAAATTACATATAACTGCAACGGCTTCATAAACTGCAAGAGATGTGAGATTTGGAATGACGAAGCCCTGAGGCTGGGAGAAGGAATATACCTCCATGAGTTTGGGAGTAGTATACCTTGGAGGCCAAAACGCCTGAAATAATATGGCAAATCCCAATTAACACTTGAACCGACCACAGTAGTCTGTTCAGTCAGGATAGACAAAGAGCAAACCGAGAGCTTACGCAAAAGAATTGCGCGACAAACTGAATGAGGGAATGGCATAATGAGGTTTTAGAGTGACAGAGCAACGCCAATGACTCGGTATATGAGTATTGAACGAGCTTCGGTCTTGCAAGTGCATGTTCACTGGGCTGTAGGCAGCATGCTCGCCATGGTTTAGCAGAAGTCTCGGCGACGAAATCGCACTATAGTGCACGGCGAAGTTGAGGAGGACGTCCGCTCAAGGCGTGGTGGAGACATAAATAGCGCGTTCTGGCATGCGCAACGCAAAAGCGTGTTCCCTCCACGCTAGAAGGTTGTGTACATGCTGTAGCGCGATCGTCGCTTTTTTCGCTTATGTGAGTACCAAATCCAATAACTTGATCAGACCTCCTCAAGCTTGCCAGTCGAGCTGTGGCCAGAGGAGGACTGTCAAGAAAGATTGGAGAACGATGATAGCCAGATGGGCACATACCCTATACTTGACAGTCGCTAAGATTATGAATGCTAGAGCGCAGTTAGGGCGCTGAGTGTGCATGAACTTCCTTCGATGCGCGGCTGCCAGAAGCTGGACTTCCCAGCCTCAGTAAGTTAGCGTGTACCAAACAAGAAAGGTCGAAGAAAGCAGGATGAGTCTACATGCATGCACGGTGCTATAGCAAACTCGAGAACGAAGAACGGCTAAAGGCCTTCCGCTTCGAAGTACTGATCTCGATGTTAGCTGACAGCTTGCAGACTGATCCCGGCCTCGGTGGTCTGCTTGTGGGCAAGTACAAAACGATTTCAATTAGAACTCAGTCGAGGTAGTATAACAAGTACATTATGCGCAGCTTATCTCAAGATCTCAGCTACATATGATGTCCCTCACAGCTACGTTGCGCGCCACCGCAACGCCACCGAACGCCACCGAACGTTCAAAGCGTCGATTGTGAACATAGTCAATATGTGCGATTATCCATGTACAATGGTTGGTCAAGGCGAAGAAACAATCGTAAGTATAATACAAAGAGAGAAAGCATGCGTCGTCGTAGAGCTGATCACAGCTCAATCCATCCATCCTGACCAAACGTGTTCTCCCCTGAGTAGCTTACATAGAGGAAGTTGTCCTCATCCCTAGACTATGGTCAGTCTGATCAACTGTCAAGTACATCACATAACTCACTTGTGCTCCTCGTATATAGCACTCATCAGTGCTGCTGTTGGTGGCAGCACCTCGTCCACGAAGATGAAGATGGCCTTCTCTGGTGCAAGCTTGATCCGCTTCCGGATGACGTAAACAAACTGCCCAACGGTCAGATCCTATATAGCAGAAAACACCAGAGAAAGAGACCAGTGAGTTGACTTGCTCGAGATTAATCAAGAACGCTGCTTACTGATGGAACCAGGTACTTCTTCTTATCAATCGTTGGGATATCTGTCCGGTCTGCCTTCTCACAGATCACCTAGCAGACTGTGAGGAAGGTATTGGGTTCAAGCGATGGGAGGCATACAGGAATGCGGTCAGGGTACTTCTGCCGGATGCGTTCAGCCTCCTGCTTGCGCTTCTCTGAAACCGACGTCCGGTGTGAGTTCGTGCGAGGTGCGCGCCGATGGTGAGTAAGTGCGTACCAAACGGGTGCTCATCCTTGAACTTGGAGCGCATATTGTAACGATAGCTGAGTGGTGACAAGGACTACGGAGTAGGTGTGGGGAATATGGGTGAAGGGGTGGTGGTGGTGGTTGTATTTAACGAAGTGGGTAAGTTGAAAGCGGAAGGAGGACTACTACAAGGCTGGCTCCTCGGCTGCGTGACGCGTGACTCAAGCCTGTAAGGGTGGCCAGAAAGAGAAACAGTGTCAAATATGGTCACTTGCCCCTCAAAGGGGCCCAAACCTGTGCCAGTCATCCTGCCTGCGGTCACGGTGCATGACCGGGATGCAGTCGAGTCAGAATCACAGCAGGTCTACGATAACCTGGGTCTCACTGACTTGTCAGGTAGACCAGCTGGATCCGTCCTCCACTCGGCTGATTCTGGGTTCTTGGACGCGAGTCCACATTGCGAAAACTGGGTAGTACGATCGACTCAGTTCGACTTCGGACTGATTCAGACACGGAAAACTGTATTCTGAGACACTGACATAACTAGACTTCGATAAGTTACTCCTAATTAGTACATGCAATGCTGCACGGTTCAACTGCCCACTTAAACTCGGCGGGGTTGCATAAATAAAGGACGAAATTTGCAACGCTAATTAGACACCTTCAAACACAAGTCTCAAAGATTTCAATCACAGTTATTGCTTGGTGGCGGCATCAGATCCCATACGCGCAGCCATGCCCATCGCAAGTGCGCTGCTCATTTGACCAGCAGGTCCCTCTGCCGGGGCGAACACTGTCTTGTCCCCATACGCCTCCACACGAGAAACCTCCACTCTGCGCAAACCCATCTCGCGAGCGAACTGGTCTGTAATACTGGCATCCGCATTCGCCTTGGTACGGGAGGCTTCAGCCTCTGCTTCGGCAGTGAGGCGAATGGCTTCCGCTTCCGCTTCCGCCTCAATCTTGGTCCGCTCTGCTTTCGCCTTGGCGGCTGCGATGACACTGTATGCTTCGGAATCTGCTTGTGTCTACGGAACAACCAGTCAGCAGTTTGTCATCGCACACACAATTCGTCAGTTCGCCTTACATTGCGAGTCTGCGCTTTGATGCGAGCAACAGCTAGTGCGCCTTCTTCTTGCTTGACCTTGTTGCTATTCTCCCTGTCCACGTTCTGAGAGGACATCAGCGTATGCTTCCTGTGATCGTCCATCCCGGCGAACTTACCGCGGCTTCGACTTGAGCTTGTAGGGCTCTGGTGGTAAGCTTGTCCATGGTGGCCGCGATTTCACCTGTCGCCTGGTGAGCCTGGATCTGCGAACCTCAAACATGTTCACGCACCCTTGAACTGTCTATCAATAACGGCTGTTTATTGATCAGTGACTGTGGCCCATTCTGGTTCGCTGAGACATACCCAGATCTTTGAGTACAATGCCATATTCCAATGCGGCTTCATGCATCTCGTCCATAGCACGTGTACGGAGAGCATCCAAGAACGCAGACGAAGGATCTGTCCCATCGTCCATGTTGTCAGGCCCCAACGATCGCTGCTTGACCATAGAGCTATAGTCAACTAATCAAAGAGTCAGCAGCATTAAAATTCTTGCATTAGATACCACGTACGATGAGCGACGATTTGAGTTAGAATCGACTGTGTCTTGTCCCTGAAGATGGTTTAATACAGTCAATGTCTGACGATAAGACAACTCACCGGAGCGCTTCATAAGGTGTGGCGTATCCATGCGTCGTAAGCTATTGAACGTTAGGATTTGCACTTTCTGGAGACATCGATGCTTACCTTCAAGGGCTCGACAAGCTGCCTTTAAATTGTCTCAGACGATGTCTTCAAGTGAAAACTGATAAGCTCACCATTTAAGGTAGATTCTTAGCCCAACGGGGACTTGATCACGAGTGAGACTATGTTCATAGTCTTTAGTAAAGGATTTTTCACGAGCTTCAAATTCTTACATGTCTTTTGTCGGCATCTCAAGCTGGTTTTCACCAAGCGTGTACATTCCACGCAAAGTGACATTTGGGTTCGTCATACAGTGTTGACCTGCTGGAAGGAGCTCGAGGTCATCACCGCGCTGAAGGATGGCACAGTTATTCGCCGGTATATTCAAGCTATAAGAGCAAAAATGAGACTAATTGATGGTGATGGAGTCAAGGTCTTACAAGAGAGCAACGACATAGTCTTGTTGTTGGCCACCGACACGACTCTTCATTGTGACCTCATGTGTCCTAAAATCGCAGAGGTGAGCGGGTATGACCAGATGGCTGCTCCCAAACTTACCAGCCAAGAGTGGCTCCAGTGACGCTGTCCTTCATAACATTTGAAAGATGTGTTTGATCTACGATGGCCAAGACGTCGTATGTTCCTTCAATGGCATAAGCAACAAACCCCGAGTTCTTAACGACAAAAATTTGATTCTTGAGAAGATGGGTCAGTCGTCTTCCTAAGGCACATTCCCAATTTAAAGATACCTGCGGATCCGAAACGACTGCAGCCTGTGTAAAGCAACGACATTCAGATGGGTTGTTATAGCCGTCAAAGGTCCGGCGTACCTGGTTCTGGGAGACTTGTACAACAGTCAACCCTTGAAATTCAATTGACGTGTCTGACACTAATGGCAACGCTTGAATAACAGTTCATGATGGAAAGTGACCTACCTACGCCCTTTGGTACCACACCAGGTACGTGCCCACCAGTTGCGCAGCGGGAAACCCGGGTATCGGCCTGGGCGAACGAGCACCTTTGGCAGGCCGCCGTGGTTCACGAGTCCTAAAGATCCGGGGCTAACTTCACTACCTATCCAGTCTGTAGGCGACTACAAATCGATAGATACGATTAAGTGGGCAGTAGGCGCCGAAAACTACGGCATCATCACCTTCTTTGAGAGAATTCTATTTCTTCCAGACTGGGATTAAGTTCGTAAGCTCTCTGTACTTTGGGACAAGGTAGGTAACTTACGTTCTGGAGCTGGATGTCGAGCTTCTGAAGGGCTGCCGTCAAGCCATCTTTGCCAATAGGCACAAAGAAAGGCCTTTCCACAAGCTCGTCTACTTTAGAGAAGTCGTTACCGCGAGGTTTCGCATCCTTGAGATGCTGGCCATAAGGTGAAGGTTTGGTAGGGAAATCAGACCCGTCAGACCCGTTCCGGTCCTTGAGATCTTTACGGTTGGCGACAGAGGAGCCACCAACAACGGTAGTGTTGTCTGCGACACTGTAGTTGTCCATGAGATAATTCGCGAAACTTGAAGTAGAGGTTAGGTTGAGAGTGATGTGGAGCTCCCTTGAACAGAGAGGAATTTATATACTATTCGGAAAGTAAGCGAACACAGGATGTGGGACTTCAAGCTTCAAGTGCGGTCAGCACAGCACATCTTGTGCCCCTTGGCGTCTTCCAAGGCAATCAGCGGTGAGGCCGGTGAGGAACACTCTGACAGGGACCGTCGCATGACCACTAGTGCTATTGCAGGACCCGGGCATTGATATTGCGTGCCGACGCTTGCCGACGCTAGTACATTCCACGATATCTAAGTGCGTTCTTTGGAAGGTTCATGCATGGGACTGAACTTTGCTAGCGATGTACCTGGAGCTGGAATATGCCATTGGCCACGTCGATGCGCGTGCCACGACGCATAGCCTTGCATTTTTACGACATGAGGCTACTAAGCCTTCATGTGGTTGGCCAGAGGCTTGTAGCAACACTGTACATGCTGTAGAGTCTCAAGCGGAGGCGATGTGTATACATGCCGCTGTTGTTGTCATCTGCAGTGGAATTTCCGCTTGCGTTCTGATCTGACTCGCGGAAACTGAAAGAGGCTGAAACTAATTTATTTGAAATTCGTTATATCGCGCGCTCGTTCTGGCAAGTCAAGTTCACGTGCGGCGACACGTTGCAGGTACAAGTAAACTTCAAACTACAAGTTTGTAGTCGCGTTGCTGCAGAACTTTAGAATGCGTCTGCTGTGGCTGCTTCTTCCTCTGGCGCAGTTGGCTGCCGCTCGTCCAGAGAATGCAACAAACGACCTCCTCTGGGGCGCGTATCGCCCCAACCTCTACTTCGGCCTTCGTCCGAGGTTACCGCAATCCCTTATGACAGGCCTCATCTGGTTCGGCACCCATAACTACGCCTCTATAAGCAGTACGTCTTTCAATTACGTCCGATTGAAGTTTACCACAGCATGTCACTGTAGAGGCGCGTCATGCCTGCGAACAAGGAGATGGGCTTGATTCCTACACCTGGACAACCTTGGATCCTCGCCAGGGAGGCGTACAGGTTCTCAAAGACAGTCAGAACAATGTTGAGTTGACCACAGAATTTCTCAAAGTGCCTGGTGGAAGTCATGGTGGTAGCTGGATTGCACGCGTCAAGGGCAAGCCTATGGACCCAAGTGCGTACCAGATACTTCTATGGTTCAACATCGTCTGACACACATCTCAGCGATACCTTCCAGTATTTCTACCATTTTTTATCTTGGCCTAGAGGGGCTTGGTGGACTGGATATGATAACGGACGAGGATGAGGACGTGAGTACCATTACACCAAAGCGTTTATTATCTGACATTCCTATAGGGGCTTGAAGGTCCAATCGAGTTCGCCGGCTCTTCACCCGAATTGGACGAATTTACTGTACGAATTGTTGACGGTAGTGTTTAACGTCCGGCTGGTCATCATATGAAGCTCACACTTGCATCTAGGTCCCAACAATCAGGGTGTGACTTCGGGCCCCTATTCCGATGTATTCGCGGACCGCATTGGCAAATCACACTTCTTTGGTTTGCGCGTAAACAACGGAGACATATGGACGGCGAAGGGTATGTCCGAGCCTGTGTTCAGTTTACCTATGCGCCTGAGTTTGCTGGTTTATTTAGACTGGATTCTCCAAAACATTGTCAAGCGTGCTACGGAGATTGTTCAACCGTACCAGGACAACCCGCCTCCACCTGATCCATCTTTCGTTTTGCAGCTTTCGGACGAGGTTTACTCGGCTAGCAACCTTTATGCTGTACAGAAGACATTCGAGGGAGAATTCCAATTTGATGTTTTCTACGAAAATGGCGAGGCCGCCGGAAAATTGAACAGTGCGTAACCTTCAGGGCGCGTCTCCACAAAGCATACAGCTTACATGCATACCGTAGGTGACGTGATGGACGAAGGTGTATCCAACCTCGTTTCTACGTTCGACCAGCGGTTCGAAAACGTATTACCGACCTCCTCAGCATATCCTACCGCTGAACCCGAGGCTTTGGATGCATTCAGCAAAGCCGTGACTTCTAATCTCTTAGGAGGCATTGGTTACTTCTATGGAACGTCTATTGTTGACAAGGGTTTCGCTTATGAATGGGATCAGGAAGATGACGACGATTCGGATGAAGACGAGGACGACGGGGGCAGACCCACCTCTGGCGCTCGATTGACTGAGCCTCGGGCACTTTTCACAGCAACCCCCAGTCGCAGTTTCTTCCCTCGTGGGTTCTACTGGTAGGTTGTCCTGAGTTTCAATCAGCTGCTAACTCATGATTACGTTAAGGGATGAAGGGTTCCATCTGCTGCACATTGGACAATGGGATAACGACCTGAGGTTTGGTTGCGAACTTTAGTTGAAGCTCGGCTTTTCTCAACTACTTTTAGCCTGGAGATTCTCAAAGACTGGATCAATCTGATTGACGACAATGGTTGGGTTGCACGTGAACAAATCCTTGGGGAAGAGGCACGCAGCAAGGTAAAATATTGCATTACACCCTTTTCTTTGTCTATCCTCTGAACAAAGCATTAGGTACCTGCCCAGTTCCAAACACAAGTTCCTACATTTGCCAACCCTCCTACACTGACAATGGCAGTCACCGCGTTCATTGATCGCCTCAAGTCTCAGTCGAATGGTCCTTCTGCTGCTGATCTTGGCCTTGACTTTGGCACACCTGGTAGCCAAGCTGCTTTCAAGGCTGAAGAGGAAGTTACCAACGGTAGCAAGTACCTTTTGCATGATCATGCATTGGAGTACTTGCGCTCGATTTATGAACCTTTGAAACGTCATTATAACTGGTTCCGTCGCACACAACGCGGTCAGATCAAGCAGTACGGACGGAAGGCACGCTCACGAACGGAGGCTTACCGTTGGCGCGGTCGCTCAGAGCAGCACGTCCTCACTAGCGGCATGGACGACTATCCAAGAGGTCCACCGCACGCTGGAGAACTTCACCTTGATCTGATCAGCTGGATGGGCTTCTTTTCGAGGACTATGCGCGAGATTTCTGAGTTCATTGGCGAGACAGATGACGCTGCTAGCTACGCTGAGATTGAAAAAGCAATCATTGACAACATTGATGGTGAGTGTCCGGAGACATAACACTTTCTGGTGGGACTAACACGTGGTCAGACTTGCATTGGAGCGAGGAAAACCAGATGTACTGCGATGCAGGTATCAGCTCTGAAGGTAATGTTGATCGCGAATGCCTTCGGAAGCCAAATTTCTCATCTTTTGTAGACGAATCCGAACATATCTGTCACAAGGGATATCTTTCGCTCTTCCCCTTCATGCTCTCCCTTTTGCCGACTGACTCACCTCATCTTGGGCCTGTGCTTGATCTCCTTCGTGATCCCAAAGAACTCTGGTCGCAATACGGCATCCGGAGTTTGTCGGCATCTCATCCCGAGTTTGGACAAGGCGAAAACTACTGGAAAGGCCCTATCTGGATGCAAATGAACTATATGGTTTTGAGCTCACTGCACAAGGTATGTCATAAGAAGGACGGCCAATGCTGATATTGAACACGATCTCCAGACCTACGCTGCTCAAGAAGGCCCCCATCGGGAACGTGCCCAAGAGATTTACACTGAGCTACGCAAGAACGTTGTAGACAACGTGTTTAAGGTGAGGAAATAAAGTCCAAAGATAAACAGATGCCTAATAGTTTGTTTAGGAATACACGCGGACAGGCTATGTTTGGGAGCAATATGATTCGATGACAGGAGAGGGAAGAAGAAGGTGATTCAACTTGCGTCTTTTCTGACGAACCTTGCTAACTCCTTGTGCTAAGCCATCCCTTCACTGGATGGACCTCGCTCGTGGCTTTGAGTAAGCACGCTTGCCACACACGAGTTGCTGATACTAACGATACTTTCGCTCAGTCATCGCAGAAAGCTACTAATCTCCAATCTATACTTGGGGCCATGATAACACCAGTATATCTAATAGATGGCGACAGCATTCATAAGGAATAAGATGTCTGGCACCTTGAGAGAATTGCATAGTAAAAGCGTGACGAGCAAAGCGTAGCGAGACAGCAATAAAATGATGCAGGAAAGAACGATCCAGATTAAGGGGATAGATGTATGTATGCCATTGTCATGGAGTGATCGTAGAAATGTGAAATATCTAGAGACAAATACAAGTCGTCAAGTATAGTCCTTGTGCCCGTCATCAACACCGAAACATTGGTTCATCGTCCACAGACACCGAATTCGCCGGGATCAAACGACAAGGAGTCGAAGTGCAGGGAGTCAAGCCGCATCTCAAAACTAATGTCGCCACTGCCCTGATGATCGGAAGAGTCGGCGTATGCGGGAGAAGAATGTCGCATCTTATGCTGGCCATTACCATCCTCTACGTCCACGAAGCAAATAGCGCCATACGCGGCTTCCTCTATAGGGACATCTGGCTCAGATAATGTCGTGGATGTAGACGGCGAGGCAGCCCACGAAGACTGCGGCGTGCTTTCTTCGTCGGGCGACGCAGAGGGGGTGAACATGCGATGGAACTCCATAAGGGAGAAACGCTTCCGTGATGAACCATCGAAAGACATGCTTGGAGAGGCTGGACGTTCTGGATTTTCATCCTCGGTAAAACCCCGAGGAATGACGGCTGGGACTGAACCAGAACTCCGAAGGTAGGCAAGTGATGAGGAGGTATCTGACGGGATGACCTGTGAAAGGGGGGGAGACTTCGGTTCAGGAGCAAAAGATTTTGCAGAGTGAAGGAGCTGAGACAGGGAGTGAGAGGCACGCCGCCCCAAGCTAGGCGTCGCAGAGGCCGTCAACGGAGGGGCATCCATAGATCCTTGGGGTTGACCGTCGATGCCCTCCGCAGCATTAAATATATCATCTGAGGAAGACAGATGTTCCCTAGTGGTAGATTTTCGAGAAACAGCCTTGCTAACGCTCCTAAAAGATTTAAGCGCTTTGGACGCGCGCTCCTTGAAGGTCGCGGAACGCGTCATCTTGGGTTCGTTCTTGAGAGCAGAGTTGTCCTTCCTACGCCTGACCTTAATCACTTCTACAATATCCGGGTCATCTCGAACGTCTTTGCGATGCTCTCTAATGTCAATGTGAGGTTTACACGTCGCCTCTGAGCCTCTCCTTTTCCACACACTTCTGGACGCGCGAGGTAGTGGGTTACCATCGTCTAGAGGTGGACGATGGAATACGGGTGTGGATGGACTAGTTTCGAGTTGGTAGTTGTCGTCTGCGAGACAGAATTGTTCACGCTCATATGCTTCCTCGTCGGAGTCGCTCTCGGTATAATATGGTTCGTCTGCGTCGAAGCAGCAGAAGGGCGGTGTTTGGAGTTGCTCTTCCTCGGGAGGGATAACGAAAACATGAGGGAGCACGAGGGGGACGGGCATGATAAAGGAGTGAAGCAGAATAATAGAAAATAAAGAGCGACTGTCCTGGCGTGAGCAGGGAAGGATAAGAGTGTGCATTCTGTGTATTTACGCGTAACATTACTCGAACATCTCTGTGTCACGGGTTCGTGGCGAAATCCACCCGTTTCCTTTTTCACACTCTCCTCCTTCCCTGAGATAAGCCTAAGTACTGTTAGTTTACAGCCTGTGCAATGGCACGTAACATGGTCCTCACTTTCCTGGGCACCTCGAGCGGTGGTGGACCCACAAGAACGCGTAATTGTTCTAGCATTGGTACGCGTCCGTTCTCCGATGATGTCATTGGCCATACCCATGCACATGCTCAGGTCACTCAACTTCGCAGTGGCCGATATTGTTGGCGACGGCTCACTCTGGTGTATGTGCAATTGCAGAGGCCGATCTTATGGGAGCACTTTGCCTAATGTACGGTCCACCCAGTGATCGATTGTGCTGAAGGAACTGTTCGCCAGTTCGAGCAGCAGCCGCGCAGGGTAAATCAACAGAACCTTCGAATCGGCAGGGTGAACAAAATCTTCGTGACTCATATGCATGGTCTGTCCCACGTCCGTCTACTTCTAAGCTCAGGTCTTTTTATCGTCGTCAATGTAGCCGACCACGTAATGGGTATAATCACGCTCTTGCGCAATGTTTTGTTTCCTCCGCGAATTCCGCTTCCAGACCCGAGCACAATCAGGGCAGCGGTATTATCATTCTACATTCGTTATTTTTGGATGATCTCACGAGTATACAGCCACCTTTTGAACTTTACGGTCCTGCGGGGCTGCGCCAGTTTGTGAGAACCATCTTCAACTTGACTTGCACCAGAACTTCGGAGCGTTTTGTTGTGCACGAACTTCTTACCCCAAAGGACGACCTGACGCCATGTAATACGGAAGTCTTACATCCAAATGAGTGCATCGGAGAAGACATTGTTTGCTCCGAAGATGGCATTTGGCACGAATTCTACTCTCAAAGAGGGTCTATGAGCAGCATCGTCGTAGATGCTGGGCCCATTTCGCATAGAGGTACCCTGCAATCGACTGATTGTGCACATAGAAGTTGCTCAACTCATGCATCCAGATCCATGCCTCGGATACGTGTTTCGAGAGGCCGAAGGCTCACGACGGAAAGTGGTCGTCCTCGGTGATACCTACGATGCGTCAGCAATTATACCTCTTGCGAAATCACCGAACCTTCTGGTTCATGAGGCGACCGACGCGTATATTCCTCGAGATGTAGATCCTTCGGTGAAACGGAAGAAGGAAGTGGTCGAAGAGAAGATCTTAGCAAGGGGACATTCTACTCCTGTGATTGCCGGGCAGTTCGCCAAGGAAGTTGAGGCTGAGCAATTAGTACTTAACCACATTGGGAGCAGGCAAGTTTAGCGCTTCAGCCGGACGGTTTTAGGCATTGATGATTGTCAGACATCCTGCTCCTCATTTTCCTTATCGTCGAGGCGATGTGAGGCTAGCTGTGATGAATGAGTTTGAGAGACAAGCGAGCGAGGCATGGGGCATGGGGAAGGCAAAGGTTGCGTACGATTACATGCGGATCACGATCCCGGTGCCCAAATAGGTTCAGTGACGAGCCGAGAAGTCGATGTTAATGTATCAGCCCGCGCCCACTGGACGGACCACAAATGCAGTAAACGGGGGCACTTACCGGAAAGCCTTCGCTGTTGGGACCGATGTTTGAGAGTTCGTCGAAGGACGGATTCGGAATGTGATTTAAATAATTGGGAATGATACTCGCTGAGTTAACAAGGAGTTGCCGAATTATTGCCATATTTCGAATTCAGGTATGCGCGCCCGCTACGACAAGTGTTTGACAATAGGGGAGAGGCTCTCCGAGTCGATGAGTCCGCCTTTGTGAGCGTGAACCCATTGATCGAGGAGTAAGTTCAATAGTGGCTGCAAATATAGAAAGTGAAAGATTGATGGGTGGGAGCCCACTGAGGCGGACACTGACAGGCTACTGGACCATTTCGATCGATACCGAAGAACAAACCTCCGGTGATAGTCCCAAGTTTGCAGGCGCGGAGATCCAAGTTGATGCTCAAGGGCTCAAGCTCAAATCACACTCGTATCGCAAAGTTCCCAAGGGTCACGAGATGCTACGTCAGTCCATAGAACATATCTGGTTTCAACAATGTTCCAACGTCAAAAGCTGGTCTCCTGTACATAAGTCGACCAAGATGTTGTGCATTTGAGGCAGTCAGAGCGAAGATCAACGCCCACAATGGTCTGACCGCGAATTTTTCATGGATGTGCTACCTGGGCCTCGGCTCCCCTAGGCCTGACAGTACCGGCCAGGCGATTGACAGTTTCAAACTGGTCAGTCAGGAACGAACATGTGTCCCCCTATCCTAAAGTAGACAGTTATGGTGTCGTCCGAAGCTCGAAGGTAGATACGTAGAAGGCTGAAGGCACGAAGCTTGGCCAGCCGGTTCATCGAAAGAGTTCTTCTTAGAGTAGCACACACTAGCATCCAGAAGCATGTTAGATCAGAAATATTGATTCTGCGTTCGGAGCAAAAAGGCCGGCTCAAGCGCGTTGAACAATGCGGGGAACGATAACGTACGCGTACATAGTTGCTTCAGGTAGGAGGTGCACAGCTTGTTTTGGCTCGCTTAACTCGCGGCGAACCCAGAAAAATGCGATCAAAAGGGTGAATGTGTGTTGTTTTGTCCTGTTCAGTCGGAGAGTCGGTGATAAATTGGCGCAGAAAAGGCAGGTGGCTCGTTGGTTTGGAGCAGATCTTGCGATTGGAAATGAATTGAGAGCTGGGACTCGTGTTTGTGTGTGCTTGGCGCGTTGGCGAAGGTCACAGGATCAGACGGCCCCTTCTCCTCCTCGTCGACATTCCTCTCCCATCCTCCCCCCTTCATAACGCCTATAACCACACAGCTCCACTCACAACCAGCCGACCCACGACTTCCTCTCCCTTCTCTCTTTATTTTCCCCCCACTCTCACCTCTGCTCTGTCTCTCTTAGCTTAGGCGCCCGCCTCCGGTCCAACATCAGTTCCTCTTTCGTCCGCAGTTCCACCCATCGTGAATCCATCCCTCTACATGGCCTCTAACGCCCCAATAAACGGAGTGAAAATTTCTCGTGCGTTCTACCTCTTTCCTTATCGCATTCCCGACCCCCTCCCCTACCTAGTGTTCATATACGCAAATGCCGTCCATAACGCCCACTTCTGTTACCCACCTCTCCTTCACAATCCATTTTAATACCCAATGCTCACTCACGGAACTCATGTCAAACAGCCATCGACGATCCTCAGAAGATCGTCAAGGTCGTCGCCTCGGATGGCAAATCAGCCGACACGAGGGACATCTCTTACTCTAACTGCAAGGTGATCGGCAACGGCTCCTTCGGTGTCGTATTTCAGGCCAAAATCGTTGGGTCTGCGAATGATGGAGAGGATATTGCAATCAAGAAGGTTTTGCAAGACAAGCGGTTCAAGGTGCGCTTCAGCTCCGCACGACACCATCTTCGGGTCCGCCGTATAACGCTTGATTGCTCATGTCGCTTTTGTCTTGGCAATCCCTCTTTTCCCTCACTAGAACCGCGAGCTTCAGATCATGAGGCTCGTCACTCACCCGAATGTCGTCGATCTCAAAGCCTTCTTCTATTCTAACGGTGATAACAAGGTGTGTATCTACCAGCATGAGTAAAGTTGAATGTTGACATGGCCTGTCTCATAGAAAGACGAAGTGTATCTTAACTTGATGTTAGAATATGTCCCCGAAACCGTCTACCGCGCAAGTCGCCACTATGCCAAACTCAAACAGCCCATGCCCATGCTTCAAATCAAACTGTATATGTACCAACTCCTCCGGTCTCTCGCCTACATCCACTCCGTTGGTATCTGCCACCGAGATATTAAACCTCAGAATCTATTGCTGAACCCAGCGACGGGCGTCTTGAAACTCTGTGACTTTGGTTCGGCGAAGATCTTGGTTGCCGGTGAACCCAACGTTAGCTACATCTGTTCGAGATATTATCGGGCACCCGAATTGATTTTTGGTGCCACTAACTACACTACTTATATCGGTGCGTATGCATGACACATGCAGTTCAAGATCACTAACCTGGCTTCACTGATAGATGTCTGGTCGACGGGTTGTGTCATGGCTGAGCTGATGCTCGGACAGCCCCTGTTCCCTGGCGAGAGCGGCATCGATCAGTTGGTGGAGATCATCAAGGTTTTGGGTACCCCGTCTCGGGAGCAGATCAAGACGATGAACCCGAACTATATGGAGCACAAGTTCCCGCAAATCAAACCTCATCCCTTCTCCAAGGCGAGTAACTATCTTGTCCGCGCCAACCGGGGCGGACGCTGAACATATGGATCGGACAGGTTTTCCGGCCGCGCACTGCGCCAGAAGCCATTGATTTGGTTTCGAAGCTGTTGGAGTACACGCCTGGCGCTCGCCTGAGTGCAGTTGAGGCGATGGTACATCCGCTCTTTGACGAGCTGCGGGTAGAAGGAGCGAGGATGCCGAACGGGAAAGACTTCCCGCCTCTGTTTGACTTTACGCGAGAGGGTATGTCGTCGGACGTTGATAGACGATGACTTGGGAACTAACATGTATGCAGAGCTATCCGTGCGGCCCGACCTGCTCCGGCAACTTGTACCGCTGCACTGCGAAGGAGAGCTGCGCTCTCGAGGAATTGACGTGGACAATTTTGTACCGATACCTTTGGAACAGCTGAAGATCACACTCGACTAGGTTGGACCAAGAGAATGAGATGTAGCGATGTATCTGTTTCCCCTGCTGATGTCTGTTCTACATTTTTGTGTTGTGCGTGCATAGTGTACATTTGCAAGTAAGTCGAGGTATTTGCTGTGATGAGCCTGTGACGAATGTGATGAGTGTGACCGAGTGTCCCATACATTAACGGCATTGCGAGAGCAGTTTATGAAGTATAAGAGAATGAGATGACGAGTAGTGCTAGTGAGATGCGTGACTTGAATGACAGGTTGCGTGATGTCGCGTTAGATGTTCGCGAGCGGGGATGCAGATGGGCTCATTGAGTTTATATCCGCAAAGTGCCCTGCGTCTTATAACAGACTGGGAACAGAGCACGACTAGTAGACCCTCCGCCCACGATGCAGACGCAGAATTATGCCTGCGACACTCTGCCTGCCGCTAAGCTGGCAGGAGCTCCCGACGCTGACCAGCCTGAGCAGCAGGCCGACACCAATTTGAATAGATCCGTCTCTCCCCCGCTGCCATTTATGGATCCGACCGGGACAGAACATCTTGACAAACCCACCGAGGACGCTATCAAACAAGCCCAAGGCCAGGCTTTCCTCCCACCCACAATGCCTGCCGCCTCCCAGAGGAAGCTCTGCGTTCGCCATCTCCGCATGGCGGACGAGGGCACAAATCTCAAGCTTCAGCAGGTACCTCCCCTTTTTCCGCTTGCTTTGCTAGATTGCTCACACGACTCCCCCGCCACAGGCTCTAGATGCCCTACCTATCGAGGATCGCCAGACTGTCAGCACAATATGGTCCAGCTTTTCTTCGTCAGCACATCCCAGGCGAGAACTTATCCTCCAAGGCATCCTCACCATGTGCTGCTTCTCCCAACTCTCCCTCCTCACCGAGCAGCTCGGTCACCTTATCCGTCTCGACCCCTTCGTAGTCCTGCCCCGCGAGGTCGCACTTAAGGTTCTGGCACATTTAGATGCCACCTCACTATGTCGCGCAGCTCAGGTTAGCAGGCTTTGGCGTAGTCTTGCCGACGACGATATCCTCTGGCGCGGAATATGTGAACAACATATAGGACAGAGGTGCCGCAAGTGTGGCTGGGGCTTGCCTATCCTCGAGCACCGTCGCACTGCTCGAACCTCATCTTACTGCTCCACACCCCCTGGCTCATCCGTCACGTCTCCACGATCGAAACGTGCTGCAGAGGATTTTACAGATCATCCTCATCCCACAAAGCGCTTACGATCCGAACTTCAGGATTTCTCCTTGGCTTCTACCTCTCATACCACCGATCATGACACCCACTCCCGTGCTTCTCCTTCTCGCGAGCTTCTGCTTACACCACCACTTGATGCACCTCGGGTCCCGGTTACTCGCCCGTGGAAAGATGTGTACTCCGAGCGCTTGACCGTCGAACGAAATTGGCGACGAGGTCGGTGCACTGTGCGGACTCTCAAGGGACACGCCGATGGTGTCATGTGTTTGCAATTTAGCGAATCCATGCATCATCCCTCTTTTCCGGTCTTGATCACCGGCTCGTATGATCGAACGATACGCGTGTGGAACCTGGAGACCGGGAAAGAAGTCCGCTGTCTTCGCGGCCACACTCGTGCCGTCCGGGCTCTGCAGTTTGACGAGGCAAAGCTTATCACGGGAAGCATGGACCATACCATTCGCGTCTGGAACTGGCGGCGAGGCGAGTGCATACGAACGCTGGAGGGGCACACCGAAGGTGTCGTGTGCCTCAACTTTGATAACAACTTGCTCGCTAGCGGCAGTGTAGACACGACTATCAAGATCTGGAACTTCCGGACAGGAGAGGCATTCACCTTGCGAGGACACCGCGACTGGGTGAACTCCGTGCGGTTGTGGGACGTCAGCAATTCGGGGCTTGAAGATTCACTATCCCTAACCGGTGGTGGTTTCACCTGTCCACCCGAGATTGGCTCGGGAAGGATGCTGTTCTCCGCATCCGATGATGGGACCATCAAACTTTGGAATCTGTGCAGTCGAAGCTGCGTTAGGCAATTCACTGGCCACGTAGGTCAGGTGCAAAGCCTTCGGCTGTTAGCAGTCGACGAGGGGTGCGATACAGACGAGGGTGGGTCGGACAATGTTCGAGTAGAAGGTGTTGTCAATACAGAGTTCCTCAATACGCCGGGTAGCTCTTCCGAGTTGTTCAGCGTCGTTACGCACGACACTCCGCCGATGAACAGGACACTCAGTGAGAACATGGAGGAGGCCAGAAGTCTCGACAGGTCCACAAGGCGAGCGATGGGCGAAGAATCTTCCAAGCGGAAGAAGCCCGTGCTCATTTCTGGGAGCCTCGACAACACCATCAACATATGGGACATCGAAACTGGAAAGGTTACTTCGACGCTATTCGGGCATATTGAAGGCGTTTGGGCTGTCGCCTGCGACAAGTTGCGGATCGTGAGCGCTAGTCATGATCGCACAATAAAGGTTCGTGGATGTGCTATAAGATCATGCACTCACTCGCTGAACACTATCATACAGCTTTGGAACCGTGAAGAAGGCCGTTGTACTGCTACGTTATTTGGCCACCGGGGTGCAGTAACCTGCCTTGGGTTGGGTGAAGACAAGATTGTTTCCGGAAGTGACGACGGTGACGTTAGAGTATGGAGTTTCAGTGGATAGCTATCATGTCGCTTATGCTTTGCTTTCGCTGTTTTTATTTGTAACTTAATTGACCCAAGTATACTGTACAAGGAATTGGCTACTTATGAATCCATGTAATGATGCGAGTTTGTCCAAAATACGTTATAGTCCGAAAGCGAATGTGTGTGCACCATACATTGCCCCAAGCGCACGAGACTGCCCATCCTCGCCTGCGCCCGCAGCAACATATATGGGAAGGAAGTGTTCCTCTCTAGGATGAGCTTCACGGAAGCCCTTCAAGCTGACCAGGTCTAACATAGCAGCCTTGCGAACCTCGGGCTGTAGCACGTTCGTGTCAGTCTACATCCCAAGAAAGAAACGAAGAGACGAACAGCTTGAACGCCGGCCTCGTAGATCGCGTCGCTAAACGTCTTGACGCTGGCGGGCGCCATACTCTCGCTAAACAGCCTACGATCCATCAGATTATGTATGGTAAGTCCTCCAGAAAGGATGAGATATCCCTCTTCCCTGCAAGATATTTTAAGTCATAAGGGCTTAAGGAGAAAGAGAGGCGGTACCTCAGCTTTGCTACGGCTTTGCCCACCTGCCAATTTGCTTCTGCCGCTTGCTGAGGAAGGGATCTCGAGCTGGGGCCTTCAATGGATACCTGCACCACTGGAACCTTCTGGAGTGTCTCTCCAAACATTAACGTGAAGGGCACAAACACGCCATGATCTAGGCCGTGACCAGGGAATCCACGACCATCCTCGCCGCGAACCTCGTTCGGGGATGATAGGCGTGCACGCATGCCCGCCTTAGAATAAGAAACTAAGCTTGGGAACCTTTAGCAAGTTACATACCGGAACATCCTACCTCTGTGAACGAATCGACCACCCTCTGGGAGAGACTTCTGTCTCCTTGGGAGTTGAACTTGATCTGATATAGCTCGGGTCCAAACCCATAGTAATCCATGAAGAGCGGGTTCTGGCCTTCATAGTTGCTGACTAGGGGTTTATTGAGCTAGCGTCGGAGCAGCTATTCAAACATACTGACCTACGCGCTCCCCTTCGGTCTCCCAATGAGCGCTGAAGATGACAATGCCCTTGGGCTTGTACTTTTCAAGCAGAGCTGGGCCAAAGTCACGAAGGAAGTTGGCTAGAGAACCCCTCGGTCCCATCTCATTGAAGGAAGGGGGGAGTCCACCCGACTCTGGGAAGACAAGCATGGGAGAGCCATGGGCGAAGAAGAAGGCAGGGATCTTGGGTGGGTTGGATGGCAGCGCGTCGAGGGCGGCGCGCCATTGCTCAGGGATTTTGGGTGCGACCAAAGCGGAAGACATGGTTCGGAAGTGTGGTGGACGAGATAGTACGGAGGTCTTCAAATGACGAAGGGAGTTCATGCTCTTGGAAGCATGTTATATATCTGATAACTCACGGTTTCGCTTTCGCGTCAAGGGCGCCTACAAACAGCGAGGACATCGGCATTTCTGTCAGTCACTTACATAGCGTGCTACTGGTACGGGACAACTAGAGTATGTCATACTTTCGTGGATGCTCGTAAGCCCGCTGCATGATGGAGATAGAAAATCTCACGGGCTCATATACATACTGCATCAGCCTTACCTGTCTCACCGCTATTGATATTGGTCAGGAGTAGACCCAATTAGTGTAATCAGGCTGGTGCGCAACGGTTCGCATCGAATAATTTGCGTGGGAGGTAGTGTTAGCCTAGCAAACGCTCTTTAGGCTCCGCTCGGTAACGGGTTAAATTAAATTAAGTTTAATTTAACCTGTTACCGAGCGGGGCCTTGCGAGTTCCCCAGATACACTCCTCAAAGCGCCGCTGGAGATCTTGACGGTGTACTACGACAGGCTGCATGGATTGGTAGCGTGGCCGAGTTGGTCTAAGGCGTTGGATTTAAGTATTTGAATCCCAATGGGCGTAAGTCCGCGCGAGTTCGAACCTCGCCGCTACCACTTCACCATTGAAACTTTTTGCTGGGGCCGTTCTTATGTAGATAACAGAAGTTCTCGACGTTGTTCAAACATTCATCCATAATAAAGTAGCACATCAATTACAAACTGCCCAAATACACGATACAGCAGGGGTGCCAGCTAGGCAAACGAACTGAAATACACTTTGGATTTCGTCTTGAATCACTACCATTCGCTGGTTCTTTAGAATAACTGTACAAGGTGAATGAACGTCGGCTGCTATATCAGCAGAAAAACTTACACCCTCAATGTTGTCCGCACCTCCAGGGCGCTCACGAACCCTTGTCAAAGATGTGTATGTCAACTGCATGTGGCAAAGACAAGGGGACTCTGCTTACTTCCTTGTGGGAACGAACGCCTCTTGCTCATCACTGAAGATGCTGCTCATGCTGCTTGAACCTCCCGGTACAGTTCGCACACGCCTGAAGGCAGTCAGACCCATTGTGTGCATATCTGACCATGGCCTTGGCTCACCTTGTTGGCTTGAAACCATCAGCGCTCTCCGAAGGAGGTGCGACGGAAAGAGCATCATCTCCAAACTCTGGTTCGCTCATAATCCGTTGGGCGGTAGAAGGAGACATGGCGGGCGGCGCAGCATCGGAAGTTGCTAAGTCGGTTTAATTCATAAGAATTCAGGCATAAGAACGTAGCCACGAACGCGGAGCTTCGCCTTGATCGGACATCTTGCCAAAAGTCGCATAACCTATAAGTCGAGGTCCCTGAGTCGAATCAATGGAATGTAAACATGGCAATATTCCTACGAGGAAGTTTTTGGATGTTTGAGAAGTTGGTGTCAACCGTAGTTCCGGTATACCTAGAAGGCGATAAGAATTACACTGCTGATGATACTGAGGGGACACTCTGATGAATCATACCTCAGGAACTCAAGCAAAGTGCGTTTGGTGAACACTACTTTTGTGTCGTCCCAGTCAAGCATGCCTTGGCGGTAAACTCAGCAATTGACTTACAAAGCGAGCTTTTCAGCGAAGCACAAACGTACCAAGATTTAAAGGCCAGTCCTTTTCCTTGGACATATCGACTACTTGAGAGGGAGTGAACCTTTGAACAAGAGAATCAGCGGGTACTCTTGAGCACACACTATGAGCATACCTTTGAGACATGGTTTCCTGGTAGTAGATCGGGGATTGAGAGAGGATACGAGTGGGATCAAAGAACACGATGAGAGTAAAGTTAAGACAAGGAGCAGTTTCCAGCCAGACGCGTCTGGTTGAGACAGAGGTCTCGGTTGTTATAGTATCTATAGCACCCAACTGAGCGCTCCCAAGGTATGCATATGGTCATGGTGACAATCTACTAGTCTGCCGCGCGCCCTGCAACTTAAGCAACTGCTTGTGTTTAACTAAAAGTAAAAATCTGAACTACGAGTCCTTGCCCAGCTTCAAACTTGAGGGTTTCCGACGTTAAGTTTCCGGCCCTGCATCGGACGAGAGACGCACAGGGGCGCCTCCGAATCTTGCCACTTCTCGTTCCCCATCGCCACCAAAGTTTTGGGTTTAATTTCCGCATCCCACCGTGGAGCTACATACATAGCTGCGTGCGCTCATGTTGTCGACGCGTATTCTCTGCGCGAATGCTGCCAAAACGGCACAGCGTGCATATGCTACCCGAGCATCCGAATTTTACACCGATCCTAGCAAGGCCCTTGAGCCAGCAGTCACGTCTACTCCAGAGGTCAACTCTTCGCAGCGAGAGGTCCTGGACTCGGCGTTGCGCATTGATCAGGCAGGCGAAATTGCTGCTAATGCGATCTACAATGGTCAAATGGCCGTCCTCGGTAGACACCCACATGTCGGCCATCTCATTCAGGTGCGCATCTGGTCCTTTCCGTCCAGAGCTTGTTTGACTGAACGCTTCGCAGGAAATGTGGGATCAGGAGAAACGGCATCTTGTCGTAATGAATAAATTACAGGCACAGCATCAGATACGGCCAACTGTGCTGACAGAAGTGGCCAAAGTGGCAGGTTTCGCTCTCGGAGCTGCGACAGCATTGATGGGCAAAGAGGCAGCCATGGCATGTACTGAAGCTGTGGAGACAGCTATTGGGGAGCATTACGACGAGTGAGCCACACTCCTTGCGCCTCTTTTTCTCAGTCAGCTAACGCAATGACTTAGCCAGTTAAAGGAGTTTGAATCACTACCGGAATCACATCCGAGCGTACCCCTTCTTAAGGATGTCATCCGGGAACTCCGGGACGATGAACTGGAGCATTTGGATATTGCTGTCGAACATCACTCACAACGCGCACCTGCACACGCTTTGCTCAGTACGGTCATCAATGGGGGCTGCCAAGTGGCTATAGGGATATGTCGGCGGTTCTAATGGTTTTATTATATTCGATTGCTCCGAATAATGTGTGTCACGCGTCCTCAACATGTCGCCGATATGTGTCAATTGAATGCGAACGCCACCTTAGTCTAGAAATCATCACGAAGACTGCTTAGCGAGCGCCTGGTCTTTCCGCTTGCCTGCCCATGACCACTTGTTCTGTGCCGCAAGTCAGTTTCAGGCTTACAGGAAATGAGGACAAACATACGGTTGTTTGAGTGGAGAGGTAGTAGATGGCACCGGGAACAAAGACGAAGCCCATGAGGGATACGAAAGTTGTTCTGGGAGTGAAGCGGAAGTGCTTGTATGCGTCCTCACGCTGGGATGGTGGATTGAATGAATACGTCGGGGAGCAGCAGAAGGTAAACGTACCATCCGGTTCCATCGTTCGACAGCTGGGTCCAACTGGTCGAGCGGGATGAATGTTCAGGTCATGTACGTCAGGCTAACAAGAATTGCTTACTTTAATGAAACCTGTAATATGTTATGCTGTCAGCATTGTGTCAGAGGGAGAGTACACATTCAACTACTCACTGTGTGCAGCCATGGTGGAAGAGGTAACTTATGTTGTTTGAATTTGTTTACCGACCGGGTGTGGTAGCTCTAGTTTCCGCTCTGGGGGTAAACAACAAGTTCGGCCGTGTGCGTTCCTTTCATTTCTCATACAGTCCACCACCACCACCACATACACTATCTCTTCTTCTCCGCCTCGTTTTTACTACTGTATGGCTTACAATCGCGAGTGGGATAAGGGAAAGGACGACTGGGGCGGCGATAGTTCTTCATGGTCAGGCGGAGGTGGAGGAGATAGATTTTACTCGAGGGGCAGGGAGGACGACTACTACGGCGAAGGCAAACGTAGAAAGTACAACAATGGCGTGCGTCTGCCTCCTTGTTTCTGTCACTCCTCTTGACACCCTCTTCGCAGGGCTATGATGCCGGATATTCATACGGCGATGGCTCGTACGACCCCAATTGGGGACAGGGCCAAGCCAACCAAGGCGACCATTCTCAGGACTACGGTCATGACGAACGTCCAGGCAAGCCCTTTGGCGGAAAGAAACGGCTTGTCCCCAGTGAACCCAGTCCCCATGTCATCTTCCTTGGCCTTGACCCCGACTTCTCCGAAGCAGACGTCCGTTCCTTGACTGGATCATCCGTCTTACTCCAGGCTGAAACCACTCTTCTAGCTCCAAGCATACCTTGTAAACAATGCATGCAATATCGAAACCGTGACCATCATTCGTGAACGATCAACAGGCACTTGCCCATTCACATTCTCTTCTTGCGCTCGCATTGACGTTTCCTTGGCCGTTGGATTTTCAAAGGTCTTTCCAAGGGCTTCGGCTTTGCTCAGTTCGCCAGCGTAGAGCACGCCCGCGCGTTCGTCGATCCTCTGTTTCCTTTCATCCAGATACCTCCACCCGCCTCTCATGGTGCCTCCGCTACCGCTGCCTTCTACAAGGCGCTCGAGACTGGCACTCCTCACAATGGCCGGAGAGTGAAGATTGATTACTCTCAGAGTGCACTTCCACATGATAAGAGTCGAACCCGGCAGAACATGAACGACGGCACGCGCGACATTGGAAACTCGCCGGCACCTGTCCTACTCTTCCGAGGCCTTGATCCTCTGTCGGGACCACAAGCTATCGCGCAGGCCATGATCAGTTCGGCTGGTCCCGGGAATCAAGGTTCTAAGGGCATGAAACGCATCGTCCTCATCAAAGATAAAGTGACATTGGCCAGCTTTGGGTTTGCATTCGTCGAGTTCATTGATGCACAGGTGAGTTTGAACATTCTCTTATGAGCCCAAATCCAGATTGATACCACCTAAGTCTGCATCCGGGGTCTTGGCTAACACGATGTCGGCCACCATTCACCCCCAAGGCTTTCGTATTTCCGATAAGCCTGTAGCAGCGTCTTTTGCCCATCCCTATTCTTTCCAACCAGTTACTGACTACATGCTTCGCGACGACACTTCTATCACCTCTTCAATGAGTTTGGGTGGTGTGGAAAATACTTTTGTCAAGTACTGGGATGAGACGGCTACCGTAGCTGTTCTCGAGTTTAAGGTCGACGAACCAGTGAGTAAGGATTCACAACAGGCCACGTCGACAAAAGAGAAGAAGGAAAAGAAAAAGAAAGGTAAGCAGATTTTCCAATCAAGTGGTCCAATCTGACATGTGCCAATAGATGATAGCTCGAACAAGCTCCCTCAAGCCTCCGTTCTGCCAGTATCCGATAAACCTGTCACTCTTAGCTTTGGCAAGGGATTATCAGTTACTTCAAAGCCTGCGGGCCCCACAGGTATGCCGTGTGTCATCCCGCAAGCATTTGCTTACGGTCACTTCCAGGCCCTACGAAAGCTCCAGCGCTAGGATTTTCTGCAGAAGACTTTGAAGGAAGTGATGCGGACAAATCAGAAGAGTACGCATCAGGCAAGGACGATGCCAAATGTATAGTTATCTATGGACGCGTTGAAGGATGTACTGACTGGCGGTGCAGCTACAGCGGCCAAGAGAGTTGGCCCTATGATAGCGAGCAAAAAGGTGATTGTGTCAATTCTTCCTTTCGGTGCTGTTTGATCTGACTACTATCTTGTACAGACCGTGAACAACATCCAGAAGTGGAATCAAGTAAAGGAAGAATTGAAGGAAGATATAGGTGCTCGCCCTGCTCCGGTTGGTTGTATACTTCATGGTATAAAGCATCGGTATTTGATGACCATTAGATGCAGGCGACTGTTCCTACCACTGCTCCTACCACTGCTCCTACCGCTGCTCCTGCCGCACCCTTAGTGACCAAGTCTCCACTCCCACAGGAAGACTTGGAGTTCGCGGACATTGGCGCTCTTATGTGTCTCCTGTGTTCGAGGCAATTCAAAACAACGGAACAGCTGAAGCGACACGACAAGGAATCAGATCTTCACAAGGTTTGCATTTCGATCATCGGTGCATGGAACCTCTGCTGACGCATGTCCCTACCTATGGTCTCTCCTCTGTTCCATCATGTAGAAGAATCTGCGTGATTCGAATCTGCGTGAGGTTGCTCATCAGAAGCTGGCTCAGAGGCGGACAGAGTCATCCTCGAAGGGGGATGCAGAGGGGCCGAGGTATCGAGACCGCGCGCAAGAGCGCCGAGTTATGCATCATCAGCCCGATGTCCCGTTACCAGAGCCCTCCGTGGCATCAGCGTCGAAGAGAAAAAGACACGCGGAAGGGCCCCCGCCGCCACCCTCGCCACCGCCTCCGCCTACTAATCCAGGGGAGGACGAGAGCAACGTGGGTAACAAACTGCTCAAGATGATGGGATGGACGGAAGGATCCGGGTTAGGTACCGAAGGAGACGGCAGAGTCGATCCCATGTAAGCCAAAAGTTGTCGCGCACGTTGCATCGCTTATTGGGCCATTATCGTTTTCAGCCAAACCGCCATGTATGCCCAAGGTGTTGGACTAGGTGCCAGCAAGGGGAAGGACGTAGGTAAATATGCGGATGGATATGCCGGTTACGTGCATATGGCTCAGGATGCGGTGAGTCGTGTTCTTCAAGGTGACCTCTATAATGACTCAACGGTGTTTTTTGTCTTTTCTGAGAAGGCCCGAGAGCGTTACGGCAATTAGCGAGACATCTCGCGATCGATGTCTTTCATATTATTCTTGTTTTACAGTAATCCTGCTCTGTAGTTCTCTTTGAAATTGATTGATCACTTGATATATTGTTACAATGGATTTGACCCACTGAATCATTCTCGCATGATTAGTGTAACACTCTGTTAAGCAGTAGCAACGATAGATACAGACTGGCGCATCTATACAAAGCACATTATGGAATAACATAAGATGATGGTGACAGCAGATAGAATACAGATGAGGAAGCATCTAGGTATGCATGGGTATGTATGATGCATTAAGCGTCCGTCTGGGAATCAGCGTCTTGGGGTATGTCTTCAGGTTCAGGTGTAGGTTCAGGTGTAAGATCGTTCTCGGCAAGTTCGGAATGGGTTGCTAATGGAGAGTTGTAGGCTGATGATGTCTCTTCGGCTTCGCTCAGCATGGCTGTTCGTTTCCTTGTGCGCCTCCGCGGAGTTGGCGTAACGGGCGACGGCGCGGAGAACCCGTCAGCTTGCAACTGAGCCAGCATGTTGCGCGCCATGTCCGCAGTATCACTTTGAGGAGTGTCGGTGTCTGTGCTGAGAAGGGGCGCCGTTGGTCGCCAGTCAGGTTTATTGCGCGTTTTCCGCGTCCGCTTGTTCACTGTATCACCATTGCGCAGTTTCTCCAGCAAATTATCGAGGACGGCACTGTCTTCTTCTTGTGGACCGCTCTCTTGATGATTCTGCCTTCTCTCCCGAGACTCAGCAAACATTTGCTTCCGCTTCTCTACAGCCCGTTTCTCATCAGCTGCGTTCTGATTTTCGGCTTTGCATTTCTATGAAACGGTTGGGTCAGTTCTCCCATGGTTTTGAGAAAGGCGTGTCTTACTCGGTAAGAGGTGACGAAGGTTTTGAAGATCGCAAAGAATTCTGTAGACGATATAGTCTGATCGTCCTCGCCATAGTATCGCACAACCTCGGTGAACGTTGCTTCTGCGTGGGTAACGTCGTCCACTAGATACTCGATTCTTGACGTTGCTTTGCCCATGAATGACCACATATATTTGCTGAAACCATCGTGCTCCGCAATATCGGTGTAGTAGTCGTTCAACTCTTGTCGTATCCGCCTGAGACCTTCACGCAGTTCACCCATGTCTTTGCGCGTATCCTGGATGTTGACTATAGGCACGTTAGAATCTTTCCCTGTGGGAAGACTCATGAACCAGAAGAGGTACGTACCTCTGTAAGCCTCCGCTGGCTTGGAGAGTTCCTCGAGGAAAATTTCTATGCCCGAAAAGTGCTTTGCGATGGTGCGCTCCAAGAAGTGCAGCAAGGTGGTATTGTTGACGGATTTAGTGTCCACGAGCTAAGAACCGAGTGTGAGCCTTCATCCGCGAAACAATCAAATGCCACTCACTTTATTGATGCTGCTAACCTTGAACCCGAAGGCACCACCCTTTATACCAGTTCCGTTCATATAATTACCGACCATAAGGATGAGCTAGTAACCAGTATAAGCAACTAGGAGGAAACACATAGGCTCGCTACTTACGTTCAAAACCTCCTTAAAATTCTTCGCATGCAGCAAAGCCTCGCTGGCTTCCCCGACTTTCTTAGCACCCTTGACGATTGATTACGTCTTTAGCCAGGACGAAGACCATAGCTTCGAAGAACACTCACATCGTCCAGAAGGGCCCAGGACTCATCGAATTTGCACTTGTACAGCATACCTTCGATGCGAGGCGCCAGCCGGTTTATCTGGATCAGCTTTACCATAAGCCGATCGGAGGGATGCAGTCCTCCAAGTTCCTCGGGTCCAGCATTCCGATAGACGTTCAACTTGCCAACCTGACAGCCACGTTAAGCTGAAAGTTCACAAGCAACTCATTTGCTTGCCTTACCTGTTCTGGGGTCGGTAAGACGCCCTTAAGCTCGCTCAAGAACGTTTCTGTGCACATCTCTTGGTCAAACTGCTGTATCTTGCGAGCGATTTCTTCTGGCTCCAAGGATTTGACCCTTCGGATGAGAATTTCTGGCCAACGCTTCAGCAACAGTAAACCCAACGGTATATCAAGCCCTTACCGACTCGTTTCTTTGTTTGGGCATCGAGGACACTCTTCAGCTCTGCTTGTCTCTGCTTGGCTGTGGCAGTGTCAGTGCAGCCATTCTACTCGGATAAGATGCGTACAAACCCATAAGATTAATCATTAGCTGCTTCGCTTTGAAATCCTCCTCCATTTCTGTCCAGACATCATTGGTTTTCAATTTCTCCAACATCTCTCGCTCCTTCTGACTATCATCGTCATTCCAAACAGTTTTCGACACTTGCTGTTGAGGAAGCTTGTCCCATTGCAGCTGTTTCATCTTGGTACCCGGCGTAATTGGCATATCTTTACGCGCAGCAAGGAGCACATTGAAATTAGCACCGAGAAGCATAGAAGCACGGGCAGAGCTAGGTGCAGAGCTAGGTGTGGATGCAATTCCTCTTGCACCGGGGGGAGGTGGAGGTGGCGGAGGGGGAGGTGGACCTGAGCCACCGGATGCACCAGCAGTGGGGATTCCGGCCCCGGGAGGTGGAGGAGGAGGAGGCGGGGGCGGGGGCGGGGGCGGAGGGGGAGGAGGCGGTGGTGGTGGTGGTGGCGGTGGCGGCGGCGGCGGCGGGGGAGCTTCAGCAGTAGACACATTTATTTCTGCTTCGGGCACCTCGCCCAGGGGGGTTAGAGCTTGTGATGGTGAATCTGATTCCGCTTCTGACGAGGGAGACCGGCCACCCCTGGCTTTGAGATGGTTTTTCAAGGCGTCAGCAAATGACCCAGGGGCAAGTACGCCAGCTTTCTCATCGGACGAGACCACGGATGTGGCATTGGTCTCATCAGTGAAAGTGGAAAAGCCACTTTTGATGGACCTGCCGAATTCGCTTTCTCCATCCTGATCTTCTCCACGGCCATTAGCTTCCCCGCCCACCTGTTCAAAGGAGTCCTCCTGACCAGGTGCGAGCAGATTGCCAGCCTTATAGGAACGAGGTAAAGAGGCGTTGATATCTCCAGGCAATCTTGGACCCATCCGTCTAGGAGATCCTCTGATGCTACGCGAACTGTATACGGGATTTCCTTGCGGTGAAAGCTACAGTGGATTCCGTCAATACGCGCGACCAGGTAACAGGAAAAGAAGCTTACAGTTTCAAACTGAAGTTTAACCTGTTGCTCGGCATCCGCTTCGTCCGCGTCCATAAACTGAGACGATCGAGCAGCCTCAGAAGCGCGAGCTTTCCCGTTGCCCATGTTCTTGGCAGATGAAGAGCCATTCGCTTGCCTTGATGATTTGCGCGGAGTAGCATCTCGTGACTCTGCATCAGAGCTCCCCGTCTCTTCTCCATCATCACCTTGACCTTGACCCTTTTTCTTCTTGCCTCGACCCTCCAGGATGCTTACAGTCTTAGTGCGCTCGAGATGCTTGTTTAGTGTCTCAATCAGGGTCTTGCGATCCATGGAGCCCGAGTTTGAGTCGATGATCTTGTTAACACCTGTGCCAAGTTCCCTAAGCATTCTGAAGAGTTCCATGATCTGCTGCTCAAGTTGGGCAATCTGTTCTTCGTAGCCAGCTTTCTGGGTAACAAGCTGACCCTGGAGGCGAGTTACAGTTTCTCGGGAGTGAGCCAAATTGTCTTCAAGACGCGAGACTCTGTCCTTGAGCTGTCCGACAAGTCCACCACTTCCTTGGGCCACCTCTTCCTCTAGCGCATCTCTCTCTAGTTTTAATTGTAGGGCTTGAGCGCGCAGTTTGTCGGCATCAATAGCGGCGGTTTGGTAGCGTTCAGTCTCGTTCAGTTGGGCAATCAAACGCTGCACTGAATGTCCAAGTCGCTGCTCCGCTCCCCCTAGTTTATTGTCCATCGCGATATCCGCAACCAACGAGTCCATGAGCTGATAGTATTGCACCATACCCGGCCCCTCCTCTCTAATAAGCAGCAAATGCTGCATCATAGACAAGAAGTGTGCTTTTGCGGGCGTATTATCGATCTTGGCGCATACAGCATTCCAGACATCCTCCAAGTTGGAGAGGTTCCGCAAGATGTCTTGGTCGAATCGCTCTCTGAGCTTCAGCTCGTCTTCTTCGAGTATGTCTTGAAGGTCATCCAGCTGCTTGTCCATTGGTGGCACGCCAAATTCGCGACATAATGCAATAATCCTCTGGAGACCGGCTGACTCCATCAGGCTCCTGTGATGTATCCGGAGGTCGATGTCATCAAGTGCATCCATGATGCGGACCACAACGAATACATTAGAAAGCTACGTCGTTTATGAGTCCCGTAGCCTCGAAATATACAACAGGATAGAGCTCACAGCATAGTCCAAAAGAGAACCATCGGCGCCACTGAGGGTTTTGACGTCCTCGCTGGCACCAACCAAGCTCCCCATTCGTCCTCTCCCATTGAGAGCAGTTTCGAACGACTTGAACCAGTAGTCGTAGCAACCTCTGGTACCAACACAGACTTCGCTTAAAGTCTCTAGAGCTGTAAAAACGAGTCCGATTGATTCCCTACTACAATAAATTGTGGAAAGGAGAATTTCGAGGATATTTTTACGAGTTGGAAGATGTGGTGAATTTAGCGAAGAGCTTATTTGCGTTATAACGTTGGGATGCTTGAGTGCCTCGCGAACTCTTGTCTAAGTCATGAGGTCAGTTAGAAAGCTACAAATTCAACAATGGCGACGCTTGCCGTGTGGTTGAATATGATCTTTAGACAGTTGGTGATCTCTTTTTCAAGAGGAACATCACCGTGTCGCCTAGGGAATTTTAGGAGTGAACACAGGGGATCAAGGCAAAAACCCACCGCTCAGAGCCTTTTCGACTTATGTGATACAGGGCTTGAGCTAGTACCGAGGTGCCCTGAAGCTCAAGGAACCGTTCCATCCAGCTAATCTCATTATTCTTGAGCGAGACCCAGACACTGGATGCCTGCTTTGCCGTGATAGTCTTGTCAAGGAATTTCTTGATATACCAATCCGGAGACCCTTCCCCAATCGGTGCCGCCAGAGACTCGCCCTGCTTCCGAGACGTTTCTTCCCGGTTCTTTTCTTCTAGCCATCGAAGATGCTCGTCGCCATGTACGATCTTCCACTTTTGGTCGATCGTAAGCGTTTGGCTATCCGGTATTGCTCGCGTCTGCTTGACTTGCTGGAATAAAGCTTCGACACCCTCGTCGTCTGGGCGGGGAAAATAGAAGTCGTCTTGAGGTCCATGCCTGTTGAGATTGAGATGATAAGATAGATGGTGGTGTGAACCGGCCTCTGAACAAGATGAGGTCATTCGAGAATCCCATGGGAAGGGGAGGACAGTTACGCACCTGAGGAGGGACGGAGGGAAGCGGTCTGAGTTGATGGGGAAGTGGGTATGTATGTCGAGTTATATTCTGAGCCAGATGGGCTTCGTCTGCCCGTTGAGCTGGATGCTTCGCTTCTCCGGACTCGCTGCTGGCGGGCCGAGGCTGGGGTGGCCGGCCATTTGCTAGCGTTAGTGTTCAAAGACTCGTTGTATAGGGTTCCCGAGTCTGAAGTGCTGAAAGTGGAATCAGGGCGCGAGGTCGTGCTGGCGTTGGCGTAACGTTCTCTCTCGGCTCTATTCCGCTGAATAGCCTGGAAGTTGAGTTTGGTTCCATCGGAGGTGAGAGTGGGATTGGTGAGCGGGGCGGATATGACTGAAGTACCACGAAGGCCTTGGGAAACGGTGCCGACGGGCATAGGAGAACGGGAGGGAGGGGCAAGCTGATCGTATGGCACGGACCGTTCTGAGAGGTCGCCCGACGATTGGCGGGGCCGCCCTTTCTTGCGGCCGAAGAAGGAGTCCATTGTGAGGGAGTGCGCTCAGATGCGCTGGGATAATGCTGAGGATCAGTTCGCCAGGGTCGTAGTAGATGGAGGAGGAGGAGACGAGCTCAGAGGGGTCGACCGGTTCAAGGGGTCGGTCGGCCTCAGCTAAGGCTTAGTGGCCGGGCCAAGTGCGGGCGGTAACACTAGTAGTAGTCGCGCGCTTGCCTCCTTTAGCCCTTTAGCGACACGCTCCCACTAAGCAACGCTAGGCCATTCTTTGCAACTAAGTTTGCACAACATATACATATATGTCCACTAATTAGACTACGTGTACAGCCAGTACTTGAATTTCTACACTAGCATCATCACGAAGACGATCATTGTCAAAAAATTGGGTTCTCGGACACAGTTCATCGGGCGAACCCTCGCCGTCATGGTCTGCTAAGCAGGCCCATTTGTCTGCCACTTTCGAAGCAAACTTCCCTTCCACATGGATCCATTCGACCGCAGCCAAACCACGCGCCGATGGTCTCCTCGTCTGTTGGCAGCAGCCATCGCTTCAGCCGTCTAAGTCAACGACTTAGATAACCGGCACTGTGTAGATGAAGTCGAGACCAGTCATGCAGGCACAGCCATCAGCCAAGCTCAGGTTCGTCAATGACACAGCCGGCTCGTCACCCATCGGAGCAGCAACGTCCAGCTTCCCGCCTTTTTGAAATGCAACGATCGCGAGATGCACGTCCCCGGTTCGTCAAGACACATCCTAGCCAGTTTCGTGTTTGATAAGGTGTCTCGTCTCGTGCGAATGTGCACTACGATAATAACATGCATGTACAGCCATCACGGCATTGTCAATGCTGACATCGAGAACGAATCTCTGTTAAAGGACCAAGGGCCCCATAACTTCAACATGACTTTGCCTCCGGACAGTTATACAATGCATGCCCTCCGTTGAACACAAGATTAGACGAAACCCTCAGAAATGGCATCATTAGAGTGCTTTCGAACGCGGTTCAAGTGACATCTAACCCAGACAGATCAATTACAGAAAAGAACAGTCCAACTGGCCGCAAACTCCCCAATAGATGCGTCATGGCCTTCTATGCTGTGTCAAGCGATCACCATCTCAAAGCCTTAGAGTTGTGTGCGACAAGTTCAGGACGACCGTCCAGCAAAGTGCGACTGTGCTACTGAGACAGGAGCAAAGTCCATGAGTAGCCCTAAAGAAGGTAGGCAAGACAGGCCGCAAACCCGAGCATGGACAACATTATCCGTAGTCCATGAATTCCAATAGCAGTGGCATGCGTTCCTGTGTGTATTCACAAGCTTCGGCACACCTTACTCTCTTGTCCGCTGCCACGAAGCCGAGCAAGCTTTAGATGCATATTGCTTTAACGGCCAAATCGCGACCCAAGATTCCCCTGGTGAGGATGTCCTGGACGCAAAATAGCTCGCGGTGAACAAAGTCGTGCAAAAGTCACCGGAGGTAAAGTCCCGAGCGCAAGACAGTACGGAGGTCCACCAAGAACATGTGCGTAAACTTTCAGAAGCGAACCAGTTGTCAAGATATTTCGTAGAGGAGCTTGTCGAGTAGATATGAGGCGGCAATGGGCAAGAAAGATCTCATGACGAGACCTGTACGGGACCCAGACTGCTCGTGATCAGTGCTCCTGACTCTCCAAGTTTTGTGCGGTGCCCGCTCCACCGCTACATGGTATGCTCGGTACGCAATTTTGACCGCGAATGCCTCTCTGGCTCGTGACATCGACTCGCCGAAGCCTCTATCAAGCTATCCCCTACGTTTCCGGTGTTGGCTAGCCGCTCAGACGAGCGGATCCCGAGCCTAACACATGCAGGGAGATGAACAGGAAGAGACAAGGGCTTGAGAGTGCGTCAATCAGAGCTTTCCGAAGAAGACATGCGTATGCGTAGCAGATTCGTAGCAGGCAAGGTTAACCAAGAAGATGGGAAGCGCCAACGACGAACACTCAGCCACTCGGGGCTTTCATCCTTTCTGAAATATCGACCGGCAGTACAGCCTGAGCTGCCGTTGATCCGCGAAAGCAGAGAAGAGTCCTCGGTGGCCTGTAGACAATTAGGGTTAGATGTCATTCCGGGTTAGGGGAATGGCTCTTTTGGCTGGAAGCGGCAGCAGATAACGACGAGAGTTGGTGGATGAGAAGAAGTGGCTACCCCCAGCGACCAAGGGGAACGGAGACGCATATCGCAACATGGGCAAGGTTGGAGGACGGGAAAAAAAGCAAATCGCGTCGACGCGTCGTGGATGTCTTGTGTTACGTTGTTTGTTCCAAACAAATAACGCGTACACTACAGCGGCCGCGACTTGAGCAATATCCTAAGTAGCGCATTACTGTAATAGCTGATCCGTCCCCTGTGTAGTGTTGGTGAAGCAAACTGCTCATCTACCCAAAGTCCCATGCCATCCTTCACCTGGTGAAACCAACCCATTCTCCACTAAGCCTTGCCCCCATGTCTCCGTCAGCCACACCGACGTTCCAAACAGCTCCCTGCACAGCTCCGAGACATCTTCCACGGTGTCGACGAGGTCCATCATCACCTCTCTTTCTGCAATTGAGTAAATCATAGGAAGTCCTCGGAGCTGACTATCTTCTTCGACTGCACGCTGCAATTGCGCTTCGATGCAATTAGCAACTATCTCCAACGCTTGACGCGCGGATGGTAAGTACTGAGGAAGCGGCTGTCGCGTTCTGAAAACGTGTTCACAGGCAAACAGTGCTATACATATCCGTGAAACCTGTATCATTTAATATAGAGGGGCAGCACGATGAGGTTGTATTTAACTGCAAGCAAATATTCTTGGCTCACGAATTCACGACGTTCCTTGAATACAGCTGTGATCGTCACCTGGCGAGGGATGTTTTCTCTGACCTTGCGCAGACCGGTCATGAGATCAAGCACCTTTTGTAATTTATCTATCAGCCGTCTGTAGTGCCGCATGGGTTTCTCGAGTTCAAATTTAGAAAAGCATTGCGTTAAAGAGAAATCGCTAGGGGTACTCACTGGGACTAGACTGAGCTCGTCATGCATGGTGGTAATGAGGGCACCTGAACGGTGGAGAGCATTTCGGATCTGTAGTTCTAGTTTGAGGACCTTCTTCTTGTCATTAGGTCCGAAGACGCGACTCCGGTGTAACGTATCTCTGGAGTTATGAATGAGTCCATGTTAGACCACTCCGCGATCATTTATTCATACCGACTCAAGAGGTGGTATAGTTGACTTAATAAACCGAGCGTACGACTACTTTGTTGGAGAAAGAGCACCTAGATGGTTTTCATTTAGTGATTGCTCTCACGGAGAGATTTGTTACTGACTCGACAATGACGAGGAAATACGAGACTGTTCATAGAAAGCGCAGCAATGATACCAATGGATATAGCGAGCCCTCTGTAAAATGCCAAGTCTGGAATACCGCATAAAAGTTTGAGTAAGTATTGACGACGAAAACACGCATACCTATTGTTGAGGTCGTCAGGCTAGTGGCTATATATTGAGAGAGAACAACTGGAGGCAGCGTCACAGACCTACAGGGAAGTTAGCGACGAAGAGTCTGCGATGAGAGTTGTATGTCCTTACGCAACTACTCCAAGAGATGGGATGGAACTCCTGATGATTATCCAGCTGATCGGTATATCGAAGAGCTAAGTTAATAATTTAAGCTGGTAAGACATCATGTCAGTTTGCAATGATAGAACGTACAGTGATCATAATAACAACTCCGTATGGGTTTTTATGGCAAATGAGCCATGTCTGGGTATGGATCTCAGGTCATTTCCGATCAGTCTTATATACTAGACACGTACCACGTAGGCGTAGGCGGCTCCAAGGATCGTTCCCGACTAAGTAGTAAAGCATCAGACATATTACTGAATGTTACGCGAGCAAGAATTTACAAGGCGCAGGTATCCCACCCTCCAGGTAGCACCCGTATTGGTCTCCAGAACCCAAACAAAACTGATGATCATCCATTGCCCATGGACTTCCTTGAACCACGTATATCCTAGTGATTGTCTTGAAACCACGTGCCATAACCTTAAGAATGGAGCTTACCAGCCGACGTTGGAGGAAGAAAGGCAGCTAAGCCTAGGAGAGCTACGCCAACTGCGTTTTTGAGTGCATGGCGAAGATGACTGGAGTGCTGTAGACTCCGGAAAGCTCTTGATGCACGCAGTCTTAATACGAGCATGTGAGGGTGGTTCCAAACATGTCGCACGCGACACAAGAATGAGCTTGGGGAGTAACGCCTCATGCCTTTGGCCTCTGGGTTTCCCCCAGGCTTCATGCCACCCAAGTGTCGTTTCTCTTGTGTCTCTTGCGCTCCTGCACGGTATGGGGCCATTCCATGGTGAATCTCTCGTGCAGATAAACTTGTTTCAGCCTCCGTGACCTCTTGAGCGATGTTGGCACCGTATTCATCCATGATGAACGTCCTTGGTGCAATACCAAACCACTGAGACGATACTCGTGGAAGCCACACTCTGATTCGGGATGCCTCATGATTGGCTCCGATCTTTTGAGTAGCTTCAAGCAAATGACTCGTATCGTACGCTATCTGCACGTAGATCAGTCTTAGTCAACAATCCCACTCTTCGTACGTACCTGGAGCAGTGATGCAACATAAAGGGAGTGGGCACGAACTGCATCAGCGCTGCTCTTTGTGTCAACTGACCGCGACTCTGTGAGTGTGGCAAGATTCAGCTTCCTAACTTCGTCTTGGGTGTTCGTCCATGCAATGTTTAGGTTAATAGAAGCTGTGACAACGGAATCCTTTTCTATACGAACATTCTTGCGATAGAGAGTTGAATTGGCGTATGCGACGGTGATAAGACGTTCTACGGCAGTCAGCGCCTTGAGTATATTGTCAGTCAGGCGGAACACAGATTCGTCGAAGGAGACCAATGAGTCCTCTCGCTCGGTTACATCGGCTGTGCCGGCATAAGGCTCGCGCATGCCCCAAGACAATTCACGTCGAAGGTGTTCCACGATGCCAATGAGAGGTTTCAGAGACTTGACTACGGTTCAAGTTACGTCCTGAGTCATCCAACTCAGAATGCAGGTACGAATCCAGCTCACCACCGACGCGGCCAATGCGAAGTTCAAATGCAGCATGCGCGTATGCCTCACTTAACTTGATAGACTTCCGAACAAGCTTTGCGTGCATAGCCTGCAGGTCGCTGATTGCCGTCAGAGACGAGCCTTCCATGCTCAGGAGTAAACACCGCCGCAAGTCGTTAATGGCTGAGGAAATTTCTTCAATAAGGTGAGTAGATGTCCAGTGAAGGAGTATCACGCTGGAGAAGAGACAAATGACAGCGGCAGAAATGGTGATCCATAGGAAATCTCTGGTCAATGGCCAGACATCCTGAAAAGGATATAAGTATGAGAAATGAGAAAACCAGGGGCCAGACGAACCTCGTAGGAATAGGGCTCAGTTGTAGCCAACATCCATATCGAAACAAAACATGAAATCCGAGCTGACAAGTGTAGCCTTGGCAGTCGACTTTTCGCCCAACCAGCTAATGATGAGCAAAGAAAAGGAATATCATTATATTAAGATTAAGACAGAATACATGCCCCATACAAAATGCCTACCGAAAAAGCTGATTGCTATCAAGAAGGCGGCCGGAATAAGCCTGGAAGGAAGTGAACCAGGTTCATACAGCGTAGCCAGAAATCGAGCGAGAGTAGAAAGACCAATGCCTAAGAAAGCACCAGGGATATTAAGAACAGTGATTTCGACTTGTTGAGCGAGATCCTCTTGGACGGAAAATACAAGCTCCTTGAGGCTGAGAACAAGGAATGCATACGAGCCTCCGAAGCGGGAGAAGGAACGAAGGATGACAATGAGAGCACATAAAAAGGTAGAAAGGATCCGGGCTGAGGCGCGGCGAGACACAAGATGAGCGAGAAAAGACTTCAGGGCGTTCGATGTCGCAGATATACGTGTTGACATGCTCTTGAAGCAAGATAGCTCATACTATAGCGGAGGATGGAAGGAGTGGTTAAACGCAAAAAGGACGTCGGGCGGGTATCCACCGGTCTAATACCACTCCTATTATTGTTGCATTCTTAGCCAAACGAACAGGCTCCGGAGGAGATCCAGAGAGCTGAGGGAGACACGGCTGACAGCTCTCCATCAACCTTAATTATAACGCCAATAGAACCAAGGTCCATGCATTTAGCTTAAATAAACTTCCATCTTGTCCCGCGGTCCAGTTGCAGTCCAGTAGAGTTCAGTTGCGGTCCATCTGATGGTCCACGGCACGAGCCGAGCCGGTTGTCAAGTCTGTGGAAAGAACTAAGTATTGGCGAGTGCCCATTTCAGAAAATCGCACAAGGGCCAGACCAGGATCGTGCTCTCCTCTGTGGCAGCCGGTCTGCAGCGTTCTTTACGACCAACAGCCAGGCCAGATGGCCGACATGATATATAGCAAGGGGACAAGGGTCTGGTTTGAGGACAAGGACCAGGCCTGGATCTCCGCAGAAGTAACCACAGTCACCAAAGGCCAGGACGGCACCGTAAAGCTCACCTTCGTCGATGAACGCGGCAAGGTCCTTGCCTCTAATATCCTCTCCGAACCCTCACTTACGCGTCTTGTTTCCTTTCTGACAGGAGACTACGATTGACACGACCAGCCAAGATATCAAAGACGGCAAAGGCAGTTTACCCCCACTCCGTAACCCACCTCTCCTCGAAACTGCCGATGATCTAGCGACCCTCTCCCATCTCAATGAACCTTCTGGTCCGTCTTTTCCTGGTGCAGCTGTTGGCTCTCTAAATCAGTTATTATAGTACTACACACCATCCGAAATCGATATGCCCAACACTCCATCTACACCTACTCTGGCATCGTCTTGATTGCTGTTAATCCCTTCCAACGTGTCACTCTCTATGGTCCTGAGATTATCCAGGCGTATAGCGGCAAGAAAAGGGGTGAACTTGAACCTCACTTGTTCGCTATTGCGGAGGACGCGTACACTGCGATGAGTCGAGAGGGTATGGGTCAAACCATTATCGTCTCCGGAGAGAGGTAAGCCTTCATCTTTTCAATCGAAGCATCCTTCCTTGACTGTATCCAGTGGTGCAGGCAAGACTGAGTCGGTCAGTAATATTACTTCGTTGTGCTTCTGTAGGAGCCGCTGATCACTCTGCTCCAGGCCAAGTTTATAATGCGATACCTTGCATCGGTGAATCCCCCAGGTTCAGACGCTCTCGCGCGGACCAAATTATCTCTGGACGAGTCGAGTGAAATTGAACGTCAAATACTTGCTACGAACCCCATCTTAGAATCTTTCGGAAACGCTAAGACGACTCGCAATGATAACTCATCTCGGTTTGGAAAATATATCCAGGTTAGTCCACAATATGGAGGCGCTTACATTGCAGAAGAACTTACTCTTCGGCAGATTCTTTTCGATGGTAAGCAAGAAATCGTTGGGGCGCGCATTCGTACATACCTTCTCGAACGCTCTCGGATTGTCTTCCAACCACTCACCGAGCGGAATTACCACATCTTCTATCAGCTGTGCAGTGGTGCACCTATCAAAGAACGCAAAGACCTTGGGCTGGACACCGATATCACCAAATTCCATTATCTCAAGCAGGGAGGCCCAACATCTACGCCTATTGCAGGTGTAGACGATACCGAGGAATTCCGCGCCACCCAACAAGCTTTATCTACTGTCGGTATCAGTATAGACAAGCAATGGGCTGTGTTCCGTCTATTAGCTGCTCTGTTGCATCTTGGTAATATCAAGATCTCTCAAACGCGCAATGACTCCAACATCGACGACGGCGATCCCGCATTGCTCCTTGCTACCCGCTTCCTTGGTGTTACCCTCGCCGACTTCAAAAAGTGGACCGTCAAAAAGCAGATTGTGACTCGTTCGGAGAAGATCGTAACCGCATTAAACGCCGCTCAGGCGACAATCGTCCGGGACAGTGTCGCCAAATTCGTCTATGCATGCTTGTTTGAGTGGCTTGTGGCCATTGTGAATGAGAGTTTGGCTGGAGAACATGGTGACGCGGCTGAACGAGCGGAGATGTTCATCGGTGTGCTTGATATATATGGTTTTGAGCATTTCCAAAAGGCAAGGATACTTATCGTTCGTGGCACATATTTGGCTCATTGACTTTGGCTTCTAGAACTCCTTCGAGCAGTTCAGTATTAATTACGCCAATGAAAAGCTTCAGCAAGAGGTAACACTAGGAACTCTGATGGGAATCAAGCACCGACTGACCTTTACTTCCTACAGTTCAACTCGCATGTCTTCAAACTCGAGCAAGAAGAATACGTAAAGGAGCAGATCAACTGGACTTTCATTGATTTCTCTGACAACCAACCCTGTATTGACGTTATCGAAGGCAAACTCGGCGTCTTGGCGCTACTGGACGAGGAATCACGGCTGCCCTCTGGAAGCGACGCGTCCTTCTTGCAGAAGCTCAATTCTCAACTCCTCAAGCCAGCGAACAAAAACGTCTTTAAGAAACCGCGGTTCGGAAACTCTGCTTTTACCATTGCGCACTACGCGTTGGACGTCTCGTACGAGGTAGATGGCTTCCTTGAAAAGAATAGGGATACTGTCCCCGATGAACATATGGAGTTGTTGGCCTCCACCAAAAACCCGTTCCTTAAGGAAATTCTAGATGTTGCTCTCGGATCGATCAAGAGTACAGACAAGAGCACAGATACCCCCCATCCTGGCTCCCCCGTGCCTTCCGACTCGGGCAGTGGAGGTTCCCGGCGATCTTCTATCATCCCAGACCCAGGGCGTACTTCACTCGTTAGCGCGGCTTCTTCAGCCTCGGGACCGAAGAAGCCCGGTGCCTCGATCAAGAAGCCTACACAGGGTTCGATTTTCAAGGCTTCGCTCGTTACGTTGATGGAGACGTTGAGTATCACCAATGTGCACTACATTCGATGCATCAAGCCCAATGAGGCGAAGCGCCCTTGGGAGTTTTCTGCTCAACAAGTTCTGGGACAGCTGCGCGCTTGTGGTGTACTTGAGACAATTCGTATTAGTTGTGCCGGATATCCTTCTCGTTGGACCTATGAAGAGTTCGCCGAACGGTCAGTCTCACAGTTGTCTGCTATGCCAAAGCTCATTTCTAGACAGGTATTACATGTTGGTACCCTCGTCTGACTGGCGACCCCAGATCTCGAACTTGGAGCTTAAACCCCTGTGCTCTCTGATCTTGGACAAGACCATCAATGATCCGGACAAGTACCAGGGTGGTCTCTCAAAGATCTTCTTTAGAGCTGGCATGTTGGCAGCATTAGAGTCGTTACGGTCCGAACGCCTGAACGCTTTGGCTACTATCATTCAAAAGAACATGCGCCGACGCATGGCTGTCAAGAAATATCAGGAACTGAGAATTGCCACTATCAAGATACAGACATGGTGGCGTGGTATACATGCCAGAAGGCTCGTCGAAAACATACGCAGAACTGCTGCTGCGCAACGCTTGCAGGCTGGCATTCGCAGGTATATCCAGCGAAAGAAGTTCTTGCAGATTCGCCAGGCTATCGTTCTTTTCCAGAGCCGTTGGTACTTATTTCTTGTTGATCGGCCAAGTCCTTATATGCCTCCTTCGCAGGTGTCCGTGGAGCCCAAGCTCGCTCGCAATTCAAGGAGAGTAGGACCGATCAAGCCGCGCTCACCCTCCAAAGCCTTCTTCGTGGACTGTACGTATTTAAAGTTGTTCTTAAGCTGTCGTGTTCCTTAGATGCCAACGTTCAGACTTGTCCGACGAGTCTTCAAGGCCGACGTCAAACACGTGGTGTATCTGCAATCATGCATGAGGCGGCGACTTGCCCGTAAGCAGCTCAAAGGGCTCAAAGCCGAAGCTCGCTCTGTTTCCAAATTCAAGGAAATCTCGTATCGCCTTGAGAACAAGGTCGTCGAGCTGACGCAAGCACTCCAATCACGCACGGAGGAGAAGAAAGCTCTGCAAATGCGACTTGCAGAACTCGAGCAGCAACTGCAAGTTTGGACTACAAAGCAAGAAGAGTCTGAGGCGAAGGCTAAGTCCTTGCAAGTAGACTTGAGGAAGGCTGAAGTAGAGATCTCCAAGCAGGCCGAGCTCGTGCAAGCTAAGGCAGAAGTAGAGAAGCGCTTGGATGATGCTCTTGCCAAGGCTACTGAGAAGGAGGAAACCATTCAGAAGCTGACAGACGAGCTACTAGAACAGTCACGCCAACTCGAATCGCAGCAGAAGGCGCTGGCCAACGTCCCTGTGCGGTCTGTTGAAGACGGTTCGGTCATTGCCACTCTGAAGAACGAGGTCAGCAGTCTGCGCGAGCAACTTAACCGTGCCAACGCATACAATGCCCTCACGAGGGGCTCCAAATTGGAACCTCCATCGCCCACCTTCTCACCCGCATTGCGCACAGGCGATAGAGAGAATGGTACTCCTAATGGTACTCCCCTTGCCACTTCGGTCAATCGGCATCTAAGGCGTCACAGCTCTGCCGGTGTCCTTGCTGCTCAGGCTGATAACCGTACTTCAGCCGACGAGCTCATGCTTGACGTCAAGAAGAGCCAGGCCCTGAACCCTCGTGCGGTTTCCGTCGCATACAACGGGGCAGACAACATTCTAAGGATGCGGGCCAATGGCCTTTCTGATATCCGGGACTTTGATGATCTTGCTGAGGAGAAGATCAAGTTGCTACAGGATGTTAAGCATCTAGATGAGGATGTTCTCGTTGGTATCATCAAAGGTCTGAAGATACCTGCGCCGTCGCTGCAAAACCCGTCTGCTGTCAAGGAGATCCTCTTCCCTGCCAACTTGATCAGTCTGGTTACGAACGAAATGTGGAAATACGGCCTGATCCCGGAAAGCGAACGATTCCTGGCCAACGTCATGGAAGTCATCCAAGCGCATGTCATGGTAAGTAGTGATATTCAATGACAGGTGTACTCTCATTCATTGGATGCAGTCTTTCCATGGCGAAGATGCAATCATTCCAGGCATTTTTTGGCTTTCAAATGTGCACGAAATGCTCTCGTTCATCTGCGTGGCTGAAAGTGACATGCTTCAAGGCATCGGTCCCGGAGAAGAAGAAGCCGTCCGACCATTCGACTGGAACGATTACGAGCGTCTGGTGACCGTTGTGAAGCATGACCTCGGCAGTTTGGAGTTCAACATTTATCACACTTGGATGCTCGAAACGAAGAAGCGACTATCGAAAATGGTTATCCCTGCTTTGATAGAGAGTCAGTCTCTACCAGGCTTTACGACTAGTGATGGAGGTGGTCGACTGTTCAATCGCCTCCTCAACTCCAATGCCCAACCCGCCTTCAGTATGGACGACATCCTCAACCTTTTGAACAAAGTTTGGAAGAGTCTGAAGAGTTACTATGTGGAGGATTCGGTGGTGCACCAGGTCGTCACCGAGCTGCTTAAGCTGATTGGCGTTACGAGTTTTAATGACCTACTTATGAGAAGGAACTTTTCTTCATGGAAACGAGGTCGGTATTCTTCTTGTTCTTTGCAAATTATCGCTCATCCGTTCGCCCATCAGCTATGCAAATTCAATATAATATCACGCGTATCGAGGAATGGTGCAAGTCGCATGACATGCCCGAGGGGACGCTGCAGCTGGAGCACTTGATGCAAGCCATCAAACTGTTGCAATTGAAGAAGGTACGTCGACATCTCAGATGTATCACCTCATCATAACATATCTCGCTTTAGGCCACTCCTGCCGACATTGAGATCATCTATGATGTATGCTGGATGCTGAGCCCGATGCAAATACAGCGGATGTGCACTAATTACTATGTCGCCGAATACGAGGTTCGTTATACTATGCCTTTAAATCTCCATGTTCTAATCATCGCCCAGAATCCCATCTCACCCGAGATCCTGCGTGTCGTTGCTTCCCGCGTTCAAGCTAACGATCGCAATGATCATCTTCTTCTTGCTCCCGAGACAGAAGAAGTTGGCCCTTATGAGCCACCTTTGCCTCGAGAGGTTTCTGGCTTGGAGACATACGTACCCGCATATCTGAATGTATCTCACTTGCGTAGACTAGCTGCCCTCGTTGCATAGTGGTATTTTCTGTAGCTTTCACTTCGGTACTGATATCGATAGGAACGACGTGATTGGATTATATCTATATAATATTTCTGTTCAACTAAATGGTGACCCTTATGATAACGAGGGCGTGAACTTCAAGCACAGCGTAGAGGCGTCCTCAATCTGCTCGCCTAGTAGTCGTTCATTCAGGAGAGTTTGGGGTACATCCGGGTCGTCTACGGCCTGTAGTTGCATGGCCTACACAGCATACATTCATGGATGAGAAATATTTCAACGCATGCACAAGATGACATACGCGGCTGCTGTTCGATAGCCCGAAACAGCCTCGAGCAAGATCAACGGCTCTGCCAGCTATGACAGACTAGGTGATGTGTCTAGATTGTGCATAGATGCATGTCATTGGGGTTCACTTGCCTTACGAAACCAGACGATTTTGTCTGCTTTGCTCCCTTGAGTCGAAGACTCGATTGGCTCATACTTTAACGTGACGTGCAGGCGTTGATCTAGAGGAACAGTGGAAGCAGAATCTTTGGGATCTGCAGGGACTGCACGGTGACGCAACTTCATGAGAGCAACCTTCCTGATCATAGCAGCTTTTTTCGGATCGGAAGACAACTTGGATGAAGATCGCGTTACAGATGGGGGTAGACGCGCGTTAGCTGCTGAAGCCGACGTGTGGTGTTTCACATGGATAGACACTTCCTTTTCTTGGGCGAGTTTCTGGGGTGCCGCCAGAGCAGAGCAAGAATGCGTGTCAGGGTGGCGATGACTGAGGCGTTTTTGCCCTGATATTAGTCTGGCTCTTGTCAGGATGGAGAAGAGGGTATGTACTCCACGCAGAAGGAGAGGCGACAACTATTGCTTGCCCCCGAAGATAATTCACCACCATGTGGACCGGAAGACCCAAGAGTAGGCTTGTTGCAAGATGGAGCGGCACAACGTTCGCGTTTTATTGATGACTCGGGGTCAGGAGCACTGTGCCAGACGAATGTGCATTGGTGTACATCGGCCGGTGCGTGAATTGTGCAGAAGTTGCGATCGCAGCGACAGCGAATAGGAAGAAAATCAAGTGTATTGCATGATGGAACAGAACAATGGGTGCCAACGCTGGCAGGGTCCGAGTCCATGTCGAGGCTTTGAGCAAGTATAGTACAGGTGGCAAGTTCAGGTTGACGCTTTACAGTTGGAGCACGTGGCTTTCATACGGCGTATGCGGAAGTTCCACCGGAAGCGCAGCCGCGGGGACTGTCCCTGCCCCCTTATTGCGTACCTTTAGCTCCCACTTATCATAGTAATTATGAATATCGTGGTGAGTACGCCATCTAACGCGCCATATTCACGCTAATTCAATGCCAATACCACCAGGAAACACTCTTCGGCCGGACAGTAACTCCTGCGGAGCGTCTGCGCCAGCACCAGCGCGCCTTGAACAAGGCACAGCGTGAGCTCGATCGCGAACGGACAAAACTCGAGTCCCAAGAGAAGAGACTCGTTGCGGACATCAAGAAGAGTGCCAAAGCCGGCCAGATGGTGCGTTGATCTCTGACTGACCTCCTGCATGGTAACATCTTCACCAGAATGCATGTAAAGTCATGGCCAAGGACCTCGTCCGCACGCGTCGCTACGTTCAGAAATTCTATCAAATGCGCACTCAGCTCCAGGCTGTCAGTCTTAGAATACAGACCTTGAGGAGCAACCAGCAGATGGCCGATGCCATGCGTGGCGCAACTCGTGTACGTCAATATTTACCCTCAACCCTCCACTTCAACGATTCTTAATTCACAATTTCACTTAGGCAATGGCATCTATGAACCGTGGTCTGAACCTCCCATCAATCCAAAGGATCATGAACGAATTTGAGAAAGAGAGTTCGATGATGGACATGAAAGAAGAGATGATGTCAGACGCTGTCGACGATGTGATGGAGGACCCAGAGGAGGACGAAGAGGAAGAAGGTGATAAGATCCTCAAAGAGGTGCTTGATGAAATCGGTGTCGGCTTGTCACAACAGGTGAGAACTCTTCACCCTTTTCCATTCGTATCTCAACCCCCGCAACTTTGCCAGTTGACCGATGCCCCAACGGGCCTTGCTGCCTCTCAACCTGTAGCAAGTCGACAGGCTGTCGTCGTAGGCGAATCTATAGGAGGAGGCGGGCCTGCACCAAAAGGTGATGACATAGATGGCGGTACGGGTGGTGGCGGCCTCTCAGACGAGGATGCTCTTCAAGCAAGGCTCGATGCTCTTAGAAGAGGGTAACGCAATCTCTTCACGTGCCATGTACACGATATCCTGTATACTTGAGTTGATTATCCTTCCCATTCGCTCTGCTTACTTTACACTTTTAAATTCACGATACTCCTGGCTTCTTGTGCAGTTAGGACCCAAGACACCCCAGATCCACTGTAGAATTCCTCAACGTCTTCCTCCTGATGTATGCTATCAATGCTTCGTGCGCACGCCAGTTGCATGAATCACTCACAGGATCCAAGTTCAGAAGTGTCGATATCTGTTGTAGGCGAACAAACTTCCCTCTGATGTCTCCAAACAAGGTTTGCGACGAAAGATAGCCGACGACAGAACGAAGGTCTCGATCAAACCGTATAGCACCTAGCTGAGATGATGTCAGTAGCCCGACATCCAGAAAAGTAGCAGACGTAAGATTACCTCCGAGAAGCGTAGAGTAAGAATGTATTTCTCCCAAGGACGAAGGATGACGTCAAGCGCTTGACTGAAGAGCTGCTTGTAATTGCTGTCTGTGAACGTATCCTACTCACGACAGATGGGCAAGAGATATACAAAGTAATTGATTGAATCCGGACCTTGTAGCCTTCAGTCAAGCCTTCCCAGCTTTTCACAAACCGCTTTCTAACAGCATCCTGGTATTCTGCAGCAGAGTATGAGTCTTCATCCAAGACATAAGACACGTCCCTGTAGACATCAGGAATCAATGTCCGCAGTTTTGGGCGCATGAGCTGATTAAAGAGTTGCTCGATGCCGCTCTGGGATAGCGGGTCAGCAAGACAGCATACACTTAACAAATGGTATACCTTGATGGTCCATCTGAACTTCGGAACCACAGTGTTCAGACTCAAGATTGTTTTTTTCAATCCCTCTATTTCGACATCCAAGAAGAGCTGGGATATTGATGGATGATTGCTCATATCTTTGACAAGTCTTTCCATGTGAGAACAGGATACGTCAAGATCATTCAGCAACATCTATAGCGACGCTGTCAACTCCTGAGCATACTAGAAGTGAAAGTGCTTACGATGAATGTATTCCTGCTCCCTTGTTCGCCCTTCTCGCCACGCGTTGAATTAACGGTCCCTCCTGATGACCGGTAGACATCATCCAACTTGCCCTTGATAGTACCAGAGTAATCCTTCTCCATCACATCCTTCAAAAGATTCGTCATCCGTGTCACAGTTTTGGCAGACCCTGTCGAGATGACACGATTGTAGACGGTTTTGAGGATGTAAAACACGTCGTCTGGAGTTGTCGTTGTAACTGGTTGAGATAGTTCGGGACTGGATAATCGATGCGCCTATGGGAGTTTTACCAAGACATGAACGTACGAACGTGTCAACATACCTTGTCAATAATAGTACGAGTGTACCAGACCTCCATCGGAACATAGCAAGTTGTCATGAGCTCCTCGAAGAAATGGCATGCATCCGTTTGCTCGACGAGGGAAAGCAGCGAGCTTTCAGCACTCGGTTTGACCTCCCTTTCAGCTTGATCGGCCCCCCCATCTTGACTCTGAAAAGATGTTAATTGACTTGAAATGCAAAAGGAGGTTCTCGTTGACCTGTGCCTGAAGTTCCTCGGCTAAGAACTTGCGGAAAAGGCTCCATCGAGCATTCATGCCCGCAGTTTCATATAGGATTTTGTCTATATCCCGGGGATCGTAGTCCTCCTCTGTCTGGGATATCTGACGGCGACCTCCGAGCGCTAATGGAGAGTTTGAAATTTCTGACAACTGCAGCGTACCAAGTGTTACTAGATAAAGGTGTCTCAAGGACGAAGGGAAGGTTACCTTTCTGTCAATTAGCCTGTCCTCCTTCCAACCAGCGATAGCTTTCTTCAGTACGCGGTCGCATTCTTCGAGCAGACGCCGAATGACCGGGACCATCTTGCCAGAACCATAGTACTTCTCGACTATTGGCCGATGTTGGTCAACAATCATAGCTACATTCTCAAATAACGCAGTGATAGATGTCACATAGTATAAGGAAGATGAGGCTGAAAGATAGGGCATGAGATAACGTCGAGTTCAACGAAGCGATGGACCTACTTTTGGCTGACGATGGAGCTCGGACACGAACAAGGTCGACGGCAAATGATGCGTAGGCTTCTAATCCCTCAGCTTCCCATCCCACGACAGGGAACAGTTTGAAGAAACGGCTGGTGGCGGCAGCATCGCGGGCACGAGAAGCTTCTTCGAAGTGGTGCTTGAATATGGCCAGAAGCTGATCCCTGGCAGCCTGCAAGCTTTGCACCGGGGGAAGTGGGTTCTCCGAGGTTGGCTACACGCGATAAGCAGTCTAATCGGGATAAAATATAGACATACGCACTATAGCGCTCTCTGCAAACCGACCTGATATGACTTCAGTGTGCACCACCATGGCGCGAGCGCAGTGTCGTGTAGCCGACTCCCAGTCACGGCTCTCGATACAGGACTGCAGCTGGGCCAGAGACGACTGTGGAATCTCTGAGTGCCCCAGGATACGCAAGGACGGAGGAGTTAGTGCATACCTTGAGTTCCATGACTTGGCCGATATGGTCGGCCGCCTCGGTGACGCGCTTCATCTCCTCGTCGATGGAACGGACGCGTCCACCGACGCGATCTGCAATTCTGCTTGTCGCCAAGACCTGTGCCGAGAGCTGATGAGATTCTGAGCGGAGGTCATCGAGCCTGGGAGCGACTGCCTCAAGCTTGGAGAGAGAGTCGGTGATCAAGTCGCGGCGAGAGAGGAGGTCAGAGAGCGAGTTTGACAGGTCAGTCTCTTCCGACTGGAGAGCGGAGAGATGATCAAGGATCTCGTTGAGATTTGTTAGTGTTCGCGGGTCCTTGCGTGATAGCTGGGCATCGTCGTGGACTGGGTCGACATCTTCGCCTCTCGCGTTGTCTATGCTCATGCCGAAGGAGACCACTCACTCAGCCGCGCCTATCGGGAGCTATATGCACACGACTTGATCATTCATGGCAAATACGTACTCAATAATACTACATATATATAACAATCATTAACATTATACATGTCACAGCCCGCTCCATCTGAACGTTTTCTCAATCGTGAATTCTGCGGTCAGAGGCAGGTCATAGCTGCTCGTGCCGACCAAGACGCGGTATTTTCCAGCCCGGGCACACCAGTTGTTCTTGGCGGTGTCCCAGTAGGAAACAGCGTACTTGTCCAGAACCATCTCCAATGTCTTCGACTGTCCAGGCGCAATGTCTTTCACTTTGACAAAGCTCTTTAACTGACGGGTCGGTGTGGTCAATCCGATGTCTTCAGGAAGGCCGATGTAAAGTTGAACGACTTCTGAGCCGGCGACCGAACCAGTGTTGGTAATGTTAGCTGTAGCCTTGACATTGAATTCGTCTCCCGATGATGCAGGTCTTGACAGTTGAAGGCCGTCGACGGAGAAGGTCGTGTAAGACAGGCCAAAGCTGTCAACCGAGGTGAATCTTGTTCTTTCTCAATCTAGCAGGAGGCCGTTTACTCACCCGAATGGGAACAACGGTTTAACGCCTCTATCGATGAAGTGCTTGTAGCCCACGAACAGGTCCTCACGGTAATGGATTTGGCCATTCTCGCTAACCAAGTTGGGGTATGCCGCAATGTCTTCCATACGGGCGGGGAAGGTGACCGAGAGCTTGCCAGAGGGATTGACGGTCCCGTAGAGGATGTCAGCTATCGCGTTCCCGACTTCGTTGCCCAGGTACCAAGTTTGCATTATCCCGTTGACTTTGTTCACCCATGGCATTGCAACAGCAGAGCCCTGCTAGAGCTCAGTCTACATTTCTCAAGAGAAGATGGTTAGACGCACCGCCTGTATGCACACCACCGTGTTGGAATTAGCTTGGCCTAATCTTGCGATGAGTTCATCTTGTCGGGCGGGTAAATCGAGTGTTGGCCGGTCAGATCCCTCGGCCTCCCATTCAGCGGTCAGACCACCAACGTACACGACAACGTCAGACTTGGCGGCAAGATCAACCGCTCGTTGTATAGCTTCGTCTGCGTCTATTTTCTCCACTCCTCCAAGGCGCTAAACTGACTTCAGCACAGGTCATAGTCAGCAGGCTAACTGCTTACCACGCCTCTCATCAAGCCAGGCTGGGAGTTTCCCTTGTCAGTACCATCGTCCTCGCTATCGGCACCAACAGCGTTCGTATATTCAACCATAATTTCCGTGGCCTGCCCCGCGACAAATGGATAGACAGCCTTTTCTTCTATCGTACCTTGTCTATACGAACAATGAGTTTCGCTCAGCACCGAAGATGTGGTCTTACCCGTAAAAGAAATCGCCGGGTGTTTGATGAGTCCAATTGTCGATAGTTAACTTGCCATTGACCCATAGTTTTGCGCGGCCTGCAACAGCGAGACCGAGCTCGTAGTCGCCAGACGTATCGAATGTGAGAAGACCCTTTAGTTTCATTGTCCAGTTTGGTGTCAGACCAGCAGGAAGGAAGTCGTTGACTTTGACACGGGTGTCCTTGAGCACATATTCACCAACAGCCTTATCAGGGTTGCCGTTCTCGTCTTGAGTGTAGAAGGTACATGACCATCCGGCCTTGCCATCGGTCGTTTTCAAGAATCTTTCGAGAGTAGGAAGGTATTTGTGCGCTAGGATCGAGTCAAATCTCCATGCCATCGAGCAAACTCGCTGTACCAGACGCACCATAACATCCGACTTCGTACTGAATGTCAAATTTGGCTGGTGCATTCTTGCAAATACCGTCGTAAGGTGTGATGACGTAGGTAGGCGTTAGAGCCGCAGATCCGCCACCAGATATAACAGTTCCTTTTGCATTCGGTCCGATGACGGCAATCTTTTTGACTTTGGAGGGTGTGATGGGTAGGACATTATCGTTATTCTTGAGGAGAACGATACCCTCGGCCGCCACCTTGCGTGCGAACTGTCGAAGTTCGGGAGCATCCCGCGAGCGTTCGATGCCATCGCCAAACACGATGTCAGGATTGATGGCTGCCATTTTCTGCACGAAGTTGAGCAGCCTAGTCGATCGCTCGTCCAGGATGCCCGTTTTCAGCTTTTGGGATGAGAGACAGTGCAAAATAAGGAAGGCCGTTCTCCAGCGCGGTGGGCCTGGCATTTCGAGATCCAGACCGGCGTTGATAGACTCATCGGTACCGTATACGCCATGCCTAAAGGTTTGGGTGAGCGTTATTGATAAAGCAGAGGATTATCGACGGACCAGTCGCTCATGATGATTCCGTCGAAGCCCCATTCATCTCGAAGTAAACCTTCGAGAAGCTTCTTGTTCTCGGAGCAGTGTATTCCCCAGAGACGTCCATATCTATGGGCGGCAGGTCAGTGCACATTCATACTGCATATGCATTGAGCTAACGAAGTCATGTATGCCCAAGGTTTGGCGTGCTTCTCAGCAAGCATGAAACTAAACGGAGACTGAGATCCCAGATGAACAGCAAATAGTGCAAAGAGCGTACGGATAGAGATAGATTTCACGGAGGGCACGATCGGAAAGGACGGACTCTGCGGCACTGCGCTCGCTCTCTTGGTCGTTACATACGAAATGCTTGATTGTAGCGGCAACACCTTCGGACTGCACACCATTGACATAGGCGGCGGCCAGCATTCCTAGGCAAATCGTTGGCTCTTTCGCGAGACAAGATAAATAGCAAGTTACCAGAGAGGTGTGGGTCCTCGGAGAAGGACTCGAAAGCTCGGCCGCCCAGAGGATTTCTCTGGACATTGCAGGTTGGGGCAAGAATAATGACGGAGGACTTGATCTTGGTCTCTTGTCCAAGAAAGGCGCCGACATCATGAATGAGGTCGACGTCAAACGTCGCCGCCATAGCCGTCTCGCACTAGACAGCGGTATACTGTCTGAGCTGTTTGTCAGGTTTTAGGAAAGGAGAAACTGACGGGTAGACATTGGGCTGGAGTGGGGATGAAGTGGGATGATCCTCTAACACCCTATGCTAAATAAGAAAAAAGATAGAGAGACTAGACAAGGGGTGGTTACATTTGGGCCGTCGCTCATGCGGACTGCTGGTATGTTGAGCCTTGGGATGGCATGAGTGTTCCACCAGTTAGGGGCACCCAAGAGGGCGATCTTTTCGTCTACCCTGAGTTTCTGTACGAGATCTGGGACGGAGACAGCAAGAAACTCGCGGGACATTGTATGCAGGGGAGGTCCGTGTATCCTGGGGAGGGATCCATGGGGAGAGGCTAGATATATACAAACGGAGGACTGGAGAGTCGTTCGCGCGTCGAAACAGTCGGAGGCACGCGCCTGCACTCGTGAGGGACTGTCGGGACATTGTCGGGTAAAGTGCACGGTGAGTCCGAGGAGATTGTCCCGAAGAATATGCACTTGGACTTAATTAACTCTTACTTGCTTGTGATATCATGGACGACATTTCAGACATTCTCACCAACGAGGCCCGTCCCAAGGCAGACTCGACCATCACCGTGCGCGTCATAAAGTCCTTCGAGTACCGCACCCACCGCAGCCTCGTCCTCCACCATCTCAACCTCGAGTCCACAACCGCCGCCGATCTCAAGAAAACAATCCTACAAAGTACTTCATCCTCTAACCCCCTCTCCCTCCTCCATCCGCCCATCCTTTCTTCTCCTCTCAGCGATCCAAACCCAGTCTCCATGGAAGCCCTACCGTAACGTCACCCTCGGTCCGCCCGCTCGCTTGCCATCCTGCTGCTTGTTTGCTCAATATCTTCTAGACACCTTCAAACTCTACACCCATGCTCATGGCTCAAAGGTGGCTCTTTCGCGACCCTGCGTCTATTCCAATCGCCCTGATGTACAATCTGATAACCCAGACCACCAACTTGATTGTCAATCTCGATCATGACGAGTGGATAATACAAGATGAGGACAAGACTTTGGCCGACCTCGGATTTGGTATGCTAATCTCCCTTTATACTTATACTATCGGTATCCATTTGACTGTTCCTCAGAAAACGAGACAGAAGTCAGCTTCTTTAATCGCGATGCGTATGAGAAATTCAAGCTCAATCCCGAGGTAGTCTCATAATCTTCTTCTCAATCGAGAATGCTGAAACCTCTACAGACCAAATGGGACCCGTAGCACACTTCAGAATCTATCTTCCTTGGCATCTCGCCGTACCAAGTCTGCAGAGATCCATGCCAAGTCGTCAATGGTAATTAAGTGCAGTAAATGTATAACAACAATGCGTGGTCTATGAGATATGACACTACAACATAAAAGTCCGTGCGGCTACAAATCACTGATTTGCGCATTGTACGCGTGGCTCTCCATCCTGGTCCTCGTCCATCGCGTCATCCGCCATCGCCTGCGCCTTGTTCCGCGCGTCGGGCTCATCCAGTTCGACTTCTTCCAAGTCGATGCCCTTGCCGAACTTTTCAATCGGCTTTCGTGGTGGCAAAGCGCGCTCCAGCAAGGGGATCACCGAGGGATCCATCCTTTCGGGGAATGCGACAGTAAACTTGACGTAGAGGTCACCCGGCTCGTGGTGCCGCTTCGAGGGCATGCCCTGGCCCCGGATAACCTTGACGGAATCTGTCAAGAGCAGCTTAGTTGATGTTGGACAGGTATACGCTTCATAGATGACATACCATGCTGGACAACATCACCGGGGTGCAAGTTAATGAGAAGAGCCCGTTCATCTAGGTGTCGTATAGCTATTTGACCACCACCGAGAGCGGTCAGCAAGTCGACTTCGATGTCCGTGATGAGATTGTTGTCCTGGCGCTTGAACCGGTCATGCGGCTTTTCTTCAATCACAATGACGACGTCGCCTGGCTGGGCACCAGGTGCTTGATCGCTTTCGCCGGAGAACTGGATGGTCTGACCACCTTTCATACCCTTGTCGATGTGAACCTCGAGGATCTTCTTTTCAGGCATGACCTTCTTGCCCTTGCAGTTACCACAGCGATCCTTGGGGTTAATGACCTCGCCGGTTCCCGAACACTCATCACAAGCAGACTGGATCTGCTGAATCATGGGGCCCATTTGACGAAGGGTAACCTTGATACCGCGACCGCTGCAGTTACCGCAAGAGCGCACAGCACCCTCTTTTCCGCCCTTTCCATTACACTTGGAGCAAAGAACGTTGCGGGTAAGAGCCAATTTGGTCGTCTTGCCCTTGTATAGATCTTCGAGGGTGACATGCACTCGGTGAACGAGGTCCTTTGTTTTCCGGACGCCCGACTGCCGTGGACCGCCTCCGAAGAAGCCGCCGCCGCCGCCAAAGAGTTGAGAGAAGAGGTCCTATTGTATTTTTGGGAAGAGTCCGATTAGAACGGATGGGACTTGTGCACACAGCAAACGAAGACATACCTGAGGATCCATGCCTCCCATGCCGCCCGATTCTGACAAGCCAGCCTCTCCCCGTGCATCGTATACGTTACGCTTTTGGGGGTCGGAGAGGACCTCATATCTGTGGGAAGGAGCGGTCAAAATGAAGTGCAGGTGACTTGACGAAAGGAAGCTTACGCATGAGTGACTTCTTTGAACAACTCGGGATCGCCACCCTTGTCTGGGTGAAGACGGAGAGCTCTGGATGCGTGCCTGCGTAAGTAGGGAAGTTGGCAAGGTGTGTGAAAGACAAGTACTTTTTTCTGTAGGCCTTCTTGAGATCGGCCTCGGAGGCGTCAGCGGGGACCTCGAGGAGATCGTAATATTTGCTGATCGGCGGTCAGCTTGTGGATCGGTGGAAATGGAACTGGAAGCGCTACCTTTCGCGGACCATGGCTGGAACGGCGAGGAGGGATGGGGAGAGAAGGGGGAGGGTAGGTGCTTGGGAGGAAGGGGAGATGGAGCCGGAGACGGTCTCTTCAACGACGGACAAATCAGTGCTGGAACGCTGTGGAACGTCCCAGAAAAATTGTGCACCTCCCAATCAGGAAGGTCTGCCATACAGCCCTACAGCAATTGCACGACGACATGACTAACAACACTGCAATTGCAACGTGTGTCAGCCAAATATCATGCATAATAGCATTACTTCCGCATTTTGCAGTCATTGCAATTGCCTCGAGGTTAGATCTATAGCTAGATAAGTACGTAGTTCTGTGCAACTAGTACAACCCTCGACCACGTCTCAGATCTCAGCCTTGGTTATCACTTGCTCACATCCGGATATACGTCGAACCGTCTCTGCGTCGTCACTGGAATCCCCGCCCGTGCCTCCGTGTACGTCTCGGGCGCTGTATCATCGTTATCGTTCCATGTTAGGTTACTCGGTCACCTCTTAGGCCACTTACCAATCGGTATGTGTAGAATGCTCTCCGTCTCATCTGCTTCCGCAAGCACCTTGCCCCTAATCAGGCACAGACAATCAGCATGTCATACGTCAGAGATCGCTCGACTTACATGGGATCAACGACCATCGAATGCCCCCACTGCAGCAACATCATCAGCTGATAGAGCATCGGGAGAAAGAAGATACTGCTCACCGCGTGGTACCCTGCCGACAAATCTCTCGCTGGACTGCACATGGAAAAGTATACCTGGTTATCAATCGCACTGGAAACACAGCTCAGCGGTGGGTAGCCAGCTGGTTGATGTAACCTTACCGCGCTCGCTGGAGGAGGCTCCAGTGAAGCGGCCCCGTCGTCATATTGAACGCGCCAGGGTAGATCAATATATGACAACCTGCGCATTCGTCCAGTCAGCTTGTTTGACCACATTACTGAGCGATCCTGACCTTTCCGAGCTGAAATCATGGAAAGTTCCGGAAAGCGTACATCGTAGCAGATCCCAAGACCTACACGCGCAAAGTCTGGCAACTGCAATTAGTAAAGTTGCGCTGATATTGAGGTCCGTTATAGTGTCCACACCGGTATCAAAGTAGTTCATTGTCGTGCCTCCCGTCAACGTCTCGCTTTCCTGTTTTTGGTCAGATAATGCGAGAAGAACATTGCTTGGCCGCCTACTTTGAACGTGATCTTGCCGGGTATGTCAATGTCAAACAAATGAACTTTGCGGTGCGTGGTAACAAGGGCGCCTGAGTACAACGGACGTAGGTAAGGGGTGAACAAGCTGCATCCAAAGCTTAAAGGGTGGTCGTACCGTCGGGAGAGTAGACGGTACATGTATTGTATACCTTTCCATCTGTTTCATCGCGCTCGGGAATGGAGCCTAAGTGGCCAGATGGGCTTTCAGGCTGATTGGGGCAATGCGGTTTATATAGTTACCTCCAACAAGCCAGACCTTGGCCTCTTTGGCGGCAGCAGATAGCATTTTGACTGATTCACTCGAGCTAGCAGAGATATCATACTGCTTCCCAGGTGTGAAGCCGATCGTCTCGGCGTAGTTGGGAAAGTGGACATGTCCATAGGGAGAGTTGAAGCATTCCTACGGACGACAATGAAAGGTGAGGGACTGAGAGGGAGGGGCCGGATGCGTACGGGAAGAACGACGAGATCTGGCTTTGTGCCGTTCTGACCCTCTACGGCGCGCAGAATCATCTCGCGAGCATGCCTGAGGTTGGAAGGCTTGTCTGAGCTGGTTCGACCGAGTTGGATGAGAGCGAGGTTGAAGGGCTTGAAATGGGGAGCAGCGGAGGTAGACATGGCGCGAAGGGACAAATTGGTCAACAGCGAGGGCGATCTTGAGGCAGACGCAGATAGTTGGAATCGGCAACGGGCGAGGTGTATTGAACGCAGAAGAGGAAGAGGCATAACTTGGCCCGGAGGCAGTCTGGAGACGAACTGGTATACGGTGTCAATAAGATAAGTTATAGATTATAGATAAGCGGTTAATCAGCCGCACTCAACTGGCATGGCTGTCGTGGTCATCTACAACCCAGCCTGTGGCGACCGCACAGCAGATGCATTCTTTGCTGACCATGTCTTCCCCTTGCTCGAGGCTAACAACATACAACCAGCGCTGACTGTCAGGACAGAGCGTGACGGTCACGCGGGCCAGGCCATCGTCGACTTCCTTGAGACATACGCTGGAGAGTCACTCGTCCATGTCGTCCTCGGCTCCGGGGACGGCACACTGCACGAGATCATCAATGCCCTCTCCTTTGTCACATTCAAGGGCGACAGAGCCAACACGTCCCCGCCCTCGATCGGCTTCTCGCTTGTCCCCTGTGGCACAGCCAACGCTCTCTATGCGTCCCTCTTTCCAGCCAAGAAAGAGGACAAGATTGCTTATCGCCTCCAGTCCTTGCATTCGTTCATCGCGCGGGGACCCATTCAATCGCTCACGCTCTCATTCTCTTCCCTGTCGTCCCCTCCCTCGTCCAAGCAGCGGCGCCCCAAAGTCGCCGTCTCCGCAGTCGTGACTTCCACATCCCTCCACGCTTCCATTCTTGATGACTCAGAGAAGCTGCGAGAGAGCATTCCAGGTCTCGAGAGGTTCAAAGTCGCTGCTGCACAAAACATGAGCAGGTGGTACCACAGCTATGCCAAGCTCTTGCCTCTCTCCAAGGAGGGCACCGTACAAATTTATGATCCTCAATCTAATCAGTTTGTCACCCATGACGACTCTGACGAGGACACTCCCTTTGTCGATGTGTACGGTCCTTTTGCCTATTTCCTATCAACCGTCAACGTCGATCGTCTTGAGCCAGAGTTCAGAATTACACCCTTGACTTCCCAGATACCCCCTCAGGAGCCCTCCCTGGATGTCATCATGGTACGACCCGAGAGAGACCCCACCTTTACGGTGGATAGCGAAGAGACAAGGGTAGCCTTTGCGAAAAAGACGATGGCTGTCCTCATGGAGGCGTACAAAGACGGCAATCACGTCAACCTGCGGTACAACTCATCCGGAGAAGTAAGCTCAACCTACGATGGACCTACTGTGGTCGAATACGTGCGCTGTGGAGGTTGGGAATGGATGCCGGTAAGTCCTTGCAATGTTCGCGGTATTGAATACCACTCTGAACGACAGTAGGACGATACGGACGAGAAGGCACATCTTCTCTGTTGCGATGGAACGATCTTCAACGTGCAGAAGGAGGGCAGGGTAGTCTGCCTCGCAGCGAGAGCGTCAGCCAATGCTGGGTTCACGGTGCACGTTTAGGGAATGCATTGAGCGAGAATGATATATGGTCTATTAGATCCGTCCCCGTAGTCCAACCCTTACGCCCGCAGCAGCTTAGAGACGACATCGCTAGATACCTCGAATACCTCGTCGATCGTTCCCGTGCTCTGTATCTAGATAGTGACTGTACGTTAGTTTAGCAAATGGATGCTTACGCTATAGATGGCGGACCTTGGATACTTTGTTGGACAGCTCGTAGTACTGTACGACGGGCATAGTCTTGTCGTGGTATGTGGCTGCGCACGATAGATTAGGAGTGGTCGGGTGATGATGTGGTGAAAACTGACCGAGGCGCTTCTTGATACTCTCGACGTTGTCATCTGCGCGGCCACTAGTCTTGCCCCTCTCGAGCAAGCGAGCCACCATCACGTCTTCTGGAGCAGTGTAGAAGATGACGTGCGTGGCTGGGCAGACCTGTGGGATGGTTGAGCCACGGATGATGAATCTGACAAGAAGCCGGTACCGTCTTGTCGAACTCTTGTGCCTGGTCCATTTGCCTGGGGAAACCATCGATGAGGAAGCGGCCTTTGCCATCGGACCATGCACCCGTGTTTCTGCGGGCCAACTCGGCGCGCATAGCATTCTCAAGAAGTTTGATAGTGACTTCCATAGGGACAATGGTGCCCTCCAATATACATGTTTTGATCAGATCGCCAAACTGAGAGCCTTCTCTGTCTTGTTCTGCGCGAAGGAGGTCTCCGGCTGACAGGAATAGAAACGAGTGAGTGACAGCAAAGGGACACGGCGGAAAGGAAAGTACCCGAGAGATGGCAGAACTCAAACTTCTCCACGAGCTTAGAGCATTGGGTGCCCTTGCCTGACATGAGTCGTGAGATGGATGGATCAGAGGAGACCAGAGCAAAAAGGGACCAACTGACCTACGCCTGGACCACCGAGGACATAGATGACGGTGATCTTGTCCTTATCAAACGCGGGTTGCTGAGGCGAAAGGAGGTTTTTAGGATTGGCCTGACTGGAGAGAAAGGTGTTGTGTGTGGTGCCTTACAGACATGGGGCAAGCTGAAGTCAGTTGCGATGGCGAGGTGGTATAAGAGGGTTCTCGTGCTGGCGTGGCTGGCTTGAGGCAGGGTAGATTGCCTCGCGACGTTTGGCGACGAGGTAGAAGAGGCCGGAGGAGAGGACGAAGAGACCAAAGAAAACGTATGGGTTCGGAGCCTGACGCCTCGAATTGGCCATAAGTAAGGAAACAAGACAAGCGTGTTTGCAGTCGCGGCAAAAAGCTTTCTATGCACTAGTACTCCAATATTAGTCAACAATAGTACTCAGTCTCAACATGGACTCGCGCATTCTCAGATACAACAACGGCTCCATCGTGCACGTCGTCCGTCCATGCCACAACGGCGACGGCGCTGACTTGATCGCGGTCGGAGGCGAACACTCTGTCGACATTCTTCAGGCGGTATGCATTACTACGCGCTTCAAAACATTCAACCTCACAATTTCTTCCGTTAGACTCCCTCTACCTCTGTAAAACGCGTCGCGTCGTTTCACGTCGGCTCCCGTATCACCGCCCTCGCATGGTCTCCAAAGTCTGTTTCTCCTTCGGCCGGTGACGAATGGTCTATCGAGTGCGTCTCCCACTTTACTCCAGGTAGACATGTCATCCAACTTTAATTCTGTGACCAGAATTGTGGCTGCTGCCGTAGACTATAGTCTACATCTTTTGACCAAGTCCCATGACTCTGCAGAACACATCTTCCAATTTGGTGGCGGTCTCAGCGGTCACCACGGCAGAATAAACGACATGTGCTACTGTGGAGGCCAGAGTCAAGAGAACGTCCGATATGTTGCCACCGTGTCTGGTACGTTCGCTTTAGTCCGCGCCCTCGAAAGTGACTTCATCGAAGCCGCCGCCAGATGATAAGATGCTCATGATATGGGACCTCTACCCTGCGGTTGACATCTCCTCCAATATTCTCTCCGCCTCTTCAAGAGAGGAGCCTGTGTCATCCCCGACTCCACGGGCCCAACCAACGGCATATGTCATCTCCTTCCCGCATCCACTGACCTCCGTATCACCCCATGTCTCTAGCAGCAAGGAGTTTCTGGTCTCCGATTGTCGTGGTTCCATATTCATCACCGACTGGCGCTCTGATCCGGACCAGGTTGACACCTTTGCTCGGAGACATGGTACCGTCATTGAACTCGTCGAGCCTGCCGCGCTTTCGCAAGCCTTGACTGGTACTCTTGCGCAGTGGGCGGGCTCTGCAGGGTGGAAACCTACGACGCCTGAAATGTGAGGTTTTGTCTCATTCGTAGCTCGCTCACAGCAATAATGGGCGATCATCCCAGTGTCGGAGCAGCGTACGGCTCGTCTTTCTCAATATGGGACTTGTCCAACATCAGAGGAGGGAAACCTCAGTTCTCCGCAACGACCTTCCCCGAGGGTGGAAAACATTTCAGGTAGGCTGCTGCTTAGCTCTTTTGTAGAGTAACTTTGCTCAGAGCACATCCAGGTGGTCTCCCCAGCGACCCGACGTTTTCGCAGTCAGTGGCCAGCCGTCAAGCCAAGGGGCCATGATCCATGTGTACAATACGGCCTACCTGCAAGCTCAACCCAATGCTGTTCAGGTCGCTCCTGCACCGCACTGCATAAGAGACTTCCACTTCATGGCTGTCAACGACGGCTTGGCTATGGTAGCAGCTGTCGACCAAGAGGTTCTCATCTTTGCCTTGGGAACAGATTAGTCTGCTTTCGGGGTTGATTGCGCGTAATCAGAAAAAAAAACGACATTACAGATCGACACTAAGCGATCTCTACTATAAGTTGAGATACATGTAAGGTATAATACTCAGGGCCGGAATCTAGCCTGGCTGACTTGAGCCTGCTGTACGTATGGATGTTGGCCATATTGTGCTTCGTCCTGTGCTGCGAATCGATACGGATCTTGACTAGGTGGCACCATGTCGTTAGCATCAAACCCGCAATCCTGAAACATCTCCCTCGCATAGTTGTTCATTCCAGAATCCGTTGCAGGGGCCATAAAGTACGTGAATCCCGCTTCCCCATTGTAAGGGACGGGCAGCGTTCTTTGCTCCCCGTAAACGGGTACCCTTTGCTGTGGTGGATAAGGATATACGTCGTTCTTGAAATGGTTTCCGTCAGGATAGCTAGTGGTGCCCGTTGGATAATCTAAACAGAGATATTATTATTCAAAAAAGTGTGTGCAATCGATCAAGCATACCTCGCGTTGTGGTAGGCGATGGCTCGGCGTGAGGCCGGTCGCTTTCCAAGAGCAAACGAAGGAATCTGGCATGATATCCGGGTGCAGAGACTGAGGGTGACGGAGCTGAGGCTTCCTGGTAAGCATTGGCCGCTTTTAGGATCTCGGAGCGGATTTCTTCCGCGGCACCGTGCTCTAGTTCCGTGCTGAATCCCCTCGATAGCTACATCACGATTGAGCAACAGCGAAAAGTGAAAATCAAGCTTGGCTAACCTTGAGTAACGTGATGGCAGAGTAAGCCGTCATGATGGAAGTAGACTCCTGGCCGTAGCGCTAACCAAAGTGTGAGCAATACTGTACTGTTGCAACAAAGTGAAACACACGAGAACACCAAACTCTCGAAAATCTTTGGAAGCTATACGAAGAATCTCCAGGGCGTCAACATAGCACATGTGTAGTGACATCAAGTGAGTGCTTGAGCGGTTTGCCTACAGTGAACTATACTTAGTTCGTCGGCACGCACCCGTGACTTGGACACTTACGGGGGGTAGACGGTGCTGAAGACCGAAACTATTCAGGAATAATCGAATGTACGACCAGAAAAGCAACAAGAAGGAGTAGTGGAAAGATTGGCCATTGGCTAGTACATCATATGTTTGATGAGATTAAGTAGATCGGAGCAGAGCCGAGGACCTACCTCGTCGTAACTCTGTTTGCCATGTTGATTTCCATTGATCAAGCTTTGTGTTGCAGCCATTTAATACAATCCCGACATTGGATGGATAGTTCGAGTCATCCGCAGATGTCCGATTAGTCCTGAACATATCTGTAGTTTCTCCCTGAAGCATGTCGATACTTGGTACTCCAATAGTCTGAAGGTGTATACGTACTGCTATACGGCGTAACTGGACCATTGCGGCCACCACTACGTCCTCGCATTTAACGGGTCCACCCTCTTCATGCCATGTGTCAGAGTGCCGAATCAGCTCGTCCTGCTTGATTGAGGCCTGAGCTGAAAGATTGCAAGAGAATGGGGTACACACCTCAGGAAGCATCCAATGTCTACCAGTCTGCATGCTCAGACTACGATCGTGTACGAACAACACGAGATAAGTCCGCTCATAATTCCGGCGTTGGCGCATCTGGAGCGCAGTTTCGTTGGGAGGAGGTTTGGTAACAAGTTTGTTAAGCCCAAGTTCTACGGCCATCCTGCACGCCTAGCCAGGAGTAAGCAATGGACTAGTTGAGCCACTGAAGGACCTTACATAGCCAATGTACATCCAAGTACGCTGTGAAGTCCTTCATCAACAACATTCCCTGACAATAGGTTGGCAACTTACATTATCGTTTTGTTCTCTCCAGTACGTCAAGCAAGCAAAAGCTTGAACAACTTCGACACTCTTCCACGCTTCCGAAAAAGCGCGGACGGCATATTGCTGTGCCATATCAAGGCAATCCTTATAAGCGGATGGCTCAAAGAATTTGCAGCCAGCCATGATAAGAGTCGTAAAAAGGAAGGGACTTTTCGATCGAACATACGAAACAGTGTGCAAAGAAGGGTCAAAAAGGTTGATGAATGGATTCAGCCGGAGGAAGATAGAGTCGAACAGAATCTCTGCCTTCTCTTCTGAAACAAGACCGGCATCGATGGGATCCGGATGTTTACTACCAGAAGCACTTCGGGTCTGAGAAACTGGTGTCTGGATTGTCGCACGAGATGTCGGAGATAGAGAAGGAGATTTATGTTCCGGGTTGAGTATAATCTTGAAGAATTGATTTTCCTTCTTCTTGATCATTTTTGCTGGGAATTGATCATCCCCGCGTTCGGTGTCGTTATCGTCCTCGTCGACGTCCATGGTCTGGGAAGACATCCCGGACGATGTATATCTGTCTGGTTGGAGGTCAATAAGGAACACAGCGGCACATTGAGACAGAACTGACCGGAGGTTTGATCAACGCCCCTGAGACGGCCTTCAACTGGGATATTTGTTGAAGGATTATGACCATCTGAGATGCCCGAGGATGCCATGAATTTTTCGTTTGACTGGGACTTGAGCTTCGCGCTGTTGAGGTTCTTCTCTAGACGACGGAGCATCTTAGAAGCTTCTGATAGTCTTAGAGCATTTATGAGTAAATATGCGGAGAAACACAGGATGGGCTTACTTTGAACCAGGTTTACGCCCTCTTCTGTGCTTCTCGAAGATACAGCTATGGATGTCGGGGTTCAGGGTGAAACGACGAGAACGGCGGAGATAATTACTTTGAGTTTGTCCGGCGGCATCGCTCGCACGGAGTTTGACCACTCTCATCCGCGCCTACACATTTCATCTAGTGCAAAGTTGAGACAAGAAAGGGACAGAGAAAGGGTAAGGGACCTTTGCAGCGCGACAAACGGTACATGCACGAGCATTACGGGCCACTGGAGGTCTGAGACTGTTAGCCAGGGTAAGTGAAAGGAGATAGATTAGGGTAGGCGCGGGGGAGGACTGACTGTGGGGAGGTGTCTGTTGAAGGATCTTGCATCATAGATGTATAATAAATCTCGGTATTTCGGCAACGTATTTATCGACCGGAACGGACCCGGCGACTAAAAATCGGGAAAGGAGCCTTGGATGGACGCAGACAGACGATTTACACTCCCGAGATAAGCAGAGTTGCTTGCGATGGCTTGAACGAGGGCAACGGAGGAGGAGAAAGGGGATGATACTCGGAGGAGGGGAGGGGGGAGAGTGCTTGCGAGCGCGGCGAGATTTGTATGGGAGGGCAAATAAAGACCGGCGGCTAATTACCAACTCTAGTTGCCGAACACGGCGGCATTTATTTAAATATCCGCCCATAATACCTCTTCTCTCCGGCCGGCCTCTCACACTCTCCGTCCCCTCCTCACCGCCGAGCTCCCAGCATCCTTCCCACCTCCTCGACAGCCGTGCAATATACTCTCTAACAGCCCTCAGCACCCACATAAGCACTCTATTCCTTGGGCAGCCCCACTGTCTCTCCCCATCCCACACACCACTTCCTTCTCACAGCTTCCGAGGTGAACGGAAACTGGTGCTCTCCTTGATGCCGGTACATCATTCATCACATTGCCTCCGATGAAAATGGGGATGACCCCACAATCTGTCAAATCACAAACACCCACACAGCACAATGTTCAACAACACATCACATCCCGTACAGCTCTCCACCCAACCGTCCAGGTCTTCAAGATGTATCGGATCGGCTGTACACATTCATGCTTATCTTTATCTTTGGCCTACGATCGATATTATATTCATCTACTTGCATTTTCTACTTTTGACCGTGCTCAGCCTGTGACTTGTCGGATCACTGAAACGTTATCAAGGGTTTAGTAAACGTTTGATAACTCTCGTAATCGTCTACGTTTACTCTTTTGAATACATATGAACGACCGCTTTTGCTGATCCTTGCCAAGTCCGTCCGGCATTCAACCACTCATCTTCGGCAGCCCTTGGCTTTCGAAGTCGTGTGGCGCAACGAGACGTCACACGGCCTCTCAAGCCGGTCATCTCGGAACGTTAACCAATGCTAATGACCGCCGGGTTGCCTTATTGAAATTCTGCTCCTCGACAAGGAACACGCTTGCGCTTGAATGAGTCTCCGATCCTGTCTGTCGCACGACGCGTTCCTGAAACCGTCCTTGCTCGTCGCATTGCGTTTTATTATGCGGACCGACGGTTGTCATAATGGTGACCGTAGTCGAGCAACCTGCGTCGGACAATCAGCCCTCGATGTTCATCGCACTCGAGGCTGAACATCAACTTACCAGTCCGGCTCAATCTCGGTGAGTAGCCGAATTCTGCAGAGTGTAAGTGTTAATTTATGTAGTTATGCAACTACCTACTGCATTTTCTTTGTTTCTTCAAGTTCGTGAAACACTACCCAGCCAGAACGAGGCTTTCGAGTGAACAGTACAGACGTAGGATGGACATGCATGACCTATAGAGCAATCAGCATCCATGCCTAGTGACCTCTTTTCGATGCTAATAACGGACCTTGTTACCCTTCACGGAACGATACGTTCCATCCGGAAGCCACCTTGCGACGTTGCGCCAGTATCCACTGACCAGGCAATGCCGTAGTCTTTTTGCGTCACCTTCACAACTCTCCATCGAGAGTCCAAAGCGAGTCATGTACTTCTTTAGCTGTGAGCGTATTGAAACAGCCCTTGATAGCGCACGGAAAGACAACGCATGTGATTTGCACCAGGATGACGACTTTCCATAACGCACAAAGGCATTGTAAGCTGTTTCATAGTCAGTACTGCGACGGTGCAGCTGTGATTCATTGCAACGTACCGTTGAGTAAAGTGAGGTGATCCTAATCAAGTGGTATTAGCGCATTTGTGCTTCCTGACAATATCTCATTGGTATGAAATAGCACTGACACCTTCTTCCGCAGTGAACTTGCGCCTCTCGAGCTCAGCAACGGCACCGGCTGCACCATCGGGAATCATGAAAACGTCCTAATGCCGTTGTTATAGTGATTCACAAATGCAGTAAGGTCATGCTCACCTGGACAGAAGTCATAGCCGCAATGGTTAAGATTTCTTCGCCGCATCTGTACTCCTTTGAGTTGAAAAGCTGAAACAAAATTAATGATGTAGGTAGCAAGTACCATGGGATTCAACCCACCATCCTTGCAATGCCGACATCTACGGGGCACTCTGCCACTTTTTCCCCGAGGGCCGTCATCCGACCGTCTTCGCCGATCATCCCAGCCGCAACCAGTAACTCAAGTGCTCGTAGCATACTTTCGGCCGGGGGTGACGAGATCCACTCAAATTTCATGAGATCGTCAATACCTAGAGACTTGAGCTGCAGTATGGGTGTACACATATCAGAACGAGTGATCTCGGGAGGGGTGGTGAAAGGAAGGGTTGGGAAAACGGAAGATGGGTACAGGCGGTAACAGAACCCAGAAGAAGTCCGCCCAGCTCTGCCAGCCCTCTGCGTCGCAGATGCCTGAGATACTGGGACTGTTGACAACGAAGAAATATTACTGGTGGGGTTGTACGTTCGAATCTGGAAGGGGCTTTAGCAAAGGAGAAAGTCAATGGAAAACATAAAAGCAATACCTTGACAAACCCGCAATCCACAACATATTTGATACCATCAATTGTTACACTAGCCTGTGATTATTTGAGTACTTTACACATATTTGAAGACAAAAATAGCCGTTTACCTCAGCTATGTTGGTTGACGCAATGACCTTACGGAAACCAAGTTGAGCGGGGTTAAATACGCCAAGTTGTTCATCGGTGCTAAGACCTGCGTGTAGAGGCAAGAGCTGTAAGCGAGGTGCGCCGCGCGGAAGCCTAGAAGGGAGGTCAACACAAATAGTTGAGTAAATATGGTGAGGCTGACGTGGGTATCATCTCCAAGATATCCTCCAAGAACCTCTCGATTTCTTCTTTGCCTGTCAAGAATACAAGGATGTCCCCAGGACCGTGCTGTTCCAATAAGCCAGAGTTGATGGAGGCCAAGGGCTAATATTTACCTTCAAGTTTATGTTCCAGGCTACTTCTACCGCCTTCTGAACATAATCTACAGCGGGCTCCTGGAGATACGCCACGTCGACAGGATACATGCGTCCTGCCAAGCTCACAATTGTGGCTTTTGGAGCGTCGGGCCCTGAAGCAAAATACTGGTAAAATGCATTTGCATCAAGGGTAGCTGACGAGACGATCAGGCGTAAGGATGGCCGTTTGCGCTGGATCCTACCCTTGTTTAGTGAGATTATGGGACAAAGACTTGCATGCACACTTTTTGAGAACACCCAACAATAGGTCAGAGTATAGGCTGCGTTCGTGGGCCTCATCTACCTAATTCTTGGTTGAGACATTTTCATGCGAGCGGACGAGATGCCATACCATGATAACGCTGTAGCGATCGAGTAGAGGACTGACAAGCGTTTCGCGAAACAGCATTCCGTCTGTCATGTAGCGTATACGAGTCTTTTCGTTGTCGCTCACGTCTTCGAATCGGATCGTATATCCTACCTTGACTGGGTCAACACAGCTGGGATTAGAGTTGTTAGTGCTTACCTCGTCACCCAGCGTGGTACCGACTTCATTAGCGACCCGACCAGCGACGGATGTAGCAGCCACACGACGGGGTTGAGTACATGCAATCACATTTCCGTCCGCAGCCCATCCTGATTCCAGGAGAAACTGGGGGATTTCTGGACAAGTAAGTCGACGAGAACTGGTAAGATGTAGGGTCGTATAAAGATGCTTACGGGTAGTTTTTCCTGAGCCAGTCTGACCAACAACAATGGTAACACCGTGATTCTCGACGCAATAAAGGATATCCCTGCCTGGAAGCAGGTCAGTGAGCCGCCGGGGTGAAGAAATAGCATACGCACGATGTTTGTAGATGGGGAGCTGCTGGCGCTGAGAGCTAACAGAAAGGGCTGAGTAGGAGGGTGCCGAAGGGATAAGCGTTCCTTCTGTCTCCGTGTCCCTGTCCAAGGAACTGCCTGGACCTGCAGTCCCAGGTTTCCAAAAGGTAAGAGTGGACATCTGCGAGACTCAAGCTGATTATCTGAACAGTGTGCCGTGGTCAAGACCTAATGAAAAGGGTGTAAGTGAATGCAATGAACCACGCCCGTACAACGCCCGTATACTTACACTTAGTTAGTTTCACCCGTGGAGTTGTCTCCGAGTGACCGTATGTAAGGACTGGACAGATGACCACGTGGAATCGCGTCACGCGTAAAGCTCTTGAGACGCGACTTGGACGACACGAACTCATCATCCTCTTGCCCTTAGCATTCTCCTACTTTATTTCAGCGAAAACCATGGACTCCCCACGTGAAGACCACCCTAGGATATCAATAGAGTCTTACAAGGATTTGAGGTTCATTCAAAACAATATCCGCGAAGCCTTCAACGCCAGGCTGCGCACCGAACTCGAATCAACAAAACCTCCAATTAACGAACAGCTCGTCTCATTTCGTTTGAATGAAGTAAATAATGCCATGAAACAAACCAAACGTAGATCCTGACCCTACCATAGTACCTAGAATCAGTTTTTGATATTGCTACGCCCAATCTTCGTATTAATGGAAGGAGCTACGAGGACGACTCAGCGGAGCAGGAAGGTGAGTTGAACAGCAATATACAAACAAGTCACCCCTCACAAGTAGCAGAGCTAGAGGCTTTTGACGAGGCCCTGGATAGACATATTTGGTCGCTTTCCGACCAAATGATCAAGTGGGACAAAGAGCTTGCCGAACTACGCAGATCAAAACCAGGGGAGATAGTTGATCTTCTTCAAAAGGCTTACGACAAACATGCTGCTCTTGCTAACGAAGAGGGCCAAGACGCCGATGAAGAGATGGCAGATGGTCAGTTAGCCAAAATATCACGTATGTTGAGTGCTAACTATCGGGCAGAAACGCAACTTGACGAAGCTGCCGACATCGAGCAAAGATTCTCTCAAACGACCTCACTCGCAACTCAACTGCTGCAAGTGATACCTGTACAGCACGAGCGAGCAGAGCGTTTCAGAGTGGCAAGCGCAGAAGTCAAGTCTATCAAGACATAGCTATTGCACAACTGCAGGCACCAAACGACGGGAGCTCCAGGATCGGATTTCATGACCCTCTGAAGCCCCGGCCGCCCCGAGAAAAGCCGCGACCACCACCACCACCACCTCTGAAACCACCGCGGCCACGATCTCCCCCAAAACCGCCCCTGCCCATACCCCTTCCTCCTCCTCGCCCACCACGCTGGAAGCCGCCGCCTCTTGCTCCGCCGCCACCCCTGCCCCTAGCAGGCCCGCCGCGACCCGCACCTCTGCCGCGTTCTGCAAGCGGTAAGCAGTTATTCGATTATCAGAATTAGTATACGTACTCGCGGTGCCTGTAAATATAGTGTAAGATATCGGAAATTATGAAACAGGTTGGAGTGAACGTACCGGGTGTTTTTGGCTTTGGCAGAAAGCGGTCAATGGGCAGCAGCTTGTCTCCCGCAATATAGACCTTGTCTCCCTTTTTGAAGCTATTTGCGACCATACCCTCGCCCATCTTAACAGAGAAGTAGACTTCATTGATGGGACCGAGAATCTCGTCGACCTTGCCGATAACTGATTTGTTTTGGAGGTAGATTGGGGCATTGAAGTAAGGAACTTTGTCTGGCATGAGAGAAGAACAAAGCATTTCATCTTCCACAGCGTGCATGAAGGCGCCCATTTCTGGTAGGGTGTTCAGTTGTACGAGAAAGGAGAAGCTTGAAGAGTAGTGTAGATGGATGCTTACCGTAGACTTCATCTGGTGGACCAAAATCACGCTGTGGAGGGCCACCACGACCTCGACCTCGACCTACGAAGAGGATGGGATACTTGTTAAGCAGATTATAGAAAGAAAGACATACCTGCGCCTCTCACGAATCCTCGACCACGGCTCATAGTGTACAAAACAAAAGGTGATGTAGTAACAGCGAAGGACTCGAGAGATGGATCTGAAAAATTATTCACAAATCAATTTCGCTATGATAATTTCCCTTATCAATTACGTAAGTAGCTACAAATGAGTGCGCTCTCGGCACTTGATTTTGGTTCCGGGGATCGACTCCGCAAACGCCGACGAACAACACGATAGTTCTGACATTGGCCGTTTCTCTAAAGTCTTACACTAGGGTTCACCGCTTCAGGTAGACATCTGCCTTCATGAGCTGGTTTTTTCGACGCAAACAAACTGCTCAAGCAGAAATACGCGTGCAAGAGTCCATAGACCCGTCTGACGACGATGCAGTACGCGTCGGCCTTGGAATATGGCACACTCTCTTTGATGCAACAAGCGGTCGGGCTGCTCTTTCTATCACAGCTTCCCCACCATCCCAAGAGTCACAGCCGTATACCGTCCTCTGCTGGGCTTCGTATGATCCCGAGGTGCGTGCCCGACCATTGTTGTATGTCAACCCTCTAGAATCCCTGCATTTATTCAGGTCGAAGGCATTGTGGTCTCGCCGCACTGGGCTACTCGTCATCCTCAGATTTTTGTTGCATATGCTCAGCATTCCCCATCGTCTTCCCGTATACACGTCTCTGCAGAACATCCGGATCCCCTTCTTGAACTATGTCTTGAAGCCCAGTCAGATAAAGCTTTTGATTTTGCCACCGAGAACGCGTCTCAGCTAGAGGCCTGGCTATTCAGCACTGAGCGTATCATTCACGAGGGCGAAATCATCAAGTATATCCCAACTTACACTGGTCACACAGTTTCCGACGCACGGAGTCGAGAGTTCTCATACAAACTTCTGTCAACCCAGCCCGCCGTGCAAGGCTATATTCAGCAGAACTACACTGAGCTTTTCCTCGTCCCACCACCAGACTCAGGCGAACAAAACACTCCACACTCTTCCGATGATGCGCCACTCCCTATCTCGACCTCCCTTGAAATCAGTGAAGACTTTCTCTTCAAATCTGTCTCGTCCTCGGGCCCAAATACGTCCCAGGTCCTGGATGCACAGGAAACCCATCTCGGCTTTTCTATCCCGGTCACATCGCTTTCCAGTCCAGTTGACATTGTTGAGGATGAGCATTCTGTCTATTTGGCGACTGCCGATCTCAACGCCGCAGGCATTCTGAACGGAGATTGGGCAAGTTTCTTTTTACACGATATGTTATCTTTCACTCTAAGCTCGCAGGCAGGTCATTATTCAATCATCTCATTCCGGTAATCGGCGCGTTGTGCGAGTTGTTGCTCGTGATGATGTTGCATCTCCGTGAGTTCGCTAGTTGTATTGTCAGCCAAACTCAGACATGTCTAGTGGGGCGGCAAAATCTTCACCAATACTCTTACATAACTTGACGGGCTTGGATTCTGACATCCTGGTCCTGCGCCAGAACTTTGCTCAGGATCACAGCATTCCTCTGGCAGCTGGCATCACCTTGGCTCGTATCTCATCTGGTGTTTCTGCATCGCGCCGATTTGAAGCATCTTATCTTCGAGCTCTACACAGTTACTTCGGGCGCTCAAAGAGACTGATCGCACGTCATGATGTCATAGCAGTTCCTTTAAATACTGATGTTTCGTTATACATGCCGGACGATGCACGCGCCACTGCCGATGCGGAGGCACAGACGGGGTAAGCAGTGATGGTAATGGCTTTCGGCTGGCTGTGTTCATCAAAGAGTGCTTTCTTAGATCATACTTACCACTTGCGTCTCGACCCAACGACCTCGTGTTCTTTATTGTTCGTGAGGTTACAGTGGAACCTCGATCGTCGCGAAGTGCCCAAAACCATGATAGTGATTATGGCTACTGGATAGATCCTGCGGTGACACGTATCTCTGAGGTTGGGGCGGAGGAGCGTCGTATCCCAGATGTTTTGGACTATCTTGGTACAGGTGGGTAACCTTGTGGTTGTGAGGTGGCGCGGTGACGAATGAACCGGTCAACAGGACATCTTGCTTCTGAAGTCAATACCATCTATTGTCAGATCCTGCAGTTTGCGAACGCGTCTACAGCCGGGGGATCGACAGATTTCGGTCTCGACTTCTCAATACTGCTCAAGGGTGCCCGAGGAATTGGTAAATTCTCTATTGTCGCCAAGGTCGCTCAACACCTCGGTCTCCATCTTTTTGAGGTATGCTACGTCCCGTTTGAGGCGTTGCTTGCATGTACTAACAACTTTAGATCAACTGTTTCGATGTTGTCGCCGATAGCGATGTCAATGCCGACGCAATGCTTCGATTCCGCTTGGACACGGCGCTTGCCTCGGCCCCTTGCATCATTGCACTAAGACATGTCGACGCCCTTATTCGCTCAACGACGCCTTTGGAGACTGCCAAAGGTATGTATTGCCTCGAAAACCCTTAATCGTGGGCTCAACCTTTAGAATCCGAAATGTCGATGATGATACTTGAGTACATTGACAAGTTCAAGGACAAGTGGGTCTCCACGGGTAGCCCAGTTATTGTCATCGCCACGGTCGCCGAACACGCTCGAGTCCCTCCTGAAGTTGCCCGGTGCTTCAAGCAGGAGCTCACGATCAAGGTCGGCATGAAGGCATCCCCTTGTCTTTGTCGCACGACCTGTTAACACCACCTATAGGCCCCTGATGAAGTCGAGCGTTTGAACATTCTGACTCCGCTCATGACTGGAGTCTCCTCTAAAGATGTCTCACTCCAAGATATTGCGACGCAATCTGCTGCTCTGGTTGCATCGGACTTGAATGATATACTGTCTCGAGCACAGACCTCACTTAAGAAACGGATACTTGACCAGTCAGTTTCTTGTGATGGCTTCGTTGATTCGTAGTACTCACACCATGAAGCAGGGGCTCGGTGTCGTTTGATTCATATTTAACCGCCAGTGGCGACGACTTCCATCGTGCACTACAAAACGTCAGGTCCTTCTATTCGCAGAGCATAGGCGCACCAAAGATACCGAACGTCTCGTGGGATGATATCGGCGGTCTTGCTCAAACGAGGAACGACATCCTGGATACCGTTCAGCTTCCTCTAGACCACCCAGAGCTGTTTGCCGGTGGTCTGAAGAAACGATCAGGTGAGTTACTGAGCGAGTGATAACTCCCTTATGTATTGAGGTTCCGCCCAGGAATCTTGCTTTTCGGGCCTCCCGGGACAGGCAAAACACTTCTAGCCAAGGCAGTCGCTACGACATGTTCACTGAACTTTTTCTCCGTGAAAGGCCCGGAGCTTCTCAACATGTACATTGGAGAATCCGAAGCGAACGTTCGACGCCTCTTCCAGAGGGCAAGAGACGCAAAGCCCTGTGTGATCTTCTTCGATGAACTGGACTCCGTCGCCCCCAAACGAGGCAATCAAGGCGACTCCGGTGGCGTTATGGACCGCATTGTCAGCCAGCTCCTCGCTGAGCTCGACGGTATATCTAGTACAGATGGTAGTGCCGACGTTTTTGTCATAGGGGCGACAAATAGGCCTGATTTGCTGGATCCTGCTTTGCTGCGACCGGGAAGGTACGTTTTCACGCGAAAGCTGCTGAGTTTAACAATCAAATCAACGACTCAATATGACTGTAGATTCGATCGTATGCTCTATCTCGGAGTCAGCAAATCCCATGAAGATCAGGCAGATATTCTACGTGCGCTCACCAGAAAGTTCAAGCTTGATACTGCACTGGATCTGGATTCACTGGCTACACGTTGTCCGATGAATTATACGGGCGCCGACTTCTATGCGTTATGTTCAGACGCCATGCTTAATGCTATGTCAAGGAAGGTCGATGAACTTGACACTAGGCTAGGTGAGAAGTCTAGGTGTTATATCTTCTATCAGGTTATGCTAATACTGCACAGCCGGGTTAAATGGGTCAAACAATGGTACTGCACCAACCTCATTGGCTTCCTTCTTAACAGAGGTTGCCAAACCAGAAGAGTTGGATGTTCTTGTCTCTGAGTCTGACTTTGAGCTGGCCATGAGGGATTTAATACCTAGTGTCAGCCAATCGGAAATGGAACACTACCATGTTGTTCAAAGACAGTTCTCTCAGAATGTATAGTAGATAGTTGAACTACTGTTATCCCCTGCCAGAAGAGACAGCCAAATTTCCGTAAGTCCTGGAATATTTTCCTCGCAGGCCCATCCTGTAAAATAAGGTTTGAAGCATCCCCGTGACCCAAGCTAATACTGAAAAAATCCACAAAGTGCCAAAGTGGACGGATTCCCTACTATACGAGCATCAGTTGATTTTAGAACCTGGGACCAACCACCGTCAGACTGTACAGTCTGCGTGGGAGCCGATACCGGTAATAAGCCCATATCAGGCAGGGCATTGGCAGTAGCCAAGCCATAAAAGGAAAATCAGGGTGTCATTGCCGAGCCGGATTTGCTGATACGGCGGCTATAAAATTATAGTGAGCCTCGAGAGGACACTCTGTCATCGGTGCAAAATATTGAGAGCTTGTGCCTTCTGGTTGCACCCAGTTTTGTTTCAGTGGGGGCGGAAGGTGTTAGCTGAATATATGATTACTCTTTTGTACACAACCTGAGGTTACTTCACAGCTGGTTATTAACCCAAGCTCAATTTTTTTTTCAAAAGAGCCCATTTTCTGTCTTTTGAGCCATGTTACTTCATTTCTAGACATCCCCTTGCCAATCCAATGCAGGATGATATGGAATGGCATGGGATCATAATTATCATGAATTTAGTTTGAGAGTTTTGAGGGGGAAACGGCCACAAAAGACAGTTGTACATCCTGACAGTGGTGTACATTCTCACGGGGGATGACAGTACTTCTAATGCACATACACTTGAGTGAATCATATGGCAATGCAAGAGAAATGGGTTCTAATCCAGGAAAAGTTTTATCAGGAAAAAGGGTTTGGCCAATTGGTGAATGATGGTGGGGTATTGAGAAAAAATGGTGTTTGGCCTATCTGGCATATGGCACAGGTCTAGACTCAAACCCAAGGACATGGGGACTTTAGGATCTTCAGTGCAAGACATTCAGTGGGATTTGGTGGGTAGTGTATTACATAATTGAAAATCAAAAGCTTGTGATAAAGTTGTGTCACATTCACCATCACTGAGCACTCAGCCACCCTAGTACTCCAAGTCTGAGATGAGCAACATCATTGCCACAGATAGCTATTGTCTGTCTGGGGGCCGGTTGTCTATGGCATCATAATTCCAGCCAACAAGATTCCATGTATGAGATGGGCCAGGTCATTGGCCACAGATAGGTTTTTATCAGTATAAACTTCAACCACATCAGGAAAATGTCTGGTGGCTACTGGCAGCTACTGGCAGTGACTTGTGTCAATATGGCCAAGGTAGCTGGTGCTGCAAAGGACCAAGGTTGCCACCCTCCAACTTTATTGACACGTGTTGCACTGGTGGCTGTGACAGTGTGCAATGGAACTTACTGCTACTATTGGCTTGCAGAGCGCAATAGCCACAGACTGGTTCACCCAAAATCAGTTGAATAAAAAAATAAACATACTGCATTATGTTGACCACAAGTTCCCAGTGGTGTGGGAAGTTGGGGTTTAAAGCCACCTTCCATAACACTATGTCCCTCAATTAGGTTCCTGAGGGCCATTGAGGATAGGACATTGTTCCCAGGTTAGTCCAGTGTCCCAGGTTCTCATTATAGTGTTGTTCTTGGCTTGGCTTTGGGCAGCTTTTGGCTTGACCAGATCCCAAGCCAGGCCAATGCTATTGGCTTTTGGCTTGGCCCTGGCTTGGCCTGGCTCAGGCCATTGGCTTACATAGTGCATATCGATTTTCTTACTTCTGATATACTATACTTTGACTAGTCTTCAATTTATTATGCATAGATTAAGTTTAAACAGTCCAAAAGTTATAAACAAGCCAGGAAACTAAAGCTGAGACTTATAGCTATTGAACACGCAATCATTTATGAATTTGTGTTTTGTAATGGCAAAGATATTGGACACTGAAGCTATGTTATAGATTCTCACTTCAGCAGTGGCACAATTAGTTCTGCAGCAAGTAATTTGATTAGAGGACAAAACCCACTAGGTCAGCAGTACAAAAACCTCTTTAAATACCATCTAGGCTACTCGTTCTTGCTCTCAGAGTCAGTAGCACAAAGGTCACCACTCTCTGTTTCTAACAAAGCAGTATCCCACTCCTCCTCACCTTCTCCCTCATCTTTCAATGCCTCTTGCTCCTCCTCAGCCTCTTCAGCCACCCAGAGGAGTAAGTCACTCCTAATAGCACATCTCAGCACCTGAAGTGCCTCAACAATGTCCCCCTTAAAATGATTGCACCACTTGCTGATAGTTATTCCCCCAGATGAAAATGCACACTCACTAGACACAGAAAAAATCATAACAGACAAATAGTCATGAGCTATTGCAGCCCAAGTGGGGTACTGCTCTGCATGGCGCTATAAGGACAGTCAGAATTCAATGACAGATGTTTATAAGAGTAAGACTTACTGCTCACCACTGAATTATAGTCATGCCACTTGGCAGATCATGTTTAACATCCAAGTAGCTGTGATACTCAATCTGCCATTGTGAGGATATACTGTGAGAGAAAAGCGAGGTAGAGTCTTCTTCTTCATCATCTTCACTGTTGCTGAGGGGTATAAGACAGTTCTGAGATCTTCTTGGTGTTAGAATTGCTAGAGGACAGGTCCCTGGTGCTCCTGGCAGAACAGAAGTAGTCCTGAAACTGATAATCAATCAGTAAAGATAACAATCACTGTTTATTGCCAGACACAAACCACAGACTCAATTTCTTCTTTTAAACCATCCTGCAGGACTTCTGGCCAGTAATTCTTGAAGTATGCTAGCTTCTGGTTTGGAACAAGCACTGTAAAAAATCAGATAAAACATCTGTAGGCATTATCACCCTTTGACTCACCCATGGCCATTAATAGACATCTGATTTGGTTGTCTTCTGGTAATACTTGTCAATCTTCTTGCAGGCCTTGGAGAGAGCAGAAGAGAAAGAAGCATAATCATCTTGCTGCATTCTAGCTTCCCAGGTTCTGTAGAGTTTTTCAAGTGCAGGAATAGCAAGGTGGAGAGTGAATTCACTTTCAGAGGAAAATGCATGCTGTGCAGATTCAGCATACTAAATGTGTGAATATAGCATTAGTTAAGTTGCATAGAACACTTAGAGACACTTCACCCACCTTCAGAAGTGATAGAAATAAAGCCACACACTTCCACTCTGTGTCAGTAGGCATGAGAGACTGTAGCTGCTCCTTTTTCTGCTTGTTCTGCTCTTGGAGAACTAGCTGAGACACAAAATTATCCACATGCTAGAAGTACTCAAGCAAGTGTCATGTCTAGGCAGTTAATGGACTCTACCCATAGTTTTATTTGTCTCTGCTCTGTGGAGCATCTTATAGGTTGAAGACCAGCAAACTTTCATGTCAATCAGCAGTTGCTGAGTTTGAGATTCTGGTACTTTCATGTTGATCTGGACAGTCTTGAACAGCTCTTTCCTCTTAGAAGAGGAGCACTCCTACAAAGGTGTTAGTCAGGTAATTGTAGTGGCAACTAATCTTGAGATCACCTTCACAGAAATTAGCCTTACTAGACCAATTTCATCTAGAGTCTTGTCCTCAGTCAACAGAGCTGACTTTGCTAGCTCAGCAGGATTGGTGGGATCAAAAAAGGAGCTTTGCTATAGGTAGAGATTAAATCCTGAGTAGCAAGATTAATTACATGGGCCAAACAGTTAATAAATTGAATAGAAATTGAGCACAAATGGGCATGAATAGTTTACTGAGTGAAGCTCACCTGATACACCTAGAGGAAACATCAAATTGCTTTCCTGTCTTCTTCTCATAGTATAGCTTGAATTCTTCAAGCATAGAGTTGTTGTTTGTAGCATTATCACAGGTGACATGTTCCACCTATTAAAAGAGGGTGTCAGCTATAGTATCAGAGAGATATAGATAAACTACTTGCCTTGTGAGTAATACCAAGATGCTCTGTAACTTTAAACAATGCCTGGCCCAGCCTTTTCCCAGTATGTGCAGCATTAAGATGAGTAAATCCCAAGAGAGCACTGTGTAGTTGCCAAGAACCATCTTCATGCTCTTCAATCCAATGCCCAGTGGTAGCAAAGTAACTGTCAGTGTTGCTGGCCACCCAACCATCACAGGGTATGTTAACAGTTCCTTTGACTTTGCTGCTCTATAATGTGACACTTAATTCATGATATTCATCAGATTAAAGCCTAAGACTTGCTAATAAGTGTTTTTTCAGGTTTAGCAAGGTCTCTTTGAGGGTATTGATGATCTCTGAGCATGTAGCTTTTCTTCCTGGAATTGATACACCAGCTGTAGCACTGGCTGCAACATCAATCATCTCCTTGAACTTTGGATGCTCCAGAGCTCGAAGTGGCTGACACTAAGTGTGAGACTTGAAGTAGTGCAATTATAAAACAAATACCTGGTCAGTTGCAATCATCCACTTAATGGCAGCCTGTTTGAAGTGTTTATCAGAGTATTTAACAACCACAACACACACTCTGAGATGTCCATCAAGCTGAGACTGTTTTTGAACCAGTATACCATCTTCTTTGGCTTGAGCTTTGGCTTGCCTCACCTTGATGTCCTTCTCAAGCATAGAGTCAAAGTTATTTGACTTGCACCATTTGTAGTAGGCATCCTAAGCAAAGCTAAGCACCATAGCCTGATTAAAGAAAGTAACAATAGCTTACAGAGTAATCAGCTGCAGCATGTCTTCTCAAGGTAGTGACATAGTTTATCAGGTGTTTTCTAAAGGCAAATAAGCAACTATAATAACTGGAATGGTCTCAGTTACAACTCCTAAACTGTTTAGGTTTTCCTTGATCAACTTCAGAAAAGGTAGCACCAAAAAAGTGTCCATGTCCCTAGACTTAGGCAGCTTCTGATCTGTAGAAGTCTCTGAAAGTGCCTTAACATTAATATCTTGAAGGAGACCATCTGCATCAGTGGCATCATAAGCCAAAAACAAGTTATAGCTGAGGATACATCTTCTAATCTAGGGTCAGTAACAACTCTGAAACATCAGGTAGATTAAATACAATGTATTGTCCTTCTTTTTCTTTTTGTTCTGAGATGTCTTGGGCTGAGGAATAGTCAGAATTGAGCTGCCTGAAATGTCTTGATCATCTACATCCCCAGTAAAACTTGATGTATTCTTCATAGTACTATGAGATTGCTTTCTGAGTGTTTCTAAAGTTTGCATCAGAAGATTGGCCTTTGCTTGAAGCATTGGCAACAAAATCAATGGGTAGCTTTGTATGAGATAGTATCTGAGACTAACCTCTTAGCATTCTGAAGAGTGTCCCTATGCTGGGCTACTCCTGATCAGCAATATTGTTCTTGTCTTTGAGTTTTTCAGAGGGCCCTGTGTTACGCTTGGGGCACTCCATGGCAGAAAAAGAGGTATTAGCTCCCTCAGACATAAAACTGACTTCATACCATTGAATCAGAAAAGCGACCAAGAACTGAGAGAAACACACCTATAACAGCATGGTTAGAGTATCAGGAATAATAAAGCAAGGAAATTAGAACATACACCTGTATTATTGGAATTTTGTAGCAGTTGAGAAGCTCTAAACATAGCAGTTAGGACACCAGTGTTAACAAGAGGACAGTCTTACTTAGGTCTGCAGCTTAAAAGCAAAGTCCTGAGGTCTCATGCTTATGATCTGAACCTTTTAAATAGTCCAGGAGTAGCTGAGGCTCACATAATTCTCCTTAGCATCAGAGAATATCATGGAACAAGCAGGAACTTTATTACCAAGGATCTGAGTCAGATATAAGGATGCTTGGTAAGACCTGAGTAATGCAGGATTAAAAAGCGTTCTGATGTCATGTTTCATGACAGGATTAGCCTGCTTACTCACATTTGATTTATATTCACTGGTGTAAGCTCAAAGATGAGCCAGATAGTATCATACCTAGATCTAGGAGGCAGCACACTTTTGATTGAAAATTTCCCACAGTTAGTAAAGGTGTCATACATTTAAATAATAATTGCTAAGCTATGGGGACTACTGTTATTATAATAAAGCCCTGGCCTATCGGCTTGGCTTTGGCCTGGTACTGGCTTTGGCCTGGCTTGACTTGGCCTGAATCAAGGGGTAACCAATATTCAAATATTGTATATAGGGTAGGGAGGGAGGGTGCTGGGGGTTGGCCTTACCGAGTTTCTGACCCACCTCAGTATCTCCTGGAATAGTCACATGTTAGACCTTAAATAGACATATAGCCCCTATTGTTGTAGCCTAGACCTGTCTTATAACAACCAATAATTACACTACAATACCAGACCAAGTAAAATAGAGGCAAATTGTGACCAACAGCTTGCCGATGGCGACACCGATGATCTTGGAGGCTGCTCCGACTGTGACAAGGGCTGTGTGTTAGTAGTGAGATAACAGACATGGCAAAGAAGTCCAAGAAGGTACACACCATGGTCTATGACCAGGCATTAGGTACTCAATATTCCGGTTAATAGTCAAAGAGCAATAATAGCACCCAGGGCAACAGCAAGGGGCCCAAGCTGACTGACTTGTCAACAATGGAGTGCCCAGAGTGCCACCAGCAAATTACTGTGGGCAAGGCTGGACAAGCCAACCTCAATCAGCACAAAGGAGGCAAGCAATGTAGGGCCACAAAAAAGAAGTGAGAAGAGGAGGAGGAGAAAGCAAAGCTGAAGAAACGTACCTTCCTTGACCTGTTTGTCAAGTGTGCCCCTTGCACTGATGCCCCCTCTCCACCTCCTCCAGCCCCCTCAACCTCAGTTACCAGGCCTACATCCACTGCAGCCCCACCTCCACCAGCCTTGTCAACCTCCTCTCCCCCTGCAGCTGAGTCGACCATGTCAGGAGGGCCACTGCTGCTAGCTGGACTTTGCAACACCATTCAGCACATGTCCCACAATGTCCCAGTTGCGACAGACATGGATGAGATGTACAAGTACATTCAGCTGACGGCCAATTACCAGGGGAAGGATCCAGATGAGGCCTGGGAGGATGGCAATCAAGTTTTGAATTGATTGGTTGGGTATGGTCGGTCGGAGGATAGCATCCAAGACATTGTGCGACAAGGGGCTGGTGGGGTCGAGGCAGTCACAGACTTCATTGAGCTGCTGCATGTATCAAAAAATGTTGGTGCAGCCCTGCTTGAAAACAAGGTCAAATGCCTGACAAAGGCGATTGCATTGTTGTGAGTCCAATCATGTATCTGCTATGGATGGTGGCTTACTGGTGTAGTGGGTGAGTGCTGGTAGCCACACCTGAGTGATCAACGTGATAGGTGCATGAGCCACCTACATTGCCCTTCAACACCAAGAAATACAGATGTGATGGATATATGTTACCTGTGCCTCCCGACAAGGGTGCCGCCCTCATGCTTTACCCATTTTCCCTGCACTCTAAATTCACGGTCCCATAGGTGGTGCACATCTATGGCACGCATGTTTGGCTGACGTTGACGCAGTGTTCTTGGGTGTTAAAGATGGAGGGGACGTGTTTGGCTTGTGAGGGGCTGGTAAAGGACCCACAGCTTGTCAGCATCCTTAGACGGATAGACAAGGGTGTGCATGAGAACGCACCTCATGCTTATCAACCCCTTGCAGGCCTACATGTAATCATCCAACGGAAAATGAAGCAGGTCCAGGCGCTGCGCCTCGGCAAGATCAACACCGCAAAAAGTCTTGCCCAGGGGACCACGGTGCTGGACAACTACAAAAGGTTTGTGGTTGCTGCAGCACACAGCGACCTCTCTCGGCTTGACACCCTCTTCCGTGTCTGCATAAAAAACTGTATGTCATGCTAAACAAGGCCGTTCAATGCTTGTATAAACCCAAGGGTTATACGCAGAAAGAAAAGTTATGTGCGCTCGTGTTTCTTCGGGTTGCCAGCAGAAGGGCCTCGACATATACCATAGGTCTGCAGATGCACCCGCTGTTAGCACCACCCGATGATTCTCTGTCAACAAGCCACTCCATGTGTCCACCAGGACACCTACTGAAGAGGAGATCCAAGTCAACATCAGGAACTCGTTCAGGGACGATAGTACATTTTGACTTACCAAGCCCAAGCCTTCAACAAAGGCAACTGTCACTGCAAAAATTTCACCATAACTTGTGCCCATTTACTTTAAATAACTGGCCCGGTTAGTTAAAATAACTTTATCATAACTTGCCAGGATTTATCCGGGTGTGGATACACATTGTATTTTAAATAACATTTGACAGGTTATGGTAAAGGTGGGACACGCAGTTTTGACAGTTATCTTGTATTGTAGTTTCTCACGGCTGTCAGCCATGTCATTGCTCATCTGTTTATTTTAAATAAAATGGAGTTAACATAAATGCGGATAAACTCCGCATTTGGATGGCAACAATCAAAGTCTGGCCCATGATTGTCAGAAACCAGACAATGACCCGGCAATGACTAATCATATGCCGGTCAATGCCAGGTCAATGGCCAATCAATGCCAGGTCAATGGCCAATCATTTGCCAGCCATTTGCTAGTCAATGGCGGGTTAATGGCGGGTTAATGGCCAATCAATGGCTGGTCATCAAATTTTTATGTGCAATAAAAAACCACTTATTCACTCTAAATGATCAGACTAATTACCAGCTATTGGTGATAAAAGGAAGGGAGTACTATGGGACTTTAGGATTCATATTGTTTGTGAAGTGAGGGGTTAAAAGCATATTTCTCTAACTAAATAATAACTTTCTATTTGGCCATTAACCCGCCATTGACTGGCAAATGACTGGCAAATGATTGGCCATTGATTGGCCATTGACCTGGCATTGATTGGCCATTGACCTGGCATTGATTGGCCATTGACCTGGCATTGACCGGCATATGATTAGTCATTGCCGGGTCATTGTCTGGTTTCTGACAATCATGGGCCAGACTTTGATTGTTGCCATCCAAATGCGGAGTTTATCCGCATTTATGTTAACTCCATTTTATTTAAAATAAACAGATGAGCAATGACATGGCTGACAGCCGTGAGAAACTACAATACAAGATAACTGTCAAAACTGCGTGTCCCACCTTCACCATAACCTGTCAAATGTTATTTAAAATACAATGTGTATCCACACCCGGATAAATCCTGGCAAGTTATGATAAAGTTATTTTAACTAACCGGGCCAGTTATTTAAAGTAAATGGGCACAAGTTATGGTGAAATTTTTGCAGTGTGTGGAGGATATAGACAAGGATGAAGAGAGCAGCGTCAATGATGGCAACGGAGACAATGGCAGCATCGGTGGTAATGGGAAGGAGGCCAGTGGGGTCCTGGGTTACCAGTAGATTTTGGATGAGATCAAGGTGGAGCCACAACCGCGATGGGATGTAGAGACCAACAAGATCATTGGCATTGCACATGAGGATGCTGACAAGATTGGGCTGGCGCTATTGTCCATTGAGGAGGTGAACGTGCTTTGCAAGGCGGTGAAGGATGGGACAGTGAGGCTAGCAGTTGAGGTGGGAAGTCTTTTGCATTTAGTATGAACAGTTCTCACAGGTATTTAGGCAACCGTGGCAGCCATTGGGCTTCTAAAAGGCAATGCCTGTTCATACACCGCCTGCCCTATTTTCATCTCAGGCACGTGCAAGACTGAAGATGCGGTTACTCACACGGAGCTCATTCAAACAATAATCAATGCCTGCAACACTGAGTCTTCGAATATACCTGGTCAATTATATAGCATTGCTTCAGACAGCGAGGTGCGACATGGCGCTTTGCTGGCAATACTCATGTACAAAAAACAACTATTCTCTTTGTTGGACATCTACAAGTACATTGGTCCATTGCAACTCCTGAACAAGCTTGTGGGCAACAGCAATGTCACATCAAACAAGGACCCACGGCACACATTTAAGCATTGTTGTATGGCGATCATCTGCAAGAAGGGTATTGCTATCTTTAGTTTTGTCGTCTCATCAGACACAATCAGTGGGCACTTGCATTCTGAAGGCCTTGCACTGGACACAGCACATTTGTGGCTGAACCCCAACAACAAACAAGATGTCAGCCTTGCCCTAAACCTGCTCCAGGTGGTGTGAGCGCTTCCTGAGGTGGCACCAAAAGTACGTGTTACTGTGGCCGTGGCACAGAAGCATATCTAGATTCTCGGTAACCTCCTAATGCCCATCATCACTCCCTGGATTGAGCCACTATGTCCCTTTGTGAACAACTGGTTCACCTCAGTGCAGCCTCCCATGTTCTCTACCTCTTGTGCAGTCATCCCAAAGGTGGCTCTAACTTCATGTCCAAAGTTCTCTATCAAGATCATCAAATAATGATCAAGAACGTGTTCTTCTGCATTGCAAAAGCCAAAGTTGACAAGCTATGTGGTTGGTTTTACAACATTTTGCTAGGCACCGACCTTCTGAAAGTCTGTTTTGGCATCTATCGCACCATGATCAGCAGTGATGCCAATGCGGACTGCCTCCAGCTTGCCTTACACATTGTCCATGTGACAGAGATGGCCCAGATTCTTGCCAAGTACCCACATTGGGATTGGGACCCTTGCTGAATGAAGCTGCTAACCACGACAGCCATAGGCGAAGAGCTCTCTTCAAAAGATGATCATATTAACCCTGTGTCTTGGCTTGGTGACGTGAACCTCAAGGGTGTCCTTCCTGTCACTGCATGGAATGAAGGCCGGAGTGTCATTGAGAAGGCATACACCGATTACTTGGCTCGCAAGTGTTTTGCTTGTTTGGAGACTTCAAATGGTAACTTCTTGGTCCCCAATGGTCGGCAGCTCCTTGGCCAACTGGACCCTGACAACCTGGAGACCGTGGATCCAGAACTTGGTGAAGATGACACTGAGCCAGACGCCGAGCCAATCCCTCTTACCCTCAACATCTCATTTGATGACTTAGACATCAAGGATCATATTGCCATAGAGGAAGGGGACCGTCAGGTCTCATCATTTACTTCCTACCTCAAGATTGAAGGGAAACATGTTTACAAGGCACAAGCCCTTCGTCAGATGTTTTGACATATGTGCTCTCCAGGCTCCACAGATCAATTGGGCCGAGTTGCTGGCCTCACATGTTTCACCATGACCTCGGACTCTGATACCAGCATTGTTAGCATGTTGTCCGTTTTTGGCAGAGACCACTTGTTCATTGGCGAGCCTCTGTCAACATTGGTCCAATCAGACTCATGTCTCTTTCTCGCGCTGGTGGAAATCACGTCCATTCAGTACCAAGGGGTTAGACTGCACAAGATACCAGCTAGTGCACTGCTTGCGGAAAGTATGATGATTACCTCACAGATACTTGCACTCCATGAGCGGTCGCTTGAAGCCACCGGCGAGACTGGCAAAGATTGGGAGTGGACTGGTCTCATGGGAAAGACCCTCAAAGTGGCGCCTGGCCATATTTTCCATGAAGTCAACCTGACTATGTCTATGGAAGTGCCCTTTTGCAATGTCTTCTACTTTGCCACTGTTGATCTCCAGTCCCTCACTACCACCCTCCACAACCACATCTCTGAGTCACTGAGTCCCTTCTCCCGCCTTCCCTCTATTGCAGCAACTGTTGCCTACCTGTACCGATCTCAAGGTAGGCACACTGCAAGGTGTCACTAATGATCCTCAACCACTGAATGTGTTGCAGGCCATGCTGCATTTGCATGTGATATTGGCAGCAAGACGGAATCGTATGCCAAGGCCGACAATGTCGACTTCTGCAACCACTGCTGGCCTGTGTTCAAACTTGACCACAGCAATGGCCCTCACCTGCTCAAACATATGGGCAGCCATATCTTATGTGACAACTTGCTTGATGGTACGGAGGAACAGTGCAGTTTTTGTGTACAGGCAGTGAGGGTATCCCGGTGCGTAGCCTACCTTCGAAGGAATAAGGGAGCACTGGGCAACCTGCAGATCGACATGACTCAGTCAACGTGTCCAAACCAGGTTGCATTCAACTACCAAATGGCAGCAACAGCTGGCAACTCAACACCTTGCACCAACGTGCCCATGCCATGCTCTACCTGTGCAGCTACTTGGCCAGCTGAAGTTGTCAAGCTGGTGGTCTGGCACTACTCAATGGTGGCCTACATCCATACTCAGCATGTGACCTCCTCTCTCGCCCCTCCACTCCTCACTTCTTTCCAGATCTCCAAGGATGAGTGCGGCATGGTGCACAAGCTCATCCAGAGCAAGGGATTTGCCAAGGCTCAGCGCTCACGCAAGGTATATCAAGCTCCCAAGCTCCGTGTGTCCGATGCCCACTGTGCCTCTCAAATCACAATGCTAGCGGAGGAATTGGAGGAAGCGGAGGATGATGCAGAAGTGCCAGTGGACCCAGAGGCAGGTGACAATAATTGTCTGCCAATGCCTGTTGTTGACAACAAGACAGGTGCGCCAGTTGACAATGCAACTGCTGACATGCTTGGTAAGTCAATTTGCAGTGCTGCAGTAGACCCGTCTAACTAATTGCTTAGGTGAAGATGATGGGACAGCACTGGACGGCCCCAAGTTTGTCGACAACACTGTTGTCTCTCATGCTGGCAGGAAGAGTTGCAAACATGACATTGGTGCCCTGCTACGGGTATGCAAATATGACATGGAGATCACGCAGAAGGAGAAGGACAATGGTGTTGCCATCAAGTGCAGTGATTCGTACTGCGACACAAAATGGGTATGCCGTATGCTATGTTTTTGAAGTGTCTACTAATACTTGCAAAGTTTCGCCTCTTTTGTATGGAACCTGATCACATACCTTCCGGGTGGAGGTGCCCTAGCCATTCACATGGTACGAAGGGTAGGAAACATGGGCGTCACGTGTAGCAGCGAGGTATGCTTGGTTTTTCTTTATGTTTTCCTTGTCTATGTGCTCAATGGCTCAGGATAGGGGCCACTTGGTAGTATTATTATGTAGATAAAATATAGATTAACCAAATTGGGAACATCTTGGCTAGATTTACCCAATATGGAAGGAGGGGGGAGGGGGGAGTGACTGTTGAGTTCCTTTACTGAAAATTTGGACCTACTTTGCAACTTTAGAATTGTTGTGAAGATGACCAAGGCCCCTATTATTTTCTTTCTTTTCTCTGTCCTTCTCTGTCTCCTTTCCACACTTAGAGCCAGGTCCGCACACCTCCGGTCATCTCCGCATGCCTTCGGACACCTCCGGACCCTCCGAAGATTTTGGAGTTTGCTCCACGTCTGGAGTTACCTCGGACCTCTTATGTTTCTCTTCAAGCATTACTCCCGACAACATTCGGACTTTGTGCAGACCATGCGGATGCTTGACAGCAGCGCTGTACTACCCCCGTGACAGCAGATGGTTATCAGTAGCATAATCAGGATCCAAAGATTGCCGGAGTTGTTTATATACTGAGCGTTTCACATCCTAGTCCCCCATCTCGACCTCTTGGTCATTGGGACTAGGTGCACATTCACTTTGTAGTAGATAGGATGCTTTATTGACTTGGTCATTGGAACTAGTGCTTTCGTGCTCACCGCCGGCACTTGTTGAGATCCTCCATCACCTAGCCTTGTGGTTTTGGCCACTTGTACGCCCACGCTTCTATGCTCCTATGCTCCGCTCCATTCCGCCTACCTCCAACCTCCTCCAAAGTTTCGGAGCTATTTAGGAGTTTAGAGTGTCACCCCTGTTGTGTCCACAACAAGAATACTGGTTACCCCTTGGCCTGAATCCTGGCCTGGCTTGGCTTGGCTTTGGCTTTTAGGCCAGGCCAAGAACAACACTAGTTCTCAGTCTTATGATGCACACATGGGTCCTGGCTCGGGAACTGGATTTAGCTTTAGAGTACATGTGTGGACCACCAGCATGGCTCAGAGCTGATGCACGTCATGTTCAGTTTGTCTTTAACAGATCAGCAAGCACACTGCATCCCTCTTCTTGCCCTCCCCACAGAAAGGTGAATCCTTTCAGCAGCATTAATAATCATTGCATCTCATTTCTGCTGACATTTGCCTTGTGTCTGGCACATGCTTGTTCCCTGCAACTTGCTTTGCAGCAGCCTTGTGTTCACCTGGCCTCCTTGCATTCTCTTTGTCTATTCCTAATGCACTGAAGCTGGGCTCTCTGAATCACATAAAAGGTTTTGCAGGAGAGCAAGCAGAGGGGTGAGAGCATGAGAAAATAAGTGAACTGAGGTGTCAAGACAATGACTAGTAGATTTTACATACAGAAGTAAACTACAGGTATCAAGTACAGACAGTGGCTGATGTACTATGTAGTTAGATGGAATCTTGCAATGTAATCACATGACAGTGCCTTGCATGCATCACTTACAACAAAAGGTATGTCTGCTCATCCAGTTTTTAGCAGAGTCACTTGCTTGCTAATATCTTTCATACTCATCACTTAATTGATCTTTGCCCCCTTGTTTTCCACCACGATGCTCTATTGCCCTGAATTTGCAGCTGCAATCCAGGTTCCAGAGGAGCCTCAAAGTTTTATCATCACCTCAGGTCACCCACTCTTCATCCTCATCCACATAACCTTGCCCATTCTCGCCACCTCATCTCTCACAAATGAAAAAGCCCTCTCCTGTCAGCCCCATCAGACCACCCCCTTTGATTATCACTCCGTTCCCATTGCCGGGTCTGCACACCACCTTGACAAGGCCACACTCCAACTGTACTGGGAGTATGGCTTTTGCAGCCTTCAAATTGAGTTCCATGGTGCCAAGATCTTTACACTGCTGTGGCTTGCTGTCTGGTGGTACAACTTTGTTCATGCAGGGAAAGCTAAGGGGAGGTGGGTGAGCACATGGGATTGGGCAACCACAAACATCCTCTCTCAGCTGTTCTCCTCAAATTTTGCCCACATTCCACCTGCCATCAAGAGGTTCTTCAGGACAACTGGGTGGGGTTTGCATGTTGGTGGCATCCAAGTTGCTGATTTGGCTGACCTCTTCTCCAATAGGTATCTCCCTGGTTCCCTCCTCAACCATATTCTCAACATGATCCATGATTGGTCTTTTTATTTCCCCAGGTCTTGGATAACTCCTTATATTTCAGATCCTTTTTGTTCCACCCATCTCCCTTACAATCTCATAGAACCTCTTTGACACCCCATGCACCAGCAATCTCACACACATCTCCCATGTCACTGCCCACTTACTTGCCAAGGAGTTTGAAGACATTGTCTACACTTTGCACAATAATTGCCTTGACCACTACATAGTTGCCCTGTTCAAGGCTCAAACGGGGGTGCTCTCAATTGGCAACTCTCTTGATGCACAGCCCCAGGGAGGTCATCTCATTTTCCACCATCAATGGCTTTCACTGCTTCACTGAGAAGCTTGGTGTTCCCCTTCAAGCTTGCATCAAGGTATTCAACCACTCCCTCCAAGACAACAGTTTCTTGTGTGGAGTTGTTATGCTCAACACAATTGAGCAGGCACCTTTGCAGATGTATGTCCGTGGTTGCCAGACACCAAGGTCTTTGAACATGTCGAGTATGGGCTGTTCTTTGCCCAACATCATTCTGTAAGTTAATTTTATTACTCAGATCATTTTCAGCAGCATCTGACGTTGAATTAGTTGGATCTGAGCATGCCAGAATCTGCCCTTTGTGCTTGATTTGACAGGAACCGCCACAGGGGTGCTCCTTCCCTCCTGGTTGCCCCTGCTTTTGCTCTTTCTTCTCTTGCATCTCCTGCCCCTGCCCCTGCCCCTTTGTTCTTTGTATCTCCTGTCCCTGCCAGCACTCCTGCTGCATCTCTGGCCTCTACACCTTTTCACATCAACAACATCAATGATATCCCCAATTTCACCAACATTGCCATGGACATTGATGTCAGCATCAACCTTGATGATGATGATGACATGCCATCATTAATGACACACTCTAACTTGTCAGACTCGGACTCAGGCAGCGACTATGACAATGATGATCATCCCTGCTCTATCAAACCACTCGTTTCTCATGAGATCTTTATATCTCTCTTGCAAACCCAGCTCAACATGTTCTTCCCAGCACTTACTTACACGCAGGCTGAGGCTGATTGAGTGAGAAGTTCCTCAACATTGTTGGGTGTCTTCTGTGCAGTGCAGGTGGAAAGCCAATAAACCTAGTGCAAAACATTGAAGAGAAATCAATGAACAAAAGTATTGGAGTAAATGAAGTGTCTGCCATTAGATGAGATCACCTGGAAGAGTTTGGAGTGCAATGGGTGATCTTAGCAATCATGAAGACATGAATGGAGGTAATGACAAGGAGAACACTGGCAGATCAAAGGTGCTAGAGGTTATGAATGATCTTATTGATGAGATTGGGGTAGGCATCCTTTAGATAGTATAAAAACAGAATTAATTAGCTTGTTACAACTGGAATGTAGTAGAATCTATGCACCAAGACTCTATGGCCAGTTACAAATCCCTGAAGGCAATTGCCTAATTCTACATGCCCAAGGATATAGCTCTGCTAGCAAGAGTGACTTATTAGGCATTCACTTGATCCACCACCCAAGAACCTGATGAGTAAGGAAGTTAAACTGCTGGAAATTGATACAGCAGAGGTAGGCAACAATTGCCTTGGGGGACCAGTTACCACTAACAGCACAAGCAGCATTGTTGATCTTGTTGGACTTTTCTAAATGGGAATTATAATGCTGCTTTGCAGCTCCACATTATCATAGATTTTAATGCCACTAGAATGCCGTGATAATATTGCTAGGGCAAGCCAACGGCACTCGTTCATTGCGCTAACCAATTGAAACTCATTTTAATACCATTGGATTGCAGTTGACAACTGGTTAATAATGCTCCAAGCCCCCCATTACAATGTGTGAAAATGAGCACTTCATTACAATGTGCTAGAATTCAAAATTTTGCACCTGAGATTTTTCTGACACTGCTAGAACACCACAGGGTGCATCCAGTTAGATCACCTTGTGATTGTTGTTTCGTGTGTGTGTTTGCATTCTCAAGGGTCCTGTTGGTGTGATAGCCTTTTGAAGAGATGGAAAGGCTGCGTGTCCTCAGCAGATGTGAGTGTGAGGGATGCTGAGAAAGGTGATGAATGCAGGGGTGACTCAGTGGTGGTTGATGAAAAGGAAAAGGGTGGTATGGATGATGTAGGAAGTCAAGTCAAAGAGGGAGGTGGGGTAGGGATGACTTAGTTGCAGCCTGATAACTTGTTAGATCAGTGTACAATCAAGATCTGGTACACAATGCACCTTTCTAGTCTGCACTCACCTTCAATATGTTCTTTTTCTCAACAGCCCCTTCTCTCACTTTGAATTCATTTTAACAGCACTGTTGAGGCAGGCTGCACATTCTGCATGCTTGCACAAATCTTCTTGATCAGCAAGCCAATTGGGTCATGAGATCTATGAAATGTTCCTTTGGCTAGCCCTCTTCTTTTGCAATGTTGACAATTGTCATCCCAAGCTGGTCATCAATTTTGATCAGACCCAAGTTGTCATGGCCAACCACTCTGCCCAGATGTCCAACAAACAGGGCATGTGGCAAGTGAATGTCATTGGAAAAGAGGAGAAGTGGGCCTTTACAGCTGTTGTAGGTGCAACAGCATTGTATACTGCCTTCCCTGTCCAGCTCATTTACAAAGGGACTACCAAGTGCGCTCTGCCCTCTCCCAAGGCTTGTGAGATAGACAAGGCTTCCATGCTTGGTTTTGACTTTTCATGGAACAAGAACAGCTACTGGTCAAATCAGGAGATGATGGTGCTCTATCTTGAATGCATTGTTGTCTCATACTTCCTCACACAGAAAAAATAGCTCAGGTACCCAACTGATCAGGATTGTGTTATCATCCTTAATTGCTGGTTGGTTCACCAAAGCCTGACTTTCTGGACTGTAATCTGCAACCACTGGTTGTGGGTTCATTTTTTTTTTGAATTCCTGGTGGCATGATTGGCATCTTTTAAGCCATTGATGTTGTCCTTCAACATGCTTTCAAGCTGGCCATCAAGAAGGCCCAGCTCCAAAACACAGTCAATGAAGTTTTTCTCCAACTCAGGTTCAGCTCTAATGCCACCAATCTCAAGTTCAATACTTCAGATTGGCACTCTGTGTGATCAATCTGTTGCATGGACATAGCTGGTTGGAAGTCTATTAATGAGCCCAAGCTTGTTTGCAAGGTGCACTTTTCCAGCTGTGTTTTCTCTCTCTCTTTCTTTTACTGGTTTCTGACACATTCTACACAAGCATTTGCTTATTGCCTGATAAAAAGTGGGCATAGCCTTGCCTTTGACTTTCTGACCAGCCCACTGGCTTGTTAACTCCTTCAAGAGTTTTCCCGCTTTGACTCATCTCTATGGGGTCAGATTTCAGCTGACAATTTCAACACCACTGATTGTCAGCCTCAAGAAGATCACATGGCTGCTTCTTTGACTCAGGCCCCTTTCCCCAAAGAGGACAACTTCAACAATGACTTGTGACAGGAACATGGCAATTTCATGCACCACATTCTCATCCTTGACTCCATCATGGTTGCAGAGAACACTGACACTGGCCTGCAATTGGTGGATGGCATTAACATGGACCTCAATACTGTTGAGGTGCTGGAAACCAGGGATCACAGCCAGGAAAAGCAGCAACAAGTAGCAAAAAATAAGTATGACCACTTCTTAGGTTATTAGTGTACTTGCACATCCTGTAGTAGCTTTAATTCCATCAAATCCCATCACTTTTGTATTCTACCAACTGTCCCATATATAAATTTCCAGAGGTCCCAACAAGTGGGACTGTCCCATTATACAAGTTCTGTTTCCAGTCCCATGGAACATGGAATGGGAACTTGTCAATATAATACAGTATATTTGATTGATACACTAGTTAGACTTGTACTGATACTGTAGAGGCATAGTAGTCAAGGTAACAAATCTAATTTTGATCAAAATCACTGTTTAGCTCAATGACAGCATGAGAGATCATTGCGTCAAACATGGAGATAGCAGCAACAGCCCACTGCTCAACTCCAGAGTGATCCCTGAAAGCCAATTAGCAAGGAGCCTATATACAAGAGACATGCACTTACAGTCCATTATGGTAGATCCAGTGTTGGAGTTTCCCCATAACATCAAGCTGCAAACCCTCCTGCTTGAAATAGTTGAGGTCATTGAGGAAAGTCTTGTAAACAGGTTTATAAGCAGGTTCTGTGAAGTGGACAGTGGTCCTCTTGCTGGTGTGCCACTTATTGATTGTGCAGTTGATCTATTAATGGTTACTTAGGAGCGCAGTTGGATCTATGACAAAAATAACTCACTGCAGCCATAATAAGAGCCACCACAACCTTGGAAAACAGCTTGAAGAAATCTGCGTGCTGAATGCCATTGTTATTATGACATTGAAAGAAGACCTCATTGATAAGCATCTGAACAGTGGGTGAGGAGTAAATACATCTGCACAAGTACCAGCCCTGATAATCAAAATCACAGCTTTAAAATATGATATAGAGAAAAGTACTCGTACAATAGATCCAGGAGGTTTCTTCTTTGAGTTGCAAGGCCAGCTCACAATTCTTCTCCCTTGCCTCAGATTTGGAACCAGACTTGAACTTGAATACATGAGCAACAACATGGTGGGCCTTGGTCTTGATCTTGCCACAAAGGTGGCCAAACTTCTGAGATCTAAGATGCAACAACATCAGCAACCATATAACTATTGAGACAACAACCTTACCAGCTAATGAATCTCTGGAGTCATGGCTAAGGTCTGGCCAGTTGCATTATTTGCATGGGCTGGGGCATGTACAGGCAATGACTCAAGCTGTAAGTTGTTCAGATATGTGTTTGTGGTAAAGGCAAACATGGGAATGAACTGCTGTGTGATTACAGTGACTTGGTGTTACATCTTAGAGTAGTTGTTGATCTTGGGTTGCATGTGATTGCTGGCTCTGTGATTCTTGATGGGTGCATCTGTATCACTATCAGAGCAGCTGTCATCCTTGTTGTTGTCAGTGTCCATGTTGGTGTCCATGTTGGTGTTGGTGTCTGGTGTATCAGCATCCATATCCATGTCAGTGGGATGGCTGTTCCTGTTGGAGTTATTGCTGTTGTTAATTGTATGAGTGACAGCTGGGGTTCATGTAAATGGCCTTGTCAGACCTTTCCCACAGTGCAGGAGAGTCTAGACAAAAAGTTAGTACAAAGCAGCATTAATAATGAAACAATGGATGAGCCATACCTTGGCGCACAAGGGGCAGAAACACAGATCTGGCAGCATGAGGAACATGTAGTAGGAGCCATGGACTGGTGGTTATTGCCCACCATGGTCTCAACCCTAGTAGCAGTAAACTGTGAAGGATGATGAGATCTCATGTGTACACTCAGCTAAGACAGCTCACTGTGGTATCAATGAGTGTGGGCCCAGTAGTGTAGTCTGCATTGCTGGCACCATTGGTGGCAAACTGGCAGCTCCACCATTATGTGTATTACCAATTGTGCTGTGCGTGCTGGAGTTTAGAAAATATTAGAAAAGTTAATATGGATGACAATGGGGCAAACAGTAAAAATACCACATCTGGCAGCACAATACTCAGTGGCCTGCTTGACTTGCTGCTTGTGGCGCTTTTGTTTCACACATAGAGCTGTAAGGCATGATTCCTTGGTATGCTTGTCTTTGGTGGCCTCAAAATCATTTTCTGGTTATTGTGAGCGGTCAGTAACAGCCAAAACAACAAGGATGAGTCTCACTTTTATTTTTGCAAACCTTCTCTGACTGGCAACATTCACAACCAGTAGATCTGGCCTTAACATTAACAGGGTAGGAGCAAGAGGAGCAAGAGGAATGGGAGGAGTGCAAGCAGGGTGCCATCAGGGTTGATTGATAAGAGGTGATGGTAATAGGAGCTGGTAAGATATGAATTAGAGAACAATTGGTGAGGAAAAATGGATGGGTACTCCTCTTTATACACTGGAGGAAACATGGGCTGACCTCAAGCTTAAGTACTTTTGGCTATCTGAAATCAACAAAAACTCACAGCGCAATGAACAGAACCACGTTGTGTCACAACATGTTGCGGTGTGAACTGAAGTTCATAGTGGTAAGAGGGCCCTTGGTCAGACCTTCATTCCACTTTATAACTGTCAGTCATTCTCCACCATTGACTCGGTGTGGATAGCTGATGATTCTCTCTCTGATACAATCATTATGCCCAATACATTAGGCTCCAACCATTTTCCTCTTCTGTGTATGATACATATTGCTTGGACAAGGACATTTAAACATCAACTCATACCAAACTTGGACGAGAATGCTGCTTTCTACAAGGATGTAGCAGAGTTCCTACAGCAGCCCCATAGCTTCCAGACACGTCAAGACCTGGACAGGTTCTCAACAGACCTCCACCACACTGCAACTGCTGCCTGTGAAGCCAGAGCAAAGGCAGTCCACCTTTACTGCATATCCAAGCCCTGGTGGAATGAGGTATGTTGTTCTGCCATGCAGCAACTACATGAACATCTGGGCCCTGACTCACACCAAACCCTCAACCACACCATCTCACAAAAATAAAGTTCTTTGACAATGTCATCCAAGAAGCAGCTGGAAAGATGTGTCCTTGGGATGTAGTGGGCTGGACCAAAGATCATCAGCCTTCATCTTGTCTTTCTATTATTTTTAACAAGATTCCTGTTACTGATGAGGTGGAACTCGCTGAGTTCACAAAATACCAATTTTTTACCCCCAGATACACACCACCTGACTTTTCAGTGGTTGAGCTTCTCCCTGCAAGTGAGGAGCACCCCTTTCTGGATATCATGCCATCCAAACTCAGGTGTATTCTGGGCTCTAAGTCTGGATGCACAGCACCAGGGCCTAACTACATTACATGGTCACACCTCAAATCCTTTTTTATGTTGACACCATAGCATCTACATTGACTAGTTTATTTAACAAGTGCATTGTGTGGGCCCATTGGCCGGATGACCTCAAAAACTCCATCTGTGTCATCATTTCAAAAGCCAACAAATCTAATTACAATACATTCAAATCATTCCATCCCATCTGCCTCCTTTCATGTGTTGGTAAACTAATGGAAAAAACCTTAGCAGATTGCATACAGCAAAAGTGCAGCACATTTGATCTACTCCACCCCTTCTAATTTGGCAACGTCATAGGTTGGGGCACCTAGGTGCTGGCATGATTCTACTACATCATCTTCTTGCTGCCTGCTCTAAAGGGTAGACATTTTTGATTATTAACATGGGCAATTCTTCCCATCTGTTCCTCCCTCCCTCCTTGTTTACATCATGCATTGTTGTGGGTTCAATAAACACATTACCCTCTTCATTCAATCCTACTTATCAAACATATCTACCACATTCCAATGGAATGGTCAATTCACTGCTAATATTCCCACAGAAGTGGGACTGGCCCAAGGCTCTGCTTTAGCACTGGTTCTATCTGTCATTGCAGTCACACCTGCTCTGTATGGTCTGTCTGAAGCACCCAAAGAATTCAATGCACTCAGTGGCTCCATGTCCACTGTCTCCACCTATGTCAATGATGTTGGATTTGCATATTCCTCCTCTAATGTCAACTTACAACAACATGCCATCAATATTGTCTTCAACGGCTTTTCTCATCTCCTCCACTGCTGCAGATATAGACTCCAAGCTGAGAAGACAGAGTACAGTGTATACCCCCCTTGTTTATTTGTTGACCCTCTGCCAATGTTAACCTTTATAGACCCCATTGAAAACACAGTTATTGTACTATCACCATTACCAGTGCAGCAATACCTGGGTTATTATTTTGACACTAAGCTGACATTCAAAAAACACGTCAGGTGATACACCAATAAAGGACTCTCAATGGTCTGAGCATTTCCACTCCTAGGAACTCTGTGTGCAGGTTATCACCACAGCACAAGCGTACACTTTACTTGTCTTGCATCTTCCCTGTCATCACATATGGACTGCACATGCTGGTGACAGTGAAATCCACTCATCACAAACTCTTCCTTGCTCCCATCCAATGTGTGCAAAACGAAGCAGGAAAGTGGATAATAGGCACATTCCATACTACTCCTATTAGAGGATGTAAATTGCTAGCAAACCTGGTCCCAATTGACCTTTGCATCAAGCAAATTTTCAACTGGTGGTACGTAGCTGAACCTATTTTCTCCCCTTTTGACCCCAATTCTCAAAAATTCTGTACATACTCAACATTATTTACTACCACTATACATGCCCTTCCCAAACCCCCTGTGCTGTTGGTGCCACCACCCAACGGCTACATGATTGACCCCTGGTCATGTTTCCACCCAGGGACTGCCCCAGGTTTTCAGGTCTGTGACATCCTTGAGTCACAAATCCACTATCACACAGCCCACCCTCGCAAAGGGCCAGATAAATGGGATGCATGGGTCAAATCATTCCAACAGGAGCTTGACCACCACAAGACCACACAAGATGCCATTGTCTTCATTGACAGCTCTCATACTGATGACAGATTGGGTGCTGGTTTTTGTGTTGACCAGGGCAACAGCAATGGACACGCACATTCAGCCGGGTGACCCTGGCCATGACTTCCTTGCCAGTGGACAATCTACCATTGAGAGCAAACAAAGAGGACTTCTTGTCTGCTGATAGATGGCACTTTTTGGTGACTCTGCATCATTTGTGCCAGATGTGTGCATTTCATGAGCCCTACCAGCAGTTGTTGGTCGTGATGCTGTGAGACGGGAGATTTAGAGCCAGCACGGTATGAGATTGCACCAGTGGAAATGTGGGGTCCAACATAATGATAATCTGTGGGCACAACTTGTTGAAAGTATGAGTAGTGTTTCACCCTTTTACAACTTCTATTGGTGTATACCAGGGAGTCTACAAGTAAACACCACCATTCTATTGCTATATTGGTGCTCAATGTGTGTATGCATTTAAGCACCTCTTACGTACTCATGACTCATCATGGCCCACTGCTGTCACACCAGGCCACGTGGACTTGTAGCTAGACATCCATGCTATGTGTGGGTTAGGACTGGCTCGTTACAATTACGGTAGTAGATTTGCACGCTCCATGTATACTATATATATGAGTCACTACTACGAATACATTTCTTAGTCTCTCTTACTTGAACGACTACCATTGTCACTTGCAACCAACCTCTATCAAGGTTTACTCAAGTCTTCAACAACTATTCTGGTGAGTACACACCTTCATAGGCATTCCAGCTTTACTTGTGTATTGTGTCTTCAACACAACTGAATGAGTGCCCATCCAACTGAAAAAAGAAGTCTGCTCTTCAAATTCATGCACATAGTTGATTTCATGGGCAGATGCATTAGCCCAATACTCTTTTCTGGTAACGGTAAAAAAGATCTCAAATACTCAGAGAAATCCAGGAGACTAAGCCAACTGCCTGAGCAGAAAACAGTTCAGCCTGAGGGTGGTGTCTTTGCCAACCAACATGGGATGTTTATATAAGGAAATCACACAAAATCCCAACACACTCGTGTCTCATCGGCCTCAGGCTATGTCCCAGGATACCTCCCATTGCTCAGCTTATATTCACCACAATACCACACTGTTTGCACCAAAAAAACTATGAGGGAAGCTAATAAGGCATATATACATGCATAAGCTATTATGAGAACAGCTAACGAGGAACGATTCAGCACGCGTACAATAATCACAATGAAGATGTTACTACATGGGCAAACATCTCGCAGTGCTCAAACTCACCCACCTCCAACCCACCTCACCTAGTCACCATTGTGTGCACCAACATGGGTGGCAACATTGTGCCAGCGTTCATCGGATCTCGACAAATGCTGGTGTCTATAACCTGATTTGCAACAAGATGCCAGGATCTAGCAACCAACACTGCTACTACTAGCACAAAATTGGAACCACCGTATCATGAATAGGGTGCATGATTGGTTGCCAAATTAGAGTAGACATGATTGGCCATTGGTCATTGGCAACAGATCCTGTCAAATCCTGCCAATAGCAGCTTGTTGATGGAGCTCATCTTTCATTTGAATCTTGCATGCAAAGTGGCTGTTGATCAGAATCTTCTGCATGTATAGCCCCTCCAAATCTCCCCTGTTACCCCTCATCCTTGCCTCTGGGAGCGTCTGGAGTCATGATTGCACTTTCCCTGTCCTCATTTTCAAAATATCCTTGTCATGCATTCTGATCCTCGTAATAAATACATAACATTGTACAAATGATAGCAGGCTGCTTGCTGAGAGTAATTCATGGAAACATCATCAATCACAGGAATTATGCAATAAATGCTATCAGGTTAACAACAAGAGGTAAACAATAAGCAATACAAAGGAAAGGTTGATGAAGGATTGACTTGACTTGAACCAACCTACATCAGTGTCTGTTGTCTTTGCCAAAGACAAAGGGTCTGCCCTTTTCACATGCTGCATATGGGTCAGTTGTGTATTGTGCTAATTGGCTTCCTAACACCCACCTTGCAGTTTGTGCAGAGTTTGCTATCCTCATTATTGCCCTCCGCCAGGACAAGGTCTTCAGTGGACCTTTCTACACGAGTCTAGCATATATGAGTACCTAGATAACTGAAGATCAAAAAACTCAACCTGGTCATCTGCTTTTTGGCAAGCATTTTGGTTCTCACTTGGAACTCCGGAGGCTGGTTCTGCGGATTGCCATCTCCAAACAATGCCTCAATTTTGAGACACGTCACTTTCTAGACACAACTCAGCAAAAGAGTTCTATTTGAGCGGGTGAACACTACCATACCTTATGACAGCACAGTTCCTATCATCCTTGTTGAGGTGCTCAAATCCCTCAAACTTGTGGGCTGCTTGGTAAACACACTTCATATTATCAATGACTTTGGTCATCACACAGTCCCAGTGGTGCCACACACTATAAACAAAGGATCAGTCAAGGACTCTGAGTTGCAAGAAGTTGAGAGAAATATAAAGACAGATGACCACATATCTCAATATCCGTGCCTAGTTGAAATTCTCCCATTCCAATTGGGTGTCCTAGATACGGATTAGGCCACTGATCATTGATCAATGTCAAGGCAAGTAATGAACCTAAGCATGGTGTTTGGCCCTACATATGGCATGTGCAATGATAAGGTCTAGACTGAATAAATTAAATAGTTAATATGACCATACCTTTGCACTTGGATTGGGGAGAAGTTGTGTATTCAATGTGGTAGAAGCTTTTTGAAGGGGTACCATCTCTTATAAAAGGAGTACTATCCCTCTTTGAACTTGAAGGGGTACTGTCTCTCTTTGAAGGAGTATTGCCTCTCTTTGAAGGGGTACTACCCTTATTCATTGTGTTTGGCCTGCTTCACAGAGAAAGGTGGCAGGAGTTGCACTTGGTAAGAAGAGCACGTCAATGGCAAGATAAGGACAACTGCGGGAGACATATACCCAATGCTGGTTTCCATTTAAATTCTGCATAAGTACAAGCTGAAGCACTCTAATCAAGGATTGTGTATGCAATTTTATGAGGAGGTAGTACGTCACAATGCATATATAAGCATCCCATCACACTATGAGTACCCACTTTGGCAGGTTGAAACAAGCCAAAAGCTGCCACAGTCACCTGGAACTTTAGTGCTTTAGCAGCCAACCACAACTTGCTATGTCTCTCCATATCTCCCTTTCATCCCAGCTAATGGCTGCCCCCCAGCAAACCCCAACTCTACAATGGATGACCTATACTGTGCAAGAGGTGCTGCATGCTATCCAATCTGTCAATAGGAACTTCTCCGCTGATTATCTGTGGGGTATCCTCCTCCCCTTTGGTGTTTTGTTAGGACCTATCAAGCTTTTCAAGGATCAACTCATCACCATCATCAGTTGAGGCCTTGTTGGAAAAGATCCCACCCTTTCCACTTCTAAAATTAGTTCAAATCACGTTCTTCCTCTTTATGATACTATCATGCTGATTTGGTGAACAGGCTACAAGCACTACAAGATTCATTGGAATGGCCTAACCAGCAAATCATCTGCTGTTACAGTCAAGGATTTATCCAATAATGGCACTTGGGTAAGCAACCTTACAAGTTTGGGCTGAGCTCATTCTACTACTTGTTAGATCAACAAGCAAAAAATTGGCAAAGACCAATATATGCTCACGGAAGAGGGAAATGATATTGTCTTTGGGCAGGATCCCACTATGCATGAACTCTCAAGTGTCAGTTATTGTAAGCCATCAGTAGTCACATTCTTTATCCTGAAACTCATACACACAAAGGCTACATATATTATCACACAGCTATGCCTTCTCACAAAGGAAGCCTTTGCGCATCTTATGACATTGGTCATGAGATTGGCTGAGGTGGATATGGTGTTGTTGTGAAGGCCTTCTCTTGGGTGACAAACAAGTGGTATGCAATTAAGACCATTCATGCACCAAAAGGTGTAGCTGCAGCGGAACCACACTTGCGTGTCTCTTCACAAAGGGATAAGATGGAAGACTTGGCAAGAGAGGTCTGCATCCTCGAACAGCTCCAGCATAACAATGTCTGCAAGCTTGAAGAGACATTTTATTATGACTCCAAAATTTGTGAGTTATCCTATATCTCCTTTTCCATATGACATTTTGTTTATAGAGTTGACAGCTCTAGTGCTTGAGTTTGTTGATGGAGGTGATCTCAATAATTACATTTATACCCATAGCACTCTGGGTATGTGGTGATCAACTACAGTAAGGTCAAGCTGGCTAATTGGTTTATAGATGAGACCATGGCAAAGTATATCACGTATCAGATTGCTGATGCCCTTTTGGTGCACACTTAGCATCCTGATACATCAAGCTTCCTTACCCAGCACAATTACATGCAGTACATCTACGCATTGTGCACCAAGATCTGAAGCTGGAGAACATCCTTCTTACATCCAAGAAACCTCCTGTTGTCAAGGTTGCCAACTTTGGTCTCGCAAAAGTCAAGGATAGCATGTCAGCCCTCAAGGTATGAACATCATATTTATTTCTTATTTCTTCTGACTCAATGGAAACCCACAAAAGACAATTTGTGGAACTCCTGAATACATGGCCCCAGAAGTTGTGCTGCGGCTCATAAGAGGATACAACAACCTTGTTGATTCTTGGAGTGTTGGTGTTATCATATTCAAGATGTTGACAGGTAAATCACCCTTCATTGAGGACTCTACTATTGCGGAAATGGAGACCTGTGTCACAATGCATAAGAGTAACTGGAAACCTCTCGAGGACATGAACATAAGCAAAAATGGTATGTCCCACATGAAGTCATCCCTGGCACAATATGACCTGCCCCACAGCAAAGCATTTGGTTCAACTACAGCTTCAAAAGATAGCCTATCATTGTTTACCTCTCTCAGAATTAAGGAATCACCTGTGGCTCTGAATCAACAATGTTCAACCTTATATGCAGTCAAAGGAAGAATTTGGAGCTCTGTGATAAGCCAACTGTCTGTCTGCCATTGTATGTCTTGCTGAACCTCCTGTTGATCTTTGCTTCTCCAGATGTCCTTAACGGTACTAGTGTCATGTTGGGCATGTACATGCTCAATATCTTTTACCCCAGTCAATCTGCCCATAATGATACCAATTAATGTTCAGGCTTCAAAGCATCAGTAAGAAAAATGATAGCATAGTGTATTGCGTCCAGACTGCCAAGCCATTGCTAGCCACCCAGGGGGTGCTTAATGTCAGTCAGTGATCCTGCTGTGTGAGTGCCACACAAAGCGGGCGATGCTAAGCAGAAGCGTAGTTTGGGGCCAATAGTATTAGAATCCTGTATAATCTTGTCATTTAGCATGTTGTGCAAGGATATTCCTGAGCAAGTATTTACCAATTTGTATATGATACTAGTTTTGATAGTTTCATGTGGTGCATACTGCATCTACTGTTTCTTTGCCATCTGTAAAAATAAGTCAGCAATGGGTTAACACAATAGACAGGTTACTTATGAGGTAGAAGATTTGTTCAGGTTGATGTTCTCTTTTCCAGGCTGACATGGTGACATGGACCTCCTTAAATTTTGTTGTCCTCATCCCGGTTGCATTTCTTGTAGTTTTGCTGCAATCTGCTGTCTGCATCCATCCCAGCTCCAGCGTCATCCTGAGAGTCTTCTTTCTCAAGCATTGGGAAAGTGGGAGATACCAGGACCTCATTTGGGAGGTATTCCTGACTGATAAATCCCAGGGACATTAACAAATAGGCAAAAGGAATGGTGAGGTGAGAGGTAGACCATCATCAACAGGGTGGTTGCAGGTGCATCCGGTGATGTCAAAGGCTGTCTATTTGAATGTATGGATGAAGAACAAAAGTGAAAAAGTAGTCAACCAAGGTTTTTGTATACCTCACTCTGCTACAGCCCAGATGCACAGGGATGGACTGCTCACATGACCAAAAGGTTTAATGGAGGGCTAGCTTGGGGCTAGCACACCAACCTTTGTAGTGTGGGCAGGCAGGTATATTTGTATGGCTGTAATGCCTGACCACTGAGACAAAGGGCTGGATTGCACAACGTATCATGTAGGCAATGTGCCTGATTGCATTGACAAAATGAAAGAATATTGGAATGCTCAATATTTATCAGCTACTGAGGCTGCATGGCGTATACTGGGGTTTCATCTTTCCCAGAAGAATCCCAGAGTCTCAACATTGTCTATTCAAAAGCTCCAGATGATGCACTTGTCATGGATGTCTGGCCCACTTGAATTTCCTCTGTTATGCGCTGTCAACACAATTTTTTTTACCCACTGACACGTCACCACTTGCTGATGGTTTATCTCAAACCTTCATTCCCCATACCCTATCACTGCTTGTGAGTACAATGCAGGCTATAGAATTGATATGGACATACCGTGCATAACACTAAGAGGATGGACCCCATGAACCCCAACCACCTCCCCTCCAAGTGGGACCCACCAGCGAGGCCATCTCCCAACACTGTTGACGCAAACAAGAAACCAATTCAAATACCAATTGTAGCATTGTCTTCAAAGCTTCATTTGCGGGGAGGTCCACAAGATCTGGCATGTTATAGCCCTTGTCCGCTACCACTCCTAGAGTACTTGGTATGCAAGCAGAGGGTAACTGGGAGAGTTCATCAGGAGGCAGCAGAGCAGCAGAGCAATAAAAAGGACATACTGAACAGTAGAGCCAACGTGAGCATGATGAACAAAATTGGTAAAGCCCATATTGAAGACCCTCATTGCTGAAGTCGGATCTGGCAGATCATTCAGAGTGTGTGTGAAAACACGACCAACTCCAAAGAGGAAAGAACACTCATAGTTGTCAGGCATGAATGCAAGATATGAGTCATTCTGAGGGTCACTGATGAAAGGGGAAAGCAGATTGGTCAAGGAGAATGTCAGGAGCTTGAGCAAAATGATCCTTTGCGATAATGGAGATCATTGTACTGGATGGAAGGAGCACTTCATTGGTGTTGTTGGGATAGCGATGTATCTTGGCACTCACAGAGAGGCCAGGGGGAAGGGCCATCAGTGCGATGTCCACCCTTGCCTAGACAGGACAGACCAACATTGATGGTGAAAAAGCACAACACACAAGAGGTGAAAGGATGAAAAAGAAGGGAAATGAACGACATTCACCCTCGGCCAAGCAGACTAAGTACACACATTGACAAACAACCACTCCCAACACATGATGGCACCTTGATATTGAGGAACTTGACACGGGTGACAGATATGATGCATGATAGACACAGAACATGAGTAGAGTCAAATTCATGGGTGCGATGGCAGAAGACACGTAATCATGTTGTGGTGGGCTAAGTGCATACTTTGGGTCAACACAATCACGAGGCTAATAACCTGCACATCACATTTATAGTTGTAGCACTTTGTAAATACAGGGCACAAAACATCATACAGAATTAGTGTATGAGGGATGAATGGAACAAAGAAGACTGATGGGGCACCCAGCACCATTGTGACGGAGCTCTTCTATTCCAATGTCAGTTCCTATCACTGCCCTAACAACAGACCTAGACAAAAACAGTAATGGCAGAGAAAGTTGTGCTGGTGGAAAGGAGGCATGAAAGTGATGGATAATGTGAATGAGACATTTGTGATATTGTCCATGACCAGCAGATGGGTTTCTTGAGAGAGCTCATGCCATTGCAGTTCTGGATGGGAGTGTCTTGGCCATCCGAGCGGAAATAGAATGACAAGCTGAGCTCAATGCACATGTCATAGGTCTTGCAGCAATTCCTACTGTGCGTGCCAGAGAACGTGTGCGGTGCACCAGGCGTAGGTAGAAGAAGCCAGTGGTTGGCAAGGCAGGAACATTGCAGTAGGAGAACAAGATATAATGTGTTGGAACATGAAGTGGGTATATCGGGTGTTCATGGATGCAGATCAAATATTTCCAATGCAAGCATCAATTGGTGAAATGGATGGCAGGGGCCAAAACACCAAGGGAAAACCTTGATAGTGATAATTGAGCAGTGCGGGGCAGTTGGGACAGAAATGTCAAACAAAAGCAAGATCTCAGGAGCCCATACTGAAGCGTTCAAGCACATCCTGGGTGACGCCGGGAGAGAGCGATGGTGTGCTGAGAGCGGTCCCTATCAACCTTGATGCCTAGCAGCTGAGTAATGGGGCCAAGGTCACTAAGCTTGAAGCACTGAGACACCTCGGCAACGCAGCGATCCAGCTCTGCTTCAGACAATGAGGCAAGCATCATGTCATCCACAAACTCTGACTGACGCATATAGAGCTATCAACCTCAGAAGAGGCACTGGTGTCCAACAGTGAGCAAGTAGTATTGATAAAGACGAAATACAAGGGTACTGACCTGGTGTCCAACAGTGAGCAAGTAAGGAGACACTCTGTGCCCAGACTCGACCTGATCCCTCAGCCAGTAGAAGCACAAGTCCAGCTGCTTCATCCTCCCATGGTGCTCAGGATTCTTGGCCACAGAGATAGCACTCTGGTTGTCAATCTGCAGCTTCGAAGGGCCAGAGACAGGCAGCCCAATCTCAGCGAGCAGCTTGCGCATCCAGAGCAGCTCCTTGCCAGCCTCCACAGCAGACATGAACTCAGCCTCAGTGGTAGACAGTGCAACTACACTCTGAAGCTTCGAGCTCCAGGAGACAGCACCCCTGCCCACTCGAACGAGGTAAGAACCAGTAGAGCGACCTGAGTCCTTGCAGCCACCATGATCAGCGTCAGAGAAGGTGGTGAAGAGTGCACTCTATGTGTTCACCAAGGGAGGAGTGCAGGTGCTGATCCCAGTATTTGTGGATGATATGACGCTCGCCTCGTCGTCTGAAGCAGAGCTGGATCGCTGTGTCACCGAGCTGTCTCAGCGCTTCAAGCTTAGGGATCTTGGCCCCACTACTCAGCTGCTAGGCATCAAGATCGACAGGGACCGCTCTCAGCACACCATTGCTCTCTCCCAGCGTCACTACACTCAGGATGTGCTCGATCGCTTCGGTATGGGCTCCTGCAACGCTGTCCTGACGCCTATGGAGCCTGGTCTGCATATCAGCAAGGAGTTTGAGCAAAGACGTTGCTTTCATGCGCTCTGTGCCCTATTCCATAGAGAGGACGCTTGAGCAGGCACACCTGGTCCTTGCCACCGATGTGAAAGCCCTCTGGCTGACGCATATAGAGCGTGACATCCATGTCCCCTTGCAGGTACACATTGGAGATGTCAACAGAGCGAAGGTGGAGGTCATGGATGGCAGCAAGGGACAGGATGAAGCAAATGGTGGAGAGGCGGACAGTGGGAGCGAAAACCTCGAGTCGAAGCCAGGGCGCTGGGAGAAGCCTTGGGCAACCACTCGAGCCTTGTGACGCTCTATGGACCCATCAGCATTGCGCTTCAGCTTGAACACCCACCGACTTCCTATGGCCTTCTCCCCAGGAGGGAGAGTCACAACCTCCCAGGTCCCATTGGTCCAGTGAGCGCCCATCTCGTCTACACAGGCGTCATACCAGAGGGGATCCTGAGCAACAGCCTCAGCATAGGTCCTGGGCTCCTTGTAGGAATCACCCTGGAGCGCCAGTTCCCTGCCATAGGCCTCCCCATGCACAGCTAGTGCAGTGTCCGCATCTTCAGCGTCCTCATCCTCTTCCTCACTGTCTGGGACCACCTCCACCTGCTCATCCACAGGGACAAGCGGTTCAGCGGGCCCAGCAGGTGCAGGCTCACCAGGATACAAGCGAGGCTTGTCCAGCTTCCACCACTGAGTTGTGGCAGTCCTATCCATGGCAGAACGACGTGTAGGGGCTTGAGGCGCAGGGACAGAGCGAGCACGACGAGGAGGAGTACTGGGGCGATCTGGAGGGGCTTGACCCTCATCAGCATCACCAGGGGGTGAAGGAGAACGCGAAGGCGGTGGAGGAGGCGTTGGGGCACGGTTGTGAGCACCTGGGACGTCCTGGGGACGCTCCTGAGGCGCAGGCGGCGCAGGTGGAGCACCATTCTCCCCCCCATGGCCCAATGGCTCATCAAGCTCATCAGGAACATAGACACCCACTGGGGGTGCAGGGGAAGGTGGTGGGTCGCTCCTAGGCCTGGGGAGGCCAGGGAAGTAGCGCTCATCGAAGTCAGCACGCTCTGAGATGACAGTGCGCTTGGTGGTGGGGTTGTAGAACTTCCAGCCCTTGTAGCCCTCAGGATAGCCAAGGAAGACGCACTTTTCCACATGGGAGCCCAGAGAGCGATGCTTATCCCTCTGCACATGCACATAGGCAGTGCAGCCCCAGACTCGGAGGTGGGAGATGTCAGGCTTACACCCATGCCATAGCTGGTAGGGTGTGCCCTCTGGGACTGCCCGAGTGGGCAAGCGGTTCCACACATGCACCAGAGCAGCAAGGCACTCCCCCCAGAACGACTTGGGCAGGCCAGACTCGTTCAGGAGAGCAGTGATGCGCTCAGAGAGCACCCCATTGGCACGTTCAGCAACCCCATTCTGCTGAGGGCGATTGCGAACAGTGTGCCTGCGCACTATGCCACACTCCTCTGTGAAGGCGAGGAACTCGTTGGACATGTACTCGCCTCCCTTGTCATCCTGCAGGGCCTTGATCCTGCACTCACATTGGGTCTCAGCGCTTTGAACCGTTTGAAAGCAGCAAAGACGTCAGACTTG